AACAAAATTGCTCAAAATTTATTTATTTGTGGTCATCCAATAGCTGATTGTTTCTTTGGTTGTATTTCTTTTTTATACAAGAATTACAAATTGAGTCACAATAATAAGTCATCTTCATGGATGATACTTGAAAAGGCTTGAAGGAGAAACTGCTTAATTTTCTGAAGTCGTGAACTACTCTAGTTTGTTACTGCTAATGTTGCGAAGGTAGGGACGTACCAGGCGTTTGGTTTAGCTTGCTAATATATATGTATCACTGTATGATGTATGATAAGTTAATGATGTAGAAATATTTTTACTCTTTATTTTACTACAATTGATTTTTATAAACTTTTCATATCTACTATTTCTTAGGTCTTCTAAGCTTCAATATATCTAGAATATTATAAACTATGTATTTCTTAGTAGTGCACAAAATAAATCGTTTGTTTAAAGAATATATGAGGTGAAAGTTTTGAGGTAAATCTCATTGGAAATGAATAGTAGTTTCTGTTAACAGTGATTTCTTAGGAAATTGTGGAAGTCAAAGCCGCACCCAGAATAGGTAATTCCAAAAAAATTGAGCTCTGATTCAAGAGAATGAAAGAAAAACAAATTACCAAATTAAAAACATCTTCAGAGTCATCAATGATTTTTTTTCCGCGTCACTGCAGTCTATGATGATTAGTTTCGGGTTTCAATCCAAGTCACAAGTTATTGTTGAAGAAAAGAAAATTTCAATTGTTTCTTATTTTGATATCCTTTATACCTTGCAAAGGATTTTAATTCTATCAAAACAAGTTATGATATAAGGTGTTTTTGGGAGAGTTTGTTTTGAATTTACATTTTCAGGTGTTGATTTCATTTTCTAATCTACGATTTGTTGAATACCAATCTTATAAACTTAAATATTGGACAACATGAATGTATTTTTTTCAAAACTTTATTATTCTGAAAACATCAATTTGTTACTACATCAAAAATATATTCAGTTAGATTTATTTAAGATGAATGACACATCTATTTGTGAGATTAAGCAAGCATTTGCGTCTCGTGAATATCCGATAAATAATCCATTTATCCACTTGTAATTGATGAAAGAGTGTTTGACTAAGCCATTACACGGCTAGTCTTCCATCTTTTGTATTGATAGTTTTAAACAAAATTTCCATATTGCATTTTTCCATTAGGTTCGGTTTGTTCAATAAGATTTTTCATTACGAAGAGTTATAATTTTACTTACTGATTAAAATATTGTTTAACATTGAAATCTGATAGGTATACATTTTATCAATTCGAAGTTGGCGAATGTATACCAAAATCATCAGTGTCATAATAATAAGACCTTATGAAAAGTGTCCCATATTTACTTTTTTGGTGAATAGTAGCGACCCATCTCCTGCAAAAAAGCCTAGGAGTTATAAAAAAGCGATGCATTTGTCTTGTCTGAATCGGAGAAATACTTTTTTTTGTTAATATTTGTATAGGTTTAATGTTATATTTGTATAAGTGTATGTTTTGGAGTTTAATGTTGTAGATACTGATCTTTTTATAGCAACGTGAATATAATTTCTCCAAAATCAGCCGCACAGAGTTAGGAAATTTTATTTCTTGAGTTAATTTCTTCAAATGAAAAAAGGATACATCAAATTTTATATTCAAAGATTAAATTTCGAGTTCAAATACTTTCTCAGCGAAAAAATCGGAAAATTTTGGACCAAATAATTTTGAATGTTAAGATTCTTTGTACAGTGGGTAATTCAGGTGCGGTGTCCGATCGAAAATAAATGATTTTGTCATTTTTGAATAAGTTATTCCATATGTGAAATTTAAAAATTCGTTGTAATGATTTACAATAAATTGGGATAGTTGGGATGTCATAGAAATGAGAAGTTGGGTATATGGTTTGTTTCTTTTGGTGTTGATCCTATCAAACCAACTTTGGAAAAGGATTATTCACATTACTAGTTACAAACAAGAGTTTTTCATCATTTTGTACTAGGTATTTTAAAGGTGTAAAAACTCGACTGATATATCTAAGTCAAATGCTCATCTTTTCCATCATTTAATTTATCTGAAAGGTATGTTTTCAGAGAAGGATTGATTACTTGTACAGTGCGTATACCAAACTGGTGAATTTCGCTCAAGATTTATTTATTAGTGATTATCTGATAGCTGATTGTTTCTTTGATTGTTTTTTTATATACAAGAATTACAAATTTAGTTACAATAATAAGTCACCTTCATAAATGAGACTTGATGAAGCTCGAAAGAGAAACCGGTTACTTTCTAAAGTCATGAACAAGTTTTACTATGTGTTTTTGTCGTACATTATGGAAATTAACAAAAACTGGACCTATCGTATCTGATGTTATTGACAACATTGCGACAACAAAATTTTGCACGCAGTGCGTAGAGCCACACTGGGCGTTGTCCTTATCTCGCTAATATATATGTATCACTGTATGATGTATGATAAGTTACTGATGTATAAAAAATTTTTACTCTTTATTTTACTACAATTGATTTTTATAATAGTTTTCATTTATCTAATATTTCTTATGTCTTCTAAACTTTGCTATATCTAGAGTATTATAAACTATGTATTTCTTAGTAATGCACAAAATAAAGCGTTCGTTTAAAGAATATATGTGGAGAAAGTCCTGAGGTAAACCTCATTAGAAATGAATGATTAATTCTGTTAACAGTGATTTCAAAAGAAAATGAGCTGGTGTCAAAGCCGCACCCAGAATAGGTAATTCCAAAAAAATTGAGCTCTGATTCAAGAGAATAAAAGAAAACAAATTACCAAATTAAAAACATCTTCAGGATCAATATGGCTTTTTTTTCGGCATCACTGCAGTCTATGATGATTAGTTTCGGGTTTCAATCCAAGTCACAAGTTATTGTTGAAGAATAGAAAAATTCAATTGTTTCTTATTTTGATATCCTTTATACCTTGCAAAGGATTTTAATTTTATCAAAACAAGTTATGATATAAGATGTTTTTGGGAGAATTTGTTTTGAATTTACATTTTCAGGTGTTGATTTTATTTTAATCTACGATTTGTTGAATACCAATCTTATAAACTTAAATATTGGACAACATGAATGTATTTTTTTCAAAACCTTATTATTCTGAAAACATCAATTTGTTACTACATCAAAAATATATTCAGTTAGATTTATTTAAGATGAATGACACATCTACTTGTGAGATTAAGCAAGCATTTACGTCTTGTGAGTATCCGATAAACAATCCTTCTATCTACTTGTTATTGATGAAAGAGTGTTTGACAAAGCCATTACACGGCTAGTCTTCCATCTTATGTATTGAAATTTTAAAACACAATTTCCATGTTGCATTTTAATTAAGGTTCAGTCTGTTCAATTTGATTTCTCATTACGAAGAGTTATAATTTTACTTACTGATTAAAATATTGTTTAACATTGAAATCTGATAGGGTATACATTTCATCAAGTCAAGGTTGGCGAATATATCAATGTCATCAATGTTATAGTAATATTTATTTTCACCTTGTTAGTCAAACAGAGGTGAACCATCGCCGCCAAAGAAACCTAAGAATTCCAAAAAGAGACCCGTTGTCTAGTCTGAACTTGAAGAAACTAAACCACCTTTACCGTTTGAATAGGTTTAATGTTATATTTGTATGAGTGTATGTTTTATGTATTAATGTTGTAGATACTGATCTTTTTAAAGCAACGTGAACATATTATTTCCCAAATCGGATGTTCTATTTTAATACTTTATTTCTTCAAATGCAAAAAAGAAAACATAGAATTTTAATTCCTAGCCAAATTAGATATTCAGTTTGTTGAGTTGAAGAGACTAAATTTTCTATAAATTCGATGCATTCATTTTTGCTTTGATGTTAAGATACTACATGATAGTTACAAAAAATTTTAATTGTTAAATTGATATTCTTTTATCGCAAATACTATTGAAAAGATACTATTTGTCAAAATGAGTCATCGATTTAGAGGTTTTATGAAACTTCATATTATTATATCATTTATTTGCAAAATCAATTTAATGTTAATAATTTTAATGATATGACGTTTATCAAATTTTTGTTTGTCAATTGCATACGAATCTCATTCTGGAAGTGTATTTAATAGTTCTTGAAAATAACTACCCATTCTCAATTCGTTGTAGCACAATTATTTATAAAACCGCTTGGATTCCAATTATTTCAATTATTATATCATAATTTGAATCTTGTACCATTTGACCGATTATCAAATCATGTTCTGGTTTTTTACATTTGAACTGAAACAGGACTACAAACGCCGCATCCCAAATTATTTTTGGAACAATGTTTCAGAATTGAAATAAAATCAAGACAGTCCAAAAAAATGAGTCAATTTTAAGTTCATGACTAGCTTCTATTATTAAGGAAGCTTTATAAATAGAGCATGACTCGTCTAAACATTGGAATAAAAACCCAGCTTTATCTTCACATTTATTTTGTTTTCCGTTGACTAAGATCGTCTTTTACTAGTCTGACACAGCTTTAATTGCACTGGGGTAGATTTCAATTTAGTTTCAGATTGTTCAGTTTTTATTGTTTTTTATAACAAGAGTTATAAATTTCACTTACAGAATCTACGTAGAAATTTTTAATTGTGAACACTAATTAATGAATTAATGCTATATGGAATTTCCAACACCTTAATTGAACGACGCATTATATTTATTTAAGGCTAGGTTCTATCTAAAGCATTTTAAATTATGTGGAAACTTACATTTGGATCATATGTTTTGAGAAATGTTTTTCAATTTTATGCATTTTGATTTATTGTTAAATTTCTCAAATTATTTGAAATTAATATTTATGCTCTCTTTGTTAATTTTCTAAATATCACTCAAGAGGTGTAGATAAAAAGACTACATGTGTTCGAGACTTTAAAAACAGAAATGTTTTGACAATTGATAAAAATTGCATTAATAGTATATGTACAATTAAATAACAACAAGTTCATTAAATTCATTAAATTCATTAAACATTCTTATATTTATATTTCAAATCATTTAATTCATTTACTGATTGATTAATTGAATTGAATGAAAATTCATGAAAATAAGGTAGAATAAAATTCAATATAATCAATATAAATATCCCTTTTTGCGAATTTAAATTAATTTCTGAATTATGGTAGATAAAGTATAAAATTTGTAGATTTATAACGATTGATAACATTTTTATTAGTAGTTGTAAGAATGAATTTAATTTTGTGATAATTGATTTCGAAGTAACTTGAACTAAATTTAAAATTATTGAAATCAAAAATAGTACTAGTATAACTTTACTTTGAATTGGATTATTATCATTCTTTATCTTGAAATTCATGAAAATAATAGTCAATATTTGAAATCCATAATAAATCACCAAATAAATCTTATACTTTACATATTGTTCATTATTATACTTATTTAATTCCTTAATGTATTCAATTTGATCATCTTCATCCATATAACTTGATTGATTAATTATTAATTTATCAAATTTTCTTAACCTACTTTTACTACCTACTTCATCATTGATTGTTCGTGTACTGTCTACGTTTGTAGTTATCTCATCTTCGTCATTCATATTTGATGCATTGTTGAGCTTTGCTCGTTGATTGATTGATCGATTTGGTTGTAAAAATTCAATTTACTGGCAAATTCTTTTATCTTTTTGATCTCATGATATTTATTCGGAGTTTAACAAGTAACTACCAATTGATTTTCAAAAATTTTATATGTTTATGTCAAAGTTTAGTTAAAGAACTTATGAGACCAAATTAAGTCTGATCTCATCATCATGAAACTCGTCCAAGCATACAATGATTAACTCAAAAGCAAAAAGCTTATTTAAATTACGGGAATTATCAACTTAAAAGTTGGATTTACGTTAAACTCTCGTCAATTTCTAATTTCTTTTATAATAGAACATCAGCATCTAATGAAAGTTTACAGTTTAAAACGGGATCACTGATAGAATATTAAAACTTTAAATGTTTGTTTGAATTGCATCAGAATTTGGTTTGAAACCAGTATAAAATTCGAATCATTTCAATTTGTTCATTAATTGCAGATATATTCATTCAACAACAAACGGAAATGTGAGTTTGATCTAGATCTTTAACTTTCTCAATGGACTGGAGTGAATTGACCAACTCTAACTCAAGTGGTTCATTGAGAAAGGTCAGTTAGTTTATGATGAATTCCATTTAGTTTTGTGAAACACTGCCTCAATTAAATGTACAAACGGCTGATTCAATATATGCAAAAAGAACTAAAAAATCAAAAAAATTGTAAAGAATACATATTTAGTCTAAAAAAACCCAAATCTAGATTCATCTTTACTTAATTTGGTAATTGTCTTAAATTTCAAAAATTTTTCCTTCTTCTGTCTTACACATTTTGATCTAAAACAAAAATTCAAAAAAAATAAATAGGGAGGCTAGAATTAACGAAAGATATACAGTGAAATCAACTTGTAATGAAATTGAAAGCAGCTTTTAAATTTCCAAATCGTATCATTTAGTAAAAAAAGTTACGCGTGGTAATTCCAAGTTTTTTATCTCATTCGATTTTTGATAATCCATGGATATTAATTTAGGTATGGGTTGATAATTAAAGAATAGGACCAATATTCTCGTGATGAGAAATACAATATTAATATAATTGAATTTTCTATTATTATTTTTAGATTGTCAAATTAAATCAAAATTAAATCGTGTAGAACTTAGATAATTGACGGATCAATAGGTCTGACTATTTAAAATTTATCAGGTTGTAATTAGAATGATTCAGAATCGTGTTAATAACAACAATATATAATATAATCTTGGCTTAAAATGATTTTTTATTGTCAATGAAAAAATTTAAAATACGTGTTTATATAATTGAAAAAAAAGCTTAAATTGTAATTAACTATTAGATCAATAAAAAGTTGATTTGTAACAAGGTGATATAATAATCAAATAACAATTACTTGAAGATTAAATTGAGTCTAAGATGGTTAAGAGAAACTCACCGAGCTTAAAGCATCTGACTTAACAGCTCAGCTCAACTGTCAAAACATTTAATTTTGTACAATCTCTTGATTTAGACGAAGTTGATATGAAAAGGACAAAAATACAACTTATTCTTTTTATATCTAATAAAAATTTTCAATTTCAAATTTGGTTGTAAATTAAAACTCAGTTAAAATTTTTTTTAATTGGGGAAAATTTTTACTTTTTAAGTACAATTTTTTTTTTAGAATCTGCATTAAAAAATCGTTTAAATTTTCAAGTAGTGCATATTATTATTTACTCTATCAATTAATCACTCGTAAGTGTATACACCACACATTTTATAAAAAAGAACATGTTCATGTTGAACTACCTCTATAACTACACTTCCAATCTTATCAACATATAATATACCTCCTTAATTCTATTGATACTATTAATAATAATAAATTATTATATAACTTATATATATATAGAAAATATTGTTTCTTACTCCTGTTATTTTATTAATTAATTTCTAATTAAGTTTCATTAAAGAATTAATTTAGACGCGAATTATTATTATTTGAATTTTAATACAAAATTAATTATAATATGTCACACAAAATTTATTATATTTATGTATGTAATAGGAATTAACCAACATACACTACTTTACATAAGTTTATTAAAAGTATACAGGAGTAGAATTTCAAATTTTAATAAAGGGTTTTTCTTTTCTTCATTTTTAATTGGANAAATGATTAATCCAATCAACTAACTATTGTGAGATAGTCTTAGAAAGATTTGAATACTAATAGAAATCAATTCAAATATTAATTATATAATTGAATTAAATATATTTGATCTTAGTTTAACAATAACAATCTTATTATTGTTTAATTTTACTAAATATTATTGTTGTCTATTTTGGTTAATTAATATAATTCCTTCACCAATTAAATTTTAATAAAAATATTTTAAGTAATTATACTTTTACTTTTACTTTTTCTTTTTCTTTTTCTTTTTGATTGTTGTTGTTGTTGATTAAATTTCAAATTGGGTTAATAATAATAATAATAATAAAAGTAAACAATAAAAATAATAATTAATTTTCTCTTAACCCAAATTTTATTATATACGTTTTTATTTTATTTTATATTTTATATTCTAATATTAATATTAATATTAATATTAAATTTTTTTTATATTCTATTCAATATAAGTTAAGTTTTTAAATCATCAACAACTTTTTTTTTTGTTGTAAGAAAATCAACAACAACAACATCAACAACACCTTCATTAGTATTAATACCAAAAGAAATAGTATTATATATACTATATTCTATTATATTCATCATCATCATCATTAGTTAATTAATTATTATAACAGATAACATTTATTATTGATACCCTTTTCATTTGTTATATATACAATATTATTATCATACTAATATTAAATTTTTTTTTTTTACAACCAAAGTTTTTTTACAACCAAATTTAACATATACATTTCAAGTTTGTTTTGTTTTAATTCATTTTTATTATAAATTTACCAACTATTAGTTTAAATACTAGTATTATTCATTCGCTTTAATATTCACTTTATAACTTTTTATTGATTAAATACCAAATTACTATTCTTATCAACGAATTTGTTAATTATTATCATACAATTAACCAACTACAGTCATTCTTTAAAATACCATTTATATCTATTTTATTCATTTAATTCAAAGAAATTTTCATTAATTTACAAGTTATTATTCAAAATAAAATTTAATTCATCATAATTTATTAATTTAATTTACTTTAATTTGGATCAATACTAAAGATGTTGTCAAATATTAATTTAAATTTTATTACTGCAATTTATATATTATCTTATATATCATTTATAAATGGTGAATCAATACCAAATCAACATTTAAAACCTTTACAACCTTATTATAAATTTATTGATAAATTAAAAAGAGCTGATGATAATTCAAATAATAATAATAATAATGGTAATGGTAATGGTAATGGTAATGGTAGAGTAGCGAATTTTTTACAAAATTTATTTGGTAATTCTACTACTTCAGAACCAACAACAACAAATGCCATAACTTCATCACCTTTATATGAATCATCAAGTTTATCAAATAGTGAAGAATCATCTACTAGACAGTTATCAAATGATAATAATAATAATAATAATAATAATAATAATAGAGTACAAAATTCAGATATCAATGGATCTACTTCAAATGATAGAATTTTTACTTCGTCAACATCATCAGATATTCCATCTGTAACTATACCAGGATCATCATCATCAGCTAGCAATAATTATAATTTTTTTAATAATGTACCAAGTACAACTACTCAAAGTACTTCTGAACAAGATACAACTACAAGTAATAATTCACCTACACCAGTAAAAAGTTCTTCAGAAGATTCTACACCAAATACTACTTCATCAGAAGCTTCTGCACCAAATACTACTTCAAAAGAAGCTTCTACACCAACTACTACTTCATCAAAAGATTCTACACCAACTACTACTTTATTAAGTAATTCTCAGTATAGAGCTCAACAAGAACCACAACAACAACAATCATCATCTTCACCGGTATCATTTTCAACTAGTGAAGATTCTACAACTAGTGCAACTACTTCACAACAGCAACTGCAGCAACCTACTACCTCATCAAAAAACTCACCATCAACAACAACACCAGTAGAAGATACATCATCAGCAAATCCACCATCAACAACAACACCAGTTGAAGAAACATCATCAACAATTTCTACTTCCACAAATTCACCAAATTCTTCACAAGAACAATCAACTACAGCCACAACTCCAACTACCAGTGCAATCCCAACAACTAGTTCATCAACACCTGCAGATTCAAATGCTCCAAGTGTAGCAAACACAGTAGCATTATCAAATGAAGAACCTAGTACAAATTCTCAAACTACTAGTATTACTTCACAAACTACTACATCTTCATCATCTACAACATCAACTGATGAATCTGTCGATTCTACTACAAATACTACACCAACAACAACTTCATCAACTACAAGCTCATCAAATGAAGATAACACTACTTCAAGTAGTTCTTCAGCAGTAATTGAAAATACTCCATCAGCCGCATCTCCAACAACATCAAACACATCTTTACCAACTACTTCATCCTCATCATTAACTTCATCGAATGATGTCAATAGTGCAAATGTTGTTGGCAGTGCCGATTCAAGTAGTTCTCCAACAACCTTCACCACATCAACCGATGGTCAATCAACTACTCAATCTTCATCATCATCAACTTCAGAAAGTTCCACTTCCTTAGTTGAACCAACAACTTCATCATTAGATTATTCAACAACTTCAAGTTCATCACAATCAACATTACCAAATACTAGTTCCAGTACTGATGAAGTGGTTTCTTCAAATACTCCAGCAAGTTCAAATGTTGAAACTTCATCATCAAGTAGTACATTAGTTGGTGCTTCACAATCTGCTGTTGCTCAATCTGCTGTCGCTCAATCAAGTTTATCATCAGATTCAAGTATAGTTGATACAACAACTAATTCACCAGTTACTTCTTCGAGTCAAGCTACTACAAGCTCACCAACAACTACAGATACAGCTCAATCAAGTTTACAATCAACTTCATCTTCAAATAATGATGTTTCAGGTGTTACTACTAGTAGTGGTACTCAATCAGTAGTAACTTCTTCACCAAGTGATCAAACAACTGTAGAATCGGCATCAGATGTTTTAATAAATCCATCATTATCATCATTTGCATCAAATTTTGTGTCTGGTGGAACTACAACTTCAACTCCAATTGTTAGTGCTTCATCAGGATCATCAATAATTTCCAATGCACAAGTTTCAGGAGTCAATACCGCTAGTTCAATAACTACTTCAGATAGTTTTTCAGATGAAGAAAGTACTACATTACATAATCCATCAGAGACTTCACTTTTAACATCTTCCTCAACAGGTTCATCATCAACCTCAATAATTTCAGAGGTTATTAGTTCATCTACCAATACACCAGCTGGTGTAATTTCATCATCACCATTTTCATCAGGAGAAGTTACGAGTACATTTATAAGTTCAGGTGAATTACAATCACAAACCCTTTCTTTAGAAAGTGGTAATGTTATATCATCACCAACATCTTCATCAATTAGTACAGAAACTCCAGTTGAATCATCTTTTATACCAGGTGTTATACCATCATCTACTCCAGGTATTGTTGAATCCTTTACTCCAGGTATTGAACCATCATCTACTTCAACATTATCAACTCCAGCTTCTGCATTAACTCAAGAATTAGGTTCTGAAACTGGAATTTCAACAGCTTTAACCTCAGCTTCAGAATTACCAATTGCAGAATCAGGTAGTACACAATCATTACCATCAACTGCAAGTTTAGAATCTCCAAGTACGTCATCTTTAGTTACAGAACAACCAATAAGTAGTGGTTCGGAAATTCCTTCAGTAATTACATCAGCTTCATTAAGTTCAGAAAGTGGCATAGAAGGATTGACAAGTGAATTAACTACATCTACTGGAGAAGCATCAATTAGTGAGGCAACTGGACAAGCTAGTACTGAATTAACTTCACCAGCAATTATATCTGAGGGATCATCTACTGTTACCGGTTCACAAGTATCTGGTGCTGAAACTGAAGGATCATCTACTGGTACTGAGTCACAAATATCAGCCATTGAAACTGAGGGATCATCAACTACAGGTGTAATACCAGGTCAATCAACTACTGAAGGATCAATTACTAGTGAAACTCCATTAACTTCCCAAACCACCGATTTGACTGAAGCCTCTGGTGTTACAAGTGAAGGATCGTTGACTTCTGAAGTCACTGGTATTGCAAGTGAAGGTTCATCGATAACTTCTGGAGTTTCTACTACAGCCAATGAAACCCCAGCTGAATCTGAATCTGGTATTTTTGAAACTGAATCATCACAAGCTACTGGAATTGTTGGATCATCAATATCGCAAACTCAAACTGGTGCTTCACCAATCACCACAAACACAGTTGAATCATCATCATCTACTGTTGTAGAAGGTCCAATCATCACCACTTCAACACCAGGATCAAGTATTACCAGTGCAGCACCAATTGAAATTGATTCATCATCAACTGTACCAGGACAAGCAGCTACCAAAACCTCATCAACAAAAAATTGGTTACCATCATCATTAATAATAGCAGAAACTCCAAGCTCAAATCCAGAACAAACCTCAGAAACTGATATTGCTCAAGCTACTTCAACACCATCATCAACTCAAGGATTACCAAGAGCTATTACACCGGCAGATACTAGTGACCCAGGTGCTGAATATTCTGTTATAACTATTGGGTTTAAAGCAGCTTTAAATTATCCATTTGTTGTTAATCATACTATATCATCAGCTCAAATTTTCCAATTTTTACCATCAGTTGTTTCATATCCATTTGGTAATGATAAAGATTTAAATCAAGTATCAGTAAAACAATTGATTCCATACCAAGCATCAAATATTGATTATACAATAACAGTTGCAGAAGTTTATTTCCCATCAGATAGTATAGCACAATTAAGTCAATTAATTACTACTTCTGGTTCACAAATTTATAGAAACCCTGAAAATACTTTAAATACTTTAGCTTCATTAATAGATTCTAGAATTCCATTAACTGGATTGTCAGATTCAAGTCAACAAGTTAGTGGATCATCAACCAATCAATCAAACTCACCAAATTCAAATGGTTCAATGGATGCAAATTATAATAGTCCAACAGTTACAAATAAAGGTAGAGTAGCAGGTCTAACTATTGGAGCAGCTGCTGGTTGTGCAATTTATATGTCTTTGATGATTTTATTATTTAGAAAATTTAGATCTAAAAATTCATTGGAATTACCATCAACTGATTCTGAATCTAATTTTGGTATGAGTTCTGATGAAGAAGGTAGTATGATGACTGATGAAATTTCAAATAATTCTTCTGGGTTTTCAGATATTTTTGATCGAATAAATAATAATCAACAACTAAATCAACCTGTTAATAATAATCATACTCAATTTGTTGATATGGGAAATACTGGATCAACAGAGAATAGAGCATTCTACTGGCCATAAATGTGATGTTATTTCCATTTAAAAGAATTTGAATTTATATATACTTTATTTTTATTTATTTCTTGTTTACATTTAATTAAATTTAGACAATTTAAAAAAAATTTAATTTTTGTTTCATTATATACCCATTCAAAACATTCAATATATATTATTTTTATAAAAACTTTACTACTTACTCTTCCATATACTCTATGATATTGACTGAATATATTTGAATAAATCATTAACTAATACTTCTGCATCTTCATCTAATACTTCAACTAATTCATTAATTAACTCTTGTTTCTTGGTAAGGTTATATGTATTCAAATTATCATTTATTACTTGAATTAAAATTTCATCTTGGATACCTAAATATTCTTCAATTGATTCTATTATCTTTTGTTGTATCTTTTGTTGTATATCAGAAGCGAGATCTTTAATAATGATGGTTGTGGTTGTTTTATTTGACGGTTGTTGATCGGTTTTTGTTTTCTTATATGGTGGTTCTTCTACAACTTCAACAATTTCTGAAACTTCTACTTTAGATTGTTGAGGTTTTGCGTTTTTATTTTCTTCTTCTTCTAATTTTCTATCCTCTTCATCTTTTTGTTCTTCCATAAATTTCCTAACTTGTCTTTGTTTCAAATACTCGTTATAATTTTTTTGATATAAATTATTTGTTTTATCTAATTTTTTCAATATTTCAATTGATTCTAATTTATGGTCTATTATTGAGTTTTCATAATTTTCGAGGTTAATTAATTTTGTAATTAGTTTCAACTTTTCTGCTTCTTCTTTTTGTTTAAAATTTTGTAGTTCCTTCTGATATTCTTGATCTGATGCAATTTGTTGTTTTGAGTTGATAATTTCAGCATATTCTTCATCATTTAATTCTTCATATTGATTTTGAGGAATAACAACATCCTCATATTCATCAACAACTTCTTCTTCTTCTTGAGTTTGCTCATTCGTCTCTTTTAAATTTCGATATAAATCATTTAATTTCTTTTTAATTTTTAATCTTTCTTTTTCATTTTGTTTTTGTCTATTTAATTTTTCAATATTTAACATTTTTGATCTAAATTTTATTATTTCTTTTACTATTTTATCTTTCATCTCTTTGGGGACGTCTATTAAATCGTTGTTGTCTACTCTGTAAGTTGAATACGATTTCATTATTGTGTCTAGGTCTTCCACACCTGATGATTTTGAAGTTGTTGCGAAATTTTTGTTATTGTAACATATTAATTTTATTTGATTTTTGATTTTGTCCTTGTATGATTGAGTAAGTTTTGTTGATTCTATGATTTTGATAGTTGACAAAGTTTGTTTAACTTCTGGACTGAATATGAGTTCAGTTTTAGGTATTATGTGACGTATATCATTTTCATAATTTTCAATAAACCATTTCAAATCTTCCAATTTTGAAAATCTTATAAATACTAGTTTTTGATCTGTAAATTCTGAACTATTTATAGTTGACCATTCAAAACTTCTGGATTTTTCATTCGAGCTGCTTATTAGTTTTAGTAAAATATTTTCAATAACATTGTTTTTTAGGTTGGGAAAATTATTTATTAATATAGTTGATATCTGGTCTTTTAAATTTGTTGGATTAATTGAACTTATATCTATCAGATACTTTGGTTCATCATTTTCATTTATGACTTCCGATACTAACTCTTTTGTACTATTAGATTCATTGGATTTGTTATTAATTTGTTGATTTGACTGTTGAGTTAAAATCTTAGTATTATTGATTTCAATTATATCAGATGCGTCAAATTGTTTGGGCGTTGGTAATTGTAAATTTAAGTGATACAATTCTTTTTGCTCCTCATTTTTATCAATTTCTGTTTTAGTTCCTATACTGCTTTTATCATCTATGTTATTGGATTTTGGTTTCTTGGATAGTAGTGATATTAATTTTGAATTATTTGATGATGGTATTGAATATGGAGTTGTAAATGCTGTATCTCCAGTTGATGGCAATAGACTTGATGTGTTCGATGAACCATAATTGGACATCTTGTATGAAATCTGTCTTGCTTGAACTAAAAAGTATAGTTTGTAGTTTAGAATGGTTCTAAAGTTTCAAAAGTTTCAAAAATTTTAAATAATAACTTTCGTGTAATAAATTTGAAACACTTCTTACATCATCAAACAATACAACTTAACAACATCAACATTACAACTCACATACCATATGTCAGATGATCTAGATATACTACTACCTCATGACTTAGAGTTTGGTCAAGCAGATTTATTTCAAAGTAATGATAATCACGTATCAATAAAGAGTCCAGAATTTAATGCAGAAATTAGAAAAAACCCCAATAATATAGAATTATGGAAAAATTTATTTTCAAACTTTGATGAATTAATAAATGAGAGCATATCACCAGAAGATTCAACAAAAAACTCATTGGATGAAGAAACTAAAACTAAAATCCACAATGCATATAAGACTTTATTATCAAGGTTTCCTTACTTGGAAGAAATTTGGAAAAATTGGACCATTGTAGAATTCAAAATGAATGGTAAAGAAGCTTCAATTGATGTTTTACGATTGGCAGTTGAGAATTTCCCCACTTCAATAGCATTATGGTCTGATTATTTGGCAGCTTTGAAAACTACTGATGTTTATGAAGATATTGAAAAATTTAGATTCATATATAATGAAGCATTAAAGAATAATTCATATCATTTCAATTCAGAAGTCATATGGGATAAAATATTTGAATTTGAATCAGATTTGGCGAAAAAGAAAGAAGATGTAAAATCTACAGCATTATTAGAATTATATTTAAAAGTTATTCATATTCCATTATATCAATACGCAAGATACTATACACAATTTTCGGAAATCAATAAAAACTACGATATAAATTTATTACTACCTCCAGCAGAATTACAGAATTATGCTACGAAATTTGGTAAAACAAAACCAGAAGAATTATCATTAATTGAAAAACATCAAATTATTGATGATTATTTTTCAACTGTTTTCAGTAAGACTCAATTTAAAGTAAGTTCAAATTGGGAGTATGAACAATCTTTACTACATCAAAATTTTGAGATTGATCGAACTGAAATTGATAAAGAATTTAGAATTTGGATTGAATATTTAGATATTGAAATCAGGATATATAAGAATTTACCATCTGGAGAAGAATCTAAAATTCAATTTGATTTAGTTGTAAATTTATTTGAAAGAAGTCTAATCCCAAACTGTTATAATAGTGATCTTTGGTTGAAATATATCAAGTTCATTTACAATTCCAAAACATCAGAAGATGAAAAATTTGAAAAACAACAACAAATATACTTAAGAGCAAATTCAAAATTCATACCACTAGATAATAATATATTAAGAATAATGTACTCCAAATTCTTATTAAGTCATAATAAATACGAACAAGCAAATGAATATTTATTTGATTGGATGAAAGTTTTTAGTGGTATCTCTAAACAATATTATAAATCATCATATTTGGAAATATGTAATGAAATTATATCGAATTGGCAAATTCTTATAACTGAGAACGATTTACAAACTATACTTGAACAAATCATTAACACATATTTTGATATTCGTGAACCTAAAATAAAAAAAGAAAAAAAGGAAAAAGTGGAAATGAAAGAAGAGCAACCAAAAGAAGTACCGTCTGAAAATCATTTGCATTTGTCATTACTGAATGAATTCATAAACTTATTCACAAAATTCCTAATCGATGATTCAATTCCATTAATAGTCAATACTCTACTCAACATATACAAACTTCAAAACCAACCATCAAAAATAAGAAAATTTTTTAATCAAAACCACAATCATAAATCATTAACCAACTCACTACAATTTTGGAAATTCATATTCGAGTACGAAGCACAAGTTCAAAACAACTTGGAAAATTTAAAATCCATTTATCATCTAATAACAACGGAATCAAATCTACCTAAATCTTTCTTGAATATGTTTATTGATTGGTATTACGATATAGTAAGTGCAAATATTATTGAGTTTTTAAAATTAAACAAAAACAAATCTGATGAAACTTTGATTTTAAAAGATTTAAATTTATCAAATTCTGTATACTATAATAAAATAATTAGAAAGAATCAAGAAAAAAATAATTATAAATTAAATCAATCCAAAAAAGCTATAGATGAGGATCCTTATACTAATTTCATATCTAAACAAGTAGGTCATCCTGGTGTATTTGTTGATCAAACTCCTGAAATAACTAATAAATTCATGAATGAAGGTAATTGGATTGATTTAACTCAAAAAAATATACAAATACCTCCATACCCTACATATAAAGGGGTTGAAAAAGCACAAGCTCCAATAAAATATCAAAATGATTAAATTATATATTTGAATTAAATTGAATACTAATTTTAAATACAAGGAATTTATATATATAATTCTATAATTCATCAGTTTGACGACCAATCACCATTAAATCATCTCTAAATACTGCTTTACCATTACATCTATTATCACCATATACTTCAATAATTTGTAATTTAGAACATTTTTCACTAATTAAAGATAATATTTCATTATCAACACTACGAACAAATGAACAATCTAAATATGTTAGTAAAGGTAAATGAATTTCTTGATAATATTTCAATTGGTCTTCTTGTGATCCTCCATTTTCTGTTCTTTCTCTTAACGATTTTTTAAATTGATGATGATCATTTGTGAATATTTGTGATAAAAATTCATTTGTTATTCGATCTAATGAGTTGATACTTAATTCAACTAATGTATGACATGAATGACTTAATAATGCAAATAGTGCTTCATCTCCTAAATCTGAACATTTCATCAAATTGACTTCTAATAATCCACCCGCATTTACTTTGGAATAATTACTAAATGCTTCTGCAAATCCTTCATTTGTAACTTGATCTAAATTTTTCATTGATAATTGTGTTAAATTTGAACAATATTTTGCTACACCTTCTAATAGAAAGTTATCAGTTAATGCTGAACAGCCATCAACATTTAATGAAATTAATGAATCACCTGTTTTGGCTAACAAGTCTATAAGAATTTCATCAGTTACTATATCTTCATTTGTAGGATATGAAATTTCTAGATGAGTCAATTTGTTTTTGGAAATATATGAGCTTATTTCTTGATAAGAATCTGAACTAGTCAACCCATCCAATCTTGATAATTTCAAAGAAGTTAAATCTTTCCCACAATTTATTAAAAGACTAATCAAAGAATCATTACCAAATCTATGAGTATTTCTAACTTCAAATTTTTGTAATTTACCTTTCATTTGTTTGAAATATGCTTGCCACATTTTATCACTAATTAAGAAAGGACCATTTAATGATAAAGTATGTAAATGATTTAAATTTGTCGCAAAATATTCTAAATTATCATTATGTAATTGACCACACATGAATAAAGTCAATGATTCTAAATTTGGACAAAATGACGCTATCTTGTTTAATGAATCTGAGTCAACATTTGAACAGTCCCAGAATGATAATTGTTTTAAATCCGGTGATAAAAATAATGATATTGTTTTATCATTTAATGATCTATTCTTAGATAAAATTGCTGATATTTTATTTAAATTAAATTGTCCAATATCTCCCAATACATCAACATCTTCAATATTTTGAGTGATTTTTTTAATACAAACATCTTGTAATTTTGGGATTTTAACAGTTGATTTATTTAATAATGCTTGAGCAACTCTTTTTCTTTTCTTTCTTGCATTCATTTGATTGGCTTTGGCTTTTCTTTCTCTTGACTTTAGAATTTTATTACATGGATCACATAAATATCCCGATTTTTCATTTATATATCTTGAAAATACTGATAACTCAAATTCTTTACCACAATCAACACAAGTATCTAAATCTCCAAATTTTTTCATATCTGCATCACCTAAATCATCTTCATCTTCGTCACTATATAAATCATTATCACTATTTTCATCACTACTATCACTTGAACTATCATCTGGTTGACCACTTTTTTTTCTTTTACCTCTTACACTGTTTTTCATTGCTGCTTTTAATTTTCTCTTGGCAGCTTTTCTCATTAGTATTATTTCTTCATCTTCTTCTTCCTCATCATCTCCGTCTTTTGTGGAAGTGCCATTATTTGATAAAGTATTATCTGTTGATCTATTAGGCGTTATTGAATTGCCGCGTTGTGAAGTTCTTCTTGATAAAGCAGGACTATTATTTCTTGATGATACGTTTGAATTATTATTTGAAGTTCCTTGAGATGCTAAATCCCCAATCTCATTAGGTTCGGGAGTTTCATTTAAACTATTATCCCCCGTTGAATTTGTTGCTGCTGCTTCTCTTTCACGTCTTTGTCTAAACGCGTCAGTGATACCTTCACTTTTTAAAAATTCAGTTAATGCAGAACTTGGTCCTTTAACCCCTGTAGATGAGTTTCTATTTCTGTTTCTTCTAGCCATTTATTAGTAATATAGTATACAGATGAAAAATTGTTGGAGTTGGTCGTAAAAAAAAACACAACTGATGATTTGATGATTTACAATAAGATTCTAAAAAGTTGCAGCAATGTTTTAGATTATTGTGCTACACAAAGAAATTAAATTATATACATATTTAGTAGCTACCAAATTACAACTCTGCTACCAAATAATCTTGTTAGAAAAAAATTGCCATTATAAAAATAAAGGTTAATTAATTTGTATGAAAAGTAAATTAAAGACAGAGAAAGAATTAAAAGAAACAAACTTGATTTCAAAAATATTAATTTTAATCTTTTAATATCAAATTTGAAATCACCATAGTATTGCATTGAGTCATCGACCTGTCCACTTACCATGCAAATCATTTTTAAAGATTTCAAGAAAAATACTATACCAATTGAGGTTGAATTATCAGATACTGTATGTATAATAGAACAATTGAAATTTATCTCGAAATAATTAATACTAAAGAAATTGATACTAACTTATACTTATTAAAGGTATTATCAGCTAAAGAAAAATTAAGTAAAGAAAAAGATTGTGAGCCATCACAAATTAAATTAGTTTATTCAGGAAAAGTATTACAAGATGATAAAAAATTAGAAGAATTTAAAATTAAAGAAGGAGCTTCAATAATATATATGATTTCTCAATCAAAAAAATCTTCTACACCAATTTCAAATTCTGAAACCCCTTCAAATACTACTCCACAACCAAGTTCATCAACAACAACAACCGAAAATAAACCAGCTATTGAAGAAACCAAGACAGAATCTACTTCATCAACTAATACAAATGCTACTCCTTCAACAAATCAAGATCTTACATCTACATCTACATCATCAGAACAACCAACTAATGCATCAAATGAATCAACATTTGCAGTTGGAAGTGAAAGAGAAGCAACAATAACAAATATAATGGAAATGGGTTATGAAAGACCACAAGTTGAAGCTGCTTTAAGAGCTGCTTTTAATAATCCTCATAGAGCTGTTGAATATTTAATAACTGGAATTCCTGAATCTTTACAACGTCCTGAACCACCAATTGCTTCAACTAGATCTACAAGTGGTGCAAATACTACAGGTCCTTTAGCTGAATCAACTACTGGTGATATATCTCAACAAAATACAACTCAAGGAGAAGGAGAAGATGAAGATGATGATATGGATGATAGTAATACTGGAGAAAATTTATTTGAACAAGCAGCAGCAGCAGCAGCTCAAGAAGGTAGAGGTGGAAGTGGTGGTGCAACAGGTTCAGGAGGAAATACAAGTGGAGGATTATCACATCAAAGTGGTGGATCAGCATTAGGAGGAGATGATCAACAAATGCAATTATTAAGAGCAGCATTACAATCAAATCCAGAATTAATTCAACCATTATTAGAACAATTAGCTGCAACAAATCCACAAATTGCAAATTTAATACAGGAAGATCCTGATGCTTTTATTAGAACAATTTTAGGAGCTTCAGGAGATGATTTAGGCTTTGAAATTGAAGGTGAAGAAGGTCAACATGATTTAGCTCAAGGTGGTGGTGGTGGTGAAGGTTCTGATCCAGAAGGAACTATAAGAATAGCATTATCTGAACAAGATCAAAATGCTATAGATAGATTATGTGAATTAGGATTTGAAAGAGATTTAGTTATACAAGTTTACCTAGCTTGTGATAAAAATGAAGAAGTTACTGCTGATATATTATTTAGGGATAATATGTAAGTAAGTAAAGATTGGTGGAAAAAAGTAGTATAATACACAAATGTATAAGTAGAAATGATGGAATCAAAGAAGTGAAAATTTAGTATCTGTCTATTTTTTTTTTGAAAATTAAATAAATAACTCTATACATGTCTCTCTATCATATATCTACTTCATATAAAGAAGTAATTGTTCTATATCCATTTTTTTCTTCAATAGGTATTGGAGCATTACCTGGTCTAATAACAATATAACTTTGCATACCAGCTTTTATAGCAGCTTTAACTTCATTTATATTATCACTTAAAAATAATACTGATTGTGATTGATCTAATTTATTAATTTCTCTTAAAATTTTAGTATAAGAAGTATATTCATTTTTATAACCTGCAGTAGTTATATCAAAATAACCTGATAAATATTTATTTAAATTTGTTGATTTACCATTAACATCAACATGACCAAATAATAATTTTTGAGCATTTATACTACCTGATGAATATAAATAAATTTTCTTTGTTGTTGAAGGAAATTTTTCAATAAATTCTATAGAATCTTTATATATTGGAGATTTTAATTCACCAGATTTATAACCTTGATCCCATATAAGACCTTGTAAAGATTTTAAAACAGGATCTTTTATATCATTATCTACTAAATTTTTTAAATAATTATAAATTGTTGTTTCTGATATTGTTATATTTGATGGTAAATTTTCTAATACATTAATAATTGGATCTTTATCAGATATTGAATTTAATGGATAATTATATTTTTCAAGTATTGTAGGTAATTTATTAATAAAATATGGAAATAATTTATCTTTTACAAAAGTAATTGGACATATTGTTCCCTCTATATCTAATATTATAGTATCTATTTTAGATTGATTTTTTAAATCTGAATGAATTGAGTCCAACTTTTTGATTGGTGATGTTGTCATTAATTTTAATTGGTTTGTTGTAGGTAAAACTTTAAAATTTTGGTTGTAAAAAAGTAATATTTGATTTAATAGTAATATATGCTTATGATAATTTATTTTTCAGACACTGTTTTGTAATTTTCTTAATAGCATTTTTTTTTCGATTAAGAAATTGTGTTTCAAACGAGTTCATGAGTTTTCATCAAATTTCAAAAAACACATGCTATTTTTAACTTAGAGTGTAAATTCAAATTGAATACAAGCTTTTTAATTTGAACCTTGAATGTAGTCAATTACTTTTCTTGAAATTAAAAATGAAGACAATAACTTTAAATATTATAAAATAATGAAACGTTTACAACTTTATATTACTAAGTAGAGGTAAGTATACAGAAGTTCTACCGTGGTTGAAATATAGTATAGCCTTGAACTAAACTACTAGTGCTCTCATTAGATTGAAGCAATTTATTAACTATGTTTCAACCATGAGACTTGTTCATTTTTTCATTTTATTGGTTATTAATATTAAAAATTATAGACCATAAATCGTAAATAATATAAAACAAATTAAAATCTTCTATTATTAAAATTTATCTAAGAAGTCCAAAAAAAAAAAAAAAAAATCACTTGACATTTTCTTAGTGAAGCTTTTGAAAAAAATGACATAAAACTATAATTTAATTATTTCAAATTAACAACGAAAGGGCTTAAAAAGAGTATACAGTTCTCATATTGGTATTGTTTTAAATTATTATACTGTAGTTAATACTTATAATTTTATTCCTTTTTACTGGTTGTTTGTTAACTTATAAAAAGGTTATGAGATTTAAACATATTTGTAAATATTTGTTCAATATAAAAGAAATTACCTCTTAAGATAATTCATAATAACCCCAATAAAATGACTAAGAATTTGGTAGCACTTATCTACTATTATTAAGATAAATTTAAATTCTATCAGATTAAATAAATAACTACTTAGAAAATATATAATAAAAGCAATTAATAAATTATCATTTATTATTTTCAAACTGAGTTTTCATCAAAACTATATTATACGACAAGATCAGTATATATATCTATATCTATTTATTAATTATTATTAAAGACAATTTTATTATTCAAACAATTATTCCAACAACTACTATATTATACAATTCTATGCATTTTAAGGTATTATTATATTGATTCTATACATATAAGAAAAAATATAAAAATTCAAAAAAAATGGCAAGAAGAAAACCATTATTTGAAGAAGACAAAGATTATATAAATGAAGATCATATAAGTGATTTTGCTAAAGCATTGATATGGCAAGATTATGATACTGATATAAATACAACTCCTCCTACACCAAAAAATGAACCTATAGATTTAAATGATGATGATGATATAAGTTCTACATCATCACTGAGAACTGAAGAAATTGATCAAGATGAAAGTTATATGTCTGATAGTAATTATAATACTAGGAAATTATTAAATGAAGGTGCTGAATTAGGTATAACACCAACTACAAAACCTGATATGATTACTTCAAAAAGTGATTGGTTTCCTATAAATAATGAAAATATTAAAAAGAAGACAAAATCAAATGTTAAAAATAAAAATAAACAAACTCATAAACCTTCAACTTTTAAAATACTACAAAATGAATTTAGAAATAGTGCAAGTTATACACTACTACGATGGCCAATATTAATATTTGTATTTATTTGGATTGCAATATTGGGATTTTTATATTTTATTGTAAGAGTTTATGTTGCATTAAGTGAATATTTTTTTACATGGACTGGAGAAAGAAAGAAATTAAGAGATAAATTAAGAAATTCTACAAGTTATGAAGAATGGATTAAAAATGCTAAAGAATTAGATAAATATTTACATTTAGATAAATGGTCAGAGAATCCAAAATTTTCATATTATGACTATAAGACTGTGAGGCTAACATTAATCAAATTAAAAAAGGCAAGAACAGAAAATAAAATATCAGAATTATTAATACTTTTACAAGGTTGTTTAAAAAGAAATTTCGCAGGTATTGAAAATCGTCAATTATATTCTCATAGATATTATGGTACAAAAAATTTAGTTCAAGAATATAATGAAGAAGTTGTCCTTTGTATTGATAAAATCTTAAATACTAATGATTTAAATATTGAAGTTAAATGGAAATTTTTTAAAATTGTTTCTAAAAATTATGGTAAATCAGCACTTTGTTTAAGTGGTGGAGCATGTTTTGCATATACTCATTTTGGAGTTGCTAAAGCCTTATTAGATAATGATTTATTACCAAATATTGTATCTGGAACTTCAGGTGGTGGATTAATTGCAGCTTTAGTATGTACAAGAACAAATGAAGAATTACATAAATTATTAGTTCCTGAATTAGCAAGAAAGATTACTGCATGCGAAGACCCTTGGTATGTATGGATCCCTAGATTTATTAAGACTGGTGCAAGATTTGATGCTGTTGCATGGGCAAGAAAATCAAATTTTTTTACAAGAGGATCAACTACTTTTGAAGAAGCTTTTGAAAGAACTGGTAGAAAATTAAATATAAGTACTGTACCAGCAGATCCTCATTCACCAGTTATATTATGTAATGATATTACTTCACCACATTGTATCATTTGGTCAACTTTATTAGCATCTTCAGCAGTTCCAGGTATATTAAATCCAGTAGTATTAATGATGAAAAATCCTGAAACTGGTCAACTGGTTCCTTTTTCATTAGGTAGTAAATGGAGAGATGGATCATTAAGAACAGATATACCAATTGATGCATTAAATACTTATTATCATGTCAATTTCACTATTGTATCACAAGTCAATCCTCATATTTCATTATTCTTTTTTGCACCAAAGGGAACAGTTGGAAGACCAGTATCCATGTCTAAACGTAAAACCACACGAGAAAAATTTGCATCATTTAGAGGTGGATTTATAGCAACTGCATTAGAACAATTATTTAGATTAGAAATTAAAAAATGGTTACAAATTGTAAAATCATTAGATCTTTTACCTAATGTTTTACAACAAGATTGGTCTAATATATGGTTACAAAATTTTACAGGATCTATAACCATTTGGCCAAGAAATAAATTAAAAGATTTTTGGTATATCTTATCTGATCCATCTGAAAAACAATTAGAAGAAATTATATTAAAAGGTGAAAGATCAATGTATCCTAAATTATTATTTATTAAAAATAGAATTTCAATTGAAAGATCAATAGCAAAAGGAAGACAAATCACTACCAACAAAATGAAAGAAGGTAAAATGAATGTAGCCCTCGGATCAGATGATGAAGATGAAAACTATGAACCAAGTGATTATGATTTCACAAAATTTAAAAAATCTATCGGATTAACTTCAAAAGAATTAGAAGATCAATATATAGCTTCTTTAGATGAAGCTGATGATGATGAACTAGATGATTTTTATGGTGATGATGAAGATGGATTAGAAAGTGATATTTATGATTCTGATGTTGCTTATAATAATGGTAATTCTCCAAGAAATTCAAGGGAAAAATTGAAACTTAGACGAAATACAATTTTTTAAAATAAATACTTTTTGATAAAGATTTTATAAAGATAATAAACGAATATTTAGACAATTTTTTTTGAGAATTTACAAATATTTTATCAGTCTAGTTTTATTTCTACCAGTAATCTCTTTTTATCTTTTTTTCATATAGTCTACTCATCAGTTTCTGATTGTTTCTTATACATTTTTTTGATTCTTGCATCAAATTTCCCAATATCACCCAATTCACCATTCTCAGACTCTTGAATCTTTTCAATAATTTCAGCTAGGTAAAAAGTACACAATTCAAAAGATTTTGTTAGAAAAATTTGTTTTTGTTCTAATGTGAAAGGAGAAAGTACCCAAGAACTCATTGTTTCTTTATTAGAGTTTTGAGGTTTTGGACCAATAGCTAGACCTAATTTTAAAATTTTATAATTTTGACTTGTAGTAAATTTTTGTAGATTTTTTAATCCATTATGTGATTCATTTTTTTTAAGATTAGATAATTTAACATTTGGAAGGTTTGATTCAAAATCATCATATAGTACTATTATTAAGCAACCAAAAGGTAGGTTTTCATCTTTGAACAACCTTTCCATCGCCTTACTACTTTCATTCATGTACGTATTTGATTTAACAAAATAAATAGATTTATTTGAATTTGATGTTATGGAATAAGTCAGTTTTGTATGTAGTTGTTTTACATTTTGTGATGAGTCAATTAGAGGTTTAAGCATTATGTGACCTGTTGAGTGTCTGTTTTGAGGACCAGGGTTGCCTATTGAGAATAGTATTAGTGGTGGAGACATCTATATGAGTTGGATACTTGTAGTTTATTGTATTTTTTATTATTGTTGCAAAAAGTTTAATTATATAATTATGTAAATTGAAAGTAAACGCAAAAATATGTGTTACTTTTTTTTTCGAGATTTCGAACCATTTTCAAATAATATTCAACACTTCAGTTGATAAGTTTACTTATTTGTCATATAATATGACTGATGAGAATGAATACATTGGGACGATAATTAAAGAATCAAATGGCGGTCTAATTGAGCAAAATGTAAATGATCAAGAAATCAATGATCAATCAAATCCAGAAAATAATTCACTACATAATACCAACAAAGAGTCAAAAATAGAAGAAACTGAAATCGAAAACCCTCAAATTGATTCATCTGCAAAAGAAACAGAAGAAGAAGAAGAAGAAGAAGATTTCGACGACGACTTTGATGATTTCGAAGAAGCAAAACCATCGACAACAAATAATCAAGATAATCACAACCAAAAAGAAGAAGACGATTTTGAAGAGTTTGACGAATTCAACGAGTTTGAATCACAACCAACCACCACAAATAACATAGCAATTCCAGACTCTTCATTCCATAACAAAATAGAATTTGAAAAATCTTTAGCAAAATTAATGTCAAAATTATTCATATCATCATCATCAACAACAATAATAAATGAAAAATTAACAACAGATTCTTTACTAAATGAAAGATCTCAAACTATATATAATCAAATATCAAAATTACCATATTTACAACCATCAAATTGGATAAAACTGGATATAAGACATAATTTATTAATAAAATTAGGTATACCTATAAATTTAGATGAATTGAAACCTGTAACACCAAATGCTTCCACAACATCAACCACAAAACCACCCCTGAGTTCATCTTCATACTTGCAACCACCAACAAACCAACACCAAAGAAAAAAATCCATATCAGAACATGATTTAATTTGGACTGTTCCTATACCGAATTTAGAAGATTTACAAATATCTATTGATGAAAAAACAAAATTAATAAAAGACACCAAGAAACTTATATCAAAATACGAAATAAATCTTTTAGAAAATTCAACTTATGAATATTTAATTTCAATTAAAAATGAAATAAAATTAAATGAAAAACTCGAGCAATTTAAAAATATAAAAATTGAATTAATAAAATTAAATTCTATATGGTTAAATCAATTATCTGAATTACGAAAAGATTATGAAATTTATGAAACTTATATACAAAGTTGTATTGGATATTCTCAAAAATTAAGACGTGAAGAAATTTTAGAAAATTTGAAAAAATTAAATAAAAATAAAAAAATTAACAATAAGAGAAAGTAACTCTTTAAAACACTTTAACGTCATTGTCATTATACATATATTATATTATATAGTAATACATATTTTATTTGTGAATAGATTTTATTTCTAATATTTTATTTAATTCATAAAATTGAATAATGAATTGAAATCATCATTCATATCAATACCAGATTGTAAATTCATATTAATAAATGAAGAATCAATGAAATTAGTTTGGAAACCTGGAGTTGATGGGTTGTTTTTATTATTATTATTATTGTTGTTATTAGGATTAGGATTAGCATTTGGATTTAAATGTGATGATTCTTCATTATTATTATTAACATTTTGATTGTTATTGTCATCTTCAATTGGCTGATTTGGTTGTTGTTCAAAAGATGAAGTAACTGGAGTCATACTTGTACTATTATCATTTGAACCCATATTGTATATATTACTACCCATATCTTCTAAAGCTGGTGATTGAACTCTTGTTGCAGGTACACTAAAAGTTGGAAATAATTGAGTTGGTTCGAAATTTTCAAAAAAATTTTGTTTATTTGGAATATTTTCTGTGACTAAACTTATATCTGGAAATGATTTTGTTGATGATGTTGGTGAAGTATCTGTTGTTTGTTTATCACTTCCTTCAGATTGTGCATTAGCTAATTTCATTGGTACTTTATATTGTTGAATTAATTGTTCAATTTGTGGAGTTCTTGAAGTGAGGGAAGAGTCTTGTGGTTGATGGTTTGGTTGTGATGTTGGCTGACGTGCGTGATGTTGTGATGTTTGATAATCATAGTATGCGTTACTACCTGGTGAAACTCCAGATGTTGTTGAACCTGGAGAAAAATTTGATCTGACTTGCAGTGTAATTGGTTGTGGTTGTGGTGCTACAGGTTGCGGTTGATAATTTTGTTGTTGTTGTTGTTGTTGTTGTTGTGGTAATGGTGATGGGTGGTTGTATGGATTTTGAATTCGAAGACGCTGGTTTATTTTTTGTTGCTGCTGTTGTTGTTGTTGCTGCTGTTGTTGTTGTTGTTTTTGTTGTTGTTGACTAAACATAGTGATTGAATTTGTTGATAAACCTATTTTTTCATTTGCATTGTTTTCTTTTTCTTCAGCAATTCTTGAACCATTTTCAATAACACTTGCTCTTTTAATTTTATCATTAGCGTATTTATCAAATAATTTAATTAATAAACCAGCAATTGGCCAATATTCTGATAATTTCATTAACACTGCTCTTGATATGAAAATGGAATCACTTGCAGTTGTAGCAATGACAGTATTTGTTGAGTCAACATGATAAATTAACATAATTAATGCACTGAATGCAATATAAACATACATTGTTGGAACATATTTTAACAAATCTCTATCTAACAAAATTTTTGAAATTATTGAAATCATTCTTGCAGATTGAAAACTTATACCCCAACTTGGATATTTATAATTATTTGGATTAGTTGATGAAGATCTTGCCATTCTGATTAAATTTGATCTATGAATCAAAAATAATCTATTATAGTATTGAGCATTTAATAAACATGCATAAAAATTTTGACTTGATGAGTCAGCTAATGAAAATGTTAATTGTGAAGGTAAATTTGTAAACCAAATACCCATCAACATATCACAATGTTCAATAATTGAAAAAGCATTTCTTCGTTTCATAGATTCTGATTTAACACTATATTGATGTTTGATAATTATACCGGTAATTTCAGCTAATTTGATTAAATGTATAAAATATAATGCATGAGTTTCATTTATTGGGTAAGGTGAAACAATACCTAAATCTGAATCATTTTCATCAAAATCATCAGTTGTTAACATTGGTACGTCACAATCATTTAAATCAATAACAACTGGTCTACCAAATGCAATTGCAACATTTCTATCTTTTTCAAATAAACACCACCAAATTCTTCTCCAAACTCTTTTTTCCGATAATGTTAAACTTTTTGATTTTGTTACATCTCTTTGAAATCCAAAACCTTGAGCTAGACCCACTGCAACTCTTGACCAATAATAAGAATTTTTTGTGACATCTTCAGGACCATCCCAATAAGAACCAATTAAAATTAAAGTTTGTATAATTGATACAGGATCGCTTTCATAATTAGTTTCATACAATGCTTTTGCTCTTCTAAAAAATGTTAAACTTGCTAGATTATTTGAACCATTGGAATCTAATAATAATGGATTTTTGGAAACTCTACAACCACATAATAAAACTGCATGTAAAACCATTAAACTTGGACTATCATTTGGATCATTAAATTTTTTCATAAATAAAGTTCTATTTAAAACTGGCATTAAAGGATGAACATGTTCAAAATATGCATCAACTAAATCCGAAGCTAATTCTTTATTTGGTAATAAAAATGCACCTCTTAATTTTAAAATTTCCAATTCAACTGAATCTAATCCAGTATCATTTATTTCAAAAACATCTTCAGTTAATTGAACGTGATTTTCACCAACTTTTTGTGGTAATACTGCTATTGATGATGAACCAAGAAATGTTAAAGATGGTTTTATTTTAGAAGAAAGTAATTCCTTTTTATGCATTGATGGTCTATTTTTATATGATGATGTTAATGAAGGTGGTACACTGACTTGTGATATATTTAATATTGGTTCACTAGTATTACCATGATTTTTTGTATGACTTGTATATAAAGATGATGATGCTTTAGGTGGTTGATGATTAGTTGGTAATGAAGGTGAAGCTGATTCCTCAATTTTTATACATTTCTCTTTTGTTTCTGGTTTATCATTTTTATTAATTGAAGAAGCTTCGTCGGTATTGTTTGTAGATTGTTGTCGTTGTTCCTGTGACTGTTGTTGCTCCAGTAATTGTTGCTGTTGTTGTTGTTGAGCTAGTTTTTGTTTTTTAGCTTTTGTTTCTCCTGATTGATTACCTCTTTTTTTAACTTCTGGTAAAACACAATCACAACCAAAAGTTATACAATTAGTACATGGTATATGAATTTCAGCATCACATCTAACTTTTCTTGATCTACAAACTGTACAAGCTCTTGATCCTCTTGGTCTTTTATACTTGATTGTAAATGCTTTTGGTTTATCAGTTTTGGAGTTTGCCTTGGTTGATTTGGTGGTTGTGGTTGTGGTAGGAGTAGTGGTGGTTGTTTCATTAGTATTGGCTGTTAAATTTGCTGTCGTAGTATTATCATTTATGTTCTTTTTAGTATCATTGGTTGTATTATTGTCAGTTTTGTTATTATTAGAATTATTGGAATCATTAATTTCGGAGTTATTTGAATTTGATTCAATTGTTTCCTTCATTTTATTTATTGTGATTATTTCCCTTGATTTAATATTTAGACGTTATTTTTATTGATATAATTGAAATATGTTTATCAATATTTTATTTTGATTGGTTGATATTGAAATTAATCATAAAACTCATATATAAATTTGTTGAATAAATAATAAAGTTGGTTGTAAAAATAAATTAGAATTGAATTTTTGGTTGTAAAAAAAGAAACAGAAAAAATTTTAGTATTAGAGAATTAAAAAATAATAATTTTTTCTTAACAAATTGATAGATTATTATTATTATAGTAGTAGTAATAAAGATTGTTAGTAGTAATAATTAACAATATTCATAATATTAAAGGTAGTAAGAAATGAAAAGGAAAGTATAATAATTTATATATAAAATGATATATGATTTACGAGTTTTTAATTCTACAAAAGTTTTCATCAATTCATTCATCAAAAACAAATGTTAATTATTAAAATTAATGTGAACTTACGAAAAAGATTGACTTCTTAAATAGATTAATATTAGATTATAATATTATTATTAAAAAATATTTAAATAGATTTACAATATTTATAATTTCTTTTCACCTCAAACTTATCCTTTTATTATAATAATTGTATAATTAGACTTTAGAATCTTAATTTAATATATCAATTAAAGCAATAACGAAGTTGATTATGCTACTTGATAAATTATTTTAATTTTATATCATTAAAAAATTGATTATCAAAAATTAGTAAAAATTTATGTGAAATTATTACACAAATGTTTATAATTTTTCACTAAACATGAAACAAGTTTTCATCAGTCTTTGAAGTGCTGGATCTTTTAATATGTAAAAGATTATCCTGCAATAATAATAAAGTTTATGTTAAATTAAGTTCAAAAAAATGTCAATTCTTGACAATTATATTTTTTGTTTTAATACCCCTGAATTTAATACTTTTTTAGTATATAATACATATTGTAATTACTTAAATTCAATTGTTTTGAAACTATAATTGACTTTTGTAACCATGAAACCGTTAATTTTCCATATTGGATTAATGATTATTTTCTAAATAAAATAATTAATTAAAATTCATATTAATAGTATGTTACAATTTCAAATTGTTTATAATTCCAAAGTTTGTGGCAAATGATTAAAAACTAATAAAAATATACAATCCTGTTTTATGATTTCAAAACTTTTATATTAAAGTTTATGCAAAATTCACCAAAAAAAGTACATTTACTAAAAGTAATTGTACTTATTTGCAATCCCTTTTATTTTTCAATCAATTTTATTCAAATCTCACATTAGACACTTAAGTTAAAATGAAATTGAATAGCACAATAATTAAATTTTTTACTGGTGTCTATATTTATTATATCGTCTGAGATTTATATATGTGATCACGCGTTACATAGTTAATTTTCGGACATTATTATCCGTAGATTTAACTTTTACGTGTAGAAATTTCAAAAACTTTACATAGTTAATTATAATACTGCAGTAAATAATGTAAGTAGTACTAACAAAATTTAATTTTAACAATCAAAACACATCACATACACAAAATTAAAAAAAAAGTGAAAAATTTTGAATATAATTTTGCTATAATAAATTCAGTTTCATAGAATAAACAGTAGTAGCAAAAAGTAGTAATTATTAAAATCATATTACAACAAACTACATCAATAAAATATAGATTTTTATTAATTTTATATTTTTTTACTTTTTTTAATTCATTTTTACATATAGAGACAAACAAATAAATAACTTTGATAATTTAAGTCAAATCAAATAAATCATTTATATAAGATCATCAGAAGACAATTAATCAATTAATCAAATCATTACATATACCCTAATCACATATAATTATAGAAATCACTAAATCATGAGTCAACAAGAAAATGATGCTGAAAAAAATATTGAAATTTGGAAAGTTAAAAAATTAATTAAATCTTTGGAATTAGCAAGAGGTAATGGTACTTCAATGATTTCATTAGTTATACCACCAAAAGGTCAAATTTCATTAATTCAAAAAATGTTAACAGAAGAATATGGTACTGCATCAAATATTAAATCAAGAGTTAATAGATTATCAGTATTATCTGCAATAACATCAACTCAACAAAAATTAAAATTATATAATTCTGTACCAAGAAATGGGTTAGTTGTTTATTGTGGTGATGTTATAACTGATGAAGGTAAAGAAAAAAAATTAAATATTGATTTTGAACCTTTTAAACCAATAAATACTTCATTATATTTATGTGATAATAAATTTCATGTTGAAGCTTTAAATGAATTATTAGAAAATGATGATAGATTTGGATTTATTATTATGGATGGTAATGGAGCATTATTTGGAGCAGTAAGTGGTAATACAAGAGAAGTTTTACATAAATTTACAGTTGATTTACCAAAAAAACATGGTAGAGGTGGTCAATCAGCTGTACGTTTTTCAAGATTAAGAGAAGAAAAAAGACATAATTATGTTCGTAAAGTTGCTGAAGTTGCAGTACAAAATTTTATTACTGCTGATAAAGTAAATTGTAAAGGTTTAATATTAGCTGGTTCAGCAGATTTTAAAAATGAATTAAGTAAAAGTGATTTATTTGATAATAGATTACAAGCAAAAGTTATTAAAATTGTGGATATATCATATGGAGGAGAAAATGGTTTTAATCAAGCAATAGAATTATCAGCAGAAACTTTAGCAAATGTTAAATTTGTACAAGAAAAAAAATTATTAAATGAATATTTTGAAGAAATTAGTCAAGATACTGGTAAATTTTGTTATGGTATAGAAGATACATTAAAAGCATTAGATTTAGGATCATGTGAAAAAATTATTGTATATGAAAATTTAAATATAATAAGATATACTTTAAAAGATATTGAAGGTGAAGAAATTATAAAACATGTTAATCCAGAATTACCTGATAAATCATGGCAAGAAGATAAAAAAACTGGTACTGATATGGAAATTATAAAAGAAGAATTATTTTTAGAATGGTTAGCTGAAAATTATAAAAATTATGGTGCTGAATTAGAATTTGTTACTGATAAATCTTCTGAAGGTGCTCAATTTGTACAAGGTTTTGGTGGTGTTGGTGCTATATTAAGATATAAAGTTAATTTCGATCAATTAATAGATGAAGATGATAGTGATGAAGATGAATATTTTGATGATGAAGAAGATTTTATTTAAGTTTTTTTTGCATATTGCATAATCTTTTTTTTTTTTGTTTGGGAAAATAGTAAAGTATAAAACATAATAGTAATTTTGGAAAGCTAATGTTGTAATATATTAAATAACTACTATATATATAGATCAAAAAAGAAAAATCTTGAATGAATATACACAATCAAAATAGTCATCAACCTTCTAGTCCTCATCTTCATTTTCATCATTTCTTCCTCTCCCATTTTTCAATTGTTGCCTCTTTTGTTTAGCTTCTTTCTTAGCATCTTTCTTACTTTGTTTTAATTCATTTATTTTAATAATTTTATCCATTTTTGTAGATCCACCTCCAATAGATTTTATAGAATTACCATTTTTTTGTAAATCTTTTAATGCATTAACTTTTTCATGACCAATAACATCTTCATGATAATTCCCAGTAATCATTTGATGAGCTAAATTATCAAATCCACTAGTTAAATAAGATCTACGATTATTTTTTCTTATTGGAATAGAAATCATTGAATTTAATTCATATCTCATTCTTTTTTGTTCATCTTTTGTTAACAGTTTACCTTCTTTTCTTTTACGTTGTTTTTTTATAATATCATCTTCAAATTCGTCTAAATCATGTAAATCTTCAACCCCTAAATCTTCAGCTGCTTGTTTTACCCAAGAATCTTCTTTTCTTGTCGCAGTAGAAGATACATTAGCATCAGCTAATTTTCCAGCTAATTCAATTCTTGGTTTTAATTGTCCAATTAAATCCATTTCTATAGGTAATAATTTCACATCATTATGAACATTTAATTTTTTATTTCCAGAAGCATTTGATGCAACTAATTTACGTAATTTTCTAAGGGGACCACTTGCTTCTTGTGGTGAACAAAACATAACTGAAACACCTTCTTTCCCTGCTCTTGCTGTTCTTCCTGATCTATGAATATATACATCAGCAGATCTAGGTAAATGATAATGAGCAACATGATCAATGTTTGGAATATCTAAACCTCTTGCAGCAACATCAGATGCAACTAAAACAACTGAAGAATTTTTAGATGCTGCTTCTTTAAATTTTTCTAATGATCTTAATCTTTGTTTTTGTATCATTGATGAATGAATTGCAAAAGTTGGTATTTTTAAATTATTTAATAATGGAACTAATCTTTTAACTGAATCTATTGAATTTGCAAATACTAAAGTTGTACCTTTATACATCAATAAAAAATAATATAAATATAAGTCTCTTTCTAAAGCACCACATTCAACTAATGCTTCAGTTATTTGACCACTTACTATTTCTTTTGGATTTGCATCAATTAAAATTGGTTTTTTATCTTTAAATTTTAATTTTTCATTTAATAGTTCTATAATTTCATCATTTCCAACTAATGAATTCCCATCAATTATTGGTTTTTTATTATTATTTTTGTTTTTACCTACTTGTTGTTTATTTAATTTACTAAATAAATCTTTTGAAAATGTAGCACTGAAAACTAAAGTTTGCCATTTCCATTCAACATCTTTAGTTTTAACTCTAAATTTACCAAATAATTCTAATATTTTAGCAAATTCTTCAAAATGTCCCTCTTGTAATAATCTATCAGCTTCATCCAATACTATAATATCAGTCAAACTTAATCTTTTACATAATTCATCATCATTTGATATAAGTTCCAACATACGACCAGGTGTTGCTACAATTATACCAGGTCCAAATTTTAATAATCTTTGTTGTTTTTGTATAGATAATCCTCCAGTTACACTTACTATACCTCTGCTTGATAATGGTGTGAATTCAGCTAGTTTTGTAAGATGGTCAACTACTTGATGTGCTAATTCTCTTGTTGGTGTAAATATAATCCCAACTGGGTGATTTATAATTTTGTTAGTTATATTCTCTTTTATTTTAGGTAAGGAATTCAAGTATTTTTCCAAAATTGGTATACCATAAGCTAAAGTCTTACCAGACCCAGTAGTAGCTTTACCTATTATATCTTTCCCACTTATGGCAATAGGTATAGTTTTAGATTGAATTGGTGTTGGTGTTTGAAATTTTAATTTTGATAATCCGTTCAAAGTATATGGACTTAGTTTTGTTTCTGATAGTTCCCATTGTGGTAAGTTGACATCATCTGGTAAAGGTAGATCCAAATTTGCAAATGTGTTATGTTTTAATTCATCATCATCTTCTTCGTTAAGTTCAACTTTCTCTATTTCTGGTTTTGATTTTTCCTCTTCAGTAACTTCGTCATCATCAAATCCCGTGAATTCTTCATCATCTAGTATTTCGTCGTCATCTTCATCATCTTTGTCATCTTGATCATCTTGATCATCCTCATCTACTTCCATTTCATTATCTTCCTCCACTACTTGTTCTTCTTCTTTTTCCTCTGACTTATTACCATCTTCTTTCATTACAAATTGAGCTTTACCATCAATGATTTCAACATCAACACCATCAATTTCTTCTAATCCAAAAAATCCAGTATAATCACCTAAATTATCTGGTATTTCAACTGGTTTCCATGCTAAATCATTTAATTTAACTATTTTAGATTCTTTTTGTAATTTTTGTTTTAACGTTGGTATCTTTCTTTTTTGTTGTGATTTTTTGTTTTGAGGTTTGGAAACTTTGCTCTGTTTCTTATTATTCTTCCCCATTTTGCTTAAATGAATGTAGTAGATCCTTAATAATTCTATAACAAGTTGTTTGTTTCAATTAATTCCATACTAAATTAAAAATTAATATGAGAAGCTCATCCTTAATAAAATTATGTTACACAAAATTGGAGATTTTCCAGATATCAAATGTCAATATATTATTATTAGATAATTAAGAAATATCAACTACAACTAATGCAATAATATGGCCAAGAAGAAAGTTAAGAAGAGTCTAAAGTCAATTACCAATACCCACAAAGGAAAGCTATTAGGTCCAAAATCTTTAAAACCACAGCAGACCAGACAGATCATACGACGATTTCACATTATACAAAAAAATAAATATTCAATAATATCAAAGCTTCGAAAAGCCAATTCAAATATAGACATAAATGATTATGATTCAATCAAAAATAGCAAAGTGTATCAAAATGAATTTAAAAACTTTAAAATTCCAACGAAATACAGTGAAAATGAAATTTACAAGATAGATAATACCTCAACTGACAAAGAATTAATCAAAATATTAGCGAGAATTGATTCAGAAATTGAGCAAAGAGGTGGATTAAAAACTTACCAATCAGCATCAACACAAGGTCAAACAAGTAAAAGAGGTGGTGATTCTTCGAAAAAATTAATAGAATGGTTGAAAACATCAAAATATGAAACAAAGTTAACTCAAGACTTGAATGCATTAGAAATTGGTTGTTTAAGTCCACATAATATTATATCCACAAGTAAAATTTTCAAATCAATAACAAGGATAGATTTGAATTCTCAAGATCCATTTATTTTACAACAAGATTTTATGGAACGTTCATTACCAACAAGTGAAGAAGAAAAATTCAATTTAATTTCATGTTCATTGGTTTTAAATTTTGTTCCATCTCATGAAAAAAGAGGTGAAATGTTAATTAGAATCACTAAATATCTAAAATCACCAAAAAATGGTCAATTAAGTTCATTGTTTCTAGTTTTACCATTACCTTGTGTTAAAAATTCAAGATATTTTGATAATGATAAATTATTAGAAATTATGGGTAAGTTAGGTTTCAAACAAACTTTTTTTTATGAAGCTAATAAAGTTGCTTATTGGTTATTTGATTGGAATGGAAAAGTTTCTAAAAATATAACCTTTAATAAAAAGGAGCTACATTCAGGTTCAACTAGAAATAACTTTTGCATTTCCATCGATAATACATAATCTATCATTTTTTCAAGAAAAGGTACTCATATACCATTAATCAACATTCTCACAATTGTCATGATGTTCAATAATTGCTTTTGCATTATCTGAAGAATGAGTCATCTCTGAAACAAATGGAGGAACCCATTCAGAAGATTTCCGAGGTAAGACTTTAGCAGCCCACATTTCGTCAATTTCCTCCAAACTTAATCCTTTAGTTTCCATGATACAATAATAAACAAAGACAATAGATCCAGCAATACACCCAGTAAATACAAACCCATAATAAAAATGAATCGAATTAATAATAAATGATGAACAAAGTGAGATAATAAAACCCCAGATCCAATTAGTAGCCATTGCAATAGCCATACTTTTGGCTCTCACTCTTATTGGATAAGTTTCCGATAATATTGCAAATACTCCACCAGCCCAAGTGGAAGCAAAGAAAAAAATATACAAGCAAGTTATAAAAGTCATTGCTCGTCCGGTTGGTAAATGAGTTATTGAATTTTGAAAATTTGATGGATCTTTATATAAATTTGTTGAACCCAATACTGAATAAATTATAAAACAAACAAACATACCACATGATCCAATTAGTAGACATTGTCGTCTACCAAATCTTTCAATTGCCCAAATGTTAACAAATGTGGATAAAAAATTAACTGCTCCTAAAATCATTGAAGTTTGAAAAGAATCTTTTAAACCAACAGACTTGAATATTGTTGTTGCAAAGTAGAAAAAATAATTGTTACCAGTCAATTGTTGCAATGATGCTAATGTTATACCAATTAATAATCTTTTAAAAATTGCAGGTTTTCCAATGATTAATTCTTTCCAAGATGCATTATTTCCCATTTCTTTCCTATCAATACCTGCTTGAATTAACGATAACTCAGAAAGAACAATTGGATCATCAGGACTCAACTTGTTAGATTTTGCAATGGATAATGATGCATCTTTAATCTTCTTTTTTTCAACTAAATACCTTGGTGATTCAGGCATGAATAACATACCAACCACCAAAAAAATAGCCCATGCGAAACATAACCCCAATGGAATTCTCCATTGTGCTGAATTATTTAGCTGTTTAGTTCCATAAGTACAACAATATCCAATAAAAATACCTAAAGTAATACACAATTGAAAACAACAAACTAAAGTGCCTCTCAAGACTTTTGGTGATGATTCAGATATAAACATTGGTGCAATCACAGCCACCGTACCAACACTTAACCCAGTTATAAATCTACCAATCATAATTTGATACCAAGCAAATTGAGCAGAAATTTGTACAATAACACCAATATTATATATTACCATTGAAAACATTAGACCAATTCTACGTCCATTTAAGTCAGCAATTTTGGAAAAAATTAAACCTCCAATACAACAGCCAATATTGAAAACTGAAATAATTAAACCAATTTTAATTTCACTTAAATAATGTTCACCTTGAGCATTAACTTGTCCAAATCTATTTATAAAATCAGTCATGTTTACAAATCCGGAAATAGTACCTGTATCATACCCAAAAACAAATCCACCAAATGCAACCATGAAGCATAGAAAAGTAATTAAAATATGGTCTCTCCATGTTTTATCAGCTGATCTTTTTTCAAGTGCCTCATCCAGACTTTGATTATGTTTATCGTTTAATAGCTCGTCTTTTTTCGTATTGCTTTCGGATGTAGAAGTCTTTAGTGTTCCAATTTCTGAATTAGTGTTTGTAGCAGAATTATTGTCAGTAAATTTAGAGCTCGACTCAGAATTTATTGTATTAGCTTTCTTTTGGTTATATGGTTTAACATTAAAAATAGTGTTATAGATGAATAATGTACAAAGATCTGAAAGTTCCATTATGTTATTTTTGGTTATTTAAGAATTGTGATTAGAGAACTTTTGTAATATCAAGCACTTTTGCTATATATATATTGCAATTTTATTGATACGTAAGTAAGCAGTTTACTTATGCTAGATTTTGATTTGAGTTAAGGTTTTTCGAAAAATCTGGGGTAAAATAGAAGCTCTTCTGCAGTTCTTGATTTTAGGAAAGCATAAGGAATCTTGCACTAATACTAGTGTGACTATTAAAGACACCACAAAATTTCATCTTTAATGCTTAAGAACAGATCATAATGAAGCTTTATCTGCCATTCAAAGACTGTAAATTTTATGACCATATTGAGTCCAATTAATAGCTGCAAAAATGGTTTTTATTGCAATTTTCTCAGATCAATTTCAACAAACAATTTCAAGTATAACAAAAGATATCTGAAACACAGTAACTACCAATTGATTTTTGGTAAAACTTCATAAACTTTTTCTCCTACAAGTATACGTCGCGTAAAAATAGTGTCTCTATATTCTATATTCTATAATAATTAATATTACATACATTTATATATGTGTTGGCTAAGCCCAAACCTGTAATTGTTCATAGTAGTCGACTCTCTTTCTTTCGGTATTATATATATTTACCACAACTGATTGTCTCACTTCATCAACCATGGCTGGATGCCCACATGTAACAAAACAAGTTGAACCTCTTGATTCTTCTATATTGGACTCGACTATCTTGCTCATGTTTGGTCGTGATTCTATGAAGTTTATATGTTTTAATTCTTTCTGTATTATGAATATGAGGTTCGTTGAGTGGTATGAATTTGATGACGATTTGTCTATATCTATTAGTGATGTTGATGAGTTGGATTGCTTTTGCGATGATGAAGTCAAAAGTGGTGATAGTTCATTATGTTCTTTTAATGTATCAGTCGATAAGATTCTTCTTTCAAAATCCCCCTCTGTTATTGGTAAATGAGGTCTTGTTACGTAAATTGTTGTTTCAATTTGAAAGTTTCTGAGTGATATTAATTCCTCATAAAACCAAAGTAATGATGAGTATTCTCTAACTACCCAAATTAGTTTTATTTTATTTTGATTATCTACTATTTGATTTTGGTGATTGTCCGTTAGTTCAATAGCTTCTGAGAAAATTCCAGGTATACCGTTACCACCAGCGATAAATACAGCACTATCATATTTACCTGCTGGAGTTTTCTCACCATAAGATCCTTCAATAGCAACTCTCAAAGTACAAATGTTTTTGTGAGTCTTTAAATAATCTGCTAATGTTCTCGTAACACCCTTTTTAACTTTAATAAATAGTATAATATGGTGATTTGTTGTAGTATACGTGAAAGGATGAGATTGCCAAAAACAATCCCATTTCAAGAAATGGATAAAAGCGTGTCCACCAGGGATAGCTTCCCAATCCTTAGGTCTCGGTACAATGACTTTCAAAGTCTCATCAGGCAATAAATAGATTCTTGCAGTGGGAAATCCATATTGTACTAACCTTAAAATTCTAATAATCCTGTCAAATGCCCATATCGTAGCTGATACGTAATAAAACCAAACACAATATAGGGTTTCAACATGAAGCCAAGCTCCAAAAATAAAAATCGCAGCTAGTATAATATGCAATACTAAAAACATTTCATACCATTTTCTTCTAAGCACTAAAAGTCCTTGGATCATTATTATAACACCTGATATAAATGCTGCTGATCCTAATACTATATATGGCTCTATTCCCTTGTGATTTATTCTCAAGTATATCGAATAATTGAATGAATGAATAGTTATCAAAATCATGATTACTCTTGATACCCATCTATGTAACGTTATGAAAGTTGAATAATCCCATCTTGTAACCCATTGTAAGAAATTATTCCTACCACCAAACAAAATTAGAAGTGGCATCATTGTACTTGATAACAAACTTGCCCTAACTGCGTAGTATCGTAATAATGCAGTAGTTTTTGTATGAAATAATGGATCTCCTTCAGTATATGATATTTGAGCAGTCATGAAATAAGTACATAGTATTGTAAAACCAACTAATATCAAACTTTCAGCTCTTGTTGGAACCAACATATCGAATATTTTACCGATTTTTAACTCGTTTGTTTTATTTTTATTGTTTGTTGATGGTAATGAGATCCTTGATCTAAACCAGTTAGTCAAAGGATCAGTAAAATATTTAAAAATTTGAGGGCATAAATATTTTAACCAATTACTTAAACCCGCAACAACAAAGATAGCAACCCAATATAAAACTAAGTAAGCACCATAATCAACTGATATATCAAAGTTGCCCAAAAAACTAGTATAAGCTTTTTCAAAAATATGAATTTCAGTTTCATTTAATTTTATTGGAAAATGAATAAGATCTTGATCAGATTCATTTGGTAAATCCATTATAGACTTTGCATGATTAGTATAATAATCATTAGCATGGGTTAACGTATTGTAATTTAATGTCTTATTGTATACTGAACACATTTCAAATAATGAGTCAATTTCATTAGGATGACCAATTTCATAACAATGAGCTAATGTAGCAAATGCATTAAAATTATTACAAAAACACCAATCTAATGATTTTGAAGAATCACAAAATTTCTTTTTAGTTAATTGAATTTGATAATTACATCCAAAATATGCTATTTTTGGTTTACCATATTTGTGGAATGGTGCTCCTATTTGAGCTGTTTCTGGTGCTATTGATGATAATATTGAAATTGTCAATAATACTATTAGTGATGTTTTGATGTATCTGAGTGATTTACTTTTTAACTTGGTTGGTATTAGAAATGGGAATAGTAGTATGAAAATAATAATTGAGGCATAAACCCCAGGAATATACATATTGATATAAATGTGGACCTAAATTCCTTGTAATCTTTAGTTGCTAATGATGAAATTGATTTGTAATAAGAAGAATTTGAGTATGAACTAAATCGAGAATAAATAAACTGAATAAATAAATTTAATCAATAATGGTTTGTTTAAAACATCAAGGATGTAAAGAATATTGATAAATGTATAAAATGTTGATTGTTGAAGGAAGATCTAAACTTTTTAATGCATGAAATTTATTTGTGTAGAGATCAAATAGATAAAAATTTTTTTTTCTTAACTTTATTATTTTGATCAAATAGATAAAAAATTATAATTCCACAGTTGTTTTTATCACTATTGATGTTATAGTCTACATTTTACAGACTCATTATTCTAGTACTGCTTAGAAGGTAGACACAAACACTCATATTAATGTTTAGTTCGACTTTTCATTGTACAATATGGAAAGATTATTCCAACTTCTTTACTTCAAGGAGTAAGAGTGGCTCCAATCTGAGTTTTAAGATTTCTAATCAGATTATAAAGATAACGTTTTTTCTGATTCAGCTACCAATTCCGATGAACGGGTTGGGGAGTACTGTTGTAATTTTTTACTGTACAATCAACGATATAAGCTTTCATTAAATCTTGTCCAAAGGTAGAACTGTAACGTTGAACAATAAAGTTTTAAAAACTAGAATTAACTTAAATTGAAACTCAAATTTACATTCCGTTAGATTCCCTAATATTTGACATCTCTTTGACATCTCGTATCTTAATACCAATTGAGAAACAGATTGGTGGAATTTAGAGTCTGTCAGAAAATTTATGTTTGCGACTCATCACTAATATTTGTCATCATTAATTCAATGACATAATTCTTAAAACTTAAATCTGGATTTATTTCATATTTTATTAATTTGATTACACAAATCTATATCATATATATAGGATTTATCATTTTGGTTATTAAGCAAATATATAAGTCTAGATATAGATGACAATAAATAACTAAGACCAATTCTAATATTCAACTTGAATTAATAATCATCAAAACATTTATTTCATATAAATACATTGCAATTCCATAGAAATTTCATCATCTCATATTTACACATATAGTATCATTAATCAATATATCAAGAGATAAAATCAATAGGGAATTAACACTTCAATTATAAAACCCATATCAGATACATATTATTTCCACAAAATGTCTATACAAACACAAGGTTTAAAAGATGAATATATACCATTAAATCAAATCAGAAGACCAATCCCACCAGTACTAGATCATCAAAAAATAGATTCAATGGTATCAACATTAAAAGGTACTCCAATGGCAAGCAAAACTGCAACTTTAGAAGAAATAACAGCAGGTGAATTACCACCAGTTGATGTTTTTAAAGTTCGTGAACAAGGTCATAATTACTATTTTATAATGAATTCATGTCATAGATTGCAAGCTTATGATAGAATTGCTAAAGAAGAAAATAAACCTGATTTGTTGATTAAATGTAAGGTGTTACCATCTACTAGAAAGACTCTAAAATTATATTTGGGTGGATCTGTTGATGAGATGTTCAAAGACTTTGATAAGGAAAAGGAAGAAAAACAGGAGGAAGATAAAAAGCGAGATGTATCTACCGAAGAGAAGAAATAAATTAAGAAGCTAGAGATTTATAGAATGTATAAAAGTGCTTTTTATAGTATTATTTATGACTATGATTCAATATAAAACAATTTGATAAATTTTGATCTTAACTCTCCTTTGTATACTACTTTCGGATTAGATAGTATATTCATTCCTATTAGAGCTCAATTGTTGGAACTAATCCAAAGACCTAGACCTTGATCAGCCTTGATTTTTCAATTATACGTTTTCGTTCTAGATTTTGTAATTGCAAAATGAAAGAATTTTTTTTTTACCCTCGGTACATCTCTTATAGTCAATCTCAAATTTCTTTTGAGTTAAGGCAGGTAAATTTAATTAGCGGCTAGTGATTTAGGAACATCACTATGAATTAATCGAAAAAATGAGGAGTATCTGAGTTCAACAAACTTTTCTTCATTTGCATAAAAGTAGATGAACAATCGAAACCTTAAATTTTGAATTGTCATATTAATCTCGATTAAACTTTCTTCGTTCCTCACTGTTTTGTGTCTAAAGAACAAATTATTATATGAGGAGAATTAATAAAAATTACTATTAAAATGGAAATCGTAAAAAAAGTTACACCCTGTACTTAAACTGCTTTGAAAAAGGCAATTTTAGTATTGGGACCCAAATAACTTTTCCGAAAACGTTTTATATTGTTTTCAGCTTCAACTTATAATAAATTATTTTATCAAGAATTTTCAAATTTTTTCAAATTGACACCAAATAATCTCTCAATTTTTTATTATAATTCTTTAACAAATTGATTTGATGTATTTTCTTTTGATACAATAAGTTTCTTTTCCACATTCAAATTAGTTGATCTTTACTAAATTTATAAAAAAGATCTTCCCTTTCTTAAATCGATCGTTTTTTTTAAATTTAAACTGCCAAAAAGAAAAAAATATAAATTTATTAATTTACGAAATTTATAGAAAATTTAACAAATGTAATGTAACAATAACAACAACAATAGTTAATAGTTTTGTATTAGAAAAAATAATTAAAGAAAAGAATTTTTTTAGTACTTTCAAAAGTTAGGCTAATTTTTAAATCGTTAGACTAGATTTAAAATTAAAAACTTTTTTAAATCATGCTTAATCGAATTTTTTTACAATATGTATAAGTTTATGAGAATAAATCAAAGCACTATGTGACAGTTATAATTAATTAAATGTTTTAAGTTTGACATAACATGACATTTTAAATTCATAGATTATTTTTTCTTCTTAAAAGTTATTAAATTTTGACATACGATTTATAAATTATTATATTTATGATTTAATGCAAGATCATGTTAAACGGATTAATAGATTTTTTAAATTTTTTTTGGAATTTTAATAAATCTTAAGGCGAGGAAAAAAAAGTAACTTCATACTATCACAATACGATTACCAAGATGATAGTAAAAGTATTGTTTAATTAGTGTATCTTACAGCAAACAGTTTATTCAATAATAATGAATTAAACACCCATATCGGATTTATTAAACCTGTGAACAGGATTTATTATTTATCAATCAAAACAATAACCCAATTTTTAGGAAGTTACAAAAATTGTTGAAAACAACTAACCATACATATGTACATATATAAAACTCAGATGGTTTTTTTTTTCCAATTATAGATCACACAAAAAAACTACTTATTTGCTATTATAATAAATGTATATTTCTCAAACTTCTTTGTTTCCTTTATAAGTGCATAATTGTTTTATTGTACATACGTTCGTTTTATTTTATTTAACATTTATTACATATTATGTACATACTAAGTATTTAATTAATTTTATTAATTAATCACTTGACTTCTTTTTCAATTAAGCGTTTTACAAAGATAATTTTTTTTAAGTATAATTTATGGATTGATTATAATGATAAGATAAGTGAGTAGAAATTAAGGAAACTATAAAACTCAAGTTATGTATATCTTAAGTGCTAGGTATTGATCATAAAACCTGTATATAAATTATGTAAATGAAAAAACCCTTATTATTATAATTTACTAACGAATGTTAGTATTAAGTAGTGTATAACTCAAAAAAACCGTTAAAAGTTAAAAAAAAGTTTAAAGAACAAAAAATTAAAAAAAAGAAATTTTATAAAATAAAAAATAAAATAAAATAAAATACAAAAACAATAAAACAGTTTTAAATAAAAAATTAAAAAAAAGAGAAGAAGTAAAAATAATTTTGATACAAAACATTTAAGAAGTAAAAATCTATATAATATTTCCTAAATTTATTATCATATTTATAAATTTTAAACCGCCATTTCAATATATAAATATATATATATAATATCTCAAGTAATTACAAATTAACTTATCAAACCATCAAATTTATTATATTTCATTATTATCGGAGTATTTATTTTAGATTAGCAAACAGTTCAAGAAAAAGAAACAATAGATTTTCTTTTTTAATTAAATCTACAAAATACTTGAAATTTGATTTAAAGTAAATAACTAGAACAAGAGAAGGTAGTGATACAACCAGGAGAACAAAGTGATAGTGGTTTCTAGTTTCAGCACAAAGTTGGATATAAAGTAATATGACTGATTCAAAATGTCATCAACAAAATAATACTACAAATGGGACATCAACAAATAAATCAAATATAAAAACTGTATCTTCATCAACTTCTTCTAATTATTTTTCAACAACATCTCCAGTATTTTCACCAATTACTTCAACGTCTTCATCATTTACTGCAAATCCAATACCGACTAAATCAATAAATTTTAAGTCATTAGATGAAAGTGTAATACGACATAATCAAAATGTTGTAAATTCAAATTCATTACTGTCTTCTATAAATCAAACTCATCATTCACAAACAAGTCCAATAAATTTGAATAATAGTATAACCCCGCCACCTTCAAGTGTTCCTTCATTAGATGATTTAGTAAATGATTGCTTTTTACTATCTATCAAGAAATTGGATGATGAAATTCGATCAACAATGTGTAATAAGTTCCACAACTTTTTGATTAAACAACATTGTCAAGAAAATTTAGAGTTTTTAATTGATATTTATCGTTATGAGTATATTTATAACTTAAAGATCTTATCAGCTTCATCAATTACAACAAATAATAATAGCGGTATAAATGCAAAGTCAAGTTCATATGTCAATAAAAACAACCATTTTTATGTTGAAAATATTTCAAAAATAAGGTTGAACAATAGCCCTTCACCAATTGATTTTAACAGTATACCGAACAACAAAGCTACCACCACCAACAACAATAATAATGGTGTTTCATTAAGACATGGTAAGACATCCTCAGTTGCATCACTCGATCTGATGTTTAAAAAGAGTCAACAACATTCAATGAAATTAGACGATTTGGATGATCCACAAAATGCATTTGTTTCAACTATTGATGATCTAGATTTATCACAACCTTGGGATAATTTCAAACAACAATTAGTAGATGACGATGACTCAGATGATGAAGGTGAACTCGAAATAAATGCCAGAAATCACTCTCATGAAGCTCAAGATGATAACGACGGTAAAGTCTTGTATATAAACGATGATGACTTGAATACATTAAATGAACATTGGGATTATTTAATGAACAATTTTATAAAAAATGATTCACCACAACAAATTAATATATCACAAAGATTATTCAAAGAAATTGTTGAAGAAAGTTCAATTACAAAATTACACAATCCATTAATTTTAATGAAAGCAAGAAATGAAGTTATTAGAATGTTGAAAGAAAATGGATATTTTGAATTTTTAAGTTTATGTAAAAAAAATCAACAAAGTCAACAAAATTCAGTTAAATCAAGTTCTTTAAGTAGCAATGGTGCCAAGAATTGTGAATGTGGTTTACCAACAAACACTAATTGTTCAAATAATGATCAAAACAAAAATTTAAGAACCCAATGTTTAAATAAGAATTTTCAAACATCATCCTCAACCAACCCAACATCAAGCCTGACACCAACCATAGCAGCTACATCAACTAACTCATCAACAAATGTGTCACCAATAATATCACCAAATCCTGATAGAATAATAAGAACTCCAAATTTGAGATTAACACCAAGACAACAAGCACAGAATAAAATGTCATCAGATTTGGACTCAAATTCAATATCATTACCTGCTTCAATATTGGGAAAATTCTCATCTTCGAAAAGAAGTAACAAAACTACTCCACACCAAGAAAATGAAACATCATCACCAACATCATCAACACCAATAGATTCGCCAATCACAACAGCCCCAAGTCTCTCAAGTCCTATTTCATCATCTTCATCATCTTCATTACTGAATTTATTAGGACATTTAAAATTTAATGGAACTTCAACTAGTGTCCCAATTACTGATTCTTCATCAACTATAAATTCAATCAATACATACGATACAGCAGCTACTAATTCATCATATATACCCAAAGAACAGCAGCAAACACAAAGAACAAAAAGTTTCAGCAATCACAATCACAACCACAACCATAATTTTTTACATCATCATCATCACCATCATAATCGTCAAAATGATAAATTTCGCACAACAACAACTGAATCAAATTCAAGTGGTTCAAATTCAAATTCAAGTTCACCAAATTTACCTAAAAATTTAACAAATTACATTATTGATGCAGACGAAAAAGATTCACAAGTTAATAGATCATTAAATTCAAGTCCAATTTCTATTAATTCTTCTATAGGTGATCAACAATCAAACATTGATCAAAAAGTTAGTGGTTCACAATCAAAAAGAGACAATGGTGTTGGGAATGCAAATTCAAGTTCATTAAGTTCATCTTTAAAATTTTGGAGAAAGAAAAATTAAATTGTTTGTTGTCCATTCATTCGTTATTTGTTTTAATTTTTACGTTGTTATTTTTTACATTGTAGATTAGAAAGTTATGTTTGCATATTAGTATTTTTTCATTGCTTTTTTCAGTTTTTGTTTTTGCTTCAGTTTTTGATAGTGGAGAGGGAATGGTTCAATTATATAGATATTGTTTTATTTAATAAACAATTTTTGGGATTTCTACTAATACTATTTATTTTGTTGTAAATTATTTGACAACTACTCTAATAAAATTTACTTTTCTATGCAAGTAATTAAGTTACCGAATTTGGAACAATACCAGCCACTTTTTATTTTTTAATTAGATATCGGAATTTAATAAAATATTAAAACTTATCAGTCAGTGATCTGAGTAGCACTAATCTATTGCATATGAAAGTGACAAGTTCACATAATTCTAGGCAATAATTCGAAAAATATGTCACCATTATTAAATCTGATTTCCTTATAATTTCCCCAGTTGAATCTACTGATCTAAGAATTTATTTTTTCTTGATGTTGAAATAGGTTACATTAGTGAGTGACATATCTTTTGATCTAATACTTGCATTAAACAACCGCTCGAGGATATTCAATTTTGAAGTTTATAGTTGTTAGCTTCATAGAATAGAGTTTTGTTTAATTATTCAAAGTTATAAAACTGAGAAGATCAAGGGATTGAATTATTTAGTGAAAAAAAATTGTTTAGTATATAAAATAACCCCTTAAAAAAGTTTAGCAATAATATATCACAAAATTACAACTTGCTATTATTATATTTAATATTTCACACAGTTTTTTAAATTCTTAAACTTCTATTTTTATCTATCATTTTACTATTTAGAATTATTCAAAATTTATTAACAAAAACCTATAATTCATTTCCATGAAAGTTGAAGATATCAAAAACTACTTGAAGCATTACAAAATTTAATTCAAAACTAAAACTTTCTTTTTTTTTGGTTGTAAAAATTCAAGAGATACACTAAACCAAAATCAAGATTGGATAAGATAAGATTAGATTACAAGATTGGTCAAAAACTAAATCAATAAATAGTGGAGTGTTAAAATGGATACGAAAGATCAAGATCAAGATCATCAAAAATCATCGACCCCGCAACCATCAACTCAAACATCAAATTCCACTACTTCAAATAACAATCATCATAGTCAGAATCAATTAGATCATAATCGTAGTTATAGTCACTACACTCATATACCTCATCATCAACATCATCATTTACAAAATCATGAACAACTGCAAGTAACTCAAGATGATGTTCAATTGAGTCGTACCGTTTCACCAGTTTCAATTAATGTTCCAATTTCAATTCCATCATTATGCAGACATAATTCTTCAAGTGACTCAATTGATTCAAATAGTTTCCAGCTTAGTTCTTTTGACAAAGACACGAATAATACAATACTACCAGAAATTACAATCCCCAAAACTCCACCACCCATAGACCATAATAATAGAAGAAATAACAATGGGACATTTTCAAATTTTCAGTTACCAAATGATATTTTAAAGAATTTAACACCAGTTATAAAATCACCACCAAGAGATAAATCCAAAAATCAATTATTGAGGAATAATCATATTAAAAATATTCAACTAAGATTGAACAACCAAAACAATAAAATAAACAAGACTATCAAAGATTTGAAAATTGAGACCACAAAGAAAATTGAATTTCAAACTTTCAAGTTAAATGAAAACTACAAGATTGCAAAGTTTAGAAGAGAAAATTATTTGAATTTGATAAAGGAAAGAGCTGGAAAATTTATCACCAACAACAATTACAATAATAATGATAAAGGCAGGATACTATCAGCTGGAACTGAGAACAAGGAATATGGCAAAAGCCGAATCAATAGTGTTAATAGTCTAAAACTACATTTCAACATTCCATTCAGCCATATCTCACCATCAACGATTGAGAATATAACAAACTTTCAATCTCGATCAAGACAATATTTATTAAGAACATCTGTGAAATTTTTACAACAATCAAATTTCCTTAAAAAGTTTAACAAAATGCCATTTAATCAAGTATTAACATGTTTAAATTCAGAATCAAGTATTAAAAAAAGTCTTTGTTTTGTACTTAAGTACCTCAATATTACTAAAGATGTATTTGAAACCAAGATTTTTTTGTATTGTTTTATAATGATATCTGATTTTAATGATTGCATGCAAAATGGTCCATATCAACCTGGTTTTAATCATAACATAAATTATGATAATATCAATTCTAATTCAGGTACTTTTAATAGTAATGAAGAATCAAATTTTTTCAATAATTTTATTTGGGTTTTGCTATTCAAGTATAGTACTTATTTATTAGAAGAGTTCACAAATTTAGTTCATGGAGACAACCAACCAATGATTACTTGTAAGCTTCAAAGCTATTGGGAAGACTACAAATTCATTTTCAAAATTTTCAAATGGAATCATTACTTGAATATTAAAAAAATCTTATACAGTTCAATATCTATAGTTGATCAACAATTGAAAATTTTAAACAACAACAACAACAAAAATAACCCATTCGATGAAGGAGATAACATAAACAACGATATATTTCACCAGAAAGAGAGGATGACTATGGAGTTAAATTTGTTAGACAATTACAATTTGAAAAGTTTACAAGAGTTCAATTCTTCAGCTAGAGTCAAAAATTTTAAGGAAAAACTATCTAACAAAATTAATGATATCTACTTGAGTTACAAGCACTACAACAAGAGCAATTCAAGACTATCAACAAACAATTTTATTCAAAACAAAGCTAATTACATTTGTTATAATAATTTGAAATTTCATATACCTCATTTTTTACCACTTGAGAAATGGAGGTCATATTGGAGAGCTTATTACTTCGAGAATAATTTCAAAGATAATAATAATAATCATGAATGTGAAAGTAATGTTCCACTTAAGTTGAAAAGTGGGTATTTGGGGGAAATCAACAGTTATTATTACAATGGCATGAGTAAATTTGACGGTGGTAATAGATACATCAACGAGGAATCAAAAATAAACTATTTTGAATTAATTGACTCCATGATTGACGTGAAATCCGTAACTTTGAAAGAAATATATGAAATATTATTCAATTACTATATTCAATTTTCATCGATCGAAGAGTTTCCAAATGATGATTTAGATAGTGAATCAGATTATGAAGAGACTTTTGAATTTATAGAGTATAGTATTAATGACGAGAGTAATTTTGATCATGATATTGAGTATTTCAATAAGATTAAATCACTTTTTAAGCATTATGATCAATTAAATAAATTCAATCATATAATCAACAATGAAAACAATCATCAAAAATTGGATAATGAAATTATTCTACAGTTAAAATATGAAATATTGATTCAATACTTGAACAAATGTCATTTTGGTAATGGCAGTAACAATGACTTTACCAAATTCAAAAAATTTGAAAATTTGATTACAATTTTTAACTTGTCAAATTTTAAAAATTTGAAGTTTTCAATTTACACATTAAATCCTCAATTATTATTTCCAAAATTTTATAAAAAATTCATGATGAGAAATCATTATTTATCATTGATTAAACATGTTGATTATTTGGAACCTACTTTGGTTGCATCGTCCAAGTACAGTTTGAATAGAGTTTTACAATTCGAGTCAACTCACAATTTATTAAGTTTTAAATTTTTCAATAATTTATTCATCAATCATATGCTTAATATAGACAAATGCTTGGAAGAGGGCAAGATGCAAGTTGATGGTTTTGATACAGTAGATAAAGAAGATGAAATCTTATCAAATTTTGAGAGTGATTTTTTGAAATATAATCAAGAATTGAAGAAACTTTTGAAATTAAATTGTTTTGGAATAATGTACAAAAATTATTTTCCAAATTATTCAAATGTTTTGCAATCTTCAATTATAAACTTATTCACGACTTACGAAGAGTACTATAAAATCAATACTTTAGATTTATCATCATCGGCACCACATACAGACTTAAGTCAAACGGATGTGTTGAAGTTTTTCAACTACTACCATCATCACAACGAGAACATCACTCAAATATTGAGTATAAAATGGTTAGACTTGATGAAAGAAAAAACTAGTCAATATAACAACAGAAATCAAACATTTAATTTAATTGCATATAATGATCCCAATTTTAAATTTTACGTAAAGGAAATTAACGAATTATCAAATGAGATTTTTAGATTTAGTTCTTATTTATATGAAGTATATAATCCTATTTTAAATTGGATCTATGAAGACTTGGCAATAAACAATGAAGGGTTAGACAGTAGTTGAAGAGAGACGAATGGGGTTATTACAAAGGAAGACAATTTTTAGCTCAAATAGTAAAACGCTATACTTAAACGGACAAATGATAGGGAAAGTGTAACAACGATTGTCACAGAGCATTTAATTAATTTTTTTAATACATATTTATTTACTTCAATTTACATCATTTGTAAAGCTTTCAAGATCAACATTTTTTTGTGTATCTAATTAAGGGAGAGATGAGTTTTAGTGTAATTAAATGTCTTTCTCTGATAATTCTTAAATGAGTAATTGATAAAAATTTACCGCCCTAAAAATAATAGAGTAAAAAATATCTCTCATTCTTGAAAAAAAAAATTTTTCATTCATTTTAAACCACAACTGAATTAATTCAATTTTTGATATAATAATATAGATTAAAGAACTTCTTTCTCTAGTTCTTTTTCTTATATATCTTCAAAAATGTTAAAACAAGTTACTTGTTTAAATAAATCATCAACAATTAAAAATGTTAACAAATCATTAATCAGATCATTATCATCAAAATCAACCATTTCATACAACAACAAACCAAAATCAACATCATCATATATTCCAATAATAAATCAACATGCAAAATATTCAACAAAATCGACTGTTATACAATTATTAAATAATATTGGTTCAAAAAGAGAAGTTGAACAATATTTAAAATATTTCACTTCAGTAAGCTCCCAACAATTTGCAGTTATAAAAGTTGGAGGAGCAATTATAACTCAACAATTAGATGAATTAGCTTCATGTTTAGCATTTTTATATCATGTTGGTTTATATCCAATTGTTTTACATGGTACAGGACCACAAATTAATGAATTATTAGAAAATGAAGGTGTAGAACCAGAATATATTGATGGTATAAGAATCACTAATCCAAAAACAATGGAAGTTGTTAGAAAATGTTTTTTGGAACAAAATTTAAGATTAGTTACAGCTTTGGAAAAAATTGGTGTCCATTCAAGACCAATCACTGCTGGTGTTTTCCAAGCTGAATATTTAAATAAAGATAAATATGATTTAGTTGGTAAGATTACAGGTGTAAACAAATCACCAATTGAAGCAGCTATAAGTGCTGGTTATTTACCAATTTTAACCAGTTTAGCAGAAACTTCAAGTGGTCAATTATTAAATGTTAATGCTGATGTTGCAGCTGGTGAATTAGCAAGAGAATTTGAACCTTTAAAGATTGTTTATTTGAACGAAAAAGGTGGTATTATAAATGGTAATACTGGTGAAAAAGTTTCAATTATAAATCTTGATGAAGAATATGAAGATTTATTAAAAGAAAGTTGGGTTAAATATGGTACAAAATTAAAAATCAAAGAAATTCATGATTTATTACAACATTTGCCAAGATCTTCATCAGTTGCTATTATTGATGTTGGTGATTTACAAAAAGAATTATTTACTGATTCAGGTGCTGGTACATTAATTAGAAGAGGTTATAAATTAATTAATAGAAATTCATTAAAAGAATTTGGTAATCCAGATTTGTTGAGAACTGCATTATTAAGAGATCCAGAAATCAAATCTGGTAAATTATCAGTTGCTTCATATTTAAAAATTTTGGAATCAACAAATTTCAAAAGTTATGGTGATGAACCTTTGGAGGTATTAGCTATTGTTTTAACTGAGGAGAACAAAGTTCCAAAATTAGATAAATTTTTATCATCAAAGACTGGTTGGTTAAATAACGTTACTGATAATATTTTCAACTCAATCAAAAAAGATTTTAAATCATTATGTTGGATAGTTGATGAAAATGATTCAAATTTATCTTGGTATTTTTCAAAATCAGATGGCTCATTTGCTAAAAATGGTCAAATATTATTCTGGTATGGTTTAAAAACTCCAGAAGTCAGTGAATTAATAAAAGAATTTGATAACTCATCAATTATTGGTTCATCGTTGTCTTCAAATAAAGAATCAGGAGTGTTCTCAACTAAGCAACAAAAAAGAGGTCTTCACACCACCCAAAGAAGAACCTTAGCTACTTCAACAACTAATCCAAATCCACCAATTAGACAAGGTTCAAATACAGATAAGAAAAAAGTTGCATTGATTGGAGCAAGAGGTTATACAGGTCAAAATTTAATAAAATTAATTGATAATCATCCATACCTTGAAATATCTCATGTATCATCAAGAGAATTAGAAGGTCAAAAATTGAAAGGTTACAATAAGGATAATATTATATATTCAAATTTACAACCTGAAGATATTAAAAAACTAGAAGAAAATGGAGAAGTTGACATATGGGTTATGGCATTACCAAACGGTGTGTGTAAACCATTTGTTGATGTAATTGATTCAATAGGTAACCCAAAATCCAAAATTATAGATTTATCAGCAGATTATAGATTTGACACAACAGGAGATTGGGTTTATGGTTTACCAGAATTGAATGATCGTCAAACTATAGCTGAAGCCAAAAAGATCTCAAATCCAGGTTGTTATGCAACTGCTGCTCAAGTAGCTATTGCACCAATATTAGAATACGTTGATGGTAAACCAAGTGTATTTGGAGTATCAGGTTATTCAGGAGCTGGTACAAAGCCATCACCAAAAAATGATGTTGAAAATTTATCAAATAATTTAATACCATATTCATTAACTGATCATGTCCATGAAAGAGAAATTTCATCACAATTAGATCAACAAGTTAATTTCATGCCTCATGTAGCACAATGGTTTCAAGGTATATCACACACCATCAATATCCCAATCAAAAAATCATCATTAACATCTAGAGAGATTAGAAATATTTATCAAGATAGATATCAAGGAGAACAATTAATAACAATAAGTGGAGAAGCACCTCTCGTAAAAGACATAAGTGGTAAACATGGAGTTGTTATTGGTGGATTTGCAGTCAATTCTCAAGAAGATAGAGTTGTTATCGTTGCTACAATTGATAATTTATTAAAAGGAGCTGCTACTCAATGTTTACAAAATATTAATTTAGCTTCTGGTTATAACGAATATGAAGGTATTCCAAATGATACAGTTATTAGAGGTTAGATTTTTAAAACATTTAATTGATAATTTATAGAGTTGATAAATAAAATAATAAATTGGATTAGTGAAATACTTATAATAATTTTGTAAATCGTTAATGTTGAAAAATTCCATTACTTGAAATAACGTTTTCTCTAAGTTTGTGTAACAGAGAATGTTTCAAAATAAATTTAAACTCACTACAGTTATTCACTTATTAAGTTTACAACAAAGCTATAGAGAATTGTGAAAAGCTCCTATCATTCATTAACTAATCATAAATGTTAGTATCACCCGAAAATTTTGGAATAGTAGAACCAGGAATATACAGATGTTCAAAATTGGAAATTGAGAATTTTCAATTCTTGGAAACATTATCATTAAAATCAATCATATCACTAGATGCAGAAAAACCACCAAGATTATTAACCAATTTCTTAGAATCTCATAAGATCGAATTATATAATTTAGGAGATTTAAAGATATCAAATCATCAACATACTGGTATAAGTTCCAAAATTGATTTGGAAGATTATGATAATTATGAAAACAAGAGAATTGATGATTTAAATTCTACAAGTTCTAAAAGTTCTACTACTTCTGCTAAGGATTCAGTTGTTCCAAAATTTATAAGCTTAAAGAATAAAGATAGTAAAAGTAATGGTGATCAATGGATGTTGATCGAAAAAAACATAATCATAAAAACATTTGAATTAATTTTTAATAACAAGAAACATCCAATTTTATTAATCGATTCAACATCAACAATAGTCGGAATACTAAGAAAAATACAGAAGTGGAATTTCAATTCAATTCTAAATGAGTACAGAATATTTAATGGTACAAATAACAAGAACAACTATTTTGCTGAAACGTTTCTAGAATTAATATCAATTGAACTAATACCCAATGAATCCAAAAAGAATAAAAGTCCTTTTGGAAGTAGAAGAAATTCAATGAAAAACCTAAATAATGCATCATCAAGATCTATATCTGGTCCATCTCAATTACAACAACTAATGAAAAGTCCCCTCATTGATAATGATTCAAAATTTGATAAATTGGACTCAAATGAGATAAATATGAAAATTGAACAACCAGAAGATGAAGACCCAACAGCAGGGGACACAGAGATGGACGAAGACGAGGGATTTGGAGACGATGATGAAGAGTTTGAGAATAACCAAGCAATAGATGATTACGATAGTATGGATGACATTGATGATTTAGATGATGATTTAGACGATGATCTTTTGTCAGCATCACCACAAATTCCAGCAAATTTATTGAAATTTGTTGAACAAAAAAAACAAGACAAACAACAGCAATTACAACAACAAGATAATTCAAACCCTAATTCACGAAATAATTCTATAGATGCTTCCACCAGCAATACAAATTTAATACCAACATCTCCTAAATTAATTATTGGACAAATTTCAAATAAAGGTAATAGTGGACCTCCTAGTAGGAATAATAGTTTCAATACTCCTGACTCATATCTAAATCTAGTGAGAGGAATGGATAGAAGAAAATCGTCAGGCGATATTATGAAGAACAACCTAAAATTTAGAAACTCAAGCGTTGGTTCAAACCAACAACAGCTACAAAAATTATCTTTGGAAAGTACATCACCAAGTTCCAAAAGAAAAAACTCGAGCTCAAGAAGAGCATCAACTACCCAAAATGATGAACAGCAACAAAAACCTACTGATTTTAAGTATTACAAAAATCTAAACAAATATCCTATAAAATTTGAAAATGTCAGCACAATCAAATTAAAATTACCACCTGAATATAGATTGCCCGAATGGTTTATCAGAAATAGAGATATTTGGGAAAAATCTTACAAAGTATTAAATCAAAATAGTTTAATGTCATCGGGCAAAGATAAATCATTTGATTCATTTTCATCAACTTCGTCGTATACTTCATTGTCATCTATATAGACTATACTGAATTACAATTAGTAAGTAACCACAATTACTCATAAATCAATGTACTTGTGTTGAGCTTATCATATTTAATGGATCAATGAATTGAGCCAGTCTTATTGCTTAAACCTAATGCAACATTGCGGCTCCCGTAGATTTCATGTAGTAGTAATGAAACGTCTTTGAATTATTTTCCCCCTTATCGACTATATCTACTCCCATAATTACTACCTTGAGACTGCTGTCTTGATTTGTTGTACATGTCTTGTAATCTGCTTGAACCCCTTTGATAAGTAGGTTGTTGAGGCAGACTAGAACTACCCTGCAGTTGCTGTGCTTGTTGTTGTTGTTGTTGATTGTTATACGCTCTTTGATTATAACTGTTATTGAAAACATTATCTTGTCTAACAGGTTGAAATTGTGAAGTTTGATTTGAATTATAATTCCTATAGGCATGAGAACTTGAACCACCACCATTTGTGTTATAACTTGAAGATCTACCATAATTTGGTTGTTGTTGATGATCTATTATTTTAACACCCAACCATTCTGGATATGGTAAGCCTTTAGATTCATAATATTTTACAAATGCATTATGAATTAATGTATCATCTTCTGATGAACCATCTTTCTCTGTATAATTCGATAATGATAAATTTGCTAATTTTGTACTATAGTTTTCTTTTATTTTGGAAAAAAATCCTCCTCCAGTATTACTATGCTGCATAATTACTAATGATTGGGTTGACTGAAAAGGTTATTTTTGATGACCTCTTCAAAGATCCATGAATTAATTAAATTGGTTGACTTGACATAAATGACATTAAATGAATCTTAATTGTTGCCTATTTGGGAATTAATGGAGATCGAGCATTCATTCTTGTGACATAAACTTAAATTTTACGACACTGACTTTGTTTTTGTGACAATTTATGGCTTTAGAGTTTTTTTCACATCTCACTTTATTTAATTAATATTGTAAATTTAATTTTTCACATTTAAATTATCATAAATTATTCAAACTAAATCAGCTCTAGAAAGTACATCAGGAATGTTCACTAGACAACTAGGAAGATTAATAAGGTCTTCTAAACTAATTAAAATAAATATAGTCAAATCTTCAAAAAGATCATTTCATTATACAAAATTATGTTTAAATACTTCAACTATATCTAACACAGAATCAATCAAAGATCAAACTATCCCAAATTCATTAACAAATGAAACTCGTGACACCGCAAAAATTAATACAGAAGCTAATTTGGCTACTCCAACAAAAGAATCAAAAGAAGCAAAAGCAGATGAACCCTTTGTACCCGTCAAATTTTCAGATTTTAAAAAAACTAAATTTATACATCCAACAGTTTTAAATGCATTAAAAACAGCTGAATTTGAGACATTAACCCCAATACAACAACAAGCTTTAATACCAATCATTCAATCTGAAAGGGGTGTTGTATGTAGAGCTAAAACCGGTACTGGTAAAACATTAACATTTTTGATACCAACTGTTGAAAGTGCAGTAAGGAGAATAATTAAAAATCCAAATTTCAAAGGAGTTGATTCAATCATTGTTGCACCAACTAGAGATTTAGCTTTACAAATACGTGATGAATACGGGAGAGTATGTCGTAAAATACCGAAGAAATACCAACCTAGAGTATCATTAATTATTGGTGGACAAAAAACCACATTTAATCCAAGATCTCCTAGTGAAATTGTTATTACTACGCCAGGTAGATTAGAAGCAGATTTGAAAGATAAGAGATTTTCTCAATGGTTTAAAAATGTTGCTTATAGAGTTTATGATGAAGCTGATAGATTATTAGATGTTGGATTTGAACCACAATTAAATAGTATTGATGTTATGTTGAAAAGATTAAGAGAAGATGATATAGAACCAATGAAATCTTTATTATTTAGTGCTACTGTTGATGATTCAATAACAAAATTTGCAAAGCAACATATTAATAGAAAATATGATTATATAAATACTGTTCCAAAAAATGAACCAGAAGTTCATGAAAATGTCACACAAGTTTTATATAAATGTGAAGATGGTGTTGATAAATTTCAAGCATTCTTCAAGTATGTCATCAATGTAATTAAACAAGAAAGAAATCCAAAAATTATTTTGTTTTTGCCAACCCAAACTGCTGTTGAATGGTTTTATGAATATTTAGATGAAGCTTCAAACTCTCCGTCATTAATGGATCATTATTTGGATTTTGGTATATATCAATTACATGGTGGTAGATCAGCTTATCAACGTAAACAAGCTTTAAAAAATTTCAAAGAATGTCAAAAGGGTTTATTAATTTCAACTGATGTTGCAGCAAGAGGTATTGATGTGAAACAAGTTACTCATGTCATACAATTATATCCATCATCCGAAGTTGCTGATTATGTTCATAAAGTTGGTAGAACTGGTAGAAATGGGGAATTAGGTAAAGCTATTTTATTTATTACCGAGAATGAATATAAATATGTTCAAAGATTGAAAAAAGAAAGGGGTGTTAAATTTGAGGAAACCATTACAAGTAAAACCGATGATTCTACTATCAATATCAACATGGAAGAAATTATGGGAAATATAAATCCAAACTTACAACTGACGAATGAATTTTTTTTCACATTTATGAGTTATATAATGCAAATTAAAGGTGTTTATAGATTAGACGGTGATGATTTAGTTGAAGACAATATTCAATTATATAGAACTTTGATTAAGGATGAATTTGCTAAATTAAATGTTCAATCCATAAACAGAATGAGACATCATTTAGATAGAAGAATAGTTAGAGAATATTTTGAACATAAGACAGATCAAGAATTGAATGAATATAGAGAAGAAGTTGATAGATCAAGTCACAAAAGAGCTGGTAGATTCAGACCAAGATCGAATGATGAAGATGAAGATGGGTATCAAGATAGAAAAAACTTAAGAGGTGGTAATAGATCTTACAAGAGAAATTCATTCAATAATGATAGAAGAGATGGAAGAGATAATTTCAAATCAGGTGGTAACAAAAAATTTGGGGATAATAATAGAAGCCATAAACGTTGGTAATCGCCAAACAGTTATGAAAACAATTTTTTCAGTTCTTAAACTTCTTGTACATATTTAAGAATAATTTATATAGAGTATTTTTTTAGGGGTTTTGTTTATAACAACACTTGTATATATATTTAAGTATTATTAATTATAAATATTTTAATTATTTAATTATTATGCAAATTTCTACTTTAAAGAATTATGGGTTGGATTTTTTATGTTTTGGATGTAGTTTTGGATTAAATGGAACAACAACTTGATCTGTAATCAGTTGTGTATGTGATTGACTTGGTGTTAATTTCACGTTATTATTATCAGTGGCTGGTATATTTGTTTTCTTACTTTTATTGTTGGCCATATCCTGGAATTCTATATTAATATCTCTTGTCAAAATGACATATATCAACAAACACAATACGATTATGCTATTGAAGATTGTCATTCTTTTTTGGGTAACGATCTCACTATTTAACAACTGTATTTTCTTTGCAGAATCAGTAAGATATAATTTATGAGATTTTTCTTGCACTTTCAAAAGGTTGTTGTATTGTTCATATAAATGATTATACGAATCTTTGAAGTTAAATAATTGACTGATTAAAGTTGTATTCATTGATGAGACTAGATTATTAAAATTTATTGATTGTCGTCTCTCTAAACTTGCAAAAGCATTACTCAACAATTTCAGCTGTTCCTCAATATATAGTAGTGATAATGTTGCATTTGCTTCTAGTAAGGATAATCGTTTTACAATATTTTTATATATGGATTCTTGAGTTGTGATAGTTGATGCAGTCGATGATGATAACGATGAGGATGTTTGTGCAGCACTTCCATTATTTTCTGACGGTAGACAAAGTTGTGATGTGTTTAATTCTTTTAAAAACTCATTCAACATTAAATGTGGTAGTGATACTCTACATTCATTCAATTCGTCAAGTAGTAAAGAATCATCAATTTCAGGTTCATGAGTTTCTTGTTGAGCTATCAGCTGTGATGCTTGTTCTTGTTCTTGTTTCGATTTTTCTTCATCTTCTTTAAAGTCATCAATCATAGTTTTACCATGTACTCTCAATACTGATATGGGACAATAAAATTCATTTCCATAATGACTCAAAATATCTAATTTCAAATATCTTGCCCAGATCAAAGGATTCTCTACTTGAAATAATTGTACATCTCTCACGTTTTTGGCTGTGAATGTACCCAACTCTCTCCAGTTATTGGTCGGATATCTATCGCTGACACTAACTCTAATATCTTTAAACATTGATGAAAAAAACTCATAATTACCCAACACAATCGAGTTGACTAAAATATCTTGACATAATTCAATAATGACAAATTTATCTGAAACTGAACACTCATTTAACAAATATGTGTCTTTATTTTCTTTCAAAATTGCTGATGCTCCTTTGGCATGAGAATTCGTTTTGACTATAGTTGCTGCACAGTCAATAGATGCAAAGTTAAACCTATCTTTATAGATTTTGCCTTCACTTTCAATCTGAGTTATGTTGGTTAGAGATAATGCTTTGTCAGTTGTATCTTTTTCAATTTTTTGTGAACTTTTATTGACTTCAATGTTGGATGAGTTACTTGACGAGCTTGCTGCAGGTGAAATTTTAGTTGAGCTTGATGTAGTTGAATGGTTATTATTTGCTTCTACAACCTTTTGCTTCTTCCATTCTTCAAATGACATGAATCCACAATCATTTATTTGAGTATCATTGTTAAAAGATGTATTTGTTTGTACTTGTTGATGCTCTTGAGTAACTTTTTCAATAGGCGATTTCAACAATAGGTTTGTGTCATTGCTCAATTCAAATAAAGAAATATTTGGATTTGATGGTGTTGAAAAGAAGATTGAATTTAATTCTCGAATAGGCGAAAGTTGTTGGGACGAAATTAAATTTGATGGTGAAGTCAATGAATCATTGGCAGCATTGATATAGCTAATGAATATGATTAGTGTAACTAAATACGACCATATTTGATTAATCATTAACCACTTTCAATAGTGATAATCGTTCATCAATTATGTTTCAGATTAAAATAATATTAAAGTTACTTTTAATTTTTAGTCTTGTGATTTACGAGAGATAAAGCCACAAAATTATTTCAAATATTTTTTGAATACATAATTATGTTATCAAAGATTTTACTTGACTTATAGCTACTTAAACTATGAAAACATTTAAAATCAATTTCTCCAATCATCTTCTTCATACTTTTTTCGTCTACCAACTCTTCTTTTATCATCGTTTTTCAAATGTTCCCTTTTCAATCTTCTTAATGATCTGATTCTTTCTGCTTCTCTTCGTTCTATTTCACTTGAACTTAATACTTCAACTGATGGCTCCCAATGATCATTACCATTGCTCATACTAGTTTCCGTAAATATTCTTAACCCATTTTCAAAAACTATCCCTTTAACTAAATGCAAGTTATGGATTTCATTATTAAATGAACCTTCTATTATTTCCTTTTTGACTCTTATTATGATTTCGTGTAATGCATGAGATATTGCAAGATTAAATTCTAATGATAAACCTAAATCGGCACATACAATTTCTGCGAATTGTTCTGGAGTTACTATATTCTGATTTAAATCCCATTCAATTCTATCTTGATATAATTGTTTATTTAAATTTACTGATAAATCTATTATTATATTACATGGATTCTTGTGAGGTATTATTAAATTTGAAGCATAAGAACATTCATCAATTTGTTGTTGTATAGATTCAGCTATTGTTGACACCATTGAATTCGGTAATTCTAAATCATTACATAATATTTCTGAAAATTGTTGAGGTGTAATTATTGAATCGTTTAAATTCCACATAAATATATCATTTAATTTATGATTCCCATTCGAGGTTTCTAAGTTCAATTTTACAGGTATTAATACTTCAGGTTTACCAATTAAGTTCTTAATATTTGATTCATCTTCTAGTTCTTTAAATTTTGGAGTATTTCTCGCTGGTCCATATTTTTGAACATCAACTTGAGTCTTTGATTCTATTAGATTTCTTTGGTTATTAAAACCATTATTTATTAATCCATTAAGTGTATTACTACCATTCGACATAAATGAGTCTACTGGAGTATTTTCAAAATCAAAATCATCTATTATTTCCTCTGAATAGTTTATTTGTTGTGCATGTCTTTTCGCTTGTCTTCCAGTGGGTATTGATCCAATCAATAATGAATTGGTTTCGCTAGCAAGTCTTTTCGAAATACTTGATGCTAAAGCTTGAATCTGAAGTGATGAGTCATAATTTACCATTGTTTATGTAAATACAATTTTCCTTATTTTCAAAATGTAAAAGGTTGTATCTAATATTAATATTGTGATAAATTAAATTGATGCTTGAATGCTTTTTGAATCATTTAATGTTTCAAAATTTGTTTTTGTTTTTTATTTTTCTTTTTCAGTTTTGAAGCTCTGCGTTTTTGCGCGCTTTGAGAACTTTTTGAAAATTATCATGTAAATAGTAATTACAACTACACGTTTGGAGAGTATATGAAGTTTGATCTATAAATGTATGTATTTACTAATAATCTACACTTTCATCACTTTCATTAAGTTCATTTAAAATATTCAACTCGGTTTCACCTAGCCATCTCCATATAGGAAATTTCCAGTTTAGACCATCCAAATCACCAAGATAATAGCTAGATTCTATACCACCACCATTCGATACAGATTTCAAGTATGTTAGCCTTTGGATTCTTGAATGTACTAATGCCATACTACACATTACGCAAGGTTCATGAGTTGTATAAACTATCATATCAGTACAAAGATAACCTCTTTCTTCTTTTAATTGATAGTTTAACAGTCTATTTTTTACTTCTTTATCCGCTATTGCCTTTACAGCCTTCATTATACTATGCTCTTGGGGGTCGGCACCACCACTACTAGTCGATACTGTCTGAATTATGAGTTGACCATTTACATCCTTTGCCATTATTGTGGCCAGTGGAAAAGTGGACTCATTCTTCTTGACTTGAGCCAATAGATTCAGTATCATTGTTCTTTCTTGCTCCATATCAAAAGTAGTTGAATTTAAAAATTGATGATTGGGATTTCCTTTCCAAAGCATAGGCCAAGTTTCCGACCACTTGACTATGCTCTCTTTTGAAAAAGCTGGGAATTTGGGTACTTCTATAACCTCGAGTTTTTGCAATTCCACTTCCTTTAATTGATCTAAAACTAGACGTTTTTGGTCATCTTGATCCTTGAATATGCATATAATTCCTTGAAGTGTATCTTTTCCTATTTTTCTAAATCTCTTTAAATGTTTGAGGTCTACTTCATCGTCGTAATACTTTTTTAATAAAAGATCTAATGCTCTGGCTTCTTTCGGATTGATTTCACAACTCCACACTTTTGCTAAGTCAGGTTCATCTGGATCAATATCATTTCCTTTTCTAATTTGCTTTAAAGTCTTATATAAAATTCCAGTCTTCAAGTCAACATGAGCTCTGGTATCATTGTTTTTGGTCTTTGTCATATGCAGTTAGTTGAGTATTTGATCATTTGAATTGGGGTTATCAGTGCACTTCTAGATTGAGTTTCTTGTCATATTAATGACTTCTCATTTTAAGTTGATGATAAAAAAAGATATAGTATGAAGAAACCTCGCACTGTGCGGCTTATTTTGACTAAAGTGGCATTAAAATTTGTTTCAAATAATTAACGCGTAAAATCAATCATTTAATTTGATTTCAACTTACTTTTACAACCTTGAGAACTACTCAAATGATTAAGATCGAATAAACATTTTAAATGAGTCACAATTTGGTGAATGGTATAACTTTAGGAAAATATCTATCCAAGTTCCATAATGTATCAATTGAAGATGAGCTACCTACATTTAAAGAATATATGAGTAGAGTATTGATACTACCACTAAAAAAATTTGAAACGCATTTATTATCTTCAAAGTTAAAATTTAGAGATCAAAGCTATAAAAAGTTTCTTAGATTATTAGCTATAAATTTAATCAAAGAGCAATCTCAAAATATACTAATATCAGGATTACCACGAATAAAAGTCAATACTTATTTCAACAATGCAAAATATAATTTTACAAAATCTTCATTCTTTATGATCTCAGAGTTGGAAAGTGATCATTGGGAAAGAATTTATCAAATTTTAGGTTCAGGGAAATTTTCAGATTTATTGATCAATTGTAAAGGGTTTTTGAGAAAAGACAAAGGTTATGTTCAATTTTTTGGTGACTCCATCAGTTATACCCCCAGAGAAGGTGCGGTTGAGCATAACTCCATTCAAAAGAGATCGCTTTTGCAAAAGTTAAATAAAAGACAGAGTTACTGGAATTTTAAATTATTAAATGTTTCTGAAGTAGAATTGTGTAAGGAGATCTTTGGCTCATCAATTAAAGGTAAGAGATACAATAAAATTATATACATATTAAAACATATCATTAGAAACGATGACAAATGTCGATATAATTTGATGTACAGAAGTATGCTTTGCGAAACAGATATCAATTTCAAAGATGTATCAAAAAATGCAAATTCTTTACAAGACATTTTTTCATTTATCTTTTCAATACTTGGTAAAATATTGACCATAGAGGCATGGGGTGGTGAAAAGAATAAAAAGATTATTCGAAAAAGAATAGTCGATTATATTAAATTGGATTCTAATGGGTGTTTGAATATTCATGAAATCATGAAAGATCTACAATTGAAAGATTTTACGTGGCTTGGTACAACATCTAACATTACTTCAAAGCAGGACTTCGAAATAAGAAAGAATTTACTAAAACAATATATTACCTGGTTATTTGACTCGTTACTAAAAAAAATTGTGAAAGCGTTTTGGTACATCACCGAATCCACGTCTGGGGAAATATTGTTTTTTCCACGTCATGTATGGCATAAAATTTCAACGTTATGGTTAGAAAATTATGCAAAAGATAATTTTATTAAAACTACTTTGGTGGGGAATGAAAAGTATAATTATGGAAAACTCAAATTGGTACCTAAGAAGAATTCTTTTAGATTGATATGTGTACCTGTCAAAAGATCAACTCGATTATTGACTGAGAAATTGTCTGAATATGAACAAGAGAGGCAAAGAATTGAATTTAATGTCTTTAAGGCGAATACGCTAAGACCCATAAGACTAATACTAATACAAAAACTAAATTCAAAAATTGAAACTGATGTACGGTTTTCGGTAACAGCAACTTCAAATAGAGTAGTAGCAAATCGAATGGTAGACTTCAGATCCAGATTACTTAGTCTCTATGATGGCAAGATCCCAAAGTTGTATATGATAAAATTTGATATGAAAGAATGCTATGATCGAATGAATCAAAAGAAATTGATTGAAAAAGTTATAGGTTTATTCAAAGATGATCCATATCAACATAAATACTATTTCAAACTGTTTTATAAATCTGATGCGTTATTAAGAATAGAAAAAACCAAATATAAAGTCGAGACTGAATTTCACAAATTGAATATTTTATCTGAAGATTTTGATAAATTAAATAAAGGTATATGGTCAGATAAAGGTAAAACATTATTTTTTACAAGAGCTCAAATTATTGACGAATGTATACAACAGATATTTGGGGCAAAGGGGTTTATAGAAGGTACAAAATCTCCTGATTTTAAATTTTACAGAAGAAAACAAGGTATATTTCAAGGTTTCATATTGTCAAGTATTTTCTGTGATATTTTATATAGTTCGATGGTTGCGGATACTTTCAAATTTCTTTGGGAGAGTGAATTAAAAGAACCTTTCTTTTTCACCAGAATGGTTGATGATTTTTTATTTTTATCAACAAATAAGGAGCTTTATGACAAAGTGTCAGAAATTGTTAATGGTCAACAACTTGAAAAATATGGAGCATTTGTGAATCATGAAAAAACTCAGCAAATAAATCATAAAGAAGAAGCAAACTTGGACCAGACTTTTCAATTTGTTGGGCTTGAAATTGAACTTTCAACTTTGAACTTCAATAAGAATTATAAAGATTTAGGTGTTCTTCCAACTACAAGATACAGAACTTTCAAGACATTGTTAACATTTTTGAGAAGTTCTTATTGTGTGAGGTTACATGAATACATCCTAAAAAAAGACTCAGACTTTATAGATTCAATATTGAGCAATATCAATAATTTGTTGGAGTTCACAATTTCATCATTCAAAGAAGCATTTAAAGGGATAAATAAAATAGATCAATTTAATATCGCAAACTTTTGTAAATTTTTGGTTGAGATCATAAATGAAACGATAAAGAAATATATGATTGTCAATAGAACAGTTGAAAATCTTGACGATCTCTATGATGGATTAAAAGAATGTTTAATTGAATGTTTACATGAAGCTCAATATGTTGATGTACTTAAGTATTTGGATAGTTTAGAGTTAGAGTAAAAAGATTTGTTATAGTATGTATAAGTATTTTTATTGAAAACCTAATAATACACATTTTTATCAAAATTGACTTCTAAAGAATAATACTTTTTAACTTTTACACATCTAAAATCCAAAAGGATTGTCTGGAGTGGCAGCTGCTAAATTGGCTCTTCTACCAGTTTGTTGAGTTTGTAAAGGAGCATTACCAAATCCCATACCTGTTGGTTGAGATTGTAATTGTTGAGAATTAAATCCTTCAAATTGTGAATTATTACCAAAACTTGTTGTTGGCATTTGTGAAGTGAACTGTGCTGGTGATGATATGGATGTGTTTGAGAACATGTTTGTCATTTGATTCATTTGTGGTTGTTGTTGTTGTTGATTAAATTGCGGTTGTTGATTGAATGTAGGTTGTTGATTGAAAGTTGATTGTTGGAATATATTAGGTTGTCCAAATGATGTTTGAGGTGGTAAACCTCCAGTATTTTGATTGAAGAGGTTCGGTTGTTGTTGTTGTGGATGTGGCGCTTGTCCAAATGATGGTTGAGAAAACATTCCAGATGGTTGTTGTTGTTGACCAAAAGAAGTCTGAGGGAACATACCACCAGTTGCTTGTTGTTGACCAAATGATGTTTGTGGCATCATTCCACCATTTTGTTGCTGTGGTTGTTGTTGGCCAAACGGAACAGTATTTGTATTCATAAAACCACCAGTAATTTGTTTACCAAAATTAGATTGCGGTACAAAACCTCCAGTAATTTGACCACCAGTTCTTTGAGTAGGAACTAATGGAGCTTGATTAAATGAAGTTGGTGGAAATCCACCAGTTGGTTGTTGTGATGGTATTTGACCAAATGATGTTTGAGGAGGTAAGCCACCAGTATTTTGAGTACCAAAAGTAGTTTGAGGCATAGTGATACCACCGGTTTGTAAAGGTATAAAACCTGGTTGAAATGGTTGTGATTGTTGTTGTGATTGACCAAAAGTAGTTGGTGGCGGTGCATTTCCACCAGTTTTTTGTGGATTAAAAAGTTGACCCGTTTGTAATGGAATTATTCCGAATGTAATTTGTGGTTGAATACCACCAGTAGCCTGAATTGGTACAAATCCAGTTGGTTGTGCAGTAATTGGTATAAACCCAGTTGGCTGTGCTGGCATAAATCCGCCGGTTTGAACTGGTTGTAGTCCCGCGCCGGTTCTTTGAACAGGAACTAATCCACCTGTACGTTGAGCTGGTAATAAAACACCTCCTTGACGTGGAGCAGTTGAATTCGCTGTTTTTGTTGGTTGTAATGGTTGTAAAGATGGAGCTGTTTGATTGGTTTTTTGAGGTTCTGGTTTATTTTCCATTGGTTTAATATTCACTAAATCAGATAATGAGCCAGTGTATTGAGGAGTTTGTGGTTGTGGAGATGGTTTCAATAAATTTTCATTTGATCTTGCTGCTGGTTTCATTGCCCACGCATCATCATCAAATTTAGAAGGTGTGGTATTGATTGAAGGCTGTTGATTTTTAATTGGTGATGGTAAAGCATCTTTTGAAACTTTAGATAATTCTGTATTTGAATTGTTTTTCAATGCTCCATTGGTATCTATAAACAAACTACCAGTCTGAGGTTGTTCCGGTTCAACTGATTTCTTTCTATCATATTTGTTATCCAAAAATTTCATGACTCTAATAATATCACCTTCTCTCAATCCCAATGTTCTTAATAAAGATGGAGATATATCTTCTAAAATATTCTCATCCATTTGCTCCCTTTCAAAATTTAAAGTATAACGTTGACAATTTCCAACATCGACTCCACACTGCAAGAAAAAATCAAACCAATCATAAGCCGGAGCACCATTATTTGAAGTGTGAGTAGTTGGACGAGCTTTTGATGGATGTGGTGGTTCAATATTATTGATAGCAGCAGTAGCTGATTGTGGTCTTTTATGTTCAGGCTCTGCAGCAGTTGCACCAGATTTACTTCTCGATCTTGCTCTTTTCTCCATTTGTTTTTGAACCATCTGTTTATAATTCTCCAACGAAGTACCAGTAATTTTTTCAACATACTCTAAATCTTCAATTGATAATTTTTCAGCTGCGACTGCGATTTTAACACCATTTGTTTTATGTAAATGAACTTTACCTTCAACACAACCCAAAAATTCGGCTTCAACTTTAAAAATACCGGAACTATCAATCCAAGTTCTAACTCTATGGAAGTTTGGCATACCTTTATCATTCTCATCATGAGATTGTTTTTCTCTACTAGCTCTGTCTTTTTCTCTAACTCTATCTCTCTCATCTCTACTTCTATGACGTGCATGACGTTTATCTCTACCATTGACAATTTTGCCTTTTGATCTAGTTGATTTTCTTCTTAAAGGTCCATCAGTTAATTCATCTAAGTTTGAAGTACTAATAACTTCAATATACGACGATGGAACCACACCTTGTTTCCCAGTATCAACGTTTTGAACCATCCACCAATCAGTAGATTTGGATTCATTAACAATATAGACTTCATCTCCCTCTCTACAATTCAATTCATCATCACCTTGTGCTTTGAAATCATATACCAATCTACCAATCTTTCTATTTGATCCTCCTGTACTGGCTTGTGATGCTTGTTGTACTTCTTTTAATCCTTTTGCTTCTTCAGCACCTTTCAAATCACCTAATATCGCCATTATAGCCTCAGCTACATCTTTGGTACCAGTATGCAACTCCAATGAAGCAGGTGGGTTTTTAAATTCTAAAAATACATGTTTCTTTTCATTGCTGAAACTTAATAAATCTCGAATTCTCCATTGATTATCAATTTTGGAATCTGATCTTAATCTCAATTTTTTGGGATTTTGAGTATTTGGTTTTATAATTATAAGTCCTTGGCCAATTGATACTTTAATAGGTCTTTTCTTTCTTCCATCTACTTCATCAATTTTCCAAGTGAAGAATTCACCATCATATGAATGTTCTGCTTCATCATTTGTTTGTAAATTTTGCTCTCGTTCATAATTGCTACTTGATCCAATGTTAGTTTCTGGTTCAGCTGGTCTCGAAGGCATTGGTGGTGGTGCTTCCTCTTCATCATCTTCCTCAGGTTGCTGATATTGTCTTCTAAGTGGACTTTGTTGCTCCAATTGTCTAGGCAAATCTTTTTCGGGTGTTTCTGGTGGTTGTTCTGGTTCAACTGATCTTGTTGGATGTGTAGGTGGTGGAGCTAAGTTGCTTAATGGAATAGGAATTTGTTGTGGTGGTTGTGTTTGTTGCTGGGTTGGTTGTGATTGACTTCTTGTCGAGTCCAATTGGATATAGTTTGAAGGTATAAATCCAAATTCTGTTTGACTTAAATTTCCTACCAAAATCCAATCTGGATCACTCAAATCATAGATATTAAATAATTCATTTTCTTTGAAAGATAATTCTTCTTCTGTTTGTTTATCATAATCGTACAAAGCTGTTGCCGTCTTCAATATTGGAGCTTGTTCAATATAATTAGAAGGTACCAAACCTTGAGGCTCATCAACTATTTCGTCTCCAGATGCAATAACTCTTTTCTTCACTTTCCACCAATCATCAATATCTGATTTTTCTAATAAATATAAAAGATCGTCAGCTTTTATTGTCAATTCTTCTTCCGCTTGTGCATCATAGTCATATATGGCTTTATAAACGCCAATATAAGACAGCATAATTGATTTTTATTAACTGATTTGATTTGGTTGTCTTGATCAATATTTTAAAACAAATGATAAAAGGAGTTATAGGAAATTCAATTTTTGTTCGACATTAATGGGTATTTTGTGTAACAATAGAATTGAAAGTTGTATGTTGCTATGAACAACTGCAAGATCAAATACCAAATAGATCATACTAAATTTAAAGAAGATGAAAAAGGTTCTAAGAGTAAATGTGTATCAATTTATTAAAAGGAAACTGTAAAGTATATACAAAAAAGAAATGAAAGTGCAAGTTTTTATAATACACGAATTGAATTAATTGTATTTTTTTAATTTTTTTTGCAGCCATTTAATTTACCTGAGTAATTGGTCTATCAAATTTTAACAAGACAGTTTCAATATTTTCAATTGATGTTAAAGCAGTATATGCATAATTTTCAGTAGTTGCAGATCCAATATGAGGACTTAATACAACATCTTGTCTATTTATTAATTCCGGATTCACGGATGGTTCATTTTCAAATACATCCAAACCTGCAAATAAAATTTTACCAGATTTTAGACCCTTCACTAAGGCTGTTTCATCAACACAGAAGCCTCTACCAATGTTTATAATTCTAAACTGTTTTTCCATAAGATTTATTAAGTTTTCATTTATTATGTGTCTTGTACTTGGTAATCCTGGACATGCCACTACTATTAAATCTGCAAATGCTTTGATTTCTTCAATTGATGAATGATAAGTTACTCTATAGCCTAGTTCTTTCTCTTCAGCATCAGATAGTTTAGTTCTTTTAACATAATGAACGTTCATTCCAATACAATTTAATCTTTTCCCTATCAATTTACCAATATTCCCAAATCCGATTATAACAACATTATGATTCTTTGGGGACAAGTTGGATCTCCCACAACAAGACTCGCCATATGAATGTCTGTATACTGGCTCCAAAACAGCTTTACCTTCCTCTTGATCAAAATCCCCATCAATTAATGAAGTTCTTAACACATTAGTAGTTGAATATTCATTTTTGAAATTTTTTTCATATATTTTAAAATTTCTGAAACTTGCTATAGTGTTATACAATACTAAGTCAGCAACTGCCTCAAAGGCTAAAGTAGAAGGTACATTAGTTAAAACAATACCTTTTGAAGTTAATCCTTCAACATCGAAATGATCATATCCAACTGAACAAGTTGTCATTATTTTTAAATTCTTTGGTGCAAAATTCAATAATTTACCCTTAAATCCACCTAATTGTGCAAACCCCATCCAGCCACAGTATATAGCTTCTACGTCTATTAATCTTGTTTGAAAATCTTTTATACATTGTTCTATACTTGTTACTTGATAATATATACAATCAAATAAAGTTTCGAATCTATTTTGTTCTTCTATTCTTGGTTTTTCTAAAAATAATACCTTTTGTTTAATAGTCATCTTGAAATGGTTTTGCTATGCTTTGATGTAATCATTGACGCTATTCTACATTTTTAAATGGTTTTCAGGAGAATTTATATCAAACTAGTTTTTTATAAATTTTTCATTTACCTTGAAATACCGATTCTATAAATAGTAAAAATATATTATACGTGCGGCTGTTTTTGATATATTCTAATAAACCGAATATGATAATTCAATATGCCACATTCTCTACTTATATCAATCTTTCATTGGTTTAATTAGTATTTTAGTCAATTATGATACTTAAATGCTAACTCGTAACGTAGAGTTTTGCATAATTGATAGTAAATGAATTTACGAAATAGTAATACAAAATTTGAAATACTCACTTTCATACGTTAGAGTTGAAAATGTCCAATTAAAGAAATTTCAGAAACCGTTTTTGTTATTTTTTTATTTATTGATCCTATTCAAATCATAAATTAAATTACTGTATCATAAAGCGTCTCATTCTTGAATAAATTACATTTAATGAGCCATGCCTGGTTCACCTAAATATTTAGCTTTTAATACAGTACCACATTGCCAACATCTTGAAGTTTTACCTTCTTCAACTTTCATCCAATATGGTTTATGATCAAGTTGAGAAGTACCTTTACATCCAACATATCTATAACCAATATAAGTTGGAACTAAAAATGGATCAGCCATTGTACCTTTACCTTCAGTGATTGGCATTTCCATATCGAAAACATCAATACCTTCTCTTTTACCTAATAATTCTAATCTTTGTAAACCAGTAGCTTGATCCAAATCAGTTGGTATTACACCTGGTTTTGAACCTGGACCAATTAATGATGCTGGACCGGTAACTTCTTGTAAATCTTGAGCTGTTTTAACTTTTCTTGTAGCTTCTGATGCATAATCCGCAGTTTTATTTGCTAAAATTCTTGATGTTGATAAACATCTGGTCTGTTTTGAAGCAATTCTAAATGAACGTGAAAGCATTCTAAAAAAAATGTTAGTATTTGTGATGATAAATTTGAAAAGAATACTGAAAGTTCTGAATCAATTGACAATTTAGATGAATTACGTTGATAAGACAGAATAAATTTTGTATTTGTAGTAATAAATGAGTCCAATTTTGATCATTTTGTCCTATCTGCTGATGTCGATATCAAACCTGAAGATTTTGAGTCACAACTCAGTTCTGTTGTAGTTTATTGCAATCTCTTAAACCCCGTTTATTTGTTTAATCGATTCATATTCATAAAAATTCAATTGATCCCAATCTATTCTGTTAATTAAAAACATACGTGTGTGAAATATATATGAAAGATTGTGCTATAAGTTTTTTAGAAGATTGAATAAATAAATGAATTAGAATATACTTGTGTTTTAAAAATTGTCAACTGATAATGAATCTATTATATTATGCTGGAATGAATAATGAATAGGTAATATATTTAATAATCCTTATCAATATATTTATTGATCTTTGTATAATTTACAATCAGCTCATATTTTTTGTTTGTTTCTCGTTATTACTTTAGATTTTCTCATTAATTTTAATTGGTTTAATTTATAAGTAATGTCTTGACACATAAACTTAAGACAATGAAATCAGACTTTGTTAATCATAGTTTCCAATTATAGAAATAGAAATTACTTTGGTATTGACTCTAAAAGTGTATTATCAAGCAAGTCTCGCAATCAATGAGCGCAGTAAATGACTATAGGTATGAAATTACAATTGTTACTTTCATAGTATCAATTTATTAGTTACACTTAGACAAAGTTTGTAACATTATTTTAAATATTAGTTCGGCTTAGACAAAGCTTGTACCATGAATTAACTGAAAAATTAGATTCTTACAAGGATCAAGTTTCACAATTGAAAACTATTCCACATTTTTCAAGACTCTGTCCTAGAAACAACAGTGAAAGCACTAAAGCTGAACTGAAAATCCAAAAGTATTGACTGGATTAAGCATAAAAAAATTTATTTGACGTCATTAATGTGCTTGTGAGCCAACAAGTACTTAATGTATTATCAACAAACAAGAAGATTCATTTCTGGTTATATTGCTGCTCTGATCTCAGTCCACCGTAGCTGCAATCAGCTTTAACCTTCGTACTTTTGCAACCAGACCACTAATAAATTTTAAACTTTTTTTATTAGGGTTATAACCATATTTACGAAGGTTGTATAAACACGCATCAAACTACCAAATGTGTGCGTAATATAACTCCTAAGTAAATCCACATAGTAAATACATTTTGTGCTATACTTGTCTTAACTATGCGAATTTCTCTCTTTCATACTAATAAAATTTTTCAAGTAATATCAATTTTCAATTTTAGAATCTTTTCTCTCATTTTACTGTTTTCACAACAACAATAAAGAAGTATGTTCATAACAATAGGGATCTAATGATCATTAGTTAATTAAATAAAAGATCTGTCACATAGAGGAGATAGTTGTATCCAGATTCATCATTAAATCAGACGTTAATTCATATAAATCAATTGAGTAAATGAATAAAGAATGCAAAATGGCATTTCAATCCTAGTTTGCATAAAATGGAAAAATCAAATGGAATTAGTAACCTAACATGAAATACTGCATTAAATCATTACAGAGTCCCTGTCAAAAAAATGCTACTACGAGATTCAAATGGAGAGTTTCCTTCTCGATTTAAATAATTAATATAAGGTCAAAATTCATCTAATGATCCTATTCAGCATCAATAATTAACTAATTCATTGTCACGTATTTATAACAATCTTGAATACTAACATCTTTTTTATAGCTAACATGCCAAAAAAAAGAGCTTCCAACGGTAGAAATAAAAAAGGTAGAGGTCACGTCAAACCAGTTAGATGTTTAAACTGTGCTAGATGTGTACCAAAAGATAAAGCTATCAAAAGAGTCACTATAAGAAACATGGTTGAAGCTGCTGCTGTTAGAGATTTATCAGAAGCTTCAGTTTATTCAGAATATGCTTTACCAAAATTATATAATAAATTACATTATTGTGTTTCATGTGCTATTCATGCCAGAATTGTTAGAGTTAGATCAAGAACTGATAGAAGAATTAGAACTCCACCTCAAAGAAAAAGATTTACTTCTGACAGAAAAGTTTCACCACAAGATGCTGCTAAAAAAACCGTTACTGTTTAAATTTAGATAAAAGAAATTAGTAAAAATGTGTTTTTAAAATGGTTATCTTTTAACAATTTTGTAAAAAATTTAAATATACATCAAAGAAGTTGGAAATTCTAGTTGTATAGGAGGTATAAACTTTAATATATCAAATCCATTCATAGTATTAAAATTGAATTTTGTAGAAAGTTTCGCGGAATGTCTTTACTAGAATATTAGATCGACCAAGCGTTAGAGAAATTATAATCTTGGACCAAATTAATATTATATTGCTGAACGAGAATCTTTCAACTTGACATAGAACAAAAAGATCACCCCCCACCTTTAATCGTTTATATTGAACAAACTATACAATCTCCAAGAAATCTAACGAAATCATTGGCTACGCAACTATGATGTATAAAAACAGCCTAAACAAAAAATAGTTTCCTTTCAATCTTACAAACTGTTATATCAACTATAATTATCTCTAAACTATTGATTAGATAAAGAAGGAGATAATATCTAATTAAATGAGAGAGAAAAAAAAAAATAATATTCAATCGATTATACTGTTTAAAATAAAAAATTAAAAATATCAGAAAAAATCAACAAATTGAATGGAACAACAAAAAATCAACTCATCTAAAATTATTACATTAATCAAATCCTTATAACTTATAACAATCTATTATAATCAATTCATTATAATAATTCACTCAGTTTTTTTATAAAATCAAAATTGTAAATTTAGAATTTCTACAATTATAGTCGTTAATTTCATTTTTTTGCATTCAATATTACATCACTTATCAGAATAGTCAATTGATACTTTAAATCACCCAAAAATTCATTAGACATACTTATCCAGTCAATTGATATAAACTTTACTATACTGCATTATCAATTTGTGCATCATCACCGTATTAATTCAAAATTCTACAATTAACTCATTATACAGCAATAAAAAATGTCACTGGATGAAACTTGGAAATTTTCACAATGTTTTGGAGATAAAGGAGATATAGATAATATAACAGAAGCAGATATCATATCAACTGTAGAATTTGATAGTACAGGGGATTTTTTAGCTACTGGAGATAAAGGAGGTAGAGTTGTATTATTTGAGAGAAATCAATCAAAAGATAAAAAACAAAATTGTGAATATAAATTTTATACCGAGTTTCAAAGTCATGATGCAGAATTTGATTATTTAAAATCATTAGAAATTGAAGAAACAATTAATAAAATAAAATGGTTAAAACTGGGTACTGATTCATTATATTTATTATCAACTAATGACAAAACAATAAAATTATGGAAAATTCAAGAAAGAACTATTAAACTAGTAAGTGAAAATAATCTTAATGGAATGAGTCACTATTCAAAAGATGGTGGGATATCTTCATTGAAATTACCACAACTACAATTACATGATAAATTAGTATCAGCTCAACCTAAAAAAATTTATTCAAATGCACATGCTTATCATATAAATTCAATATCAGTAAATTCAGATCAAGAAACTTATTTAAGTGCTGATGATTTAAGAATAAATTTATGGAATTTAGGAATATCTGATCAATCATTTAATATAGTTGATATTAAACCAACAAATATGGAAGAATTAACTGAAGTAATAACAAGTGCAAAATTCCATCCTTTACAATGTAATTTATTCATGTATAGTTCTTCAAAGGGAACAATAAAATTATCAGATATGAGATCAAATTCTTTATGTGATACACATTCTAAAATATTTGAAGAATATTTAGATCCATCATCACATAATTTTTTTACGGAAATCACAAGTTCAATGTCAGATGTTGAATTTAGTCATGATGGTAGATATATTGCAAGTAGAGATTTTATGACTGTTAAAATTTGGGATTTAGCAATGGAAAATAAACCTTTGAAAACAATAAATGTTCATGAACATTTAAGAGAAAGATTATGTGATACATATGAAAATGATGCAATTTTTGATAAATTTGAAGTACAATTTAGTGGTGATAATAAATCTATAATGACTGGTTCATATAATAATAATTTTATGATTTACCCTAATGTTATTGGTACTGGAGGTGATGCCAAACCAAAGACAATTAAAAAACATACAAAAAGAAATAATGATTCAGATACAGAAGATTTGGATCCTGCACCAAATAAAAATTCACCAAATTCACAATTAAATGATGATGATGACGATGATGATGATGAAGAAGAAGAAGAACCACATCCAGAAGATGAAGAAACAGAACAAGAAGAAATTATATTACAAGCAGATAAATCTGCATTCAAATCCAAAAAATCAGGTCAACATCCAACAAGACGTAGAATGATGTCAGGTGTAGGATCAAGTTTAACATCAAATAATGGTTTAAATTCAAATGGTAATAGAGATTTTGATGAAATTGATTTTAAAAAAAATATTTTACATTTATCATGGCATCCAAAAGAAAATTCAGTTGCAATTGCTGCTACTAATAATCTTTATATTTTTTCAACTTTATGATAATAATAATAAGGTGTGGTGGATAAAATAAAATTTATATAAAATTAAATACATTTCTTAGAACTGCTTTAATTTACACTTTTTTTTTGAAACAATTAGATGCACAATTGCATTCTTCATAAACTCAATTGATAAAATTAAATGTTACTGAAATCTTTTATCAAGTAAATTCAATAGTACGGGAATTTGGATTTTCTTGATATTCAATTGAAAGACTTTTATATCTCAGTAGAATTTCAATTGGTCGTTCAAGTCTTAGATTATTAAAAGATTATACGCTTTTAAAATCTCTACATTAGATCAATAACTTAAATATCTGAATATATATTCACTTCAACATATAAACCAAATTAAAAAAAAAATTAAATAAAATAACTCTTTTACTTTCATAAAATTAAACCTTAAAAATAAAAAATCACTTTTGACTAATCTTTTTGAACATGTCTATTAATATCAGAATTCCAAAATAAAGTTTTATCACCATCACCCCAAAAAAATGGTTTTGATCTAATATTTTGATAATCATATTGAGTAGGCCATTCATCATCACTTAAATGTTTAGTATGTTCACGATGTTTAGCATGATCCATTTCAACTTTTCCCACAGGAATAGCAGTTAACAAGATTGCAGGAATTGCTACAATATAAGTTAATTTTTTCCATAAATTTGTTATAGATTCTGAATGATGAACTTTTGCTTCATAATTATTTATAAAATCTTTTCCCTTTGTTGGATTTGATTTATAAGCTACTTCTTTTAAATGTTTTGTTGGGGCATAATGAGATGCAAATCTTCTGAATGTGAATTTTGGAATTGATTGTTTAAACATTTTTTGGTGATGGTGTTTTGGATTGAATAGAATGAAATCTGCTGTAGTTTGTATAGTTTGGTCTCTTATATTACTTTTCTCTTTGATTTTTTTGTATTGATTTTATTGGGTTAATGTAATTGGTAGTGTAAAATAGGATAAATTTATTAAGCATGTTAATTAATATCGAATGTTTTTTTTTTTGTTTTGTACTAAAGGGGGTACTTGTGAGTAATTACAATAATTAAAAGAGGTTTGAATTACAATAAAGAGTTTGAATTTTCAATTCTATGCATTTAAATTCTATCAATAATATACTATAACTTTTTCGGTGGTTGTTGCAGTTGTTGTTGAATAAAAGGTTTACCATCGGCATTTAATACAACCCCATCTATATCTTCTGTTGGTGAATCAGGTGTTGACTCTAATAAAGATTTTTGAAATTTTTCTAAATTTATAATTTGTTGATCGTAATTATATTTTAATAATTTTAATCTTTCTATTTCTTTTTCAAAATTGTATTCTTTAGCTTTTGATTCAGTTGAAAAATAATCATGTCTTAATGTAGTTCTTAAATTTGGTTTTAAATTTTCTTCATTTGATTCAAAATCATAAAATAATGATTTTGTTGATTTTTGATAAAATAAATCATTTAATTCATTTTGATGTATTCTTGTTAAATTATTAGTTAATAAAAAATTTTTAAATTGATTTAAATTTTTGTACAAGTATTCAATAATTTGATCATCTTTCAAGTTTAAAATAATCAGTTTCAGATCTTTCTTTAATTTATCAGCTTCTTCTTTATTTCCATTAGATATAAAATCAACAACATTATCTTTATTTAACCAAAGTCTTAATCTTGGAATATACAAAAAACTTCTATAACTTATTTCATTTAATGATTTATCTCCATATTCTGCTAATAAATTTTTTTCAAAATTTGATGGAATATAACCATATTCTCCTTCAACTAAACTTAGTTTTAAAGGTGATAAATCTTCTAATCTGGTAAAATGAACATTACGACAATTATAAACTTGTAAAAATACATTCCTTTGTGATTGAGATATTGTTTGATCTTTTAAACTTCTATCATATGGTGTATTTGCCAATAATGAATTATATCTTACTGGTGCATGAGTATCACTTATTGCTAAACCTGTAATATCAATATAAAGTCCAGTATCTAAATCAATAAATCTTGCATCAATATTATTATTACCATTACCTCTAACACGTTGTGATATAATGGAAGAAGAATCTAAGAAATATCTACCATATCTAATTTCTTTTTCAGGATCATTACCAAAATCAACAACAACAGTTTGATTAAATAATTGTGATAATTTATGCAAATCATCAATTGGCATTTGTACATCAACATCACCATCCCATGGAAATTGTAAACCATTCCAATACCAAGATAATAATGAACCATGAGCAACCCAAGTATTTAAATTATATTGATTTGTTAATTTTAAAAATGCTTTAACTAATCCATGAATACTAATTTCTTGTTTTGGTGTACCATTTATTATCCCATTTACAAATCTCCAATCATAATGACCTCCAATTCCATAATTTGATTCCTTTTTAATTATATTTGCTTCTCTAAAATATTTTGGTGGATTGGTTTCTTGAATTGAATGTTTTAATGAATTCAAATAGTTTTGGTCAGTTTGATTTAATGATTCTTTAGCATTGAACATATTGATACGTTCAACTGTATTATCTATAAATTGTTCATGTTGTAATTGTTTCTCATAGGGTAATGTATTAAAACTTGATTCTAACTTATTTGATAATTTCTGAATTTCTTCTCTCATATTAATCTCACCATCTTGAAATATTTCTTGTGTATCTTTTATACTGTTTCTATTATTTGGATTTATATTATATTGAATTGATTTATCATTTGGTAATAAAAAAGTTAAACTTAAAGGATTTCTCATAAAATCATAAAGATAAGATCTTGCTATAATTGGTCTTAATGCTTTTTTATTTCTACCTGAAAAACTAAAAATATGAAACCCAGTAGTTAATTGATTATCTAATTTATTTGCATTTATATCTTTAATTCTTTCAATAAAATTCGAATCATAATTTTGTTCATTATTTAAAATTGTTTCAATTTCATTATCTTGTATACAATAAGTATTAGTTTTAAATAAATCATCTTTTTCATTTGTTTTTGGATTTTTTTTAGTAACATCAAAAAATTTACATTCTTTTTTCGTAGGATTGAAAAGATATTCTTCTAATATTGACATATCAGTATAATCAGACCAATGAAAAGTTGGAATTTCACTTAAAGTTTCAAAATTTTCATTAATATATTTCAATAATAATCCAAATGTAAATCTTGGATCATATTGTTGAAAAAATGGTAAATTTTCTTTTAATGGTATATTTATAATATCAAAACTTTGATCTTTAAATTGAATATCTTTTAAAATATCATTTAATTTTGAATTATCATCATTAAATTTTAATTTAAAATCTTGAACTGTATTTATTAAATTTGAATCAAATTTTAAATAATCTTTATTTGATTTAGTTGTTGAAGTAATATATGATCTCATTTTAGGTATATTAACATTTTCAAGTACAAATTTTTTAATTGGTTGTAATTTTATATAAAATAAAATTGAAAAATGAAGTAGTAGTATACCGACAAATAAAATTATACCTCTAGATCGTCTAATAATCATTTTGTATGTTAATTATTTAAGTTTTTTGCAATTTTGAAAAGTTTAAGTTTAAAGGAATTAATGGAAGAATAATGACTATAATAAATGCTAATGAAAAATATATCGAAAATGATTTTCTATAAAACGATAACTTTTTTAAGTATATAAATGAACTTTTAAATTAAATATGAAAACACTTTTTAAATTGAAGACTTGTAGTTTTGAAAATGGATCTGGTTGTAAAAATAAATTAATTAATTAAATAAAAGTTTGCAACAACTTTTTTGACATAATAATTTTAAAAAGTTTAAATAAATAAATAAAAAAATCTTAATTTAGTTAATGATCATAAGACACTAAAAAAAAAAAAAGAATTTGATTCAGTAATTTATAATTATATGATGTAATTGATCTCTCAAGATCTTTAACTTATTAATAGTATTTTCAAATTTGATATTAAATTTTGAAGAAATGATAACTAATATATATATATTCAACTAATGAATATTAGATTATTTATATATTATTATAATTAATTCGATATTGATCATAAAAATACGTTGAAAATAAAAATTATTTTATTTTGGTAGAAAAGGCTTAATAATTTTTTTGTAATTTAATATTTTTTTATTTGATTAAATAAAAAAAAAAATTTTTATTAATACAATTATAATATTTATATGATTAGATTGAATAGAACTATATAATAAATTGTCAATTTATTACTTAGTTTACTATCATCACCATTTATTATTGGGTAATTGAGATTTCAAAATTGAACTCAAAGTTGTAATTGAAATTAATACGTATATTATATAAATATTCTAAATAAAGTAATTACTCGTAATATTCTTATCTTATTTAAATAGCTTATAAATAATTTATTTATTCAATATTTATTTCAAAGCCATGTTAAATATTAATTATGTATTATTATAATAATTATTAATATTGTACAATATTAACAAGTGAAAAAAATATGATACATCATTTGTGTTTTTTAATTTTGATATTTCTAATTCATTTTTAACAAGGCTAAATTTTTTTCATATTTTCAATATTGATCAATACAATTCAAGTTTATAATATAAATAAGAAATATTCAAATTTGTTATTAAAAATTTTTTTTAGATTTTTCTGAAACAAATTATAAAAAAAGAAGATTTGGTTTTTGTGCCTTAAATCTATATGGATTTAAATTTAAACAGAAGAAATTTATATCCGTCCCCGATACAGCTTTTATTGTTTATTACACTTATTCCTTCGGCTTATTTAATACTGAGATCTGCATCCGTTATAAACTGAGCAAGAGCTTTTTCCCAAATACAATAGTTTAAATCAAAATTGAAAACTTCGTAAAATTGAGCTATTGTCACTTTATAATCTTGAATTTATAGGATCAAACATTGAAGGAGAAATTTTCTCATAACCATATATATGGAAAAAAACTTATTTTCAAATCGTGTCGTCATGAGACAATCAGATTCGGATTAACAAAATTTTAATAAAATAACAATAGAGATAGAAGGATCCGGTAGAAATTCAAATGAAAAAAAGCTCATTAAAAAGTTTTATTTAATTACAAAACATAGGAATAATGATTGATCTATTGTTTAGTTTCATGACAACGAATTAATAGTCAGCTTTTTTGAATATAATCATGAAACCTAAGCAAGCGATTCATACTTTAGTGGCCCTGAGTTGTTTTTTATACTTTGTTTATTTGCCGACTTGCAAAAGTTCAATATATACTGAAATCGTATTTAATTAGTCTAACTTACCGTTTCACTAATATTTTTCAGGAATATCAGTACATTGACACGAACCTTGCCTTTCTTTTCTTGATACTTATTGAAAATTAACGTACTTCTAATAATCTTCTATAACTTCAGTATTAAGGAATAAACAAATGTGAATAATGTGAACAAGAACCACTATGAAACTATGAATTTTCCATATTGATACAATTTTTTTTCGATAAAAATCAAACAAAAAATAATAAATTTCAAACAGGAATTAATAAATTTATCTAATACCCCTATTACTTTGGAATTGGTGTAAACAATATAAAAAATTGAGATTGAAAGCAAGAACCATATGATCGACTTTGATATTACATTATTGTATCCATCATTTGAAATTTCAATATCGTTTCTGCAAGATCTATATTTGATACGAATTAAACTTCTTCCTGTATTTCCTATAAATTTTATTAAAATTATTATTGCCAAATATTTACCAAGTGTGTATGGTTTTTTCGCCAAAGGCTCTATATACTTGCTCGTCACTTGATTCATTTGACTTATATCTGAGTTGATGAGTTAGTGAATTTGAAATTTGTAAATTTTAAAATGTTGACAGAATTTTAAAGTTTAGCCAGTTAAATGCGCTACTTTTTAATTTAAATTTTGAGCCTTGCGCTAAACTACAAAAAACAACAATTGTATTAGTCAATGTTACAAATTGATTTCAAAAATGTGATCGCTCAATTTCACAACTTAGGAGAACTGATAATAGATATACAAGTATTTAATTTTTTTTAGAATCTTTAAGCTAATTTAAATTTGGCAGATCTCGTAAATTCTCGAAAAATGTAAAAGTGGCAAGTATGCGGCTAGTATTTTTTTATAATGTACCTTAAAGTATGCAAAAAATTAAGAAATATGAGAATGAAAATAACTTAACAACAATCTTTTTAAAGCTAGAACTTTTTGATAATATTAGTTTTCACTATTGACTTGTTTCAGCACTCCATGACTTAGTGACGAGGTGAGGTTTTTAAAAACCCTATCAAACAACGAAGTACAAAATTTAATACTTAATTTTGCTAATTTAAATTTTATAAAAAGCTTTTTGACATGTTATAACATTGACTTAAACTAAAACTTGTGATTCACACGTATTTGGTATTCTGTGATCTTAGAATTGTATTTTTCATATTCATGAATAAGATGTTTAGAGGTTTCGAATTAGGCACAATGCGGCTTTTCTACCTTTATTGAAAAAAATTGCAATTAACTTGATTATATATGATGAATCAGTTATTTATTTAAATAAGACAAATTGTCCAAGATTGAATGAAAGTTGAATTTCTTGGATATAAGGGAAACCGTTTTATTAAAAGAACTAGTTTAGATCTTTTCCTTTCAAATTCGAGTGGTATTAATCATGTTGGTTTTCGTGAAATTTGCAACAAAATAATTGTAAACTTGTGTAACCCGTAATAAAAGGTTTTAATCCTGTATTGATAATATAAATTTACTCAACTTATAATTGAGGCATAACAAGGAAAGAGATCGAAAGTTTAATGGCTTCTCAAGTTCTTAAAATGTTGTAATAAAACGTATATACTCAAATTTAATATGATCAACCAAAAAGTATCTAGTATTGAATTTATAATATTTTTTGCGGGGTTTTATAACAAACTCTCAAGATTTAAACGATCCAACAAAACTTTAATTATCCTTAATAATTTGTTTCAAGTTGTTTTATAAATGTTTCAGATTACAACCAAAAAAATTCTGAGAAAAATTGTGTATAAAATTTTGTATAAAATGATCTGATCGATCTATAATCTTATTCATGAATATTAATTACGGAGTTGAGCTAGACCTAATTTAAGCGCATACTTTTTAGACGAAGTCCGTGAAAACAAAAAATGCAATACCACAACAGTGATCGAATCATTAAGTCAATAAGATGAGCATCTAATAACTAAGCAATTGACATCATCAACTTTAATTCAATTATCATTTCAATTGTTATAATTAGTTGCACGGCTAATTTTATTGAAATTTTGTAATTATTTGCAAAATTAAAGTCCGAAAGATTGTTCAATAATTGTGCAGTATTAGCTCAAGAATGAATTTAAAAACAGTTTCACTGAAATTATTGGTCTTAGATTAGTTTGTAGTTTGGATTATCATATGCTTATGTATAATACACATTGAATCAATTGATCAGTTGATTTTTTACTTTAATTGTAATTTACTTCAATGGTATTATCGGAAAATTTTAATATTTAAATAGCACAAACACAAATTTTTTTCATAAAAATAAGAAAAAGTTTAAATTTTTCAAACACTTGGTAGTTTTTATATTTTATTTTTTTCGTTTGACTTGCTTAAATATAAGATTTTTTATAGAAGTATGTTATATATCTTATAAAAAGTATAAAGAGACTCGTGTTTCAAATCATAAAGCAATATAAGAGGATATAGTTTTATGATAATTAAATTTTGTAGTTTTATTGACTTTATCTAATATATGACAAGAGGCTGATAAATCTCTCAGTAAATTATTTGCACAATAAAATAAATCAAAAACGTAATTCTTTTTCATACAAAAATTATTAATTAATAAAATAATTTTTTTTTTTGAAATAAACCCGAGGAATTAATTTTCCATTTAACCTACTTTCCATTTTTGTAAATTTACCCCAGATCTCTCTCTTTCTCCTTAATTTAAATAATTTTTCAACCAATTAAATTAAATAAGTTAGTAATAATACAAATTTAAGGATATCAAAAGAATTTATGATTTATAGAATTGAATTGATTTATAATAGAGAGAGAAACAATAAACACACAAGTATAAGATACATATTTTGCTATAATATAAATATACAATCCAATAGAAGTTAAATAAATTATAATTAGTAATTGCTATTTCATAAATTTAACAGCAATTGTAAATTGGACCTAAATAAAAATTAAATATTTTGTCTCACTTTTGTTTACTAATTTTTATTACGTATATTTTAACTATGGCAGTTCTCTCTCTCTCTCTCTTCATATTTTTATGTTCTGGATTTTAATTATTGATTGATAATCAAAATTAATTCCCCACTAAAAGAATTTTTTTATTTTTGCATTCCTTTATTATTAATTAATTTATTTATTTAAATATTTAAATAAATAAATCCCTCTTGATTTTCAATTTTTTTATCCTATTAAATTATTTATAATTTTTATTACATTTTTTTTTTAATTTTTTACAACCAAAAGATTGATAATTAAATTTCAATTCAAATTCAATTCAATTTATAAATAAAAAATGGCTCCAACTTTTACAAATTCAAATGGTAATCCAATTCCTGAACCATTTGCAACTCAAAGAATTGGTAAACATGGTCCTTTATTAATTCAAGATTTTAATTTATATGATTCATTATCTCATTTCGATAGAGAAAGAATTCCTGAAAGAGTTGTTCATGCTAAAGGTTCAGGTGCTTTTGGTGTTTTTGAAGTTACCGATGATATTACTGATGTTTGTGGTGCTGGATTTTTAGATACTGTTGGTAAAAAAACTAGAATTTTTACAAGATTTTCAACTGTTGGTGGTGAATCTGGTTCTGCTGATACTGCAAGAGATCCAAGAGGTTTTTCAACTAAATTTTATACTGAAGAAGGTAATTTAGATTTAGTTTATAATAATACTCCAGTTTTTTTCATTAGAGATCCATCAAAATTTCCTCATTTTATTCATACTCAAAAAAGAAATCCAGAAACTCATTTAAAAGATCCAAATATGTTTTGGGATTATTTAGTTTCAAATCCAGAATCTGTTCATCAAGTTTGTATTTTATTTTCAGATAGAGGTACTCCAGCTTCTTATAGAGAAATGAATGGTTATTCAGGTCATACTTATAAATGGCAAAATAAAAAAGGTGAATGGTGGTATGTTCAAGTTCATTTTATTTCTGATCAAGGTATTAAAACTTTAACTAATGAAGAAGCTGGTCAATTAGCTGGTTCTAATCCAGATCATGCTCAAGAAGATTTATTTAAAAATATTGCTGCAGGTAATTATCCTTCATGGACTTGTTATATTCAAACTATGACTGAAGCTCAAGCTAAAGATGCTCCATTTTCAGTATTTGATTTAACTAAAGTTTGGCCACATAAAGATTATCCATTAAGAAGATTTGGTAAATTTACTTTGAATGAAAATCCAAAGAATTATTTTGCTGATGTTGAACAAGCTGCTTTTTCACCAGCTCATACTGTTCCATATATGGAACCATCAGCTGATCCAGTTTTACAATCTAGATTATTTTCTTATACTGATACTCAAAGATATAGATTAGGTCCAAATTATTATCAAATTCCAATTAATTGTCCAGTTGCAGGTACTGTTTTCAATCCTCATGTTAGAGATGGTGCTATGACTGTTAATGGTAACTTAGGTTCAACTCCAAATTATTTAGCTTCAGATGAACCAATTAATTTCAGAAGTCATTCATTACAAGAAGATCAAGAAGTTTGGGAAGGTGCTGCAACCCCATTCCACTGGAAAGCAACTGATGCTGAATGGACTCAAGCAACTGCATTATGGAAAACTTTAGCTAAATATCCAAACCAACAAGAACATTTAGCTCATAATGTTTCAGTCCATGTAGCAGGTGCTGATGCAAGAATTCAAGATAAAGTATTTGAATATTTCTATAAAGTTGCACCAGAATTAGGTAATGCTATTAAAAAAGAAACTTTAGAATTATCACCAAGAAAATAAATAATTTGGTTTTACTTTCTAATTTATAGTTTCTTTTTCTAGCTAAAATTAAAAAATCTAAATTTATATATATAATTATTTAAAATAGTGGATTTATTTTGAATCTGTAATTATTGTAGAAATTTATCTGGGAATGTGAATAGACATTTAGAAATGTTGTACAAGTATTCTTACTTTATTTACAGCCTTTGCTAAACCATTTGTCAAGAATGGTTTGCTTAATAGGTAGGTTGTACACAACTTCAAAAATCAAATTAATCTCTAATATTATATTATTCTTCTATCGTTAACTAACTATATACTTTCATAATCACTTTTCTACTTATTTTTTTCTTCTTATAAATTCATTATATGTACTTTTAGCAATAAATGCTATTGTTTTTCTACCTGAAACTAATGGAGCAAAACCAATAACAAATAAAGTAACATATAACCAAATTAAACCAACTGTAACATATCCTTTAAAATAAGATCTTGTAAAAATCCAATCACGATATAAAGGTAATGGCCATAATACCCACATAATAATTAATATAAATAATGAAGCACCAGTAGATATTTTAATCCAAAAATCTAATTGTTTTGGAGTTAACTGATCTTTTTCTGCAAATACTTCTTGAGCTTCTAAACTACTTGATGATTGATCAGAATCAATATTAACATCAACATCTTCATTTTTTTCTTTTGTTTCAAGTTCTTCTTGAGTTGAATTATTATCTGATGATGATGATGATGATGATGTTGATTTACTATCTGGTTTAATTAATAAATGAGCTTTTTGTAAAACAGCCCAATCAAATTTCTTTGGAAATACTAATGAAATAATTATACTTGCAACACCTGGTAAAAATAATGAAGTTAATGCACCATATAATGCAGGTAATTGACCTCCTAAAGTTGTAATATTAACAGCACCATAAAATTTATAAGCAGTAGTTGTCCAAACTGTAAAACCAAATATTATACCTAAAATTGGTGAAATAAATGCAGCATAGACAGTTTGTCCACTCCAAGTAATTGATAAAATTAATGGAATAACACCAGTACAAATAATTAATGGATAGAAATAACCATACCAAGTCATATTAACACCAACATAATGTAACATAATTGAAAATCCAGCTGCTCCTAAAGTGAAAATAACACAACCAATATGTGAAACTCTAATCATTGATTTATTTTGAGCTTTTGGATTAATATATTTCTTATAAATATCAAATGATAAAATTGTAGAAACTGAAACCATTTGAGCACTAACAGTTGAAGTAACAGCTAAATAAATAATTAATAATAAAGCACCAACAGCTCCTTTACCTAAAGTTGCCATTAATGCATAAGGTAATGCAAATCCAGAATCAACTTCATATTGAGTCATTAATCTTGGATAAGTTGGAAACAGAGGAGTTCTTTCTAAAATAATAGCAGAACCACCAAGAATAGCACCTAATGGCCATACATTTGAAACAATTAATACAGCAGCAGTTAAATAAGCTGGTACAGTTGCTCTTGGAGTAGCTGAAAATGTTTTTTGCCAAAATGAACTATCCATAACTGAAAGACCAAAATTACCAAAAGTTAAAATTAATCCAAATATAATAGCACCTTGAGATTTACCTGTTAAAACACTATTATCATAATTACCTGGAATTTCTTTTGTACCTGTAAAATTTAATAATCCATCATATAATGCATCTAATCCTCCAACATTTGATAAAACAGCAGTATTTAAATAACATAAAACAATTAATAAAATTAAAGTATGTACAAAATCAGTTAAAAAAGTAGCTTTTAAACCTCCATACATTGAATAACATAAAACTGAAAAAATTGTTAAAATAGTTGAAGCAACAATATGTAAATTACCAGCAATTATTGAAATAGCTCCAGAAGCACCTAAAATCATACTTGAACAAGATAATAAATTATTTGTTAAACCTAAAAAGATATATAAAATATGAGTTGCTTTCCCATATCTTAATTCAATAATTTCAAAAGCTGTATGCGCTTGTGGAACTTTCTTTTTGGAATTAGCACCAATCATTGACATAACTGCAATTTGTACTGCAAGACCTGCTGCATAAAAATAAGAAGCTTGAATACCATATGAATAAACCATAGTACTACACCACAAAAGCTCTGTAGCCCAACTATTAGATGTTAGTAATTTCCTATGACTTGGAAATGCATTGACGAAATCATGAGTTTTGAAGTTCAAGACTAAGTCAAGCTAGGGTTGAAAAAAGTGTTGCAAAAACATACCTCCATGAACTATTGAATAGTTAGTATAATGCTCGTAATAAAAAATTCGGATTTTGTAAAACACCACATACCTGTACACAGCAGAAGCTGTTAAAAAAGTACCAACTGATCTATTAGCAACTGCAAAACTTTCAGTTGAATTATTATCTTCATTTAAATATCTTTTCAATAAATAAGTAACTAACATCATACCAGCTGCAAATGCAACACCACAACCAACTAAAATCCCATATCCTGCACTTTGATTCAATAAATGAACTGTTGAAACTTCTGACATATTTGTTATTGCCCGCAATAGTTATAAGGAAGTTTGATAATTGTTCAATTGATATTCTATTGTAAAAATTTGAGAATCTAGAAGATCCATTCTATTTTATATATTTTGCAAGATATTTCAGAATAAACAAAGTTTTTACATTTATTGCATAATTTTTTGTTTCAAAATATATTGGTTTTGTGTCAACGGTTCGGTTGAGTTAGTTTCAGATTGTGGAAATATATTGTGGCATAATAATTCTCAACCGATATAAAAAAATTATAGTTTTATCTTTCAGATCTGTTCATCTTGACTAAACTTATGTCAGATAGCTAAGTTACTAACTGTTCTTGATTCTACTTCGCTCTATTCAGAACGTTTAACTCAATTGACAAAAAATTTTACTTTAAGATGACGATGCATACACGATTTATTGATATATTAATAAATATTATAATTCTTTTTTAAAATAAATTTATTATATAACGTATCTGGTTAATAATATTTGAGATCTATTAATAATCTCAAGTCCTTAATTGGTGATATTTTACTAATAATCTGCATTTACGGCTGGGAATTAGTCTGTACCGTTCTTTGCTATCACTAACCACAAGATTAAATTAACAATAGTATCCTTGATTATCTTTCTAGGGTTATCATCTTTAATCATATGCAGATGATGTAACATAAAATATTGATAAAGAATTGTGGTTGTAAAAAATTTAAAGAAGATATTATTTTTTTTTCTTAATTATCATCTTCGAATATAATATTTTTTTTTGAAATGATAAAATAACTTCACAATTGATTTTTATAAAATGTGGCTATTATCAATGAAGATAATATATCCTACTTGCGATTGACTCACTTTATATTCAATAACCACTAAAGCATTTTTGCTCCGAAGTATCAAGAAAAAATCTTATTACAAGGAGTAGATGTTGTGGTTGACTTGAACAAAACTAGTAACTAGTACACTCTATTAGAGTTTTAGTCCTCATCTAAGAGATTCTGAAGATGAATCAATCAAGTCACTTTGTGCAGATAATTGTACGGTTTTGGGGAAAATAAAAGGGAATATTGTGTTTGTGAGTATCGGAAATATACAATTTTGATACACTCTCAACCAACATGAAAATGTAAGAAACAAAAAAATTTCTGCATCTGTAATAGTATTTCGCTTCATAGCTTATCCAAGACTTTTTATAAAGTGGGAAAGGACTGTGTTATTACTCTCGAAGCATCAAAGAATTTAATTGTCACATATATCATTTTTCATTCGTGATTTTGACTACTTTGCCACAAGAAACAATGAAAACTTTAAATAACTCAAGGCGAAGAAGTAATCAAACAAAAGTCCTCTTACAAATTACATTCAAAATTTTTTAAAAATTCATTTGAAACTAAAATTAGAGTTTTTACGTTAATATTGAAAATTTGGGTCTTTTGAATTTTTTGTTATACCATTTAACCATTAATTTAGCAATTTTTGGCCTAATCGAAGAAAAGTTGTACTTGAAAGCAACAAAATCAATTCTAGTTTTTCACACACAAATATTTGTGGAAAAGAGCTATCAAATCACCTAAACAATTGTAGTTACTTACCTATTTCACCTATAAATCTGTCAAAAAACAAGATTTTAAAAATATGGTTTAAGCTAATTATCTATAGTCAGCTTCGAGCAGGATAGGTCAAAAAAGTTTGGCTAAACTTGATTTCAAAATGAGCTAAAGTCTACACCAAAAAGCTCAAGTATTATAGGCTTGACAAGTTCTAAACCTTTTTTATCAATCTCTGACCTTTTGGACATCGATTTTTGTTGATCCCTTCTGCCATTTTTTGATAATCTTGTTGATTCAAATCCATGATACTCACATGGTAGCTAATTTTTATGCATCATTGAAGTATCAATCACCATTTTTAAACATAATACTTAGTCAATCACCATTATAAACAACATAGCTTAATAATGTCAACAGCAGAAGTCCAAAATCTAAAACTACCCGATCACAAACATCACAACCCTCAATCACCATTAACCACACCGATCAACAACAAATATACAAAAGATAAAAAAGTAGGTGAAGGTACTTATGCTGTTGTATATTTGGGTAAACAAACTACAACAAAAAGATCAATAGCTATAAAAGAAATTAAAACAGGATTATTTAAAGATGGATTAGATATGTCTGCAATAAGAGAAGTGAAATACTTACAAGAATTAAAACATCCAAATGTAATAGAATTAATTGACGTATTTTCAACATCAAATAATTTAAATTTGGTCTTAGAATTCTTACCATGTGATTTAGAAGTACTTATTAAGGATAAAAATATAGTTTTCAAAAGTTCAGATATAAAATCATGGATATTAATGACTTTAAGAGGTATACATCATTGTCATAGAAATTTTATATTACATCGAGATTTAAAACCTAATAATTTGTTAATATCACCAACTGGACAATTAAAAATTGCAGATTTTGGATTAGCTAGAAGTTTAGGTAATCCTAATGAAGATTTAAGTTCAAATGTTGTTACTAGATGGTATAGAGCTCCTGAACTTTTATTTGGTGCTAAACATTATACTGAAGCTGTTGATATTTGGTCAATTGGAATTATTTTTGCAGAATTAATGTTAAGAATCCCTTATTTACCAGGAAAAGATGATGTTGATCAATTGGATGTAACTTTTAGAGCTTATGGTACTCCAACTGAACAAATTTGGCCAAATGTTTCAAGTTTACCATTATATAATGCATTACATATTTATCCACCACCTTCAAGACAAGAGATGAGAACAAGATTTAGTGCTGCTACTGAAAAAGCTTTAGATTTTTTAATATTATTAACTCAATTAGATCCAAGTAGAAGATGTAATTCAACACAAGCTTTATTACATGATTATTTTGTTGAAAGCCCAAGACCTACTCAACCTGAAGATTTACCCAAAAAGCAACAAAGCACTAAAAGAGAAATACTGGAACAAGATGATTATTACACTTTAAATAGCGGTAATAAATCAGATGGATTGAAAAAAAGAAGATTACAAACTTAAATGTTAAAAACCAAAATTAACTTGCATTAAAAGAATCTAAATTTACTTTATATACATATATTTATTTTTTGTAATTAATGAGTTTAATGAATTTAATGACAACTTTCAGAATCACAATTTGTAAAACCATCAACTAAACAAAAAGATTTCGTAGTATTACCAAAAGTATTTTCTTCATTATTATTATTATGTTTTTTATTATTATTTTTCTTTTGAGTTTTCAATTCTGATTTTTTATAACTTGGAAATTCAGGTTGAATAGTAACTGAATGAACCCCATATTTATGTAAAATATCACGAACTTGAGATACAACAATTAAAAATAATTTTCGATCTATTTGCATATTTGAGTCATCAGTAGAATCAACACTATCATTAGATTCATTTTGCTGTTGTGGTGTTTGTGATGGTAAATTTATCTCACAATTTGATGTTAATTCTATATGTAATGATGCAATTAATATATCCTCATTTAAATTCCATACATGAAAATCATGAATATTTTTAACTAATGGTAAATCTTTAATTTCTTTAACTATTTCATCTGAATTTATATATGGTGGAGTTGCTTGTAATAATATTTTGGAAGATTTTAAACATAATGGTAATGCTGAATTAAAAATTATTATAGTAATAATTAATGATGTTACAGGATCAGCATAATATTTCCATGAAAAATCAGTTTTCCATATTATTAACGCTGTTATAATAACTCCAATATTTCCCAAAGCATCTCCCATAACATGTAAAAATACACCTTCCATATTCATTGATTTTCTTTTCTTGGTGGTGGTTGTGATTGTTGTTGATGTTGTTTTTGAGTCGTGAGAATGTGAATGTTCTGTTGTGGTTGTGGGTGTTGATGCTGAATTATATCTTTCAACTACATTATCTGGGAAATAATCAAATACTTCAGAAGGACTTGATCTTAAAGTACTATCGTTTTTAATTAATGGAGTTTGTTCATTATCTTCTTCTTCTACTACTCCATTCAATCCAATATTTGCTTCATCGCTAATATGAGAATGTGAATGTCCTTGATTTTGTGTAGATCCACCATGAGAATGAGAATGTCCATGTTCATGAAATAATACTAATCCAATTCCATTACTTATTAATCCTGCAATTCCAACAACTAAAATTAATTTGGGATTTGTAATTTCAGTAGGCAGGAAAAATCTTTGAATTGCATCCATTATAATAGTAAAACATAAAGCAATTAAAAAAACAGCATTAATTAATGCTCCTAAAATTTCAGCTCTTTGCCATCCATAAGTATATTTCCCATCAGCAGGTTTCAAATTTTTAACTTTAACAGCCCATAATGCAATAATTAATGATATTATATCATTTAACATATGAAATGAATCTGCTATTAATGCTAATGATTGAACTGTATAACCTATTATTGCTTCCAAAAGAAAGAATATAGTATCCAATACTAATAATGCACCTATTCTGATCTCTTTATTATTCATTTTTTGTTAAGTGATGATATATTAATAAAGATTAAATTGAAATGATATAGGAACACTTGATAAAATTTAAAACTTATGATAACTAATTTTTAAATGTAACCAATTATAAATTTAAACTTGAAAATTTAGATATATGGTTAAGAATATTAATTAAAAACTTAATAATAATTATAATAAAATTTAAAATAAATTAAATATAATAAAGATAATGTGATATGGATGAAATAAAATTATATGTTTTAATGATAAATGAATAGATGATCAACAACTATATATATTAATAGTCTAATAAAATGATACTTTCAGATATTATTTGGTCTATAAATTTATTACATATAATTTTTTATAAGTTAAAGTATGTTTTAAATTAAATATTAAAAGTAGTGTAAATTATAACAGAAGTCGTTATATATTATAATATACATAATAGTACTACTATTACTTTGATACTTCATCATATTAGAAAACTATGTAAGAGAATAAATTATCAAGATTATAAATAAATAATATCTTTTAAATTGTATATATATATTTAATACTAATTTATATGTATATTTAATCTTTTTCATCCTTTTACACCTACTTTTTTCTATGCAAACATTTATAAATATAAGACTCAATAAGTTTCAATCATCACAAAGTACTTTTATACAACTATTTCTTTGATTTTCAATTTTCTTCTAATTGTTGTTGTTGTTTTTTGGCTTTCTTTTTCTGATTCTTTTTTTGAGATTTTGTTAATGGTTTATTGTCAGTGGTTGTTGAATCTTCTAATTCTCCTTCCGCTTCTTTTTCTTCTTTTTCTTCTTCTTCTTTGTCGTCAACTTTTACCTCACTATTTTCTTCTACTTTTGGTTCTTCTTCTTTTGGAGTGTTTTTTTCTACTTCAATTTTTGGTTCTTCTGCAACTTTGACTGGTTCAGCAGCTTTTTCATCTTCATCAATTTTTAATTCTTCCAAATTATCATTTAATTTTGCTGCAGCTATATCATTCGTGAGTTCCTCTTTTTTGTCATCTTTTACTTTCGATACTGTCTCTACTTTTTCTTTATTTTTATCAATTATAGTTTCTTTTGGGATTGAAAAAGTAGAATTATTATCAACATTAATTAAAGGACTTGAAATACTTGGTTTATTTTTACCATTATTGTTTAAATTTGATGAGCTAGCATTTACACTAGTTGTTGAATTATTTTTTGATTGATAAGGACTATTTCTACCTGAATTTATTATTGATGAATTATTCTTTTTGGAATTGATTATTTTTGGAACTTGATATGTAGTTTGGAAATTTTCAGTTAATCCATATTTTTTCAATGCTCTTTTCTTTAATATTTCAATGTAATTAGTTCTACCTCTTATATTATTTTTACCAAATTCTTTACCATCTTTATCAAAGAAATTTAATTCACCTTGATTTTCATCTTCATCTCCAATAACATAGTCACCATCTCTATCATGTGATAAATAGCCTAATTGTTCTTGGAATTCACTTGAATCTATTAAGAAATTACCTTGTTCTAAATCACTTACAAAATCAAAAATAAATTCTTGTAAATTTGAAGCAATAACTAATTTTGTATCAAAATCTCTACCAAATAATATAATTTGTCCCCAATTACCATTTGGTCCTGGATTTAAATCCATTGCTATTTGATTCCCAATATTATCTTTTAACAATATAATCCAACTTTTGTGATAGTAATATGGTTGAATTGAATTTGGTGGAATTGATCTTTGATTTGTTATAAATGAATTCTTCTGTTGTTGTATTTGGTGATGACTATTACTACTACTACTTCCTTCTTTTATATTATTATCATCTTGTTGTTGTTGTTGATGTTGCATCATATAATATTGTCTTTCAATTCTTTCTGCAACTTTATTCCATAAGATATTTTCTTCAACAATCAGTTCCAAATCCAATAATACTAAACCCATAATTAAACCCGTAGGTTTCCCACCTCTTAATTGTCCATCATGTCTTTTATAAAATTGTCTAAATTCATCAGGTAGTTTTGTTGAACCACATTTTAAATCTTGTAAAAATTCATTCAAATCTGCTGTTGTAACTCCATCATTTAAATTATCTTCTAATTCTGGATATTCTTCTTCTATCCATGATTCTATTCTATCCCATAAAGAATCAATAGATGGTAATGGTGGTAATCCATTTGAATCAAAATTTTGTAATGGAACATCTTGTTGTTGAACATTTACATTTAATTTACTTTGTGATGATCTCATTCCTGGTCTATAAAATCCTCCACTTGATTCTTGATTATGTAATGATTGAGTTGACATATTAATATCAGAATTTAAATTTAAACTTGATTCATTTGGATATGGATTATTTGATTGATCATTTAATGAAGTTGGATCATTTTTTTTTGATTTAAATGGTGAATCATAAGATGCATAATGATCATCCGTAGTTATTGAATGAACAAATGCTTTAAAATTATCAAGTAAACCCATGTTAGTTGTTATATTTAATTAATTGTAAGCGATTGTTATTGTTTCAAGTTGAAAGTATTGTTTTTTAGTAAATAAATATTTTTAAAGAATGTTGTTCATGTAATAATTGTAAATAAAAAAAGATCTTAAAATCTAATAATGTAATGTAATATTGATATTAATATTATTTAATTGAACTATTCTTGATACTCTAGATTCTAAAGATAAATATATAATAATAATTCTGGTTGTATAAGGAAATAATTGAACTATTATTATTTATTTAATTTACTTCTTAATTATTAAAATAGCTTATAAAGTAGTGGAGAATGTTTAAAAAAAATGTGTTTGTTTGTTCAATAAACATAAAAATTTTTTATTTTTATTATCATTTTGTACTTGGAATTATATTAATCCGGTTTAATCAATTAACTCGAACTAGTTCCAATTCCGAATGAAGTTCAGCTCGATTTTGCAACGAATTAATACAACATACCTTAAAACATACCATTAAATACTGTATATAATTATTACTCGAAAGTCACGTAATTACGTGACATTTTTAAACTTACGTGGTAGCAATGACCGCCTTTTTTGTTAATTTATGACGTATTCAAGCATTTCAAATATTTTTCGCATTTTATCATTTTTTGAATGCGCTTATCAAACGACCTTAGTATACCATAACAAATAAAGTACCATTTCAAAAGTAGCAAATCAAAAAACAAAATAAGCAAACTGATCATAACATGTCAACTAGAAATAAAAACTACATTTGTGAATTCAACTTGAATAATGCAAATGCAATTATCTAAAGAAGTACATATTTTATATCTTTCTTGTAAATTAGTTTTTTCATAAAATTCATTAAATTATTATTCTATAAAACTCATTTATAAAATCTTAAAAAGAAGTAAAAGTTAATATTAGGAATTAAAACTTAAAAACAATGCGTTTTGTGAATTCTTGAACAAAAGTTTTAAAAGCTTTTCTATACTCAAATTTAGTACTTAGCTCCATCATCAAGGTTATGATGTATCAAATAGTTACCAATACAATCACCGAAAAATTCCAAAACTAGACTTACGCTACTTAAATTAGTAATCTTATTAATCTTGTTAATCAAATTATAATTGATTACTTCATTAACTTTTGAATCTTGTTTATAGTCAGGATCATGTAATACTTGTTCTCTTATCCAATGTGCAGTGGTTGGAATTTCTCCTGAAGCTCTTTTGGAAATTAACATTAGGTAATATTTAATTCTTATTAAATTTGATGCAATTTCAGTATTTGGACAATGTTGACTATTTTCAGGTATTAATTCTTGTGATATTAATTTTATAATCAAATTAATAAAACCTGGGAATTTATGATTACCATTTATTAATTCATTTATTGTATATCTTTGATCACAACCATTATCATCTATATCATTAATTTCTTCAACTGTTTTACCAGTTCTTATCCCTCCATTACTAATACTTCCATTCATCAAAGGTTTACTATTCCCATTTCCATTCCCATTCACGTTCCCATTTGACATGCCAGCTAAACTTGAACTTGATGAAGATGATCTATAACCTTTTAAGTAAACATTATTATCATATAAACAATCATTACCTTCACTTAAATATCTATCAAACCATGAAAAATCATATCCAATAAATTCATGATAATCTAAATTCCATAATTCAAAAGATTTGAACCAGAATTTATTTTTCAATGGTGAATCAACATTATGAGCAAATTTCATATTTTTTTCAACTTTCAGTATTGGTATATAAAAATTTGGTTTAAATTTAAGTATTGCTTTAGATAATAAACTAATGAAAATCGAATATGCAGCATTTTCAAAATCAGTAATTTGAATTTCCATTGGTCTAAATTCAACTCTCCAACCTGGTCTATTTGTAAAATCTATCAATCCATTTTCTTGAATTTCATATAATGCTGGTGGTTTAAACCTTAAAGTTTGCCAATTTGTACTTTGTATATTTTCAAAATGATCATTACTGAGTTGATTATCTTGATTTATTCTTTCATTGAATATTACTAATGGATCTCTTATAAACAAATGTGCAAAATGATTAGCTAAATATTTATCAAAAAATTTCAGTTTTTCTGTGGTTAAAATTTTGAAAACTTTCTCATTTCTAGGAGCATTTAAATCATTATATTCATCTTTATAATAATTTGTATCATATTTGAAATCACTAAGATAATTATCAACTGAATCGTATCTTGATTTAGGTATTTTTTGTATTGGTTTCCCATCTTTTGTAAATAAATCTTGTAAATCTCCATTCTTGTTAACTCCATGATTATTAATTTGAAGATTTTTTTTGGAATCAATATCTAATCCACCAAAAAGGTTATAGTTTTCATAAGGTTCTTCAAATTTCTCTATAAATGTACGATCATCAACTGCTCCACATATAACATTCCATCTAACATCTTGATTTACTAAGTAACCTTTAAAAATTGGGGCTGCACCAGATAAACTTAACATTAATGGAGCTATAGGTACCAATGAATCATACAAGTATCTAGCTTCATCTATATTAGAACATTGCATAGTAATTTGTAAACAACTTGATCCCATTCCAAATCCCATTGAATCCATATAAACAAACCCAGGTTTTGAAGCACCTAATTCAGGTTCTTTATCACTTTTAAATAATTGACGATTATTGGGTATTGAATCATCTAATAATTTAGTATTTTTATCAGGATACATTGGTAAATTAATTGAAATTTTATGACCTTTTCTTTTTCTTATATTTGCAGTTAATGTTGGAAATCTTGCATGTCTATTTATAATTTCATCAGGTAAAAATAATGATTGTGATGCTGGTCCTATAGCTTTTGCAGAAGGTGAAGTAAAATTATTACAGCCCATTCTTGGATAACTTGTCAATGTTAATGGTTTTATATTTTGAGGTAATTCTGATTCACTTATTTTTCTTCTTTTAATCATATTTTTTTCAACGTATATATAATCATTAAGACATTCACCATTATAAGGTTTTAAAGGAGTACCTTCAATCATAAATCTACCATATTCTGGATGAAATGATACATTATTATTTATAGATTTATTTAATGATTTATTTTCATCATTTAAATCATTTAATATATAATCTTTATCAATTGATAATTTTGCTGTTTTATGTTGTTCATCTAAATCAATTAACATATATTCAACTTCATCTCCCCATAAAAATTTATCATTTTGTCTATTAAAATGTTGTTTAAAAATATTTATTAATTGTATTGTACCATTATCTCTAACATGTTCATTATATTTTTTTGATTCATGCCAATCTAAAGGCGTACCTAATGATAGCAAACCCATTTATTAATATTAAAAATTGAAATTAAAGAATTATATGTGTAAAATAAAAAATTGAAAAAGTCTGGAAAAGTCTATAATTTAAATTGAATTGAAATGGTTGTAAAAATATATGAATTTCTGGTAAATGAGTATTTTGATTGAAAAAATTAGCAAATATTATTGGTAGGACTACCTAAATAAGTAATAGCTAATGAATATGTAAAGAATGATATATGAATAAATAAAATTGAGTATGATTAAGTTGTTTAAATTGGTTGTAAAAAGTGAATTGAAAATTTTGAAGGGTAATACAAATTGCAGTAAAATTAATTTATGTATTTAATATCCGCTATGTTAATTGAAATAAAAAGTATGATAATGAGCAAAGTTGCAATAATTATTAATTTCTATTTAATCTTAGTGGAAAAAAAGAAAAAATTCAAAAATTATTCTAATCTGTTTATTCTGAAAATATCAAGTGTATATATTAAATCTGTGAAACTTGGTTTGTATATATTCCTTAATATTCTTTTCTTATCAGATTATCAAAAAGATTTAATCAATTAATTATTTATAATCAATAAAATTTTTTTTTCATCCTAAGATGATTGTTAAAGTATGAAAGAAGATGATTTAAGAATATTAAAAACTTTAAATAATAATAATTACTAATCAATAGCACACAAAATCGAAGGGTTTTTACAATATTTACATACTACATATTTACATTGGCAGGTAGGTCAAAAATAGTACATTTTAAGTATATCAAATAAAAGAATCAATATAAATTATTAGCAGCCTTGATCCTAATTTGTAACATCATTGATGAAATTAATTTTTATACAGTTAATCTCTATCTTTCTACTCTCTGTTATACTCCACAATCAAAAATATTATTTACTTACGTTAAATAAAGTTAAATTTTACGAGGAAAGCAAAAATTTTATTAAGTGGAAAATTTTAATTATTTTCTTTTTAAAATTTTACGATTTTTTTTTTTTTCAATTTACATAATTAATTGAAATATACAGTTGCGGTACGGATGCAATGTTAATAATAAAATTATTATTATAATTTAAAACTAAATAGAATTATTTTTTTAAATTTAATGCATCGAAGTGGTTGCAAAAAACTTTATATGAAATTAAAAATTTAAAATACGATAAATAAATGTGTGTTTCATATATTTTACATTAATATATTTAAAGTAAGATTTAATTATTTAATATAATCCATCAATATTTTCAACAATACATCTTTCTTCTCCTTCTGGTTTATTAATTAATTCACCAATTATAACTGCATCTTTTTCACCATTTGATTTTAAATTGTTTAAAACTTTTGTTACATTTTCTTTTTCAACAATTAATACCATACCAATACCTAAATTAAAAGTTTTTAATATATCATTATATGGAACTTTACCTTGTTTACCAAACCATTTAAATATAGTTGGAACTTCCCAATTTTTAATATTAATTTTAGCTTGTAAATTTTTTGGTAATGCTCTTGGAATATTTTCAATTAATCCACCACCTGTTATATGAGCTAAACCTAATAATAAATCATCATTTATACTTGATATTAATTGTTTAACATATATTTTTGTTGGTATTAATACTTCTTCTCCTATGGTTTTTGATTCATTCCATGGAGCTGGGGATTGATAATCAAATTGACTTATTTCTATAATTTTACGAACTAATGAAAATCCATTTGAATGTATACCATTTGATTTTAAACCAATTAATATATTACCTTGTTTCATTTCATTTATTTTTGGTAAAATTTTATCTTTATTTACTGCACCAACAGCTGTTCCATTAGTATCATAATGACCTTCATCATACATTCCTGGCATTTCTGAAGTTTCTCCACCAACTAATGCACAACCTGCTTCAATACAACCATTAGCAACACCTTCAACAAAAGATGCAGCAATTTCGACATCTAATTTACCAGTTGCAAAATAATCTAAAAACATTAATGGTTCAGCTCCTTGTACAACTAAATCATTTACATTCATTGCAACTAAATCTATACCAACAGTATTATGAATATTCATAATTTGTGCAATTCTTAATTTTGTACCAACACCATCTGTTGCTGCTACTAATAAAGTATTTGATGTATTATAACCTGCGGCTTTTAAATCAAATAATCCACCAAATCCACCAATATCTGAATCTGCTCCAGGTCTTGAAGTAGATTTAACTTTTGCTTTAATTGTTTCAACTAATAAATTCCCATTATCTACTGAAACTCCAGCTTCTGCATATGTAACACCACCTCCTTGTTGTTGATTCATAAATTTATCAGCATCTCTAAAAGCTCTATGTGCAATATCTTTTCTATTATATTTACCATCAAATTTAATAAATTCAACTCCTTCATAAGCTTTATCAACTGATTCTCTTAAAGTTGATGCAATAGCTGTGGCTGCTATAACTCTACCACCATTTGTAACAATCTTATTATCTTCAGTTGTTGAGGTACCTGCATGGAAAACAAAAGTATCTGAAGGTAATGGAGTTTTTATTGTAATCTCATCGCCCTTTTTATAAGATTCTGGATATCCACCTGCAGACATAACAACAGTTGTAGAAAATAATGATTTAGTTGAAATTTTAACAGAATCTAATCTATGGTCAGCAGCTGCTAACATAACTTGAGCTAAATCAGTATCATCACTTAATAATGGTAAAACAGTTTGAGTTTCTGGATCTCCAAATCTTACATTATATTCCAAAACTTTTGGTTGATTTGATGGTGTTAACATTATACCAGTAAATAATATACCACACATTGGGAATCCATCTTTTCTCATACCATCAATAGTTGGTTTTATAATTTCTTTATCGATTTTATCTAATATTTCTTTTGTTGCAATTGGTGCTGGTGCATATGCTCCCATACCTCCTGTATTTAAACCTTTATCACCATCATTTATTCTTTTATGATCTTGAGCAGCAGGTAAATTATAAAATGAATATCCATCAGTAATAGTTAATATACTTAATTCATCACCTTCTAAATATTCTTCAATAACAATTTCATCTCCTGCTGATCCAAAATTCTTATCAACCATAATTTCATTTAATCCTTTTAATGCTTCTTCTTTTGTTTCTGGAATTAAAACTCCCTTTCCAGCAGCTATACCATCAGCTTTTAAAACTAATTTATAATCTATTGATTCAATATATTCTTTAGCTTTATTTACATCAGTAAAATTTTGAAATTTAGCAGTTGGTATTTGATGTTTGTCCATAAAATCTTTTGAAAATGCTTTTGATCCTTCTAATCTTGCAGCTTTTGGTGATGGACCAAATACAGGTATACCAACTTTAGTGAAAACTCCACTTATACCATCAACTAATGGTTGTTCAGGTCCAGGTATAACTAAATTAATTTTTTTATCCAATGCAAATTCTTTTAATTTATCAAAGTCTTTTGGTGATGAATTTATTGGTACATTTGTAACTTTTGAAGATTGAGTTGTTGTACCTCCGTTAGCTGGTGCAACATATATATGATTAACAGTTGGTGATTGTAATAATTTCCATACAATAGCATGTTCTCTACCCCCATTACCAATAACTAAAATATTTAATGACATGGTGTATTAAATTGTGTAATAATGAATTTGAAAGAATTGAATTGAGTGGATTGATAAACCTTTTGTAAATATAATATTTACTGGAGTCGTTCCAATTAATTGAATTGTAACTGTTATAAATTTTTTTTAAAGGTTACAAAATCTATATACTAAGACAACCTGTATATAAAATCTTTTCATTTAGAGATGAGAATATTAAATTAATAAATTGACTCTTACATTTCATAAAGCTACCAGCTGTGTCCTTTAATTTCCATTCTACGAACTTTGATAATTTGTTAAGATCAATGTGACATAAAGAATAAAAGTTACAACGTGGAAAGCTCTCAAAGTTTTATCAGCGACCTGGTTTAGTTGCCGCGGGCAAGAATGACTCTAATTGCTCAAGACAAACTTCATAAAATTCTGATGGAAATACTTGATTATCTTAATTTGTATTTGAATTAGACTACAAATTCCAGAGATATTGGAAAAGATTATTTTACATATGAACCTTATTGTCTTTGTGTTGAGAGTGTTCGATAATTTCACCTCCATTAATTAAGTTGTGTGGTAAAAATATTATGTTTTAAATTGATGCAAAAATACTGAAAAAATAAATAATTATTTTCAAAACAAAATAAAAGCATAATCAAAAGAATTTGCAGTTAAGTGTTTGTAACAAATGTAAAAAATGTATCTGCTATGAGTTCAGTTATATGATTACAATGTTAAGGTCTGATCTAATGAAATTATTTTCAGAATATAGATACTTCATTTTTGTGTAACGATCAGTTATTATCTGATCGATCAGTAAAATTTTGTACCAACTTTTTTTTGAAGATGAAATTTCTTAATTCTGAATTTACTTTCTGAGTTTAGAGCAATTACTTGATAAAATTAGCTTTGTCTTGAGTTGATCGCCTAGTATGTAATAAAACTGGAGTCTCAAAATTACTAGGGTTTTCAATATAGCTTTTCGATTTTTTATCATGAAGATCAAATGGCATAAAAATATAGTACAAATTATATCCATTAAACTTTTCATTCAATTTTCGTATTGTAGAGAGAGGTAGAGTTGGACAAAAGTATGTAAAAAGTCTTCAAGAGGTAGCCATGCTGAAATATTTTATTGAAACTTTTAATCGATTAAATAAATTAAAGGGAGGAGGTACAGAATAGAATGGATTAAATAATAAATTGACTTCAAAGCCGACTTCAACTTAAATAATTTTTTTTTTTTTTCTATATATAATGGTTGATATATTTAATTTAAGTTCAACTATCCTATTGTTTTAAGTAAAAATCCAATCAAACTGTACAAAAATTAATGCATAAAAAGTGGATTATGAGCTAAAGATAAATTTAGATTTATATTATTAGTTAAAACTAACAACTATAGTGCCATTTTACTTATAAAACTATTGATTGTACTGCATGAACTAACTAAAAATTGAAAATTTTTCAGTTGTAAACTTTTCAATAATTGGTTAAAATTTTAATACATTGTACATATTCATTAAATTTTATCTTTTCCATCTATTATAATAATAATTATTATACGCATTAATTTTTAAAATTTTTGACAGATTAACAATAGAACTTATAAATTAGTTGAATAGTATTTAACCAACTTTGTATCCTCAATGTCTTAAATTTTTTACATTTTTGAAAGTAGGCTCCTTTTCTTTACATTCTTTATTTCTTCAAGTTTAATTCTAATTACAAAATGGTTTCAATTAATACTTTATTACCATTAATAGTATCATTATCATCATCAGTTTTATCATTTCAATTATTGCATGATCAAGATGGATATGCAATTTTACCACCAACTGATAAAGTTTTAGAGCATTTAAAACAAGTTGGAAAACAAGATTCTTCAGAACATTATGATGTTTTAACTACAGTACATAGCAATGGGGAAATTATTCAAGTTAATTTACATTCACATGAAATAAATCAAACTGGTAAATATAAATACGATTATGATAATTCAGCTTATAATGATGAATCAAAAAGAGATTTATTTACAAGAACTATCGAAGATGCTGATTTAAAACAATGTTTTAATAAAGAATTTGAATTAGAAAGTTCTCAATGTGGATTTGATTTTATTTCTTATGATAATGCAACAGATTGTGATCTGAGTTCAACTAAATATTCTTGTGTTTTAGATGTTATGAAACAACAAGATGCTACATTAAAATTAAAAGATATGGATGATGTCCCTGCTCAAGTAAGATGTTATCACAAATTATCAACTGCACAAAAAGATGAAGTTATTGGTGGTGCTTGTGGTAAATAAATGTTTTAAGTAGTTTATAACTGTTTGTCTTTCTTAATATATACGTTTTGTTGAGATTTCACTCGATTTAGATTTAACTCAGTTTTTACTCTCACTCTATCAGTTTCTTTATCGAAAGTCTTATTTATTGGTTTGCAACATCAGTATAGTCTATGAAAGGTCTATGTACATGATATGTTTGTATTTTTCCTGAATAATAATTAAATTGCAACATCACCAATATCAATAATTCCCTCGAATTTATAATTTTCATCACTTGGTAATTTTACTTGATCACCATTTTCATTAATAGGTGAGTATAAATAATAACTTAGTAACAGATTAATACTTGCTCTAATTTGAGCCTCTTTTAAACTTGATCCAATACCTTCACCTAATTTTTCATCACCTACAAAGCAACCAGCTAAAAATTGAGGATGAGCTGATAATCTACCGGTTTCTGCAATTAACCTTATTGTCAAAGGTTCTTTGAATTGTAATTTATCACACAATCTTATCAATTCTGAAATTGGTTTATTAAATTCAAACATTTTTTCAAATTGTAAATTTCTTGATAATATGTGATCTTTTATAAAAGTTTTGGCAACATCTTCTCCACAATGAGTATATATGCCACCTATTATTGATCGTACAGCACTTGCGTACGCTATATCTTCTTGATTCAACATAGTTAATGGGTCTTTTTTTTCTTCAATTCCTTTAATTTTTATTTTATTTTCTTTTATATCATTAGTCATATATCTTAATCTACCGTATTTTATAAATTCAGATTCTTGACCTAAAAATCTATCAATTTTACTTATTTCATCGACTTCAATACCCCAACTTTTACCAATTTCTGATAATGTTTTTACACCCATTAAGGAGTCCACTGATGCATTGTGGATTGTCATAGGTAATCTTGGATAATTCATTAACAAATATTCACTGACGTAGTAACTTAATAATGTTTTACCAATTGTATTTAAGCCAAAATTATTGGCCAATCCCTCACTTTCTTTTGATGAAGTTTTTAACATATTTAAACATTGTGATAAAGTACTTAATTTGAATTGTGGACTTAAATTTAATCTTGAATGTAATGATACTAAAAGTGGTGATTGTTCTGCAGTTGATTCTGGTAATCTATGTATGAAAAGGTTATTATTATTGGTGACAGATGAATTGAAATCTATTGATGATGAAGTGTTATTATTTGATGTAGGTTTGGTTGTAGATGAAGATGATGATTGTCTTATTTTTGGTGTATTGTGAAGACAACGTATGCAGTTTAGTAGTACCCTTGAATTCCCAGCATTAGAAGAACATGAAATTAGTCTGAACATTATTGTTATGTTCTTGATGTTTCCAGACTAATTTTATACGTCTTGATATTTTAAAACTTTGCTAGTATAGTTTGATTTGAAAATTTTTTTAGAATAGTAACAAAACTAGAGACAACTTGGTAGCCTTTGAATATTTGCAACCAATTTTCAGATACAAATTGTAATCATCTTGCAGTCCACATCCTTGCTTACAAAAGCTCAAGATTCGAGTCTGATGTTATTTCAGCATAAAAAAAAGCCAAGCACAAACCAGCTGAGAAATTAACCAGTATCAACTTGCATGATAGCTCAGACAACGATATATTGTCACATTATAAAGTAAATTTCATTTACAACTGGTGTAATATAAATGACCGAGACCAGACACACCATGAGCATTAATTTATGGCTTACGGCTTTGCTAATAGTTTTCATCTTTCACGCTGACGATTTGCTTGTGCTTAGGTATCGACATATAGCAGTAGTTACTGTTGTTATATAGGTAGTGTAAATTTCCTAAATACTATTTCGTATATTTTTTCAAATAACCAACCAAATCTTAACAGAAAATTCTTACTTAATAAATCAAGTATAACAAAATAATATTAAATAAATCAACTTATAGACATAAATATTCATATCACCATTTATCAACAACATACTACACATCATAAAAACATTCTCATTTATCAAGTAAACAATTCATTAGTTTAGGGAATATAAATTTTTTCATTCATTATAAATATCATACAATACATACAATTCAATAAATATTAAAATATGGCAGGAACAAAGTTAAGTGCAGCTGCAATTGCAACGATGTCATCTGTCTTGGTCTTATACGTAGCAATAAAATCCCCTTTAAAATACAAATGGGCAGAAGAAAATAGGATGAATCCAAAGGCAGATTTAGCATTTAGAGAAGCAGCTGATAAATGGTTGGAAAAGAATAAAGATTTACCAAGAGATATAAAATTAGGTACTTCCACTTCAGATGGTTTTGAAACTTTCTGGAGTGTATTGTCTTGGCCTATTAGAGCTCCATTTATGGCTTATGATACTGTTTCATCATCTTTCACACCAAGTAAGAATGGAAGTATAAGTAACGTTAAGGATAATGAATAAATACATAAATAATTTAAAATACATGTACAATATTATTTATCAATAATTCGAGATTGAACCGTGAATAAGAACTGAATTTTTATAAGATTCAAATTAATTTGGAGGCTTTGCATCAAAAATTCCTAATTTAAAATCTGGAATTTTATTTCTCAATGCAAGTAGTCGAGTCTCTTTATTTGATCTTTAAATTAGTAAGCTCAAGTTCTCAAATATATTGGGTAACAGCATTAAACTTCTCAAGTTCTTAGTGGTTTAAATTGAATCTAATCAAAGAAGATGCTCAAATAGTTATTGCTAAACTAGGGATTAATTGATTGTTAGATAAGTGGTCAGTCTCTACTATAAATTTAATTGCATGGAAGTTGGTCAAGAAATATTTTATGATAATTTGCAACCAAAATGTTGTAAAAAATTGTGTTGCAAACTTTTTCTTTTCTATGTAGCACTGTTTTTACCTTGCCAAAAAAAATTAATTTCCCATTGCTACTTAATATTCAAAAATGTTCTTCTAAATGACTACTAGTACTTATTTATAATACAACAGTATAGAGGTTACGATTCTTGGTTTTGGTCAAATTGTTTTTAACACAAAAATTATAATGAAATTCGAGGTATACATTAGAACTTATGAATTTCACTAGAACGTACCTTAGAGCCATCGTCACAACCGAATTGATTAAATTATCAACATCAGCAGACAAAATTAGCGTATCATGACTTGCATTTTCTGCATCACTTTCATCCAATCAGTAGATCAGAATATTACACAAAAACAACTGAAAATAATGATTTTCTTTGTCAAATTGATTGTTTCATTGAAAATGATGTATGTGTTTTGAATCTATATTTAAGATGTACATGTAAGACATCTGTAATATTTATGTAAAGATCTATTATGAGTTGTTTATTAGACAATCAAGTGACTTATTAGAGTTTAGTAGGGCACTTTGGTCTAAAATATTCAATTAAACTATTTTACGAGGTATTTATTAATCACACTAAAATTGAAATTGTTCACACAATTGCTATAATCTGAATGAAATTACTTGATATAATAGATTAAAATTTATGATGATAATGCATGAGCAAGACTCGAGATTATTTAATAGCTATTCAAAAAGTTAGTATATTTTTTATATTATGAAACTGATTAATAACTACGTAATTACTTCATTTATTTAAGTTTGCTCCAGATTTTATTTTTAAATTAATATTTAATTTTTTATTAAAACATGAAATTTTTAATTTCTAATTAAAGAAGTTTTAAATGATTGGAATATTTATATCAATTGACTTATATCCCCTTTTTTTGATACAGTTTCTCAATTTATTTTCTTTCTTTTTTTTTAATTAACAATTGGACCAATAAGTTACAATACATCAATTGATTTTACCTTGATTAGTTTATAGAATCTCAATTCTCTTACTCAATTGAATTGAATTTAACAATGCCCTTACCACTTCAAGAATTAGATCCTGATTTTTATATTTCATTTAAATATCCAATTGATGAAACAACTAAAAAAGTTAATTCAACTACTGATAAATCATTATATAAATTAATTGAATTATTATATGAAAAAGGATTTGCAGCAACAATTAGACCTGGTGAACCAGATGTTTTATTAATTTTTATCAGATTATCACCATATAAATTTATTGAAGAGGCTGAAAAAGATTTAATAAAAAACTATGAATTTGGAATTACTTCTAAAGATGATCAATTGAGTTCAAGATTCAGAATTATATTTCTGTATTTAACATCAAATGAAAAACTCGGTGGTTGTGGTATAACACCTCAGGAAAAACCGTGGGAAAACGTCTTAGATATTGTTCCAGTCACTACAGCATTTGATGAAACTTTTTTAATTGAAGAATTGAAATCAAATTTTTCAGATACAGAATTATCAACTAATAAGATTAAAAAGATTTATGGTGTTCAAATTGCTTTGTATTTCGAGTTTTTCAAATATTACATATATTGGTTACTTGGATTATCAGTTTTAGGTTTAGTTCAATTCTTTAAAAAATCCAAAAAATATTCATTAACTTATGCATTTGTTAATTTAATCTGGGGTACTTTTTTTATATCATATTGGCATAGAAAAGAACAATATCTTGTTAATTTATGGGGAGTTCAAAATTGTCATTTAATTCAAGAACATAAATCCGAGTTAGCTAGACTTAATGAAAAATTCGAAGAAAAATCAACCTATGTTCATCAAAATAACACAGCTGGTTTTAGATTTATCAAGCAATTAATTTTTGTTCCAATCGCTTTAACTTTTGTTGGTGTTTTGGTCAGTTATCAATTAGGTTGTTTTTTCATTGAGATTTTCTTAACTGATTTATATGATGGTCCTGGGAAATCCTTTTTAACTTTATTACCAACTATTTTAATTTCCGTTTTTATTCCAGTTTTAACTATCGTTTATAATTTAGTTGCTAACATTGTTATTAAATTAGAAAATCATGACAATCATGCTAGTAAAAATAATTCGATTGTTGTTAAACAATTTGTTTTAAATTTTTTGGTTAGTTATGCACCATTACTTATTACTTCATTTTTATATTTACCATTTGCGCATTTAGTTGGACCACATTTAGGAGATATTAAATCAACTATTTCAACATATGTTGGAGAAAATAGATTTTACACCAAATATTTAACAAAATTAAAATCTCAGAAGGAATTTCAAATTAATCAGGGTAGATTAGATGCACAATTTTTTTATTTTACAGTTACCAATCAAATTATTCAAGCTTTCATGAAATATGCTTTACCATTAGTTATTGCAAAAGCTACAAGATTTTATCAATTAAAAATCCAAAAGAAACCACAATTACAAACGAAAGATGATAATGCACATGAAGCTATTTGGTTACATAACGTTCGTGCTTCATTAAGTTTACCTGAATATGACGTTGATGCTGATATGAGAAGTTTGGTCATTCAATATGGTTATTTAATCATGTTTGGATCAGTTTGGCCATTAGCACCGTTAGCTTCTGTTTTTTTTGATATAATTTTCTTCAAATTAGATGAATTCAAATTACAAAGTGGTAGATATTTCAAACCACCAATTCCAAAAAGAGTTGATTCTATTTATCCATGGAATTGGGCATTATTCTTATTAACTTGGATTGGTTCAGTTGTTCAACCAGTCGTTACTGCATTTTATCGTCATGGTACTGCTCCACCAAAGACAATGGGTCAATTTGCATTTGATAATGCTAGTGTTCATGTTTCATCATCAGTTTATTTTGTATTATTACTTTTATTTTCAGAGCATGGATTCCTTATTTTGAGTTATGTCTTGTATAAATTAGGTAATTTATTCAAAAGTGAAGTTGAATGGGAGAATGATTTTGTTGATAATGATATGAAATTAAGACATGATCATTATTCAAATAAAGTTAAACCTACGATAAAAGTTAGAGACATTCAAGCATGGAAAGATTACACACCAGAATCAACATTGGAATTCAGACCACCAGTTGCCGTTCCAACTGATGACTCCTTAGATGTTGAAAAAATACCATTGAAGAAACAAGGATTTACTACTTCATTAGAATCATCTGAAACTACTGTTCATTCACGTTCTGATCAAGCTAAATTAATAGCTGAAAAAGAAAGATTATTAAGAGAAAGACAAGCTGAATTAGCAAGGTTAGAAAAAGAAAGAAAATTAGGACCTGGCGCTGTATCTGCTAGTGAATATGATAATTTAAAAAGAGATAAAGAAGAAGGAGACTCCATCATTGAATCAAAATCAGACCCAAAAGGTAGTAAAAAGTACAGTACAATTGACAATAATAATCACCGTAGTGATAATATTTTAGGCGCTTCAGTATTACCCCCAGCACCAAATGATAAATCTGCAGAAGTTCAAACTGATAAATACACAACCGACACTACACACTCAGCTAAAGCTGCTGCTATTGCTCCTTCTGCCGCTGGCTTACCCTCAGCAGCCGGTGCACCACCAAAATCAAGTAAATCAGATAAAACAAGTTCAAGTAGTTCTAAAAAGGATACATCCTCAAATTCAAAATCTGGTGCAGGAGGTGTTGATGGAACAAATTCAAATTCATCTACCTCTAATTCAAACTCTTCAAGAAATAAAGATCAGGTCAACATGGTTGATGATGAAAAAGAGTACAGGAAATTACAAAATGATTCCGATAAAGAATCAAAACACAAGAAAAGTGGATTGAAGAAATTATTTAATAAAATTTAAGCTTATTTTAAGTCCTTGTATTAATACATTTTAATTAATTTTTCTAGTTTATATTAATAATTGTCATATACATAATATTTTTTTTACAAAACTAATTAATTTTTTGTAGGTCTTGCTCCAAAAATTGAAGAACCAACTCTCACATTTGTACTTCCTTGTTTTATTGCTTGTTCATAGTCATTACTCATACCCATACTTAATTGTAAATCTAAATTAAACTTATCGTCCAAATTCTTTTTCATATCAGTTAATTTTTTGAAGTCTTGATTTTCTTCATGTTCAGATGTCGATTCAGCAAATGAACCTATGGTCATTAGCCCAATAAGATTTAACTTTTTACATTCGTCACTTTTCAAATATTCAATACATTTATCAATATCGTTTTCATCTAAAAATCCCGATTTTTGTTCTTCTCCCGAAGTGTTGATTTGTAAGAAAACATTTATCACTTCACCGTTTTTCCTCTCTCTTGCATTATTCAATTGTCTACATTTTTTCAAACTATCCACTGTTTCAACAGCATATAAATTTGAAACTTTATTACTCAAATCTTTAGTTTTACCCAGTTGTAAACCACCAATAAAATGCCAACATATATCTTTTGGTAATTCTTCTGATTTTGCTATTAACTCTTGAACGTAATTTTCTCCGAAATGTCGTACTCCTATTGAATATAATGCCATTATATCTGAAGATGGTTTAAATTTTGATACTGCTACTAATCTTGTTTTGGGATTCAAAGCTTCAACTTTTTTTAGAATGGTGTTGTAATTTTCAATTAATTCTTGAGCTCTTGACTCTGTCGGCTGAGGATAACTGGACATGGTTCTAATGAGTTTAGTAGATTGTTTTAAAGTATTGATTCTTAAAGAATGCATAAAAATGTCATTTGGTTAAATCAAAAAATCATGAGAAAGATTGCAAAAAAAATTTATATTTATTGAAAAGTCCGACCTAACAAATACCCCGACTAAACGACAATAGGTAAAAACAGCCAACTTTATTTATATGACTCTACTATCAAATTAATAAATGACAAACATACTAAATTGGAAAAATGTGTATCTATTAACAATTCCATTCAGATTTATATTTACTTTATCCAATTCATACATTCATCCAGACGAACACTTTCAATCAATTGAAGTATTAAGTAGTACTATTTTAGGATATTCAACTAATTTACCATGGGAGTTTACATCAGATTTACCAGCAAGAAGTTATGCTCCATTATATATAATATATGGTCCCATACTATATTTCATTAAATTTTTCAATCTTCAATTAACACCTATTCAAATATGGTATATACTACGATTACAAGTCTGCATTATTAGTTGGTTGCTTATAGATTTTTGTTTATACTGGATGTTACCTACAAAACAGGAAAGAATTAAAGCATTATTTTTCACACTGACCTCATTTGTATCTTTGGTGTTTCAAAATCATTTATTTTCAAATAGTATTGAAACTGTATTGTTACTAGCAGTGGTTTATATACTAGATGATTTGAGGTATATTCAAGAACAAAAGGACCTAGAGAATATGAATAAAACAAAGACTTTATTGGTGCTAGGTGCCTTACTATCATTTGGAATATTTAATAGAATTACATTTCCTGCATTTTTGATCTTACCAAGTTGGTATTTATTAACATATGTGTACACCCATTTGAGTTCAATAATTCCATTGACTTTGGGATTTATTTTACCAACTATAGCATTCGTTTTATTAGACACATATCTATATAACTCAAGTTCATATGTAATTGCCCCATTAAATAACTTACTATACAACTCGAGTTACGCAAATTTATCAATACATGGAATACATCCCTTTTATACCCATGTGCTAGTCAATTTGCCTCAGTTAATTGGCCCAGGTTTGGTTTTCATGTTGTCCAAAGTTTATATAAAAACAACACCATTTTTAACAATATTAAGTGGACTTATTTTCCTCTCAATTTTCCCACATCAAGAGTTAAGATTTTTGATCCCCTTGTTACCGCTTTGTTGTTGCTGTTTTGATTTGACTCAAAAATTTGTTAAGCCATGGATGGTTCACTTATGGTATATTTTTAATATAGGAATGAGTTTACTTATGGGAGTGTTCCATCAGGGAGGTGTTGTGCCTGCTTTAGAATATATTAGAGAAAACGATTTGCAAGGTGTTCATATTTGGAAAAACACTTATTCTCCACCTTCTTGGATATTGGGCAGTCAATCTATTGAAACAATTACGCTAAAACAGAAAATAAATAATTCAAAAAATTTTACAATGATAGATGCCATGGGCTCTTCAATTGAAAATATAACGAACCAAATTGTTGGAGATAGACCGGTATATTTAATAACTCCATTGGCATCTTATAATTATGGTGAGAAGTTCAAACCTATTTGGAATTATACGTATCACATTGATTTAGATCACTTAGATAATTTTCAACTAGGACTAGGTATATATCAATTAATATAGAGTCAATAATATTTTCTTCAGTAGTCTGTAAACGTGCATTAATTTCATTAATCTATTTATAAAACTCAAATTTATCATGTTCAGTACCAGTTTTTACTTGTGAACTATAAGCTTCTTCTAGATCATTTTGTAAGATCATATATCTATTCTTTCTTACAGCTCTTAAACCAGCTTCTTGCATAATAGCAGCAATTACTGCACCACTTAATGGATCATTTCTTATTATCAATGAATCTAAATCACATTCTGGAGCTAATGACATTTTTGACGCTATAGTTGTAAAAATCAATCTTCTTTCTCTTCTATCTTTTAAATTTGGAAATTCAATTTTTCTATCCAATCTACCGGGTCTTAATAATGCTGGATCTAAAGTATCAGCTCTATTTGTAGCCATTATAACTTTAACATTTGAAGTTTGATCAAACCCATCCATTTGATTTAATAGCTCCAATAAAATTCTTTGAACTTCACGATCGGCCCCTGTTTGTGCATCAAATCTTTTTGTTGCTATAGCATCTATTTCATCAATGAATATGATAGCTGGTGAATTTTCTCTAGCCAACCTAAAGACATCTCTTACCATTCTTGGACCTTCCCCAAGGTACTTTTGCACAAATTCTGAACCATTAATTCTTATGAATGATGCTTTTGTAGCATTTGCAACAGCTTTTACCAACATTGTTTTACCAGTACCCGGTGGACCATATAATAATACACCTCTTGGTGGATCTATACCAATTTGACTATATAAATGACTTTGTTCTAAAGGTAATTCAACTGATTCAATTATTTCTTGTTTTTGCATATCTAGACCACCAATATCCGCATATGTAACATCTGGTTTTTCATTTTCTCCAACAATTGATATTGATGAGTCTGCTTCTGGTGGTAATATGTCAACTAATGCATTTGAATGACGATGTAATGCAACTGATGATGATGGTTTTAATAATTCACGATCTAATGTTGATAATATACGAACAACATAATTTGATCCTGTTGTTGATGACACTATACCTGTATTTTCATCAATTGGTTCTAAAAATTGACCAATTACTAATGGTACTGATTTAATTCTTTTGACTTCTTCTTGAGCTCTAATTAATTCTCTTTTTAAATGACGTTGTTCATCTTTTATATATTCTTCTTGTATTTTTAGAATGTTCAATTCTTTTAACAAACTTTTATGATGTAAAAAAATATCAGAACTTGAATCTGTAGTTGCCGTAGACATGATATGCGGGTGGTATTGGTTGTTGTAATTGAATTTTGATTTTAGTGGTGGCAAATACTTAAAACTCAGATTGTTTGAAGAAAAAAAAAGTGTTGATGTTTTTTACAGTGAGAGTACTAAATTTTGTGCAACCAAGTTTATGTATGCAAAAACTTTTGATTAAATCTAAATGAATCTATAAATTAATTTTTAAATAGTATCGTTATAATACTAAACATTCCACATGATAACAAACTTACCATTAAAGTATATACACCCAATTCTAGTTTATCAAAGTTTAAAGATTGAATATTTGGTGAGATTAAAGCTTGATAATTTCTGATACAAGATTTTTTGACATTTGACCAACCGTTATTGATAATTTGAAAATAAGTGCTATTCTCATTGAAGTTGGTACTTGGTGCTTCCTCAATTAGGTTTACTTCGTCAGAAACATCTACCTTTTCAGGAACGTGTACTACCTCTGGAATTTTTACTTTTCCATCATTTGGTTCCAATTGACTTATAATCGGTTCTAAAATTGCTTCATTTTGTTGACTTATACCAACTACAACATTCTTCACTTTTTCCTCAAATCCCAACACTAATTTTTTTCTCTTCCAAGGTTCAACAATAAAACTTGCAAATACAAAAAGTAAAACATTTAGACCCATTAATACCCATGTACCCCAAGTTGAAGATCTTCGAATTTTATCGGACCAAATTTGTTCTTCATGATACCTAGTTAAAATCAGTTGAGTTAATTTTAATTGTATACCATCAACTTTCAGTTCTGCATCTTGTAAATTTTTTTCACATTCTTGTTCCTGATTCTCATTTTCATGATCATTTCTATATAACTCTGTAAATCTTTCTAAATCTTTCAGTGACCAATTATGTTTTCTTGTTAATAATTCATTTACTTCTCTTTGAGAGTGAGATCTATTTTGAATTGCTACTCCATATTCAATTTTACATTTCTTGACAAAATCTTTGGCTTTTCTTAGATCATCTTCTTGTTCATTAATTGATTTTTTCAATTTTTCAATTGCTGAATATCCAGTAACATCATTTAGGGCCCTTGTAACAGTCAAAATTGTATCATGAGCTGAATCTAAGTATTTTGAAACTTTTTTTGTAATATTACTTTGATTCTTGGCCTTCTGTGATGGTAATCCCACAATCTCTTTCTGTATAGATTCATTAATTTCTTTAGCTAGATTAGGAATCTCAGAATCATCAATTGAGTCTTCTGTGGTGGCTATGATTTTATCTTCCACTCGTAATTTGATATTGTCGTTATCTTCATTTTTTATATTTGTATTCTTTGTTTCTTTCGCAGTCCCTTTTAATTGACCATCATCAGTGGTTGTGAATTTTGCTTCATTATTTTCATTAGCTTTTTTGAGGTTAGCTTGTCTTTCTTCTTTTTCTGCTTTCTCCTTTTCTTGCTCTTCTTTTTCTTTAAGTTTCCTACTGACTTCTCTCTCTTTTTCTAATTTTTTCCTTTCTTCATCAATTTCTTTCTGTTTTTGATTTAATGATTCTGATCCGAAATTTGTACCTTCAATAATTTTCCGTAGTTTTGCTTCATTGATATTCGAATAATCTGATTTTTTGGATTGAAGACGAATACAATTGAGTAGTAAAGGACGTCGTATAAGTCTTGTCGTGACTCTTAAAGATAACATGAATAAGTAATTATATACTAATGAATATTTATTTCATGTATCGATTAATCCAAATTTTAATAGAACTATAAAACAAAACATTACACAAAAACACAAACTAATACAAATCCGAAGTCGAGTTAATTTTCGTAGCTATTTTTTTAAAAATTAGATTCAACTAATTCTTTAACTAATTTCCAATCATTTGATTCAGCATAATCTAAGACAATTATACCACTACCTTTATGGAAACATTCATCAATTCTACCCTCAATCATTGCTTTGGAAACAGGTTCTGGCCAACAATTTTTATCAAAGAAATTAGAACCAGAAGTGAAATTAACAAATAACTTATCATCATTTGTATTATTATAATTTTGAGCTTTTTGAGCAAAATCTTTGACATATCTAACTTTGTCATTTAAATTTTCTGAAGTAATTTCACAAAAATCTTGAGCACAAACATGACCTCTATCATCATCAGTAGTATTATAAGTCCAAAATGGTGCATCAAAACCAAATTGACTTCTTAAATTATCATCCTGCACTCCGAATCTTCTGAATAATATAACTTTACCTCTTGCATCCCCAAGCCTTGGTATGTCTGTGCCTAAATACCACTTATTTTTGTTTGGATTAACGTATTGATTCCAAATTACTTTACCAAATTCATCATTCTTGTTATCCCAATCATCACTACCTTCTTGTTTTATGGAAACAATAACAGTTTCGCTTGGGTTTCTAGAGAGAAATTCATACACTTCTTCTAGAGCATCTTTTAGTTTCAAAGGAAATGGAATCTTAACTGGAAATTTTGAATGAACCACTTGTAATCCATCAGTTTGAGTATCACCAGTAAATAATCTACCAGCTCTTACATCTAGAAATCTAATTCCATGCTCCAATTGCTTTGTAACACTGGCACCTTGACATTGAACTAAATATTTTGTTAGTACAGGCTTTCAACGATACTGGAAAGCCGAAAAAAGACATACCCAGTGGGAGATTACTACCATTAGCAAAACTATTGTGAGTTCCGGGGATCGAAAGCTTGGAGATTCGTGAATCATCTGGAATTTCTTCTATCCATTTAGTTAAATTGACCATGTTGATAAAAATTGAATTTTAAATTTTAAATTTTGAATTTAGTAGTGCAAAAGACTGAAGCTATCAGCAATTTCGTTATAAGAACAATCAAACAAAAATAGAATCTTTGAAAAAGAAGAAAACCAAAACTAAAATTGTTGGAAATAATTCAATTCCAAATATGATCTACTTGAAATTTTAGTCCCTTACTTGAAATTTTAAGAAGTAATAAATAAAAACAATAATTACGTAATATATACTGCATATAAGGTATATGTTGCAAAACTTATAGCTGGTTTGATTTTGTGTAATGTTCCTAGCATTTCAAATTTCCTTCAAAGTATTTGCCTCAAATTGTAAATTATAAAGTTATAATAAATTATAATACATCATGAGAAAAGAAAATCCCTTTAAGTCGAGTATAAATTGAAATTATGAATTACTTACCTTCTTGTATTAACTTGTCGTCTATACACTTGATTATTAATATCCTTAATGTTTATCATCTTCTTTATCCTTCTTTTGCCAATAATGTTCCTCTTCCTCTACCACAGATTTTTCAGAATGATTAGGAACGACATAAATTTCTTTATTTCTGACTTCAACTTTTGCAACTTCATTGTTCTTAATTTGACCAGATAAAACTAATCTTGCTAATGGATTTAATAGATCCTTTTGTAAGACTCTATTTAATGGTCTTGCACCGTAAACTGGACTATAACCTTTCTCAATTAATAAATCTTTTGCTGGTTGAGTTAATTTTAATTCAATTCTCTTGTCTAATAATCTATCATCGATTTCACCTAATCTTATTTCCAAAATTTCTTTTAATGATTTCTTGGATAATCTGTTAAACACAATAATATCTTCAATTCTATTCAAAAATTCTGGTGGATAGTGACGTTTTAATGCATCAATAACTTCTGTTTTAACAACTGGACTTATTTTACCATCATCTTTTGCACTTGAATCAGCTAATAAAATTTCTTGTCCAAGATTTGAAGTCATTACAATTATAGTGTTTTTAAAGCTGACTTTTACACCATGAGTATCAGTTAATGAACCTTCATCCAATACTTGTAATAATATTTTAACAATATCTGGATGTGCCTTTTCAACTTCATCAAAAAGAACAATGCTATAAGGTCTTCTTCTAACAGCTTCAGTTAATTCACCACCTTCTTCATAACCAACATAACCTGGAGGAGCTGAAATTAATCTTGATACCGAATGTTTTTCTTGAAATTCACTCATATCAAATCTTATAACTGAATTTGGATCATTAAATAACCATTTAGCTAATGCTTTTGTTAAAAGAGTTTTACCAGTACCTGTACTACCTAAAAATACAAATGATGCAATTGGTTTATTTTGATCAGTTAAACCAGCACGATGTAATCTAACAGCATCTGAAACAGCATGAATAGCCTCTTGCTGTCCAACAACTTCTGCTTCTAAAGTGGCTTCCATATCTAATAATTTATCTTTTTCACCTTTTAATAAACTATTTAATGGTATACCTGTCATTTTAGATATGACTGATGCTATATCATCAGATGTAACTGAATCATGTAAAAGATTTGATGATTTTGCAGCTTCTTCTGATTTGGTGAATTCTATAACTTTTGTTTGTAATTGTGGTATTTCAGCATATTGGATTTTGGAAGCTTTAGCATAATCACCTTCTCTTTGAGCTTGTTCTAATTCAAATTTAGCTTGTTCTAATTTTGATTTAGCTGCTTTTACATCATCAATTGCCTTTTTCTCAGTATTCCATTTTTCTGTTAATTCTTGAAGATCTTGTTTTTTTAAAGTGAGTTGTTCTTCTAATTTTTGTTTTCTATCTCTTGAAATTGGATCATCTTCTTTTCTTAATGATTCTAATTCAATTTCTGTGGTCATAATTTGACGATCTAATGTAGATATAGCATCTGGTTTGGATTCATGTTGTAACCTTAAAGTCGAACTTGCTTCATCTACCAAGTCAATAGCTTTATCTGGTAAAAATCTTTCAGTTATGTATCTATTTGATAAAGTAGCTGCTGAAATTAATGCAGAATCTAATATTCTAACCCCATGATGTACTTCATATCTTTCTTTTAAACCTCTTAATATAGATATGGTATCTTCAACAGTTGGTTCAGTAACTAAAACTGCTGAAAATCTTCTAGCTAATGCTTGATCTTTTTCAATGTATTTTCTATATTCATCAGTGGTAGTAGCACCAATCATTGATAATTGACCTCTAGCTAATGCAGGTTTTAACATATTACTTGCATCCATACTACCTTCACTTTTGCCCAAAGATAAAATAGTATGAAATTCATCAACAAATGGAATAATTTCACCATGTTTTTCTTCAATTTCTTTCATGATAGCTTTAAATTTACTTTCAAAATCACCTCTATATTTTGAACCACTTACAATTCCAGCTAAATCTAATGATATAACTTTTTTACCTTTCATTGAGTCTGGAACTTCACCATTCACTATACGTTGAGCAAGTGATTCCAATATAGCCGATTTTCCTACACCCGGCTTACCAACTAAACAAGCATTGTTTTTAGTTTTTCTTGATAAAATTTGTATAGTTCTTTTAACTTCTTCATCACGACCAATAACAGGATCTAATTTACCATCTTTTGCTAATTGTGTAATATCCGTACCATATTTTTCAAGAGCTGGTCTATTATCTTCTTCTTCATTTTTTTGCATTTGTAATTGTCGTCTATTTGAAGAATGAAACAGTCTTAATTGATGCAAATGTTGTGATTGAAGTTTTGGTGATATTTGATTGAACTTGTGAAATTGACCATTTATGCTTTGTGATTTGAGGTATTGACACTGATCTGGTCTTTGAGTGGATAATTGTCTTTGAATTTGATAATTTTTGATATAATTAGTAGATATTGGAATGTGAGCATTTGTAAGATTATTATTATTTTTTAATAACGAGTTTATCGTCCTATTTCTTGAAACTTTTGATGTTAACATCTTATGCTATTCTTTAGGTTTGAATTTATATATTTTTCATAATAAAAAAGTAATATAAAAAATTATCAAACGGGTAGCAAGGTAGTTATATATGCTAAATGGAAATGTTACTTATTGAGGATGGATATCTGAAACTATTAATTTAATTGTAGAATTAAATTTGTATGTAAGTTGAGTTAAATTTATTATAGTAAAGATATTTCTAGAAAAAACTAGTTTAATATTAGTACTTAAATTAAAATTGATACAATTGATTAAACATTTTGACAAAGTTTTACAACACCTAACTTATGACTTAATGCCTTTGCCACTGTTGTGAATATAAACGCATTGCCGGCTATTAATTCTTCCCTATGAGACCAATTAAAAAATTGTTTTCAAGTTTACTTGGTCCGAATTCTTAATTAAAACTTGAAACATTTTCCAATATTTGTCACAAATTATCAGTGTCGCGATTTAAAGTCGACATACAGGGTCTCTAGGACCATACGTTTTATCAACCCTATAGAAGAAGCATAATTATTTTGCATCAGGGAATAATAACTTGCGACGTCTCGTTAGGTAACTTTTATTTACATGTTTCATTACAATTATATATACTAAAGATTCAATGGTTCAGTGCCTCTGATTTTATCAAAAACTCTACCTCTACCTAATCCGTATTCTTCCCTTACTTTTGGAACACTTCTATCAAATTTTTGTCTCCATACATGAGCTCCAATAGCAGTTAATTTATGATCATCTACAAATTTTCTAATATCGAAATTTTCTTTGTCTTCGTTTGTTTTATCTATTTTGGAATCTTGTCTAAAAACCCATAAACATGCTCTTTGAGTTGGTGCATTTTTTTCAGGAGTTAATGGTACGTATTCTGAGAATGTGATTTTAGGACCATTTTTCAAAATTCTTGATACATCAATTGTATTATCCTCGTTATTTAATGAAACGTTTTTTAAACCATAATGCAATGTAGTCTTGAATGAATTTGTTTCTAAATTTGGAGTATCTGGATTGACTAATAAAATAGTGTATAAATTATCTTTGCCTTCTTTTCTTTCAAATTCTTGAATTTGTATAGTTGGTGGTTTTGAAACTGCAAAAGCTGGTAATAAAGAACCTGGTGTAACCCAATCTATAAAATTTGAATCTGTGTTATGTGTAAATTTTATTTTAACGTCAGCTTTTGGGTCCAAAGTTGGTAATGTATCTGGTATGACATGTAATTGTTCTAATCTTTGCATTGTTACTAATAAATCATAATCTTGCCATTTTTGTTTTAATAACTCTCTATAAACTGGTTGTGATTTATCTAATAATTCCGAATTTACAAATTCTGTATTGTATAAAACTTCTGGATTTTCAATTTCTGCATCTACTAATATTTTATCAAGTTGATCTTTTAAATCAGTTACATCTTCATTCGCATTTTGTTTTTGTTCTATGGCTGATTTTAATTTATTTATTACTTTATATTTTGATTCTGAATCCTTTTCTAATATTTTATATGCCATTTCAAAAGTTTCATCTATATCTATTGGTGAATGATATTGTTGTTTCTCATCATAATTTAGTATTGAAGCTGGTTTTTGATCTTGTGGTAATTGATTAAATATATCCTTCTTTATGGATTCATTTTGTATTTGTAATGATGTTGGTCTTTCGGTAAAATTTGACCATATACCCGAGTTTAAGGTGCTTTGCCTCCTTTTCAAGACTCGAAGCGAACTCCTTAACATTGTTATTGTATTGGTTGTATAAAAGTTGAAGTTGATATCTGAAAAATTTTAAAATAATTTTTTTTTTTCAGATTTCTGTGGTACAAAATTAGTGCGAGAGAGATTACAATACATAACTGTTAATTCCATTAGATAGATTTGTATTTAATTATAAAATATATAGTAAGACAAGAAGAAAGAATAAAATTGGGATATCTTGACTACCCATGAAGTAGCCAATCTATTTTGGTCCAAAAGGATTTGATAAATTATCATGTTGATGATCCATTTCTTTACCTTGAGTTAATTCAATAATCTTTCTTTGTAGAATCATAACATAATCTTTTAATTGAACATTTTCATTATTTAAATTTTGATATTTTGCTTTCATTTCATCTAATTCTTGAACTTTTAATTCTAAATCTTGCATATATTTATCTCTTCTTTGTCTAAAAGCTCTTTGTGCATTTCTATTTTGTTCAGCTCTTTTGGTTTGTGATATTGGTTTTTGAATAGAACCAGATGATGCAGTTGAAGTCAATGCAGGATCAGTATTTGATGTGTCTATTGGCGATGTAGTATCTAACATTGATGATTTATCATTTAATGATTGTTGTGGTTGATTTCTAAATGATAAATTTTGTACATGCTGTTGCTGCTGTTGCTGTTGCTGTTGTTGTTGATGATGAAGTTGTTGCTGTTGTTGATGAAGATCATCTTTATTAGTTTGCCAATTAGTATAATTCATTTTAAATTAAATGTTTCAAACTATTAGTATATATCAAATGGTTGCAAATTTAATATTAGTTAATTAATTTGTAATATTATTATATAATTATTACAAATTTATTACTTAATCTTTTTTTTATTGAAATTGTTTTGATTATTTTTTTTTTTTTTGTTTTGATAATCTGAAAAGTCGTGTAAATAATCTAGTAATTAATATCATAACTCATGATATAGATACATTTACTTACATTCTAAGCACTGTCAAATTAGATAGCTAAGAATGTTTCTGATCATTTAAAATTAAGGGTGAATCTTTACAATTACAAGAGCATTTAAATTAAATTCATTCAATTTTGAGCAAAAATTGAGTTTCATATAGGAACAGGTTGCAAAAAAAAAGGTATTTGAAAATACTAACCTCACCCAATCAAAACTTTGATAATAAACTACATGATTATAGTCGAAACCATGCTCGTGGAGATAAATTCAAAGGAACTACTTTTAAACTTATCATAAATTTGTTCTGTTGTATCCTCTATAATTTGAAATCATATGATCTAAATTAAAAAATCCACTAGTAATTGGTAGCTCTTCCTTATATAGAAAATTAATTCTATCCAATTATTATTGTTATAAATATTTTTACTTATTAAATTTAATTACTTTTATTTATTACTACTATACATAATAATTAGTATGAACAGTGCTACCACATTTTTACATATAGAAAATCTTAATACTTAACAATTTTTTTTTTCTAACAATCAATTCTATAAACTATAATTGAAAAAAAAAAAACAAGAACTAAATATCAGTTCATTAAACTATTTCAAAATCAACTACCACTTAAAATAATTATATTGTGATTGGTACTCCCACCTCATTAATAAGCTCAATACTTTACACTACATAATCACTGTTTCATTAACCCACAAGGAAATTAACTCAATTGTGAACATTCCTCCAATTCATCTCATTTATTTATTTTAACGGTCAATTCTTATACTTCAGAAAAATTATTCAACAAACTACAAAATATATTCAAAAATGATATCATCAACTATTCGTTCTGCTTTAAGATCAAGATTAGCTATTCAAACCCCAAGAATTTCAAATGTAATGAAAACTTCAATCATCAGACCATCTTTAATTCAACATAGAACATATGCATCAGCTGAACATAAAGATGAAACTTTTGAAGAATTTACAGCAAGGTATGTTTCTATATCAACTAGAAATGAATTTCAACAATTGAATTATTAATACTAACTCCCATATTCTAGATATGAAAAAGAATTTGAAGAAGCTTATGATTTATTCGAAGTTCAAAGAATATTAAATAATGTATTTTCATATGATTTGGTTCCAGCTCCAGTTGTTATTGAAAAAGCTTTACAAGCTTGTAGAAGAGTAAATGATTATCCAACTGCTGTTAGAACTTTTGAAGCTTTAAAACATAAAGTTGAAACTCCAGAACAATATTCAGCTTATTTAGAAGAATTAAAAGATATCAGAAAAGAATTAGGAATTGATTTAAAAGAAGATTTATATGGATCTAATTAATTTATATTATATGATTTATTATTAATATTTTAAAAATGAAAGAACAAAAAAACATTTAAAATCAAAAGTATAATAATATTATAACAAGAATTTGTTTATTATTATTCGATGTAACTTATATTTCTAACGTAAGGGTATATTTTATATTACAAGCATTATAATTTAAGATCATTAAATTGTAGTTTTTAACCTCTTAATTTGGTCGTTGTTGAATAACTAACTAAGCGAAATTTAAATACGATCGTGCTACCAAACTATCTCCATATTTCGTTACAAAAATGATTTAGCAAAGAAAAAGATAGAAAAGGGTACAACTTTATTATCATTATATTTACAATAATTAATGTTACAATAATAAAAATATCAGTAAATACCCAAATTTTTTATGAAATATGGGAGTATATATACCGCCTCCTAATGATAATGATAACAATAAGAGTAATAATAAGAAAAATAATGATTTTACGACCAACACCAGTAACAACAAACCAACTAATCCAATAACTAATCCCTCATCATCTTCAGATTCAGATACAACAACTATAATAATACCAAATCCAGCATCATTAATACCCAAAAATCCAAGTATAGGTTTAATATGGGGACCATTTACACCTTCATCAGATAATCGACCGGCTTTAGCTACCATGATTGGATTACAATTTCTTTTAGGAATTGGATGTTTTAGATTTGCAAGAAATCAATTAAGACGTCATCCTATAATAATACCAAATCAACCACCAAAATATATGAGAAATGGATCAATGTGGAAACTGATTATTGCAATTGGAATAGGAGCAACAATTATTTTCGGTAGTGGATTAGAAATAAGTAGAATGATATTACCTTATGATCCATGGTTTGAAGAAGCAAAACATTATAGAAAAATGGCAATTAAAAATGGTGATAAACCAAGTTTCTGGTTTGGTGCCTACAAGTATTATAGACCAATGGAATTAAAACTGTGGACTGATAAATTAGGTACTTGGTTTGATAATGCAAGTAAAGAAATCGATAATGATACAGAACAATTTGGAAATTTACCTATTGAATTAAGTCAACAACAACAACCACAAATTCCAAAAACAGCAACCAACAATATTTTGTATAAGTTAAACAAAAAGGGAAATTATAATGAAATTTACAAACAATTAAAAGAAGCAAATAATAAAAGGATTAACCACATTCTAAAAAATGAATTGAAAGACGTTAACGAATTAAATAAAGCAGAAAGATTGGATTTAATACTAGAAGGCAAAAGTGATCTAGTTAATGAGGATTTTACAAAACCAAGTATTCAATTAGGTACACATACAATGGATAATGATGATGATTTTGATATGGTTTGGTTGAATTTTGAACCTTGGGATGAATTAAAATTAGAAACTGATTATGATATAAGATTAATTCCAAGGTATGCTCAGGTTACTGAAGTTGAAGCGAAAGATGATTCAGAACCCTTACCAGAAGTTGAAAAAATCGAAATAATTGAAAACTAAGAGTATATAAAGTAAATACCCATGTAATTTATAAATATTTATTGATCTAACTTTATACAAGAACTCACTTCTATTTCTTTTCATCAATTAATTCATCAGCCCATCCTAATTCACCAACCTCACTTTTTTCTAAAGCTGGTTTATTATATTTAGCCAAATGATTTCTCCATACAATCTCAGCAGGATCTTGATCAGGTTCAACCCATTCAAATCCATCACCACCAGTCATCCAATAAGCTTGAAACTTTATTTTCTCCAAATCATCCTTTTGTTGCATTAATCTTATTTTATTACCATCTCTATCATATCCAGCATGTAAAATATTTCTATTTGATCTAGTCTCTGGTGCTTCCCTACATATTTCTTCAATAATGTATGGTGAAGATTCGCCATTGTTCAAATCTCTATCACTTTCTATAATTTTAGAATTAAATAACATTTCATCTGAATGTTTAAACCAATGAGAATAAAAAGTTCCATGTTGCCATGTTAAATAATCACCACCTGAACTGATTAAAGTACGTCCAAATTTAACTATTGATACAAAAAAAGTAGTGTTTATGATATATGTTAAAAGTATTGAATTTATTGCACCTAAATGATGCCATGCTGGTGATAAAAATCCCGAATCTATTAGGGATGTGACTCCAAATTTTGTAAATAAAGTAATACCAACAACTGTTGAAATTAATTTTAAAATACTGCTCTTCATTACTTTATCTTTGGCTAATATATAATTTGGATGTCCAACTGTTGTATCTGTAATTTTAATTGCTTTTGCAAAATCAGCATTAAAAATTGCATTTCTTAATGGTATTAATGCAACTTCCTTATCTATTATAGTTTTTGATCCAGGATTTAATTCATAATATAAGTTTATAATTTTTAAATTTATTATAGTTGGTAAATTTAATGTAAATAATTCTTTTAATAAAGTTGGTGATAATGAATTTTTATTTTGGAAAATTAAATTTATTATACTAATTGAATTTGTAGTCAATTTTGAGTTAGCTTCTAATTGATCGTGTATTGGATACTTAGACTGTAATAATTTTATACTTCGGACAGCTTCTAGTATTGAGTCGTTATCTGAATTTGAAGTTATGTTAGTCTTAATTTGTTCATATAACGTTGGATAATCCTTTATGTATTCATAAGGTGAATCTGATTGAGTAAATGATGCAGTAGATGAATTGAATCGTAGTAATTGTAACCGTCTCACAGGTATTATCAGCCTTTTTAACCCCAATTTTAACATTTGGATCTTAAAAATGTGATAAAGCTAGTGAGAAAGTAACATTTTCAATGATTCTGTACATTTAGGAAAAATTGTGTCGCGAGATCAGGATGGAGTTTGACATCAAAATTGACTACCAAATGGGTCAAAATGGATTTACTTATTAAAAACGTTTATAAAAGAACCAAACTAAATATATAAATGTCTATATGAACTTAATAATACCAGCATTTATATTAAATCAAAAAACCCAAATAAGAAATACAAATAATAGCAAATGAATTAAAAGGAGATAAATTTGAACCTTTACCAGCTTGAGATTGACTTGAACCTGAATTTGAACCTGATCCACTTCCACTACTTGTTTGAGCATCATTATTTGCTGGTGGTGCTGATGTGGATCTCATTACTCTCGTGGTAACTGCTGAAAGTGAAGATGGAAAAGTATCTGGTTGAACTGATTGATTTTGGGTTTGAGGTGGAGCGGCATTTGTATTAGTTTTAGTCGAAATCGACGAGCTTCCCGAGGTGATACTCGAGCCAGTTTTAAGCGTTCTCGTAGCGCTCCATGCAATTAATTGGTCAGGATTCATTGTAGCTGTATTATCACCATCTAGTAAAGAAGAGCTTGATGATAATTTGGTATTTAAAGTACCCGTGGTTGCCGTATTCAACAATGTATTTGTTCCAGTATTTGCTCCAGTGGTTGTTCCAGTATTTGCTCCAGTGTTTGTTCCAGTGGTAGTTCCAGTGTTTGTTCCAGTTTTTGTTCCAGTTGCTGGAGTTAAAATTGAAGAGCTGGTTGTTGGTGAAAGATTTGTGGTAGTAGGATTCACAAGACCTGGGGTAGTTGTTTGAAGAGTATTGGTATTCAATGTATTAGTTGTTGGTAAAGTATTAGTAGTTGGTAAAGTATTGGTTGCTGGTAAAGTATTAGTAGTTGGTAAAGTATTGGTTGTAGGATTCGTTTGAATTGTATTCTCTGCGGCAGTTTGGTCGGTATTTGGAGTAGCAGCAGCAGCGGCAGCAGCGGCAGCAGGGGTAGTAGCAACTGTAGTAGGATCGGCTGCAGGTGGATCGACTGCAAAACATTTTAAAGCAAGGAATATTATCAATGTCAAGGAAAAAGCTTGTTTCATTTTTTAAAAATAATAATATATTATATTTGAGTTTGAAGGAAATAAAAAAAATGGTTTTGTTACCAGAATGTGAGGCTTGGGAGAAATAAATGGGGCCAAATTGAGTTTTGAATAACGAGTGACTTTATGAGCTTTATATTGATCAAACTTAAGTGTGAAATAAGAAGAAAAATTGTATAAAAAGGATCAGAAAAATTTTAAATTGAAATTTCTCGAATCAATTTAAAAACAAATAAATAAATAGTTGAAATTAAGGGGTAATTCTATTTCGTATATCGCGTTTCTTTGTTTTAGTATTATCATTTGAAATTTAATAATTGAGATTTTTGATCAATGAAGTTCATACTATAAGTTAAGTAGATAGAAGAGCACAACCGATGGATAGTATATTTATTACCTATTATTGTTTCGTAAATTCATTATATAGTATAATACAGGATTGACCAAATAAAGTCAATATGTTGATCAACAGATGCATTCAAATTTTGATTTTGATTTTGAGTCTTACAATCTTAATTTCTTCTCTTCTTTTTCTTGGTTCTACAATCGGGACAATACCATATTTCATCATCTTTGGGCGGTGAAGTTATTCCAACACAACTCCAATGAAACCATTCATATTTACAATCGTCATTATCACAACCAATCATTTCACCAAATGATACTCTTTGACAGAAACAATATAAATTATTATCAGCATCTTCACCTTGTTGTATATCCATTGACCCTGCATCCATGGCCAATGAACCTGTTTCATAAGCTGGTACATCTTCAATTTCTTCAGATTTAAGTTTCTTATGTTTATTGGAGGATACAGCTAATGAACCTGTTGCACCAGGAGTCGAACCAGACGATGAAACTCCTTTTGTTGGTTGTTTTCTTTTTTGACCTTTCTTCATGTTTGATGATACTGTTGTTGTTATTGAATCAACTGCTGGTGTCATTGATAGTGGATTTCTTGGAGTAGGAGTTGCTGACAAACTATCTGATAAACCATTCAAAGAATTTAAAAATTCATCTTTGCTTAGGTTTTCTAAATCTATTGGGGCTTCTAAAGGTGGCAATAGTTCATCTCTTTCAAGTTTTGTTATATCAGCTTCAAAATTAAATAAATGTTTCGATATTAAGAATAACGCAGTATTTGATAACAAGATCTTCTCCTTTTGTAGTTTTTTTAACGTTTTCATATCATCTTCAATTTTAGAATATAACTGTTGTTCTTTTGGATGTTTTGTTAATGTACCATTTGCTCTTATAAATTTATGTATTTGATTATCTTTTGATTGACATTGTTCTCGTAGATCTACTACTTGTATATCTTTGCTCTTTATTTCTTCTAGTAGATGTCTTACTTCTAATGGTAAGTTTGATAGATCTTGAGTATATTTCTCAAGAACAGTTGATGTATCCATTTGTTTATGTTGTTTATGTTGTTGATTTGATGGATTTTTAATAATGAAGTTTTGTATTTTTTTCCTGTTCCTTTTTGTTTTTGTTATCAAAATATTTTATAATGTAGAATTTATTTGCAACAATACAGATGTCAAATCAAGAAGAGATAACAAGTCAAATAAAAAGCTTGAAATTAGACAGCGAAGATGATACAATTAACAAGTTGTTTAAAGAGGCTTTAACAACAGAACTCAATGAGTCAGATCAGAAAATAATCAAAGATTCACTCCATAGATCATTATCTAAAGAAAAGTCCGGAGTTCTATTGAATTTATTACAAAATAATGCTCAACAATTTATAATACTACTAAAAAATGTCAATGATTCAGGTACTATTCTAGCTGACATAACACATAAACACTCTATAGCTGAGATAGAAATACAAAAATTATTAAGTGCGATTAGAAGTGAAGTCAGCCAGAATAAAAATGTGGATTACTACTTGGGTTTATACAGTAATATTATATCAAATTTCAAGTTTTCGAATTGTCAACATTTAAGTTTGTTATTATCGTTAATAGGAAGAACTAAGAAAACAGATAATTTAATTTTGGTGATTATCATTCAGAACTTACAATTGAATAAAATTGAAACTGAAAGTATCATTCAAGAATACTTTGAATTGCAAATAGAAGAAAAATCTTTTGCCACAGATCAATTCATAAATTTTATATCAACTTTATCATTATGTTTTCCAATATGTCCTGAACTATGTGCAAAAATCTATATGGATGACAGAACAAAAGAAATAACTTTACTGAAATTGAATACTTCAAATGATTTACTAATACTAAAATGTTTTTCAAATTCATGTCTTGTAGAAAATTGCAGAACTTATACAGTGAATAACTATTTTCAGTTTTTATTAGATTGCTTCAAATCTACAAACGTTCATAAAAGGATACTAGCAAGTTTGGTATTAGTTAAACTTTGGAGTTTTATAGAAGTTGAAAAAAAGACCAAACTTAAAGTTACAAATTTGGCAGAAGATCTTATACTATACATTGATGATAAGAATGAAATTGAATACATAGAATATTCAATAGAGGGATTAATCTACCTAAGTTTATTTTGGGAAGTTAGAGAAATGATGAGAATGGATATATCATTTATCGAAAATTTATTAAAAATATTACAAAATTCATCGACTGAAAATAATGTAAATACATCAATTCAATATGGGGTACTATCAATAATTGCAAATTTAACAAAATTAAAAGAACCTGAGCAAAATCAAAGAAATAAATTGAAAAATGTGACATCTCCACAAACTGGTTCTCAAAGTCAAGAAGAATCTCAGGAAAATATTAAATTATTCAATAAGGAATTACTTGAAGATGATAAAATAATATCGGTTTTGACTAAATTAAAAACTTATCAAAACTCAAGTACTAATAATCTAAATGAAGTAATCAATATAGTTTATAATATTTCTTTTGATCAACTAAAATCAATTAGAATAGAATTAGTCAAACAAGGTGCATTAAAAATTGTAATAAACTATCTAGTGAAATATAGTGAAATTGAAAGGATTGACAACAGAGTAATAGCCAATCCATTGAAAGATGATTTAAGACCAGAGGTACGATTGAAAGCTATTAGAAGTTTAGCAAGAATGTTGATATGTATTAAACCACAATTAACATTTGAACATTTTGATATCAAATCAGCAATTCCATTTTTAATAGAGCTTTTGGGGAGTTCAGCCAATGATCAAATCTCATCTTACTCAGATGAATTATCACCATTAGATAAATATGAATCATTACTAGCATTAACAAATACAGCAAGTATAAATGATTCAAGCTTAAAAATATTCATAATCTACGAAATATTACCATATGTGGACTCCCTAATTTTACAAAGTCTTCAAATTCAAATTTCTACATATGAACTACTTAATAATTTGATATCAGAACCAATCTTACTATCAAAATTTTTCAATGTCGCAACGCCTCAAAATAAGCAAAGATTAGAAATAACTTTAAAATTGTTAAATTCTGATGAAATCAAATTACAAGTTGTTATTGCTGGGTTTTTAGTAAATGCTACTAATTTTGATATGATATCTGATGTTATAGTGAATTCAAAAGAGATATTTGATGATCTTTTTGGTACTATACAAAACATAATTACAAATCAGGTGAATGACGAGAAACTAATCACGCCAATTTCGTATATTTTGTTGAATTTATCTTATACATTGGCTAATAAATCAAGATTATCTGTACTCAAAAGTAATGCATTTATAAACGGATGTGAAAGTATTATAAAAAACGGTAGTGAAGAAAATAAAGAAGTTATTTCAAATATTCTTGAATTATGCAATAATAACACCTAATAAAATCTAAAATGCTAATATATACTGTTAAATATTTTTAAAAATTAATGAATCTTTGAGCTAAAGTTTCAGTATCATGTTCAACATTTGAAATTGATTGTCTAATATTTTTAGAAGCTTTATCACTATCTAATTGAACTTTAATAGCTTTGTGTAAACTACTTAAATATTCGCTAAAACTTGGACCATTTGATGCTTTTAATGCACCACCTAAACTATCATCTCTTAATAACTCTTTGAAAGAATGTTCAAATCCATCAATTCCTTTTCTTACTAATTGTATTGATGATGAATCTACACCTATTATGAATTTGTTTAAAAATTCAACTAAGTTTCTTGCTTGTATTGATATTTCTGATGGTAATTCTGGTAATTCATCTATGAATGCATCTAATTCTTCAACGGTTTCGTACTGATCACCAAACAAGTCTTTGATTAACATAATATTTGATTGAGGATCAATCCACATATAAACTCTAGTGCCATCACATAATATATATACACCACGATCCAAATTTGTAATTGACAAATCTTTATATACAGGTATGCTTGTGAATCCAGTAACATCATCAATCAAACCTTCTTCAGGATTCAAAGAATGCAATTCAATTAATGAAGGATACAAATGATACATCAACCTTTCAACCGGCATGTTCAACATATTAAACAAATCAACTAGTCTAGCGTCTGCACTTATACCTGTAGTTGACCTTATAGCATTAGTTTTTAAAAAACTTAAAAAATAAATAGGCAAATGTTTCAATGATTCTGGAAATAATAATCTATTTGTAAATGTTTTTGATTTATTATGACCATATTCATTCATTGCTCTATATTGAGTGAAAATATCAACTAATTTATTATTTAAAGATTCTCTTAATTCATTTAAAGTTTGAACACCTAAAAATGATAATGTATCCCTGACTATAGTTGTTACAATAGCATTTTCATCAGTAAAATGGAAAACTTCTTCTAATTTATTTGTAACTGCTAGAACTAAATTTATAACTCGTACTTTTCTTTGACCAGTTATGTCAGTATATAATAATGCAACTTGAAAATGACAATCTAATTTACGACTTAAAGTACCATCATAGGTTAGCAAAACGGTAAACGTCTGATCTTTATTCAAAATGGGTATTATAGGATCTTGAATCGATCCACCAATAGTGGTTTCCTTATTTGATGACGACGTTCCGTAGTATTGTGCCACTTGTAAACCATTTGAGCTACGTAATTTTAATTGCCCTTGATAACCAGATATATTAATCAAAGAATTCTTAAATTTTGCAATGAATAATCTGCCATCTCTTTCGTAGTTTAAATTTGTCCATCTTGTAATTTCACCACCAGTTGTTGATACTAAATATCCCAAATTTGATAAATCCACTGGTGTGTGAGATACAACATGAAGATCAACACCAATACTTTTTTCAACAAATTCTTTGGTCATATTCTTATAAAATTCATTATCAGGTAAAAAGATTCTTTTTTCAACTTCAGGTGAAGGGGTTCTACCTACGGCTTTATTATCTTTGTATTTTAATCCACCTGGTCCCCAAGATGGTAAATTACTTAATACTGATATAATTTTACCACCACCGTGCATGCCCAAAGCTAATCCAGCAGTCTTACAAGCTACTGCAAAACATGGCTCTAAATCAAACACTTTATCTTGCGAATTAGGTAAGTTTTCAAGATAATATAACGCATCTTCTATGACAAACTGACTTTCATCTGGATTGACAAAGAATCCTTCATCAAATGGGACAAATGGATCATCTAAATCTGAAGATATTGAAATTTGAGTTTTATCAAGTTTTGAAGATAAATTAAAAAAATGTAACCTTTTATCAAATGCTATAATTGCAATCTTGACTGATTGCATATCTGAATTGAAAATTGAGTTTTTAATCGATTCAGAAACTAATGTTGGCAAATTTTGTTTTATACTATTTTCAGTTATATCTATTAAATACACCACATGTAATGATTCTGAAATTTTATCATCACCACCAAAATTATATTCTTTCGGTACTTTGATATCATAAACACTTTGATGTAATTCGGGTCTTATAAATTTATCAGCTCTATACCCTCGAGCATCTAATAATGATGCATAATCATTAGGTACTGAATTGTTTGGAAATTGACATATATTACAAATAAATCTTTGATTGTGAGTGAATTGCATTGAAGGATTAACATATGCTCTACATCTATGACATCTTAATGGCCCCATATTTAGTGAATTGTTATTATTATCTTTAGTCAATGGTGTGTTACTATGAAATTCTATAGTTTCAATAGGTTTTTCAGATGACAATTGAGGTGCAAAAGGTCTTATAGTGACTGCCATGGGTAATTTCGTGGTCAGTCTTAATTTTTCAGTTTCTGGTACGTAATACATTGTTGATCTAATGAATTTTGAAGATGCAGTACCTTGATCTGTTACATGAAATTGAATTGTAGAATCTGGTGGAACTGTTTGAGAAAATGTTTCAAATGATTTGTAATTACCTTGACTATCTGGAGTTGAATATGCCAATTGTTCTGAATATCTATGATCCAGTAGTGAAGGAACTGTTGAAGTTGAATTAGATTTATGTTGTTGAGATTGTTGATTATAGGACTGATCAATTGACGGATAATTAGCTTGTTGAGGATTTTGAGGATTCTGAGGATTTTGAGGATGTTGAAATTGTTGCTGGGGTTGTTGAAATTGTTGATATTGTTGCTGCAGTTGTTGCGGTAATATTGGAGATTGACTTTGTAAAGGAGTATTTGATGCAGGTGAATTAAATTCTGTATGAAAAGCTCTTCTTGACCTTTTTTTATTACTTGTAGATTGTTGTTGATGTTGATTATTTAGATCTAAAGCTTGTAAATTTAATGACAAATCATTATTATTATTATTGCCATTATTTATAGCACTCATTACAATTTATAATAATGATAATAATATTAGTCCATTTAAATTTGGTTGTCAAAATTTAGATCAATTTTTATTTAGTGTTTATTATTTATTCTAATGAAAAATGAAAAAATAGATCTTTTAATCATGTGACTAGTCATGTGATTTACTTAAAGATTTTACTAAATTAAGAGATTCTAACTACTGTACTTAGTTACTATATAATAAATATTAATAAATAATAAATAGACTACTACCTTCTCAATAAAAAAATATAATTATTCAAATACCAAGAATTTAAGTTCAATCAAAAAGAAATCATTAGATAATAATTTGTACATAAACAAGACTTTTTGAATATTTATTATATAAATAAGTTATTTCCCTATATTTTTTTAATGAAATGAATCTACATTATAAATATTTTCATATTCCTCCAATAGATCCCAATATGGGTAATAACTCATTAATATATTTACAAAATAATAATATACCAATTAATTGTTCAGTTTATTCTTTAACAAATGGTACTATTGAATTATTGGATCATTATAATCAAACTTGGAATAATGCAACAAATTTACATGAATTTTTACCTGCTTATTATGTTACAAATTGTTCAATACCAAAATTAATTGAATTAGTTTTAAATCAAGAATATAATTCAACTTTTCCAAAATCTTCAAGATTTGATCAAAGTCCTTATAATCAAAGAGATAATGGTGATACATTTGTTGCAATTTTATTTACTTTATGTGGATCTTGTGTTTCATGTTGGATGTTAAGTTTATTATTATATTTAACTCCAAAACATAAAAGAAAACCTTGGTTAACTCAATTTACAACAATTTTTTATTCAATTGTAACTAGTGTCTTGTTGAATACTTTAACAAAAGCAGCAGAACATGAATATTATAATGATAATTTAGATATTATAAAATTACATCAAAAATTATATAATACAAATGTTTATAGAATTTTAATGGTTTTAACTCAAGTTTTAACAATGCTGTCATGGTTTCAAATTATTCAAAAATTAATAAAACTGAAATATAAAATTTATACTGCTATTTTAAATTTTATTATTATGGGATTATATGTGGCTGTTTTCACTTATTATCAAGTAATTTATAATACTTTACCATTTATTCATCAACAATATCAAGATTTAACTGGATATAATAGATGGAATATTGTAAGAGCTGTAACAAGATTAATTGTGGTAATTTGGTTTTTAGGTATTTTAGGTTATTATACAATATTTGAGAAAAATCCAAGAAAAATTTGTTATAATAGAAAATTATTTCCATTAGCTTTATTTATTTGGTTTTTGTTTTTATTAGACATTGTATTAACTATTTTGAATGTTTCTTTATTTATTGATAGTTGGTTAGTTAGAACTTGGTTGGTTTTAGTACCATATTTGATTGAAATTATATTATTAACGGTTATATGGGAATGGATTTACAATATTTGGATTTTAGAGAAAAGATCGGAGTTGATGAATGTTTTAGGGAGAAGAATAAGTTATGAAGATGTTGTAAGTTTTAAAAATTCACCAAAATCAAGAACTTTTTTGGAAAAATTATCTGAATGGTTTGTGTACAAATTTACTAAAAGCAATAATAATATAAAAGAAATTGATGATGAAGATAGTTTAAAAGAATATTTTACTTCATCAAATAGTGATGATTCAGTTGAACGTACAATGACTACAAATTTAAATGCATATAATAGTAATAACAATGCTATTACTGATAATAATAATAATAATAATAATAATAATAATAATAATAATAATGATCATTCAACTACAGTTGGTGAATTTACTAATGATAATCATGCTAATGAAATTAACAATGATAACAATAATGAGAGTAATGACAATAATGATAATGATGATGATGATAACGATGATGACACCAATGAAAATAATGACAATTATGATGAAAATAATGACATATATGATAATTATGATGATGACGATGAATATGACAATGAGTATAATGCATACTATGTCATTGATCAAGATGAATCTGACTATGCTGGACATAGACTCAGTAATGATAGACAAATTTAATTTATTAATTTATAGAGATTTTTATTCTTGAAACTTTATAATGTATTATTTATTAATTTATTTATTTTACAACAAATTAAGTTTTAAAATAATAAACCAATTCGTATTCAAAATATAATTTACTCTCTAAAAATTTAATTTTAGAAAGTTCTGGTAATCAGTGTAAGTCTAATCTTACTTATATATATAAACAATATATTTAAGCTTTACTCTTTGATTTGACTGTATAGCATAATAATAATATTAGTAAAATTTTGATAATAAATTTTACAAAAGTAGAACAAATAAAAATTACATTAAATTCTAAATAGATATTTTTATTTTTACAACCAAAATAATATTAAAGAAGAATTGTTTTAATTTTAACAACTTCGACTTCTAAATTAAACAAATAAACTTAAAATTATTATTAATCCATATGCAATAACTCAATTTTAATTTAAAGAATTTTAATGACAGTTGAATTAGATGGTCGACGAAAAGATTTATTAGAACTAAATTTAAAATCATGGGATGGTGATTATATCTTTCCAGTTGCAAATAAATTAGATTCTTCATTAAAGAAAAATACAACATTTATCAAAAAAATTAAAACTGGTTTAAATCAAGATCAATTTGATAATGTATTAAAAGATATAAAAACTACTTCAATTGAAAAATATTTATCAGAAGTTATTACTTCTTTAGTTGAAGGATTATGTAAAGTTTCTAAAAGTGATGAAATTTTAGCTTCAATGGAAATTGTATCTGCATTACATCAGAGATTTGGAATACCTTTCACTAGTGAACTATTCAATGAAATTTTAATTTTGATGATGAACCCTCATGATGCGGATGAAATTGATGAAAAAAATGAACAAAATAGAATTACAAGACAAAAAAATTTACTCAGATTACTAGGAGAATTCTATATCATTGGTGTATTAAGAACATCAAGTGATTTTTTGAATGAATTGGATTCAAAAGTAATCAAAATTTACAACCTAGATAAAAGAAGAAATGAACCAATTATAACTTTAATTTTGAAATATATATTAAATTACGATCTTGAACAAGGTCGAACTTTGGGAATGGTTCAATCTTTCTTGAAAAGATTTGGTCATATAATTTTTAACGATTCTAATGAAATCATAGCTTCAGATGTGAAGCATGTATTAAAACAAATATTCATCATATATACTGAAGCAGTAATGAATGTTCTGGTCAACCTCAAAAAACAAATTCATAGACTTTCAATTAGAAATAGGAAAGCTTCTATTAGAACAGGTCGTATCTTGGAAGATCAACAACAAGAGTTGGAGTCAACACAATCATTATTTGAATCTTTTAAATCGGCAGGAGAATTCTTATCACCAATTGTTAATATCCCAATACCTGAAAAATTGTCACAATCGTTAAATCAAGATGAAGACGATGAAAGTAATACAGTTGAATTAGTAAAACAAAAAGCAGCAAATGAAGAAGAGATGAATGGTGTGTGGGAGGATGCAAAAGAAAGAAACTTTTATACAGTCATACCACTGTTGGGGGAATTATTGGATGCATATTCAGACAATAAAGGAGATACATCTCAAGCTTTTAAAGACGGTGAAAAAATTCAAGACTTTTTAGATAAATTGGAAGACGTAGTATCTAATGACTTAGAACAATTAGTTGTTGAGTTTAACAATTTGAATTTAAATAATAAAGCAACAAAGAATAGAATCATGAGATTTTTCATTGAAACATCAACTTTAAATAATTTAAAATACTATTCAAGATTTTTAAAAATTAACGAATTGCATTTAAGTGATTTGATTGAAGAATTAATTATATATTTGGATAAAGGATTCAGATCACAATTGCATCACAACAAGCTAAATGTTAAAAATATTTTATTTTTTGTGGAAATGATTAAATTTAAAATGATTCCAATTCATATCATATTTCACAAAATTAGAAATTTAACTTTAAATATTACTTCAACTAATAATATTGAAATATTGTCAGTTTTCTATGAAAATGTCGGCAGATTTTTATTACATGATCCAGATTATAAAACATTAATGAGAGAAATGATGGATTTATTAAAAGTGAAACTGAAACAATCTAGTTTAACAGTTAATGAAAAATTAGCAATAAATAATCTATTAATTACTGTTGAACCACCAGCAACAAGAGTACAAAGTTTAAGAGAATCTGCAAAATTATCAACGAGACAACAATTTATACAGAGAATTATTAGATCGGAATTAAATATGAAATCTTTACCAATAGTTACTAAATTAATTAAAAAGGCATTTGTTGATTTAAATGAAGAAGAGTATCAAACTTTATTGGAATGTTTCGCACGTCCAGATTTAATAAATTATGATAATATTCAATCCCTAGCTAAATTGGTTCACTACTTTGCCGATAGACATAAGGAAATAGTTGTAATTACAGTTGATACAATAATTGAAAATATCATAAGAGGACTAGAATTAAATGATTTTAGAATGAATAGATCAAGAATGTCACAAGTTAAATATATTGCTGAATTATACAATTCAAAAGTTATAAATTTTAAATTGATTAATGATATTTTGTATCGTATATTATGTTATGGACATCCTCAAAATCAACCTTTACCAGATAATTGGGATGTGAATATTGATTTACCAAATAATTATTTTAGAATTCAATTATGTTGTTTATTATTGCTCTCATTAGAAACAATTTTTGTTGATACTGACATTACAAAGAAGAAAGCATCAAACAGAGCAGCGTTAATTAAAAAGAGAAATGGATTGAACAAAGATCTTTTAGGTGTATTTATGACTTTCTTACAATATTATTTATACTGTAAAGAACCACCATTTCCAGTTGAAGTAAATTTCAAATTAAATGATGTATTTGTTAAATACAAAAGTATACCAACAGTGCAGAGATATGATACCATACAAGAGGTAGCGAAAAGATTATCAGAATCAATCAAAACCAAACAAACCGCTGAACTTGAATTAGATGAAGATGAAGTAAATGAAGAAGAAATGGAATCGAAAGCAAATGATATTTCAGATGATAGTGAAGACGATGATGAAGACGATGATGACGATGAGGATGATTCAGATGATGAAGAAGAAGAAGACTCGGAAGAAGATTCAGATGAAGATGAAGAGGAAGAAGAAGAAATTGAAGATACAAATAGTGTTGCATCAGAAGAAGATCAAATGGCAAGTCATTTAGAAAGAATGAGATTAGAAGCTGATAAAAAATTTCAAGAGGATTTGGATAGAGAATTTCAAAAAATCATGAACGAGTCATACGGCTCAGCAACAACTCAACAATCAACAAACTCAATACTACCACAAAGATCATCAGCTGGATTATCAAGAAGATTATTACCAGTCCCTGAAAAATTAATAATTGAAAGTTCAAAATTTGATGTTAATCCGGCTAAAGAAGAAGGTAAAACTAAATTCAGATTTTTATCTAAAAATGGTAAAGTTAATCAAATTAAACAATTTGATTTACCAAATAATAATATCTTTGCAGAATCAATATTAAAAGAAAAAGAAAACCGAAAAAGAGATAAAGAGAGAATAATACAATTAGCAAATCGAGAAGACTAAGATAATTAGTTATTCCATTTAGAGGATAAGTCAATAGCTATATGATAATCATTATGTTCAATTGGATCAGTAATTTGAAGATCATTGCATTTAGGACATTTCTTGGTTTTAATTAATTCATCTAATAAACTTGTGGGTTTCTTTTTGGTTAATGTTCTGAAAAAATCCAATGATGATGATGGAGGGGACTTTTTAAGGGAATGTTTAATTTTTAATGTAGAAGATTGAGGTTGATTATTATTGTTTCCCTTTTCATAATCTTCAAACAAACTTGATATAGTTTGTTTATCTTTATCAGTTAATGTTTTAGGTTTCTTTTCAGGTATGATAGTTGTTTCTTTATCTAACTTTCTTTTCCTCATTTGATTATTAATTTCAATTAATTCAGAATTTCCATTTTGATTATTTTTAGTTGTTGATGACTTTTTGGTAAAAGTTTCAATTAATGAATTATCATTAAGGGCAATAAAATTTGAAACTGTTAATGACATATTTTGCATTTTCATAATTTTACATTTTTTAGGATCATCATTATATAAATCTTTTATTGATTTATAATTTGGATTTAGTTTTAATAAATTTGTATTATTTTCCATATATTCTCTTAGCAATTGGAAAGCACTCTCTTGAATTGTTTCTCTCATTTTGTTTAAATCTTTATGAAATTGTAATGGCATTTGTCTCGTTTGTCGAACAAATGCTGTTGATCTTACACCAATAGTTATAGTTTTGGGTCGTTTTAATACACCTTTATCCCTTTTCGATAATCTTGTGTTTGATAATTCAATTGATTCGTTGTCTAAATCCTGTATCCTATTGGTTAAGTCACCTGCGTATACGACCAACCATTCATAAGCATCATTCATTGACCAAGGTGAATTATCCCTAAAATTTTTTGTAGATGTCATTGATTTAACATCAACTTTATAACTTAATTCAGAAGGATACAAACCTCTTACTATTTTATATAATTTATTAGCCAAATCTAAATCATCTTTCATTTCTTGTTTTATAGCAGTTAAATCGTAATTTTCTCTAATATATGCTATAGAATTTCTTTCTGGTGGTACTTCAAATTTATTAATTAAAGAATCACCTAATTTTCCACCTAATCCAGTTATATCAGTTAATTCAAAGTTATTTAAAAATCTATTTATGGAACAATTTCTTATTATAGTTTGATCATCTGGTTTTTTAAAGCCACCAGCTAATTTAGCAACTAATTTATTTCTTGCTAATCCTGCTGATGTTGTGTATCCTAATTCTTTAAAAATTGATTGTCGTAGTGTCAATAATAATTGTGATCCAATGAGTAGTGTTATATCATCCCAGTCTTGAATTATTGGTTTTGATGGTTTTGATTTAGAATCATCTGGATTTACATTACTCATTTCTGATTCTGATTCAGCTATATATCCTTCCCATTGTAATTCTATTGGTAGTATGTCAGGAATTCTTGGCATTATACTATCAATTCTGTCATCATTATTGTACTCGTTTAATATTGGGAATTTTTCTAACATAATTTCAAAAATCAGTCTACCTAAATCAACATAGCTTTCATCAACACTTGCTTTATCAACTAAATCAAAATGTTGTTGAATAATTCTTAAAATCTTTCTACTTTCTCTTCTATAAGTATCCAAACTAACTTTGTGATCAACAGGACTTGGATTTTCTTCATAATATGCCCAATGACTATTTCCCTTTTTATAAGCTCCTGCATGTGCACAAATCAAATTAGGACATTTTGCTAATGCTGACAGAACAGTATCTAATCTACTTATACCATATTTTCTTGCTGCATAACTTACAGCAATTATTGATTGCCATTGTTGACATACTACGGGATCTTCATCTGATAATCCTAATCTAACTGTTTCAACTTGTGCATAAAATGCATTTAAATCAATTAATGAAATTACTGATAAGGGCAGTAAATATGAAATTTGTGGATCATTTAAATTCTTTAGATCTTTAAATGTAAATTGAGAATTAGGTAGTGGATTCGTTATTAGTGGTTGTCTATTTGTAGGTCTTGGTGCCTTAACAGACATTATATTGAAGTTAAATAAAAGGACGTGTTTCAAATATTTTATTATACGTGATTCTTAAATTTAATTGTAATTTAAGATGTTACTAAATATTTTTTGTGTAACAATATAAATCACTACAAGCCGCACATGATTACATATCAAAAATAAATTTATGGCAAATTAAATTAAAATATTTTCATAACAAATACATAATAAAAATTCATAAAAAGAAACTACAAAGAACCAAATAATTAATAAATAAATATCATATGCTAATTATAATCTACATTTCATACTTTTCACTGAAAAATTGATAATTATGCTCTTTTGACCATTGTCTAGATTCATTGATTAAACTGTCTGGACCACATGCTAAAACCCAACTACATTTGGGGTCATAATTAGTAGCTGGATTATTCATTGCAAAAACTTCATCTAATTTAGGTCTACCTAATTTATATGTTTTATTATTTTTAGTGTTTTTTAATTCTTCCTCTCCTTCGTCTTTACCTCTAATACTTTGTAATTCTATTTCTTCTTCTTCTTGTTGTAGTAATCCATGATCTTCTCCTTCATCTTCTATAATAAATTTAGGTAGTTCTAGATTATTTTGAGTGTTTTCAATTGGTTCAACCTCATTGTCATCTATTGAAGTAATATAAATTTGTACATTCTCAAAATCTAATTTATCAACAATAAACAAATCCTTTTTGAATCTAACACACCAAATTAAATTTATTATTGTATTAGGACTATTGATTTTAAAATATTGATAAATTGGTAAACCAAAAGATATACCTGAACCACCACAAATTACATTAACAATTTCAGAAGTTGTGAAAAATGGTGGTGGTAATGCTGGATAAGGTCCTGTTAAATAATATGAAAATTGTTGATTTATAGAAAAAGTTTTGGTTTTTTTAGTGATTAAATCAAATGTTTGATGATTATTCTCATAAATTGAGGCTATAGTGAAAGGATGAGTTGAACCAACCCAACTTTGGAAACTTGATATGGGATAATTTAATCTTATATGACTACCTGGTAACCAAACAGGAAAATTTATAGGTACTGAAATTTTCAGAATTTGTAAAGTAGAATTTGGAGTATCAACCACTTTTATGGAATCGATGTTATAACCACTGAAAAACCTCAAATATAATTGATAAATCATTAACAAAACATTTATAATTGCAATTGGTAATACCCCAGGTCTTGCATGTAAAGTAATCAACAAAATCATAAACCATGCAGTGACATTATGAATTATATAAAATAATGAGTACCATTTTCTTCTCAAATATCTAATAGATACAAATATCAACACGATAAAGGGTACTAAACTCACTAATCCTAAAAAATTCCAAATATTAAAAACTTTAGAAATTGTGTTTTCTTTAATCCATTTGAATAGAAATCCAACTGCATGTAAAATAACTAGTAAGAATATTAATCTTGAAATCCATTTATGTAAATTCAAATTTTGTAAATAATATCCTAAATTTAATGTATATGAATTATTAATCCTTAAAATCAAATAAATATTTAATGGTATTAAACAATATGCTATTCTCCCTAATCTTTTACATATTGTAATATATTCTTTACTAAAATTATAAATTCCCCATTGTGATAAAAAACAAATTATAATAAACCAAATTAATAATATAACAATAGTTGAGGGATTTTGAATTGATCTTAAAATTTTATTAAAGTATCCTTTATTTTTCCAATTTAAAATATATAAATATTTAAAAATTAATAAATATAAAATTTGTAAAATAGATAATCCTAATATATAGTAACCATATTTAATATTTATAAAATGATGATCTCCATGTCTTGATTCAATATCAATCTTATTCATTTGTTAATGATAAAATTATTATCATCAAATCATATAATGAAAATTAATAATAACATTTTTAAATAAATTCTTAAGTCTAATTATAAATTTATTTATAATATTCTTTAATTTTGTGCAATGTCTTTAATTTAGATATCAAAACTTCAAAAAGCGACAATAGGAAAAATGACACATGAATTATAGACCATAACTATATGCAGTATATATGTAACTATTAACTACACAACCTAAATTATATAATTATATAAATTTAAATAGATTTATTATATAATTATTTAAACCTAGATTGAGTTATTGCATATGGATTAATAATATTCTTAAGTTCATCTGTTTTAATTAAAAATTGAAGTTGTTGAAAATAAAATAATACTTCTTTTATATTATTTTGGTTGTAAAATTAAAAAGATCGATTTAACATAATTTTTATTTCTTCTACCTTTGTAAAATTTAGTATCAAAATTTTACTATTTTTATTATTATGCTATGCACTCCAATCAAAGAGTAAAACTCGAATATACTCTTTATAGATATAAAAATTTAGGCTCACCCTGATTACCAGAACTTTCTAAAATTAATTTCTTAGAGTAAATTATATTTGTTTTAAATACAATTGGTTTATTGCTTTAAAACTCAAGTAAGTTTTAAGAATAAAAATCTCTATAAATTAATAAATTAAATTTGTCTATCATTACTGAGTCTATGTCCAGCATAGTCAGATTCATCTTGATCAATGACATAGTATGCATTATACTCATTATCATATTCATCATCATCATCATTATCATCATAGTTGTCACTGTTTTCATTAGTGTCATCATCATTATCATTATTGTCATTACTCTCATTATTGTTATCATTGTTAATTTCATTTGCATGATTATCATTAGTGAAATCACCAACTGTAGTTGAATGATCATTATTGTTATTATCATCATTATTATTCTTATTATTATTATTAGTAATAGCATTGTTATTACTATTTTATGAATTTAACTTTGTTGTCATTGTACGTTCAACTGAATCATCACGATTTGATGAAGTAAAATATTCTTTTAAACTATCTTCATCGTCAATTTCTTTTATATTGTTGTTTTTGGTAAATTTATATATAAACCATTCAGATATTTTTTCCAAAAAAGTTCTTGATTTTGATGAATTTTTAAAACTTACAACATCTTCATAACTAATTCTTCTTCCTAAACATTCATCAACTCTGATCTTTTCTCTAAAATCCAAATATTGTATATCCATTCCCATATAACTGTTAATAATATGATTTCAATCAAATATGGTACTAAAACTAACCAAGTTCAAATTAACCAACTATCAATAAATAAAGTAACATTTAATATAGTTAATACAATATCTAATAAAAATAAAAACCATATGAATAAAGCTAATGGAAGTAGTTTTCTATTATAACAAATTTTTCTAGGATTTTTCTCAAATATTGTATAATAAGATAATATACCTAAAAACAATCGCTATTTCTATAACATTATTTTTTAAAAATGATCTTAAATTGTTTTAGTACAATTCACAATTTGATAGAAAATTGAATACTAAATAGAGCTTGATTCTTATTGAATACTCATTGTAAATTAAGTCTAGTACATGCACAAGTTTTAATGTGTTTTCGACATTTATCAGTGTCAATGAACTCGTAGAAAACTATGATTTGAACTTATTTATTTAGCGTAGTTTGTCTTTCTTAACAGAGAAAAATTACTTTGTAAGGCATATACTACGAAATGATATTGTCATAAAAATTAGAAATAAATCTTATTTGGCATTCATGATTACGAACTTATAATTTACCTTATTTACAAATTTCTTTTTTTTTCAATTTCTTTTAAATTTTAGTCTATATGATTTTCGTAAAGTTTAATTAATTTTTACGAAATCTCGCTAATATTTAAACTTTTTTAATAAATATTTTTTTAGAGCCCTTTTTGATTTCGAGATATATCGTTTGAGTGAAAAGTTTGAAAGTGAAGGTTCGTCCATAAAATTTTTTACCCAATGCTTAACATGATGCTCGTTAGGAAAGATTATCAGCTGATTTTTTCGTTATTCAATATTATAAAGTTTCACTTTTTTTAATACTTTAATTGTTTATCAAAAGTCCATCTAGGAAATTAATAGAACTTGATAGCTTTGTGTCAAGTTGGTAACAGAAATCCGTTATTATGTTTTCCATTTGAGAATAGAACATTTAGAGGAAGATAAGGAATACCATGTCAAATTTAAAATTAATTTCATTTAAATTTGTTAATTACATCATTGAAACTTTTTAAGCTGCAAATGATTTTATTAAGGTTAGTAAAATTTAAAATTTTACTAAAATACGAAAATGTTTTTGTGATTGTTTACATTTAAATAAACATTAAATATTTGGAAAATACCGACAACTATTTGGCAGACAAATTTACGACATGTAACATGCTAGTAGAGTTCAATTATTCTAGAATTAGAATTGAGTAAAATATAAAATTTAGTATATGCACATCACTTAAAGTAAATTTAAAAAATTTTGCGTCAAAATATTATTGAATTAAAATGAAAGTACTGGCGTATTTTACTTGCATTTGTTATCAAGATCTACAAATTTGAAATTTTACACCCTATATCAGTTATCTAGGCAGGCGACTAGACAGATAAAGATTTGATCCTTTTTATCTGGAATAGCCCAACTGAGCAAATGGCGCAATTTTACTTTTTCAGAGAGTAAAACTAAGATACTAATGATTGAGCTCGTTGTGATTTTGTATTTGAATATGAAACCTTAATCAAGAGGGGTTTTTACTATCATATTTGTTGCAAAAATGACAAAATTTTGACAATTCAGCGAAACCATAATAATCTAATCATTTCAATTAATGTTTGTTCTACATTCACCAACAGTGTAAGAATGAATTTAGTTGGTTTATATCAGAGTTAATAAATGAACTGATTAGAGATTTTTCTTTCCTTTCAGGGTAATTTGAATTAGGCTGGATGTATTTGTTAAATTAACTACCATTCAAAATTTTTTTTTGACACCCCTTCAATATTCGACTTTTTGCAACATTTGTAAAAATCTTTCACCAAGTTTGTGAACACAAAATCTCGAGAAAATACAAGAGTTACCAGCTTAAAACAATTTTAATAACATGAAAATGGTTTTGAGTTTCGAAATCTGGGAAAATTATCTTCTTTTACTTTTGATTATTAACTATAAAAAAAGAGAACTGCAATATTGACTGTCATGCCAGTGACCAATACGATCTCTTTATTTAAGATTTCCGAGCAGTTGATGTAACATGAAAGATACCTTTATAGAATACGGAAACCCGACTTCACACTGGATATGGTTTACGAGATTTTTGAAAGAAAAAGAAGGAAGAAAAGAATATAATTTGGAAAAATAAGTAAAGATTATAAATTGGGAAAAAAAAGTTTTTTAAAGCTAAAGCCCGAATTCCGAATTCCATTGAAAGTATTTCTCGAATATTTAAAATTCTTTACATGACGATTACTTAATAAGAAATCATACAGTCAAATATTTATTTTTGAGGGAACAATCATAGTGCATGATGTAATTATGAATAGAAATAAAAAAATTGGAGTAAAATAAATAAATTAGCTCTCGAGAAAAAATAATTTATAAAATTATTTTCAATTAAATAAATTATAAATTAAAGTTGTGGAAAATTTAAACTTTTTTAAAAAATAAAAATAATATTAATTTATTTTGAGGTACATACATAAAATATGAATTATTTTATTATTATCATTAAGTTTACAATTTATTTTACACGTTAATTGATCATGAACCTTAAAAGTCTGAGATTCCACAAAGGTCTGGACAGTTGATCCAAATATTCAATGGAGTCCAAAGTGATTTTCTGGATCCTAATCCAATAAATGCAGAATCAATGTCATAAGGCTCCAAATAAAATACATGATAATAAGATTATTATCATGCAAAAGAATAATCAAAAGTTAATTATAAACGATCCAAATAATAAACTTTAAAGTACAATAAAAACTAAATCTTTTACTTCAACTTTGTATTTTACTTTATTTTTAACTTTATTTTTGACTTAAAAATTACGTATTTATGATTACACATATCCTTAAATTCCCCCTTTTTTCTACTCTTTTGAAGTTGAATTTAATTTACCACACGTTTACTTTTTTATCATAGAAGATTTACGATCTACGATTAAATATTTATCCCTGAGTAATTTAAAATCTGATGATCTCGATTGCATTCACATTATTTTTAACCTACATATGACATAATTGAAGGAAGGGAGAATTTTTCTAACCTCTGAGTAAAGCATCAATTTCATGGATACATAAATTTTTTATCTGGTTGTCATACAACTCATTTTTTTTCAGTACTTCATTTGTTTCTTAATTTGAATATCATCATATATTTGATTTTTCAGAATAATGAAGAACTCTTGCATATAAGTTTATTTATTGACCACTTTTCATTATTATCGAGTTCCAAAAATCCGGTTGTTGTAGATACTGTCGAAATCTTAAAAAGCCATATCAAAATTCAAATCGAATATTCAGGTTTCAAAATAATGTCGTTTCCTTGATTGGAAGATTAGAAAGTACATAAATTTATGACATCATATTGCATATTCGAAATAGAAATTATACGAAAATTTCTACTTATATTCTACTTGGATGGTCTAAGCTATGAAGTCATAGACAATTACTTTTATCACTTCTAACCTTACGTGAGCAGATAGCTAACTCTATTTTTAAATTATAGTACCATCTTAATTAAATAATCAAAGGGTTACAATTAAAAAATACATTAACCAATTTCATCTTCATGAAAACTATAAATTATCATAGGGTATAAGTCCAGCATCACCATGCGACAAAAGAGAAGAATTTATAAGAAATGAAGTTTGGTCGCCTTGAAAAATTGGTGATAAATTATGTTAAGTTTTTTTATTCTTCTACTATTTTATTAGTGATCAAAAAATCAACGTTTCACAAAAAAAAACAATCTATAACGACATGAAAATCAACTGACAAGTTGATATGATTTAATAAATTAACTCTCTCAAATATGATACGAAGTGGCACATTAACAAAAGAAATAAATAATATAATAAAGCCTTGAAGTCAATTAATTCATGCAGAATTATTTTATTGACCGCTTTGTTTAATACAAGAAGATTTTGAGAAGAATAGATAAAAATACAATTTTCAGTTTTTTGGGTTCCATACTATAGCCTCTCTATTATTCCTACTTAAACTTTGTAATTAGCCAAGTAAAAGATTTAGTGGAGTAAAGGGTAAAGATAATATTTTTTTAAACTTTTGTCAAAAGAAATCAGGTTAAAAAACTTTAAAATCGGAAAAATGAAGCTTTTAGATATACATAAAACTTCATTAAAAAATTTGACCTTTACTGATCAGGTCTCAATCTGAACAACTTGTTGAATTGCTTCCTATTATGTTCACAACATCAACATATTTCATGCCAAAATAGTAGCAGTTTATTGTTTTTAGTTTTTTCAGGCATGGCACATCAAAATTTTCTGTGCTTATGCATTTAAAATCAATGACGTAAGAAATCATAAAATTATAGTTTCAAACAGGATAGCTCATTTCAAGTCAAGCTTACTATTTTAACTACAGAACAACGACGATAGTTAAACTAGTGGACTAATTTTATACCCACCATTAAGTTTTTATAATATTGAGTTCTGCAATGATTTGAGGTACTCTAGGTAATCAATGTTGAATTTCAGGATTTATCCCTATAGTCAGACGTACTTAAAGTTGTTAGTTAATTAATTTTTGAAGTCATTGACAAATAGCTGCAGGATGAAATTTTAAATTACATAGAAATCAATCAAGATTCTAGAACCTAACTGTAAAATGTCGTACATTCTTTACACAAAATTAAAATTTTAGCCAGGGATTCAAGAAAAGAATAAATAGAAAACGTCCAAATTCTAGATCATAAGAACTTATCAAATTTAATATGAACAATCAAAATCTTGTTTGAATCGGAATAAATAAGTGAAAATCAACAACGATTTTGAGTTATTAATAAATACCTATGTATACTTATATCATATTATTAATAAAGATGGATCTATAAAATCTGTGTCAAAGTTTGACTTGAATTTCTTCTCGGAGTGGTAAAAAAATACTTATGATGAACTTTATTTCATTTGAAAGAAAGACGTAATGCGATACTTTTTTAAAAATAGTAAAGAATTCTATACATCAGGCTAGATTGATTAAATTAATTTAAATATTTCGAGAAATTAAAAATTCAAAAAAAAATATTTGAAATCCGTTTGAAAATCAAAATAAATAAAAAAATTCAATCTGTAATTTAGACTTTTGTGTAATTATGCTGAATTGGTTAAAGATTTTTTTCGAAAGTTAATTTTTTTTTTTTTTTTTCTTAATTTTTTTTTTTTTAATTGAAATAATAATAATAGAATGTAATAATTTGATAGATATAATATTTCAAAGTTTATTATTCTTTTAACCATTCTAAATATTATTCATTTATTAAGTATTCCACTAAGTCTATTTATACTTTTGTGTAAAATAATGTCATTTTACTTAAGTTTCTATAATAATAAAATTATAACTTTTCAAATTTTTAAATTTAATACGGATAATTTAATTTGTGGTAAATTAATTTTGTTAGGAAAAAAACAAATTATAATAAAAAATTATAAAAAACGTAATTTCATTTTCTTTAAAATTCAAAATATAAATACATCAAATTATTTCTCTTTTCAAATTTGATTATAATCCTGTCTATTATTATAGTTTTTATTTTTTCCCCAATCACCAGTTCATACAACGGAAGTCCTCATAAAAAGTTCGAGTAAAATTTAATCACTCACTTCAACAATAAATATATATAATACATCATACATATTGAAACATAAGTTTTAATTTTATTATCATCCCATAGACACACTCACATTAGAAAAAAATAACCCACATTGCCACTTTAGATTAAGAAATCAAAATTAAAAATTTACAAACTTATAAATATATCTTTCAATCCAGTTTAGAATTATTATTTTAAATTGTTAAATTTTTTGTTTCTATAATATTTACTAATTCAAATTCTTATTTCAATAATTTTTTTATATTTTTTGATTTCCAAACTTCATCAATTAATTCAATAATTATCAATTACTATAATTCAACTTGAATTATAATCCCATATTTAAAAATAAAGAATAAACCTTGAATCTTCAAATTAAGGTTTTTTATATATCCGGGAAAGGTCGAAAAATTCAAATATAATTTTTAAATCCCCCTTTTTATAAAAATTTAAAGTTTGTGTACAGTTAAAGACTTTAATTTAAAGAATTATTAAGAACAAAATTTCATATTTATAAATATTATAATTATTTTCAAAGTACTTTATTTGCTTTAATTAACCAACTCAACTAATTACAAATTAATTAAAAACATATACTTATTCTTCAAATATATTTAAGTCAGTCAATTGTTTTCAATTTATTAAACAACCTTCAATACACATTCTTGAAATACAACCGCACTTAAGAAATCCTTGATTATATAATAATTCATATTCATAATGGTATATCGTTCTGAAGCAGCTAAATGGAAAGCTTATCAATTTAGTGATCCTTTCGCAGCAGGTTCATTTTATGTTTGTAATAAATTAAATAGGATGTTTTGTCGTCCAGATTGTGATGCAAGACCAAGAACAAATTTAAAATCAGAAATTAAATTTTTAAATTCAAGTGACGAGGCAATAAATAATGGATTTTTACCATGTGAATCTTGTGATCCATTGCATAGTGCAATAATTGATGTTAATTTATTAATCAAATGTGTCTCAACAGTTAATACAAAAATTGGTTTTATGCCACCACTTTTAGATGAAAATGAAGAATTGAATTCTAGAAAAATTAAAGAGAATATTTTAGAAAGTAAAAAGGCAAATGAGGAACAAATATTAAAAACCATAAATGGAAATTCAAATCAATCATCCGAATTACCAATGCCATCCAACGAACATAGATCATCAGCTCCAGTATTTAACTTCCAGGGTAAGGCATCAAAAGATTTAGAGAGTACTTCAATATCCAAAAATGATTCAGATCATTATAGATTAGTTGACTTAGCTTGTCGTCATTTAGCTTTAGCTGCTGCCGTAAACGTATTTCAACCAAAGCCAATTGCTTTGACTCCAGAAGAATCTTCACCAGGTACTAATCCAAACGGTTCTAAAAAAAGAAGGAGAAGAGGTGGGGTTTTAGGATTTAAAGAGTTGGCAGCAAAATCAAAATTAAGTGCTTGGCATTTCCATAGAGTTTTTAAATCTGTTACTGGTTTAACTCCAAAAACATATGGTGACAAATGTTGGGAATTTATTAAAAGAGTTAAAGAAAGTGGTGAATATACTTCATTTGAAAACTATACTTCAACCAACTCACCAAAAACTATATCATCATCATTATCACCAAAGTCTCCAACTGATGTTTCCAATTTATCTCAACAACAAACACTACCAAAGCAGAAGAAAATCAAGTTAGAACAAATTTCATCACCATCATTATTCACAACTCAACCATTAGCTGAAGAAAAAAAATTATTAGATCAATCTATAACTCCTCCACAATCAGGATTCCCATTACCATCACAACAGTTTCCAAATCATCAACATCCAACAACTCCAACGAATCAAGAAACTTCAACATCATTAAGTCAATTGAATACTATACAGTCAGAAATGCCAGAGTCATTTTATCAACAAGTTCCATCATTTGATGATCAATTACAAGATTTACCGACCTTAAAAGATGATGATACTCATTTACATATGAAGGCTTTCTCTTATCCAGATTTATCTAAATTTAGAGCTGATTCCTTATTCAATCATTCACAAAAATTACAATATAATTTCCCACAACAACAATTACCACAACAATTTAGTCAACCACAATATTCACATGACACTACGAATGAATTTGGAGATTTCTTGAATAATAATACAGATTATTATGGATTAAGTAGTAATAATGGCGGTCAATTTGGTGGATCAATGATAAATTTACCTGCATCAGCTACATCAACAACTTCATCATTTGATGAATTTGAAATTGATCAAGATAATTATTCAAATCCATCATCAACAACAACTATAAATAACAATCAACCTTTACAAAATCCAATAGTACCTAATTTCAATTACGATGAATTAGAATTTTTACCATCAACTTTTGATGAAACTTTATTATCCATGACAACACCATTTTTAATACCAAATAGCAACAATAATTACAACAATAATAACAACAACAATAATTTCAGCGCTGGCGCAGCTTCAACTACCAACACTACAAATAATGTTAACAATAATGACGATATTTTTCTTAATGACACAACTAGTTTTTTTGCAATGAATCCTCAATTAGCTACAAGTATTGGATTATAGATTATAGAATTTCTTATCGCTTTTACAATGGTTTTTTTTTAAACAATATACTTTTTTCATTTATTCAACTTACAAAATATTTAGTAACTATTTTTTTCGATATTTTATAATTATATATAAATTTAATACTTATTAATATAAAATTATAATATTACTTTACCCAACAACTGATTTACTCTGATATACTTTTGAATCGTTATAATAAAATATTATTATAACTCAAATCAAACCCTGTAAAATTTAGATGTATTTTTTAATAAACCTTTGACGAGAAAATTAAATTTAATATTATATTAATTAATAATTTATTATAATTACTATTAGAATACTTCGTTCCCCTCCCTCTCATAATTAAAGATAAATTTCAAACTTTCAAATAAACCTTACATTACTTTACTTTTGAGTTAAGGAAAATCTCCTCAATTCTCCTAATGTATGAATCAAAACAAAAAAAATCTTCACTTAAAATAAATATTATAAATCTTAAGTCCAGGTCAATTATCACACTGCAGTATTTCTCGAAGAATAAGTTAAGACCAATCAAATTCAGGATCAAGTTTCACCTCTATATATGGTATCATTAAAAACCACTGGTGGTAAGCAAATAAGTAAACAAAAGAATTTGTAATCCCTTAATATATAATGCGGAGATCTTTAGCTCAAATTACAGATTTATTTAAAGAAGTATCTGTGAATATTGGGGAATTATACATTTAGTAGTTGAATTGAAAGAACAAAATTAGCCATAAGAAATATGACCTTTTTATTTACCTATTAAATGCTTAAAAACGTATGAAAGTTCTCTGTGTAAAAGAATATAAAGAATAGTCTTGTTTTTGGATATGAATTTCAAAATTTCATGCTCAAGTCTCCCCATAAGGAAATTCGCATGTACTTATTGAAGGTGCCAGGTCTAATATGCTAACACATTCCTGAGAATGAAGTTAAGAAAATTTAAGCCTAGAACATTTTGAATAGTAATTAATAAAAAAAATTAATAGCTCTCCTTAAAATAATTAACTAAAAATCCTTAAATCTAGTGACATATCGTTTTTATATAAACACAATTTCAGAATTTAAGATAAGAGATTTTAGTAAATCCTTACGGACAAGCTAAAGACTTAAGCAAAGGGATACGATTGTTCATCCTTGAATTTAATTGTAAGCTAATGAATATATAGAACTAGAAAAATTTACTTGAATATTCAACTGGACACTCCATGTATTCTTTCAATTCTTTGAAATCTATTTTCGAAGGTGCGATAAAAACTTCTTGCAATATTTCCTTTAAAAAAATCCTTAATTCAGTCAACCACAAAATGACGCTAATATTCATTATTTTTGTGGGTTACTTAAAATTAATTTTGACATCATCTAAAATGCATCTCGATAAAAGCATCCTCAAAAAAAAATCATATCTTAGCGTATTATAATCAATCGGTTTAAAACGTAAAAGTAAAAATTTAAAGGCGGTTTGATCTTTTATATTTAATATCAAATAAAAAAAAAAGGTTTTGTGAACTTAGAACTGATAAACATTATAATACCCTTTGAATTCTTTATTTTCAATTAAGTTTGATAGACGAGTTAAAACAACATACATATATATATATATATATATTTTTTTCTTTGTTTGTCGAAATCCGTCCATATTAATTACAAATTCATAATTGAATTCCATTGCAATTTCTATTGTCTCAGTCATATTACTTTTCACTTGCATCATTAATTGTAGAATTTATCTAGAAATAATCCTTTCTTCTGAAACAATTGAAAGCATTTGAAGTCCGTTTAGGAACACATGTTTGAGATTTAGGTAATTACTACTTCCTACGTTCCTGTCAAAGTTGTACACAAAGTCTTATTCAACAACATTGATTCTGTCGGAGTTATATCTTATATAAAACGGGTTAGTAATTTTGCAAAATCAAAAGATCAATTTAGTTCCATTAATTTAGGTCCATATAACGTTTAAAAAAATTCAACGGGGGACTGCCAATTAGCGAATTTCGTTAAGTTCATCGAAGATTTTTCAATCATTTTTAGTCAATTGAGGCTAGATTTCTACAAATTTCCATTACTGATATGTCAGCCTCAAAAAAAGAAAGAACTTTAGCAATTCTTCTTTGAGTATTTAAAACGTAAAAGTGATTAGTGGAGAATTCTCTTTGAACTTTTAGCAAATTCAATCAATGGTAAGATCTTGGTATTAAATTTAAAAAACTTAAAAACTGTATTACTGTTTAATAAAATGTCAGTAAGCTAATATTTAGTTCATAGCTAATATTTAGTCCATCTTTTGTTCGCTTTTTATTCTACTAACACATGGGGCCATTAAATTCAGCTAACAAGGGATGGCTTTTGATAAAATCGTAGGCGAGTACAAAATTTGATTGAGACTTTACTTTAGACAATTGTCCTTAAATTTTCTCCAAACTCGGAATAGAATATATTTGGGGTCTAGCTCAAATAAATTATCTTATAATAATATATATTGATTGAAGACGTTTCTAAATACCCAACTGTACATAATTAAGATTATATAAGTACTGTATATAAAAGCTTCATACACAAAATTTTAATTTAAATAAATAGGTATTAAACTTGAACGATCTTAAATACCCATCACGCACATAGTTAAGACTAAGTACGTACTGCATATAAAAACTAAAAAATTATAAAAAAAAATTTAAGAATTTGATAAAACAACCTGCGCAATCAATTCTATCGTCAAAAACTGACCTAGAGAATGTGTTCAAACTGTTCTAAAGACTACCCTTCGTGAGCAACAGACTTGTTCATATAATTTGTATGGGATTTTGAAGAAAAAAGGTTTTATGCTTTGTTTTATTTTTTTGTTTTTAAACTTTAAACTTTTTTTAGACAATTTTTTACGAGTCTCCTTTTTCCTTTAATTAATAATTATAAATCAAAATAAGATCAAGTAGATAATCGAGCTTTGGAGTTTATCACAATGAAATCTTTTTGAAAAATTCTTATTCCGAACAGTTTCTATCCATCTCAAAATCTGCACACAGTCCTGTTACCAAACTAATAAAAATATAACTTTTATCTTGTGTTGTTGTTGTACATAGACAACAAGGTGTTTTTCAATTACAACTTAGACTTTTGTCTTATTCTATAATACAGATCGAATTCTCAAGCCACATGGTTTTTTGCATTTTGTTTTTGTTTTAGCTCAAAATTGGATTTAAACTTACGGAAGTCCGCCAACATGAAAGTTTTAATTTAAAGTTTTTTCTCTGTGAAGGTTTAACGAAAATTAAGCAGGAGCTGTTAAATGTTTAAAATTTCATGCCCACAGTTTTCCGTGATATTTTAGGGGTAGATACAAGACAAGTTTAATTTAAATCCAACCAAAATTCGTACTAATCGCAAAAGCAACATTTACATATCCGGTGGTTATAATTTTTATCAGATTGTTAACCAAAGTTTAACCTATATTAAATTTGGACAAGATGATGTAATATCAAAATGATGTAATTTTGTTTGCATGCTACAGCACTGTTCAAAAAATATTGATTAGCATTTGATCTTCTCAAATGCTAAGTTATTGATCAAACTGTCTCAGATTCAGCTATGACGAAATCCTTAACTTTTGGTTCTCTTTTCGAAAAAAATGAAAGTTTATGTATTCGCATGTATTGTAAATTTCAATTTTCCATTTTAGTGAATGAGTTTGATACCAGAAGCCAAATCTTTTTCTCGGTAATTATTGAGACTTCAATTAAACTTTCTGACTTTTATACTGAGATTTGTCATTTAAGGTAATGAAAGAAAAACAAGAACAAGTAAACCTTTATTTCTCACCTGAAAGATGAACTCACTAATAACTTTTCAAGTATCGATAGTTCTATTCGAATTTCATTCGTCATACTTCCGTACAGCATAGGATCTGTCTTTACAATTCCACCAAATCAGTGAAATTGAAAGCAAATTTCCGATATTTTTAGATTAAAACTAAATACGTGGAGAACCACTATGTGTTGAAGTAGGAATTATGAAGTGGCTCAATGATCAAAATTAGATTAAGCTTTTATAAATTTACTTGACTTTTATGATGTCAGGTTTAAGGTTTAGATCAAAAATTGTATTTGAAATTTCATCATTTTGTTTCTCGTCAAAAGTTTCAATCTTAATTTTAAAAAATAAAACTAAATTTACATATTTCCATTTCCACGGAACCTTGTGCCATATTCCTGGTTTGATGTGAACGATCTGGTACATAAATTTAGCTTGTCCGGCGAGCTGAGAATTGTTTAGATCTTTTTACCCGTATCCAAGCTTCAGAGTTTTCAAAATTTGTTGGCATAAAACTCATATCAAAAAGTGGTAAAAAATCTTAATAAAAATGTCGTAGCATCTACGAATCTTCAAAAAGATCTAATAAACCTTAAAATTAAGATCTGGTTAAAAAAACTTTATTTTCATCAGCAATATTTAAACAACTTTTAAATTAGCTTATTTTTTAGAATGTAAAATTTGAAGGTCATGATGTATAAAAAAGTTCCGGATTTTTGAAAGATTTAAGTTCAACGAAGAAGTTAATAGTCAATACACAATTATTCTTTAGATTTTTAAATTAGATTTTAAGTTTAGGAGTTATGCGGTTTTATGAATTAAAAAAGTTTAAAATTAAAGTGAAGAAATCCAAACGAATTAAATTACGTAACGTATTTCCATCAGTATATAATTTCGAATCACCTGATGCAGGAAGTCACAAATAAAAAAGTACTTATTGGAGACAAATGAAGAAAGAACAATACAAGCCCGATCAAACTAATTGTCATACAAATAAAGTTGCATATCAAGTAGTACGGAAAAGAGAGCACTGCCGATGAACCATTACTTTGTTGAACAGGTGCATACTTTTCTTGCGTGGGGTTGTAGACTTTTTTAGCTGATACTTTTAGCTTGGATTTGCTCATCTCATCAATCGATACTAACTTTAGAAATTTTTAGCAAACTAGTTCTAGCTGCGAATTCTACTCTTATTGAAGCTCAGATATTTTAAACATCTTCAGTTTAGAACTACTTTTCAATTACTAAGTGTGACCAAGTTTCTAATTTACTCTATATTGCAAGAGCATGTTTCCTCTGCCACTGGCTAAGGTCTATCACTGTATTGGACGTTATTTCGAAATCTCAAGATATATTGTATCACCGGAATTTGATTCAAATCCATAGTGATATTTTGAGTAAACTGCGCAATCTCAGGTTCAAACTCTTAACTCGCTGTTCACGAAGTCAAAACGAAAGATGCAATGGATAAATTTGGTAAAAGTTATGAACTAAATTGAGTATTACATAAACTGAATGGATACACATTGTTTTAGTTGACATTGACATCTGATTTGCTACGTTAAATACTGTTTGGTCACCAATAAGGGTAAATTTGTAAAAGATCCCAACCCTGGCTTATTGCTTCACAGGAAGTTTTCTCTCAAAATATTGTTGATATATATTCAAGAATTCTTCGTTTCAATGAATTATAAAAAAAGTACTGTATACAGACAAAATTGATACAAATTATGCGAAACACATACATAAATCAGAAAAATCAAAAAAGTCAACCGCCAAATGTAGTAAATTTTGACTGGGCAAAGATATCCTACGACCAAGCTATGATGAGCTTTTTATGGCTTTGCAATGGTGCCAAAACATCAAGCACCAAATAATTTATACTCTCATTTCAGTAAATGTAGAGTAAATTCGCACATCATTTGGTAATTATATTATGAGTTTACAAGAACAATAATGTGATAAAACACTTGTTCAAATAGTTTTCATTGGAACACATTAATTTTCTTCAAAAATCTTGCTACCGTTTTGCTCAAACTTTTCAGTCGCTGAGGCGAAAATGGTGTACATTGCAAAGAATCAGTTTTCTAAGGCACAATCAGTAAATTCAAGATAAATACTGTTCCTACCTTTAGAGTAAAATTTTCCTGTAAAAAACCTTTATATTCAATATTTCATAACTTCCAAGTCACTGATCTAAAATGTTAAATATGATTTTATTAGGGAACCGGAGGAACTAATCAATCAAATTCACTTGAGCCATTGTAGTTGAGCTCATTATAAGGATAAAATTTCAAATTTTAATACATCATTGAAGGAACCAATTTCAAGGAGTTCCAAAGGTGTTGACATTTGAACATATTTATTCCGTCTTAAAAATGGGAATAACAGTGCCTTTAGATTAAGTTGTGAGTAGATGGTAGTTACTGTGTGTAAGAAACTTATGAAAATAAAATCACTAGCAACTTTAGCACGCTCCTATGCTAATTGCGAACTTACCTAATGCTATTAACTTAGTATTTTCACTTGCACGTTTTGAAAACGAATAAATACTCAAATTTAGCATTCTTTTTAACTTGCATTAGCAATTAAAATTTCAAAACAAGAGTATTTTCTAAGCTGAAAGGGATAAACTTTGCAGCATTAACAATTAAATAAAAATTTTACTAATAGTGTTGTGGACTTAACGGAAGGTAAAAAAATAGCAGTACACAGGTAATTAATCATTAATAAGGTAAACAAGAAAATTAGTTTAAAAATTTTTTCTAATGCAAATGATTGTATGTAATATTAAAGATTTTCACTTTATTAAAATAATAAAAAAAAGATGAGATAAGCAAAATAAAGTGAAATGATCAATCGTTGTATCACAAAATCAGTTATAATAAACAAAAACAACTAAAACAAATTTAGATCTAAAATTAAACTAAAATGTAAACGAACGAGATCAATAAAATTTTGTATCGATAATTAATTAAATTTGTAAACAAATTTTTGACTATTAGTTTGCTTAATCAATTCATTATTTTTAATACGTTTTTGACCTTTCATGCTAGTTATTCAATATTACTCGACATATTAAAAGAATAAGTGAGAATAATTTAAAAAATTATGAAAAACATTTGATATCAATTATTTATTTAATTAATATGAAATATGTATGTAATTTAAATTCCTACATATAAAAATCCCTTGTCTTAATTTTGAAGGGGGGCTAATATTGAAATTAAAGTTACAAAAATCAATAATCAATTTCAATATTTTTTTTTGTTTACGAATAAATTTTCAATTGACAATAATTTAAAGAGATAAGCAATTAAAACTAACCACAATTACTGTTATAATCTGAATTCAATCAAACGATGCTAAATATAGCATTTTAGAAAAGTAATACAAGAGTAAAGCTGGAAAGGGATTATCAACATACTATCACAATAATAATAATAATTTCTTGATGAAAAATCTCCTTAGTTTCACTTGGTAAATTTGTTCAAACGTAGGTTGTCAATTAATTACAAAACGTTAAAATTTCTCAGTGTTTGTTTACATTTGTTAATTATAGAAACTTATCAGAAGACAGGAGTCAATTAAATTAATTAAATATGCATAAATAACTAGAATTTACTAGTGGTTTTATTTTTGAGAGAGATAGCGATTATTAATTTTTACAATTATAATGAATTATGCCTTGCGTTAATATTCCTTTATTTGCTATGATTGTTTACCTTTTTACTTTGAGTGAATTAAATTAAAAATTTCATAACTATCTTTGAAAGGGCTCTATAGTTAATTTGCACTATCATTTTGGTAAAATTTGTAACCTTTTTGAACAATGTTGAAAAATACTGTAAATCATTTTGCTTGTTATCATCTTCAAAGATGACATTGTATTGTGAAATATAAATAATATACGAATTCCTCATCAAAATGACATTTATCTGTTTTAGAAAATCATTAAATTAATCAATTAAATTTGTCATTCGCTTTATACAAATTATATTAAAATATGAAATTTTCAACTTTATCATCAATTATTTCAATTGCTTCATTAGCTTCAGCTCATTGGGCAAACACCACCGTTGCTGGTGAATCAACAGATATAGCTACAACAACAATAACTATAACATCATGTAGTGCAGGTCATTGTACACCAATTTCAACTTTAATTACAGGTTTAACCACCGTTACTGAAATTGATACTACCTACACAACTTATTGTCCATTATCAACTACTGAAGAAGGTGTTTCAACTACAGAAATCACAAGTTATGCTGGTGGTACTACTTATGTTCATACTTCAGGTTATACCGTTATTACAGAAGGTGAAACAATCTACACTACTTACTGTCCATTAACAACTGTTCCAACCACTATTGTTGAATCTACTTCATGGGAAGGTGAAACTCCAATTATCAGCACAATTACTACAGGATGGACTGTTATTTCAGAAGGTGAAACAATTTACACTACTTACTGTCCATTAACAACTGTTCCAACCACTATTGTTGAATCTACTTCATGGGAAGGTGAAACTCCAATTGTTTCAACTATAACTACTGGTTGGACCGTCGTCACTACCTCAGCAAAATCTACTTCATACTTCCCATATACTAAATCTACTGCTCCAACTCCTGCTCCACCAGCTCCAACCACTACAGCTCCAGGTGGTACAGCTCCAGCTCCAGCTCCAGCTCCAACTACAGTTGCGGCTGAATCAGCATCATTGACTACAGTTGCTGCTCAATCTTCAGCTCCATCCGGTGCTGTTTCTGTGTTAGAGGGTAAAGCTAATAATATTGCTGTTTCTACTGGATTAGTTGGATTATTAGCATTTGTTATTTCATTATTTTAATCGTCTTGATTAAATAATACTCATAAATTCAAATTTCGAATCAAGCATTTTTAATTTTCAGTTCATTATATTTAATTTATAGACATTTCTTTTTTATTTTGCTACAATTTCGTCAAATAAAAAGCAGTCATATCTATTCAGATATGGTTTATTTAATTAAAGATTATAATTTAGGGGTTTTCTTCAGGTTTTGAAAAATTTGATTTTTCAAATTATAGGTTTTCGTTAATTTTGGTTTAGGATATATAGTAATTTATAATCTTATTAATAAATATTTAATTTTTAATTTCGTCAACTTGAATTAATCAAATTGTAGAGTAAAGTAATTTCAAGTATTTTACAAAGCTAAGATTTTCGGTATTAATACATGTATTTGTTCATAAGTCATTACTATAGAATTTTATCTAATTAATTTATTAAATCACCAACTAATTCTAACAACTGATTATAAAATTGTGTTTTCGTTAGTGGTGGCTCATCTTGCAATTCATGCGTTTGTTCAGGTCGCTGTTGATGGTTATGTTGTTGTTGCCGCTGTTGTAAGTCTTGTTGTTGTTTTAAAAATTTATTTATTTCTGATAATTGTTCTTCTATTCTTATTATGGGTAATTTGTCACCAAAGAATTTAATTGGTGAATAAATTTTTTGAATCTTAGTTTTGTAGGTGTTGTTCTTTGATGATGTGGATGTGGTTGATGAATTTTCTTCATTATCATTAGTTTCATTTTCATCATTTTTCAAATTGTTTATATTCATTTCAATAGTTTTAATTTCTCGATTTCTTAAATTTGTGAAAATTGTTCTTGTTGTAATTTTGTCGTACTTATAATTATTTTGATAGTATATAAGATCATTTTTCATCGAATTCATAATTTGATTTTCTAGTTTTGGACTATTTGGACATGATTGTATTATAAATTCTGGTCTATATTCTTCACAATAACCTACTGATGGAGATAAAACATTATGTTTGAAAATTAATGACCTTGAAGATGATGTATTGTTTGTTAATGAATTTGATGTGGTTAGTGAGGGTACTTGTACTTTGATGCTATTATTATTTACAATTTGATATTTGGGTGAATTCTCCATTATTTGTTTACACTTTTCATGAATTATTGACTTGTTATATTCTCCAACATTTTTAACTAATTTATCACTGATATATGGGGTATAAACACTTGTCTTTGATCTTTTAACTTCAAATGAATTAATATTATTGGCACTAGTATTATTAAGATTTGATGGTATAGTAGTTGAAGACTCTGAAGATGCTGATTCCGATTCTGATGATGATCTTGATGATGAATGTTGTAAATCTGATAAATGTTCTTCACTCATTGTATTCATATTGTTGTTGCTATTGTGATTACTATTGCTAAGTAAATCATGTAAAGAATGAGTCCTTGATAATTTACTTGGAGTCATTGACATTGGTGATGCGGTATTTGAAGTCTGATAAGAATTCCAATTGTATTCATCATATTCAATACTTGGTGAAGGAGTCCTTAAAGATTGAAAAGATTTTTTTGAGTTAAGACTTGGTGGATCATCAAAATATGACATCATTGAATTTGTGGTGTTTGCATTACTAAATGAGTTTTTCCATTTTTCCATAAATGAACCTGAACTTCCAAATTTTGATAGTGAATAATTTGATTGTAATGATGAATAAGACGAATTCAATGATGAAGATAAACACGCAGTGGAGGCTGATTTTGATAGTGAAGAGGATGCTTGTGAGGTAGTTGGTTGTTTTATGGGTGCTTTTATGGGTATTGGTGGTTGTTTATTATGATTTGAATTTTTGTTTATGGGTATACTTATTGTTGTTGGTTTCACTCTTATTTCTCTTGCTGCTGCTGATGAATCTACAGTTGATACTTCTTGAACATTTTCAGTCTCTGCATTACCAATTAGACCATGTAGTATGAATACTAATCTTTTCGCGACTGCTGGATTTCCAGTCAGTACTACTACTCTAGTTACTTCTCTTGTATTGTCTGTACTATTATAATATGGTCTTTTTCCTAATGATTCTTTATGCTGTATTAAAACTGAAAATAATGTTGCTAAAAATGAAGGTACTGAATCATTTTGGTTTGGCATATTTTGAACATTTTTACCATCTTTAAATTCTAACCAATTTAAAATCTCTAAAACCCAATTTAATAATGTCGAATACAATTCATCTTTATTTTGCTTCATTAAAAAATTTGTATTTATTAATCTTGGAGTATTGTTATCATAATGAATTAACTTTATTAATTTTGTCAAATATGTATGTAGTTCAAAATCATTTTGTAAAATATAATTTGGAAATTGTAACCTTTTCTTTACAATATATTCATATCCAAATCCATCATCAAATCCAGTATATAATTGTGTAATTAATTTCTTATAAACGAGTTTTTGTAGTATGGTTAAAAAATGCGATATTTCATTCCAATCATTTATTATCGTTTCATGTATAAAGCAATTTGCTTCTATTGGTATAACTACTCCAATTGCAAATCTACTATTTATTTTCAAGTCATTTAATTTTAGCTTAGATTCTTTGGTAGTGGTGGCTGATGTTGGACTCCAGTCATTTGCATTGTCTCTCTGAAACAAAGGAGTTAATTCATTTTCTTCTAGATCTGTGATTGAAAATAACCTTGTTATTAGTACTGAGTTATATGGACTGGAACTATTACTTAATGAAGGTAATGTATGTAATTTTGTAACTGTATGAATTTCATTCGACGGTAACCCACAACCAAATAATAAATCATTTAAATCGGAAGTACTATGATGAATTCTCAGATTAATTAAATTTTTAGGTAGTGATCTTCTAGTTTGTAAAGGTGGAGGTGGTTGTTGTTGTTGTTGATATGAGAATGGATATTTAGGAGTTTGAATAGGCGAATGACTTAATGGAGTAGATTGTGAAGTATGTGTTGGTGATTGTTGATGTTGTTGTAATTGTTGATCATGAGCAGTATCAAATAGAACTTGTTTTGTTCTTAAATTACCACCATCTTGTGATATAATAATTCTAAAATATTTATTATTAAATTGAAAAGGTTTTAACAGATTAGCATTATGAGTTCCATAAAGAATTTCTCTTGAATAAGAATCTTCAAATGTTGTAATTAAAGGTTGATTATTAATTGATGAACCAACTGATGATGAATGATTATGATTATTATTATTTTGTATAGAATTATTCAATTTAAATAACCTACCCAACATAGTTTATTTATGATTTATTAAACCCCTGTTCCAACTAATTATTACTGAATCATAGCCTTTTCAATCTATTATGCTATACTAAATAAAATGTTAAAAAAATTGATAAAAGTTGAGCTTTATATTGATATAAAAGATATAATGACACTGAATTGATGACTCTTATAATATACTAAAATGAAATGTAATAATCAGTTGATAAAATAAAAAATATTCAATGTTGTCAATAATCCTGTTGATGGTTGTAAAGTTTAATAAAAAGTGTATATAATTTTTATTTTAATTATTTTAATTTATTTATTAATATTACAAATAANAAAAAAAAAAAAAAAAAAAAAAAAAATAGCTCATATTAATTATATATAAGAATTTTATTTTATATAGAAACTATCAACCAAAATAAAAACAAGTTCATGATTTATTATAATTGAATCTATTGATATATACTCTATATCTATTAATTATAAAATAAGTTGAACATCTGTTTTAATTTGACATAAGAATGAGTTTCGAAAGGGTTAATAACGGTCTTACTTAGCCTTACTTCTATAGTACAAAAATGAATCTTACTTAATACCATTAATATTATTTAATAACAAAAATTATTGGTACTAATAAATTATTCCACTATGTTATATACTCTGGGGTAAAGTCAAATATGAATTTATTTTATACTTTCGAGAATTCAACATCATCGAAGAGCCTACTTTTTAATTTATTGTTCTTGAAAATTTCATTTCTGATTGTTTATTATCATAATAGTGGCTGGGATAATTATTCTATTGTAAATCTTTGTTTCTTTTTGACATAAACTTTTAAATTAAAGTCATCTGCTTAATACATAAAATGAAATTTAATCCTCAAGAATTAATATGGTAATTTCATCCGTTTGTTTGTTTAATATCTGCAAAATTCCAATTACACAAAATACAATTTATTGTCAAGAATTACCGCTCGGACTTCAATTAAGATTTTTTTTTACCGATGAATAAAAATATTATCTTATCTTTTTGATTTTCTTTATCTGTTTTATAATAACAAAAAAATATTTGAAAATATGGGTATTGAATTCCAATTTATTTTGTGAATATACTAAATTCACAATTTTGGAAGATGTTTGTCATATTAAACTTTTATTCTTTTATTAATTAGTTATACAAATTTATTACTTTTTATTATTACATATTCATTATTACTACCAAACCTTATACTTTACTTGAAACATCTTCCAAAATATTTAAGAAAACATCAGCATGTTTCTTTTCAAATAATAAAGTTGGTCTTAATCTAATTGAATAATCACCACATCCACCCATATTTAAACCTGCTAATCTACATTTCATCAATATTTTATTTCTAATATCAGCATTAACAACATCCCATGCAATGAAAGTACCATAATTTTCACCTCTTAAATTTTTATAAATATTTGGAAATTTATTGGTAATGGTTTTTAAACCTTTATATAAGTAATCACCAACTTCAGCAGTTTGATTAACTAAATCTGATGATTCAATTTCTTTATAGATTGCCTTTGCTAATATAGCTTTTGATGGATCACCACACCATGTGTTAAATTGTCTATATGGTTGTTTTGGTTGTAAATCAGGATTTGCAAAATAGAAACCAGCAGCTTGAAATTTTTTGGAGAAAGTAACCATATCTGGTGGATTAGTCAAATTCCAATGTTCATGTGCCCAAAATTTACCAGTTGCTCCAACACCTGTTTGAACTTCATCAACAATGAATAAGACATCATGTTTAGTAGTAATGTCTCTTAATCCTTGGAAAAAGAAATTAGTAGCATGATTATCACCACCTTCTGATTGAACTGGTTCAACAATAATAGCAGCTATTTTTTTTGGTGATTTTTCAATTATAGATTCTAATTCATCTAAACAATTTTGTTCTTCTTTTCTATTTTCACTTTCAAATTCTTCTAATGGATATTTTAATTGTGGGAAAGAAGCTTTTGGCCATGGGAAAGCTGGAATATCTAATTTATGAATAGCTTTTGATCTTGTTGTTGATAATGAACCAAAAGTTCTACCATGGAACCCTTTATCAAATGATAAAATTACCATATCTGAAGCACCTGGACCTTCATTATTCATAACACTTTCTAATTCTTCAGTTGTAAAATTATCAGATTGTCTTAATTTTGCATGTTGATACATAAAAGCAGCTTTATAAGCAGTTTCATTAGCATCTGATCCACTTAATGAAGTCCAAATTTTTTTCATTCCTGGTGGTGCAGCTTTTAATAAACCATCTTCTAATATATCTTTATAATTATTTGATGGAAAACAAGCTAATGCAGGACGATTAACAATTGATGAAATCATTTCTTCAGATTTTGCAGCTTCAATTAATTTTGGATTATTATAACCTAATGGAATTGATGAAATTTGACAATAAACATCTAATAATTTATTACCATCTGAATCACTTAAATAATTACCTAATGACTTAAAATAATCAGCAACAAAATAAGTAGCACTATTATCATAAATTTTACCCAATTCTTCATTTGTTTTTTTTGATGCTGGACCTGGAATGGTGTCAGTTTTTATAACTGGTGATATTGGTTCATTTGGGAAATATCTTGCAGTGATCGAAGTTGAGTTAAATCTAACTGATACTTTTGAAGTTTGTTTTAATGCTTTAAGCATAACAAAATAGTATTATTTGATATTGATGTTTAGTTGATTGATAAGTAAAAGGAATTGAAATCAAACTTAAATTTCAAGTTTTTTTGAGATCATGATACCATTTATAATTTAAATCTATCAATGCAATATATGTTATATTTTTTATTATTTATTTTATCAATAAAACGAAATTTTTAGGAAATCGTTTACCTAAGTTGAAGCGCTTCTCGTTTTCCGTCCGCTAAATTTAGTTCGAATTTGACATAACGTATTCCGTTATTTTAGCACAAAGTTAATCAATCTGTAAGTTTGTGACTTCTTCTGCTTAAATTTTACGCCTTATGGATCTAATTTTCCTCGAGGCATTATTAGAAAGTTTAATTCTAGTTTAAAAAACTTTATTCTTTATATTTTTATTACATGATATGATCATATTTGTATGGTAGCTTTGAGGTTGCAAAATATTTGTAAGATTATTGTTTTGAACGGCTTTTACATTGATATAATAGCAAATGGACTTTCGAACAAGGTCTGAATTAGCTAATTGTGGGTAGTTGTATTGGTAAGTAAACTTGTTGAGAATACTAAGTTTGATAAAAAACCCAACTGAAAAAAATTACTAGTACTGTTTTCATTTTGAATTTTTGACAATGTTTTGCATCAAAATTTGTATAAAATTTGTATCAAATTTAAGTAAAAATCTAGACTTCAAAAATATACTCTTCAAACTAGATATGTTTGAAAGATTAGAACGAAGAATGACAAAAACAATCTAATTTACAGAATTGATGATAGAGTCTTTTTATCTTTAAAAGTGTTCTTTACACTATTTCAAGCTTCCAACCAATGTGGGTTTCTACAATTTATTGACTATAATCTTAATTTTTAAAACTTTCGTATATTTTATGATGGTGATTATGAATTAATGTACAGGTTAACTAATGATAAAAATTGACTTAATGTCTTCTTGATTCAGCAATTATACTATTCATTTCTTCAACTTTTCTTAAAGCTCTTTTGTGAGTACCTAATCTTTTTTTAGCTAATTTTTTAGCTCTTTTTTCACCAGCATTTCTAATTAATTCAATTAATCTTCTTTCATATGGAGCTAAACCTGAAACTTCTTTAACAATTGATCTAACAAAAACAGTTCTTTGTGATAAAGCACCTTTTCTATATGAGATTTTTGGAGCAACTTCTTTTGAAGCAACTTTGTGTCCTTTGTTTAAACCTACAGCAATTCCTATTAATGATAGTTAGTATAAAGGGATCAAATTTATTGAGCTGAGGATTATTCGATGATATAGTATTAGATATTTAACTTAAATCCCAGAGTGTCGAAAGATTCAATATCGATGTTCAATTATTCCAAATGCATTTTAATCCCTGAGTGAATGACGGGGTTTTTGATTTGAATCAATTATCATGATGATCGTTATACCAATTATGAGAAAAATAAACAATGAACTTTGATTTAAAATATATATAGTGATCTTCTTTTTGAGAATTATCAAATGACCTCATGACATTGATTGTAGTAGACTTTTTAAATTAAATACGCTCTTGATATTTCATTTATCTTGTAAAGTATGATGATGATGTTTTCTTTGAATCTTTCGTTTGTTTGATCTTATGCAGTTGTCTTTAAATCTTCTCAGTACTACTATATTACTCTATCCCAATCCTCTATCTCTTCATATTTCAATTTCCCACATACCTGACTTAGCCATTTTTGATGATATAATAAATATGTATATATGAAATTAAATTGAACTGTCGTTAAAAACTCAAAAAATTTTCAGTATATTATTTTTACCTGTGAGTGAAGAAAGAAAAAAAATAATTTTGATTAATGGCTTCTCGTTCTGTGTAATTACTTCGTTTCTACTACGACTACTTGGTAGCCATACTGCAATGTGTTCTCGCTATTTTGTTTCGATTTAACACTGCGTGCAAATTCTTCAAGAAAAAAATCATAGCGTGCAAATCACGTGTATACAAAACAAAATAGGGTTATAAAATTGAGTATCAAATAACCAAACTTCAACATTGGTCTATGTATTAATTATATACTTACAAGATTGATCCACTAAAATCATGATTATAGGAATCTAATTTATTTACAATATCTTTTATAGATAAATAGCCATATTCTTTCACAAAAATTTTAGGTGGAACAGGATAATAACTATCTTTTTGAACATAATCATATAATACATTTAATAATTCATCTTTTGATTTGATAAATTTACGACCATCATTATGGATAAAAGTAATGGGTTTTTGTTTAGTATCAAATCCTCTTTCATTTTGTTCTAATTTATTGATTAATTGATATCTTAATTTCCAACCTAATAATCCCATGGTTTTAAATCTTGCAGGACTTGATTTCAATAAATATTCATCTAAACCACCTTCTTTAGTTAAAGTTCTTAAAACTCTTGTTGAAACTCTTGTATTTATTTTTTTATTCAATATTTCAGACCATAATTTAGCTCTTCTAATATTTGGTACATGACTTCTCAAATTCTTATTAAAATATTCTGAACATGTTTTAGATCTTTTACGTTGTAATCCTCCGTATAATCCTCTATTTTGTCTCTTAAAAAAACGTGTTTCATATTTATATTTTGGAAATTCTGGGATTTCTTTTGGAATTCTTAAACCACTAGGATGTGATTGTCCTACTTGATATTCAGTTTCATCTATTGATTTTGTATATTTCAAGATTTTATAATATTTGTCATAGTTCTTTATTTTGTTCTTGGATGTAGATGATGATAAAGGGATAGATGTGGAAATTGACCTTGTGAGTAATGATGGTTTTATTAGTCTTGTGGTGAATGAATTATGAAAATGCGCTAGACTAGCGGTTTTGAGTGAATTTAGGAAGTTCATGAATGACTTAATTCACACTTTTATTTGTACTGAAGTATGATTTCAGTTTCAATTAATTTTTGTATTGGTTGATTTTTTCGCTGAATGTCAGTATTTGCAAATCACTGACACGAATTGTAACACGACAATTATCTTCTAATTTTTTATTGACATCAAATTCACGCAATGCGTTATTTTATCAACCTCATTTTGTGTTCTAAGTCCAAAAAGAGACTAAAAATTGATGCGATGAGAATTGATAATAAATATTTACTTACTGATAAGAGGTTACAAAATAAAGTAGTGCGATCGTTCAAGAATAATCTTTGGGGGTATTTTTAAATTATTTTAAACGATTTATTCCATTTAAAATAATATTAGTTTCATCTGATACATGTTTCTAAATGATCAGCTTTACTAATTATTCATACACCATTCGACTACTACAGTTTTTTTCTGGACTCAATGATTCTAGACAGCTTTCAATAGAAACATGTGTAAGTGTATATCAGATAGATTTAACCAAATGATAAAATTTTATACATAAATAAATAAACAAAAAAAAATAAAAACCGTTGAGAATTTAGTAAAAAAAATAATCTTGAACAATTTTTATTGTACAATAAATTTAAGCTTTAAAAATCTAAAACTTGCAAAAGTCCATTAGATGTAGTTCGTTCATATGATTTAAGAAATTGATCTTATCTTTATCTTGGATATATCAAAAAATATACTAAAAAAGATCTCATCTCTAAATTAAAAGCATTGATTGAAAAATAATATCATTTACCTGACAAGATTAAATCATTTTAAATCTTTTTATTCAGGAGCCTTCAAAATGAATGAATCCCTCTTGTTCATGGAAAAATGTATAGTAATATATGAATAATAAAGATGATTTAAATATTCTAAATCAATTGATAATCTTTTGTACCAATTAATATAGTTTCATTCTATTCTCTCTTTTTCTCATTTCTATAATAATATTTAATTATTTAATAAATTAATTCAAAATATTAGACTAGACAAAAGAAAAAATGATAAAAAGAAAACTAAGGGATATTTATAAATTATTAATGTACTTATATTAATTGATTTACTTTAAACAACCAAAAGTTTATATTAATAGATTTAAATTTTAATATTTATATTATTTGATTGTTTCATATCTATCAATTCATGAAAAAAGTCATCATTATTAATCTTATTAAAAATTCAATTATTAATCATATAAATATAAATATTTAATTTATATTCATTTGTTTTATTATTATCATTCAACGAAGTCATCCAACAAAATTCATATTTTGAAATTTATTGAAAATCATTGTATTTTCTTACACACTTATACAATCTCGAAAGCATTATAGACTTAGTTATATTCTTTCTTTTATTATACATATAAATAAATTCATATATATATTTAATTATTTAATCATTTAATTCAATTTTTAACATTTTTTATATTTTCATACATTTAATACATTTAAATTTTAGAGTTAAAATTATATACAATGGCAGATTTTGCTAAATCAATATTTGGATTTGGCAATTATAATAAAAGAGATAATAGTTCACCACCAACTCCTCCTCCAACGTCATCATCCAATACTAATATATCAATTCATGATCATGAACAAAATCAACAACAACATCAGCAACAAATACAATCTCAGCAATCCTATCATAATTATCAACAACAACAACAATACCAGCAACAACAAGAAGCACCAATAGGTCAACAACAAATAACTCATCAATTTGATGATCAAAATCAAGGTGTAAGTAAATTTATGCCAAAAGGATTAGTTAATGTAACTCCAACAACAGCTACAGCTGCCTCAAATAATTCTGCAGTTTATGGTACAACATCTACGAATACAACCAACGATCCTGGGGCTTATTTGAATCAAACTTTTAGATCAAATGATTTACAATCTCAACACAATTTATATAATAATCAACATCATCCTCAACAACAACAAACACCACAACATCAACAACAACCAATAGTACAACATCAACAACCACAACAATCACAATTACAACCACCAGCACAAGCTTATCAACAAGATCCAATGATTATCACCACAGATGAATCAGGTCAAACTATAAATCATGGATCTCACAATTCTCAACCCAAAGGAAAATTAAAAGTAACAATAATTGAAGCTAGAGACATACAAGCTACTCAACCATATGCAGTTTGTACATTCGAAAGTTCAGAGTTTGTAACGAATGGACCAGATTCTTTTGGTAAATCTCCGATGATAGGAGGTAGTGGTTCATCAGGTCCAAAAAATTTATATAATGCAAATCATGGACCAAGAGCTTTGCCAATGAAGAATAATCTGAGACCCTCTTTATATCAAAGACAATTGTCAACACCACAATTAAATTTATCTGGTGATACCTCCAATCCTATATGGAATCATGAAGCTACATTTGATGTAGTTGGTTCAAAATCAGAATTAGATATTTCTGTTTATGATGCAGCAAGAGATGATGCATTTTTAGGTCATATACGTATTTTTCCATCAACTGTTAAAAATAAGAAAAGTCCAAATGAATGGTTACAATTAGGAGCAAGAATTGTTGGGGAAAGAGTTTCATCAGGATCTATACAAATTAATTGGGAATATACTTCATTAGATAATAAAAAGGCATATGGACCAGATGATTTTGAGTTTCTTAGACTTTTAGGAAAAGGTACTTTTGGTCAAGTTTTCCAAGTTAAAAAGAAAGATACTTCTAGAATTTATGCAATGAAAATATTATCCAAAAAAGTAATCGTTAAAAAGAAGGAAATTGCTCATACAATTGGTGAACGAAATATCTTAGTACGTACATCAGCTGCTGCATCACCATTTATAGTTGGTTTGAAATTTTCATTTCAAACTCCAACCGATTTATTTTTAGTTACAGATTATATGTCAGGTGGTGAATTATTTTGGCATTTACAAAAAGATGGAAGATTTACAGAAGAAAGAGCAAAATTTTATATTGCTGAATTAGTTTTAGCATTGGAACATTTACATGATAATGATATTGTATATCGTGATTTGAAACCAGAAAATATCTTATTAGATGCTAATGGTCATATTGCATTATGTGATTTCGGTTTATCGAAAGCAAATTTAAATAATGATGGTACAACAAATACATTTTGTGGAACTACAGAATATTTGGCACCAGAAATTTTATTAGATGAATCAGGGTATACAAAAATGGTTGATTTTTGGTCATTAGGTGTTTTAATTTTTGAAATGTGTTGTGGTTGGTCACCATTTTATGCAGATAATACTCAACAAATGTATAAGAATATTGCATTTGGTAAAGTACGATTCCCTAAAGAAATTTTAAGTCCTGAAGGTAGATCATTTGTTAAAGGTTTACTTAATAGAAATCCAAAACATAGATTAGGTGCAACTAATGACGCGAGAGAATTGAAAGCACACCCTTTTTTCGCAGATATAGATTGGAATTTATTAAAAGCTAAAAGTTTACCACCACCTTTTAAACCTCATATCACATCAGAAACAGATACATCAAATTTTGATCCAGAATTTACATCAGAATCTACCTCTGCTTTAAAAAAACAAATGGAATTAGCATCTACTCCATTATCACCAGGAGTTCAAGCAAATTTTAAAGGATTTACTTATGTTGATGATTCAGCAATGGATGATCATTTTGGAAGATCTTATCGTATGAATACTTTTAAGAATTCAGGTTCATTTATACCCGGAGACCCAAATTTACCACCTGCAGAAGATGCAGTGGATGATGATCAAATTGATGAAGAAGATGAAATGGAAGTAGATGAAGATCATCAAATGGATTATGAATTTGTTAATGGTAGATTTGATTTATAAATATACTACCAGATCGGATTTACTCACTTAATTTATCAACTTGTAAGTTTTGCTCATGTTAAAATTTAATTGTTACTTCCTCTGTTATTTTTTTGCATTACTATCGAACATTTATAAATTGTATAGTTTAATTTGAATAATTTATTGTTTACTTTAGATTTATTTGGTATAAATGATTACAATACTAAAAGATTTATAGTGTCGTGTAATTGTAACAAATGTCAAACAAAAACTCACTTGCAATAAAAAAAAATGAAATTAAAAACAATAATAATAAAATAATTATAAAATTCGGTATTATAACGATATTATATCAAAATCTACAATTAATCAATTTAAAATATAATTTTACCCATTGAATCATCTCAAGAATTGCCGAATATACTTTGCATCACATATAAAACATGCCGCATCCAGGTAGACCTAAGGGTCGTATGAATAAAAAGACTCAACAAATACATCAAGAAGCATTAGCAAGAGCACAAGCAGCACAACAACAAGGACAACAAGCCCATAGAGCAGCTCAACATAATCAACAACATCCTCATCACCAACAACAACATCCATCACGTAACAACTCAGCAATAAAAGAAGATGGTGGGATAACGCTACATGATGAAGCTGATTTAATATCATATAGAAATGATGCATTAATTAGATATGTTTCAAATCATGAATATATTGAAAATATAACCGCGAAAGTAATTCACTCAACCAAAATCATTCCACCGACACTATACCCCAATTTACCAAAACGGAATAAAGAAGATTATTCAACTCCAATGAATCCAGAAGAAATATATTATGGAGACTTAGAATATATGAAGCACGTAGATGGAAATTTAATAAAAAATCTAAAAATTATGAAATCAGATGATGATCCAGGTTTTACAAGGTATCTATTCAATTGTCCACAATATAAAGTTCAGCAAAAGAGAAATAGTGAATTGGAAAAATTAGAAAGAGATGTTCATAATAAAGAATCTTTGCACAAGTTAGAAGAAAAGTATGATTCAGTGCTAAAAGAATACAAATCAAAGTTTGATAGAGAGTATGTAATTTTACCACATGTTGAACAATACAGTATACCTACTTCAAAACTAGATCCAAATTTGAAAGTTGAAGAAGCTCCAAAAGATTATGATCCTAGAAAGATAATGGAAGAAAGACAGAAGCAACAACAAGAACAATCACAGAAGAACCAAAGCCAGCAACAACAGCCTCTACCGAACTATAATTTAAATGCACAACCTCAAGAACAAATTGAATTTAGTAATATGAATGGAAGTAATGGAAAAGACAACATCAATCATCAAAACAACAACAATGGAGTACATTCAGCAAATATCGAGAACAGCGGAGATTTTTCGTTACCTATGAATCAAATGGGCGAGGAAAATTCTTTATTACCAGAAGATAGCAGATCCAATGGCCAAATCGCACAATCACAACCGCAACAACAACAACCCAAACCAGTACAAGAAGTAATAGCCTCAAATGCTAATCAAGACAATGAAGATGATGATGACGTCGACGATGACAATTCAAATGGGGAAGGTGAAGAAGATGAGGAACACAACCAAATGGAACAAGAAGAAGATATACCACAACAAGATCAACAATCACAACAACCACAACAAGAAGAGCCGAATCATAATGCATTGGCAGATACAGATTTGAATGTCTTATTTGATGACAATCATCACGACGTTGACGAAGAAATGAATGATATTAATGATGATGAAAATAACAAAAACACTGGTGATAATAATAATAACCCATTGGGCATGGACGTTGATGTTGATGTAGATGTTAATGATCATCTGGCTATAGTGAATGATGATATTGGTGAATTATATAATTTTGATGGTGATGATGATTTAATGGGAGGAGATTCAGGATTTGAACATGACTTTTTAGATCAAATTAATAATATGGATTAATCAAAAGCAGCTGTATAATTTTTGCATATAGATTTTTAGTTCTTCAAATATTTTGTAATACGTATTAATGATATAAAAATTAAGTTTGTAATCTATTTATTTATTATTGGTTCTTTAATAATAATATTTAAGGTACAAAAATATAAAATATATCCGATCTAATAAATATCTACTATCAACAAAAAAATAAAAACTAGAAAATGAAAACAGATCGAAACAACTGGCATTAAATCCGATCCCAAGTTATTCAATTGAACAATTTTATATACATAAGTATAATCAAAAAGGTCTGGGAAAGACCAAATAGACACTGTCGAACCTATGCATAAAGTTTAGCTATTATATTTAATTTAAACCAATAAATAGAATATCATCTAATCATCTATTTAAAACTTTAAATTACAACTATGGAGAATCCAAAATCACCGTCTCCATCTTCATCACCTACACCACAGAAACAGCCGTTTGTTTTAAACTCAACTAATGCCCCGTCACAACCGCCAACAAGATCTAGAATTAGACATCAAAAGTTAAAGTACACATTTATAGGTTATGTTATTGTATTGATATTCCTAGCGATTACTCAATTTATTGGAGTTGGTTTTTTCACACTGGGATTTTTATTATCGAGAAACGTACTACCTAATATATCAACATGTGATAATAATGCTTGTATGGAACCTCCTCCAAAATTTGACAAAGCAATTGTTTTAGTCATAGATGCATTAAGATTTGATTTTGTAATACCCGTGGAGAATTCTACAAAAAATTATCATAATAATTTTCCAATAATATATGATTTAGCTCAGAAGGATAATGGGTTTTTATTAAAATTTATAGCTGATCCACCAACCACTACCTTACAAAGATTAAAGGGTTTGACCACGGGTTCATTGCCAACAATTATAGATGCAGGATCTAATTTTAATGGAGATGCAATAGATGAAGATAATTGGTTATTACAATTACACAAATTAAATAAAACAATAGCATTTATGGGTGACGATACTTGGACTGCTTTATTCAGTGAGTATATTCACCCAGATTTTCATTTCCCTTATGATTCATTAAACGTTTGGGATTTACATACCGTTGATAACGGAGTTATAGAACATTTATTCCCATTATTGGAAAATCAAACTCTGTGGGATATTTTAATTGGACATTTTTTAGGAGTTGATCATGTAGGTCACAGATACGGTCCAGATCATTATTCAATGAAAGAAAAATTAAACCAAATGAATGAAGTTATAGAGAAAGTAGTTTCAAATTTACAAGATGATACTTTGTTAATTATAATGGGAGATCATGGAATGGATTATACTGGAAATCATGGAGGTGACGCACCTGACGAATTAGAAAGTACATTATGTATGTATTCTAAAAATAAAAAATTCTATAAAAAACTGGCTGATAATTACGATATTTCTGACAAAGGTTTAAATTATAGGGAAGTTAATCAAATTGACTTAGTTCCTACTATTTCATTATTGTTAGGATTGCCTATACCTTTCAACAATTTAGGATTTCCAATTGATGAAGCACTTGGTAATGTTAAGGATATTTTGTCAGCTAGTACTAAAGCAATAGAACAAATTAAAAGATTTAGAGATCTTACACCTAATTTAGCGGACACATTAATAGATCAATATAATGCATTATTTGAAAAATCACTGTTATCGAATTGGGATTTAATTCAAGAAATGAAGAATTATCAATTTGAGTCATTGGAACAATGTAAATCTTTATGGGCTAGATTTGATTTAAGATTTATTGGGATCGGGATTGGTATATTGTTTTTATCATTGACATTTATGGTCACTTATGCAAGATCTATTCCAGCTGTAAGAGTTTCAACAATGTCATTTGAGTTTATTGGTTCAGTGGTTGCAATGTCAATAATGGGAGTTGTATTAAGTTTTTCAATTTATATTGTTTTGAAACCAGGTGATTTTACTTTAAATATTTGTTTATTCATAGGTGCAGCTTTAGGTATGGTTATTGGATTTTGGGCACCTATAATGGATAGATTTAGTGTCGGATTTTTGTGGAATCAAACCATTGATTTTTTCATGTTTAATTTTAATAGTTGGTCATTTATGGGAATTATATTTGTTGCATTCCACTGTTTAATGTTTGCGTCTAACTCATACGTTGTCTGGGAAGATAAGATGATTTCATTCTTTCTTGTCTCCTTTGGTGTATGTTGCGTATACGCTATATCAATTAAAACAAATATTTCAAAAGAAGAGAAAATATTAGGTGTAAGTCATGCTGTCACATTTCTCATTTTGACAAGATTATCTTCAATGATAAATGCTTGTAGAGAAGAACAAAGACCATATTGTACCACCACATTCACAACTTCTTGGTGGTCAATAATAATTTTACATTCAATTGCATATTTATTACCAGCATCAATCAAATCATTTTATGTATTATCAGATTCTTATTATTCAGCTGCTCCTTTATGGATTGGTACAGGTTTGAAATTTTTACTATTTATGAATGCAATATATTGGACTTTTGAATATATTTCGACAAATGAATATTTTAAAACTGCTCATATGATCATTGGTCCTCCATTAATTAAATCTTTAAAATTAGCTATTGCAAGATTAGTATTATTTATTACATTAGTGTTAGCAAATTTCAGCTGGTCAAGAGGTCCACTATGTGTTAAATTGGAAATTGAAAGACAAGATATTGATTTATCTGATTCTAGTGATGAAATAGGAAGTCAAGAATCCGCCACTATTTTGGGCTATGGAAATGTTTATGGATCATCATACTTTTTATTAGTACTTAACTTCACTATTGCTATAATGTTGACTACAAAACCATTAGGTGCAATATCAATAAGTTTTTTAATCATTCAGATTTTGTCATTACTAGAGATCATTGATTTATTGAAAATACGAAAGAATCTCATATCTCCAATCATATTTGGATTATTGGGTTTTCAACATTTCTTTAGCACAGGTCATCAAGCAACATTACCTTCAATTCAATGGGAATTAGGTTTCATGACAACAGAAACTATTTTGTTCCCTTTCACTCATTTAAATATAGTTTTAAATACGTTTGGACCATTTTTTATCATTGCATTATCAGTTCCATTAATAACAATATGGAAAGTATTACCTTCATCAAAACCAATCACTGTATTATCACAAATCATTACAAATATAACAACATTGATTACCTATTTTTTGTTCACTGGATTAAGTTCATTAATATTTGCAGCACATTTTAGAAGACATTTAATGGTTTGGAAAATTTTTGCTCCAAGATTTATGTTAAGTGGTATGTTAATAATATTAATAAATTTATGTAGCATAATTGTAACATTATGGGGTTCGGGCAAGATTTTGAAACAAGTTAATAGAATATTTGGTAAATAGTCATTTAGATATAGAGAATGATTTTATTTATTATAAAATTGAAACGTAGTCTGTACTAGTATAAATTGTTAGACCAAATTTCGTATTATCTCGCACAAGATCGTTAAAAATAATACGTTTATCAAATTGAAAAATTGAATTTGATTTGCAGCAATTATTTTAAAAGACTATACTACATCAAAATACTCATAAAGTAACATAATCTTTGTACATGTTATTTAAGATTATACAAAATCATCTATATTTGTTTATTTACCTACTATGCATTTCAAATGTTAACGCAAAATCACCTTTCAATTCTTCATTTACACCAGAACATTTAAGATACCTAAAAAACGAAACAAAGTATTTATTTAAGCATGCATGGAACTCGTATATGGAATTTGGTTTTCCTTATGATGAAGTTCGTCCTTTGACCTGTGAACCTTATGGACCAGATTATAAAGACTATATGAATACAGTTAGGAACGATGCTATGGCTAATATATCACTGACAGTTTTAGATAATTTGGATACTTTAATAATAATGGAGCAATGGGATGATCTAGACTATGTTTTGAGGTATTTGAAATGTAAACAAAAGGATTTTTTCAATAAAGATTCAATTGTACAAGTATTTGAGACTACTATTCGATTTTTAGGTGGTCTTATGAGTGCTCATTTGATATTAACTGATGTTAAATTTAAAACTACTACTAGTCCGAAATTTACTAAAATAAAGGATGAATATGACGGATTTTTGTTGGATATGGCTTATGATTTAGGTTTAAGATTAATTCCATCTTATAGAACTTCAACCAATGTACCAGTCCCACGTATCAACCTAGCCAATGGATTGAAAAATGTTCCACCTGTTTTACAAAAAGATGCATGTACATCTGGTGTCACTACGCCAGTATTAGAATTTACCTTACTTTCAAAACTAACTGGAGATTATCAATTTGAATATTATTCACAATTGTCTTTTTGGAAATTATGGTCTTCAAAACTGTCGCTAAATTTAATGCCAATGACAATTGATCCCGCGTCAAATCAATGGAAAGATTCGATTACTGGAATAGGTGCTTCTATTGATTCATTTTATGAGTATGCTGCTAAAGCCTCAATCATATTTGATGACAAATACATGTGGTCTGTATTCAAGGCATCTTATCAAGCTTTATTAACTCATCTGGCTCAAGGGGGTGATGGAGCTATGATTTTTCCTAATGTAGGTACCGAAGATGGTGTGGTATTTAGCGATTGGATTGATTCGTTAGGTGCATTTTGGTCAGGTTTACAAGTTTTGACTGGACAATTATCAGATGCGATAAAGACTCATGTTGTTTATTTGAAAATCTGGGATTATTTTGATCTGATACCTGAAAGATGGATCTACGCTCATCACAACAAGAAGAATAAAAAAAAAATTTACAGAGCTGAAGATTCTATTGAATTAGAATGGTATCCCTTACGACCTGAATTTATTGAGAGTAGTTATTACCTTTACCGTGCAACAAAAGATCCAATGTATTTACAAATTGGTGAAAGAGTCTTGAATTTATTTCAAGACAAATTTAAAGCACCTTGTGGATTCAGTGGTATTCAAGACATAAAAACTGGTAAGAAACAAAATAGAATGGAAACTTTTGTTATGGGTGAAACATTGAAATATTTGTATTTATTGTTTGATACGAATGACGAAGTATTTTTGCATAGTCCAGCGATGAATTCTAAGAACTGGGTGTTTTCAACTGAAGCCCATCCATTATGGTTTCACAAAGGATTAGCTGATGAGAATTATAATTTTGGTGCTCAAAATTTGAGTGCTTTGACTAATGATAAATTTAAGTATACACCAGCAGTTGTGAAAAACATAACTGTATCATCACCTTACATGTTCAATATTCCAGATGAAAATGATGCCATTCAACATATAGGTAAAAAAGACCCATTTTCTGGTCGTTTTGATATTTGTGAATTAAATCCACTCAAGAAATCATCCAAATCTTTACTACAATCAAGTTATTACGATTGGCCCTATCTATTCAATTCTGACTATTCATTTTCCAAGTCATTAAAAAAACCACTGCATATTAATAAGTCAAACCTTGATGGTAGCTATATTGAATTGACTAGAGACTTTTTTGACAAGTTCACAACATTTAACACTTCACTAACTTGTCCTAGAACTTATAATACTCAGATATACGAGATATTCTGGGGTGATATAAAATCATGTGGGAATACTGAAATTTCCCAAATTATATATAAGAGACCAAATACCACAGAGTCCATCATCCTAGAAGACGATTTGTGGGTACCAAGTTTACAAGGTTTGAGAATAATATTTGAAGAATTAGTTGCTGGTTCAATTGATTCAAGAAATGAGGTAATAACCAATGAGTATATTTCATTAATACAAAGTGACGATGATGAAGATGCAAACATGTATAAAAAGAAAGATTCCGTTTTAAGAATTAAAAAGATTAATGGGGTTTCTTTAAGATATGGTTCCCTAGTTTGGACCTTACCTTTTGTACCAAACGCCAATGATAATGGTGAAGTTAGAGTTACGAGCGAAGGAAGAGTCGTGATTCAAGGTAAAGTTATAGAGAATTTGGTGGTTTGGTATGGTTAGCATAATCAAGGTTAATAGACACATAGCTTTCATAGACAAAAACTTTTATTTAATTAATAGACTTGTACATTTTTTATAAAAGGTAATTGTCTCTATTGATTTTAAAAGTGTTGCAACAAAATAATTAAAATCGCGATAATTTGTATTCCAATATTAAGTGCAAAAAATTTAGAATTACAACAACACATTTTTAGTCAATACTATTTGAATTAAATAATGAGTTACGACCCTATTCACGACACATATACGCCATCAAAACCGGCTGCTGAATTAAATTCAGTGCCTCAATTATCACCACAAAATATACAACCAAATAAGTCTGATATACGATCTGGTCCATTATCAATATCAAACTTAGTATCGGATGATCAAATAAACAATAATGATATTCAACAACCTACAAACAACTTCAACAATCATTCAAATAAAATACTACCTTCAATTACCAAAATTCAGTCAGTCGCGAATTTGATAGATACTCCAACACCACAACCAGAAGATCATGACAATGATGAAGATTATGACGAGACAGATGTAAATTCAACAGTAATGGGTGACGATGACGATTATATTGCACCACATACTCCACATACTAAAAAGAAATCATCTTCATCCAAAAAGAAAAAGAAAGGTAACATCGCAAATTCAAAATTGTCATTGAAGAAACAAGATGGTGAACCATTTTGGAGAAAAGATATTCAATATGATATGTTAACTGCATTGTTTGATGATGAACATGCTGTATTTACAAATTCCTTTGAGTTCTCAACAGTTGAAGGTGCAAACAATAATCCTAAAATTACCTTTGCTGAATTATATATTAGAACATTAGCTGAATCAAATAAAAGTTCAAAAGTTCTTAAAGAAAAATTATTGAAAGATATTGATTTAGCAAAAGCTGTTTGCAAAGTGTGTGTGTTGGTAAATTCAGGTAGAATGAATACTACAATCAATTTTGTACATGATATGAAGTCAACTTTAAGAACTTATCACTCAATTCCATCATTACAAACTGGACCAGAAGGTGGTACAGTAAAACAATTACAAGATACTCCAAGATTAAAATCAATCATAAAAGCAGTTTCTGATGGTGATAATAAACAAAGTCTACTCTCTGATCTTGTTGATAAACCATCAATTGTAAAACCAAATACTAATATTGTTCAGTTATTATTTTTATTAAGTAACGCTAACATTAATATACCATATTTAGATCAAGCTTCAGAGCTGTTACTAGATTTTTTTGTCAATACAACCATTAGTCCAAATAGTAGAGCTCAAAGATTATTGTGGTTGATTTATACCTATTTGGAAACAAACTTTAGCGAGGAGGAAATGTCTCAGAATCCGTTTGGTGGTCAAACAATACCTGAGGCTGTGAAAATTACTGAAGAACAAGAATTAAATTATGACATTGATCCTCAATATGAAATTGATTATGCTACAGAAATGCATCAGGCCAGAATGCAGTATTTAAGTGAGGATCATACAAATGATGTTGGTCATAGATCACATAAGGATATAAAACTGAGCTCAAGCAAAAAAAGAGATAATGAAGATAATCATGGGGATGAAAAGAAAGTAGACAAATCACAACCTAATAAAAAGAAACAAAAAACTTCATCAGTGGAACATGATGAGCCGGTATCAACTTCAACTTTATCATCAGTGTCATCCGAAGATATATTGAGTATAAGTTTAGGAGGTTCCATTGCTGATAAACAGATACATTTTCCAATTGAAGATGCACCAAAACTTTCTAAAAGATATAAAGCAGCAAAATTTGTTACAAACCAACCAATAGAAGAAGAATCAATAGGTTTTAAATGTGACTTGCTAGAACAATCTAATCCAATGGTTCAAGAGGTTAGAACATCATCTAAAGCAAGTACTGCATCGTTTAACAAAAAGATCACCATTTTAGGGAACTGGATTTATCGTTATTTCAAATATAAAAAATCAATTGGTAATAAATTGACAGGTTTAGAGTGGGAAGATATTAGATATGACATTATGAATGGACTTGAAAATTACATATATGAAAATTTTGGGAAATCTTTAAATCTTAACAAAGAGTTATTGCAAAACGAACTTATAAAAATTGAAGAAGGTGCGGAACCAAATTCATCCAATGATAATGATGTGTTTTTCAATTACCTATCAATGGGAGATTATGGTAGAATTAATGAAAAAAACTCATTTATGCTACAAATTACCAATTTTGCCAACGATTTTTTCATAAATAAATTAGAAAAAAATTTAGATGATGGTAAATTAATTTCAAGAAGTAAAATTTCATTTGACTTGGAAAATGAAGTAATACATGGTATATAGATTAGTTCGAGTTAGTAGTAATGAAAGATATAGTTATATCAGGTTTTTTTTTATTTTTGCAAATTGAAATCAAACTCTTATACCTCTAAAAAAGTTGAAATTATTTGGTAGCATGATTTGTTTCAATTATTATCTGAAAAATCAAATCAATATTCAATTCTTTGTACCACCATAAATTATATATCAATTCTAACATCACAACTCCATCAGTGAAGAATGGCTGTAATTACCGAGCCTGAACTAAAAACTGTGTGTAAATTATTTCATTTCTAATTTAGAGAAGATTATACTAACAAATCATAATTTATTTAGTATCTCGATAAGAAAGTATCAGTTCAATTGAATGGATCAAGAAAAGTAATTGGAATATTGCGGGGTTATGACGTACGTAATCGTATTAGAGTAATACATTGATGCATTTTATACTAACTTATGAAACTATTGGTAGATATTTTTGAATGTTACAGTATCAGATGCTTTAGAAGAAAAATCAAATGGCGAGAAATTAAACCTTGGTATAACGGTATGTACTTATGAATACAATCTTCAAACTTGGCTTATTACTAACTATTCGTGAACTAGGTAATTAGAGGAAATTCAATACTATCGGTTGAGGTATGTTGACTTCATATACTGAAATAATTTGAAATTGGTGTACTAACCTTTTATAATTTAGGCATTAGATAAAATATAGATTCTGCTCAATTTACAAGTATATATTTACTTCATAAATAAATAATGTAATGATGTATTATTGTGACTTTATAAATGTCTAACTATATTGTAATTAATATTGGAAAAATCTATGAACCATTTCAACTCCTCCAACTTGAAATCCACATTTCTCATAAAATCCAACATTATGATCCAGACAATCTAATATTACCTTATAACAACCAGATTCTTCAGCTAATTTACTTAAACTTTTTACCATATAATTACCCAACTTTTTACCCTGTTCTTCTTTTGCAACTGATATATCTTCAATATGACCAATTTTACCACATTCATGAATTAATTTTGATTCAAGCAATAGCATTCCGGTTGAAACTATAATTCCTTGATTATTCGTTATAACATGTGGTTGATAAATATGAGAATTTTGACTCCATTCCTCAAATAATTTTTTAAATTTTTCCTCTGATATCGTACCAACAGTTGTTAGCACTTTTAAAGTTTCTAGATATTTATTTGAATAATCTGTTGATTTTAATTTTCTAAAAGTATAACCTTCTGGTAATGATAAATTATTGGATTGTTCTTGAGTCATAAAGTCTGTGAAAGGTAATTTATTGTGTTGAGTGTGTAGGGGTGTTTTTCTTTATCTCTCTCAATGAGTTTTTATTCTATTGGTCTATATAAATTCTTGTAAAAGTTGTATTTGATATAATTGAATTATTTAAATTCAATTGAAAATCTAAATTCTATACTATTTAGTACTTGAAAATTGATCTATTAATAAAAAAAAAATTTAATTAAAGAAACAAAAAAATATAAACAAAACAAAAGAAAAAAAAAAAGTTCGTAAAAAAAAATGTCGGTTTCTTTTTAATTAAGTCAAAGGTTAAGAGATTACTTCTACATTAGATTAATAATTTAATTTCTTTACAAGATTATTAATATGAATATTTAATACCAATTCATTTGAATTAATATTATGTAAGCTAAGCATCTTAGCAAAAAATTAATTGATGAAATTAATATAAATTCTTCAAAGAAGTGTTGAAAAAATACTTTCATTATGAAAAGGTTTTAATTCCAAATTAAGAATTTATTTTTAAGTCCTGGCTGAATAATTATATTTTTAATATTTCATTAATAGCTAGCTACCAATCCCGAAATGTGATTTTTCAAATGTTCAAGAAGTTATTAATCAAAATTATGGTCACTTTAAATTGAATTTCTAGTACATCAATTTGTAATCAAAAATCATCTTAATTTATTATTATTCAAAAAAGTACATCATTTGTAATCAAAATAATCTTAGTTTGTTATTAATTCCAAACTCAGGCTCTTCAATTGTGTATATAAATAGGTGCCAAATCCATTCATTTTTCACTTTCACTTTTTTGCAAACTTAATTTCAAATACTTTACAATCTAATAAAAATCACTTAAAATGTCATTTACAACTCCGAATATAACTTATGAGGCATATGCTTACAAAAATGGTAATTATCCAATTGAGATAATTAATGAAACAATTGATCTAGTAAACTCACCTAATGGAGAATTTATTGCACCAAAAGGTAAGATTATAGTTAAAGTAAATTATGCTTCTTTAAATCCTATTGATACCAAATTATATGAGTTAAAACCTTCATTTATGAAATATATCAATGGCAAACAAGGGTTTGGAAAAGATTTCAGTGGTAAAGTTATTTCAATTGGTGATGAAACAAATACAGATGTAAAAGTTGGAGAATATATTCAAGGAATGTTGGGTCCATTAATTTCAAGTAAAGGTACAGTTGCTCAATATGTATTATTAGATCCAAAAGTTTCACCAATTACTACAGTACCAACAAATATCAATTTAGCTCAAGCTTCGTCTTGGCCATTAGTATTAGGTACAGCAATTGGTATGCTAAAAGGTTTACAGATTAAAGATTCTAAAATTGCAGTTTTAGGTGCTAGTACTTCAGTTGGACGTTATGTAGTTCAATTAGCTAGAATTGGAGGGGCTAAAGAAATAGTAACTACAAACTCGACAAGAAATAAAGATTTAATAACAAAATTAGGTGCAACTTCACAAATCGACTATACAAGATATCCAAATTTTTTAAAGAAGTTTTTAGATAGCGTCAAAGAGTCTGGAGAGTTTGATTATATTATTGATACTTATGGTGGTAATCAATTGTTTCCAGAAATCAATCACATATTAAAGAAAGGAGGTGTGTATAACACTATAGTTGGAGATTCAACAGGTCATGGATTGGATTTAATTTACGGAACAATGAAAACGGTAGGTAGAGTAATTTACTCCAAATTAGGTCTTCTAGGGTATGAATATAATTTTGCAGCTTTGAATATGATGGGGGGTTGGATAAATGATGCAAGAGATATGATTCAAGATGAAAAACTTCAAATTTTTGTTGATAGTATATACCCATTTGATCAATTAGACAAAGGTGTTGAAAGACTAGATAGTGGTAAAGCTAACGGTAAGGTTGTTATTGAAGTTTCAAAGGAGTAAAAAATTGTCAGGCTTTATCAGGGGACCAAGTTATATAGATGTATATATAGGGAATAGAACATTTTGAATTTATAAAATTGAAACTGTAATTCTTATTAAGCGGTATTAATCCTTAAGCTAAAACATGTGTTGCAAAAGTTTTGTGCAACCTGACACGACAATTATTTGTTCAGCCGTGTAAAGAATTTTTTAGTCTAAGCTCAAGTTTGAAGATGACTTTAGCTTTTAACACATAATTCACATTTATAAGCTAAGATTTTTTTTATTTCACAACTTTGATTAACTCAGGCACTTGCATTATTTCCGATGTCGATTAGTAAGCGTTCCTAGATTTTATATAACACTGAAACAAGAATTAAATGGAAAAATTTTTGCTATCCGCAATCTTACACAAAACTGTTATCGTAATAATTGAAATTTATCCGTTTATAAAATATATCAAATTTATTATTTAATAACAATCAATTTAAAGAAAAACTTTTTTTAAATTTAAGTTAAAAAGTTGTTTATTTTGCCATTCGAAAAGTCAATCATCGTCAAGTTCAAAATAATATATAAACTACTAAAATTTCTTGAAAAAAAAATTTGAGTTTTAAAAATTAAGAGTAATTATTATTAAAAGCAATACAAAATTATATTAACTATGGCTTTCACATCACCAACTATATCTTATAAAGCATACGCTTACAAGAATGGTAATTACCCAATTGAAATTATAGATGAAACAATTCATTTAGTCAAAGGACCAAATGGAGAATTTATTGCACCAAAAGGTAAAATATTATTAAAAATAAATTATGCTTCATTAAATCCAGTTGATTATAAATTATATCATATAAAACCATCATTTTTAAAATTTATTAATGATAAACAAGGATTTGGTAGAGATTTTAGTGGTCAAGTTATATCAATTGGTTCAAATACTAATACTGAAGTTAAAGTTGGAGATTTTGTTCAAGGTATATACACACCTATGTTAGATAAAGGATCTTGTGCACAATATCTTTTATTAGATCCAAAAAATTCTCCTATTACTACAAAACCAACAAATATTGATTTAGCTAAAGCTGCTTCATGGCCATTAGTTTTAGGTACTGCTATTGGATTATTAAAAAATTTACCATTAAAAAATAGTAAAATTGCTGTTTTGGGAGCATCAACTTCTGTTGGTAGATATGTTGTTCAATTAGCAAGAATTGGTGGTGCGAAAGAAATTATTACAACCAATAGTTCAAAAAATGAACAATTGATTAGCGAGTTAGGAGCAACTTCACAAATCGATTATAGAAAACATCCAAATTTCTTACCTCAATTTTTAGAAAGTGTCAAAGAGTCAGGTGAATTTGATTTTATTATCGATACTTTTGGAGGTGCACAATTATTTCCCGAAATAAATCATATCTTGAAAAAAGGAGGTGCTTATCATTCAATTGTTGGTGATGCACCAGGTCATGGATTTGCTGCATTAATTGGAAGTATTAAATCTATTACAAGACAATTACGCTCAAAATTAGGATTAATTGATTATAATTATCAAATTTCATTATTAGATAATATGGGTGGGTGGATTAATGGAGCAAGAGATTTAATTCAACAAGATAAATTAAGAATTTTTATTGATTCAGTATATCCTTTTGAAGAATTAAAACAAGCTATTGAAAAATTGGAAAGTGGTAAAGCTGATGGTAAGATTTTAATTGAAGTTGAAAAACCATTAGCATAATAGCTTAATCTAAAATTATATACACTAAGAGTATATAAATTGTCATTCATTTTTATATAGAGACTATTTGTGAAATCTACGATTGTTTTTGATTTTTGATTAAGTCCTTACGAACATACTACTGTACTTAATTCTCCTTACATGATTGATCAAAGCAAAACTTAATTTAGACGTAATTTTTGTTTAGAAATGCATTACCCAATAGAATGACAAAAAATCAGAGTCCTAAATTCAACAAAATAATATAGAGCTTATCTATTTATTGGTATTTACCTAAGAACATTAACTTTAATTATACAATTGATCGGAAATTGATTGCATATCCAATCGTTGAACTAAATTTGTTTCTAAACAGCCTTCCACGATATTATCCACGTAATTAAACTCTTGCGCTAATTGTGATTTTTCATTTTGCCACCTTTTATGTAAGTTCTCCTTAATGGTGTTTAATTCTACACTGTCTGATAGTGACTTTAATATTCCATTTTCTTCAGCGTCATTTTCTTTACCTTGTTTGGAGCAGTCCCTAAAAATCCATTTTAATAAACAAGCTTTTTTTAAATCGCACTTATTGTACTGTCCTGCTGTAATCATTGCTCTTAATCTTGGTTCAAATTGATGTTGAAATGGTAATTTACCACAGCACATAGCATACACTAAAACACCTAATGCCCAAACATCAGCCAGTGGTCCTAAAGGCGGTGGTGACGGTTGTAATAATTCAGGAGCTGCATAAGGTAGGGACCCAATGTGGGAATGTGGTAATTTTGAATCTATACCATTTTGTTCTGGTTCTTTATTTAAAAATTTCTTACTAAAATCAAAGAAATCAGCTGGTGATGATGCAGTTGGTGATTGACTTTCTGATGCTATTGGAGTCAAATGAACCGATTGCATTGATGGACCATGAGTTTTAAAAAAATTAGATAATCCTATCCTTGAATCATCTTTTATATTGAAATCTAAAAATTTAGTTCTTGACGTATCTCCTCCATGGAATGGTTTTCTCATTTCAGAATTTGAAGATTTACTTCTAATTGTTAATTCATCTTCATCTAATGCTGATAGCCTTAAATTTTTCTTATCCTCACCAACCTGGGGTACATTTCTTATCGATGATTTTCTACTTAATCTCATACTGTATATTCTTGACATTCCAAAATCACATAAAATCATTTTATAGTGGCCATTTGCTTCTTTTTCCACCAATACATTCTCCAACTTTAAGTCCCCATGAACTATACCTTTTTCTTCATGCATATAAAGTAATGCGTCAACTATTTGTCTCGTACAATCTATTACTTTTCGTAGTCTCTCTTTTTGTTTGTCAATCAGGAAATTCAATGGACCTGAATTGTTATTAATACCGATGTTGAATTGTCCCCATTCTGATACTAGCTCGAATAAAGTACCACCATTGATTCTATTCATTACACAAAATATGGCATCGTCTGTTTCATAATGATCAATTAATGGTAAAATATTAGGATGGTTCAATTGTTTCCAAATTGCAATTTCTTTCTTAAACACGTCTAAAACTTTTGGGCAATGTGTCATATCAATTAAATCAGTTCTTGAACTTGGTCTACTTCTTGACTCTCTTGATGATTTTACAATTTTCATTGCTCTTACATTTCCCTTTTTATCGACACATTCTCTTATTGTTCCCCATGCACCAAATCCAATTATTTTACCTAATTCATGATCTAATACAATTGCACCTTTTTCATCTATATTGTATTTTGGTTTTATTTCTGAAAATTTCTTGACATCAGTTGTTGAAGTTCTTGCTAGTAATCTACCAGCTAAAGTATTTGCACTTCCAACTCTATGTTTTCTGGAAAGACTGTTTTCACCAGAACTAAATCCTCCAGCAGTACTACCAGCACTTGTTTTTGGAGTTTTGCCCAAAGAACTACCTCCACTTCCAAAATGACTTTTTGCAATTAATGAAAATTGGGAATAATCGATATTGTCTGAAAATGTACTAACTAACTTCTTTCTTTGTGAATATGGTAATTCAGTAAAATTTGGTGGTAGACTATTTAAAATCAATTCATAATTTATATCACCTGTTTTAGGGTCTACTGCTGATTTTTGTTTTTTGGATTTTCTTTCATTATCATTAATTGATTCAGTTCTTTTATGTAAATCATGATGTAAAGGAGTTGCATCTGAATCAATTGAATCATCAATAATTTTAGATTCATCTTCTATATTTGTTTCATTAGGGTTTCGTAATTTCATATAATCATGTAATTTTGAGTATGATATTTTAGATGGATTTTGAGTACTTGGTCGTATAGGTTGTGGTGCAACTTGAGCATGTAATAAATTCAAATCTAAATAAGATGCATTATTACTTCTTGGTGTATTTGATTGAGTTGTATATGCACTGTTTGTATTATTTCTTGTATTCATTCTTGATATATCTAATTCAGAACTACTAGGATTATTCCATTTATATACCATATCACTAAAATCTAAACCTGGAATATACTCATCTTCTAAACCTTGAGTATAATTAATCCCAACATCTATGTTACTATCATGAGATCTTGAATATAATTTTCCAGGACTTGATCCATTTGTATTATTTTGATAATGACTATCAGTAAAGTAATGATTTTGTTTCTCTTGTCTTACAGTTTGAGGTCGAATTTTTCCATCTTCATATATTCTATGTCCAGTTTCTTGATCAAAATTGTTTTTTTCCGTTTCAGAAAATCTTCTAGTTCTTCTGGAGTCTGAATAAGTTAAATAAGATGATTCTGAATTTGGGTGATTTTGATGAGTGTTTGAGGTTGTATGATTATTATTCCGTATTTTTTGATGTTTTGAATTTAAATTTTGATACAATATGTTATTTACCTTGTCATCATCTTCTTCTTGTATATAATTATTATTTGTATTGGTTTTAAAATTAGTTGGAGTATTTAAATCAAAATTTAAATTATCAATTAAATTAACAGTTGAAACTTTTGGTTGTGATTTCAATGGAATATTCATTTAACAACCTAAAAAAAGAAGTTTCTTTGTAATAAAAACTGGCAATTTATTTATAATTAGTGAATAGTTGTATAGTCCAATGTATATAATGTTTCAAATAGTTTATAAGAGATAATTTGATATTTTAATATTTGGTTGTAAAATAAATGAAAAAAAAAAATAAATTTTATTATTAATTAATTTACTACAATAATAATAAACATATGATTAAAATATAATATAATTTTCTTACAACAAAGATTATTAACAAATAAATGCATTATCGCAAAAAGGTTCTACATTAGTTATTAATTAATGATTACAAATGAAATTAGTTACAATCATAATTAACAAAATATTAAAGCTTGTATAATAAACGTGTGAGTAAATATATCATTCATTGTAATATGAGTTCCTAAAATTGAAAAAAAAAAAAAGTTATCTCCATCATATTGAGATTAATTCAATAGCTTACTTAAAAAATTAAATGACTTATTTATTTCATTCTTTTTCAATTAAAGGGTTTTTTAATGAACTAAAATCAATCAATCAAATTAATTTGTTCTAAATATTTATATCAAGAAATTTATAATCTTTAATTTCCCCACTTATTTATTATTAATTCACATATTATTGATTTTTTAAATTAATCATCAGTACAAAATACTTTTTTGTCGTAAAATATCTTGTCATTTTTTCTGAAAATATGAACTTCTGATTTCAAAGAGTTATTGGTTTGAAAGGTGTATTTTATTTCATGAACTGTTAATTGTGTATACTGCATAAAGAGAGATAAGGAGTATTTTTGCACCCATATTTAATTTCGTTTCTGCAATATATCCACATAATTATATCATCTTGCTACTTCAAATATTTGCTATAGATAGCTTCCACGCTTTGTAATGAGCTCATGATTGTCTCATGATTGTCTCATGATTGTCTCATGAATGTCGAATAAAGCAGAAATATTTGCGTATTACCAATTGTTCTGGGATTGCAGGCATTTAGATTAATCTGAAGAAGATTCATAATGAGTTAATTTTTCGTCACCTATGTCGAACTTGTAAAACTTATTTGTATTAAAAAACTATGAACCTTTTAAACATTTATCAAAAAATTGTTTTAGTTTTTCACCATAATTTAAAACAATCCAACAAAGATTGTTCTGGCATCAGCTAAATAATAAATTTGTTGAGTTCCTTCAGGTTGTTCACCAAATAAATTATAATCACCATTATGAGTTTCACCATACCAACCAGCAAAAGTAGCAGGTTCTTTACCAGATTGAACTAAGACACCAACTGCACCTTCAGGTCTATTAAAATATTGACCTCTATCTTCAACATTTTCAACTTCATCTTCTGGTTCTCCAATTTTTTCAGAAACTAATTCTTTTATATCATAAATCCAATTGATTTTTATACCAGTTGATTTTTGATCTTTTGAAATTTTACTGTTTGTTCTATTGATTTTTGATGGATGTTCAGCTGCTTTACCAGTATTTAAATCAAGTACAACCATTTTATATATATGATGTTATTTTTTAGTGAAGTAAAAGATATTTAGTATCTAATTGAGCAATTAGAGACAACAAATTGTATAAGTCCATTCTCTCTTATTTATATAATTTTTATTTAATTTTATTGTGGTAGTCCATAGGACACATTAATTTATTCATTTTACAAAAAGAAGGTTATAGAAAATTAAAATACACATAAATTATATGAAACGTTAGAATATTCTTTTTGTTCTTTAAAAAATGTGGAAAATTGAAAAGATTTTGTGTTCGAGCGGAAAATTGTTTTTTGTGTCAGAAAGGAAATTTATTTTTGTGTCTATTCTGAAGCGACAAAATGATTTTTTCACGACTTAAAGAATTTTAACGATTTCACTATAATATATTAATAACATAAAATCAGATCATTTTTAAGTCTAACGTAGAGCTATATCCGTTGTTACATAATATAATTATCACTAATTCCAACAATTTTGGATTGCTTACGTTTCCCATTGTATACTATATAATTGTATGAAAGAAAGACCCCTTTGAGATCTCTTTATTGTTTTGAAATAATCAAAGCATTCAAAAATTCATCAGACAATAAATTTATAGCATCAGGTCTTTTCTCGAAATTTAATTCAAAAGTCTTTTTCAAAAATTCTTTTGCTTCAAAAGTACACCATTCTGGAATTTTTGGAGATATATGATTACCAATTTTAAATAATGCTTGCATTTGACTTAATTCGGGAAATGGATGTCTACCAGTAAACATTTCAACGATTAATGCTCCAACTGACCAAATATCTGCTTTTTTTGTATAAATTGTCTTTTTAACTACTTCTGGGGCCATCCAAAATACTGAGCCTTGTAGTCCTGCTCTTTTACCTGTCTTTTTAAATTCATCATCTTCTTCATCTATTGTTTTAACTTTTTTAGATATTCCAAAATCTCCAATTTTAACAGTTCCTTTTATATCAATTAAAATATTTGCCCCTTTTATGTCTCTATGTATAATATCTTCACCATGTAAATAATCTAATCCAATTAATACTTGTCTTATAAAATTACGAATTAATGGTTCTTCAAATGGTCCATATGAATTCAACATTGTTTGAACTGAACCTCCAGGCACATATTCTAAAAAGATATTTAAATAGTTTTCATCAGTTGAACTACCGAAATATCTGACAATATTATCATGACTTAATTCTTTTAATATCATCATTTCTCTTTTTTGATCTTCTAATAAATCAAAGAACGGTTGAGTTTTAGATGGTGATTTCGGTGGTAATTCGGGTTTTTCTTCACTTGTTTCTTGTACTGACATTGGTGATGGTAAATCTTGTTGTTGTTGTTGTTGTTGCAGTTGTTGAATTTGCAGTTGTAAATTATTATTAGTTAAGGGTATTTGTTTAACAGCCATTAATTCACCAGTGAATGGATTCATACCTAGATAGACCGTACCAAAGCTTCCTGATCCAATTTTCGATCCTTTCAACCAATTATCTGGTACATTACATTCAGATTGTCCACTTAAGTCTCCCCAATTGTCTATATAATCATCATAATCTTCCCCATCTTCTCCGTCACTATCACTTAGATTTAGTAGCTCTATTTTAGATAACCTGTCAGTGTTTTCATCTTCATCATTTTCTTTCGTCACAGACATTGAAATTCTATGTAATGCAGTTCCTTCACTTATACTTCTTGAACTTATTATTGATTTTGCGTCATTATCATTAGTAAATCTACCTTGATTGAATTGTGGACTTGCGTTATTCGAATTATTATGATTAATTTGTGAGGGTTTACTAAACATGCTTGAAGTATCATCATTTGCAACAGCTTCATCAATTGATGTAATATTATTCATCATAACATCACCAATGGTTCTATTACTTTTTCTACCAAATCCAAGTTGATCACCTGATGATATAGACACCCCTCTTTGAGAATGTAAACCCGTTGAATTACTTAGCATTGATGATCTGATATTATTACCATTATGAAGTGCAATTGAACTTGATGAAAAAGCTCCGGCTGGTAAATTCATTTTTCGACTTAGTCTAACACTATACCTTACTGAATTTCTGACAGTTTGTTCAAGGTCTTTTTGTTTAGTTTCTGGGAAATATTCAGCTAAATTTGAAGAGATCAATTCACTTGGAGGTCTCTGACCAAAAAAGTTCCTCATTGTAGATCTTGAATACTTATTATCTTTTATATTGACTTTAGTTTGGTTGTTATTTTCTTGGACTGTGGTGGATCTATCTGGGAAATTTAATTCATTTTTAATTTGGGTTTTCAAAGTTTTGTTATATTTATGCATGACTAGTCTTGAAGTTTCTATTGCTGATTCTGTTGGACTTTGATCTTTTGGGACTAACATGATTCTATGCTTCTCTAATCTCTCTGGTGAATAACATATAGTCACTAATTCAACGTCATATAGCATTATAACTGATGGTTCAAAATCTTCATATAAATTTCTATAATCACTTATGTTTGTTGAATGTATATATGTGTCAAATTGAGTAGATTCTTGAGGTTTAAAACCTAGTTTTTTCAATATTTTTCTTTTGATTGCTTGAGCGTTGAAGCAACCTGTTACATTTACTCTTTTGATACTACCATCTTGTAGAATGAATGATATATTTTTACTTGAGCTCTTTGCGGTTGATGTTGATGCATTTTGCGATTGCTGTTGTAGTTGTTCTTGTGATTGTTGTTGATGAATTAAATTTAAGTTACTTCCACTGTTGAATTGAGTCAATAATGAAGCTTCACTAGGGTTCAATAAAGTATTTAAACTAGGAATATTTGATTTGGTGACTGGTTCATTTGGTGATACTTCTAACTCTAGTTTCTTATATAATTCATCAATGTCTATGAATGTCTTCAATTTTTCAGTTTTCAAATTATTTATGGCAATTTCTAGTCGAATTCTATCTCCAACTTTAATAACTCCAATTTCTTTCAAACTATAAGTATCTAATTCAGGTAATAAATCTAAGCTAACGCCATGATCTAAAAATTTATGTAATAAGTGTTGACAATTTGATTTGGCTAACCAATTTTTTAGTTCCTTACTTTCATTTTTATTCATTGTGGGTATTGGTAAAGATTGATTATTTAGTTGATTTATAGCCCCTTCATTGTTGGGTGAGTCTATTTGAGTTGTCATTGTTTAGTTGAAACTCGTTCTCCGATAGTCAAACTGATTATTTGATAAACTAGTGATCATTAACTAATTTTATATAAAATTCATAAGCCAAGAATGTTGTTGAAAATATGATTATTGTAATTTGTTTCAAAATGAAAGGTTTGAGTATTTTCTGAAACGAAATAAATCAAAAATAGAAACGAGAATAATTGAAAAAAAATCGTTTAATTTCACACAATTGTGAAACATCTATTATCGAGACCAGAAAGCATCTTTTGAAGTTCAATAGCCTGTTATTAAAATGTCAAAAGAGTCCCAAGAACTAAATGAGTTCCTAAGAGAATTTCAAGACCCATCAACAGTACCAGAAATACATGCCAAAAGACAAAAACTAATACAAAACATCGAAAAAAACACATACTTAAATGAATACCCTAGCCAATTATCAATAATGACATCATTAGATGAACTAATAGCATGTTTTGCATTAGGTGGACAGTTTAAACATTATTATAGATACGGATCATACGATTTATGTCAAAAGCAAAGAGAAAAATTTTGGTTTGCAATTAAACATGGTACAATGATTGAATCTAAGAAATCGGATTTAAAAGCTTTAGAAGAGTTGAATGATAAAGAATTGGAGAATAGAGTTAAGATTCAAGAGTTCTTTAAGAAGAGGTTGATGGATGATAAATTGAAGGGTAGTTCTGAGGATATTTGGGATTCAAGAAATGAATTAAGGGAATATCCATTTGTTTCAAAATAAAAAGAATCTTTGATGATAGTTTCATTATCTCACTGAATGAAAATAATCAGAAGAAAAGAGTCGAGCTCAGTACCAGTTTAGTAGTCAGCAATTGCAAAGTAAAATACTCGTTCAATTTGAGCACTTACAGTCCATCAATTTTCAAGTGTACACTAGGTAACTTAAGGAGAGTCTTCTGTATAATTATAACACCTCGAGCTCAGATTCAATTTATAGACATGTACATAGCCTTTGTAGATAAAATAGAAGTCTTAGAAAGTAATTACATAATTCTTACTTTAAAAAGTACTAATTTTTACCAAAAATAACGCTAAAATCGGTATTACATTATTATACAACTTTTCTTTTCAGGTTCATTATCATTAGCTCCTTTTGGTTTTGCATTCAAAGCACATCTTGCAGCTTCAGAAAATGCTTCATTAACTCCTCTATTTTTTTTAGCAGAACATTCTAAATATCTTAAAGCTCCAACTCTTTTCGCCACTGCTAAACCTTCATCATACGTTATTAATTTTTTAGGTTGTGAATTTGAAGCATAAGGGTTATTATTATTATATAGATTTTGTTGTTGTTGTTGTTGATTTTCTAAATCTTCATCACTTCTTAAATCACATTTTAATGCAACTAAAACTAATTTAACACCTTCACAATGATCGGCAATTTCTCCTACCCATTTATTTTGAACATTCTCCAAAGAATCAGGAGAATCGACTGAAAAACATAACATTATACAATGAGTATCAGAATATGATAAACTTCTTAATCTATCAAATTCTTCTTGTCCTGCAGTATCCCATAAAGATAATTGAACTGATTGACCATCTATAAATATATCATGCACATAATTTTCAAATACTGTTGGTTCATAAACTTGTGGGAAATAACCTCTAGTAAACACATTTAATAATGAAGTTTTACCACAAGCACCGTCACCTAATATCACTATTTTTCTTTGTACTAATCAGTGTAGTTAGTATATATTCATAATAAATCTTGATCGAAAAAATGTATAATTTTATAACATACTAGTTTTTGGTGTACTACCACAAAGAGGCATAATTGTTATTGATTAATGTGATTTTTCAAATTGTTGTTGTTATTTTAAAGCACGGCTAAAAATAAATATTTTGATCTAAAATGATAAATTAAAATTGGCAAAATTAGATTGATTTAATAAAAAATAATGATTAATTTCTATAAATATGATGCTAATGTTTGATTGATTTGAGTAATTGAATTTATTAATGAAAAAAATGAATGAAATGAATGAATGTGATAATTATTAATTAATATATATATAATTAACGTTGTAATCAAATTAAATATTATTATAATTTAAAGTTGAAAAAAAAAATAATTAATGTACGTGTTTATATTTTCAATCCATATAAATATTATATTTACAAATTATACTAATAATAATATTATAAGAGAACATTTTACTTATTATAGTATTTAAGTAGAATTGAGATAAGTAAATTAAAATTATAGACATAAGAAAAATTATTAAATTGAACAATCTTGTATTTTGAATTGATTTGAAATAGTTTGGGTTAAGAGATCGTAAAATGAAAATCTAAATTAATAATAGTGACAATTTGAAAAGTTAAACATTTTATTCTATTGTTTTTTCGTTTAATCGTTTAATTGTTTTTAATTGATTTAAGTTTTGTGCTAAAACGTTCTTGAAATATATACAAATTAAAAAGATCGTTTAATTGACGGATTAGGGACTAAAGTAAGCGTTAGTCAAGTTTTCAAACTCAAACTTTGTTCACAAAGATTTATATACATTTCTCCAGACAAATTTAATGTGTATTTTAAAGTATTGTACATAGAAATGAAATCTATAAAAGTATAAGATGGCAAAAAGTTTATCCTTCTTGATCAATTGGCCAATCTTAATGAAAAAGTAAAAGCAAAGACGTATATTAGTTTATTTTGATTGAATAAATAATTATTTATTAATGAATTTGTTAATTGTAAGTTTTTTGGAAAAATGGATGATTCATTGCTTCTTTTGCAGTTGGTCTTTTTTGATGATCATATTGTAATAATTTATCAATTAAATCTAATACATCTTCATTAATTAGATGTTTATTCTCATTATTTATAAAAGCTTTCCATGGTTTTTTTGTATAATTTCCCAATATATCATCATAATCTGAACTTAATTTTATACCATATTTATTTATATATGACATTAAATCTTCTGTACCTAATATTTTAGCAATTTGTACTAATTGATCATTATTTGAATCACCTCTAAATAATGGTTCTTTTTTGAAAATTATTGCTCCCAACATACATCCTACTGACCATAAATCTAATGAATAATCATATTGTTGTAGATTAATTAATAATTCCGGGCCCTTATGATATCTTGATGCAACTCTTACATTATAATCCATACCTGAATGATAAAATTCAGCTAATCCCCAATCTATTAATCTTAATTTTTTATTCATTGGATCAATCATTATATTTTGAGGTTTAACATCTCTATGTATTATACCCATTGAATGAGAATAATCTAGTGCTATTAATAATTGTGTAAAATAATATTGAATATCTTTTATTGTAAATTTTGGATATAATACTCTAAAATCAACATTATTTACTTTTTCAAATATTAATGCAGGTATTTTTGATTGTTCATCTCTTACAACATCTAATAATCCAACAATATTTGGTCCACCTGTTAAATTTTGTAAAATTTTAACTTCTCTAAAAATCTTTTTTAATTTAACAGGTTTTAAAACTTTTATAACACATGGTTCATCATTTAATACATTAATACCTTGAAAAACTTCTGAATATTTACCTCTTCCTATTTTACTTACTATTTCATAATTTTTTATATCTCCCCATTGTATTTTATGATTTTCATAATCCCAATATTCTGATGGTTTATTATTATTTACATCTGAATAGATCTTGGATATTGAATATACTCGTGTTCTCGTTGTCATTTTTTTACAAGTATATCTTTTATTTCTGAATTTATTATTTGTTAGAATCACTTTTGCTTTTTAGATGATTTTGTAGTGTTCTATATCTATGATTTGAAAAAAAGCTTAGTCTTTCGGTGTTAAAAATGAAGGAAGCAATAATATTTATATTGATTCTCTGATGATTTATTATGTTATTGATTACCTTGATCAATCCCTTGACTGTGTAATAAGTCTCAAATATATATTTGAGTTATGAATTTGGAAAAGAAGATGATAAAAAATTTTATTTGAAATTCTTTAAATTGAATAATTGAAATATTCTTTATTACTATTGCAAAATTAATTACACCTGAATGAAATGTCTTAGATTGATAATTATTTTTTATATATAATCTCACTCTTACACACTATTTGTGCTTGACATATAAATATCATTATTCTATTTTTGTAATATTTTATATTTTCATTATCTCTCTATAATAGAGAGAAATATAATTTGTAGAATATTACACTACCATATTTTACTAGTTACTAAGTAAAACTATTATAAATTTATGAAATCATACAGGTGAGACATCACTCAAAATTGAATTATTCATATTAGAATAAGGTCTTTCCATATATATTACAAAGGGATGTTGATAATAATCTGGAGTTTAGGAATCTAAATCTGAAACATTACTTTCCGAATTCCATTGATCTTTATAATAAAAAGGCTGTTGTCTTAAAATATGAAAAATTTAATTGTGTTTGGTATCTTTGCAATAATTTATTAGGAAAAGCATCAATTTACAATTAGTTTTGTTGCAAATTTTGTACAAAAATTAAAAAGAGACTAGAATAATCTACTAATATTCTAATTTGCCACTAAAACAAATTTTATCAGGAATAGAGAACCAACTGAAAATTTTAATTTTCAATCAGCCGATTTTGAACATATATTTCCATGCAAGAATTATTTTCCGAAACCATTCTCGTAAACTTTACATTTTTTTTTTTTTTCAATTGTATCATATGTGAAATATTTGTAGTTAAATTTGACAGAAATTTGTTTATTACTACTATTAATAATAATAATAATAATAATAATAATAATATATCATATTATATTATATTAAATTATACACTACCAATTAATATCAACTATCAATACCAATATTAGACATTCAAGAAACTTCCACCCATTAATTCGAGTAGACTAATAACTATTACTTAATGACATATGAATCACAAATTCACAACAAGTATATATGACTTTGGTAAAACAATAAATGATGTACAATTTTGGTCAAAACAATCTAATTATAACTCGGATGAATATATAGATAATTTATCAAATTGTTTATCGTCTTCTTCTTGTGAATATTTTACATATATTAATTATACAAAATTACCGATTTATTTGATCAATGGTCATTCATTTCAAATTTTTACCAATGATGAAGATACAGAGTCATATTTTAAACAAAAAGTCATAGTGACACCTGATTCAAATAAAGAACAAGACTATGGAATATTAGCGAAGATTAAAAACAACAGTAACAAATATCTCATATTTTATTTTAATAAAGGTGACCAGACTATTAATTGTTTGATACTAGATCTCGATACTATAACTAAAGTACAAAAATTGATACTAGATAATGATTTTGATGATAATACGTTCATAACAACCAAAAAATCAACAAGAAACACGCCAGATACTAATATTTTTGATAAAGTACTTAAACAGAAACAAAAGAATAATCCATTTTTAAGAACCACAAGCAGTTTTAATTCCCCGAATTCAAATAACTTATCACTACTGATACTATCAACTCAAGATCAAATTAATAATGCAATTAATAAATTAATATTATCAGGTTTAAGGATAAGAGGATTATCTACAAATCAAGCAAAATCGGTGAATGAAAAATTGAAAATTAAAGAAATTCATCAAATGACTTATAAGGCTGCCATATTTTCATTAAGAAAATATAATAATAATCTATTAGATGGTACTAATAAAAGATTAGAGTTGGAAAAACCACAAATTAAATTTAATGATGTACAAGAAACTATTGAAACTTTATTACATCTATTTGTTGACGTTGAATAAAATATATACAATGAATGGGGGGTAGTTCTCTAAGTGGTTTATGCTAATTCCTTTATACTTATAGTATTATTAGTTGGTTCAAAACTTATTGATGATGCATCTTTCAATTGTTCATTTAATGATTTAAATTTCGATGTAGATTTCTTTTTTGGTTTTATATTCTTTAATTCTTCTTTTGCTTTTTGTAAATGATTAGTTAAAATTGAAGGATCTTTATGTAAATAACCTCTTCTTAATTCACTTGAATAATAACTTATATCTTTTTGACTAGTTGGTCTTGCTTGTAATGGTACATAACCTTTTCTTAAAAGAAAATATGATGGATTAACAAATGCTCTTAAACCTAATTTTGAAAAATATCTTGCTGTAAATGACATTTTGGCTTCTTTTTCAATTTTTTCAATTGCTTGTTCCGTTGCTTTTGATGCTTCAACATTTAAAGGTACATTATATTTACCTTGTGATGATACACCTAATAATTTAACTCCATCTTTTAATGTCCCTGTTATTATCCCACAATCTTTCATTACTTTTATAGTCAATGTTTCACCTTCTTTCAAAGGAATTCTATTATTTTCCCAAAAATCTTGTATCTTACTCAAATTAACTTCATGATATTGTTTTGCATTATGTGCATTTCTAAAACCAACCATTGGCATTTGTTTAAAATATGGTGTTTGTCCACCTTCCATCCATATAGGTACTTTTCCACGTGCTTTTTGACCTTTTTGACCTCTACCTGAAGTTTTACCTTTATTTGATGATGGACCTCTACCTAATCTTTTATAACCTTGTGTTGAACCTTCATTGGGTGATAATGAACCTAAATTATGTGTGGTGATAGTACGTATTGACGATATGCTCAATTTATTGGTGTTTGATGTTAGCACATCTATAAATGACTGGTATTTGAACATGATTTGTAGTTGTTAGGTTGGTTGATTTGATAACTGGAAGTTTTGATTGATTTAAAAATTTTTTGAAAAAAATCCTGGCCAGATCTTGGTAGCATAAAAATCTTGAAGATAATAAATTGAGAACCTGAAACTTCAAAAATTACAATATACTTACAAACGCCATCAATTTAAACAATACCTTTTCCCTCACGCATATCAATCAAATATACAATTATACAATGTCATCAACGGAAAACAACAAACAACCAGAACCAACGAAAGAAGAAGATGAAAAAGTTATAAAAACATTAGAAGAAGACGATGAATTTGAAGATTTTCCAGAAGATGATAAACAATGGACTACAGATGTTAAACTCAAGGAAGAAAACTTATGGGAAGAAGATTGGGATGATGATGATAATCAAGATCAATTTTCCTTAAAATTAAAAGAAGAAATTTTAAAAACTCAAAAATCTGCTGCTAATGCTGCTTCTAAATAATTTTAAAATATAATATTATAATTTACAACAACATCACTTAATTTAGTCCATTAACAGCGATCATTGATTAAAGTACTTGTAATAACTGATCTCAAAAATACAAACAACCCATGATGATAATTCATGAGGACTTTCAGTGACACATAATGTTATTTTACAACCATTTCCCACCATTTATTCCGTCATGCTTTTGAATGAAATTTTACAATAAATGATAAATACACACGATAACTTAAATTTGTATTCAAAAGCCAAACTTACAAATTAATGTACGACCATTACAACAAATGATATGAAAGCTCTTATTCGATATGTAGACAACTTTAATTCTACAAAAACCTTATTGTGTCTTTAATTCCACTCGTTAATAAAAACATTACCTATGTCGATTGAAAAATGGCTGATAATTTTGAACTTTTTAAATTGATGTTTGTATTAACTTTTGGTCCTAAGGAAGACGAAACACTTACTTTTCGAGTATCAGCAGAAATTGAACTCTAATTTGGCTCAAATTTTCTTGCGGTTTTAGAGCAAATACATTTATTTTTACAGCGGAATTATTACTGAGTTAGTGTTTTAGAAAGAAAAACAAAACCAAGAAACAGCGCAAATGGTTTAGTGGTAAAATCCAACGTTGCCATCGTTGGGCCCCCGGTTCGATTCCGGGTTTGCGCAGTTTAAGAAGCATGTCAATAGTTTTTTTATATTTGAGCCATTCTTTTTTTATTTTTTCAAAATTTGTTTAAAGCTTTGTTTCATCAGCTATGCAAAGAAACATCTTAGTACTTTGAGTCAATCGCTTATTATAGTACAGTCCAATTTTTCACGGAAGAATTAATTCTCCAGTATCTCAACCTTAATTTTGACTATAATGATAGATTCATCAACGAAATCTCATAAATCAATAAACTGGAAAAGGTACTCAAAAAATTGGGAGTTTAAACTAGCCATATTTGTCATACTATATTTCATATTTTCACATGTTGTTCTAGAAAATACAAACAAAGTAAAAGAAAAGGGGTTGAAAAATCATCTAAAAGTTTTACCAGAAGAAGTTATAAATTACTATGACAAATCCACAACTTTAACAAATACTGATAAATTAGCATATATGCAATATGCAACAAATTATGATTATTTAAACCTTGCAATTTTAAATTTCGTTCAATTAAGAAAATCAAATACAAAAATTCCAAATTTAGTTATAATATATGATGAAATCTTACTGTTCTATGCAAGTAATAGATGGAATAATTTATATCAAATTGCAAATCATTATAATATAACATTAAAGTCAACTTCATTAATAAAAGCAAATTATATTGATAATACACCATGGGCTGCATCTTTCACAAAATTTCATATTTTTAATCAAGATGAATTTGATAGAATAGTTTATTTTGATTCTGATTCAATGTTTGTAAATGCTCATATTAATGACGATAATGAATTTGAAAATACTTATGTTAATATTGATGAATTGTTTAAAATTCCAAAAGAGATTGAATTTGCATTACCTCAGGCTTATTGGTTAAATGACGTAGTTGAAGGGAAGTCACCATTAAAAAGTAAGAAAATAGATATTCCAAATGATAGAAGACATGGACTTCGAATGAAAAAAGTAGTCAATGATATCTCAGTAACAAACGATTGGAAACTTCTACCACTGCTATTGTACGAAAAACACAAATTTGAGAATGTTGATAATTTTTTTGCTAATCATATAATGGTCATTAAACCGTCGAAAGATACATTTAATAAATTGATGAAATATGTTAATAATCCGTTTTATTGGTCATTCACAAACAGAAAAAACTTAAGGACATCAACAGATTATGATATGGAAATACTAAACAAATATTTGGATAATGAATTGCGTAATAGTAAAATCAATGTTGGTATATTACCTCATAGAATCTATGGAGTATTAACTGGAGAGTTTGGAGAAGAATGGCATGAAAGATTTGTAGTTGAACCACAATATTTACCATTCATACAAAAGAATTCAAATAAAGGTTGGGATCCAATAAAATTTTTCAAGAAATTAAAGTTGATTCATTTTTCAGATAATCCAATTCCAAAACCATGGGAAGATGAAAATAATGAACAACCATATAATAATAAAAGAATATTTTGTAAAAATGGTAATATGACTGAATATGATGAAAAATATCCATTCTTCAAGCCTAAATTAATTGATGATTGTGATAGTGTGAAAATTTGGAATTGGTTTAGAGATCAATTTAATGAAAGAAGACAAGGTCTTTGGTTTGCTGGTTAAAGGTGATGTTATAGGTATATCTGTAAATAATTAGGTTAGAATTTTTGGGTTTTTAAAGGGTAATCAATAGTATTGATTTTAATAAAGCTTTTGTAGATAAATAAATAGCATTGGCATGTACCAATTTCGTAATAAAATTGTATTATATCTTGAAGTACTTCACTAAATAAGAAAAATTTATTTATAGTAACAAATTTTTTCTGCTGCCTCAATTACGAGAACAAAAAAAAACAACAATTTATTAAAAAAAAAATTGTTACTAGACCAAATCAAATCAAATCAAACACATCAAAATTCTCAAAAGCATTCGCTTGTTTGATAATTTGACTACAACCAACACAAATTTGAAATTACACAATGAAACGAGATAGTCTATTAACAGTGCTTGTTGACGCTACAAAAACTTTAGCTGCAAGAGATGATACAACAACTGATTTACCGGCTATGCCAACATTAACAGATCCAAATGCTTATACAACTCCTTCAGTCTCTGTTCCGCCAAATAGTAATAATCCATTTATAATTAGACAACATAATCCTTCTGGTACAGTTTTCATTGCAGTTGGATCAATAGTTGGTGCAATTTTATTAGGTTTCATATTATATCATTTGATTGTTTCATGTAGTGCATCAAGATTAGCTAAAAAGACAAGTGCTCATGATAGAGGATTATATGAAAAATATCAAAATAATAATAGTAATGCTTATGGTTTTGCTAATATGACTCCACAATCAACTTTAAATAATTTTACAAATGAATATACTAATCATCATGGTACATCAATATCAAAACTACCTTTATTAAATAATAGATCATATAATAATGTTGGAGCTGGTTCACAATTTGGTGATAATTCAACAATATATCAATCAGATATGGCTAATGCTACTACAAAATATGATCTTACAAAGATGTTTATTTCCCCAACTGCAGAAGTAATGCAACATAAAAGAGTTAAATCTTTCAATACTCCATCATTAACAAACTTACCATTTGGTGGATCAAATTCAAACTTAGGAAATCCATCTCCTGCAACTAATAGACATTCACAATTGGTTCCTAATTTATATATTAATAATGAAATTAATAATAGTGAATACTTAATTAATCAACAACAAATGGGATTGAATGATCAAAATTCTCAAATGAACCAACAAAATCAAACTCCACCTCAGCAAAAACAACAACAACAACAACAACAACAGAGAAATCAACCAAATGGTAGAAAGACAATTCCTTCAATGTATCTTGAAGATTTAATTGATTAAAAAGTTTATAGATTATTTATGATACTTTAAATGTTTGAAATTTAGTCGCAAAGTTTTCTGCCAGAACCGTACTCCCCTTAATATCATCTTCCTCTGGGAAGCACAACCTTGAACGCATTTGATGTTGCATTGCCTCCAAATGAACTTGATCGAGACATAAATTGGAAATTGTGTGCGGCTTTTTCTCGTATATCTCAAACATTCTTTTTATTTAAGATTATGAAAAAAGTAGATAATCATCTACTATTATCAATTTAGATCCTAATTCAAAAATGTCAGAAGGTGAACCTTTAACATCAAATGTCAGACCAGCTACGGATGCACTCATAACGATAAGAATTGTAAAATCATTCCCATATAGAAACGTTAAAAATTTAATACTAAAAGATATAGATTTAAAAGCGACAACTCCGAAACAACTATTAGAAGTAGTAATAAACAATATAAATACAAATGGTAGTCTAAGACCATTTAGAAATGTTGAATATGATTCATTGAAGATATATACAAAAGCTCATGGTTCAAAATCAATGAATTTAGTAATAAATTTTGAAAATGATGATGATTGGGTCATCTTGAAACAAAATAAAGAAGTCGAAGACAAATCTCTCTGGGAATTAGGTGTACAAAATGAAACTGAAATAAGTTTATTCAATTGGAATGCTTACGCTGAGTTTAAAGAAAATCCAGAGGAAAAATGGTGAAAAAAATTGTACAAATTTTAAACAAAAAGACGTTGAAGTTTCACCAATTAGGTATTTAAAGAAAACGTTAATTGAACTTGAGTACTGTATATGCTTCCTACGAAGATTCATAAGTTTTAGATCCTAAAAGACAGCTATTAGATACAAATTCATATAGGGAAGATCATTATGCCATGTAAATACAAATATGCAATGACTTAAAATTCTTGAATGTCTTGAGTGTATGTTCTGTGACATATTTTATTTATAGATCTCTATGACATAAATATTTAACCAATTACAATTCTCGTTTTAATAAAATATTAATAATAAATAAATAATTATTATAGTATGTTATATAAGTTTTTATATAGGTATAATTTATATACAGTACATATAGTTTTCTAATACAAAATTTAATGAGAGAAGTGAAAGTGAAAAAAAAGTACACCAATAGAATAAGTAGGAAATACAAAGGCTAAAGGTTTCAAAATATAATTCTTAAAAGAATCATTAATATCTTAAAAAAGTGAATTTAACTTAAAGTTCTTTCAATCCTTAGTTCAAAAATCATTGTATCATATACATCCATCATCACATCACAGAAAGAATTCGAGTTTTTATTTCAATATATAATTTGATTAATCTGAAAACCATCTACACGTATATCAACTAACAATAGCATTTAATTTTACAATCAGTTTTAACGTTTTATTACAAATTCACCATTAAGATTATTAAAATAAAATCAGTCGTTCAATTATGTTTAAATCTGCATTTAAAACTTTTAATCAACCATTAATCCAAAAGTTTATTGCTGGAGGTGTTGGTGTTACTGGATTGACTGCTTCTTACCTTTTATATCAAGATTCAATGACAGCTAATGCAATGACTGCTGCTGAACATGGTTTACATCCACCAGCTTATAATTGGCCACATAATGGTATGTTTGAAACATTTGATCATGCATCAATTAGAAGAGGATTTCAAGTTTATAGAGAAGTTTGTGCAGCTTGTCATTCACTTGAAAGAATAGCTTGGAGAAATTTAGTAGGAAGTTCACATACAACTTCAGAAGCTAAAGCAATGGCTGAAGAACTTGAATATGACGATGAACCAGATGATGAAGGTAAACCAAGAAAAAGACCAGGTAAATTAGCAGATTATATTCCAGGTCCTTATGAGAATGAACAAGCTGCTAGAGCTGCAAATCAAGGTGCTTTACCACCAGATTTATCATTAATTGTTAAAGCCAGACATGGAGGATGTGATTATATATTTTCTTTATTAACTGGTTATCCAGAAGAACCACCAGCAGGTGTTGTATTACCAGAAGGTTCAAATTATAATCCATATTTCCCAGGTGGTGCAATTGCTATGGGTAGAGTATTATTTGATGATTTAGTTGAATATGAAGATGGTACTCCAGCTACTACTTCACAAATGGCTAAAGATGTAACTACTTTCTTGAATTGGGCTTCAGAACCAGAACATGATGAAAGAAAAAGATGGGGTTTAAAAGCTTTAATAGTATTATCTTCATTATATTTAATATCAATTTGGGTTAAAAGATTTAAATGGACTGCAGTTAAAAATAGAAAATTCAGATTTGATCCACCAAAAAACAATAAATAAATAAATAAATAATTAATTAATTAAATAATTAAATAATAATCATAATTTATTCTACACATTCATATATATATATATATACATATATTCAAAATAAAAAAATAAAAAACCGATTCTGTAAAACAGTGAAAGATTGTAGAGAGTTTTGAAATTGTAAGTTTTTACTCGTTTCAACACATCATAGATTCAAGCTAGGACAATTTTTTGTTGAAGTAGAGCTGAATAAAATTGTAAGAAAGTTTATTGTCAAATTGGGTGTGCCGAAAGTAATAATAAATTTCTAATAAATAAATGTCGCATCGCCAAACTGAGATCTTACATAAGACATTTAATCACTTTTGCTTTACTATTATTGTATTGCTAAATCTGAGAATAATTTGTATTAGGCTGCCTCGGAAAAAAATTTCACTTTGCAACTAGTTTGGTAGCATATGTCTCGTAAATATTATTTGAAATATTTTTTAACTTGGAACGGAAAAATTTATAAATTTTAAATTTTTAAATTTCTAATTAATAAAATAGAAAATTATTACAACAGGAAATTTATTGAAAAATTAAATTCACAATAACAATATTGGTTTGAAACCTACTACGACATAAATATCAGATCGGTAGAAAGCGCCGTAAGGTATTAAAAGTTTTAATTTTTTGAATTTCTTTTCTCCAAATACTACTACTACTCACCATCATTTTTCCATCTTATTGTTACCTTTAGATCGATAATCATAACTTGAAATCTACCAAATCAAGTACATCAAATTACAATAGATTTGCTTTTCATTTCATATAGTTGTTTCTATATATATAATCTTAACATTATTAATAAAGATTTTTTCATCAAATTAGACCCCACACAAACAACAGATACAAATGGTCAACAACATGACACCTAAAAAAAGTCAAGATAGGGCTGATGCGGCTATATTTGCCTCTGAAGTACCTAGTCTGTCTGCTTCAGTTACTTCTTCAAATTCATCAAAAGTTTTACTTTCAAATATTGACAATGACCCCGCTTTAGAAAGTTCATCAACATATATTTCAAATTCAGAATCACGACCTTCAAAAACAGTAATCGTTTTAACTTTAACATCATCTATATCTGGTTTCATGTTTGGTTATGATACTGGTTACATATCATCAGCATTAGTTCAAATTGGTACTGATTTATCAAATAAAATTTTAACAAATGGAGAAAAAGAATTCATTACTTCAGCAACTTCATTAGGTGCATTACTTGGAGCAATTATTGGTGGTATATTAGTGAATATAATAGGTAGAAAGAAAGTTTTACTAGGTTCAAATGTTATTTTTGTTGTTGGAACAATCATACAATTAGTTTCAAAAACAGTTTGGACAATGATTGTTGGTAGATTCATTTTAGGTTGGGGAGTTGGTATTGCATCCTTAATTGCTCCACTTATGTTATCAGAACTTGCACCATCTAAATATCGTGGTAGATTAATTGTTACTAATGTCATGTTTATTACTGGTGGTCAATTAATTGCTTACTTAATAAATTGGGGTTTAACTAGAGTAGCTCATGGTTGGAGAGTGTCAGTTGGTTTGTGCATGGTTCCACCTGTATTTCAATTTGTTTTATTTTGCTTTTTACCAGATACTCCTAGATTTTATGTTATGAATGGACAAATTGAAAAAGCTAAACTGGTGATTAGAAAAATGTATAATCATCCTTCAGATGCTTTTGTTGATGCTACTATTGAAGAAATGATCCTTTCTAATTCTACTGTACCTGGTCATAATCCTTTACAAAAGGCTTGGGAGTCAATAAAAGTTATTCATAGTACGCCTGGTAATTTTAGAGCTTTAATTCTTGCTTGTGGTTTACAAGGTATACAACAATTTACAGGTTTCAATTCTTTGATGTATTTCAGTGCTACTATTTTTGAAACAATTGGTTTTCGTAATCCCACTGCTGTTTCTATCATTATTTCAGCTACTAATTTTGTTTTCACAGCTATTGCGCTTTGTATAATTGACAAAGTAGGAAGAAGAAAAATTTTATTGGTTGGTATTCCTTGTATGTGTGGTTCATTGGTTATTTGTGCTATTGCTTTCCATTTCTTAAATGTCAATTTTTCAACTACTATTGAAATAGCATCAAGAGGTATAAATGGTTGGGGGATAGTCGTTATTATAGGAATGATATTGTATGTTGCTTCATATGCTATTGGTATTGGTAATTCTGCTTGGGTAGGTGTTGAGTTATTTTCTGATGTTAATGTACGTTCTATTGGAGCCATGTATGCAGCAGGAACTAATTGGGCAGGTTCATTAGTTATTGCATCAACATTTTTAACAATGTTGGAAAAAATTACACCAACTGGTACATTTTCATTCTTTGCAGGCTTATGTTTGATTTCATTCTTTTTTGTATACTTTTTACTTCCAGATGCTGCCGGTTTAGAATTAGAAGAAACTACAAACTTTTTAGCAAATGGTTTTAATGTTAAACAATCTATAGCTTTATCAAAGCAAAGAAAAAAACTATCAAAATTTGCAAAAGCAAACCCAGCATAAATTATTTATTTCACCAACAAGTGTATTATTTCAATTCAAATAGTTCATAATTTTTAATGAAAATTGTTAGGCATTTTACAAAGAATATAAAGTGTATAAAAAAAACAGAAACTCTATAAATTTATTTCGCGCATTTAGACAAAACGCACTCGAACTTAATTAATAAATAATTAAGATTATTATTATTACTGAAATTTGAAACAATTACAAAAGCGAGTACAACCATTATATTATTCAATACACCAAATGTTTCAATAAATCAAGATCAAATGTCCAACGATTTAGAAAATCACACGCCTATAGATGATGATTATTACAGCCACAACGGTTCAGATGAAGAGGAGGAAGAATATGTTAACTCAATACCTGAAATGGCAAAGTTGACAGATTATGAAATAATAAAAAAATTGGGTCAAGGTACTTTTGGTGTGGTTCAGAAAGCAAGAAAGAAAGATGATGGCCATGTTGTTGCAATAAAGCAACTATTGAATCACCTGGCAAAAGAGGGTTTTCCAATTACCGCATTGAGAGAAATAACTATATTAAAACAAATGGATCATCATAATATATTGAATATTGAAGAGTTAATTTTTGAAGAACCAGAGCATTCCAATCCTACTGAACTAATTACAACAAGAGGTTCATTTTATACTGTTTCACCGTATATGAGTAGTGATTTAGTTGGAATATTAGAAAATCCAAAAGTCACATTAAAACTTGAAGAAATAAAGTGTTTAATGAAGCAACTATTAGAGGGAATCCAATATATACATGAGCAAAATTATCTACATAGAGATATAAAAGCAGCAAATATATTGGTTGATCAAAATGGAGTTTTGAAAATTGCTGATTTTGGATTAGCTAGATTATATCATGGAGATTCTCCTAAATTAGGAATGGGGCCAGGTGGAGGAGAGAAAGCATATACAGCATTAGTAGTAACAAGATGGTACAGACCTCCTGAAATTCTTCTTGGAGAAAGAAAATATACAACAGCAGTGGATCTATGGGGAATTGGTTGTGTGTTTGCAGAATTATTCACTGGGAAACCAATTTTAGTTGGGAAAACTGATGCACACCAAGCACAAATAATTTTTGATCTAATTGGTTCTCCAACTACTCAATGGCCTGACGCTATCAAATTACCTAATAAAACTGATTACAATATCGGAATAACAGCAAAAAGGACCTTGGAACAAAAATTTGAGGATATAATGCCCAAGTCTGGGATCAAGTTATTGAGTGGCTTTCTTACTCTTGATCCTTATAAGAGATTCAACGCATTAGATGCATTACAACATGAGTTTTTCACTGAATCTCCACTACCTTTTTTACCTCAAGAAATGTCAAATTTTGGAGAGTGTCATGAAATTGATAAAGGAAAGTTCCAAAAACTTACAGAATCTAATAAGAATCAACAAAGGACTGAAACAAGAAATATTACTGAATACAATGGAAGATCCGAACCTGATGCTTATCGTTATGATGAACGTTATGCCAGAGAGGAAAGCAATTGGGAAGTAACAAATGAGGGTATTGACTCACCATATCATTATAGACCGTTGTCACAACAAAATCAAAACAGAATCAACAATAATAATAGTAACAATAACAACAATAATAACACCAACACCAACACCAATTATAGTCAATACACTGATGACGGCTATTATCAATCTAGAACCAATTATACAAATAAAAGTGGCAGGTCACAGTACGACGAAAGAGTAGAAGAAAATATAAATAACGGATATGGAGATTACGAAGAGTTTTATCATGAAAATCAAAGTTCAACAGAACCAAAACGATACAAATCAAGTGACACATACATACCTCGATCAAACTCAAATTTGACATCATTACAAGAAAGACGTAATTCACCAAGAACTAATACGCATAAGCATGCAAAACCTAAAACTCCCAATTATAATGAATCTTCATTATCAAATTTTTCTAATGATATAATTGCTACTAGAAGATCAAGGTTTTCTAATGATTTTGAAGAAGCTAGAGATGATACCGGTGAAGTTTATAATAAAGTAAATTTAAATTTAGCTCATTTACCTGCAAAACCCTCAATTCGTATATCTGATCTACATGGCAGAGTTGGGGATCCAAATGCACCAAAGAAACAAGCATCTGCGGATTCAACTAAAGAAAAGGTCAGCTTGAAACAAGAATCTGATGTGATACCTAATGAAACTAATGAGGAGCAAGAAAACCTCATTGCTGAATATGAAAATGAGAAAAACCATTCAACCAAATCAAACGAGACAGACATTTCAAAGATGACCTCGGTCGTAAGTTCTACTCTGAACGAATTAAATGAAGATAAGAGCAAGTTATTGGAAACAGATAATGATGATAGTAAACCACGACCACGACCAACAACATTAACACCAATTCCAATTGAGACAAAGGTAGTCCAAAACTCGGAAGAATTTAAGAAAGATGAAGAAATGGACACTGGTAATTCAGAAAATTTTAAACACAATTTAAATGATAAAGAACCACCTAAGCATGATCAAGATTCTAATTCAAAGATACTAAAACAATCTGAACAAGTTTCATCAACACCATCCCGAAAGAACATAGAAACAGATAGAGAATCACAAAAAGTGACGAATGCAGAAGTCAAGTCCGAAACTGAGAATGTCAAAACTAAATTAAATTTGAGAGGTGATGACAATAAAAAAAGAGTACAAATTAAGTCTAATCCAATTTCTGAAGGTACAAAACAAATTGAAAAGTTAACTTTACCGAAAAGAAACAAAAACGTTCCCTATGTTCATGGATTAAGTAATCATGAAAGAATCCTGTCATCCAAAAATGATAAAATTGTACCACAAATTATCGCTAAACCTTCAACCATCGAAAGTAGCTCCCGTCCAAATCTGCAAGATTCTTATTCAAAAAATACTGCTCGTCCTTCAACTCCACTTACAAATAAGCTTAAGTCAACTTCAACTCAACTGGTCAAAAGACCAGCAACTACAACTGCGACACAACTAGCAAAAAGACCAGCAAGTACACCAACTTCCAAAATTCAAAAAAAAAAAAGAAAATTCAATTATGAAAGTTTTTCTGATAGTGAACTTAGTGACATACCACCAGACGTAGAAGCGGACGACAATAGACATAGGGAGTTTCTTGGAGAAGCTGATCTTAGGTCAAGTTTGAAATTTATATTGCTGGAAAAAGTCTCGTACCGTAAGAGTAAAGAGATGAAAAAGTAGTTTATAGCATATCGTGTTTACAAGTTGTCAACTAATTTGGTTTTAGATAGTGCATTAAACTATTATTACATTCGATTTTGATCCATATCCATAATTGGCATCAATAATTTTGTATATTACTTTTTTTGTTTCAAATTTCGTGTTAAGTCCGTGATTTAGGCACACTTTTTAGAATTTTTTTGACTTAAATTTTTTTTTATTCTCTATTTATTTTTTTCCACTGATCTTTTAGATAACTTTAAATTTCTTTATCTTTTTCATCAGTCACAGTTAAGGTTTGGGGAAAATTCAATAAACTATAATTTTTTAATATTTGGTCTCAACAATTTTTTAGGCTGTACAAGCTAAACCGCTACTGATTTGCCATTAATTCACTAAATCATGACAACTTTAGATGATTACTTTTCCATCCAAACGTTTCTTATTGTTTTAAGGGAGACTTTAGAGTCAGCTATTATTATTAGTGTTTTATTATCATTTGTTCATCAAACTTTCAGTACTAAATCAGATGATCATAAAGAGCAAGTTGCAAGAGTTATACAGGAACAAACAAATGGTGAGTATTATGCTATTAGTCAGACTATATCAAATTCAGATTCGACAAGTATAGACACCAGATCAGACGATGAAAAATTGTGTAATTTTTTAAAATTACAAATTTGGTTTGGTGGATTAATGGGTATATTGGTTTGTTTGTTAATTGGGTCAGTTATATTAGCAGTATTTTATTTCATTGGTAGTGATTTATGGTCAGTCACAGAACACTATTGGGAAGGAACATTTTCAATTCTTGCAAGTATTATTATATCGGTTATGGGGATAAAAATTTTAAGAGTTAGTAAAATGCAAAATAAATGGAAATCAAAATTGGGAAAAATAATTAAACTGTCAAGGTACTTCAATACTATCGAACATGCAGATGAACAAGTGGTCATAAAAACTGATGGAAAATACACTAAGTTTGAGTTATGGGTCGAGAAATATAACATGGTAATATTACCATTTGTCACAACTTTAAGAGAAGGTTTGGAAGCTATTGTATTTATTGGTGGTATTGGTATCAATGAAAATACTTCAATATGGGCAATTATTAATTCAGCTATTTCCGCTATGATTATTGCTTCTTTGGTTGGTGTAGTTTTATATCGCTCTGGTAACACATTATCTTTACAGTGGTTCCTTATAATATCGACATGTTTTTTATATTTAGTTGCAGCAGGTTTATTTTCAAAAGGTATTTGGAATTTTGAGTTACAGCATTTTATAGATCAATGCGGGGGTCAAGACGTAAGTGAAACTGGTCATGGACCAGGTTCTTATGATATTGCAAAAAGCGTTTGGCATGTTAATTGTTGTAATGGAGAAATGCATGAAGACGGAGCTTTTTGGATGATTTTTACTGCAATATTTGGTTGGACTAATTCCGCTACTTATGGAAGTGTTATTGGTTATATTTTTTATTGGTTGGTGGTAATTGTTGCTTTTACATCATTGACTTTCGAAGAAAGAAAAGGTTATTTGCCATTTGTTCCTTTAAAATGGCAATTGAAGAGAATTCAAAAAAGACAAAACATGCAACAACGGATAACTGAAAGTCATCCAACCCCAATTTATTCAAGAGAAAGTGTCGATTCAGTAAATTCATCTACACCTTTGCAGTTATAGTAAAAGATTTATATATATATTGTTGAATTTTTGAGATATCAAATACTCTTGAAACTTTCCTTAGCGATATTTTTTTGAGTTTAGTGGGACTATATTAATTCCATCGAAGAGTTTATTTGAAGTGATTGCTTGTTTTCACTATCTTGGCGAATTATTATTTTAAAACTTTATTGGCTGCAGATACTGTCCATGTGTAAATATTACTTGACTACTTAATTATATAATTTGAGCATTATTCCGCGCACTTTTATCAATTTCATCATTTTGAACCTTGTACATGAAATCAATTACTAAAATTTTTAATTTTTAAAATTAATGCATGAAATCTAAATTAAAATTGTTTAAGTTTAAAAGTCACAAATTTTAATGCAGATGTAGTTTCAAATTACAGTGTTGAAATTTCAATATATCGTACATAATAAATCAATAAAAAAAAGCTAGAAAAAGATAGGCTTTTTAATATTCATTCAAGAGCAATAATTGCATTGGAAGCATAAAAGCCGTTGTTCAAAAATGTAGCAGTGATATTTTCTTCTATTAATAGTATAGGCATGACGCACTTTTATTGAAAATTCAGTCAAAATTATGTTTAGGTTTTTGAAAAATAATCATTTATTTGTACATGTGTAACCGCTTATTTCAGGCTGAACAGCGTTTGACTAAAATTATCCAATTCATAAATCTTTATTAGTTTTGAAATTAGATCTTTAAGATAACTTTATTTTGTGTCAAATTGTTTAATTAATTTATATTTTTAATCGGCAATTCGTGTGATTGGCTTATTCCTTTACACTACATGACTTTGACCAAATAAAGTGCGATATTAGTAGCTTATTTGATAATGACAAGATTACTTTTGCAGTGAATACCACATCTGTATTCGTTGACCTTCTGGAATAAAAAGGCTGGTGAGTATATGAGTTCAAAACTAATGGTCTGGGGCAATTAATTTAAATATTCGAGAACTGTCTATAAGTATTATACTGGGGGCTTAAAATAGAAGAAAGTCTAACTCCAGTTTTCTAGTTTTATTTTGCATTACATAAAATCCGTGATAAATTTTTCAATTAAACCAATGGTAATTTCCCTATTTATTTGAGTATTTTTTCATAGAAATAATCTTCACTGATTTTTACCTTGCGACCTAAAAGAGAAAATTTATGAAAATATGAAAAACATTCCTGCACTGCAAGTTAAATTGACAAAATATTATGTGAAATTTTTATTTACACTGTACAATATTGTTTTGTGCTTTAAAAACAACAATAGGATCAAATTTATCTGATTGGATTTGATTATTGTATATCTGTTTAATGAAAATGAACTTTATTGATCGAAGTTAGGATTCAATTAGTAAACATCCTTAAATAATCTTGAACTTGTACTGATAATTTGCTTATATGATTTCTTGTACCCCTTAATGAAATTAATGACTAGAAAATGTGTTGAGATTCAATTACGAAATTCTAGTTTCTTCGTAAAACAAGTTTTCTTAATTGAAATAAATTTTTATTTGCCAAGAATAACCTCTTGTTTTCTCCTTGTTTAACGAACTGACAAGTCTACTGAAAAAAATAGCTTCTGATATTCTATACAATTCTCTTACTAGACGAGGGGGTCGAAATACAAATAAATGGTAATTACAGGGCCATATGTGGAAAAAAAAAATTTGAAAACAAGTATATTATTTTTAAACCTCCTTAAAAATAATCGCCAATATTATTGCATTTTAACTTTAAACAAAAGCAAATTTAACTCTATCAACATCAAAAAATTTAAATAAAAATTACACTAAACTACATAAAGAGCTCTTTAATGTTTAATACAAGCAATTGTTTTTCAATTGATTGAATAGATAAAATTTTTTTTCATTGTTTTAATAATAAATTATTGTTTTCCTTGACTAATTTGTTTTCTTGGCTACCACATTTTGTAACATATTTTTTATTTTTGTTTCAAAATTTTTGAACTTTAATCAATACAGACTTGATCTAGATTTATTATTCGTCAATATAAATCTAAAGCCAATTCACAATTAACTCTGTTTGTATTTGCTTAAAATTTTATTGTACTTGTTGAAGTTTCTGGGATTTTATAGTAAGAAAGCTGTGTTACGTTCTATCTAATTCATTTTAGTATTGTTTTAGTAAACTGTCAACGTCAAACTTAATACTGTTTCAAAAAATGGCGTAAAGTGAGCTACAAGACACAATTGAGACATAAAACAGTTTCTAAACATAACTAAAGTAGTCTAGCTTAATGTAGCAATATTTGCCCACCAATCGACAAGCATAATGAATTAATAATATGCATAATTCAAATTGCATAAACAAAATAGCCACTTAACATAATTATTTTATTTTGTCTCTATTGTTTTTGCAGCAAAATATGGAATGATCAACATTGAATCACAAAACACCCACCGTTATTAATAGCACTCTATATTACCAAAATTAGCCAATTATTGGAAAAAGAGATCCAATAGAAAGGAGAACAATAAATCAGTTTAAAGTATATAAATATGCTGGAACACTTCTAGGTTGATCTTTTCAAACTTTTACCTCCAATTTGTTTTGCAACTTCAGATTTTTCATTTACTACAGTTTAATTATGTTCATCACAAAATTGGGAACCACTATTTATTCCGTTTTATATTTAGCTTCATTGGTCAATGCTGCACATGGAAGTACTGAGGGTCCCGCACCGTATGAGGACACATCAAATCTAAAATATTATTACGCTTGTAATGCTCAAGTAAGCGCCGAAGGTAAATATTGTTCACCAAAAGATAGGAGCTGTTTATGTTTCAATGATAATGCAATTGCAAGTATAGCAGGCTGTCTTTATGAAGTTGGAAAAACTGATCAAAAATATACAGAAGGTTTAGTAAATCAATGTCTGCGTTTCCCCAATTCAACCGTTACAAAAGATTGGTTTTCTAAGTACGTTTTAATTTATAAGGAAAAAGCCAAAGTTCCCGTTCGTGCTTCAAAGAATAGTACTTCAAGTAATCAAAGCTCAAATGAGCATGGTCAAGCATCAGTAAGCCGAAGTGCAGGAGGAGAAGGTTCCAGTCCAAGCTCAAGTGGCCATGCTTCAGGAGGTAAAAGTTCAGGTGGAAGAGGTTCAGGTGGTTCAGGAAGTGGGCCACAAAGAATCCTTTATGATTATCCAATTATTTTAAACAAGAGAAACCTTACCTTATATCAAGAGTCCTATGGAAGATTTTATGATAATTATAATGATTCACTTTATTATGGTGCTGGTATGTATGCTTATTGGCTATTGATTTTGTTATTAGGTGCTATTGCAAACTGGTCTAAAATATTATTTCCAAGCTTAACTAAAAAGATGACTGGTCCATTAATTAATTGGTGGAGAAAGAACATTTCAATGCCAGCTACATTCAAAAAAAAGAAGTCACAAGAACAAAATTTCTTGAAATTTTTTGGATTCTTAATTCCATCGAGATTTGAAACAGTTGTCATATTTTTATTTTATGTTGTAACAATTGTACTTCACGCCGTGAATTCAACTGCCATTAAAGAAGATGTATTTTTGAACTCAAAATATAAAGCTGAATTGAGATATGTCGCTGATAGAACTGGAATTACTGCTACTATGATGATGCCATTAATATTTTTATTTGCTGGTAGAAATAATTTCTTACAATGGTTAGTTCGTTGGAATTACAGTACATTTGTAGCTTATCATAGACATACTGCAAGAATCATGTTTGCTTTAGTTGTTATTCATGCTGTTAATTATACTGTTTTGTTCGTCAAAAATGAACGTTACACATCTACATTAACTAGAAGATATTTCTATTGGGGAATAATTGCCACTGTATGTGGCGGTGCTATAATGATTCAAGGAATGTTATATTTAAGAAGAAGATGGTATGAATTATTTTTACTATTCCACATTTTATTAGCAGTATTTTGGGTAATAGGATCCTGGTATCATGTTGTTGATTTTGGTTTCATATGGATGGTTTATCCAGCTATTGCAGTTTGGTGTTTTGATAGATTGGTAAGAATTGGTCGTTTGTTTGCGTTTGGTTTTCCACATGCTGATGTAACTTTATTATCTGATGAAACCTTGAAAGTTGTTGTACCAAAACCAAGTTATTGGCATTCAATTCCAGGTGGTCATGCATTTATTCATTTTTTGAAACCAACTTACTTTTATCAATCACATCCTTTTACATTTACTGATTCAGTTGAACAAGGTAGTTCTATTATCTTATATGCCAAAGTTAAAGGAGGTATTACTCATAGTTTGTACCAAACCTTAGCTAAACAGCCAGGTAGAACTTGCAAAATTAGAGTTAGTGTTGAAGGACCATATGGTGAATCGACAGCTGCAAAATACGCAGACACAGCTGTCTTTATTGCTGGTGGTAATGGTATTCCTGGTATATTTTCAGAAGCAGTTGATGTTGCTGTTAATAGTAAAGATGGTAAGAATGTTGTTAAACTTACTTGGGTTGTTAGAGAATGGAGATCTTTATATTGGTTTTATGAAGAATTGATCAATTTGAAAAACACTAAAATTGAAACTACAATATACGTCACTCAACCAAACAGTCATATTTTTATTGATGAATTTCACAATAGATATACTGGACTAGAAAGATTATCGCTAGACAAACCAAATGACTCAGATGGATTATCATTGGAGAAGGACGATTCAGTGAAAGAAAAAAATACTGTTGAAGTTGAAAATAGTTCATGTGATGAAAAATCAGCTTCTTTAAATGAAAAAGATGATGGTTGTACCATCATTAGTTCCATTAAAAAAGAATTATCTCATATAGATTTCAAGGAAGGAAGACCTGATATCGAATCAATAATACAAAATGATATTAAAGAATCAAATGGATCAATTGCATTTGTCACTTGTGGTCATCCAGTTATGGTTGATGATGTTCGTTATTACTGTGCTGAAAACATTTCTAATAGTGAAAGGAAAAGGGTTGATTTTTATGAACAAATTCAAGTTTGGGCATAAAATTCGGATAAAGTTTGTATTTAATTCATGTATACATATATATAGAGTACTCTTTAATGAATATAGTTTCATAGCTAATTTCGCTAACCGTGCAATTTTTTTTTCGATGTGGGTTTATAAATATAACATTTCATTAACTCCTGGCTTAATATGAAGTCTTTTTTTCATATTTAAAATTACAAACAAAACAAAGCATAACGATTAAAACCAATAATAAGGATCCAATTTTTCGATTACTAAATTCCTTTAAAATTGTTTAGTGAACCGTCAAGGTTATGATATTGAAGCTTCACTCCATTTTTATGATGTGAAAGATTAAACAATGGCCACTTCAAAATAAAGGTCGGAGAAATTATAAATGGTCTGTAGTTGAAAGTACCTGAACTATATTATCAGATAATTGTTCGTACTCGCTGCCTTTGTAGTCAGATCAACAAAGTGATTCGGGCTTAAGCCACATACTTTATTCAGATCATCATTGGCTATTGAAAAAAATTTGAGATGATGCCCACAAATAACCTCGTATTAATAAAAAACACATGCGTTATTTAGCTCAAAATTTTATTAAACAAAGTCGATTGATTAGATTGTAACTCAATAATTTTAAAAGTTTCGCTTTTTGTGTGACAATCTTTGTGTCTATAAAATAAATTTGTGTAATATGCAAAAAATAAGAGGACTAGCTTTCTTATCTAAAAGATCAATTTAAACGATTTGCATAAATTTAAAATTGAAAATTTTTCCAAAATTAGGAGTAATTAGATCTTTAATTTGCTCTAACTTGATTGGTTTTAATTGAATGCTCATCTAAATAATACAGAACACTAATCATTCTCAAAAAATTCAACCTAAACAATAAGGGAAGGCGGCCTCTTTATTTCCTGTTATTGCTATTAATTTTGAAGAATTACACACCTATGAGTGATTATTCGATAAAAAATGTTTCTGTCTTGGGTTTAGTATATTCATAGTTACAAACAGTTTGAGTTTAGGTTGGCTCATATAAAACTTTATCGTAAAAGAACCCTCCCAGAACAAGTTTTTATAAATGGCTTGAGAATAAACCTTTAAGGCGTGAAATCTTGGGAATGTCACGCAAACTAAAAGTGATCTCTAGCACAAAATTAAATGAAATTCTTTTCTCTCTATCCAGTAAGACACAGTTTTTATCCAGTAAGACACAATTAAAACTTCACTTATGTAAAGGTCACTATGACAATTTATGATAACTTAAGGAAATACATTAAATAAGGACTGACAAAACTCTCTCCAAAATACACTGCTTGATCACTGTTCTGTTTGAGAGAAATTACTACATCATCGAGCAAAATCTATAAACTTCAAGGTCTCTTTAAGATTCATCCTGGAATGTATAATAACCAGTAAATTGTAATCAATTACGAATTTAAATCTCGTAAAATGAAATGTTGCCAAGCCAGACAAGAAAAATAGTAAATGACTTTGATTTTGGTAACGAAACTGATAATATTAGACTTGTCTAATTGCCACTGAACCATTTTGATCAAACTTAATGAATATTGTTGTGCTTTGTGACGAAACAAAACAAGATTTGTGGTTTTTCCTGTAAGCACCGCTCAGTAGCTTAAGTGCCTTTTCAAATTAATGACAAATCTGTTTTTAGAAGAGTAAATTACAGCTATTTGATGCTGGACTTGAGAAGTTTTTGAGTTCAAATGAGTGTAAGCAGCAATATAGCAAAAGAACACAAATACAAGTCCCCTGCTTAATCCAAATATAAGTTATTCTTATAATTAATTGTTTTTATTTAATTTAGTGCAAAACTTTCTAATCTAACTTTTTTGCAATTCATGATATGTTTTGTCTTAGATGAAATAGATAAAGAAATATGGTGAAACTAAAAAAATTTTAATTTTTCATGTTACAGATTTTCTTGGCTACCAAATTTTGTGTTATAATTTAAGTGGCTTTCCATTTTTTATTTCATATACAGATTCTGTAAACATATGGTCAAAGAGATCTAGAGTAAATGCAATAATCTTACAATCGTGTTTAACTATACCACAATAATTTGCAGTCACAGCTCTACAAGTTTTAGATGAAGCAGGAGACTCTTCAAACCGCGAGCACATTTGTCGTAAATCGACCTAAATAATTTCTTAAAAATTTCTTGTTACATTAAGGGTGGTCAAATTAAAGTTTAGTACGAGTTTAAATTAACTTTGTATCAAATCTTTTTATTTTTTGAACATATGTTTAGCTGCAAAAAAATTTTCAATAGACTAAAATGTTAATAAGAATGTTGAATTCTGAAGTGTAACAACAGATAGCCAATAGCAAATTGAATTGATCTAATAACTAAATGATCATTTGAAATTTTAGTAAAATGTCTTATTCTTTCAAATTATATAAAGAAGTCATTATATCATAAAATTTTATGAATTTTGATCTACCTAAGACCTTAACCCGTCATTTTCAAGTATGATTTTTACCAAAGTTGGTTATGTTTTCTGTTCATTTTTGTACTTCTTGTCAATAGTATTTGCCCATGGAGATGGAGGTGGTAAACCTGAGCCATATGAAGATTTATCAAATGTGAAATATTTTTATGCATGTTTAGCACAAGTTATGGTTGAAGGTAAATTTTGTTCATCTAAAGATAAAGTATGTTTATGTACCAATGAAAATAATATTGCAAGTATAGCTGGGTGTTTTTATGAAATTGGTAAAACTAAGGAAAAATATACACATGGAGTCTTTGAACAATGTCTGCTTGTTAAAACTTCACCAGTTACAAAAGATTGGTTTTCCAAATATGTCCAAATTTACAAAGAGAAAGCTAGAGTACCTGTAGCCCCATCAGCTAATAGTAGTTCAAGTATGCAACAACATTCAAAACGTGATGGTGCTGCTGCCTCATCTGGTCAAACATATGTTGCGCCATATAATTACCCAATTATATTGAATAAAATTAATCTAGCATTGTATCAAGAATCATACGCAAGATTTTATGACAATTATAGTAATTCTTTATATTATGGTGCTGGTATGTATGGATATTGGTTGTTAATTTTATTACTTGGTGCTATTGCAAACTGGTTCAAAATCTTATTCCCAAGCTTAAATAAAAAGATGACTGGACCATTAATTAATTGCTGGAGAATACATATTTCGGTGCCAGCTACATTTGGAAAGAAAAGAGCACAAGAACAAAATTTTTTAAAATTTTTTGGGTTTTTGATTCCTTCCAGATTTGAATCAATAGTAATATTTTTATTTTATGTTATAACAATCATACTTCATGCTGTAAACTCAACCGCTATAGAGCATGAGATTTTGTTGCTGAAAAAGTACATAGCTACATTGAGATATGTTGCAGACAGAACTGGAATTACTGCTACTATGATGATGCCATTAATATTTTTATTTGCTAGTAGAAATAATTTCTTACAATGGTTAGTTGGTTGGAATTACAGTACATTTGTAGCTTATCATAGACATACTGCAAGAATCATGTTTGCTTTAGTTGTTATTCATGCAGTCATTTATACTATATTGTTCGTCATAAGAGAACGATATGCATCTTCATTAACTGAACCATATTTTTATTGGGGAATAATTGCAACTGTATGTGGCGGTGTTATAATGATTCAAGGAATGTTATATTTAAGAAGAAAATGGTATGAATTATTCTTACTATTTCACATTTTATTAGCAGTATTTTGGGTGATTGGAACTTGGTATCATGTTGTTAATTTTGGTTTCATATGGATGGTTTATCCAGCTATTGCAGTTTGGTTTTTTGATAGATTAGTAAGAATCGGTCGTTTGTTTGCGTTTGGTTTTCCATATGCTGATGTAACTTTATTATCAGATGAAACTTTAAAAGTTGTTGTACCAAAACCAAGTTATTGGCATTCAATTCCAGGTGGTCATGCATTTATTCATTTTTTGAAACCAACTTACTTTTATCAATCACATCCTTTTACATTTACTGATTCAGTTGAACAAGGTAGTTCTATTATCTTATACGCCAAAGTTAAAGGAGGTATTACTCATAGTTTGTACCAAACATTATCTAAACAACCAGGTAGAACTTGTAAAATAAGAGTTGGTGTTGAAGGACCATACGGTGAAGCAACAGCTGCAAAATATGCAGACACAGCTGTCTTCATTGCTGGTGGTAATGGTATTCCTGGTATATTTTCAGAAGCAGTTGATATTGCCGTAAATAGTAAAGATGGTAAAAATGTTGTTAAACTTATTTGGGTTGTCAGAGAATGGAGATCATTATATTGGTTCTATGAAGAGTTATTGAGCTTAAAGCAAACCAAAATTGAGACAACAGTATACTTAACACAACCAGATAATCATGTTTTCATTGAAGAATTTAATAGTAGATTTACAAATTCAGAAAAGCCATCTTTTGTTAAATCTGATTCATCAGATGGATTATCACTTGAGAAAGATGATTCAGTGAAAGAAATGACCAAAAGCGAAGTTGAAATTAGTTCATGTGAGGGAAAATCAAGCTCAATCAATTATGCAAATGATGCTGCAAGAATAGTTGAAGCAATAAGAAAAGAATTATCTCATGTTACATTCAATGAAGGAAGACCAAATATAGAAAGCATTATTGCAGCTGAAGTTAAAGAATCAAATGGATCAGTCGCGTTTGTCACTTGTGGACATCCAGTTATGGTTGATGAAGTTCGTTATTGTTGCACTAAAAACATCTCCAACAAGGAAAAGAAAAGGGTTGATTTTTATGAACAAATTCAAGTTTGGGCCTAAATCTCTAATCAACCACCGTATATATCGATATGGATAGACCGTTATAGCTATTAAATATTTTATATACTGAAGCTTTTTAGTGTAATAATCCAAAACCTTCCAATATTCTGATACAACGCCAAGACTAATGCAAGCTTTGTTTCAGGGGTAAATCAAGAAATTAAATTGTGAAACCAACTTTTACTTATCACGCTTGAGATCAATCTCTTCATTAATGATAGTAGATCTTGATTCAGGCTTAAAAGTTCAAAAGAGCCATGATATCGAACAAACAGATTCTTTTTGGCCATCTAAATATTTTAGTGGTTTTTTTTTAATTACATCGAAAAGATTAAGTATGAGAAAAAAGACTAATTTCTGACTCTGATTATGTTTGCAAACCATTGAACAATTAGATTTTTAAAATTCTTTGAAAAGGTTATGAGTACGGTCTTATGTTGAGGAAATAACTCGTAATGAAGGGATCAATTTCAGTAAGTACTTACGTACTTTACGTTGCTTAACACAATGAGATCGGCTTTTAACAAATGCCGAAGGTAAGTGTTCTTTCTTTTTTTACAATTGTTTAGAGTTCGCATTGGTTGTTGGTTTAAATTTTAGATTAAAGTTTACCTATGCACGTAGCCTCTTACTGAGGATTGTCAAAGGACCTGGATTACTTGATATCAAATTTAAAGCATTTGACTGAGGGATTTGCTATATAACTTTTTTCAGTTATTGCTTGATGTATTTGTGTTGATCATTGAGTGATTTAAAAATCACTGTTGAAAGCATTTCATATAGTTACAAGCCCTGATGCATTAATAGTAAATCATTCTGTATTTTTTATTGTCCCTCACGCATGTAATTAATATTCAAAAATATTTTATCTAAAAGATCACTTAAAACGTCTTGCATGAAAAAAAAAAAACGTAATTAATATTGACAATTTAAAGATGAATTAAATAAATTATGCATTGATTATTTCCTGATTGGTTTATTTTAAATTTCAAATCATTATTATAGTACAATAACTAGATGAATTTGTTTAATAAAGTTGCAATCCTCCAAATTATAAAGTTTGCATTAAAGGCGGTAAACTTAGTTCCTATTTTATTTTAAATATAGTTGATGGTAAAATTTAAACTTATTGCGGGATGCTAATAATTAATTGTTTCTACTTATTTCAATGTAATTCAGAATGTTGCAAAACATTTTCTGATATAAATATCAGTTTATTTCCCTTCTTTAATTTGGACCCAAAAATTTTATGAATCTGCTTCAAAGTTACAGGTTAACCCAAAAATTAGAATCAAAATAATGTTCAATAGCGTTAATTGTATTTGGTGTTTTGTGCTTTGTCTAGTTTTTAATGTTGTCAAGGTTGAAGCTGATACAAAGTATAACTCTGGATTAACGTCAAGATTTGTATATGCTTGTTTTTATCAAATGACTTCAGAAGTAACATTCTGTCCAGCAACTGATATAAGCTGTGCATGTACTAATAAAAATGCGCTTTCAACTATAGCTGGATGCTTGTATAGCATAGACAGAACTGAGATTAAATATACTGACTATCTTATTGAAAATTGTGGATACTATAATGTTACAGTGCATGAGGATTGGTATAAACAGTCAATTGGGCATTATTTATCAGATGCTAAATCAGCTAAGGAGATTGAAAATTTTAATAAATCTGTTCCAATTGACACACCTTTCATACTCAACAAAACAAATACTAAAAATTATCAAGATTCCTATACAAGATTTTACGAAAATTATGGTAATAGTATAAATTATGGTGCAGGAATATTAGGTTACTGGTTATTAGTGTTGTTATTGGGTGCTATTGCTAATTGGTCTAAGATATTGTTCCCAAATTTAACTAAGAAAATGACAAACCCAGTGATTAGTTGGTGGAGAGCTAACATTTCAATGCCCGCAACTTTCAATAATAAAAGAGCTCAAGAACAAACATTTTTAAAAATTTTTGGTTTTTTAATACCATCAAGGTTTGAAACTATTGTTATATTTTTGTCTTATTGTATTACTATTTTAGTATGTGCATTAAATATAAAAGGAGTTGAAGGTGATATTATTAATGAAACAAAATATATGTCAGAGATTAGATATGTTGCTGATAGGACTGGTATAGTTGCGACTTTAATGATGCCATTAATATTCTTATTTGCTGGTAGAAATAACTTTCTACAATGGGTAGTACGTTGGAATTATAGTACGTTCATGACATATCATAGACATACAGCTAGAATAATGTTTTCATTGGTTGTTGTTCATGCTGTTACATTCACTATCGTTTTCGTTCCTTATTGGGCTGAAACGATCAAAGAGCGTTATTTTTATTGGGGTATAATTGCAACTGTATGTGGTGGTGTAATAATGATGCAAGGAATGTTATACTTGAGAAGAAGATGGTATGAAATATTTTTGATTGTACATATTTTGTTAGCCGTGTTCTGGGTTATCGGAACTTGGTACCATGTTGTTGATCTTGGATTTATTTGGTTAGTTTATCCTTCAATTGCAGTTTGGTGTTTTGACAGGGTTGTTAGAATTGGTCGTTTGTTTGCATTTGGTTTTCCACATGCTGAAGTAACTTTATTATCTGATGAAACTTTAAAAGTTGTTGTACCAAAACCAAGTTATTGGCATTCAATTCCAGGTGGTCATGCATTTATCCATTTTTTAAAGCCAACCTATTTTTGGCAATCACATCCTTTTACATTTACTGATTCGGTTGAACAAGGTAGTTCTATTATTTTATACGCCAAAGTTAAAGGAGGTATTACTCATAGTTTGTATCAAACATTATCTAAACAACCAGGTAGATCTTGCAAGATAAGAGTTGGTGTTGAGGGACCATACGGTGAAGCAACAGCTGCAAAATATGCAGATACAGCTGTTTTTATTGCTGGTGGTAATGGTATTCCTGGTATATTCTCAGAAGCAGTTGATATTGCCGTAAATAGTAAAGATGGTAAAAATGTTGTTCAACTTATTTGGGTTGTTAGAGAATGGAGATCATTATATTGGTTCTATGAAGAGTTATTGAGCTTAAAGCATACCAAAATTGAAACAACTATTTATGTAACTCAACCAAATAGTCATATTTTTATTGACGAGTTTCATAATAGATTTAAAGGTTTAGAAAGATTATCATTAAATAAATCCGAAGATTCCGATGAATTATCATTCAATAAAGAAGAAACATTAAAAGACATTACTAAAATTGAACAAAATTCATATGATGAAAAAAATGATGAAAATCCAAAACAAATTATTGAAACTATAAAACAAGAATTATCACATATTACGTTTAAAGAAGGTAGACCAAATCTTGAATCATATATCCCTGAAAATATTCAAGAATCAAATGGTTCAATCGCATTTGTTGCATGTGGACATTCAGTAATGGTCGATCAAATCCGTTATCATTGTTGCAAAAATATCAATAATAAAGAAAGAAAAAGAGTTGATTTTTATGAACAAGTTCAAATTTGGGCTTAGTTTTTCAAATTATTTGAATTAGATGCTGGTTAATTTATTAGTCTTAGATATTAAGTAAGTAAATACTAACTAATGTAATTATCAATAAATATAGAAATTTTGATTTTGAAATCATATGATATTGTAATTCCTATTGAAATATATAAATATAACGCCGCAACTGTACTACATTAGGTAATTGTGTCTCACAATTTTACTTTTGTTTCAGTACTTTGAGATAAGACTTAACGGTAAAAAACATACAAAGAAAATAAATTTTGATTAAAAGATAATTATAATTATTTATTTCATAGAAATATTTAATCATTTCCAGTTATAATCATAATAAAAAGATATTCTTCCTATGTGAGACCTAGTTCAACTACAATTTGTCAAGCTTGTCGCTAATTATTATTTTGTGACAGACTATCTAATTTACTTATCTTTTTCTTTTCTTTATCTTATCTCTTTTTTTCTCTCTCTCTATTAATAACAATAAATATTAATAAATAATAATAATAAATATTTGAAATCCCTCTCTCTTTTATCACCCTTAATTCTATTATTATAATTATTAAGTTTTTAGTTTATTTATATAGATTTCTTTTAAAGTTAACAATTTGAAGAGACCAATTAATCATAACTTGTCCTTTTTCATTCAATTCAGCATTCAAATTTCATATTTTCTAAAGAGATTGTTATCATTATCATTCAATTAAGGGGGTTGTATCTATTCCGACCCCGCATATTTAACAAAACTATTAATATTATCAATAGTTTTTAAGTAAGGTTTTTATTTAACATTAACACGAGCTTAAAAGAAGTATCTTACTTTTCTTTCTATTCTTTCAAAATGATTTCAAGAAAGTTGGTATTTAAGCAAATTTTCAAGAATAAAATAAATATTAATCCACAATTAAGTATCCCAATTTTGAATAAATTTTATGAACCACAATTATTTTTACAACAGAATCAACAACTTAGATCTTTTGCAACTTTTAATAATGAATATGAAATCGATTACATATCATTAACTAAAAAGATTAAAAAACCAAGCTCCAAGAAGATATCTAATGCCTCACCAATTTTAAATCTTCAAGAACCAGATAATTTATGGTATCCATTTGAAAAATTATATACATTCAATGAAGAATTAACTGAACCATTATTAGACTATTATATTTGGGAAGGGAATTTAAAAGATGAAGAAGGTCATTTACAAGATTTAGCCTATGTTAAAGAATTTTATGAAGAATTGCTTGTTTTCCAACACTTTTTACAAGAAGCATTTGAATATCGAATTAAACAATTTTCAGATTTAAATAGTATGGAAATTATTAGTACTTTATTTATCTTTCAAGATAAATATAGTCGTGGTGAAGTTGCTGAAGTTACAGAATTAAATACATCAAGATTTGATGAAATGACCAAGAATTTTATTGGATTTGTTAACGAAGATCCATTATTCACCCAGAACTTATCAATTGATTTATTACCCCAAGTTCAAAAAAGTGAACAAGTATTGGAATTTTTGGAAAATGGGTTATTTTTTTATATTCCCGAATTGAAATCATTAGATCAAGAATTTAATTTCAAGAAATTTAGATCTAAAACTGATTTGTTACTTCAAATTGAAAAAATGTTAAAAAAATTTGACGAATATCTTCAATCAAATTCAAATGTTGATGAAATGTTTTTTAAAATTTCAATACAAGTTGCTCGTTACAAAAATTTGAAAAGTTTATTGGAAATTACAAGTACTCCCTTGAAATTAATAAAAAATATCATTACCAAAAATGATTTTTCATTAGCATTAGATTATAAAAGCTTTGAAGATTATCGTGATATGGAAATTTACTTCGATAAATTAGAACAACCTGTTTTAGTTTGGAATAAATTATATTTTGCAAATCAAATTCCAAAAACTAAAAATTATTTCAAATTAGCTCCATTATTATTTAATATTGCTCAAGTTGAAACAAACCCATATCATGAGGAAGCAAAATCATTATTTGATGATTTGACTACTGATCAATTAAAAGCAGGAAAATTATTACCTGCGTTAGTTTATGAAGATTTAGAGTTACAAAATTATAAATTCTCTTCCAATTTTGAAGATAATTTCACTTTGAATTTTTTGTTCAAAATTAACTATCCATTTGATAAGTTCCATAGTTTAAGTGATACAGAATGGGAATTTTATGATAAAACATTGAGTTCTTTTGAATTAAACGTTTTAAATAACTTGGAATTTGAAAAAATTAAAGAAATTCTTGAGCAACCAGAGGTAATCATCAAATACCTTGAATTAAAAGGTCATTCTTTAAGTAAATGCTTTCCACCTTATTCGGAGATAATAAATTATGTTAGGGAGTTAAAGAGTTTGAGAAGTGAACTTGGAGTGTACTTTGAAACTTTCGCTAGCGTTGGTGATCTTACTGACTTTATCTTGTTAAGAAAAGATTTACCTGACTCAAAATTAATTCAAGCGATTGAGGACTCATCAAAATATATTGGCAATAATCTAAGAGCTTTAGACGATCTTGTAGAAGATTATACACCAGATGGGTATTCTAAAGTTGGTGAAACTTCAGCTGAGTTAAGTTCGCAATATAAACAAATTCCAGACTGGTTGAGACTTGAAAATCATATAAACGAAATTAAATTTTTAAAACAACTAGTAGGTGGATTTGAGGATAAAGCAAAGGTCATGAGTAAAGTTGATGAAGTGTTGACTGATCTTTTGAGTGATGATACTGTGTATCCAGAAATTAATCATGGAAGTTTCATTAAGTTAAGTGGAAAATTAAGAGAGTTTAGTTACAACAACTCTACTAACTGTTTAGAGATCCTAAATGCAGTTGTTTTAAATAATGATGTTTTTGCACAATTCGAAAAATCATTTAGTCAAAAACCAACCACAATTGAACCAGCAACTTCATATGTTCAAATTCCAGATGACTTACAATTATCTAACTTTACCAAAGAATTACTGAAATTAAAAGAATCATTAGGTGGTGTGCCATTTGAAAACCATGATAGTAAGAAAATTATTAATACTTTGGATTACCAAATAGATCAATATTTTGCAGAACAAGGTAATGATGCCCATTTAATAGCATCTAACAATTCAGAAGTTTTTCAATATATCAGATTGAAAAGAAGATTAGCAAGATTGTTTGATTTAAATGGTAATCATACTGTTGCATTAGATGTATTGTTAAATTCGCAGTCAGTTTTTGAAAATTTCGAAAAAAATAAAGACATGGTAAGATCATCTATAGAGTATAAACAAATACCAAATGACTTCCATTTAGAAGAATATATTGTTGAATTGGAACAATTGAAAAATGCTTTAAATATTGATAAATTTGAAGATGTTTATGCTTCAGAAATTTTAGAAAAAGTTAAGGAATTATCAAATGCAAATTATGCCACAATGGAAAAGAAGATTATTTGGAATAAACTTTATAAGAACTTATGTATGTTGTTCAGACACAATAATGATTCTACATTTGCTTTAGACAATGTTGTTACAAGTGCCAAAGAATTCGGAAAATTCCAAAATTTGGTCAAGTCTGGTGAAGTTAATGTGATTGAAAAACAACTAGAATTTTTAAAAGCTAATGAATATGAAATATTGGGCAAGTTTTTATTAGATTCAAAATTACTATTCAAACCAGATATTTATTCCATCTCGAAAGAAGAATTTGAAAATATAGTTGATGAAAATATCTCAAATTTGGATATTTCTTCACCACAATATTTATTCCGCAAAGCAGTTCTTAATCAATTAAAAAATTATAACTCAGAAATTGATAACTATCCAACATTTATTGTTTGTCTTTATGGTATGAATAAAAATTCTCGAGGACCAATGACTTCACAAGCAATTCAAGAATTTTATAATGATTTGAAAAAATCACTTGATGACAAAGCAAAAGATTCAATTACTCATAATTCTACACCAATCTCAAATAAGTTTGATATTGAACAATTTAAACCATCAGTTTCTTCAAATGTAAATGAAAAATATCATGATTCCGAAAAATATTTATCAGATTTGAACAAAAAGCAAGAAGATGTTTCCAATTTTGAAGAATTTGAAAATCACTTTATACCTCCTCAACCAGAACCAGTCAAGACAATACAACCAAAGGTTATTTGCACAAAAAAAGAACATCAAGAACCATTACGTCATGTTAAAGTACAAGAGAAACCTAAGTCAAAGAATCCAATAGATACTACCACACCATTGACTGCAAACACTACTACTTCACAGTTAAAAAAAGAAGAAATTGGATGGAAAGAACCATATGAAGATTTACCAGGTTATAAAACGTCATATATGTTATTAACATTAGATGGAGATTCAATTCCAATTTCGAAATCTTTATTAGGAAATATTAAATTAGATGAAGATATATTCCAAATTTTAAATAATTTCGATAAACAAGAGCTTTTATTAATTAATGAAAAATTAAACATTTTACAATTCAAAAATTGGAAAATTATTGGGTATAAAATTATGGATGGTAGAAAATATCTTATATTAGGAAAAGATGTTACTGGTAATAAGAAATTTAATAGACTTAAAGATATTTTCTCGGTTATTGGTTTGATTTTGGTAAGTTTAATTGGTTTGAATATTTATTGGGAAGAACCAATAGAATATAAAGAAAATCAACAACAAGAAAAACATCAAGATGAACCATTAAGAGTTGTTGATAACACAATAATCCCAAATGTTGAAGAATTTAAAAATATAAATCATGATGATCATTACATAAAGCAAGATCAATTAAATAATATTAAAAATGAATTTTTGAAAGATAAAATATCAAAAGAAAACGATAATATGATTAAACAAGATACCAAATCTAGTTGGAGAAAATTCTTATGGGCTTGATATAATCCAGAAAGTAAGTTCAAATAGTTGATATGTATAGCTTCGAAATAATGAATTTGTGTTTAAGTATATACAATTTTTTTGCGAAATTCGCTTTGTTGTTTCCAGTTTTTTTGAGGAATTTTTAAACAGAATCAAGCTTATTTACACTTAATTTTGCATTTACGAAATATGGGGAAAGATGATCAGGCATACTTATCTTATCTATATAGTTTATGTAAATCTAAAAGATATAAATACCGAATCTGTATAAGGAGTTTCATTTTTTCAAATATCTCTAACCCATAATCAAAAATGAAATTGTTACAAGTAGTTAATCAAATACAGAGAAACCAAGTACCAAAAAGTATACCAGTAATAACCAACCTCACATTAAGAACAATTCAATCAAGATTTTTCGCAACCCAAGCAGAAATGAAATTATTTAATCAATTAAATTTAACAAAAGTAGAAAAAGATATGCAAATGTTTACAACAAAAAAAATTATAGATGATGATGTATATAATGTATTTGAAAAAAACGGATTAACAAATTCACCAGAATCTATATATTGGACAGGTGAAGAATTAAATTATAATGATTTATCAAATAAAGTAAAATTTGATTTTTTTGTAAGAGACCTAAAAACTGTTAAAAAATATTTTGAAAATAAACCTTTTAATGTTATATCAACTGGTTGTTTGATTGATAAATTAATTGATGTTGTTGAATCAAATTTAGATGATGGTAAATTACAAACAATTTACAAAAAAGATTTTGATATATATCCATTTATTAGATTGATTAATACTTTACCTGATGTTTGGGATTTACATTGTAAAACAAATTCAATGTTGGATGAATGGTGTAAGTTAGTACCTAATATTGATCCTTTGGAAATGAAGTTTAAAACTGATAAAGTTGGGAATGTTGCTTATAAGGAGAAGTTCTTTTATAAGCGTCCTCAAGAAAAAGCTGAAGCTTGAGTTTTGGTACCTAGTGATTAATGTGTTTATTTGAGTAATTTTTAATTGAAATTTGTATTTAAATAATCGTCTATTCCATTTCTACTTCTTTTGTAGGAAATTCTTTCATTGATTTCGTAATATGTATGAATTTGAAGCCTGTAGTTGCACCAGTAGTTCCATTCCAACTTCTTAATCTAGTTACTGTTTCTGCATCACCCAAATCAGGTACTTTATAACCTGTTTCAAATAAATGTTCTGCATGCTTTAATTTTTCAGTTAATAATTTTTGTTTTGTTGATATTGGTCTTCCTTTTCTATGATTTTTTGATTCTTCAGCTAGTTTTTCTCGATCTATATTTATGAAATCTTCAATAAAATTTTTGATTTCATCAAGACTATATGTTTCATTATCATCATTCTGTATTTGATTTTGTATAAAAGTAACAATTAGTAACTCATTTGATTTTTTTTCTATTGATTCTAATTTTTGTTTTTTTAATTTCTTATCTCGAACGGTTGCTCTATTTAATTGCTTAAATTTACGACCTTTTATATGTATTGATCCTGTTGATTTTGATAAATTCTTAGTAACTTTATTTAAATTGTGAGCTAATGGCATTTCTGATGTTGTGATTTTTTTGTTGTAAATTGGGCTCGATCAAATGAATAAATTATGTTTCAAATGAGAAGAGATATGTTTAGAAGTTTTGATTTTGTGCGACAAATATATTTTAAATTTACGAATTGAGTTTATTCAACCCAAAGAAAATTTACAGAAACATTTTTTATGATTATTATTATTAAGTTTTATTTTTTTTAATTAACCTATTTACCTAATTAGTTTATAGACAATCTGCTTATTTAAATCCTGTAGTATCTAATTTAATTCTAACCGCTTTAGTTTGAGTATATTCATGATAAACTTCTTCACCCATTTCTCTACCAATACCTGAAGAATGGAAACCACCAAATGGAACCATTGGATGGAAATCATTATAAGTATTAACCCAAATAGTACCTGCATTAATTCTATTTGCAACACCAATACATTTATTAATATCAGTTGAATGGATACCTGCAGCTAAACCATATTCAGTACTATTTGCAATTTCAATAGCCTCATCAACAGTATCAAATTTAATTAATGTAACAACTGGTCCAAAAATTTCTTCTTTTGCAATCTTCATGTGACCTTTAACATCACCGAAAACAGTTGGTTGAACGAAATAACCTTTACCTTCACTTCTTTTACCACCAGTTATAACTTTAGCACCTTGTTCTTTACCTGATTCAATATATTGTAAAATTTTAGACATTTGAACTTCTGAAACTTGTGCACCCATAAAAGTTTCTGGATTAAATGGATCACCAACTTTAATATCTTCAACTGCTTTTTTCAAAGTTTCAACAACTTTATCATATATTCCAGATTGAATTAATACTCTTGAACCCGCACAACAAACTTCACCAGAATTATAGAAAATACCAGCAATAATATGTTGAACAGCTGCATCAATTTTAGCATCATCAAAAACAATATTTGGTGATTTACCACCTAATTCCAAAGTAACTTTTTTCAAATTTGAATCAGCAGCAGCTTTCATAATAGTTTTACCAACTAATGTTGAACCAGTAAATGCAACTTTATCTAATTTCATATGTGCTGAAATTGCTGCACCTGCAATTTTACCAAAACCTGAAACAACATTAACAACACCCTTTGGCATACCAGCTTCAACTAATAATTTAGCCATATATAAAGCTGATAATGGAGTTTGTTCAGCAGATTTTAAAACTGAAGTAGAACCAGTTGCTAAAACTGGACCTAATTTCCATGATAACATTAAAATTGGGAAATTCCATGGAATAATTTGACCACAAACAACTGGAACTCTTTGAGTATAATTAAAATGTGAACCACCAGTATTTATAACATTACCAGTAATTTTATCACACCAACCAGCACATGATCTAAAATAAGCAGCAGTTAAAGCAATATCACCTTTTGAATTTTGTAAAGATTTACCATTATCAAAAGTTTCAATACTTGCTAATAAATCAGCATTTTCATCAACTAAATCAGCCAATTTTAATAAAACTTTTTGTCTTGTTTCTGGTGCACTTATTGACCAAGATTTATAAGCTTCAATAGCTGCATCAACAGCAATATCAATATCTTCTCCTTTAGCTTCATAAACAGAAGTTATAACTTCTTCAGTAGATGGTGATACAACTTCAAATGTTTTTTTATCTTTTGGATAAACAAATTCATTATTTATAAATAAACCAGTTGGTTGAGTATATGATTTACCATTTGGTATATCAACTTTAACTTCTAAAGGTAAATCTCCCATTATAAATTATTATTTATTGTTGTATTGTATCGTATTAATTAATTAATTGAATTGAAATGAATAAATAAATTGGTTGTAAAAAAAATGGTATATATACTACAAAATAGTTATGGAAATATTAATTAATATTTATATAAATTATAAGTTACTAAATCAACTCAACATTTTTATTTATTTATTAATTTTTATTCGTAGAAGTGAAAAATTTATTATTATTATATTTATTATTTATTATTATTTACTAAGTAAAAAAATTAAACTTTTGTGGGGATCAAAAAGAGAAGATCAATTTTTTTTTTCTTTTATTTATGATAGACTAATAAAAAATTGCATAGTTTTATCAAAATTTTTTCATGACATGTCTTTTATTAGAATAATAAGGGAGGTTTATTTAGCTTCAATTGTAGAACGTTTGAATGTTACTTAACAATTGATTAAATACTTGAAGAGTATAATAAAAAGGGGGGGTGATTGATTATAATTTATTATTATAATCTTGATTTCAAATATTACATGTCTTGTAAACTTTTTTGTGCTATTATTATAGTAGTTATTCCCTAATAATTGCTATAATTAAAAAATGATATCATTACAAAAAAATTTTATTGATTTTAAATATATTTATGTTTCATATTTTACATGTCTTTATTTGTTGTCAAATTAATCTCCTACTTGATTTGATCTTTAAGCTCTAGGTCTTAAAATTATTGCAATTAACTTTGATTGTTATTCTTGAAGGGTTTCACTATAAAATTTTCTACAATAAAAAAATTATAATTAAAAGAATCTTCTTGGTAAATGTAAATTATTTCCTGATTCAGATCATTTTTCCGCTCGGACTTTTTTTCTTTTGTTATTTTTAGTTAATGCTAAATCAAGTGCGATAAATAATTGAAATTTTAATCTTGGGCCGACTACAACCGTTTTAGTTTCATTATAGGTAAAGTAATTCAAATTTGAAAAATTGCGGGGAATATAGAAATATAATTATCATGCATTATTCAGGTTTATACTACTATGTAACAAATCTTTAATTGACTATTAATAAATCAGTTTAATTTATCCTTTTCAATATTATTAAATTGTTTTTTAATTGTTGTATAATATTTTTCAAATGATTCAATATTTAAATTTAAATTTTTTGATAATTTATTAAATAAAAATATTTCTAATTCTTTAATGTTTATATTTGGACCCTTTAAATTTGACTTTTGATTTTTTAATTGATCTTTATATTCTATTATTTGTTTTAATGTATTATATTTTGTTGTCATTAATTCATTAGTATTGTCATTAATTAAGTCATTATCATCATTACTGTCATTATTATTATTTGTTTTGATTTTATCATCAATTGTGAAAATTTGAAATAATCTTTTCTCCATAATAGATAACTCCTCTTCTTCTTCATCATCATCTTCATTTTTATTGTCATTCCTCCTGTATTTTTGAGGCATTATATGATTATATATCCAATCACAATATCTTTCTGTTTTCTCTTGTGACCAATTTAATAATATTTCATCATTAAGATTATTATTGTATTCGTATTCTGTATCATATTTTTTTACGTATTCTAACCAATTATTCAAATAATCATACTCTCCATACTCAAAATATAATTTTATAATGTAAATCATCATCAGTGTTAAATAAACTTCGGGAAATATTTCAGTTAACTTTTTCTCTGTTTTAATTTGAGACGGTATTTCAAAATCAGATTTTCCAAACAATTTTAAAAATTTAAATATCATCATAAATAAATCAGGCGTATTCGGTAGTAGTAAGCTTGAAAAAGTGTTATATATATATGAAAAATAATAAGTTGTCGGGATTTTTAAGTCATTCTCAAGTATTTTTGAATTTAAATGAAATATTCTTCTGTAAATTAACCCGCTAGTTGGTTTTGAATGAGCTTGTAATCTTTCATAATAGGTACCATGTAATTGATTCAATTCATCAGATGGTAGTAAATGAAAAGTTTTGAAATATGGTATTTTATCTTCTGACAAACATTCCATTAAATCACTAATATATAAAGGATATGATCTTAATTGTAAACTCGATATATAAATGATACAAATTAAATCAAATATATCAATTGACTTTTTCTCGTTATTTGATTTATTCCTAATGTCATCGTATTGTTCATAATAATAATTCAAGACTTTACACCAATTAGTTTTAACAATTAACGTTAATTCATTCTTAACTCCATCACTGAAATAAATTTTTATTATTGAATTTAATTGATGTTTTAGTAAAATTTGTAAACACTTGAAATATATAGGCATAGCTTCGTTTCCAACTAATTTTTCTTTAACAATTTTACTAGCAACTCTTTGGCTAGATTGACTTTCAAAATTTCCCCTTTCATCAACTGCAACAACATTTAATCTTCTTGTTTGAACTGATACTGTCTCTTGATCATCATTAAATTCTATTGCTCCTTCCAATACATGTCCATATTGACATATAGTTAGACCATCTTGTGATCTATATAGTCGTGATTTACAATTATCCGTACCACATACTGGTCCTTTAAACCATGAATGTTTTGCCATATAGTAAAATAAAATTGGTTGTAAAATTTTACAATGTTTACTTTTTTATATCTTTAATCTGAAAAAAAAAAAAAAGGTCAATTTGACATTTAGGGGGTAGAACGAGTTTTTACAGAAATTTAAGAGGTTATATAATATTATATTCTAATTTTAGTTCAACATTTAATTTAACTGTTGCTAAGCTTAACTCCCTACAAATATTTGAATGATTCTTCTAAGCTATTGTATAGTTTAATTCTATAAACTTCAATATATCTAGTTTTAAGATGTGCTATTTTTTAATGATTAAGCATTGGTTTATTATCTTTTAAAATATGACCAGCATTTAATTGTTCATCTAAGTCATCTTTTGGATCTATCTTGAAAATCTTGTCAGGATTAAGAATTCTTCTTGGATCTAATGCTAATTTTAATTGTCTCATTGTATCAATTGCAGGTTCACCTAATTCTTCATCAAGATATTTTCTTTTACCTAATCCAACCCCATGTTCACCAGTACATGTACCTTCAAACTTCAAAGCTTTTCCGACCATCCTATCAACTGCTTTATGAACTTTATCATAATCAGGTGAATTATAAAGTATAATAAAATGACAATTTCCATCACCTACATGACTTAAAATTGAAAATTTACCACCAAATCCTGAATTAATTAAATCATCATTAACTTCTGCTATAGCTTCACTAACTTTTGATATTGGAACAGCTATATCTGTTGTCCAAACTTGTACATCTTTTGGATCTTTTAAACATTTTTCTCCATATTGGAAAGTTGACCATAACCCACTTCTTCTCGCAGCCCAAAGTTCTTCATTTTGATCTTGATTTGAACTTCTCACAATTTTAATAGCCTCGTTCTTATTTGCAATCTCACTGATCACCTTATTTTGTTCATCAATAGCTTTCGTTGTTGGACCACCTAATTTGAAAAATAATGTTGGTTTTTCTAACTTTTTTTCATCATCATCTGAAGCTTCATTGACAAATGACATCATTGTGTCATTGACCAACTCCATAGCATTGGGCTGTATACCTTGTGATATAATAGTTTGAGCAGTGGCTGCAGCATCTTTTATCGTTGGAAATGCAATTGTAGTAATATACTCTAATTTTGGTTTAACATGCAATTTGACTGTTGCCTCAGTAATAATACCCAACGTACCTTCACTACCTACAAACAATCTGGTTAAATCATATCCTGCAGATGTCTTTCTCGGTCTTCGTCTTGTTTTTATAATTGTTCCATCTGCTAGAACAATTGTCAAATTCACAATATTTTCTTTCATAGTACCATACCTAAACGCTTGTGTACCCGAGCAACTGTTGGCAATGCAACCAGAAATTCCTGCCCCAAGTCCAGGATCCGGTCCAAATAAAAGGTTTTTGCCCTTCTCGTGGTCTTGAAGAAAGTCATTTAATTCATTCCACGTCAAACCTGGCTGAACAACAATATCCAAATCTTCTGGATGAAATTCCAATACTTTATCCATATCAGAAAATGATAATGAGATACTGTAAGGACCTCTTGTATTAATGATTTGACCTTCTAATGAAGTTAGTCCAGAACTTGCAACAACAGGAATTCTAAATTGATGAGCAATTTTCATAATTTTCGAAACTTCTTCAGTTGAGTGAGGTGTTATGACAACATTAGGTCTTTGTTCATCTGGCTTAGGAGGATGATGAGTTGAAAAATAGGAGTCGTTGTGTGAATCAAGAGATTCTTTGTCAAAATTTGCATTTTTTTCACCAACAATTTCAATTATTTGTTTCAACCCTTCTTTAAATTCTTCTTCATTTGCATATACTGGAGAGTCTAATGTTGATAATTGAGCCGTTGAAAAATCTGACTTTTGTGGCGCTTTGGTTGAGTTGGAATTTGTAGCGGTTGTATTTGTTGACGATGATTTATTTAATGATTTCCCAATTAAAAACCCAGCGCTCAACGCACCAAAACTTAGTAAGGTGTAGTTTATAGCTTTAGATTGTGTAGATTTTGTAGTTGTTGAACTATTAAATCTAACTTGAGATCTTGCTAGATTTATGAACTTTTTTTTACCTATTGAAAACATAATTGTTTTTAGTTGATTTTGGACTAAAATATTTTTGAAAATTTTTAGTTAAAAATTGTTGAAAATACTATACAAGCATTGATTATGAATCAAGGTGGGGGATCTGTTTTCCAATGTTAAACTGAGTTGCTAAGAATATCTTGCTATTATAATTTATTATTATTTAATATCTACGAATTGAAAAATTCAATTTTGTGACTTTGTTTTGAGATCGGAAAAAATATGTTAGATTTTAAAATTTTGATTCCGCGCTTAAGTCTATAAAAGGTAATTATTCCATATTGTTAAAGTATTCTTTTGTATAACATCCAAACAACAATAGAATTGAAAGACTATTACGAAATTTGCAAATTGATTATAACCAACTCAACTGTGGTTCAAGTAATTTCACTTAGCACGGCATAACTTGATTACTAATGTTTCACTAGTCAAGACTTTTATAAAACGAGCTTTTCACTGAGATTATTTCTCATCTATAGCTTTCCCAAATTTCTGTTTTTCTCACCAAATAATTTTCAAGCTCTTTTGTTTTAGTTCAATTTTGTTGCAAAATTTTTTATAAATTCGAATAATTATTAAATATAGAGTCGTACAAATAAACAATTTCTCTATAATCTTTTCATAACAATCTATTAAATATACATATGCGATATTAATTATACAAGAACTAATTAGTATCTTGTATTATTGATCTCATACCAACGGAACCAGTTAATCTTGAAGGTTGAGTACTTTCAATTGGATAATTAACTGATTTTTCACCATTAGCAATTTTCGAATCTTTATTTGAACTACCATACCCACCACCACCTGGAGTATTAATAACAATTCTATCTCCCTTTTTAACTTTAACGGTACATTTACCACCTATAGATTTTCTCTTCAATTCATTACTATCATCATTATGATCTTTATAATACCAATAATTAATTCCTCTTTTACCTTCTGAGCCACCTAATAATCCATATGGTGCTAAACTTCTTCTTTCCATAAGACATGAAACTTCTAAAGGATACAAGAATTCAATATCTCTAATTACACCATCACCACCAGTATGTAAACCAATACCACCTGAATTTTTACGAACTGAATATTCATGTAGTAAAACTGGATATCTTTTTTCAAATATTTCAGTATCTGTCATTCTTGTATTTGTTGTATGACATTGAACAACTGATTGACCATCCCAAGTTGGTCCAGCACCTGATCCACCACAAATTGTTTCATAATAACCAAATGATATTCCATTTTCTTTATCACTTGCTCCAAATGTTAAATTATTACATGTACCTTGTGAACCAGCAGCTGCTTCAAATGTTTTCAACATAACATCAACTATTCTTTGAGTTGTTTCAACGTTACCACCAACAACTGCTGCATCATAAGATGGTGCAACTAATGAACCTTGTCTTGTCTTAAATTCAATAGGTCTTAAACATCCATTATTTAAAGGAATATCAGTACTTATCAAACATCTTAAAACATATAGTACAGCTGAATATAAAATAGCAGTTGGAGCATTTAAATTTCCATAAATTTCATCACCCGTTTCACTAAAATCAAATAATGCTGAGCCAGTTTCTGGATTTATTGTAACTGTTAATGCTATAGCCGTACCATCATCAATATAATCTATACCTTTTAATTCTTTTGAACCAAATTTTTGATAAGCTAATTTCAATAAGTTTCTAACTGCTACTTCTGCAGTAGATTGAATACCTCCCATATAAAGGTTTATAACCTCATAACTGAACTCGTCAATTAATTTTTGTAATAATACAATACCTTTATAGTTTGCTGATACTTGAGCTTTTAAATCGGAAATATTATCACTTAATGTTCTTGTACCAGAACCCCCTGGATGTCTCGCTGGCTCATCAACTAATATTTTGGTAATACCTTCTTCGTCAAATTTACCTTCAGAACATAATTTATGAGTTATAATAGCAGCACCTTCATCGTAAATAGTTTTTGAATTAGGTGGCATAGAACCAGCAGCAATAGAACCAATATCAGCATGATGACCTCTAGAAGCAGTCCAAAAAATTGGTTCATTTTGGTCGTTCAAAACTGGAGTAATAACCGTGATATCAGGTAAATGTGATCCACCAGCTTTTGGATGATTTGAAACCAATACATCACCGGGTTTTAATTTTCCTTTCCACAATTCTAATTGAGCTTTCACGGCATATGACATTGAACCTAAGTGAATAGGAATATGAGGAGCATTAGCAATTAAATCACCATTATGATCGAAAACAGCACATGAAAAATCTAATCTTTCTTTTATATTCGTTGATATAGCTGTTTGTTGTAACGTTCTCCCCATTTGTTCAGCAACTGACATAAATCTATGACCGAAAACAGATAATTGAATTGGATCAACTGTTGTTTTGGAAAGTTGTGGTTTTTCTTCCTGTTCAACATCTATTAAAACGTGACTTGATAGTATGGCAGCTTTTGATCTTGGTTCAATTATGATTGTTTGTGTATCATCAATAATTATAGAAGGACCAGATACAATAGTACCTTTATCTAAGTCTGATAATATGTAAATTGAAGTTTCTAACCATCCAAAAGAATCAAAATAGACTTTTTGTGTTATTGTTGCTGGTGGAGCTTCACTGGTGGTTTTCAAATCCTCAAACTCTTGGTAAGGATTATGCTTTTCCTTGTCGTCTGATTCAACAACTAACAAAACTTGAACATCATCCACTAAAACTTTTCTATCTAAATTAAACCCAAATTCTGATTTATGTCTAGCTATGAATTTTTCATCACCATTATTCTCACCAAGTATAACTGGAATCAATAAATGAGTATCACTACCAACATATCTCATATTTAAATAAATTTCTCTTCTAGTTTTAAATTGTGTTAATTTTTGATCTTCATAATCTTTTTCGGCATCTACTAGTAATTGTTTTATCTTATCATCAATTGCTTTAAAAGTCAGTTCATCATAAGTCAAGGAAGCTGGAGATTGTTTTTCAATAACTATATCAGCCAACTGAATACCATATGCTGATAATAGTGAAGAATATTTATGAACTGCTACTTTTGTAATTCCTAGATTTTTAGCTAATGATACAGAAAATTGACCACCAGAACCTCCAAAGCATGCTAAATTGTGTAAAGCAGTTTCATGACCTTTAGCTTCTGTTAAATTTCTAATTGGTCTTGCCATCGATTCAACTGCAACTTTTAAAAATCCACTAGCAACTTCCTCAGGACTCAAAACAATAGCTTTTGATGCTTGATCTTTATTAATTTCCTTAGTAAGAGCTTCAAATTTTTCTTTGACAATATCACAATCTAAAGATTGATCTTGATTTGGACCAAAAATTTTTGGAAATTTTTCAGGTACTAATCTCCCCAAAAATAAATTTGCATCAGTAACAGTTAATGGACCACCTTTTCTATAACAAGCTGGACCAGGATCAGATCCAGCAGATTCTGGACCAGTTACAAACATATCATTCTTCCAAAATAACATAGAACCACCACCTGCTGCAACAGTTGATATATCTAATTGAGGAGTTTGTAAGTTAACTTCGCTTACAACTGTTTCATAAATGTGTTCTAATGTACCTGCATATCTTGAAACATCAGTTGATGTACCACCAGCATCAAATCCAATAGTTGCCTTTTTGGTTGTAGAGTCGTAACATGTCTCTCCAAAACCTACCATACCACCGGCTGGGCCAGATAATATAGCTTTTAAACCAGTGAATTTATACCATGGACACAATCCACCATTTGATTGCATAAATAATAATTTATTACCAAAGGCATTTAATCCACCTTCGAAACCAGCACCAAAATTTTGTATATATTCATTTATAACTGGTGATAGATAAGCATCTGCAACAGTTGAAGAAGTTCTATTGACAAATCCAATCATTGATTGTAATTCATGTGATACTGAAACATCAAACCCAATTTCTTTTGCTATTTTCGCAATTTCAGCTTCATGTTTTGGGTAAGCGTAAGCATGTAATAAAGATAATGCAATTGTTTTAATCTCACCTTGATCGAATACTTCTTGAAGCTGTTCTTTGACTTTTCCGTAGTCTGGCTCTTTTATAATTCGTACAATATCACCAGTAATACTTTCTTTTAATTCAGGATCTAATTCTGTATCAATCTTTAATTTATCACCACCGCCTTCGGAGAAACCAGCGATTGTAACTCTTTCATCAATTTCTAGAACTTTATCATATAAATGACCTAACTTTTTTGCAGTCAAATCAAAAATATGAGGTCTTGTTTGATTTCCAATAACTAAAACATCTTTGAAACCTTTAGTGGTTATCAACAATACTTTTGCACCTTTTCTCTCCAATAATGCATTTGTAGCAACTGTGGTACCCATTCTTATACTTTGAATTTGATCTAATTTTAATTTTGATTCTTTTGGAATTTTAGTTGAATTAACTTTTTCCAATACTCTTCTTATACCTTCAGTTGGAGCATCGTTATAATTTTGAGGATCAACCGATAATAATTTGAAAACATAATCATTTTGATTTGGAATTTTGGCTATAACATCACAAAATGTTCCACCTCTATCAATTGCAATTTGAATACCTGTTTGTACCATTTTTGTTGATATCTAATATTTTAAAAACAACCAAAAGGTAAGAAAAATTGTTGAATATTTATAATAAATTTGTCAATGAGATTCAATTCATGAAAGTAATTGATATCATTAAAATCGCTTAAATGATCAAATTAGATAAATTCATATTATTTTATGGAGTTTTGATATAAATTTTTAATCAACGGAATTATAGAAGCGCTAACTTCTTAATACAGAAATATTGATTTATATTTTTTGTATTGAATTTGGTCTGCGATAAACTTTTTAGTCGAATAACTAACCACATACCTGCGATTCGCACTTACTAGTTTAAGAATTCTCTATAAAAACCACAGTTAAACATTATGGTCAACATTATTATCATTATTAGGCTCGTTAAGCTGTGTCTATATACTTATTATATTTAGTCTTTCAGTTAAGTGATCTTTGTCGACTATATTTCCTAATTTGTCATACTTCACACTTTCTGCTTCATCCTCTTCACCTTCAATATCTTCTTTATCTATTATATTTCCTAGTCTATCATATTCCAAGTCACTTTCGTCTGATTCATCTTCATCATCTTCTATCTCATTACCTAGACTGTCATATTTTTTCTTCTCTATAATATTTCCCAAATTATCATACTCTACCTCACTTTCATCTTCCTCGTCACTAACATCTTCCTCATCATCATCATTCACATCTTTCCTATTAACATTCCCCATCATCCAGACATCGCCATTATGAGCCATCTCCTTTCTCTCAATAGCTTCCTTTTGTATTTTCTCCAACCACTCATCCTGAGCATTTAGCACAGATTCAGAATCACTACACTCTTGATAAACTTTTAGTAGTTCATCATTGATTTTTAAAAAAGTTAAACCCCAAGAAAAATTCTCTAATAATAATTCAGCCCAATCTATATGTCCTACAATAGCAAAACATGCAGCTAATGCTTCAACACAATTTAATTTCCATGGTCGACCGTAGTTGACTGGATTTGCAGCTACTAAGTACGGTAATAATCTTTCATTTTTGGATGAGCCTCCTAATTTTTGGAAAGGTACTTCGTCAAGTCTAGCCCATGAACATTCAACAACTGCTGCTCCTTGTTGTTCTACTAATTCAAGGTCGTTTGGACATACTGTTGATTTACCATTGGGACTTACGATGATGCCTTGAAATTTTTGTCCAATTCTTAGATTTTTTATAAGTCCTAATCTTTCTAGTTTTTTACCACTACATCTCTTTGGATCGCAATGATCGAAATCCCACATTGCTAATTTTGTTGGGAATTTTTTTGTGGTTGTAGTTAACCCATCTGAATCTGTAACAGGAGTTGATGAAGCTCCTGTTTCTTGTTTGCCTCTCCGTATATGATGTTGCTTTGATTTGTGACCATTTGAGGTTCTTGTCTTATTTGATCTATCTTCACTTGTTTTATTCTTTCCTTTCCCCATTTTTTGGTGGTGATGAGTTGCAAATAAATTGTACTTCCAATATCTCGTAATTTTTTTTCTTAACTAAATTTCGCAACCACTTAAGTTATCATACAGACTACTACAACTTTCATGCATTAAAGAATAATTATTAAAATTATTAAATATTAATTATAAACGTATATATACTTTTCCTTCATATATAAACAATCAATGAAGTGAACTACTAAAAAATAATCAAACTTAAACCAATTTAAAAGTCAATCTGTAAAACTCAAACAAAATCGTTACCAAAAAAACCTCTCATCATAAAAACAATATTTCATTACGTGTGCTTAAAAATCTTCATCAAATGCAAAAGCATCAGCATTTTTATTTTCTGCTTTTGACATAACACCAGCTTTTTGATAATCTGATACTCTTTTTTCGAAGAAATTAGTTTTACCACTTAATGAAATATTTTCCATAAAATCAAATGGATTTGTTGCATTATAGTATTTTTTATTACCTAATGATACTAATAATCTATCAGCAACAAATTCAACATATTGACACATTAATTTACAGTTCATACCTAATAAACTAACTGGTAATGCATCAGTGAAAAATTCTTTTTCAATTTTAACAGCTTCTGTAATAATTTTTTCAACAATTTCTGGATTTGGTCTATTTTGTAAATGAGCAAATAATAAACATGCAAAATCAGTATGTAAACCTTCATCTCTTGAAATTAATTCATTTGAAAAAGTTAAACCAGGCATTAAACCTCTTTTTTTCAACCAGAAAATTGAAGCAAATGAACCGCTAAAGAAAATACCTTCAACAGCAGCAAATGCAACTAATCTTTCAGCATATAATGCATCTTCATCTTGAATCCATCTTATAGCCCAATCAGCTTTCTTTTTAATTTGTGGAATATGATCAATTGCATGAAATAAATAATCAGCTTCTTTTGGATCCTTAATATATGTTTCAATCAATAATGAATAAGTTTCTGAATGAATATTTTCCATCATAATTTGAAAACCATAAAATGATTTTGCTTCAGGAGTTTGAACTTCAGCTGAGAAATTTTCGACTAAATTTTCATTAACAATACCATCAGATGCAGCAAAAAATGCCAAAATTCTTGAAATAAAATATCTTTCATTATCATTTAATTTTGTTTTCCAATCAATTAAATCTTTACTTAAATCAATTTCTTCTGCAGTCCAAAATGATGCTTCTGCTTTTTTATACATTTGCCAAATTTCATGATATTTAATTGGAAACATAACAAATCTATGTTTATTTTCTTTTAATAATGGTTCTTCAGCTTCTAATGCTCTTAATTCATGTCTATGAACTTTATGTTTTTTTAAAAAATTTTTATGTTCATTAATCATTGTATTTAATTCACCTTCAACTTTATCTTTTTCTGCTTGTAATTTAGTTTCATCTTTGGAAAGATTTTGTATTGATGATTTAACATCATGAATATTAGTTTGGGCTTCATCTTTTGCTAATGCTTCTGCTGCTAATTTATCAGTTAAAGATTTACCAGTAGTTGACATATCTAAACCAGAAATTCTTCCAGTTAATCCTTTAGTTGGAGTTTCTTGTGGTATTGATGACATTTTATTTATATATGTATAAGTAATTTATCTAAAATGGATATAATGGGGTATATTAAAATCTATAATGTGAATAATGATATTAATGATTAGTTATTATAAGTGTAATTGTATTATAATATATTGTAATTATAATTCTAGTAGTACGTGATTGTATATATGAGGACGTGATGATTAAGAAAAAAACTTTGAATTGAATAAAAATGTTAAAATATAAAATAAAAATTTTTATCAGACGTGTTGGTTGATTTATATATAATTTGATTTTTGAAATTTATAAAATGATATTGTCCGATATATGCAAAAGGTAAAGGTATATATGAATAAAAAAGTAATAAATTTAAATCAAAACAAATGATATCAATATAAAATAAATTATTAAAATTACTAAGCTTTTAGTATGATAAATTTGGTGATCTTTGTGAAATTTCTTATTAACAAGTTTCTTTGTATAGATTTTAAAATTTGAGATTTTTTTGTTTTTATTTTATTTTCTTTGCTATAAATAATAAATATTATAATAAGAAGGTTTCCAATAACCCATCGCCATCTTAAGTCCACATCCGTACTAACATTCCGTCCTCACCCGTGCTAATTTCCACCACAGGAGCGAGAAAAACAAAAAAAAGAAATTTGGCAACCTTTTAACAAAAAATATTACTAGTAATAAAAAAATATCTTATTATATTAGTACTAAAATAAAGGTAGTGTAAAATCAATCATTTGTTTTAAATAGCAAAAAATATGTATGAAGTAAATTTATATACAGTATTAATACTATCTGTGTATTAAAAGATTGTACTTAATTTTACATTTTCTATAAATAAAGAGAGACTTGCAATACTTTACATTTCGTGTATATGTTATATTTGTTTTGAATACAGCTTAAATGAGTAAGTTAATTGAAATATGTTAATTGAAATTTAAGATGTTAAAAATTAGCAATTTACTTAATTTAATAATAAACAAGACGTGTTACGTGTATTTTATTATGAAATTGCAAATTAATTATACACTGAATAGAGAAGTGAAGGATATAAGAAGATATATTTGATGGGTCTAGTCTCTCTAATTCATGTTATGGATAAATAAATATATGATTAAGAAGTATTCAACTAATATAATAAAAGAAATAATATGTCAAAAAGTAACTTTAAAAACATATCATATTATATTATTAATACGTGTAATATATTAAAATTATTAGTTCACGTCTATTACGCGATTTTTATTTATATTATTTTAAAATCCATGACACACAAAACCTTCTCATTCGATTTTCAAGTAAATATACGAAAAGAAATGTATATCCGAGTTCTCTAATCTTTCTTACTTGATAATCTATTAGTTAATTATTGTTTTATTAAACTTCTTCTTTAATATATGTGATTAAATCGAAACATTGCTTTATATTTTGAGTTCATTCTTTCGTAAATTTCTTATCTTTCCGATCATCGGGGACTTATCTTATTAAAAAGTTAGAAATATCGGAGTTGTTGAAACCCTTACTTTACTCTTTGATTCTTTGGGAAAATCTTTATTACTCCTTATATATTCGGCCTCATTTTTTATGTCTAGAAATGGTTTGCTTTTCGTTTTAGTTACCACATGAACTTGCGAATATAGATGTAAGGAGAGCAATAATCAAAATGTTGAATAATCTATTATAACTACACTAAATTTGATAATCAATTAGATTTCAAAAAGAATTTATAACATGATTATAACAATTAGTTGTTAGGTAGTTTAAACCAAAGAGTTTTTATCACTTTTTATCATTAGATAATGCATAATATAATATATTAGTTGTAGAATGCTACTTAAAGTATAATTTAAAAAAAAATTGAACATATATTTTTTAGAACTCAATCATCTATAAGCGACACATATATAAAACCTATAATGTAAATAAAAAAAAAAAGAAAAGCCATAATAAACTAAAAATCAAAAGCAAATAATATAAAGCTAAAAGTTCATTTAAATAATGAATAATGTAAATAATGTAGTTGTAAAAGTTTTAGCAACCGTTGTAACGGAAATGAGCAATATATATAGATAGTTTCTCTTTAAATCCAAAACTCTCTTCCCAAAGTTGATGACGTTGTTGAAAAGAAACAAAACCAATATAAAAGATAGTGCAACATTTTTTTCTTCTTCTAAATATTAGACACTTAATGGACTTGCAATTCTTGGAGAATTTAAATTAATTGGATCACCTAAACTTGGTAAATCATCTTCATTACTATTGATAAATCCATTTCCACCACCATTTATAATATTTGAAATACCATTTGAAACATCAACCCCTCTCAAAACAGGTGAATGAATTTCATCAAAACTTAAATCTAAATTATCATATAATTTATTTATATCTCCATGTCCTTTATAAGGTTTGTTTGAATTTTTAAATTGTAATGCGTTGATTTTATTTTTTAAAATATCTTCCATTTCAAAATTTGTCATTGTTAATTTAAAAAATTCATTGAATGCTTCAGTTGATTCATGAGTTGATAAATATTGATAATGAGGTAAACTTGGTAATCCAAATAACATTGAATTTTGATTTGTTTTATCACTTAATAAATGTTTTGGTCTACCATATAATTTAAAAGAATCAATCATTGGAATAAAATTACGAACCATTGTTTCAACTGCACTTACTCCTGGATGTGGAATTGGCATTATATACATTATATTAGTTGAAACAAATTCATCTGCATGTTTTTTAAAAAATCCTGAATTTGTTTTATTTAAATCAAATTCAGTTTGTGATTTTTTATGGAATTTTTTAGTGTTATTTGTTGTAGAATCAGAAACATTTGAAATTGATCTATTTCTTGTAATTTGATTTAAATTTGAATTTGATGGTGAATGTGTGAAAAATGAATTTGTTGAATTTAATGAGCCTGATCTTGATCTTGACATTGGAGTTGAAGGTGGTTGTAATTCATTACCATTACCTCCTAATGAAGATAGTGAGTTATTTGAACCAGATCTTGATATACTGGATGAGCCACGATGATGTTTTGCAATCAATTTTCTTGGATCTGATGAACCATGAGGTTGTTGTTCTGGATTAGTGTATGGAAATAAATATTCATAATTTTTATTTATATGAATACTACCAGAAGCACTCATTATTGAATTAAAATCAATCATATTTGATTGTTCAGGATATACATTAAATAAACTTGATAAATCACTAATATATGCAATTAAATGTTTTTTTTGCATTTTTTTATCAGATGGATATAATTCAATTCTACCTAAATGATGTTTATCACTTGGTAATATAACCATATAAACTTTAATCCATTTTGATGAAACTTCAGGTAATCTAATATTACACCATTCATATTCGATAAATCTTTTTTTATGACTTAACAAAACATGAATATCTGATAATTTAGAACCTTTTGAACTTAATAAAACAGCAGTGAAAGCTTCATTCAATTTAATATATTCAAATTTACTTAAAATAATTGAACTCATCCATTTATTAAAATCAAGCTCATTATGGAAACGAATGATTATACTTGAATCTTCCCTATAATCTTGATAAATTTTAATTTGTAAATCACCTAAAAATTCGAAATTTGAATCTATTAAATTTATATATTTTGGTTTAAATTCATCATGACCATCATCAATTATAAATTCATCATTCAGTGGTCTCCAAATGGCTAATTCATTACCGGTTAATTTTGAATCAACTTCAAAAAACACTTTTTCACCATTCCAATACCCCAAAATTTGAAATGATCCAATACAATACGTTCTTAATTTTTGTGCATTTAATAATGTTACAATTGGATGAAATTCTGGTGCTAAATTATCAGTTTGAGTTTTATTTTGTAAAAGTAGTGATCTACCAGTTAATGAATTTAATGATTGTGAATCAATATCGCTTAAATCATTTGAAAATAATCGTGATTGACGTACAAATGATGATGGAGTCTTTTTGGCCCTATCACTTAATGATCTTTTTGGTGAACTAGTGTGGGTACTACCAGTATCTGAAAATACATCAGATTGTCTTCCCAGTTGTCTTATCTTTGGAGATTGTAACGAATATTGATCATTTATTGATGAAACTTCAGAAACACTTGCATTTATTTTTGGTAAATTGAAATTGTTGTTATTATTATTTGTATTTCTTATATTGTTTGAAGAATCTGCACTTGAACTACTATTGTCACTATGAGATAAAAAATATAACGGCGAATTTTTGATTTGATTTTGTTGATTTGTTGAATGTTGATTAAATCCATAATTTGAATCATCAAATGAAGTAGTTGGTGGTTGAGATAATGGAGATCTTACTCTATTATTTGGCAGTAAAGGTGGCGAAAATGCTGAATCTAATTGTTGATCATTTACTTGTGGTGGAGCCAATGAAGTATAATTTGATTTTGAGAATTGAGGAGATGATATTTGACCATTATAAGTTGTAGAAGTATTACCTTGTGGTTTTGTAGTATTATTATTTGTTGAAATTGAAGATGATGAATTATCGGTTGTAAAAAATTGATCTTGCTTTTTGGTAGCATTAGATGTTTTATCTTTATCTTTATTTAACAATTTCTTTGGTGATAATAGACTAGTAATTGTCATGACTTATTTTTAATATATTTGAGACTTTGATATGATGAAACTATATGAATATAATGATGAAGAACAACTTGGAATATATGTCAAAAAAGTATATGCAAAATATGAAATTTATTTAAAGAAAAAGATTATGAAAAGAAAAAAAAACAATTTAGTTGGTTGTAAAAAATTTAAATTTTTTGTAAAATGAAATTAATAATTTTTTTTTTCAAAAATTTTAAATAATTTTTAAAACAATTAGATTAGATAAATGTTATATATATATATATATATATATTATTTAACGAATTAATTAAGTAATGGTTATATTTATAAGTTAAAAGAGTTAATTTTAAAACTAAAAAACATATACCTTAAATCTTTACAAATCTATTCTCTTATTTATTTAACATAATCAAAATATATTTTAGCAAATATAATTTATTATTTTTATTTTTTATTTATTATAATTATATTTTTATATTATTATGTATGTATATTTTCATAAATTACGTAATTAAATTAATAAATTTGTTTTATAAAATTTTAAAACAATTTTCAAACTAATTTCAAACCATAGTTTTATTTACAAAAAAGTACAAGAAAATTTGATTAATCAAAAGACTTTTAACTAAACTATCTTTGTAGTTAACTATAGGAAACAAACCCAAAATTAGATTCAACACTTCCTTTTTTTCTTCTTTTTACTTCAAGATTTCTTTTCTTAAATAAAACATGGAACACTTTTTTTTTTTTCATTTCAATTGATTCAATTTTTAATAATAGAGTAAATTAAAAAGATGCAAGAAACCGTAAAAGCAAAGTTAAAATAATAAATATAATTAATATCGACTAGTTTAAAAAAGAAATATGAAATGGAAAATTCGACAAAGGATTAACAATTTTGTTTATTTATTAAATTTAACTTTATAGTTTTGAGTCCTTAGTTTTAGGTTGTCGAGAAATTTCATCAATAAGGAAAGTATAAAATTTTTAACTTCTTATCTACCCTTACAAAAAGATAAAGGGACTTATTTATTCAAAATATTAATAAGTGAAAAATTGGTTATTAGATATGTTTCTTCGGTTGAAATTTATGAAACTATCCTATAATAAATAAAAAGTGTGGAATATCCGGACTACAAAATTTCTTAGTTTACTATAATATTTACTAACCTTAAATTATTAAATTAAACATGATAATAAACCACTCGAGAAACTTTAATTAAATAGAATCAAACGATGGCTCATATTAATTAATTCAAGCTGTCAAAAATTAATGTACCAATCAAGGCTTAAAATTTACTGAATCGTATTGTAATTATACTTTCAATTATAACCTTAATAAAGAAAAGTATTTATTTCTTCTAATTTATGATGTAATTACCCACGAATCTGAGATACCAAGACAATTCTAATTACTCCAGAAAAATATGCTCGAAAACAATTTTGCGTCAACAAAAATCAATCATTACTATACGATAAAACAATTTTAACCAAACAAGTCCGAGACTAATTAAAATAAAAAGACTCTCCGTTTAATCCTAGTCATCGAAATCAAAACTTCGGACTAAAATTTAAGATGAGTATTGATAAAATTTAAGTAGAAAAAAGAAACAAAAAAACGTCTTGAGTTTCTATTCCCCAAACTTTCAATCAAAATTAGTTTGCTTATTGCTTTTAATTATCAATTATTATAATCTGATACACAGATGTGAAAATTTTTTTTTTTAAAAAAATAAAGATTAAAATAATTTAATACATATCAAATTAATTACACAATACCAAGATTGATAGATCCCACGAAGATAACAAATTTTGAAACAGCAAACAAAACAAGCAATAGTATTAAATTTGATCGATCTATTAACTAAGTTAGTGGAGAGTGGTGTGACCAATTACTTAATTCTGACTTTCAATTTTAATTCAAGTTACTTCTTTTCAAAAAAAGTGATTCTAGTTTTACGATAAAACTACTAACAAAATTTGAATTATAATTTTTTACTTATTTTTTTTTAAGCTTTTCGAGATTCGAGATAGATTTGAAAATTAACACTTATTGCTTTTTTGTGTAAAGTTATAATTTTTGATGGTGTTTTTTACACTACTATTGCTTTAACATATCTTCCCCTCAATTAATTTATTAATAAGTCACAACTAAAGCCTTGCAAACTTTACTGCATTTAAATTTAATGCTAGAAACACAGTATTGTACTAAAAATTATTTGTTATTAACTTATTGTTTTGCATTATTTAAATTTGCTGTACCTGAATTTAATGCACTAAATAACACAAAGTTTCAAATCGATCCTCAAACTAATTGTAAACACATCTTTGTACTAAACCGTCTATTGTTAAACTTGAACTGTCCAAAATTTGAAACACCATGTGTCAAAAGTCAAATGATGTAATAAATGTATCAAAGAAACGTTGATGGAAATTTCATAATTGAGAATTTTAAAGGTATTTTATTGTTTCAATAAAAATGTAGATCAGGAGGCGGTGTGTTTAGTCTTAGAAATGAATATGATGTAAAACAGCATTACTATACTACAATAAATATATAAAGAAGTACTGATGCAAAACTACGCTCTTAACTTTTGATTGGTATCTAAAACAGCCCCATGGAGCAGTTGATTTTGTGTGTCGTGGCAGTACAACTATTGAACCCTTTTAAAAAGTTTAATTTTTGAAAATCAATACAAGATTTGAAACAAAAGCTAAATTTTACAAATTATTAAACATTAATTTATTACTAATTAAATTCTATCTATAAGCAGAACTATACATCATTATTATTCATCATTAATTTATCCATGAAATAATCAGGTCTTAAAGATTTACCAATTGAATTTATATTTGAATTAATTAGTTGGTTAATTTTTTTCATGCCTTCATTATTTGGATCATAATTTTCTAAATTATTATTTTTTAATATTTTCAATTCCATATTATGTAGATTTGTGAAATTTTTTGTAATTAACCACTCTTTTAAAAATTTGGGATACTCATTTAAAACCATAACGATTTGCTTTGTTGATATTTTATTCAATTTAACCATTTCTTTGAAAGTAATATTTTCATCATTAATAGTTTTGATACCGATTGACTTTTTGATGTATTTTGTATTTATCCAAAGTCTTAAATTTTTCAAATATGTAAAATTTCTATGAAATTTTTTAATTATTGAATTCATATTATATTCATTATTCAACATATTTAAAAAATTTTTAGGTATATATGATATTTGATTTTCTACTAATGATTTTCTTAATGGTGATATTTCATTATATGATGCAAAATGTTCATTTCTGCAATTATATAATTGTAAATCTTTATTTACCTTTCCAAAATTTTTAATTGATTTTGATGATGATGATGATGATGATGATGAATTCTCGTCTTCTATGTAGTTGGTTTGTATTCTATATCTTTCTGGTGAATTTGAATCAGTTAATGCTAAAGCAGTTATATCAATGTATAAACCAGTATCTAAATCAATAAATCTTGCATCAATTGCATTATTTCCGTTTCCTTTAGTTCTATGAGTTATTGATGATCCAACATCCATGAAATATCTACCCATACCATCAAATTCTCCATTATGATCTGCAACATTTTCAACAATAATAGTTTGATTATAATATTGACCTAATTTATATAAATCAGCAATTGGAACTTGTACATCAATATCAGTATCCCATGGAAAGGCCATCCCATTCCAATACCAACTCAATAAAGATCCATGAGCTATCCAAGTAACAATACCATGATTTCTAGCAAAATTCAAATAATTTTTAATCAATCTATGTAAAATAATTGCTTGTTCATCATTACCTAAAGTTATACCATTGAAAAATCTCCAATCATAATGTTCACCTTGCCATGAATCAGGTATTGATTTTAATAAACTTGCCTCATAGAAATATTTGGGTGGATCTTGATGATTATAACTAAATTGAAGTGATTGTAAAAATTGTTTATCCATTGCGGTTTTATGTTCTTGATTCAATAAGTTACTGATCACTTCATTTGGGTCTATATTAAAATTTGATTCTGGTATATGTATTAATTGATCTTGTAATGGTTCATAAATTGATGGAGTTGGAGGTATTAATAACAATTTTGAATATGAATTTAATAAATCTATTGATTTTAACTCTGATAATTCAACCATTTCGTTTCTCAATAAAGCGTTAGATATGTCATTTTCCTCGTTTTCATCTATATTAATTTGATAAGAATTATTACTTGTTAAAAATATTAATTTATTTGGTGATGGAGCATTTTGTAATAAATATGATTTCCCGATTAATTTTCTATTTTCTATACTTTGTTGCCCTGGTTCGCTAAAAATTTCGTAACCGATTAATGTGAACGGATCATATTTACAATATTCATCTATATTTTTAATTTGTGAACCTTTTATTATAGTTTCATTTGATGAGATATTAAAAAGTTTTGAACATTGATTTATGCTATGCTGTATTTTAGTATCATCAAAATTTATATTATTACTTGGTGGGAAGATAAATTTATTTAAACTTGTTAAATCAACCCAATCAGACCAATGGAAAGGTACTGATAAATCATTTAAATTTTGCATATTTGAATTTATAATATAATGATAATACATTCCAATAGTAAAACTTGGATCAAATTCTTGTATTTTTGGTTTTAGTATAGATTCATCAAAATAATAATCTGGGATATTTATTTTTAAAGGTAAATTTTTAATTAAATATGGATTTAAATCCCAATATTTATTTTCATCATCTTTTGAAAATAAAAAATTTAAAATGTTGTTAATTTTTTCATTAAATTTGATATCATTATTTAGATCATAATTAGTTTCTAGAAAATTGTAATAAATTTCATTGTATTTAAATTTTATTTGTTCATTTAGTTGTTTTTGATATTGTTTTATTGTAGGTCGTACTAGTATTGATTTTATTGATATAAAAATAGTACAAATTATAGTTGATAGTAGTAATAATTTTAATAGTAGCCTTTTCGAATAAAACTTTGTCATTTGATTATATATTCATGAAAGATTATGCTAAATTTTCAAAGCTTTTAATTATTTGAAAAAAATTGGTTGTAAAATTATATTAAATAAGATAATTTAAAATTGATGCAAATTTAAAGTATAAAGTTTTAAAATGTTGGCGGCTTTTCTATTTGAATGAGCGGGTTTGAAAATTGTTTTGCAATATGATAAAACTTTTGACTATAAGAACTGAAATATGATACGGTGATTAATGAATGAATTATTTGATCTCTTAATAGATTATTGATATGATGAACGATTCAAATAAGCGGTAATAATTTAAATTTATAATAATATAATGAATAATTAATTTAATAATCGGATCTTAAGTTTTGATTAGATCTAATATTTAAAAAGTTTGTGTCTATGAAACTAAGTAATTAACAAGAAGATAGATTGAAAATTTTTCAATGATAAAATTGTTGTTGATAATAATAATAATAATAATATTTATTAATAACAATATAAGAAATATTTGAATATGGAGTTAACATTCATTTATTTAATATAATAATTTTTGTACATTATTATTTTAATGCACAAATTTTAACATCACACTATACTTAAATTTATTTTATATAATTAACAATACTATTAAAAAAAAAATAAAAAAAAATTTACATGAGAAAGTAGTTAACGTTCTCAGTATTTCAGACTCAAACGCTACTAGAATCGATCAGTTGTCAGTTTAAATCAAATTATATTTAAGTATGAAACAACTGTTGTAGTTATCAACGTTCACACAAATTATTAAAAAGTTTATATATTTTAAATGAAAGATTAATAATCTATATTGTAAATATTCTTCATTTAATTTGTCTAATTTATTTAGATCAGCCTTGACTTATCTCTTCCTCCCCCACTACTTACAAAAATATTTAAATAAATCTAAATCTTATTGTTATGATATTTAATAATCTTTATTTCTTTTTTTTTCATTCTATTATTTAATTTTGCTATTTAAAGTGAAGATCAAAAAATTTTAAAACAAAAGATAGAAAGAAAAAAAAAAACTATTTCTGTCACACGACTATAAAATTTAAAATCTTTATGAGATCATAAAATCTTATAATACTTTTTACTTTTACTTGGCATTCGTAATTTAATTAGATCTAATTAATTGAATATTTATAAATTATGAAGAATTTTTCATCAGTGATTAATACTAACAAGGTGATATTTATTATAATCAATGTTTTATATAAATTTCATTTTCTGAAATTATTCAAACGTACATGAGGTGGATTTATCCAATTTATTTTTACAATTTTAAGTAACACCGAAAAAAATTGTTTTCCTGAATTCTTGTTCATTTCTCAAACAAGCATATGACTAAATTAGACGAGAGATTTTAAGATTATTAGTATATGGCCGCCAAATTTTTACAAATGACATTCAGGTCTCAAATTTTCATTTCTCGTTTAACAAAACCTTAAGTTAAAAGCGTATCTCCTTTCACCAAATGATATGACTTTTGGACTCCAAATTTGTAGATCAAATTATCAAAAAAAAGAATCATAACAAGTAACTCATCGTCAATTTCGAAGCCAGTTGATGATTATGAAATTTACTGAAATTAAGGATTATTTTAATCAAGAACATGAACTACCAGATAAGACATTTTTCTTGATATCTTATGAAGAGATAAAGCTTTGAATGATGTAATTAAATTGCTTCTACGGCCAGGCCAAATTTGACAGAAAAAGATAGATACCAATCATAGGTAAGGCACTAAAAATTTTAGATAAGGATTTTTTAAAAACAAATATATTACACAAAAAACAGATGCCATTAACGGATATCGTTATTTTGTTGATTATCAATGTCATAATTCTTTCGAATTATGTTAAGGATCTACATTGGAAATATGACTTATCGTCAACTTTTTGTTTATATCACAAGGCTCGAAATTGAAGTTTATCTCAGATGCTGTTTTTTCGATAAACACAATTGAATTGGGGCTTTCTGGTTCCCGTCATTATTTCTGATAAGGCGATAAGAAAGTTCTTATATTAATACGATTCTGATGTTATCATTACTTGGATAGTTTTGAACTTGGCCCTATTTGGCTTTGATACAAAAGTAACGATATTATGAGCTATTATATGACAATTGTGGCAAATTTAATCTTTATTGTTTAGCGATTAAAATTTTGGCATACATTTGCGTTAATTTTCTTTAAGTAAACATTTTTAATTTCAACGTAATTGACTACTATTGAAGAGGAGCTAGAACTTCATTTTTCTGAATAGTATGAATTATAAGATAGACGAGTTAAAAAACTTGGGCAATTTTAAAAGTTTTTTGTTTTTTTATACAGAACGTAATTTTTGAGAGTGACCACTGAAGCCTTTTAGAGTTTTGATTTTCAACATAGCATAAGCCTATATTCATGCTAATTGGGCTCAGAGAAAGAATTAGTACGATAGTTTTATCAATAATGATGATTGTTCGAAAAAAATGAAACGCCACCTTAAATCTTAACTGACTTTAAATACCCCTTAAATTTAAAGTAGAAAAATATTCGTGAAACAATATGCAATTATAAAATGAAGTATGTTAATTTATCTACTTTACGTGTCTATAGATCAATGTCTTGAACAATAATCCCCTCCACAGATTGACATAAAGGGTTCAAAACCTCAACACTGGAATTTGAAGAATCAATTGAATCTTCAATTTCATGAGAATTATTAAATTGTAAAATACATGAACTACCTCCATATATTATTGAATCTTCTTTACCTATTCTATTACATATCAAAACATTAATTTTTTCATTTTGAGAAAACCATTTTGGATAATATGAATAAGGATGTTTTAAAAATGGGAAAAATCTTAGTATCCAATAATTTATGGTTTCATAATTAGGTTCATTTGGTAATTTAATTTCTTGAGCTTCTTTAACTAGATGAGATTGATATTGCTCTGATGATAATTTTTGTAATGTTGGTGATTCTTGATCTTCTTGTTTTTTTATAGATGGTGAATTTGGAGATAACCAAGCCATTGGACATATTATTAATTTTGATCTATTATTATAGCATGATGAACTGAATTCAAATTTGTTAAAGGGAGCTTCAAATTTATAAGGATTCAAGTCCATACATATTCCAATATTTGAAATTATTGATTTGTTGAGATTATTATCTAATTTCGACGAAGATGAGTCTTCGGTATTGTCAAAATTCAAAATTATTGGTTCAAAATTTTTGTTTGGATTTTCTGAAGATCCCCAGACTTCATCAGTTTCATAAAGGAACGTCTTTCTGTAATTATATATTAACTCTCCTTTCCTATCAAACACAGCACATGAATTATAAATAGTTTCAGTAGCTTTCTCTACATTGATTTCAGGATATCCAATGATTGTAAAACATTTATATTTCAAACTTAGGCTTTTTGCAAAGTTCAAGGAAGTTCCATAATTAGTTGGTGACTCTAAGTAAGGTTTAATATGAGTCGACAGTTTAAAATTATATCCAGTTATTGCTAATTCTGATAGTACTATTAAATCTAGTGATGATGATGAAGAAGGTAATTTTGATGATAGTAAATTTTGAATTTTAGTAATATTCTGTTTTGGCAGACCTAGTATCGAGTTTATTTGAACTATAGCTACTTTCAATTTCATCTTTATCTAAGTTTAGAAAATTTTGGTAATAATTTTAAGTGGAATTATACACTATCAAGAACGGACTTAAATTGAAAAATCGAAGACTTCATTTCGCGCGAAGTAGTAGTATAGTTCCGAAATTACAAAACTCGCACATTTTTCATTTAGTGTGTAGAATACATTCACTTCTTGAGTAAATTTACCATACCTCCTCATGTAGTAACAAAGGAATTTCAATTATAAGAATAAAATTTTAAAATCTTTGTCCAATCATGTCCAATGAATGTTGTATAGGCAATGACCTTATCATATTTGCATTCTAATTTTATGTCTAATTTACGAACAATATAAATCAAAAGAAATAAAAATTGATCAACAATGTGTCTCATTAAAATGATGAGGAAATGTGATTGATAACGTTCTATTGTCGATGAGTTCACTTTATTTTTGATTGAGACATCTTTATTTCACGTGAAGTGTGGGCCATTTGCTCCAATCAAATCTCTATGCTCACTATAGATGTTATTTTCACAAATTTGTGGTCCCTAGCTGTTTGTATTTTGATAGGTATTATACTACACGAATAATTTGAAAAGTTGTTTAGTACAATGATATCTGGGGCGGTCACAATTTAGAAATAATGTGTTTAATTTTACCCTTTAAAGTATCTTTTTAATAAACTTTCCCATGTAATGAGCTTTTCAACTAAATTTCATCAGAGTTACCAAGTAAATTTCCCAACAATTTTAGCTTCTAAAACTTTCAAAAGGGTTCTTTACCCCTTTTAAATTTGCAGTTGGTCGAAGGGTTCTATTCAATACAAAAGTTGTTGAAATTGTAATATTTAGACGTACTATAAGCGAATGTACATATTTTAGCCTAAGGTGAATCATAAGAAAAAATATTTTATTACTCTATTTAGTTTAAACTTGATTGAGAGATGTATTGGAGAAGTCTATCCAATAAATTTAAATGGTTCGAAATCTATATCTAAAAAGAGGAGATTATAAATTTCATGAATACATTTTCCACAAAATTAAATTATGAATTGGAAGTTGAAAATTTAGTTGAATTATAATTATTTGTTAATTATAGAAAACTAAAATTGGAGAAACAATAGAGTTTAATTTCGATAGGATAAACTAGGAGAAGGTCAAACACCTATTGTTTCAATCAAATCTAATTTCAATTGTAGTGTGAGTGTTTTTGAGTTACAATTGGCTATTTGATAATACAATAAATAGAATGTGATTAATTATTTCACAAGAAATGATTTACAATTTCATACATTTTCTTTTTCTTTGTTTCTTTGTGAAACAATTTAAGGTACCAACCACGCGTTCTAAAATATTTTATTTTAACCTAATCAAGTTAAATATTATATACAATTTAGTTTATGCATTTTGAAATTTGAACATCATATTGATTCAAATTTTTACCAGTATAAAACGTTTTTTATTTAAACTTATTAACCCATCACTTTACCCTCCAAATTATTGGGATCAACCTAAGTATAAAAGTCTTGGATCAGAAAATGTTTTTTTATTTCATGGGCTGGCTACCAATTTGGATTGACTTCTTCAAAAGAGCAGTAGACTCATTTACTAAATTTTTTTAGTTAAGTTCACTTTCGTAATTATATTTTTAATTAATCACAGTTTAGAAGATTCACAAATGAATTTTCAACAATAAGGTTAAGTTAATAAATTCGCACAAAATTCAAACTTTTATCAATTTAATTCAATGAAATTTTGATTTGTGACATATTCGTCTCTATATAATTTTTTCTTAAAGCATTTGTATTTAGTTTCTTATGGAATTTGTGTTAATTATCAAGAATTATTTAAGACAAAGAATATAATCGGAATTTATTGTTCATCCTAAACATATTTAATGGAACATATTTAAAGTACAGTCGATCAATTTTAATCTTTAAACTTTGAGGCTAGATAAAGTTGAACGCGTTCAAATCGTTCATATATAAAGTTTTAGACGAAATTTTGTGACTCTAACACTATTTCAAATGAAATCGTTAATAGCTTAACTTTAACTTTTTACAAAATCAAGCTTTTTTAAAAGAGTATTCTGAATTTGTGGATAGTAAAAACCGAAAATTAATAACAAAATGCAAGCTCATTAATTATGATGAGGAAAAGATACGAGATTTTTATGCATTAATAATTCTTCACAGATTTATAATCTTTTATAGACGTGATGATATTTTTGTAGGTTAAAATGTACATTATTAACATTATACTTATAAATTTAATAAATTACATGCATAATTTAAGTTTTAACACAAAAACTGAGTCTAAAATTATTACACAAACCTTAATATAAATAAAACAATAAACAAAAAGGGTTTCTAATTTTTGACCCTTTAAATTTTTAGTTTAAGAAACGATCGACCTTAAAAATTAAGAAAATTTACTTCAATCTAATTCAAAGAACCTCTCAGTTAAAATCAAAAATTCTATACGTTTGACGATTAGAATTCAGATAAATACTTTATCAATTTCCTCAGTTTCATTTTACTAAAAAGAAAGTTTAATTTTTTCGACATAGAGCAATATCTTCAATTGTCAACAATAAAGAAATACATATAAAATCAATTTATTATACACGTCTCATTAGAAGATTATAAATTAATAATACGCTTATCCTTTGTATTTAAAATTGATAATTTCAAAGATTTACAATTGAAAACAATTGAAAATATAAATAAATTTAAAGTAATTTAAAAACCTTAAAACAATATAAACCTGCAACATTATACATTATATAAATAAATCAACTAATTCATGCCAACAAGAATAAATTTGAATTCTGATTTATTTTCACCTTTAAATACTTCATCATTAACAAATAATATATCGAAAAAATCAATATCTTCATCACCTACTTTATCAAGAACCACTACTAATCTTTCCACTAAGACTACCTCATCGACTACAAATTTCAATAAAATTGATTTAGATTTAATGTTTTCCAAGGCTGAGATATTAGTTATCAAAAAATTATGGAAGTCATTAAATATATGTGAAAACTTCAATAAGGTTAACTCCAATTTAGATTCAAATGTAATAATACACAAATTTAATTATAATTCCGAAGAATATTCAATTTTTAAATCATGTTTGAATCATCACATATCAGAATACTACAAAAATAAATTTATATCTCAAAGAGATTTAAAATTTGATAATGAAATATCTCAAACTTTTCAAATTGATACAATTTTACAAATTTTAAATGTTGTCATATATCATTTATGTTATAAAGATAATCAACAACCTCAATCTTTTATTATGGAACAACTGAAACTATTAAATAGACTTTATGATTTAAACTTTAAAAAACTTAAAATATTGGGAGAATGTATAATTTTATCAATTATATATTTATCAAATAAAAATGTAAAAAATGAGACCAATGAAGATAATGAGTTATATGATTCTTTTTTCAAATCACAATTTGTATTATTAAAATTTCTAAATAACTTCTTCAATATTTTAACATATTATGGTCAAGACATAAATATGAAATTATCAATGGATTTATCAACAATGTCTTTAACAAAAGATCTTCCATCAATTCCATTATCTCCAACAAATCAAAATGTTTTACCAAAGCAAAAAAAAAGTTCAACTACTTTTTCTAAAGATGGTAAGAGATCAGCACAATCTTCACCAAAATCTTCAAGCAAAAATGAATTAAATTTATCATCAGCTCCGAATGTAGTATCTGGGCCATTACCATCACCAGATAGTTTTGTATTTGAAAAACCAACAAATACAACTAGAGATTCAACATCAAGTATAAATTCTATACCATCAAATTACACAGAAGGCTCTTCAGTATTATCATTAAACCAAATGGATGATTATTCTTATTTATCAAATGAGATTGAATCAATGGCTATTGAAAATAAAGAACAAAACACTTCAGAAATAGATATCGATAATTATTCCATTGATGATTTGGAAGAATCAACTATAAATACTAAAAATTCAGTTTCCACTTATACTTTTGAGAACGAAAAAGTAAAAACTCCAAAAAGAAGCTCTTATGAATACGAGGAAGAAGATGCAAGTTATGATTATTTAAATTCATTCGGATTATCAGCTATAGATGACGAACCAATTTACTACAATTCAAAATCTATAAAACCAAAGAAATCATTGTCACACAAAAAATCTAGCAATTGGGGTAATAAGTTAATAAATAAACTTAACAACAATAACTTCAATGGGAATACATTACCTTCAACAACTTCAAACAATACATTAGCATCAACAAAATCTGCAAAGAAATTAAATAAGAAAAAATCATTAAATTTGAGTCTTCACAAATTAAATACAAATTCATCATTAATAACAACAAAGTCGATAACTACATTACAATCATCAAATAAACAATCAATAAATTCAATTTCCAATCATCAAAAATTACATGAACAATTTGAAGAAAATGATGAAGAAATAACTTTCAATTCTAATGAAAATAACAAAAATAATTCTACAATTACTGATTCAAATGATGAATCTTGTGTTATTATGTAAGTTTTATAAATTATAATTCTTAGAAATATATATATCTTTGATAGATAAATTAAATATAGAGATTGTAAACTAAGTTTCAATATCAATTGAAAGGGGTGTACAACAACTAACGCTACCAATTATGGTTTTATATCTTGTAACAATTTACACTACCATTAATAGTAGAATTACACAGAAAAAAAAGAAATTAAAAATTAATGACAGAGAGTTCAACAATCAACAGTGCTAATAATTTAATTATTATAATACTAAGAGTAGAGATTTTGATCCTTAAAATTTAAATTATCATAACAAGTTTTTACAACAAATTAATTATTTTAACAACAACTTATTTTTAAAATATTATTAATAATATAAATTGAACTAGATTATTATTTCAATAACATTCATTTTAATTAATTATTGATACCTTTAAATCATATCATATAGATATAACGCATATTTTAGGTTCTTATTCATTAATATTTATAACATATTTCATACATTAAATTTATCAATATATCATAAATCTTTAAATAATTTAATGATATAGTAATTTATTTTTCAAAATAACAAATTTTAAAATTTAAGATCATACATAATATTAAAAATGATGGCTCACGAAATACCAATTCCAATTAAAGTACATACAAACGAAATGAATGATACATTTACATCATCACCAAATAATAATCAAAAATCTCAACAATCAAATTCAAAAATTCAACCAAAAATTAATATAGATGAAGAAGTAAGATTACTTCCAAGTGGTTTACCAGTAAATTTTGGTCATAATAATAATCCATCAAAAAAGAATAAAGGTTCGATTAAATTATCTTCGTTGCCAACATTACCGAATGGGGAGAAACCAGATTTTTACAATGACAACAATAGTGGTAGTAGTAGTAGAAAAGAGAATAAAAGGAGAGGAAATAAAAATAAAGAACTTGACATATCAAATTCAAATACAAGATCAAAGTCCAATAGTACTTCATCATCAAAAGATTCTAAGAAAAAATCAAATAATTCAACAGCAAAACAAGCAATAGATATAGAACCGAGCTTACCAAATGGTGAAAAACCAAATTTCGGAAATAAAAACAACAATAATAATAATGATAATTCAAAATTAAAAAAATTATCAAAATATGATAAAAATGCAGTTGCAGTAACATTAAAAGATGATTCATATGCTGGTTCATCGTTTCATTCATCCCCAGCTGCATTGGCGTTACCAAAACCAAAATTTAAATCATCACCAAAACAAATTAATTCACAAAAAAATTCAGATAATGATGATTTAACTGATTTATCAAATAAATTTTCTTCAATTTCAACAAATAGTGATACATCAAGTACAAGTTCTCAACAAACCACTCCTCCTAAAAATTTAACTAATTTATCATTACCATTACCTCAAACTTTACCAAATCCAATGTATCAGCATATTCCCCCTCATGGACAAGTAAACTCAAATCAACAGCCTTATTCATATTATAATGGAAATGTTGCACCACCAATTCCAATGCAATTTAATCATTATCAAAGTGGTCCACCGCCATTTCCAAATTATTCGAACAATAATGTACCACCAAATTTTCATTCTTATCCACAAAATCCTCAGTATCCTCAATATCCTCAATACCCTCAATATCCACAAGCTCATCCAATTCCTCAACAATTTCAACAACCATTTCCAACAACCCAACAAGCTCCACCACAACAACAGCACCAACAACAAAAATCACAATAAATTTTACAATTTTGTTAACCAACTTCATGAAATTTAATTCTTTATGTTACAGGTCTAACAGTTAACTTTTTATGTTTATGTTTATGTTTATGTTTATGTTTTTTTACAACTTTTACAATTTTTTTAAACACTAAGTGAATTATCATTCATTGTTTTTATTTATGATGATAATCTGTTATATTACATTTTTCTATTTTAGTGTTCCTGTTAGTGTTTGTTTGGATGAATGATGAAATTTTTATGTTTTTATACCAAGTGTTTTCATATAATTGATTGCTTGATTTTGATTTTTATTTTTTTTTTATTGGTGAACAAAAACAAATGTTTTTATATTCTATAATTTCAACAAGAAGTTTAATTTAGATACATAGTTTCATTTGTTCTATTTGTCAATTTTTTTTTCGAAAAAAATCAAATCAAGTTGTATCGATTTTAGTTTTGTATTTTAATTAAGATAGTCAACTAGAATTAATCTTTTAAATATACAATTTTTTTACAACAAATATAATTGTCTATTCTGTTGAATCTCTATGATCAAAGCGGCAAATTTAAACTTTTGTTTCAAAACGCAAGTTTTAGACTTTGTAATTTTGTGATTTTATAATTCTATCAGCTAAACTTTCTGTTATTTCTAACTTCTTGTAAATGATTCTATACAACAGACTCAACTATGAATTTGACATTAATTTGTTGTTTCAAATTTTTTCAAAAATTACCTTAAAATTCGGGTATTACTTTAATTCTGATGTTAGTGATACAATATACTACGTGAAGTTTTATGCGTTATTTATTAAGTTTTGTTGTAGAGTTAATGCAAATTTTACATACTTTTTAACATCTCAAGATAGTTAGGTCCATTATTTTTTTATTCTTAGATCAAATTGTAAAATAAAGGTTAATTTGGTGCTCAACAGTATCAAACAATCTATCTTCGTTTTGTCATTGCGTGAAACTCAAGCTAATTATCAAATTTTGCATACTTCGTAAATTGACTGATTTGACCAAACATAATTAATTACAGCTTATCAAATTCAGTAAAAGAGCATAATGATGCAATTTCTCACTACAAGTTTAAACTGTTGATGCTTCAAAAACTTTTTGCAACCAATTCGAAAACCAATGATAGCTTCGCTTGTCACAAAAAATGTCTAGAAATGCAAATAAATAACTTTTGAGCATCAAAATAGGGCTATTAACCTGTAATAATTTTTATCATGTGACACATACATAAGAGATGAAAAAAAAAAATATTATAGTGCGAAAACATAGTAGTTAACAAAACGTAGTTAAAGAAAATCATTTTTTAGTGAAAAATCCATTTTTTTACATTTTGATAGCTTTCAATATTGAATAACATTAGACACAATGGGTATGTTCAAAACGCAACAACATCTAGTCAAGATTATCCAAATGATAAAGATCACTCATGAATGAATAAAAGTCCAGTCTTAATTAGGAACATTCAAAGCTCGAGGAGTCGAATAATTAAACATTAAAAGGTAGAAATTATTTATGTATCACCAGAGGCAAATTAGCCAAATTATAAATTACAGGCAACCTAAATGAAAATACAAGTAATGAACCATCGAATGTGATGTTGATCATGGATCGTTTTATTGAAGAAATGAAATTAGAGGGACCGAAAAGCATCGCATAAGTTTGGAGTAAAATTTTGATAGAATCAACATGAAAGATTGTTTAATACTAACATATTTGAATATAGTGAACGTTCCAAAAACTAGAAAAACCTACTGTAAAGGTAGAGAATGTCGTAAACATACTCAACATAAAGTAACCCAATACAAAGCTGGTAAAGCTTCATTATTTGCTCAAGGTAAAAGAAGATATGACAGAAAACAAAAAGGTTATGGTGGTCAAACTAAACCAGTTTTCCATAAAAAAGCTAAAACTACCAAAAAAGTTGTTTTAAGATTAGAATGTGTTGTTTGTAAAACTAAAGCTCAATTATCTTTAAAAAGATGTAAACATTTCGAATTAGGTGGTGATAAAAAACAAAAAGGTCAAGCTTTACAATTTTAAGGTTATTAATTATTTATTTGATATATTGATTATAGTTGATTACTTATAAAAGTTGTTTAATAAAGAAATATTAATGTAAAATATTAACGATTTTTGAAATTGATAAAATTGTAGATAATATTGTATTAATTGTACTATTTAAATTAATATGTATTACTATTTAATGCCCCTTTCGAATATATATTTTATTCGCGTGAAATGAGCGTGATAAAGCACGCCCTTAATCGCATTACTTTGAAGTAGATGACGCCTTGAAATTATTAAAATTTAGACAGTTATTGTTGTAAGTTAAAAAAATTAACGAGAAAAAATAATGAAATAAAAAAAATATTCGTTTAAAATCAAAACAAGATTTTTTGATTTATGAAACGAGATTTTTAATATTGATATTGTTTTTAAATTGACATTTACCTTTACGTATTATAATAGTTTTAAATTCAGAAGTATATGGTAAAACTCATAGATTGATTCATTGCATCGTTTCAACAATTACCAAAAGTTCAAGATTGTTTTTGTATAACTTAGTCCTTTATTGACAAATCATTCATATATTGAATTTACAAAAAACAGTTTCATTTTAAATCGTCAACATGAATTTTGATCAACTAACAGACGAGCAAAAACAACAGCTATATATACAGCACTTACAACAACAACAACAACAGCAACTACAGCAACAACAGTACTACCAGCAACAGCAACAACAACAACAAAATGTATACAAACATCCAAATCATCAACAACCTCAAACAAATCAATTTATAAACAATATAGCTGACGAGAGTTACATGGATGAGGATACTACTCAGGTTATAGAAGAACCACCAGTATTGTTAGAAGAACATTCACCAATTAGAAATCAACAACATTTACAACCACAAGACAGTACATCAAGTTTTCTTCAAAATTCAATTCCATCACCTAGATTTGCACAAAATGATCAATTTGATTATTCGACAAATTCAAATAATAATGGATTTAATAAAAATGTCCAGTTTCATTCAGTAGATTCAATGAATTTTCAACCACCAATTAATAATTTCACTCAATTAAATAATAACTCAAGTACAAATTTATCAGAAATTAGTAGTGGTAATAATTCAGTTATATCAAATCCTCAATTAACAAATAATCAAGATTTAACTCCTCCGCCACATACTCCTACATCAGCTCAAATACCGCATCAACAACAGCATCAATACCAAAATCAATCACAGATATCACAACAGCAGCAACAATTGCAAGCCCAAAGTTATACGACACCACCATCTTCAAGAGGAGTTACTACACCTCAACAGCAGCAACAACAACAACAGCAATCAAAACAGATTCAACAACCACATCAATTTCAGCCTCAACAACAACAACAACAACAACAACAACAACCACAACCACAACAACAGCAACAACAACAGCAACAACAACCATCAAATTTTGTTGAGTTTCATAGACAGCCTCATTTATTACCAAATGAAATTCAAGACCGTGGTAAAGCTATAAAATTAAGAATGGAAAATTTTTATACAATGTCTGTAAATCATGCAATTGAAAGAAATCAAAGAAGAATGAATATGGAACAAAAATTAATTGAAGAAGGTAGTGGAGTATCAGAAGAAAGGAAAAACCGTCATATTCAAAATTATAGCAAGAAAGAAACTCAATTTTTGAGGTTAAGAAGAACAAAATTATGTTTAGAAGATTTTGATACTATAAAAGTTATTGGTAAAGGTGCATTTGGAGAAGTTAGATTAGTTCAAAAGAAAGATAATGGTCATATATATGCCATGAAAACTTTATTAAAATCAGAAATGTATAAAAAGGATCAATTAGCTCATGTTAGAGCAGAAAGAGATGTTTTAGCAAATAGTGATTCTCCATGGGTTGTTTCATTATTTTATTCATTTCAAGATTCCCAATATCTTTATTTAATTATGGAATATTTACCAGGTGGTGATTTAATGACAATGTTAATTAGATGGCAAATTTTTACTGAAGATATTACAAGGTTTTATATGGCTGAATGTGTTTTAGCATTAGAAGCTATACATAAATTAGGGTTTATTCATCGTGATATTAAACCTGATAATATATTAATTGATAGAAGAGGTCATATAAAGTTAAGTGATTTTGGTTTATCAACTGGTTTTCATAAAACTCATGATTCAAATTATTATAAAAAATTATTAGAAGAAAATCCAAGTAATCCATTACAAGCTAATCAATTAACTACTAATGGTCATGGTCATAATACAATGAATGGTAGAAATTCAATGATGGTTGATGCAATTCATTTAACAATGTCAAATAGACAACAAATGCAAACATGGAGAAAATCAAGAAGATTAATGGCTTATTCAACAGTAGGAACACCAGATTATATAGCACCAGAAATCTTTGTACATCAAGGATATGGACAAGAATGTGATTGGTGGTCTTTAGGAGCAATTATGTTTGAATGTTTAGTTGGTTGGCCACCATTTTGTGCAGAATCACCACATGAAACTTATAGAAAAATTATAAATTGGCAAGAAACTTTACAAATTCCAGATGATGTACATTTATCTCCAGAAGCAGAAGATTTAATTAAAAAATTATTAACATCATCAGATCAAAGATTAGGTAGATATGGAGGAGCAGAAGAAATTAAAACTCATCCTTTTTTTCGAGGTGTTGATTGGGAAACTATTAGAAAAGTTGATGCACCATTTATACCAAAATTAAGATCTATTACTGATACAAGATTTTTCCCAACTGATGAATTAGAAAATATTCCTGAAAATCCAGTATTAATAAAAGCAATGGAACAAAGAGAATTAGATGCTAAAAATGGTGGTAGAAAAAATCCAAAAGAAGATTTACCATTTATTGGTTATACTTATTCAAGATTTGATTACCTTACTAAAAAAAATGCTTTATAAAAAATATTGATGATTAAGATAGTATTGTATAGATTATATTATAAATAAAGAGTAATTGTCTTTTGAAGTGGTTCCACCTTTTCTTAATTAGATTTTGATTGCATTTACAATCTATGAACTTAAGACATGTTGCGAGCAATGAACTTAAATGAATCAAATGATTACAGCTGCATCGAAATTGATAACACCCACTTTCAACTAGGAAGGAAAATCAATCAAGATTAGCTTTACTGAGAAAGAAACGATTTAAAAATATAATTTTTCAATCATGAACTTATAAATCGTGATTATGTAATTTACGTAGATATGGCCTGATTAGGACATGAATCATGCAATAACTTAATATGTACGCTTTATAGAATTGATTGACATAAATCGGTTTTTAGTTAAGTGAGTTTTTTTTTAAAGCAAAAGCATTTAACAAAAGTTGCATAATTACGCAAAATCCAAATCGGTTATAAAATTTTATAAGAGAGGTTTATTTGAGTACATGCGGAATCATGATACTTATTTCAGTAACAACATCTTTTTCCTATTGTCTTTAATTAGTCCAACTTTTTGAATGGCTCTATGGTTTAACTTCAAGCAGTAAAGCATTTTAAAAAAACAAAAACTGTGTCTGTAGAGACCTTCATGAGCTTTGTAAATGACAATACAGTTTATTCGTAACAATGTGGTTGATAAAGCATTTTGGAAGCTAAAAGTTCAAATATGTTTCTGATCTACAACATCACTTTATAATTGAGCAATTTTTCAAGAACTATAACATTCTTTGTCTATTTATAAATTTACATTGGAACCATATTCTTATTTAGTAACAAATTGAAAATTCGTAAAAGTCTCTTAAGCGGCTTTCAGTTTTGTAACTCCTAATTTTTTATCAACTTAGTAATTTCTCCTTTTTTAAAGTGGTATGGTCCACTGAACTTTGAAGATAAACAGAAAAATATCATAACAGAACAAGGCTAATTTACCAAATTTGGGTATTTAATTGTTGCAGTCTGAAACCATTTTGAATTTCTATTCATAAACAGTGAGAAAATGAAAAAAAAAAATTCCGTGAAATCCGTATGCAAATCTCAAATTTTTTGTAACAATTATATGCAACTTTAAATTTAAAATTAAATGACTCCCGAAGGAAAAATAAGAAAAAATTCGGACCTAATCGAAGAAATCTAAGATTTGTTCCAACCCATTTGGTCGAGATCCATATTAGCCAGATAGCAAACAATTGAGAAATGTTTCGATAGTGTTGCTGAAATTATTCTAGTATATTGCTTGGTATAATAATGATATTAATAATGATATCATTATATTATAAAAGTAAGTCTGGATTAATGAGAGTGAAATTGACGATATTTGTCTTACAATAAGAAAGATGCAAGTAATTAGGTTTAAAATAAAACTAAATATCCATATCTTCGGTACTAAAAGAAGAATTTCATTAATTACAAATAGACTGAAAAATTAAAGTTTTATTACGAAAATAATTTTAATTTCATGTTGTCAATTAATGAAGTTGGTACAAAAACTGACTAATTACTAATACAAATTAGGCAAGTAATTTGTAATTTCTAAGTTACATTTTAGCAAAAATTCTGTCAGAACTGGTAATTTAGTATAATTAAAAGCAAGATTTAAAATTCTTGTAATGGTATGATTTTTCAAAGAATTTAACCATTGATTCTATTAGGTCTAGTCTAGTTTTACTTTAAATGTAAACTTGCTTTTAGTTGAGATATATAAAAAATTGCTCGTAAAGTATTTGGTAGCTATAAGTTCTGATCAAAATATAATTTTGTACTACAACTTTAAATTTAAAGTTATTTAAATTAATTGCGTTAAATATTTTATATTAATATTGAAACAATAAAAGAAATTCCAAATATTTGAGATTTACTAATTTGAGATGATTGAAGTGAAATTCAAAATAATTTCGACCAAAATGTAATTTACAATTACTTATGTTGTAGTTTCTCGAGGAAGAATTAATGATTAACAAAATCTTTTAAAGACATCTGTCAAGGAAAGTTTATAAGATTTTGTTACACTTTCTTTTAAATTACTGTTTTTTTGTTTTTTTTTGACGTAATTAATTAGATATAATTAGTAGATGATCTTTTATATTAATAGTAATAATATAATACAATTAATCGATTATACATATACTTTATCTGTATCATATATTAATATTAATAATATATTATGTATATTATATTAAAAATATATTAAAAGAATAAAGGAACAAAGAACAGATGAGAATATTTTCATTATAAATAATAATTTTATAATATGAAATATTTTTATAATTAAGTAGTAAATATAAATTAATAATTAGATTTAAATTTAGAATATAAATTTCAAAATATTACGGATATAAATGGATTTTTAATAATATTAATACAATTTAAAGTAATATATATGGTCATGTAATTATTTAGTAATATTGTTTCTAATTATTATATAGAGAATATATATATATATATTGTATAGTCTAGTATATTAATTATTATTATAAATTATTATTAATAAGAATAAATTTATTATCAAAATTTTTATTTTTTTATTTACAACCAAATTTATATAATATTCTTTTATTTCAAAGATATATTAATAATTATAGAGATCAATTAGTATTTGATTATCATTTATTAATATATATATATTCATATATTATTCAATCTTTAATTATTAGAGATTATTAAATATTCAATCAATATAATAGAATCATTTTGAAAATTAACTGACATTATAGAATTCAAAAATGAAAGTAACAAATATACTACTATTTTGCTTTGCAACAGCAACAATAGCGATGAATATGGATATGGATAATATGGAAGAAGATGGATCAATTGAATCTTTACATTCTAATTCACATTCTCATAACCACGATTCAGCTGATGAAACAACTAATTCAATTGATTCAATTGATTCTACAATTTCATCATTAGAACCAACACCTCATGTTATGAAACATCAACATGGTTTACCAATTTTACAAACTCATCTTTTACCTGAAGAAAAATTATTTTGGGAAAATTATAATACTACAACTTATTTTAATGTTAAAACAAATCATCGTTCTTCTTTATATTTACATATAATATTTGGATTAATTTCGATATTCATATTATATCCAATTACTTTGATTTTTAATAATTTAAATTTATCAAAAACTTATTTAATTTCATTAATTATTCATTCAAGTTGTTTAATATTTTCAATTTTTAATTATTTAATTTTTATAAATTCAATACCAAATCTTTATCCAGGAAATGCTTATAATAAAATGATAATTATTGTATTCGTGTCAACAATTTTGCAATTAATTTTAGCTTTTTTTAAAAATTTAGAATCTTCAAAATCAACTTCATTACATTCAGGTAATAAATATTTTAATTTATCTACTTCAATAAGTTCATCTGATGATGATGAATCATCACTGATTGATTCAACTCCATTAAATTATGAAAAAGTTTTTAATAAAGAAGAATCAAAATTATCAAAGTTACAAAATACTTTAAAAGTAAATAAATTAAGAGAATGGTTATCTAATTCTAAAATATTTCTCATTGTTAAAATTGCATTTAATTTATTGAATTGGGGTCATTTCTTTTATTTCCTTGTATTAGTTCCAACAGCAGTTGCAACATTTTGTTTATATGGGAAAGGTCAAACTGTATTTAATTTATTAGCTCATTTCATAAAAGGTGGAGTTTTCTTTGCATATGGTATGTTATCATTAGCAAGATATTCAGGTGCATTAAAAAATAAAGGATGGGCATGGAATTATAAATTTATTACAAATGATGAAACAATGAATTATTGGCAAAAATTCCAAAATAAAGGATTATGGACAATGGAAATGATTGAAAGTTCATTAATTTTATTTTATGGTTCTACAAATATTTTTTTGGAACATTTATCTAATTCTGGTGGAGAATGGTCACCTAAAGATTTACAACATGTTTCAATAGCTTTTATTTTCATTGGTTGTGGATTATGTGGAGTTATCACAGAATTAAAATTACAAGATTGGAGATATGAACAAGCAAAAGTTAATTATGAAAAATTAGCTATAATTAATGAAAATGATCAACATCATCAACAAGAAATTATTAAAGCATCTCCAGGTTATTCACCAAATCCATTCCCAATTTTAACTATATATTGGACAGGTTTATTAATGTCAAAACATCAACAAGCTTCTGAATTATCAACAGAAATACATGTTCAATGGGGTAATTTATTTATTATGGGTTGTGCATTTCGTTTTCTAACTTATATTTTAATGTTATTAAGTTCAAATAATTCTCAAAAAGATTTAACAAGACCAAATAGACCAATTACAGAATTAATTGTATCCTTTTGTTTATTATGTGGTGGTTCAATTTTTATGGAAAGTACTGATCCAATAATTTTAAGTTTTGAATATTATGGATTAACTTCAATGTTTACATTAAATGTTACTTTAGGTTTTATTACTTTATTCATGGGTTATATGATGGTCTTATTTGCTTTTAAAGATTGGTTAAAAAACAAATGTTCACCAACTGAAGTTGTTTAAAGTGTTGTTTTTTTCCCCCCATTAAGTTGATTTTTATTTTACTCGTTATTCGTTTTATTTGCTTTTTCTTTTAACCTAAAACTTTTTAATACCTAATTTTTAATTTTAATTAATTTATTTCTAAATATATACCTATATAGTATAATAAATACTATTTAATACTAAATATTGAAACTATTTGATTATACTGAGACAAAATAAATGTTTAGTGGTTGCAAAATAGGGTAGAGCTTGAAGGGTTCAAAATTCAATTTTTGTGATCTAGTATAAAATCGTATGTTTCATTAAAAAATGTAACATAGATGAAAAGAAATCGAATTTTCAAGTTTTTTCTTTTTTTTTCATTTATTTATTTATTTATTTATTTATTAATATAAATTTTATAATGATTGAATTAATATATAATTTATAAAATTACACATTTTTTAGATTTTTTAATAACAGGAGGTTCTAAAGCTGCTACAATAGCTTCATCAAATACAGTTTTTAAACCTCTTTGAGTTAAAGCAGAACATTCAACATATTTAACAGCTCTTAATTCTTTTGCTAATTTTTCACCTTGTTCTTGAGTAATTGGTGATAATTTTTGTCTTTGTAATCTTTGTAATATAACATCATCATTTCTTAAATCTGTTTGTGTACCAACAATTAAACATGGTACTCCTGGACAATGATGATGTACTTCTGGAAACCATTTTTCTTTAACATTTTCAAAACTTGCTGGTGATATAACTGAAAAACAAACTAAAAATACATCAGTTGATGGATATGATAATGGTCTTAATCTATCATAATCTTCTTGTCCTGCTGTATCAAATAATCCTAATGTAAATGGTTCATCACCAATCATTACTGTTACTGCATAATTATCAAAAACTGTTGGAACATAATCAGCTGGGAATTTTGAAGTTGTATATGATATTAATAAACATGTTTTACCAACCGCACCATCTCCAACTACTACACATTTTATTGTCTGCATTTTTTAAATATATTTAGAATTCTATATTTGAGTATATGAAAATTTTTTATTGAATAATTAATGATATGAATTTTGTGAATTCAAGTTTATGATATTATTTATAGTTATATTATTGACTTGAATTTACTATATTATATGACTTAAAGTATATGCTTGGTATTAAATTTTTTTTAATAGATGTGGCAAAATATCCCTTCTTTAATAGGCTCAACTTTATTGGTTTTATTAATGATTAATTGTTGAATTATGAATAAAATGATCTCAAATTGTAAATGAATTAAATTTAAAAATCTAATTGAATTGAATAAAAACGAAAGTTTGTAAAATATGATTGTATAGTTTATTAATTTTAATTAAAAATTGTCTCTCTAAACTTGATGATTATAGTGTCTAAGTAAAAATGATAAAGATTTATGATTTAATTATGAATATGAGATATACTAAATTAATAGATTTGGGTATTAAAGATGAAATCTAAAGCTTGTAAATGTAAAAGGTGATTTTGTTTTGTAGTTGTTTTTATTTATTCAATATTAATATTTAATAATATTATTTTATTGTTGTTGATTAATTAATTACTTTGGATTTGATATGGAAATCTTTTTTTTTTGTTTTTTTAATATTATTATTATTTTTAATTTTTAAATTTTTTTTTATCAAAATTTTTTTTCATTTGATTTAATACTTATTATTAGTTTGTGAAAGACTTCATTTATTAAAACAATACAGAATTTTGAGTAATATCGTAACGATCTTAAATATTTGTAATTACTATAGTTTATCAAAGCTGGAAGAATAATTTAACGTAGAGTAATTTACCTCGAAATATACTTAAATCAATTTGTTTATTATATTGAGACATTAAAACAAAAAAACAGACAGACACGTAAAAAAATAAATTATTATTTATTAGATTTATTAATTATTTATTATTTATTATTAAATAATCTAATGTCTTGTGAATTAAATATGACGATGAATAAAAATTAAGATAAGGGTTTTACAACTTATTTTTTTTAAGCTTTTATTGACCAAAACTCTAGTTCTCGAGGAAGTGAGTAGCATGTGAATTGAAGTATGAAATGCTTTTGATCATCACTTTGTGGGATTATTAGCGATCATAAAAATCAAATCAAAGCAAAAGTAATTTGTTTGTTTGAACTTTGACGTATTACCCCTATTATCGTAGTTCAATTTGTGGGTATGGCTCGACTTGAGTTAACCATAACCATTTTGAATTATACGCGTAGAATGCTAAGATGCATCTGTATCTAGAAGTTTTTAGAGTGTACTCAATACTACAAATTATATTGCCAATTATTTACATTAATTCCCTTCCATTATATATTAAATACCATATTCGTTAAATCATTATTATTATTATTTGTATTATTATCATTATTGTTACTATCATTTATGTTTACATTATTATTACTTGTACTTGCAAAATCATCATCATTGGTTTGTGTACCATTAACTCTTGCTATTGATGCTGATGGTGTTATATCAACATTTACATCAATTTCAAATTCATCACCATAATCATCAATAATTTCAGGTCCTCCACCCAAAAAATCCATCATCATATGCATACCTCCAGCTCCTCCAGCATATTCTTCAACATTTGAAGGTAATACTTGTGCTACACCTTCTAAAAACCATACTTTATCTTTCATTTCCATTGTAAACGATCTTAATAATTTATAATATGATCTCATTATTCTCATTGACTTAATATCACCACTCATTAATAATCCCATAAATTGTTTATCTAATAATGCAGGAAATGCAAAAATTCTTAATATAAAATCTGATTTATATCTTTCTTTATGTAATTTATTTAAATATGCTAGTGTTATAAGATATGGTGAATCAATTTCTACAGGGAATAAATCTGCTATATCTGAATCATGACATTCCAAATCTGTAAAATATTTTCTATTATTACCGTTTATCTTAGTTGTTTCATTCCCACCATTTAAATTAACTTTTTGATTCATTATATCTCCTAAATCTCCTAAATCAACACTTATAAATTTATAAAATCTTGATTGTTCTGTTAATGGCCATACAGCTGTTAATATTGTTGCCGCTCCTTTTACATGGAAAATCCAAGCTGATGCAGGTAAAGATTTTGGTGAAGTTGATGAAGGAAAAGATGCATTTGCTAATGAATCCATAATTAATATTAAAGCACTTGCAACTAATGCGTCTGTATTATCAGCATTGATATTTAATACAGCTTCTCTTAATAATCTCAATGCATCACCTCTATGACAAGTAACACATTGATCCAATCCCTTTTCGGTTCTTGACAAATGCGTTGCACTAAATGCTAAAATTGAATGCATTAAAAATGGATGTTCAAAAGCTAACATAGGTATATCATGAATCCATATATTTGTCTCTGAAATCCCAGCACCTGTTATTGTATTTGCAACTTGTGAAGTATAATGAAACATTAATTTTAAATCTAACATATTTAAACTACTTGAATTCATACTCTGTGCCAATGTTTTATTATTCATGGGTAATGAAGACGGTATCGACAGTGACAGATTTGGTGAAATTTGTGGTAATGAATTTGTTGCCTGTTGTTCTTGATTCTGATGAATATTTGGTGAAGTTGTAGAATCAGGTATTGTGAATTGAGGTGAACTAGAAGAACCAGCATTTTGAAAATTTAATGATGGATCAATAGCTTCGTTTATAATATTATTCTGATGCCTTGATTGTTGTTGCTGTGGCAATGGTGGTTGATTATTCAATAAAGCCTCGGCATTAACATTCCCACTTAATAAAGTTGCGGATATTTGATCCATTAAACCACCAGTTGCTCCTCCATTGGTATTTCCTAATCCATTTATATTACTTAAATCAATTGGTAATTGAGCTAAAGTAGCTAAATTCGACAAACTTGCCAAATTTCCAAGATTTATTAGATTACCCAAATTGGCTCCAATATCTCCTAAACTTGATAAATTATTGACTAAATGAGCAACATTCAAATTATTTAAATTTCCAGCACTTAATAAACCTGATGATAATGCATTTAAAGGATTTGCAAACAATTGAGCTAAATTATTAAGATTATTTGCTTGTTGAGGTACACTTGGACTTGGAGTTAGAGATGGGGTAGCTTGTTGTTGTTGCTGTTGTTGTTGTAGTTGTATTGACTCCAATTCATTTATACTGTTATCAATACTATTACTTCTTGATGATGGAATTGAGTTTGCATTTGATTTCTCCAGTTTTTTCAGTTTCCTTTGAACTTTTGGTTTTTTAATTTTCTCCTCTGATGTCTTGGATGATTCGGTTTTCTGTTTTTTTGGTTGTTGTTGTTGTTGCTCTTCTTCATCATCTTTGATATAACCACATTCTAATTTCAATTTAACACAATTTCCACATAAAGGTTTTTGTTCATCACATTTGACTCTTCTTCTTTTACAAGTTGAACAACCATATCTTGATTTTTGATGATATTTACGTTTACCAGTAGATGATTTTGATAATGATTTTTTATCTGTTGAAGTATCATTTGTTGCTAATTCAGACGCGTTATTTTTTGAATCAATTGTATCATCCAAATCTTTGATAGAATCCTTCATCTGTAGTATATTGTTATTAATAGTAGAATCTAGTAAAGAAGTAAAATTTGATTCTTCTTTTACTATCATTCCCTTTGTACAAGTTTAATATATCCGAAAATATTAAAGACTAAATTGTTGAAAAAAGTCAATTAAAATTAATTAAAAGTCGATTAATTAGATTTTAAAAAAAGGTAAAATTCTTTTAATTTTAAAACAATATGTTGAAAATTGTTTTTTGTAAACTTGTAATTACTAAATGATTTGAATAGATTCAATTCATAAATGAATAAATGAATAAAATGAATAGTTGTTAAAATATTATAAATATTTGTTGGTTGTATCTTTAATAAAATTATAAATTTAAATGTAAAATTTGGTTGTGAATTTTTTTTAACTTAATTAAATAAAAATATTTTTTCTTACATTCAATTTAAAATAATTATAATATGTTAATAATATATAGAAATAGACTATATATATATAAAATATGAAGTTTAATATGAATCTAAAAATTTTATACCCCCCTCTCTCTCTCTAGATCTAACTTGAATTTCAATTAATGTTAATCAATTCAATTGAGGCTATGGATTTATACATCATTTATTTATTGTCTAAATAAAGAGATTAGAATTATATATTAAGCTAGGAAAGTAATAATTCTTATTCTATTTAATAATAATTTTTTATTCGTCGTTTAAGAAAATTGATTATTTTTTTTAGTTGTAATAAAAAAATTAAACGATGTGAATTATTGTATAATAGACCACACTATTTCATAAATTCAATTATTTAATATCCGTATATTAATACTACCATATGATTTTTATTTACAATATGTTTTACAAACGGATCAAAAACTTAATATCCGAAATAGACTATATTTAATCTCAATTATGATGTATTATATTGTTAATTAATGATAATCAAAACAGGTATATTAACCGATTGAATTCAACTATTACTTATATATTATTTTTTGATCTGCGTAAAGTGATCTCAAAACTACAAAGGATTAGCCCATAGACTGTAATTGAGAAAGATCAATTCCAAATTAAAAAACCATGCCAGTATTTTTTAAATTTTGAGCGAAAAGAGTTTCACACCCAAGTCATTTTCGAGGCATACTTTAATGATTTTTGCCTAAGATTCATGAAAAAAATGCTTTGTACTATTAAATTTTTAAAATTTTTTATTAGTTGCAGATAATTTTTTTGATATGATAATATTTGGTTGCAAAAAAATTATTCTAATCGTAATTTTGTAAAAGATCAAGTCACATAAGCCATCAATTATTAAAAATAGTGATCACGGTAAAATTACTATTCAGTTACATGGAAAATGACATTACCACCATTGGAACAGAATACACCATTTTCTCAAAGTTCAACTGTATCAATCAATCAATTCGAAGATATTGAATTACTGACAGATGAACCAAAAGCTACAAGATTCTTCGAAAATATATTTAAATTTCCTCAATGCTTTAATAAGAGTCAACAAATTATGTCTCTACCTCAGATTAAGACAGAGATAACATCAACTATTGTTGAAAATCAAGAGAATGGTTTGATAAATACGCTTCCACCAACTAATAAGCTCGCAGTTGAAAATGGCAAATTTGGATTTTTGAAAAACATCAAATCGATCTTCAGTTCCAACAAAATTCAAGTAATTTATCTGGATTCCATTTCATGTTCGAAAGAAGATTTTGAAGAGATTTTTAGTACAGCTAAAACTTCAGAGACATTGGGTATTCGATTTAGAAGATTTTTCAACTTGGGGAGTATTAAGCAAAAGATAGGCGAGTCAATTGAAGTTCACAGTTTGAATTCACACAAATTTAAAGATGCTTTAGATAGCTTAGGATTAACACCAGCAAAATCAAAACCTAAAAAACTTATGAATTTAAAATCAATATCGATGCCAGACCTTAGAAAACCAGAACCCCAAAAAGTATGTGATGAAGAAATTATAAGTAAGACTGTTAATTTAGAATTACCAGTCGAAGTGAATAGAAAAGATGAAGAATTAGTTGATCCAGATTTTGATCCATATAGTCCAATTTATGAATTACCAACTTCAACTCCATCACTTAAAAGAGTTTTTTATCAACATGATGATTTTTTGAACTGGGAATTACCTTATTCTGATGCAAAACCAGATAAATTGATGGATAAATTTATACCATTAAGATCATCACCTACAAAAGTTAAAAAAATAGATCAAAAAAAGGGTCTTTCTGAAAGTAAGGTGTTTTCATCAAATTTTAACAGACTTCAAGATATGCAAGCTTTTAAAGAAGCTAAATTTATTGACTCTCCAAATTTTAGATTTGATTTTGAGAATAAAGAAAATGAGTTAATTATCAATGAATTAGGTGCTAATTTTGATGAGAAAAAACATGATGATGAATTTTTTTGTATTCATAGCTATCCATATGCGGTAACAGAAGAGTAATTTTCGTTTAATAATTAACACATTTTTTATCACTGAATTGCTAGTTTGATTTTATGAATATGTACAAAAATATACATAGCTGCAAAAAAATAAAAAACATACTCTGAATTTAGTTGCAAAAAATACTGTCATCAGATTTGACTGCTACCAATTACTCTCGTAAACTTTACTTAACCAATATCTAATTTTTGATTAATAAGAAGCTAGCTCTACTATATTCTTCAGTTTACAAATATAATATAGCACAATGTCTACAAAGCCACTTTGGTACCGTTGGGCGAGAGTATATTTCGCAGGAGCATGTTTAACAGGATTGGGAGTAGTATTATACATGACAATAAGGCCAACAGATGAACAATTAATAGCAAGTTTTTCACCAGAAGTAAGAGCTGAATATGAAAAATCCAAGGAAATAAGGCAATTAGAACAAAAAAGATTAATGGAGATTGTAAAACAAACATCCAAATCAAATGATCCTATATGGAAAACTGGTCCTATTGGATCACCTTTAGAAAAAGATCAAAGAAATTTGAGTTTAGAGTTGGTTGATCGTGAATTATTTCATAAAACTAAAGCTGAAGAAAAACAAAAGGAAGAGATAAATAAAAGTATTGAACAAAGTAAAGAATTAGAAAGATTAATTAAAGAAAAAAATGCAAAAAAATCTTGGTGGAGGATATTTTGATTGAAAGCACTTTTCAAATCAAAACAAAATCCCAAAATACATTAATTATTATAGTTCTGTTATATAGTTATTTTAATAAACCATTTTAAACCCGCTTGTATAAATTTTATTATCGACTCCAAAATCCTCTATCTCGTGACAAAGACAGTAATATAGATTGACCAATTGTAGAAGTACTACCATTCCCACTTGCACCACTTCCATTCTTTTGCATATTTGCTTCATCAACAGCAGCAACAATTCTTCCAATGTTCGTGTCAATAACCATTCCACCTTGTACAATTTCTTCCAATACAGTTTGTAAAACTTGCCATCCAAAAACTAAATCTAATTCACAAACATTAGTAAAACATTTATCCAAACATTCAACAAATACTTGAATTAAATCTAATATACCTAATTCTGATTCTTGATCATCTACTATAAATACAAAATATAATGTTGCATAATGACGATATATTACTTTTATATCTTCTAAATCTTCTAAAAGCTTTGGTGGCGTTATAAATGAGCATTCTTGTGCTGTCCGTACAGAAATTAATTGATGTACTTGTTGTAATAATAATCTTTGAGTTTGTATATCTACTTTTGTATAGAACTTCATTAATCTTGGTACTCCATCATTGTTGACTAAAAAGATCGTTAGTATCGAATTCAAACAAGCTAGTATTGATAGATTTACATACATATTAGTACTGAATGGATCATATTATTAGGTTGTAATTGAGTTTATGTTGATCGATAAAATTATGCAAATTTAAGAATCGTAAATTTAAAAAATTCAAACGGTTTTTTTGTTCTACTTAGATCCGAATTTTTCATATTTTGTAACCAAACCATTCAAATTAAACTACAAGTGTAAAAAAAAGTATAACTTCAAAATTTTCAATGTCACTCGAGGAGGCTAAGGAGTTGGATCTGAAGTACCCCGCATATAAGTCAAAATTTAACATCCCCACATTTCAATCATTAGGTATTCAAAATGAAAAGTTTTCAAATGATACAGAATCAATATATTTATGTGGTAATTCATTAGGTTTAATGCCTAAACAAACTTCAAAAGCTATAAATGATGAATTAAATGCATGGTCAATGAGAGGTGTTGAATCACATTTTAATCATCCAAATGAAGAATTAACAAATTGGGTTGATATAGATTTACCTTTAATTCCATTATTAACTCCATTAGTTGGTGCACAAATTAATGAAATTGCAATTATGGGTTCATTAACTTCAAATTTGAATTCTTTATTGACTCATTTTTATAAACCTCAAAATAAGAGAACTAAAATTTTATTTGAAAAACAAGCATTTCCTTCTGATTATTATGCATTTTTAAATATTGTTAAATTAAATGGGTATGATGAATCTCATTTAATACAAATCGACATACCTAAAGGTGAAACTTATTTATCTACTGATTTGATACTATCTACAATTGATAAAAATATAGATGAAATTGCATTAGTTTGTTTGCCTGGAATACAGTACTATACCGGTCAATTCTTTGATATTTCATCGATTACACAACATGCTAAGTCCAAGAATCCAGAAATAATAGTGGGTTGGGATTTAGCGCATGCAGTAGGTAATGTACCATTAAAACTACATGATTGGGGAGTTGATTTTGCAACTTGGTGTTCATATAAATATTTAAATTCTGGTCCAGGAGCAATAGCAGGTATATTTGTTAATTCAAAATATACAGAAAATAATTCATCATCAAATTATAAGCCAAGATTAGCTGGTTGGTGGGGGAATAACAGAGAAGAGAGATTTAAAATGTTGGAGAAATTTGATCCTATAGCATCTGCATTAAGTTATAGACAACTGAATCCAAGTGTTATTGATTGTGTTGCATTAAAATCTTCATTGGATTTATTTAATGAAATTGGAGGAATTGAACCATTACGCGAAAAATCAATAAAGTTGACATCATTTTTGGAGAAATTATTGACATCTAATAAATTTTATATTCCACAAGATAGTGTTGATGATTCAAAATTTGGATTTAAAATATTAACACCATTAAATTCAAATGAAAGAGGATGTCAATTAAGTATATTATTTCAACCACATAAAGACACAAAAGAAGAGAATGTAATGGAGAAAGTTTTCAAATATCTACATGATCATGCTATAATTTGTGATGAAAGAAGACCGGATGTCATAAGATTAGCTCCATTACCTTTATATAATACATTTGAAGAAACTTATAGAGCTTCTCAAAGATTATTCGAAGCATTAGAGTTAATAGAAAAAGATTATACTAATTAAGTTAATTTTATAGATACATATATAAATCATTATAATGAATTTACGAAAGAAAGACAACTACAATTGTGACTCTCAATTTTTACTTAACAAATATTTTGTTGCATTTCACTCAATAAATACGTGGGCTATAAAACTCTTATAAAGAATGAGCATTATGGAAATCAGTACCAGCATAAATAGCATCATCACCTAATTCTTCTTCAATTCTTAAGATTTGATTTAATTTAGCTAATCTTTCTGATCTAGCTGGTGCACCAGTTTTAATTTGACCTGATCTAATACCGACCGATAAATCAGCAATAAAAGTATCTTCAGTTTCACCTGATCTATGTGAGACCATAACACCCCAACCAGCAGCATATGAATCATTAGCAGCTTGGATTGATTCAGTTAAAGTACCAATTTGATTAACTTTTAATAATAAAGCATCAGCAGCTTTAGTTTCAATAGCTTTTTTAATTCTAATTGGGTTAGTGACAGTTAAATCATCACCAACAATTTGAACTTTACCATCAATAGTCTTAAAGAAATGACTCCAAGCTTCCCAATCATCTTCAGCAAATGGATCTTCAATTGAAACAATTGGATATTCTTTAATTAATTCACCATATAATTCAGCTAATTGTGGACCTGATAACCATTGTGATTTATCTGAATCTGGATTTTTGAAATCTAAATCATATTTACCATCTTTATAAAATTCTGATGATGCAACATCCATTGCAATATCAACTTTACCTTTGTGACCAGCTGCTTCAATTGCTGAAACAATTAAATCTAAAGCTTCTTTAGCAGTTTTGATATCTGGAGCAACACCACCTTCATCACCAACATTACCAGCTGATTGACCATATTTCTTTTTGGTTAAAGTTTTTAAGTGATGGTAAACTTCTGAACCAATTCTTAAAGCTTCACTGAATGATGGAGCTTTTGATGGAACAATCATAAATTCTTGGAAAGCTAAATCACCACCAGCATGAGAACCACCATTTAAAACATTTTGGAATGGGACTGGTAAAACATATTTACCTTCTTTGGCATTAGCAATATCAGCAATATGTTTATATAATGGAACATCTTTTTGAGCTGCACCAGCTTTAGCAGCAGCTAATGAAACACCTAAAATAGCATTAGCACCTAATTTTGATTTATTTGGGGTACCATCCAATTTTAATAAAAAATCATCAATTTTAGTTTGATCAGTAACATCGATATTTGCTTTAATTAATTCTGGAGCAATTTCATCATTAACATTGGCAACAGCTTTTAAAACACCTTTACCTAACCATTTTGATTTATCACCATCTCTTAATTCTAAAGCTTCATGAACACCAGTTGAAGCACCTGATGGTACAATTGATCTAAAAGTACCTTTACCAGTAGTTAATTCAACTTCAACAGTTGGATTTCCTCTTGAATCATAAACGTATCTTGCGTGAATTTTTGAAATAGACATTGTGAAATAAGTTAATTAATTAATTGAGATTGATATAATATAATTTATAAAGATCAATTGAGTCAATTGCTTAAGAATAAGAATTAAGAAAAAGGAAAAAGAAGAAAAGAAGAAAAAGTAAGGGTATTAATATTTAAAATTGAACGAAAAAAAAATTATTAGTTGTGTGTAAAGTTGTGTGTGTGTGGAATTAGATTTTTTTGAATTTTTCAATTTACATATAACTATTAAACATTTACATATAAAAACGGTTTAATGAAATCCGCGTTAATGTATGAAAAAAAATTAATAGTATATGAGTTTTAACACTGACTCATGTTTTCCAAGAATGACCTGATGATTGACTTGATTAAAGCATTTAATTGGGAAGTTTGATAATTATTTCTCAGGAACTTAGAATTTCCGTTCAATACATTTAGTTACTGTTTCAAATTTGCAGTAATTTTATTGGAATATTTTTTTTACGGTTTAATGGATAATTATTTGAAACAATTTTTTTTGAGAAGTGACATTTTCGCATTATCTTTACAGTTTGATTCATACTCTAGTTCAATAATTTCTACAATTGATGGCCTTGACTCTTTCCTCTCCTACCAAACTTGATTATTAACTTTCTCAAATTTGGATGAATCTTAGCATTGATCTGAAGTAATGATGAACAGACTTTATACCGCAATGTAATTAATTTTGCAGCCAATCTCCGGGATTTTAATCTGAAAATTCAAACTGTGAAATATGATTCAAAGATTATAAAGATCTACCATCAAAGATTATAAAGATCTACCAGAGGATGATTTTGATTCTTTTGCGGTGTTTATTTGGTAAATGACTAAACTGTGAACTGATCTTGTATCGTCTTGTCTCGGAGCTCAATTTTGCAACCAATTTCCGGGATTTTGATCTTAAAATTTAAACTGAGAAATATGATTCAAAGATATAAACATCTAGCTGAGGATGAAGTTGATTTTTTTGCGGTGTCAATTTGGTAAATTACTAAAATGTGATATAATTGAGAATCTATTTATTGTTTGGTCATTTGTTTCAAAGAATGACTCTTTCTCTTCAGTTCCCCGCAAATCAGTATTTAATTGCAATTCATGAGGATCAGAAGCAACATGACAAAATATGACCAAATGCAATTGTTATGCAGCAAGACTTTATTCGTTTGTAAGTTTTACCGTTTGCAAATATTACTAAAACTTATCACCTTGTTTGAAAGCAACAACATCGAATTTTTCCTCGAAACTTTAGAATTGTTTTTGCACTTGTATTAGGAAAGGTAATTTAACTTAAGTTTGACCAATGAGCTTGTAAATTGCCTCTATACTTTTCCAAAAGTGGAGAACAGATGAGTGTAACTAGTATGTTTTGACGGTATAATTGTTGCAAATTTTTTGGGACTTGGTAGCTCAAGCAATTTTATTAGTTACTCAAAAACACCAGTCTTCAAATATCAATATCCATAACATTTTCAACTTTATCAAACATATATTATGGCAAATGAAGAATCAAAGAATACTAAAGATGCAAAAAAGCAAGATAACAATAATAATATAGAGGGTAAAAAAAGCACCTCGATCGAATCAAAATCACCATCAAAAAGTGATAACAAATCAACAAACAACAACAATAACAATAACAACCACTCACAAAAATCATCTACTTCATCAAACAATAAAGCAATAAAACCAACTATGGACAAATACAATGACTTAAAAAAGAAATTAACTCAGCAAATACTAAAGAAACAAGAAATCAATCAAAAACTACAGAAACTAGAAGAATCAATATATCAAAAAGAAACTGATTATTTTGAAGAAAGTACAATAGGTAATATAGTTAAAGGATTTGAAAATTATTCGAAGATAAGTGGTGGTAGTAGTATAGGTGGTACAGGACTCATGGGAAATAAAAGAAGAATTGTATATACTGAAGATGATCATATATTCAGTTTGAGTTCGATAAATTTTATTAAAAGAATGAATAAAAGAAATGGATCTAATTCAACTTATGTAATTAATGGAAGTACTAATGGTACAGAAAATGGAAGCATAAATAACAGTAACAGCGCAACTACAAAAAATTTAAATAATACACTACAAACCATAATAAATTCAAAAGATGATTTCGATGAGTATGAAGATTCAGTTGATCCAACTAGTGTAAATCTTGGTATTAAAATTACGCCGTCAGCCAATGACAACAAAAGTGATAGTGCCTCAAGTACTCCATCAAGGAAAAGAAAAGCAAGAACTATTGAAGATTAAATTAACAAATTTAAAAAAAGTTGTCTATTTATGATAATTGTAATATATATACAAGGTATTATTCAAGAATATCTATTTCTTTGGATTATATGCATAAACCCAAGGTTTATTAGGTGGGTATTCTGTAGGTACTCTCATTTCTATAGGGAAAGTAGTAAATTTCAATTTACTTTTGGTATTAGCGGCATCAAATAATTCAGGACTTTCATTTTTTAAACTTTCCATTGCATTATATATACTTTTATATTGTAAACTTAATTGATGATCTTTTCTTTGTTGTTGTTTTCTTTTTAATAATTTCCATGCATTCATTATAGTTCTATGTTTAATTAAATCTTCATTACATAATTGAATTAATCTTGATTGTTTTCTACTTGCTGATAATACTGATAATTGATTTACTATTTTTTGAGTTGATGAATTTAGTTGATTTGTGGCTGCTTGTCTTTTAAATCTTTGGAAAACTTTTTGCGCTAGGTTTATGGTATTTTGTGGTTTATTTATTGGGAGCATTTTGAGAAAATTTAAGGGTTAGGTGATGGTTGGTTAGAGGATGATTAATTTTATATGGTATTTTCTTTGTATGCGATATTTGAATTGTAAATTTTTCAATATATTTGAAAATTATTTTCAATGTCATGATTTATAAAGTCATGTCAGTGTGTCAGACAAACAACGTGACACAAATTTTTACAAAAGCAAACTTATACGGGGTAATTTAATTTATATTTTAGTTTTTATTTAAATTACCAATTGGTTTATCAGTAAGTAAGATTCATAAGTTCAAAACGCAAAAATAAATACATAATGTCAGACGAAAAAGAGAAATTGAGACAAAAATACAAACAAGAAGAATTAAATGCTTCATCACTGCTGAAACAATTACCAGATGCACCACCAGCATATGATGATATTCAAGGCCAACAAAATCCATATAATAACAATAACAATTACCAACCAACACCACCACAACAGCCCCCACAAAGTCAATTTGGCTACAACAATCAGCAATACCCACCACAACAACAATACCAACAAGATCCAATGCAAGACCCAAACGTTTACAAAGTACAACCAAATTTAGTTAATATAAATTATTCACCACCAGAACATTTACAACCTCAATATCAAGAATTTAAACAAAATCAACAACAAAAAATGGCAAGAGGTGAATTTAGTGCTTCTAGTTCAAAACCTGAAATAAATAAAGGTCATACTTCTAAAACTACAAAGATACAACTGAGTTTTCCTGGTGCTAGTGGTGCTACTTATCATAATGCTGCTAATAATCGTTGAGAGTATTATATGAAGAAGTTTAACAAGGTTTTCGATTCTATTCTTTTTTTTTTTTACTTTGTTCAAATTAATTTAGTCCTGGCTAATGTCAAAGAGATAATAACTAAGAATGGTTAACAACTGATCAAGATCATTTTTCAGAGTTAAACGGTCTACAAATTCATCAATAGATAGACAAAAATACCTTATAATGTTTGTAACTATCCAATTTAATAAACCTCTATTTGATCAAAGCATATTATCACCATTATAAGTCCAACCACCAAATTGTTTTTGTACACTTTCAGTTAAAAAATCATCAACAACAGAATCCTGAGGTTTTTCATTTGTAAAATCTTGATCAAAATTCGAAGTATCTAATAAATTTTCAACATTTGGTTTAAAAGGAGGCAAATAACTTTTATTTAATAATTTATTCCAATCAATATCTTTAAAAAATGAATGATTTTTAATTTCTTGTGCATCATCTAATCTTTGCAGTGGATCTTTTTGTAATAATTTAATTAATAAATCTTGAGCATCTGTACCTTCTAAAAATGGTGGGAATCTTAATGGATTTTGTAAAATTTTCTTATACATTGTTGGAGAATCTGAATCATAAAATGGTGGTAAACCAGTTAACATTTCATATAATAAAGTTCCCAAAGTCCACCAATCAACACTTCTTGTATAACCTTGATTTAATAATAATTCTGGTGCTAAATATTCAGGAGTTCCACAAAATGTATTTGTTTTATCATCATTACTCATATTTAATTTACATAACCCAAAATCACAAAGTGCTATATGTCCTTGATAATCCAATAATATATTTTCTGGTTTTAAATCTCTATAAATGACATTTAATTCATGTAAACTTTCTAAAGCTGTCAATAATTCAGCTATATAAAATCTTGATCTATCCATTGAAAATTTACCTTCTCTTTGTAAATGCCAAAATAATTCACCACCATTTATAAATGATAACACCAAGTATAATTTTTCTGGTGATTGAAATGAAAATTTCAATGGAACTATAAATGGATTATTTATTCTTGCTAAAACTGTTCTTTCAGCTAATGTATGAGTAACTTCCATTCTTGATACAATATGTTGTTTTCGTAACGTTTTTAATGCATATATTTGTTTTGTATCCTTTTTAACTACTTGCATGACTTTACCAAATGATCCTTTACCAATAACTTTTAATAAATCGAAATCCTCAATAGAAAGATGCTTTTTGGTAAGCGGTTTGAACTCTATTGTAAGCATAATTTCTCCCATTTCTTTTGAATTTGTATCATTTCCATTAACATTATAATTTGTAAAATTTAAATATTCATGATGCATTAATCTAATTTGTTGAGTATGTGATTTCGGATTTAATGGTAATTTTATTGTACCAATTAATAAATCCCCTATGTTAACAGGTGAAGCTGAAGTATTTGAAGAATTTGATGACATTGATCTATTTTGATTAGTAGAATCTTGTTGATAATTTGTAAATAATTGTTTATTTCGAGATTTTTCACTATCTGGAATTAACATATTTGGTAACCTTATAAATAAATTTAAATTAAGAAATTGTGACTCAACATTTTTATTTGATGCTTTATTTGTAACATCAAACGATACTACTTGATTCCATGTTGATTGGTTAACTGTACCCTTTTGCGGTTCTATTACTAATACATTATTATCAAATTCTATGGTTAAATATAGTAATGATTTAACAAGACTTTCAGCATTAGGGATAGTTATTATTGAAGGTAAAAATTTTGTAGCTAATGATCCAGGTAAATAATCAGCATCATTTTCTTTTGCTAAACTTTCCATATTTTTTAATAATTGTTGACCAACATTTTCATTATTTGAATTTATAGCTAATGCATGTAAAATTTGTTTATTATTATTTATTTTAATAGGTAATTGAATATTTTGTGATCCATAAATTTTAACAGTTAATAAACCAGGTGAAGAAGAAGAAGAAGAAGAAGAAGAAGGATTTGAATTTTGAACATCTTCTAAACCTGATGTTGATGATGCTTGTCCTAATGATGTTGCTTGAGATGATGATGGAGATCCATTATATTGAGAAGAATTAGATGTAACATTTGAATCAGTAGAAGGTGGTTGTAGTATATTATTAGAATGTATTCCATTAATATTATTATTATTATGTAATTGTTGTTGTTGAGTACTTTTTCCAGAACTTTTTCTACTTTGTTGTGAAGATGAAGGTTGACCATTATTATTATTTACTGATAATTTATTTACATCATCAGTTAAATTGTCTATTGATATAGTTTTTCTTGAATCAGATGAACCTCTTATTGATGATTCTGTTGTCGTTATATCATTATGATCATCATAAGTAGTTGAAGAATTTGTTATTGAACCTTCAGGTGAATTTGATGAATTGTTTTGTTTTTCAGTAGATGAACCAAATTTTAATTTATTTTTAAATTTAAACATATCAATTAAATGAATAGCTTCTGATTATTGAAATTTTCCCCGAGAAATTAAAGTAATTTAAATATATAGATTGAAATTTGAAGAATTGCCTTTCAAATAAAGAATGTTTTGTGATAAATGAGAAATGATATATATATATATATAAATATATATATGATTATAAGATTAATAATAAACGAGTCTGTAAATATAATATATTAATATTAAATATTTTTTTGTAATATCTGAAATTATTATTATAATCTTTTAAATTTTTGTTGATTTTTATAATTTATTTTGTAATTTTTGTGATTCTAATATTATTTAAATTATAAACCTAATATTCTAAATATATATATCTCAATTTTTTAATCAGATAAAAGTTTTGTATAAGTAAAATTAATTGAACAATCATCAACAGATATCAGAGATTGAATACTAAATGGACCAATTATTCCCATGATAAGTTTCAACAAGAATATACTTAATAGATTTGATTTGCATCACTTAAAACTTAAATTTTTAATCAAATTATGAAATTGGTCTCGGATAAAAAACTAAGTATAAAAAGAATATTGTTTTATTTTTTTCATACATCAATTAAAAAAAATCCATTCCAACCGTAAACTTATTGACTACTAATTAGAATAAAATATTTTTTCACTTAGATCTATATCCTCTACCTAAATAATACTAAATAATAACCTTATTAAACGATTTAAAGAAAAGTTGTCAACTTAAAGGCTTAGACAATTATTATTTAATGATTTATCTCTTTGATCATGCGAAGTTCATCATTTTCCAAAAAATTATATCAATTTTCGTATAGTCATACAATATGATAAACAAATAGACTGCATTTACCGCTCCCTGTGTAGTAGATAAGGAGCTTATTGATACCTTTCGATTTTTTATGATAAAACAGTCAATTAAATTTTTTAGTATAATTCATATGAAATGATTGCAAAAATATATTATGACGTGTCATATTTATTAAAACCATGACATACACAAAAAATGCGATACACTACGTATTTGTTTACAATTAATAAATATACAATTTGTATAGTGCTGGATCAGAATTTTACAACCATCATTTTAATAAAAATAACTTGATAAATCAAACTGGCGATCAAATTTAATGCACTAACTAATATACCTTATGAAAATATAGAATGAACATTACATTGTCGATAATGGAAGATATAGAAAATTATTACCCAAATAAAAGATCCAATACTGATCCATTTACGTTTAAAGAATTTGAATCAATAGATAACAAGAATAATAATCATAAGAGCGATTCTGTAAGCTCATTAAAAGGCCATAACAAAAGGACAAAACCATTACAAGAATCATCAATAAATACCTTTAAATCAAATCATCCATTATTGAATAAAGCATTTACATCACCAATAAAAGCAACACATCATAATAATAATCAAAATCTAAAAAAGAGATCACCAACTACTCCAACCATAGCATTAGCTTCGAAATCAATGAGAAGAAAATTTGATATCCCTAAATTAAATTCAAATTTGATAAACTTATCATCACCAACAAAAATAAATCAAAAATCTCAAAATGCTCAAAAATTAACAAAATCTGATCTCGATAATGATGAAATAATCGAATGCTTTGAAGTAAAATTACCTGATTGGTTTGGATCATCAATAAAAGAAGCTAATACAAATATGGAATTATTTATTGCACAACAGAAATTAAAAGATATGGAAGAAATTAATGAATTTTTAATTATGGAAAGGAAATTTGAATTGGAAACTGCCCTATGAATTCAATCTATATAAAATTTGTATATCTTCCAAAAATTTACTAATAACTAGCATCATTAAAAACTGTGATAAACACAATGCCATTTTACTTTTCACTTCTTGTATTTTTAAAATAATCTTTTAGTTTATCTTCATTAGCATCAAAATAATCACCATCTCTAGAATTAATCCAATCATTATGTCTTTTTAACATTTAATGTTTAATTTTTCATCTTCTCTTGAACCTCTTCTACCTAAATCTTGATTTAACCAATATAAAGCTAATGGATGTAACGTATTTGATTTTTTTATAATTATATAATCATCTTTTTCTTGTTCTTCAACATCTTCTTTTATATTTGAATCAAATTTAATTTTATCCATATTTATATCATCTATAATTTTACCAGCATCAATATGTAATATTCTATCACACCATTCATTACCTAATCCATCAAAAATATGAGTTGCATAAATAACAGTACAATTTCTTTCTAAACATTCATTTTTTAAATAATTTAATAATTTTGATCTTACAACAACATCTAAATCTATAGTTACTTCATCTAATAATAATAATTTCCAAGGTTTTATTAATCCCATTGCAATTTGTACTCTTCTTCTTTCTCCATCTGATAAATTTATCATTGACCAATTAGGATCAATATCTAAAATATCAATTAATAGATTTCTTCTATCAAGATATAAATCTCCACCTATTGAACTTAATAATAAATTAACTGGTATATCTCTTTTAATTACTGAATTAGTAATCCATTCTGTTCCTAAATAAGTTATATAATTATTTATATCTGAATTATGATGTTTCTTCTTGGTGGAAAATTCAAATGGATCAAAACCTCCTAGTTTTAATTTCCCCTTTTTAATTAATGTCTTACCTGCTAATATTCTTAATAATGTTGATTTACCTGCACCATTGGGTCCTACTAAAAGCACACGTTTCAGCCAGTTGACTTTTAAATCTATATCTTGTACCCCTATAACTTGCGAATTTGATGAGTTTGAGTGTTTGGGAAATTCATATGTTAAATTTGTTACTTCTATTGCTAATGAAGTATCATTTTTATGATTCTCTATAGTCATGATATAATATGAGTGACTTTGATTAATCTATAAGGTTCGTTTAATTGACTTTTGGTTCTACCGAGTCAAAGTTTACAATTTGATATGCAAATTGTGATTGTAAAATAAATTGTGATTGTAAAAATAGTAGTAGATTTATTACATCATGAATATTAGTTTCGTGGAGTGATATTTGAAAAGCCGTTTTGTTAATTTTGTGTAATTATAAGCTGAAACGTCACCAGCCTCACGTGATATCGAGTTTAAAAATAGGAACTTAATTTTACTAATTCATAAAGAGTTGGTTGTCATAATAATACAAGCTTAAACTTTTATTGAATTATTTAAAAATCTATAACAACCTATAAAACTCAACTTATTTCATTAAACCAAGATAAGATATCAATTCTAGTAGGTATATTATCTAAATCATTGAAAATAGTTTTGATATCATTTAAATAATCTTCATCAAGATTTTCATTTTTGATAAATTTTCTAAAATAAGTTTTCAATAATCCCAAATACTCATAAAATAACCATTGTTTATCAACTTCAGATGCATTGCTTCCATCTAATTCATCTATTTTAACAATATCATTGACGCCTAATTCTAAATCATTCAAATTTTTAACAATGATTGTGAATAATTGATGAACTAAAGTCTTGATTTCATTTTGTGATGATGAAGCTTTTGTATTTTCTAAAATTCTGTTTATTGATTCCATACATGAAACATTATCAATAATAAGATTTGATTTTAAAGCCTTTGTAATAACATATTGAGATTTTATAATTCCAAATTCTATTAAATTTTCTAAGATTAAAAATACAACTTGTGGTTGATGAATCCAAACTCTGAAAATTGAATCAATTATCCAATTTTGTCTATTTGTTATATCTTCTTCAGATAATTTCAAGTCTGTGAATTCTTCTTTGGATTTGTTGTCAGTTATTTCACCACTTAAAAATTTCAATTTTTCAACATCCCTACTTAATATACTGACTTCTGAATAGATTGATCTAGATCCGATGTATGCATATGTTTGGAAAATTAAATTTATTGCAAATTTTTCGGATATTGGGATTTTTACTGATTCAGACTCTTCATTAAATTTATTAACATCTTCAATTATGGAATGGTATAATTCATCAAATTCTTTATCTGTTTTGTGATGTGATATAATAAATTCATAAACTCTTGATCCAACTTCATTTAATGGTAATTCTGGGTTTGTGAAGTTATAAAATAATTCATCCTGAAAACTGACCATATTTTTCAGTTGTAATGCTAATTGCTTTTGGTCATAAATTTCTTTAATCTTGTCTTTAATTTCTGGAGAGTTTCCGTATAAGCTTGAGTCATAATTTATAATATATTCTTCAACATTTGTGAACATTGATATATTTAAATATTGATAAAATTCATCAAAATTCACAACATCTTCATCAACCACATCCATAAAACTATCTTTGATTTTCCTTTTGTTCGATAATCTAATTTCTTTTGCAATTAAATTTCTTATAAAATTCTTCTTTGGATGATACCTTAAACTTGCATATTCTTGTGAATCACCAATCCATTCTTCCCATTTCCAACTAAATTCAAAATTTGAAATTTGTGTAGTCATCCAATCCAAAAATCTAATTTTCAATTCATAATCTAATGTTTGTAAATTATTATAAAAATATCTAATAGCTCTACCAAATACTGGTGCCATTGATTCAGGACTTTCTTTACAACATGCAATTAATACTGTATAATAATAAATTTCTCTATGTAAAGTTCTTGGTAGTTGGAAAATCATAGTCAAAATACTTTCAACTGCAATATCTTCGATTTTCCAAGTTGATAACATTGGAATATTTTCACCATTCTTGTTGTCTTCATAAATTAATGATAATTGATCAATTGATGTACCCATTGGTGCAAATAATTCCTTATTAAAAAACAAATCTAAAATTGATAATTGAATTGATGCTTCATTTTTATTGAAAGACAAGTTTGTTAAAATATCAAATGAAATATCTTTGAAAAATAATCCAATGTAAGATTCAATAGGTGGTACAGTTTCAAATTCAGTATTTTGATTATAAACTTGAAACAATACTCTTGAGTTTTGTTGCCATAAAAGATCAATATTTTCTTCATTTGTTGGTTTATAATTTTTCATTTTCTCTTGTGATGGTAATGAGAATTGTGGTAACTTATGTTTGATCAAATCTTTTGAAACAGAGTTGTTTTCTAAAGAATTTTTTATAATTGGGTCCAAAAATGGTTCAAAATCTAAGAATAAACTCAATTGCCAGTCATTTTTTTGTAATTGTTTTAATGATGGTAAGATTAAGTCAATCATTTTTTTAGGCTGGTAAGGGATATCTAAATTATCCATTTTTGAATCAAATGGTTGAAGCATCTTATTTGTTTCTGGTTCAATAATTGGGAATTGTTCTGCCAATTCAATTATATCATTTAAAAACCCATGTAATTCTTCACTTTTATCATTACTTAATAAATAAGGTGTTGCAACTAATACATTATAAAAAATTTCTTGAGCTATACCATTTCTACTATCTGATGATGATTGTAAATCTATAGCAAATTGTAAAAACTGTTTAAAAATATTTATAGTTGAGTAATCTTCAATTATTGGAGTAATTGCACCAAAAAATTTTAAAATACTTTTGATGTTATTAAAAACTCCTGCATTTTCTTTTAAAGAATTATCGTTCCCACCAATTGAATCTAACAAGATTTGTATTTTACCATGTAAAAATTCAACAACATATTTTGCAATAACAAAATTTTTAGAATTACAAATAAATACTAAATTTGCAATTGCATTTATTTTATGAGGTTGTTCAATAATTAATGCATATAAAGTTGATAAAATTGAATTTCTTAAATTATCAATTTTTTCAAATTCTGCAACTATTGGATTTGATATATAATTCACATCTTCAATTTGTGTACTTATACTGGGGTTTTCTCCTAATCTTCTAATATCTTTACAAACATTATTTATTAATTCTTGAGCTGGATCTATTCTTTGTCTTTTTGAATCAAAATCTGATTGTGATGGTTGTTGATAATTACTTTCAAAACCTTGTCCTCCTTCAAAAGTATCTCTTGATCTTTTATTTGAAGATTCAAAGTCCATTGTAATGGATTTATTATTAATGAGTGACTGAAACTTGTGCTGCTAAATGTTTTATCAATTTTTCAAGTTTTATTTTTCACCGAAATTTTTTTTTTTTTTGGCTGCACAATTTTGAATCAATTTAGTTCCAAAATATTATTATTATTATAATTTTCAATGACTAAAATATTTGATCAAAAAGTAATTATAGATGGTGCATTGGGTACTGAATTAGAGAAATTAATAGACCCCACAGCCTCATATTTACCAAGTAAAAGCCCATTATGGTCAGGTCAAGTATTAATAGATGCACCACAATTAATTGAAAAAGTTCATCAAAATTATATAGAGTCGGGTGCAAATTTATTAATAACGTCAACATATCAACTTTCTTACGGTAGTTTAAAGAAACATACTAAATTAAATGATAAAGAAATTACAGAATTATGGCAAAATTCAATAAATGTTGCTGAAGAAGCTAAATCAAAAGCAAAAAAGCATAGTGATTTAGATAAAATATTTATTGCTGGTTCAATGGGTCCTTATGCAGCTTATTTGGCTAATGGTTCAGAATATACTGGTGATTATGGTGAAGTAAAAGATGAAGAATTACGTAATTTTCATGAACCAATGATTGATTTTTTTTATAATAATGATAAAGTTGATTTAATATTATTTGAAACAATTCCTAATTTTCAAGAATTAAGAGTTGTAAATGAAATTATGCAAAAGTATCCTAATAAAGATTATGTATTAAGTATAACTTGTCAAACAAACGATAAATTAACAGATGGGACTCCATTATCAAAAATAAAAGAATATCTTGATAATAATTATAAATCAAAAATATTAGGTATAAATTGTGTTGATTATATTCTAGTAGATAAAATCATATCACATTTTCCAGCTTATAAATTTTATATATATCCAAATTTAGGATTTGAATATGATTCAAAAATACATCAATTTAAACCCAAAGATCATGGAAGTGATATAACATGGGAAAAATTCATAAAAAATTTACATAAAAATAATAATGTTATTGGAATTGGTGGATGTTGTAATACTGGACCTGAAGAAATAAACCAGATTTATGAAATATATCATTCTTAAATTGTACATAGTAAGTAGATAGAGTTGATAAAGTTATAGGTAAATGTTACACACTTTATTAGCCCAGAATTATTGTGACTCAATAAGCCAACTTTATTTGATAATTTTAGTAGTCCTATGATTATTATTTTGAACTAAAATGACTTTGTTTATATGTTTCACAATTGAAGTGTATTATATTAAAATCATATTATGAAGTGTATAAATTTAAAGTTTAAAATTTAAAAAATCAGGAACAAATTTTAGTTTTGAAAACTTAATGTTTTTGTACCACTAATTTCTTAAATCCTAAATAATAAACTTTTTTAAGTCCGATGCTTGCATTAATGAAAAAATTGAAATTTCAAATATTATTTTGTTTAATAAAGTTGAAGTATTAAAATTATTAAAATTGTTGGATTGAACGAGGAAATAGATTTAATTTCTAATAAATCTTTAATTGCGTCAAGACTATAACATATTGAAATTGATAACAGTGAAAGACTGTACTAAATAAAAACGATAAGTTCAGTCTTTAATATATAATGTATTTTGGTAATTGAGATTAGTAAATCTATTTAAAAATATAAGAATATATTATATACTATAATACTTTAATAAAATGGATATTTAATTAAATTAATCCGAATAGTTTCTAAATGAATGAAAACAAATAAAGATCAGTTTTAATCTAACCGTTTCAATATAAAAAAAATCATCCGTTAAATAACACAAATTTATAAATTGATTGATTAGTTTGATAGTTTTGATATCTATTTTATTATTTGTACTTACTATTAAATTAATTTATTATTAGAGTACTACTAATATTATTTAACATGTGAAAGAGATTATATTAGATATTTTGTGTAATATTCCCCACTTTAGTTAAAAAATTAAATTTATTATAATAATAATAAATTTTTTTATATATCAACAAACATTAATTAAATTTGTTGTTTTTTCAATATTTTATACAACTGATTTATTTTGAAATATTATATATATATTTATATTTATCATCAGATTCCTTTAATTTCTATAACATTTAAACTTCCTTAGATTCCACTACTGGACTTGTCACAAATCATTACAATTTTTACTAGATTTACACTTGTATATATACATTTAATTTAGATCGTCATTTCAATAATTATAATATATTTAACATTATAAAATGTCATCAGTTGTCACATTAACTAAAGAGTCTCATAAAAATCCTACAAAATTTAGAATCAATTATCAAGATGTTAAAGATGTTTTAGGACCAGAAGAAAAAGCAAGATATAGCATTAATGAAAATTTACCAACTATATATACATCATCAAAAGTTGGTATTATTGGAGCAGGATTTGCAGGTATTGGAAGTGCTATAAAAACTATAGTTGATTTAAAAATTGATGATTTAACTATATTTGAGAAACATGATAATTTTGGTGGTACTTGGTATGCAAATACTTATCCTGGTTGTGCTTCTGATATTCCTGCTTTATGGTATTCATTTTCTTATGAATTAACTTCAAATTGGTCAAGAGTTCAACCTCCACAATATGAAATGGAAGAATATATTTTAAGAGTTACTGATAAATATAAATTAAAAGAAAAAGCTAAATTTGAAACTTTTATTGATAAATCTGTATTTAATAATGATACTGGATATTGGACATTGCATGGTCATTATATTAAATCAGGTCAAAAATTTGAACATAAATGTAAAATATTATTAAGTTGTTCTGGTGGATTGGTTGTTCCGAATCAATTAAAAGCTGAAGGTTTAGAAAATTTTAAAGGTAATTATATACATTCAGCACTTTGGGATCATTCAGTTGATTTTAAAGGTAAAAAAGTTGTTGTTGTTGGTAATGGATGTTCTGCAAATCAAGTTGTTCCTGCATTATTAAATGATCCTCAATATAATGTTAAATCTATTTTTCAAATTGCAAGATCAAAACATTATATTATGCCTCCAGTTCCAAAAGTTTTATTTTGGTTATACAGATTATTAAGTTTTAATTATTATACTTTATTATTGGTTAGATTTATAGTTATTTTCATCGCTGAATTAAGAGTTCCATTATATAAAGGAAATGGAATTTTAGCAAAAGTTGTAAGATGGATTAATACAAAAGTTTCAACTCATTATATGAAAAAGAATAGTCCAAAAAAATATCATGATATTATAATTCCAGATTATAAAATTGGTTGTAAAAGATTAATTTTTGATTATAAATATGTTACTGCATTAAATGATCCAAGAATTGATGTTACAAATCATAATATACAAAAAGTTGTTGAAAATGGTATTATTTTAGATAATGGTGAATTTGTTGAAGCTGATATTATAGTTGCATGTACTGGTTATGATCTTAATAAATCTTTTAGATCAACAGTTGAAACAACAGAAGGTTATTCAGTAAATGGTATATGGGAAAAAGAAGGTCCAAGTGCTTATCGTACCCTTATGGTTAAACATATGCCTAATTTATTTTTAATTGGTGGTCCAAATTCAGCAACTGGTCATTCATCAGTTGTAATGGCTATTGAAAATGGTATTGATTATTATTTAAAAGTTGCAAAACCAGTTTTAGAAGGTAAAGATAAATCAGTTGTTGTAAAACCTGAAGTTTATGATGAATGGTTTTCAAATATTCAAAAAGAATTACAAAAATGTGTTTTTGGTACTCCTTTTGGTGGTTGTGTTTCTTGGTATGCTAGTTCAGGTATTAATCCAACTGCTTATGCTTGGACTCAAATGCATTATTGGTATATTACTCATTTTCCAAATTATAAAGATTTAATTTATAAACCAGAAGAAAATAAAAAATTAAAATAAATTTAGATAAAAGTTTGATTTTTTAAGAATTTGTACAGTTATAAAAATGATTGATGATTTAATTTAATTTGTTCTTGAACTCTTTAAGACTTCGATGTATTGTTACTTCTATTACTTTGCGTACTTACTTGTGTTACCTCCTTGAATAGAGTCAGATTCAGCATGCTATTAAATCTAGCAAATCAGAGGGTGGATAGTTGTTTTCTTGGATTTCATATCAAAAAGCTTAACCTGAAACATACGGTACTTGCAAAAATTCATAGGGTGAAAAGGAAGTTTTATTACAAACGTCATATCGAAAATTAAGTTACAGAGAATAATAAAAGGATTGATTACGATCATAGTACAATTAAAATTCACGAATTTCATGTTTTGACTATACTGTAAATTTTCTGTTAATGGCCACTTGACAAGTAATATATTATTTCAACTAATAACTAACATATTCTCAAACTTCAAACGTATTTCTAACCTGTTTCACGCAGCTTCTTTGGACATCCATATTTCTCAATAACTGCTTTACGAAAGCATAAACAAATGGTTGTCGTGCTGGTTAGAATTACGTTTGTTGATAAAGTCTATCTTTATTTTCTCATTATTACGTAGACGTAAATGATAAACACTCACAATTATCAAAAATCAGCATACAAAAAACAGGGGTTAACTTTCAGGAGCTACAATTTTCTTGCTATCCATGTATATGTAATTTATACTCAATTCCTTAATTCGGACTAGTTACTATGCAATTAATTAATTCAAGATTTATTTTGTAAGAAGATTCTTTAATAAAGCTTATTTTTTATTTTGCAACCATTTTAATTTTGCATAAAAAATCACCAGCGTAATAAAACTAATTTAATCAAAACTTTATTAAACACTTAATAAAAGTTTGATAACAAAAATTTATGATATCCTGAATTGTGGATATTGATTATAATAAATTTCTTGGTCACAAATTTAGAAAATTATAAAAAGATGATACTTTCAACTATGTAAAAAAATTACTAACTTTTTCTTTAACAAACTATTTATCATCATCATTTTTTTTTTATTTTTCCAAACTAGATCAATTTTACTATAATTTATTTTAATTCAATTTAATGTCAACTTCAACTTCGACTTTTAGTCAAAATCCAGATCATGATTATGTAACTGAAATAGTTCAATTATATGAAACAACAGGTAATCAAGGTGGTAGAGGTTATGGTCAAACTGGACCAACTTATGAATTAGGAACTGGTGAAGTACCATTAACTGAAAGTTTAGGTGCTGTTTATCAAATTGATGTTTATGAAATTGTTGAAACTACTACTGCTGGTAGAACTATTCATCAATTACGTGGTCCTGTTGCTAGTTCAACAACTACTGTTCTTAGTGGTATTAGTGGAAATAATCAAGCTAAAATGGGTGTGAGTTCATTCCTTATCATAATGATGCTTTTATTTAATACGATCTTTGGGTTATAACGATACTGATAATTTCGGTTTGACTAATAGTAGTTAGCATTTACTCAATTTTTTTTTAATTTTTAATTTTTAATTTAACGTTGCACAGCTATACCCATTAAAGTTTTATGAACATCTATATAATTTTTTATATATAATATTTTTTGGAAATATATGAAATTGATTTTTTAATTTTTAACTACTATAATTTTTGACCATGTTTCAAATTCTATCGTAAATTCCTCGTAAATATTATTATAATTTCAAATCTTTCTATTGACAGAAAAATGAATATATAATAACGTCAAAATTTATTTCTTTGCTTTTCAACAACTCAAAGATAGATTACATTAGATGCTGACGCTGAATTGAATTATATCAATCAAATGAGGAGCTTTGGCTGTGAGCAAGCTTCTTAAATATGTTTGTCTTGCTTTCATTGATGATTTCTAATAAATCATCTTAAATCCAAATACTGAACGTTTTTTGCAACAGAATTATCAGTCAAACTGGAACTTTTGTATAAACCATTCCAATTGAATATAGAGTGAAAGGTATGGAAATTAAAAATTCATCGGTACCTTAGTTTTTTGATTTTTGCACTTATTAATGCATGAACTTGGTTAACAAATACTTTATTTAATAGCTTGATCTTTGAAGACCATGCATTTGTTTTATAAAATCTACAGGCGTTATTTGGTCCACATTTTCTATGTCTATATTATTAAACCTCAATGATGATAAGATAATGAAGAGTCTAATTTTTAATGTTATGAACCGCTTGCAAATACAAGCCACTAGTGGAGGTAATTACAAGAGTTGATCAATCACAGTAAGATAATTATGAATATCACTAAATTTGACGATTTTTGTGAGTAACTTTGTTCTGTCACCAGATGAAAATTGTTGTTGCAAAAAATAGCCGTTCAATTAAATCTGGGGTAATATCGGTTTTCAAAATATTTTTTCAAGACGAAGTCAAAATTTTAAAACTTAATTTAATTACACAACAAGAAATACTAACATTTAGATGCAAAAAGAAACGAACAAGAGTTAAATAATAAAATTTTTAAACCAGCAGAATCGAAAGGTCAAATGTAATTATAATATTATTTTTGACTGGAAATTGTAACACGATATAATGAGCACATAATACGAGATGAAGTCAAGGATTTGATAGCGGAATTTTGTATGATAAAAATTTATAGACTAGAGCTTAGAAAAGCTCTGTGGAATCGTTTGATTGCGAAAATGCCATACGTAGATAAACAGTATTTACTCAATACTAAATTTAAAGAGTTCAACATTGGCTTAATAGATTAGTGAAACCAAGTCATTACATGTATGAAGTCAAATTATAAAGTTACTAATATCAATTTGACTTCTTTAAAAATGAAAATTTTTATAATTACACAAAATATAACATATAATAATAACCGCGTATGTCAATTTGAAAAAAGAAACAGTTAAAATTCAAACGGCATAATAAACAATAATACAATATGTACATAATAATAAAATAAATTATGTTTTAGACTTCTCTTTATTATTATTGTATATCATATTTTGTTTTAAATTTTATCAATAGATCAATTTTAACAACCAAATTTTTATAATTCTTTATATCATTTCATTTTTCATTTATTTATTCTAGACTTTTTTATAGATCTTTATCACTTTATTATATACTTCATACATCATAAAGAATGATTAGAACTTCCAGGTCTTTAATTAGATCTTCTTTTAAATCACAATCATTAAAATTACAATCATTCAAATCGTTACCAACAACATGTTCCAAATTTTCATCCTCAACTTGTTATAGATCATTAGCTACATCTGCCAATAAAGCAGATACTTCATCAAATAATTATTCAAAAGTATTTAATCCAAATTCTGAAAAAGTTTCATTAACAAATTTAGATACCTTTGCAAGAAGACATATTGGTCCAAATCCAAAAGAAGTTGAAAAAATGTTGGAAACTTTAGGTTATTCAGATTTAGATGAATTTTTATCAAGTGCTGTACCTGAACATATATTATTTAAACGTCAATTACAAATTCAACCAAAACAAGGTTTTACAGAACAAGAAATGTTGAAACATTTACATGAATTAGCTGGTAAAAATAAGATATATAAGTCTTTTATTGGTAAAGGTTATGCTGGAACCATATTACCACCAGTTATTCAAAGAAATTTATTAGAATCACCAGAATGGTATACTTCATATACTCCTTATCAACCAGAAATATCTCAAGGTAGATTACAAAGTTTATTGAATTATCAAACTATGATTACTTCATTAACTGGTTTAGATATGGCAAATGCTTCATTATTAGATGAAGGTACTGCAGCAGCTGAAGCAATGAGTTTATCATTTCATAATGCAAAAGGTAAAAAAAATATTTATGTAATTGATACTGAATTACATCCACAAACTAAAGAAGTTATAAAATCAAGAGCTGAAAATATTAATGTTGAGATTAAAGAATTAACTTTATCTACAGCTGAAGGTATTGAAGAATTGAAAAAAATAATTAAAAATGTATGTGGTGCATTGGTCCAATATCCAACTACAAATGGTTCTATTCATAATTATACTGAAATTGGAGAAATTTTACATGAAAATAAGGTATTATTTGCAATGGCAACTGATTTATTAGCATTGACATTAATTAAACCACCAAGCTATTATGGAGCTGATATAGCTTTAGGTACTTCACAAAGATTTGGTGTACCATTTGGTTATGGAGGACCTCATGCGGCTTTTTTTGCAACTTCACAAAAATATGCTAGAAAAATTCCAGGTAGAATTGTTGGTGTTTCAAAAGATAGATTAGGTAACCCAGCTTTAAGATTAGCATTACAAACTAGAGAACAACATATTAAAAGAGAAAAAGCAACTTCAAATATTTGTACTGCACAAGCTTTATTAGCTAACATTGCTGCAAATTATGCTGTCTATCATGGACCTGAAGGTTTGAAAAATATAGCTAAAAGAGTTTATGGTTTCACTACTTTATTAGCAAATGAAATTTCAAAAAAACATGAAATTGTAAATGACAAATGGTTTGATACTTTAACTGTTAAATTAAATGGTATATCAGCTGATGAATTATTAAATCAAGCTTTAACTAAATATGGTATCAATTTGTTCAAAGTTGATGATTCGACTGTATCATTACAATTAGACGAAACTGTTGAAACACAAGATTTAATTAACTTAGTTGAATTATTTACAGGTGAAGTTATTGAACCATCTACTGAATTACCAGAAATTTCACAAGATTTATTGAGAACTGATGATATTTTAACTCATGAAAATTTCAATACTCATCATTCAGAAACCGCAATGTTAAGATATTTACATCTTTTACAATCAAAAGATTTATCATTAGCTAATTCAATGATTCCATTAGGTTCATGTACAATGAAATTAAATTCTACAGTTGAAATGCAAACTTTATCAATACCAGGTTTCAATTCAATCCATCCTTTTGTACCAATTGATCAAGCTCAAGGTTATAAAGAATTGGTTGATGAATTTGAAAAAGATCTAAATGATATTACTGGGTTTGATGCTACTACATCGATGCCAAATTCAGGTGCTCAAGGTGAATATACTGGTTTATCATTAATTAGACAATATCATAAATCAAAAGGTGAATATGAACAAAGAAATATTTGTCTTATTCCTGTATCTGCTCATGGTACAAATCCGGCTTCAGCAGCTATGTGTGGATTAAAAGTTGTACCAGTAAAATGTTTAGACAATGGATCAATTGACTTAAATGATTTAAAAGAAAAAGCAGCAAAACATGCTACTAATTTATGTTCAATTATGATAACTTATCCATCAACTTATGGTTTATTTGAACCAGGTGTGAAAGAAGCTATTGATATTGTTCATCAAAATGGTGGTTTAGTTTATTTAGATGGTGCAAATATGAATGCTCAAGTTGGTTTAACATCACCTGGAGATTTAGGAGCTGATGTATGTCATTTAAATATTCATAAAACATTTGCATTAAGTCACGGTGGTGGTGGTCCAGGTCAAGCACCAGTTTGTGTTAAAGAACATTTAAAACCATTTTTACCAAAACATCATTTTGTTAAAACACCACATTCAACTGAAGAAAGTATTAAATCAGTTAACTCAGCTCCTTATGGAAGTGCATCAGTTATACCTGTATCATATTCATATATAAAAATGTTGGGTGCTGATGCATTACCATATGCATCATCAATTGCAATGTTAAATGCTAATTATATTTTATCAAAATTAGAGAAACACTACAAAATTTTATTCGTTGATCATAAAGCATCATCAAATGAAGGATTAAAACATTGTGCACATGAATTTATATTAGATTTAAGAGAGTTTCAAAAGAATGGGGTTGAAGCTATAGATATTGCTAAAAGATTACAAGATTATGGATTCCATGCACCAACTATGTCATTCCCTGTAGCAGGAACTTTAATGATTGAACCGACAGAATCTGAAAATTTAGCAGAATTAGATAGATTTATTGAATCATTTATTTCAATTAGAAAAGAAATTGACGCTTACGCTAAAGGTGAACCTTTAGGTAATGTATTGAAAAATGCACCACATTCTCAACAAGATGTTATAAGTTCAAATGATTGGGATACAAGAGGTTATACAAGAGAACAAGCTGCTTATCCATTACCATTTTTAAGAGAAAATAAATGTTGGCCAACTGTTTCAAGATTAGATGATACTTATGGTGATTTGAATTTGATTTGTACTTGTCCTTCTGTTGAGGAAGTAGCAGCTGATCAATCATAGGGGCCATTTACATTATTAATTTCAGTTCATTAATCAAAAGAAAGGCTTTTTTTTTCAAAATTATTTTATAAATTAGTTATAGAAATATTATACAAATTGTATATAAAAATCAATAAAGTATAAAGATTTATTACAAGTCATTCTTTATTTTCGTTAGTTTCAATTCTCTAATTCAATCTCTGTCCAATAATATAGTATAAAACAAATTGGCTAGTCTACTATGAATAAACACTCACTTAATACTTTTACTTGAATATAGTGAACACAAAATTTCAAATATAATTTTCTCCCTCAACTTTCTTCCCCATAAACTTTTTATAACCAAATATAATTACTCCATTTCATTTAAAGAACAGATACTCATATTTGAATATTTATTTATTAAATTTGCATTGGGATTTCTTTCCATCAATTGCAATTCTTAGTTCTTATCAATTAATGTCGTAATACATAGAGTTCGAACAATTATCAAATCAATTCAACATTTACTCCAATTCTAATATACAAACTTCAATTGATTCACTAATCATATCCATAGATTTTACAACACACATTCATATATTTGCATATAAATGGATTGGTACACTAATACAAATCATAAAAAAAGAAACTCATTGAATAATAATAATTTTGCAGGACTTAATTTAAATTCAACAATAAATAATAACAATAATAGTAATAACTTTAATGGAAGATCTAGTGAACAAACTTCACCTGCTACACCATATTCAAGTCTAAATAATACTCAAAATAACAACTTTAATAACATATACTCAAACTATTCTATGAAACACCATCATCAACACCAACAACAACAACAACAACAACAACTGCCATACACACAAACAAATCAAACTTTACAACCGCCGTATCATATAAATTCTTCAGGAAGAAGTCCAAATCAAATATCAACTTCACCTTCAAACATGGCAACACCAACTGGATTTGCATCATCATCAATGAATTCATTATCAAATACTCCAATGATCAATGCATATATTTCATCAACTAATTCTTCATCGATTCCAATTAGTAATCCAAATTCTGCAATACCTAATTTCATGCCATCTTCAAATTCTACTCAAATGTTAACTACAACTCCAATTGAAAGAACTTCATATTATTTCAGTCAACTTCCATTATTTACATGTGATTGGACAACAATTAATAACAACTCATTAAATTATGTTGCATTAGGATCATATAAAGAAGGATTTACTAATAAATTAGAAATTGTTCAAGGTACAAATTATGATCAAGATACTCAATATTCTCAACAACATTCACTTCAACATCAACTGCATTTACCATCATCTTCTTCTTCTTCTTCTTCAATAACTCAAGATAATTCAAATCTACTAAATGGATCAAATGGTTATTATGATGAATATGATTCTAATTCTTCAGAAGGATTTCTATTTCAAAAAATTGCAGAAACTAATTTAAATTATCCAATTACTCATTTAAAATGGGATCCATCAATGTTGAAATATACAAATCAGAATGCACAAAGATTAGCTGCATCAAGTGAAGTACTAAGATTATATAAATTAAATGAATCTGTTAATGAAAATGATTATAATTTAGTTCAAACTCATATTTTAGCTAATAATGCAGCTACCAATACAACCAAATTATCATTACTACATGATAATGAAATAAATACATTACCTCCAGTTACATCATTTGATTGGAATACTACTGATCCAAATATATTAATTACATCAAGCGTAGACACAACTTGTACAGTATGGGATTTAAATAGATCTCATCCTTATGATAATTTTACAGATACAGCAGTTGTTAAAACTCAATTAATTGCTCATGACTCAGAGGTTTTTGATGTTAAATTTATACATAAATCTACAAATGTATTTGTATCTGTTGGTAATGATGGTTCAATGAGAGTTTTTGATTTAAGATCATTAGAACATTCAACAATCATTTATGAACCACAACCTGAAACAACTACTCCAAAATCATCAAAACCTTTGCAGGTACAAGGATTACATTCTTCAAATTTCAACTCAAAAGCATTACTCAAATTATCCGCATCAAATATAGATCAACATCATTTAGCTACTATAGGTGTCAACTCTAATCAAATTATTATAATAGATATGAGAATGCCAGGTATACCAATGGCAATGATTGATGGCTCAATAAATAATCCAAATTATCCATCAGCTTCAATAAATTCCATATCGTGGCATCCAACATCAAATTATTTGTTATCTGGTGGTGATGATTGTCAAGCATTAGTATGGGATATAAATAATTTAAATAATAATCCAAATAATTCAAGTTATACAAATTCTTCAAGTTCTTCAAGTTTATCCAATGGTAATAATGGTAATAATAATAATGTTGGAAATGGTAATGACTCAACTAACAGTAGTGGTAGTAGCTCAAATGGTTCAGGAATAATTATAGATACCCCTGTTTTAGCTTATGAAGAAGATTTAGAAGTAAATAATGTATGTTGGAAACAAAATTCTGGTGATTATATGGGAGTTGTTAGTGGTAAAGGTTTTCAAGCAGTAAAAATATAATTTTTTGTAGTAGTAGTAGCAGTAGTATAAAGTACATAATTTAATAACAAACGATTCATTTCATTTACAAAAAGATTTTCAATATTTAATTATTTATTTATTTATTTCAAAAATAATATTTCTCTACTATATATGATTAGATAATTAAAAACTAATACAAAAATCATTAAACCAGTATTAAATTACAAAAACAAAGATTAATCATTACTAATTAACTTATTTTTTAGCAGCTTTTTGAGCAGCTTTAGTAACTTTACCAGCTTTGTCTGATTTTTCAACTGATTTAATAACACCAACAGCAACAGTTTGTCTCATATCTCTGACAGCGAATCTACCTAATGGTGGATAATCAGTGAAAGCTTCAACACACATTGGTTTAGTTGGAACCATTTTAACAATAGCAGCATCACCTGATTTAACGAATTTTGGATTTTCTTCTAATTTTTTACCAGTTCTTCTATCAATTTTTTCAATTAAAGTATCGAATTTACAAGCAATATGAGCAGTATGACAATCTAAGACTGGAGAGTAACCAGCTGAGATTTGACCTGGGTGATTTAAGACAATAACTTGAGCATTGAATGAATCACAACCTTTTGGTGGATCGTTTTTAGAATCACCACAAACGTTACCTCTTCTAATTTCTTTAACTGAAACGTTTTTAACATTGAAACCAACATTATCACCTGGAACACCTTCGGTTAATTGTTCATGATGCATTTCAACGGATTTAACTTCAGTAGTAACACCAGCTGGGGCAAAAGTAACAACCATACCAGCTTTAATGATACCAGTTTCAACTCTACCAACTGGCACAGTTCCAATACCACCAATTTTATAAACATCTTGTAATGGTAATCTTAATGGTTTATCAGTTGGTCTTGATGGTGGTTCAATAGCATCAATAGCTTCTAATAAAGTTTTACCAGTTGATTTACCAGCTTTGGTTTCTTTTTCCCAACCTTTATACCATGGACAGTTTGCTGATGGTTCAATCATATTGTCACCATTCCAACCTGAAATTGGAACGAATGGAACGGTTTTTGGATTGTAACCAACTTTTTTAACGAAATTTGAAGTTTCTTTAATAATTTCTTCAAATCTATTTTTATCCCATTTAACTGAGTCCATTTTGTTAACAGCAACAATTAATTGTTTGACACCTAAAGTATAAGCTAATAAAGCATGTTCTCTAGTTTGACCATCTTTTGAAATACCAGCTTCGAATTCACCAGTACCACCAGCAATAATTAAGATAGCACAATCAGCTTGTGAAGTACCAGTAATCATATTTTTAATGAAATCTCTATGACCTGGAGCATCAATAACAGTAACATGATATTTTGGAGTTTCGAATTTCCATAAAGCAATATCAATAGTAATACCTCTTTCTCTTTCAGCTTTTAATTTATCTAAGACCCAAGCATATTTGAAAGAACCTTTACCTAATTCAGCAGCTTCTTTTTCGAATTTTTCAATGGTTCTTTTATCAATACCACCACATTTATAGATTAAATGACCAGTAGTAGTTGATTTACCTGAATCGACGTGACCAATAACAACGACGTTAACGTGAGTTTTTTCTTTACCCATTGTGATTAATTAATTAAAACTTAAAGTTGTTGAAAGAAAAGAAGAAAGAAAAGTAAAAATAAAAAAAAAATTAAGATGAAAAAAAATTTTCCAATTAAAAAAATTGGAAAGCTCATTAAACAATTTTTTAAAAAATTTTTTTATCAATAATAACAATTTAATTAGTAGTACAAATAGAATTATAATAATAATAATAATTCAGACATTAAAACAAGGTATAAAAGTTATCTTGTTAATATGATAGTAGTTATCATTTAATATAATACTTAGACTTCACGTTTGTATTGATTCAATTGTTGTGTTTTGACCCATCAACAAAGTAAGATAAATAAAAATATAAAAATCTGACTCAATTAAATTGTATCAAAACCCATCAATCTCATGTAACTAAATATTTTTTTGTTATCTTTTAATTTTACTCCTTAATTAATAACTTACAGCGAATATAATAATTTTACAAAGAGTTCAACCTAGTTTTTAATTACATTTGCTTTACTAATAAGTAGTACATCATTCATTTAGCTTCAAAGATGAGTCATAATTCAGAATTCATCACATATTAATTTCATTCTACCTTGATTGATACTGATAATTAATCTGAATTTTTTTAAGTAAGTGGCAAATAACTTAATCAGTATAATTTTTAAATTTCAATGTCGGGCGAATTAAAATGTCCGATCTTTGAAAAAAAAAATATATTACAAAAACTCATCTTATTAAAGGTTTTTGTTCAAGTTTCATATTTTTGTGATATAGCAAGCAGAAAGTTTTTACAATCAAAGTATGCAAATAGAAAAACAATAGAAGTGTAAATTCTATACTCCACTTCAATTGAGCCGTTTACTTTGGTGTATCAAATTCAATTGGAGTTTATAGAATTTTTTTGTAATATTAATCTCTTATAGCGTTGAAAAATTAATTAATTGTCTGATTTATATTTTTAACACTAAATTTTTTTCACCCCTCTAAATATTATCACAGTTCACTAAATTTTCAAAGATGGTGTAAGTTCAAAATTTACGTCAGAGCTGTTGAAATATTGAATTAGTAGCTCATGTACTTCTTACATTAGTTTTTGGGCAAAAGTTTTAGAATGGCTGGAGAAGTATTCTTGAACTAGGTGTAATCGAGTGCACTTTTTTCGGAACTCGTGTAGAAATATTCTGACAATTTTTTAAAAAATACATACGCACTTAATTTACTTTATATTCTTTTTGATCACGAGAGTATTGTAGACAAACATGTATGTTATATGTAGATAGATAGATATTTTATTTACTCCCACTAGTTACCTATTTACTAATTATAATGACATTTTTAGTAATTATACAATACTATTACTATTACTTGCTTGACGTAAAGTAGTTGTATCAATACTATCCATTGATGATCTTGTAGTACTTGTTGATGATCTTCTTCTAAAATTTCTTGCCAGTTGGGGATCGGTTCTACGACCTTTTGAATTTGCAAATAAACCTAAAATATCAGTTAATGTAACAACACCAATTAATTTTCCAGTACCTCCAACATAACCTTGTTCTTGTTGTACTGCATTTGCTGCTAATGAGACTCCACTTGTTGATACACTTGATCCATTGGAATGATTATTATTATTATTATTACTCATTAATGTTCCTTCAACACTTGCAGCTTTATCCAATACATTTGCATCTGCAGGTAACGGATAACCAGCAGTAACTCCATTATGGTTCATACCGCTATTTGGTGCAGCAGAAGCTTGTGAACTAACTGAACTTGCTTTTCTAGAAGTATCAACAACCCATAATCTATGAGATTCTGTAGCAACTAATTTTGCAATTACCCTACCTAATGAACTTTGATTATTTACATGGAAAATAGGGAATTGATCTTGACCTTCTTCTATACCCTTTTGTGATAAATTATAACTTATAAAATTTAATACTGGTTTATATAATAAATGAGAATTTTTTGAACTTGTGAGATTTCTGACATCAACTATAGATATATTACCAATTAAAGTTTTGGCTCGATCAATTACTGCTAAGGAAGAAACATTTTCATGGAACATTTTAAATAATGCATCTAAAACTGGTTGATCATCATATATCGTTAATGGATTATTTGAACCAATTTTCAAATCTTGTAATGTTGAAGAAAGATAAAATTCTAATGATGGAAATCTTCTGGCATTTTCCCACATGTATTTAATTAATCTTCTTTGTGACAAAATACCGGTGATTTTAGTTGATTCATCATTTGTTATAGCTATTCTATGAACTCCGTTTCCTAAAGTTTCCATGACGGAAAATAAAGTATCATGTTCAACAAATTTTATAAAAGGATTTTTTGGATGTAATTTTATTATAAATTCAACTGGTACTTCTTCACCTTTTTTAGCTTTATTAATATTGGAAGTAACTATATCATGTTTTTCTTTCAAAGTCAGTTTTACTTCACCAATTTCATCAAGATTTAAATCATTATAATCAATTTTATTCATAATTAATAATAAGTAAGTATTTAAGTCACTATAGTCAAAAGTTAAACAATTTCTTAAATCAGTTGGATCATCTTTTGAAATAGATACTGGGACACTAGTTAAGTCATTTTTAACTAAAGTTTCAAATGCAGCTTGAACAGAATGAGAAGCATGAATACTTATTAATTTATTAGATTCAACAATTTCAGTTAATGGAACGTCACTCCAATCTAATCCAGTAACTGAATTAGAACCACCATTACCAGTAGATGAATTTGAAGGATGATGATGTAAATGATAATTGAAAGGATTTATAGAACCTTGAGAAGTTCTTGAACTTATTGAAGGATTTCTTGATAAACTTAGATGATGAATTGAATCGTCTTGATCAATTGGTAAAGGAGGAGGAGAACTTAATAATTCAACAATTGAAGGTTTACGTGAAGGATGATTTGATCCATGACTTATACTATGAGAATGTGAATGTTGTTGCTGTTGTTGCTGTTGTGATGGCACATGATGAAAATTTGAAGATGATTGCGATGATATTGAATTATTTGAAGATTGTGATGAATTAGTTGATGTATGATGTAAATGAGGGTGAGAATGTTGAGATGGATGCAGTTGCGAAAGTAATGGAGGTTGTTGTTGTTGATTATGTAGTTGAGCATTTGAAATTGAAGGAGAAGGTTTTGATGATGGATTAGATGATGATGGATTAGATGCAGCAGATAACAGTGATTGAGAAACTCTTGGTGATGAAGAAGGTTGATTTCTAGGTTGTGGAGGATTTACCATTTTTCTAATATTTTGATTATTTCTGTTACTATTTTCTCTTGATGATGATATAAATGTTATGTTTGTATATATATATATATATGAATTAAAAATACAATTGTAGTATTATTTATAAAATGAATGGAATTAATGTAATAAAGTAATTAATGATAATTATTGAAAAAAAAAAAGGAGTTTGAATATAGGCTGAGATATATTAATATTAATAACAATAATAATTATAAAATTGTCTTGTGTAAAATGAGTTTAAATTATAAATTGATTATACTAATAATTGATGAACAGAATATTAATCAATTGAATAAAAATGATATGAGAAGAATTGATTGATATATAAAATTTGGTTGTAAAAAAATTGTTGATAAAAAAATAAAATTTAATTTGATATTATTATTATTTTAATTTTTGTTAGTTAATAATTTTGCTATTATTATTTTTTTTTTATTTTTTTTTATTTTTCAAGTCTATAATAAAATTTAATTAAATTTAAAGGTGGAGTATTTGTTTTTAATTTTTAAAACAAAAAATCAACTTTAATATAATGTAATATAATAATTTGTAATAAGTATACTTATAATTAATGACTTATATAATATATTATTCCAATAAGATTGTTTAATCAAGTATGAATCCAATTATAAAGAATATATCTAATTAAATGAATCAAAAAAATTTGAAAATGAGCGTTTTAAATTTTTCAATTTCTTTGAAGAAAAATTAATTGAATTTAAAGTTTATTATTATTATTTAGTATTTAATAAAAAATGAGGGGATTTTAATTATTTATATATATTAATATTCTTTACATTTATAACATATTACATATTACATATTACAAATTAAATAAGATATTCAAATAGATATGAGTATATAATTACATATCAAATAACAATAGAAGTAGTTTCAAATGTACAATAAAAGTAAAATAAAACTTATCAAATGAATTAATTAAACCATACACTCTCCTTAGTATCTTGTACGTATGGTAATTTAATAAAAAAAAAATTCTCAATTTAACACGATTGCTTTAAACTTAACTATTCTAGAATTCAAAAAGAGTATTGATCAGCGATAAAGTAATAAAGTAATAGTTATAGAGATAGTATTGAACATTTTTTAAGAGATCAATATATTAAACATAACGTAAATGTATATAGGAGTAAAAAATCAAATTATGAATAATAGAATTTACTTTATAAAAAAGTCATTTATTTCACTTAATTTCCGCTTTTTTTTTATTGAATATATTTTACTTGATTCGTTTCATTTCAAATAAATTTTCCAATGAACAGAATCGTTTTTAATTTAAAACTCTCATGTAAATTATTATCAATTTAAATTATATATGAGTGAATTACTTTGGGGTTAGATTTAAAGTCAAGAAATGTATATATTAGTTACTCATTAAGAATGTTAAAAATTAAATAGGAGATTTAAAAATAAAGTATTCACACAAAAACACAAGATCAATTTTTATTTTTTATGTTGCAAATATTTTCAATCTTATTGATATTATTGATCAATTATTTATTAATTCTTAATTTTTATAATTACAATCTAATTTTATTAGATATATGTTGTTTGGTCACTTCAGAATCAACAATTATACAATACCAAAATTAAATTAGTTTTGTTACAAAATTATGCACTTCTACTTTGTTATTAAATTTTCTTTGTGTTTCAAATTTAGGACTTTGATCTCCTGATTTAAAATTTTGAAACGATCACTAATTTAATCAATCTTTTTAAGCATTGTTTTAATTTTTGTATGTACTATTAACGCCGTAAAAGTAATCGAGAATAATTCAAATATCATTAAGGCTAACATAACAGTCATGACTTAGACATCAAATTAATTTTTTGGCGTAATTTACTAACTAAATTTAAAACTAAAATTTTGAAATATTATAATTATGCAACAACCCCCAGAAAAATATTTTAACATTCGATTATTATTTTTTTTTTTTTTTTGATTTTATTCCTTTTCTCACTCTATACAAAATTATTAAAAGCAATACAACATTGTAAAAAAGAACACAAACTTTTTGAATTTTAAGTCATATGTTTAACAGAATGGTAGAATTTTATATTATGACTTCTTTTATTGATTCAAGTGATAACTTTACAGGGCTGAATTTAATCTATTCGGACTTAATTAAATTTTAAAGCAGGCTTTTAGATTTCGGCTTAAATAGATAATGCTAAGTCTAATTTTTTAGTCAGCCATGTAATTATCGCTATCTCTACTTAGGAAATTGAAACTTAGTTCAAGTCAACCATTTATAATACAGTTCCTTTTGAATATATTTATATGGAGAGTTATTTAAAAAATGATAAATATGAGCCCTTTTTTTTGTTCCAAACTTTATTTACGAAAATTCTAGAACTGGACATATGTGATTGAAACAAATAATAAGATTAAAAACTTGATAAGGATCCAAATGAGTTTCAGATTATTGTTTTTTTAATGTTTTATGGTCTAGACGTACTATTTTGAACTTGTTTCCAGTTTGATAATTCTCACAAACCGTAAAAATATCAGATTTTTTCATAATTCTAAAATTTTATCTAATTTTGACGCAGTTTTATTTAGATTTTGATTTCAACTACTTATACACATTTGCAGGTCAGTCAACAGAATATATGCATTTGAGACTAATATAAGTATATTTGAAACATTAGTAGATAGCTATTAAGGTTTTTTTTTATGAACAAAAATGTTTGAAATCCAAGGACTGAAGAACATCTGAAACACTTTTATATGCAGGTTTTATTAAAAGCGGTGTTTGATAGTAAAAGTCTATATCTAAAGAGTTTTAATTCTCAGTTTCATATACATGTTGAGTTTAAGAGATGGCAAAATCATGAATGGAATTGTAAATGTAGTCTCTCTACAAGATAAAGCCCAAGTTTAATGACGTGTTGAAACAAAAAATTACCAAAATTAAAAGTTGAAGACTGAAATTTGTTTCAAATACTACAAAATTTATGTATAAATTCTAATTTCATTCCACATATATACAATATACATAACAAAGTCTCTAAATCATCTAATAAATTTCCCAAACATCTTCACAACCGTGACAAAATTTTGAACATGCAACAGATGCAGATAATGGATAATCTGATAAACCAATTTTTTCATCAACAAATTCATCAGCAAAATTATCTTGACCTCTTGCCATTGCACCAACAAATACACATATACTTTCATCATCATCTAAAGTTGAAACATAATCTTGAACTTTTCTTATTTTAGCATCAAATGATAATGTAATTTTTCTACATTTTGTAGGTAGATGATCAGTTATTGGATTTTTAATAACTTTTAATAATACTTCTTTTGAATTTTCTGATCTAATACTTAATTTATGTAATAATTGTACCATTAATCCAGAAAATCTTTTAAAAGTTCTTGGAATTCTAACACTTGGATTTACTTCAATTAATACACCTCTTGCTGTTTGTATATAAACTTGTAATTTTCCTGCTTTATTTATTGGTGAATCTAATAAAGTTAATAAACATTGATGTGTAATATCTGGTCTTGCTTCTGCTATATCTCTTCCCATTTTTCTTAATAAACCTTGATGATCATCACAATTTAATAAAGCAAATCTATCACCTCCTGGTCCATTACCTGAATTCATTTTATAAGTTTCTAAACATGCTTGTGATAACACTACTATCAATCTTTTTGTTGTTTTATCACGAGATGTTAATGGTGTTGGTTGTACGGGTATTAATGAAGCTGGTGGAACTGAACTTTTAGTCGTTGAAGTTGTAGATGTACTTGATTTATTTGATGATGAGGTAGATGAGGTAGATGATAAATCTTCATTAGAATTTACTGATTTCTCACTTTTTCCTTTTTTTGACTTATCTTTTGTTGAATTGGTCCTTTTGGGTTCTGTATCTACCATAGTTTGTATAGTTGTAAGAATTTATAGCTAGTAAATTAAATTAGTGATGTATGTTAATTATTTTTCAAATAAATGTTGCAAATATTAAGATGAAGTTTTTTTCTTACATTATTATTTTTTTTTATTGTAAATAATTTTTCATTATAAAATATGTTAGTCAGACTAATCATAAATCCGAATCATGATAAATTTGTGTGGTACCAAAAATGGTGTAGCTCATTATTTGTGCAAAGTTATGAGAAATTTAAAATGAAGAATTCTAGCAAGGTTTGTAATTCTCATGTATGAAATAAATTCTTTGTAAAAGCATTAACATCTCCATGTTTGATTTCTTTAATTGAAACTTTTGCGCATAAATAATTTATTTTTTATTTGTATCAGTTTTCTTGCAACCAAAATCAAATATAAACAAAATCATGATTCAAAAATAATAGACATGACAAGTTCGGATAATGATTTTGATGATGATGAATATGATGAACTTCTACAAGGTTTTTTAACAGGAAGAACACAATTACCAATAAATCAAACTCAAAATATCCTGAAAATTCAAAACACATCAATAACACCGTCAACAACAGCTCCATTAGCATCACAATTTTTAGATAAGGCATTAAATGATGAAAGCCAATCAAAATTATTCCAAGCAGATGGTGAAATAGCAACTTTAAAAGCTCAATTATTACAATTACAAAATGCAAAACGTGAAGAAGTTAATCAATTAAAACAATCATTAGACGCGTTAAAAAGAAGTAAAGATTCAGAAACAACTGCGTTAAATGATGCTATTAATAAATTGGAAGATGATAGAAAATTTCTAAGGAATGAGTTAATTACAACTAATGCATTGAAAAAAAGGAAAACAACAAATGGATTTTCACAACCAATAAATAATCATCAACAAAACCGACCGAAAAACGATAGAGGTAATGATTTTAAAACTCGAGATTTTACTCAAGCAACTCCCATAAGAGAATCATCCTTTATTGTAAAACCAGCTCAACCAGTTCAAACAAACATCAAACAGCAAAATGATACATCATTGTTAATTGATCAATTGTGGAATTATTGCATTGTTGGAAGTCCCAGAAAATCGTTTGATTACTTGAGTAAAGTTTGTTTTGAATTTGAAATGGAGACACTTTATGGATATAAAATTAAAAGAAGACAACCTTTGTCATCATCAATTATTGACATATTAATGAATATGAAGGATTTGAAATTAGAGTTATTCATTGAAAAAATTACATCATTAATATTTGATATCATTACACAAGCACTGGCTAAGAAATTTGTAGTATCAATTCCATTTTTAATATCATTAATATATTGTGCCATAAGTTTCCGACCTAATTCGGTGACAAAAAAAATCATTATAAAGTTGATTCAAAATTTTGCTGAATTAGCAAAAAGATATTTATTTCTACTCAATCCGAATTTGGAGGAGGAAGTTGATTTTGAGGATTATCATGACGTTCCAGATCAAGTTGTTGCTATTGAAAAGTATATTTTAATCATTTCATTAGATTTGATTGAAAAATTAGTGTCCATCGCTTCAATATATGATGCTGAATTTATCAAGAAAGTTTGGCTGAGCAATGTGATACCAACCAATTTAATTAAGACCTGTTTACCTCAAAATGGAGAAAGATTTAAAACTGTTGCACAAGTAAATGTAATTTTCAATATAGTGGAAATGTTAAATTATTCTTTAACTGAAGATACATTTGGATTTAATGATTCAGTTTCTGATGTAACTATGATTTTGTCATTAATGAATATTTTCTCACTAGATATACCAATAAAAGAAGGTCTCAAATTTTATGGATTAAACAGACTTATTGGAAATAACTTTGACATGAGATTAATTGATGCAACCATTCCAATTGAACATGATAAATTAAATAATTACTTAATAGTTATTCCTCAACCAATTTATAAAATTTCAAAGCAAAATCCTCCAAAAAAGGATCTAAACTTTAATGATGAAAATCACATACTAAATTTGAAAATCAGAGTTACTGAATTATTAATTTCCATAATTATTACAAAACAGACAGTTGAATTTTTATACGATAAAGAATATTTCAAATCATTTATACGAATTATATCGATTGAACAAATTCATATTTCAAAAAATCCGAGATCTCAATTAATTCATCATAGAGTCCAATTAATAGCTTTAATTGTTAAAATTTTGAACTATTTAACTCAAGATCTACATGAAGCTAGTGATTTGGTTTATAGTGAAACATTGTATGAGTTATATGTTGTTTTACTGAGAATTGCATTCGGTTCAGATTCATTATCAATTGAAGCTCATAAATTATTAAGTAAAATTCGATCAAAAGGTTATCAAAATCCAGTATTCAACAAAACTTGTGAGACACAAGCTAGATTGTTGAACCATTTAACTGTAAGAGATTTTGAAGATGGAAAATTAATAGCTAATATAGAGAGTGATTATGCCAACGGATTTGAATTTCCATATGATTCGGAAACTGTCGAATTGTCGAGAGATATTTTAAACAGATTTGTTAATCAAGAAGAAGCTGATAATTTGTATTTTAACATGAATTATGAATCTGATGATGAAGAAAATAGTAACGTAATGCCAAATAATGATAGTGACGAAGAGATGAACTTGTAAATAGTAAATTGTACTTTAATAGAATGTATCCCAGATTGAATGATAAAATTATCTCTACAGTTGTTCCACATTAACATTATAAATTTCACATTAATTTACAGTGTGTATTTTGGTTTTGATGTCCAATCATGATGTATACGTAACTAACAACTTAATAATAAGAAAAAAAAACATATAATAACCTAATGCAATTCTTTCACTTCTAAAATTCCCATTATTCTATCTTTCTGATGATGATTTTAAAAATTAAAATTAAGCTGATTGAGTTTGTGGTTTAGCAACACCAGTTTGGAAATTGTTTTTGAATCTTCTAGCAACATGTTTTAAATAAGACATTCTACCGGTACCTGTAGTTCTTCTTCTTTTAGCTTTTAAAGCCCAATTGTGAGATCTCATTTTAGCAGCTGGATAACCACATGATGCACAAGTTTTTTTTTGAACATGGAATGATCTTTTACCACATCTGTTACATAAAGTATGTGATTTGTTGTGTCTTTTACCTAATGATGGTGTACCTTCTATAAAACGGTGTTAGTATCACTTGACTTCATTGAATTTGATATAACTACTCGTAATATTGACAATTGGATTTGCGTCTTTTGTATTTCATGATAAATTGATTGTAGTTTCCCGTTGTTTATGAATTCTAGTTGAATAGTGTTCAATTTTTAGTATTGACTTCCACGCTTGATTTATTTTTAATATCTAAAAGCTTGAATTAAACTTGAAATATACGATGTGACTTCTTAAATCTTGACAAACTTCTTGATTGAAATAGACTATCTTATTCCAAAATTATTTCCTAATGTACTACTCTTTCCCATGTTGAACCCACTTTATGTCATATACGTAGTTATATTTGATCTATTCTTGATGTGCTATCTACATACTACCCATGTTTGATTATATTATTAGTTGATGATTATGTGAAAATAGGAATTGTATTGAAATTTTTCTATATAGAAATTTTTTTTTCACTAAACTTACTTTCTCTCTTTACATTTGTATATTACGTAACATTAATTAATGTATATTATGTAATCTTATATATATTTGACGTTTGGTAGCTATATTGCAGAGCTAATGTTAGTAGTGTAATTCTCGCCAATAACGTGAGCACTCAATTTTACTAGCGTGCATACTATTTAAATTAGGGCTATAAGCATTGTTTTTGCATTGGTAGCACTTTAAAACGCGGTTGCGAAATAATATAATATGGCGCTTAACTAGAAATGTAAACAACACGAGATTACAGACTTCATTTTGTAAACAGTAAATAATAATATGATAGAATCATGATAGATAACACTTATTGATTTTCATATCAAGTCTATTCACACATCAATTGAAGCTAATTATTAGCATTAAGATTGAAAAGATTTCGTTCAATAGCAAATGTCATACAATTATCAATTCCCACCGTCTTCTCCACTACACGATGATGTTGTAGCTGATGATAAGCTTCAATATAGTAAAGATCCATTTGCAGTCAAAAAGCATCAAAATACTCAATTGTCAGATCATAGATTGGGACGTGATAAATATCCTACACCTAATCCATCTTCATCATTATTCCGTTCATCTTCACCAGCTAGGGGTAATAATTTCACAGAAGCAAACGTTGCGGAAACTGAAGAAATTTCAAAATCAACTGATTTAAATGAGGAAGTGAAGACGTCAATTAGTATTAACAAAGATTTCAATATTTTAAATCCAGATAAAGACGTTACTCGGATTCCATTATTATCAGAGAAAAATCAATTTTATATTGGTAGATCATCAAAAAATTGTGAATATCCATTAACTTCAAAAGATTCATTTATTTCAAGAATTCATGTCAAAATAAGCTATGATCAAGAACAGATAGTACTTGAATGTACTGGTTCAAATGGTGCTACTATTATTATTCCAAAGCCATGTTATGTTCATTCAACGAATACAAAAAACAATTATATCATAACAGAAAACAAAAATAACAAGCTCATTAATGCATCAAGTATAAAGTCGAAATCTATAAAGTTAAATTCAAATTATTCAGAGTTTTACATTCATAAAGGTGAAATTCTTACATTACCTAAATTTAAAAATATAATGTTGGAAATATCGAAACAAATAATATTAATTAATCCTCACGATGTTGAAGAAAATTTGACTGAAGATGATGATGAATTAACTGATGACGAGGAATTAATTTTAATTGATAAAACTATAGACAACGATATTGAAGATAATGAAAAAGTTGTTGAGGAAACTACACCAATGAATAAAATATCTTTAAATAGTTCAATTCCAAATACTCCTTCAAAATCAAGAAATGAATTAAATATAGATGAAGAAGACAATTATGAGACACCAAGTAAAGAATATCAACAAATCAAGGCTGTCAAGTTCAACGAGTCTAATAATGAAGAAAGTGACAAATCTATTATACAAGAGACAAAGCAACAACACATTGTTAAAATCATGCATCCAAAACCAACTAAAATTACATCTCAATTCAGTATATTTCAAGATAATAAAACTATACAACAACAAAGATCATCATCAATATCTCCAAAAATTGTATTAAAAGACAAAACAAATACAATCAGACGTGCATTATCTGAGGAACCAAAATCGATCAACCATAACGAAGCTGTTATTCATATCCCTCAACAAGAACAAAACGAAAATAACGAACAACAACCACCTAAAAAGAAGAAAAAAACATCAGTAAATCAACCAATAGTGGAATTTGATAATTCAGTATTATCATTACCAAATTTAGAAGAAATCAATAACATTTTCATAAATCATTTAGCATTTTCAAGATTAAGTTCAACTCCAATTTCAATTTTAAATACAATAAGTCAATTAACTTCCAATTTAACAAATTTACAAATTAAAACTATTTTAAATAATATAAAATGTATTGGAATTATATGTAGACAAGGTAAAGATGCTGCTGGAAAACCATTAGAAGAAGAATATTATTATATGGTTGAAAATGATGAAGATTTAAATCGTAAAAATTTAGTTTCAAATGTTAAAGGTCATGGTGGATTAAGATCTTGTAGAAAAGTTCATAAACAATATTATTGGAAAAAACCAGCTCCAATTAAGAAATAGATAGAGATGTGTAAAATATATAATAAATGAGTAAATGAATGATTATTATTTAAAGATTTGATATAATATACTTATACAGGTGGGTAAAAGCTAGAAGAAGTTTGAGGGAATCTCTTGATAGCTTTTGGATCAGATATAGGATATTGATACTCTCTTTTTTCTTTCTCATTTAATTCTCTAGGTGGACCAATTTTAAACATTTTTAAATTAAGATTTTGCATATCTGATTTGCCTTGTCTTAAGAATAATAGTACAAGCCCAATCAAAAATTGTAATAACCAGGCTATTAAAAAAAATAAAGCAATAATTAATTCTAATTTTAAACTCTTATAATAAAATTCAATTATTGATTTCAATTTAGATAGAAAATAATTCGAATTTAAAAATTTAATATTTTTTATATCATTTTCTAAATCTGATGAAATTAAAGGTAAATTAATTTGTAAATTCTTATTTAACCAAGTACAACCTTCTTCAATTTTTTCTAATTTTCTACCAATAGTGCAGTACACAACTGTATTTATAGCTGACGCAATGAATGATTTCCCAAAAATATCTGAAACTGCAGTATTCAAATTATCCAGAAATTTGGAAATTGTATTGTTGATTTTAGTTGAAGTTTCTCTAATTTCTCCAAATAACTGTGAATTTAAATCATATTCAGTTGTATTTATATATGTATTCATTGATTTTATGTACATTGAAGTTAAATTTGAAGTTGTATTCTTGTAATCCATTTCTTTTATTTGATTTGAAATTTCAGACAGTAAATAATTGATTAAAATGTATTGTAATACGACTGTTAATATTCCTAATAATCCAAATGTTAAAACATTCATTGTCATTTTATTACTCATATAACTTATCATCCAAATAACATTTTCATTCAAATTAAATCCCATTCTCTTGACAATAGTGTATAAAAAAGGATTATCATATATGTTGGCTTGGTTTCTAAAACCAACTTCATCAGCTATATTGTTCTCATTTATAAAATTTGTAGTTCTTTTCCAATGCCTTGATTCAATATAAAATGCATATAAGATAGATCCAATAATAAGTAAGATCATTCCAATTAGTAAGTATTTACTTATTACCTCCACGATTTTCACTAATTTATCTTGAGTATCTTGAACTTCATAAACAGTTTTCATACATGCTTCTGTAACATTTATTGGCACAATTGTAACATTAGTTGTCAGATTTGATAATTTAACTTGATCTAATTTTTGAATAATTAAATTAAATGGAGTTTCTAATAAAGTTTGAGTTTCATTATTTAAATCATTTAATTCATTTAAACTTATGTTCTTTGCACTATCGATTTTATCTAAAACCGTTCCAGGTATAACAATTTTATTTTTTAGATTACCCAAAGTTATATTAATTTTTCGTTCATATTGTTTACCAGTATCTGCTGATTTACCATTTGTGAAAAAGTTTTTTATTGCATTGAAACCTGTAACTAAATCATTTATGAATGATGATAAGCCTTGTAAACCATCTTCAATTTCACTTGTTGCTTCAACTATTGTTTCATTCAATGCTTTAAGTACTGATTCACTTGCATCAAATGCAACTTCTGTTGTTCCTTTGACTAATGCATTTAATAAACATATGTAAGTTCCCAATAAAAAATCAATATAAAATATAGTTAATTCTCTAATAGTTTTAATAATAAGTACAATGAAAACAATTCCAGTATATTTTAATTTAGTTAAATTATCCATTATCATTCGATGAATTCCATCTAATAAAGGTTGGACATTATCTTCATCACATATTGAATTATCTATGATTTGTTTTGATATTGTATTAATTAATGAATTTCTTAACATGAATAATTTCACAAGTATTAAAAATAATAAAATTGTATATTGATTCAAATATATTTGAGTTGATAATTCTGCAAAATTTAAATAATTTCTAATCATTTTGATTTAATGACATGAGTTGTTTCTTCTTCAAAAATCATGATGAATATATTTTGAAATTTTTGTGAAAGATGTGATTTCATAAATTATATATTAATACGTTTGAAGTTGATGAAAATCTGAAACAAATTCTGAAACAAAATAATAATTTTTTATATGCAAGATAAACCTAATTTTAGAAGCAATTAATTACATGACCTCGAAGTTAAATTGATCAAAATTCATACATAGCGAAAGATTTACTCAATAATCGTGAATCTGAATACTCTGAAGTACTCACTTTTCCATTGATTTTTCCTCATAAGACCATGTAATTTTCAATCAAATTAAGGAATATACTAATCACACAACAAAAAGTGTTCCTAGATAATCTTCAATACTCTTGTTTCATCTTTTGGTTGACTTGTTGATACAATGAAGCATGTAACGCTGTTGTTGTAATGCTGAAAATTTTTGGTTGTAAATCAAAGCTAATAATTAATTAAGGCTAATAATTAAAATTTATGGTGATAAAAATAATCTTAAAATTATATTAGTCGTGTGCCATTGTACAAAAAAGAACTATCTTTAATTTAACAAAAATGGCAAATAACAAAACTATAAACACGCTTTACAACTACATCATTATAATCAATTCATTAATTAATTAATCATTCTCAAAAACTTAAAAGATGTCTGAAGAGAATCAAGATCAAGCTCCATCTGAGACTTTCCCAGATACAAATAATGTAAATGAATCATCAGTTCAACCAGAAGGTAGTATTGAACCATCAACAAATGATCAACCAAAAGAAGAAAAATCAGAAACTGGAGCAACACATATTAATTTAAAAGTTAGTGATGGATCAGCTGAAATTTTTTTCAAAATTAAAAGAAATACTCCAATGAAAAGATTAATGGAAGCATTTTGTAAAAGACAAGGTAAAGATATGAATTCTTTAAGATTTTTAATTGATGGTAATAGAGTTGAACCAAATAATACTCCTGATGATTTAGATTTAGAAGATGGTGATACCATTGAAGCTCATAGATCACAAGTTGGAGGTTTTAATTAATTAACTTTAATATATGTATTCTATTAATGATTTTTATAAATTTTGAAATTAATGTAGTAATTGTTGTTCATTTGAAGTTTGGGAACGTATCATAATCATCTCATTTTAAATTCTAATCATATCATATGACATTCATGCATTAGTTATTCCATTCAACGCGTCTTATTTGTAAATTCATCAAAAAATTGACTTAAAATTATCTACCTCTACTATTATGGGTCACGGCTAGCTTCGGCTTGACCTAATTTTGGAAGATCCTTGCATAAGAATCATTCGACTAAACAGGTCCAAACCCCGCTTACAATATTTTCTTGATTATTGCAATGAATTTTTACAAATTAAGAAAGAGTATCCATTATTATTCAACTGTCAAATACTCCATTTCCATTTGCAAAACGACAAGAGCTAATTGTAAAAACAATGTATGTTATTAATTGCTGGCTAGAATTCAATGTCGACATAACAACAAGACAATTAATAAACATAAATTGTCAAAAACTATTTTAAAATTAATAGACACAAATTACCTACTTTTGTGCGGTAATATGTAAGAGCCCCTTCTTTCAAACTATGCAAATGTAGATAGCACTTGCAAATTGGAATTCATCACTCTCTTTTAAACACTGCTTTCAAATTTATTATACTTCTTTGAAGAAGTAAAAAATTTAGCAGTAGATAGGAGACTAGCGCCTTACTTCAAGAAGTAAATTCAAGATTAAATTTTGGTAGATATAAATAAAACAAATGTATTGTTTCAGATTATTGAATGACTTTTTAAGAACAGTTGGCAAGTACATCCCTGAAACAAAATTTAATTGAATTATCACGATGCAATTATGGTACGACGATATAAACTATATATGAAATATTATACAACAAATTTTGATTTAAAATATAATTCCATCATAACCGTTCGGTAAAATATTATTATATAAGGAGGACTTAAAGGGTATTTTAAAAATAAACTACTAACTTGGAAATGATTCGTAATCATAATATTTACAATTTACTCAAATTTTATGTGAGAATCAAATTTCAATATTGTAAAAAATATAAAATATTGTGAGATTTGTTTTAAGTGGTATGATCTCTTAAAATATTATATAATATTAAATAAATATATTTTTGAAGAAACAAAATGATATACGGAAAAAAACGCTTGTTGAAATAATTTTTGACAGTTTATTTAGTTTATTTAGTTTATTTAACCAAATATAATATACTGGATGAATGGAAGTTTCAAATATTTAATATGAACGGATTTTAAAGTCCTTAAAATTTAACATACAATATTTTAATAATGTATCTTTTTTATAATTAATAGCAATAAAATATTTATTATTATTATATCTTTCTAATATAATTCTCTTATCTATTACATAAAATTTAGTAGTACAAGTACAAAATAAATAAATGGTAAATTAATAATAATTTGAATGATGACAAAAACGGTTACAATATTATTTGATTTGTTAGTAATATAAATTATTTTATTATCTTGTGATATTTAAATTTATGATAATATTATTGTAAGATTTTCTATTATAAATAAATTGGAATATTATTTTTATTTTATTCCTATAATTATTTTTATTTTTATCATTCTATTTCAGTTTAAAATTAAAAATATAAATTCATTTAATTTTGTTTTTATTTTGTTTCTAATACATATTCAAACAACAACAATAATAGTTCAAATAAAATTATATATATATATTTTTAATCAAAACGACCGAACAAACTACTAATTTAAATTTAATAGATCAATATTTAAAAAATATAATGTGTACTGCAAGTGTTTGTGGAATTTGTCAACATAAATCATGGTCTGGATGTTCAGATCCAAAACATATAGTTCAAGTTATGAATACAAGTTCAAAATCTGATTGGTGTTCATGTTTACCATTTGATGATGAAGAAGTTTTATTAATTGATGGTACTACTTATCCTCCAAGAGCTGGTTGTGGTTATAGAAGAGCAAGTGATTCAAGTATTAATAAATAGATTAACAAAAATTGATACAAGATGGGAAATGAAGAAATGACAAATTTTATAGATTGATTTTTTTCAATATAAATAAAAAAATAAATTAAAAGTTAGAGTAATTGGGGAGAGTAATTATACAGTTCGTTATAGATCCAATTATTAAAGTATTAAGCTAAGCTAAAAAGAGATGCCTTTTAACTGTTTCTATTCGAAGATCAATATTTACTCGTTTTAGTTCGAGTTGTATAAGTTTTCATTAATAATTGGTTAATAATGTTTACAATTTGATCAATAGTTGATAACAAAGTATTAATCAGTTATTTATTTTATATAGTTGTATAATAAATTTAAAGATGAGATTATGAAATCTTTTAAAACAATATTACTTGTAATAATTAATTTCGATTTATTATAATCATAGATAAATTGTTGTATCCTTATCTATAATTTATTTTATATTAAGTTAAATGTTGTACTTTTTTAAACTTTAAATTTATTTTTTTACCCCATATTTTTTTTAATCTTAAAAAAAAAATGTCTCTCGTAAAAATTTAAATAATTCGGGGAAATTTTGAAACATTTTTTTTATTCGAGAGTGAGAAGTTTAAAAAAAAAATTGAAGTGGAGATTCCAAATATTTATAAAAAAAAGATCGATCATAAGAAAAAAATTGATCAAGTCTCATTTTTGACTTTTGTGACATTGATTTATTAGATGATAAGATTAAGATTAATTTATATATTTTAAAGAGATAAGATATAAAGTTTAATTATATACGTGTAAATCTAAATAATTAAACCATTAGATGGTTATAATTTTTCAAATTTAAACTTTCCTAGAATCAAGCAATGTCAAAATTTATATTAATTATCTTATGATTTAAGGGAGGTTTTAGCAATAGTTAAATCAACTTTTTTCAATTTTAAAATTTAATAAAATTGAATTTGAAAAGAATGACACTGAATATAATTTCGTTGATCCTCAGAATGATTTTATACTATTTATATTTGTTAAAATAAAATAATCTTTTAAAGTATTATTGTACCTTAAAATCTCAATGCAGAATTTACCCAGTTTACTTCTTACCCAATTTACCAGACCAAATTCTTAATTACTTATTAGTGAAAAAGATGAAAGTAATAAATTGAAATAAGTGTTATAGGCTTAACTCAATAAAGCTCATTATTTATCACTTATAAGATCATTTACCAACAAATTTAAAATATAATCTATTCAAGTCTGAGCTCCTTGTTCTGAGAATTAATGCATTTATTTTAAGTTTTTCACTCCCTTTCTCATAAAATTATGAAATAGCTTAGCAAAGTAAAACTATATCGATTATAATAATAATAGAACTTAGAAGGACTTCTAAGTCTCTAATTGAACCTTAATTATTAAAGATTGATGAAATTACTGCATGTTATGTCTTTTCATTGAGGGCAAAAAATAAAAAATGTCTGACGCAATTCTTTTAAACAGATAGAATAGTTTGGAAATACGGCTGTCTAGAAAAAATAAAAAAGGGAAAAAAAAGTTACCCCAGATTTTTAACATTTTTTGTTATGAATTTAAAACTTGTATGAATATAATAACAATAAATACATTATTTAAAATCAAAAGGTTATGAGGATCAAATTGATTTTAAATTAAAAGTATAATTATTAATTTAATATTGTAAGTTTATAACTCTATTATATAATTGAATAAAGTATAATATATTTGTATTTAATCTTTATTAATTAAGATTTTAAATTATGTTAATTATGTGAATTATGAAGGGGGGTGAATTAATCTTAATTTCAATAGATCCTTTTAAACTTCAAATGAAAGGATAATTGAATGAATCAGAAAGACCAAAGTAAGTATCTATTAATTATAAAATAAATACATTGAATACGTTTTTAATTATTTATTTTTACAATTTTAATAATTAAAAAAATATTAAACAAAACAGGAAAAAAAATAAAAAAATAAAAAAAAAAACTTGTGACTTCTTTATTTATTTATTTTAAGAAAAGACAATTAATTAATTAAATATACAATTTTGATATTTTTATAAGTAGTCAATTATCAAATCAACAACAGTTTTAAGATCAATTAACTACAAATAAATAATCTTTAATTGGTATAAATCAATAAACTTTCATTAGATATATTTAATTTATTTTTATAATTTAGAAAAACTTAATTTTGATTATAATTATTCACCTTTTATTTATATATATATTGATAATAGAAGAAATAATTAAGAGAAAGGCAACCAAAACAAAAAAATTATAGAGGAAAGGGTAATAAATTGAGAGAATAGACTGAATAGTTTGGCATGAATTTACCTGATTTTCTAAATGATAATTCATCACTAGATCTGAGGAAATTTATTGATAATGACAATAATAACAACAATAACAATCTTAATAATAGCAATAACAATAAACTAAATAATACATTCAATACCAATTTCAATCATTTTAATAATAATTTTTCAAATATAAGAAGAGATAGTTTACCAATAAATGGAGTTTATAGTAATACTAATAGTCAATTAAATAATAATTTTATAGATCCAATATCAATTTCAAATAATGATGATCCATTATCACAATCAAATTTTAATGATATTTTATTTAATAAATTAAACAATTTATCAACAAATTCACCAAATTTAGATTTTTTAAAAGATTCATTTAGTTCAAACAGTACTAATAATAATAATAATATTAATAATGGTAATAATAGTAATAACATTAGAGATTCATTTAAATTGCCTTTAGAACTTCGAGGTGGAATTTCAAATATTTCTTCACGTCGTCCAAGTTATGCAGCTGAAACTTTAATAAGATCAAATTATTTTAATACTAATCAACCTTTAAATTCAAATCAATATATTCATCAAAATCAATCACCTTCAATTAATTCTCAAAATTCAAATTTTTTTAATAATGGTATAAACAATCATAATAATAACTCTAATTTTCAAGCAAGAGGTAATCATTATATTAGTAATAAAATTAATAACAACAATTTTGATTTGAGTGATTCATTTAATGACTTAAATATGGGAGTGGGGTCCAAGTTTAACGAATATTCTCAACAACCACAAGTAAATAATTTTGCACCATTTCAGCAGCAACGACAACAACCTTATTACCAAAATCGATTATCTCAACATCAACCAAATCAACATCAGTCACCCAATTCACAACATTTACAAAATTATTTACCTCAACAACAACAACAACAACAGCAAAGCCAACCACAACCAATAATGGGTCAACCTCAAATACCTGGCCAACCTATAAAATTAGAAAATGGCTTATTGTTAAAAGATCAATATATTGTTGCTTCACAAGAATTGAAAGAGCTTTATTCTAAAACTACAAAATATTTTCAAGATCCAACTATCACAAGCGAAATTGTTAATAAGATGAATGAATTATTGACTAATTCAATCATTTCTAAGCTTATTACATTTATTAAAAATTTGAATAATTTAACTTTTAATCATAAAATTCTTTGTTTGGTCATTAACAAAAATGGTAAATTTGATTTATTATCATATCCAAATAATTCTAACATTTTTTTACAAAAGAATGATTTGGTTATAGTTGATGGAGATAGAGGTAAAGATTTAGTAATGATTATTGAACCATTGGTAAATTTAAATTTTGCAATTTTATTCAATTTTCTTAAAAAATTGGAACATTTAAAAAGTTTAACTATAAATGATGGAAATTCTACAAAAGCTCATGGAGGTACTCATCCAACTTCAATGAATGCGTCAACTATAATTAATTCTCATTCTAATGAAGACAGTGAATTTATAATTACTTTACCAATAAAACAAGTCCTTAGATTTGCAACTCCAAAAGAAGTTCATAAAATTAGTGGTAAATTTTTGGAAGAAAAGAAAGCATTTATTACTTGTTTTAATAAAATTAAAGAATTAGGTTTGGATTCAGATTTAACTTTGATTAATGTTGAATATCAATGTGATTTCAAAAAGCTAATCTTTTACTATTTTGCAGGATTTAATAGAATAGATTTTAGAGGATTAATTAAAGAACTTTTCAAAATATATAAAACTAGAATTTGGTTATGTGCTGTTTTACCATTTAATCAACCAGAGTTGTATATAACAATGGATGAGGAAGAAAGGGACGAAAATGAGCAGGAAAAAGAATTAAAAAATTCAGAAGAGCCAACAACTATCACTAATTTAATACCAAAAGAATATGAATTATCAAATGATCAAATATTAAATTTCTCAATTACAGAATTTTCAAATTTATCAACGCCAAATTATTTTCATCTGTTAAATTTAAAGAATTTATTGAGATCTTTATCAAATGATATAAAAACTGAGTTTTTTGGATTCAATCCAAGTTATACTAATGGTACAACAAATGGGACTAGCGTTACAACAAATGGAACAAATACTATAAATAATAATAATAAAATTAAAAATGGGTTATAGATTACAACTAAAAATATACAATTTTAAATAGGTTTTACAAAAGAGATATAATAGACAATTTTTTTATGCAGTATAAAATCATTAAGAATTGGAACTTCATTTGTAATTCTTGTATAATATTTCTGGTTGTAAATTAAATTTTATTTATGTATGTGATTTTAGACATAGGATAAACTTTTGTGTAGAAAAAAAAGATACAAGACAAAAAGTTTGCAACACTTTTTAAAGTACGATTAAATGTCTAAGAGACCCATTTCCATAGATGAACTATTAAAAGATGACGCAAGCATACCCACATATATTCCCAAATCAAAGCGACCAAAAGAGGATACTAATTCGAATGAACAAAAACAGCAACCCTTACCAAAGTTCCAATCATCATCTACATCAAATAAAACTAAACCTCAAAATAGAATTGCATCAAATATACCAAAACTAGAGCCAATACGGCAGTCATATGAACCAAAAAAGAAGAATAAGAAATTTCAATTTGATTGGGATGATTCAGAGGACACATCAAACGGTTTCAATCCAAGTTTAGTTGATAATGAAGAAGAAGATAATATTAATGATCCATTATTAAAAGATAAATCAATTGGTCATTGGTCTACTAAAAGTGTACAAGAAATGACAGAAAGAGACTGGAGAATTTTCAATGAAGATTACGGAATCACTGTGAAAAACAGTAATAATAAAAATAATGATTCTAATACACCAAATCCAATAAGGTCATGGGATGAAAGTAAATTGAATTCAAAAATTGTTGATTTATTATACAATTTTGGTTTTGAAACACCAACACCAATACAAAGATCTAGTATACCCATAGCTATAGAGCAAAGAGATTTAGTAGGTATTGCGGAAACTGGTAGTGGTAAAACATTAGCATTTCTATTACCAATTTTTAATTATCTTTTATCAATTGATTCAAATTATTTAAAGTACGAAAAAGTTAAAAATGAAAATTTAGTGTTGATATTAGCTCCAACTAGAGAATTAGCATTACAAATTAAAAAAGAAGCTGAAAATTTCTGTTCAAAATTAGGATTTAATGTATTATCAATTATTGGAGGTCATCAATATCAAGATACTATAAATGAAATTGCATTAAAAGGTTGTGACATAATTGTGGGAACACCAGGTAGATTAATAGATTCAATTGAAAAAAAACTATTTGATTTGAGTAAGTGTTATTATTTGGTAATGGATGAAGCTGATAGAATGATTGACATGGGATTTGAAAAAGACTTAAATAAACTTTATGAATACTTACCAACTAATACCAAATTGCAAAATTCAATAGATACTAGAATTTTCAACCTTAAAAATAAAATTACGATGATGTATACTGCTACAATAACTCCAATAATTACAAAATTAACAAAATCATTTTTAATTGATCCTGTTTATATTACAATTGGAGGTGCGGGTGAAGCATTGAACAATATAGATCAAAGATTTGAATTATTGAGTAACAAGCAAAGTAATCTAGAATCAATTAAAATCTCAAAATTAATCAAATTAATACAATCTCATAATTACAAAAATCCAAATAGTTTAATTATAATATTTGCAAATTTTAAAGATACAGTAGATAATTTATCAGTGGAATTAGATTCAAGAAATTTTAAAACAACAACAATACATGGTTCTAAAACACAAGAATCAAGAGAATTGGCATTACAACAATTTAAAAATTATGAAAAACCAATCTTGATTGCAACAGATATAGCAGCAAGAGGTATTGATGTATCAAATGTTAATCTTGTTATAAATTTCCAAATGCCAAAACAATTTGATGAGTATATTCATAGAATTGGTAGAACTGGTAGAGCAGGGAAATTTGGTGAAAGTTTTTCATTTATAAATGATGAAAATGATAAAGAAATATTTATACCATTAAAGAAATTTTTGAAAAAAGGTGGTAAAAAATTACCTGAATGGTTATACAGATATAATTAATACATATAAGAATATTAAAAATAACATACATAATTTTATTTATATTTTGTTATTTTTCTTTTGTTGAATAATTTAATTTTGAAGCAATATATTCAATCAAATCTGGATTTTCTAGAAAGCTTTCTCCAATAAATGCAATATCTAAAATTTCATTTTCAATATATTCATTCAATTTGGGAATGTTCATATCTAGAGCTCCACTACATCCAATTAAACAATTACTATGGGAAAATTTCTTTTTTAAAAATTCATTAAAAGGTAAATGAGCTGGTATATTTGAATTTTCACTCAATTGATACCTTGGTTTTGAGTTTGGTGATATTTTACCGGATGTTATATTCAAAATTGATATTTGTTTATCTTCAATCAAAATTTTGATCATTTTTAAAGTATCATCATCGATTAATTCATTATGATTTTTATTTATATTATCATTTATTGAAAATTTAACACTTATTGGAATTTTTAACGTATCTCAATTAAATTCCTTATTTATATCGTCAATTATTTCACATAACAATTTGATTCTTGAATTTGGTGATTTATAACCATATTCATCATGTCGTTCATTTGTAATTTTACTTTGAAATTGATGTAAAAGATTCCCATTACAACAAGCAATTTCAATTGCATCAAATCCACATATATTTATACTTCTTTTAGCAGCCTCAAGATATTGTTTTCTAATTTCTTGAATATCATTTATTGATAATTCTTTAGGTGTAACTGAATTAGAATCATATGGAATTGGAGAAGGTGCAACAATATCATTACCTTTAGCTTTTCTTCCACTATGAAATAATTGTACACAACAAATAGAATTTAAATCATGAATTTCTTGAATTAATTCTTTAATTTTAAAAGCTTGTTCATCATTCCAAATCCCCAATTCTTTTTCATCAGTTAATCCATTTTCAGAAATAAATATACCTTCAAACATAATTAAACCAGGTTTTTGTAATGCAAATGATTTATATCTTGAAAAATGTAAATTTGCAATTTCATGTTTTGGAGTAGCTGCAAAACTACACATTGAAGAAATAGCAATATGATTCTTTAAAATTATATCGTTAGTTAATTTTACTGGTTGGAATAATGATGGAATTTTTGTAGTAATTGTTACTGAATTTAAAGATTCTTGATTGTCCATTTTTAATGATGTTTTTAAACTCATTACGAATGTTGATCAAGATACTTGGTATTGTTAGAGAGTATAGTATAGTTTCTACATATTTGGAAAAGATATGGTCCATTTTTTGTTCAAGAAACCTTTTTAATTGAGTTGATGCAGAATGGATGCATAAATATGTTAGATTTTTAAAAATTCTAATCTATAGCAAACCAAAGTTCCAATGGGTCGAGTAATATAAATTTAAAATGAGATTGGAGAATTATTTGCAAATGTAGTGTTACCTAGAATTATACTTCTAAATTCTTTCGTAACATATTTTATATGAATCATATTTGTCAGACTTAGAAATTGCAACCGGTAGCTTTTAACTCGAATTTTTATAGACTTAATCATTGTTTAACTATACAAAAAATTCATATTTAATGAATTATGCTTTAATTAATGCTACTAAACTATTATACTAAATTATGCTATATTTTTAAATTTTGTAATCATATTACTTTTTCTTTATCATTTCAATCTTTAAATCTTTTTTAATCATCATCTTCATCACTTGAATAATTACATAATACGGAAACTAAACAAGGTTCATGTCTTTGAAATTTTAATTTTTTCTTCAATCTTGCAATATTTTTAAAAGTTGAATCATTTATTATTCCATTACCATTAAAATAACCATTTCTTATATCTCTTGAATCTATATTGGTATCTGATTCATTATTATTATTATTTACTATTGTTGATCTGTTATCATTAAAATTACCACTTGATCCAAATTTATAATTATTATAATTATTTTTAGATAATGATCTTTTCTTATTTGTGTTTATCGTTATATCATTATGATTGAGGTGATTTTTATGACTTTGTTCATTATTGGTCGTTTGAACTCCTTCAACCATTACATCCTCTTCTTCTTCTTCACCTTCATCATCTGATTCATCCTCGTCATCTTCATCTAAATCATCTAATTCTTCAACTTCTACAACTTCAGATGGTGATGAAATTTTACTATTTTCATTTTTATTTGGTTCATTACTTATTTTTATTCTTTTTGTTGTATTATTATTCAACATACTCTTTACAGTTTCCATTGCCATTTCTTCAAATTTTCTTTTATCTTGAGCTTGTGCATCAGGATTCCTATCTAGATTGGCCCATCGTATATGTAAAACTTCTTTACTATTACTGTGTCTTAATGATGTTAATGTTGAAGGATTGTTATTGGTGTTGGTGTTGTTATTAGTTGAGGTGGTTGATGATGATGATGATGATTTATTGCCATAATTTATTAAACATTGTCTATCCATTGCTTCTTTTGCAAATTGTGCTTCACTCTCAGTCTTCATTGTTATAAATGCTATATTTTTATTATATATTACTTTAATTTTTTCAATATCTCCAAATTCTTCAAAATTCTTCAGCATTAATTCTTCAATATTTGGCTTCATTATTAAACCTCCTATATATAATGTCTTATTGATTCTATTAAATGATCCAACTCCATCCATATCATCATTATAATCCGAAGTTTTGTTTCTACCAAAACAATCAACTGCTTGATTTGTATTTGATACTTTGACTTTATTTGGTAAACAATGGAAATATTTGCAATTTGATCCCATATAACAACAACCTCTACTGAAAAATAAACATATTGGAGAATTATTTCTTGCTCTTGTATATCCTTGATCTTTTTCAACATTTAGTCTGAACTTTGATTTGACAAATGAATTTATTACTGATGAATCACCACCTGAATATTTTAAAAACCATATATTAAAAGTTGATGAACCAATTTGTTGTGGAGGTGGTTTATCATTTTCTTCTATTGAATTTATATCAACCTGTAGTCTTGCTGGTTTGGACATCGGATCTGATGATGTTATTGAACTTATTGAAGTTTTCAAGGACATATCAAAAACTTAAATTTTGTATTGTTGAATTTCTTGTAAGGAGGTGAGTATTCTATGTGAAATGAATTATTAATTATTTGATGATGCTTTGTATTAAACGGTTTGTAGTATTAGTATGTTTGTATTATTATTCTTTTCACAGTTTCTTCTTTCAGTGTCTGGAATATTTGAAATGCGACAAGTAATATAATAATATTTTGATTGAAGGTTGACTCTCTAAGTAAGAACAATTAAAAGGTATTTGCTTTGAATGATTTAGTTTTGGCACAATCTTTATGTATTATTTGATGCTGGAAATAATCTCTTGTTGTGGGATGATAAATGATTTTATGTTATTTAAATGTACAATTTCAAATATTCCACTATCTTAACACTAAAACTTTTGAATTTTTGTTTTTTTATCTTCTTCTTCTTCACCTTTGACTTGATCCTTTTTATAGTAATTTTGTTATCCTTGGTTGATACAATTTTAAATGTTAAAGAAAAATATTAATAATCAAATTCATACAAAATTTTTAGGTATGGATGAAAAATAAAAAAATATGAAATAAAATTAGAAAGTATAACTTTGGTTGGATAATACCACTTTCTTCCGAATAGTCTTTATATCAAATCAACGAACTGGATATCAAGCTTTTAAAAAAAAACTCAATTCCTTTTCAAAGTAAATAGTATAATAATAGATTTAAAACTTCGAAAAAGTTTGAATTAAATTTAAGATATAATTAAAACCTTATATACTTTTTAATGGAGTAGTTTGGATATTATAATATTATAATAGTACAATCTTCTTCTTCTTTTACATTTATTTTTAATACTTTTTACATTTTAATATTTTAATATTTTGTACATAATAAATTTAATATTTTAATAATTTTATTATTACACAAATCTTTAAAATTTTTTTATAATATGAAAAATTCATTTAAATTCAAAAATTCAACTTGATAATTACACACCCCATTTTATTCAAAATTAACAAGTATTCTTAAGTTTTGTAAAGAGTGTATTCGTTTCTCTATTATAAAAGAAGTAGAATTGAAAGGATATATAAGTATGTCATAGCTAAAATATACAGAAAGATTACTAAAAAATTAAAGAAGAATCTTACATAGGAAATCTGTCAAACAAAATAAAGACACTTAATGAATTTTAGTTAATATGTTTATAGTCAATCATAAATAACTAATTGAAAATGAATTCCATTATCATTAAAGTTAATAGTTCAATTTAATAAATGATTGATATTTATTTATTTATTTATTTTTGCATCAATGCTTTGTATTTTTTATATGTAAACAAAAATTTTATTAAAAGATGAAAATAAATAAATAAATAAATAATAAAATAAAACACAAAACCTTATAAAATTTTAATTAGGGTGCAAAAAAATTTAATATTAATTTTTTTTTTTTTTTTCTATTTTAGAATAAGATCTTAACAAGATTGGCTGTGATAGATAAAAATATATAATTTTTTATTCATCATTATATAGTCCCCAATAGGATGATTTCAAAGTGTTTGATAGTCTCTTAGTTGTTAAGAAGAATCTTTAGAGAGAAACACATACTTACTTTCTGAACTATATTCTCGAGGATAATAAAATATCATCAAAAATTACACTATAAGAATATTGCTTCGTAATAAATTTAAGTTATAAATTTAAAATTGCTACCATCAATAAATCAATTAAAAAAATATAATGATAAATAAATGAACGAAATTTAAAGTTTGAAACCAATGTCTAAGACAATTATGAAACCTTATGATTTTGAAATTTCAAATATTTGTGCAAACGCAAGCAATTTTTAACGGTTTAAAAAGTATTTTTGAATGTTATAGAGATATGATCTTGACAGTTCAATTTGTAGAAATTTATTGAGATTGAAGAGAGGTGTAAGTTAGAGGTGTAAGCTAGAGGTGTAAAGATGATTACCTCATAACTTATTAGGATTAGTAAAATCAAATGTATATAATATACACCCCAATAAAAATGAATTTAATTGTATAACTAAATACTCTCGTTCTTTCAACAAATCATAGAAGTCAAATCTCAAAATCCCCCAAATGCTCACATGAAGGAAAGTTGAGTACATTTAGATTATTGCAAACTGAAAATTTTGCAACCAAAATAAACAAGTACATATCAGTGGGATACCGACGAATCATTGATAAACTGAACAACGGAAGAGAGGTTTGGAGGAATCTGTTAGTGAAGTCCGTAATTGTGGAATATTACTAAATCTAGAAAGTTTTAAATAAAATTTGAATAGAATAAAATCACTCAACTTTCGTAAGAAAACAATCAATTAATTTGATTATGAGCGTAATAAATATTACATAGAAAAGGGACACAAATACTGCTAACTCAATTGAAAAGTACACTACCAAACATCCTTTTTGCTCGAGATAAATAAAAGGCACAAATTCTGTCACAATTGGTTTCACATTCAGTTTCATTTCTTAACTTCAATAATTACCCCTTAAGAAATTACCAGTTTTGATCATACTTCTTAACTATAAGTCACATCGTAAGTTCATATAGACAAAAATTATTTAAAATGAAAGCATATGGACTTCCATGTTAAGATCCATTTTTCAAGCAAATTTTGATGCATCAATTGTTAAAAAAAATCAATAAAAAAAAAGAAAAGAATGAACAATCACATTTCCATGAATAAGTCTTATGCAGGATATATGCTATTTATGTTTTGTTTTTTGGTTCCGGAAATGAAAAATCAAAACAAACAAATAAACTGAAAAAAAAAACTAATTTCCAAATAAATGAAAAAAAATATTTAATGGTCACATTCTTTTATAAGATCTTGATGTCAGTACAGTGTTGCATGAATTTGCCACTTTCAAACTAAATACATGGCGAATTTTTAGCTCTCCTTATAATATACTTGAGGTTAGTGCCATTTTATAGTGCTATTGATTTTACAAATCATTGCTATATGCAGTATGTTGAATTAAATAAGATTTTCAAATTCTATGGGGGTTCATCATAACTTTTACGGGGTGTAATTTTTTTCATACAAAATAAGTTTCTACGACCTATACTAACTTCGTAATTTAGTAATTTTTTTGAACTCGACAACCTCGACCTAAATAAGTAAGTAAAACTCGACAACCTCGACTTAAATAAGTAAAGTTTATTTTTTACGAACTCGACAAATTCTCTTTGTCAATGAAAGCAAAATTACGACTTAGCTTCGATACTGAAAAGGGGAGAGCCTTTAAAGTTTTGCCTTTTTTGTCTAAATTATTCTTATTGTATAGCTGAATGAAGGCGATGTGGTCACTTGAGCGGTCTTCTTTTTTTCAAGGCGATGTCTACATTAGATCACATTGTTTTCATTTTTTTCTCCAACTTTTATCTTTTATTTTCCACTACTCATACATAGTTTTAATTGTACAATATCTATAAAGCGGTGAAAATTATTGAAGCACCAACAATTCCTAAAATACCAACTGATTTTTTCCAATTCAATGAATCAATGTTTGAGATTGAACCAGATGATGATCCTCCCGATGAAGTTGATGATGAGGAACTTGATGATCTAGATGCTGATGAACTAGAATCACCTGAACTTGATGCTCTCGTGCTTGATGAAGCAGCTGCACCACCTGCAGAACTACCTGAACTTGATGGTGATGATGATGATGATGATTCTGATGATTCTGATGATTCTGATCTTGAATTTGAGCTAGAACTTGGACTTGAACTTGAATTTGAAGAATCCTCACTTGTTGAAGCAATACTTGTTGCTGATGATCCACCATTTGCTCCAACAGCTGCACCTCCAGCAGAAGTTAATGATTGACCAGCTTCATTTCCTTTACTTGTAACAATTGAAAAATCTGAAACAGCACCTTGGGTAATAGTAGAAAATCTACCTTCAGCATCGGAGGTAACAATTTGAAAAGCAGCAGCTCCACCTGATGTTAATGATTCAAATTGTACAACAACTCCTGAAGTTGCAGTTTGCCAAGCACCATCAGCTCCTGAGGTAACTGTTGCGAATATACCTTCTGCTTTACTAGTAATAGTATTTGCTATTCCAAGACCTGCTGATACAATTCCACCTATAGCTGAAGCAATGTCTGCCATTTTTTAATTACGTTATTATATTATTTAATTTGAAGTAAAAGATAATTTGTGAAAATCTAAAGTTGTAAAGAAAATATAATTATTGCCTTTACTTGACTGAATTTTTTAGAATTTTCTATTCTATTAATAATTGCTATGTCTTTTTAACTGAAATATTCTTGACTGTGAAATTCTCAATTGAGTAGAATCCAAAGTTTTTATAAGTTGTTAGATATGGATATTTTGATACCTCTTGATCTATTCTAAGGTTCAACACAAATTGAATTAATTGAGAATAATCATATTCTTTTATATATAGTAATTTAATAACCGATCTAACACTTCAAGTTGAATGATCCAAATGTGAATAAAATTATTGCTAAAAATAGAAAATTAATTTTTATTAAATTAATTTAAGCCATTATACATATTTACTATGTAAAATAATTTTGGACTTTCTTTTTTGTTATAAAAAAATGTATCATGAAACATTTTCAATTAGTTTTAATTATACGGTTTTATCATATTTTGGCTATGCTGTATTAATCACTGTCTAATGTGTTTTTAATTTCAGAATTGAAATAAACTGAACTGATCAGCCAGACTGTGCCAATTTGAGGCTTTAATGTATGATAACCATAAATTTTAAGTTCGATTGAAAATTCGCGTCTTGAGATTGAGTTAATTGTTGTTAGTTATGAAATTCATGGCTTGCAATTAAAAAATGTTATGATCAAATTGGCTTAAAGTAAATTTGTTTACTTTTTTTCTGATCTAAGAATAATCTGTTTATACTAAATTTGGGATTTTAGTTAAACAGAATTTTGAATTTGCTCGTGATCTTGTAAGTCGACTATACTAAAGATTTTTATGACCAAGCAAATAAATTTTGACAGGTATTCTCCACAATAAACCTAATTTGAAAAATCTATTGACGAGAACTTTGAATATGAAGTAATTTGGACTATGCACCATTAACTAAAACTACAGCTTAATCTTAAACGGATACTGGAGTACGATGAGCTTTCAAGTTTCAAAAGTTAGTTTATTGAGCAAAATTAAAGTCCCTGAAGTGGGATTAGGTATCACATGACGAATCGTGTTAATTTATTAGATCTAGCGCTATTCTGCTTATAATATATAAATTATGTACTGCTACAAGACAGATTTTACCTTGAAATGTATATGACCGAGTCTGACATTTAATTTACTAGGACTCATATAATATGGTAACTCAAACTTCAACTATAATTGAATTTTTCTTAAAAGCATTAAGAAACGGAAATGAATTCATTAGTTCGTATGCTATACATTATTTGAAATAATAAATTCGAATAATAAAAAATAAAAGTAAAAAGCGTATAAATAAAAAGGAAAAAATAGCGGAATCAGATTGCCTAATTGGGTAACTATACCCGTTATCAAACATCTAGTAAAGATCTGAATTATATTTATTATATAAGATGAAAAATTAATATTATTTTCAAAGAAAAATATATAATTATAAATATAATAAAAGATCAAGTCATTCTTAATAAAATTTTTCATATATATATAATAACTTCAGTCTTTAACCTACTCAATATCTTTTTTAAGAGAATTCCATTCCAATATACGAGAAATTTTCAAATTTTAACTATTCAATAAATAAAATGTGTGGTCAATCATCAAATTCATGTTGTTCATCTAAATCAACTCCAGCTCCAAATACTGGTGCTTCATTAGCTTCATCAGCTCCAAAGAAAGGTGGAAACTGTTGTTCAACTATTTGTAAATGTGGTTCAGGTTGTGGATGTCCATCATGTAATACAACTAAACTTTAGACTAATTTTTTGAAATCATATGGAGATAAAGATTGCAGGATTCAATCAAAGATTTTTAAAACTATTCAAAATTTTTATGAAGAAATGAAATAAAATTGTATTAAACAAATATTTAATGGTGTTACTTATTTGTCGGCAAATAGATTAATAAACAAATTTAGGCTAATCATATATTTTAACTCTCCTACTACGATGCCAATGTTGAGCATTATATGGAGTGTAACTTGTACTTATACAATACCAATGTTGAGCTTTAGATTTAAAGCAACTTATGCTAGTCACTGAAGTGGTGACTTTCTCACATAAAAGTTCCATATGCATGTGTCAATTAATACAATTTTCTATATTCGCCAAACTAAACTCTCCAATTTGACTGGCAAGTGGATGAAACTATACTGTAGCTCAGAGCATTACCTAAAGGTCAAGGATCCTGATTAGGTTATTCTAAAGTCTTTCTCTCCTAGTGAACTTATGGTCTCAATTAGTTTATTTGACATTAATATTTACGGATGCATTTGGATCTAGACCTTTAAGGATACTAAATTTCAAAAACTAAAACAGCATGCAGAAAGCATTGACAGAATAGTAAGAATTTTCATTTTGAAATTAGGCAAAATTGATAAAATTTAAAAAATAATGTGAACTTGAAACAAATATTTGTTTCAACTTTAATTAACAGTACTTTATCCTGCACATAATCTTAGATCTGATACAATTTACGACAAACTTGAAACACAACCCTTTCATCTAAATCAAAATATAAATATAGTTAGATTTCCAAAGAATTAGTTTTCATGATAACAACTATAACCAAATAAATTACCATGTCATACTTATCAACCAAAAAAAACTTCATCCTTGATGTCTTAGATTTAGAAATACCCAAATTTTTACAAATTAATTTCCATTTATCCAAAACTCAGATATGTATAGTAACAGAAATTATAATCACAAATATTAATGAAGACGCGTATACAATAATTGAACAAGTTGAATTAGAAACTGGTCTTTTCTTAGGGAAAGATATCATATTTGAAATTTTTAAAAGATATAAAGAGTTAGAGGTATCATTTAATTATTTAAAATCACCATTTGATAAAGTTTGTCAATTTGGAGAAATAAAAAATTGTCCAGATATAACATGTACTTTATGGCATCCAACAAATTCAAAACTTACTACTATTCCAGAACAAAGGACTTCAACATTATCTTATGCTGATGATACAAGTTTACCTACAAAATTTCCTGAATTTTTAAGACAATGTTTAATGAATACGTGTAATGATTCAAATTGTATCAAAAGACATCCAAGTTCAAGTTTTTTATGCAGAAATGGAGCAACTTGTCCTAAGTTGAATTGTATTTATTATCATGATTTTTTCCAAATTTGTAAATTTGGTGAATATTGCAAGTATGATGATTGTCCTTTTAGTCATGATAATCAACATCAATCACCAAAATGTTTTAATTATGTTATTCAGAAATTTATTGGGTATAATAATGCTGGTTTTGATAGTGATGCTGAAAGCACTCTGGATCCTCATGAAAGGTTGGAAATGGACTCAAGACTTGCTTATAGATTACCTTACTAGTATAAATTAGCGGTATATATATGATAGTTTAAATTTATAGAATAAATTTTTGTCACTAGCCCTTTTATAGTCTCCATTTGATCTTGTGCTGTATTCACTAAGACAGCCCCAACTTAGAAAAACTTTATAACGAACTCAACTGGTAATTCAAAATCTCATTAAAATTACATATTATAAGCTTTATAATTTAGTATTAATTTCTAAATTGATGCAAAAAGAAATAAATGAGAAAATGTGAAACTTGAGAAGTCTCTAATTTTTTTACTTTAAAATCTTTCTTCATAATTTATTAGTGGCTCTTCTTTGTTTTTGTTAATAAAAACTGGGCTTTAACGATTTGAATGGAGGTTTCTTGCAATTTTTTATTTGAGAATCGGCATTTGTTGTGGTACAAAATCAAAACTTTCAACACAAATTTGACATCCCTAACTCAGTATTAGAAGTTTAATAAAATGATAATAAGGCACTAAAGAATTAAATGAAATCAGTTGAAAGGATCTAGTGTAAAAGCAAAGATTAATCAGGAATACTTTGTAAAAATATATGATTTCATAGTAAAAAAAATATTATAATTATTACACGTATTATCTATTTAGAATATCTATTTATCTAAAACCCCTTCTTTCTGCAAAACTTTTTCAATTTCATTAAATAAAGTATCAGTAGTTAATTTTGAACCTTTAACTCTTGAACATATTATTTCAGATTTTTGATTTGAATTTTTGGAAATGATTTTTATCCTAAATTTACAACTTTTTAAATTAAATGAATTGTATTTCGATATAGCACCTAATATTATGTAACTTATTTGATCATTCTTAAGATCTTTTAATCCGAAATTTGACCATGAGTTTAATAATGCAAATAATGCTGTTGACATTTCTTCTTTTGGTAGTATGGTGTTAAACTTTCTAGTTTCTATTTCTAATTGCTGATGAGTTGGGTTTGAGGATGTAGAAGAAGACGAGAACCATCTTAAAAATGATGATTTTGGTTTTTCATCGTCTGATTCACTTGGACTTGGTAATTGCGTATTTCCTGTTTTGTTTTTTGTACCCCACGATAATTTTCTGAAGAAAGATCCTTTTCTTGGTTGTTTTGATAAATCTGAATAATTATTTGTTTTATCATTTAATGGTTGTTGTTTTGTATTATTATGAGCTGGTGGTGTTGGTGGTGCATTATTTCGTACTTTTGTCATTGGTTTTGATTTTTGTTGATCATTATATGCTGGCTTTTGTTGTTTTTCATTTAATCCACCATTTGCAAGTGTATCAATAGATGATTTTGTCAGTTTTCCATCTGGTAATTTTATTTTATCAAAGACATCATCAACATCACTAGATTCATCAGATACCATTGATCTATATTGTTTTTTATGAACTTCATCACTTTTACTTACAAAAGTGTCATCATAGTCTTGAGTTGTAGGTAAATCTGGAATTTTTGAAACTGGTTTACCATACCTTTTCGTGGTAGAAGCTCTTGATGCTCTTTTATTAGCATCATGATATGAAAGTCTTTTGTTTGCTAAATGTTCTTCAAAATCCATGACTGATTGACCATCATCACCTTCTTCATCTTCTTCAGGTAAACCAGCTTTATCTAGTCTATCAGCAAAACTTGTTCTTAAACCTGGAGTTTTATCGTGACTGTCTGGTACGTGTGAATCTATTATTGAATTAAGATCTTTATATGATTCTTTAGTTGAATATATTGATAGCACCGATAATCTCTTATTTGAATTTGTAAAGTTTCTTGATTTTCTTGTAACATTTGGTATTTTAACATTGCCAATTAAAGTTGGAACTCTTTCATTTCTTAATTCTGCTCTCTTATGTTCAGATCCAACTAACTTATGTATATTCAATTGACTGTTTAGTAATCTTGATTTTCTAATCTCAGTCATATAATCATCAGTTAAGTTTGATTCTTCAACGTTTGGTTCTGGCAATTCATAATCCCTATCTTTATCATAATAACTATCTCTAGACATTCTCTTTTTTAATTCATTATTTTCTTCAACTATATCATCCATAACAGAAACCATAGATTCTCTATTAATCTTCTTTCTAGTTGTTGAATCTTTATTATCTTTCCATTCATTTTCCAAAGCTTCTTGTGCCCGTTCAAGTTGTTCATTATGATGAGCTTGCCATAAAGGATCTAATCTTGAAACAGGACGTCTTGTTAAAATTGGAGTTTGTTTTCTTTTCGGAGTTGGTTGACTAGCAGATCTTCTTTTTAATTCTTCAACATCTTCCATAGTTAATTCTGAATGCTTAGCACCTTCTCCTTCCGATAAAGCTCTCAAAGCACTTAAATTCTTGGATTGACGTTTTGGCTGTTTAATTTCATCTTTATCAAGAGTCATATCTTGTTCACTATTATTATTTGGATCATCATCTTTAACAACTATACTTAATTTTTTATTACTTAGTATTGATCTTCTTTTTTGTCTTTTCTTCTTCTTCTCTAATTCTTTTCTAGCTTTTAATTCTGCTTCATGTTTCTTTCTTTCAATTTCCATTAATCTTTCATATTCTTTGGCTTCTAATTCTTCGGGATCAATTAATTGTTCATCATTTTCATTATAATCTTCTTGATTAAAAATCTTATCACATAAGGCTGCAAAAGTAGCAGAAGTTCTTTTAGTTTGTTTATCCATATATTCCCAATCATCATCACCAGCCAATCTTGCATAAGTTGATAATAGTTTCATTGTGACTGAATTTCTTTTCAACCCATTTGTCATTGAAGCTCTGATTGATTTTCTTTTTGACATTCTCTTGGTATTATTATTATTATTATTATTTGGTTTCGTTATTATAGAAGATCTTTTAGATTGTGATAATTTAGCTGATTGTAATAAATTTGGAGATTCATCAACAACCGGATTTTCAGCAACGTTTGGTAAAACAGACAATTTATCAACATACATGGAATCTTTTGATGGTAAAGATGGAGGTAAAGATTGATTACTTTGAGCATCAACAATTTCGTTATAAATATTTCTTGGAGTTGCCTTAAATGCAGAATTTTCTTGAACTTGTTGTCTTTTATATGGAGATCTAGCAGGCGATGCTTGAATATGTGAGTATCTTTTTTTAGGTGAAGCTCTTCTTGGAGAATTTGTAACTGAAGATGAAACTGATACTCTTGAATATGTAGTTCTAGTATTATTCAATGTACTTATACCATTTTTATATTGAAATGAAGTTGGTCTTGAAACATTTATTTGACTACCGCGTTTCTTTTTTGGTGTCGTGCTTGAATTACTTCTACTTAATGATCTTTTCGGTATCTTTGGTTGTTCATCATTTGATGCATGTCTATATCTTAAAAGTAAGGCATAAAATGTTTTTTCAGGATTAGATCCATTTTGTAAAAGACAATCAATAATTTCTTGTTCAGATCTATCATTCCATAATATTGTTAAATTTGATAAAATTTGTTTATCTATATTTTTAGTTGAACCTAATGATTTATGAGCAGTTTCTGGATGTGGTAATGATTTTTCACTAATTAAATCCTCATTTGGACAAGGATATTTACTTAATAATGGATGTTTCAAAATTTTTTCAGTTGATATTCTTTTAGTCGGATCAACTTCTAACATTTTTGTTATTAAATTTTGAGCTTCTTTACTTATCTCATCAATTGGCATATCATAATTACCAGCTTGCACTTTTAATAATAAATTTCTTATATTTTCATCATCAAATGGTAATCTACCAGTTAATAAAGCAAATAAAATAACACCACATGACCAAACATCAGAGGCAGCTCCATGATATTTTAAACCACTAACAATTTCAGGTGCAGCATAATGAGGTGAACCACAAGAAGTTTCTAATAATTTTCCATTACTTTCTAGAGCTGCCATACCAAAATCTGCTAATTTAACATTTAATTGTGCATCTAATAAAAGATTTTCAGGTTTTAAATCTCTATGACATATACCTAAAGCATGACAATAAGCAGTTCCCAAGATTATTTGTCTAAAATATTTTATTGCTTCTGGTTCTTCTAATGGACCTCTTTCAACTAATAAATCAAATAATTCTCCACCTTCAACATATTCTAATACTAAATATAAAGCTTTTGAAGTTTCCCAAACATCATATAATCTTAAAACATTTGGATGATTTAATAATTTCATTATTATAATCTCTCTTTCAATACCATAAGGTAAACCTTCTCCATTATTTTCATTTTCTTTATTCTCAGATTTACTATTATTATTATTATTATTATTATTGGAATTTTGACTTTCTTCTTGTAAATCTGATTTTGATACAACTTTTACTGCTGCTTTTTGTCCAGTAGTTTGATGAGTTGCTAATAATACTCTTCCAGTTGCTCCTCTTCCTAAAGTTTTGCCTAACTTCCAAGGACCAATTTTTTGAGGATGATTATGAACTGAACTAGACATAATAGATGAGCTTAGGGAGCCCAGTCTTGAATGTGACATTTGAATATGAAATTATTAACTTTTTTATAAACAAATTGTCCCTTTTTTAATTAACGAATGAAAATAATTTTTTAATATATATTTATTGAGTTAGAAATTGATGTAAAATTAAAATTGATTGAATTAAATTAATTGTTATCAAATGAGTTGGTATTAATGAATAAATGAACGAATGACTTGAATATGACTAAAATGACCTTAATGATTGAATACAATTTAGCATAAAACTAATGTTTATAGATTGAATAAAAAAAAATATAACTTTGGTTGTCAATTAATGAAATGTTTAAATAAAAATGAATATAAAATTGAAATTTTAAATTTTTTTTGCAACACAATTTTTCTAATAAATTTCTATTTAGATTGACGATTAATGTTAATAATAATTATAATAATAATTATAATAATAATTATAATAATAATTATAATAATACTATCACTAATAATAATAATTAATAATAATAATTAATGTAGTAAAATATTTAAAGACGCGTCTTATTAAAAACTTAAAAATATAAATAACGCGCTAAGTTTCCAGTATCAAGGCTACCACATGAAATACCCCCTTTTAAAAAAAATTAAAAATTTAATTTAACCTAATTAAGAAATGAAATTAAATACAATATTAATTATTATTAATAGATTTAATTACATTACAAAAACATAATATAATCTATATTCTCTATACATAAATGTATGAAATTATGAAAACCGTTGTAAAGTATACTTACCAATATTTGGCATTGTAACTCAAATTTTACTCTTTTATATTCAAAATATTTTCACATTAAATATGAATAATTGCTTCGATTAATCAATTACATTTTACATTAATTTCTGAAACGATATGCTACCACATCAATCTTTCAAGTTTATCATACCATATCATTATTGAGATTATTAATCTAGTTGAGATATTCAATGAAGTGATTAGCCCAGTTGTGATTCATGATAATTAAATTTAAATTGCTTCTTTTATATGAGCGTATTTATGCTACTTGACCCGAGCTTCATATAATAGCATTCCAACAAATTGAGATAAATAACGATTTGATTACTTGAAATGAAATTGACAGGTCATCTCAGCAATGCATCAAGTATTTCAGCATTATTTTATTCTGATATTGTTGATTCTCAACATGACAACTTGAATCAAGTCGTAAATTTATTTAGTGCTCATCACTATAACAAACAGGAAAGCTTCTTACAAACCAACTTCCTTCAATACTTCCAATTGCTTATTCATCTCATCATTAGCTTTTTTATTCTTTAATTTATTTTCTTCATCTTTATTATAATCATCTCTTATATTTTTCAATGACTTTAAATTATCTTTATTTGACTTTACTTTACTTTGAGCATTAAGTAAATTTGTTATTTCATTGAACTCATCTAAATCTGAATTTAATTTGTCAAGTTTAATTTTATTTGATTTTGATTTTGACTTTGGTATTGATTGATTTGTTTTTGATTTTAATTTGGAGTTATTTGACGAGGTTGATTTTTGGATTTTACTTGGTTTAGCAGTGACTTTGGATTTTGACTTTAAACTTTTATCGTTTCTTGCCATTTTAATTGTGTGAACAGTTTGGATTGGATAATTGGTCGGTAAATTTTGTTGATGAAGGTTATTATTCTTACAAAATAAATTTGTCTATGATAATTGCACAAAAAAAAAAAAAAGTTGGTTAAACACTAGTGATCTCATCTCCCGACAAGTAGATAAGAACAAACAACTTTTATTAAACATAACACCTATAATACAACCAATAATAATAACATGCCATCAACCCATAATCGTGATAAACCATGGGATACCCCAGATATAGATAAATGGGCATTAGAAGAATTCAAACCAGAACATAATGCTTCAGGACTACATTTTACAGAAGAATCATCATTTATGACATTATTTCCAAAATATAGAGAGCAATATCTTAGAAGTATATGGAGTGATATAACAAAAGCATTAGATAGACATCATATAAAATGTGAATTAGATTTAGTTGAAGGTTCAATGTCTGTTAAAACCACCACCAAGACTTTTGATCCTGCAATGATTATCAAGGCAAGAGATTTAATAAAATTATTAGCAAGATCAGTACCATTCCCACAAGCTGTTAAAATTTTACAAGATGATATAGCTTGTGATGTTATAAAAATTGGTAATTTTGTTACAAATAAAGATAGATTTATAAAAAGAAGACAAAGATTAGTTGGACCGAATGGTAATACATTAAAAGCTTTGGAATTATTAACGAATTGTTATATATTAGTCCAAGGTAATACAGTAAGTGCAATGGGACCTTTTAAAGGTTTAAAAGAAGTAAGAAGAGTAGTTGAAGATTGTATGAAAAATATTCATCCAATATATTATATAAAAGAATTAATGATAAAACAAGAATTAAGTAAAAATCCAGATTTAGCAAATGAGGATTGGTCAAGATTTTTACCAAGTTTCAAAAAGAGAAATGTTGCAAGAAAGAAAACATCCAAGAAAATTGAGAAGAAAATATATACTCCATTCCCACCAGCTCAACAACCTCGTAAAATTGATTTACAAATTGAAAGTGGTGAGTATTTCCTTGGTAAGAGAGAGCGTGAATTAAAGAAAAAACAAGAGAAACGTGCATTACAGGAAGAGAATAGTGAATTAAGAAGAAAAGAAAGAGCTAAAGATTATATAGCTCCAGAGGAGTAAACTGATAAGTATAAGATTTAACAGTCAGGAATAAATTAATATTTTTGACATCCTTTTTTTAGTGAAATTCTCTAATTGATTTATCAAAAAAACTTAATTCAAACATATTTATTTTTTATCACAAGACCAAATGAAATATACAAATTTCGTGAAACAAGTAGTATGTTTAGTAAGTGTGATTTAGTTTTTCAGTATGCATTTTAGTTTTTAACAAAATTGAAATCTCTAATTAACTCAATTATCAATTTAAAAACAATCTGCGATTTTAATTTACAACTAATTTTTAATCTGCAATTTTTCACTAAAAACTTTAAATTGAATTGATGTTACTTTCTAAAAAACTTGAGTAGGGGGTTTTTGCAATCTTAAGAATTACAGTTTGTTTTAGTTTATGTAATATTTTTAGATCCAAAATTTTAAGAGGCTAAATTATTAACACTCACACGATCTCTTAATTTTTTTCACAGTTTTGAAACTATACACTCAAAGAATTGGCTTACGCCGTCCAAGAAAGGGTCTAGTTCCCCAAAATCTTGCTAGAAGCTCATATTGAATTATAAGGTGAATCAATAATACTAGATTTTGACAAATTAAACAAGATACATATCTCAATACATTATTACAAAAATCTATAACTTCTAATGATAAAAGCTTGAGTATTGATAACTTAATGCATCGTAGTAATGTGAAACTATTGACAATATATCCCAAAGTCAATATTAACGTAACTGTTACAGTTATGGACCATAATTAATATGTGAAAAATGTTAATAATTTTCTAAAACCGTTTGGTAGTTCCCATATGGTTATGTAAATTTAAGTCTGAAAATAACGCTAAATTTCTTAAATAAGTATTGAACTTTCCTAAATAGTAGTAACAATAATATTACACAAACTTGAATATAGTAATGTAAATGTTGATTCAAAAACCTCATCAAATGATTTAATTGATTAAATATTCAACATACATACATTATAACTTTACAACTCGAACATAGTTACAACTGACTTAAGGAAAAAAGAAGGCTAAAATTAATTTTTGATTCACAAAATCATTTAATTAACTTTTTATTTTGGTTGATTTAAATTTTTTAAATTTATCAAATTGTCTTGAATTCGATTGATTCATTACCTTCACTTAGAAAAATTACAATAGAAGCTTTCTATATTTTAGTATTAGAGTTTTCGTTAATTAAAACTTACTTGTATCTGAATATCAGCTAGATCACTCATATAAATAGATACAGAATTGTCAACAATTTAAACAAAATTAATATCTTTATGTACATTATAATTAATGTCAAATCCTAATCTAGATCATCCAAGTACTTTTGTTGATCAGTTCAACATTTTACCAAATCAATATTTCAATTCAAATCCAAACCAAATAAATTTAATAAATCAAATATCATTAATAAATCAAAAAATTTTACAATATGATAATAATATTAGAGAATTAATAAAATTAATGGAATTAAATAAAAATTGTTTAGTTGAGTTAAATGCTTTGAATGCAAAATGTTTTTATTTAAACTCAAATTTAGTCTTGGATAATACTGATTCAATTATAAATCAACAAAGTTTTGAAATCTTAAATGAGGAGTATAGTCATATATTACAGAAATTGCAAATAAATGAACAATTTAATGTACAAATTTTAAGTGAAAAAGAAGAGCAAAGTAAAGAGACGATTGACATAGACAATTTTTCAGAAGATGAAGAAGAATCTGAAGAACAAGAAGAAGAAGTAGAGGAGGAAGAAGAATTATCAGAAGAGGAAAACATTTATTCGTCTACACCAACACCACCAGATCTCAGAAAGATGATCTCCATATCAAATCTCAAATTAAAACCAATGAGATGTGCAACTTCAACAATAACTTCAACCACGAACTCACCAAGTACCGCAAAACCCAATAAATTAATATCAAAACAAAAATCAAGATATAGATTATCAAACATATATAACATAAACCCAATTGCATACGAAGATTCATCGTTTAATTCTTCAACCACAAACAATAATTCAACTATATCATCTATTGCTTCATCGGAAATTTCTGAAGATAGTGAAAGATTAATGAAAAATAGTTTATCAAAATCTTATGACACAATTGATTCTCACTTGAATAATACATTCGAAGAAGATCAACGACTACAAGACCCAATAAATTTTAAAAAAGAAGTAATGACACCACCACCTCCAACACCACCACAACAACAACTTGCCAAACATACAAGATCAAACTCCTTACCAACATCAACAACTTCAATAGATCAAAATGAACTATTTAAAGAATTTGATTGCCAACAAGATTATTTACAATTCAATAAATTAAAACATTTTATAAGTATGAGTAATTTACCAAGACATAATTTATCACCTCATGAAGATTTATTTTATAAAGAGATTAATAAGTCATTAGCTTTAACTCCTCAACAACAAAATAATAATGAATGTGATGTATGTTCCATAGTGTCTGATGTATCATATTATTCTCCTTCTGATAAAGAACAACAAAGACAAAGTAAATCAAGCCAGTTTCACCATAATGATGTTTTTAATGAAGATGATTTAAAATTTGATACGTATAATAACTTTTTGAGAAAATCAGCCCTAAATCTTAGAGAACAATTACAACATCACCCATTAAATAGACATAAAACAAATTTTCAGTCATTATTAGTAAACCACCCAAGCTCAAATCATAAATTCCAGAATCCAATAAATATAGTATCATCACAAAGATCAAACCCAACGACAAATATAGCTGTACTTGAAGATCAACAACAACGACATTCTAATACAAACTCATTTCCTTCCTCAAGAAAACTTTTACATGAAGTTATTTCAAGAAGTCCAGTGATTTCTAATACTTTTGAATCAAAATCACCACCGTTAAATACAAGTCATAATAAAGAAAATGTGTATAACTTTTCTAGCTGTTCATATGATAAAGTTCTACGTCCACCAACTATAAAATCTGCACCATCAATAGCAACGTCATCCGACCAATCATCAAATTTACAATCCCCCTCACTAATATCAAATGAGTTCATGAAAAATTTTATGCTCACAAACAAAAAGCAAGAAACTCCTAAAAATACAAAACCACCAACACCACAAAAGATCAAAGACCTTAAAAAGCAAAAAAGATTCAAAAATATACCCATTCTGATACCCAATCAAACCCAATTAAAAAGAATACCCGTAAACAAACAAGTACAACAAGAAAATGGATTTAAGATATTAAGTGGTTCTTATTCAAATCTAACAATAATGAAGAATAAGAAATATATAAATCATGGAAATACTTCGATTTTTAATAATCCAATAATTAGAAATTATAATGAAGATGCAATTAGAGAAGCATTAAGTGACAGTTTATTAGATTAATGCAAATAATTTATTTAATATTTAATAGATACAATTTTAATAATTAATATACTTTTTGATTAAAATTCAGAATTTGAAAAAATCAGTGAATGATTTGAAGAACTTCTTAAATTTTTTTCAATTCTTTGTTCTTTTAAACTCTTGATTTTTTTGGTATTATTGTTTTTTGATAAATTATATGTTATAGAAGCTTTTGAACCTGATACAACTTTATATTGCCTACTTATTGTAACACCTGTAAAATGTTGTTTACCATTTTTAAAAGAGTCACCTTGTTGTTCATGAAATGACTTGAACGATTTTGTAATTGATGGTTTTTTGAAAATTGGTAAAAATTCATTATCGTCTGAATCTATATCTGTTTCTTGATCTTGATCTAATTTTCTCTTATTGTTTATTTCTTCCACTGATTCTATTGTTACTAATTGACATTGATTTAGCGAACTTTTAGATCTTAGTGCTTTAATGTCAACTACATCTTCTTCATCTTCAGATATTCCATATTGGTGATTTGACATCTTTTGTATTCTTTGATAACTTGATTCATCATCATCATCGTATATGCTATAATTCAAAAATGATAATTTATTTTGAACAAAAGATTCTTCAATTTTGATTGTCTTTTTAATTGGTTCTTCTTTTTCTAGTGAATCAGCTTCTTCATTTTCAGTATTTTCATTCTCTTCATCATTTTTAAATGGATTTGCAATTTCTTCAACATCTCCATCATCATCACTACTATCACTATCAATTTTTATAACTTCATGTTTATCTTGAATTGTATCAAAAAATGCTTTTGATTTTTCATTTTTACTTAATTCTTGTAATTTTTTATTCTGTAATAATCTTGCTTGTTGTTCAATTAATTTTTGTTTTCTATAAGCTGATAATAGTTGATCTTCTTCATCACTTAATTCAATATCTAATCCATTATTTTGACCAACTCTTTTAATTAATTTATGATTCTTTATATCATCTAATAACTTTTCTAATTCTTTTTGGTCTTTAATTTGATATTCTTCCATAAACTTCTGTCTAATTTCATCATTTTGTAAATCAATATTAAAATCATTATCAATCATTTTTTCATCTTCTGAATTTGCAACATCACTAAATTCCCCATCAATACCACCTAATCCTTTCCATTCATCTTCAGATTCTTCTGCTTCGCCATCAAGCATAGTTTTTAATCCTTTCCTTTCCATTTCCTTCCTTCTTTTTCTTGCTTTTAATTCTTTCATTCTTATTCTTTGCTCGTATTCTTTGATTTTTCTTTGTATTACCTCTGGATCATCTTCATCTTCATTTTCTTCTTCGATATCCAGATGTTGTTCTTGTTTAATTTTTGTCATTCTATTATGCAAAGATTTACGCCCCTTCTTCACATTTGCAGGAGTAATAATATCATCATCTTCATCATCATAATAATTGTTTACTTTATCAGTTTCTTGCTTAATTATTTGAGTTTCTGCAAGATCATTTGCATTATCGATGTTTAATAAAGAAGTATCCACTTGAGTGGGAGCATCGAATTGGGTTTCATGCTGAGTTTGTGATTGAGTTAAATCTTTAAAATTTGGTAATTGTCCCTTTAAGTCAACTTCACTTTGAGCAGACATGAATGAATCTTCTCCGTCTTTTGGATGAAGCGACTCAATGAAATGATGATCATCGTCAAATTGATTTGGATTCATATTATCCAGATGATCTTCTTTTTCTTGATCTTCTAATCCCTGATCCTCATTCTCAGATTTGTTGGATATATCTACCCCCAGTTGATCATTATAATCACCAGAGTCATAATCACTTTCAGGTACATCAGAATCAGCAACTTCATTATCATCTTCTTGATACTCTTCCTCACCATCACTATCAACCATTTTCATACCCAATTTCTTACCTAATAAAGCTAATTTAGCCCTTTCTTGTAGTTTCTCTTTCTTTCTAATATTTCTATTTCTTTCCATTTCTCTTTCCAACAATGATGATAATGACTCCTCCTCTTTCTCAAATTCTTCTAGTACTTGATATTCATGATCATTTAATCTATTGGTTTTCAATTGATCTAAGTTTCTTTTATGTAACAGTTTTAAAAACTCTTTATGTTGCTTATTCTTCAAATCCAAGTCTTTTGATTTTAGTTGCTTTGTACCTTGGTATTTCTTTTTCATAAATTTCTGCTTTATAAGAAACTTTTGTTCTTTTGACAATTCAGGAATTTTATTCAATTCTTTTGCATGATTTGAAATTTTAGTTTTATACTGAGTTGTAGATTTAATCGGAGATGATGAATTACCAATCTCTATATCTGAATCAGAATCTAAATTTATGACTTTGGAGGTAGTAGTAGGTGAACTTCCTAAATTTTGTTTTAATCTTTGTGCATATAATTCTAATGGATTTTTAGTTTGTGTTTTTGATGGAGCTTTAAATAAATCATAAACATCATCTTTTATTGGTGAAGTTGTTGGACTGGACTTTATAAAATCTTGAACTGGTGATGATGGTTTTAAAAGGTTGGAGTTTGCTGGATTTTTAGTTTTGTTGAACTCAATATCAATTTCATCATCATCTTCGGAATCTGAAAATAAATTCAAAAATTTATCTTTTGTAAAAACTTGTTTTCTTTCAAAATCAGGTCTAATATCAATTTGTCTTTTTTGAATATTTAAAAATTCTTGAGCTTTTTCAAGATCTTTTGTAGATAATCCATCATTTTTCATATGAGATGAAACAACAGTATCATTAGCTTCATTATTTAAGTCATCCTCTTCATCTGTTAGTGATCCTTTAGTTAAATCCTTGTTCAAAAGTTCTTCCTCTTGTTCTTTTGCAAGTCTTTCTTTTCTCTTTTGTTCTGCTAATTCAGTAATTCTTTTTAATCTTTCTTCTTTTGTAAGTGGCTGATTAGAAGAATCATCATTATCAGATTCATCAGAAATGAATAGATCATTTAAGTCAGATTTTTTTGTATTGGAATCTGAATTTGGGTTGTCACTGTCTATTACCTGAGTAGAAACTGTATTATGACTATCAATAAGTTGTGTGAGTGGTTGACTATCTTTTGTTGTTTCTAAAATTTGAGTTGGTTGTACATCAGACTTTTTTGAAGTTATCTGAGTAGGTTGATTTACTTGATATTCACTTTCTTCAACTTCTAATTGAGGTAATAATTGAAATGATGATTTGGATTGTGGTGTTTCATCTATTTTTTGGGTATCTTCATTATTGATTGGTTGAGTATCATTTAAATTTGTAGTATCATTCGAAGTCAGACCCAATAATCTTTGTCTGATTTTATCTAATATACTTAAATCTAAGTTATTGTTATTTACTTCTTCATTACTGGTACTAGTTTCATTTAATTGATTTAGAAAATTATTACTTATATTTAATCCCAATATTGATGGTGACATATCATTGTTCGAATCTTTAGCAATCAATTGATTATCTATTATCTGAGTTGTAGTTTGATCATCTTTATTTAAAGTACTATCATTACTTAGTATTATTTGGGTTGACTTATAATTGTTTAGTGAATCCATTTACACATATATGTTTAGACTATCAATAGATATTTAATTAATATTTATTTCAATGAATTAATTTCAAAATTGGTTGCCAAATGAATTTTGAATTAGTATGATAATATATTATTAATGTGATATGTTAATAATTAACTATTAATATATTTTAGTACTATACAATATTATTATTATAAATAAGTAATTTATATATAAAATTTATTAATACGCGTAAAATAAATTTAAGGTCGCGTTTTGTTTACTTTTAATATTAGTATTATTTTATATGGGAAGAGATTTTGTTTAACTTGTTTAATTTGTAGACTCTATGTCTATATTATATATTTTTTTTCTCTCTATTATCAGAACATTTAATTTCACGACATTAATATTTGTGTCATCAATTATTATATAATTGAATCTTTAAATTTCGATAATTTCAATTTGTACAATTCTATCATTTGTAAAAACTAACTTTATTTTATTGTATTAAGTAAACTATAATAATAATTATTAATTATAAATTTAATATAATTAAGACCAACAATTTAAAATTTTGACTTATCATCTGGTAGCTAAATGTAAAATCACATGAGAATCACGATACCTTTAAATTTATACTATATTATTCATTCAATTCAACAATCAGAACTAGTTTAGACGAAGAGTTGAATTAATGAATACTTATAATTGATTGTCTAAATAACCGCTTCGATTTTCTTGTTTTTACGGGTCCATTCTCACTATTCTGGACCAATTTTCCCCAAATATAATAATTGTNAATTTTTTTTTTTTTTTTTTTCTAAATTTTGTATCAAAATTTTTCAACATTTTTTTATAAACACTTTTTATAAAAATTTAAAATTTTAAAGACAACGTTTCTTTTAATAAACCTTTATTTTTATTTTTTTTTTCATATAATTTATTTAATTGAATTCAATTCTACTTTTTTTTTTAAATAGATTTCAATTTTTATTAATTTACTATAAGTTCAATTAGTACTAATTACAACTACTATTACAACAATGTCAGGTAAAGAAACTTTTTTATTCACTTCAGAATCAGTTGGTGAAGGTCATCCAGATAAAATTTGTGATCAAGTATCAGATGCTATTTTAGATGCTTGTTTAGCTGTTGATCCATTATCCAAAGTTGCTTGTGAAACTGCTGCTAAAACTGGTATGATTATGGTTTTTGGTGAAATTACAACAAAAGCTCAATTAGATTATCAAAAAATTATTAGAGATACTATTAAACATATTGGTTATGATCATTCAGAAAAAGGTTTTGATTTTAGTACTTGTAACGTATTAGTTGCAATTGAACAACAATCACCAGATATTGCTCAAGGTTTACATTATGAAAAAGCTTTAGAAGAATTAGGTGCAGGTGATCAAGGTATTATGTTTGGTTATGCTACTGATGAAACTGATGAAAAATTACCATTAACTATTTTATTAGCTCATAAATTAAATGCTGCATTAGCTAGTGCAAGAAGATCCGGAGCTTTACCATGGTTAAGACCAGATACTAAAACACAAGTTACTGTTGAATATGAAAAAGATGGTGGTGCAGTTATTCCAAAAAGAGTTGATACTGTTGTTATTTCAACTCAACATTCAGATGATATTTCAACTGAAAAATTAAGAAGTGAAATCATTGATCATATTGTTAAAAAAGTTATTCCAGAACGTTTATTAGATGATAAAACTGTTTATCACATCCAACCATCAGGTAGATTCGTTATTGGTGGACCACAAGGTGATGCTGGTTTAACTGGTAGAAAAATTATTGTTGATACTTATGGTGGTTGGGGAGCTCATGGAGGTGGTGCATTCTCAGGTAAAGATTTCTCAAAAGTTGATAGATCAGCTGCTTATGCTGCTAGATGGGTTGCAAAATCTTTAGTTAATGCAGGATTAGCAAGAAGAGCATTAGTTCAATTTTCATATGCTATTGGTGTTGCTGAACCATTATCAATTTATGTTGATACTTATGGTACCTCAAAGTATTCATCAGATGAATTAGTTGAAATTATTAAAAACAATTTTGATTTAAGACCAGGTGTCATTGTCAAAGAATTAGATTTAGCTAGACCAATTTATTTCAAAACTGCTTCTTATGGTCATTTCACTAATCAAGAAAATCCATGGGAACAACCAAAAAAATTAAAATTTTAAATTTATTAATTTTACAAGTGAGAAAGTTTTCTACTAGATTAATTATTCCTCATAAATTAGACTAAACATTCTAATATTAGACTTAACAAAAATCAAATTAGAAACCTAAACATTTAAAGTTAATTAAACACCATTTTAATTTAAACCAACCATACATTTACAACAAAAAAACATTCATGAACTTTACGTAAAAAATTTCAACAAATTTTTTCATTTTATTTCTTTAATTTAGTTTTTTTATATATTTAAAATTTATTTATAGATTAGGGTCCTCAACGGATTGGGAAAATTACATAGCATTAATAAAAATGTACAAAAAAAAAAATATAGAAAATAGATTTAAATGTAGTTATTATGATGCTATATTTTTTCTTCATAGCCATACATTCTCGTTACTCGACAATAGTTAAGTAGCTATCGATGCACGAGACATAGCTAGACGATTAAATTGTTGATACTTTTTATGTTTTTATAGTATTGAAAAAATGGATGTGTAAAAAGAAAAAAACCCGTCATTTTGAAATAAAACGGTCCTATCCTTTTTTAAATTTTGCATAAAACCTAAATTCTCAATTAAAAAAAAAAGTAAATAATGATCAACCTAGTATGTAATTCAGTATTTTGTCAATTGCAAATTATGACTACAATAATTATAATTCTCAATTACGCAGACTAATCACAAGAATAGAGTTTCCTCTTATGAGGATTAGATCTCGTACAACTAGTAGTCTCAAGTAACCCCATCAACTAAGAATCAGTTGAAAATCTTTTCGTTAACGTTTTAAAACAATTAAGAAAACTGACAGCTTTTTCCAAAAACTAGATCTTATAATAATAATTTACGAGACAATAACTATTGTAGAACTGAAAATTTTTTTATGTCAAATATATTAAAAAATATATTTGTTTTACTTTTAATACACAAAGTAATCAATAAAAAATATTGTTCGTTAGCCTTTTTATTTTAATTGGTATAAAAATAGTAATTAATATATTAAAAACCTTGTTTTACCGTACCAAAATTTTGCAACCATTTTTTATTATATGTTTTATAAATAATTAAAGATTTACTATATGCAAGATTTATTAATTGTTTTTTTTTTTTTTTTCGTTTAATTTTTTCATCATAAAAAAAACACAAAATTAAAAATTGTAGTGTGATTACCATAAACGTGGGTTTCATTTNATTTTTTTTTTTTTTTTTTCGTTTAATTTTTTCATCATAAAAAAAACACAAAATTAAAAATTGTAGTGTGATTACCATAAACGTGGGTTTCATTTTTTAATTATAAATAATTTATTTGGACTAAGAATCAAAATTTTAAAACACAACTAAAAATTGAAATTTTAATCCCTTTGGAAAAAATAATAAAATTTATTACTAAAATTTTGTAAAATAAATAGTATCGTTTATGATCAACCAGGCGTATGATGAAATACGTAATTTCTGATATATGTCATCAATTGACACGAACAATTCAATTAATGAATATCAATTTGAAAAGCTTTTCTTGATTAAAAAAAGTTTTAGATTAGAATTAGCATCGTGTGGGAACTTTATAGACAATTTATTTTTAATAATCTCTCTTTTCAATTGCTCGTTATATTTAATATATTAATATATACAAACTTTCGTATAAATGAAATAATTTAACCCCCCTTGAATTTCATACCAGTAAAAAATAACTTAGCAGATATATTATAAATTAAGCTTTAAACTTTGTTATAGTATAATAAGATGTTCAAATTTTAAGTTTTTATTTTTATTTTATTTTTTAATTAAAAAATAAAAATCGTTTAAATTTATGCATAAAATATAAAATAATACTTTTTAATAAATAATGCATAATTTTGTTTATTGTTTATCAGGCCCACGTTTTTCAAAAGGCTAGTGCAAATTTATTTTTTATTTTTTCTTTTTTTTCTTTCTGCAGATATTTTAATTTTAATAGAGGAAACAAACCAAAATCGATCTTCAGTGAAAAAAAGTTTTGCCGTAGGATTGTATTGAATCTAGTTTACTATTTAACCTTTTAGAACTAGTCAAAAAGAAAAGAAATAAAAGGTCAATTGAGTTGCCATTTAATTGACAATTGTATTTTCGATCGGACGTCTGTTTTATTACTTTGAAATAATCAAAATTGAAATGGTAGCTACAACTTGAAGTGGTTGCAAAATTTCAGAAATATAATACATCAAATATCCAGACATATTATTTACCAACAAACTTCTAATTATTCTTGTACCCTGTATTTTTAATGTTCATTCATATTTGTTCTTTTGCATTTGACAGATTAATCTCGTAAGTTTAATATTCTTGGTAAAAATTCATTTAAACGAAATCGTTGACAAGACTTTTTTTTAGGAGATATACAAAATACAATGCTACATCCGTCCCTGACAAGAGATTTTTCTCAATTGATCTCCTTTTAAACTTAACAAAACAAGCTTTTTATGCAAAGATCTTTTATTAATAGTTTGACAGGATAAGAAATTTTTTAATGTTTTTTAACTTAAACGGTTCGGTGATATATCTATTTCCCATTTATCTTCTTTAATGGTAAAATAGATATTTATTTAATTGGTGATAGTTAACAAAATAAATAACGAAAAGGTGGAATCAAATTTTATATAAGCTCCACCTTAAGAGAATTAAAGTTTAGTAATTTTTGAGTTGAAAATTATTGTTTGAAACTAAAATAATTGGTTAAGAATTTTTCAAAAATTTTAAAAAGTATATTTGAGTTGTCAACCAAAAGATCTTTTACTGAAAAAGTGAAAATGAAATGGAATTTGAGTAAATAATTATGATTCCATACACTCCCGATTACTAACATGTGGGCAAAACAGATAACTTCTTCCTATTTTGTATTGAAATCTGATACTTTTTTGAATTAATACTAATGAGTTATTCATTTCTTTTTGATAATTTTTTTTTCTTAATTCCATAAACTCTTAAATTGACAAAAATGTATAAAAATAAGATACCAAGGGTGAAAAAAACTAAATAAATGGAAAAGTGCGAGCTCAAAACAATTATGTTTAACAAATTAAAATTAAAACAATTGATTTGTTTTGAAATTAGGCTTAATGCCAATCTATTTAATGGCCCGTCATAATAATATAATCTTTAAAGAACAATAGTTGATTTGAAAGAAGATTTCAATACCTCTTCTTGTTATATTTATTATAAGCTTTAAAATAAAAAAAAGAAAGTTTTAACCCACGATGATGATTTATGTATGAAAAGTGAATTTAAGTGAAAAAAACAGAGATTGAGAATTAAAAAATTGATATGCATATTTAGTACATTATACATTAAAAATTTTTTGGTTTTGAGTAAGATGCAATTTAATTACTTATACTAGTATTTGTCAATTGAACTTGTGATCAATACAGGCGTTTTAAACATTAAATTTATCTAACGAAAACGTGAGCTTTGATATTTATCTTCAATTGAACTTAGTAATAATCCTACAACCTTATGAACCTTAATTAACAAATCCCTTTGAACTTTCTAATCTAAACATTTCTGAGGTGAGATATTCAATTTCAGTTTAAAATTTAGCTCAATTTAAAAAATTTTTCATTTCATTCTATGATACAAACTTTTTATCTATTTGAAATTTTAACTTTTAGTATTAAAAATTTATATTTTTAATGTTCTTATATAGAATTAAAATTTGACACAAAATAATATGCACAGTAGATTAAATTAAAAAACTATAATTTTTTTTTTTTTTTTTTTTTTTTTTTTTTTTTTTTTTTNTTTTATTTTATTTTTTTAATATAGCTTGATAAACGCCTAATATTAATATTAATATTATATTACAATTAAATAAAAAAAAATATAACAATATATCTACTAATTTTTTATATTCTTAATAATATATACATTAAATCTTCATCAACTAATTTAAGAATTTATATAAATTAAGATGGAAATCTTTATGTAAATTAATTTTACAGTCTTCTCTTTTATATTCTTCTTTTATTTTTCACTTCATTGTTTAATTTCATTCAATCTTATATTAATTAATACCTTACTACTTTAAGAAAATTAAATTAAAGAGCAATGTCAACTAATCCAGAAATTGAACATCAAATTGCTACCGAAGTTAAACAAACTGGTGGTAAAACCGCTTTCAAAGATTATATTGGAAAATATGCTCATATTGAAGATCCATTAGAAAGAAGAAGATTAGCTTTAGAAGATATTGATAAATCGGGATTTGGATGGACTCAAGTTAAAATGATTATGATTGCAGGTGTTGGTTTTATGACCGATTCTTATGATATTTTCGCTATTAATTTATCAGTTAATATGTTACAATATGTTTATTGGTCAAAAGGTGCTATGCCAAATTCAACTACCACTTTAATTAAAGTTGCAACTTCAGTTGGTACTGTTATTGGTCAAGTCGGTTTTGGTGTTATGGCTGATAAAGTTGGTCGTAAAAAAATTTATGGTTTAGAATTAATTGTTATGATTTGTGCTACTATTGCTCAATGTTTTATTGGATCATCACCAGCTATAAATTTCGTTGCTTTATTTTCTACTTTACGTATTATTATGGGTATTGGTATTGGTGGTGATTATCCATTATCTTCAATTATTTCATCAGAATTCTCAACTACTAAATGGAGAGGTGCTATTATGGCAGCTGTTTTCTCAAATCAAGGTATTGGTCAAATTTTTGCTGGTATTGTTGCCATGATTTGTGTTGCCGGTTACAAAAATGATTTAATCGATATAAAAGATGGTCCAGCTTGTCATGCTTCTAGAAAATGTGTTAAAGCAGCTGATCAAATGTGGAGAATCATTATTGGTTTCGGTTGTGTCCCAGGTTGTATTGCTTTGTACTATAGATTAACTATTGCCGAATCACCAAGATATTCATTAGATATTGATGAACATGGTGATGTTCAAAAAGTCGCTGATGCTGAAGCTGTTATCGATGAAAAAGCTGGATTAATTAACCCTCCAAAAGCTTCATTTGTTGATTTCTGGAGACATTTCGGTCAATGGAGATATGGTAAAATCTTACTTGGTACTGCTGGTTCATGGTTCATGTTAGATGTTGCCTTTTATGGTTTAGGTCTTAATACCACTACTATTTTACAAGTTATTGGTTACGCAAGTAAAGAAAATATTTACAAAAAATTATATGATTCATGTGCTGGTAATTTAATTTTAGTTTGTGCAGGTTCATTACCAGGTTATTGGGTTTCAGTTGCTACTATTGATACTTTAGGTAGAAAAACTATTCAATTAGGTGGTTTCATCTTATTAACTATTATCTTATGTATCATGGGTTTCGGTTATCACAAAATTCATGAAAAAGGTGTTTTTGGTTTATTCGTTATTGCTCAATTTTTCCAAAATTTCGGACCAAACACAACTACATTCATTATTCCAGGTGAAGTTTTCCCAACTAGATATAGATCAACTGCTCATGGTTTATCAGCTGCTTCAGGTAAAGTTGGTGCCATTATTGCTCAAACTTGTATTGGTACTTTAATTAATCATAATTGTGGTTCAGATCCAAAAAATCAAGGTTGTTTCTTACCTCACGTTTTAGAAATTTTCGCTTTATTCATGTTGATTGGTATTTTCACTACTTTATTAGTTCCAGAAACTAAAAGACAAACTTTAGAACATATTTGTGAAAAACATCATGATGAAGTTGATACTACCAAATTAGTTAGAGATAGATATGCTACTCAAGAAGAATCATATGATTCAGATGTTAAACAATAGATTGCTTAATGTCATATCATCATTCATTCATATAAAAATTAAAGATTTAAAAAATTTTCATAAATATTTTGAATAATTTTTTTCTTCTTTTGGCTAACATTCCTTAATTATTTAATATTTTTTATTTAGTTCCATTATTTTATACATTTTTTTGCAAATTTGTTAATTTTTCATAGTTTTTTTAATTAGATAGATACTTTCGTTGAAGTTGTCAACAAAATATTAGGGTTTTCATATAACTACCATTTATTTCTTATTGTAGTATTTTAAAGATTATTTTTCTACTACTATTAAGTGTTTCAGGTCGTGATGTCACACCTAAAATGTTTAAAAGAGTTGTCTATAGTTGCAGTATATCATGAGACTATGTAAATAATTGTTAGTCAATCATATCGCTATACCTTTTTCAATCATTTTTGCTCGAGTTGCTCACTGTTGATTGTTAATTCAACTACTAATATCTTCTACTTAATTAATCCTACTAAATTTGGTTTATCGCACAGAAAAAACCAAATTCTACTGTGTTAGAAATTGAAAAATAAAAGTCTAAATTTGAAATCACCAACTAAATTTACAGTTACAAGCATTAAATTGTCAAATAAATGCTGAAAGTATACTTTACATCATCAAAATTTAAATCATATATCCCAGACTGGATACTATTGGTAATATCAACAATATTATTTTTCCAAGTATTTGAATTCTTGAAACCTTTTAATAGACAATTTTTTATTAATGATCCAAAACTACTACATCCTTTCGCTACTGTTGAAAGAGTAACAGATAATCAACTATATTTGTATTCAACTATTATACCTGCTATAATAATAATCGCTGTATCTACATTACTTAAAGCTCAAAATAAATTTAAGTCAACTACATCAAATGTCACATTTGAATATTTCCATTTTTTACAAATTTCATTACTTGGGTTATTTTTGAGTGTGTTTTTAGTTTCCATATTAACTGATATTCTAAAAGTGTGGATAGGTAACCCTAGGCCAGATTTTATAGCAAGATGTGGTCCAAAACCCGGGACACCAATAAATACTATGGTTGATGTTGTTGATGTATGTACTTCTCCTTTAGGTGAGATTTATTTATTAGATGGAATGAAATCAACTCCCTCTGGACACTCATCTATGAGTTTTGCAGGGTTGGGGTTTTTATCACTATGGTTGATTGATTTGTTCACAAATTTGAACCTCAATAACATTAATAATAATAATGACAGAAAGACAAAGAACGAGCAATTAGTTTATAGAATCATTTGTTTTTTACCGTTAATTTTAGCAAGTTATATTGCATTAAGTAGAACTCAAGATTATAGACATCATTTTTTTGATATTTTATTTGGTGGTTTGTTAGGTTTAATCTTTGGCTATGTGATTTATAAAAAATACTTTGGTTTGAATGGTAATTACTATAATGATATTCAAAAAAATAATCAGAATATAATTATTAGTGGTAATAACATCAATAATAATAATGAGGCATTTGGATATGTATAATGTAAGTAGATTAGAATTAATAGATTAATTTAATATGGGGTTTAATTTTCTTATCTCACAAGTTAACAAATATATTTAAAAGTATAAAAATACGATTACCTGAAGCGCATAGGCTTAAAACAATTTATGCAGACCTTTATATTGGAATCAACTATGATAATCAACATAATGAACAATTAAATTAACTAAAATCATAGGGAACGTGGTCAAACGAAACCCCAATATATTGGTTAGTTGCTTGCATATGAATATCTTTTACACTTTAAAAATTTAAAAGTTTTAATATGTGAAACCAATAGAATTTATAAGATTAAATACTAAACTCATTAACTCTCAATCGTATTTATCTTAACTTGCTCAAAGAGCGTTTAATATTGTATTACTTTCATTTGAATAAATTATATATACTAAAGTAAATACATTTATTGCAATTGCAAATTAGTAACCTCTCCCCTTTAAAAAACTTTAAATTTTATCTATTTTACAAATTAATTGCGATAAAGTCCAGATTAGAAAAGGGTTCTGATTCATGTCTCCCTCAGAAATCGGAAACATCCACTGCAACCGATCTGAACAAAGAGCTAGATGATTGCAGGAAAATTTAGATTATTTGATGAACCATATAATGTAACAATTAGAATGAGCAATTTACACTGCACTCTTTTAACATTCAACATCAGGCTTAGTAATTTAATGAAACTTTTTGTAATGGGACGATTCAAATTGTGAATAGAGGTAGTATACAAATCTTACAAATCAACTCCTTTTTAAAAGATATGAAGAAATTCTATGGAGCAATCGAATTAAGACTCATTGAGACTTGTACATGATCTAGTACTAATTGTTTGTATAGCCGGACGAAACAGTATTTCTAATAAATTTTACACAAGAATTAAACAATCTTACGAGAACAATTCTAAAATAATCATCTCTATTCCAATATATTAAGAGCTAGTTAGATGAGATGTTGGATATTAGTGAATATTAAATATTTAATGTAGGACTAAACTCCGAAAATTTTAGGGTTCTCTTAAGTCCATTCCTAATAACTAAGTTCATGAATTTGCAATTATAGAGAGAAACTTAACGGTTAATATAAGTTAGTGTTTTCCTCGGGAGAAGCAGTATTGCGTTATACAAATTATCCGTTTTATTCAAGAACCTTGAGATTTTTCGAATATAATTAATAATAGTATAGAACTTTATATAAATTCTGCAGCTTAGTTTACCATTGAAGATATACATTATCGTAACAATGTTCCCACAAAACGATGCAACTATGATTTATTCGGAGGACAAAATAAGTTTGACGAGGATTTATGCTAAACGGAATTGTTCTAAGAAGAAAAATACAAATTGTACGGATATTGATCTCTCATGGTCGATGTGTAAAGATCGATTGATAACACAAATATAAGAAATTAAGATACTAAATAATTGTTATACAATTATATAAACTAGTAGCTCTTACATTTACTTGAAGTTTACTTGATTGATTTTTATTTATGTACTAATAGTTAATCTCTCTACTTTTTGTTAAAAACGTCAGTATAAACTATTGAGTAAGATACGCATAGTATCTCAATCGATCTTTAGATTAATTTTGACGAGTAACAAAATTATTTTTTTTTGTGTAATGATCGGAGACTTATAAATTCTCCATAAAAATTATTTAATTACAATCCACAAATTCAAATTGAATAAAATCAAAAGATTTTTATACAAATCTATTATTATTATTCTTTTACCTTAGATTAACCATAAGTCGAGTTATTTTTTGGAATGAATTGGAGCTCAATTAAAATCTGGGAAATTCCTCGAGAATTCTTTATTCCCACTATTATAAGATTTTTAATACGTCATACATAAAATAAAATCAAAAAGTAGAAAAAACTTTAGTAGTAGTGTGACCTTTTTACTATTTCATTTCGTTCAATATTGGAGAAAAGCCTTTGAATAAGATTTAAAAAACTGCATGATCATAGCTTTCTGATGATTAGAGTTATAAAACTTCATAGTGATAAAGTTGTTGATATACCTTAAATTTATTCAATAGTATACAATTACAATTACAATTTCTTTTTATTTTCTATTTCATTTTTTAACGGCAAAAATGGATTTTAAATTATATGGAGTTAAAAGTTTAATGTGTAAATGAAATTTATATTCTGGAAGGGTTCTTTTTTTAATTAAATCAAATTTATTCTAATTTTCCACTAACCGTAGGCAAAGTAAATTAATTAGTTTAAACTTAATCACTTAAAAAATAAGGGCTTATCTTATAAGATCAATTAGATAAGAAAACTTGACATTTATAGCCATTAAAAGAATTTTGTTTAATTTGATTCGTTAACCAATCTTATATACCTTGTTGATACTAAGGTATCAATTCTTATAAAATGAATATTACTATTAATAATTAGTAAATAAAACATTTACGAATTAGAAAATTAATTTTACTTTTCCTTTGATTTATTTTATTTATTTTTATTATTGTGTTATTATTATTATTATTTATTTATTTACCCTTCTAATTTTTATATATAAATTTTTCTTTATTGTCAAAAAATTTTTTTATATATATTTATACTTTAAATCATTTTCTTTCAACATTAATATCATCATTTTTTTATTCAAATTTACATCATTATATTTTCATTTCACTATTTTGATTTGATTTAAAGAAGATATAAAATTTTATTCGAAATTCAATATAAACTTCCCTGTTAATGCCAAGTTATTTATTTACCTGAAATAAAGTTTAAATATTATTATTTTTTATATATTATATGAATACAAACAAACAATTATAATATTTCAAAGATTTATATAATATTTCATTTACAACAGTGATTGAAATTTCATTTTGAATTGAACCTATATATAATCATCAACATAATCAATAATAAATCAAAAAAATAAAAATTTGATTGTCCCCTTCACTTCACTACGTAAACAATCTTTTCATTAATTCATTATTTTTACTCACACGATCATTAAATCTCCATTTTAAAATTAGATTATCAATTTTTGCAACACAATTTCTTTTATTAAATTATAATTAACAATATATAAGTATAAGCATTTGCATCGGATTTTTTATATAATAGCATAATATATATTCATATCATTCAATCATGGATATACTACAAAATATTTTGAAACCTTTTTTATTTATATATCAATTTTTCAAAAGAATATTTTATTCAGGTTTAAATCAAAGATCGATACTCAAGTTAGTTCTAAATTTTTCAATAAATTTTAGTCCTATATTCATATGGTTATTAATTTTTAAGAATGCTGGATTAATTCCTCACGAAATAAGACCAAATATTCATGTATCATTACCTTATTATGTTGATCAATATATGTTTCATACAATAATTGGTAGTATATTGACTATAATATTATTAATTCCTACAACCATTTTATTATATTTTGGAGTTTTCAAATTGAAGGATACAAAATTACAAGTATTTGACCAAAATATTGAATATAAACCAATCACGAATAATAATTTAAAAAGAGAATCTAATGAAGAAGAACAATATAATTTATCATCATCATCTTCATCATCTGCATCATCATTTGATATAGAACTAGATTCATTAGATCAACAATACTCCGATGAAGAAGAATATAATGGAGAACAACAAGAAGAAAAAATTCAAGATTATTTAAAAAATATAGAATTATCATCAATTAAAAATTTCCAAGATAGTCCATATTTTCAAGATTTAACATTCTTCAAAACTTTAAACATAAACAAAGTTAATAATATGGCAACTGAAGTAAATAAAAAAATATTAAAGTACAATATAACATCACCATCAAAATCCTGGCTTATGGCACCATCATTTTTACTAGTAAGTTCATGGTTCATATTAAATTTTGATTATTGGTTAAAAGATCCTATAAAAACATGGAAAGATATATTAGCTTGGACATCTTATGTATTAGGTCATATAACAGTTCCTATAATTACAGCAGTTTATCTTTATGTATTTCATGCACCAGGTATATTAAAAAGTTATGGAATTGCAATGGGTTTACAAAATATTTGTGGAGTTTTAACTCATTTATTATTTCCATGTGCTCCACCATGGTTTATTCATTTATATGGACTTGATTCACCAGCAGATTATGATATGCCAGGTTATGCAGCAGGATTAATTAGAGTTGATATTGCTTTGGGAACTCATTTAAATTCAAAAGGATTTCATGCTTCACCTATTGTATTTGGGGCTGTACCTTCATTACATTCAGCAATGGCAGTTATGACTTTTTATTTCATATCATTTTATTCAAAATATATTGTATTAAAAATTCTTGCATTATCATTTGTCATTTTACAGTGGTGGGCAACTATATATTTAGATCATCATTGGAGATTAGATTTATTTGTTGGGTTAATTTATGCAACTATTTGGTTTTCAATAATTTATAAATTCTTTTTGGTGAAGTATAATAAAAATTATATAAAACTGAGATTAACTTATAAATTTGAAAATGGTGGTAGTACAATGGGTATGAGAGTTTTTAGGAATACAAGTTTACAATGGTTTTTCGATCCACTATGTTAATTTTTTGATTTTTTGAGTTATGCTAAACTGATAGAAACTTTTCAATTTTTTATTCATAATGTAAGAAACTACATAATGTATGTAATGTTCATAAAATTTAATGCTAATGTCATATTAAAATTACTCTTTGGTAGAATTTCTAAGTAATTGAATGTAGTAGTGTTAGAGAAGCAGCGAGTAAAACTTCTTTGCAACCAATTTAGTATTCTGCAACCTTAAATTTCAAAGCTTTTTTACATTGATTTGCATTTAAGCACTACATATCATTACTCAAGAAATGCTAGTTATATATAATAGACACATTAAAAGAACTGTCAATTACCTTTGGCACAGCTTGGGACATTTAATCTAGTCCTTTTTCGTCTTTAGATTCGAAAAATTCTTCCCTACCGTATTAAATATTACGCGACAAAATAAACTTAAAAAGAAATTTTAAAAAAAAGAAATTTTAAAACTTGAGGCTGTGCCAAAATTCTTTTTTCGTAATTTTTATTCGCCAGGTCGTGTGAAGTGTAACATATTATATAATTTTTAAAACACCAATAAATATAATAAAATGTATATTGAATGTTAAATAATAGGGCATTTGATACGCGTTTTGGTCTATACCCCTTTTTTGAACTATCAACTTGAAACAAAAAATTTATTATTATTGAATTTAAACAAAGTGGTAATTATGGTACAGCCTTGTTTTGAATTTGATTAGACTATCTCATAAATTTCATAATAGTTAAGAACCCTTTTCGATCAAAACTTTAATTTTTAATCAGATCTTTTTAATTTAGCCGCTCCCCCACTTTCATTTTTGACATATACAGATGAATAAAAAAATGTAATAGAAATGTATTAATATCGACTATATGATTACTGATATTAATACATTACTCGATAAACTGTATTCAATAACTGTTGTTATTATACTAGAGAAAACAAAACTTTCACAATTTCATCTGAACATTTAGTCAACACTAAAATACTTTTAAATATTCAATGTACCTTACTTTTGAAAATGAAAAATTTTTCTCAACCTTTTTTTGTGCTTTAAATCGAAAAGAGCAAAAAGAATATGAATGTAGAATACACAAACATCGAAGTAACCTCGAGATGAATCTATATTGTATAATTAAATTTTTTTTTATTCGTCAAAACTTATTCACTTATCTTATGTTTGCGCATTAAATTCTTTATATGTTTTATTTTATTGTTAAAGTTGAATTTTTAATAGCATCGACAATTAAACGTTTTACATCATATATACGTTTTATTCAATTTATACTTTCAAGATCTTAAACGTATTGGTCAATTACCTTATATTTTTCATTTCGTGATCATCACAATTTCAGTTACAATAGAATATTTATTTGAATCATTTTTGTTTTGTAAAAAAAAAATAATATAAGCCATGTCTCGACTAAACGCAAACTCCAGATTTTTCGAAATTTCTGGAGAAATTAAAAATTTTGACTGGAGTTTACTTTATATTCTTATATTATAGATTGCTATTATCTCGAAGTCATCCTCTAACATCTTCACTAACTGGAAATAATGGAATTAAACATCTAAAATAAAATGGCAATATAATTTAAATCACACGAGTAAATAGCAAAGTAAAATGTTACACAAAACTGAGTTTTTAGACTTTTAAGTCTAAAACTTCTCATAACCAGATATAAAATTTTGATAGTAATAAGATTTTTTAATATAAATATGACGTTTTCAAAAGATTATTATTATAGATCAAGAGATAACAGTAGAAGATTAAAAGACGAGGGTTGAAGTTTTAAAATAAGCGATTCCATACGACAAGATCCAAAGTAATTGAAAATAGGAGTATTGAATTTTGATAAGAGAGAGTATTAAATCGAAATCTGTTACAAAAAATAAGCATATTTTTGAATTTTATTTTTTATTCTTTTTGTTTTAATAAAATTCTTTTCTTGCACAGCAATATTTTTTTATTTTTATTTTTTTATTATTATTAAAAAATTTTTATTATTATTATTATCAATTATAATTTCAATAATTATTTTATAAAAATGAATTGATTGAATTGAATGAAAATTATTTAGAAAAATTTTAAATAATCTAAGATATCATTTATATTTGTTCCATTCATTTCAATTCATTCAATCATTTGTATTAACATTTTATAATAAACATTATATAAATATATATCATTAATATATCATAATAGATTTCATTATCACATCAATATATTTATTTATTTATTTTATTTTTATTTTTATCAATTATTTATTTATAAAAAAGTTTAAATCTTAAAATTCAGGCAACCAAAAAGTTTTGAATTTTATATCCATCATTAATACTTCCTATCAGTAGCCTGATTAAGACATTATTAAACCTTGTAATATTAATTAATCTGTAATTCTTATCATCAATTTAATATATATCATCATTGATTGGAAAGTCTCCAAGATATCTATTAAAAAATACTTCATCATATTAATAATAAAATTGTCACAAGAAGTTCAAAATAAATCCTTCGTTAATAACTAATAATGAATAATAAAAACATGAGATACAATAATCTAAATCATGTAAATCAACATCATTTTAATTCATTAACTTTATCATTATCATCACCAAAATTACAATCAAACTTAACTCCATCGCCTCATTTTACAACAAATCCTTCATTAACTTCAATACCAAGATTTTATAATAAGAAATTAAAATTTATATTACCATTTTTAATAATAGTATTATGTATATATAAAACTTTAACAATATATTTGACTACAGAATTAAATCAACAACTACTAGAAAATCATGCATTAACTATAAACAAAATATCAGATTTTAATCCCAAAAATATTGCATTAGATTTATATAATTATTTAATTGAACAAAATCATTCCTTAGATTCCAAATTAGGTTCAAATGATGGTATATATTTTCATTGGGATGATTGGGTTGATTTAAGTAATGCAAATCAATTATTAAATAAAGCAAGATTTGTTTCACCTTCCGGTATATATTGTGATCATGCATTAATACAATATGGGAGTGTGAATGCACATTGGTTGGAAAGTTATGATACTAAAATATTTAGAGGGGCTGTAAATTTATATTGTTCGCATGATATACCCGAAAAAATTATTGTAACAACTGATGAATCATTAATTGAAGTACCAATAATTGGTAAAAAAAGGTTTGGTAATCATAAATCAATACCTGTAAAATCTGAACAATTAATTAATAAAATGAAGATTATAAATAATAATTTTAACATTAAAGAAAAAGAGGATAATCAAAATACTAATAGAAAGTCCAAATTTATAGTTAAATCAATTAAAAATTTACAAAAACAACAAATGGTAGAACCAGAGGATTTTATTTTTAAACCAGATATTGAAATTTTTAGTTTACAAGAAAAATTAAATGATCAAACAATAACAGCAAAAGAATTAAAATATCTTGAATTTTTAGAATATTCAAATAATCATTTGGTTGATAGTACTGATAGATATTTTAAATATGCATGGATTTATTCAGATGTTTTTCAAGGTAATTCTCATCATATTGCTTATCCTTTTTTCAAAAGATATATAAGTGATCGTGAAAGACAAAGTATATTACATCATATGATAAGATCATGGTTTCAATTCGCTGAAGTCAATGGATTTGCAAGTTGGATTAATCATGGTTCATTATTAGGTTGGGCTTTTAATGGATTAAATATGCCATGGGATACTGATATTGATATTCAAATGCCAATTGCTCAATTAGATAAATTAGGTCAAAATTTTAACAAGACTTTAATTATGGAAAATCCAAGATATGGTAATGCAAGATACTGGTTAGAAATTGCACCAACATATATAAGACAAGGTAATGGACGTAATCATATTGATGCTAGATTTATTGATATTCAAAGTGGATTATATATTGATATAAGTGCATTATCACATACTGAAGTCCCACCACCAACTGATGAAAATCTACCAGATAATTTGAAAACTATGGCAGTACATTGTAAAAATTGGAATTGGCATACATTAGATGAATTATTACCAATAAGACATACATTTTTCGAAGGTTCATCAGTTTACATTCCAAATAAAGTAAATCAACCATTAAAAAATAAATATGGTTCAAATGCATTAACAAATTATCAATTTCATAATCATAATTATCAATCAGATATAAGCTTGTGGGTAAACAATAAGATTTGTAAATCATCACCAAATTTTTCAAGATTTAATAAATGGAATCAATTAACTAAAAAAGGTGCATGTAATTCTAGAGTTTTACAAGATGAATACAATATTATAAAAGAATGTGCTGATAGACATCATCAATTAAATTCAGATTTAGATAATCCAATATTTTATAATATTGAAGAAACCGGTGATTTACCATTATTCAGAAAAGATGCTTTTGATTATTACTATGATATAAATAATAAATTAGTCAGTAACGATGATTGGTATATAAGAAATGAAATTTTAAGACCTGATAGACGTCAAAAACAACAACATCAAGAACAATATTCAAATTCACAACAACAAGAACCACCACAAGAAGTTTCCCAACAAGATATAGTACAACAAGAAATACTACAACAAGAACAACGTACAAAACAAGAACAACAACAAGAAGTGCAAGAACAACTTACACAACAAGAAGTACAAGAACAGCAACAACAACAACAGCTACAGATGAACACAATTAATAGCTAACAATCATAAACAAATTCTTCACACATAGCATATTCATTCAAAATAAAATCAACTAATAACTATCCTAGCATTCAAGAGTTTTTCATTTCAAATACATTATTAATTTTTCTTTTACTAATTAAAATTCAATTTTTTATGGATAGAACTATATACTAATGATAAACTAATTTTAATAACTAATAACTATCTAATTAATACATTTCATTACAAAATGAAACAATTTGACACATCTTTGTCTTTCTATGTTAAGCTTTTTCTGTATTTTTTCATATGTCTATTTTAAGCCTTATTTTCGAATTTAGCGCATAATTATTTGAATTATAATAATTTTAGTATTTTCTTATCGTATCGTAACTTGTTCCTGAATTGGTATACAAACGCGGCAAGTTTATTTAGCTACCAAATTTTGCTCAATAATTTTTCAAAACTTGAATCACATAAAAGTCGAATTATAAAAGATAATTCAAATCCTAAATTTTTTTCAAATTTTTTTGGTTTTTGCAAATCTAACTATTTTGAAAATCTGTTCTTATTCAACTAACGTAAAATCAAATCAAAGACATAAGTCACTAGAATTATCATCAATAAAAGCAATTAAAATTCAAAAATGGGAGAAAAAGTATTTATTACAGGTTCAACCGGATTTATCGCCCAACATATAGTTAAATTATTAATAGAAACAGGATATACAGTAATTGGAACAGTCAGATCAAAAGAGAAAGGAGAAGTCTTGAAAAAATTAGTCAATTTTGAAAATTTTAGTTATGCAATCGTACCTGAAATTTCAGCACCTGGAGCATTTGATAAAGTTTTAAAAGAAAATCCAGATATTGATTATGTTTTACATGCAGCATCTCCGTTTACTTATTTCACCGATAATCCAGAAAAAGATTTAATAGAACCTGCTTTAAATGGAGTTAAAGAGATTTTAAATTCATCATTAAAATATTTAAAAAATTTGAAAAGATTTATAATTACTTCAAGTGATTCTGCCATTTATTCAAATGTTGATGAAAAAAATAATTCATTGAAATTTGATGAATCAAGTTGGAATTTAATGCCAAGGGAATTGGGAACAAAGGATGCTATAACAGCTTATTATATATCAAAAGCCTTAGCAGAAAAACAAACAGTTGAATTTAGATCAATACATAAACCAGATTTTAAATTTGTTTCAATAAATCCATCTTATGTATTTGGTCCTCAAGCATATCATTGTGATCCATCTAAAATAAACGAGTCAAATCAAATGATTAGTGATTTATTAACCAAAACCAAATCAGGAGATAAATTAGATATAGAATGTGGTGGATATATTGATGTAATAGATGTCGCAAAAGCTCATATTTTTGCAATGCAAAGTGATAATGTTATAAGTGAAAGATTATTTATGAATAATGGACATTTTTCAACTCAAATGTTATTAGATTTAATAAATAAAAATTTCCCACAATTAAATTTAATAAAGGGGAAACCAGGTACTGGAAAAGAAGATATTAAAATCTTAGCTAAAATTAATAATGATAAAACTAAAAAATTATTACCTTGGAAATTTATTAGTTTAGAGAAAACTGTTATTGATGTTGTTAATCAAATTTTAGAAGCTAAAAAGAATGAAAGTTCAAAATTTTAGTTAATTTAAATCTATTTAAAAATGTAGTTTTGAGAGATTTGTCAATATATAAGTTTACTAGTTTTTATAACATTTTATAGAAGAAATATGATTATATTCATACATAGTTACGAGCGGAATAAACAATATAACATATAAAGAGGGAAATTGCGTGGGCTACCAAATACATTGCGCTAACGTGACTACTTTATAGCCTCTATTGAAAAGACAAAAAAGCTAATCTCCATACTTTTTATACCAAGTCGATCAAATAGCTAGTAACCTATCAATGTAGTTTGTCAATATGTTACTCCACTACAAATTTGAGGAATCATAAATGTATCTACAAGAATTATACCTGCTTGATATTGTTTGATATTGAAAGTAACTCTACTATTTATTAAAGTCAGCGTTTTGCATTGTTAGTGCTCAATAAATTGGTCAATTATCACCCTTCAATAAAATTCAATTTCGGTGATCGAAGTCCATACTTCTAAATCATCGGACTTATGCCAACTTCAACTTATATACAGTATATTAGTATAAAGAGCTGTTTTGTGTAATGTAAAGTTTTTTTGCGTTCTAGAATTTAAAATTTAATGAAATTAATTTTCTTCAAATTGTTACTAATATTTATTAAAAGAAGGATTAATGAGATATCTTTTAATTGTAAATCTAAACTGAGCTGAAGAAAAAAAGAGGGGCAAATGATTAAGTAAAATATAAGTATTATAAATTATCTCAATTAATTCAAATAAATCCGATCCAGTTTTCCCCATATATTGTGGAGGGCAAAATAGTCAAAAAAAAAATAAAAAAATAAAAAAAAATAAAAAAATAAAAAAAAATCGTTTAGAAAATAAAAAAAATAAAAAGTTTAATAAGATTCCAATTATCTATTTAAAATTATTATTTATAACCATAAATTTAAAGTTTCATAATTTAAAGTTAAGATCTTTATTTTTTAATAATGAATAAATTAATTAATTACTTAATAAACGAAAAAATTTGAAAGTTAAACCTGAGTTTTCATTTAATTAGTACCAAGTAATAGTTTGAACGATTTCTGCCAAAATATGAAATAATTTAAAAGTTTGACACAAATTAAATAATATTTCAAAAAGCACATTTTATAAAATGATAAATAAAATTAATGACTTTTTTTTCAATTTTTATTCTTTACATAATAATAAAAAATAATTTTTACAATAAAAACGCATTTTTAATAATATATGTAAAAGCATTTAAAGAGGAATTTTTCATTTTTAATTCACATGAAATTTTATTAATGTAAGTAATGTGATTCAATGATAATAATAATAATCTCAATAAATTGAAGTATAAAATGTTAATTCTTGTAAATATACTCACATAATTTATGGTGTAAATATTATGATGTAAATAATTGCAAATTGAGTGAATAATAAATTTATTCCTTCGTAAATTTATTTTTATTCTATTATAATATTTTTAGTAATACTTCTTTTAGTATACTTAATACTTCTATTATTTCTATTTCATTATTATTATTATTATTATTATGTTTGATTTAATCCTTAAATTATAAATATTTATCCGTTTGTATTAAAATGTATAATAATATGTACTGGATTAATAATATACTACACAGTTGTATAATACTTCTAAATAATATCTCAAATTAAATTCTAATTATAAACCTCAGTTTTTTCTTTATATATTTAATTTATATTCAATATTTAATTTATTATTATATAGTTCTTTGAATCTAATTTTGAAAAATTTATTAATAATCAACATATCTTAATATATTTATTCATTCAAATGATATAACAAATACCCATTCTAATAAATATTAAATCAATTTATTATCATCACGATCTTGTATAAGGCATATTTTTCAAAATTTTAGTTGTTAAAAATGAATTATAATGATTTCAATAATAATACCTATGATGATAGTGGTAATAATAATAATATAAATCAATTTTATCAAAATAACCTCAGTAATAATAATGACAATAATAATGCAACCAACAATAATAATACCACTGGCAAAAGCGAAAGTAATAATTTTAATATAATCAATGAAAACGAATACTATAATAATGATCAGTTTTTACAATTAAATAATATTGGAGAATTCTTACAGCAACCAACTCCTAATGAATTTTTATCAGAAGCATTTACAACCGCAAATCCAAATTCAACTACACATCAATACCAATCACAACTGAGACTATATAATCAACAGTTTCAACTGGGTAAACAACATTTTCAACAAACAACTCAACCGCAACAACAATTCCAAGCAGAGCAACCGATATCATTTCACTCACAATCTCAAGATTTATATTTTGGGAATTTTAATTATAATTATAACCACAACATTGATCATAATAATAAACATTCACTACTGACAAATAACTATGAATCAACAATGAAATATCTAACTCCGGATTCCAACAGTACCACTAATCCATCGACATTCAATTCGAAATATCAATCAACAATACAACATAATCCACAATCAAGTATACTACCTTCATTAAAATCTCAACAACAAGATAAATTAAATTCACAATCTCAAAAGTCACAATTAATACGACAGAATGAACAAAACAAATTCAAATCTGAACCTGAATCATTAAATACCGCAAACACTTCCAAACCATTTAAATCAACCTCGTCAAGATCTTGTGACATATGTAGAAATAAAAAAATCAAATGTGACAAATTAAAACCTTCATGTACAAGATGTCAAGAAAAAGGTATAACTTGTGTTTATACTTTAGTATTACAATTTAAGGAAGATGTTGAAAGTCAAGGTAAAAGATTTGGAAGAGAAGGTATAAACTCACACAATAAAATTACAACAAATGAATTCAACAAGAGAAGTAGAAAATCATATTATCAATTGATCAAAAATAGAGATCAATTAAAATTTATTAATTTTTTTAATGATGATATAATAAATTTTAACAACAAATTAACTCCAACTTTACAATCTTCAATTATACCACCAGATATTTTATCAGTAGATTATGGAACATTAGATTCAAATGTTTTAAATTTTGCAATAAAATATTATATTGATTTTATATCACCAATTTTAAATCCTACCACGAATAACAAAACAATCACCATACCAACTGTAAATAATGACATCAATAACATTTCAATAGAATCAGGATTAAATTTGAATATACTTGTTCAGTTATCAAACCAAAATACTTCCATTTTTTATTTGATGTTGAGTTTAGGTTCATTTTACCTATCAAAGTCATATAACGAACAAAAAGACAAACAACAAAAACAAATATGGTTAGATAGAGCATTTCATTTTCAGAATTTGGGATTAAATAAAATCAAACCAATACTTGATGATATATCAACAATATCAACTCAAAATTTTAAAGTCAGTGATATTATAATAGCATTAGTTTTATTAATATTATTTGAAATTGCAAATAATTGTAATTTTAAATGGATAGATTATTTACAAATTTGTAAAAAAATTATGAAATTAAATAAAATTAATATACCTACTGACCAAGGAGAATATAATTTATTAAAATTTGCATTAGAATTTTTATATTATCAAGATTCAGTTGGTCGAACTGCTTGTAAAGATGATAGTTTGTACATTGTTCAATTGGATGACGAAACTGAACAAGAAGTTAATGATTTCTTAAATTCGAGAAGTAATTCCCATAATAATCATGATTTGAATTTAGTTAGTTGGATGGGTTGTGATAGAAAATTAATTAAGATTATTGCCGATATAACCGATTTATCATTTGAAAGATTCAAAAGAACAATAAATGAAAAACAATACCTAGGTTTATGTAATGAATTATTGAATCAATTGGACGTGTTGAAAATTGATTATTTTGACTTTGATGAATTAATAGACTTTGAAGAAAATAATACTACTAATAGTAAGATAAATCAAGTTATATCAAATAATGGAATGAAAGAAGAAGAGTTTTATTTTTTACTATCTAACGAAACTAAAAGGTTGTCAACAAAATTATATTTAAATTGTTGCTTATTAAATATGACACCAGAAGACGAAGAAGTACAATTTTTGGTAAATAAAATTTTCAAATACTTAAAATTTTTAATTATAACCAAAAATTTTAATTGGTTTTCTACATTAATCTGGTCAATTTTCATAACATCATCAGAAATTTCATGTTTATCAAACAATTGTGAAACTTTGAGATATCTCACATTAAATTTATTAAATAGATTGAAAAATCTTACATTAAGTAATATTGAAAAAATTATTTTCATTATAAAAGAAATTTGGAAAAAAAGAGATTTAAATAATAGTGATTTACATTCTATTGGTATTATTGATATTAATCTGAGAAAATTCAAAAAGAGAAAGAAATATTTAGGATTTGAAAATGATTGGGAAAAATTTGTTGTTGATGAATATGGTATTGCTTTAGGTTAAGTTAAATTAGATTAGACATTAGTTTTGGAAATGGGACGATAATTTATTTATTTCTTTTGAAATGCTCATTTGATTTTTATTTTTTTGCAATATCTCTTAGCCTACTATTCAACTCGTACATTTCTTTGACTCAATTATAGTAATTCTTTATCCATTTTGACTTATAGGTTTATGAACAAGTTGAATGAATGGGTTGTACTAATGACTTTTCCCCAATTCCTCTAAATTTTTATTACTAGAAAGCCACCTAAGACCCTTTAAATTTTAATTCCGTTATTTCGCAAATTAACTTTGACCATACATTCCTAAACAATACAAAATTATCTTATCTCACTAAAAATCAAAAAAAAAGTTAAATTCTTGATACTACTTTAACTTCTCCACAAATTAAGATAAATGTTATCAATACATACCAAATATTCATATAAATTACCCAAACTATGTTATTGTCACTATAGAAAATACGCAACATCAGTTCCACAAGATGATGAACCAATGAATCACCATAAAAGATTAGATTTACATGATTGGCCTACTACAAAAAATCCAACCCCATATGAAATTTTTGGATTATCTTCCCAAGATATAGGGATGTCCACAATAGAATTAAACAAGATCATTAAATTAAAATATATTAAATTTGTTAAAATTTATCATCCTGATACTTCATTACAGCATCAAGATTCAGAATCAAACGTACTATCAGATGACATTAAGCGTAAAAGATTCGATTTGATTCAACAATCATATGATATATTGAGAGATGCAAGAAGAAGATCAGCATATAATAGGTTCAAAACTACATCTTGGGAGCAACAAGGCAAATACCAACCTAACCCTAACCCATGGTCAAAAGAAAATTTTGAAACTTATAGAAGAGCTAATGCTCATAGATCAAGATATGATTTCAATAAAGATGAAGCATTTTGGACTGCGGGGACTTGGAATGATTATTATCAAATGAAGTATCAACGATCTCCTCCAACAAAGGAAGAAATGGAAAAAAATAAATATAAAATATTGTTTGGAGTTGTTGCTTTTGGAGTATTAGCTTTCAGTTTACAATTCATGAATGCAATAGATAAAACAAATCAATATATTTTGGATACTCATAAGATGAATTTAAAATCAATGAAAGATTTAAATGAAAGTTATACTGGTAATGATATAAGTAATATTGATAATTATTCTCAAGCAAGTACAATAAAGAGATTCTTATTATCAAGAAGGTCAACTATGCAACTGAAGAGAAAAAATGATGACGATCCATTTAGCAATGAAGAACCTAGTGATCATGAATTATTGGTTAAATACGCTAAGGGGAGAGTAAATAAATGGGATAAAGCTGAAAATGAATGGGCTCAACAAAGGGTTAAACCTGAAGTCAATAGTGATTTTAAGTTTAGCGAAAGCACTCGTTAAGTAGAAAGCAAATATGTAGATGAGATATAATGATTATAAAATAAGCTGAAATTAAATGTAGAAATGGCTGCAACAAAGTCCTGTATGTAATTTTTTTCAGCGCGTAGATTTAACTATGTAGAATATGTAGAACATTATTAGTTTTTTTCTTATTATTATCAAGATATGACTAAACAACTTTGATACAATCAAAATTTGGCAACCAATAATTTAATCAAATATCAACAATCATTAATTTAAACCAACCCGATTTTAATATGGACTTTATGAAACCTGAAACAGTATTAGATTTGAACAATATACGTGAGGCATTAATACGTATGGAAGATACAATAGTATTTGACCTTATTGAAAGATCACAATTTTTCAGTTCACCTTCAGTTTACCTCAAAAACAAATTTAATATTGAAAACTTTCAGGGGAATTTTTTAGAATGGGCATTATTACAAATGGAAAAAGTACATTCACAAATTAGAAGATATGAAGCACCAGATGAAACTCCATTTTTCCCAAATCAAATATTAAATCCTATATTACCACCAATAGAATATCCACAAATATTAGCTTCATATTCAAATGAAATTAATGTAAATGATGAAATAATGAAATTTTATGTTGAAGAAATAGTACCGAAAGTTAGTTGTAAAGAAGGTGATCAATTAGAAAATTTAGGTAGTGCATCAACATGTGATATTGAATGTTTACAAGCAATATCAAGAAGAATTCATTTTGGAAAATTTGTAGCTGAATCAAAATATATAAATGATAAACCAACATATATAAAATTAATTTTAAATAAAGATACGGAGGGAATAGAAAAATCAATAACAAATAGTGCAGTAGAAGCAAAGATTTTAGAAAGACTTGTGGAAAAAGCTCAAAGTTATGGTATAGATCCTTCACTCAGGTTTGGTACAAATATCCAAAGTAAAGTAAAACCTGAAATTATTGCTAAATTATACAAACAATTTATTATACCATTAACTAAAAAAGTTGAAGTAGATTATTTGCTTAGAAGGTTAGAAGATGAAGATGAAGAAATAATCAATAGATATAGAAGCGAATAAATGATGCATGATATATGAGGTTAGATATGTTCTTGTTTAATGTTCAATTATTCTCGTGTGCCAAGTAAATGGTGTTCCAAAATTTGTTTCACTCAATTTTTAATCGACAATATATCTCTGTCTTGAATACTTGGAAACACATCCATGAATATTTTAGAAAATCTCTCGTAATCGATGAAAACAGACTTGAAAAAACTGGGAAAATGAGTTTCATCTAAATCCAAAGATTGACAAAAGTCCCTTATATTCTATGTTTTTGAAAGTGATAATAGAGTCCATAATAAATGCGGAGTAGAAATATTTTGAATTTTATAATGATTCGGAATAATGCATTGACTATATAATTTATATACAATAAATCTGGATACTGTGGAAATATATTTCTGTTCTATTTTTAGAACTTACTGTTAACGTCTAAAGTCTATTCAACGTTTAGAGATTTTTTTTTTAATTTTATTGGTCTTTATGGAGTACATAGTTCGAAATCTATACTGTTTAAGGTACGTTATGCGTCAAGTCAATGAATATAATGAAATAATTCAAGTTTTCCAATTGCAGTAAATATAGTTGATTTAATTATATAAAATTTTGTATTGAATAAAAATTAAGCTTTTTCAGTTTTACTTTAGTAAACTTTAATATTTTAATATATTATTTTATTGAATATGAAGAATATAAAATTACCTTAATGAGTTAAGAGTACGTTTCAAAATATTATTACTAAAATACTGCATTTTTTACAAGTTACTGTTTTCTACGAATTTCTATTATTTCTATTTTAAAATAGGGATTTACAATGATTTTGAATCAGGTATGATTGTGTAAAATCAAAAGCTAATTAAAATCTAAACATAATTATCAGTTATAAAAAAGAGACCCTTGAACGTAGATCTAGCTTTACCAGAATTGTAGTACATAATAGAATTGAATCTGATTTTGTCATTAATTGATATTACCATGATTGTAATAATATTACTTCTATGAAGGTTAATTTATCATTTAAAGAATAAATGAAAATTATTGTAATAAAACGTCAAAGTATATTTACAATATTTGTTCAACAAATATTTATAATAATGTAAATCAAAAAGTTTAAATAATAATCATAATCATATACTTAAGGCTTAAAACTATCATGTGCAAGATTATTATACTAATGGTTAGTTCAAGAATTGATTTCATATTATAAAAATTTGTTGATTTAAAACGTGTGCTAAAAATTATATCAATCACACCCTAAGTTTTTCGAGTCGTGTGGTAATGTTTTAGTTATTTAGCATTGTTTAGTAAAGAGTATTTGTTGTTATTATCTATTAAACAATTATATTAAATTTTAGATGTCTAACTATAATAAATTTAAACTGAAACTTAATGTGCACGTTTTAAGTTTTTTTTCTCTCAATGGTTTATTTTTAAACGTGGGGATTTATTTTCTTAACGTTTTTATTTTGTTTAATACTAAATGATTTTATTATTATGACGAATTAAGTTAATAACATTATATTTCTATAATTCTTAATTTCAATTGGAAACACGTCTAATATAATTTAAATAATTTTCAAATAAAATTGGTTTCAATTTTTCAAAATGTTTTTACAATCATCTTTTTTTTTGATTTATTTAATTTATATAAATAAGTTTATATTTTCATCAATTTTATAATTTTTCAATAATTTTATTTTTTTGGAAAAAACTGAGACACAAGTTTTTATTTTTGTACTTCATTATTAACCAAAAGTTGCAAAAGATTATTTCAATTTAATTTTAGAAATAATTTTTGATTTTAAAAGCTTATAAATATTCAATTAACAACCAAATTTTGAAAAATCATAAAACCAGAAGATTTCATTTTTTGAATAAAAAATCTAATACAGTCATTTACCTAATTTTCAACATAATAAATAAGTATTGGTATATTTACAATTGAATTCAACATTTAATATATTTATAATCAAATAGAATTTAAAGGATGCCTGAAATTATTTTAGATGTAATTCCATCAGGAATTTCACTTAAACTTTTTACATCAGTTTCATTAGTTTGTGGTATTTTAGCATTAGCAAAATTAAATAAAACAATCAATTCAATATTAGTGTTTTGTTGGGCATGTTTTGTAAAACCATTAATTCAAAAAAAGACTCAAAAATCCGGGAATAAGAATCAACAACAAAATTTAGAATTGTTTTATAAAAATCAAGCTCATATTTATGACAAAACCAGAGAAATCTTGTTAAAAGGTAGAAAAGAAACTTTAAGATTAGCTATAAGTCATTTACAAAAGAAGAAAGATATAGTTTGGATTGATATTGGTGGAGGTACCGGTTCAAATATTGAATTTATGGACAAAATAAGTTCAATTTCCAAAAATTTTAAAGCAGTCTATTTAGTTGATCTTTCACCAAGTTTATGTGAAGTTGCAAGAAAAAGATTTGAAAATCATCAATGGAACAATGTTCATGTTTTAGTAGCTGATGCTTGTGATTTTGCAATTAATTATAAATCTGCTGATTTGATTACTTTTAGTTATTCTTTATCTATGATTCCTACGTTTAATGCTGCAATTGATAATGCTGTTTCAAAATTAGATAAACAAGGTATTATTGCAACTGTTGATTTTGGTATTCAAAGTAATGATACCTCAATGGGTAGAATTAATACTCTTGGTGGTTTAGTTAACAGAAATATTCCTTGGATTTTAAGAAATTTCTGGAGAATTTGGTTTGAAGCTGATAAAGTTTTCTTAGATTCATCAAGAAGAAATTATTTAGAATATAAATTTGGTACCATCAAATCCATTAACTCATACAATAAAACATTAGGTAAAATTCCTTACTACATATGGATTGGTTGTGATAAATCAAGATCTTCACAAATTTTAAATAGATTAAATTGTTTAGCAACTGAATCACCATATTTAGCTCCAGCTTCAGCTAATCCAAATTTACCAGTTTCAAAAGGTCATGAAGCTGCTATTGCAAATTTACAAAAAAATTTACCATTCCCTTCAATTTATTATCAAAAGGAAGTTTGGAGAGTTTATTATGATGAATTAAATCCATTATATGAGCAATTTAAAAATCAATATATTTATGCTTTTACTTGGGAAGATCCAAGAGAAGATCACAATATCTTGAAATTTTCAAGTAATGATACTGTTTTAGCTATTACTTCAGCAGGTGATAATATTTTAAGTTATGCAACATTACCAGATCCTCCAAAAAGAATTCATGCAGTTGATTTAAATCCATGTCAAAATCATTTATTAGAGTTAAAATTAGCTTCATTTAGAGTTTTAACTCAAGAACAAATTTGGCAAATGTTTGGTGATGGTCATATTAATAATTTTAAAGATATTTTAGTTGATAAATTAGCTCCTCATATGTCATCAAATGCTTTCCAATATTGGATGGATAAAGGACCAAATACTTTTAGTGGCAAAGGTCTTTATGATACTGGTTCAACAAGATGGGCTTTAAGATTGAGTAGGATTGTTTTTAAATTATGCGGTATTTCAAAGTATGTCAGTGAAATGTGTACTGCAACCACTTTAGAAGAACAAAAAAGAGTTTGGAATGAACATGTGAAACCAGCTATGTTTAATCCAGTTGTTGGTTCATTATTGATTGGGAACCCAATTTTCCTTTGGAAAGCTTTAGGTGTTCCAGCAAATCAAGCAAAATTAATGGGTCCATCAATTATAAAATATGTTATTGATACATTAGATCCATTAATTGAAAGATCATTAATCTTAGATGATAACTACTTTTATTACTTATGTTTAATGGGTACTTATACAAGAACAAACTGTCCTGATTATTTAACTACAAAAGGTTACAAAAGATTGACTGGTCAAAAATCAGTAAATGGTGATATTCCAATTGATAATATTAGAATCCATACTGATTTATTAAATGATGTATTTGCAAGATTAAGTACAAAATCAATTACTATCGCTATTATTATGGATCATATGGATTGGTTTGATCCAAATGGAGTTGATGCTATAAATGAAATAACTGCTATAAAACAATGTTTAGTAAAAGGTGGTAGAGTTATGTTTAGATCAGCTGCAACTCATCCATGGTATATTAAAACTTTTGAAAGTTTAGGTTTCAAATGTGAACCAGCTGCTATAAGAGAAAGTGGTCATAGTATTGATAGAATTAATATGTATGCTTCAACTTGGGTTTGTACTAAATTAGAAGGTGAAATTGAAGAAGAATCAACAAGTGAAGAAGAAATTATTAGTGTTGAAAAAGAAAATGGTAAATTAGATGCTGGTCGTCGTAGAATGAGTAGCTTAAAAATTTAAAAATTTGAGAAAAGCTAAAGAAGAAGAAAAAAAGATGTAATTCATTATTTATTCAAAAATTTTGTTTATAGTTATGATTATGATTGAGATATGATTGTTATTATTATGGAGTTTTTGAAAGGTATAAAATTTTTTATTCAAAACACGATTGAATTTATAGAACTGAAATAGAAATTAGAGTTAAACTTGATCAATTGAACTATTTTCTCTTGTTAGATTTATCTTTTAAGTTCATCACACTAGTCAATTAGTCTTTTTCTCTTTGTATAAGTTTAAGGATTCGTAAATGTATAATAACTTAAATTTCTTACTAATAACTGAAAAAATATATTAGTAAGTTACCAATCTATTATAAGTATCCACAGAATTTTCTAAAATTTTCCTCAACTTATTACAACCACAACAACCAACAAAAATTTATCAATGACTAGAAACCCATTTGAAATAGTCTTTGCAGTCCCAATGGAGTGTAAATCATGTGTAGACTCAGTAGCAAACGCCCTCAAACCATTAGAAGGTATAAATAAATTCGATATCAATTTAAATTCAAACTTAGTAACAACTGAAGGATCATTACCACCTAGTGAAATAGTCAAAGCAATCCAATCAACAGGAAGAGATGCAATAATAAGAGGAACCGGAAAACCAGACTCTGCTGGAGTTTGTATTCTAGAATCATTTGATCCAAAAGATATACAACAACCAGTAAAAGGATTAGCTAGAATTGTTCAAGTTTCTTCAAAAGATGCATTTATAGATTTAACAGTAAATGGGTTACCGAAAGGTATATATTATCCATCTATCAGAAACTCGGGGAATTTATCAAGAGGTGCATTATCGACTGGTTCATTATTTTATAAATTAGACTCCATTGATGTAAATATTCCATCGAATTCATCAACAGCAATAAACTCAATTGGTGCAGCTACGACAACTAAAGAGGAATCGTATTCTGGTCAATCATTTTTATACGCTCATTTAAACGTTAGTGAATTGATAGGAAGATCTATAATCTTGTCAAAATTTCAAGATGAAATAAGTCCTGATAGTTTATGTGGCGTTATTGCTAGATCTGCAGGTGCTTGGGAGAATGATAAACAAATTTGTTCATGTAGTGGTAAGACTGTTTGGCAAGAAAGAAATGATGCTAAAGGTAAAGGGTTAGCTGTATAGATTCTAATTGAGAAATTTTAGATAAAATAATAGAGTTTTTTACTGTTCGCATTGATCTCTAAGCTGGAAAATACTTAGATTTTGCATTCGTCTTCTATGAAAGTTACAGCCCAAACCTATTAGATAGCTTATTCTGAATGTATTGACAATCAGTGTTGACGGTCGCTAAAAAATCTAAAACAATATCAAAACATTTCGATTTTGTAACAGATTTTAGATCGAAAAAAAAAAATCAGATTTGTGATTTACAACCTCCTATTAAATCAATAGTGAATCAACTTACAAATGAATAGATCACAAGTGATAACGCTACTAAGAGACCAACATGAATCAATAATACATAAGAGAATGATAAAATTGACTTCTTTGTCGATCAAACCATACGATTTAATTGAATATATATTTGAATATTTACAATCATTTGACAACCAACCAATAATAGAAAAGTTATCATTGCCATCAAATAATCTATATGAAATACCGTCTAACTTTGGTAGTATACTGAAAAACTTAAAGTATCTAGATTTGCATCAAAACCAGTTAACTTTTTTAAGTAATAATTTTATAGACGATTTACCATTATTAGAAATATTAGACTTATCTTCAAATAAGTTATCTCACCTACCAAACTCCATTTCTTCACTACATTACTTAAAAGTGTTATCAATCAAGGACAATGACTTCAAATATATCGCTCCAGAATTGGGAGAATTAAGAAATTTAGACCTTATAGAGTTGTCGAATAATCCATTAATCATGCCTTCAACTGAACTAATTTCAAATTTACAATCTCAAGGATCAGACTTGGAATGGGTGAGTGAGCTCAAAAACTATTTACTAATAAATAGTTCAATATTGTATCAGAAATTGGAGGAGTCTAAAGACGATCAATTTCAAACTATGGATCATTTTCATAGCTCTAATAATTCCTTACATATCACTCCACCAAGTATGCAGAGATCACAAAGTATTAGTGAGTCAACCAAAATTAAAACATCAACAAAAGCTTCTAAAAGAATGGGTTTAATAATAAAAAAGACAGATGAAGATGGAAATATCACAGAAGATATAAGTAATTCATCCATGCATTCAATTCCAAGGCATTTAACTCAAGATGATCCACCTCATTCTGCATCAGCTGTTGAAACTAGCTTCCAAATTTCCAGTCCACCACCACAACCTATGCAAACAAATTTAACAGCCCCCAATTCAACATCAACCTCACCATTAACAACACTTGTCAAACCAACAATAAGATCAAGATCAAATACAATGAAAGAAATTGATAAAATATTAGAAAAAAATGAAAGTGTTGATACTGAACATAAATCAAGTGCTTATTTTAGAAGACTATCTACTTTACAAGAACAACCTTCAGATGAAAGTGAGGGTAATATCTCAACTATAAAGCATATGCCAAGACAAACATTGGATCCTAACTTCAGACAACCACAGCCACAATCACAATCACAACCAACACCTTCATCGTCATTACCTCAAACTACAACAACGTCATCCCATATACCTATATCATCAGATGGATCACCCAATAGAGTAATACAACCTCCAAAGAAGCACACGAATCCTGTTATAATCAAAGTATCAAGAAAAGTGCTATTTTCATTCAGTGAACTACACTCATCGATTAGAAGATTTACTGCATTTTGTACTGATAAAAAGGTAACAATGAAGATGGTCTCATACCTATATGGTACAAAATCAAATATTGATGCATTAGTCGAAAATTTAGAAATCGTTGAAGAAAATGGTGGTAATTCTGAACAAATAGCACAATCATTACAAACTTGTATAGTTTCATTCAAGTCAATTATGAATTTGCTACATGAGAATATTACTAAATTCGTTAGTAAAATTGATGTTTGCTTCATAAGGATGTTGTACTTATCAATATTTGGGTCAATTAGTGAATTGCAAAATGCTTATAATTTACTCACAATTAAGTCATCCCCAGTAAAAGCATTGCCTACTGACTTGAAACAAAAATTAACTATCAATACTAACGTCGGATCATCGTTCAATGAAGTTGATGAAAAATTATATGCTACAATTGAAACTGCAATTTCAAATGCACAATCCATTTTTACTGATCTAAATAAGGATGTTAATAGAGGTGCAACTGCACATTCTGCTTCAGTACTGCCAAACGTTGCTTCAAAGATTAAAGATCTTGTAAGCAATTGTGGGTCATCTTTAGATGTCATTAAAAGATTAAGCACTAGACTTATCACGATCAGAAATAACCCTTCTCAAACTACAAAGAAAATATTTGCTGAAGAAATAAATCAGTTTTTAAAATCGATTGTGCAAATTTTGGCGACAGTGAAAGGAATCGTTGTTGATATTCCAATTTTAGAAGATGTACGTATTTCAATGTCAAGTATTACAAAAACTGCAAAAGAAGTTACATACATGTTAGAAATTTCGTCTTATAAAGCATTGTTAGCAGAATCAGCAAGTAATCCTTCAGTTCAACCACCAAGTTTTACACCAATATCGGCTCATGCACCAGCATTACCATCTACTGCAACTTTCTCCAACGGTCCAGTACCTATGAGAAATCCAATGATGCCAACAAATAATGCATCGACTGCCAATTTACAAGAACAAGATACATCATCGTTATCCATACAATCAAATGGTCCATTAACTGCTCCACCTCAATCTACGGGACAAATGTTTGCTAAAAATGGTATGAATCCATTTGATAAATTAATTATGACTAAAAATGAAGACTTATGAATATATACGAATTTTATGTGAGAAAAAGAATTTTTGTAAAAATCAATATCTAGAGAAGCTCTTTATAGGTAGCTAAACATTCTATAAAAATTGTATTTGTGAATCATGTTGAATCATGATGTAAGCTAATAATAACGTACGACAGCTACCAAACGAGCGGCTAAATTTTTTTAAGATCTATTGTATTCACTCATCATTAAGTAATGTTAATAAATCCGGTTTTTAATCACTAATTTAGCGTCAACTACAACTTTATTAAGATTAATGCCATTTGATGATAGAGATGCAGTTGGCTATAGAACGAGTATCAACTCGTTATATATGCTATTTTGTACATCCTTACTACCACTAGTTGTAATAGGAATTGCGTTTTTTTATTCAGGATTAACTCAAAGAAGATCAGCTTTAACTATGTTTGCATTGCCTTTAATAATTACACCAATGATTGTTTTGGATTGGTATATTTGGGGCTATTCTCTTTGTTATTCAGCTACTGATAATGGGTATATTGGAAATTTAAGTTATGCAGTATTGCGACAAATTAAAGGGACCATGAAACAAGAATTTACAAATAAAAGAGGTAACGTATTGGTCATCAATCATTTTTTATTTAATATGTTTTTCAAAATTATTTGTGCTGCATTAACTTTTCCTGGATGTATTGCAGAAAGAGGTAGAATTTTGCCCATGTTACTATTTTTATTCATTTGGTCAATTATTATTTACAATCCAGTAACTTATTGGTTTTGGAGTGATAATGGTTGGTTAAATAAGATGGACGTTTTGGATTTTGCAGGTGGGAATTGTGTTCATATTGTATCTGGTTTTACTGCATTAGCTTATTCATACATTTTGGGAATAAGGAATCCTAAAATTTTGTATAATTATCGTCATGCAAATACGGGACATATCATGATAGGTACATTTTTAGTATTTTGTGGTTGGTGTGGATTCGTAGCTGGTTGTGATTTTAAATTTTCATTCAATTCATTATTTATTATTTTCAGTACTATTTTAGCTGCAAGTACTAGTGCTATTATATGGACTGCAATTGATTATATTATTTGTGGTAAAAAATTTTCAATGATTTCTTTTTCTTCTGGAATCATGACAGGTTTAGTTGTTTTCACACCAGGTGGTGGATATATTACATCTGATGATGAATTTTGGAAACCTATTGTATTTGGAGTTGTTGGTGCTATATTGTGTAATTTAGCAACAAGATTAAAATATTATTTCGGCATTGATGATGCTTTGGACATTTTCGCGATTCATGGAGTTGCTGGTATAGTTGGATCACTATTAACTGGAATATTTGCTAATAAATTATATGGTTCAAAAGGTGGTTGGGTTGAAGGACATTGGAAACAATTTGGGTTTCAATTGTTGGGGATTGTTGTAACGAGTGCATATGTTTTTGTTTTGACTTGCTTCCTTCTATACATCATTGATTTGATACCTGGATGTCATTTAAGAATTGATAAAAATTTCAATAGGCGAGAGAGGGAGAAAAGAAAAGCAAGAAGATTGAGCGAGGTAGTTGAAACACAACAACATGAAAAAATTTCTGATTCACTGGGTGAAGAAGAAAGTTTAGACCATTGGGAACAAATGGAATTAATGGGAATGGATAATTACGAATTTAATGGAGAATATATGACTGACTATATTGAATTTATAAAAGTTATACTGCCAGAAGATTACGAAGAATCTATACTTAAAGAAGAAGTGATTTTACCACCAATTGAAAACCATTCTGGTAATAGTTTTCAAACGCATCAAGATGGAAATCTAACTAAACGAGAATAGACGCACTAGAACAATTTTAATTTTAATGACCTTACGAGTACATATGTAATAAATAAAACAATAATTTAAATTAATGTGACAAAAGAAGAAAAAAAAAACCATAATATATCTATAAACTCATTCGTTCTATACTTTATTCAAAAGTCTCATTGTTAACTCAAAAACCGCGAATGTTGCACCATTAGCTGGAGCAGCTCTTAGTATTGTTGGTAAAAACCCTTTATAAAAACCTCTTATACCTTGTCTATGAAATACATCTTTAATAACACTTAAAGCGTTATTATATTTTGCACCTTTTAATGCATCAGTTTGTAATTTTGATTTTATAACATCAATTGGATAAATTGCTATCCATAATGTATACCCACTTAAACCACCATATAAACAAAGAGTCAAAGGTTTAATTTGTTCTCTTGTTAAACCTGGATGTTTCTTTAAATCATTAGCAATCAATGCTTCGTAAGTTGCAAAATATATACCTAACCCAATTGATTCTCTAATTAAAGTTGGTCCTAATCCTTTATATATTCCTCTTATTCCATCAATTTCATAAATCTTTTTAGCACAATCTAATGGTCCATTAAATAATTTATTTGATCCAGTTTGTGTTTGTAATCTTATACGAATATGCTCAATTGGTGAAGCCAAAAACCCATTTGCAAAACCAGCAACAGCACCACAATTAAAGTATTGTAATAAACTTAATGGTCTACCATGTAACTCTCTATCATAATATCTTTTCATAAATTCATTAACTGAGAATTGTACAGAAACACATGCACCTACACCAATCAATGGAGTTAAAGTCCCCTTATAAAATCCAGCAAATCCTTCATTTTTCAATAATTGTTTTATAACATCAATTGCTCCACTGTATGTACCTTCTGGAGCTGATTGTAATCTAACTTTAACACAATCAAATGGTTGACCAACTAAAACTTGAGCAATACCACCCATTGTTCCAGCAAATAAATCTTTTAGCACTTGAGCATTGCTTTCAATTGGCGGCTCCTCCAATTCGATAGCCATTATATTAATGTGTTGATAAATAGAATTGAATTTGAGATGATTAAGCGGATTTGGCTAAAGCGAAGTTGCTAAAATCTGATCTCGATAAATAGAGTCAAAAATAATTTTCACTTAGTTTTGTGTAATGATTTGAAGTGCATTAATGTTTTAAATTTTAGAAAATCAATTTGTATGTAATTTATTTATTTTCACTAATTGATAAATCTTTTTAGACTAGAAAATCAAGCAAAAAAAACATGACTTAGTAGTAAGACTAATAAGATCAAAGCCTTATTTGTTTTTATCTACATGGTATTTGTAAGAGTGCAAAGTATGAAAATTTGTATTAAAAAAATACTATAGTTTGGCTGCAAATATTGATAATTTTGAAACTCTACTACTATTAAATCAATTTCAATAAAGTATATCATTGTCATTACAAAATGAAAAAACATATATCAAAAGTACATTATTCCAACAGATTTCATTGTTATCAATTATTAATTATTATTAATGTAATTTGAATTATTCAATAATAATCAGTAAGTAAGTTAATAAATTTAATACTCTACCAATTGTTAAATAAAAATTTATTAGTTGATTATTATTTATATAATATGGAAATACAATTAAATACAAAAATATAAATTTATTTAAAGTATAATTTTTACTCGAGAGGGTTTTGATATTTTTAAAACAAATTTATATTTACAAACAACAATACCACAATACATTCATTATTTAAGTTCAACTATCTACTTACTCATATAAATACTTGATAAATATTTTAACAATATTATACTATCTTTTTTCGATGTCAAAACTACATTCTTAATAAGTCAAACGCATATTATTTAATTTCAAAAAATGACTAAAAAGTTAACCCCACAAGAGAAATTGAATAGAAAACCAACAAGTAGAGCTTGTACATTTTGTCATGAGAAGCATTTACAATGTTCAAAGGAAAGACCATGTAAAAACTGTGTTAAAAGAAATATAGCTGATTCATGTCAAGATATTGTTAGAAAAAGAGTTAAATATTTAACCGGTACAACAAAATCTAGTTCCAAAAGGAAAAAAAATGGAACATCTATTGAACCATCATCAAGTCAAATACAATCATTCAGCAATTCACCAGAAACTGAAATAAAGATAGAACCACTACTGCAACATCAACAAAGTTCAAGGGCTTTAATACAACATAATTTAAATCAACAAAATCATTTTCAACAAGAACTAACTAATCAATTATCAAATCAAATACAGGAAACTTCTTTAATAAATCACCGAATCCCCATACCAATAAACAATACTCAAAGTATACTACCCCAGCCTCATCAACAACCACAACCTCAAAATTTTGGTATACAAATTGAAGATCCAAGTGTAAATCAAATAAAAGAAATTTTGGACGCACCAGCTTTTGATCCAACTCAAAATGTCAATAATGCAAATAGAATAGACTTGAGTCCGTCAAAAATACTAGAGACCGACCAACTTCAATATCATACAAATACAATGCTAAATACAACTACTGATGTACTAAATAAATTACTCACAGATTATTATGAAACTGACAGTATATTGCTGCAAAATACTCAACCGTCAAGTTATCAACCTCATCCACAATCTCATGAAGATCAATCAACTTCGGTAAAATTACATCAAAATAATAATAACAATACTACTTTTAGTTCAAATTATCTCAATGAAGAATATTTAATGTTAGGAGATATAATATTACAATCAAAACCATCATCACCATCGCCTTCAAATACAAGTGCTTCAGAATATAATGATGCATTGAATTTTTCAAATATTGACTTTGACAACCTAAATCAATCAAAAAAAAAAGTAGTTCAAAAATTAAAAGATTCTCGACCTTTTATATCACTTGGTTTTCCAAAGGATTCATCATTAAGTTTAAATAATTTGAATAATATGGCGGATCAAACCGATAATTTACTAGATAATAATGTAACATCAAGAGGTAATAGTAAAATTATCAATTCCACAAATCCAATTATAGATTTTAAAACAAAATATAAAACAGATTATGTATCACCATTAGCAACTCATCAAATATATCAAACAGTAACGGATATTTATTCAAAAGATGTTTTAAATTTTGAATATCCTAATTCATATCATGCACTAACTCATTTTTTGAAAACAAGATTTTCTGGCAATAACTTATCACCAGAGAAAAAAACTCAAAAAAGACAAAACCTATTAATTATATTAAAACTAATTGCAAGTTATAGACCAACATTTATAAGTGCTCATAAATCATTATTAAAACCTCAAGATTTATTATTTTTAGAAATGAGTTTTCAAAGATGTTTGGTAGATTATGAAAAATTAAGTCAATTAAATTCATCTCCTACTATAATATGGAGAAGAACAGGAGAAATTGTAAGTATTACTGATGATTTGTTAAGTTTATTAGGTTATAAATTGACCGATATTTTATCAAAAAGAACGTTTATCATGGAAATAATGTATGATGATGAATCTATAGTAAAATATTTTCAATTATTTAAATCTGTTGCTGTTGGTAATTTGCATTCAAGTATAAGTACCAAAATAAAATTAATAAAAAAGGAAAATGACACTAATAACAATAATGGTAGTAATAATAATAATATGAATAATAATAATACTAATGGAGTTTATGATACAAATGGTACAACAATAAGTAATGTTGGTACTAATAATTATATTGAATTTTGTTCAGTTTGGACTGTCAAAAGAGATTTATTTGATATACCTATGCTAATAATAGGTCAATTCTTACCAATATTACCAGCTGGTGATGGAGTAAGAATGTATTAATAAGTAGTATAAAATTGAAAATCATAATAGCATCAAATAATTTTTTAGTTATCAAAAAGAAATAATCATGCATTTAATAAATAAATTTATAATAAGTAAAGAAAGTCCGACGATATTACCGATTTTGTATCCCTCTTTGACTAAAAATACAGGGGAGTTACTTCTTTTCACATAATCTATACCATTTAAGTGCCAAAAAAAAATTACGATAACTCTTAAGTCAATTATGCAAACCTATAATTTCGTGATCTTATTTTGTCTTTTCAATATTAGTAATACTAGAGTAATTATTGAATTTCGTAAATACTACTCCTAACCTATAGTAATCGGAATAATTATAATATATGAAACGGATTAATCCTATACATAAACGATTTTAACCGAATGCATCAAAATGTGCTGATAAAATAATTAAAATCATCATGTTTCGTAAATTTTTAAAAACTTCTTTTTAGGGGGAATATAATAAATTAACAAGCATTACTAACTCTATTAAAATCATGTTATAATTTATGTATTGTCGCTTAATTTTCTTCTTTTTTTTTATAAGGTGATTTTTTTATATTATTATTTTTTCTTTGTGTTATATTTTTGGTTGCAATATTTTTATTTTTTTTGCAGTCATTCGACTTAATAATAAGCTGATTTTTATTAAACAAAGAATGAACATAGAGGCATACTTATCGTTGTTGGTTTTATTTATTTCAAATATGTTTAATTAGTTTGGTTTGTTTCAGATATATATATATATAATAAAAATTAACTTAGAAATTTTACAATTTTTTAAGATTAATAATTTACCTGTCAAACAAAAGTATATTTATTAAATCAAATATCTACACATAAATACAACTTACAAATTAATTTAAAATGTCTGCTATCACATCAACAATTACTCCATTTAGAGCTCTATTAATAGGTGGTGGATGTTATTCAATTTTTACTGTTATGATGTTTAAAAATTATTTTAAAAATTCATCAATGAGAAAAATTTATACTACTGCTGATTCAAATTATGAAAAAGTTCATCCAATGTCATATCCTCAATATGAAGGGAATGTTCAACCTGCTAAATAAATTTTACGAAAAGTTGTTAATTGACTTAGATTATTCAATTAAGAAAATTTGGTGTTGGTGGTGTTTCAATTCTATTTATTCTTTATTAGATTCAAAATAGTATTTATTTACTCAATTTAATACATATTCAGTTTATTGTAAAGTTTAAAATCTTGTAGTTTGTTCTATTATAAAATGTATTTGATTAAAATTTTGACACAAATGATCATCAGAATTTCTTTGCGAAAGGCTACCAAATTTTGAAATTTTACATTTTAAGTTTACCTCTTTATTTACTTTTACAATTCTTTTACTTAATCATAATATTTTATAGTACCAAACTATCACCGAGAATGAAGATCTCACCAGAGACAATTAATAAACTACAATCAGATGCATCATGCATAAGAAATATTTGTATACTAGCTCATGTTGATCATGGGAAAACCTCATTAAGTGATTCATTATTAGCAACAAATGGTATAATATCACAAAGAATGGCAGGAAAAGTACGATATCTTGATTCAAGAGAAGATGAACAATTAAGAGGTATAACAATGGAAGCATCTGCTATATCATTATATTTTAAGTCAATGAAAATGCAAAAAGAGAATGAAACGGAGCCAATAATTAAAGAGCATTTAATCAATTTAATAGATTCACCAGGTCATATAGATTTTTCGTCAGAAGTAAGTACATCATCCAGACTATGCGATGGAGCAATAGTGCTAGTGGATGCAGTTGAAGGTGTATGCTCTCAAACCATAAATGTTTTACGTCAATGTTGGATAGATAAACTAAAACCAATACTAGTTATAAACAAAATCGATAGATTAATCACAGAATGGAAATTAACTCCACTAGAAGCATATCAACATATATCAAGAGTTATAGAACAAGTAAATTCAGTCATTGGATCATTTTATGCAGGAGATAGATTAGAAGATGATTTAAATTGGAGAGAAGGAGGAGAAATTGGAGAATTTATAGAAAAAGATGATGAAAATTTATATTTTATGCCTGAAAAAAGTAATGTTATATTTGCATCAGCTATTGATGGATGGGCTTTTTCAATAAATACGTTTGCTAAAATATATCTGAAAAAATTAGGATTTTCTCAACAAGCATTGCTTAAAACTCTTTGGGGGGATTTTTACCTAGATATGAAAAACAAAAAAATTTTACCAGGTAAAAAATTAAAGAATGGTAATAACAAGCCATTATTTGTATCGTTAATATTGGATCAAATTTGGTCAATATATGAAAATTGTATATTGGAAAGAAATCAGGAAAAAGTGGAAAAAATTATTGAAAAATTAGGTGCTAAAATTTCACCAAGAGACTTGAGGTCAAAAGATTTTAAAAATTTATTGAATCAAATTATGTCACAATGGATCCCACTAAGTCATGCTATACTAGGGGCAGTTATTGATTATTTACCAAGTCCTATAGTTGCCCAATCGGAAAGAATTGATAAGATTTTAAATGAAACTATATATAGTGCTGTTAAATCAGAGCAAGATCGAGATAACTTAGTTGATCCAAGTTTTGTGAAAGCAATGCATAATTGTGATAGTTCTCATGCTGATATACACACAATGGCCTATGTATCTAAACTTATATCAGTACCGAATGAGGAGTTACCAAAAGAAGCAGCGATTGGAGGTGAAGTATCAGCGGAAGAATTGAAAGAAAGAGCTAGAATAGCCAGGGAATTGGCGAAGAAGGCATCAGAAGCAGCAGCTATAGCACAAGAAGCTAAGACTAGTGAAGATGAGTTTGTAATTAAACCTAAGAAAGATCCATTTGAATGGGAATTTGAAGAAGATGATTTCGAACAAGAAGAAGATGAAGAAGAAGAAGAAGAAACTAGTCTTGAAACTTTAGTTGGATTTACAAGAATTTACTCAGGTACTTTATCAAAAGGTCAAAAATTGACCATAGTTGGACCAAAATATGACCCATCCTTGCCGAGAGATCATGAAAAAAATATAGATCAAATAAGTAACGAGATAGAGATAAAAGATTTATTTTTAATTATGGGTAGAGAATTAGTAAGAATGGAGAAAGTACCAGCTGGAAATATTTGTGGAGTTGTTGGATTAGATCATGCTGTATTGAAAAATGCAACTATTTGTTCACCTATACCTGAAGATAAACCATATATTAATCTTGCGTCAACATCGACATTGATACACAACAAGCCAATTATGAAAATTGCAGTTGAACCAACAAATCCTATAAAGTTAGCCAAATTAGAGCGTGGGTTAGACTTGTTAGCAAAAGCTGATCCTGTGTTGGAATGGAATATTGATGATGAATCGGGTGAATTAATTGTTTGTGTCGCTGGAGAATTGCATTTAGAGAGGTGTTTAAAAGATTTGGAAGAAAGATTTGCTAAAGGTTGTGAAGTTATTGTCAAAGAACCTGTTATACCATTTAGAGAAAGTTTGGCTGATAATAAAATAAATCAAGAGACATTAGCTGAAATTGAAGAAGATGATGATGAGGAGGAAGATGATTTGGTGAACATGGACATTGATGTTTGTCCATTACCTCTTGAGGTTACAAAATTTTTGATTGATAATGAATCAGAAATAAATGAGATTGTAAAGAATAGAGACTATCAAAACAAGGATGAGTTTGTTAACAAATTTGTATCTGTACTCAATGAAGAGAAACAATTTTTTGTGTTCTCGAAAGCCAAAGAATTGATTGATAATATAATAGCATTTGGACCCAAAAGAATTGGACCCAACATTGTAATCGATAAAACTAACAAGTTCAAACATATAATAAGTGGGTTTCAACCAGATGAGAGATTTGAATACGGAAATAATGTTTTAAATGGTACCCAATTAGCATTAAATGAAGGTCCGCTAGCATCTGAACCACTACAAGGTATTGCAATTATTATAAAAAACATTTCCAAGAATGATATAGGAGAAGATAAGATTACAAGTCCTGGTAAAATCATTGGTCAAACCAAGAATATAATTCATAAACAATTTTTGATCAAATCTCCACGTTTACTACTAGCTATGTATACTTGTGAAATTCAAGCTTCTACCGATGTATTAGGAAAAGTCTATGCTGTTGTTCAAAAGAGAGAAGGATCAATAATATCAGAAGAAATGAAAGAAGGTACACCATTCTTCACGATTGTTGCAAGATTACCAGTTATACAAGCTTTTGGATTTAGTGAAGATATTAGAAAAAAGACTTCTGGAGCAGCAAGTCCACAATTAGTTTTTGATGGATTTGATATTTTGGATATTGATCCTTTTTGGGTACCTCATACAGAGGAAGAATTAGAAGAATTGGGAGAATTTGCTGAAAGAGAAAATATTGCAAGAAGATATATGAATAATATTCGAAGAAGAAAAGGTTTGTTTGTTGATGAAAAAGTTGTGAATAAAGCTGAAAAACAAAGAACATTGAAAAAGGATTAAATTGGTAAATAGAATCTTAGATTATATAAATGTTAATTCCAATGATCTTCAAAATTGGTCTAATCCCTCAAGTTTAAATCTCTTTATTTGTGGTATATATTTTCTAATGTATGTAGAATTAAAAGAAGAGGAAAAAGAAAAAATAAAAAAAATTAATTTGCAATCTAAATTAATATATCATATCAAATTTAAACTAAAACAGCATTTGAAAGATAAAGTCAGCGGGCAGTCTCATCAAAGTCGATTTTATTCAAAAATTATTAAATATTCATGATATATATATAGCATCCAAAATATTACAAAAATGTCAAAGTCACTACCGATAAATGGTAAAGACAATTCAAATTTAAAATCATCTACGCCTATTCAATCAAGTTCAAATTCAAATTCAAACTCAAATGGTAAAGCCAAAATTGTAAATAATTCACAATCTCAATTCCAAAATAATGGAAAATTGAATGCTAAACCAGTAAATGGAGGAAATAGTCAAAACTTAAACCCAACACCTAATTCAGTCCCTAAAGGCATAAAAATTGGTTCAAATCCAGGACCAGAAGAATTATTTGAATTACTTTCCAAAAATTATGAAAATTGGCTGCAAGCTATGACAAAACAATTTGAAGACGAAGAAAATTTCTCACCATTCCCCAATGAAAACGACAATGAATTAAATAAAGATAAAATGAATCCAATTTTCAATTATAGCTTGTTAGAAGCGTTAGAAACTGCATCAAATGAAATTGGAGATAAATTGAAAGATATACCAAATGGAAATATTAGAAATAATACTTTAATTTCTAAAACTACTTCATCAAATACTACAACAAATGGTTCAATTGCGAATAGACCAATAAAACATCCAAAAAGAAGAATACTACATCCATCTCATTCATTACTTAATGAAAAAGAAATTGTTTTTCTTCGAGATAAGATCACTCAAATTATCAAAGAAAGAGAAGGAGATAATTTACCACAAGGGTTTACATTATATGATACAAATGATGAAAAGGGATTAAATAATGATGATGACGATGAAGAAGAATTATGTTCATGTTGTGATCATTCAGATGAAGATGATGAATATGAAGAAGATCACGACCAAAATGATTATGACTTAAACGACTTTACAAATAATAATGACAACAATAATGACAAACGATATTCAAATCATCATATTAATTCTCGTCCGACTCATTCAATAGAAATTGAATTAAATACAGCACCAGATTGTGAAGTTCATGGATCAAAAAGTTGTGATTGTCCAATTTTCGATTCACCTAATAATAATGAATTAGAAAGAATGACAAGAAGGAAAAGAAATTATATGGGATCACCAAGTGATAATGATTATGATAGTAATGAAGGTCCATCATGTGAATTTACTTTTGAATATGATCATAATGGACAATTGATTCCCACATATAATAATATTGAGGAGAAATTGAGATTAATGAGGTTAGAATCATCAATGAAGATAAATAATAAACTACCCAACAAGAATAAAATTAACAACAAATTTTCAAGTGGTAAAAATAATAATAGCAAAACAGTACAACCAAAACAATCTACTAAACAATCTACTAAACAAGACAACAAACCAAATCAGGCAACAGCTACAAATTCAAACACAAATTCCAAAGCCAACCCGAAATCATCATCACCAACAAAGACTAAAACTAAAAAGACAACTAAAACAAAATCTAAATCTTCAAATTCTGCATCACCAAATATAAATCCATTAAATGATTTAAAAAAATTACAAACTGAATTACCAAATGATATTTTGAAAAAATATAGATTAAGAAATTTACAATCAACAACGCCCAAGAATTTTTATGGTTTAATTCCAAATGATAGTTGTTGCTTGTTATGTCAATATGAAGCTATATTTGGTTGTAAACCGAAATATATATATAGTAAAAAATAAATGGTAATGAATTATGTAAAACACATAATATTTTCAAAGTAAATCAATTTGTAAAGAAAGGCTAGAATTGACTGATCCGACAAAAAAAATAATGTCTTACATATTAGCTCCAATTGTGCCTGCTTAATAAATTACTCTCTTTGCTTCAATTTTTTTCTACATGTTGCTACTTTAAAATCAAGTTGAGACCAATATAATTGAGCAACTAATAAAATATGAGTATGAACCCTAGCAAATAATTGTAATCAATTAATTGCTAGACGAGTTTTGAAACTGAACTCATAACATTGTTAATAAACGATTATATAATCCGTATTAATGTGAAATAAAGTTTACGTGGGTCCATCTCCGACTAGCCCCGCCTTAAGCTATCACGAGTGTATAATTTTTGTGTATTCTCAATGAGATCTTTCCAAATATAAAATTACGTAACAAGAAAATTTAAATTTAATATTATTTATTATTTAGTTTCATATTAATTTAGTATATGTAATAATAATAATAAAATTAAACACTAGAATGTTTGATGGGGAATGTTTTTGAAAAATGAGTTTGAAATTAATATTTGAGACTTAAATTATTGGAGGCAAGATTCTTTATTTGATTCATATATCTTATTATATCCAACGTTCTAAATATAAAAACGAATCATTATTTTATTTAGCCCACATTAATTAACTAGAATCTACTAAATTATTAAGACTCCAATTAATTTAAATTCCTCAATCATGTTTTCACAAAGTGGTACTTCAACTCCAGTTCCATCATCGGCTTCATCGCAAAATAAAAATGTTATACCAATACATGATCAAATAAATGATTCAATCACATGGGTATATGATTGGTATTCTCCAAATTTTAATAATCCATTTAGTAATAATATGACAAATGGTAATTATAATATAGATACAAATAATGGTTCAACAATAAATGATTCAACAACGGCCAATACAACAAATATTCAAAATGATAATTTACAAAATTTTAATTCTTTAAAATTAAAAGGTTGGTTCAAGACAAATTTTAATCATAAATCAAATACTTTTAAACAACAAATTTTAACAAATGATTCTTATCTTAATTTAAATTCAAATAAATGGAAATATTTAAAAGATTCCTCAATAACTCCTCCAATTGATGAAGATATAGTTATAAAGGAACAAACTGTCGAACCAGTTGGTGAAGGAGAGGGTCAAGTTGAAAGTGAAAATGTTAAATTAGACATTAAAGGTGAAATACCTGAAAGTAATAAACAATATCAAAGTGCAATATAGTCGAGAAAGGAGGATGTCTAAAGTAGCCAAAATTAAATAATAAATTTACAATATATATTATTTTAAAAGTATTATAAATATTATTTTTTTCACATTATTCATTAATCATTATTATTAACAGTGGCGGTTGTAGTTTTCAATCTCATAAATAACAAAGATTCTCTAGCCAAATTAGTTTCATTCAATAATTCATCATTTTTAAAGACATCCCATTTTTCTTCATTTGGTAAAGTTTCTAAATCTAGTATACCATTTTTCTCCAACATTTGAAAATTCTTTCTTATTCTTTGTAAACTGTACATTCTACTTGGGTTTTTCAGTTGTGAACAGACCAAAAATAAGGTATTATCTGGTAAAATTTCGTAAATTTTTGTGATGTTAGTGTTTACTCTTTTGTGTGATTCTTTGATGTCGTGGTCTAATTTTCCATCATAAAATTCTGACGGCAATGACCACTTCAAGTTATATTCAAGATCTTTCAATTCGATTATTGAGAAATTTGGGAACTTGTCTGATGATTGATTTAGTATTTCTAGTATTTCATCATCGTTTGTAATACTATGCTTATCAACATATTCTTCTGAGTTTGATGGGTTTTTACAATATGAAATTACCATTGATTTGAAATTTTTTTCAGTTTCATTAGTTCTTGTTCTAAACAATCTTTCAAATATCGGTATTTCATTTATATTTGTACCAAAACATCTACCTTCTAAAATTTTTAATTTCACCAAATCTAAACAAGTTAATGCATCTTCGATGGATGAATGACCTTTACCATCATCTTCACCTATTTGTATATCTCTTGCTAAGTAATTGCTAGCTAACCATCTTAATGAAGGTTTTGAAGGTGGACCTCTATTATGTTCATATATTACAGCAGTATCAACTATATTCATATGTACAATTTTCATAACTTTTAAATCTGATTCTAAGGAATGACCAACTAGTATGTCGTTCTTGAATACTGTGGATAAAAATAATAGTTGTATATCATATATTGTAGTAGTCACGTCTTTTAGCAACTCTTCAGTTATTCCTGAATATTTCGTTACGTAATCTGTTATTTCTTCTTCTGGTTTTACTAATTTGTCAAATACAACTTCTCCTTCAAAATCAATTACGGAAATTCTTGTTAATACCTGCAAATGACCAGCTTTACAAAACTCACAATCTAATGCAAATATTTTAGATTCTCTTTCTTCTACTATTGGAGTGATTGTTTCTGACCAAGATTCGTCTACTTTTGTGATTGGGTAATCATATTGTTGTAATTGGCTTTCATTCAATAATAAATCTTTAATGGTAATTTTATCTTGTTTCAGTTTGTCTAGTATTAATTTTTTCTCATTTTTGGTTAAGGGTATATTACTTATTGAATCTAACGGTTGATATAGTGTATCTTTCCCACCTGGTGATATAGTTCTTATGACATTTTTGAAGTTTTGTTTAATAAATGATAATTCATCGGTCAACTCTAAATTTTCAATCGGTATTTTTTGTAACAATTCATTGATCTTGAATTCCTCTGTAATTGCTGGTTCCACATCTAACCCATTAACTGAACAGATTACTATATTTTTTATTTTATCAACGTGATCAATTTTACACCATTTCATTTTTTGTCCAGTTGGTACATTAAAAATATGTAATACTAAGGATCTCAAATTTCTGAAAGGAAATCTTTTGGAGTGTTCTTTATCATCAATAGTTTGAAATTCAATACTTGGAATTGCCAATTGCTTCTTTAACTTCTTTTTATGTACTTTTCTCTCTTTCTTGATCGGTGGTGTTGCTGTATTGAGAGATTGATTGGATGATCTCCTTCTCTTTTGTTGTAAAATTTTTTTGGGACTTGATTTTGCACTTGGTAAATTATGACTTTCATCTTCTTCTGCGAATGAATTAAGTGAAACTGCTGAATTTCTTCTTTCCAAAGAATATACATCATTTGAGTTCAAAAGATCTTTTACCCTTGAACGTGGATTTTCTTCTTCTATTTCATTTTGTGAGATGGATAGTCTTGCTGTATTACTTGATAACGGATCATCTACTATAGGATATGACATAATTCATCGATGAACCTTAATAAATGGCTGTAAATATGAAACAGGTTTAAAAAATAAAATTATGTGTTTTGAAAATTTAATAAATTAAAAATTATTTAAAAGGAATAAATACCTGATTTGGAGTCTTCAATGCGGCTTGGTTTTTTAAACTTACTAACTCCTAAATTTTCCAAATATTACTAAATGTTTGTTCATTAAATCTATATACATGATTTATTTACTTTGACCAATCTTTGGTTGGATCATCGTTACTTAAAAAGTCCTCATATTTACTATCCAACTCTTGTAATTGCTTTTCATCTCGAATAATTCCGTCATTTCTATCATCGTCAGAAAATAATGTAGATTTACCATGAACTATAATTTTATTCCAGGAATCCCAAGAACTTGGTATGTAAAGTAGGAAATCATCATCATGTATCGTTGATTCTTCGAAATTGGGTTTTACAGAGACTTTGTTTAACTTTGTTAATTTCTCAATTTTGTGAGTTTTTAAATAATTCAACAAATTCCTAATCGATATTATAGCACAACCATGTTTTAAACTCATTATTCTTAATAGTTGAAGTATTCTTGTAGATTGAATAGTCAACTCTGATAAGTATTTTGGATCAATTGATATTATTATTAATTGTTGTAATTTATATTCACTTTCGTCAACTTTATTCAAATCATGAAATATATGATACCATTCGGAAATAGACTGAAGTGACTCGAATTCTATAATTATTATTGAATTCGTATTCTTTTGTAATAATTTACTTGTAAATGATTTAAAATAAAAAGCGTTTTTGATTATATATAATTCAACTTTTTCATCACCTTCACAACTAATTGATGGATACTCTTCTGTTATTAAAGCTATTATAATATTTTTTGGATTTGGTTTATACGTAAATTCTTCAATCCCCATATCATTTCGTTGTTGTTTTGTTTGTTTGAATCAAAAATAAGACACCAAAATAAAAAAAACAAAATAAAAAAACAAAAATAAAAAATAAAATAAATAAAAATATAATAGTTTACAACCAAATTATACTCCACAATATTTGTTACCAACAAGTAGTTTACCAGAACCATTAATATATATGATTATGGGTCATAGTACACAAGAAAATGGTGACAAAGAAAATAATTTATTTAATCAGTATGTTGGTAATACGGATATACCTGATGAACAGGTAATAGATTCAATCTTTCTGGAAAAGAAAACTTTACATGCAGATGATGCAATAGATTATGAAGACATAGATGAATTAGCTGATGATGAATTACCGGAAGAGGAGGCACCTGCAAATCAAATCGATGATGATGAATTTGATAAACTACTATATGACGGACCTATTGATTCAGATACAAATAATATAAATAATCAACTAGATATTAAAGAAGAAGAGAGAGCTCAAGATTTCGCAGATGATCAATTTGATGAGATGTTTGGACGAGATGATGAGCATCAAGATGATAATGAACACTTCAATAATTTGGAATCAAATGATCAATTTATTGAAGAACAGCAAGATTTAGGCGATATTTTCATTGATGATGAAGAAAGTAAAAAACAAAAGCTTCAATTGGAAATAAAGCAAAAGCAAGCTACTGAAAAGCTCAAAAAAATAGTATCTAGATTAGAAAAACGACGAACGAAAAAAAATATCAAACATTACTTTCCTTCATATTCTCGAGATCAACCTTTAGATTTTCATAAATTATTAGCAACAGCCCCTAAATTCTACAGATATAATAAACCATTTTTAGCATCATATAAAATCATCAAACCATTAGTACCTACGAAAATTAATCTAGAAATTGATGTTGATCAAAGAAAAATATTTAAACAAGAGTTAACACCGTACATCCCACTAAAAAATACCACCAGTATTATGCAAAGTGATATAGAATTTATTAAAAACCTACAGATAAAAAGTTCGTCAATTGACTCATTTATTAAAGAACTCGATTATGTAAAACGAGATTGGTTGAATGACGATAAATTTCAAACTTATTCTAAGGATTTAATACTATCGACAACTGATTGGGATGATGAAGCTATAGTAAATGCTGGAGATACAAATTTTTCTGTGAAACCAATAAAGGAGTTAGATTTCAAAATATCACTGGATGAAGAATTGGATGAGGATATTTTTGATGGTCAAATTAAACTTGATAAATTAAAACTCGATATGAATGATCCAAATTTACTATTTGTACCTACTAAAACTAAAAAAGAACTAAAAACCGTACCACAAACAAGCATTGAGAGAAGATTCAATTTGTCAAATGATAATGATTATGAATTATTAAGAAAAAATTACAATACAAAACAAAGATCTCAATTAAGTAACTTAAATATTGAACATTCTGTGCCAGCAATGAGATTACAAACACCATTTTATAAGGTTAAATTATCCAAAGTTGAAGCAAGGTCTTATCATAGACCAATTTTTTATGTACGACCTGGTACTTTAATGAGTTTTTCAAAATTAAAAATTAGAAAGAGAAAGAAAGATAAAGGAAAAGCATTACATGAAGTCTTTTCCAAAACTACTGATTTAACTGTTTCAGATTCTGCTAGTATTGTGGCTCTAGAATATTCAGAACAATACCCTTCAATTTTATCAAATTTTGGTATGGGATCTAAATTAATTAACTATTACAGAAAAGAAAGAGCTGATGATACTTCAAGACCAAAAGCACAAGTTGGAGAAACACATGTATTAGGGGTCGAGGATAGATCACCATTTTGGAATTTTGGTGAAGTTGCACCTGGTGATTTTGTACCCACATTATACAACAACATTGTTAGAGCTCCTATTTTCAAACATGACCAAAAGACAACAGATTTTTTATTAGTAAGGTCACAAGGTGCTGGTTCACATCAAAAGTATTTCTTAAGACCAATAACTTTTAATTTTGCAGTAGGTAATATATTCCCTGTTGAAATTCCAGCTCCGCATTCAAGAAAAGTAACAAATATATCCAAAAACAAATTAAAAATGGTTGTTTATAGAGTAATGAATGCTAAAAATGCACCGCGTATATCTGTCAAAGATGTTTCAAAACATTTTCCTGAACAAACTGATATGCAAAATAGACAAAGATTAAAAGAATTTATGGAATATCAAAGACTGGGTGAAGATCAAGGTTATTGGAAAGTTAGAGGCATGAATGATATAATTCCGTCTGAGGAAGATATTCGTGCAATGATTACACCTGAAGATTCAACGTTGATGGATACAATGCAATATGGACAGCAAGTTTTAGATGATACTTATACCTTGTTTGGTGAAGAATCTAAGGAAAAAGACAAAGAAAAAAAGAAGAAAGAAGAGTCTGTTGAGGAAGAGGAAAAGAAAGGTGGCTACAAAAAGAAAGATCCAGAAGCCGAAATAGATATTGAGGAAGAATTAGCTCCATGGAATTTATCAAGAAATTTTGTAATAGCAAATCAAACTAAATCTATGTTACAATTAAATGGTGAAGGTGATCCAACAGGTATTGGTTTAGGTTATTCTATGTTACGATCAACTCAAAAAAATGGTTTTAAACCTTTATTCAATCAACCCGCAGAAGCTATACCAAAAAGCAATGCAGCATCATATCATCAAAAACTTTATGAGCAAGAAATAAAAAGAATTTGGTATTCTCAAAGAAGTTCATTAGTTGATCATGGTGCAGATTTTGATTTAAATCAAATATATAAAGAGTATAAACCAGCAAATCACACTCAATTTGAAGAAACGAAATTAAAAGATCAAGAAAAATTTGATGAGAACAAAGTTCTAAGAATAACAAGGAGAGTAAGAGATCAAAATGGAGTTGTACAAAGAAAAGTACAAATTGTGAATGATCCAAGGTTAATTCGTGCATATGTAAAAAGGAAAAAAGTCTTGGAAGATGAATTATTAAGAAGTGCTGATGTTGATGATATTTTACCAACAAATGATAAAGAATTAAATAAGATTCGTAAAAAGGCTTTAGAAGAAAAATTAGCTAATTTGGAAAAAAGAGCAAAACAAAGCAAAGCAAAAAAGCCACCAAATGATTCTATTCATGCTGCTGCTGCTGCTGGTGCTACATTGATTGACGCAAACACTGTTAGATTACCAAACGGTTCTTTAGTTATTGGAGGTAAAGGTATTGGGAAAGGTAATAGTACAACAAGAAGGTGTAAATCATGTGGGTCTTTTGGTCATATTAGAACTAATAAAACTTGTCCCTTATATGATCAAATGATTAAAGGTTTATTACCTAAAAGACCAGCATTTGCAACAAATGATTCCAATGATAATGTTAAAGCTGGTAATGGTAATGTTGAATCCCCAACAATAGAAATGGAAATCATAAATGAAAATAATGATAACGATAATAATAACAATAATGGCAATGATAATACTATGGCTGGATCTCCAAGTAATCAAATGTCACCAAATACTCCAAGTGAATCACAAATGTCACCACCATCTGTAACTTAAATGATGAATATTGGAAACCACCTTAATGATTGTATATATACTAATGAAAATAAGATTCTGTAAATTGTTGTGTATCAAACTTTAATTATTATTAATAATTTTAGTAATTATTACCAAAATATACGAAAGTTTATTTTTGTTAGTCTAAATTGATTGAAAAAAAAAAAAAAAAAAAGATTCACTTTTCATGCGGCTCTTTTTTTATTCTAACACAAAAACAATCTATTTAATATCTGATAAAGTAAATACAATAAGTAACAAGTAAGTACTTGGAAAAAATCTTAATCATCGGCCCAGCTACAACCTCTGTTATCAAAAAGCTTGATTGATAATATATAAGGTTGTAAAGCTAGATAAAAAAAAGTTTATTACTTCAAAGCAGACAAGGGATAAGCCAGACCAAATTTATCAAACGGCCAATTTCTAATTATCCACACTTTTTGTTTTATTACACAAAAACAATGAAGATAAAGCAAAATCTGTTAATTCTTTAAATTTTGTATTTATACTTAACGATATGAAAATTTTTTGCAATTAGAACAATGTTATCTTTTGAAATCTTAAATATTTATTATTAATAACTATTTAACTTTCTTTGCAAGTTCGGTATACTTCAAGTCTGCTTGTTACTTTGTTTGCTAGTTAGTAACATACCATTGTACTTAGTCATTTATCATAATGGATTATGAAAAACAACTGGGGGTAAAGACTTCATCAACTAATCATGATGCAACTGATATTTCATTACATTCCTCTGATCAACAACAATATAGATCATCTAAGATTCAAAATAATTTAAGCTCATCATCATCCAACACATCATATACTGATACAAGAAAAAAATACCAAAGATTTATTGACTCATTTAAACCAATAGATTTAGAAGATGATGGAATAGATGTTAGTGATTTGACACCAACTGAAAAATCTAATTTAGCAACTTCACGTCATCCACTCGCTCGTAGATTAAAAAGTAGACATTTACAAATGATTGCAATTGGAGGTTCAATAGGGACAGGTTTGTGTACGTGAGATTTTTTTCATAGATTTTTTATTTAATTAATACTAACATTTGTTTGAAGTCGTTGGTAGTGGTTATGCACTTTCTCAAGGTGGACCAGGACTGTTATTATTAGGTTATATCATAGTTGGATTTGTTTTATTAATGGTTATATATGCACTTGGAGAAATGTCTGTTCAATGGAGTAATACTAGTGGTAGTTTCAATGGTCATTTTACTAGATTAATAGATCCATCTTGGGGTTATACTTTATCATTAATGTACTACGTAAGCTGGGCTGTATCCTATCCATCTGAACTAATCGCAGCCGCTATGACAATCCAATATTGGAATGACTCCATCAACCCAGCTGCTTGGGTAGCCATTATATGGGTGTTTTGCCTGCTGATCAATCTTTTTGGAGTTAAAGGATATGGAGAGCTGGAGTTCTTCTTGTCCATAATAAAAATCATCAGTGTTATTGGGTTTATAATACTTGGAATAATTATTACATGTGGATACGGCAAACAAGGATACCTTGGAGGAAAATATTGGCATCCAGCTATAGCCAATGAAGAGATGGGAAGTTTTACAACCTTTAAAGGCTTTGCTGCAGTATTTATCAGTTCGGCATTTGCATTTGGAGGAATAGAATTAGTAGCCTTAGCTGCCGCTGAGTCCGAAAATCCCAAGATCAGTTTGCCACGAGCAACTAAGTCTACCTTCTGGAGACTCTTATTGTTCTATGTTTTGACAGCTGTTATTATTGGATGTCTAGTTCCGTACTCCAATGATGAATTGTTGACTGGTGAAGGAATAGCTGCTTCTCCTTTTGTAATTGCTGTTAATCTTGCTGGCATAAAGGTAATTCCTCACATTATGAATGCTGTAATTATTATATCAGTGATATCTGTCGGTTCATCCAGTGTTTATGGTTCTTCTAGAACCTTAGCTTCAATGGCCTCGCAAGGATTGATTTTTCTGTGGTTTGGATATGTGGATCGTGAAGGAAGACCTTTGGTTGCCATTGTTTTAACTAGTTTGATTGGTTTGCTAGGCTTTTTAGTGGTCAACAAAAATGAGGAAGAAGTATTTACTTGGTTCTTCTCAGTTTGCAGTCTTTCTGCCTTCTTTACATGGTTCATGATAAGTGTTTGTCATATCAGGTTTAGATTAGCACTTTCTAAACAAGGACGAGGTACGGATGAGATTATTTTCAAGTCCCCATTTGGTATGATAGGTTCATATTCTGCTATGGCAATTTTATTGTTTATCATAGCTGTTGTGATTTGGGTTGGTATAATGCCTATTGGAGAAACTGGAGCCGACGTAACTACATTTTTTCAAAATTGTCTTTCACTTCCTTTATTACTTATAATTTGGGCAGCTCATAAAACATATACAAAAACCTGGAATCATTTATGGGTTAAATTAGAAAATGTCGATTTGGATACTGGTAGAAGAGAAGTAAACCTAGAGGTATTAAGACAAGAGTTGGCTGAGGAAAGAGAGGCTTTATCCAAAAAACCAATTTGGTACAAGGTGTATCGTTTCTTATGTTAAGCATTTTGTCTTGTTCGCGTTGTCCTGATTTTCATATTAGATACTACAATACACGTACGTGCTATTCTGAAGTGATTGTTTGTACGCACAATAAATGATATAGACCAGTTTATATTTATAGGTTTAGATAATTTTAATTCTTTCAACGAATATTAAATGTTCATTTATTTTTCCAATTCTTGTAATCAAACCACATGTACTTTTTATTTGGTTGCGAAAAAATATGTTTTAGCTGTTTTTGTGTAATTGCTTTTCTTTCTCGTTGTTTCAAATTTTCACGATACATGGGAGGTTAAAATGAATTAGCAAAAGAAAAATCAGTTAGTTGAAGTGTTCGAAGGGTTTCTTTATTAAAAACACTCATCAAATTACTTTTTACGTTCCAGTGTTTGACCATTTTAGGAGATTTAGAAAAATCAAGAGTCCTGAGGTAAGATCATTGGTGAAAGAATTTATCACATTCAAAAAAATTTATCAGGCACATCAAGACCTTTGCTTGCTTCAATCTCATTTTCCAGTAGCATCGATACTAACTTAACGTACTTTTGTAAATCACCAATTGAATCACAGTCAGAAGATATGACAATTGATGAATATGAGAGACAAAAGTATCAATGAATGATCTTTCATTTTAAGTAGTTCAGGTACCTCAAAAACAGATTTTACCAGCACAATTCAAGTATTGTCACTTTAAAACACCATATCTTCCCTGTACTTGGGTTAATATTTTTGCATATTCGGTTATCACTAATGTAGTAATATTAAATACGGTAGTGTCAATTTGGTTAATTTTCTCTAAAAATTTCAACGTTCCAAAATAAGAAAACTTTTTTTTTTGAAAGCCAACTTTGAATGTCAATTTCAAAAACACCTTTTAATACTCACTCATAACAACAATCATCATTACAACATAATCCACAAGCATAATCAATTATATAATCAAATACTTTTTATCTATTTCATCACTAAGATTTGATCATATATACACTTCGATTCAAATAATAAATTCCAAAACAAAACATAAAAATTTGATAATCTACTTGTATTTTCACCCATTTTAATTAATACTTTACTATCAACATATTTTTATCACAAACTAGAGCAATACATCTCAAGAAACATCAATAATAAGAGCTCATTTTTAAAAATTATCTCGTCAATTTACAAATTTTACAATAATAAAGAGAAATATGTCTGACAACAATTGGAAAGAAAATTTAAATATTCCTAAAAAGGATACTAGACCACAAACCGATGATGTTCTTAATACTCAAGGAAAATCATTTGAAGAATTTAATTTAAAGAGAGAATTGTTGATGGGTATATTTGAAGCTGGATTTGAAAAACCTTCACCAATTCAAGAAGAATCCATACCTATGGCTTTAGCAGGGAGAGATATACTTGCGAGAGCTAAAAACGGTACAGGTAAAACTGCATCATTTATAATTCCATGTTTACAATTAGTTAAACCAAAAGTAAATAAAATTCAAGCATTAATATTAGTTCCAACAAGAGAGTTGGCATTACAAACTTCACAAGTTGTTAGAACATTAGGAAAGCATCTAGGAGTACAATGTATGGTTACTACTGGTGGTACCTCATTAAGAGATGATATTGTAAGATTAAATGATCCAGTTCATATATTAGTTGGAACTCCAGGTAGAGTATTAGATTTAGCATCAAGAAAAGTAGCAGACTTATCAGAATGTCCAATATTTGTTATGGATGAAGCTGATAAAATGTTATCAAGAGAATTCAAAGGTATTATAGAACAAATTTTAGAATTTTTCCCAAAAAATAGACAAGCTTTATTATTTTCGGCAACCTTCCCAGTAACGGTTAAATATTTTATGCAAAATCATTTGAATAAACCATATGAAATTAATCTTATGGATGAATTAACTTTAAAAGGTATAACTCAATATTATGCATTCGTAGAAGAAAAGCAAAAATTGCATTGTTTAAATACATTATTTTCAAAATTACAAATCAATCAATCAATCATTTTCTGTAATTCAACAAATAGAGTAGAATTATTAGCCAAAAAAATTACAGAATTAGGATATTCATGTTATTATTCTCATGCTAAAATGCCACAACAAGCAAGAAATAAAGTATTTCATGAATTCAGACAAGGTAAAGTTAGAAATTTAGTATGCTCAGATTTATTAACCAGAGGTATTGATATTCAAGCAGTTAATGTAGTTATAAATTTCGATTTCCCAAAAACTGCTGAAACTTATTTACATAGAATTGGTCGTTCAGGTAGATTTGGTCATTTAGGTTTAGCTATAAATTTAATGTCATGGAAAGATAGATTTGCTTTATATCAAATCGAACAAGAATTAGGTACCGAAATTAAACCAATCCCTGCTCAAATTGATCAAGCTTTATATGCTCCAATTCAAGATTAAAAATTAAACGCAATTGTTCAAACACTATTCAAAGTTTAGTAATTTACAGTTAGGAAATTCAAATACTAACACATTTCAATAACCAACACACTTCAATAATCACCACACTTCAATAATCAATCAAAATTCAACAATCAATCAAAATTCAACAATCAATCAAAATTTAAATTTAAATATCATCTTCGAATACAATTAATCTACTCACCAAAGAAATATTAATGATCAATACATTTTCCAACATCAACTTTTTTTTTTTTTTTTTTTTTTACCGAACAAATGAAGAAAATAACTGGCTTTTTTTTCAATAACATCAAGATCGAATAATTATCAACAATATTGTTGGTTAAACATAATTATATACTAAAGGTGTGTATATATAAAATAATAAAAATCAAAAAAAAAATTGAAAAAGAAAGTGTTCAAATTGGTGTAGTCTTTTTTCTAACTTGTCTGCTTTAATATAAATTAATCGTTCACAAGTTGCAACTTTTATTAAGTTCAATATAACACCGCTTATAAGCTTATATAATCTTGGACCAGATAAAAATTGAGATTTAACAAGGATTACACAAAATACAAAATACGATCTGACTCGGTTATTATATCTTGTTTCACCTTTAAAAGATGACTTTGAGAATTCTGCCAAACATCGAATAATAACTATAATTCTCTTACCCTCTTAGACTTTCAATGAAGATCAAATATTTGATTATTTTAAAAAGAAATAAATTTAAACTGGTGTTGCATTCGTTTTTTCTTTACTTAACCGCCACTAAAAAGATTTTTATTTTTTTGCATCTCTTCCTTTTTCTTTTATTATTATATTTTTTTGTCTTTCTAATAAAAAAAATATTTCTTCTCTTTTTTTTTTTCAAGATTTGTCTCAAATCTTCAGATATTCAATTCAAATAATCTTTTACAACTAGGTTCGAAAAAAATCTTACTATAATTTATATAATGTGTGGTATACTAGGTATAGTGTTAGCGAATCAAGACGTTAATGTAGCACCAGAATTATTTGAAGGTGCCATGTTTTTACAACATAGAGGTCAAGATGCAGCAGGTATTGTAACGTGTGGATCAAAAGGTAGATTATATCAATGTAAAGGTAATGGTATGGCAAGGGATGTTTTCACACAAAAAAGAATGTCAAATTTGATTGGAAATATTGGTATTTGTCATTTACGTTATCCAACTGCTGGATCAAGTGCAGGTTCAGAAGCTCAACCATTTTATGTAAATAGTCCTTATGGTATTTCATTAAGTCATAATGGTAATTTGGTCAACTCAATAGAATTAAGAAACCATTTAGATGAGGTTGTTCATCGTCACATAAATACAGATTCAGATTCAGAATTATTATTAAATATATTTGCAAGTGAACTAGATAAATTTAATAAAAGTAGAGTTAATAATGGAGATTTATTTACTGCTTTAAGTGAAACTATGGGAAGAATAAGAGGGGCTTACGCATGTGTTGCCATGTTAGCAGGTTATGGACTAATTGGGTTTAGAGATCCAAATGGTATTAGACCATTATTAATTGGTGAAAGAGTAAATAAAGATAATTCAAAAGATTTTATGATTGCATCAGAAAGTGTTGTATTAAAAGCTCATGGTTTTAAAAAATTTAGAGACTTGAATCCTGGTGAAGCTGTTATTATTAAAAAGACTGGTGAACCAGAATTTAAACAAGTTGTACAACCAAAACTTTTTGCACCTGATATTTTTGAATATGTTTATTTTGCAAGACCAGATTCTGTATTGGATGGTGTTTCAGTTTATAGATCAAGAATTGAAATGGGTATAAAATTAGCTGCTAAAATACAGAAGATAATGAAAGAAAATGAAATAGATGTTGTTATACCAGTCCCAGATACTGCAAGAACAAGTGCATTCCAATGTGCAGTAAGTTTAGGAGTTCCTTATAGAGAAGGTTTTGTTAAAAATAGATATATTGGTAGAACATTTATAATGCCCAATCAACAAGAGAGAAGATCATCAGTTAGAAGAAAACTAAATGCAATGGATTCAGAATTTGAAAATAAAAATGTTTTGTTGGTTGATGATTCAATAGTGAGAGGTACAACATCAAAAGAAATTGTTGCAATGGCTAGAGAAGCAGGAGCTAAAAAGGTATTTTTTGCTTCATGTGCACCACCAATTAGATTCAATCATATATATGGTATTGATTTAGCAGATACAAAAGCATTAGTTGGATTCAATAGATCTGAAGAAGAAATTTCAAAAGTTATTGGAGCAGACAAAGTAATATATCAAGATTTACAAGACTTAATAGAATGTTGTAAAACTCCCGAGATCAAAAATTTTGAAGTTGGTGTATTTACAGGTAACTATATAACAGGTATTGAAGATAACTATTTACAAGAGTTGGAAAAAATTAGAGCTCAAAATCAAAGATTACAAGAAATTCAAAATGGTGAAAATTTAAATAATGGATTTAGTGTTGATGCTTGTATTGATCAAAGTGATATGATAGATGTAAAAGCTGAAGTTGATATAAGCATATACAATACAGGTGATCATTGAAAGTTAAACGCTTTATAATTCTGTAACATCAAATAAAATTCAATTCTAATAATAAATTATATATGTATAAATTACGACAAAATTTAATAGACTTACATGAGGGAAAATGCAATTTATAAAAATGATTAACGATTAATAGTTCACAATATGTGTTTGACATATAGCGTAGATACCTTTTACTTAAGCTCAATTCTTGATTCATTCATTCTGACCATATAATAGTCATTTTAGTATTGAGTTACGGATGTTGAAGGTATTCGAAATCATAAAACCATGGAAAACTTCTTGAGTAATGATTCTAATGGCGTATATAACAGGCGTATATAACAGTTGTTGAGTAGAATATAATTGAATGCTGCAAAAAGTAATTTTATGTCAATAATTCATTATTGTTTTGGACATCTTTGGTCAATATTGTAAAGTTTGAAACAAACATAATACGTATCACTAATTAACAAACACTTCATATTTGTGCGAATTTGTTGCAAAACTTTGAATAATCGCTTAAATTCATAGTTCTGATGATTACGCAGTTGATTTTTACAAGCCAGATTCATTTCACACTACCGTTAGCTAAGCTAGTACTGGAATCATGATGTTCATTCCTGTACTTCATAGTCTTATTCCCAAATTGGAACATTATTGATAATTTTCGGAAGAAATTAGATGAAAAAAATTAAGGTTTTTTGCTTATTTCTACAATTAATTAATCCGGTTTTGAGCACTTTCTTTATCTTTTTTCAAAGATCAAATCTCCACCATTTATTTGATTTATATTGGTAAGCTATAGTATGAAATTAGGTTCATAAAGCTAGTGATCATTAAATCTTTGCTTGGTTATACAAATTATACAAACTTATATCTGAAAACAATTAAATTTTCAAGCGTAAATTCTCGACAGATTTAACATTTCAGGTTCATTAAAATTGTACAATTTACATTTTAATAAAAGGATCTACGATCTTTAAATTAATAATAATTTATTCGTAAATTTTGAAAGTGATAATTGCTTTAATTAATTTTAAAAATTAATGTAATAAGTATTGCATTAAATATCTAGACGCGTTTGACCAATTATTCAGGTCCTTATGGCAATTTTCAGTTTTAGTTGAAATCTTTTAAAAGAATTTTAAAGCCATGCGGAAAAAATTATTTTGTAACTTAAAACTTAATTAAAGACAACGAAAAATTCAACGATCTCCAAAGCTCAAAAACTTATTAAAGAATACAAAAATGATGCTCTTGATGATCTTTTTCGCACAAGGCTGATCACTTATATGTTTTATCCAACAGTAATTATAATCGAATAAAAAATTGAGTTTTATTCTAAACACGTAATAGGATTGTTTTTTAAAAAACTATTTTTTCATCTTTCATCTAAAATTGTATGCTTTGATTATGAAGATCGTAAATATAATGTTATAATCAATAAATATTTCTAATCAATATAAATTAATAATAAAACTACTCTATTTATAATTTAATAAACAAAAACAAATAAATAAAATTAAATAAAAACACGTATAACCGCTACCAAACGAGTTTTTTTTTATCAAAATTTATTTTTTACAACAAACAATAATTAAAATTTTAATTATTTTTTAATAAATAGAAATCAACTTTTTATAATTTTTTCTTTTCTAATTTAGAATTTTAATATCTTATTAATTCATTTCACCACAACTTTTGTTTTTAACTAAAGTTATTTAAAATAAAAAAGGGTTTAACTCATTCGAATATATAATTTATTGCTTCACTTTTACGAAAGGAAGCTAGTTTATGGGAATTATTCTGTTTTATTTAATTGGACAATCAATATATTTAATTAAAAGAAAGTTTTTTAATAATAATAATAACAAATATTCAAAAATGGAAAAAGGAAATACACCAGCTGCAAGTCATTCATTGACTAATTCGATAAGTAATTCTGGTCCAATCTCAATTTTCGCATATTGTTTATCATCAATTTTAATGACTGTTACAAATAAATTTGTTGTTTCAGGATTTAATTTTAATTTAAATTTTTTATTATTAGCTATACAATCAATTGTTTGTATTGTTACTATTGGTACTTTAAAAAGTTTAGGTGTTATTACTTATAGACCTTTTAATAAAGATGAAGCTAAAAAATGGTCCCCAATTGCATTTTTATTAGTTGGTATGATTTATACATCATCAAAAGCTTTACAATTTTTATCGATTCCTGTCTATACAATTTTTAAAAATTTAACAATTATTTTAATTGCTTATGGTGAAGTTATTTGGTTTGGTGGAAAAGTTACAACTATGGCTTTAAGTTCATTCTTATTGATGGTTTTCTCATCAGTTATTGCTTATTATGGTGATAATGCCGAAGCTAAAACTGCAGATGACGAATTCTCAATGTATTTAGGTTATTTCTGGATGTTAACTAATTGTTTTGCTTCTGCTGCTTTTGTTTTAATTATGAGAAAAAGAATTAAATTAACTAACTTCAAGGATTTTGATACAATGTATTATAACAATCTTTTATCAATTCCAATTTTATTAGTTTTTACATTTGTTTTTGAAAATTGGTCACCAGAAAATTTAGAAAAAAATTTCCCAGCTGATAATAGAGCTGCTGTTATTACTGCAATGGTTATTTCCGGTGCTTCATCAGTTGGTATTTCTTATTGTTCAGCTTGGTGTGTTAGAGTTACTTCTTCAACTACATATTCAATGGTTGGTGCATTAAATAAATTACCAATTGCTTTAAGTGGATTGATTTTCTTTGAAGCTGCAGTTAATTTCTGGTCAGTATCATCCATTTTTGTTGGGTTTGCTGCTGGATTAGTGTATGCTGTTGCCAAACAAAAACAACAAAAAGATGCTCAAACTTTACCAACTACAAGCAAATAGATTACAAATCAAACATAGAAAAAGAGGAGAAGAAAACTAAAGTACATTTGCAAATTATATAACGAAGATTTACAATATAGAGAGATCTTATATTTATAGAACAAGAATCACATTTTCAAGTCATTTATTTCTTTAATCTCTCGAGAAAAAGTAGTTGATGTACTTCTTTTCGGTGCATTCTTTTTCATAATTTCTTACTGTAAATAGAAAATTTCAAAATGAAAACAAAAAAAAAAAAGAATCGAAGAGTTCTAAAATCAACTTTTTTTTTCAATTTCGATTTGACAACCAAAATTATTTTAATCATTCGAGTACACCAAAAGTAATGTCTAATTCATTGGAGGTTATTCCGAAGATACTAGAACAATCATTAAATCCTCAATTCTCGAATCAAGCAGAAAAAGAATTAAGATCCATTGAAAATGATCCAGGTTTTTCAATAAATCTATTACATATTATAGCATCAACAAATTTATCATTACCCATAAGATTAGCAGGAGCATTATATTTTAAAAATCTTATAAGAAGAAAATGGTTAAATGAGGATGGGAATTATTTATTACCTATACAAGATGTAGAAAAAATAAAATATGAGATCATTGATGTAATGATAAAATTACCAAATCAATTACAAATTCAAATTGGTGAATCAATAACCTTAATTGCCGAAAGTGATTTCCCACAAAATTGGCCAAACCTTATAGAAATATTAGTTGGGAAATTATCATTAACTGATTTTGTGAATAATAAAGCAATTTTACTTGTATCACATTCAATTTTTAGAAAATGGAGACCATTATTTAGATCTGATGAATTATTTTTGGAAATTAAATCAGTATTGGATGTATTTGTTGAACCATTTTTAAAATTATTTATTGAACTAGATCAATTAACTGATAAACTGAAAGATAATGAAGCTCAATTAATTATATATTTTGAAAATTTATTATTATTAATTCAAATTTATTATGATTTTAATTGTCAAGATATACCTGAATTTTTTGAGGATCATATGAATGAGTTGATGAGTATTGTACATAAATATTTGGTATATGATAATCCCTTATTGATCAAAGAGAGTGAAGACGAAGAGGTTGAAGTGTTGATAAAAGTCAAAACTTCCATTATAGAATTATTATCATTATATGTCACAAGATATGCAGATGTCTTCGAACCATTGATACAAACCTTTATAACTTCAGTATGGGAATTGATTAATAATTTTGTTACTAAACAACCAAAATTTGATTTATTAGTGGTCAAAGCACTACAATTTTTAACATCAATTATTAAAATACCAGCATATCAATCGATTTTCCAAAGTGAACAATCAGTTAATGAAATTATAGAGAAAATTATATTACCAAATATAATGTTAAGACAGATTGACGAAGAAATGTTTGAAGATGAGCCTATACTATTTGTAAGATCTGACTTGGAAGGTTCAGATTTCGATTCAAGAAGGAAAAGTGCTACTGATTTTTTAAGAGAATTAAAAGAGTTAAATAGTGAGTTACTTACAACAACAGTAATGAAATATGTCAATCAATTTTTAAGTCATGCAAGTCAAGATTGGAAAAATAAAGATACTGCCATATATTTATTTAGTTCGTTAGCAACAAAGGGGAGTGTAACTAACGTTGGTGTTACATCAACGAATGTTTTAGTTGATGTTGTCAAATTTTTTTCAGACAATGTAGCCCATGACTTGCAATCATCTGACGTTCATCCTATTTTACAAGTTGATTCTATTAAATATATTTTCACTTTCAGAAATCAGTTAACTAAAGATCAACTAACAGCCACAATACCATTATTAATAGATCATTTAAATCCATCATCAAATGTTGTTGTATACACTTACTCAGCAATAACTATTGAAAAATTATTATCAATGACAAATTTCAGTCAGGGTCATCAACCAGTTTTTAACAAGAAAGATATCGAACCGTTTGTTACCCCATTATTAACAAACTTATTCAACTTGATCTTAAAAAATAGAGAATCACCAGAAACACTAGCAGAAAACGAATTTCTTATTAAATGTATAATGAGAATATTAAATACTTGTGAAGATATTTTCACTGAAAGATTAACTACAATCGATCATTTATTACAAATCTTGAAAATTACTGCCAAAAATCCATCAAATCCCAAGTTTTCTCACTACATTTACGAATCACTTGGATTGTTAATTAAATATGGAATTCAACAAGACCCAAAAAATATCAATATGTATATAGAACATATTATTCCAGGATTATTAAACATTCTAAGTGAAGATGTACAAGAATTTGTTCCATATACATTCCAAATTCTAGCATTTTTATTGGAAAATTATCCAAAATCTCAAGGATTACCAGAAACTTACAAAACTTTAATTCAGCCATTAATGTCACCCGCTGTATGGCAATTTAAAGGTAATATTCCAGGTATTACAAGATTATTAATATCGATTTTAGAACATGATCCAAATTATTTCGTTGAATCAAACCACTTAACTCCAATTTTGGGTGTTTTCCAAAATTTATTGGCTAGCAAAGCAAATGATACTTATGGATTTGATTTAGTTCAAAGTATATTATTAAATGTTCCATTACAATCATTACAACCATATTTAAATAACATAGCAAGAATCATACTAACAAGATTACAAAAATCAAGAACTGATAAATTTGTTAAAAGGTTTGTTTTATTTTTATTCAATTTAACAACTATGAAATTGAGTAATAAAAAATTCAACAATACTGATGCAGTAAGCGGAGGAGATTTCATAATACAATTAATTGACTCTGTTCAACCTGGATTGTTCCAACAAATATATACTACATTTATATTACCAACTTCTTCAATATTAGCAAATTTACAAGATAAAAAAATTGTAAATATTGGAATAAGTTTATTATTAAAAAATCAAAATTTTGTATCCCACTACTCAAATTTAGTAAAACCAACTATTGAAACATTGGAAAAAAATTTACAATCTTATGAAGGTATTGTAAAATCAACATCAAGTGCAACATCATCTGCAGGTTCTACATCTACTTCAACATCAGCATTTCCTACACATAACAATATTAATGAACTAGATTCTGACATTTCATCATTTGGATCGAATTATTCAAAAATTGTATCAATAACTAATCCTTCATTCGATCCACTATCACAAATCAAGAATAATGATTTTGAAGCAATAAAGTCAACTATATTATCTAACATTCCACGTTAATAAACATGTACTTTTTTTTTTTTTTTTGCAGCACTTTATTCTCTACATTTTATTTGTAAGAAGTAACTAGGTGTAACATACTTAAAGCTTAAAACTTTTGAATAAATTAAAATAAAACTAAATAAGAGAAATCATTATAATCATAAAACAAATTTGAAGTCTTAAGAGCCTCACAGTATCACTTCATTTTTAACAACACTATCAATAGTCGCGGTAGCGGTGTTAATTATTTCAGTAGACTTGTCTTCACTAGATTGATTTAGCACACCATTTCTGTTCTCTTCACCATAATTTAGACTTTCCTCATTTACTGGTGCCTTTTCATCTACAAAACTCTTACTATTATTATTTGATTCAGCTTCCTCTTTTTCTTTTAATTTTTTAGCTTCTTCTTCTTCTTTATTTTTTTTGTCTAATTCAGCAATTTCACTAGCAGTTAAAAATCTACCACCTTGACCTCTTGGTCTTCTCATTGCATGTTTATGTCTTGATTCATGTAAATAAGGTTTTCTGATACGAGCAATTTTTAAATTCTCTTCCAATTTTGCTCTTGCTATTCTTCTTTTCAATATTCTGTGGTATTGTTTTGCATTTACGTAAAATGGTTGTTCTACTATCCCTGAGTCATTCGTTGTTGTGTCGTTATTATTTATTGGATCTTCTAATTGCTGTTGTTGTTGTTGGTCAAGTATTCCATCTGGTTGTTGATATTGAGGTGTGGTCGATATTGAATTATTTATATCTTGATTATTTGCATTATTGTTTGGTTCGTTTTGTAGATGGGAGTGTAAGTCTTGTTGACTGAGTCCCATCTGTTGGTGGTTCTGCTGTTGTGGTTGGTCATATTGAGTAGGTATTTCTTGTGGTTGTTGTCTCTGCTGATATTCCAAATTATCAAAATAGGAAGACGTGGTACTTGATGTAGGGGAGTTTTCTAGTGATTGATGGTAAAAAGCTGATTGATTTTGATGAGCTAATTGTGGTACATGTTGTGTTGTAGGGATTTGTTGCGGTTGTTGGTTTGAATTAGCTTGGTGATTTGTATTACTCGTGTCATAAAAAGTAGAAGATTGTAATGATGTCATATTAATACAATTTTAATTGAGTAAAACACTTTTGACTGATTCGTAATTATGGTTAAAGATGTGAAATTTGAATAATAAACTATTTAACTGAATATTTAAAGCACTTTGAAAATACACAACGGTACGGTTATACAAACTTTTGAAAAATTTTTGTAACTTAAAACCAATTTGTATTTCTCTTTCTCTTTTGTGACTATTTAAATTTATTTTTTATTATTAGATAGTGCGAACCGGATATTTAAAATCGATTAAATACTTACAATCCTAATTCAATTCTGTTATATAGTAAAAACTGAGTCTTTAATGTCCAAGCACCTTTGACCCCACACGTTTTTACAATGTAGAAATGAGATTAAGAGTAATTTCTCTCAATATGAAACGTGAGACAAATGGATCGAAAATTGGAGTAGCGCATATAGTTTCTCTGAAAAATTGGTAGCCCTGGATATTGAAATAGAAGTTCAGATTTGCAACCAAATTTTTACAAGTTTGAATGTTCTAACGATAGTATACTATTGTATCAGGTTGAAACTAACATCGAGTCTATGCTTAAGCTGTAGTTTGCTTCAATAAGTTTTGGGGAAATAGCTTAAAATTTTAAATCTTCTTGAAATTTCTTGAACCTCTCGCCTAAATCACACTCAATGTATATATTGGAATGGAACTTTGAGGTCAAAAATTGTTATTAATTAAACTCATATTGTTCCAATATTAAGTTTCGTGAAGCTAATAGATTTCTAATACATTTTAAAAATCTTTAAATTTTATGAAAAATATAAAGCAATTAATTATCTGAAAAAAAAAACTACCAACTAATAATAACAATTTCTACAAACAAAATCCACTTCAAAATTGATTAAATCGAAACATGTCAGAAGATTGCGAACAAGATTTATCACAAACATGTAAAGCCAAAGCATGTGCTATCCAGGATTGTTTACAAAGAAATGGTTATAACGAATCAAAATGTACTCAATATATCGATCAATTATATAAATGTTGTAAAGAATTTTACGAAGAAAACGGACCAGATGCTAAAAGTGTATGCTGTCCCAAATTTCCATTATTACAACGCAAATTAGAACAAAGATCTTTGGGTAAAATAGATGCAGAATTAATTAGTCAAGGTAGAGGATGAGATAATTCATGTCTGACGACCTTAACTTGCGATATTCATAAACCTAAAACTTCAAATTTAACTATAATGATCCCAATGGGCAGGCAATAAGTTTTCAACAATAAATTCAATAAAATGTATGTTTAGAACCGCGTAGTCAATTCATTACAAAAGAATAAACACGACAAACAAAGGCTGGTAAAAACATTGGAGTCAATTTATGGCTATACCCGAGCACGAAATAATGATAAACTTAAGTATCATTAAGTTGATATGTGGAAGAAATACATAAAAACCGTGACTCTAATGGGTGCCAAAATTAAAGACATTGTATATAGAGAAAAAGAAGAAGAAAATGTATAAAATTATTAAAATTTTTCAAATTCAATTTGTATATTTATAAAAAGATTTTTGCATCTCTACAGATTGAGAAATTTACACTACTTAAAATTTATAAGGTACATTAGTGCTATTTATATAAAGAATTATCATGACAAATGTTATATTACTACATAATTTTAATTGGTTTTCCTAATTTTATCATACTCCATAGCATCAGGAATATAAGGTTTATAATCTAGTAGGCAAATGTTAGTAAAACTTCAAAAGCCCTAAAAGAAAATTTAAATTAAACATACCTGAAGAATCGTCTAGCCATAAATATTGACCAGTTACATTTTTCATTGAATTATCAGCTTTCACTTTACTTTCAAATTCTTTTACTGCTTCATCTAATTCAACAGGTTTCATTCCAGAATCAATTAATTGTTTTCTTAACATTGCAATATGTAAACCCATTTTAAAATCTCTTTTGGCAATTTCTTTCCTTTCTTGTAGCAACAAAAGATCTTTTCTTTTACGTTCTTTTTGATAATTTAATTGTTGAACTTGTAATGCTTTTAAATTTATTGCCGTAGTCTCTGTATGTAATTTATCAATTTTAATTCTTTCCGTATAATTGTCAATCGCTATATAGGCCAACGCAAACAGAGCTACTAAGACCGTTACTTCTCGTATGGAACTTTCATGATGTGAGCTTTGTGACTGTTGTTGAGGATTTGAAGTTTGTGAATGTGGTTGTTGTTGCAGTTGTTGTTCAGGTTGATACAGTCGATACGTATTTTGTTGGCTATACGTTTGAGGAATTTCACCAGAACCAAAATGTGAAGGTGGATTTCCAGAATGTAATCGTCTCAAATTTAGAAGTATTCTAGGCCTCATGAATGTCTTTGAAGTGAGTAATGCTCTAGTAAGTTCTTATTAGCGGAAACTGTAGAACTTTAATTGATTGAAAAATTTGGCCCACACGTAAATGCGCATAATCAATTAATATCCGGACTTTTTTTTAAGCTTTTATGAGTATTATGTTAAAGATTAAAATTTATAATAGTTTAAAACTGATCTACTAATACATTCATAATTCTAAATTCATATTTACTAATAGGTTTACTTTGTACCTTCGTACCAAATATCTGGTACCTCCAAAATGTACCTTTCCATAGCTTCACGAAATCTAATTCTATATTGTTTAGGAGTAACAATTGTAGGATCTTTACCTTTTCTATTACCACCAACACCTAATAAATTATTTCCTTTAACCCAATTTTCAACTTTTTTATCCCAAGTAAAAGTTCTTAGCCAATCTATAATACCAATATATAATTTTTTCAGCATATCATCAATTCCAATAACTAATGAATAATCCATTACATCCATTGCTGATAAAAATGAAGTATCATTGAATAAACAACCGCGTAATAATTTCTTCAGTTGTTCTCTTACAAATACTGGTGATTCATAAATATATTCAATCATATTTTCATCAAGTAAAACTTCATTTTCCTTCCCAGTTTGTTGAACATGTCTATTTCTCATTGAACCTTTTAAATCAAAAATACGGGTAGTTTTATGATTGTAAAATAGATTCTCCATAATTAAAAAATCCATTTTGAAATTTTTACCATTGCTATTCTTAATTTCAACTTGATAAAATCCAAAAATCTTGGCTATTGCTGTAGTTAAAGTATAGAACATTGATTGATTAATATACTTGAAGTAAAATGGTGCAATTGAAACAAATGATTCCAATTCACTTTTACTTAATTCTTTAACAATATAACGATTATCCAAAGTCTTTAAGAAACTTGATCCACTTTTACCACCACTAGATTGCCATTTAATACATCTACTCAATGATTGAATGAAATTTTCGTTAACCCCACAAATTTCTCTTAATGCTTCAAATTGTTCACTATAAAAAATTTTACAAGATAAATTGGTTTGTCCATCAAAAAATTGATATTTTAAGTGATTGGATTTTTTCTTATCCAAAATAAACTCATATTGATTTTGTTGTTTGTTATCTTTTAAATTGGTATTTCTTTTGGTTTTGAACTTCTTTTCTATTTTGCTAAATTGTTGAGCCTTTTTCTGATTACTTGAATTCAAACCAAAAGAGAACTCCTTTTTGTAATTATCTTGTTGTTTATCAGAGTCTGCTTTTGAATTTCTTGCATCATCGGTTCTATAGTCGTCTTCTGAATTTTCAGGTTCAGTTTCTTCAATCACTTGATTTAAATTTGGAGTATTTAAGTGATTCTCAGACGAAAGACGATTATTGTTACTATCTGATTTCACTTTTGTTGATGAAGATGTATAAGTACACTCAGATTCGTTACCACTACCTGTAGTGGATGATACCTCAATATTTTTACCGAATGAAGTTTTGATTTTTTGCTTGTAATCATTTGAACTTAAACAAAATGCAACTAAAGAACTTGGTTCATCTTCTCTTACTACGACATCTGAATCAGCAAATGTATGTTCATGACTTTCCAATGGATAAGCTAATGGATCCCATAATGTCGCTGATCTATCAGCCCAAAAATTGGTCAATGATTTTAATAATGATTGTTTTTCAGGAATATCTAATTGTTTATTTTTAGCAATGTTGAGATTTTCTTTTTCATGTTGCTCACCATCTAGAGACTTTTTCAATTCAGCAGTGCTAGTGCTTTTCAGATTGTCATTTTGAGGAACTTGAGATCCACCAACAACATCCTCAATCTTATTGTAGATTTCAACAATTGGTTTACTATCCAAGATTGGTTGTGCTTTGATTTTAGATTTTTTTTTCAACTCAACTTCCCTTTGTTTTGAAAATTCTAATGAAATTTGATCATAATACATTTTATCGAAAAAATTTGCTAAATGAATAACTTTATTTTGAGATGGAATAACAGTATTCATGGACTTCAAGGAGCTGTCTGAGCCTCTGTGGCTTAATGATTTAATTTCTGACGCAGATGTATTACCACTACCAACCACATCTTGTGCATTTTGTTCCCATTTATGTATTCTATCCGATATTTTAGAATTGTGCTCGTATAATGAATTAGCAGGAAACATTTTAAATTCTAAAGATGAATCTGATTGTCGACCTTCGAGCATTTCTCGAGGTTTGTGGGGAACAAACTCTGGTAATTCAAGAAGTTTTTGTCCTTCATCATGCTCGTTGCTTGGATCTTCATTATCTGGATTCTCAAACCTATGACTTGGTTCTTTAACATATTGATTGTCTCTTTGTTTCTCCTCCTCTACTTCTTCTTCTTCGTCAGCGCAAATATCATCATCATTCTCCACAACTTCTTTATCATCAATATATTTATCCATTAAAAATTTTCTTAAATGGAATTGAGTGATTTTATTAACTTCGTTTTCACTTGGTAAATATTTTTTCTCAAATTCTTGAAATTCAGTATCCCAATATATCCCGAGTTTCTGTAAATCTTTATACACAACATTCAAAGGTAAATAATTAGTAACCTTAACTTCTTCATAAATTTTTTGTAATTTCGCAAAAATTTGTTTGGAGTCATTAGCTAATTTTTCTTTTAATTCCTTGATTCTTTTGTTACCATCTTTTGCTTTTACAAAAGTATCCAATTTAACTCTATTAAGTCTTTTCATTATTGAATCAAAAAAAGTTTGTGCTTTTGTCTTTATTGTTTTGTACGATTCCAATTTCAAGTCTATATCAATATCAGTAATGAATTCCAATTGCTTTTTAGGAACAATTATTTCATAGTTATCAATTTTTGAATATTCCAATCTAACAACCAAATCATTGAATGCAAAACATTTGACATATGACTTGAAAAAATCATGTTGACAACCACCATGTGTATCTTGACCATAAAAAATTAATTCAAAGTACTTACCAATAGACATATAATAAGTATCATCACTCATGGCCATAATTGGTGTTATATAATTACAATCTTTACAATAACTCCACATAACTCTTTGATTCTTACCTTGATGTTCATCACCATGTGTGCTATTAAATCTAATGTCATATTTCTCTGTAATTAAATCAATTTTTGCATTTCCATGAACATAACTCTTGTAGTGATCCAATAATAATTCTCCACACTCAATACAAGTCTTATGACTATCATAGAAAATTTGATCTAAAAATAGTCCTAAACATTTATCATTATCAGTATAATAATCGACCACTACAATATTTGGTCCGGTACAAGGTGTAGCATGTTTAATTGATACCGTAGAATGTAGTATATGAATGTTTCTGTGATAAATTGGGTATAATTGATAAGAAGTATACTTCAAACAATTTGACCAAATACGAGAGCGTAGTTGATAATCCAAAAGCAAAAAGTTCAAATGAGATTCACTTGAGCACCTCAAAATTTTTATCAAGTCTGTATCTTTTGCTGGTAATTCAGTAGCTTCATAAGTGATTTTCAATTGATCTTTCCATATTGGGTTTATTTCTTCTGTTGTAGTGAGCTCTTGAATGCGTGCATTGGTTTTATAGTAGTTGAAGTATTTGACATATGATTCAATGACATTGACCAATGGAACTGGCAAATTAAATTGCACACAAGGAGATGAGCTAATTTTTCTAGTGTTGAATGAATCAAGATATTTAATTACCTCGTTATAATCCAACTTTGGTTCGATTGCATTAAATTGATCATCATTTTGTAACTTTCCAGTCTTTTCATTAATATCAATTAATTCTTTGCCCTTAGCGGCTTTAATAGATGATAATAACATATTATTGAATAAACTTTTCTCAAATCTTGCGTTTAAATAACCCGGCATTAACGATTCAGCCGCATATTTAATACTCTCCAAAAGTTCTTCATTTCCACCTCTTAAAGAAATTGTAAAACCCATTTGCTTATTTGTACCAGTGAAAAATGTAAAAGTTTTAGTTTTGTTACCGTATTTAAACCTTCTTACTTTAAATTCATCACAGACACCTAAGTTCCCCTTCTTGAAAAATAAATCATTAACTGACTGGAAAATATCTGCGTTTGTATATCTGGAAATACGTTCTATCACTTGAGGTTTTACATTTGATATTGTTGTAATTCCTGCATCTTCTAATAGTTTTTCCGCAAACCCACAGACTGTATCACCCACTACAACAATATCAGGCTCTAAAGAAACTAATTTTGAAACCAAATTTGTGATATAAACTGATTGTTGTGCATGAATGATTCTTAAACTTATAAATTGTTCTCTTTGTTTTAAATATTCGATCGGGAACATAAGTAATGCAATTCTTGGATTTTTTATATCAGAAGCCATTTTTTTAGAATCCACATCATTTGTCATAAAAAGTCCATCAATTACTTCAGTCTGATCTATTTTACCTCCTAGAATTTTCTTAATTTTAACATATTGACGAATGTCCAATGTATCAGTGACTTTGATGTAATTGATTTCTTTTAATATTTTTGTGAGTACTGACATCCACAAATCAGAATTTTCAGTCACATTACAATCATCCAATGATTGCTTTAATAAACCTGAAAAATGTCCATCATATAACAAGTCTTGATCAATTTGATGTTTATTATGTTGCAGTGAATCTTCTTCTGACTTAGGTTGTTGTTGTTGATGGTATGAAAAATAATCTATGTCATTATCATTTTGCTTATCATTGGCTTCTAAAGCAGTGCTTGTAGATATTTTTGGTCCAATAGGTGATAATTCAGATTCTGAAGGACCTGATTCTTCACTATTGATGTCTGATCCAGAATCTTCATCATTTCCAGTGATTGCAGTTGTCAAATTTGATCTAGTTACTCTTTCAGGTATTGGTGAAGATGGCGAGGAAATTGGTGATAAATTTGTGGTTAAACTTTTTTGGACTGGTGAATCCAAACTCGGTAATCTATAAATATTTTGAGTTAGAATCAGTACATTTCTCGTGGCTTTACTCTGTCTCCTAGATCTCATTCTTTGTAAAGAAGCATTTGCTCTTGCTCTTGATCTTAAAGTTTCTGGTCTAGCTGAGTCATTAAACCCAACATTGCTGCCGTTAAATATATTTGAGTATTGAGAGGTGGGACCTCTTGAATCGGCAAATTTGGTTTTTATAGATGGAAACTCACCTAATGTTGGAACTGTCAAAGAAGAGTTATATAAATGACTTCCATTTGGTCCTATTGGCGTAGATGAATATAAATTTTGATCATTAAGTGAAGAATAAACCGACATTGCCCTTTCATCCTCTTCATCACTTTGATCTCTACCTCTACCCCTAGTTCTATTAATTTCCTCATTTTCACTCTCACTCTCACTTGAATCTTCAACATCTGCCTCTTCATCTTCATTTCTATAAGCAAATTGTTCATTTATGTTATGTCTTTTCTCTGAATGTGATCTCAATTTAAATGATGGTTTCCTACCAACATAACTATTATAAAAGGAGTTGATATTTTCAAAACTGTGATTGGATAATATATCTGGTTTTTTACCACTTGAAGAATTGGTGTTACTTTTCCTTGAATTTTGACCAAATGTATGAGCATTGTTACTAAAATGGTGATTTATTGGAGTTACTGGTGCTCCTACCACATGATTAGTTTGAGGTGTACTTCTTTGAGCTAGTGTATCAACTTTAAAACTTGAACTATATTTATTTATTGGGTGTCTCATAAGATTACCATTACTCAAAGAATTTCTAGTTAGTGGAATTTCTACTGATTCACCAGCTCTTGTTGTTGGAATTGCCATACGAGGAGCTTGTTTTGGATTTGTTTTAATGGATTCATCTGGATAAATGAAATGACTGTTGTCACGAGATGGTGAATCACTGATTGACCCATGTTCACTAGGTCTTGAATTTACCGATTCTGGTGGTGCATTTGAGTTATTATTTGAGTCTTTATATGAACTGGTAGACATTGACCTTATTCTTGAAAGTGGATGGTTGGGCACTAAAAGATCTTCATTTTTAATTCGACTATGATCATCTTCTTCAATTGTTTTATCATTTTCATTATCTGAGTCTGAACCTGAAGAATCATCACTCAAATATATGATAACGTCACTATAGCAAGGTTTACAAACTCTTAATTTATCATTATATGGCTTTTTAACAACTACATTATTTCTTTCATCTTTATGTTGAGTATATGATATGAACATCGTACAATCAGAACAAAAAATTTGACCACAAAATCGACAATGATGTTTTCTTCTAAAAGCAGTGAAAGGTTTAAAACAATTTAAACAATCTGATACAAATGCATCATTCATCCAGTATTTTTTGGGTATTCCACCATTTTTTAAAGGATTTGCAGAAACTTTTTTAGGTTTTTTCTTCTTCTTTTTAGCTGCCACTATTGATGAAGCAGATGATGTTACAGCGCCAATGTTTTGATTAATTATGGTTTTAGCATTATCTAAAAATAATGTTGAAAAATTTGAAGATTTCTTTTTGGATGCATTAAGATCTTTATTTTGTATAGCATGGAAAGATGTGACTGTTGGTGATTCACTGAGATGTAAAGATGCAATTGATTTTCTTTTGCTGGAGACTTGAACTGGTGATGGTTTACTAATTGTTTCTCCATAAAGTGATGCTAAATCATATTGAAGTTGCATGGAGCTGTTGTTTTTAGTTGAACTGGGAAATGGTTCTCCGTCATCTTTGGTTATTTGAGAAGAAGCTTCTGTGTTGGTTTGTTGCATATTGTCCAGATCTGAAGCTGAATCATCTGATAATTCTATATCATTTGGTAAGTTGTTAAATATAGTTGAAATTTTACTAGTTAATGATTTACTTCGTAGTGGCTCATTTTTCTTTTTGTTAATTTTTTGGTTGAAGCCATCTCCATTTAAGTCGTATGAATCCACGGTGGCTTGAGCATTAACATTAACTACTGAACTCGTAGTACTTGGGTTTGGGGTTTGAATTCTTGGAAACTGTAGTGTAGATAAACGTAATGATCTATGATCTGATGAGACTTTTGGTTGATCTTCCGATAAAGTTTTACGAATCTTGTTGACACTTATGGCGGACAGATCTATCAGTGAATTATCTTGATTCAGTTTTGATCTTTGTTGTTGTAGGTGAATTTTATCCCCATCAACACTTGGTTGTTTTGATTTGATGTCAATTTCTGAGGTAATAGAATCTAGTTTTTGATGCCTCATAGGAAATTTGGATTCTTTATTTTCTTTGGTACCAGTATTATGAACACTTTTAACTGTGGATGTAATTGATTTTGTATCTCCAGTGTTATCAACTTTTGGAATATCCTTGATTTGAGCGATGGTATCATTGTTCATTTCCTCCAAATCTTTAGTAATATCAATATTGTGAGTGGATTTTATTTCATCATCTGCATGAAATGAATTTTGTTTTGGTGAATAATTCTGAACTAAATTTGTTGCATTTGTAGTTACTTTTCTAAAAGTCTTTGAAATTAAACCAGATATTGATGTATCATTATGAGTTTCTGGATCAGCTATTGTAGGAAAAGAAACAAAATCAGGATCTGAATTTTTTTTATTGGCGCTTGATTCATCATCACTATTATTTAAACTTGCAGCTTGAATTTGAATTGATGGTGCTAATGCATTTGAATTTTGTCTTAGATTATCTTTTGATTTCTTTTCAATTACCATTGGAACAAATGTCAATTGCTGTGTGGTGATAAAATAAATTTTAGTAATTGCTTATCATTAATTGATTGTCTATGAAAGGGGTGATCGTAACTGTTGATTGAAAAATGGATTGATATTTAATATTATGTTTGATCAGAATTTTTATATTTAAATTAAAATTACAATCAATAAATAAAATAAAATAAATAAAAATAAAATAAAATAAAACTCAAAAATTATAAATTTTAAAGCTACCAAATGAGATCAAGCTTTACCCCAGAATTTCAAGTTCTTGATCTTTTTTGATTATTGCTACATTTGTAATAAATGTAGTATTAGCTAGATAAGACTTATAAAATCATAAAAATTAAAGAAACAAGTCTTCATAATTGACTAAAACCAAATAAAATTCTAATCACTCTAGGTATCCACACAATTTTCAGTGATAATCTTAATAGTCGTTTGGTAGCAAAACCAACATGAAATTTAAATTCCGAAAAACTGAAATGGTCATCGGAAGAATTTGGAGATTATTATATCAATCGAATAGGAACAGATATTGTATCAATTAAAACAGTTTATTGAATTAAAATTTATTAACAATTAATAATTCTATCCGGTACACTTCAATTTATTTTGATTCAGGGAGAGACTACTACTATCACCCAAGCATTTAATAAATTTCGGAGTATTCAATTTTGTTGGACCAAATAAAATTAATAGGTCTGATTTATAAACTCAAAGTAATGAAAATATAACAAACCCTTCAAAGATCAATGAATGAGTCAATTGAATCAACATCTTCAAATACATCAATACAACCACAACCTGAATCACAATCTATAACGCAACAAAATTCACATTCTGCGCCACATCATCATCATCATCATCATCTACATCATGTTCATCATAATCAACATTCTCATCCAACTAATCCTCATCATCATCATCATATAGTACATCATCATCACCATCCACCACATCAACATCACAATCATAACAATGTTCAAAACAATAACAATAATATTGATAATACTGATACCAACAATGTCAACAGTAACATCAGCACCACCAATAACAGCACTAATATTAAAAATAACGTAGAGACTTCAAATTTGAACTCAATTATACCAATAAATCATACAACAAAACTTACAAATTCACGACGTATCCCTAAATTAAATATAGAACCAATAGAAAATATCATAAAAGAATTATTTCCACATAGACGATTTTTAGGTACAATAACATATAATCCAACGACAACATGGGAAACAATTCAAACATCAAATTTATATGGAATAAGTAAACAATTACATCAAAGATTTGAAGAAATTAAAAAAAATTATATAAAAAGATTAAACAATCACGACCAAATTTTATATAAGAAATATATTCCATGTATACCTCCACTACCTAAAGAATATATAAATAGTATAATTGAAATTAAAATTCCATATAGATTTATAATTGAATTTAAACAAGATTTAAATAATGAAATTTTAAATAGAGAATTATGGGGTGGTGCAAGTGGAATATATACTGATGATTCAGATATTTTACAAGTTTTATTACATATGGGATTTTTCAATAATACAATAAATTTAAAAGTGTGGAATAAAAAATGGAATTCTAAAGATATTATAAAACCAATATATTTTGAAAATTATGAGTCACTAAAAATTAAAAGAACCAGTCTGGATAAAAACAAAGAAAATCAAGAAGAAAACCCAAAAGAAAACCAAGAAGAAAATAATACCAACAAAGAAGAAATTCAAATGATTGATGATGAAGTATATGGAGATTTATCAGTACAAATTTTACTTTTACCACCTTTACCAAAATATTATGGATTTTTTGCAAATGGTATAAATTCAAGATCTTGGAATATTGAACAACCAAAGAATCAACAACATAATGGTTTAAGTTTTGTTATTTATAATATAAATTGGGAGAAAAGAAATTCTTTTTTACAAAATAAGATATTTCATGAATTAGTTCAAAATGAAAATTATAATGATTTTGATAATGTATAAAGTATTGATCTTTATAAACATATTTAAACAAGTTTTATTTCAACTAAACATTTTATTCTTAACTATATTTCTATAATTAATTTCTCCCATTTGACCTTACTCTTACAAACAATTATATCTAATCTCTAGAATTATCAACATAATCATCAGCATTTTGTCTAAGATAATAAGCTTCTAATTGATTAAATTTTGTAATTTTAATACCACCATTTTTATATTTTTCAATAATTAAAGTTTTGAACTCTGAATCACCCAAATTTAAATTAATACTAATTGAATTATAAATTTTAGTTTGTTCCATTATCTTAATTTTTACTTAAGTCTATGATCTTATTTCTTTTTTTTTCTCTTTCTTATTCTGAAAGTTATTCATAAAGAGTAATATCATAATCTGTGGTTGGTTTCGAAACCGGAATTTTCAAGGAAACTCCAAGAGAGTGAATTTACTTTATGTTAGATAAAAATAAGGGAGGCTGAAAACATGCAAAATAAAGCAGTGAAAACCATTGAGTTGCTTTCACTTTTCTTTTATACTCTAATTAGATTCGTTCTATTTACTTGATCCCTTATGAATCTTAAAAGTTGGTTGCAAAAACTTTTCTTAAAATAATTAAAAAAAAAAAAAAAAAAAAAAAAAAAATTTATAAGACCGATCGATTTTTTTTTTTTTCAAAACATTAAGGTTTATTAACNATCTATTTAATAATTATTAGTCAGATGTGAAAGCGATCCTTGAAGTTGAAACGAATCGATTCAAAATATCATAACTAGTGCAATTTATTATAATAAAAATTTGAGACCACATGGGTTAAAAGCTTTACAATATTACATAGCCCTTTTTCATGTTGAAAGATCTCAAGGTTATATTTGACGATTATTATAAATGGATCTTTATAGATTTTTCCATATTACTACCATAATTTAGAAATGAATACTTATAATGAGTCTTAAAGGAAGGAGGAAAGAAGTTTAAAATAATACTCATCAATTAAAGGTTCTCAAATGCTACACTTGATATTTTGTTTCGATAATGGATTAAAAAAAAAATGTTATTTTTGATAATTGGTTATTAATTATTATATTGAATTCACCCCACTTTTCAAATAAAAAAAAAAAATTACCTTACTTAGTTACTTAATTAAAATAAATTATATTTACTAAAAGTAGTGTATTGTGGCTAATTAAGTGAATCTTTATTTTCTCGGCTCATTTGTAGCACGTGACGATGAGCTCTTATGTAATCAATTAATAATTATTAATATTAAATTAATTAATTATAAATAAATATAATTAGAGAGAGAGAAAGAGAGAGAGAGGAGGTGGAGGAGGAGAATAATTTTGAGTATGATGTTTCATAATAAATCATTTTTTAAGTATATACTTAGGATATATGTATAATAATGTATAATAATATAGTTTAAGATTATAAGATTAAGATTAATATCAAACAAGTTGAATTTTTAATAATTGAATGATTTTTATTATGAATTTCAGGATTTAAATTTTATTCCCAAATTATTGATTCATTGATCATTATTTTTTTTTCTTTAATTTGGTTTTTACAAGTTTTACTTTTTAATTTTTACTTTTTCAAACTAAGAAGAATATTAAAGAAATATAATATATAATATAATAAAATTTATGTCAAAATTATATTATTATATATTAAACTGTTTTTAGAACTTTAATAAATTATTGGTTCAATTAATCCGCCTTTATTTCCTCAGCCCAAATATTCTTTCTTATAATACGTTTGTTTAAGTTTTAAAGAAAGGTGTAATAATAATAAAACAATTTAGAGACAAACAAAAAAAAAAGACAAAAAAAAAGAAGAAATTAAATTGTACATCACAAGACGACTAATAAAAGATTAATTAGAAATAAAAAGATTCAACAAAATTTTTAAGACTTACAACTACTTTCTTTTTCATTAGTATATAAAAATAGCATAACAAAATCACAATTTTTCATTAACAACTTCCAAAAGATACAACAACAAGATCAAATAGTTTTAATATCTTAATTTCAATATTTTTTTTTTCTTGAATTTTTGATTATTTTTAATTCTTGTTTTTTAATAATTTTAATAATTTTTGGGCTCATACGGAGTATAACCTTTTTAATTTCATTAATTTCATTAATACATTAATTCATTAATACATTCTTCAATTCATTTTCATAAACATTTTAATCTTGAGATTTAAATTAATTTTAATTTAAAATATTTTATATTCATCATATCCAATATTAATAATATCATTTATTCATTCAGTTATAGTCATTTTTAAACACAAATTCAATTCTACACACACAAATTCATTTTAATCATTATAACTTTTATTCAAAATTTGAATAAAAAGTTTTTTAATCATCTTTATAATTTTTACAATCTTTGCAACAAAAAATTTTATATATCATAAGTTTAATCTATGTCAACTGAAGTTCATAGTATAACAGATATTTATAAACCTAGTAAACAATCAACATTAACAAAATTAAGGAAAGCACAATCAACTTCAAAACTACGATCACAAAGTAATTTTTTTAATAATAATACAATAAATATAAGTACTGGAAGCAGTAGTAATATTTCAACAAATAATCAACATCATAATATTAATCATCATCATCATTCATTTATTCCTTTGAAAAAGAAGAAGAAGAATAATCCGATAACTTCATATTCATCTATAATTAATAATAATAATAATAATAATAATAATAATAGTAATAATAGTAATACAACCACTAAACCTATTCAACAAAAGAAAAAACTGAATACAATCACAAATACCGGGACCACAACCACAACTTCATCAACACCAGGATTTTTTAAAAAAATTTCAAACGAGTGGAGTTCATTTTTAAATAAAATAAAATCAATATCTGAAGAAGTTTTCAATGTTGATGATTTAATTGATGATTTATTTATAAATTCAGAAATTGAAGATTCATCAGATTTATCATATTCGTCATTTGATAAACTTATAAATAAAAATTATAATAGTTATAATAATTCAACTGAAGAAAAATTTTTACAAGATTATAAAAAATTTAAAAATTTAGATAATATGTATACTTATTATAATCAACCACATTCTTCACCACCACGACACTCACCACCACCACAACAACAACAAGGATTAAATGATGTTGGAAGTTCTACTACTGTTGTATCTGATCAACAAAGTTTTAATATAAGATCAACATTACAAGATGTTATACGACATCATCAAAATCAATATATGAATACTCAAGACAATTATTTAAATTTAAATAATATATCATCAGATTCAGATTCAATAGACGATATGGAAAGAGAAGACTCAGATAATGAAGATGAAGATTTAATAACAGCAACTGGTTCTTCAAATCATAATGATATACAATTTAATGATATTGATTTTACTTTATTACGAGCAGAATTTGAAACAGTGATATCACAACCACAACAACAACAATCAATAGACAAATCAATCATATCGAACAATCTCCTAAATCAAATCAACGTTGGATCAACATTATGGAACTATAGAAGATCAAAATGGTTAATTCCCAATAAATCACCAAAAGATATTGAAGAACATTTAAAAAATTCATCAATTGCATATATTCCAAAAGATCAATATTATAAAATTTATTTATTTTTAATTGATAAAAATAAACAATTGAAATCTAAAAAATATTTAAATTTAAAAGACTTAATTAAAATTATACATATTGGTTGGATAGCTGAAAAACGATGGGAACAATAGTTAAATCAATTAATTAATTAAACTCACAAAAATAAAATGTATATGTGGTTTTCATACGAACTAGTCATACTCCTTAATCTACTCTTTTCCTTGGCTTCTCTCAATTGGTTTTTATGTTGATGTAACAGTAGACTTTAGCGTAACAAACTGCAGGGAGATATTCGAAGTCCAAGTTATGTTGCAAAGTATAAGCCTCAAAGAACTAGATATGATCTACTGGAGCGATCAGTAACATAAAGTTCATCCCACTCATAAATGGCGTAGTAGGCGGGCACTTGAGCTCGTCTGGAAAGTTTTGACTTTTCTATTCTTGAGCTTTTATAATTTTCATGTAGGTTCTTTTATAATCATTATCATTGTTTTAAATTATCGAGTTATTGTAAAATTAATAATTATAATATTTCTTTACATTAGATTTAAAACTATCGATAAGTTGAAGTATTCTCTGTTACTCTGTTACCGCTTGAAGATCTCTGTTCATCAATTAATTTTAAAGTATATTCCAAAACTCTTAAATCTTGATCAATAAACTCACATCTTTTTTGTAAATTAAAATCATCTATTTCATGATCTCCATTAATTACTTTTGTTTGATTAACTTTATTTATTTCAGTCTCACAATTCTTGATGAATTTTTCCAACTTCTTTTTAATTTTAATTAATTCATAAAAATTAAAAGAAATATCATTATTTAATTGATTATCAATGTTTTGATCTAATTGTAATATAGTTTGAAATTTATCTAATAAATTCAGATTAGGAGAAGAATTTGAATTTGATGCTATGAATTGTTTTAGTAATGATTGAAGTAGTTTTGAATATTGTTGTGATTTCTTTAAATCTTCGTATTGATTTGTTTTGGCTTGTGTTAAAAGGGTTGTGTGTGATGTGTTGTTGTTGTTTGTTGTTGATGTTGATGATGACATTTTTTATTTTGTTTTGATTGATCTACTAGTTAAGTTAATTTGTCTTATTTTAAACATTGATTTCTTTGTTGATCTTGTAGATACTTATATGTCTTAAATTAACTTTGAGTGATTGTTCGAAATCTCGAGAATTGGATCAACTTGAAAAGAGTAAATTACGATAAGGTATGATCGAGTCGCTTTTATAATAGCTACCAAGTATCTGTATGTTTTGAGATAGTTAAGTTTTGACGAATTGAGGACATATTTTAAGAAAATAACCGGTCATAACTCTCTCATTATGTTTTGATCAACAATTGAGACTACTTGACTGGTAAAAATTGACCATCCCAACATAAATTTGACCAATTTTGTTTGATGAAAGTTTAGACAAAAAGTTAATTTTCACTTTCAAAATCAAAGCTGCTGATTCAGTTTGGAATACGAAATTACAACTCTAAATGGCGGTCAGATTTGTAAGCTCAGTAATGGCTCTACAGTTTGGTTATTGTATTGAACGACTAATACAAATGTGATTCACGGTTTCTGTGCAACTTGAATAGTTTGATCTTAAGTGGTATTTCTTCAGGAGATTGTTATACCCCTTAAATTTTAGTACATTAAATAAATTCTATCACATCTCGTCTCATTAAAATAATATTTCAGATTTAGCCTTTTCAATTATAAACCAGAATCAGTAAAGAAGAATCAATCAATAATACTATGTCAAAACTTACACCATATATATTCAATAAGTTCATAAAACTACGATGCGCCAGATGTTTACATTGTACATCAATCAACAACAACAAACTAGTCACTAAAAATGATACTACTTTTGAAAACGCGTTCAAATCAACTTCAAAATTTAGAAGTGAAAATGAAATAGATATAAATGAAAATGAAATACCTAGTCTGTATTCAAGTAAAATTCCTCCAAAATATGAATTAGAATTGTCTACGCTAATAACTGAAGGTCAAGAAAAACCAACAAAGGCGGAGGCAAAGAAGAAAAAATTAGATAAAAGTAAAACCAAAGTCATTGAAAAAATGGAGTCGTTGACATCACAAGAAGAAGAAGAAGAGACACCACCACCAAAGTCTAAAAGAAAAACCAGACTTAATTCGAGATCAGGGTCATCAAAAATCACATTTCTAAGTAACTCAGGTTATCTTACATCAAAAGATATATTTCAAAAACCGTTAAAGCAATGTATAGCTCCAAAAAAGAAAGATATACCTCAATTAGCTCATAATTTAGATAGAGTTTTATTTTCACCAGGTATACATTTTTTACAAGATCCAAGAACAAGAGTATATAATTTCTCACCATTCCTCAAAAAAGTGATAAACTATAAAGATTTTAATTTTGATGCAATTGATTCATATACACCAGTTGATAAACATACAACATTACTTGAAAATTCTAAAAAATTTAAAAAACAATTTTATTCAAGTACTTCATCAATGACTTCAATGTTGAGTAAATTTTATATGCTTTTAAATAATTATTCACCTAAAAAAATCGAAAGATTTGGAGAAATTCCATTCACGGGGTTAGCTACAAAATTACCAACTAGTTTATTTGTTGAACCAAAAGGATCTTACGACGAGAATGGGGAGAAAAAAACCATTTATTCAGTACAAGCTGATAAATCTTGTGATTCTGAAATCATTTTAAGTGCAATGGGACTTTGTATGGAATGTTTATTAACAAATCCAGAAGATGAATTTGTCAAATACAGGAAAGATAATGATGATCAAGAACTATCAAAACCAGTAAATGCTTATAATTATGCATCATTTGGAAATTTTTTAATGAGATCACAATTAGATTGTTATGATTCAAGATTACCCAATAATGGAACATTTGATTTAAAAACTAGAGCATCAACTAATATAAGATATAATTCTCATGATCCAGAAGTTGGTGATACAAATTATCAAATTTTTAAATTAAAGGGAAATTATGAAAGTTATGAAAAAGAATTTAAAGATTTAATTAGAACAGGTGCATTATTGAAATATTTATTTCAAGCAAGAATTGGACAAATGGATGGAATATTTATTGCATATCATAATATTAATTCAATTTTTGGATTTCAATATTTACCAATGGAAGAATTAGATAAATTATTTTATTCTCATGTGGACGAAACAATGGTTGAAGATTCCACTACGGAAGAAATTGAAAATTATATAGCAAAAGATAAATTACCTTCATTTGTTGGAGAATTACAATTTAAATTTTCAATGGAAATTTGGGAAACTTTATTGTCAGAACATATCTTAAAGGATTTACCACCCGATACTCCTTTTCGATTACTTGCTCAAACTTATAAACCACCATATGGTAAACAAAATCAATTACAAATTTTCGTTATACCAGTAACAACAGAAGAAATTCAAATTTTTCAACTGTTTAATGAAAAATATCCACTGGATTTTAAATCAAATTTATCAGAAGAAGAAAGAAATATTAATTTACAATTACATTCAAAAGATCTTAAAGAATTCACTTCTGAAACTTTAAAAGATAGAAGATTATTATCATACGTTATATCAATGGGTAATGGATACATTGATGGTAAATTAAAATCATATTCAGATTTACCAAATAATATCCCTAAATCATGGAATCTACAATATCATATTAAAAAAGTTAAAGATCCAACCGCGAAAGAATTTGAAAAAATTTTTGAATTACCTATACAACAATTAAGTGAATCTGCAGCACCTATAAATAGTTTTAAATCTAAATTTATAAAAAATTTACAAGATATTCATAAAAGATATGAATTGGTAGGTACTGCAAGAAAAGAAAATTGGGATTCTCAAGAACAAAAACCAAAAGTTTATAGACCAAAATATCGTATATAGAGATCAATGACTAAAGATCATTTATTGAAATAATTTAATGACCTAATGACCATTACCATTTATTTCTATAGATCCATTTTCTTGTTCATTTTGAGCTTTTTCTTTACCACCCTCGAAATTTTCTCTAACTTTTAAATAATGTTGTAATTCTTCTGCAGAAACTGATGGATTTAATTCTTGTTGAGCTTTTATAAAATCTTCCATTTTTACAGAAACTGTTATATCTTCTTTTGTCGCAACGTTATCAAACCACCATCTTGAATTAATTTCTGGTTTATTTTGTAAAGTTAACTCATTGTTATATATTTTAATTTTTTCATCAACTTCATTTGCAACTCTTGTCATTGCATTCAACATTGAATCTGAACATATGGCATAAAAATCAGCACCAGTATATGTAAATGAACATCTCTTAGCTATTTCTTCTAAATTCACATTATCATCTAATTTAAATTTTCTAGTTAATGCTTCCATAATTTTAGTTTGTTTTTCATCAGTGTCTGATATACCAAGATACAACATTTTATCAAATCTACCAGGTCTTAACAATGCTTCGTCTAATAAATCAGGTCTATTTGTTGCACCAACGACAAACACTCCATCACCTCCATCACTACTCATCCCATCTAATTCTGCTAATAATTGAGAAACAATTCTATCCATTACACCACCAGAGTCTCCTTGGTTACCTCTTTTAGGAGCAACAGAATCTAATTCATCAAAAAATATAACACATGGTTTAGCATCTCTTGCTCTTTGGAAAACTCTACGAACATTAGCTTCTGATTCTCCAATATACATATTTAATAATTCAGGACCTTTAACTGAAAAAAAATTAAGTGAGAAATTTGTTGCAATAGCTTTGGCTAATAAAGTTTTACCAGTACCTGGTGGTCCATAAAATAATATACCACTTCTCTTCTTTAATCCGTTATTAAATAATTCTGGATGTTTTAATGGCATATCTATAGTATCTAAGATTTCATCCTTGACTAAATCTAATCCTCCAATATCTTCCCATTTAACATTTGGGATTCTTGGAGCACCAATAGAATCACTAAATTGGTTTCTTGCTTCATTTATGGCTAATTCAAAATCCTCTGGTATCCAAGTGATGATACCACCATTTCCAATATTAGTTAGTTTCTCAATTGGAATGTTTAGACTCTTTGATAATTTGAGTAACCTTTTAATAGCTAATTTTTTGGATTTTTTAATGATGGATATAAGATCTCTTGGAGTTAAACCAGCTGATTGCAATGCTAATGTTTTGTAATTGATATCTTTTCTGATAACAAATGGATACGAAGTTAATTCCCTTGCTGTGTGTTTATGTTTTTCATTTTCTATAAGGTATTTGAAAATTTCTAATCTTTCGTTTTCTGTTGGGACTGTAAATTCTATAGTGAATTTTAAAATTGATTTGAGGTTGTCATTTAGTTTATCATAATCATTACAACTCATAACAAAAACCAAATTTGAATAAGTTGTGAGATAGTCATTGATGAGTTGTATAATTTTTAATGATAAAGATGTGAAAATACTTGAGTTTTGATCATTTTCATCTGTTTTAGGACATAAATTCTCAATATGTTTCAAATATATGACATGAAATGCACTGGTTTTGGAAGTTCCCAAAGCAATTAATTTATCTATTTTACCACTTAATAATCCAATTGTTTTCAATTCTTGACCAGGGTTTATAAAATCAAAACAGTCCAACTCTATAAGGTTTAACCCCATTTCTATACATGTGCTTCTCACTAAAGTAGTTTTACCAATTCCTCTACTCATTGAAGTTAATAATATGCTAGTTTTCAAATTAATTTTTGATGAAGTACAAGTTTCTAAGATTTTTGAAAATTCTTGCGCATATTTGAAATCTTTTTCTCCTGAATATTTGAAAATTGGTGGTAAGTTTAAATATTGATACCAATTGTTGTAGTTATTTATTGGTAATTTACTACTTTCTACCCCCGAAGAGACAAGTAAAGTCTTTGTTGGATCAATAAGAAATTGATTGGTGCCAACAATGTTTGTACCTTTAATTTCTGTAATTTTGAACCATGCAACTGCATCTGGATCACCAATAGGTATAACATCATTATTATGCTCGTTTGTGCTTTCATTTTCTTGATTATTCTCTTCAGGTATATTGTCAAACATAATTTTGGATAAAACCGTATCAATCACCACTGGGAAGTAATCACCTTCTTTAACACATTTTAATTGATCACTTAAAATAGTTTTTAAACTTGAGAAAAAATTAGTTTGAAATGTTTTATCCATTGTAATTTGTGAACTTACTCTTGAAATTGTAGCAGATTCTGCAATTGGGATGATTGAAGTTAAAGACGAATTTTTTGATACTTGTTCAAACTCTATAGTGGTATCTTTTTGTAGTTGTAAATTAACTAATAAAATTGGTGACGTATATACAGATCCACTTGCAAAAGATGCCTGTGGTTCAATAAAACTGAAAATTCTCACAATTATTGTCTCTAGTGGTGTTTTAATTTTAACAAGATCTCCATTATAAATGGGAAACCCCAATTTCATGAAATCCGAGTTGTTAATATATACAAACAATTCAGTATCTTCTTTTGATAAGTGTTGTGGTAAATCATCAATATTCATTTTTTCTGGTAAAGGTTTTACCAAAAACTTTGCTGGTGAATGCTGTGGTTCTTTATCAAATTGTAAACTAAAAGATAAATAGGAAGATAAATCTAATGGCTCTAACTCTTTTACCTCTAACTCATCTAATATATCTTCTTGTGGTGGTTCTTCATTTTGGTTAATTAATACAAAGTTGGTATCAAAATCAACCATACCTTGAGCTAAAGGTTCACATAATTTAGCTTTACCATTTATGGCTCTAACACAATCACCTTCATTAATAACATTGCCATTTTCTTGTAAAAATTGGGTAATAAATAATTGTTTTAAAGATTGTTGAGATTTATTTTTTAGTAAGTGATAAATATCATTAGGCACCGAGATAAAAATTTGACTTAATTTTGGAATTTCGTTGACGGATATGGATTTTAAGATAGCTTTATTGAAAGTTAATGAATCATTACTAAATTTGACTAAATTTGAATTATTTATGAAATTTATAGAATTTTGTAATTTAAATAATACTTTATCAACTTTTAAAATTTGAAACCTGTCAAAAAAATCAGGAGCTCCTAAAAGTTTTATTAAAATATATGTTGATTGTGGGGTATGAATTGGGTAATTTATGTCATTTTCAGAAATGGTTGGAAATAATTTTATGAATAAATCTTTTGATATTTCAATTGTATCATATTGATTTAATTTTGGATCATTAATTATATTGACATTCGTCACCACCGAGTATGATTCTACTTCTAAATCTTTTGCTTCTGCAACTGATGGCATATTTTTCTGGTGGTTGTAAATAAAATGGTGATAATAATATATATTTTTTTTTCAACCGCTGGAGAAATAAATTATGTGGGGAAGAACTACCAATTGATAATTTTTTATTTTTCTCTATGTAATATTTAACATGTTTTACATTTGTCTTTAAATCCTATTTTTATTGTTACAAATTAGATAAGGGATCAAAATTTAAAATTGCCATGATTTTCATTTTATTATATTGAATTTTTATTATTAGAGAAAAAATAGGTTTGAAATTTAAACCAATAATATTTACTCTTTCTTTTTCAGTGTTTTTTTTTTTCAAACTAGTGCTTTACTATACCTATTCAAAACCAACTTCAAAAAAATGGATTCAAAATTTTTAATTGATTTCCTTATGGGTGGTGTTTCTGCCGCTATTTCCAAAACTGCTGCTGCTCCAATTGAAAGAGTTAAATTATTAATACAAAATCAAGATGAAATGTTAAAACAAGGTAGATTATCTCATAAATATACTGGTATTATTGATTGTTTTAGAAGAACTGCTGCTGATGAAGGTTTAATTTCATTTTGGAGAGGTAATACTGCTAATGTTATTAGATATTTCCCAACTCAAGCTTTAAATTTTGCTTTTAAAGATAAATTTAAAGCAATGTTTGGTTTTAAAAAAGATGAAGGTTATTGGAAATGGTTTGCAGGTAATTTAGCATCTGGTGGGTTAGCTGGTGCAACTTCTTTATTATTTGTTTATTCATTAGATTATGCAAGAACTAGATTAGCTAATGATGCTAAATCTGCTAAAGGAGATGGTAAAGGTAGAGAATTTAATGGTTTAATTGATGTATACAAAAAGACTTTAGCTAGTGATGGTATTGCTGGATTATATAGAGGTTTTGGTCCATCAGTTGTTGGTATTATTGTTTATAGAGGTTTATATTTTGGGTTATATGATTCATTAAAACCAGTTCTTTTAGTTGGTCCATTACAAGATAACTTTTTAGCTTCATTTTTATTAGGTTGGTGTGTTACAACTGCTGCTTCAACTGCTTCTTATCCATTAGATTCTGTTAGAAGAAGAATGATGATGACTTCAGGTCAAGCAGTTAAATATAAAAGTGCCTTTGACTGTTTTAATCAAGTAGTTGCATCAGAAGGTGTTGGTTCCTTATTTAAAGGTTGTGGTGCTAATATATTGAGAGGTGTTGCCAGTGCTTTGGTCATTTCATTATATGATCAATTACAACTCATCGTTTTTGGTAAAAAATTTAAGTAAATTAATTGATCTAAGGCATAGATATTTTTAGAATATAGATATTTTTTCATTTGTTTGAAAAATTACAATTAGAATAATAATAAATTTAGAAAAATATAAAAATTTTTTTTTCCTGAAATCAACATTTATTCTAAATATAAAATCATATATAGAGAAATGTAGGATACCTAACCTAATGATATCGAAAGGTAATTAATAAAACAATTTTTGTAGAGCTTTTTTTGACACACGTTTTTGTTTGTTGCAAAAAAGTTTAAAACTTTAAAACTTCGTTTTGTGGCATTGTTGTTAAATTTGAGACATTCGATACACAAAACTAATGAGGTTTTAAAATGTTAAGTCGATCAAGAAACAGATTTCAAATGTTTTTAGATTTATGAAAAACAAAGAAAATCTTCCTATTGAACAGCAGCTTAATTACCTTGGCCAGCTTTTGTTATGAATATACTAGTACTATTCATGTGACTTTTTACTTACTTGATTTAAATGTGATTATGTAGAATGAGAAAACAATGAACAATTGAAGAAATACCGTCAAGCTTTAATAAAGCGCATTTGGACCTTGACATCGTCAAATTAGCTCCATGTTTGTAACTCGAGAGTTTGTTCATATTTGAGTGTTGTATTTTTTATAAAATCTGAAACTTGAAATACTTCGTAAAATTTACCCTGCTTGAAAGTTTTTTGTCTAGTGCTCGTTGAAATTAAAATTAAATTTTTAATTATTAAGAGATGAACTAATAAATCAAAGAAGAATAAATGTATGTTTTATGCCAAATCAATCCTTTAATCTTAATATTTAATGATGATAATTTTTATTTTCTTCATACCAATGAAGAGCCATAATTGAAAAACTTGATCAATTAGTTTTATCGTTTTGATTTAATATATATTGGTGTTTACAGGTTTTTTGGCAATGATATGGTATAATATAGTCATAGTTACACTGATTTTTTTAATAAATTTATTAAGTTTGAGGATATAAATAAAATATAGCTTGGAATACTAACTTGATAGATTAGATTATTTGAAATGAGTCTACTACATAATTGGGATGTCTATCTACTCTTGTAGACACATAAATTTCATATATTAAATTTTTCGTCTCGCACAATTAACTGAACGCAGTATATGAGAAATCCCAATTAAATATCTCTCATATTATTCAAAACAGAGTACTTACAAGTCGACATATCAGTACTTAAGTTTTGTACGACCACTATACTCGATACATTAAATAACCTCGTTGACTTAATAGCTCTTCGCTTCTTATCTTCTTACACTTAGCTATATTTAATTTCTCAACTTTTCAGAGTTCATTCAATTTGCTAATATTAACTCGTTTAAACATTTATTATTATACTCCTATATCTCCTTAAATTATTCTTCGTCAACAACAACAGTTTGTAAACCTTTGGTAGTTGGAACAATAACTGGTTCAACATAAGCAAAAACTTTTTCTTTTGAATTTTCTTCGTCATTTCTTTTTCTCGAAATTCTTAATCTAACTCTATGTTCAACACCTTGTACACCTCTTTTCCATAATGCAACATTTAATTTTGGATCTAATCTAACATCAGTTGTTCCCATATGTAAAGTAGCAAATTTTCTAATTTCTTTTACAGCTTTTGGAGCTCTTTTTTTGAAATGAACACCATGTAATCTTTTATGGAGATTTATAGTATATTCTCTTGTGATGGTGCTTTGGTTGGCCATTATGATTTATGTATTTGAATGTTGAGTAATTAACTATCTATTGCTAGTAAAAGTTGAAGATGTTAGAAAGGTTGAAAAATTAATTTTTTTCGGTGAGTGAAACGGTGAGATTACACAAAATATACTATTATTACAACTTTTATTATGTGTGCTTATAGCCCTACTTACTTTTCCTTGTCACACTCTCGACTGAGCTCGTTCTAGACCGTACCATCAACACAAATTTGAAAATCTTTCTTTTGAAGATATTTTTAGTTTCTTTCAATTAACCAACATATCAACAAATAATACACAGTATGTTCAAGATACTCCAATGTGAATGTTTCTAAAGTTGACGAGGCGACCAGATAAATGCTTTATTTGACAAAGGAATATATGGCAAAGAATGAAAGCTTGATATAATACCAATATAACTAATGGGATGAAGCAATTTCAGGAAAATAGTTTTCAAATTCATGATAAATGTATGAGGAATTTAAAGTATTTCAAATTCAATCAACTTCAATCAACTTTAATTGTGTAATTCTGGATATCAAGTCAAATGGATTTTAGTCGTAATGAAATTTCAGTGGGAAATATACTTTTGATACATTTAGCTATGAGATTAGGTATTTTTGATAATATACTATTCACAAATCTGACTCAGTATGGCATCGTGAAAGCTTTTGGAAATTATAATCGTATACAGAAGAAACATTCAACTTGAATTAACAAAATACTAACTTTATTTTTTAGATGGCTAAAAGTAAGAATCACACAAATCATAATCAAACTAGAAAAGCTCACAGAAATGGTATTAAAAAACCAAAAACCTATAAATACCCATCATTAAAAGGTGTTGATGCTAAATTTAGAAGAAATCACAGATATGCTTTACATGGTACTCAAAAAGCTTTAGCTGCTGCTAAAAAGGGAGAATAAATTCATTGAATAATTAAGTTATGATGCTAAAATGATTTATTTATGTTAGATACTAAGTATAGCTTTTCAATAAACTGTTATTTTACTAATGTATTGAATTTCAAATTGTTGAAGTAGATCTTGTAGCATAAGTGATCTTGAAATATTGAATTTTCAGTAAAAACAACACCCGTTGCTACATTTTCAAGCAAAGTGTTGGCTCTACACCTGAAGAAGAAATATCATGCGAACTAAATCAAATCTTAAATTGTATTTTGTATCTTACGTCTGAAATAAAATTAAACCTCAATTGTACTTGACCTTATCAAGTAATTCCTTCGAAAAATTATAAAACTGTAGGTTTATCGAATGAACATGAAGATACTAACTTGGATTCACCATCACAAAAACTCATACTGTTCAGAAGTAAAAATGAGTATGTTTTGTACTTAATATTGATTTCCTTGATTTCCCTTTGCATCATTATGTTGTCAAACTATTTTACGATTTTTGTAAATAAAATGTGGGTATTATTTCAATTTAAATTCTTAATTTAGATCGTTCTCTACATTCCACTATAGTAACATATATGACTAGTGATGCTACCTCATAGAAAGAATAGCAAGGTTTCTAAAATGAATAAGCTTGTTTAAAATTAGATCATAATTCGTTTAATTTTATGCGATAATCTAGAACTGCATACAATAATAGTCTGTTGCTTATAATCTGAAACACCAACTATAAAAATTGTAAACTGAAATTTTTTACTATGTGATATTATTTATGACAACAACCGCTTCAACAAAGTATGCTATAACAGGATATTACTTGTTCTACAAATATTAATTTTCTGGCGCTATTGAACTAAATCTGATAGATAATTGTGATATAAAATCATTGAATAAAATCATTAGTTTGCATAAATCAATTCACAATAGATTATTAAGGATTAAAATTTATATTGCATTTGGAGTTGCTCCAGTATTTTCGTAGATAATTACATTCCCAGTTAATGTGGGGCCCATTTCAATTGAATTTCAATAGAGTTTTGAATTTTTAGGTAATAAGTATTATTTAATTTAACGTTTGTTTATTAAAGGTCCTAAGTTACTTTCTTCAGGAAAATATTAGTCATTGCAGTTCGGATGTGGTAAAGTACTCTATTTTCAATTTTTAATTACAACCCCAGTTTAGTTTACTATGTAGACGTTCATTGATTAAATGTGTAATTGGATTTAAGAAAGAAGATCCAAAATTGGGATCTTGGTTTTCTAGGATCAATTATTTGCATTCAAAGTTTACTGATTTCTCACGATTTAATTTTTTTTGTTATTTTTTTTGCAGCCAATTTTTGGTAAGATTCAAGATTTAACAAATGCTTTTGTTATCATCATATCAATTAATTTGTCTTTTACAATCATTACCGACAATGACTGCTGTTGATCATACTCATTACCGAGTTTACCTTAAAAATTTAGGTTATCACACTACAGAGGAAGATTTATATACTTTGTTTAAAAAATTTGAACCGTACGTTTCAACTATCAATCAATTTTGCGGCACATTTTTCTTTACTAACAGTTCTAAATAGTGTCAACATTTTGGTTCCAAGTTATACAGTTAGATTTACTCGAAGTGGCAAACATAAATCTTTAGGTTTTGCTTATGTTGAATTAAAGTCGTCAGAAGAAGTAGAACAAGCAGTTAAAGACTTTAATGGAACTGTATTCAATGGCAAAAGATTAATAGTTAAAGCTTATTCTCCATATACACCAGGTAAGCGATTTTTATTTTTTAAAAAATCGAAAAGTGTTGCACCTTCCGAAGATGAGGAAGAGGAAGTTGCAGAAGAAAATAATTTTCCAATCGATGTAAATAATAATGCTACTTTAAATTCCAGAGGTTCACTTTTTATTCCAAAGGCAAGAGGTGAAGTCACTGAATCAAAAGTTGAGGAGTTTTTAAAAGATTATAATCCAAGTGATATCATAATTATGAAGAAAAAATCCAAAATCAATCCGATATCTTATGTCAGTGTTTTAGCAAGTGTTGATACTTCTCAAAATAAATTAAATGACATCATTCAAACTTTGAAAAATCAAAAATTAAATGGTAGAAAAGTTGATTTACAAGAAGCAAATCCAGAAAAAGTAGAACAAATTGAAAGAGAACTTCAAATGCTTGCTGTACAAATCGAAAATCAAGAAGAATCTGCTAATGATGATTTACCAGAAACTAACGAAGCTAATATTTCACCTGCTTCAAATTTTGATATTGCTCCACCACCAAATCCAACTCCTGAAGGTTTAACAATGAGTTCAAATTTTACTGAACCAATAACTTCTTAATCTCTTAGTATAGTTTACAATAAAATCTACAATTTCTCTTGATACCAAAACAAAATATTTTTATATTACTATTAAAATTAATCTGAAGTTTTTTGAGTACCACGTAATAAACCAGTTCTTCTAGCAGCAATTAAACCAGCTTTTTGACCAGAAACAGCACCTCTTGAAATAGTTGAAGCTTTACCAATATGTTGATGGTTACCACCACCATGAGGGTGATCAACTGGATTCATAGCAACACCTCTAGTTTTTGGCCATGAATTTCTTTTAACTTTATATTTGTGGAATGCTCTACCAGCTTTTAATAATGGTTTATCAATTCTACCACCACCAGCGACGACACCAATAACACCTCTTGCATCTGATGAAATGATTTTTTTAGCACCTGATGGTAATTTAACTCTTGTTTTATTTTCATCTGGGTTATGTCCAATAATAATAACATAATTACCTGATGTTCTACCTAATGCACCTCTATCACCAACTTTTTCTTCAACATTTGAAACAATAGTACCTTCTGGACATGAACCTAATGGTAAAATATTTCCAACATTTAATGAAGCTTTTTTACCTGCATAAATAAATTGACCAGTGTAAACACCTTCATTTGCAATAAAAGTTTCTTCTCTTAATTTATATCTATATGGATCTCTGAATGCAACTTTAGCTAACGGAGCTCCTCTACCTGGATCATGAATGATACTTTTAACAACACCACGAATGTAACCATGACGTTCAGCATAATCTAATGTTCTAAGTTTGGCTGCACCTTTACGAAGTCTGGTATGACTTGTAAAAATTGAACCAGCCCCTTTTCTTTGATTACGGATAACACGTCCTATAATTTGTTAGTATAAATGATCTTGGTTATTATTCCGATCATCTCAAAAGTCAAGAGCTTGAGAATTCATAACATCATGGTTGAATGGACATTTATAGACACTTAGGTGCTGTACCGTTGTCAATAGTGGTACTTTTTATTTTTTTCAACTAATATTGGTCTTTCTTCCTCCCTCTAGTTCTACCTAAATCCATGTTGAAGACGATGATCCAATTTGTAAAATTTAAAGTACTGTGATGATTCTCAAATTATGTGGTAATGATACTCTTGTACTGTGATGATTCTCAAACTATGTGGACTTTTGATGATACTCTTAGAACATACCCATTGCTTGTTGTTATTATTGACTAGATTTGAGTAATAAAAAAGCTGAAACTGAAAAATTATCTGAACTTTTAATTCCTTCACTAAAAAACTTTTTGCAAAAATGAAAGTCTATGCAAGAGAGAAGCGACTTCTGCAAACGAGAAATGTTCGAAAAATTTTCATTCGACCTAATTCGGTGCGAGTCCTCCCTAGAACTACCATATGTAGTAAGTTTGGTAGCATAAATTTACAAAAGTGCTTAAAGCCCTAAAAGTTTACAAGTCACGCTAACATGCTCAACTTGTATTATGCAATTACTGAGAGAATTCAGTCAAAATGCTCTACAACACTTGGATGAGAAGATATTCGAGAAGGTACCCATGTTGTATTAATATACTATACAGTAATCACTCACGTTAATGACCAGTTGAAGAGGCAGCATTGGCAATAGCTTTTTCCTTCTTAGCAATTTTATCATTAGCTTTTGAACCCATAATACCACCACCCCAATGTTTTTTATTTTCATCATATTTTTCTAAGTAGTTTGCATTTATAGTAGAAATTAATTTAGATAATTCTGATTCATCAGCACTTGAGACTTCAGTAAGAGCAGCAACTGCAGAAGTTTTTTGATGAACTAAAGTACCTAATCTTGCTTTACCTTTTACAACAGCGTATGGAACACCCATTTTTTTACATAAAGCAGGTAAAAATATAACTAATTCAATTGGATCAACATCATTAGCTATTAAAACTAATTTAGCTTTTTTGTTTTCAATTAATGAAACAACATGATTTAAACCGTATTTGACAACCAAAGGTTTTTCACGAACATCTTTTGCGTTTTTTCCTTCAGCAATTGCAGCAGCTTCTTTAGTTAATCTTTCCTTTTTTTCACTAGTGGTTTCTGGTCTATATTTATTAAATAATTTAAAAGTTTGAGCAGCAGTGTTTTTGTCTAAAGTATAGTTGAATTGAGCAATTGATGGTGGCACTTTTAATCTCAAAGATAAGATTTTCTTTTGTCTTTGTAATCTAACATATTCTGGCCATTTTACAAATCTTGATAAATTTCTTTTTGGTTGAATTGATTGACCAATACCAAAATTTTTTGGCGATGAAGCCAATAATGGATTTTTATTGGTTTTGGTTGTGTTTGATTTTGAAGCAAATGGAGCTGGAGCAACTTTCTTAGAAGAAGGCTGTGTCATTAAGTTTAAAGTTAATAAAAGGTGTTCTCTATTAGTCAACAAACATATCCTTTTTACTTTAAAACTCTACAGTATCAGTGATACTCAGCCTGTGCATCAAATAAGAAGTGATGACACATTAAAAAACTTATTTAATGCTAACAAACCATCACTCCTAGATGCACATAACTTTGAAAAGTTTAAAATTGAGTTTTAACAAATAGAAAATTTGCAAAATTCAAGACAACTTTGAGTTTTTCAGAAAGTTCATGTCATGCAAGGAGGATGTTGTTCCAGTAACTAGCCATTAAAACATACCATTTTAAATAGTTGTGGTTGATAATATATAATAGAGAAGAAAATGTAAATTGGATGTAAAAATTTTTAAATTTGATGAAGTAAAGTGAAAAATCTAAAAAGTAAAACATTTTGTCTTTAATTACACTACCATTCACCAAATTATAAATAGAAGTAAGAATCAATCACAAATTAATATTTTTAATATTACTCTTTTTTTTTCTTTCTTTTGGAATCAAATCTCTTTGCCTTTTGGCTTAGATCCAGTGTAGTATCTGTTCTTTTCAGTGTAATAACTGAAATGTCATCATTGATGACTTAATGTTTATTTAACACCTTATTTTTGGACAAAATTCGTAAATTAATTTCAAATGGGCTTGCTCATAATTAATTTATAAAGTGTCGTTGCCATTATACTATTTAATTGGCTTCTGATGCATTTACTTTTAAGTGAATATGGTGATATCAAATGGAGATGATATCATTATTCGAATTTAAAAGTGAAACATCGTAGTAGATTCAAACTCTATGCTGCCAAAATTTATCGTAATTTTGTGATAAATTTTTTTATCTCTTATCAGCTTTATAATTACAACCGTATTAAATGAAATGCCTAACTTGATGGACTCAGATGATGAATCTAATATATCTTTTACTGATAATGGATTATTTCCAACTTTAAATAATCAAAGAGACTCACAAAATACCGCCGATTCAAATTCAATCCATCATTTAAGAAATGTGTTTAACAATCAGAATGCAATTGATTCAGATTCATTACTCACAAAACCAAGTGCAACATATCAAAAATTAGAGTCCGTATCACCACCACTACTGAAAGATGATTATTCGATCCATTCAAGTATTATAGACGATATGACCAAGGAAGATCTACTGCAAGAGACTGGAAGATTCAAATATTTAAGATCATATGAAAAACTACTAAAGAATAAGAAACCTACCCACAACGATATACCATTACAGACAATAAAGTCAAATCAATCATCAGTTTTCGAATTATCAAAACTTAATGATTTCGATAGGTTCGTCAAAGAAACTTCATTAAATGATCAAATTATTAGTAAGCTACCTCAAAAGGAACAACAATTACTACAAGTAGTAGATGAACAAGATTTAGGACAGAAATTTTATGCTGGTAATGAAATTTCTACTGAAGGTAAAAACTACAAACTCAAAAACATATTTGGCAAGACTAAGAAGGAAAAAGAAGATAATGAATTCATAACAAATAGTGATGTCAGTGAATTATATTATCCAACGACAAACTCCTCAACAACCAAAAATTCACAATATCTACATAGATCTTTGAAAATACGACATTTGCAGATGATATCATTAGGTGGGACAATTGGAGTTGGGCTATTTTTAAATTCGGGTAAAGCTATCAATATAGCAGGTGGGTTCGGTGCAGTTTTAGCATTTAGTATAGTTGGACTTGTTGTTTTATGTACAATGATGTCTTTTTGTGAAATGGTGACGTTTGTTTCAGTAATAGATGGAGTTTCAGGTTTAAGTTCAAGATTTGTTGATGATGCTTTTGGATTTGCCACTGGTTGGGTATATTTTTTAAGTTTTTCATTTGGAGTTGCGGGGGAAATTGTTGCAGGAGTTATAATGTTATCTTATTGGCCACACCTAAATACTACAACACATAAAGGCTCAACTACAGGGTTTGTTACATTATTTTTGTCATCTATATTAGCAGCAAACCTAATAGATGTAAGAGTATTTGGAGAAATTGAATATATCTCAAGTCTTATAAAATTAATCTGGGCAGTAGTAATGATGTTTATCATGATTTTCTTAAATAGAGGTATATTAGGTGGTGGACCAGTTTTAGGTTTCAGGTATTGGGATAAACTGAAATCTGACTTTGAAAATAATATAATTTTTGGATTATTTAGGCCGAGTTTTAATTTATACGATAGTGGGACAAGTTCACCCACAGATGGAATTGGCGGGAACACAGGTAGATTTTTATCTGTACTTACAGCTATTTTGGTGGTTTGTTATGCTTACTCGGGGACAGAAATTGTTTGTATAGCAGCATGTGAAGCTAAAAATCCAAGAAAAGCATTACCATCGGCAACAAGAAGAGTATTTTGGAGAATTGTTATATTTTATTGTTTGTCTGCATTTTTGGTAACGCTAAATGTTTATGCAGGAGATCCAAGATTATTGAGATATTTACTGGGTAAAACAGGTATTGATAAATCACAATTTGCAACAAACATTGCTATACAATCAGTTGGAGGAGCTCATTGTGCACAAGATTCAGAAGTTTTTGCAGGCTATGGAAGTGGTGCACAAAGTGCATGGATTGTCGCATTACAAAGTGCTGGATTATGTAGGTTAAGTGATGTTACAAATGTATTTTTAGTGTTTTTTGCAGTAAGTTGTGGTAATGCTCAATTATATGTTAGTTCAAGAACTGTTTACGCATTAGCATTACAAGGAAAAGCCCCGAAATTTTTAACTTATTGCAATAAACATGGTATACCATACAATGCAGTATTATTAGCAGGTTCATTTGGGCTACTATCATATACTTGTGTCTCAGAATCTGCTACGGTAGTGTTTCAAAATTTGAATAGTGTAATTGCATCGTCAGGTATATTTGTTTGGTTTGCAATGTGTTTAACATTCATTAGGTTCTTTTTTGGATTGAAAAGAAGACCAGACATACTAAAAAGGACAGATAAATCTTATCCGTATAAATCTTTTGGTCAACCTTATATGGCAATTATTGGAATGGTCTTGACTGCCTTTATAATGTTAAGTATGGGATTTGTTGTGTTTCTAAAAAAGGAATGGAATACAATGTTTTTCTTTTCAAGTTATGGACCATTAATTACATTTGCTGTCTTGTATATTGGTTATAGAATGTTTAAAGGTTCAACTATACCAAGTTTAGATAAATTAGATTTTGATAGTGGTAGAACAGAAATGGATGGTGTAATATGGGATGGTGGTAACGATTACAATAGAAAAAGTATAAAAGAAGTTTTGATAAAATGGTTATCATTTTTAGCATAAATAGAACCAATGAGTAATTCTAGAATTCCATTTATTTGTGTTTCACTTTTGTACCTGAAAATTTGACCCTTTTAGGAAATCTAATTAATTAAAATAATTTAGACGAGAAATTTGAAAAATTATTATCAGATCTTTAGAAATTTGATCTGATCTGAAACAGATTATAATACTTTTTTTTCAACAACCTTTTCTTTTTCACCACCACGTTATCACAATGACTTGGGTTTCTACTGAATCCTTTTTGAAAGGTAAAATCATTAAACCTTTTTTACCAAATGATAAGCACCCAAACTTAAAAAATCCTCATTTTCAACATTTGTATCCAGGAGACCAAGTATTAATTTTTGAGATTAAAGATTCAAAATGGGCAAGAGGTTATGTATTCAAAAATCCAATGCCTCATGATTATGTTACTTCATCTTTTAATTTAAACGCTATACCGGTTCAAAAACAAGAAATCTCAATTTTTCCTTTGAAATATGTTAAAATTGTGAATGAATTTCCATTTCCAAAATTACAAATTAACGAAAATTTTAATAATATTGTTGAAACTAATCAAATTCCTTCAATTAAACAATCTGAATTAAATCATCATGATGCTGTTGGTACTAATCAAGATTTCTCCGGAGCTGAAAACTCATCGCCAATTCCTCCTTTACCAATAAATTTAGATGATAATAAAAATTTATATGATGAAATCAAATATTCTTTAGAATTGTTAACTTCGCAGATCTTTGCATTATATTCAATGGGAGAATTTAAATTGTTTAATAAATTATCAACCATTTATCTTGACTTATATGAAACAAGAACAAAACTAATGTATGATTTATTGACAAAAGAAGAAACTCAAATTGCAAGGGAAACTGCTATTTTCTTGTTAAACAAGATCCCTAAAAAATTAGCCTCAAAGCCGGCAAGAGTTAATTTAAAATCTTATGACTTAGAAAGTGATGGTAATGATGTTGCAGGTTATAAATCAATATTATCGAGAGATTCAAACACTGGAGAATTATTAAATTTGGAAAATTCAATACCTTCAAGAATTGCATTAAATAATGAATGTGAAGCATTAGTTCCAAAATTTCCAATCAATGCTCATAATAACGCATATTCTTATTCTTTAAAGCCGCCACCAAATAAGAGATTTAATCATGAACCACCATCTCATATTTTAGTTGACTTTAAATCAGTTTCTGGTTCGTCTGGTTATTTACCTCCTGGATTTTCAGGTACCACTGCTTATATGTATATAAGAAACTCCAATAAGAGGTTAACTGAAGCATTTGCGGTCCACACAGATTCAGTTGATGATTTAGTTCATGTTGAAAAAATTTCAGCTGCAATGTTTAAAAATTTACCATCAACTGAAATTATTGGTAACAGAGTTTATTTAGTTGCAGTTTTAACTGAAGAAATTGATTTAAATTTAAAAACTCAAACTAACCCAGCACCAACTTTGAAGAAAGTGAAGAAGGGAATTGCAGCAGGTGTAGCTGATATTACAAGAATTTTTTCACAAAATGAAGGGTCCTTGACTTCTGGTGAAGCTCATAATTTCTCAATTAAACTATTTGGTTCTTACTTGAACAGAAAAGGTGCTACTAGAGGTACCTCCGACATTAATTCAGATAACAATGGATGGGGAGAATTAGTTGACAGAATTATTTCTGGTTCAAGTCATGGAATTGCAGTTAATCCAAGAGCTGAGAAATTAGTTGTTACAGTAAAAGAGTTTAAACATCAATTTAATGGTAATTCAACAGATCAAATTTCATTAACTGCACCAATTGCAAGAATTAAACCTATCTTTTATGATCCATTAGCTGAAAATTATGAAAGAATATATTTAAAAATGGGTAAAGTTAGCTTGTTGAATAGTAATTTGAAAGAAGACTTATTAACTTTTGAAGTAAGCACCCCCAATAATGAGTTAATCACTTTTGCCAAAGCATCAAATCAACAAGAAAAGAGATATTGGCAATTTATTTCTGTTTTTCCAGGAGAAGTTATTGGAGAAATTGTTAAAGTTAACAATGTCGCAATGAAAAATAAAAAAACAGCAGTTGAAGATCATATAGTATTAAGTCTTTTTGTTAATGGAGTTTTACTTGGTGAAGGTAAGTTATTATATAAATCAGGAAACAGATTAGTTGAGTACAACAAGAGAAAAACTCATACTATCGAAATCAAAACAACTGGTCAAAATCTTCCAATTGCTCATATTGAATTAAGCACTGAATACGTTGGTAAAATTTATAATTCTGATGTTGCAATTGATAATTTATTTAAATATGAAAATTTATTCAACCAAGGTATTAATGGTATCAACTCATTATCAAATTCTTTAAATTCATTTACGAAATTGGATTTATCTCAGGTAGTTAAATATTTCCCAGAATTATTGACTTCCTTATATGGGATGGTTGATGTTTCAAATCATCATACAGGAAATGACTTTGTCATATTAAGAGATAATATTTTCAGAGCTATTATTCATTTATTGGATACCTTATTTGGTAAACAAGATCAATATCTTTATTTAGTTGATGACTTTTTATCAAAATTCAAAAGACTGGATGTTGTTGGTGTATTTCTATTAGATAAATTAGCTGAAGTTTTCAATGACGCAAATTCAAACTGGACTGCATTATCTAGAGCTGTCTGTAGAACAATGTCCATATTAATGAGGTTAGCCATTGTTTCGTTAAGCTCAAATCATCAACGCGAAGCTTATTTTAATTCAATTAATGGATTATTCAAAGCTATTGCTTATTTTTTGTCAATTGAATCCCCTGGTTTAATCGATGATCAAGTTTTGATATTAGATATTATTGATTATGTTTTTGCATTTAGAACTAATATGGAAGATTCTAAAATTTTACAGTTAATGATTAGCTTTATCAATACATTGGGACTTCGTGGTGTTGGAGCTGATGAATTAAATTATGATGGTACTGCTAAAAACAAAAACAAAGAACATAAATTAGTCATTAGTAAGCTATTATTAATTTTAAGATTATTGAATACTTCTTTGGTTGATAACAAGGAAACAAGAGGTAAATTAATTCCAATGTCAATTCAATGGGTTATGGAAATTTTATTAGGTCCAACTGATGTGGAAGCAACAAGATTAGGTTGTAGTATTATCAATGCAGTTTGTACAATCATGTGGGAAAAAATCTTACCCTATGAAGATGAAGATGATTTAGAGTTATGCTTCTCATTAGCTAAATTTCTACCACCAATGTCAAGAACTTTCATCAAATATAACAAATTTACAAGAGGAAATGAATTTTTTAAGTCAAAAAGAACATTTACTCAATTGTTTCCAGTTACTTACCCTTTTAACACTTTCACAATTGATCAAGTTGTTAATGATGAAGTAATGGTTGAAGTTTTGGTGGAGTTAGCTATTTGCTTCTGTTTTATTGCCAGAGTTGGTAAAGCAGCAGCTGGAAATACAGGTTATGATAAAATTTTGAACACACCATTGAAAAACGATTTTTTCAATGCTGATAAATATACTGCAAGTAATTTTCAAAGTGAAGATTTATTGACTGTAATTTCTGGTATAAAATATTTAAGACAAGGTAAATATTTTCCAGAGGATAAATGGTTATCATTATATTCAGTTATTACTGATGGTTGTTTGTGTGCTATGGAATTGATTAGACCATTAATTTTAACTTATCAATTACCGCCCATTGAACACGCTGAAGCTTTTGATAGAATTTTATGGGGCAACTACTTGAAAACATTATTTAAGTTAGCTGTTTTACCAGTAGTTGCAGTTGAACATTTGTCAACAGTTCCTAAAAAGGCATGTGCTAATATAACGAATGATGTTAGAAATCGTGCAGCTTTTTTGATTAATGAAGCTTGGGATTCATTAGCTTGGGAATCAACTGAAGAAGACGTAATTAGATTTAGTTTGAATAAATTTGGTGGTTACCAAGTTGAATTTATTAATGAAGAATATGGTATAATTGGTGAATTAATGATTTTTGGATTACAAAGAAATGAAGAATGTCAATCAGTCGCTGTTAAAATATTATGGTCAATGATCATTTCAGAATATATTTTAAGTGAAAATCTAAGAGAAGTAGAAAAACAATGTTTATTAGGACTTTATGAAATTTATCAAAAAGTTGGTTATAAGCCGACAAAAGAAGATATGGATAGTTTTATTGAAAGATTAAAGGCAACAATTAGATTAGATAGAGAAGATGAAGCTTTTAATGTTATTTACGGTTTTATCAAAAGTCTTTCAGCTTTCTGTACAACTTTAACTTACTACTCAAGTGTACCAGTTGGACCAGAGTTTGACGAAGATAGAGCTTTCCATAATGTTAAATTAAGAGCACAAATTAAAACCGCTGGTAAACCTGAATTATTTAATTCGTTCATAAATACCATGTATGAATATAATATTACCAAAAATGATTTTGTTCAAGCAGCATTAAGTTTAGAATTATTAGCTTCAACTTATGATTGGGATCACAATAAAATAGTCCCATCAAGTTATAGACCAAAATTCCCAGAACAAACGTCATTTGAAAGAAAAGAATTATTATATAAAATGATCGCAAATAATTTTGTAAAGGGAAATAGTTTGGAAAAAGCAGCTGATACCTTCAATGAACTATTAGACTCATATAATGAACATACTTACGATTTGAAGAGTTTTGCTTATGTTCACAACAAGTTATCTCAATTATATTTAGATTTAGAATCTTCAGATAAATTAGAACCTTCATATTTTAGAGTTGAAGCGATTGGTACTGGATTCCCAATGTATATGAGAGTAATTTCACAAATTTATCAAGGGTTGCCATTTGAACATATTACTTCAGTTCATGAAAGATTATTGAAAGTATTTCCTGGTGCTTTAATTGTTAGTGAAGATAGTGAAGCTCAAAAATTGAAAGATCAAGGAGCAATTGGAAGATTTATCCACGTCAAAGCAGTTGAACCAGTTTCAGAATTTTCAGATAAATTATTTAATACAACTTTAGGTGTACGTCAATATGCAAGAAACAAAGATTTAAGATTTTTCACAAGTTTGAAAAAGATTCCTGGTTCAACTTCAGTTTTTGATTTATGGACTGAACAAACTACTTACGAAGCTTGGTTATCTTTCCCAACATTAATGAATAGATCATTTATAAAAGGTTCTAAAACTATACGATTATCACCAATCGAAAATGCTTTACGTACAATCTCCAAAAGAAATGATGATTTAATTACTTTGGAAAATTTGATTAATGTTGCAATAAAAGATAAAACTGATTATTCAGAATATTTCAATGATTTATCAAGACAATTGAGTGGAACTGTAGATGCACCAGTTAATGGAGGTGTTAATCAATATAGATTGTTTTTCACTGAATCAAAATATCAAAGTAGTGAAGAAGATCATAATAAAGCAAAATTATTATCAAAAGCTTTCAAAGATTTAGCAATCATTTTAAATCGTTGTTTAATATTACATGGTAAACTAATTCCAACAACAATGAAAATGTCTCATAATGCATTAATTGAATTATTCCAAAAGAATTTTGCTATTGAAATCGATTCATTAAAATTGTCAATGGATGAATCACCAAGTCAACAACCAACAGCAGCTTCAAGAGTTTCAGTATTCCACGATAAAAGATCAAATTCATCAATGCTCGGAGATAGATCTTCTGCAAGTACTTATAATTACGCACAGTCTCAAAGAACTTCATCAATCACTGGTTCATCAATTGCAGGAGGTATTGGTTCAACAATTTCCACAACTACTGCAAGATTATTTAGATCAAATACTAATTCTTCTACAAATTCAAATAAATCTAATGGAAGATCAGAAAATGGAAGTAAATTTACATCAAATAGTTATTCACAAAACAATAATTTGAACAGTAGTAACAATAGTACAAATAATGGATCAATTCAACAAAGTATTGGTGGTAATTCTCAATTTACAAATTTAAATCATCAAAGAAGCATGCTCGACGGTGCTGGTAATAATGGTAATAAGAAAGCAAAACCTTCAGGTATTCTGAAAAGTACTGCCATAAATGGTTCATGGTGAGTACAGAAATATTTACATTATACATTTCGAGATAGTTTTTAGATTTATTTAACTTACATCATTTGAATATCTTTGAAAGCCCATCAACTCTACATCTTGTTTCCAATCAAATTCATGACGTGGTTTGATTTTGTTGAACGTTTAAAGAAGTAGTGCATTTTTAACACTATCTGGATTTCTTTCTAGTTAAGGAGACTTGTTTGTAGATAGCTCAACCACAACAAACTTAGAATAGCTAAGCTCATTTGGTATTGGAGTTTTTAGATTATTTGAATTTTCGTCATCTAAACTCAATTGATTTTCAACTTGAGAAAATGAGGGTTTGCGGGTTTGCATTTAATGTAGTATCATTAGTTAAATTATTGATTGAGTTATTCGTCTGTTAATAAATTTCTTATACATTTGCCTCAAAATTAACTACTTAATATCAATTGAGTTTATATCCACCTAGGTATAACTCTTAATTGACTAGCAGATTTAACATCAACCAATTCAAAACTCCTCGTTTATTCGAATATAGTTTGGTTAAGTCCTAAGTTAATGTATATAAAAATCACCAACCAACTGGTAGTAACTTCTCATACTAATAAAAATTGTATTACGTAATATCCTATTAAATTTTTAATATTGTTTAAGAAAATTAAAATTGAGACACTTTGAAAAGAAAGACTTCATTAACACAAAGTTTCATAACAAGTCAATAATCACATATATAGATAGAGATGTTTAGATTAACAGCAAGATCATTAACCAACTCACTCAAAGTATCACAACCAATTTTAAGATCAACTACTTTGGTAAATCCAATACGTTTTTATGTATCACCACCTATTACAAGAGATGAAGTTATTAATAGAGCTTTTGAAGCCTTGAAAACTGTTGGATCAATTCAAGAAGCCAATATTTCATTAGATAGCTCATTTCAAAAAGATTTAGGATTAGATTCATTAGATACTGTTGAAGCCTTAGTTGCATTAGAAGAAGAATTTGATTTAGAAATTCCTGATAAAATCGCTGATGAAATTAAAACTGTTGGAGAAGCCGTTGATTATATTTTAAAAGAAGAGACTAAAGAATAAACAATTTCAAAAGTTCGTGGGATTTGAAGAAAGGGTATAATGTTGTTAGACGAACTAATGATTACATATTCTATTTATATTGTATATATATCTATATAAACTATTATTAATAAGAAATAATAGTGAACAATTAATCACAATAGTTTTCAATATTTGCACTCTTGATAGAACTTGTGAACTTGTTTTGGTCGATGTTTACTAAGATTTTAATAATGTAATAATGTTATATTATATTATTTACTTTATACACGAAATATAATTACATAATATATTCTAGAACGATATCTCACTACATTACTAATTTACATAATCAACATAAAGCTAGGTACTCAATGTCTACTGAACAAGGTAAAGATAATAAAATTGATGCCCCTGATCAAGATACATCAATTGAAAATCTTAGATTAGTAGACGAGTCACATACTGAAGATGAAGAACATGATGAAGAAGACGAACCAGATCAAGAGCAAGAAAATGGAGCAATCCAATATCCAGGAACAGTTTTACCAGATAATAATCAACAAGAAATTGATGCAGACCAAAATTTAATTGCAGATTTGGATCCAAATACTGAGTTTATTGATTTAGTTCACTTAAAAATTTCATCATTAGAGGACTTGGATTTATCAAGGTTTAAAAAATTAGAATCATTGTGTTTAAGACAAAATTTAATTACATCAATGGTTGGAGTTAAAGAAATCTCAGATACATTAGAAGAACTAGACTTTTATGACAACAGAATAAATCATATATCAAGTTCAATACAACATTTGGTAAACTTAACAAATCTTGATTTATCATTTAACAAGATCAAAAACATTAAAAATCTAGAAACATTGATTAAACTAACAAATTTATATTTTGTTGCAAATAATATCAGGGAGATAAAGAATTTGGATAGTCTAACTAATATTACCAATTTAGAATTAGGTGGAAACAAAATTGAAAAAATTGAAAATCTTGATAAGTTAACACAAATTACTCAATTATGGCTTGGTAAAAATAGGATTTATAAATTAGAAAATTTAACACCATTGATAAATCTTAGAGTATTATCAATTCAATCAAATAGAATAAGTAAAATCGAAGGTTTGGAAAATTGTAAAAATTTAGAAGAACTATATTTATCTCATAATGGTATTACAAAAATTGAAAATTTAAATGAAAATTTAAACTTACAAGTTCTTGACTTAACGTCAAATAAATTAACTGAATTATCTGACTTAAAGCAACTAACAAAATTAACTGATTTTTGGTGTTCATATAATCTAATATCAAGTTTTGAGAATATTGGTAAAGAATTAGGTAAATTACCTGATTTAGAATGTGTTTATTTTGAAGGAAATCCTGTACAAACTGAAAATCCAAGTGCATATAGAAGAAAATTGAAACTTTATTTGGGTCCATCTTTGAATAAAATAGATGCAACTTACATACATTCGTGATCATGCATTCAACCAATGGGGATTTTTTTGTATAACATACATACTAATTTGACATAAATATGCATAGCTAAGCAATCATATTGCTATATAAATAAAAATCTATTTGCCTACAATCTTAATTTGGTGATCTTTTGAAATCACTTACCCGTTCAAAAATGTTTTCTCCATGGTTTAATAATTATGAAAATGATGATGATGATTTCTTTTTAAGACCACGTAAATATACAAGTTCTTTACCACAAAGAAGGGTTCATCCTAAATTTGGTCTTCAATGGCATCGGGGCAATCAAGAAGAGGAACAGCCAAATGAACCGCAAGATAAAAGTTTATCCACTAGGCCTAAACATCGTCAACCACAAGAATTTTGGAATAGAAATTTCCATTTGAATTTTGGGATCATCCATATAGATACTGGGGTAATTGGGGTAAATCAAAATCGGGACAATATTTTTTAGGATTTGATGATAGTTTGCATAGCGAAGAGAAAAATGATAAGTATTTAGTAACATTCAAAGAAAATGGTTTAAATGAAGATAACATAAAAATTGATTTTAATGAAGAAAAGAATGAGCTATTAATTAATGTTAATTTAGATGAAGAACCTGAGACTCTGAGTAGTTTTAAGAATTATCAAAGCACTATAAAATTTAACAAACCGATCAATATTCAAGATATCGAAGCTGAAGTGGATGAAAATGGGGTTGAATTAATTTTGCCAAAGACTCATGCTGATGATGAAAACTACCATCATGTTGAATTGAGGAAAAAGAAATGATTTTCTTATGTAAAGCCAAGTATATATGTACTTCTGTAATAATTTAATGACATATTTTTAATCTATGTGTAAATGAAGATTTTGTGTATAGATCTCGTCACTATAAATTGGCTGCGAAAAATAACAAACTTTTGCAACACTTAAAAATATCTAAAATATTAAATATTATGTTCATCAAAAGTATTTTCTTTCTACCAACAACTTTTGAAAAATTGTGCTTGATGAGGGGCCGCTTTAGAGGACTAAGTCGTAAATTCTTCAACAAATATAAACCATCCAAAACCGACAAAATCAATTTTAAAAAAACAAGAAATAGAAGTACTTCAAGCGAAAGTAAACCAACTAAAAGTCAACATGAATTGGTGGTTTTATCTGAAACTGATCCAAATGAAATGATTGACTTTTTGAAAAATACCTCACCAGTTGATTTTCATACTTCACCAGAAAACAAATCATTTTTTAATCCAAAAACAAGAAATCACAATAGTCAGAGAATTTTTCTGAGTTTTTTAAATCAAGATGAATTATCATTAGATCAATTATGTACTGTTATTGATAGAGAAATTTTCAAAATTGAAGAAAACTCAAAATCTAGAGCTGGTCATCACAAATATGAATCAAGGTTCAAAGAAAATATTGATAGTGATGAACCAAAACAAGTCAAAGATCCAATGAAGAATAAATTTAAAAAAGACGAAGATTTCATCGTCACTGACAAGGATCCAAAGCATACAAATTTAAATTCTGAAGATATTTTAATTCCAAAGGGTCCATCAAGAAATGATACAATGCAAACAATTACAAAAAACATTCAAAAATCTGGAGATGATTTTTTTAATTTTCAAACAAATAATGTAGTTGTTGAAAATGAATTTAAACATATAAAATTTAGTGACGACTGGGAACCATTTTATTATATTAATGAATTTCCTACAACCCCTCAAAGATTTGGATTTTATGATAAAAGTTTTGAAAATGTTAGATTTGATGACTTAGATAGAGCTAATGTTAGTGATGGGTATCTTGATACTTTAGAAGTAGCTAAATTAAGATACTATAAAAACAAAAAAAATTAATTACAAATTGTTTTTGCTATGTTGTATAATGTTTATACTGTCTTGTGTGTACTACTAATATACTATGCAATTGTTAACTCTATTAAACTTATTCCAAATTATTATCTTCAGTTTTATAATTATCCAACACAATTCTGTAAATAAATGATGGAGCAAATCCACCAACATTTGTAATAAAAATATCAATATGTTCAGGTGGTATATAATCATCGAGCGGGTTCATTACAACTTCAACATTATCAACTAAATTGTAGTCATTATAATTTAAAACTTTTCCAGAATTTCCAACTTCAATTAAATCATTTCTTGTGAATGGGTACAATGGTGACAATTTATATAATCCGGCAACTGCGAATACGGGAGTCTTGTGTTCTTTTGCACATTCAACAACACTTGCTACTCCACTTGATGATAAACAACCACCATTTAAAAATACTGCATTTGTCCCCAATATAACTTTCCCAACTCTTGACATTACTGCATAAGTGGTAGTATCTGGAATTAAAATCGTTTCAATGTTATTTTCAGCTAATTTTTTGGCAAATAATTGTGATTGTTTTAAATTGTTTGGGTAATTTTCAGTAACTAAGACAGTGAATTTTCTTTTCGATCTTGCTTTCAATAAGAAATGTAATACAGTATCTGATGTTGGTGTTGGTGTTAATAATATTTCATTATCATGGATTAAATCAACACTCATAGTTTCTAAATTTTCATTAACTGTTGATATTTCATCAACTAAATCTTTTATTCCTTGAATTAAGATACTTCTCAATTCACTTGTTTGTTTTTTGGATGGTTGTGGAGTATTATTGGTAGACTCAGTATCAGTAGTATTTGTAGTTAATAAGCTAAACATTGAACTCATCATTGGGATATTGGTTGTATTGGTTTGATTGTTATTTAAATTCTGATTATTTTCTTCATTTGCAGTTTCAATTTCATCACGTATTAAAGCTAATACTCTTCTCACTATATTACCAGGTATAACATTTTTGGGATATGCTTTATCTAATATTACTCCAACTTTTCTTATGATTTTTATCAAGTCATTTATATTTGACCATCTTGCAACCGCTATAATTTTCATTAATAATTGAGATATAGTTAATGCCATTTCTTTATCATCTTGAATTTGATGTCGTTTAAGGGTTGCCACTACTGGATCTATTAGCACCTGCACTTCAGGCGTTATTAACGATGACATTATTTGTAGTAGTGATTTAGATTGATTTTTCAATTAGGTCTGATTCATATAAGGTGAAAAAAAATATTTATTAAAAAATTGTACAGAAGTGTTGCAAAAGATCAAATACTACAAAATTCTAAGAATCTTTTTTATTACGAATCAACTTACCAATTCTCAATATATACAGAAAGCTTTCAAGTTTACTAACTCTATAATTTAATACCAATATGAATACTAGCAACACCAAAAGTTAAATTTTCATAACCAGGTTCAGGTACATAAAACCCAGCTTTTTCAATCATTCCTTTAAATTGATCTTGAGTTGGAAATTTTTGAATACTTTCAACTAAATATTGATAAGATTCTCTATCATTTGCAATTAATTGTCCCATTAATGGTAATAATGAGAACGAATACAATTGATATCCATAATCTATTATTGGATTATTTACTTTTGAAAATTCTAAACATGCAAATATTCCACCTGGTTTCAACACTCTATATGCTGTATTAAGACCTTCTTGAATATTTGTGAAATTTCTTATACCAAACGCAATAGTATATATATCTTTTGAATTATCTGGGATTTTATCCATTGTTTCACCGTTTTGTACCAAAAATTCAACTCTTTTTGGATCTTCTTTTGCCCATTTAGTTTCATTAAATCTGATCTCTCCTTCTCTTAACATATCAGGATTTATATCAGCTATAGTCATCTTGGATTTTATATCACCAAATTTAGATTCAGCATGATCTAATAATCCAAATGCTATATCTCCAGTACCACCAGCAACATCCAAAAATTCTAATGGCTCAGTTGAGCTTGGTCTCATTCCAGCATCTAATCTATTTATAAAATGTTGTTTCCATAATCTATGTACTCCCATTGACATAACATCATTCATTAAATCATAATTTGATGCAACTGATGAAAAAACTCCTCCAACTAAATTTTCTTTATCTGATTTATTTACTGTCTTGTAACCAAAATGTGTAGTATCTAATTCTGGATTTGCTTTTGGTGGAGGTGGAGGTGGAGTATGTTTTGTAGAATGTAAATGTTCATCATTTGGTGGTGGTGGAGCAGCTGATGCTGAATATGATTTTTTAAAGACAATTTTACTTGCAATTGGTTCAATTTGCCTTTTAGTAGTTTGTAAAACAACCCTAGATACAGAATGATGAAACATTTCAGTTTATGGATTAATTATTATCTTGTTAAAACGAAAGAACGATAGATAATTCGCAATTAAATTTTTAGTACAATTGTTTTAAACTTTCTCGTTTTATTTCGTACAAACTAAATTCGACTAATTAAGAGGTAATTTTTCTACAACATCATAATTCAATAATTAGGTAAGTTGATTCTAAATTGAGTTTCGATATACTCTTCTATTAATTTATTTGGGTCATATAAATATACAAGCTTAGCTTCTAGTATTATATGTAGTTTTTTTTTTAAATAAGTTGTTCATATTGTTTCTAAGATTTTTCAAAGTAGATTAAGCTTGAACAATTCTAACAGTATTAGAATGACCTGAACCTCTTGTCCAACCTTGTACAGTAACAATTGAATCACCTTTTGAAATAATTCCTAAATCAATAGCTTCTGATACTGCCCATCTTAATCTATTTTCAACATCTTCTTGCCAATTAGCTGATTTTTCTTTTGTATAAACAAAAGGATAAACACCTCTATATAAATGAGAATATTTTGCACTTCTTTCATTTCTTGTAACCATTAAAATTGGAACATCTGGTTTATATTTTGAAACTAATCTTGCTGAAAGACCTGAAGTTGATAAAACAACAATTGCTTTAGCATCTTGTTCATAAGTTGCCGATACTGCTGCAACAGCACAAGTTTCAGTAGTTGGAGTTGGTTTTTTAGCTAATGATCTTAATTCATTAAATAATTGTGGATATGCAATTGCTTTTTCAGCAATAAGACAAGTATTATGCATCATTGATACAGCTTCAAATGGATAATTACCTTTAGCAGTTTCACCTGATAACATAACACAATCAGCACCATCTAAAATGGCATTACCAACATCTGATACTTCAGCTCTTGTTGGTCTTGGATTATAAGTCATTGATTCCAACATTTGAGTAGCACAAATAACTGGTTTAGCAGCTAAATTACATTTAGCAATTAATTGTTTTTGAACAACAAAAACTTGTGGAGCAGGAATTTCAATACCTAAATCACCTCTTGCAACCATAACACCATCAGTTTCTTGTAAAATTTCATCAAAATTATTTACACCTTGTTGATTTTCTATTTTAGAAATAATTTGAATATCTTTACCTTCTTCACCTAAAACTTTTCTAATATGTTTGATATCATCTGCCGCTCTAATAAATGAAGCAAAAATCATATGAATACCATTTTTTAAACCAAATTTAATATCATCAATATCCTTTTGTGATAAAGCTGGTAAATCAACATCAGTACCTGGTAAATTAACACCTTTATGAGAACAAATTTTACCAGCATTTAATGATTTAACTTTTAAGGTACTATCATCTAAAACATCTAAAACCTCAAATGATAAAACACCATCATCAACATATATTAACTTACCTGGTGTAATGACTTTTGTAATATTTTTATAATCAATATACATAGTATCAGCATTACATTTTAATTTATATGCATCATCAGTAGTAAAAATCATTTCATGATTTGGAGGAATTGGATAATCTTCATCATTAATAGTAGTACCAGTTCTAATTTCTGGACCTTTAGTATCTAAAGCAATTGCTAATGGTCTACCTTTATAAACTTCTTCAGATTTTCTTGCATGATCAATAACTGATTGATGATATTCATAAGAACCATGAGAAAAATTCATTCTAACAATATTTAAACCAGCTTTTCTTAATTTAACTAATACTTCAACACTATTAGTTTTTGGACCAATTGTTCCAATAATTGAAGATCTTCTTAAATATTTATGAGGAGTTTGTTCAATATTTAAATTTGATAACCAAGATAATGATGAATGAGACATTTTTGATGATAATTTTACTTTTTGGTGTTTGAATAGTTAGTGAATATTAAAAGTCAATTGAATGAACTAAAGATCAATTTTGAAAAGAAAATAATAATAATCTATCAAATATATATTTATCAATTGAAAATAATTATATGAATTTTTTCTAAATTTGCTTTTGTCTTGTATTAATATTAAAAAAAATAAATATACTCCGTAAAGGAGTGTTCCGATTCAAAATTTTATTTAATAGTACAAAATTTATTTTAAACAACGTTTTTATTAAAAATACTTCATCAATTCAATTTAAAGAGGATGGATTAATTAGAGCTATTCTGATAATTCAAAATCAATTATCAATTATGTAATTCAATTAATTTGAAATAATAATATTTTAAACGATCTCTAATAATAATATCTTAAAATTAAAGATTAATCAAACATATTATTACATTAAATTGAATAAAATTTAAATCTTTTTTTTTGTCATATCTCATCTCTTTTTTATGTAATTATTTATTATCATTTACTGCATCAGTTTGTTGATTTATAAATCAATTAAACTTACTAAATTCAATGATTAATATATAATTATCGGATCGATACTAATGATCAAACTTTTATACCAAATTATTTTATACCAATGATCAGAGTCTTAAGCCTTTTAAATATCTTATCAAACGTATAATTATCAGAGTCTTCACTATTTCCATACAACAAATACGATATTGCGGTTTAAAGCTTACTGCAAATTTTAGCTCATTTGACGATTGGAGGATTTATATGATCTCATGATTATTAACTTCAATATTGTTGCAGATATTGATTACTTTTAGATCGGTTATAAATCTAGCATTAGTTACATATTAAGAAAATACGAGACAAGTTGCGTTTTTGTGCAATACTTTAAATCATAATTAGATCTATGCATTGTAGTAGATATTGAACAATACTACTGAATATCTCTTAAATTTTTATATTTGGAAGATAGTTGTCCATATTAATTACATTTAAATATCTATCAGCTAGTACGTTAGTCGGGTAGAGCAAAACCTATCTATGCCAAAATTAACATGGATCAAAGCATATGAGTTGGTAAAATTAATTCACTTTTCTCCGTAGAAATACAAAAAGAATCAACTCTACAATATTGAATAAGCATGTTACATACAACATACACATAAAAAACATACATTAATGAAACTATATAGTATCATCCCTTCTTAAGATATCAATTCTCAGGGCCCATAAAATATTATAAGGGTTTTACTATTGCAATGTCCACAAACTAATTTTGATAAGATTTGAGTAAAAATGAGCTGAATATCGTACCAAAAGCATGAATATTGAGAATTCCTCATCATTGCTTATTATTATCACTAATGTTTCACCATAAAAATTTGGATTCAGAATTTCATAAGCCCAAAATGAATTTAGATTCTTTTAATTATTCATTGTTTTTGGTACTCCCAAAGCTTCATTTTTCGTCAAATTTATAAAAACTAATCGAATTAGTATCATTCCCATAAAAAATGATATATTCGAAAAGAATCCATCACCAAATTCAACCTATGGAGCGTAGATCTGCATTTTTCACTCTAATCGACCTCAAAAACGCCTATTTTCAGGTACCTATCGATCAAAACTCTGATACATTGAATTTTTGAATTTTATTTTTTAATTGTAAATTATCTAATTGTTGTGCTCAATTCAAAAATAAGCTACTTTTAAGGCTACCAATTGATTGATAATTTTTAATACTTAATGGTAATAATTTAAACAACTTAACTTTTATATAATCTATGTATGGATTTTCATAAATAAGAATAAACAGCTGATGGAAATGGTTCTAGCTTGAAACATTGACATTACTTGATTCTGTTGTGAAGTTACTCAAAAATGATAAATTGATCTCCTTACCGAGTAAAATAATTGAATACGTTCACTCATCGTTAAAATTTTCTTTAGCTCCTTAATTTCTACGTAGATGTATAAAAAGAATCAGCTCTACAATGTTGATTAAGCATGTTACATACAATATACACATAAAAAACATACATTAATGAAACTATATAGAATCGTCCTCTCCTTCGACACAAATGTTTTTGGCAATTTAACATTTTACAAAGGTTTCGTAACTTCAGAATTGTAATGTCCACAAACTAATTTTGATAAGTTTTTGAGGAAAAATGAGATGAATATCGTATCACAAGCTAAACAATGAATATTGAGAATTACTCATATTATTACTTATTATTATTAGTAATATTTTACCATAAAAGTTTGAATTCAGGTATCATAAGCCCAAAATGAGTTTAAATTCTTTTCATTATTCATTGTTTTTGGTACTCCCAAAGCTTCATTTTTCATCATATTTATAAAAACTAATCAAATTAGTATCATTTTTTTTTGAAAAATGATATATTCGAAAAGAATCCATTACCAAATTCAATTTATGGAGCGTAGAACTCCATTTTTTACCCTAATTGATGTAAAGAACGCCTATTTTCAAATTCCAATCAATCAATACTCTGAAGAATTGAATTTTTGAATATTTTTTTCAATTGTAAATTATCTAGTTGTGCTCAATTCAACATTAAGCTATATTTTTAAAGTCTACCAATTGCGTTATATAGTTTAATATTATATTGTAATTTATTATTTGTACATAATTAAAAGTATTTTAATTATTATAATTATCAATACATAACGTGTCATCTTTATGCAAGGACAATGCTAATCTTCTCTGTATTGTTAAATTTGACAAATGTACTGTTTGTTTTTCAAAGATAATAAAATCCCATTGAAGCTAAATTATATCAATCTCGTATTACATAACTTGATCGTTGAAACAAGTTCGGACAATTCAAGTTACAAGGGGAGTGTTGAATATGCGATAGAAAGTGATATGCAGGAGCTGAATTATTAGGAAAATGTTTGTTAGTGTCCTTTTAGGTGTTGCTTTTTTAACAGTAGCTGAAAGAAAGAGTAAATATTGTATATTATTTATATATATTTTTAGAATATATGAACTAGGAATTTACTATATAAAAGGAAATAACAAGGAATCAATTTATTCCTAATCGCAAAAATTTAAAATTGAAGAACTTAATTATAAATATAGGTGATGTTTCCATATTTATAGGTTGAGAGAATTGAATCAGATATAGAAAATAACAACTCATATACTTTAAATACTTTAATATAAGCCTTAATAACTCTTCATACTGTATAATAAATCAACATCTTTTTAATTTATTTGTTACACAAAATTAGATAATTTATCAACACGTTATCAGGTTGTTACTACAAACTCGTATATAATCTATATAGGATTCTGAAATCAGCCTCGTAACCTAAAATAAAGAGCCGATAGAAAATATTTCCAGCCTGAAACAAAAAATAGGGCCATTACTTGATTACGTTATAGGTATTAATAAATGATCTCTTTACCGAGCACAACCATTTAATAAGTTCAATTCATCGTCGGATACCCCTTAGCTTCCTTAATTTCTACGTAGATATACAAAGAGAATCAACTCTACAGTATTGATTAAGCATGTTACATACAATATACACATAAAAAACATACATTAATGAAACTATATCCTCTCCTTAGACAGAAGTATATTTGGCCCTTTGACTTTCTACAAGGGATTCGTAATTACAATGTCCACAAACTAATCTTGATAAAATTTGAGTAAAAATGAATTGAGTATCGTAACGAAAGCAAAATAATGAATATTGAGACTTATTCATCTTTATCACTTGTTATTTTTATTACCTATATTTCACCTTAAAAACTTGGATCCAAAATTTAATAAGCCCAGAATGAATTTGAATTCCTCTAATTATTTATTGTTTTCCATACTTCCCAACTTCCATTTTTCATCAAATTGACAAAAACTAATCGAATTAATATCATTTTTAAAAAAATATGATAAATTCAAAAAGAATCCATGACCAAATCTAATTCATGAACTTAGACTTCCAATATTCACAATTATTGACTTGTCCAGAGCTTATTTCCAAATTGGCCCGAATGAGAATCTCTGAAGATTGGAATTTTTAAATTTTTTTTTATGTAAATTATTTTGTTGTGCTCAATTTTACAATGGATTTTGAAATCTTCATTCAAATCCACAAGTAAAGAGCTGATGAAACTTGTCCCAGCTTGAAATATTGATGTTGCCTGATTATGTTGTAAAGTTTTTCTGAGATAATAAGTTAGTTATTTTGTATAACAAAATAACAATTTTGTGTAATAAAGTCTACATAGTGGTTCCTTTTGCAAGATTAGATATGGCAGTTTATTAATTCAAGTACAACTAAAATTAGAGAATCAAACAAAACCAGTATCAAGAAATCAGATATATTACAAACTTTTATGTTAAAGCTCAATTAAGTTCAAATCCACATCATCAATAGCATAACTTTTATATTTCATTAAAACAATAAATAATGGTTGTACCCATAGTATTAGGAATTGGAGTAACAGTACTAGCATTAACAACAAAAGCAACATTATCAGCATATAGACAATACTTACATCTAACACCATCAATGATAGCTACATTAAACAATATAAAACTAATAAACCCTCAAGATTCAACATGGATAAAAAAATCAGATCCTAGATATAAACATTATCAATTTTTAAAACTGAAATATCCTAATAAAAATTTTAATCAAACAATGACTGAACAAGAAGCATTATTTATATTAGGTATAGAAGGTGATGATATACTAAATTTAGATAAAAAATTAATTAGAGAAAGGTATAGAAAATTAATGGGTTATAATCATCCTGATAAAAATGGTAGTTTATATTTAAGTCAAAAAATTAATGAAGCAAAAGATATTTTGGATAAAAGTTATATGGTTAATAAATAAGGTTCTTTGTATATAGATAGATCATAAATGAGATATGATAGAATTGGCATAAGGATATGGGATCCAAGTATAAAGCTTTGAATGTAGACCAAGTCCTACTCATGAATATTTTCAAAAGAGCATTACTTCGTCAACTTCTTTCCCATAGTAAGTAAGGGAAAAACTTTTCAATTTCCATAAGCAATTTCAGTAATCTGCTTATCAGACCCTTGTTAATGACACTCTTTTAAACTAATATTTGTAACTTATTTAATACAAGATCATTTTAGTATTAATCAATTTTTTATCATATGAATTTCCTTTCTTCCATTAATGAGTTTATCCGAAATTAGCAAGTTCTTTAAAATTGAGTCATAATACTTTAAAGTGTTGTATAATTGATGAAATGTTTAAAAACTTCCATATAACCTTAAATGTTTAATCAAACTTTCCATATAACCGATCAAATAATTAATCCGAACTCTTATTAACTAAGAGTAGTAACTAAAATAATATACAGTACTATCAATAAGATAATCAAAAAAGTACAAACAAATTTACATTGATAAAATACAAATACAAATAAATCATTAGAATTAATTAAAGCAAGATATTGAATTCTATTATTTTTATCAAAGAAATAAATTAAAAAGGGGGAAGAATCTCTAAATTTTATATCATGATATATTTAAAGTGTTACAGATTATAAAGAACGTGGCTAAATGATTATCATAAAATTTCTTAATAAGAAAAAGAAAACAAATTATAATCTTATTTAAAAGAAAAGTAAAATAAGATAAGTTTAAAGATTTTTAAAACAATTTATTTGTTTCTAATTTACTATATTTTATAAAAGTATATAAGTAAACTATAATTTTAATATGTTTAACCATAGTCATTACGTTTGTATGAATAATATTACTAGTTTAGTGATAATAATACGAATGGTATTAAACACTTGTTAAATTACTTAATTAATGTTTATTCATAATAATTTTTAACATTATTTGAAAGGCGTCAATTAAATTAAAAAAAAATGGTGAGATAATAAAAATTATTTTTTCTTTTAAATTCCCCTCTTTTTTCTACTTAACAAAGATTTGAAACAGTAATTAACAACTAAATAAAACACTTCATAAATATTATATATCTAGATATATAGCTAATAACAGCATTGCCAGCTACATAAATTTGTTTACAATTCAATAAATTACTACAATTGGTCTTTCTTTTCTCTTACTATATAATCATTTAATTTAATTATATATTGTAGATCTCAGATTAATTAAGTAATTAATTAATTAATAAAATGTATATAATTTCTATTTCCCGTTAGACCATCATTTTAAATTTATTGTTGAACATCTCGGATTAATTAATTTTTTTGTGTTGAGTTTCGGATTAATTAAATTTACTTAATAATTTAAAAATTAAGATAGCCTTCTTTTTTCGTTTTTTTTTTTAATTTTCTTTCTTATTTTTATTTTATTAAATCATTTGAAAATAAATTTATTTATTTATATTTTATAAAATGTGTCTCCAATGATAATTATAATAATTTTTCTTATAGATATAATAATTTCTTTTATATCAAACCATCAACTCTAACTATTATTTAAAGTTTTTATTATAAATACAAAGTTCTTGAATATTATATAAGACTCATTTTTTTATTTTTACCAAACTAATATTTAAATATTAAATGATAAACAACTACTACGAAAAATCAACTAAATAATAATATTCCATTTGAATCTAGAAAAAGAATGTCAATATTCAATTTATATGAAGAAGATACAATAAATATGGATAATACTAATAATAATAACATTAATAATCAACAGCCGAATAATCAATTAATTACAACAATGACATTACAACAACAACAAAATCTAATATCACAAAATTCATCATCATCAATAAATTCAATATTTGATGATAATTCAAATAATAATAATAATAATAACCTTTTAAAAACTCAATCAAGTACATCAACAATAACTCCAATTTTATCAAGAAATGGATCAATAAGGTATAATCACAAACTTTCATCAAATAATTTAAAATTAACTAAAATATCGACAAAAGATGAAGAATTTTTATCTAACTTAAATCAAAAATTAAATAACTTGTCACAATCTCAACAACAACAACAACAACAACAACCAATAATAGAATCATCAAATGAAAAATTAATAATCCTTTTAGTAGGATTACCAGCAAGTGGTAAATCAACAGTTTGTAAACAATTTAAAACTTATATCAATTCTAAAACCAAATATAATTCACAAATATATAATGCAGGTGATATAAGAAGAATATCAAATAATTTTAAACAAACAAATTCAAATTTTTTTAATCCTTCAAATACTGAAGGGATAGCAAAAAGAGAAGAATATGCAATTATGTGTTTAGATAATTTAATTCAAGATTTAATTACTAATAAAATTAATATTGGATTTTTTGATGCAACAAATACAACAAAAGAAAGAAGAAATAAATTAATTAATAAAATAAACAATATACCGAATTTTCAACCAAAAATTATAATATTTGATATAAAATGTTTAAATTTAAATTTATTAGAATTTAATATTTTAAATGGTAAATTAAATAATCTTGATTATTTCTTAGAAGTTGATAAATCAAGAGCATTATATGATTTTAAAACTAGAATAAATCATTATTTAAAAGTTTATCAACCTGTAACAAAAGAAGAAATTTTTGAATATGATAATAAACTTGATGGATATATTAATTTTTTAAATGGTGGTGAATCATTTGAAATTGAAAAATTATGTAATGAAAAATTAGAAGAAAGTGAATGGTATTTTAATTTAATTAATGAATTTAAATGCAATTATATGAATGAATTTGGTAATGAATATATTAAAAATTTTGAAAATTGGAAGAAAAATTATAATGATGTTAAAAATGACAATAATAATACAGAAACGAGACAAGCGATAGAATTAAAATTAGAATAATTAGAGAGAAATTTTTAGAGTTAGAGGGGTAAAATATATTTTGAGAATATGTTTGAATTTTTTTATAGTTTTACAAATTAAGTTGATCTTGATTTTTTTATGGGTAAATTTTATGGATATATGGAATAGGTTTAATAGAGAGAAATTAATATAAAATCGTTTAATGATTAAGTAATGCATGTATTTGTAAGTCTATATACTACCAACTTGATTCATTAATGGTTGATTATAAGTAGATGATGGATCTTCCATTACTGCATTAACATTATTATTAACAGTATAATACCAAGCACCGACTTTTTCATCAGTATAAACCGCATCTTTCCAAGACATTGGATCATTCGGTCTAGCTCTTGACCAAAACCTAGCTGTTTTATCTGATCCTGCAGAACACATTAAATGTCCCATTGGATGATATTCTAATGAATGTACTGCTTTTTCATGTGCATAAGGGATTTTATGTGTTGAATCTATTGATGTTGATTGAGTTATATTTGAATTTATTGATTTTTTAGGTATACTTTCATTTGAATTTGGAATATATGAATTTAATAAATAATGATTAATTGAACCACTAAATGTTGCAGTAGTTAACATAGATGCATGTAATGGATGCCAAGAACAACATGATAAATCAGTATCTGTATCTCTAATCACTAGCATATCTTTCATTGTAGTTAAATCAAATATTCTACATGATCTATCTCTAGATACTGAAGCTAACAATCTTTTAGTTCCAGCTGGTTGAAATCTTGTTGTATTTACTGTATGTTTAAAACCATGTAATGTTGTAATACATTCAGATACTCTTGGATCCCATAATTTTACTAAATTATCTTTTGATCCACTTACTATCAAACCTAAATCTTTATGCCAATCAGCACTTTTAACTTCCCAGTTATGACCAGTTAATGTTCTTTCTTCTTTACCATTATTAAAATTCCATATTTTAATCATTGAATCATCACCACATGATAAAAATTTAGAATCATTAGGTGAAAAAGCAATATCTCTTATCCCATTAGAATGAGCTGCTATATTATTAACATTATTAAAATTAGGTTGCCAATATTTTATTTGACCATTTTGATCACCACTTAATAACCAATCATCATTATTTGAATACTTTAAACTTAATATAGGATTTTCATGAGCTTGCATAATGGTTTCAAAATTAAATGTCATACCATTCCATAATGTAAATTCTCCAGAATGTGAAGCAACTAATAATCTACGACCTTCTGGTGTCCATTTAACTGTATTTATTGAATGTTTTACTTTATTTGAAGATAAATGAACAAATTTAGTTTCTAAATCCATTACACCTAAATTGTTTTTGTTGTTTTTTCTATTTCGATTAAAACTTGACGAATAAGCCATTGATGGTAATAAATCAATTAAATATGAACTTTCTGGTCGTATTTTACCTATTGATTGTTGTTTTGATGTGTTGATACCCAAAGATTTTTCAATATACCATCTTGTCATATTATTTCCATGATCTGTTATTCTTCTAAATGCTTGTTTTTTCTCTTGACTTGCTAATTGTTGATCTAGATTATTTTGATAAGATTGATACCTGTTATTGTTGTGTTGATTACCATTTGAATCGTTATTATATTGATTATTGTTATTGTTGTGTTGTTGATACCTCGGTGTGTATGATGGTTTCTGTATTCGTCCGTCATGTCGCTGATTATGATATGACATTATATGTTAATATATACAAGTTGTTATGAGGTAGTTGTTGCAAAAAGTAAAGGACGTTTTGTAAAATGTATGATTTTCGTAAACATGAAAATCTCGGTGATTAAATCCCTTAACACGTGATGTACTTAATGTTTCATCAAACAATATTGTAATCAGCAGATTTAAACCGTTTCACAGCTTTGAACTAAAATTAATACATATCTACAACAAGTTTTGGTTGGGTTGTAAGCCATTATCAAAGAATCAATTTTAGACTTACAACCACAGTTTCCAAATTTGGTTAAATTGAGTTTTTAGAGCTACCAAATACATATCAATTTTTTGATTATTTAATTGTTTCATAAGACCTTGTGGGATTTACTAAATAGATAACTTAAATCCCTATAACTTAATCAACAATACCTATCTAGTCAAACTACATTCAGACATGGTTGAAGTATATTATCACGATAATAAAGACACACCAGAAGATTTCACAGAGTCACATAATTCAGGAATCCCTGTAACATTTGATAAATTATCATCAATTGGAGTAATTTATAAAAAAATAACCACACAAGAAGAATTAGATAAATTAGCTAAAGAAAGAGATTATAAAAACAGGGATGAAATAGATTTAAATTTAGCATCTTTTAATAATGATATAGAAGCATACAACAACAAAATGACCACTTTTTATAAAGAACATTATCATGAAGATGAAGAAATTAGATATATTGTAGATGGAGAAGGTTATTTTGACGTTAGAGATCCTAATGATAAATGGATAAGAACAAAATTGAACAAATTTGATTTGTTAATTTTACCAGCTGGAATATATCATAGATTTACTTTAACTAATGAAATAAAATCTATAAAAGCTGTTAGATTGTTTAAAGATGAACCTAAATGGGAAGCCATTAATAGAGATTCTGGTAGAAATACTGAGGCTAGAACTAGTTATGCTCAAAGTATTGTTGTTTGAATTATAACTGAAAAAATTATCTATGACTTCTATTTTGTTTGGTTTATTGATTTGATTCTATATATTGGTGTGTAGGTATATCTTTTATTTATTAAATTTATGTCCCTTTTAGTTCTTCACTATTTTGATCTTGTTCAGTTTAATCCAACTTTCCAACTTCTCCCTACTTGCTTTCAATTCTTTATCAATTTCTTGTCTTTGATTAGTTAATTGTTTTAATTCATCACTTAATATTTTAATAACTTCATCAATTGTTTTTTCAATCAATACACCGCCAATCATTTTAAAACATTTCCTACCTTGTCTTTTTTCAGGTTCTATTGCAGTTAATGAATGATCTACTATTACATGTTCTTGAATTTGTTGTTGAATTGTTTGAGATTGAGATTCTAATTCTTGTATAAGATTCTGATATCGATTATATTCTTGTTGTAACAATTGTGATTTTTTTTCATCTACTTCTGTTGATGACATTTTGAATGGAAATATTGGATTGTAAATTGAGGAATGATGGAGTTCAATTTATGATGTATGAATTGATTTGGTTGTAAAATCTGAATTAAATTTTGCGCGAAATTTAGAAATATTTGGAACCAACTTTGACTGCAAAATTTTTAACACTTATTTCAGAGGTACAAGCTTCGGTGATTATTGTTTATGCAAGGTTGAAGTTAGCTCGAGGTAACAAGTGAGACTCAAGCCGAAATTCAAGTGGCTCAACTAAATTATAGACTAAATCTCCACATTGCAGAATCATACACTCTTATTTAAGCTTTTATTTATATAAGTCACTTAATGTTTGGTGGAATAAGAATCCCCTCTTTATCCTTGAAATTATATAATGACAGAAAACTCTACAAAAGTGACCCCAAAACTCATATTTTATTCTTCTTGACTAATAGGTAATTAAACATTTACAAAGATAACAATGTCTATTAGAAATCCAATTGCGTTTAATTCAATTCCAATAAATCAGTTATTATTAGCTGGAGGAGTTGGTTATGGGATATATGCTATTTTAATGTTTAGATTTTATCCACTGCATGCAAGAGTTCGAAAAGTATTTGAAGAGAAAGATGAAAATTTCAAGAAAGTTCATGTTATGTCATTACCTCAATTTGAAGGTAATAGAGATATTGGAAAAAAATAACGGACAGTAATATACCTAGGTTGAATATATTTATGTAAGTTTATCAAAAATATATATTAGTTGCCAAATTATTCTTCATCATCTTTTTCAACTTCTTTTGAAACTTTATCTAAATTAGTCAATAAATCACCTAATTTTTTTGAACCAAATTCAAAATATTCCTTTTGAGCTTGTACTAAAACTTTCAACAAGTTCACATTTTTAGAAGGTTTCAAGATTTTTTTCATTTCAATAACTGCTAATTCAGTAGCCCCAACTAATTCATCTTCTTTTGAAATTAACTCTTCATTTTCTGGATCAGTGGTTTCATATTTAAATCTTAATTGATCGAATTGTGATCTTGTTAAATAAACTTTTTTTCTTAATTCATTAACTTTTATAAATTGTTTATTTAAAATATCAACTAATTCTTGGTTTAATTGATTCATAATTTTCTGATCTTGCTCTAATCTTGAACTTCCAATTTCATGATAAGTGGAAGAAATTTGCATTAATATAAATGATAATTTATTTGAATTTATTTCATCCGATTGAGTTGATTGTTTTGTTAATTCTTGAGAATGTTTTGATAAAATTTCACTTAAATGTCCAAATAAGGTTTTTGGTAAATCTGGTGAAGTTGGTTGAATTGTAATATCAGCTTTTGAATTATCTTCATTAGTACCCAACAAGACTTTTTCTAATTCTTGTGGTGATGATACATTTTTCAATTGATTAAATTTTGAACTAATCATGTCTCCAACATGAGCATCTCTTATTTTATTTATTGTATAATTTGCAGGTGGATAATCATAACTTACATCATTATAAGTTTCATTTGTAAATGTGATTAAATCAGTATATAATTTCAATAATAAATCACAATTAATTTCTAATTGTAAATAATCTGGTGGTAATTCACTAATTTCTATATTATTGTTATTATTGATATTAGCTAAATTTTGAACTTGTTTTAATTGATCATTTATTTTGTTTGTGGTTTGTTGTATAGATTCTTTAAATTGATCAATTGTTGCATTTGATGGAGTCACTTTGGAAAAAGTTTCACGAACTTGATCAACAGTTGGTAAAGAATCTTGAATTGATTTTAAATCAAATGATGGGAATTTGAAAGACATGACTGTGATAGTTTATTGAGTAATTGATTAATGATTTTTGGTAAAAACAGATTTGTTGATATGATTGTTGTATTCGTCCCACTAATAATCAATAATAATTGTTGGTAAGATTATCAAAAGATAAGAAAAGTTGTTGATTTGTAAAGTGTTTCAGTTTCCAAATTTTTAAATTTAATTTTTTCCTTGTGAATAAATTTAGTTAATTCACATTAAATAATTAACAAGGGTAATTAATTTTAATGTAACAATATTTTGAGAAGTAAGTAATTTGAATGTAAGAAAGAGCTAAATGAATTATGTTAAAAATCAAAATACATAATGCTTAGTAGAATTGTCGAACATTTAAATCATTTTATAGACAATCTATTGACTATGTGGTTATTTACTTGAATATCATATTTTTAGATTGTGAAATTATCTAAAAGGCTGGTACAAAACAGGCAAAGTGCGGCATAAAAGCTTTTTGCTACCAAATCGACCTGAGTTTTTATATTGAGACAACCTGATTATCTGATTTAAAGATTCTACAAGGTTTGATATTATGTCAAATAATGAGAACTTATCATCATCATCGACAGTCTACCATAAGAAACAAGCCAATTATCATGATAAAAGAAACGTTTTAAATAAATCAAATTTAATAGAACCCATCATACGACATCGTATTCAAGATTCATTATTTTATAAACAATATTTATATTTAACAAACGAATCAACAATTTTAACAATTATAACAAAACATATAAATTATATTGGAGGTGTTGATTCAATAGGTAGGCCGTCTCCTTTTTTACAATGTCTACTGAGATTATTGGAGATCGAACCGTCTTTTGAGATTATACGAATTTATTTAAATCAATTGGATTTTAATGAATTTAAATATCTAACTTGCTTAACACTACTATATATTAGATTAGTATACAAATCAGAGGAGATCTATACCATTTTTGATTCATATTTGAAAGATTACAGGAAACTAAAATTTAAGTATAAAAGTCCGAAATTGAATGAATTTAAACAACCAATTTATTTTGCAATTATTTATATGGATGAATTCATTGATGACTTATTAAATAATGATAGAGTTTTTGATATCATTTTACCAAGATTAATACCAAGACTTAGCTTAGTTGAAAAAGGATTAATTGCACCTAGACAATATTTTGTTGATGAAGATGAAATACAAAAGGAAAGTTTCGAAGATGGTGAAGAACTAATAGAGGCTAGTGAAATTGACGATGAGAATGAGAGCTCATATCAAAGTGATAGTGATTAATCTGTACATAATATAAATTTCATACATGTATTAATATTTCAATTTAAAAATCTATGACAATTACAGTAAAGCTTAAAATCCATGTTCTTTATTCCATTTTGCAGCCTCTTTTTCACCTTGTTTGAGTTCATTTGAATCAACAATATGTATTTCTTGTTTTGTTGCATCTGGACCTAATGTTTCTTCGTGTCTCAATTCAGCTTTATTGACTTTATGTGCTGGTAATTTTGCAATTGCTGGATCTACATCTTCTGCTTCCTGAAGCAAAGTTTCTCTTGGATCTTTAATACCATGTTTAATATTCCATTCTGTTGCTTCTTGTTCATCTCTTGTAAAATCATTATCCTCGACTGTGTCAATTTCTTGTTTTGTTGCATCTGGACCTAATGTTTCTTCTTCTCTTAATTCTTTTTTATTCACTTTGTGAGCTGGCAATTTTGCAATTGCTGGATCAACATCTTCTGCTTCTTGTAATAATGTTTCTTTTGGATCTTTAATGCCATGTTGAACATTCCATTGTGTAGCTTCTTTTTCATCATTTGTTACAACTGTTTTGATTTCTTTTTGAGTAGCATCTGGAGCTAATGTTGTTTCTCTTTTCAATTCAGCTTTATTGACTTTATGTGCTGGTAATTTTGCAATTGAAGGATCTGTTAATTCTGCATCCTCAATTAAAGAATCTGGAACTTCTTTTCTTGACATTTTATATTTAGTTAAATTAAATTTGGGTGCAAAATCAACACTAGAACAAAAAAATTAATGTTTTGGGGAAAAAAAAAAGCAATTAGTGAACAAGTAAAGAAGAATCTTTAAAAATTTAATCAAGTGGACCAAGTCAAATTTATATATAAACTTGCATTTAGTCTTATCAAATCATCATATTTCCATTGTTTTAAAATAATTCTTTGAGTGAAATTTTAAATCGATCGGTTATTAAATATTTAACGTATCTAAAACTTCTTAGAATAAAATAGAATTGTTCCGAAATTACCATTATCAGAACCACATTTAGAATATCCTATTAGATAAATTAAAAATAAAATCAATAATATTCAAATGGCAGTAACGAATTTGCTAGATCAATCAGAAAGGCATTCTGAATCAAGCATTCATGAAATATCCAAAACCAAAATAATATTTATTGTAGTATTATTTCTAATATCATTAACATCATTTGTGTTACAAACTGAATTCACATCACAAGCATATAAATTGAAATTTAGTGAACCCATTTTATTATTAGCAGTTACTCATGGATCTTGGTGGTTATTATGGCCAATACAAATAATATCAATAAGTTTATGGAGAACAATAAATAAAAAGATCAAAGATGAAAAAATTTCAAAAAAGATTAATGGAGGTGATATTGCATCTGGCATACAATATCAAAGACTAAATTCATCAACTGGATTATTAGACGATCAAGAACATCAAAATCAACAAGAAGTTCCAATACAAAAAATCAACGTGTATATGTATTTTAAAAAGGCAATTATAAAACAATTTCATAATGTTTATCATACATCAATATTAATTTATGAAGCAAATGTAAATAATGATAAAACCACGAAGCATTTAAATCAACTAATAGACTCAAATGTGCATATATCAAATACAAATTCAATATCTGATGTCATTTATACTTTCTTCAAAACTCCAGCAATAAAATATATTGCACTTAAAACATTTTTGATCACTTGTGTATTGACAATAGCAGGTTTTACATGGTATGGAGCGATGTCAATGACCTATGCAGCCGATGTTACTGCTATATATAATTGCTCAGCTTTTACTGCTTACGCATTTGCAATACCATTATTAAATGAAAAATTCTCATGGTTAAAAGTCAACTCAGTCATAATTGCAATTATTGGAGTATTCATAGTAAGTTATTCATCAAGTTCAGACATAAATAGTGGTGGAGACGACACTGATTCAGAAAATCCATATCCTTACAGATTTTGGGGGAACATTATAATTTTCTTTGGTGCAATACTATACGGTTATTATGAAGTATTGTACAAAAAATATCTTTGTATACCAGCACACTTATCTAAAATCATAACACCAAGAAGACAACTGACTTTTGCAAATTTTGTAATGGGATTAATTGGATCATATACTTTGATTATATTGGTGACTTTAATTATCTTCTTGCAAGTTTTTCATATTCACAAATTCAATTTTTTCAATTATGGAGATAACACCAAAACTATTTGGCTCTATATATCAGGTTCAATTATAAGTAACTTATTATTTAGTGCATCATTCTTATCATTAATGGCATTGACTTCACCAGTTTTATCATCAGTAAGTTCATTATTAACTATATTCGTTATTGGTATTGTTGAATGGGTTGTGTTCGGTAATGCCTTAGATTTGCAACAATTGATTGGTGATTGTTTTGTTATTATTGGGTTTGTCTTGTTGACAATTGCATCATGGAAAGAAATTAGTGAAGGTAATGAAGATGATGACGTTGAAGCTGTAAGTACATATTCTTTTGCAATGAGTACTGACAATGGTAATCATTAATTAATTTTGCAAAAACAAAAAAGTTCATAATTTTTATTACATTAGACAGTTTGATTTTCTGGTTTGGTAATTTATAAATTTTACATAGAATTGTATACTATTAAATTTACACGGGCATTTTAGGTTATTAAATTTTTGATTGTAGAATGATTGAAAATTGGTTGTAAATTTTTGATAAATAACAATATAGTAGAGATTGCGTTTTTTATATAGTTGCAAAATACGTTTTTACCAATTTTAGTTGCCACTTCTTACAATCAAGTTTATTCAATTACCACAACCTATACAATGTCAACATCAAATTCTACATCAGAGTCAAATGATTCAGGCTTTCAAGGATTAATGAAATCCCTAAATTTAGATCCAAATCAGTACAAAGTATACGATAAATCAGAATTCCCGCATAAGACTTTCCAAGAGTTATCACAAATCAAGACAAATATAGAATCACAATTGAAGAACTTGTTCGATTTATTGAAATACCAACATAATGTAGATATGGACTCACCACTCGTGACAAAAGATGGGTTCCCAAGATCTGACATTGATGTTGTTAGTATTAGACTAATACGTACTCATATTATTAGGTTGAAAAATGACTATAAGAATTTACTTGAAGTGTTGGAACTGAAGATGGAAGAAGAGTTTGCGAGATTGAAAAAAGAAGCTGAAAAGTGATATACAAGTATAGTGGGCTTTATCTAGGCATTTATTATTTTACTTAGGTATTTGTAATGAATAATGAGTGATAATATTCTCAGTTGATGCATACTGCCTCTATATCTACAGCTTATGTCAGTCCCATTTGTTGCTTTGTCTGTACCAAGCCTGCGAATGACAATGAATGGCAGTATTATCCAGTGAGGATTTTGGTAATGATGACCCTATCTGCTTTAGTTTTTAACCACCATGTAAAGTACTTGTAAAAGTCAAAACATCTCCACTTTCAATAACATAATCATCCATGCCTTCTAATTCCCAATCCGTATCATTAATTAAAACCAATATACCAGGTCTTACACTATCATCTTCTATAAATACAGGTATATCTTTTGGATCAGTTATAATATTTTTACAAATATACTGTATGGCATCTTTCATCGTCGCTTCTCCTTCTTCAAATGGTAGTACTGCTTTATGTTCTCTTTGAGATGATGATATTATGTCTAGACCTCCTAAAAATTCTACTTTAACTTTGATTGGCATTATATGTTAGTTTATACTGATTCTATTAGTACCAAGGTAATGAGATGTTTGAAATAAATTTGTACCACAAAAATTATTATTTACTATCAAAACATAAAGAATAATTCAATTTGAATTGTAAAATTCTCATTTAACTTCAGAATTTTATGAACCGGGAAACGCTCGATTCAAAACACAATCAACGTCTAATTAATTGAAATTTATACTACAAAATTTATACAAGAAATTAAACTAAAACTGTCAGCTAAGTGTATTATTTAAAGCGTGTCTCAAAAAATGGACCAGTGCTACCAAGTCCATAGTGAAATTTAAATCTGTCAAGTTTGTTCTTTTTCTGAAAAATTACCAATTGACCTTACTAATTCATACTTTTCAATTCACCTACTATCATGCGTCAATTCATATATTTATTAATAAGTTGTTTATGTTTAACTATAGTGAATGCCGTGTCATCAAAACAATCATCAGAAAAAGAATATGCATTAATTTTATATGACCCAGAATTAATACCTTTAAACAGTACAGATATATCATTATTGAGTCCTGAAATTCAAACATTTGTAAATTATTTAAAAGAGAATTATGATTTAACAATTGCTGATTATAATGATGAAGAAGTTGAATTATTTTACCAAGATTATTTAAGGTTCGATCAATTAATTCTTTTACCATCACTGAAAAAGGGGATCAAGAATAAATCAAATTTGAATCAAGAGTCATTAACAAAGTTCATTAATGAAGGTGGAAATATTTTTGCAGTCGGTGGGTCTTCAAGTACTTTACCTGATGGAATTAGATCATTCTTAAATGAAATTGGAATTTACCCAAGTCCTAAAAATTACAAATTCATTGATCATTTTAATTCCAAAAATAATAAAATTCAATTGAATGAAGAAACCAACTTAATTCCTGGTAATAAGATTATAAATAACTTGAAAACTGCTGAGTATAATGATGGGAATACAGTTTTAATCTCAAATAATGATTTAATCCAACCAATATTAAAATCTTCTAAAACCGGATACACTAACAAAATTGGAGAATCAATTCATGGTGAAACAACTTGGACTTTTGGAGAACAAGGTTATTTAGCCGTGGGATTCCAAGCGTTAAATAATGCAAGATTAGTATGGATCGGATCAATTGACTTATTAAATGATGAATCATTATATAAATGGTGTTTCCAAGAAACTGGAGTTATAAAATTAGATTTTGTTCAACATTCAAATGATAATGAACCTACAAAATTAAATCCTCATTTATATAGAATTAAAGACAATGCCATCTATACAATTGGAATGTCAGAATTAGTGGATGGAGAATGGGTGCCATATAAAGTCGAAAATACAGAGGATAATTTACAAATGTCATTTAAAATGTTAGATCCTTATCAAAGATTGAATTTATTACCTATGGGACCAGTAAGTTCAAAAGAAAACTCTACAACTTTGGATAGTTTTGCATATTATGTCAATTTCACAATTCCAGATCATCATGGTATGTTTACATTTGAGTTGGATTATAAGAGAAATGGATTAAGCTATATTTTAGATAAAAAAGTTGTAACTGTTAGACATTTAGCAAATGATGAATTCAAAAGGTCTTGGGACATTTCAAACTCTTGGTTATACATCGCTAGTACTGCGTTGGTTATAATATCATGGATCATATTTGTAGTTAGTTACGTATATATAGTATAGATTTGTATAGGTTGTCATAAAATAAAAGTGAAATAATAGATTTTGAAAAATTTTGATCTGTCATGTCATCTTGTGAAACTTAGTTTTATCACCTGACCTTTGAATATTAAGACTATTTATAAGACTATCGTCATCTTTGTTAGTACTATAATTCTTTCTATGCCTTATAATTCATCATCAATATTATAAAATTATAATCAGATCTGTTTTTCTACTATCTTAAATAAACAACTATCTTCAATGTTTTGAAAACTCAGTTGTCCCTATCAAATTATTCATCATTAAAATTTTAAAGTTGATTCATTGATGAATTTAGATCATTTTGAAAACATACACTTGAGTTTAACTTTAAAGTAAGAGAAACGAAGAAGAAGAAGAAGAAGAAGAGAAGAAGAAAGATGTGAAAAATAAAAAAATTTACGATTTTATTTTACTACGAGATTTCACTCTCTCTTACTTTTTTAAAGATCAACAAAATCTACTTATCAATTTAATTTACAACCAAGATTTACAAATTTAAATTAATAGTTCAATTAGTTCAACAACATACTTCATCCGTGTACAACTCAATTTCACACCTTTAATTACAATTGCCATCATTTTGAACTAAACTTTTCATGTTTCATTTAGCATCATCATTGTATACTCAATATACCAAAAGAGAACAATATAATATATTAATACTTGGACTAGATAATGCTGGTAAAACTACATTTTTAGAACATATAAAACTACTATATCCTTCAACAACAGCTACTACTTCCACCAAAAATGATTTAAATAAGAAATCAAATAGTCTAACGTCCAATTTACAGAATGATTCACAATCAGATAATACCAATCCAAATGGGAATGAGGAACAACAAGAACCAAGGTCAACAACCTCAATACTAAAGTCTAAAAAAATATTGCCAACAGTAGGGCAAAATACAACAACAATCAAATTTGAATCATCTGATAAATCAAATCCAATGTCATCACAATTTAAAAATATAAATCTAAAATTTTGGGATCTTGGAGGTCAAAAATCCTTAAGAAATATGTGGTCAAGATATTTCAAACAATGTCATGGTATAATATTTGTAATAGACTCAACAGATACAGCCAGATTCCAAGAATGTTATGAAACTTTAATTGATATAGCACATCATGATAGTTGGTTGTTGAATGATAATGATAATGATGTTCAAGATACTGAAAGAATGATTGGTGTAGATGGGACAGTAAATGTTCCAATATTAATGCTTGCTAATAAACAAGATTTACCACAAGCTGTTGATTTAGTAACATTAAAGACTGGTGTATTTATAAAATTAGTAAGTGAATTAGAAGCAACTGACTCAAAATTATTACCTGTTAGTGTTTTAGAAAATCAAGGCTTACAAGAAAGTTTAGAGTGGTTAGTTACTAGGCTAATTTATAATAAGGGAAATAAGAAACCCGAATATAGGTAAGATTTAATTTTTTTAAACAAATACAGGTTAAATTAGGTAGGTAGTTTCATAGAATTATACGGGATCTTTTTTTGCATTTACGTTGATCTTGACATCATTCGTCGGAATATGTAGCTCATTTTCTCAAGCTTCGTGCATTTTTAAATGAGAGACATGTGAATTTTGTTGATGGTTGTAAATCTGAGTTGCATTTTTGCAACCACAAGAATTTTGGTAGCGAATTTAAACGATCTTTTCTTTACTTTTGTAAATATCAACTGAAGCTCTTCTAAGCAAAATTTCAAGGTCTTATAACTTTGATGAATAACAAGAACGAAGTGCACACCAGAAACCTTTACTCTTAAAGTTTGCAACCATCAAAGTATGAAAATTAAATAAGGAATTTTAAAATTCATTTTGAATCTTAATTTTTTTGCAACAAGATTTTTTAAAAAAAAGTATGTTTCAGGATAATAACGAAGGGCTGCCAATCTAAGTCAAAAATTGGTCTCCAGTTTAATTCTTCATTGAAATCATTTTAGCCCCAATTGACGTTTCAATGAAGTTTATGCAAAGTTAATGAATGAGGTTAGGGAATCAATTCTGTGAGCAAAAAGTACCTATGACGTAGCTAAGTTTCAAATTTAAATTTGCATAAAATTTTGGTAGCAGTGTTTGTGAAGTATTGCTAAATGCTCAAAATAATTGCAATTGATAGTTTATATGCAATTGTATCTCATACTCAACAACCAAGATCTCACACTTGTCTAAGATTAAAAGCTTGTTATTACAGGCATGGCAGTTGAGGAGCCTGAGACTTTTTTATCATTGAAATTCACAAATAGCTTTGGGGTAGTACCAATGAATTACCAAAACTTATCTACTGGATCAAGCACAATATGTAAACTCTAAAAAATTATTATTCTTTAACCTCTTATCCATAATATTACACAATTTGAAACCAATTTTCGAGAACTTTTAGACTTCACAGTTTCTTAATTCTTCTCCTCCTCTCCACTGAAAAAAGTTTGATTTTCTCGAAGACCAAATTCATGAGTTTTGTGATTGTTCACAAAATTAATTCTTCCGATTCATTTTATTATAAAGTGATTACATCACAAATGGAGATGTGTATGGAATTTCAGTTTAAAATATTGGATTGCTAAATTTATTACCAAATTTGAAGAGTTTTGTACTTCAAAACTGTTTTAAAAAATAAAATAAAAAATTAAATAAAGGGGTTTTTTTTAATTTTGATATATAGAAATTAAGATTTAATTGGAATGGGGCTTCAAATCAATTCTTCAAAAAAGCGGCTTCTACTTATTATTTTTACTTCAAAATCTTAAAAACTCAAAAGCTTTTATAATTTATTAATCAAGTCAAGACTCGAACTGTCAAGGACTAAAGTTCTATACGGAATTAGGTACTTTAAGAACTCGAGATTGTAATACAAAAATTAGATTTAAAACCACGAGGTTTTTTTAAAATATACGAATCTTATATTAATAGAATAAAATTTAGAATTTGAAACCCACAGTAAAAACAACTTTGCTCTCTAATTCTTCTTAATTTTAATCAAAAGTAATGACTATACAAAAAGTCAATAATAAACAACAATATTTTGTTTACTATTAATTATTTTAATACTAAAGGAGTTTTTTAAAAAATTGTAAAATATAGAAATGAAATAAAAAAAAATAGCAAACAAAATTTCAAAATTAATAATTATATCATACAATTTTTAAAACTTACTTTAATATGCAATTTTAAAATATTAAGCTTAAATAATGTAAGTAGTAAAATTAAAATATATAATTAGAATTTCAATTCTTTTTATATAAATCTCATCAATTGCTTTCAATTTATTCAATTTATTGAAATTTTTGGTTGAAATCTTTTTATAATTTACAATCAATTACAATTCAAACTACAATAACAATCAATTGACTTAATTTTTTTTATACATTTTAGATACTATTCGATTCAATTCAATATCAATTGTTTTAATTATAAATTTTACAAACTTACTATAAAGAAATTCCCCACAATTTTAAATATCATATAGATTTACGAAATATTTTAAACAATTCATTATGAGTTCAGAAGGTAAATTTTTTAATAAAGTAAAAAATGCTTTCAAAAATGATAAAAGTAATGAATCATCACCTCAAAATTCACCAAGAGCTTCAAGATCTTCAAAATCAGGTTCAACTTCATCAGATCCTAAAAATGTGTTGAAAGAATCAAAAGTTGAAGGTGAAAAACAAGCTGTTCATGATAAACAAGGTAGTACTTCTGCTTCAAAAACAGATGGTATAGCTACAGCCGGAACTGGAGCTGATACTACTTATGGAGGAGCAGGTAATTATTCACATTCTCAAACTGGACATTCTTCAGAACATGAAAATATTTTGAAAGAAGCTTTTAAAGAAGGAGAGAAATTATTTCATCATCATTCAAAAACTGGAAATACAGGAGTTCTTCATGGTGGAACCGCATCCGCTGGGGCAGCAGCCGGTGGAATTGGTGGTTATTCAGCAGGGTCCAAATTTGATCAAAAATCTACAGTACCAGATTATTCAAGTAAAGGTAATGATGTTGTTTCAAGCTCTTCAAAAGGTAGAGTTGTAACTTCTCCACCAAGAAGATCAAGAGAACCATTAAGTCATGAAACTCCAGGTGATTATTCAAATGCAAAAAACCCAATTGATTCTTCAGTTATTTCAGGTGGAAATTCAGGTTATCAAGATAAAGGAGTTTATGATAACTCTAAACCAGCTTATAGTGATGGAGCAGAAACAGTTCAAGGTCAAGGTAAATTTTTTGATCCAAAAGATACTCAAGGTGGTGTATTAGGTGCAGCAGTTGGATCAACAAGTACAGCCAGTGCTTATAATCAAGACAAACTTGGTTCATCACATGAAGAAGCTACTAAAGCCAAATATGTTGATGAAGATAAATTAAAAACTAAACCAACAGCTTATGCTCAAGAAGATAAGGAAAGAGAACAATTAGAACAACTTAAACAAGAAGCATACCGCGAAGGTAATAAACAAGGTAGAAAAGATGTTCAAGAAGATCCATCATTATTAGGTTCAAGACAAATTGGTGGTTCTGGTATTTCTAACGATCAAAAAGATATTGATAAACAAGCAGTTCACCAAGAAAATAAATCTGCTTATAATCAAGGTGGAGTTGCCGAAGTTTTGGAAAAAGAACACGGTCAATCAACACCATCAAATAAAAGAAATGCTGATCATGATAATATTATTAAAACTGGCGGTGTAGTTTATGGTGGTTCAGGAGTTGCCTCGTCAGGAAGAGATAACTACGACCCTGTTGCCACTGATAGAAGAATTTCAGACCTTGATGCTCAAATTAACCAAACTGACAACAAAATTAAACAATTAAGAAGTGATCCAAGTAATGCTTCAACTTATGCAGTTAGAGATGAACCAATTAAAACTCCAAAATTATCAGATGTTCACGATGATTATGATCATGACGAATTTAAAGATGCTCAAACTGACAGAAATACTAATGATAATGCTGAAAGAACTGGAGTTTTTGCTGGAGCTGGAGGGGCTTTAGCCGCCGCAGCTGGTTATTTAGGTTTCAAAGGTACTCAACCAGAAGATAAGGTCACAAATGATTCATACCATCAAGGTGAATACATCGCTATCAAAGAAGATGTTTATAATGCTGGTTTCAAACAAGGTAAAGATCTTTATGATCCAAGTGCCACTACTACAACCAATAGAACTGTCGGAAATTCGACAAATTCAGGTATCAATGCTAAAGATGTTGAATCAAAAGCTTATGGTGAAGGTTATCATCAAGGTAGAAATGAACAAGGTGGAATTATTGAAGAAGCTAAACATGCTGTTGAAGGAGTTACTGCAGTTGCTGCCAGTTACTTGGGTTATGGAGCTGGTCATGATCAAACTAGTACAAATAGAGGTGTCGGCTCAGCTTCAACTACTTCACCAGAACATAAAGATATTTTAGATTCATCTTATCAAGCTGGTAAACAAAGATATGAGAATGAAAGGGCTGGTCATACTTATTCAAACCAACCAGGTCAAGAAACTTTTGTTGAAAGAGCTGAAGCAATAATTGAAGGAGCCACAGCCAGTGCAGCTAGTTATTTAGGTTTAGAATCATCAAAACCACACAGTGCTATTGAAGGTCATCAACAATTATTAAGAGAAGCTTATGAAGCTGGAAAAGCAAAAGGTGAAAAAGAAAAATCAGCTTATGGTAGTGGTAACACTTCAACTTTAGACCCAGCTAATCAAAGATCTCAACAACAAGGTGGTGGTGTTTGGCAAGAAGCTAAAGAAGTTGCCAGTGGCACTGCATTAGCCGCTGCTGGGGCCGGAGTTGCTGCTACAAACTATGCTAGTGATAAATTAGGTTATGGATCAAATAATAAAGCTGATGATGATTATGATTCTCATAGAACCACTAGTACCGTTCCAACTGATAACAGAGTTGAAAACTCGCAAAAGAGTTCATCAAACGAGCCAGGTTACTTAGCTTCAGCTGGAGCTACTATTGGAGGCGCTGGAGCAGCTATTGGAAATGCTCTTGGTTATAATCAAACTCCTCAACAAAAACAACAAGATGTCAAAGACTCTCTATTAACTGATGCTGAAAAAGTTGATCCATCAATTGAGAAATTACCAGCTCATAAAACCAACAGAAAGGAACTTAAACAAGAAGAAACTTTAGCACCAAAAGCCACTGATGAAGAAAAACATATTGTTGAAAGTAACCAACTTAATCAAGCTGAAAAAGATGTTGATGCTTGGAATAAAAAACATGGTTTTACAAATCCAAAAGGTTCATTAATTGATGCTGCTGAAGAAGCTGATCCATCAATTGAAAATTTACCTGCTCATAAAACCAACAAAAAGGAATTAAAAGAAGAAAAAACTTTAGCCCCAGACGCCACTGAAGAAGAAAAAGAAATTGTTGATGCTAATCAATTTAAAGACATGGAAGATGAAGTTGCAGCTTACAATAAAAAACATGGTTTCACAAACACTAAAGCTTCATTAATTGAAGTTGCCGAAGAAGCTGACCCAAAAATTGAAAAGTTACCAGCTCATAAAGGTCAATCAGTTGATAAAGAATTAGCTAATAAATCCGATTCCACTTCTGGTGCTGATGTCCAAGCTTTACCAGCTAATCATCCAACTGCGAGGCATACTGAAATAAAGGAAAGTTTAGGTCTTCCAACAGGTGATTCATCAAGTAAAAAATCAGTTGATAGTGGTAAGAAATCAGTAAGTGACGACAGCTCAAAATCCAAGGATTATGAAGAATCTGACAACAACAATAGATCAAGTAGTGGTGCTGGTATTGGAGCAGCTGTTGCCTCAGCCGTTGGTTTAGGTTCAGGTTCAAATTCAGATAATTCATTAGATTCAGATTTCAAAAAAGAATTATATCAAGAAGGTTTTGAAAAAGGTAAATTAGATACTCATACTTCATCTCATAAAAGAAATGTATCTGGTGCCTCATATAACACTACTCAACCAATTGGTGCTTCTGAAATTAGAGATAAACAAAATCAATCTTTAGATAATACAACCAAAAAGGAAATCTATGAACATGGCTACAATAAAGGTTTGAAAGAAAAAGATTCTCAACACTCGAACCACACTGGTAGAGATGTAGCTAGTGGTGGTATTCTTGGTTCACTTTTGGGCCACAATAAAGATACTGAAAACCAGTCTTTAGATCATTCAACCAAGAAAGAAATTTATGAACATGGATATAACAAAGGTTTGAAAGATAAAGAATCTCAACAATCAAACCATACCGGTAGAGATTTAGCCGCTGGTGGTATTACTGGAGCAACTTTAGACCATGGTTTAAAGAAAGAATTATATGAACACGGTTTCAGAAAAGGTAAATCAGATCATGAAAGTGTTGGTCAAAAATTAGAAGATTGGTTCAAAAAAGAATTATATGAACATGGTCACAAAAAAGGTACTGAAGATCATGCTCCTCGTGGTCTTTATGGTGGTACAGCTTCATTAGATCCAGTTTTAAGACAACAATTATATGAACATGGACATGCTCATGGCCACAAAGTTCAAGGGCAACAACAAGGTTCATCAATTGGTGGTTCAGGTTTAGACTCAAAATTAAAACAAGATTTGTATGAACATGGCTATGCTAAAGGTAGTACTGAAAAGAAACAACAGAGGGATGATTACATCCATAACAAACCATATGGTACTTCAAATAAAGAGGCTACTGCCTTAGGTGCCGCCGCTGGTTATGGTACTAGTCAAAGACATCAAAACGAGTATGGTCAACCATCAGAACGTGCTCAACTCGATAGAAATTCTGAGTTAGTTGGTGAAAATACAGCTCATAAAAGAGGTCAAGATACTGAAGATAATTTAGTTGTTGAAGTTGTTGGTATTGAAGATAAAGTAGAAGCATTAAGAACTGCTAGAAATGCTTCAAAAAAATTAGATGAAAGAGGTGTTGATTTAACTTCGGGTAAATTAATTATTGATGCTAATAATAGAGAAATTTATAAGGAGGAATATGTTTCAGAAAGGGAAATTCCAAGTCAAGGTTACAGTGGTTCATCTGGAGCTGCTCCAGAAGTTTTAGGTCAAAGTAGAGCTGCTGGTTTCACTCAAGGTACTCAACCGAATTTTGGTACTACTGGTCACAATGATACTTCATACAGAGGTGATGGAGTTGGTAAAAGAACCGAAGTTGAGCCAGAAACTTTAGGACAAACCAGAGCCGCTGGATTTACTCAAGGTACTCACCAACATCAACCGAATACTCAATATGAAGGTGAAGGCGTTGGCCAAAGAACCACTTTAGGTGCTGGTCAAGGTAATCACACTGGTAGCCAAACTGCTGGTAATCATACAAATGAATCAGAAATTGCTAAACAAAGACTTCATGAAGCTGCTAGAAACAAAGCTGGTTTAACCGCTGGTACTTCATCAACTAACCATCAAGGTACTTCACCATCCTCAAAATCAACTTCAGGTACTAAAAACCATGATGATGAAATTTTTGTTAATGTTAAAGGTATTAAAGACAATGCCCTTGCCACAAAAATTGCTAGAGCCGCAGTTGCAAGATTACAAAAAACTCATGGTTCAGTAATTTCAAAAGTTAAAGAATTACAAGTTGATGCAAGCTCAGGTATTGTTAGAGATGAACATGGTAATGAAATTGCTAAATATACTGATTTAGCTGTTGAAGCTCAACAATCAAGTAAATCAAGAAGTCAAGAATCAAGTCCAAAAAAATCAACTTATGGTCATTCACCAAGTTCTTCAAAATCTTATGGTACAAATACTGGTCCAACTAGTTCATCCCATGGTGCTACAACCAGTAGTGCTCTTGCTGGTTCAGGTATTGCCGCCGCTGCCGCCTCAGAAGCATCTCAAAAGCATCCAAGTTCAAGTTTAACTGAACCAACTCATCACACAAGTGCCAACACAGGTAATTATTCTAGCAAATCTGCTGAACCACCATACCCACAAGGTATTCCAGCTACTAAAGAAGGTCATCAAACTAGTGGTGTCAGTGGTATTGGTCATGGTAGAGATACTTATGATGAAAGCAAAATTCACTCAACTGGTCATCAAAATGCTTCAACTGGTTATGGTAACACTTCATCAACTGGTTATGGTAATACTTCAACTACTGGTAGTACTTCATCAACCGGTAACTATTCATCATCATCAAGTGGATTACCATCACATCAAAATTATGATAATCAAAATGTTACTGGTAATACTAGATCAACTGATGGCCCATCATCATCAACCTCAAGAGGATATGAAAGCCAACAACAAGGATCAACTACTCAAGGTGGATTAGCTGGTTTAGCTTCAAGTATTGTTGGAGCTTCAGGTGTTGGAAGTGCTTTAGAATCATTAGGTGTAACTGGAGGTAATAAAACTCATGATAATTCCGGTCATGAACATAAAACTTCATCATCAACTTATGAAGATTCAACAAGATCACCAATTTCTGAATCTCATTTATCTGGTTCAAACGCTTATCCAAAATCAGCTGTTGATGCTTATTCATCATCTTCAAATACTACAAGTTTAGATAACAAAATAAATGATGCTTCAACATCAAGTTATATTCCAGAATCTGGATTATATTCAAAATCAATTCCAAGTGAATTCTCAAGCAAAAAAACTTCAACAACTTCAAGAGATCAATCTGGTGTTATTGCTTCAGAATATTTAAATAAAGAATCAACAAATTTACCAGAAACTTCTCATACTTCAAATACTGCTGCTCATAACATAAGTTCAGGAGTTACTGGTTCTGGTATTGGTTCAACCACATCTGCTGCCCGTGGTCAAACTGCTACCGATAATTTTGATGAAGCTAATACTTCTTCTGGTTCATTCTCAATGCCAGGTGCTTGGAGTTAAACAAACCACAAATTAGAGTATGATCTAATTTAGCTATAAGAGGTACTGACTTATGCTAAATTCATTCAAGCTTAATATTATTTTTATTATTACTATTTTTTTATCATTTTTTTTACCTAACTGAATCGAATAGTTGTTATTGAATTGTTTTTACTTATTATTAATATATAAATTTATTGTTTACAAAATCAATCTAGACATGTGTAGAAGTCTTTACATCTTACATTCACAAAATTACTTCATGTACTTCGTAGCTTCATTTTTATATTCATTACATAAAATATTTAATTATAAACTCGTCTATCTAATTCTCTCAAAACATTAGCAACAGATTGAACTTCAACTTGCATTCCTCTAGTAGTTAATTTACCAACTAAAGTACTAAAATCAACACTATTAAATTTTTTATGTCTTGATAAAGTTTTATATGCATCAGCACATGGAATAAAAATACCACCATTATTGTTAGTTGAACCTGGAGTCAATGGACCAGGACTTGGTGCGTTGTTGTTTGATGATGCAATTAATGGTGGTGGAATTGGACTTGGTGCGTTATTATTATTAGTTGGTGTTGAAGGACCACCGAAATTTAAAGTTAATGAAGATTTTGAATTTTTTCTTGAAAGATTTGGTCTTATATTTGAATATTCATTTGATTTTGATGCAACTGTTGTACAAAATAATGTTGACATTGGATCCATTTGACATTGTTTACAAGTACCTGGATTTCCTGTACATCCATCTTTTTCTTCATTTTGAACTGATTCTTCTATTATTGTTTCAGATTGTTGTTGTTCTTCGTTATTTCTTCTCGGTATTACTGTTGGAATAGCACCTGGTGTTAAGTTTGTGATTGTACTAATTTCAACTGATGGTCCTGGATGCATTACTGGTAAAGATGATTTCATTATATTGTTACTGGATAAATTGTATTGAAGTGGAGGTAAAGAAGTCTTATTATCTTCGTCATTTTGATAATCACCTAAGCCATGATCATTTTCATCTTCTTCTAATATTATATTTCTTTCTTGTTCATTTAATGATGCATTCAATCTTGCTGCTTCTTTTGCTGCTTCTCTACAAACACATGGAGTATCATCTGAACAAAACCCACAATTTTCCATTGGTGAGTTTTCATTAAATTCTGAATTTAGTATATTATCAGTTGATGATGGTTTGGATTTGATAGGTGATGATGTTTTAGTTGACATTTTTTTCAATTTATTTAAATCTGGCATTGGTTTAGCTTTTGTTGCGAATTTTTTAGTAAAATCTATTTCTTTTAATTCAATATCTGAATTTATTATTGCTTTTCTTTTCCTGTTAAGTTGCACTGGAGCTTCAGGTTTAAATGAATTTAATTGTTGTTGTAACTGTTTCTCCACATCATTTGTTTTTGTTGGTTTTGGATCTTTTAATCCTACTGATTCACATAAACATTCATCTTTGATACATATTCCACAATCGAAATTTGATGAATCAATTACACTGTCATTTGAGTTTGTAGTTGATATTAGTTTATCAGGGGTTGTATTATTCGATATTGGAGTTAAGGCGCTATTAGATGAATTCGGGTAGTTCTGTGAAGATGATATATTTGTATTCATTGGCAGATCTGCTGAAGGAGCTGGGGAAATTTGTTGTAGTGAGTATGATGAGCCAGTAGGTGATAACGACGTGTTCATTGGTGACGGTTGATTATTGTTGGTATTTCTAAAAGTTTGAGTTTGTTGATTTTGATGTAGTTGTGAAGTATTATTTTGAATTTTGGAAGGTTGTTTATTTCTATTTTGATTCGGTTGACTTTGTTGTTGTTGCTGTTGCATTTGTATTCTCATTTGATCTTGAGAATTTTTGAATTGATTCATTTCTTGTCTTAATTGTTCCATATTTTTATTCAAGTAATTATTTTCAGCTTTTAATTTATTTATTGTATTTACTAATGCCATTTCTTTTATATCTTTTTCTTTTTCAACTTCCATTAATTTTTGTTCTAATTCTTGAACTCTTGTTGCTCTTCTTTCTCTAAATGCTCTTTGTGCTGCTCTATTTTGAGCTTTTCTTTTTGAAGCCGGTGTATCTATACTCGGTTTTCGACCTGGTTTTGGTCTTGGTGGTAAAACCCATTCTTTGGATGTCATAATCAGTGATACTCCGAGTCTTATAGTTGATGTGGTTGACGTTGTTATTTGAGTAGTATCATTTGTATTTGAAGGTGACATAGCTGAATTATTAAGTGGTGATTGAGGATTATTTGGACTTGCAATACTTCTTGGAGTTGATCCAGTTGATGAACAAGATGGCGGTGATCCAGCAATAGCTATTGGTGATTGAGTAGAAGAATGTCTAGGAGCTATACTAGGACCTTTAGTACTCATTTTGTATATGAATCTATAAGTTTGTAACCCGTAGTTGTAAATGTGGTATGATATTCTAAAATATTGTATAAAATATGTAGTATAGTAATAACCTTTTTAATTTTTATAGCTTATTTTTTTCTCGAAAATGTGTAAGTATTAAGTCTAAGTTGAAATACGATGATGAAAATATATGAATATATATGATGATGAATATTGTAGGTTTATGTAGCTGAAATTTCAATACTTCTTGAACGAAAAATTAAAAAGTAAATGTTGAAAAATATTGAAGATCTCGAATTCTTAATATTATATTTTTAAATTAATGTAAAGTAAAAGTAATTTCCTTTTTGTATTTGCTGATGAAATAGATAAAAAATTTTATGAGTTTTGTGTAACATTAATAAATTTAGTATTTAATTTATATAAGAAATTTCAACATTTCTATGATTGGTTATTACAATTTTAATTTTAGCTAAATGTACATGTTACAAATGTCTTTATATAATTTAATTAGAGAGGGGTTAGTCTAACTTTCTAACAGAATGGTTTAGGCTAAATGCAGATCAATGAAAACAAATGATGACTACGAGTTGGCTTTAAAACGAATCAAGTAAAATTAAGGTCTTGTAATTCTCGATTACAAATGCTTCATTATAAAATAGAGGAACGTTCAACTGTAAATCGTCAAGAAATAGTCAAACAAACAACGTCCACGTATTGATTCCAAAATCAATCTAATATACTTGGCAAGTTATGTCAAAGTATAGTATGAAAAAGTGAGCAAAATATATTTGTGTTTTGTCTGACAATAAAAATCCGGTCTCGGATCAGATAATATTTTATTAGAAAAATTAATTATTAGAACAATTCATTTCAAAAATTATCGTTCTCTCACATTTAATTAGTGATATAATGGTAAGTGGCTTTTGCAAAATTAATATAGGTTTTATGATATCCGATAATTAGGTTACATTAGTTTCATCAATAAAGAGAGATTGTTCGATTATTTGATAGTAATATTTCACTTCTCTTATTGTTAGTTTTATATTACACTATTTATTGTTATTTAATATATATATACATGAGTAATAATATTTCACTAACAGAAAAGGTAAAAGTTACTATGGTTTGTAACTATAATTATCCAAATAATAATATACAATGCAATCGTAAAGAAAATGTTCATCATCTCACCTTTATTTATTTCATATTATCAACAGCTTTTTGTTTTTCAGCTTCTTCAGCAGCTCTTTGTTGTTGAATTTTAGCAATATCTTCAGGATTTGGAGCACCTTCAGTAATTAATTTATTTAAAGTTAATTTACCAAATTCATCTTTTAATTTTTGTTCTTCTTCTAAAAATTTTTTAGCATTTTCTTGTAAATATTTTTGAAAATGTTGATATTGTAATTGACCATGTTCACGTATAATATCTAAAGGCATTTTTGGTTCATGAGTTGGCATACCTAATAATTTTGTTAAGAAATTTGTTGCATTTGGTTTATTTGTTGGATGATCTTTTAACCATTGTGCTCTTAATTTTGATTCACGATTAGAAAATTCTTCAACAATATTTGTTTTATTATTAAATGAATTTAAAATTGGTCTAACATCTTTAACTGGTTGTGTTGCTAAATATTCTAAAAATGGGATTAAATTAATTAAATAATCATCTGGTTTACCATCCCATTTTTCAACAATAATTGAATTTTCTGGTTGTAATGAAGCTGAATCTTCATCAACATCAATCATAACAGTTTTACCTAAATCTCTATTTAATAATGAAATATCTTTAATTAATTTCCCATCTTTATAACGACAACCTTCTCTAAATAATGCATATGAAATATAAGCATGATATGGATCTAATTTACCAACTGCTTTTTCTGAATATATTTGAGAATTTGTACAAAATAAAACAATTTCATAATATTGTGATAAATATCCTAAAAAATAATCTAATCCTGGTCTTTTTGCAGTTCTCCATCCATGTTTTGAATCCCATTCTGAATGAATTAATAAATCATCTAATGTTAATACTAAAGTTAATGGTCTTCTATATTGTTCTGGTGCTGGTGGTGGTAATAAATTTTCAAATACTGGTTCTGAAAAAAATGTAAATAATGAACTTAATCTTTTATTTAATCTTTGATACATTAAATTTGGTGAATAACCATTTTCAATTTTTAATCCATCTAATTCTTCTTGTTCTTTTGTTGAATCCCAATCTCTACTCATGTATCCTAAACCAACAATTGCTCCAACAAAAGTTGTTAAATAAAATATATTTGCATATCTTTCACGTTTAAGATCTTTTGAAGTTTGAGCTCTTTTTCTTTTACGTCTATTTGGATTTGTCTCTGAAGTTTCTGATTCTGTTTCAGTTTCTGGTGATTCAGTTGATGATGATGATGATGATGATGATTCAGTTTTTTCTTTTGATGGACCAATATCTTCGAATCCTGCTCTTGCTAACATATCTTCATCTAAAATCGATTTTGGTTTTGATGCTTCATTTTTAGAATCTTTTGGAATAGGTGATGAATTTTTAGATGAATAAAATTTTAATTGTTGTTTATTTGATAGAAGTATACGAGATGTTATAATTGATAATGATGATGTTGTATTTAAAGGTCTGATGTTTCTTAACAACAGTCTTGTCGTGTGTCTAATCATTTTATTGAATTATTATTGATTATAAAAATTGAATTAGATACAAAGTTAGTGGCAAATACTCTTGAAAATTAATAATAATGATGTAAAATGTGAAAAAAGAATGATTATAATAATAATGATTAAATTTAAATGAAAAATTTTGATGTAAGAGAGAAACAAAATTTTTTTGAATCTTGATAACACAAAATAAATATTATTATTATACTAGACTAATAGATCTTTGAAACTTGAAATAAATTCATCCTTTTCAATCCGGTTTTAGCTACACTTTCGACTCCATTGCAACTATGATAAATACAACAACCAAAATGTCCATTTTTCATACAAGTAGGAGGACACTACTCAAAAATCAATTAATAATTAATAATTGTATACCCAAATTATCAACATTACAAATAATTCCAATCCGTTCCATATCATTCAATCCATTAAATATAGGTAAAGCAATACAACAAGCAAATGAAATAGATGAAAGATTTAAAAAATTAGATGAAAATACATCAACACAAGAAAAAGTAAAACAAATAATTGAAGCTGTTAAAGATACACCAGAATTATTATTTCAATTAAATTTTTTCTTTTATGAATGTAATAAAATTAATATTTTACATAATGATATAGAATCAAGAAAAAGATCCTTAAAATTTTGGTATATTTTTTTAACAAAATTAGTACCATTAAATAATGCATTTTGGGATACTTGTTATACTTTAAATAAAGCTCAACATGTACATAAATTAAATTATAGAAATTTACAAAATATTGGATTATTAGATCCGAAAAATTTTCCAGAACTGTTTCTTGAAGAATTAGGTACTGGTAAATATAATGGAATTGATTTTAGAAATGTTATCATATTCTCATTTTCAAGACCTAAATTTAAAGAAATTTCATTACCTAAAAAATATCATAAAAAAGAAAAAGCAGTTGAAGAAAAAGAAGTTGAAACTTCTTAATCTTAAGAATTTACTACAAATAATTTATACTAAACTCTCAATATACAATAATAAATAACATGATTTATTTATTAATAATTTTATATATAATTCAACTATTTTTTTTTTTAATAACTTTAATTTACTATATATAACAACAATCAAATTTATGGTTTTGGAATTTTTAAAGATTTAGAAATATTAGCACAACCTTGTAATACAAATCCAATAGTAATTAAATGAAATTCAAATGGAGTACCTTTAAATAATACCCCTAAAGGTAAATTTGAATGAATCCAATCTTTATAAACTAAAAAAGCCATAAATCCAACCCATGTTAAATTACTTGGAATAGGTAATCCTTCAAAATATTGAGATTTACCAGTTTTATCTTTTGGTATATTATTTACAGAAATATTAAATCTTGCTAATCTTGTTAATCCACATAATACCCAAAAAGTTAATAATAATACATCAACAGTAGTTTGAAACCCAATTGCAAAAGCAATTGTAGCAGGAGATACACCAAAGCTTACTAAATCAGCTAATGAATCTAATTCTTGACCCATTAAACTTGATTTATTTCTTAATCTTGCAACTCTACCATCAAAAAAATCAAAAAATAACCCTAAAACAATAAAAAAATGAGCTCTTTGAATATATTTTGTATCTTTTGTTAAAGTATATCTTAAACATGATATAATAGCATAAAATCCACTAAAACCATTCATTAAAGTAATAAAATCAGCCATATGTAAATTTCTAATTAAACTAAAATGTCTATTATCATTTATAAATTTTAAATATTCAACTTGTTCAGGTTTTGGAATATCTTCTTTTGAACTTAAAGAAAATAATGATGATGATCTTCTTAATTTTGTTGTTGGATTTCTTTGTCCAATACTTAATTCTTGTGAATCATTTAAATCAACATCTGAATCTGATATTATTGCTGATGAAGAATTTGATGATGATGTTGGTACTGAAGATGAAGATGGATCAATTGAATGTTTTGCTGATTTAGCAAACCCTGTAGATGACATTTTTTTCGATGTTGTTAATGAAAATTGATTAATAAATATATGGGGAATTATAAGACCAAATAAATAAAATAATTAAAAAAAAAAAAAATTCTATATTATTAATTTAATTATAATAAAATGAAGATGTGAATTTTAATACTCCCTTTAAAAATAGAAAAATGTTGAGTAAAAAGAATTCAAATAAAATTCAATTAAATAATATAATAATTGAAATGAATTGAGATTATATTTATATGATAATTATAAAAAGTAAAATTATGATTATAAAATTATCATTGACTTATGATGAAATTCAAATATTAAAATGAATTTATTAATATTGCTATTAAATTATTTATATAATGACTGACTATTACTTTAGTAAATTATTGAGAGGCTATAACAGACAAAAAAAATAATTCGATCGTAAAATATTTGGTAGCTTTTTCTTAGTTGGAAGAGGAGACAAAATAATTTATTTTAAAAATTAATTTGGACTCAGTATAATTTGGTCGAGATAGATTTAGATCGGTCGAGAATTTGCCATTAAAGATAAAAGGATATCTCTATTCGAGTTTTGAATAAATATTAAGCAAATGACGGAATCATTACAACAAGTGTTTTTCGATTATACTTTGCTCGAAATTTTTTCAGCTGATAAAAAATATTACAGACAATAGGAATACGGAAATTTCTTCTAAGCAATCCTTACAGCTTACTCTTGCCTCGTTATTGTAGCTTCACTTATCACAATACTTGATCAGTAAGTATTGAAATTGAGCTGTGAAAAAAAAAAGATACGTCTTGAAATTATTTTATTTTTGTGTTATTGTTTACATTTTTGTAATTTTTTATTTTTTTATTTGATTTAAATTTAAATTTAAAAATATTTTTTTTTTTAAACATAACAGATTTTGATACAATTTGCCAATATTTTACGACCAAATTTCACAATTAATTAACAACAATAATATATACAATATACAAGTACTACCAAAACGTATCATTACCTTTTAATATCATAATCCTCACCATTCATCAAATAAAAATTACAAATTACACCAACTTTGAGACGCTAAAGTGTCATTAAAATTTTGGCAACCAAAAATATATTTTGAGTTACAACCAAATTAAGTAATTTCAAATTAATACAATGGTTGTTACAGAATCAAGAACTGAGTTACTACAATGGTTGAATACTATGTTAGATTTGAATTATACCAAAATTGAACAATGTGGAACAGGATCAGCATTTTGTCAATTAATGGATTCAATAGTTGGATCAGTTCCATTAAATAAAGTTAAATTTAATGCAACTACAGATTATGATTTTAGACATAATTGGAAAATTTTACAACTGGAATTTACAAAACATAAAATTACAAAAAATATTGATGTTGAAAGATTAATAAAATGTAGATTACAAGATAATTTAGATTTATTACAATGGTTTAAAAGATATTGGAATGAAAATAATGATTTTAATTCAAATTATGATTCAATTTCAAAAAGAAAAATTAGTGCAAGTCCTCATCAAACTTTAAAACCTGTAAATAATAATTCTATAACTAATATGACTCCAAATAATAATAAAGCTTCAACTTTACCTTTAGGATCAAAAGATCATCATCAATTAAATCAAAATCATTATAGTGGTAATGGGAATAACAAATTAAATCAATTGAATAATAGTAATAATAATAGCCCAAATAATGGAATCTCCACTAATAATTATAATGGGCATTCACCAAATGATTTTGTATCATCAAATTATACAAGTAGTAATATGTCAAATAAAATTAGACCACCAAAAAGATCGTTAACTCCATCGACTTCAAGAATTACAACTCCAATACATCATAAATCCTCAACATCGAGAAAAACTTCAGGTAATAATAATATACATGTTGAAAAAAGAATAAATTCAAATAATCATAATTTAGCTTATAATCAAAACACTATAATTGACGATTTAAATAATAATCGTAATCACATTAATATCAATAACAATAATAAATTACACGATTCTGCACAGTATTCCAGTGAAATTACCACAGGTACTACAATAAACGGATATAGCACTCAAAACAATTCAAATTATCAATCATCATATTACTCAGATCAACAACAACTACAACAACAACCTCATCATAATGATCAGAATCAAAATCAACATCAAAAAGAAATTGAATTATTATTAAATGATTATAATCAATTAAATAAAGAATATAATCAATTAGAACTAAATTTAAAAGAAATTGAATTAAATAATGAAACTTTACATATTCAAAAGAATTTTTATTTTAATAAATGTAGAGATATTGAAGTTTTAATTCAACATTTAACTTCAAATAATCAAAACAATACAGATATTATGAATAAAATTGATTTATTCACATTTATGAAAAAAATTGAAGATATACTATATGCAACTGAAGAAGGTTTTAGTAGTAATTCAAATAGTGATGAAATAAATTTCAATAATAATTCAAATAATAATGATAATGATAATTTAAATTTACAAACAGGTGGGAGTATTAGTTTTAATAATAATGATATTAATACTAATGGTAGTAGTAATAATCAAATTGATTCTGATAATATGTTGGATACTAATTCATTTTGAAAATAAATTTAATACATTGAAATATTGAAATACTGAAATAATCATCATTAAAGTAAATTTTGTTCGTTGCTAATGTAATAAGGTAGGTAGATTTTATATTCAATTTGGTTCTTTTCTTCACTTCTTCATTTACAGTGCTCTTTCTTATTGGATTAACTACGAATGACTCCTACTCATGCTCTCTTTAAATGACTTTTTGAAGAAATTTGAACTGTCATTTAAACTATTTGGACAAGCATACTAATTAATCCACTATAACTAAATTTACTTTTGTGTCAGATATTTTTAGTTCAGCCGTTTTGTGTATTGTTTTTTTAATTATCTTTTAATTTAGTGTAAAAAAAAAAATCTAAAAAACTCTAAATTTAAATAATTATTCCATAAATAAATTTATAAGGAACATTTAAAATTATTTTAATCTATCCCATCTTTTTAGCAAATAATTTGTTAGAAATTAGGAGTTTTGACATATTTCAACTAATATACTAAATAAATAGGCTTAATTGATAAATTGTTTTATCTAATTATGTTAAATGTAATTAATTTGACATTGATTAATTTTTTTTATGTATATTTTATTTAATCGATATAATATCTCTCATCTAGATTAAATAATTTAAAAAATAAAATATATAAAATATTTTGGCCCCTTTGATGTTTTTTTTTTTTCTCTCACTCTTATTTACATAAGTCCGATTAACACATATTCATAGATGCCGAAAGCTAAACTGAACTAATGAAGTCGTAGACATAACGCTTTATTTGTAATTTAATTGTCAGGTTAGAATGTAAGGAAAGATAGAGAATCAATTGATTCGATCTTAAATCTTCGTATAACTCGAGCTGGTATGACTTAACAATCAAAGACTGAAAATACGTTAAACTGTCACGACATATGCTTCTTATTAATAGAAAGAAAAAAAATTTTAATTCAATTTTTAATAAGGACATTTTCAATACATTTTTTGTATAATTAAAAATTAATTAAATAAATTAATAAAAATTTCCTTGACCTCAATAAAATTTAAATTTACAATATAAGTAGATTATGGGAAAATTTATGAACGTATATATATTTTTACAATTTACAACTTACAATTAATTATGAAATTTGAATCAAATATTACTATTTGTAGTCATTTTCAAGTTCATTTTCAAGTTCATTTTCAAATTTATTGAATTGAAAGTATAAAAATAACTTTTACTTTTGATGAATTCAATATTAATATTAACCAATATAAAATTTATAAGGTCATTAAATTTAATTAGTATATTAATAGTAATAATTATAGAATTACTAAGTAATAATAATAATAATAATAATAATAATAATAATCTCTCCTCCTATAAATTATTATTAACAAATAAATTAAATTTAATTTAATCAAATTTTGTGATAATAAATTTACTTAATAAATTTATTTAATAATTAAATAATTATGATCTATTTCTACCTATTATAATAATAATATATGCTGCTAGATTAACATTTTAATTTTATATCATTAACGTCAATTCTTTCAATGGAATTTAGAACCTAAGTCTTCATTATCAAAAATTGTGTTACGAGCTTAGTTTATTTGGTATTGATTATTTAGTACTAACAAAGATTCTTTTAATGTAATTTGATACCTCAATTATCTCATTTCTTAAATTCATTAGACTTATTTAATAAAATTTAATATCGCAATGAATGTAAAGAATAGAAAAAAAAAAAAATCCGATTTGTGTAACCAAATTAATTTAATTTAAAAAAACTTTTTATTACACAAAAACAAAATTTTTAATTATTTATAAAAATTATTTTTTTTATTTATTTATTTCCAACAAATTTATTTATAATATATTTTTACTAATGTTTTTGGATTTTATGAAGGATTTACTTTTGTATAACATACTTAAAGATTTACTAAAAATTGAATGCCAAAATTCTATGTCAAGCTACTGTTATAAAGTAAGTAATAAACTTAATTCATAGAATTTGATTATATAATCTTATTATAAGATGTTGTTCTTTTTTAATTTAATTTAATTTAATTTAATTTAATTTAATTTTTTTTTTTTTTTTTTTTTTTTTTTTTTNAAAATAATTTTTTTACTCCAACAACAAAATTTTTTTTTTTTTTCATTTTAGCAATACATTTTTATTTAAACAAATATTCAATTTAATGGTATAAGAATTTTAATATTTGTATAACATCTAAAATAATATAAAGAATAAGAATAAGAATAGATAATAGTTCAGTTATAATATTGAATCAGGAATTAAGTTATTAATAGAATTTGAAAAAGTCTAAAAGAAAAAACCCAATTAAAAGTAACAAATAGAAGAAGAATAAATAACTTATAAGATCAACCTGAAAAATTCAATTATTACTTATTTTTTTTATTAAATTAAAACCAAATATTTAAAAATGACTACTAAAACTCATCAATATAATTATAATAGAAGAAATTCAAATACAACTCCATATCAAATACCTATAAAATTTGATCATCATAGTAATCATTCACAAATGAATAATCATCAACAACATTCACCAATTTTACAACATCAATATCCTCAACAACAACAACAACATACTCAATTACCTCCAATATCTCAATTACCTCATCATAATTTTCATCAATCAAATTCTTCAATTTCTTCAACAAATTCAATTTCAAGTTTAAAACAAAGTCCTCAAATACTGCCTAATTTTTCAACTTTTTCAGTATCAAGTTCTATAACAACAACTCCAAAAGATTCTCAATTTCCATCAACTACTCAACAACAATTAAATTCTCCAATGTCTTCTACTACTTTATCATCACAACAACAAAATTATTTTCATAATAGTCCAAATAATAATAACATTAATAATCATAATTTAAATAATGGGAATATAGTACCAAAATTCCAACAACAACAACAGCAACAACAACAACAAGCAATATATAGTAATAAAGTACAACAACTTCTTAATTTAAAAGAGGAAGATATAATAGAAGAAGATCAAGATGATAATAATAGTAGTAATAATAATACTCCACAAGATATATCATTATCATCAGCTATATCGTCTCCACCAACGACAACAATCACAACAAACACAAGTAATACCCCAAATCATCATCACAATCATAACCACCACCAAAATCAACAATCACATTCAGGAATAATTCAACATCATGAAATATTACCAAAATTATCAAGAGAATTTGTAGTTAGAAGAATAAGTGAAGGAGAATCAGGTAGAGTTAAAGAAGATATTAGATGTGAAGCTTGTGGGAAAGGATACAAACATATTTCATCATTAGCTAAACATTTATGGGAACATACACCAGAATGGAATGTTACAAAAAAATTATTAATTTCAAAACATCAACAAGTTCAATTATTAGAAGCTGCTTCTATATTAATTGGTATGAATGAAAATTATTTGAATTCTCCTTTAAGTTCAGCTGAAATTAGTAGTGGTGATAATGATTCTGATACAAATTCAAATAAAAATCATAAACGTGCAACTAGTGTTTAGAAAATAGCATTAGTTTTATTTTTATTCATTTCGTAAATTATATGAATAATAGAATTATATTTATTTAATTTTATTTCATATTTATTTTTAATTTTTCATTAAGTATAAATTATTATTATTATGTATATATATAGTTTTTAATAATAATTTTGATTTTTTTTAATAAGTATAAATAAAAATTATTTGATCTCTATTTATGATTGGGATTGCTGTAAATTTCTTCAAAACTTCTACAATGCTAGTACTTTTTAAAACAGTATAAAAAACATGAGTCGCTACCAAATACGTGAATTTTTTACAAGCATCACCAGATTGAAGAAAAAAAAAGTTTACAACCAAATTTTATACATTTTCATTTTCTTTCTCTTAATAACCATCAAATATTTAGAATGAAAAGTTTTGGCTCGATCGTAAAAGGAAAATGCAAACTTTCTTCACTTTTAAATCAAATGATCAAACATCTTTTTTCATTGACAAACCGTTTTGGTAAGTCTATTAAAGCAAAACTTTTGTAATTCTACTTTGAAGAATTTAAACCTTATGGTTTTTTTTCTAATATTTGTAAAATAAGTCTTTGTACCAAAAAGAAGTGCATCATAGTACATCAGAGATTAATTTATGAGAAGGTCTTTCACCTTTTTTTGCTACTTTCTGGTGTCTCCAAGAACACATACATTTTTTAATTATATTCATTATTGATTTGTCATTAACTTTTCTACTATTTACATGATCTCTTTATACTCTACTTACACGACTGTACTCGTTAATTCATTAGCTACTAAGCTTGGTGTTTCAATTCCGTCGTTGTCTAGTTTTAGCACTAGATTTAAACTTCCCAATACTGGATCAAATTTAATCGAAGCGTTTTATTATCCCCGACTAGGTTACTTTTTTTCATCAACTCCACGTATAATTTCTTCATTCAAAGGTTGTAACTTTAGATATTGTTCTTTTAATTTATTTTGTTCTAAATGTTCTAATTCATTAATTTCTTGTTTTTTAGATTTTTTAGCTAATTGACGAGCTGCATCTTTTATTGGACCTTGTCTTAATGCTGCTCTTTCTGCTTTTTGTGAATAATTTATGAATATGAATGCTCCAGTTGCAAATAATATTGATGCTGCTAATGTTCTTTTTGATGCTGTTGACATTTGATTAATATTTTGATATTGTTAATATATACATTAGATTTATTTTTTTCCTCTCGTTAATTTTTATTTAAAGAACAGTCTTTAATATTCATCTTCTAATGAATTGGAGTTGCAAGACGTTTCCGAGTATTGAAGAGCTAAAATTATTAATGTGAAATGCTAAACGTTCAATCAGTAAAACATAGAAAGATGTCTAGTCATTAGTTTCTTATTCCTTTCTGATCAAACACATACAAATCTTCTCATGATAAAAGGGTCTAATTCTAGCTAAGAAATAATCCATATGGAAATCTTGAACAAAATATTCACTGATAATTGATGTTCGATGGCAATATATAAAATATCGTCAATACTAGTGACATATATATCCAACAATTCAAATATCATATATACAATATTGTTCAATGATAATATTACTTTTAAGTATATCTCGGAAATAATCGTATTTGTTAAAAAAACCGGATTAAATATCATCAAAATTAAGACGTCATACATTTAATAATATTTATTGAGTATTTAGTATTTAGTATTAAAGTATTAAATTAATTTTCTATGAACAAACCAAAATCCAATCGTAAACTGATTATTATATTGATTAATAATCAAAGAAGTAATATTAAGAATTTAGTTTAAGAGTCAATTTATATATAATTCAATTGTTATTTGTTAAAATTTAAAGTTAGGAATTATATTAAAATTCAACTTTGCTAAATAAATATATCATTAATTTGTACTCTCTCGGAATTTAACGAAGAAATATATATTTATTATTATTTATTTTATAAGAGAATCTTGTTACAACTGATTTTATTTATATGAATCAACTTAAAGTTATTGCAGTCTTTAGCTTCTGATTATTCTAATTCAATTATTTGAATTAACCTTTTCTTTTCAACCTTTAATAATTTATTACTTAGTAATTGTATATTGTATATCCATCACTCATATACATTATAATTCTCTTTTAACACAACCAAATAAAAATAGTAAAATTAATAAAATAAAATAATAGAAAAAAATAATAGAAAAAAAAAAATTAACACAAACACTTATATTTCTTTGTACCAAATTTTTAAATTTTGAATCAACAACAATAATAATTTTAGAAAGATTATCAAGTTAATATATCAATTAATCATTGATATTTTAAAGTAATAGATTTTACATGTACAAGATTTGAAATTAATTTTATTACTGAAACTTTTCAAAGAAATAGTACTATTCATATTACTTCCATAAATTTAAATTATAATTTTTTTGGATTAAATGATATAATAGAATGACTTCAAATTTTAATAATAATGAAAGTTATACAACTATTGATACAAAGCCTTCATCTAATTTAATTAATAATAATAATATGAATGATCCAAATTTATCATCTTCAATACAATTTCAAAATAATACTAATGGTGATAATTCATTTAATAAACCTCAAGTATCTAATTTAACAAAGACATTATTATCTTCAAATACATCATCATCATCAAATCATAATACTAATAATAGTACTAGCAATACCGATAATAACAATGCCGACAACAATAATGATACTCTAACAAATTTAAATACTACTACTACTGATTATATATCTGGAATTCATTATGATGACAATAGCAACAATCATCAACAAAATCAATCATCAAATCAAAAATATAATGGATCATTTCCACAACAAATTCCAAATTCACAAAACTCTTTTAATTATATACCATCATCACATAATACTCCTACTGTTGTTGGAACATCTTATACTTCAAATCTTTCATATAATGCTTCATTACCTTCAACTAATAATTTTATATCACAACCAATCCCAACTACAAATTCTTCATTTCAAGATAATAATCATAATAATCATCAAAATCAATTACATGGTATACATCCACCAAGTTCATTAACTTCTTCTGGATTTAAACCAAATTCTTTAACTCAACATGCATTACCTACTACAAATGTTTATACAGATACTGTTACTTCATCTTCGTCATCATTAAATAATAGATCTTCATTACCAAATTTTCCAAAATTTACACCATCACTGTTAAATCAACCACCACCACAGCAACAACAACAACAATCATCTTTTTCAATCCCCAATAATTATCAACCACCAATAGTTTATCATCCAACTCAATTTGGAAGTTCTTCTTTACAACATACTTATCAACAAAGAATTCCAAGTTCTTTACCAACTAATCCTTCAATTAATCAACAATCTTCATTTATAGATAATTCACAACAACAACCCCCACAACCCTCACAACCCTCACAACAACCGCAATATGTTAATAGACTTCAACAAATTTTATCTCATGATAAACAACCAAATTCACTTCCTACTTCTGGATCAATTCCTATACCACAAAGTGGTGGTAATACTTTCTCACAACCACAATCACAACCACAATCACAACCACTAGCACAACCTTCAACAGCTCAAGAAAATCATAAAAGTCACAAACACCAACAACAACAACCATATGTGCAACCAGAACCAGATCATTATCTTACATACAATGAATTCCTACAAGAACTTAATAAAAAGGATCAATTAGAGAATGGTACAAATTTTGAAGAACATTTAAATATAGTTGATTTCCCAGTCAATGATTTAATAATAATGTTATCATGTTTATTAACTAAAATAATAGAAGCAAATGATAAATTACATCCAAATCATTTTGAAAATACAATAGCAATTAGACAAAAGATAAAAGAAGAGAAAAAAATGAAAAAATTACATAAATCAAAAAATCAAAATGAATTTAATCAAGGTTTTATAATAGATCAACACCACCATAACAAAAATGAGAACTCAATGGATGAAGATATTATTGCAAAAGAAAATTATAAAATAGATGAAGATGAAATTGAAGAAGATTATGATGAAGAAAATCATGATAATAACGAGGAAGATGACGATGATGAAGAAGATGATGAAATGAAAAATAAATATTTAGCTAATGTATTAGCATTTCATGGTACAAATGTTCCAGGTATATCATTACAAGCATATTTAGCAAGAGTTTTGAAATATTGTCCAGTTACAAATGAAGTATTTTTATCATTATTAGTATACTTTGATAGAATTGCAAAAAAAGCAAATAATTTAAATCAAAAAAGAAAACATCAACCACCACAAACACCTGATACTTCAACAACTACATCATCTTCAACATCGTCAGAAGCAGAACAATTATTTGTAATGGATTCTTATAATATTCATAGATTAATAATAAGTGGAATAACAGTAAGTTCAAAATTTTTTTCAGATATTTTTTATAAAAATTTAAGGTATGCAAAAGTTGGAGGATTACCATTAGAAGAATTAAATTATTTAGAATTACAATTTTTATTATTATTAGATTTTAAATTAATGATTAGTGTTGAAGATTTACAAAATTATGGTGATTTATTATCAAGATTTTGGAAAAGAGAACAACAACAACAACAACAATCTCAAAATCATGATAGTATTGCTCAATCTCAATTGAACCAACCTAGTGGTGGTAATGGTAATGGTGATGATCAAAGTATTCATCAAACAAGTGAAGTAAAAGGTTGAATTTTAAAACGTGTTGTATAAAATTTTGTTGAATTCTGAAGATGTGAATTTATATGTAATTTTAAAATGGACAATTATTGTAAAATTCAAATAAATAAAAATATTGCTAAAATGTTGTATATAAATATATATATTAAGTATTTTGTTAAGTTTAAAAAAGTAATAAATAATAATAAAATTATTTGATTTTAAACGAATTTTAAATGTATTAAAAGATCTTTGTAATTGTTAAGTTTTTATAAACCAGAGTAAATATTTAATTTTGTGTAATATTGAGCAGGTAAATTATTTTTCCGAAAGTTTCATAAAAAACAATAATGTCTAAACATGAAATCGATCAGTGATTACATTGAAATGGTACCTCCCCCACTTTTCTATACTCGAAAGACTTGTTTCCATTCTAATTATCTCGAGAAATAAACTTCAATTAAAAGAAATTACTTGATTAGGTAAACTAATTAATCAATTGATATAAATTTAATGGCTTAAAATCAATTTTAGTAAAATTTCTAATTACTAAAAATTTGATTTTTACTACCCACACTTTTTCCCTAAAAAATCAAATACAATAAAGATCTCTTTATTTAGTTATAACGGTTTTATATCTAATTTGAAGTAATTTGTCATTTGATTTAAAAACCGAGAAGGTCAAATGTACATATATTTTATTGTTTGATGTATTTATAAATAAATTTGTTTTCTTTATACTTTTAAATGTATTTAATATAATATTTAAGCACAATATCAAATATAATAGAAATTAATTCGTAAATTTCAATACGTTTTTGGAAATTCAAATGATCTTAACTTTAACATTATATCTTACCCCAACTTTAAAATTTTATTGGCAAGACCGGTTAAACTGAAATACAATTAACCAAAACTATTCAAGTATTTACATGGCTTATAATATTAGTACAAGTTTAGTTTTTCGAAGCCCTGTTTATTTTCAAATCTTTCAAACTACTTATCTTCTTTTGTAATAACACAAAATTATACATGAAATATTACCCCTTAAGGCATATACTTTACATTATCATGTATAATTTCTATACATAATCAAATATGAATCAATTTATTTGAGTCAAAATTTTTGACTTAATGCTTATCGTATTAAATTGTTCTCCAATAAACGTTTCATTATAATTCATATATAATAGTAATAATATCCTTATTTCTTAACACTTTTTAGTTTATTAACTATTCAAAACTACTAAGATTTTTCTTGTTTATCATTACTTTAGATTTATTATCACTAAAATCTTAACAATAGATTTTAAAAACTTAATTTAGTAATCTTGTGAGGATTAAAATTCAAATTCTGACGTTATTATTATTTATATTACTATTATACCCCCAAATCATTTAGATATTTTTTGATGTATTCAATATAAGAATCCAATCTTGTACCACTATCAAAGTTTCATTTCATTAATCATAAACTAAAATAAAATAAGATTCAAGTACTTCATTAATTTATTCATTTCATTCGTTTCCTAACTTCAATTATTTCATATCATTTGTTGCAATCATTTAGCATCTACTTCAACATTTTACAACCAATTTAAAAAAAAAGTATGGATATCAATTCAATAATAGATAAATACCTAACATCATGGTATCCAACTTCAATACCCACAACAACAACTTCAATAAGTTATATAAATCCAACATATATAGAAGGTTTAAAATTAACTGCATTACAATTACAACAAGAATTGGCTACACAAACTAATTCAATATCATTATATTTTTTATCAAGAAATGCAAGAGCTGCTGCTGCTTCTTATACAATTTTAAGTAATCAACAACTTTTGGCTAGTATTACTGATACTTATGAAACTTCTTTTGAAACTACTGCAGCAGTTTCTGAACCATTGACTGAATTTGTTATAACTGCCACTGAAACTATATCTAGTCAAACTTCAACTTTAACAAGTTCAATAAATTTATCACATATAACTGATGAAATGATAAATTCAACATTATTATTAAAAAAATTAGAATGGGATTCAAACTTATATGCCATAAATATATCAGTACCATTTAATTTATTATTTACCATTTTTTTCATACTATTATTATTAAGTTTCATCATAATTGCTTGTTTAAGAAGTAAATCAAAATATTTTTCAATTTGTATGAGTGCTGGTTGTTTATTAGAAGCGGTTGGGTATATATGCAGATCAATTGCTCATTATAATTGGTCAAATCCAAATTTATTCGTACTACAAATTATTTGCTTAACTGTTTCACCTACATTTATAATGGCATCAATATATTATTTTTTATCACAACTAATAGTAGTTTATGGTTCCAATTTTTCACTACTAAAACCTAGTTTTATATCTTGGATTTTCATATGTTTCGATTTAATTAGTTTGTGTACTCAAGCTTGTGGAGGGATAATTGCAGCTATAGCATTGAAAAATTTCCAAAATACTGCTGTGGGGACTTTTATAATGGTTGCAGGAATTGGGTTTCAAGTTTTATCTATGACTTTATTCCTAACTTTTGTTTTGAATTTCTTGAGGAGAATTTATTTTGTTTCAGATTCCAGGAGATTTAATTTAACAGAATTTTTTGCATTATTATTCAACACCAAAAATGGAGTTAAAATACGACAAGAAAACAAATTAGAAGCAAGATATGATTCAAGGTATCAAGAATTAAGAAATAGAAAATATTTCAATTATATGCCATTAATTATATTAATTTCATCAATTTGCATATATATTAGATGCATATATAGAGTAATCGAATTAAGTGAAGGATGGAGAGGATTTTTAATTACTCATGAACCATTTTTATTAACATTAGATGGATTAATGGTATTTTGCAGTTGTTTAATATTTGTCCCATTCCATCCTATGTTAATATTAGGTAAAACTTTCAATATTTCAATTAAGAAAAGTTTGTCAATTAATGAAAAATCTCATGAAGATAATGGAAGTTTTATATCCTATAATTATAATGAATTTGATGATGATAGTAGTATTAAAAAATTTAGTGATATTTCAAATATTGACAAGAATGAGGTCCATTCTTCTAGTACGTTGTCTTCTGGTACTACTTTTAATAGTATATCATTACCAATTAAAGCTCAAATTCCACAAGAAAATGGAAATAATAATCAAAATCTACAATATAATCCTTATGACAATTATCATACCAATAATAATCAACAACATCAGAATTTCAATCCTTACAATAGTAGAGACAAAACTTACAACATTAACAATGTTGACCAACCAATGACCAATTCAATTAGTTTAACTTCAAGCAATAGTAATATAACAAACAAGAACTCTTACAATCATTATAAAGAATCAGACTACATCAACAATACCAAAAATCATACAATGAATACTTCAAATAGTAGAAATTCAAATTCAAGCTCAAATAACACATCGACCAAAAATTCATCTGATCAATCAAAAACATATTCCAATCCATATTTAACACCAACAAGATTTGCTCATTATAATGGAAATAATTCATCTACAACTACAAACAATACTCCAAGATCAGACACTACGAACAGTACTCCAAGATCAAACAATCATGACTTTGAATTTAATACTTATAATCGACAACGTTAAACAAAAGTTCAGTTCATTATACAATACTAGATATTATTTGCATATTTATTATTAAAATTAGTTATTAAATAGTTTGCTATATACTTCAGTTTTCTATATACTTTAAATATAGATTCTAAAATGCTTTTCCCCAAACAATATTCTAAATTCTCTAACTCTATTCCTTTATTGCCAAATCTTTATGAAATTGATCTTGATATCACAATTTTTTCCATAATTTTCTTTACCTTTTAGCTCTTGGAATCCAATTAGGAATATTTTTAACACAATATTTACCACAACATCCACATTTTTGATACTCTACTAAATCAGTTTGTTTATCTTGTAAAATTAATGATGGATGATAATTTGATATTGTACTTGTATTTTTATCTTTAAGTTGATCTTTTGTGAATACGTATGAGTCTTTTGACGCTGTTGTTAAATTTGTTGTTGTTGTTGTTGGTGACATTGTTCTATTAACTTGTTATGATGATTATTTGTTAGAACATTACTAGTATTCAACTCAATTATAAGTTGAAGTGAAAAATACAAGTAATCAGATTTTATAAATACTAATTATTAGTCACTGAAAGTAAAAATACATAATACATATAAAATTACAATTAATAATTTGTTGTTATCTTTATATTATTATAATCACAAGATCTTTAACAATTTTTAATTTCATAATTAAATTTTTGATAAGCAAACTTTAAAAATTAATAAAAATAATAATTTTTTGAAGTATTGTTGCAAAACATTACACAAAATCAGATTTAAGCATTTTCTTATCTTATCTATTAAATTTTGTAGCCGATTAATCATTTGGGATTTTAATAATTTGAGTCATTTATAGAGAAGAAGTATAGCCAACAACTTTAGACACCACCTCATATCTTACTGATTTCATTACTTAATAAGTTTGCATCAATTTTTTGTTCTCTAGCTAAATGCCTCCACATTTCATCAAACTAAAAGGATAATGTTAGTAATTTATTGAAAATAAGCTCGACTATTGTAAACATACTTGTTTATAAATTTTTTCATGAATAAACTTGGAGAATACTATTCCATAAGCACACCATTTCAAACCAATCTTCAAATCATTAAAATCTCTGAATTAAAAAGTTAGTATTTTTAATCTAAAAATGAAATCAAGGTAATACATACATTATATATTTTACTCCAAAATTCCATGACATGCTTGCAAGCCATTCAATTTCAAATGTTGGAATATTTGTTTCAGTAATATTAGCTTTGTATAATTTATAAAATTGACCAACAATATTTATTGAAGTTGATTTACTATTATCATCATAATTGTCATTTGAATTCGAAAGTTCCAAATAAATTCTTATCCATGTTATTAATGTAGATAAATTAGAAGATTCACTTGTTTCAAATGTAAAATTAATCATTGACCTTAAAATCTGTTGTTTTACATGTTTATTCACAACTTTCTTTGAATAATTGATTAGATTGACATATACATCAAATAATTTCAATTTCATTTTGGAATTTAATAATGATGTTTTTCGAATTAGCTGTAGAATTTGATCAATTGAACCGATCATTAACTCAGCTTCAAAAGCATAAGCATATAATAATTGCTTACATTCAACCCAATCTTCATTGTCGATTTTGTTAGTCGTAACTTCATCAATGATTTTATCCCCTTGCTCTTTTACATAACTCCAATTTAATTGATTTTCAACAGTTCTGGTTTGATTTACAATCATTGAAAATATTATCAAGTTTGCTCTAACTTTCCATATAAATATACTTTCATACCTTAATTTATCAATCTTGGGAGAAATTAAATTTGTAAAACCAATACAAGTGTGACATAATTGTATAACTCTATCATGATTATTATTTTCTTGACATACCAAAGATAAATTATAAGCTTTACTTGCAAACCATTCTAAATCATTTGTTGAAAATAAATGATTATTTATTTTATCCATTGTAAGTGCAAATTTACAACAACTTTCTAACATTTCACAAACATCTATTAAATCATTTGCGTTAATTTCAAAATCTTTTTCAATAGATGTTGAATATAATAATATAGCACATCTAAAACAAATTGGTAAAACAATGCCGAAAGATCCTAATTTATCGATAAATTCAGTTGACAATTCTCTGGACATTAATAAATTTAATAATTGTAATAATGAATTTTTCATAAATTCATTTGATAAAATTTCAGTACTTTCAATAATACATGCAGCTATTGTTAATATAGTAGTTGAATTTATCGGATGTTTAGTGATATTGGAAAAACAGACTATTGCTTTTTTTTCATCATTTAACTTCAAGTAAGCTCTAAATAAATTATATTGTGACAAAATATTAAATTGATCTTCTTCATCCATCAAATTATTTGACTTTATCACTGCCTTAGCATCTCCAATTGATAATTGATTGTTTTGAATTGCACGAACTATTTTACCTCTATCTTGATTATCCATATAATCCATATGAAATATTCTTGAAAGTGATAATTGTAACCAACCTGAACTTTGTTCATAATCTTTACTGTTATACATCAGAATTCCCTTTTTCCAAACTAATGCCATTATACTTGTTTTGGTCGTAACACTTAAAGGTTGTTGTATAGTTCTTTCAATAAGTTGAACAAACAGGACTAGTTCTTTAATACGGAAAAATGGTTCTTTGTTTTCAGCTAGTTCTATATTTACCATAAATTTCGCAATAATTAATGATTCAAGTTGTGCATGTTCAATACTAACATTAGTTATCAAATAGTCCAAACAATTATTTACACCTTTGTAACTTTTTAAAGTAATTTGTTCTAATAAACTAATAGTTTCATGTACTTTATCTGCGATATCAACTGACATCACCATACGCATCAACATATCATCAAATTTGGCTAAATCTTGTGGTTCATCTAAAATTTCAAAATATAAAGAATAAACTTCAAATACTTCTGAAAATTGATTTTGAATTTGTTCCAATGCAGTTATAGCTTTTGATGTAGAATCTTTATTTCCAATACATTTATAACATTTTATCAATAGGATATATAAATTGAGATATCTTCTCTTGATTAATTCTGAACTATCGTCATTTAAATGTAATTCAATTAATTTAATTGCAGTTGTTACTAAAAATTTTGTAATATCATATTTTCTTTCATTAAATTGATCTAGACCACAGTTATATAGAATTCGTGTAGAATCTAACACAAAATCTAATGGTAAATTTGAAACATTTAAATTTTTATTAATTTTTGATTCATAAATTTTTGATAGATTAAAATCTTTTAACAATACTGTATAATTTAAACTTAAAAGTAAAAATTTGTTATAATATTCATCAAGTAATAATTTTTGACTATCATTGAAACCATTTTCTACTAATAATTTATTTAAAATATTTTCTAAATGATTTTGACTCTTTTTTGCAACAATATTGATTGAATTATTAGTGTTTTGGACTGAAGTTGCAAACAATTTTATAAGACAATTAATTATTGTGAAACATCTGGTTATATTTGGATTTAATTTTTCATATACTATCAATATTGTAATTGCGAATAGTTGAATTTCTTGACTAGTTTCTATATCCAAAGTAATTGAGCCACTAATATTCCAAATTTTAGTTGCAATTGAATCTAACAGTTCTTGTAAATCTGTAGGTAGTTGAATTAATAAAGGATCCAGATCAATTGTTCCACATATATTTTCCGCTATTGGTAATATCAAATCAATCTTTTTTTGAATTAATAAATCTGTATTTCCTTCATACTGTTTAGAACTAAGAGTATTATATATTTCTTTAGCAGTTTCTATGAAACGTTAGCCTAGGTTCAATAAAATTCTTATAATCAGTACTACTTACTTAATAAATTATTTATACTTCCTTGAATATTTGAAACTAAATGTGTCATATTTATGAAGTGTTTAAAAGAGTACAAGTAAAATAAATTGGTTGTAAAAAAAATTGGTTGCCAAATTTTTATATACAAAAAAAATAATTTACAAAACAGTTTAGTTTACAATTCAAAAGAATCAAAGATCAAATTCTTCACTTTAACGTAAAAAATATTATATTGTACATTTAAAGTCATGCTAACTATAATTCCACCAAAACACCTTTATTTGAAACCTCATTCATTAAAACTAAATCATTTAGTTTTTACTAGTTTTTTTGGTTGAAGCTTTTTTTTCTTTATCTTGTTGTTCTTTTAATACTCTTTTAACAATTTTTTGTTCTTCAATTAAGAAAGCTCTAACAATTCTTTCTTTAACACAATTAGCACATCTTGAACCACCATAAGCTCTTTGAACAGTTTTATGAGTTTTTGAGACTTGAGCATATTCTCTTGGTCTTAAAGTTGAAATACCAGCTAAAGCGGAACCACAGTCACCACATTTAACTCTTGAAGCAGCTTTTTTGACATGTTGAGCAACTAATTTTCCACCTGGGGTTTTAACAACCTTGATTTTATTTGATCTGGTGTTGTCTATAAAAATAATTGTTAGTATTATATTTTTTTATTGTTTATGAAAATTCCAACCACTAATTGCTTGTCTCGCTAACTGATTGATCTTTTAACATGAAGACTGAACTTGACGTCCGTAAATGAAAATTTATTCGTTTTATCGATGAGATGAAGGCAAATTATTTTGCTCTCTACTTTACTTAATAAATATTGTGAATTTCTTGGATGTGAACACATGGACATTACTTTTTGAATATTGATGATCTTGATGAGCTATATGTAGTTTGTTGTAGCCTCTGTCTAGTTCTTTTTATAAACATATCTTATGATTTAAAATTTATATGGTACTCCATCGATGATTTGTATTCACTTTATTCCCCTTATTTCATCTTTCAATAAACAAGTTCTATACAGCATGTGGTTGAAATATTAATCTTAAGTTATTGATATTAAAACATACATGGATTTCTTCTTCTATAAGTAACACGTTGAGCCATTGTTGATTATGTTATTAAAGTATGGATATAAGTTGTTGGTAAAAATTTAACGTGAAAAATTTATTAATATTATTTTTTTTCACTCTCTTTCTCACTATACAATATTAATTTCTTACTTTATTAACAAAACTTTTTTTCTTTTTTCTCTCTCTCTTCTATTACCATTTATTTTTGTGTTACTATTTCTGCTTAACTATTGATTGATGAAGTAATGCTACCATATTACAGGCTTAACTATGGATCATACAAAATTTTTATTACTACAATCCTCGCTCACATGATCAATTGTGACTGCTTTTTTTTTGATAGATATTTTATACAGTCCCGATATTCATGTAAAGTACATAGATTTATAGAAGAAGTTTAAGGGTAATCAGTTGACTACTCAATAATGATAAAATTATCCTTATAGGAGAATAATATATGTGATAGTTCAACACCTTACTTTCTGGGCAGTCGAGTTATGGTATTGTTCAAGAAACGCAATTCTGTGTGTAAGATAATATCTTATACAACTTATTGCAACATCAACTATAAGGAGTTGAGTTATAGAAGTTTTATAGAAATAACCTGTCATATTTGAGACCGAAGAGCTTATGCCTTGTTCATTTGTCTATATCATTTATAAACTAATCTTCACATTTATAATTTATTATCATCTCTTTCAATAGCAATAACTTCCATTTCTAAAGGTACACCCAAAGGTAATTCTTTAACAGCAACACAAGATCTAGCAGGTTTATGTTCACTAAAATATTTACCATAAACTTTGTTAAATTCACCAAATTGAGAATTCATATCAGTTAAAAATATATTAGCTTTTACAATATGATTTAATGAAGAATTTGAAGCTTCTAAAATGGCTGAAACGTTTTTGATAACTTGTTCGGCATGGTCTTGGATTGTTGCTGAAGTTGGTAATGGTTTGTTTTCTGGAGTATATGGAATTTGACCTGAAACATAAATGAAACCTGTTGGTGATAAATTTGTTAGTAAAAATTGACTCTTTCTAATCTTTTTTAAATCAATTGATGTCCTATAGTTACATACCGTTGACCTTGATTGCTTGCGAATATGAAGCAGCAGGTGGTGGAGCTTGTTGAGTTCTTACCTATTAATATAATCTTGTTAGTATTTCGATTCTTCACGTTTTTAAATTCGTGTTTTTAGTATCAATTGATTCAACATACTGGAGTAATTGATGAATTGAATCTTTTAGCAGACATAATAGTTGATTTAAATGATTGTGGACTTAATTTATTAAACATTGAGTTGTGTTTTTTTGATTACAAATCTTAAAATTTCAATGATTTATAAGGTTATATTTTGTTAAAGTAGTAGATCCCTTATTTCGGAATTTCTTCCCAATCTTGGAGTAAATTGCGCGAGTCAAACTTATACGAACACTAAAAGAGTCAAAACTGGTAAGTGAGACATATTGATACAACATTATCATTAGTTTACTATTTACATTTATCTATAATTGAGTTTAGCTTAACCCCTTCTTTTTGATTTATTTTTCTTTTTAGATTTGGATTTTTTCTTTGTTGATTGTTTTGATTTTGATTTATCTTGAAATTTACCTTGACCATTCAAAAAATCAGAACTAAATTCAGCATCATCTTCATTTTCTATTTTATTTTTAGATTCTTCAATTAATTCAGGTTCTGATATTTTACCAAATTGCGTAATGTCACCACTAGATAAAACAGCTTCTGATTTTTCAAATAATTGTTCACATAATGCTTCAATTTTACATAAGGCATTGAAATATTTTATAAAATTTTTGAAATCTTCTTCAATTTGTTGGAGATTGTTTGTGTTCTTGTTTGGATCTTTATTGTAGACTGAAATTAAATCTTGCTCTATTTTACTTGCATAATTTGCTATAATTTTACAATGCACTGGATTTGAAGCTAAATCTTTATTAACTTCATTTGGTGTCATTTTGTCATATTTGACAAATAATTCGACTTCCTGTCTTGACGTTATTTCAACTGGTTCTTCTTCTACTATTCTTTCAACTTGTTCGTTGTTGGCCAGTTTCACTTTGAAGTAGAGCTGTCTTGCTTCAGGTACTTTACCAATCCATCCAATTAATAAAACCAGTAATTCATTACTATAGTCATGTATATCATCTTTTTTACTAAAATTTTTATCCAATTTGATGATATCCAACCTGATTAATTGATTAATCATTAAACAAAGTATAGTTATCAATTTTTTGGCAATTGATTCAGCCAATACAACTTCATAACCACCATCAATTTCTAATCCTTCATTTGCAGTTAAATAAAAAGCACTATTCGTAAAAAATTCATGTAATAACATCAGTTGTTCAACTTCACTTAATATTAATTTATCTCCTTTCCTTGTGAAAATATAAGGTTTAGTTGTTTCAAATTGACCTCTCAATCCAGCTGAAAGTTGGAAAACATAATCAACTAAAGTATTTGATAAATTAATATCATGAGTTAAGAACCAAATAATTATTCTTCTATGACCATTACACATCAACATTTCATCCATACATGCTCTTGCTAATTGTGAATTACTTAATAAAAACAATTCAAAATTTGTTATTCTAAAAATTGGTATTATTGTTTTATTTTGATCTTGTACTATTTCAATTTGATTATCAGTTGCTGGAGATGTCCAATATTTGTAAATTTTTTCAGGAGTTATTTGTGATTTTATATTATGTTTTTCATCATAAATAGCTTTTGAAATTGTGTTTATTATTCTTTGACCCATACTTTGCTCTTGACTGGCATTACTTTCAATACTTCTTCGACCTAAATATTCAAAACGTAGTTCAAGATCACTCCATTCGTGCAAAATATATTCTCTAGAAGAGTCAACTGTTTTAAATAATTTAAGAGTTTCTGTTTTAAATTCTCCATTTTCACCTCTAGCTATATCTCTCCAATCTCGACCAAATTCATCAAATTGAATATCAATATTTTCGTCTTCATTTTCCACTTGTTTCAGTCTTCTTTTGATTTCTTCTTTGGTGTAATTTTTTCGAATCAGTTCACTCTCTTCATCATTTTCATCACTCCCATCTTCTTCCACTTCTTCTTCTTCATCTTCGTCGTCATCATCTTCACTTTCTTCAAGACATTCATACTCTTCCAACATATATTTGATATCTTCATCAAATCTATCAGCATATTCCAAATCAATTAAAATATCTCCTATTTCAGATACACTTTTACAGCGGTTTAATTTTCTACTTGCGTGCTCTTTATTCTTTGATGGTTCATCAATTTGTGAATATTGTTCACTAGTGAAAGAAGTACCTGAATAAAGAACCAATAACGCAATCATAATTAATCTCATATCAAGCAGTATAGCACCACCGTTGTCTATAACTCTTGCCAAAGGTTGTATAAAGTTAAAAATTGGTTCATCACTTAAATCTATGAAATCCTTTAAATAATCATTATCTAATTTTTTTTCATATGATTCACCATTTATAGACAGTGATGGATTTTTATTCAATGCCCAAGCTAAAACATATCTTATTGAACTTGAGCCTTTTAATACTTGTAAAATTATTGGTGGTGTTTCTAATTCAGAATCATGTTTAAGATTATTAAACTCAATTCTCCTATCAATTTCAAGACCCAACAAGATTATATTTGTATGACATTTCCAAAGTTTTAAAAAAGTATGTAAATAAGGATTCTGCAGTAAATTAAAAATATCATCTTGATTAGGCATTAATTTATAAATTGCCATCAATAAAACACACGCTACTGAATAAACTAATTTTAAACTATGTTCATTCGATGCAAGTGAAGGATTTGGAGTCCATTTTGATAATGACTTGGCCCAGTTTTTATCTGAATTATCTATAAACCTCAATCTTAATTCATCATTTGCATTTAATCCTAAATGAATTAATTGAACTAATTGGAAAAATTTAGTTGAAAGATCAAATTTTATAGAATCTAATTCCATGAATTCATCTTTTTCATATTTATCATACAGGAAACTGATTAATAAATCAGAAATAAGTTGAACTCCCAATGTATTATCATCATTTTCTTCAGGTTGTGTAAAAGGATCACATAATGCAATTGCAACTTTGAATATGAATCTAAGATATTGATCTTCAATTGGTATTTTTAGTATGTTGGCAATGTCTTCATGTCTTTTATTGAAATTTTTGAAAGGTCCTTTTGGAGGTATTGCAAATTCATATTCTGAATGCTCTATCTCATCACCCGATCCTTGATCCAGCATATCATTTCCATTACAAATGTATGTTGTGTTGTAAGTTTTCTTGATTTATTAGTGTTGTAAATAAGTTTCTGAAAAGAAATAAAAAATACAAAATCCTGCGTATAAGGTTTTAGGTTTCACATTTTAATGAAGAGCATAAATAAGACAAAGTTTGTAAATAAATCAATCATGTATACTTGATCTATCTAAATAGTCTATTTAAAAACGTCTAATAATCTAATTATAAGTATTAACATTGAAAATTTGTTTTAATCCTTTACCGAAAATACCTCTAACACTTGAAGACCTGCTTCTTGAATATGCAACTAGAACGGCCAAACTTATTGAAAATACAATACTTTCAATTCTTAAATTTCTTTTTGATGGTTCTGATGGTATAAATGTACCTAAACCTCTTGGAGCAACAAATAATCCTAATTCTTTTCTTCTTTGAGGTGTTTCAACAAATGAAGAAAATCCACATGCAAGAGATCCTGCAGCAACACAAATTGTATCATCCCAACGAGTTCTTGGTACATTTGGAAATAATTTGGGTAAAATTCTTGTTCTCGCTAAACAAACTGCATACCACATGAAACCAATGAATGCACCAAGAAAACAAGATGATCTAATTGAAGATTTTATAGCACGTAATAATCTTGCTGACATTTTAACTTTCAGTGGGAATAATAACATCAATAAATTCAATGGTAAATATACAGTAGCGGCAAATTTAAAACCTCTCCAAAATCTCCATAATGCATGAATTTCACAATTTTTACTTACAAAAGCATGTACAGCTTCACATTCAATAGGTTGATTTATAACAGTATTACCTCTTTTTGGATCTTTACCATATTTTATAAAATATGGAGTTAAATAATCTTCATATGGTCCATGTTCTCCATAAATTATTTCTTTATTTCTAACTAATTTTAAAACTTCAACAAAATCAGGATCCATATTTGCAGCTGAAGTAATCCATTTTGAATAAGCAGGTGGTAATCTTTCTGGATAATAAAACCAACAAAACATTATAGGAGTACAACTTGCAATAAATAATAATGCATCACCATATTTTGATAAATTTGGATGTACGATTTTGGATAATGATGAAGAAAAAGCAGTATCTAAAGCTCTTGTTGCAACTAATAAAGTTAAATCTAATGAATTATATCTACCAATTTTAACAATATGACTTTGATATAATGGGAAAGTAATTAAAGCAGAAATAAGTGAAGAAATTAAAGTTGAAAAAAATAATGTTTTAGTTGGTGATTTAAAATTCTTATTTTTTTTCAAAAATCCATAAATTAATGGTTCTAAAATATTTATACCAGCTATTAAACTAGCAGAAAATATAGGAAATTTTCTAAAATGTAAAGCTTTTATTATTGTCTTTTTAACTCTTGGAATAATTTTATCATATTTATGTTTTTTTATTGCACTTATAATTTGTCCTAAAACTTTTGGTAATACTAAATAAAGATAAGCATAAATAAATGCTTTTAATGAAGGTTTTGCAACACCATTTATTAAATAATTTAATAATAATTGGTTTTGTATAATTCTTTTATTACCAATATTAGATTTTATTTGAGTCAGCATCTGTTAAGTTCATATATGGGAATTTAATCCTTTAATTCAACATAATATGGGAAAAATTAATTTTTTTTTATTCTATATGTTTAAATGTTAATGAAATATTCAAGAATTGTAAATAATAATAAAAGTAAATAGAGAAATTAAATAAATTTTAATTTGTGAAATATTTTTTTTTTTTTTTATTTATTAATTAATTTTATTACCAGAATTTTGTATTGTGATATTTAATTTATACTGAGTGTCAAATTATTGAATTTATTGACATTGAGTTTTTTTAGTGACATTATATTGTTTTCATACTTTTTATTAGTTATAAGTTTCAATAAGAAGTTAATAAATGATGAATTCAGTTTAATTTTTAAAAAAAGAAGAAGTGTTTAGAGATTCTGATGTAAATAATAACTAATCATGAAAAAGTTGATATACAATTAATAAACGACACTTTTATAGCAATATTAATAAAACATTTGAAATAAATATAATAAGACTATAAAAAAAAAGTAATAATAAAATTACGCGTATGTCACAGTATTAATTTTCGCGACATGATAAAAAAAAAGTAAAATAAAAAATTCTCCACATAATATTCTCGACATTTAATTAAAATATATTCTCTACTTACAATAGAAAAAAAAGTCGTTGAAAATTATGTGTTGGTCAAAATTAAATTGATTCGAATAATTATTACGAACAAAAATATCAATACAAGTGGATCAAACAGTCTTAATATATTACTAGTTACAATTCAATTTTTTTTTATTTTCATCTCAATATTGAATCATATTTAATTTATTTATTTATATTTAATCAATTGATACAGTTAATTAGTTCAAATCACTTTCCAAGAAAAATTAATTTCATTAAAAGACAGAATTGAAATAATCTCATAAATTGATATATATAGATTGATGAAATAATGGTAAAGATAAGTGAAATAAATAGAACTTCAACTTTTGCTTGGAGTCTGGATAGTCTTCCATTATTAGTAACTGGAACTGTTGCAGGTACTGTTGATATAGATTTTAGTTCTTCAGCAACTTTAGAATTATGGGATATTTTTTCACCAACAAATAATGATAAACCCATTTTTACTTCATCAGTTGAAAATAGATTTAATGCATTAGCATGGTCAAAACCTTTTGAAGGTAAATCAAAGGGAATAATAGCTGGTGCATTTGAAAATGGAGATATTGAATTTTGGGATGCTGAAATTTTAATTAAAACTAAAGATCTTTCAAAAGCTTCTATACATAAAGCTGAAAAATCAAAGGGAGTTATTAAATCATTACAATTTAATCCTATACAACCTCATATTTTGGTTACTGGTGGTACAAATGGTTCAATTCTTATATGGGATACTAAAACTTTTAAAGAACCTTTTGGACCTGGTCAAGCAATGACTCCAATGGATGAAGTAAGTTGTGTTTCATGGAATAATTCAGTTAGTCATATTTTTGCAAGTACTGGTAATAGTGGTTATACATCAATTTGGGATTTGAAAAGTAAAAAAGAAGTTTTACATTTATCATATAATGGACCATCAGGTAGAGCTAATTTTTCTCATGTTGCATGGCATCCAACAAAATCTACTCAATTAGTAACATCAAGTGATAATGATTCATGTCCATTAATTTTAACTTGGGATTTAAGAAATTCGAATGCACCAGAAAAAGTTCTAGAAGGTCATAAAAAGGGAGTTTTATCATTGGATTGGTGTAAACAAGATCCAGATTTATTGATTTCAAGTGGTAAGGATAATTCAACTTTATTATGGAATCCAATTGAAGGTAAAAAATTAGGTGAATATCCAACTACTGCTAATTGGGCTTTTAAAACGAGATTTGCTCCATCAGCTCCAGATATTTTTGCGACTGCTTCATTTGATGGTAAAATAATAATTCAAACTATACAAGATACTTCACCACCTGTATCCACAAAAGTTGCTGCATCTAATGATGATAATGAATTTTGGAGTGAATTATCAGTTACTGAAACTCAACAACCAGTATTTGAAACAAGACAAGCTCCAGCTTGGTTAAAAACCCCAATAAGCGCATCATTTGGTTTTGGATCAAAATTAGTTATTGTAAAAAATAGTCCAAAATCAGTTGTTACTGTTGAAAAATTTTTAGTTAAAGGTCATGAAAAATCAGATAAAATATTTAAAGATTTGAAAAATGAAGATTATGAATCCATTATAGACACTCATTTGAAAGATGACATTGTTAATGACCTTGATAAAGCCGATTGGGAAGTTTTAAAAAATTTCTCAAAACACGGTAAAAAAGATTTATTCAATGAGCAAGAACCAGAAGAAAAAGACAATAAGAAAAATGTCCATAATAACGATGATGAAGAGAAGAAAGACGGTGAGAAAATTGAAGTTGAAGAAGATGATTTCTTTTCTCATCTTGGAAATGGTAAAGCAACTACCAGCAAAACGTTTGTACCTTCAGGAGATTTCACCATATATAAATCAAGTTCTTCAGATATTGATAAAAAATTGATAAACTTAATATTGAAAAATAAAATAGAAGATGCTGTTGAATCAAGTTTGAGTCAAGATAAATTAATTGATGCATTGGTTTTGGCTTTAGATGCATCAGCTTCTGTTAAAGAGAATGTTAAAAATGCATATTTTGAAAAATATAAAACTAACAGTTTATCAAGAGTCATTTATAATGTTTCATCTAAGAATGTTACAGATCTTGTTGCTCATGCGAATGTTGATAACTTTAAAGAAATTGCAATTGGTATAACTTCTTTTACTACAGACACAGATGAGTACAATAAAAAGATGTCAGAACTAGGTGATAGACTTTTGGAAGCTGACAAAAAGAATAGGGATAATGCTATAACCTGTTATTTGGCTGGTTCTGCTTTGGATAAAATTGCTAACCTTTGGCTACAAGAATTACCTGATTTAGAATCAGACTTGTTAAAATCTGATACAAAGGATATTTCAACTCCATCTGAAGCTCGTTTACAAGCATTAACAAATTTTGTTGAGAAAATTGCAACATATAGACATTATTCTAAAACTGAAGGTATTATTTCTGGACCATTAGTAGAACCAATTTCAAAAGCTATATTGGAATTTGTTAATCTTGTTGCAGGTACTGGTGAATTTGATTTAGCTGATAAATTTTTACAATTATTGCCAAGTGAATTTGCAGGTGTTGAAAAAGAAAGAATTTTGAAAGCTACTGGTAAAGACGTTGCTAACACTTCTGTTAAACCAAAAGTTGAACCAAAGCCATTACCAAAAAATTTACCTAAAAAATCTGCATATTCAAATGTTTCAAATCCAATTACACCTCAATCTCAATATCAACCACCACAGCAACAACCACAACATTCTCAATATCAACCACAACATCCACAACAACAATACAATAAACCATCGTCAATACCACAAATTCCTCCAATTTCTCAACAACCACCAATTTCTCAACCAATAAATAATTATGCAACTTCCGCTCCAAAATCTAATCCTTATGCTAGAGCAAATCCTTATGCTCCATCAAATATTTATAAAGCTACAACACCAACTGGGGCTCCACAAGCTCAAGCAAATACTGGTATTCCACCTCCACCACCACCATCTGGAGGATCTAGATCTAAACAAGAAACTGAAGGTTGGAATGATTTACCAGACTCTTTTAAATCAAAAGCTAGTGCGCCACGTCGTCCTGCTGCTTCAGCTGCCGCTACAGCAACTACACCATCTCCTGGTCCATTAACCTCTCAACCAAGTCAATCAAGCGTTAATTCTTTTGGACCACTCAAACGAACAGTTTCAACTAATAATGTTCCACCACCTCCGCCAAAAAGTGCAAGTCGTACAGTTTTAAAATCAACAGTTCCAACCCAACCTATTTCATCACCAAAACCTCAACATTCAAATAAATATGCCCCACCACCAGGTGTTGAATCAGCTATCTCAACTCCAGGTTTCACTGCTCCTTCAACTGCAAATGCATCACCTCGTGCAGCTAAAAAGAACCCATATGCCCCAACAACTGAAAACATTCCATCAAAAATTACTTATGCATCACCACCAGCTCAACAATTTTCAAATGGTCCTCCAGCTCATATAAGTTTACCACCAAAAAATCCTTATGCTCCACCACCTTCTTCAAATTTAACTCCAAGTAAAGGAATTGCATTACCAGATAAGAATTTCGGTTCAGCTCCACCACCTCAACAACCTTTTGGAACTACAATGGCAACTCCAATTCAACCTCCATTCAGTGGAATCCCTCCACCACCACCAACTGGTTCAATTATCAAAAATCAGCCACCAGCTAAATCTACAACAGCCCCACCGCCACAACCACCACCACAACATCAACAGCAAGAGCCAGAACCAGAAGAGATAAAACATCCTAAAGGTGATAGATCTCATATTTCAGAGGATTCATTACCAATCTACCAATCATTAAGTAAAGTTGCAGAGACTATAAAACCAAGCATTCCAGAGAAATATGCAAGACATGGAGCAGATATGGAACAAAGATTAAATATATTATTTGATCATTTAAATAATGAAGAAATCAGTAAATCATTAATAGAATCATTAAAACAATTAAGTTCAAATTTAGAACAAAAACAATTTGATCAAGCAAAAGCTATTAATGTTGAAATTGCAACAAATTTTAGTGATGAATTAGGTAATTGGCATACAGGACTTAAACGTTTAATTACAATGGCAGAGGCAATGTATTAATGTTGGCAAGAGAAGAAGCAAAAATTCAAAAAAAACTACAAATAAAAGTATTAATAAATAATTAAATATTGTCTATTCTAAATAATAGTAATAAATAAATTAATATAAAAAATGTCTAAAAACTCTATGGTTTTTTAATAAAAAACAATTTCCGCTAATTTTGCACCACCATAATCATCTTCAATAGGAATAGTATTATGAATTTTTTCAACTTCCAAAAGTAAAAATCTACTTTCAATTTTTAAATCTAATATAGTTACATTATGCCTTGTGGGTACTAATACTTCTTGATATTCTGATTCAGAAAATGGTTCACTAATTTCAACATCATTTGAATGAATCTCTTCAAATAATTCACTTTGATTATATAATTTATCTTCTGGATTTGCAAATTTATAGTTTTTATATAACTTATTACCAAAATCAACTTTTGATAAAAAGTCAGTAACTGAATTAAATTTTGAACCAATATATTTCAACAATTTCATTGATTTTGGAGGTTTATCTCCCCAGTTTAAAACAACGCTTGAAATATTCTTGATGGAATGTAAATCAATTAGTACTTTACCTACTGTATCATTATATCTTACTTGCCAACGAGTTGTATTATCTCCGTCATTAATTGAAAATGATGAATCACCGGGAGCTCCTTCTGTGATATTGTAGAAAGTAGCATCACCACATTCAGATATACTATCTGGGAAACTATTTGATGGTTTGAATAAAGGTAAAGTGACTGACTCATTATCTTTCAATTTAAATTTTCCTGACTTAGGATTTCTAGCAGCTAATGAAATTGTTATAAAATCATTTGCATTATTATCAATCTTCCCATTGTTCTTAATTGTAAAATCAGTAGATGTTAAGTTGAATGATAAAGTATGATTGTCGTAATGAATTGAATTATATTGTATCCCCTCTCCCAAACAAGGTATAGAAATAGGATCAAAATGCAAAACTCTTGAAATTTTACGATTATTGACTTCAAAAGTATGTCTCATCCCGGTTAGCCCTTGCATAAGAGCTTGTAAAAAACCGCCGTGAGCAGTTAAAAATGGAAAAGCAGGATGAGTTCCACCATTCTCAGTATAATTATCGTTATTTTGTTCTGAAAATTGGGCAAAAGGACCTCTTAAATATGGTTGAATAGCTTTATGTAAATAAGATTGTGATGCACATCCAGTCTCTGCTAAATTTGATGCAACTATTGAAAAAATTGAAAAAGTCATTGCTGGTCCATAACTTACTTGTTTTTGTGAATAAAATTCCATATTTATATATGCTTGATCTGTATTAATAAGATTATTACCTAACGGGTAAGTAAGCATAATTACATCTGCTTGTTTAATACCAACTGACGAGTTCATGCCTGAATATTCTAAAGTTATATTTTGTGAGTTGTTAGCAGTTGGTAAAAACATTTTGTTCGATATATCTCTATAAGTGTTGGGTACTTCCTCCCCTAGATGATCAGCCATTGAATTTATCCAATCCATCAATAATGCAATTCCAGAATTTGTATAAGCACCATTATCAACATGATTAGCATATTCATCTGGATCAGTAAGATTATATGTAACATACTTGTCAAAAGTATCATTGTATTTAGTAACATAACTTGAAAAGAATTTAGCAGCATCATTTACTATTGGAAAGGCCACCTCTCTCAAATAGTTGTCATCAGCAGCGCCACTAAGATACAATTGCCATGCAGCCATTGCTATGTTTGTATTAATATGATATTCATAGTTCAAACAAGGTCCTGTAGCCGTACAATTTCCAAATCTACCACTTGTCCATGGGTATACAGCACCTTCATAACCTTGTGGAACATTTTTTATTGCTTGTTCTCTTGTATGCATTCTATAATTCACTATACTTCTAGCATGAGTTGGGTTTAATGGTAGTATAGCTCTAAACATCCAAAGATCTGTATCCCAAAATACCATACCACCATAACTATCAGAACTAAGTCCACCAACACCTAAAGCTCCAGTTAAACCTTGAGCGTTTGGTCTAGAGTTAGCTAATAGATGATAAATAGATGCTTTAGCACCAAGATTTAATAAAGGATCAGACGGTATTTCAATTAATGGATATTCACCTAATTTTTCTTCCCAACCACTTATATGTGAGTTTATAATATCAGATGGATCTCTTTGTGAGACATTCTTAGCAAATGATAATACATCTCCAACTCCTAAATCAGAAGAAACAATACCAACTGTTTTAGATACATGAGTATAATCTAACGGTTCTATTTGTAATGTAGTCATTTGTTGCGCCTTTTTATCAGTCTTTTTGAGACTGTTAGTATGCAATGTTGAATAGATAGCACCATGAACATAATCCAAATTTATTGGCAGAAACGTTACATAAATTCCAGAATCATCATGACCAATTGTATCTAATTCACAACGTTGAGCTGAGTCAAAATCTAGTTCATCTATAACCATCACTGAAACTGATTCATTTAATCTATTTTGAATAGCAACATCAATATAACCAAGATTGATCTCTGTTCTATGAGCTAACACTGTATATTTCACATCCAACGAATCAAGCCAAGTGAATTGAGTAGTCACTATACCATTCGATAAAGACATATTTTGTACATAATTTGTAATATTATGCTGTTGTTGAGTTGGATCTAATGTATAATTTTTCCCTTCATGTTCAATTAATAATTTTAAAGTTGTCCATTGCGGTATAGCTGATATTATACTTTCGTATCCATTTTGTAAAAGTTCTGGGAAATTCGTACCTGTTGTATTTTCTTGAAGATCATAAAACCCAGCGATGAAAGCACCTGCATATCTTTTATCAAATAATGGCCAGCCATTATATAAATCATCCTCATTAGAACCTGGACCTAATTGATCATAAGTAAAACCTTGACCTAAATTTGGTATTCTACTTCCAATGTAACCATTCGCAACATAAGGTTGTTTCTGATATTGATTAGCTTCAGGAAATTTTATAGTCCCAACAACATTTAAATCTTTATCGTAAAATGCATTTTCTGAATATTTTAATTGACTAAAAATTTGTTTATTTTCAAAACTATTAACAAGATCTCGTAAATTATTGTTATCATTATCTGAATGAATTTGAATTTTCTCAGTTTTTGAAATAACTGAAGGAAATGCTTCACAAAATTTAGTATTTAATAAATGTATACTATAAAATAATATTAAATTTGCAATTATTGTCATTAATATAAATAGACTTTTATTCTTTAAAAATTGTTGAATTAAATTATGATGTTCGTCTTGATAATTATTCATCACATTCTTGCCTATTATCATAATATTTTAACATATATATATGTGAATGGGAAAGTCTAAAAACGAGTGGATATGTAGGAATGTGAAATGACACTATGAAACAATAGTCTAAAATTGTGAAAAAAGTGGAGTGAAGTAGTTGAAATAATGTAAGTGAAGTTAATATGAATTTAGCAATTGTACTTTTAAATTGTATGAGTTCGGTAAAAAACAGTCAAATTTAATTTTAATCAAATAAATTTTTATATAATTTAATTAATTCAATTGGTTTAAATTAGGCAACTCAAAGATCTCATTTTAGATCAAGAAAATTTGAAAAAAAAATTTGTTGATGGTTGTTAAAAAAAAGAAACAATATCTAAAAAGTAGATTAATAATTTTTATAATTTTCTAGTAATTCAAATCTCTGCATAATTATGTAAAGTAGAGAGAGTAAATGTCTTTTTTACAAATTTAGTCAAAAAGTTAACGAAAGAAGAACAGTTGTATAATTAAGGTCTAAGAGAGTTTGTTGAGTTATGAACCGTTGGAGTGACCCCCCACAAAGATTGGAAATAGAGTTTGTGTTGAAGAACTAAGATTGCTATTATCTACTAATAGTTCAACATTTTGTGTTAAAATGTCAAAAGATATTGTGTACCTGAATTTAAAAAAATAATTTGTGATATTTAAATGAAACGACTTTCAAAAGAAGTCCAAGAAGAGTACGGAAAAATAACAAATTAAAATCGGAGAAATTGATGTTTATTTATCATATAGATATAATTGGAATTAGATTTATAAGTATGTGACATGAACATTACTCAGATTATCATTTACATTTATAAAATCATTATTATTTCATTAAATTAAATTCTATACTTCATCTTTGTCTAAATCAGTATGATAATCATCTTCATCATATTCACTTGGTTCACGAATTACTAATGGTACAAATTCCTTTTTAGCTTCATCTTTTTCATTTTTAAATTTTTTACCAAAGAATATCAAAGTTGCCAAAAATAATGAAACTAATAAAGTAATTAAACCCCATCTTGATAAATACCATCTTAAACTTTCAATTTCTGACCTTATTGAAGAATCTAATTCTGTTGTAATTTTATGATTTGTCTCTTGAATTCTTAAAAATAGTTTTTTAACATTTAAAGTATTATCTGATTTTTGCTCACTTATTGCAACTTGTGAATCATTCTTCAATCTGAGATAATCATTATTTAATTCATCTGATATTATATTAAAATCTCTTTCTAGAATGTTGACTAATGAAATTAATTCATTTATATGTTGCTCCCTACTTCTTGTTATATCAACTCTAATTTCCTGTTGTGCACTTTCAAATAGATATTGTTCACTTTCTAATTCATATTTTTGTGCATAAATTGTTGACAATTTCGATAATTTTGAATTCAATTGGAATATTAATAGATGAATAATTTGATCACTTTGTGCATCTGTAAATCCTGCTAATTTCAATCTTGTGAAAATTTTGTACGTATCAATATATGGTTCTAAATTATCAAAAATTTCTGTTAAAAATTCATCTTTACTTGTTCCTTCTGGTAAAACTTTAGCATCACCTGGTTTAATTTGGTCATTCAATTGATTATGTATATTTTGTAAATAAGTAATTTCTTTTGGTTTTGGAGGATCTGTTGTACTTTGATTAGTTTGTGCGCTCAGAAGCTTGTTTTGCGTATTATCACTTGGTACTTGTGGTGATTTCCCTCTAATTAGTTCTTGATATAATCTCGATTGATTTGTAAACGGTCGTATTGGTGTCTTGTGATGTGATATATGTTTATTAAAATGACTAGCTGAATTGTAGAAAGATGTTGTTCTAAGATAAATGCTATACAACCTTCCTAGACATTGTTTCATAGTTATAACCAGTTGGTGAAGATTGTGTGTGTGGATTAAGTAGTTGATTGATGTACCTTTATATCTTGTTATCAGAATTATAATAATAATAGTACTTAGATATAGAGAGAGAATATATTAAAGTTTTTATTTAACAGTTAGAAAGCAAAAGACAGCAATAAATTTTAAAATGGTAACACCAAGCGAGATATGTAAATATGAAACAACAGAAAAAAGATGAACAATAATTTAGCCCCATAATATTAGCCAGTAACTTGAGCTGTTTCATCTACTGGAGATTTAAACGGATGTTCTAAAACATAATGATATAAACTTCTTGAAAAAAATTTAAAACCAAATCTAAGATGTGAAAAATAAACAACAGTTTGAGAATTTTGATGTCTATAATTTTCATCAATACAAGCAAAACCCTCTAATGTATTCATAATACCACGATCATGTTTAGCACCAATAATCAATTCAGGAGTTGTTGGAAATTCAATGTCAAATATTTCATCTTCTGGCTTTAAGTCTAGTTTATTTGTTAAAAGATTGTAACTAATTTCACGAATTCTTCTATCACAAACATTGACAAATAATGTTCTTTGATTTTCATACCCACTGATTATATCTGCAACAGTAACTTCTTCATTTGGATTATTTGGCATAAAATCTTCTTCATGAACAACATACTTTAATTTTGTAAATTTATTTACCAAAACAATTTTAGGTAAAGATTCTTTAAATTTTTTCAATTCTTCTGGATTAAAAGTATTTTTAACTGCAATTAATTCAATTAAAATTGCATTCTTGATAGCATCTAAAAAATTTGATTCACCTTCCCAACATTTAGCTGATTTTTCATAAATTGAAACATTTTGAATACTTGGAACTAAACAACTCCAAGTAATAAATTTACCAATTTCTCTTAATAACCTAACCCTTTCTGCTGCATTATGTGATTTGAGTTGAGTAAAATATTCATTTCTTATAGCTAGTGAATACTGAATTTTTTTTCTATCTGGAATTTTGATATTTCTATCAGAATCTAAATAAGGTTGAGGAATTTCAGGTGGTGGTTCTATCATCAAATTATCACTATGTAAAATTAAACCAATCGATGAAGGGGTATTTGTTTTAGGAATATGAAGTAAACAGTTTTTTAAACCGGCAGGTGTACCAGATCTTGGATCAATAACTTTCCATAATAAAGTAGGAATTGACCAAACCAATTCCCAATAATATATAACCTCAGTAAGTAAATTTTGAAAATAACGTTGGTTAGGTAATTTTTTATAATCATGAATTTTGTATTTAAAATCTAAAAAGAAAATTCTTACTAATTCAACTGAGTTTATAACAGTTTCATGAAGATTGAAAAAAATGAAATAATAAAAAGTAATATAATTTAAAACAATTTTATGAAAATGAGCTCTGAATACATCATATGTTGAATACATTTCTTTACCTGAATCTAAACCAAGATTATAACCAGATAAAAATCCTAAATTAGTAGCAGGAATAGCACTATAATCTTGCACCCCAACTATACTATCATGCAAGATATTCTTTTCTCTTCTTTTTCTTAACATCATATTGGAAACGTGCTAATTTGAAGAAGTATAATGATGGAAGGTGGTTATGTTTTCAAAAAAAGTGTTGCAAAAAAATTATAAAATTAATTTGATTAAAATCTGATTTTGTGTGCCAATCTTGTGACAATAAAAAAATTAATATATAGACTTAAATAATTCATAGAGTAGAACTAAATTTAATCAAAATTATCCAAATTTAGTTTTTTTATTTGACTATGCTTACTATTTATGAATAATCATGATGGATCTTGAATTTTTCGAACCGATCCAGGAGAGCCTACTTGATTTGAAGCTATTCCACCAGTACTTGAATTTAAACCAACTTCAGGTATCAATGATGTATGAATATTCATAGCATATATAGTCATAAACATAACGACAATATGTAAACCTAAACAGTAAGCAAAAAAAACCATTCTTGTAGTTCTTGTAGCTAAAACAGCTCTTGTTATTGATATAAATAATCTTTCTAATGGTGATAATCTTGAATTTATTCTTTCTTGTTCTTTAATTCTAAATTGTTCAATTGGATGTAATTTATTTTCATAGTTTCTTTGATAGTTTGATTGATTATTATTCTCCAAGTCATAATTGTTTGGTTTGGGGTTTAAAAATTTTCTTCCCGATGATGTTGTAGTGATATTTTTAGTACCTGGTGTTTGAAATGATTGCAAATATCTACCACGTTCATATAATTCTTCATTATCTTGTTTTAATGAATTTATTTGTCTTTTCATATCATTTATTTGATTAATTTGTTTTCTTAATTCTTCTTCCAATTCATTATTTTTTTCCCTAAATCTATCTCTTTGTTTTGTTATAATTGGTAAAATAGATGATGTATCATCTAAACCGCTTATACTTCCTCTTTCACCTGATATTCCTGAAACTATACTTCCATTTCTTATATTTGTAGGTCTTGCCAACCTACTTATTCCAGATATTAAACTTGAATTATCATTAAACCCCTGGTTTGAGTCTTGCAATTCAGCTAAATCGTTCTCTAATTTCGTGTTTAAATCTTTTAATGAACTGATCATCTGATTTGACGAGCTTAATTGTTGTTCAAGGTTATCGATTTTTGTATAGAAATCTTGATGTTGTGACCTATAATTGGCTAGTTCTTGAGTCATGGCTTTATTTCTCTCTATCACTATTGAGTCGATCTTTACATTTTTATCATCAGCTTCACTTCCTTCTTCTTCTTCATGTCCAAACTCTATTTGTCTTAATAAATGCAATTCATGTTTAATTTCTTCATAATCTGAAGTTTTATGTAATTTGGATTTTAAATTTGCAATCTCTTGATTCATTTGAGAATTCTCTCTACTCATTATCTCTAATCTAGAGTCATGTAATTTTGAACTTTCCGAAATTTGTTTTCTTAATTGGTCAACATTAGCGACAAGTAATATATTTTCACTTTCCATTTCATTGACTTTCTTTTCACATTCATTTTTGACAATATCTACGCTGTTATCAGTTTTTGATTTTGATATTTCTCTTCTTAACTCTTCATTTCTTTTCTCCAACTCAAAAATTCTCTTTTTTGACAGTTCTGAATCTCTTCTGACCATATCCAATTCTGCCATCAATGATGCTGATCCATTTTCATAATTATTAGATTGACCTTTGTTTTGATTATCCAATTGCAATTCAGTCACTTCTTTTGAAGCTCTCATTTCTTCAATTTGCTTTTGAGCAGTACTCAATTGATCCTCAAATTGCTTCTCCTTTTGTTGCCAATTACTTTCTTTTTCCTCTATTATTGATTTCATCTCGGCTTCTTTTGCTTTTAACTTTGTACTTAATAATTCTGCTGATTTTTGTTCATTCAGTAGTAGTCTTTGTTTCAATTGATCATAATCTGCTTTCTTTGATAATTCTTCTTGCAAAGCTCCAACTTCTGTTCTCAAATTTATCATATCCTTGCTTTCCATTACTGAGTCCAATGACATTTCCAACAAAGGTTTTGGATCAGGAGCCTCTGATAGTACTCTGTAGGTACCAAAAAAGTAATTTTCAACATTCTTATTCTTGTTTGTTAACGAGTCAATTTCATTCTGATATAGTTTTAGTAAAGTTTTAAATTGTTCCAATTTCTCAGAATCCTCCAATTTTCTGAACTCTTTTGTTTTTGAAGCTAAATTCTTTCTACTGATTAAACTTGATTTTTGAGATTCTTTAATTTCCAACCCCTGTTCGTCCAATTTTTTCTGTAAGGACTGTAAATCTATTTCGCTCCATGTCTGTAGGGCCTTTTCAAATACATTTGACTTAGATTCGTTATGATTAGGTTCCGATTGAGCTCTAGAAGACATAACCTTTATAGTAATTCAAATAATTTGATGATTTTCATTTAGTATGCATATATTTTTTTGACAGTTACATATTTTGATTTCTCGATCAAAGGGTAAAAGTAAGAGACAGAGTCGAGCTGGAATCATACTGACGCACAAACAATCGGGATTAGTACTAAAAGAGCTGATGATTCAACTACGAGTCTCTTTAATCTATCTTCTTCGTTTTAATTGTGCATTAATTTATACTGTAAAGAAAAATATAAACAAATAAATGAAACAGCTGTTTTGTGGGTGAAATATTCTTGTAAATGATGGTAGAATAAATGAATTTAAATGAAAGTTTCGTATGGAACTGGAGCTAAGGTTTGAGGAATGTTTTCAGTAGCAACAACAACTCTAGCTTCTCTTGGTTTAGCAGCAGCTCTTTTTAAGTTAACGTGTTCACCATTTGCTTTAGCTTCTCTTTTTTTAGCAGCGTTTGATTTAACTCTATTCAAAAATTCTTGACGACAAGCTGAATGTTTAACATGTTCAACTCTTAAGTTAACTCTTTTTTCAATATATCTGTTTCCAACAACTTTGTTAATGATGACACCAACTGATGATTTGGTAACATTGTAAACAATACCAGTTTTACCGTGGTAGTATTTGTGTGGCATACCTTTTTGAATTGAACCATTGGCTTTTATATCAACAATATCACCAACTTTGTAAACTTTTAAGTAGGTTGATAATGGAATAGCACCATGTTTTTTAAAATCCCTTTGGAAAGCGTATCTAGTACCTGATCTGTAACCACGACTATAAAGAAAGTTAGTATATGAATACTCTAAGACGCTTATGTATTATTTTATGGAAGTACTATGAGTATGAATCTTATATGTGTTTTCTTTGAAATGATGATATTGACAATTTAAATTTAAAATTTTCGTCTTGATAAATAACAACTCCTTCTTGGAAATGATTCAACAGGTGGTGATGATTCTAAAATAATTGCGTAGCTAATTAATAATGATAAATCGAACATGTTTTGGAGTTTGTAGATAATATTTTTCTTCTTTTGTGATGGTGCTTTTCAATGACTCTTTAAAGATTGATTCAAATTAACTCTTTCAATGTGAAATATTGGAAATAGTCTTAATGACAAATCTTCTACTCATACTATCCATTTTGAACGTTATATTTTATCTCACATACGATTTACCCATTTTTGTATATTGATATTAAGTTGTTGTTAATGTATTGGTAAAAATTCTAAAAAAAAAATTTCAAATAATTTTTCACTATTACAAGGAGAGAGAGAGAGAGAGAGAGAGAGAGAGAAAGTGTAACAAAATTTAGTAAGTAAATTTACTTTGTACTAATTTAGTACAGAGCGCGACAGATTTAATACGATAATATGTATTTTGTGCATTAGTGTAATTTGGTAGCTATTTAGGCCATCAAAATGTTTATAGCCCTAACAATGTGTATTCACACGTGGAAGTTTGCATCCAATTTACAACTTGAAACACCTCATGAAATAGTCAAAGATTGGATGCAAATATGAGAGAACGTGCTGATATGAACCCAATTATATGTATACTTGGTATATTTATATGGAATATATACTCCTATTAATTTACATGTAAAAATTTTTATTAAAAAAACCAAAGAAGAATGTATGAATGAAAATGGATAATAATAGTAAATAATTGATCAGCTAATTTATTCTTCTTCTTCAGCATCACCACCTTCTTCTGAGTTTTTCTTTTGTGATTTTCTCTTATTTCTACCTGGTCTTCCACCACCGTATGGGGAAGTTGGAGCAAAATCAATATGTTTTTGTGAATCTAATCTAACAGTGAATGATGGAACATTAACAATTTGTCTACCAACAGCAATGTGTCTTTGTGAGATTAAAACTCTAGCATGATGGATTGATCTAGCTAAACCTAATTTGAAAACTTGAGTTTGTAATCTTCTTTCCAAGAAATCTTCAATTCTTAAAGCTAAGACATAATCTAATTTCATTTTATCTTCTGATAAAACACCAACTCTAACTAATCTTCTAATTAAAGCATTACCTTCAAATAATCTTTTGGTATCTTTTTCATCTCTGGTTAATAAATCACGAGCAGCTCTTCTAATTTTTGATAATTGGAAACCAATTCTGTAAATTTCTCTTTTATTCTTTAAACCGTATTCACCAGCTAATTTTAATTCAGCATCTAAACGAGCTGATTCGTATGGTCTAGCTGGAGTGGAGTAGGTTTTTGAGTAAGTTCTTGGAGCACCTTTAAAACATAAAGTTAGAATCAAAGTTCAAAATTATATCAACTAGTAAATTTCAAGGTCAAAAGAGTCGGTTAATGAGGGATCCTACACTCTCAATGAAAAACTGAATCAAAAAAATGCAATTACAAAACCTTTAACCATTATTTGATTCAAATCGGAAAATTGAATGTCATCAAAATATTTTTAATTATACCTGAAAAGTTGTAACAATCATAAACCTGAACACAAGTTCGTTAGATGATTGAATACAAATTCAACAGTGTCTTTATTGTATAATCGAATGAACTTATGACAAAAAATTCCTGAATTTGAACAATAAACTTTTAAAAAAAAATTTATTCATAATGTTCTTTCTGTAACTGAAGTGTCGGGAATTCAGAAACATAATCAAATTTAAAGGTTTTTGGCATTCTCAGATTGTAAATTTAATCAAAGAAAGGAGGACCCGAACCTCAACGACCAGTAAGCACCATCTTCAGAATAAAAAAAAATTGATAAAATCAAAATTTAACATCTTCGATAGTTCTGAAATCGTTCATATAAAGGTTGCTATCATTAAGCCAACTAGCTTTTGATAAATGTAATTAGTATAATGTAAATGATATATTGGAACATACGTGGCATATTGAATCAGTTGATGTAGTTGTTAGATGAATGTAAAAGAAGAGTAAAAGTGAAAATAAAAATTACTTTGAGAAAATCAAAACTGAAAAATTTGTAAAGTGAAAAAAAATTATTAGATGGAGTTATATACAGGTACATGAAAAAAACTATTGTTTGTATGGTAGCTCTCTTTTTCGAACTTAAAGTAAACTTATATAGCTAAATATCAAACACCAAGTAGTATGATTCCACAAATACAATTACAGGTTTAGTCTCTCACATTGATAGGTTACTTATTTGACTGACCTCTGAGAAGTGGAAGAGCAGAAACGGTATGCCTTCGCTAGTTAACATCTCAATTTGAGCTTTTGTTTTACCACATTTCGTATCTATTTCACTCAAACTATTCAATTTAAGTGAAAATCTCGAGTTTTATATTCTTGGTCGTTTCGAGTTTGGTTACAACTGCATTTTTCAATTTTAGAGATGAAAAGTGGTTCTTCATTTGATTTGTGCAAAATTGGTTGCAAAACGTATGAAAATTGCTCTAGACCACGAAACTAACAAAATATCGTTCATGATACAGAGCTTCCAAAGGATTAATCTTATTACATCCATTAGCAAGTTATTTAGCTAAGAGAGAGAGTTTAATTTTCTTAAACCAATTCCAGTCCATACTACAAATTCATGGTAAAGTAATCAGTTCATATTCTCACTTGTAAAGACTATATTTAAATTAAAATTACACACTAACAAGCAACAGACGTCTCTACTCAAAAAAACTCGTGTTTTGATTTAAAAAAGCAGGAATTCTAAATGATCTTAATCTCTTAAATTGTTTCTGGACTATGTTTCTCATCAATTGACTCTATTACTTCTCTCAGTTCAATATTTTCTTTATAATAAACGAACAATATGTAATATGTTAATGTAATTGAAATGATAGCGATAAAACAAGCACAAGTAAATACAAATATCGGTTGATAGAACCAGCAGGTGGCACAAGTTGGTATCCACATTAAAATTGTTAATTTTTAAAGAAATAATTTATCATTGTAGGCTTTGGTAGTCATATTTAGACAATAAATCTAGATTTCGATATGAAACAAAAAAAAGAATGATGGAAAACTTTTCAATAAACAAGAATAACGAACTAGAAGTTGATGTTTTGATGAATAAATTCATCATAATAATTATGGGTTTAAAAGTTATGAACTTTTATTTTAATTAAAAGTTAGAACCTAGCTTTTTTAACTAGTTAAAATTTATATAAATTAATAATTACACGACGAAGAGTATTAAATAATAATATTAATTATTGATATATGAAATTTTTCAGTAATTCAATCAGATTCAAATTTAAATACATCATCAATTTGAGAGACAACACCTCAGAATATCATATTCAACTATCATTTTCACTATCGTTTTCATTAAACTTCATGTAAAAACAAGTTAATGAAGTTTATAGCATTAATATCAGGAGGTAAAGATTCATTTTATAATATATATCATTGTTTATCCCAAGGACATGAATTAATTGCAATTGGTAATTTATATCCAAATGACACGAATAAAGATGAGATTGATTCTTTTATGTTTCAAACCGTTGGTCATGATATTATAGATTATTATAGTCAAATTTTAGAGGTACCATTATACAAACAACCAATTACCGGTTCTTCATCAAATCAAGAATTAGAATATCTGTATACTGAAAATGATGAAATTGAGGATTTGTATCAATTAATCTCGACTATTAAAGACTGTCATCCAAGTATAGAGGCAGTTAGTTGTGGAGCTATTTTATCTCATTATCAAAGAACAAGAGTTGAAAATATTTGTGGTAGATTAAATTTAACTTCATTAACTTATTTATGGCAAAGAAATCAAAATGATTTAATGCTTGAAATGTGTAATAATGGATTAGATGCGAGATTGATAAAAGTTGCAGCAATTGGATTAAATGCAAAACATTTGGGAAAATCTTTGAAAGAAATGTATCCTCATTTATTAAAGTTGAATCAGATGTATGATGTTCATATATGTGGAGAGGGAGGAGAATTTGAAACAATTGTATTAGACTGTCCTTTTTTCAAAAAGAAAAAACTACAGATTGTGGATCAAGAAGTAATCACTCATTCTAATGATGTATTTTATTTAAAATTGAAAGTTGAATTAGTTGATAAAGATCAGTCACGATTAACATTAGTACAACCGCCACCATTATTGGATACAGACTTATTGTCAATAGCACAAACCGAGTCATTACACGAAGACGTCTCAGCTCAAAGTGTATCACATTTCAATTCAAGTCACATACCCAACCTCAAAATTACAACCACATCAAGCAAAATTTTCATTTCAAATCTAACTTCAAACGCCGAGACTATTGAAGACCAAACAAGAGAAATTTTTGAACAATTGCTGGCAATTCTAAAAGATTTTGATTTAACATTCAATGATGTACAGCATGTAAATGTCCTATTATCAGATATGTCATTATTCGCTCGAATGAACAAAATTTATTCCACTTTTTTCACAAACATATATTTACCACCTTCAAGAATTTGTGTGGAGACTGATATATCAACGACCGTTCAAATTTCATGCATCGTTCCAAAAATTACACATTCTAAAACAGGAATTCACATAAGATCAAGATCGTATTGGGGACCTCAAAATATTGGTCCATATTCTCAAAGTATAGTGGATCTACAATCTAAGTACAAATTGGCTAGTTTATCAGGTCAAATTCCATTAATACCGGCAACTATGGATATTTCAGAGAACAATATTGCATATAATGCTGCGTTATCATTACAACATTTATCAAGGGTTAAAAATTTGGTAGGCGTTGTTAAGAGTGCCTCAATAATCTGCTTTGTTACAAATAGTGCGTACATTCCAATTATTAGAGAATGTTGGGCTCGATTTATTAATCTTAAATGTGATTCTGATTCTCATTATAAAAATAATTTAATCATTGCTGAAGTACGAGCATTACCTAGAGGTGCAGATGTCGAATGGGGAGGTTTTAGTTTTGAAGAATTTAACTTGGAAACTTATTACGATGAAGATGAAGATGAAGAAACTGCCAATAAGAGGGAGAATTCAGATAATAGTTTTGCTTCAAAGAAAGAAATAATTGATTCTAGTCTACCCAAATTTGAATATCATAATATATGTTCAATTGCAAAGGACTCATATAGATTCATTTCAATTTTCACCTCAGATGAACACCATTTAAAACAATTCATAAATGATTTACCGGAATCAATATTTATCACTTTGTTGACCACTGAGGTTATTGATGATATTGATGCAGAATATATACCAGTTAGGACGCTATATAATCACGAAGGTATTCAATTTAAATACGCTTTAATCATAAGACAAGAGTCGCATTAACTAGTGTATAAGTTGTAAAAAGTACGCATGTATCTGCACCTAATATATAATGATTAATGATAGCATAAAGTATCAACTTTAGTTTCTAGAAATAACAGAGGTGAATTAACTCAACTTTAAATCTAAGACTAATTAAAATACGTTATATCTAATAATATAAATATATCATCTAACAAAACTTTTCAATAAACCACTAACAAAACAAACAGAATTGAAAACCATTTTCGTAACACGTCATCACAATTATTTTATAGCTTGTTCTATTTAGCAACATCACTACCATCATTTTGAGGACCTTTATAAATTAGTTCATCAGGAACTTCAATACCCTTTGATCTACACATTTCTATTAATTTAATATTCTCATCTCTCAATTGATCAATATAATCAGCACTTTTAGTCAATATGTTTAGTTCTGATCTATTCTCCAGTTCTGTTAAATTTGGAGTTAATGATACTATTTTGTCAAATTCTGATCTTATATTTTCTCTTCTTTTTTGTTCTGATGCTATATGATGAGCCTAATAGAATTTGTCAGTAAGGGTTTTCTTTAAAAAGTTTTTGATAACTCTAATGATACATACTTTCTTCTGTTCGTCTGATAATGTCGATGATTTTGTTTTTTTCTTCAGTTTACCTGATGCATTTGGTGACTCTTCAACCGTAGGTTCTTCTAGTTTGTTTTCATCTGTGATAGTAGATACTGCTTCGGGAGAGCTACTATTCGCTGACATTAAGGCTACTCGAAGTGATGTAAATGAATTTGTAAATTAGTTGGTCCTCACTGTTTCTGATTTAAAAGTAATTTAATTCATGGTACGTTTCATATTCTTTGGAGAAATACGTGTACTTCATCAGACATTATAATATACGATCAAGATAGTAAGACTTTTTCAAAAAAGACTGATTTAGAAGCCAAAGAAGCGAATAATGAAGAATGATCAAATAGAATGATAACTAAAAGTAACTTTTCATTTTGTTATATTAATATAAATATAAATTTAAATATAATTTAAGCACTCAACAAAACACTATAACAATTTAAATAAATTTTCATCTTATCTAATCCTTCTCTTAAACGGTTAAATTTCAACCTATAATAATATAGCACCAGCAGCAATAGCAGCCACGGCTCCAGCAATGTTTACTCCTCTGATTGCATCTCCAGCTTGAGATTTTGTACCTGCACTTGTTGCATTTGCTTTAATTGTAGCATTCTTATGATGATGACCTGAAACTTTATTTGTTCCCTTTTTAGAAACAGCTGAAACTAAAGTAATTGAAGAAATTAATGATAAAATTATAATTTTTAATTGCATGATTTAAAATTGAACTGAGTTATATGGAGAACTAGGTTGATATATGTGACAAAAGAAAACTCAAAATTCATTTGTAAAATTGAGTTATCATTTCATGGATTATATATATAATATTTGGATTAGTATTATTTGATTACCAACTTGTTGTTTCCTAATTGTTTTGTAAGTTTTTGAAAATCAATCAACAGCAAAAGAACTATAATAAAGAGCATAACAAATAATTATTTAAGGGATCCCTGACAAATGAACCAATCACTGAGAAAAGATTAGTTGACATGAGCCTATGTCAAAATCTCTTGAAGTTTACTAATTTGTTTTAATGATTTTAAATGACATTTTTAAAATCATGTCCACCTAACAACTCATAGATATCAAATTCTAGATCTCTTAAGCAAAAAAATAACAGACTTACACGTACTAATGAAGTAGAGTGAATATTCAGATCTATTGATAAAGTGTTTTTGAATTTTGAGAGTTTACTAATATTTTTATAAGTTATATTTGAACCCCTTAAGTATTTGAAAGCTTTTCAGAATTACCCCTTAAATCTTACTAAATTTATTTATTAAAACTTATTATGTGCAATATTGTTTATTTTTACAACCAAATTTAAAAAAAGTTAAAACACGTATAACACATCAAAGATTTAATCTCAATATGTCACCATTTGATGGTGGCGTTGAACTACCGCCTCCAAATAATGTTGAACCAACTTTAACACTTCTTACAAAAGAATTATTTGATAAAATTTATGGAGTATCTAGAGAAAATTTGGGTGAAGCTAGAACTTTGACAGAAAGGAAAGCTCAAATTATCAATGAATTCATCGATACATTTAGAACTCACATAGGTAGTAATATGTTCCCAAGTTCAAAACTAATATTTCCTGAGAAATCTGGTAGATTATATTTCATTCAAGAAAAAACTTTAGCTACATTAATTATTAAAATGTATAATATTCCAAAGGAGTCAGAAGATTATAAATTTCTTTTTAATTGGAATAGAGGATATCAAGCTTCCAAAAGATTTTCACTGGATGAAAGGAAATTGAGAGATTTGGCAATCCAAGCTTCCAGAATTATTGCACATCGTAGAGAAGTAACTGAGTTTGAAGAATATACAGTATCTGATATCAATAAGGCATTAGATGATATAAAAGATGATAATAAGCAAGAAACAAAAATTAGAGTCCTTAAACCCATTTTTGATCATTTAAGATTAGAAGAATTAAGATGGTTTATCCAATTTATTTTAAAAAAACCGATTCTACAAAATATAGAAAAATTATTCTTCAATAGTTGGCATCCAGATGCTTATAGATTATTTAGTCTTTGCAACAATTTAGAAATGACATTCAATAGTCTTTGGGATCCTGAAAAGAGATTAACAAAACAAGATTTAACATTACATCCTCGTTTCAAATTCAAACCTCAATTAGCAACGAGACTAAATCAAAATTATGATGCAATTGTTAAAAAATTACATAAAACTATCCCCATGGATGAGGTATACGAGACTAAATTGAAAGAATGGAATCTACAAGATAAATTTTATATTGAAGAAAAAATGGATGGTGATAGAATGTTGTTACATAAAGATGGTGATCACTTCAAATTTTTTACGAGGAGGTTAAAAGATTATTCCTTTTTGTATGGAGAGAAACTTCATGTTGGAGGATTAACTAAATATCTTGCTAATGCATTTGCAAGTAATGTTAAATCAGTAATACTTGATGGAGAAATGGTTGCTTGGGATTATGAAAGAGAAGCAATTTTACCATTTGGAACCCTTAAATCGCTGGCGATTCAAGAAGGTGTCCGCCAATTTACTACTATTGACGAATACGATCAAATTAAAAGCTATCCTTATTATTTGGTATTTGACATATTATATTTGAATGGTAAAGATTTGACTAATTATCCGTTATTTTTCAGGAAAAATATTTTAAAAAAGATTATTAATCCAGTTCCTCATAGATTTGAAATTCATGAAACACGAATTGGTTCAGGTTCAGCAGACATTGAAAGAGCAGTTAGAGAAGTTGTTCAATCAAGAGGAGAAGGTTTAGTTTTAAAGCACCTTCAATCAAAATATTTCATAGATTCGTACCGCAACGCGGATTGGATTAAAGTAAAACCAGAGTATTTAGAGGAGTTAGGTGAAAATCTTGATTTAGTTGTTATTGGTAAAACCCCCGGTGCTAAAAATGCATACATGATGGGTTTGAGAAATAATGAGGATGGTTCGTACTATAGTTTTTGTACTTCGGGAAATGGATTTAAGCATTCAGACTTTAGCACAATTGAAAGATTAACAAATGGAAAATGGGTTGAATTAGCTAAACAAAGACCACCAGAATCACTTATTAAATTTGGTAGAAAACTTCCAGAATTCTGGATAGATCCCAATGATTCATTAGTATTGGAAATCAGAGCAAGATCAATTGATGTTAGACCCGAATTAACTTATGCTGTTGGAACCACTTTACATAATTTATACACAAGACAAATTAGAGAAGATAAACCGATTGACGATTGTTTAACATTACAAGATTATTTAGAATTAAAAAAAGATCATACCAGAGGTCTTGAAAAGAAACAAACTGCACTTAACAGAAAGCGTAATTTTAATCTTATGACTTCATTTAATAACCCAATTGAATTGAAGAAAGTAAAAATAGAATCGGATTTATTTTCAAATTTTGAATTTCTTATAATGAGTGATAAAAAAGATTTTGATGGATCAATTACACCCAAAGATAAACTAAAGGAGTTAGTTAAAAGATATGGTGGTCATATTGTTCATTCTTTAAATCCAAACACTGATCGTCAAATTCTTGCAATTACCGAAATACAACTACCAGTTGGATCAAATTATCTTGAACAAGGTATTGATCTAATCAAACCTTCATGGATATTGGAATGTGTAAAAAGAAATAGAATTGTTCAAATTGAACCATATTTCGTATTTGCTACTAAAAATTGGGACATGTATCAACAAAGAGTTGATGAATTTGGAGATTCATACATCATTCATACACCAATGAAAACAATTAATACCCCTACTTTAAAAAAGTATGAACTTGAAAAATTGAGATCAGAATTTGAATGGTGGCATTCAAATAAACCTTTGTTATATCTTTTCAGAGGTGTTGATTTTTTTGTTTTAGGAGATTCATTATCTACACAAGTATTGAAAGAACGAATCCAAAGATTCGGTGGTAATATTACTGAAGATTATGTCAATTGTGGATATATTGTTATTCCAAAAGTAGAAGAAATTAAAAATAGAGATAAAACTTTTTTCAGAATTAAAAGAATATATAGAGAAATTGATGAAAATTTGGAAATTAGAGATGGTAAATTTATGAATAAATTACCATTTACTGTGTTAGAAGGATTTATTGAAGCATCTATTGATGTAAATTGCATAGTTGACCCACAAGATCACAAACTAGTATAGCTTCAATATATATATCCATAATCACCAAAAATTATCTTTTTAAACTTTTTCCTTTTCTTGTTAATTCCGGAAGTTTGAAAGGAACTTTTAAATTTGCAATTTTGTAAGTACCAGCAGCACTTTTCGGTATCCCCAAAGCTTCAGCTTCTGCAACAGTTGCACTTTTAATTGTAGCCCCAACAGCTCTAAAAAGTGATACTAATTTTGTTGGTTTTAATTTTAAATCTTTTGCTAATGGATTTAGTTCAACTGTAAAATTGGATAAATGTAAAAGCAGTAAAATTAAATAACATAATAGTTTATCTTCATTATTTGGATCAATTGTGAATGCTCTATCTTTTGATCTACCAAAATTAGATGCACGATTTATTGTAAATCTATTTAATATTCCATCAATTAATGATTCTGATACTTTATTTTGTAATCTTGTTAATAATGCACTTTTATTTGACACTCTTCTATTTTCATAAACTCCAAATAGTAATGATGCATAATAAAGTATTTGTAATTTTTCGATATTTTCTTGTTCAATTAATCTTGAAATTCTTGATTTAACAAATTCTGGTTGTGATGGTAATTGTTCCAATGGATTTGAATCCGTTAATAATGGTTGTACACGTATATAACTCCAATCTTTTTCTGGTATGATTTTCTTGATAGGATACACATCTTCAACATTAGTAGCTGAAACATTTGGTTTAGGCATTATACTGAAAGTTTGTGTCTCAGTAGTTATTGGTGCAGTAGATTCTTGTACAGTATCCACTATATCTAATTCTAAATCTTGCAATTTTTCTGAATCAATTCTGTTCTTCTCCAAGTTTGTGATTGCTTGTTTTGCTTTTTTGGTACCAAAAGCTTCACCCAATGCATTACGTTGTACATTATTTTTTAAACCAACTGATTTTACTGATGGTCCTTTATATACTCTATTTTTTTTAGCTGATACTTTCGTTGGTAAGTATGGAGTTTTATATAATTCAACAGATTTGGTGTTTGGATCATAGACTGCCAATACATAATCATTATCATTATTTTGAGAATCTCCATCATAATTTAAATGTTCACTTTCTCCATGTATTATAAAATCTTGTTTCTTTTTGTGTTGGTATACATTAAATTTAGTTGAAGGTGGTACTGATAAACCATTAAAAAAAGATCCAACAGCTGCTACTGGTTCGTCTGTATATGACGTTACCTTAATATGAGATGATTTTGACATTTTTGATGTTAATTTTATGGGTTTAATATATTCACTAATTCGAAACACTAAAAAAAAAAAAATGAAGATGAGATCGTACTGAATCGAAGATGCGAGTTTCAATTTTAATCTAACAGACGAAACTATTTTTTTTACATTAACAACATTACAAGACTATAAATCAGTAATAATGACATGAAATCATACTATGAAATATTAGATGTATCATCAACAGCTTCTTTAGAAGAGATAAAAACGGCCTACAGAATGAAGCTCCTAGAAAATCATCCAGATAAAACTTTAAACCCCAAAAATCCACAATTAATACCAGTAATAGTTGACGCTTACAATACCTTATCAAATCCTTGTAATAGAAAAGAATATGATTCAAAGATTTTAAACGATGGTAAAATTAAAGGTTATAATATCGATGGTGGTGGATTAGACACTTATAGTTTAGATGAATTTGAATTTGAAAATGAATTATTTGTGAAATCTTGTCCACGGTGTGAACATGTTAATAGTTTAATTTTATCGGAAGATGATCTTGAAAATGGAACCTCAGATAATAATGGAGGATTTGATATTATTGTACAATGTTCAAGTTGTAGCTTATGGATTCAGGTTAAATATTACGAATCAAATTAGGGTGGAGTTTGTACAAACAAACCAGGGTGGAATTCGTAAAAATACATTTCATTTTCCAATGTTCATTTTACTACTATATTTATAATAGATTAGATTCAAAATTAATTATTCACGTATTACTATGATGAAGTTGGTAAATCATAATAATTAAAAATGTTAATAAAGTAAGTAGTGTACAATTTGATAAAAACTAAAATTTGTAATTTTGTGTAATACTGATTAAATAGATAAAAAATTTATTAATATTTATATACAGTATGTATTATATACATTTATTAAATGTATAACGATTAAAGTTTTTTTATTTTAACCCGTTTTTGATAAAAGTATTTGTTTCATTCATCAATAAAATAACTAAGAAAACGATTGAGCAAATTTTTACGCCCATAAATTGAACCAAATGAGCACATATATACAACTCGTTTGTGTTAGATCAAACTTATATTCATTCTGAAATATATAAATAGTTGTTCTTTCCTCTCAAAATTTATGAATATTCAAGAATAGGTATTTTAAGAAATTTCGAAATGTGCTTTTAAAGGATCAACAAGATTTATTACTAAGTTCAAAATATTAATCTAGAACCAAATATTCATGAGATCTAGAAAAGCAAGAAAATTTAGACCATCAACTATTTGCAATTTTTCATACCATTCGTACCTAAGTATTACCGCATTTGATACAATTTTTATAACCTCACTTTTGTTCATATGAAAAGGAATAATAATAAAAATTAATATATCCAATCATGAAAAGATCTATTCCGATATTGGTTGCAGTTCGCATTGTTCTTAATTAATTTATTTCAGGAGAAATTATAAATAAACAATATAAATTGGGTTTGTGTGCAAGGACAACTATTTCGAATATTTGAAAATGAATTTAATTTATAAATTACATTCAGTTAGTGAGGTTAAAAGAACCCCATTAAATCAATGTACAGTTTATAAAAATTTATCAGTTGAGTGAAAAACAATAGGATAATAGAACACTTACTTAATCACAATAATGTATACAGTCTAATTGTTGGTAGATCTCACAAATTGGTAAATTTTGTTGCATTTCAACTAATTAAATTACTTGAATCTAAATATTTAAAAAATCAAACACGGGTATTGTAATTCCAATTTAGGTTATTTATATTTTATATTAGATTCCTAAAATATTGTTTATTGATGAATTTAGTTTTTATAAAAGATATGGAATATCCACATTAATTGATGTTGCAAAAATGTTGCAAACTATTTTTTAGAAATCAGTACCCTAGAATCACTTCAACAAACAAAGATAATGGTATCATACTCAATGTTATCAACTTTGGCTTTAGCCTCTGATGCACTTGCTGGTGACGCACCAATTACAGATGATTCAGAGGGTGAAAATTCATATATTGCAACTTTTAGAGCAACAAAAACTTCCAACATTTCAGGGTTCATTTCTTTTGAGCCATCAAAAAATGGATCAGTAGTAGTTTCGGTTGATATTTCGGGTTTACCATCGACAGGAGGTCCATTCCCCTATCATATCCATGAAGCTCCAGTTCCATCAAATGGTAGTTGTGCAGGTACAAAATTACATTTAAATCCTTATTTAGGTTCAGTCAATGCAACTACTCCTCAAGGTAAAGAAGTTGGTGATTTAGCAGGTAGACATGAAGATATACAAGGTCTCTCTTATCAAACAAAATATGTTGATGATTATATTTCATTAAATCCAAAATCAAAATCTTTTATTGGTGACTTATCAATTGTTATTCACTCAAAAAACAATTCAAGATTAAATTGTGCAAATACCACCGAGTTTAGCGTTGAATCAAGTTCAGTCAATAAGACCAATGGTACCACAACTTCTTCAAGTTCTGTTGGTGGAAAAACTTCTGCTGCTGTTTCAACTGTCGTTGGTGGTGCTAATGGACAATTTGAAACTGGTGCTGGTTTAGTTGTAGGAGCAATTGCTGGTGTTGCTGCAATGCTAATTTAGATTAATATATGAATATGTTGTATTAGACTGTATTCTTGAATTCTAAATTTCCTTTTTTAGTGAGCAAAAGCGATTCTAAAGTAAAGAATAACTCCAGTTTTGAGGAAGCGCATCAAAATTTTTTAATGATGAATCATTTACAACCTTTGATAAATTTTGAAACCAATTTATTAAGAGTCACGCTAATCAGTCAAATCTTTTAAAAATTGTCAAGGCTTAAATACAGTGATTTCAATAAATAGTTGAGTAATTACTAATTTTTAATAACCTTGATAAGTAAATGTACATTTAATTATATTCGTAAATTTGGGTCGGAGTAAATTTTTTCTTTTTAAGTTTGACTGAAAAAAATCTAAAAATAGAATTTGTGAATAAAGCGGAATTAATTAAGAATATAATTTTTAACCGCTGACATAATTAATTATGTAAGTTTATTACTATGATTAGATAAGTTCAGTAGAATTATTATGTAATCGCTTAATGTTAAAATTGTTTGAAACAATCATATTACGTAAGCGTTAAAAGTACAATTTTGCAACTTATTGTTAAACGGCTGAAATTTAAAATTTTATCATATCTAAATGATTTAACGAAATGAATTAACGATGATGATAAGGATTTTATGCAAGGTTTTGATAAATTATTTACGGGATCAGTCAAAAAATTCAATGTATAAATAATGTGTCAATTCATTCATGAAAATGTCAATTCTGATTTTTACATTTAATAGCAACAACTACTAGAATCAAATTGCTAATCAAGTCAACACTATATCAAAATGAATATTCAAATCTCACATTCAACTGATTGGAAAGTTATTAGTATAATTCAATTAGCATTTTTTATATTATTGATGATATCATTTGTTTTAATAACTTTGGTCCAAATTAGAAAAGGTATAAGTTTAACATCAATTAGAGGTTTTTTCATTTTTTTAATTGTTTTCCAATTAGCTAAAATAGTTGGTGGTATAACTGGTATAATTTTATTAGATTCTTCAAATTTTAATCAGAATGTCTTCATTGCAACTTATATATGTGATTCAATTAGTTATGGTTTTATTACAAGAGGTGTTAGCTCTTTAATTCAACATATGTTAAATACTAAAGATCAAGATCTGCATCAACGTACATCAAATGTATCGGTTTCAACTTTTGATATGGAAAATCAAAAATTTGAATCTACTGAAAGTGAATATAAGATTGATGAAAAGCAAGTCAAGAAAAAATCACCATTCACTATTGTTACTTTAATTTTACTAGCTGCTGTTATTTGTAACATTGTTGGTATGTCTAATCTTTCTGGTTCAACTGCTCCAGATAATACTACAGAAACTTTAATCAAAACATCTGCGGTTTTGTTTTTGGTTGGTATGATTTTATTGATTCTTGCTTCGATCTATCTTATAATTGTTTCCCCGAATAATAAACCGACTTGTACATTATTGATTGTTATTTTGTTGATTTTAATAATAAGATGTATTTATTCGTTATTAAGTGCTTTTCATGGTGTTAATTTCAATCAACCAAGTCAATATATGTTAATCTTTGGCGATTCAAAATATTATGGGTTTTTAGCTTTATTGCCAGAAGGTGTTGCTGGAATCTTAATTATGGTTGTATTTTTTCAATGGTAAATTAGTACAATCAAACAAGAGATGGGTGTATTTTTCAATCAGTATAGTTTAATATTTCGACAGGGGAATTTGTATATTAGTAAATCTACGAATGGCAGATAGCTACAAATTCAATCTTTGCGCTCTCTTATAATATTGTAAACATCTTATGAAGTATGGCCGAAGCATCAATGACTTGCAAAAACCACAAAGCGAATTTGATCAACTAAATCAACTCATCATATCTTGCTTGATCTTTTCTACTTGTCCTGCTTTATCTGTCCTACTTTGCTATATTTGTTACCTTTGCGTTATCCAATTCTTTTGTTTATGCATACCACCTAGAATATGCAAGAAAAATCACAATTGAACTCAATACCTCTGGGAGTAAAGTCAAAAAAGCGTAATATTTATAATCACCATAGAACATAATGTATTCATTTTCTTTATCATAACGGAAACCAGCATAAGAAGTTAATATCATATAAACGGTACGTACCAATAAGCAAAATGAACATAAAAGTAATAAGTTTAGTGATATTAAAAATGATGATGATTGAATTGTGAAGAAATTAATCAAAATGTAGATTATTATAACGAGTGTTAATAAAATACTCATTAAATATAAAATTGAAGAAGTTTGAATCATAGGGTTCGTTGATTTGTGAATAACATGTATTGAGCGACAAAATCCAACAATTTCCAAAACTATAGCAATTACTAGAAGACAAATTGCTATCCAAAATAAGTAGGTAGTAAAGTTTCTGGTTGAGTTTGAATTTGTTTCACGATGATATTTATTTCGATGAGAACTTACGACTCTTCTTCTTGACTGTGAATTACTGTCAAAATCACTCAATAGAAAAGCTTCACTTCTATTAATTCTCGTGACTAGTTTTGAATGATCTTGTTGTTTCAATAGACGTTGTGTTAAAAGTAAAATACAAAAAATGATAATAGCTGAACTAATTGTGTCCAAGATACAAATGAAGACGAATAAAGTTTTATTATTACTAAAACTATTATTTGATAAGAACACCAAACTCGTGATACTTTCAACTATTTTCAAAATTAAACAAGTACTAATTGTTATAAAAAAAAGTAAAAGATTGTTTATTTTTCTCAAACTTCTCATATGAACGAATGTGACAATTATGAAACATGTAAAAATTATTATGTACAATACTAATTGAATTACAAAGACAACTTTCCATTCTGAGTAAAACATTATTTCTTTAAGTCTTGTAAAAGCTGTTGTGAATTGAGCATTAGCTATGGTTTGGCTTTGAAAACTGTCCTGTGAATTCTGTAAAATGTCTTGAAACATCTTGAACTTTGACTTACTTCGTCTACTAAAACTGAGAAGAAAAAATCATGATAATAAATGATACGGAAAAGACTCATTAATAAAGCAAATTCCAATGTTTATTGTTATAAGCGCATTGTCTTTATAAAATTCCGTTAGTCTATATATAGCAAATAACCATACAAATCAGCTCTGATTATAATCAGGAACCTGAAACTTTTCACAACCAAATACAAAAGCTTGGCTGTTACAAATATTAGATAACTGGTTTTGTGTAATGTTTACAAAAACCCAAAAATTTACGAGAAGTATAAGCCTTTAATCAAAAAATATCTAATTATAGAATATTAATAGGGAATTATTCACTGTGAGTTTAATTACCGAAAGAACAGACTAAATCAGGTTCTATTACCGATTAAAAAATCTGCTTGTGGGGGATCTTACTTATTAAGATACTTCATTTAACAAAAATTTTAATACTAGCAATTAAAGACGAATTGAGGCAGTTTCACAATAGTATTATTTTACTCAGTGTCGGCAAAATTGACTAATAATGAAGTTACAAATAGGATGATTAGGATGAAGAGTATAGAGATTTTGTTGTTATTATTTGCATTTTTTTTCACACTAACCACATTACTCATATGATTTTTGGGAGATTAGAGAGATTAAAGTATTGAAGAAATGAATAGTGGCATGAACCAACTCGAAGCCGAGCTTGACCCGCTAAATTGGAAATGAAATATTCTAAGGTGCATTTTTTTACGCATCTATCCAGTCACTCCAACATGCTTAAAAATATACTTGAAATTAAGAATTTGTCTTTTAGAAAATTTTATGATTAAAAAAAGTAGAGCTAATCTGCAATTAGCAAAACTGCTGTATTCTTTTATGATAATTGAAGTTTTTATTATCATATGAAGTGTGACAAAATTTGGCATGGCTTAAAATTAGGGCTTTCAAAATTAAAGAATACAATATGTAGCATCTAATTTCAGTTCTGTGGAAGTTAATGATTACCGAACAATAAAATATAACTAATACCTTATATAATTGTTCTTTGAAATGTTTTGTGATTCACTTTTGCAAAGAATCAAATGAAAGTCTCACCCTCATTGCAAGGTTACGCTAGTTTTTGATATCAATACTTACTCAGTCTTTTCACAACGAGTGTCCATATAACCTGTTGACGAAATCTCGACTTTTTGAATTGTGTGAATCGTTCAATTGGTAAATAACATAAATATGTTGGTAATTCATCTTAGATCCGTTACACAAAACTAAATTCTGAAACTGCGCCCAAATTTTTAATTAATTTTTGCAATAAAAGTGGAACAAAAACAAAAAAAATAAGGAGAAGCCAGAATTGAAAATGCTGCATTTAAAAGGCACATTTAAATTATCTGTTATAAATATAATTGCACTGTAGCCGTCTCTTAATTTTCTATTTTTTAATTATCAAATTCAAACTCCCATACAATAATCATAATGACACTAGATTTGACAACTTCACTACAAATTAAGAATTATGGAACATGGAGAGTAGTAGAAATTATTCAAAGAGTGATTTTTACAGTCTTATTATTTTCTTTTGTCTCAGTTTCACTATTTCATATGAGAAAAATGAAAAAAGTCAAAAAGTTAGTAATATTTTTGATATCAATATGCTTATATATTAGTTTCAAAATCGATGAAAGTCTTTTAAGTTTAATATTATTATCAAATTACAATGATGGTAAAAAACCTGAACCACATTTATTCATCTCAATTTACATTTTGGACACTATTGGATTGAGGTTTTTTTTTTATTGCATATCAACTTTAACTACTCGGTTATTGAAGCGTCAAGATCATTCACAATTGGTCACTAAGGTTAATAGACTCAATGTCAATACAGTAAGAGCCTTTTATTATGATGAGACAATGAGAAGTGAAACAAAGGTTAATAGCACTCCAAAAGAAGATTCAAAGAATAAACAATTAAGTGTAATTTTATTTTGGATTATAGCTAGCATATCTATAATAGCAACTTTTTTAAACATCATTGGATCTTGTGTTGCATTAAACAATCAAGTTACATCTACATGTTTACTTCAAGTTTCTTCAGTTTTGTTTTTAATTGACATTATAGTGGTAATTTTGATATTGTTCTATATAATGATAAACTTTATAAGCAAGGGCAGTTCAGAATCAAGAACTTCAACAATATTGTTGATGATAACTTCATTTTCAATCTTGATTAAATGTTCAAACTTTGTTATAAGCTCGTGGGGTGGATTAGATCTTGAGAATTTAAACAAATATATGTTTTTATATGGAGATTATGTTTATTATACGTATTCAGCTTTAATGCCTGAGATTTTTGGTACTATTTTGATACTAGTTGAGTATCTGAGATGGTACAATTGTTGCTGAGTTTGAATACATGATGACTTATGACTTACGATCTTTGATATACATCTTTTTTGCACTCACTTTAATTTGCATCCCTCTTTAAAAATCCACGGGTCTCTCAACATTTATATTATATTCCTCAAAGTTCTTATTGCACTCAGAACATTGCTTATGATGATGACAATGGTGACAACTTTTTGGATGTTTCTTGCTTAAATTTAAATCGGATTGAACAAAAAGTCTATAACTTATGATGGTTGTTGCTAAAGTAGCAGCTGCTATTCCAAATACTGGTTTCATAACTTTGCTGTGATCATTAGAAAGTTCAAACAAAAGTTTGCATTTTAGGTGGTTTTTATACTCCCTAGTAATCCCCCCCCCCCTGTTTTTAATAAAATCATATGGTGCCTACCTGATTTTACAGAATTAAATAATATATATATATTTATGCATATTTATGTACAAGAATTTTAATCACCTTATTTACTCCCAAACATACTCACTTATTTAGAATTATTAAACGAAATTTTCATTATGTCTTACTTCATGATTCATACTTTGATAATTTTGTTTCCAATTGCCGTCAGCATTGTTTCTTGAGTTTTGTTGCATACAATTTGGACATTGACATTCAAAAAGATGTTTTTGATATTTGCTACCTCTATCACAAATACCTGCATGATTCCAATGACCATTGTAATGATGATTAGCTGTAACTTTACCTAACATGAAAGCACCAATTAAAAAAAAGAAACCACCAAATCTGAATGGATGTGGTCCATAAAATCCTCTGTAATATCCTCTCATTTTGTGTTTATTATGATATTTAGTTGTTGTTTTAATGCTGAATTTGAATTGCAATCTTTTAGGAGTTTACTTAGTACTTATATAAGTTTTATTTATACGGCTTTAACTTGTAAATGACTACCAATCACTATTGAAATTAAATTTAATTTCCGTATATACACGGAGACTTTATTAATTTTATTTACAAGCTACAAGATGGCAAATATTCAATGCATCATTACTTCATTTAAATATTTACTATTTGTCTATGTACAGTTTTATCTAATTTCTACTTTAAATTCATCTACTAGCTGACTTTCAACTTTATTATGAATATCATTAATTTCATTATTTGTTAAATTTCTATCCATTGATTGATAGTTAATTCTGTAACATTGAGAAGATTTACCAGTTTTCGGATGAGTAAATTCATCAACTAATACAACACTTTCAGCTAAATCACCAGCATGATTTCTGACGATTTCCATCAAATCATTACAATGCAAATTAACATCATCATTCAACCAAAATGAAACATCTCTTTTTACCCCTGGATATTTTGAATATGGAACAAATGTAGTAATTAAACCCTTTTTAAATTGTTTATGAAACCTTTCATCCATAGTCCAAAATAATCTAATATCTGGAATATGAAATAAAAGCATTGCAATTCTATCTAATCCAATACCAAACGCCCAACTAATTTTTTGATCTCCTAAACCAGAATTAAGTAACACTTGTTTTTGGACTACACCACATCCACAACATTCTAGCCATTCACCTTTCCACCATACTTCGATTTCCCAACTTGGTGCAGTCCATGGAAAATATGCTTCGACCCATCTAATTTTTAAAGGTTCATTTAAATATGGTTCAGTTGATCCTGCTAGTTTGGCAGATTCTCTTGCTTTTTCAAAAACTTGATTAACTATAAATTCAACTGTTTTTTTTAAATGAGTGGAAACTAATCTAATTTCTTCATTAGTCATATATGATTGTCCTGGATTATTTGTAGTAACTGGCTCATCTCTGAAAGGATCTTCAACAATGATATTCGTCTTTGGTATAGAATCAATATCTTTTTGAATTTGTTCTAAATCACCTTTATTCCATACTCTTGCACCTTCCAATTGATGAAAAGCAGGATAATGAGTTCTGTCAACTTCATCTCTTCTATAAACATCAGCTGTAATTAGATATCCGGGAGTTTTGGAGTTTATGAAACATTCTTGCTCATGAGCTGATGTGTGAGTCCTTAATAGATGATCTTTATTGAAATAGTAAGTGTCAGATTTTGATCTACCGACATGATCTTCTGGAAATCCTAAACTGTCAAAGTTTTGATATTTCGTAACAATTGGATGAAAGTCTTCATATATAGTGAATCCCATTCCTTTAATGTTAGTTTTAATCAAGTCCTGTAATATACCAATTGGATGATTTGGATTTTTATGTAGTTTTCTATTAATTAAATTTACAATAAATGGTGGAACATTGGTCCATTCGTCTGACTTGTATGATTTGCCATCCACTACTATGCCATTTGTTGAATTGAATCTAGTGAATTGTCTCAAAGGTAGTAGTTTCGAAGGTCGTATAGACAATTTTATCATTTCCAATCGCTGTAGTTAATTGATCGATTGAAATTTTTCAAATTTCTCGTAAATTTACAATTCATGTTTTTTTTATATAATTTAATACAATGTACATTAACTATACAATTATAATTTTTTACCAAGCATCTTCCTTGTACCTACCAATATCTTCTAATTTGAATATATATGTTTTAGCTTCATCTTCAGAAATATTTTTGAACTTTTTTACGATCTCTATGAATGATAATTTGACTTCTCTAGGCATTTTACCACTTGATCCACAAACAAAAATTGAAGCATTTTGATTAATCAATAAGTCACCAATCAAATTCCAATTACCAACTAGAGCATCTTGAACATATTTAAACTTAGATTCTGAGTCTCTGGAGAAGCAATCATAGATATGTAAGTTACTTGATTTTTCCCAGAATGATTTTATTAAATGATCTTTTTCTTCGAATCTACAACCAAAGAATAGATACATTTCTTGTGATGAATTCTTGTGCAAAACTTCGTCAATGATTGACTTCATTGGTGCAACACCTGTTCCCGGTGAAACCATTATGAGAGGAAATTGGGCCAATTTGAAAGACGATTTATCGATTGTGAATTTAATGTCATCATTTGGAGTTAATGATTTTAACCATCTAGTACACAAACCTCTCCTAATTCTCCTTATTATGGTTTTATACTCAACAACTGCAACAACGATTTCTATTTCTGTTTCACTTGGCTTTGATGCTATTGAAAACATTCTTGGTTTAATTAAAGGAATCAAATCTAGGACATAGGAAACAGGTATAACCAAATTATTTTTGAATTCTTGGAGCGTTTCCAATATCAGTCTTCTTGGTCTATTTGCATAGTTATATAGCTCCTCAGGATCCTCGAATGATCCAAACTCCTTTAATTTTTCCTGTTCTCTCAAACCGTCTTCAGTTGAGGAACTACAAAAATGCCATAGTATTGCAAAAAAGCTTCTTTTTGGAATAGACATAATGTCCAAGTGGTACTTTATTAGATTTCTAAGGGTAATATTTTGCTCACCATCAATCAAGTTTTTAATTTTTAGCGGTTTATCTGCAACTTTTAACCATTGGGGTTGACATTCTAGTATTGCTTCAACGTCTTCATCGAAATTGGAAGGGTATAATGATATCGTATCTCCAGGATAATATTTTAGACTTTCACCTTTAAATTTAATATGCCTTACATCTTGGAAATGGTCTGAGGTAGTTATTCTTTCATTTGATAGCACAACACCATTTTGTAAATCATTATATATCTTAGGTAGCAATGAATTTTCTTCTAGCTCTTTGCAACTTTTATCAATTGTAATTTTATACTGTGGCATAGGTACAACACCTTCTTCAATCTTTTTGCAATCTGGGAAATGGTTCAATAATGACGCTATAAGTTGTGATTCCCATTCCAAATAATATCCATCAACTCCTTCTGGTGACATTTCATCTGCTTCACATCTTGGTGATAATTCTTGACATCCTAATTGCATCATTCTAGTATGTATCTTTTTGATTGCATAATTATATTTAGTATACGAAGAATCGCCTAACCCTAAAGTTGTTAAATGGATATGTTGAAATAAATCATAAGGTAACTTTTTCTTCAATATGAATTTCATAAATGATTTAGCATTCCTTGGTAATTCTCCTTGACCTGTAGTTGAACATATTATAATTAAATATTCTGTACTTGTAATTAAATTTTTCAACTCATATGAATCTAATGATGATAAGGTAGTTTTCAATGAATAGCTTTTTAAGCGAAGCTTTAGATACTTTGCATATTCCTCGGCATTTCCTGTTTCCGATCCATATAGTATGGTAATATTCTCAGGCATTAACTGTCTAACTTAATCTGATAACTCAGAATATTGTGAAGGCATATTTTTCACAAAGAATAGTAGAATCTTATCAATTCGATCAGATGTCATAAGATTTTAGTTTGCGTCGTGGAAATTTTCTGTTTCGAAAAATCACAACAAAAAAAAAAAACAAATAGAAATATAGAATGTACAATTAAAACTACTAAACAAAATCATAATTAATTATTAACAATTTAAGACTAAATTTCAAGACACCTTCGATTGTGAATGCATTTGTGATAGTAATATCAAAAGATAAATAAATTTAATTAATGCCACCAAAAAGAAAAGCTGGCCATGGCTCACCTGGTCAATCAAAAAAGCAAAAATTACCAACTCATACACCAGAAGAAGTTAAAAACTTTTATAAGTCAACTATTAATCTTGTATTAGATTTAAGAGAGGATGATCATAAGTTATCAACGGAATTTATTAAAGTACCACCAAAAAAAATATATCCTGATTATTACGAAATTATACAAAATCCAATTGCGATAAGTGATATACAGAAAAAAATTAATAATATATATACTGGAGAATCAACGCAAGAATTTTTAAATGACTTTCATTTACTATTGAAAAATGCTTCAACATATAATGACGTTGACTCGTGGATTGTTCAAACTGCATCAAAAATAGTGGAATTTGTTGAAGATCAGGTCACGGAATTTGAAAAATCTGCACAAGCTGCACCAGCACCAAGTACAAATGAACCAAAACCTCCAAAAATTAAACTAAAATTGAAACAACCATCAGCACCTAGTACTTCTTCATCATCATCTAATACACAGTCAAATGCCGTTACAACGACTACTCCTAAAATTGAAACAAATCAACATAAAATTATAGCTTATGGAAAATTACCCGAATTGAGTATACAGCTATTAAATGATGTTATCAATCATGATTTCGAAGATATTGGAGTCATAAGTGGACCTTTTTTAGATGAAGTTGATCAGAATTTATATACAGATTATGGGAAGTTTGTGACTAAACCAATGGCTTTCAATACTATAATATCATTGTTACAACATAAAAAGCTATTCACTCCAAAGATATCATTACTTGATAATTTGAAAAAGGTTTATGATACCACTGGTTTAATCTTTGCAAACGCAAGAGCATATAACAACGGAGATTCTCAAATTTATCAAGATGCAAATGTACTTGAGCTGTACTTCGTAGAACAGTACAACAAATTAAAATCTGAAGTGGAAGCAGCTGAAGCATCAAAAGTGAAACCTCCAAAGTTAAAAATTAGTCTAAATAGAGGTCAAGTTGCACCAACTGAAAAGAAGAAAAGAAAAACCGTGAAAGAGGAACCTCAGGAAGAACAAGAAATCACAATCACCAAAACCGCTATAGAACCAATTGAAGATGAAAAAACGAAAGAAGAAAGCGTGGCGAAGACTGAGCAAGGAGAACAATCACCTCAAACCAAGAATGCAGCTCCAGAGATTCATTTGGAAAAAAATATCGAGAATACTATGGGTAGATCACTACCAACTTTACTAACTAGCAACTCAATAATTCAAGAATCATCTATTTTCTCATCACCTGCTATAATACCACATGTCACAAAATATTTGGAAGATAAAGCATCAAACTATTTATTGTCTCGAGAATCTCAAATAATTCAATCTATGTTCCCAACTCATTTTCCACAATCGACCGCTACATTAGTTTCATATAAAATACCAGCAAATGGATACGTTGATCAATCATACACAATATCTTTTCTTAGTGAAGTTTCACCATTTGTATCTTTTAAAGCTTCTTTGCACCATTTGTTATATCAAGCCAAAAAAGCAGATTTAGTAGATGGTCATGGTTATCTTAATCTGACATCAGATGATGAATTCCAATGCAAGTTGACAATCAACAACGATGAACTAGCTCAACCAAACGATTGTTTTGAGGAGAAAATGGGTAAAGAAAGTATACTTGCAGTTCAATACGATGTGAAATTAGCTTACGGTTTAAATGCATTGACTTTTGAGTGTAAAGTTGCACCGTCATTAAGTAAAAAGATTAAAAATACTGTTATTCAATATGATCAACATGAAGAATTAAGTGGGTCAAGACATACAAGACATCAATTACAACAAATTAAAATGACTTGGGATGTTGAAACTATTACTTTATATATTGTATGTACCAACCCAAATCAGTAGAAATGAATAAATATTATCTGTATTATTATTAATAACTAATAAATCACTTTATAGTATTGACTATGTCTATTTACCAATGCAAAAATTCGAAAATACAACTCCCAATATCTCTTCAACACCAATCGCTTCACCGGTAATTTTACCAATTCCTTCAACTGATTGTCGTAAACTTTCAGCTGCTAAAACGACGTCATCTTGTTCTTTCCAATAATGAAATTCCTTGAACCCATAAAGTACATCATTTTCAAGTATATCTTGTACTCTTGTTGACAAAATTATTGGATCTGATGATTCTGATGAAGTTATTGAATGAAACTTTTTAACTAATGCTTCTCTGAGTTGATCTATTCCGTGACCTGTTGTACATGAAACTACGTAAAACTTGTCTTTTGAAATATTGAATTTGGAGGCATATTTTGTTATCAATGATTTGCTATTAGTCTTAAATAGATCTTTTTTATTGAGTACAACAAGTACATCTCTGTTATAATCATGTACTAACTCTGTAACATGATGTTCAATATCACTTATATCAGTTTCAGAAGTAGGATCCAACACAACTACATTCAAGTCAGCACCTATAGATTTAGCTTTAGCTCTTTTAATACCTTCTCGTTCAATTTGGTCAGCATCTTCCATCAGTCTTATACCTGCAGTATCACCTAACACAACTTTGAACCCGCTAATTTCTAATGGGATATCTAATACATCACGAGTGGTTCCTGCTATATCACTCACTATCGCGGCATCTTTGTTTGATAAAGTATTTAAGATGGATGACTTTCCTGCATTTGGGGGACCTAGTAAGGTTAATTGAATCCCTTTTAAAAGCACTTCCGAAGATTTAACTTTTTTTAAATATTGTGTGATCTCTTCCTCAAGTAATGACACTTTAGAGTCAACATCTTCAAATAAGGTTAACGTCTCTTCTATATCTTGATCTTCCCCAAAATCAATAATTGTAGTTAGGTTAGCAACATTCTCCAATATTTTTTGTCTCCATTCTCCGAAGATAATTTTAGTTTCACCTGACATAGAAGCTAATGAAGCAATTCTTTGTTGTTCAGTTTCTGCATTAATCATATCACTAATACCTTCTAGTGCAGTTAAATCGTATTTACCATTCATAAATGCTTGTTTTGAAAACTCTCCATTTTCAGCTTGTCTTATGATGATGCCATTTTCGGGATCATGTAATTGACGTATCGATTTCAAGACTGATTTTATTATAGCTATTCCACCATGTAAATGTAATTCTAATAAATCTAAACCAGTATAAGTATTGGGTTTGGGGAAATAAATTGTCAAAGCTTCGTCTAATATCTGTGATGATGTGGCGGAAGTAATTCTGGGGTTGTATAATTTCCTCACACTAGCTAATCTATGTTTAGGTTCTGACTTAGTTCTTGTTAGTTCATTATAAATGTATGATGATTGTGGTCCTGATATCCTAACTACTCCTATAGCTGACTTTCCAAACTTTGTTGATAATGCAAATATGGTTGGTTGAGTTGAAGCTTTCGGAGCCACTTTGTTTGTGCTATATAATCTCTTTATCCATATTTGTCTTAGCATCAAGATGATACTGCTTTAGTTGTGCTGCAAAAGATTTATTTTTTGCAATAAAAATAAGGTGCAAGAATCATTTTATAACAATTCGATCCAAATGTTTCCACCAGCAAGAAGATTCTTACTAGCGAAGAGATACTACAGTCATGAAAATCCATTGAATTTACCTAAATTTGGTGCTTCGACAGCAAATGGCCCATCAATTGCTCGTAAAGGGTTGCCAGTAAAGCAAAATATACCCAATGTCAAAAATATAATATTAGTTTCATCAGCAAAAGGAGGAGTTGGAAAATCCACAGTATCAGCAAATACAGCATTAGCTTTACAAAAATTGGGTAAAAAAGTTGGACTATTAGATGCGGATATTTTTGGACCTTCAATTCCCAAATTAATGAATTTAAAAGGCGAACCAAGAATATCTCAAACAACTGGAAAATTATTACCAATGATTAATTACGGAGTACAAACTATGTCAATGGGGTATTTGGTGAAAGATGAGCAAGCTGTAGTATGGAGAGGATTAATGGTTATGAAAGCAATACAACAATTACTATTCGATGTTGAATGGTCTCCAATAGATTATTTAGTGATTGATATGCCTCCTGGTACTGGTGATACTCAGTTATCAATAAGTCAACTTTTAAAAGTTTCTGGCGCTGTAATAGTTACTACTCCACAAGATATGGCATTAATTGATGCAGTGAAAGGTATTACAATGTTTAAAAAAGTTAATATTCCGATAGTTGGTATTGTTCAAAATATGAGTTATTATTTATGTCCAAATTGTAATCATGAATCTCACATTTTTAAAAACAACGGTGCTCAAAAACTAGCCGATGAAAATGGAGTTGATATTATTGCTAATATTCCGTTAAATGAAAATATTTGTCTACAATCTGATGCTGGTAAGCCGATAGTTGTTTCAGATCCAGATGGTGAGATCTCCAAGAATTATTTTGATATAGCTAGATCTATAATCAAATTCGAAGAATCACAAAAAAATAAATAGAGAGTTGCTTCTTGACTTTAGCGGCTGAATAAATATCAGAGGCACATATATTGTTGAGAAATATCTTTTACAAAGTTCATGCAATGAAATATACAAAATTTTTAGTCAAAATTTGTATTTTATGTTTACTACCTTCGATTTCAGCTCAATTTTACCAAGCACAGAACTTCAACATTTCAGATGTTGAGCGTAGGTTTCATGCACACATCAACTTCATTAAGGAACATTTGCCTCATGAAAATTTATTTAGAGTGAATGAAATAAGACCATTGGTACTAATTTCAAATGAAGGAGTACCACTAAATTATAATAGTATTTCAACCACAAATGAAGAGTTTACTCATTATGGTCAATTTAACGTTAGTTTTGGTATTACAAAGAAGAGAATCGTAAATAAAGCTCAATTAATTACAGCAATGCAAATTCCTAGACCTATAGAAGAAGTTTTGGGTGAAAAGCATATGGAGTTAGTAACTGATATCACTCAAAGTAAAACAGCTGAATTCTCAACCACTATACCTGAATTCAAATTCACCCATACTTTTCCAAATCTAATACCAATGGAAACATTTACTGCAGCTACAACAACATTAAATAAATTTCAAAAATATCAAGCAAGAATTAAAGATTTTGACGCAGTGGCAGAAATTAAAAGATTGGAATCACTTTTAGTGTCCTTAAAAAATCAAATGTATCAGCAACAAGTATATTTCAAAAAGCAATTGCAAGAGTTTCAAGCAACACATGTAAAGCAAAATGAATTAGCTTCAAAGTTAAAGAAATCAATGTCAGATTTATCAATAATTAAAACTTTTGATATTACAACTCCTACTCCAAGTCCAGTTATGAAACTTGCGACAGCTGATAAATTTCTAAATCCTGATGAATTTGAGTATGAGTTGAGTAGTAGTAATAAAATAAATGGTAAAAAAGTAATGGGTCAAAAAAATCCACCTAATTCAGTCATTTTTGAACCTCAATTCCAGCAACATCAAAAAGTAAAACATACAAATAAATTAAAATATTTCAAACCAAAACTTGCTTGGAATGATATTTTTACTTTTTCTACGTCAGTATCAACTTCATCAACTTCATCAACCTCAATATCCATTTTGTCAACCTCACCACCTACTTCAACATCTCATGATAACTATCAAGAGAATTTAATCAATGAAAATTTTGATCGAGATTCACTACTATCACAAGCAAGCTTACCAGATGAATCAAATTATGATATAATCCAAGATGAAAATGAAAATGAAAATCAAGTGGAGTATATATTGAACTCAGTTGAGGAGCCCTTTTATCGCGGTGATCCATATTATGATGGATTGATGCTTGGTGAACCAGGTGAGGATTCATTTCAGTATAATTTAGAAGACAAAGCGAATTTAAACGCGTCTAAGACCACTCCAACTATTGACAAAGGCGTTGCAAAACCAATTCCTGAAATTATTCTAAATCCTCAAGAAGAAAAGGAGAAGTCAATTACTGCAACAACTGTTCAGAATAATTATGTCGATGATGAGAGACATAACACCAATGAGAAATTGATTTCTCATAATTTTGATGAAAATATACATGATGTAGGTGGTATGAAAGATATTTATAATAAAGACTATTCTCCAAAGTTTATTGTGGAAGATAGATTATTAAAAATAGAAGAAAAATCAAGCAATGAAAATATCCCTTTTCAAGATCAAAGACAGATTGAACAACTTAAAGAGTTTTATAATGATGAATATTTCAATCAACCATTATATCCCACTAAAATTGATCAAAATGATAAATCAGATATTGTAAATCAAAATGATCAGATGGCTCGACCAGAAAATAGTACTGCGTCTAATTTGATCGATGAAGCTATATTAAAAAATGCTAGAAGAAGAAAAAAAACACCAGGAATTGAACAAATGAATAGATTACCTCATAAAACTTACAATTTTGATGTTTTTGATTTTGAGAAATTTTCTAGAAATAATTTTGAAGTCATCAAAGTTAATAGAGTTATAGTTTATATTGCTCTTGTTTTCTTCTTCTTCATATAATAATTATCAGTCTTGATTTTATTAAACATTACAACTACAAGCTTAAGTTGATAGGTTAGTTGAGTTATATAGAATTGTGTGCATAATGAAATAATTCAAGTACATACATAAACTAATAAAACAATTAAATAACTAAAAGATTTACGATTATTCGGTTAAATTTCTTTCAACTTATTAAATAGAATAATTCCATTGCATAATTCCATTACATAATTCTATACATTAAATATTGAAATATAACGGATATCATTTAAAACTATATTTATTAATAATGATTGTATGTACAAAATATTAAATTTAATTTTGTTGTGTTGTAATTTTTAAGATCACACAAAAAATAAATTTTGACAAAGATAAACAAATCTCTTCTATAAATAAAAATAAAAAAATTTGGCTTAGTATTTCTTTGCAACCAATTAATTAATCAAAAAACAACGTACATTCACTAACAAAGCGACAAATATAATTTATAACCGAAGGGGGGACAAAAATTTAATTATATTAAATTCACTTCAACCCAACCAATGTCATCAATTAATAATAATACAACATCAAATCCAAAAGATCTAAGAAAAGAAATTGAATTTACAATGTTAGATTTTAATGATAATAATAAAACCAAAACAATTGGTAATATTAATATAGATGATAGTTCATATATAGAAGAAGAAGATAAAACTTATATTTATAATACTACCGTAGAAGATATTTCGTCAAATTATGAAGAAGATGATAATGAAGAAGATGATGAAGATGATGATGAAGATGAAGTTGATTTACAAGATTTAGATGATGAAGTAAAAGAAAGAATATCTAAAGAAAGTAATGATACAGAAATTGAAGATGATGATGAATTTGTTAAAAATAAATCTCAACAAACTAACAAATCAACTACGGATGCAACAATTTCAGCAATAAAAGAAAATCCAATTAAAAAATTCCTTGTAAAACATGAAATACCGAGAAAGATTTTCCATTCATCAATTGGTATTTTAACATTATGGTTATACACCAAAGGAACAACAGTTCCACAATTATTTATCCCATTATTTACTGCATTTATTTTGGTATTAGCAAATGATTTAATAAGATTAAATAATCCTGAAATAAATAACTTTATAACTTCCAAAATGTGGTTTATTATAAGAGAAAGTGAAAAAGATTCTTATAATGGAGTATTATTTTATTTAGCTGGTGTTTTAATTGTTTTATATTTATATCCAAAAGATATAAGTGTATTGAGTATATTATTATTGAGTTGGGCTGATACTGCTGCTTCAACCGTTGGTAGACAATTTGGGAAATATACTCCAAAAATTAGTGAAAATAAATCATTAGCTGGTAGTTTGGGTTCTTTTGTTACCGGTGTCTTTGCTTCTTACTTATGGTATGGGTTTTTCATTCCAAGTTATCCAGTAAATAAACCAGGTGAAATATTTTGGTCACAGAATCATAGTTATTTAAATATTCATAATTTTTCATTAATCGTTGGGTTAGTTGCAAGTGTTTCTGAATTTATTGATTTATGGGGATTAGATGATAATTTTACAATACCTGTTTTAAGTGGTACTTCATTATATTGGATTGCCAATTTAGCACATACTTAAATGATAGAATAAAGTTCTTTGAATATTTGATTGGGTTTTTTATAGAAAAAGAGGACTATTATTTTCTGGTTTTTTAATCTTATTAATTCATGTATATTTATTTTAATTAATCTAAGTTAATATCTAAGTAAAATTTGAATCGAGATTTTATCAATTGACCTTTGTAAAGATGTTATCAATCTTGTTCATTTACAAATAAACCGGCATAGCCTTGACCAGTAGAAGTACACATGGAAATAACACCTAAATCCTTTTGTTGAGCTTTTAAACCATTAATTAAAGTAGCAGTAACTCTACCACCAGTTGCTCCTAAAGGATGGCCAATAGCAATTGCTCCACCGTAAGGATTAACTTTTGAATAATCTAAACCTAATTTATTAATACAATATATTGATTGAGAAGCAAACGCTTCATTTAATTCAAAAATATCAATATCATTTGTGGTTAAACCAAATCTTTTTAATAATTGAGGAATAGCTTCTGATGGTCCAATACCCATTAAATTTGATGGGACTCCAGCAACACTTGAACCAACGAATTTTGCAATTGGTTTGTATCCATATTTTTCAGCATTTTCTCTAGTTGTTAAGATAACTGCAGAAGCACCATCTGAAATTTGTGAAGAATTACCAGCAGTAGTAAAACCATCTTCTTTAAAAACAGGTTTCAAAGTTGATAATTTTTCATAAGTTGATCCAGCTCTTACACCATCATCTTTATCAACAATTTTGGTCGAACCATCTTCATTTCTTGCTTCTATAGCAATAATTTCTTTTGCGAAATGGCCAGATTCAATAGCTTTAGCAGCTTTTAAATGTGATTGAACAGCAAATTCATCTTGTTCTTTTCTACCAACTCCATATTTTTCAGCAACTAATTCACTTGTTATACCCATTGGCATTAATACATTTTTAGCTTCATCACTTGCATCTTGCAAAAATGGTTGATAAATTCTTTGTGGTATTCCTCTATGTGGAAAATAATCATGAGTCATTGATTCAACACCTGCTGCTATAGCAAATTGATTTTCACCACTTGCTAAAGACCCAGCACTATAAGTTATAGCTTGAGCTGATGATCCACATTGACGATTTACAGTATTTATAGTAGTTTTTATTGGAAATCCAACTTTTTTAGCAGCTAAAGCACTTGCTTTTTGGCCACCTAAAGTTTGTAAAACAGCACCAACTAAAATATCATCAATTAAATTTGGATCAATTTTTGATTTATCAATAGACCCTTTTAGTACTTGATATAATAATTCTTCCGGAAATAATTGTGATAATCCACCTTTAATTGATTTTGTAATTGGTGTACGTAATGCTGATAAAATAACTATATCTTTTGCTGATTTTTTTAAAATTGATGATGACATGATTCAAAATTGACTGAAACTTTAATGCAAGGAAGTAATTTGGACTGTCATGATATATTTTTTGATTATGAAAATTTTATAGTTTTCTAAATGATTATTAAAATTTCAGTAAAATAAATTTTGTAAATAATAATAATTCCGACACAAATTTTATTATTGTGGGGGAAAAAGGAAAATCCGAAATATAATTAAAGGAAAAAGTATTTCCGATATAAGAATATAATTATTTAAGGAACATGAAATACTTAACCAGTCAAACAAGAAACAAAAATTGACAAATTTTATATTATCTATATATCAAATAAAAATAATAATAAAATACTTAAACCACAATTAAAATAATCCAATCCTCTAAACCAATATATTAATCCAAAACTAAACATAAACTCATTAATTAATTCAATTCATCCCTAATTTCCTTGAATTCCTTAAAACTTAATCCACTTTTTAACCCATCATATCTTGTTAATTTTAACCAACCTTCTTCTAAACCTTTTGTATAAAATTTATCAACTGATTTTTTATCAATTGAATAATCAGCTTTTCTTAATAAATAATATAATGTTGTTAATTTATCCCATTTTTCATCTTCTGCAACTGATGGTAAAAAAGTTCCTGAATAATGCTCATGATTTAAATTAAATGATACTTTTAACCCATTTTTACCAATTTCCCAATCCAATTGATTTTTTATTGGTTTAAAATTATCTAATAATGTAACACTAACTGATAAAGAAGGTAACTCTCTTGATGAAATTTCAGGAAATCTTGGATCTTGTAATGCTGCAATTAATGCATATTTCGAAACTCCCAGTTCAATATTTAATGATTGGAAAGTTCCTATACACCCTCTTAAATTTGAATTTTTATTCCAAGTTATAAATAATGGTGCATCAGTTGGTATATCATTTGATTTTTCACCAAGTTGTTTTTGAAATGAAGATAATGATATTTTTGGTGATTCTTTATTTAATTTATTAATTAATGATTCAAATGCATAACAACATAATGCCTTTGACATTTTGTGGTTGCCGAATTAACAAAAATATTAAAATGCGTATTATTAGAATTGTACAAGTATTTCCTAATAGTTTTATTATCTTATCTCTATTAATAATAAATTTTACAAAACCTGTATATAATAATAATTTTCTTTTACTTGCAAATAACTTAACTAAAACTAATAGTCTAATATTTTACAACCAAAATTATTTACAACCAAAAATCAATATTATTACAATTATTATTAACATATAATACATAATGGGAGTTTGTCTATCGTGCTTAAGTGGCAATTCAAATGATGATGAATATGATGAAAATACATCACTTCTAAGAAGAAATCAACAACAACAAAATTATCAATCAGATTATTTACAAGAAGAAGAATTATTAAAACAACAACAAAGACAACAAGAATTATCATCAATAGTAAATGATTTATCAGATAAATTAATTGATGTTGCTACTTTTTTAAATGGTGGTGGTTCAAATAGTATAACTGGTGCAAGTACAAATTCAAATTTAAATTCAAATCAAATTAATAATGGAAGTAATAGTGGATTATTATTATCACAAACTAATCAAATTAATGAAAATGGTAATAAAGATGATGAAGTAAAACAATTTCCTTATTTTTATAATGAAGATGATAGAAAGAAAGTTTTGGAAAAAACTAGTAAACTAAGTGATGATATAAAAGATTCTTGTAAACTAAGTACGCTGGAACCATTGTACTTAAAATTTTGAAAGTTTGTCCACTTTGTTTATATGAACTTGATAATAATAGCGTAATGAATAAATGATTAATAGTTTGGACATGTTTGTAGTAGACTTACTAAATTTTTGGTCTAAATTACCCCCCACAAAACTAATTTTTCAATCCGCATTGTAGCATTGTTACATTTTTGCTTTTATAAATTTAATCAGTATAAATTCAGAACTTTTTATCAAAAGTACCAACAACTCTTTATCAATATCAAGCTACTAATATGACAATCAAACTCAATTGGGCCATTCTAGGTGCAGGTAACATTTCTTCACAATTTGTTTTCGATTTATTGTTGAACAATGAAAGAAATACTGAATATCAACATATAATTAAATCAATTGGTTGTTCTTCAAAAGAAAGAGGTGAAGAATTCATAGAGTCAAATGGTATAGTTCCTGAAAAGAATTACCAAGTCACTCCAATAGTACAATCATATGAAGATCTTTATAAAAATCCAGATATTGACGTTGTTTATATTGGGACCCCTCATACATTTCATAAAGAGCAATCAATAAACTGTTTGAACAATAGTAAACATGTACTTATTGAAAAACCAATTACAGTGACCAAAAAAGATGCAGAAGAGATATTCAAAGTTGCTAAAAAGAATAATAAGTTTTGTATGGAAGCAGTATGGACAAGATTTTTCCCATCAATTGAAATACTAAAAAATAAAGTCTACAAAGAACAAGTAATTGGAGATGTTTACAGACTATTTGCTGATTTAAGTTATCAATGTGATGTTAAACAATTACCGTTATCATCAAGGGTAAGAGATAAAAAATTAGCAGCTGGATCATTGTTAGACATTGGTATTTATCCAATTACATATTCAAGAATTTTATTAGATGATCAAGTTGGTTCAAAAGCTTCAAAGTTTCAACAAAAGAGTTTTTTAACCATAGATGAAGATGATTTGGTGGACCATTTATGTTCCATAATTATAAAATACGAAAATGGTAAACAAGCATTATTAACATCATCAGAATTAGTAGATGGTCCAAAATCATATGTTAGATTAGAAGGTACTAAAGGTTGGGTTGAAATGTATAGTGATAATCCAGCAAGAGCCAAACATTTTAAAATTTTTAATAAAGATGGTAAAGAAATTTACGAATATAAAGATGATTCTGGCTATAATGGGTTTATATATGAAGCTAATGCAGTTGCAAATGATATTGAAGCTGGTAAATTAGAAAATGAAGTTATGCCTCACGATGAAAGTTTATTGGTGATGGGTTTAATGGATGAAATTAGAAAAGATAATGGGTTGAAGTATGATCAAGATTAGTTGCAACAAAATGGGAGAGAAAAATTAAATCTGCCACTTAAAGTATGAAACATAACAGATAAACATCACAAATCTAGAACAAACAAAATATAATAAATCAATTAATTTTATATTAAAGTAATGAAGAAATTCAACTCAAATTTATTACTACTAGTGCTTATAATAACTGTATTGAGTATGGAGGCAGACAATTTTTATTCACAAAATCGGAAATCAATTAATGGGGCAATTGAGAACAAGTTAATTGGTGATAAAAATGTGACACAATCATCAGTTCCTGGTTCCAACTTCACTTCTCCAAATAATGACAATCTAAATACTTTTGAAAATAAAACCCATGATGATCAAGACTTTGAGAACATCATATTCACAGCTCAAGGTAAAAAGAAAAAACCACCTAAATGGACATTTACTGCTGGTATATTTGCGGATAAAAAACAAGAAATACCTAAGAAACCAAAACCTGATTGTGATAAAAATGTTAAATTCATTACTACTCCAGTCACTGTAGTCAATCCAGGTCAAAATGAAGAAGATGACGATTTTGATGAAGAAGAAGAATATGAACCACCAACACCTAAACCAAAACCAAGAGTTTACCCTAAAAGACCAAAACCCCCACCAGCAAAAAGACCAAGTTATCCGTATTGGATGTTTGATTCATCTAGTGATGATCCATTCACAGATGAGGAAGAGAGTGATTTTTGGAGTATAAGTGATAGTGATTTCAGTTCAAGTGATGATGATTCGTTTAGTTCAAAAAATTTGGGGAAATTATGGTTTTTAGGATTTAATTCAAGTGATGATGTTAATGATGAACGAGTTCCATTCATACCTAATCAATTATTGGTTTCTAGAGTTAGTGAAAATTTACCTGGTTTGTTCATGGATCAAAGAAATGAGCTTATAGAATATGGAGATAGACTTTCTGAAATTTGGACCTCTCACAGTAACAACAATATATCAATGGTTCAAACTGAAGAAGAAATATCTAGTGATAAATCAAAAGCAATTGAAATCGAAAAGAGAGGTAAGTTTTTGAATAGAAAATATTCAAAATTAAGATCAACTAAATTTCTTAATGATGGTGGGAAACTGTTAGCTAGAAATAAATATTATTGGAAAAGTGATTATATGAAAGAAAGAGCAAAATATAATAAACAAAAACAAAGATTTAAAAATCAACAAAATAAATTTAAAGAATTAGAAAGTGAAACTTGGACTGCTTCTTCTGATGATGAAGAATGTGACGAGGATAATGAATATGATTTTGAAAATCAAATTTATAAAAGAATGGATGAAATTGAATATATATATGTTACACCTCCAAGGATTTATTCAATGTCTAAGATTACATCAAATTATACTAAAATTGAAAAATTTGAAATTTCGGGTGGATTTAAAAAGTTGTGTATATTAGGCTTATATTGTATATTATAAATTTACAATTTTTTTTAATAGATGGGAATTTAGATTTGTAAAAAATTAATTTTGCCTCTAAATTTATCTTGAGAATAACAAAAAAATGGTTGCAAAAAAAAGATCTGCAATATTTTAGGATTACGTTTTGCCAATTAAATTCAAATCTACTAACAAGTGCAACAACAAAGATCATGCATTATCAATTGATACTTACATGGCTCATACCACTAAGTTTAACAATCTGTTCGTATATAAATGATCAAGAAAATGAAAACGACATAACATATTTCACAACACAAGTTATAAATTGGGACAATGAAAAAGATCAAGAAACAAAATTAAATTTAGCCAAAAGAAATCAAATTTTCCAAAATCAACAATTAATAATGGATCATAATTTACAAGAACCTTCAAGTGAAGAAATCTTTGTAGCTCAAGGTTCTGGATTTTCTAAAGGAAGTGGTAAAAAGGCAAAAGGACCAAAATGGCATGTTGGTGCAGGAATGTATATGAATAAAGATTTAAATAAAGGTGCTACTATTAAAGAAACTACTTTTATTCCAGTAAAACCAGTTAAAAAACCCACTACAATTTATAAAGAAGTAGATAAGGGTGAAAATGATGATGGGTCTGATTCTGGTTCTTCATCGGATGAAGATGGATTTGATAAAAATGATGATTTAAAGAGGAAATTGATGAATCGTAGAAAAAATAAAAAGAAATTTAGTTTATTTAGTGTTGATGATTTAATTGAATCTGTTGATGAGAAAGAAATTGAGAATTATAATGAAAATGACGATGGATATGAGGACAGTGATTTTGAGTTTGATGATAGTATTATTAATAAGTTGGTTATTAAAGTAATTGATAATTCTACAAATATCACAACTTTTAAATATCCAGAAGAAGAAGATGAAATTTATAATATGGATAATAATGATGGGTTAGAATCTAATGCAATTCAATTAAGATATAATCTTTACATTTTATTTTGGTTAATAATTGCTTTCGCTTTATAATTTGAATGTTAATAAATGTTTATAATTTTTCTTGTTATTCAGATTAGTTGTAGATTTCCTCAATCTGAAAAATTTTGATTTTTTGTTGAATTTGGCTGCAAAATCAACACAAAAGTGATAGGATTTTTACGTTGCACCAGATCAAAAAAGTAATAAATCAATCGTCCATATTCAATATTTCAAAAGATATTAGAGATGTTGACTTCAATTGTTTTGTATAGTATAATAATGCTTTCAAATTTACATTTAACTTCAGGTAATGAACTAGAGTCATTAACATTACAAAAAACCACAAATTTAGAAAAATCAACAATTGATAACCCAGAAGATATGATAATTAAATTCTTACAAAATGATTCTTATCAAAATGAAGTACTTGGTTCAAACAATACAAATACAATAACTCAAATAATAAATCAAGCAAATGATTCAACAACAGATGAAATCATTGCATTAATTAAAAAAAAGAAAAAATTAATTCCCAAATGGCAATTAAGTGCTGGTGTTTATCTCGAACATAAAGTAAATAAAAAATTATTGAAAAAGGCAATGAAAGATTTTAAATTAATGTCTATATTAAATGGTACTGATTTTGATACTAATAATAACAAGAATGATATTAGAATTGAAAGTGCTGAAGTTCAAAATGATGGTGGAGTTAGTGACATTAAAATTAATGATATTGAATCAATTACTAAAGATGATGAAAGTGATGTTATTAATTCCAATGTAATACATCATATCCCAAGTTCTTCTATTGTTTCAAGAGCAAGTCCAAATACCAGAAACTTATTTGCTGAAAATATAACTGAATATGTTAGACTTTACGATGGAGATAATGATGATAGTAATAATAATGTTACAATTAAATATAATAAAAAGGAAAATGGTAAATATGATCTTTCGAATTATGATGCTTCAGTTGATACATCTGAGAATAATTGTTTATCAATTAATCTAACTTCAAAACAATTTTGGACAGTATTATTAGCAATTTTTTGCTTTCTTTGAGGTGGTGGTGGTTGTTAAATTCAATTAATTGTATAGTATGAATTTACAATATAATTTCAAGATTGAAGTGCTCTTAATCTCTGTTTAATTTCATCAATAGCAATATCATCTTCTTCATCTTCATCTTCTTCAATTTTTTCTTGTGGTTGTTGTTCTGGTTTTTCTTCTTCCAATCTTTCTTTTGTAATTGGTATTTCATTTTCAATTTTATTTAATTTTTCTTCAGTTAAACTTTGTATAATTTTATCAACTTGTTCAGCAGATTCTAATTCTAATTCATCATCTTCAATTTCTAAATCGACCATATCATCCATCATTTCATTTATTATACCAGCTTTAGTTAATTCTTTTGATAATTCTTGCATAGTTTGAGAAACTGCACCAATATGTATTAATTGATTTACATCTTTCATAATTGAAGTTGATGAATGAATTGACTTTGTTAATTTATTCATTGAATATTGTTCATTTATTGACATTGTTATTGAATCTATTCTAGTTCTTGATGTATATAATTTATTATTTTGTTTATTTATATTTATTAATTCTTTTGCATATAATTTTGCTGACTTATAATCTTTATCTTTTGCTGATTTTCTAATTAATCCTTCAGTTTTTTTCTTTAGTGGTTGTAATTGATTTATTGATCTATCTAGTTCTCTTTTATTTTTTCTTAATAATTGATTAATCTTTCTCATCTAAATTATAAATGTGGTTAGTTTCAATGTAGAAAATAAAAAAGGTTGTGAAGATAGACATACTTGTTCTTTAGGGTCTGGTCCCCATATTTGTTTCTTTATATAATCCATGACTAAAATTTAATCAATTACTTAGCGTTGTAAATTTTGTCTATGATTTGCTTATGTTTATATTGTAATTGTTGATATCTTCTTGAAGCTGAATTGATAAATTAGATAATTACGCAAACTAAATTAAGTTGACGAAAAGTCTTGTGCGGCTTTACTTTTTTTTTCATACTGTATTTATTCATTGAGTAAGTATTTGATTTAATAAAATTGTTAAAAGAATTTACCATAACTTTTGAGCAATCTCCTTTAATCAATACATTGAGATCATTATTCAAATCGAACTTTTACCTGGTAATAGAATGTAATAGTAAGAGTAGTATAAAAGTTTGGTTTAATTAAACAAAAATTAATAGTTATAAAATTCCGTCTTTTAACAAGTTTCTAACTTAATTTATAAAAACGTAATAAACTTTCATTGAACAAGTAAAAGAAAATGATAATCACACAGTCATCATCTATTCAAATATGATATTAATATTTTGATAATTAATGATCTAACTAACTAACTAATTAACTAACTAGATAAAGTATAACCATTAATTCTATTTTTAGATTAAAATCCGTTATTGTATTATAAATTAAATATAAAAATTAAAAATTATGAAAAAGAATTTTCTATTTTAATTAATTACTTACCTTTACCAAGCCCCTATATTAAAAAAAATATATATAGAATCATACAGACTTAATTTATAATAATTGAAGTCAAGTTTAATACATCTTCTTTTAATAAAAGATATAAATACATATAAATATCAAAGTACAATAATTAAGTTAAAGATTTATTCCATATAATTCAGTTATCATTTAGATTCAATTTAAAAGTTACAATCTACAATTAGTAATCAAATTAAACATATTAAAGTATTATAATGACAACTGCTCCAGTACCACCTTCAAATCAAGAACAATTTGTATTAGTATTACTTGCAATATTTTTACCACCATTAGCTATATGTTTTGCTAAAAGATCAATTTTTAATAAAGAATTCTTGGTTGGATTATTATTAACAATATTCGGTCATTTACCTGGTTTGATTTTTAGTTTATATTATCTTTTATGTATATATTTTCCAGAAAGAAGAGGTGAAGTTGATGGTTATACAACTTTAAGAGATGATGAAGAACATAGATTAGGTGGAGATAATAATGGTAATAATAATAGAGACGGAGATAATCATAATCATAATCATCATCATCATGATCATAATGATACTGAACAAATTCATGGTTTTATTCATCATCAAGGTTCACCAAATAAACAATCTAAACAAAAACCATATAGAGATAATGTACCAGCTGGTGATTCTGATAATATTAATGCACCTTTATTAAATGCTAATGATTTACCTGCTTATGATGATATAATGGATTCAACAAATAAAAAACATCATCATCATGAAGATAGAAAATCTGGTGGAGATAATAAAATACAACTTTAAAGTGTGTTTGGATTGGTTTGATTTTTGGTTAGAAAAGCTAAATTGATATTAAGTTTTTTGTCGTTATAAAGCGATATGAAATGATTAAATAATTTGTGTCAATACATTTAACTTTGTAGTTTAGTTTACTCAATTAATTTTCCCTTTATCAACTCTGAATGCCAAAATTCGATGGTTAAGGGCATAGTTTTTAGTCTACTTATCAGAAAGTGGAAAAAATTATCACTGGATTTTCAATTTGACTCTTTTTACTTCTCTCTAAATTCTATCATAATTTATTATCTGATTCGTGAGGTATGATATACTCAATATTAAATTATTATCTAAAATTTTAATCTATTTGACGTAATTTGGAAACTTAAAGTTTTGTCATTTGGGCATTGGCAACTCATCATCTTTAACAACATCATCCTTATCAACATCACTAGCATTTGTTTTTGCTTCAAGCCTACTTGCTCTTCGTGCTTTAGCCAACTAGAAATTGTCGCAACATTTTCACCTACTTCGTAGTTAAGGGGTAAATGTATTTCCATTTTAAGAATATATTTTCAAGAATCAATTGACCAGATTCAGTCAAAACAAGAAATTAAACTGGAATTCAAACCTTTGTGATTTTATTAAAATAGTATTTTCAAGTTTGTTTAGCTTTGAGTGACGGTTGCAAAACTTTAGTAAACAATAAGGAGCTGTAAACGAATCTTATTGTTTCAAATGTTTAAACATAGGGCTTCTGGCTTCTAAAATTCAGGGTTTTAAATTGTGAAAGACAATTGCATTTTGTCTAGTTCATTTTACTTGTTCAGTAACAATTGAAGTCTGAAATAGAAAGAACTAACGGGTTTGGCACGAAGAGAGAATGAAGTATCTACAAGTACAATAAAGACTCAAAGAACTGTAAAATATGCGTAAGAAACATTATTTATCCATTTATGACTTAATTTTCAATTGCAACCATTACTTTAGCTATAAAACCTTCTAAATGAAATATAGCTTTTTGACCTAAACTCAATCTTTCATCAAACACAGAAGCAATTTGAACAATTTTTTGAATCAAATTTACATTTTTTTGATTTAATCTTATCAATTCAAATAATAAATTCTTTAATATAGTTCTTGCTGGTATACAATGTGATAATAATTCATAATTTGTACTTCTTAATTTTGCTAATGTTGCAACATTTCTTTGATTTGTTATAGTTTTTGCCATACTATTAATTATAGTTTCCCAATCTAATACTATTACATTATGAATTTTTTTAACATCAATTGTTTCATTTTGCATATATATTGTTTCAAAAGCTAATAATGATCTTCTTAAATTTCTATTACTAACTGTTGCAATTTGATTAAAAAATTGTGAAATATCTTGTTCTGATGATGATGTGAATTTAACGTGTTCTTTTTTAGCTACTTGATTTAATATATTACTTATATCGTTGATGGTGGGACTTGGAATTCTAACTAATAAAGTTCTTGATTTTATTGGAGCAATTATATTTGATATGGAATTACAGACCAAAATTAATCTAATATTTGAAGAATATTTTTCCATAGTTCTTCTTAATGCAGCTTGAGCATCTCTACTTAAACTATCAGCTTCATTTATAATAACAACTTTAAATCTATGTTTTTTACTACTTTGATTCCCAAAATCAACTTGTTCAGTAGATGCAACATCTTTTAATAAATCTTGTATAACAACTCTATCATTATTACCCATATCTGATGGTGTTATTTCCAAATGATATGGAGAACTTAATACATTAAATTCTAATTTACGATTTGATGAAGTAACAAAATTTTTAACATCAATTTTTAATTTTTCAACTGATGATCCAAATATTTCTTGTAATGTACTATAAATTCTAGTTTTTTTACCAGCTCCACTTGGTCCATAAACTAATAAATGTGGGAAATCTCCTGATTTTGATAATGCTTTTAAATTTTGACTAATATTTTCATGATATGATAATTGTGATAATGTTTTGGGTCTATATTTGTCTACCCATAATGACATTGTTGGTCAGTTTGAGTTATTAAAAGTAGGTTTTAAATAAAGATGGTGATGATTGAATTCAATAAATGATAATATAAATCAGAAATGTTTCAAAACGCGTCGCATATAAAATTAATTTTCACGCACAGTTTAAATATTTTGTTAATTAAATTGAAAGATACAATCTTAGTTGGGCTCAAATAATAACTGCAATTGATCTTCATTAATAATAATGCAGATTGATTATTGAACTGACCACACTTATTTAATATCACTATACAGAATACAGAGGTCGCTTAATCTCTATTGTTATACAAATTATGTATCACGTGACATCCATTTGGTAGAACTAGATAGACAGAATCTTTTCATGATAAGTTAATCAAAGTAAGAAGAAATAACGTATAAACTGAAACTTTAACTCATAAGCTATCCTATTTTTCAAAGAAATATATACTTGTCTATCAATTACATATATAAAATCAATCATTAGCACTTGCATTGCGAATTTAGCGTAAATTAGTTATTTTGTAGTTTTAATCAGAAAATTCTAACCATAATTCTTAATTTAAGATGAAAAGGAAGTACAACGAACCCTAAATATTTGGTTTAGATCTTATGTAGTGGCTAGGACACTCATACCCTCCTTTGTTCTTATTCAAATAGTTTTGATGATATTCTTCAGCATCAACAAATATTTTTAATGGTTCAATTAAAGTAACAATTTTTTTATTTGGATACCATTCCTTTTGAAATTTTTCTTTAATTTCATTAGCTAATTTAAATTGATTTTCATCAGTAGTGAAAATAGCTGATTTATATTGAGTTCCTCTATCTGGACCTTGAGAATTAACTGTTGTTGGATCATGCAATCTGAAAAATAAATCTAAAATTTCTGAAGTTGGTAATTTTGTTGAATCATATTCTAATTTTGCAACTTCAACAAAGTTAGTGTTTCCTGCACAAACTTTTTCATAAGATAAACCCTCAGCCGCTGATGCATTACCATTAGCATAACCAACAGCTATGTTGATTAATCCTTTACCGGTGAATTGCTTCCTAAATATATGGTCTAAGCCCCAAAAGCACCCACCACCTAAGGCTAAAACTGATGACATCTTGATTTGAATTGACAAAAGTTGATAGTTATTTGGTAGAAGAAGATAATACTGGTTTATTGCCTTCTTAGTTGTGTAATTAATAATCAAATCCAAAAGGTAATTTTTCAGCCATCTAACACTACTATTTAGGGTGTGGCTAAAATATTAACCTTAAATTAGTAGGTAATACCCATTAAAAATAGCAGCGGGTTGGACTTTATATAACATCCCTAATCGCAGAGCAGACAAGTTTAAAACTAATATTTCTTAACTGAATTTATTAACTATATAAACTATTTACCAATTTACAATCTTACCACTAGTCACAATAACTTGTTCATCTATAATTGTATCAGGCTTGTCCTCAGTTCTTTTCCAAGTTTTAATCTCTCCTTTTGCAGTATTCAAATTGAAAATTCTCATACGTCTTTGATAACCTCCATAACCACCATAGCCTCCAATTCCAACACCTCCACCGTAACAAAGCCATATCTTGTTTTCTTCATCAGTTGTTTGGTTCTCATCTAATAAACAAAAATCATTACAATGATCATGACCAACTCCAATTGCTTTGACACCAATCTCTTGGAATACATCTCTTGCACCTGAGTTATAACCAGGAGCAGTTACTCCTTCTCTATGTTCACCAACATATTTTTGTTTATTTACATTTTTAAACTCTGGGATTGGGATATGGAAAAATGCCATTGATAAATGAGTTCTTGTTCTACTTAATCCAGTATCAGGATCAGTAAAAATTTCTTTTTCAAATACTTTGATATCATCTTTAATTGAGGCTGCTTCTTCTTTCATATAAATTAATTGATTTTCTTTTATCCAATCATAACCAGGATGAACTTTTTGATTTGGACTATTTGCATGAGAATCAACAAAATAAAATGCTAAAGCAACTGAAGATGATGATTTACCTTGAACTGTTAATAAATAATTACCAAATCCATCTACATCAACTGGTCCAACTGCTGATACACTATAAGGTAAATCCGAATATAATCCCATTAATTCTTGAGCACTTAAAGAACCTTCAGCATCATGATTTCCCAAGACTATAGCAAATGGAATTTTTCTTTCAACAAATGGTGCTAAAGCTTTAAAAGCAGCAGTTTCTGAATCAGGGGCAGTTAATCCGAAAATTTGATCACCAGTCAAAACAACTAAATCTGGTTTTTCTAAATCTAATATTTTATTTATAAACTTTAAAGTTCTTGAATCTGCTTTACAACCGATAGCAGATTTTGGAGGTTCAGGATTATAACACTGTCCATAATCTGTTGAAAAATGTAAATCAGCAACTTGTAAAATTTTAAATTCATCATTATCTCCCATTTTTAAAGGTTTATTGTATTCTTTTTTATAATCTAATTTTGGTCCGCGACGATAGGTTATATAAGCTGATAATCCAAATGGTGATGATATACCTTTTATTGGACTGTTAATTAAATTCCAATTTGGTCTAGGTTCAATAGCTTCTGGACCAAATAAGAAATCTATGGCATTTATAGAAGTTTCAACATCATGTTTACCATATCTTACCCAGATTCCATTTGATTTATATTCCCAACCAATTTTAACTAATTCTTTAATTGTTGGCACGTATAACATTCTATTTAAATCATCTCTGTCATTCACTTTCAGTCTTTTTCCATTTGTTTTGTCGATATTATCTTGATCAATTAAATTAGCATGAACAGAATCATCAAATTGTTGCAGATTATGATAACTTTCAATTATATAACGAGGTAATTTTAATTTTTCATTTCCTTTTATATTCAAATCAATTTCAGGATTTGCAATAGCAATATCAACTATAACTTCATCTTTCAAATTTTTCTCATTAATTAGATTTTGATATTTATCATGATTTATCTTTTTTACAGCAAAAAATTCTTTATTAGTCCAACATTTACCAAGACATAAATCTTTTTTCAATCTAACCCAACCACCTTCAAAAGAAGTTAAATCACCAAATTTACCATCTTGTGGTTCAGGTTTCCCACAATTCGGGTTATTATAATTGTAAAAATAACATTTATTTATTGAAAAATCCACGATAAACAGATCTGATGGTGGTTGAAAAAATGATGGAGCAGTTGATGAAAATAATCCATATGGTATAAATTTATTTATTTCAATTATTTGATGTTTATTTGCAAATAATAATAAGACATAAGCAAATGATAAAAAGAATAATGTATAAAAAACTACTCTAAATAATCTCTTAGGTAGCATAATTGAATTAAATATGGCTATTAGAATATGAGATAACTATTTATGAACAAAACTTAATCGATTGAATATTTGATTGATGACTTTGATAAATGTATTATTGAAAACTAAACAAGATATAATATTAATATTTTTAAGAAATTGTTGAATTTTATATCCATATAAATCTAATAGAAATAAGATAATAAAATAAAACAATCTACTGCTGTACTTAAACTTATTTTTCAATTCTTTGATAAATTAAATTCTACATATAAATAAAATAAAATAGATTAATTAATTATATCGTAAATAATTTTTAAACTTAAGATTAAATTTTGTGTCAATTTGAATGTTAAGGGGGAAAAATTATTATTTCATGAATAAAACGGAGTTTATTAAATATCATTACTTAATTAGAGAGTGAAGGATCTGACCTGATTGAATAGCTGAATTCAGAGTAATTTAGTTATTGCAACAAAACAGCTGGCCATCCAAATATCTTGATCTGACTTAATTATGAGCAGTTTTAGCTCAATTAACAAATCCAATAAATTAGAGCCGCTTATTCAAAGACAATTCTACGAATCAGAATATAATATTAATTCCCCGTCTTTTCAGATTGAAAATTCACCTCTTTTATATTACCCTATTTAATTTATATCCACCTTTTCAATTAAATAGTTTTCATCCCTGTATCATAATTCCTCAATGATTTTTAGCTCTTTCAGCTTCTAATTTAGCTTCTCTTTCTTTTGCTTCAGGTTCAACAGGTGGGAAATCAGCAGGATTAATTTTCTGACGAGTATCTTCACCTCCTAAATTAGCTTGTTTAAATTCTTTTAAATCTTCTTTTTCTTGTTGTTTTGCTTCAACATGTGGTAATTGATCTTTACCTGGTATTACAACATTATGAGGTTTATTTATTCTTGATAATGGAACTTTTTTACCATTAATATCTACAATAATTTCATTTGGATCATTTGAATTATCTAATGTTTTTTCTTGATTATTTGATTGTGACATTATTGAATCTTTTAAATTAATTGATGATGATTCTGAATTTGGTATAATAATATATTTATATAATAAATAAAATGATATAATTAATAAAATATTAAATAAAATGGAATTCATTCAAAATTTAAAATTTATAATAAGGAATTGAAATATTAAGTAAGTAAAATTGAGAATGTATAATTGAATAAATCAAAGAATTAATATTCTTTTATTTTTAAAAAAGGGGTGGCAATTAGAACTATTTTTAATATTCCTCACTTTTAAATTGCTAAAATCAAACTTTATACAAAATCATATATTGAAACACAAATAGATTAGTTTACAATATAAAGTTAAGAAAAGGCACAAGAAGCAAATAGAGTGGTAATTGTTTGTTTGAGCCAAGTTTCTGTATTATTTTCAGCAAGATCTACTAAAGCTTAAGATCTACATGCAACTGAATTTTATGTAAAAAAAAAAATCTATTACTTTTCTATTTTTAGACTGACTAACTATATATATGTAAATTTGCCGTAATTAAGTAAAACAATTCTATAATTCATCATGTTCAAGTTCTTTTGTTACCTCTTCATCACTAGATGTAGTAGTTGATTTTGTTTGAGAATCAGATGATGTAGCAGTGATTTTCGTGCTATCTTGTATTATTTCTTCATCATCATCTTCTATAATATCAACTCCTTCATTATCTTGTTCTGTATCTTCTTCATCTTTTTGTTGCTTCTTACCTGCTTCTTTTGCAGCTTCCCTCATTTTTTTTCTAAATTCTTTTTGCTTTTGTCTTTCAATTAATTTATCATAAGTTTCATCAATTAATTGCATTCTTTCTTTATGACTTGATTCGAGTTCCATTAAATCTAAAATCATATCAGCAACTCCTTTTGCTAAAATATCATGATAAGAATAAAGTTCTTTTTTACTGATTTTATCAAATTTCTTTTCTGGTAATGATAAAAATTCTCCAATTTTGGCAATGGTCTCTTTATATAATTGTAACGTTTTATCAAATGATTTTAATTTATCTTCTTTATTACTATTAGTTAATTTATTTTTGATACGCTCATTTTCTTTATCAAAATCTAAATTTGCTTCTTGATATCTTGTTCTTGCTTCTGAAATATGTTGACCAAATTTTAACATACTTGATTGAATTGTCATCATTAATTTTGTTCCATCATCATATAATTTTTGAACTCCTTCTTTTGAAAAATCAATAGTTGACATTTGTATATAATCTTTAATTTCTTGTTCCTTTGTTTCAACTTCTTTAATCTTGGATTTCAATTCATCAACTAATGCATCATCACTTTCGAAATCTAACCATTCGATTAATTCATTAACAAATTCAGTATATGCTGAGATTTCAGAATCTTTTAATTCCTTTTGTAATATTGATTCATTGGATTCAACATAATCTCTTAATTTGTATAATTGACCTTCTAGTTGATTTCTAACCTCTGTTAATTCGATTTTGGCATCATCTAATTTATTCAAGTAAAATAATTTATTGATTAAGTTTTTACGTGACTTTTTGTCAATTGGTTTTATATGTGGGTATACTGGTGATGGAATTGAAACATAGGTAGACTTTGATTTTGTTTTGATTGAATTTAAAATCTTTTCAGCCTCAGTTGAATTTGTTGAATTTGTAGAATTTAATAAATCACTAACTAAATTATCCCTTGTTTCATCATCTTCAACTACTTCTTCATCTTCTTTTTTCAAAAGTTTGTTCAAAAATGACTCATTTTTTGGTTGGCATTCAATATCTACTTTGATAAGATCAAAAATTTTACTCTTATCTAATTCAAATGTGGCAACTACTTCTTTATTTTCTTTTGATTTGCAGTTAGCCTTTTTCAATCTAGCTGCAAAATCATCAAATGTATAAGATTTTACTAATGATCCATCCTCATATAAAGAGATAGTTAACTCTTTGTTCGCAAGTTTACCTAAATTAATTTTGGTGGTATTACCAACAATTGAGCCTTTTGGAAAAACTGGAATTTGTTCATCATCATTGCCACTGACACTAATTTCAAAGTTATGATTACTTTTTTCAATCAATTTGATATCTTTTGAGCTTTGAGTTTTAGTTTTCAATTTTAATCCCATTTGAGTAGTACCCAAGGCTGAACTTTCATCAGTGTTCACAGATTTGGAGATTTTATCATCTCCAACAAATAATGCAACATGTTTTTGAATAAATGGTACTCTTGTTGAACCACCATTCAATACAACTGATTTTATATCATCAACTTTTAATCCAATAGATTCTAATGCCTTCTCGATTGGTTTTGTGATACGATCCATTAAATCTGAATTGACATCTTCAAACTCTTGTCTAGATACTTGAACTTTAAAATCCTTATCATCATAAATTGATTCTAAAGTGGAGTGGTATTCATTATTTGCAGATAAAATCGTTTTTGCTTTTTCTGCAACTTCATATAATCTTGCGAGGATCTTATTTGATACTTCAGACTCTTCTAAATTGAAATGATTTAAAAATTTTTCTAATATGATTGTATAAATGGAATCTGTTAAAGTTCGACCACCAAATGATTCATCTGTACCAACGCTTTCCATTTCTAAAACAATTTGACCAGTTGATTTTGGAGTAATGGAGAATAAAGTCGCGGTAGTATATCCTGCACCAACATCATACACCAAGTAATATTCTTTAACATCATTATACTCAGAATTCTCATACTTTTTATTACCAGCAAAATTTAATGCAACAGAAGTACCTTCTTCAATTAATCCTAAAACATTTGAAAAATTAGCTAAATGTAATGAATCTAAATATGCTTGTCTAGTTGATTGAGAAGCAAAAGGTGGTATACTAATAGCAACATCTTCAACTATAGCAGCGGCATTTGGATTTTCTTCTAAATCATTTAATGCTCTTTGTTTTATATCATTTAATGACATAGCTAATAATTCTTCAACTGAAAATTCATAACTTGAATTATTTAAATTTAAATCAAATTTTATACTACCTCCTCTTGAATCATCTTTTATCAATTTTGAACCAAAATGAGTTTTCATATATTTTTCAACAATTGGATCATCAAATTTTTTACCAATTAATTGTTTTAAATCTAATATACAATTTTGTGGAAATCTTGTAATTAATGATCCCATCTGTGATCCATAAATTCTTTCTATACCATTCTTAGAATCAGGTCGTATTGATATACCTGATAAATCTTTTCTTTTACCTTCATCTGTTAAAACAATTTCAAATGGTATACCTGGTGCTAATAACACTGCTTTGGTAAACTTTTCACCATAATCGATACCAATTATTGCCCCTAGTATACAATTAATTAAAGTGAATATAACTAAATAATTCATTTTATTAGTGATGTGAAGTAAAGTAGGATTGACAGGTAGTAAGTAATAAATAATGTTGTTTAAAAGAAGAAAATGGTTGTAAATAATTTTTCAAAAGTTCCAAATACTTTATTACTCCATTTTTCATACCTTTTTTTTTCTACGTAAACTTTTTGACGTATTTAATTCATAATACGATTTTCTATTCAATTCTACTAACCCTCTTACAACAGAGAAAATTCTTGTATTATTCGATCAATTTCAAAGTGATTACATCTTGATATCCTTACCCTTCTTTCAATGAACTTACCTTAACCTCTTCTCGTCAATGAAAGATTTATTAGATCTGAATCAGTAAATTATCATTTACGTGTTAAGAAAAAAACTTATTTTAATATTACTATAAATGGATAAGCGAGTATCAGTATTTTAATAACCAATACAAAAATGTACCGAAATCTTTGTAGAGATGGATCTATACAAACCAATGATCTAATAAATTGTATTGGAAATCTCAAGTTAGCACTATTGATGTAATATTAAATTTATGATATATAATCTGCTGATATTGATGACGTATTATTTATTGCAACTTTTTGGTATGGAAAAGGTAGCGATTTTTGGCTGCAAAATTCAAAAGGTACTTGATTGAAAGACAAAATCATATATAAAATTTGACCCCTAAGATCAGCTTCTAAAAGCAGATGTGATTATTATATAAAGATATAAACGCTGTCATTATATTTTTAAACTTTAAGATTTTTTCCTACTTTTTGGTCCCCCACATCAAGTATTTATTATCAATGTCAGACTTGCAACCTAGTAATGATTTGAGTGCAACAAATGATGAAACGCAAATTACTCCCAAGTCAAATTTAAATGCAAAAAATGAAAGTCAAAATACACTAGTTGTTGATGAATTTTTAAAGAATGAGTCAATAAGTGAGACTAATAAAAATTTAATGAAGAGAGCATCAGCCTTAAATACATCAACTTCAACCGCAGTTTTAACTTTAGATGAAGGGATTTCTGAAAAAGAAACGAGATTCAGCTATCAAAAGGAAGAGTCGAATACAATCAAAACGTCAAATAAAAGTAATCTTACTAGTGCTATTGAAAAAAGTAATAAACTAAAGGCTAATGAAGTCAATGAAAAACATGACAAATTTGTGACTGATGAAAAGCCCAAATTGTCAATGATTAAACAAGTAGATGAAGTCGATGCCAAATTAAATTCAGCAAAAATTAAAGATTTAGGAAAGGAAAGAATCGAAAGCAATCTCGTTGAAGAACCAAATTCACTTGTACAAGATAATGACCAGGTTGATTCAAACCATGCTGCTAGTAGTTGTTCAACCATTTCAAAACTAGATTTGAAATGTATATTTAAGAATATTAAAAATTGGATTCTTAACAGGGAAACAGGAATAAATAATGGAATCAGACCATCTTTTGTTTCAAGTGCTGGTTCAGAAGATGGTTCAAACGAAATAAATTCAATACCATTAATTGAGCTACCATTAATTCCAATAAATTATAGATCAAGAGAAATCAATGGATTTGGTATATTATCAAAATCTCAATCATTACCAATGAAGATTAAAAAACAATACTTACATCTATTAACGAGTGGAGTAATTGAATTGATTGAATTTTGTAAATATTTGGAAATTTTGAATGAGAAATTTAAAAGACATGATAATTATGCAGCTATTCAACAAAGTTTTTCAAATCATTTTAGAAAAATTCATTTGGATTTACCATTTACTGAAAATGATTTAAAAATAAATGAAGATATAAATGAAGAATTATTATTACAATTGAAAATTTTGTTTAATGATTTATTTCAATCAAATTATATAATTTGGATTGTTAATAAATTTGAATTTGATGGATTTGTTAAAAGATTTAGAAAATTAATAGCTCATGTTTTGAAAAATGATTTTAATTATGATGTTAATTATGATAGAGAATATTTTTATAAACATGTTGTTGCTGCTAGTTTATTAGAATGGAGAAAAAATATTCCATTTCCTGAATAAAATTTTTCTGGTTGGAATTATATTTGTCTGTGTATCTGACTTTAAATATTTGGTTGCAAAAAATCTTAAAATTTAAAACACATGGTATTGACTTAAAATTTGAATTTTGTTCTATTCCGACGGAACAAATTTTTTTATATATTTTAGTCTATTATTTAAGTTTATTCAAATTCCTTTTAAATTGTACATAATTTTGCGCTCAATTGAATAGGTTTAGTATTCTATATCTAATCTATTTTATGAATTTGTCATATCTTATTCCAGCGGTAGCTTTAGTGTGATGATAAATCTGAAGTATTAACTATTGTTCATTAAATTTCTTTAAACTCGTATGTCATCACTAAAGAAAAAAATATTATTAAAATTTATATAGTCCCTTAATTTTCACTAAATTTTATTACATTTCTATTTTTTATTTCTTTTACTCTTGGGTATTTAATCAATTGGATTAACACCCCAAATCAAAGACAGACTAAAATCATTTCATTATGGCTGATGATAAAATGTATATATCGTACAACAATGTACATCAATTATGTCAAGAGTCAGCAGATAAAATCAAGCAGTTTAAACCAGATTTAATCATTGCTATTGGTGGTGGTGGGTTTATACCAGCAAGAATGTTAAGATCATTTTTAAAAGAACCAGGTCAACCAAATGTTAGAATTATGGCAATTATTTTATCATTATATGAAGAAATTATAAATTCAGATGGAGTTGAAGAAAAACCTGGTACTCAAGTTGTTAGAACTCAATGGATTGATTACAATCAATCCAAAGTAGATTTAGTTGGTAAAAATATTTTAATAATTGATGAAGTTGATGATACAAGAACAACTTTACATTATGCAATTAGTGAATTGAAAAAAGATGTAAAAGAACAATCAGAAGCTCAAGGTAAAGATCCAAATTCAACAAAATTTGGAATATTTGTATTACATGATAAAGATAAGACTAAAAAAGCTGATTTACCTGATGAAATAATGAAAACTGGGAATTATTTTGCTGCAAGAACCGTACCAGATTGTTGGATTGCTTATCCTTGGGAATCAACTGATATTGTTTATCATCAAAAAAGAGCTGAAGAACAAGGTAATGATGTATTTTTACCATCAACTACAAAAGAATAAAAATATTTGATAGATTAATGAATTTATTTATTTTTTAAATAAAAACGAATAATTTTTATAGAAATGTACAATTAATATACCCAATTTTTTTTTTTTATTAATCAATTTCTATAACTTCTGGACTTCGTTCATGATTTTTCAAAGGTGGATGATTTAAATTCTTATCTTTTCTTTTTTTACTTTGTCTTAATGATTGACCAGAACCATTAAATGATGATTGTTGTTGTTTTTGTTTTTCATTTTCTTTGTTTTCTTCATTTATTTCTTCTTGAGTCGGTAATATTACTGGAAACCCAAAAAATAATTGATTTTCTGGTAAATTTAATGGAACTGCTGGTGCATTTATATCTAGATCATCAATCTTTATTGAAGGATTATTATTTGTTGAATTATTTGTATCTATTTTTTTACCAGATAATTTTTGACCTGATCCCATAAATTTATTTTCTTTATTAGCGTCATTTACTAAATTTGCATAATTGATTGATTTTGCCATTGTTGCAGCTCCTGCTCCTCTATTTACACTTGATGGATTTATTGGAGTTGATGAAGATGATCCAGCACTTGGAGTAATTGACTTTGGTTTGTATTCTGGTTCGACATAACCAACAGGTGGAGCAAAATCAGTTTCTAAATCAGTTTCAACTACACATATACCATGATTATTACTTTCTGGTTTAACTTCCAATATTTTTATACCATATATTGAATCATTATAATTTATTTCTATTATATCATTTACTGTTAGTGTTGAAAATTTACGTAATACATTTTCTAATACTGCTTTTGGATCACTTATATCTAAAAAATCAACACTTTGAGGTTCAATTTTAACAAATTTACCTAAATTTAAATCACAATTTAAAATCTTAATTAAATTACCAGGTTGTAACTTTAAAGTACTCATCATCCATTGAGGTATATAACATCTTCCTTCTTCACTTGTAAATTCCAATACACCACTATGACTAATCAAATCTTTTTGTTCATTTTTAATTTCAAATAACATTGGATATCGTATATGTAACATTGTTAATTTATTTAATGATGATGGAGGTAAAAATATTTTACCACCATAATTGGCATCATCTTTTCTTATAAGATCTGGCATCATTGATATTGGATATACCCTAAAATATTCTTCAAATTTATTATTCATGGCCATTCCAAAACCTGACATACCTCCACCAAATACTGATGAGCCAAAGTTTGAAAACATGATTTGTTGTGATTCTAGTTGGGGATATGGGTATTGAATGTACTAATTGATGATGCAATGGTTGAGATCAAGGAAACTGAATAGGTATTGATAGATATAAATGTGAAAATTAATAAGTTAGTAATGTGTTTTATATTTGCCATTAAATAAATTTAATTTGTATAGTAATTTATTATATGCAATACCTCACACATAATCACTTTTTCATTTTTAGGGAAATACAATTTGAAATCAATTCATGAATTTTACATCCTAATCTTCTTGTTTATATTCATCTACTTAAATCTATAAAATTTCTATATTCATAACATTATTTAGTCTGTTGAGTGACTCTAATTAATTCTTGTATAATTTCTTTTTTATTATCATCTAAATCATTAAATAATACTTGATATTTCTGTTGATCATTTTGTTGAATTGAAAGAAAACTATTTGCAAATTCTTCGAATCCATTAATTTTATCAATCGGGGTTTCTTTCAATGCTTCCATTTCTGCTTCATCTAATTCATATTGATCTTCTATTGCTTGTTCTAAATTTTCATTTGTGGAGTTTTCATTTTTAATTTGATCCTTTTGACTTGTTTCATTTGATAAAATTGCATTTTTGGTTTTGATTGCATTTGGTAATGCAATAAGATTACTTAATAATAGATCGACTGTTTCTCCTATTAAATCTTCTGGTATGTTTTTTATAGCATCACTTTTAACAATTGAAATTGCACATAATAATTGTAATTTACATCCATAAACACTTTGAAAATCATCACTGTATTTGATCCATAATTTGTAGAATTCAATCATAAAATTTTGTGAAGATATAAATGATAATGAAGTTATTGGATCTATATAAATTGATGCAAACAAAATTCTTAATAATGATAATCTGTGTAACATATAACCGTCAAATGCATCTTGCTCATCTAATGATTGATAAATCTCAAAAATTTCGGGTAATAATTTTGGTAAAAATTCAGTAAATCTGGAGTTTAATGCCAATACAGTTAACTCGATATCTTCAAATGCAGCATGTGCAAAAATTGGTTCCATGTCAGCTTGCTTTAGTACTCCAAAACAAACATTTAATAATGATTGAACATAAGGACTGTTCATATTAATTTGTGGATTAGTAAAACCTTTATTTATTATCGCCGTGAAGAATGGTTGGAAAGAATCGAAATATTCAAAAGCATAAGTATCAAAAGCGTCTATTACACTTTGAAACATTGACCACATTATTTCTGAAACTTCTTGTCTTAAATATAATAATGATTCCATTATTTCCACAATGTCTGATAAAAACATAACCATTGCATTTTCCAACACAAAGTTTATCAAATCTTTTAGCACTTTTTCCAAACTTTCTCCAACTTCAGATGCATTTGACATGGATATCACTAGTGTAGTTAAAGTACTTAATAACCCACCTGCTTGATATTCTTTATCAGTATCAACATGACCATTTGAACTTTGTTCCAAGATTTCATTACATAATCTTAAAAATTGATCAGATAATTTAGTACCTAATTCTACCGCATATGGTTCTAAATTTTTAGCAAATCTCTCAACGAATGTATCCATTACATGAGTTAATATATCACTCTCATATTTCTTGGATTTCTCCAATAAGTTCTCCATTAATTGAGGTGCTTGACCTGCTACATGTTGTGCAACTAAATCTTCTTGAACTAAAGTAGCTAAAGCATCTGCTGCAGTTAATTGTATAGGAAATTGTGATTCATTTTGGAAACACCTAATAACATCTTGAAAAATCTTTTGTAGTACTTGAGAGTCTTTATATGTATGATTGTGAAACATTGCAATTGCATCACATGTTCTTGCTGTAAGCCATGGGGTTTTATCGGAGTTATTTAATTCTGGATATATATATGTTTCCAAAACTTTATCAATTTGACCATGACATGGAGATGATTCTCTATCCAACTCATTAGACACTGTTGATAAAATTCTTAATGCTCCTTCAGTTTGCATTGCAATTTCTAAATTATTTTGATCGTTCACTCTTTTGGTGAATATTTCGTTTATAATATTGAATATCAAATTTATAGTCAGATCAAATTTCTTATTTGAAAGTCTATGAATAAAATTGATGGATGCAACATCACTACTTTTTTGTTCTCTATTAACATCAAAGTACCTTCTAATATATTCATATGGATCATCTTCGTATAATTCAACACTTACTTCACTTGCTTGTAACGAGGGTAAAATTAAATGTCTTATAATAGCATCTAACTTTTCATGAACCAATGGCCAGCACGGTGTTTCAATAACATTATCTAGAAATGAAATCATATAATATAATGATGCTTCACTTAACCAAATCTTTTTGGATGACCATTTTTCAATAATTTTCCAGTATGCATTCAAAATTTCTGGTACAAAATTTGTTAAAAAATTTGAGGTAAATTCACTTTGATTTTTAGTGAGATATCCACCACCATGTCTGTTTAATAGTCTATTTAAATTTGCAAAACACCATTTCACTGTTTTAATTCTTGGATTTTTGGCTCTTTCTTCTATTATATCTTCTTCCAATATTTCTTTTGGTAAATCTTTATTAATAATCATTATATGAATTTGACACCATAAACCTAATTTATTTACGTCTAATAAGTAAGTTGGTAAAGTTGAAAAGGTTGCATTTTTGAATATTTTGATAATTAAATATAACATTTCATCATTTGATTGATCAGTATTACTATTATTATTAATTAAAGTTTGTGCTAATTGTTCTATCAAGGGAAACAATTCTTTTGTAATATCTTCCATTACTGGATTTATAAAATTTTTCAGTTCAATTCCATCCCATCTATAATTTTTAACATATTCATATAAACAAATTAATCCAGTAAAAATTTGATCTTTATCTTGAGATGTTATTAACTTTGATATTAACGGTATCATTTCTTCCCATTTATCATGACTTAGTATATTATTTAATGCAGTTGCTAATGAAAATTTAATTTGATATATCTTATAAGTTTTCATTAATGTTTTAACTAAATTATTTCTAATTAATGATTTTTCATCTTCTAATATAAAATATGAACTTGATTCTTTTGTATTATCAGGTATAATCCAATAATTTATAATTCTATTTTTGAAAAATATTGCTGCTGCAATTTTAATACCCAATTGTATATCATCTTCAATTATCAAATCTAATAAATAATTTGTAAATCCTGATTGTTGTTCATAAACATGTAATGATTGTTCACTTGATTTTCTAATTTGTCTATTTGAATCTAATGTACCATTTAATGCTTGTAATAATGAATCTTTATCCATAATTATTTAGTTCTGTATCAACTTTGATCCACTATTAAAATTTAAAATGGCTGCTAAAAAAATATATAAACAACTTTAATAGTACTGTTTAATAATATTCTCTGTAATATATTGTAATTATACTGTACTATTTATTTAAAGTAAAGAGCATCAAATTTTTTTATTTTTTTTGTTATAGCTTAATATTATATTCATTCTTTACACTACCATCTATTATATCATTTAATATATCAAGTAAATCATATTAATTTATCAATACATAAATAGTAAGGATAGATACTTGAAATGAAATCAGAAATAAAAGGTTTCAATATACTACCTGTTAAAATACCCAATACTAAATCAACTCAATACATATTTTTTAAAAAACATGATACTAAAAATAATTCATCGTCATCATCATCAGATAATAGATCTTTATTTCTTTGTAATTTACCAATACTAAGTGATTTACAAACCATTAAAAAATACTTTCAATCAGTTGCGTTAGGATCAACTATTGAATCATATGTTGAATCATACATCACAACAAGTACAGAGGATATATGGCTAGATTTAAGTAAATTAACATCTGAATTAGATGTTAGTAATGTTGATTCAGTTGGTAGTAAATTGCCAAAAAATTGTGCTATATTAACATTCATTGATAAATCATCATTTCAATTAGCATTTAACTCATTAAAAAAGTTATCGACAAATTTTACAGAATCAATATGGCCAATGAAAGAAATTACATCAAATTTTTATATAAAACAATATCAAGATCAAATAAATAATAAAGAAGCATTATCTGAACAAGTGTCACAAGCACTAATAGATTTTGATAAAGCAGAAAAAGAAAGTATAGATAATTTACATAATCAATCGAATTTAGTTGATGAAGATGGATTTACATTAGTTGTTGGATCACATAGAAAAACAAAAGCAGGTATATTAGGTAAACAAAGAATAGCAAATACTATTGAAAATGAAAAAGCTAAAACTAAATTAAAAAAGAAAGAAAAACAAGATTTTTATAGATTTCAATTAAGACAAAAGAAGAAGGAGGAAATGAATGATTTATTAAGTAAATTTAGAGCTGATCAAGAAAAAGTTAAATTGATGAAAGAAAAGAAAAGATTTAGACCCTATTGATAAATTATGGAGCTAATTGTATATGTGAGTAAAATATAATTCTAATGTAATACTAAAACTAAAGATAATACCTTACAATCTTTAAGTAGTTGGGGTGTCTCAATTTCTATATAAAAGTGAACTGTTTAAACAACTTGCTTCGTTAAAAGAGGATTTAGTTAAGGAAAACTTTTCACTACTATGAGTTGTTTTACATCTATTAGTTAAAGAAGTACGAGAAAATTCAACTCTTAATACCAAATTAAATTCTTAATTTCGCAGCATGTTTCAGCTTTAATTCTAGTATACAACAAAATAATAATGACAACAATATAATATCTTGCAACCTTTTACTGATTCATTACCAATGACTAAAACTTCAACTACATTTGAAGATGATATCAAAACGATACAAGATCAATATATAAAAAAAGACTTCCCCGCAAAAGATTCTCCACAGGATTTCGAAATTTTATCAACAATACGGTATGATCCAAATTTATCAGAAACTCCACCAATTGAATATGAAGATATATCCAAGCAAAACTTCTTTTTATTAAATGAACATATCGATAGATTAAATTTCACACTACAATTTTTCCATAACTTATATCAAATTAAATTAGATTTTGAAATAACTGAAGAATTTTTTTTACAACAACTTATAACAAGTTTAAAAAAGCTGGAAAAATTAATGTTTATACCTTATAAAATCAGGGTATTAGTTAAATTAGATGGTTCGACTAAAATAGAAATTCATGAAACTAAAAATACAACAAATTTACTATTTGGATTATTCCCACAAGTTTCAGAATTTGATTTATATTTTGATCAAATTACTACAGAAGATGATTGGGATATATATATGAACAAAAATTCAACATTAATTTCCCCTTTCACTTCTTTTAAGACTACAAAAAGAGATGTTTATAATGAAGCTAGATCAATATTACCAAATAAAAATCCAGGTAAAGAAGAAGTATTACTTTTCAATAGTCAAAATCAAGTTATGGAAGGTTCATTTACTAATATTGCAATTAAAAGATATTATGATGGAAAATGGATCACTCCTTTATTAAGTTGTGGTTGTTTATGTGGAGTGACAAGACATTTTTTGTTGAGAAAGAATTATATTGAAGAAGATATTATAACAATTGATCAGATTTCTTTAGGTACTGAGATTCTATTATTTAATGGGATAATTGGGGTTGTAAAAGGTAAAGTAGTTGATTTAGGTATGTAATATATTATTTTGTATTTTATTTAATGTGTAATGACTAAGTTCTATTTTATTAATTCTTCAATTTGTTTTTCATTATACCCCATAATATATAAAACATCTAATAAAGATTTAGTATTTAAACAAGCAAGAGCTTCTAATTGAACTTTCGGTTTTGCATTCCAAGCAATACCAAAACCTGCAACAGACATCATTTTCAAATCATTTGCTCCATCACCAATAGCTACTGCTTGTTTAGGATCTATATTATGCTTTTTAGCAATTTCTAATAATAATTCTGCTTTTATATCACCATTGACTATTCTTCCTATTGTTTCACCATTTAAGATTAAATTTTCATCAACTCCTAAATTATTTGCATATGCGTAGTCTAATCCTAATTCTTCTTTTATATGTTCAGCTAATGGTGTGAAACCACCAGAACAAACGGCTAATGTACATCCAAGTTTTTTCAAAGCTTTAACCAAAGGTTTTACACCATTTGTAATTTCAATTTTTTCTTTCAATTCTTTCCATATATTCGTTGAGTCTATACCTTTCAATAGCTGTACTCTTTCTTTTAAACTTTCATTAAAATCCAATTCTCCATTCATTGCTCTTTCCGTTATTTCTGCAACTTTATCTTCTATATTTGCATAACTTGCAATCAATTCAATAACTTCTTGATATATTAAAGTTGAGTCCATATCAAATACAAATAATTTTTTATTCTTTTGATCTTCAGATTTTTGTAATATTAAGTCATAATCTTTACCAACACAATTTGATTTACATTTTTGTAGTATTGAATTAAATTCAGATGATTTTATATTGACATACCATTCTTGACATCTATAACTGTGAAGTGCAATGTCAGTTTCGAGATGCAAATCGAAACTTATAAAGTCTTGTACATCTTCAGAAGTTATATCTATAATATCGTCACCATGAGATATCATTGTAATTACACAAGAAATTTCTTCCGACATGACTCAATGATTCATTATCGAAGCTGTTTTACAATTTGAAATTTTGAAAAACTTCAATTTCGCGCGTTTCAATAAAATAGTCTTTTGATTTAGAGTATCGTTAATTTACTGTCCATAACTGAAGAATTTACTCTATCTAGTCTTAAATTGATGATTCTTCTAAATCTATAAGTCCATTTAAATAAGTTTCATCTAATCTTAAATCAAATTCACTTAGACCAATTGTACCACCTAATTTTTTAAAATTATTCATATATATATTATATTTATTTTCTGCGATTTCATTCATTTTTGGCCAATAAATATCATGATCATACTTAAAATTTATAATCCCATTATATTCATTAAATAATTGTTGTTTAGGTACGAAATTCTGAAACAGGTCAAAATGAGTTTTCAGCATCGTATATGGATCCACAAAGGGTCTTGAAATTTTCATAAATGCATTTGCAATCCATGGTAAATCATGAAATAATCCAATACCTAAAACTTCAGGATAACTTTTTTGTAAAATATGTAATGATTGTTTTGTTATAGATAATGATGGAAATGATGCAGATAAATTTAATTCTTTTGGTGCTGCTCCAAAATCAATTAATAATGCAATTTGATCTTGACCAGGTGGCATAAATTTTATAACTGATTCTAACATAAATACTAAATGTTTGACTTGACCAATTCCTGATTTTGTATTTTGATAACCATTTCTTAATATCAAAATTGGTCTACTCTCTATTGAATCATAGCCATAAATCACTTGTTTTCCTGATGAATTCTCATGACTTACTGATTGACTCGTTAATAAGTCCTTAGAGTCTATTAAATTTGGTATATTAATTAATCCAAAACTTCTTCTCCATATCATTGTCTCTTCCATTCTTTTAATAGTTGCAAGTAAATCCCATTTAGATGCTCTTAAAAATCTTAGAAAACATTCTTTAGTTAACCATGCTTTCTCTTGATCTGTTATTGGATGCGTTTTAGCTGTGGAAGTCTCATTTATTGGTATATCTTTTTGAATAAATTTTTCGAAGTGATCTAGTACTTTATCATATTTGTCTTGTTGATCTTCTGTTAACTCAAATTTTCTTCTTCTAACTGGTTTTATTGGATATGCGGGAGGTATATGACATTTCTTAGTTTCCTCTGGCTTGGATGTAGGTTCAATCTCTGACGGATTTGTTAATGATGTTGTAGATGTTAAATTTGATGGTACTGATGTTTCCGATTCTGGAGTTTGACTTAAAACTTCGGTGTCTTCATTTTTCTTGTTAAAAAAGAACATTAGTGTAATTTAGAATGAATAGTTAAATAATTCTCAATGAATAGATACTTTTGACCCTCAATGGGACTTTTGAGGAATAATTATTGTTATATATATATATATATATGAAATAGTCTTATGAATAATCCAGGACAATAAAAAAACAAATATGTAAATCGTATATATAAAAAATTCGCGAGTTCTATTAAAAGTAAATTAACGGCTTTAAAAAATACGTTATGAACACTGTGTTTTTCTGAAAAACCGTATAATATAAATCTTCGAGATAAACAATGTATTGAAAATCCAAGACGATCTCCAAATTCATCGAAACTTTAAATATCTTTTAATCCAAGTATTAAGATTAGCGGTTTAATGATAGATTGTTTAAAAAATAAAGGCTTTAAATAAAAAGAATGGAGTTAATTTGAAAGTTACAAAAAAAAATAAAAAAACTTAAAAATAATTTTACGAGACTGTAATTGGTAGCATTTCAATTTCAAAGAGTGATTAATTTCAACTCCTCTTTCACTGTACGAAATTATTTATTATACGTAATTATTATACAGACCAATCTCAAAATTATTCAAATTTATTTTTTCAATCTGATCATAACATCTTATCAACAATTCCATATGTCCAAAATAACAATTACTAATAGATCCTCGAATAAAGAATCACCATTTACTGAAGAAAATTTAATAAATATTTTAAATAAAATTGATTCAAATTCACCAAATGAAATAATAGAAAAACTATCTGATAATTTAGATAATATAAGTTCAAAGCATAAAATAATTATACAATATACAGCAATTGAAGGTAAACAAGAAATTTCAAATTTAAAAATTAATACTGGTTTTACTTCTAATTGGGATGCTTCAAAAGATGGTTGTTTAACTTTACTGATTGATTTAAATGAAAGTAAAAGTCAAAGTATTGAAAGTGTAGAAAATAGTGAAGGAATTGATAAAGAATCTGAAATACCCAATAACTCCAATATCAATTCACTACTTATTACTATATATTGGATTAGTGTATAGTTTTAAGCTGTCATGAAATAATATCAAAATAACTTCGAGATATTTAAATAAAAGTTGAATTCTCTTTTTCTTAGATTTTTTGAGCTTAGGTCTGTAAATTACTCAATTTTCTTTTACTTTTTACTAAGTAATACTATATATATTTTACTATAATATATTGTAATTTTAATAATATTAACTTGTTACAAGCAATTAAATTATTTTCTTTTTAAGGTACCGTAAAAAATAAAATCTAATAGAAATTTAAAAAATATTAAGCAAACTCAAAACCAAAAATAAAATATATTATATCACATGGAAAGAAGTTACAAGATATAATTTCTTGTCTTTAAACCACTTTTTTCAACCTATTTTCAATCTTATAAATACTTTTACAATGCCAGTACCACTACTAGGAAGATTAAATTTATTTGATTGGCCCGTTATAATAGTTTCTTTTAGTTTAGCATGGTTTGAATTTATTGTATCAATTATAACAACGTTATTACCAAGACCAATTATAAAAATCTGTACAATAATAACCAAACAATTTTTCAAATTGACTTCAAATCCAATTGATTTAATAATTGGTCAATCATCAAAAGGAGAAAATAATTTAAAAAATGAAGAAGAATTTAAATATTTAAAAGCAAAAGATATTTCAAAAGGTTCTATAAATAAACAAAATTATGAAATTATGATTGAAATGTTAAATGCTGATAATATTCAAGAAATGGTTCAATTATTTGGTTATGATATCGAAAGTAGAGTAGTTACAACTAAAGATGAATATTTATTAACTATTCATCGTATAAAATCTTCTTCAACTACTTCAAATACAAGAATTCCAAATGGTAAAGTCATATATTTACATCATGGTTTATTAATGTGTAGTGAAATTTGGGTTACAATGACTGAAAAGTATCAAAATTTACCATTTATATTATACGATTTAGGATATGATGTTTGGCTAGGTAATAATAGAGGTAACAAATATAGTCAAAAACATTTATTTCATAATTTAAGTTCAACAAAATATTGGAATTTTTCATTAGATGAGTTTGCTATATTTGATATTCCAAATACAATTGATTATATTTTAAATGCAACAAAAAAGAAAAAATTAACATATATTGGTTTTAGTCAAGGTAGTGCTCAAGCTTTTGCAAGTGTTTCAATAAATTCCGAATTAAATTCTAAAATAGATCAATTAATTGCTATATCACCTGCAACAACACCTCATGGATTATATTCAAATTTTTTGGATATTTTATTAAAATCTTCACCAAATATTACTTATCTTTTATTTAGTAGAAAAGTTCTAATGCCATCTTGTATATTTTGGCAAAAAATAATGTATCCACCATTATTTGATAAAATGATTGATTTTTCAAATTATATGTTATTTAATTGGAAAGCAACAAATATTTCAAAATTACAAAAATTAAGTAGTTATGCTCATTTATATTCTACAACAAGTGTTAAATGTGTTGTTCATTGGTTTCAAGTTATGAGAGCTAAAAATTTTCAAATGTATCATGATGTTTCCACTTCTTCCTCATTATCTGGTTTAAATCCAATAAGTTATCCTTTAAAAAATATTGAAGTCCCAATTCATTTAATTTATGGTACTACGGATTCATTAGTTGATATTGATGTTATGAAGAATCAATTACCAAATAAATTAACTACAACTTATGCTGTAATTGATCATGAACATTTAGATAATTTATGGGGTTATGATGTTTATGAAGTTGTTTTTAAACAAGTTTTAAAATATTTGGGAGAAGATTTAGATCAAGTCAATCTGTTATTATTTAGACAAAATAATAATAAATTTATAGAAGATATGATTGATAATTCTACTGATGTTGATGATTTTAGAGAAGTTGAAGAATCAACTATTAATGTTGATGGGAAAATGATAACTCCAGTATCAACTAAATCATATTTAAAACAAATAAATAATAATAAAGGTTTAAAAGATGGTAGTCTTAAAATTAATGGTAATGAAGATAATTCACATAGTAGATCAAATTCTTCAACTTTTGTTGATAGACATCAATCATTTGGTGGATCTAGTTCTGTATTCGTATAATCGTAGATAAATAGTCATATCAAACAAATAAAAGTATTTAGAGTAAATTCATTTTATTAAACTCTCTTGAAACAATTGAAAATACTATTGTTGCAAAAATTAATAATATTAAAAATTAGTCGTGTAAAAGGGTAATGTTGCAGATTTTAAAATATAAGACATTTTAAATTTAATTTATAATATGAGTATTAATTAAATATCTTATTTTAATAGTTATTTTTTTGGTGGCTCAATTCATAAACTACTTTCAAAACACATTAAATCTGTTAGTTCTTTCTGATTGCTGGTTGAATCAGTAGCTCATTACTGGCTCTGTATAACTTATATCAAAGGGTTAATACATTAAACACGTAAAATAATTAATTACATACATTAATCAAATTTCACAACCAAAATTATTCATTTAACAAATCTTATTACAGCTACACTAATTAAATATTAGTTCTCAAATTTGTCACCTAAAATATCATGCCTAGTAGGCTTTCATACGTATGTTCTCGTTAGACTCAAATTAAAATTGATGGGCGGTTATACTAACTATTTCTTTAGTCATACCAAATGCAAGTAACTAATGATTTTCATCCGAATGGTATGTTTACTAATTTTGAGAGTACTCAAATGAATTTGAATACTAACCTTATTTTTGCTAGCCTTACTCAACACAGTCAAATCCAGAGTACCTAGATCAATCATCAATGAAAACCAAGGTGGAGATCATAGTAGATCAACGTCAATAGTAGAGAAGAAAGATCCAATATTAAGCGAATTAACAAGATTGCAAGTACATGAACCAGAGTTAACAATAAAAGCAACTTATGATGATGATATGGTGGAATATTCAGCAAATTTACAGGAATTGTTATATTTATTAGTTGAAGAAAAAGAAATGGATGATCATATAAGAATGAATATAGAACAATCATTAGCTGATATTATATCGTATTTGCCCAATGTTGAAGAAGAAACGCCCGAAGAGTTGCCAAAATTTAAAAAAGATACATCATACAAATTTAAACAAAATATTCCAAAACCTAAAAAACCATCAACTATGACATATCCAAATTCATATTTATCAAAAATTTTGATTGATAATTTCGAATTATTACTTAAATTTTCATCAACTTATTTTAATTTATCATTAAGTTCAAAAGTTACAAAATATATAGTTGAATTAATTTATCAATTAAACTATTGGGAAATTGTTCATTTATCACATTCAAAAGATGAGAAGTTTTTAAATTTTTTAAGACTTGTTGGATTTGAAGTTATTGATACACTATTCGGATTTATTATTAAACCTCCTGAAAATTATTTAAATGATAGTATGTTACAAGGATTGCAGTATCCTTGGCCTTATCCATTCTACAACTACAGTTATCATTCATTTAATTCTAGGGTGGAAGATGAAAAATTAAAAAATGTGAAAATAAATCCATATATTGATATTAGATTGAAAAAATCTCCAATATTAAGTGATAAGAATAGAAGTAGAAAAGTAAGAAAATTATTGATGAGAGAAGAAGATGATGATTTAATTCGTGAAACTAGAAGAAAATTATCGAGTACTGCATCCCTTATTGATAATGAGGAAAGTGGTGAAAGAGATCTGGTAACTCCTAGTATTATGGATGTTGAAGATGATGAAACTGATGACCATGATCTTAGTAAAACAATGAGTGATTCAGAATCATTGGATGATGACGAGGACAATGATGATGAAGAAAATGATGAGACCTTAAATAAATTTAAATCATCTAAGATTGAAAATGATCAAACTGAAGATGAGATCGATGAAGATAATGAAGATGATGACTATAACGATATTGATGATGAAGATTTTTTTGATAGAAAGAAATCAATTGAAAAAAGACCTTTACCTCCAAAAGTTGGTTCGTCTACAAATAATGATCCTAACTCAGATTTTTTAAAACCACAAAAATTTGCAAATACTATTCCACAAGGTGCTTTTAAAATTGCTTCCTCAACTCAAAATGAAAAGTCAATCTCAACCGATTTGTCACAAAAAAAGAAAGAAGTCACTGCAAAACCGCAAAAACCAAAAAATCCAACAACAAAACCAAAAGCAAAAAAGAAAACTGAAGTTGAATCAGAATCAAGCAGTAAACAAATACCTGCGGAACATTTTATTAATGGTTTTGGATCGTCTAGAGTTTTATTTGATCCAGATACCCACGAAAATTCATTACAAAATTTAAGAATTGATGAAACAAATCCAGATTATTTAATTACAGAAAAGGGAAAACGAATACCAAGGACAGGAATAATACATCAATGTCAATTAATAGATCCTAACACAAATTTCAAATGTTATAAAGTATTTTATGGTAGAAATGAATTATTAAGACATCAAGAATTTGTACATGCAACAAAAAAGAAAATTTATAAATGTATATATTGTTTACAAACTGGTTTAAAAATTCAAAGTTATCCACGTCATGATTCATTAGCAAGACATATTAGAAGAAAACATGGTATAACTGGGAAAGAAAATAAACAAGCAGTTAATTATGCAAAAGAAAATTGTGATATAATTGATGATATTAGATTTCCAATATTCAATGATATTGTTACACCATCTACTGAAGCTTTACAACCTGGTGAAATACCTTTAAGTGAAACTCAGAAAATAAGTTTAACATTAGGAAGAAAAAGAAATCATGGTAATGCAAAAGGACCAAGAAAGAAAAAAGAATCAACAAATGATCAACCAGTTGAAGGATCATCATCATCTATATCACCACAAGCTAAATCAGTGAATACTGAAGAAGATAATGATAGTGATGGAGTTAAATTAAAAAAACAAAAATCACAAGAATTAAAAAGACCAAATGAAACGCTACTTTATTCAGGTGTTAATAAACCAGGTAGATCAGGTAGAAATTATATTGTGATGAATATAAATGCTGATGATATTGATCCAACAAAAACTCCAGAACCTTCAAAAAGGCCAAAAAAAAATCTAACCGATTCAACTAAAACTCCAGACACATTAAATAAATCGAATAAAAATCAACAACCAAGTCCTGATCAACAACAAATTTTACAACAAAAATTAGAAAAAGAATTATTTACAAGAGTAAATAAATTACCAAATTTATCAAATTTTAATCAATCATCAACTTCAAAAAATCAACCTTTTTCAATTCATATGGGTCCGAATTCAACTAATCAATTATCTACTAATGTTTCACAATCTAGAAGAAATTCTTCTATTGATTCAACAAGCAAAAAAGTTGATGATTAAAAAATTTTTTAAGCTCCAATATATAGATACATATTTATAGTTTCATCAAAATTAAAGCTATATAATCTCAATAATTAAATAAATTTTTTTGCATTATTTTATTATTCTAATACTTAATATTAAATTGACTGCAAAAAAAAAAATATTAGATCCGTCTAAAATTCTTAAACTTGTAATTTTGTGTAATAATTTTTATATACTTTGTTACATATAAATAAATTAAGGGGGTAGTGTAACTTGATCTATTTCTTTTACAACTACTTTAATTAACGACGCCATTATTAAAAATAATTTAAAAGTTGATATGAAAATAATAACTTTTATTATACATTGATTTTTCTATATAGGTGTTGGTGTCTGTGATTGATTAATTCTATAAAGTATCAGCAAGTAGCTCCTAATACATATAAATATTATAGCAAAAATAAAGTAGTTAACTAATTAATCATAAATTTGGTTGTAAAAATTAAAATAAATTTAAATAAAAGAAGAAAAAAAAATTCCCAAATTTTTTTACAACCAAAAAAAAAAGATCATATTTTTATTTTACAGCCAATTAATAATTTTACAACCAAATTAATAACAACATCATTATAGTATATTTTAAGGTTGAATATACCAAATAATAGTACCTACAGCCATAATCATATCCCTACTTTTCACTGACAACATTTTTTGTTACATCAAGTCATTTTATTAATTAAAATTTAACGTTTCAATTTTTCATTATTATCTACAAGGAGTTATTCACAACATTTGAATTTTCAATTATATAAACTTGAATAAAATACCAAACGGCACTTCAATTATTGCATATAACATTTTCAATACAAGTCATATAATCAATCCTCAACATCAAATAAATACAAAGAATATTATCCTTTCATTTTAATAATTTACAACCATTAATCTTGAAACAATTCAAACAATGGACAAACCACAAGAGTTGCCTCCAAGGCCAACTATGGTTAAAAATAGAGTTCAAGATGTTATAATCCTTAAAAAAAATGGCATTGGTTTTGATAAACAAATTGTTGTTCCCCCACCGCCAATGAGAACTTTTATAACACAACCAAAACCTCAAAATTCAGATCAAATTGATTCATCAAAACGCCAACAACCAAATCAACCACCAAATCAGCCTCAAAATAATCAAAATCCAAAAGCTTTACCACCAAAAGGTCTACCACCAAAAAATCAAGCTCAACCTAGAAAAGTTATAAATCCTCCTCCAATACTACCTCCAAAAATTATAAAACAAATTCCAGCTGATCCTCATAATATTTTGAGAAAGCAAAAACCTGATCCATCATTACTATATCCAAAATCTCCAATCAAAAGACATCCATCGCCTCATAATGTATCATTTTCTTTAAATTCAACTCCAATACCAAATAAATTACAAAATGATGCAAATTTTAATTCATCAACTCCACAAGCAGGCATTAACCCATCTTCAAATAAACCTACTCCATCACAACCAAACAAAGTTGGTAATACCACCAACGATAAAACTGACGCGTCACTTATGTCAAAGAGAAAATTGCAAGATAGGGATGATTCTATTGATTCAATGGATATTGATAATGATTTTGATAATAATAGTTTCTCACCATCAGTAAATTTATCACCAAACTCATCACGTCGAAATTCTGCTAGTATTAGGAGTAGATCAACTTCAGTAAGTACTGGTAATAACAGTAAAGCCAAAGATATTTTAACTGATATAGCTACAATGTATGCAAAGACAAATGCAATATCTGAAAAAATTAAAGAAAATATGCCATTAGATGAACAAATTCCAATATTGATAAAGGCTCAACCATTAGATACTAATGAATACGCAAGTCATATTCAAAAAATTGCACAAATATTATTTGATGAAAAATGTGATCCAAAATTTGGAGAACAGCTACATAATAAATTTATGGAATTAATGGATATAATTGAAGAATTTGTTAATTACTCAACACCTTTAAAATCTCAATTATACTCAATTGTTGAAAGAAATTTTGATATCCTAATACAAATTGGTACAAATTATAAAATAATGGATATTTCAACTAAAGTTATAAGATTTTTAACTACAGTATTCATAAATTTAAATTATTGGGAATTATATAATTTATTACAATGGAAACCTTCAATTTATCATTTTATAAATCTTATTGGATTAGATATTAATGATACTTATCAAAAATTTTTAAATGATTATAATAATTTTTCTTATGATAAATTAGCTCAACCATTACCATATCCAAGAACAAGAATTAGAGTGAGAAAACGTAAAATCAGAAAATTAATTGAAGATTTAGATTTAACTGCGGAAGAAAAAGAAAGAACTGCAAAATTTTTCTCATTAAATCCAGATACAGCTGATCATGATAAATATGTCGCTGACATTTTATCAGGACGTAATAAACAAAAAAGAACTTTTAGACCAGATGTTCAATTAGAACATCACAAAATTATTAAAAAACCAGTACCTCAAGCAGATAAATCTACAGTAAAATCTTCAAATTATGATCCTGATGTTGTTCATGAATGTCAATTACCATCAGCTGAAGTACCTCATAAATTATGTTTAAGAAGATTTTCTCGTAAATATGAATTAATACGTCATCAAGAAACTGTTCATTCCAAAAAGAAAAAATTGTTTAAATGTTATGTATGTGTTAAACAAAATCCAGGAGTTGGTCCTCGTATTTTTACACGTCATGATACTTTAGCAAAACATATAAGAGTAAATCATGAAATCTTTGGTAAAGAAGCAAAAGCAGAAGTTGCATATTCTAAAAAACATGCAGAAGTTGTTGAAGAAGGTGATATTACTGTTCATGTTGGTAGAAGAAAAACTAAAGTTGATTTTGAATTAAGAGCTCATATGGAAAGAACTGGTAGTGATTCATTTGGTGGTTATTTAGAAACAAGTGATTTAGAATCTGGTGATGAAGAAGTTATTTTCAATGATCCAAACAGGCAAATTTGAAAAAGAAAAAAAGAAGAATTTATCATTAATTAACTATATAAGTTCTATAATTTTACTATAATACTGATTCTTTTTCATAATTAATTTGATCAATTATTGCTTTTCTAATTTCATCATCATCTATTTCATTTATTAAATCTTTTGAGACACTAGCCAAACCAGTGACAGGTCTCTTTATATTCTTTGTATGATAAATTAAATCATATTTTAAAAATATATTATTTTTAGTATCATCCTTTTGAAATTTCTTATATGTCATTTTTGTAGGTTGAGTTAAAGTTGGGAAATGTACAATATTTGTAAAAACATCTCTATACCCAGTTTGTAATACTTGTGATCTTGAATCTAATAATTTTTGATTATATTCTGATGTTTTTCGAGCAATTTGATACATCCAAGTTTCATCAGTTTGATAATTTACTATTGGAGCAGGAGCTGATGGTGTTGCATTACCACCTGTCCCAACTCCTGAATTATTCGAAGTTATACCTTCACCTAAAACACTCGAAAGTTTATTTTTATATAATTCATCGGGATCTGCGTATTCTCCAGGTATATCACCATTATCGATAGCTCTTTGTTCCCAAAAATCATCTATAACTTTTTTACCTTCTTTTATCATCTTGGAACCAAATTCTCTGAATATAGATCTTGCAGTTACTAAATTTACTGCTCTTCCTTTATATGAATTGGGGATTATACCACGATTTATTAAATCTTGTTTTTGATTGTTATCACAAACTCTTTTAAATAATGTACGATGAGTTTTAAATAGTAAGTATGAATCTCTAAATCCAACTATTCTTGCAGGTACTGTTGAGATCATGTATAATCTATCACCATGACCTAATAATTTGAATGTTTTGATTCTGAATTCTCGACCGTCTTGTAAATAACCTAATTCATCAATTTTAGCTTGACCTTTTGGATCTTCATTGGGAATTCGAATTTCATCATTATCTGTATTTAATGGATTACCATTTTCATCAAATACATCACTTTCATTATATACATAATGTTTTTCTATTTTTCTTCTACCTCTTTTACGTTTAGTTGTTCCTTCTTCTCCTTCTTCTCCATTGGCTGCATTATCTTCTTCTTCTTCTTCATCTTCTTCATCTTCTTCGTCATCATGTTCTTCTTCCTCTGGTAGTTCATCATCATGTGCTACATCTGGATCCTCTTCGTCTTCATCGTCATCATCTTTTAATGCTGCTGCTTTTCTTTTCCTACCTCTACCACTAGTAGTTTCTATATCATCTTTCATATCTTCGTCTTCTTCATAATCTTCTTCATCGTCGTCTTTATTAGTTATATCTTCATCGTTCACATCAGGATCATTTATACTAGTATCCTCTTCAACAAATTCCGTTTCCACATCATCTAATTTATTTTCTGGGTCTTTTGGCTTTACAATTCTTCTTCTTTTAGCCATTATTGTAATTGATTTGATTTGGTTGTAACAGTGTTAATTTGTGCTTAAATTTGAAAAAAAATGAAAACAAATTAAATATATAAAAGCGTATGTGACGTATTTATTGCCTCAACACATGTTTTAAGACAGTCAAATTTTTTGCAACCAAAATTCAAAAATTGTTACTCAGTAGTAAAAAAAGCATCTTTTTATTTACAAGTTAAAAAATTATTAAATTTACTATATATTTAAAGGGTCGTTAAAAGTCATAAATCTTTATCTATGATAATATTATTTTTCATCATCTTTTTTTTCATCGTCATTTTTTTCATCATCTTTTTTCTCAGTTGGTTTTTCATTATCTTTTCTTTCATTCTCCGGTTTTACATTCTTGAAAGCAGCTTGATCACCGTCGAGATATTTATCAAATGCGTCATTGTTTTCCGGAAATGGTCTCTTACCCAACAATCTAATCATGTCCTCTCTTGTTATGAATTCTTTTTTCAATAATTCTTGTGCAACTAAATTTACTTCCTTTGATTTTTCAGTCAATAACTCTTTACATTTAGTATAACATTCACTGACAATTCTTTGGACTTCACTATCGATTTCTCTACTAGTTTCATCACTAAAAGGTTTTGTTAAATCATCTTGAGATCTTGTATCATAATAATTAACCATACCAATTTTAGGTGACATACCAAATCTTAAAACCATTGATTGAGCAATATTCGTAACTTTTTTAAAATCATCATGAGCTCCACTAGTAACTGATGCAAAATGTAATTCTTCTGATACTCTTCCACCTAATGTCATTATCATTCTATCATATAATTGTAAAGCTGACATTAAGTATTGATCTGGTGGTAAATATTGCGCATAACCTAAAGTTCCTTGACCTCTTGGTATTATAGAAACTTTCAATAGTGGATGAGCATGTCTTAAAAACCATCCACAAATTGCATGACCTGCTTCATGGAATGCAACAATTTTTTGTTCTTCTGGATTCAACAATTTTGATTTCTTTTCAACACCACCGATAACTCTCTCAATAGCTAATTCGAAATGTCTTAATGTAACAGCATTTGCATTATATCTAGCAGCAATTAATGCAGCTTCATTACATACATTTGCAATATCAGCTCCTGAAAAACCTGGAGTTAATGCAGCTAATCTACCTGATAAATCTCTATCAACATCTCTTTCTAAAGTAATTTTTCTTAAATGAACATCAAAAATTTCTTTTCTACCTTGTAATTCTGGATTATCTATATGAATATGTCTATCAAATCTTCCTGGTCTTAATAATGCTTTATCTAAAATATCTGCTCTATTTGTACCTGCCAATACAACAACATGATCTGTACTATCAAACCCATCCATTTCAACTAATAATTGATTCAATGTAGTTTCTCTTTCATCATTAGCACCAGTTGCATTTCCTTTTGAACGCTGTTTACCAATTGCATCAATTTCATCAACAAATACAATTGATGGTGCATTTTCTCTAGCTGTTTTAAATAAATCTCTAACTCTTGAAGCACCTACCCCAACAAACATTTCAACGAATTCAGAACCAGACACTGAATAAAACGGAACCCCAGCTTCACCTGCAGTTGCTTTTGCAATCAAGGTTTTACCAGTACCTGGAGGACCACTTAAAATAGCACCTCTTGGAATTTTAGCTCCTAATTTTTCATATTTTGCCGGATTTTGTAAGAAATTAACAAATTCAGTAACTTCTAATTTTGCTTCTGCCATACCCGCAACGTCTTTAAATTTTGTTTTAACTTCAGTTTCTTGATTAAATTTTTTTGCAGTTGATTTACCAAAACCCATTGGTCCCATACCACCCATTGATGATGCTGCTTTTTTGGTCATCCAATAAATAGCACCTAAAAATAAAACTGTTGGTAAGAAATTTATTAAAAATTTTGTAGTGTTTCCCTTTGATGTATAAGTGACTGGTACTCTTAATTGCGGTGGTATGTTTGATTTGTCTTGTGCTTCACGTAAATTACGCTCGAAAGTTTCAACTGATCCAATATTAAAGTATAATTTCTGTGCATTCTGACGCAATCCATTATCATTTAATTCAACATATGCAACAGAGTTATTAACAACAACAACTTTAGATACTAAATTTTTACTTAAATAATTGGCAATAAAATCTTGAAAAGTAATTTCTCTTGCGTTTTCATTATTGGTGAAAGATAATAATAATACAATAAGAGCTAGTATTGCAATTGCTTGAAATATTTGTTTTGGTGTAAATTCAACTTCGATATTAATAGGTCCTTTATCTTTTTTCTTTTTGTTTTTACTGTCTTTGCCTTTATCGCTAGCTTGTCTGAAAAAAGCTGAGAATATGTCATTTTGAAAATTTTGCAGTGCTAATTTTTGTTGAATGTTTTTAAAGTCATTAATAATAGTATATTCGTTTGGACATAATGGGAAAGTCTTTTTACCATTTACTGCAAATGGAGTTGAAATTAATGTGTTAAATATAGCAAACCAATATTGAACTGCTTTTGGATCAAGATTTAAATTTCTTGCAATTTCATCTGAACTTATATCTTTATTTTCAGTAGTTGCTTTATCAAATTCCGTTAATAATCTTTGAACATCCATATTACTAAATTTCAATTCATCTAAATAACCCAAACTATTAGATAATACATAATAAATATGAACTGTTTCTAGTATCTCTTCTTTGGTTAATGGCAGATACGATGGATATTCTTTTGCAAATTCTTCTTGTATATCTTTGATCATAACATCGGCTATTTTATCATCTAGTACCATAACCCCACCTAATTTTTCAAATTCATCACACTTTTTATTAAATTCCTTCAACATAAATTTGAAAACATGAGATAAACGATCAAGATATCTTCTTTCAAATGGATCCACAGGAAGTTCAATTTCTGGAAATGATATACTTTGTGCGTCTTTATTTGTGAAAATTTGTTCATATTTCTTCCTTAAATTTTCTAAATCTTTCAGGTAATCTTCGAATGGATTTTTCTTATTATTTTGTTGTAAATGATAATATGATTTATGAAATGATCTTCTTGTTACTAATGGTGTTATAACTGATATATTTCTCTTCATTAATGACGACACTATATGTCTCCTACTACGAGGTACCATTAGCCTTAAACTCATATCGAATAGACTTTATTGGTGGGTATGTGGTTGGATTTTTAATTTAATATGTATTAATCTACTCTTTTTTAGATAAATTTGATTTTGCCTTTTTTGCTCATACAATTGAAAAAAAAAAATTAATATACTATCACCGAACTTTGTAAATACACGAACTTATAAATTTATTATTAGTATACAATTTTGATTGCAAAAAAAAATCATTTATATTTTACCAATGTTTTTAACCGATAGATCGAGTTACTGGATTAGACTTTATCTTAATTTTGGAAGAGATTCTTAGAGATTCAATTACTTTAAGCTTTGATCTACAGCTTTTGTTGTTGCCTCCAAGAATTCAACAAATTTTGCATCAATTCATTAAGTCATTCTATAGATTAAATTTAAAATGAATTGCATTACTATTATACAAACTAGACGGAAAACAAGTGACCCCAAACTAAATACTTTTATAAGAACTAAAACACTGAGTAAAAAGCAAGTTTCACCGTAAAATACAGATAACAATTTTCTAAACTCCTACCAATAAAAAAACACACTAATTATCCAATATATCAATTGTGAAATGAACAATAACAGGCCTATGATCAGAAAATCTATGACCGACATCAAATAAATTATCAACAACTTCATGAGTTAATGCATATATACCAGAATCGAAATTTGTATTTTCTGGTGACCAAATGAAATCAATATTATAACCAGTTTCATTACCAAATCCTGAATAAGTTCTTAAATCTGAATTTATATCTTTGTATGATATAAAAGCAGAATCTTTTAATTCTTTTGCAGTAGTTTTATAAGCTTCTTCATTATCTTTTGAATTAAAATCTCCACTTAAAAAGACTGGAAATTTATTTGGAATTTGTTGAATATAATCATTAATTAATTTTGTACCAAAATCTCTAGCAGCATGAGATTTTGCATCTAAATGAGTATTTATGAAATTCACTGATTGATTTGTTTGTTTATGTTTGAAAGTTCCAATTGTAACCATTCTTTTTGTACCAGCACCAGGAAATTTTGATGGTTTATTTGGAGTTTCACTTAACCATTTGTAAGTACCATTTGTAAATTCCCAAATCGATTCATCATATATTATTGGAGTATATTCACCTTTTTTTTTACCATTATCTCTACCAACTCCAAAATATTTCCATGAACCAGTTGTTTTAGTATTTAACCCATGTAAAACATCTTCTAATTGATTATGTAAACATTCTTGTAATCCAATTAGTATTGGTAGGTTATCATTTAATTTATTAACTATAGCATCAACAACTCCATATTGTCTTTTACCCCATGGTAATTCATATTTTTTTCTACTAAATACTGAAGCGGCATATCGAACATTATTACTATAGATTTGTAAATCAAATCCTCCATCAGTACTATTACCAACACCTAAACCATTATATAAAACTTTGGTTATTGGTGATTTATGCTTTTTTATTGAAGTTCCAAATACATTAGTTGAAAATAATATTATGGTTGTTAAAATGAATGAAAATAACATATTTCCTGTATGTAACTAATTGATTTGAAACCTTAAAGTTTTTTGATCTGAGACCTAAAATGATCATTTTAGATTGCAGATTTATGAGAATTTAGCAGAACTATATATACTAGACCAATACTGGTTAATCTAATTTGATATTTTAAAGTTTAAGTTATTAACCATCGTGGATAAAAATAGAAATTTTATGGTTTTCAATTAATCTATTACTTTAAAACATATTAAAATTTAATGTATATTAACTTAAATAATTAAAAAGTGAATTTGTAACCAATGAGTGAATTTAATCTGAAAGTAAAAAACGGTTGATAAAAAACTATGGAGTAGAAAAAATTTTAGTTCAGTAATAATGATATCAATAAATTATACCCTGCCTTGGTTAGAAGTTTAAAAATTTAAATTTAAAATTTATAGTTTAATAAGTAACATGCTACAGAAATCGAATAATACAATATAACCAAAAAAAATTTAATTTTTGTGAAGAATAAAATAGAAAACTATATGAAGATTTATGAATCAATTCATATAGATAAATCAAAAGATCAACAAAACTTCTAAAAATAAATTGGGGGGCTTTTCTACTTCATTTAATTTACCACTACTGATTTGAGAATATTATTCATTTTCTGACCACATTAATTTGTTGGCTCAGCATTAAAATTTCATTTCGAGAAAAAAAGTTATTTTTAGAAACTTCAAGTGTGATTTGTAAAGAGTCAAACATTATGATAATTGTTCCTTCCTTCGTGTACTTCACTAGCAACAACGTTTTATTTGTTTAAAGTAACATTGTAAGATTAAGTTGTAATTAAAAATGTGTAAAAAGAATTGAAAAAAAAAAAATGTGTTAATTAATGTTTCAATTTAATTATAAAAATTTACTATTCTCGTAAAAATTCAATTCTTGGCAACGTTTTAAAAATTTCTATTTTTAAATATTAATAATTTTTAACACAATACACAATATCAACTTTAAAACTAATTTAAATTATTATTACTTTACGAAATATAATAATTACAATAGGAACAATATAATGAAGCATTAATTTACGCAATACCTAAAATTAAAGGTGTAGCTTCACTCTAATTGACAATAGCTTACTTCTTAAATTTCACGAAAAAAGAAATTTAAAGGCTACTTAATCAAAAATTGTGTATAAGTATATTTATGTAATATGACTTAAATAATTTATTCACATAAATTAGTTACTTGGTAGTATTTCCGATTTAAAATAAGTATTTTAAACCATGTGGGTTTCCTATCTTGGCCTCTATATGCCACATTTAATTTTGAAGTCAGAAGACCTTTTGCTTCATATGATAAAGTTAATAGCTTTACCTCACGACTTTACACCTTAGAGTTAAGTTAATGAGAAGTCTTATTATACTAGTCTAGTCCAACACTTGAAACACGTTTCACCACAATTGAACTAGAAATAAAATGAAATAACGTCATGAACCGTAAAAAATTAAATTAAAAATAAGTAAACTATAAACTAAATGTACTACTATTTTTGTGATTGTCCTCTCTTTTCTTTGTTTTACATGTGTTTTAATAAAACCGCCTCTTCTTGATTTTGAAATTTCTCACCATCTAAATCTATTTCGTCTATTAATATATTTTCATCAATATCAAATACTTCACCAACTAATCCTTTAACAACAATCATAATTTCATCTAATCTATTATATATCATATGAGCTATAAGTAAAGATGCTATATTTAATTGTCCATCTTTACTTAAAAATTTATTATAATCTAAATGTTCAGTTATACTTGAAGGATCTTTATTACTTGTTGTGGAATTTTTTCGAGGTTTACTGTAAAATCTTTCACTTAATGATATTTTATTTATTCCCCATTGGTTTCGTAACAATTCCATATGTTTTACTGATATATTTGCCTCTGTAATTTTTGGTAATGCATCTTTTGATTTTAATGCACCTGATGCCATGTGAATTAATGAAAATATTTCTGCATCTAAATCGGAATAACAAATTCCAACTCTCTTTGTTATTATTGGAATCCAAGTTTTAGGGTCTTCCAATTGATTAAATGCAACTAATAACATTAAATATAATTGTACTGTATCTGATAATAAACCTTGTAATCTAATATATTTACTTTCCGGCCAATATCCAGATATTGGTAATTCAAATTTTAAAGGTAACAACAACTTATTTAATCCAGCAATTCTCATAAATAAATATCTAAACCTAGCTAATAATAAATCATTTCTTTCTTGAATTTGAAAACTTGGATCATTTAATCTTCTCATTGCAAATTTGGAAACATCACAATGTATATTACCAATTTCAAATAATGAGCTTCCTAAAATTTTACGAACTATTAATTTTGATGATATTGGTTTGGGGATAATAGCAGCTAATGACCCAATGCAAAGACCAATTATAACTCCTATAAATCTTAAATATGCTGGAACCCATCCATATCCAACATTTCCTGAAGTACTACCATTCGCATCTAGCCAAGATGTTCCTAAGACTAAAACTGTGGTAACACCAAATAAAATTTGTGGTAAAAGTGTTTGATGAATTGAAAAATGTCTGAAAAATATTAAATATAAAAATATTACAGCAGTAACCGCTCCATATCCATAATAATTACCTGACCCATTTCCACATGATATATACCAACCAACTAATCCTAGCAAGCAACCAGAAAATGTATATATAAGTTTTGAAACAAATACATATATCGTTTGTCCAGAAGTTTCACTGATTGATACAGCAATCATAATAACCAACCATACCATTCTTTTACTGTAGTACCAATTTGCAGTAGTTCTTACAAAATAAGGTATAGCTCCAATACAAATCAATCCACCAGCACGTATCCAAAACCATAATTTATCAGACATTAAAAATTTGATAACATTCAATAAATAATACCCACAAAATTGAAACCAATTTGAAGGTGGTAAACTATCAGCATTTCTTCTTTCAACAGTACTTTTTAAATAATCAGGTAATTCAGCATCTAACTCACTTGTCAAATGTCTTGGTTTGAGATATTTTGTTTTTGTGAATGATGTTATAAATTTTGGAGTTGGTCTTCTTTCATCAAGATCGATACAAAAATCTAATAAATCTAACAAGTTAGAACATTGTAATCTTGCAATTTGTAAAAATAAAACACCTTGACTTATCAAAAATAATAAAGCTTCCTCAGTTCTTGAATTATCAAACATTAAATTTTTCAAAGTTTCAGTATCATCATATTTTGCAATAACTTCTTTAATTTCCTTTTTAACTTGCTTAACTTTTAATGCCATTTCATCTCTCTTTTTGATGTGTTTTTCCCATTGTCCTGGTAACCAAGCATATATTCTAAATTCATTAGCTGCTGTAAGCCATTGTATTACTACATCAAATCCTTGGTCTGTAGTATCAAGAATAGGACTAAATTTCTCAGTTAAATATTTTGCAATCAAATCAATTTGAGTAACTCCAATTCTATGACCTTCTCCATGTTGCATAATTCTATTTCTTAAAATTTTAATTCTTTTCCTATTTTCATATTCTCCGACTTTCCTGTATGAATCATGAAATGCACTAAATAACTTAGCATGTCCATGAGCAAAAGATGAAGCATTTGATTTTCTTCTTGTTATTGCAAAATCATCCTTAGCGAAAAAAGTTCTTTCTTGTAGTAATTGATAAAAATGTGCATAACTTGCAGTTGATGTTACTAAATTTTTAAATGAAGACCTGAACTGCCCAACATCACCAACGTCAAATCTTCCATACGAATACTCTAACCAAATTGTGGACGCTATAATTTCTAATGGTGCCATTTTGGCTCTAATACCAGTAATTTCCTTTTTAAAACCTTTGTAGTTAGCGAAATTTGGAGCGGAAGGTCTCATTGTATTAAATAATCTTTTGTGGTTTGTACATGCTTTTCTCAACCCACCAATACATCCAATACTAGCAGCAAAATATCTAAAATTCGAAGTTGAAGGAAAAATCAATAAAGCAGTTGCCATTTTAAATACCAATGATATTCCCACTGGTTTTATGACAATTAATCCAACCGATAAAGGATCATATAATGGTGAAAAATGACCATAACATGAAAATATAACATTACCTATTTGTCCAAATATATAAGCTGGATTCCATAATGGATGAATTTGTCTAATCATTCCTAAGATCAAAGTATTTGAAATCATTGATAGGATAGTTATTGCTATTGATTTTGTTTGTATATATCTACCTGAAAAAATCTGATTTTCAATACATAGTTGTAAGCCAGAACCAACTTGACAACTTCCCTCACTAATAAGTTGTTGCACTAATTCTTGTTGTGTAATACCTCCATGAAGATCATTTATAATTTTAGACCTTACAATATGATGAATGAATGAAATCATTACTCCAATCATTATAGCACAAGCACCTAAAAAATTTATTATAACAGGTGACCCACCGGAAATACTAATAAATGAAACAATTGATACTAGATAAGAAGCAGTACCTAACCAATGACCTGTTTTGGGAACTATAGTCAAAACAGCAACTGGCCATACATAACACCAACTTTGAATAACTACTTTAAAAGATGTATAGTTCAAATGATTTATTATATACCCCGGATAAAAAATTTCATAAACTTTTCTCCATAAAGGTTGCTTTCTTGTTGGTTCCTCCGTAATTAGTGTGGTGGCAAAATTTCTTTTATCTCCCTTGGGGTAATACTCATTACATATCGTTTCATCATCTATTGGATCTTCATAATTCGTTCTATAAGCTATTGGATCTTCTATAATTGGTGAAGAATTTGAGATTGCTGATGAAGATATTGACGTTAGTGAGAATTCGTCATCTTCATCATTATCTTCTTCTCCTGAATGTAGTGGGTCATTTGGATCATATTGCTGATTTATATGTTGTTGTCCTTGTTGCCCTCGTTGTTCTTGTTGTTCTGGTTGTTGTGGTTCATTATGATTCTTCTCATCAACCATATCTATTTTTAAATTAGTTTAAGCTGAGTTAGTTTTAGTTAAGATTGATTGCAAATGTGAAAAATGCAAATAAAACTTGATAATTTGCAATTAATTAAGTTAGTGTCAGGTTCAAACTTTGGTGAATAATGTATTTCAAAATTGGTCTTTCCAAAATAAACTGCTTCACATATTTTTTTTTAATTCTATAATATTAATTTATTTGTTTGTGTTTTAAATTCCATTAGAGTTTTGTGTGACTTCTTTTTTAATTTGAACTTAGTTAGATGTAAATTCGTTAAGCCTTGTCTGTTGGATTTAAGAGTTGATTAAATAGATTACTAAACCAAAGATTAAAGACTAAGAAAAACTTCAAGATTTTTGTCTAATTCATAATAAAACATGAATTATAGATCTTAAAGTTTTAGACTTTATAATTCTGTAGAATTAATCGGCTAAATTTTTTTCAAATTTTAATTAAAAAAAATAAATAAAATAAAATAAAAAAAATATAAGCTACCAAACAAAGCCCATTTTGTTGCGGCTCAGATTAGAGAGAGGAAAATTTTGTGTCAAATTGATCTCGGATAATTCCGTTGATTCATAAAGATCATTGAAAATATTAAATTTAAGTCAACTTAAAACGCTTGGTACAACTTATCAATCTAAGTTATATATAATAGCTTAATTTCAACATATTTACCTATTTTAAAATTTTAATTACTACACTCAATTGACAAATACAAAATGGCTAAAGTTTTAAACGAAGAACAATTCAAAGAACAAATAGTTTCAAAATATACAGACGTTATTGGTGAAAAATTAGGAGGAGAAATTCATTCATTCTCAGATGAATGGTTTGCCAAAGCTGAAAACTTAATAAAACCAAAAGCTCCAATTAGAGATGCAACAAAATTTACTTACGCTGGTGCATGGTATGATGGTTGGGAAACAAGAAGACATAATACTGAAGAAGCAGATTGGGTTATTTTTAAACTAGGTGTTAGTTCAGCAAAATTGATTGGTTGTGAAGTAGATACTGCTTTTTTCAATGGAAATCATGCACCATATATTTCAGTTGAAGCGTTACAGAATTTTGATAATGATAAAGATTTATTATCTAGTAAATGGGATGAAATTATACCAAAAACTGAATGTGGACCAAGTCAAAGACATTTTTTTGTAAGAGATCAAATAACTGAAAAAAATTATAATTATGCTAGAATTAGAATGTATCCAGATGGAGGAATTGCAAGATTTAGATTATATGGAAGTGTTATACCAGTAGTTTCAGATTCAAATTCTACTGAAATTATAGATTATGCATCAGTTAAGAATGGAGGAGTTGCAATAAAAGTAAGTGATCAACATTTTGGTACAGCTGATAATTTATTATTACCAGGTAGAGGTCATGATATGAGTGATGGATGGGAAACTAAAAGATCAAGAGAACCTGGTCATACAGATTGGGTTATAATAAGATTAGGTGCACCAACTAATTTAAAAGAAATAGTTATAGATACAGCTCATTTCAGAGGTAATTTCCCACAAAAAGTTAATGTAAAGGGTGCATATTTGGAAAATGAAAATGGTTTGAATTATGTTGAATGGATTCCAATTGTTAATGATTCAAAAACAAGTGCTGATAAAGAACATTCTTTTAAAGTTGAAAATGATGACATTACTTTCACTCATATTAAAGTTACAATTATACCAGATGGAGGTGTAAAAAGAGTTAGAGCATTTGGTGTTAAAGCAAACTAAAATTAAATAATTAAATACGTTAGATTTCTATAGAATAAATACGAATTTCAGGAGTATTGGGGCTAAAAAAGCACATTGATTTCATTGAACCAGGATCTTTTTCCAGTTTTGTAGTTTCCCATCGATTGGGGAACCAATTGTTTAGTTCTTCTTCCCAACAATTGATGGTATCTATATTTCTAACAGTGGCTGCTATAAGCGCCAATTTCAAATCTTTGTATTGGAAAAGTTCAGCAATAGTCTGACATAATGGCCGTAGTATTCTTGAGTCATATGTAATATCAGCTGCTATAACAACGTCGATTTTACTTTTGATTGTCAATTCCTCTCCCCAAATTAATTGTTGACAATGTATTAAATTGTCAGATTCTAAATCATTGAGTTTGAGTACTTCCTGTACATTATCAAAAACTGTCATTGATCCGTCGGTCATTATGATTTTCTTTAAGGGTCTTGTTTTATGATGAATCTTGGCTAATGATAAACTTAAAAGTCCTGTCCCACATCCCAATTCTAGTATGGTTTTGTTCTCCAACCCGAAAGGAATTATATGCTGAAGTATATTTTGATCATTCAAGCAATTGGAAAGGTAAAGCGCAGCTTCCCAAGTTCTAAGTCCTGTAGTATTGTTCCCAGATATCAATCTCGGTGTCTCTTTAATTATGACTTTATTGCTATCATCTTTTGCTATTGATGTAAAACCATTGACATGATATTTGATTATATCTGGGGTATCGGGTGATAATTCTTTAGCATTTAAAATTTTTGGATCAACAAATAAATCGTAAACTTCATCTGATAATTCTTCATTTGATAATTCTAATTTTTTTATATACTTCGATAGTAGATTTTTAAAATAATATGCATTTTGATCTATATGTGAATTTATTAGTTTGACTAATTCCAATTGGTTATCATAACTTATTATATCATCTTCTATATTTATATATTTAATGGGCACCCTTTGATCAATGAATGATTGGATTTTATCCATTAATTTCGATAAATATTAATAATTAATGATTGCAAAAGATTCTATACTGATGAAACATCTCAAACACAACTGCATAATAAATTATTTACTATACAATTGGTAGTGCCTCCACTGTATTATTCCTGTATATAAATATGAACCAATTATATTAATAAATGAATGTAAAGTGAGAACCGAAATTATGTGAAAAAAAATTAATATTGAAGTATCAAAGACAATACAAGAAGTTTTTATATATTCATAACACAACATTTATATAATGTCATCACTTCCAAGATTTCCATTCCCAGTTGCTAAAACTTATTGGCCATATGCTGTTGGTGGTATGTTTTAATGAATTGAAATTAAATTGAAAAGACTTGGAAAAGAATTTAAAGAATATTGAAGAATGAAGTAAAGAAATATTAAATTGCCCATTAGTAGAGAATTATTAGCGGGATTCACAATGATTATATCAATGGCTCACATTTGGGATTCCACTCAAAACTGATTGGTAGAAGGAACATCAGGTAGAAGAAACATCAATTTTTAGATACTCAGGCAAGACAACATTGTTCAATTCAATAGACTTCAATCCAAGATTTTGTTCTGCATTATTGTTTTTCCCCAGTTACTAACTTTTACTCGTATAGCTGTTATCACATACTATTTAGTATACAAAGGGTCAGTAGCTTCAATGAATTCAGATGAATTTATTAATGATCCAAGACATCCAAGATTTAAAAATGGTGGTAAATATATTGATTTAAGTAAAAAAGAAGAAGCTTAGAGGTGCTTTATTAAATGATGTCAATAGGTATGGGGTTTTAAAAATTTTAAATGATATATAAATATAGCCAATCTATAATGGCTTGAAACGATATAGAATATTTTTTTTGTTAATACATAAAGCATTGTATTTTAAGAAACCCCGCTGGTAGAAGTTTTGTTTGTCTTTTGAGAGGCAATGTTGGTACAACTTCTATTTGACTTCAAATCATTAGTATAAAGTCACGTTCAAATCCAAAAATCGTTAAACTTGTTTGTAAATCTATATTTGACCGGATTATGAATTATACATTTCTCTTAAATTGAAGCTGTAAAAGCATAAAACGAGACATCTTGGTTCGTTTATTACTACAAGTAAGTCTGGAGATGCATTGATATTTGATAAACTCTCTATTTATTCTAAAACCAATTATTGTTTTATTATAGTTAAGCAGATCAAATATCACTACCAAATGACTGCTAAGATTTTGTGGAGGATTTAAAAATATATTAATCTTTTTTTTTGCTTACTTAGTATGTATAAAATATTAATGATCAAATAATTAGTAATAATATATCAGCTTTTTATAACAATCTTTATTCTTATATTTTTATCAAAGTCATAATTATTCAATAATGATATCAAGATATTTCAATAGAATACCCAAATTTAATGGTATATCAAGAAGATTACTACATTTTAAAACAGCATCAACTCCAAATGAAAATGCATTAAAATTTATATCACCAGAATGTCCTATACTACCTATTGAAAATACAACTTTTGAATTTACATCAACTTTACAAGCTATACATTCACCATTAGCATTACAAATTTTTAAGATCCCAGGAGTCAAATCAATAATGTTGGGATCTGATTTTTTAACAATCAATAAGCTAGGTAATTATGATTGGAATCAATTATCTTCAGAAGTAATGGATACAATGAATAAATTTTTAGATAACAAAAAAGATCAAGTACCTGTAATAACTCAAGAATTAATAAACAAGATACAACAAGATAAATTAATAGATGATGAGAATGATACCGAAATAGTATCAATGATTAAAGAATTAATTGAAACAAGAATACGTCCAGCAATACAAGATGATGGAGGAGATATTGAATATAAAGGATTTGATGAAGAAACAGGTACAGTTTTTTTAAAATTACAAGGTGCTTGTAAATCTTGTAGTTCAAGTGAAGATACTTTGAAAAGTGGAATTGAAAGTATGTTAAAACATTATATTGAAGAAGTTAAAGAAGTAGAACAAATTTTGGATCCTGAAGAAGAAATTGCATTAAAAGAATTTGAAAGATTAGAAGCTCAATTGAGTAAAAGAAGTGGTTCAAGTGCTACTACTGATGATGGACCTCCAACTTTGTAAAAACTTTATCTGTCGCTTTTATATAAATTAATTTTAGAGTTTGTATTTTCACTGTTATTAATTTAACTATTTATTGGATTATTTATTAATCTACTTTATGTTCAATCTCTGTCAAAAGTTTTTCACGTAATTTTGTTTCATCTTTAATTCTAAAAATTTGATTATTGGCTTCTTTTGATAATCCATCTATACAATCTCTTGTCAACGTCAATCTAATCTCTTCATATAAGTTGTTACACCAATTGTTCATGAACTTCAACCATTCTCTAGAAACTTGATTAAATCCTAATACCCAACCTAAACATAATAATGCAATACATGAATTTGCAGAAAAATCAAAAAATTGATAAGCTAATCCAGATATTACAGTAATTGGTAATTGATAATAAATAAAAGCTTTACTCAAAATTGAAACAACCATAGCTTGAACAGTTTCATTGATTTGTTTATTGATAACTTCATTTTTCAATTCTAACAATGGATTTTTATCAGCTTCATCAGAATCAATGATTTTACCCCTTAAAAGATTATAATTTTCTATACTTTTATTCATAAAATTTTCATTGAAAAAGTCTTTTAAATCATATTCGACATTATCATTTTTGTAATATAATTTCCACCATGATAAATTCTTCTTGATAAAATTCTCAGTTTTTGGCTCAAAGTCGTATTGTAGTTCGGTATTAACTAATTGAATGAATTTGTCTATATCCAATTTTATAGTTGTAGGATCTTCTTCGAAAGATGATTTGGACTTAGTTAATTTATTATGAATTAATGACTTCACGTTCCCTAAGTACCAATTGATTGCATTATTTGTTCTAGCGTAGTAATCGATAAATTTGAAAAGTTGGTGCACGTTACTATTGGTTAAACTATTGAGGTAGGAATCAGTGGCTTTGACGTCATTTAACATAAAATTTGTTATCCCTTTATAGGCCAAGTTTGAATCAATTTTGATGATATGAGTATGTATGGACGTATCTAATGAGATTGGTGTAGACTCAGAACTTTTAGGTGAATATTCAACATTATCAATGACTTTTAAGAATATTCTATTTTTTAAGCCTTCTGGTAAGTTTGATATTGATGTATTAAATTGATTTGTGACATAGATAAAGTAAGTAAAATCATCTATACTTTCCAAATGTTGTTGCGGGTCAATTTCTTCAATAATTAAATCATTTTGAGTTAAATCAGGTTCTTTACCATATCTTGTTCTATAAATCCCACTTAAAATTGGAGATGGTAATTCAAAAGGATTGAGATTATCTAATTCTGGATTATCATCGACTAAATCTGTTTTGTATTCACCAAATAGAAATCTACCTAATCCATGTCTTTTTACAATTTTTTCAAACCAAATTTGATTATTTGAAGCTAATGGATCAGCCAATAAGACCTCAATCATTTTTGAATTTTGTTCGATTTGTTTTGATTCGTATAGCACTCCTATTTTGAAAGTTTGTGGCTCGTGTTTTTTGGATATTATTTGTTTTAAAGTTGTAATGTCATTGTTTATTAATGTATCTTGAGGAAATGTGCTTTGATAATTGTTTAAATTGTATATTAATGTATTAGACTTTGTGGATGTGGAATTGAGTCTTATTGTCAGTACCCTACTGATTGACCGTATGCATAAACTTAGCCCACTATATTGGCTGGTTCCTATATTTAACATTTAAAGATTATTCAGTTGTAGTATCATTGGTTCCTGATAATTCTTCAGAATTCGATTATTTAGTGGAAAAATGGTTTTAAATTTGCAGAGAATGTGGTAGCGCTGGGGATCTCAAATCTGCAAATCAAGCATTAAGAACATGTAAACTCTTGAACAATTCCCGTAGTTCAGAGATAAGTTTGATATGTGTTCTAAACAAATTACCATTACCGCTTTATATAGCTGACAAATACCCTCTATCTCGTTGTTCCAAAAGATGCACCAAATAAATTTTAGTTGTAATTTCAGTTCAGTATTTCCCCAGGTTTATCAGCTTTCCTTAAGTATTTTAAAGAGAAAAAATAGAATCATATTTATAGTACCTATTAGTAACAAAATTTGAAATTACAATTGTTTTTTGAAACGATGTAAGTAAATGCAAATTATTCAATTATTACTGAACAGTTGTTACTTCTTAAGGAAATCAAAAATTATGTTACCATAAAAAAACCGCGTAAGTATAACGATTTCTTTTTTTTTATTTTTCACAAAATTAAAAATAAAAAAATCTTATAAAACATGAGATTTATGTAAGAAAGAGATTTAATAATTCATTCAACTACTAAAATATTAAAAAAATTAGATATTGTATAAAAATTATTGAATCTTTTGTTTTCAAAATACGTTTAGATGAATAATATTTAATAAAGACATTGGAAAATCTTACACATTCATATATAGAATTGTATTATTAAAACTACTATATTTCATTCAAATATCAAATAAAATGCCCCCACAAATAAATTTATTGTATCATAAATTCCAAAAATATTTATCATTTATTGGACCTGGTTTAGTAGTATCCGTTGCATATCTAGATCCTGGAAATTATTCAACTTCAGTATCAGCTGGTTCATCATATAAATATAAATTATGTTTTGTAATATTTATGTCAAATTTATTTGCTGCAGTTTTACAAACATTATGTATAAAATTAGGTACAATAACGGGATTAGATTTAGCTGAAATGTGTCGACTTAATTTGGACCCTAGATTGAATTTGTTTATGTATATATGTGCTGAAATTGCTATTATTGCTACTGATTTAGCTGAAGTTGTTGGAACAGCGATATCTTTGGAAATCTTGTTTGGAATACCTTTATTATATGGTGTTTTAATTACTGTATTAGATGTATTAATTATATTAATGGCTTATCATAAAAATGGAACTTTAAAACAAACTAAAGTATTTGAAATTATGGTATCTATATTAGTAATGGCCACTTGTGCTTGTTTCATATTGGAATTATTTAAATGTAATTTTGAACCAGGTGCAGCTTGGGAGATTTTTAAAGGGTTTTTACCAATAAATAAAGAATTGATTAAGGATAAAAATGCATTATTTATAAGTTGTGGAATTGTTGGAAGTACAGTTATGCCACATTCATTATTTTTGGGTTCAGCTTTAGTTCAACCAAGATTAAAAGATTATGATGAAAAATTAAATAAAATGGAAGAAGCTACTGTTAAACCAGATAACGTGCTGACTCAAGATTCATTAGCCACATCATTTGAAGATTCATCAACAACCACTCAAGTACCAACTTCAAGACTAAGAAGAATATCAAATGGATCAATGTTGTTGAAAAAATATAAACCTTCATATTCTGCAATAAAATATTGTTTAAATTATTCATATATTGAGTTGAACATGTCTTTGTTCTTTGTTGCTGTATTCGTCAACTCTGCTATTTTGATAGTGGCAGGTGCAACATTATATGGTAAACCAGATGCAGCAGATGCTGATTTATTATCAATTTATGAAATGTTATCGTATTACATATCACCAGCTGCAGGATTATTGTTTGCATTAAGTATGTTATTTTCTGGTCAAAGTGCTGGTATAGTATGTACAATGGCAGGTCAAATTATAGCAGAAGGATTTATAAATTGGACAATTGAACCTTGGAAAAGAAGGATTATAACTAGAATAATTGCAATAGTACCTGTTATTATTGTTATTGGAATATTAGGTAGGGAGGGAGTTTCAAAAGTAATGAATAGTTCACAAGTTGTTTTAAGTTTTATTTTACCAATTGTTAGTGCTCCATTGATTTATTTTACATGTAAAAAGGAATATATGATTGTTTATGATACAAGCAAACCATCAGTTGTGGCAGAAACAAGTCCTTTGTTGGAGATGGAAAGAGAGTCTAATAAATCACAAGGTAAACCAATAAATTTTGCAAATGGGAAATTTTTGAGAATATCAAGTATACTTACATGGATTATAATTACTGCTTTAAACTTTTACTTAATAATTGCATTTATTAATGGAGCTGACATATAGAGATACTTATAAATATATACTATTTTCACTAGCTTTATTTTTATTTATTTGTTTAAAATCTTATTTTTTTACCTCCTCTAGTACTTGGAGTTTTCAAACCTTGTAATCTATTTGATTTTGGTAAATTATTTGAGATTTGTGATCCATTTAAAACTCGATTGTTAGGTACACCAGGTAAAGTACCAGTGTATTCACTAACTAAAACTGGGAAATTATTATTTACTTTATAATTCAAATCACTTGGATGAACATTATGTAATTTGATTGCTAATATTATTAAACGTTGAGCTCTATTAAAAATTTGTTTTTCTTCTTCATTTGGTGTTAAAGGATTCCTTGGGTCACTTTTATAATATCTATCTTGACGTAATTCATTTAATTTTATTAAATTTTCAGATATTAATTTTTGTAATTTTGTTGGTGATTTTATATCTTTTTCATGTTCTTTTAAATATTTTAAATTTTTTATTTCTGATGGATTCCATTTTTGTAAACTTGATAAATCAATTTCATTTAATTCAACTTCATTTGTTTTTGCTGTAACTTCATCTGCTTTTGTTTCAGTATCTTTAATTTCTGCTATGGACTCATCAACATCTTTCATTTCAACATCTTTAACTTCTGAAATTTGAATTGGAGCAGTTGAATGTGGTTGATTATTTATATATTTTTTCTTTAATTGATCAATTATTCCAATTCCTATATGATTTAACCATATATTACCTCTTAATCTATCAGTAACAGCAGTATTAGTGCTATCAACATAAGGTACAAATGATCTATAATTTTCTCCTGATCCCCAGACAAATGGTGATTTCGATGAAGTGTTTGTATTTAATTGATCTTGTTGAGGTTGATTTAAGATGCTTAATTGAGGTAGATTATTGTTGAAATCAGAATTTTTCGATTTTAATTGTAATGCTTTATGAGTTAACCATGTTGGCATTGCTACTGTATACCAGGTTGGATGAAAATAACCATTTAATATTTGAGGTGGTTCATTTAAAGTTGTAAATATCATTTGACTTTGTGGAGATACAGTTTCAAGTAATGTATTCGAATTTGTATCTTTAATAGTAGGTATGACTTTAGCTATTGAATAAGGCTCTTTTATTAAAGTTGGTTTTGTATCTAAACTTGATTTTCCAATAATTGATGAAAATAATGGTTGAATTTTTTGCTTAAGTTGTGGTGGTGAATGATGTGGATTATATATATTTGATTGAATTTGTTGATCAACTTCCTCTGTTTTAGATATATAAGTTATAATTTCACCATTACTCAATGTATATGAAGTTAAAATCTGATTGAATTCTTCGTCTAACTGATTTTCAAGATCATTATTTATCGTTGTTGATGACTTAGATTCTATTATATTCCCCACTTCCCTTAATAACAATTCAGTTGAAAATTTGTAAAAAAAATCAATTTCTTTATATTGTTCCGATCCTACATTTTCTTGGTTTATCAATATTGATGAAACTACTTTAATGTCATGAAATAATTTGTATGGAGATGTTTCATATTTATTTTCTTCAAATTGTTTTTGAATACTTGTGAAATCTTTATCTTTTCTATTGTTTAATGAATTTAGAATTTCTTGAGAATTTGTTTCATAAAAGTTTGTCGGTAATACATTTTGCTGTAGTATATTTTCATTTGTTTGTTTAAAAACTTTGAATAAATCTGGTATTATTATTTTAAATTCTTTGGATTCTACACATTCGTTAGTAACACTCCATATTGCTCTATAAATTAGCTTCAAATTATACATACTTTGTTGAGTTGTATCATTTATTCTATCAATAGTCATTATATGGGTGTTTTTTTTTTTTGCAACTATTTTATTTTTTTTTAATTGACTCTAAAATTGGTATATTATTTTGTCACAATTATATTTATAAAGTATTTGTTTTTCTTTCTTACTTTGTATAACTTTCTTAATTTTTTTTTTTTTCCTTTGTTGATAATTTTATTTAATATTATTAAATATTATTTTTATATTTCTTTTTGCACGACCCCAAGTGTATACCAATTATTTTGTTGTTCTTTAATAAAAGCAACATCATTTAATTCACAATTGACTTTATTTGCAAATGTTGAGATTAATGAATTTGATGGATTACCTTTTCTATTTATCCATTTGGTTAAATTTATCCAAAGTAAATCTTTTTTGTGGTTTTTACTGGCGTCAATCAATTCTTGGTTGAAATCTCTTGATGAAACAACCATTTTTTTGTTATAAACTTTTGATTTATATTTTGAGCTACTTCTTTTCAAGGAGTTCAATTTTGCAATTATAAATGGATTGTATTGATTTGAGCTTGTTGATTGAATTTCTTTGATGTCATTCAAAATATCTTTATGCTTAGTCTCATTCAGCTGATCTAATTGTGCTGTATCACTTTCTTGGGTTGTTTCTTCATAAGTCTCATCATAACTTTCCTCATAAAATGAAAAACTCCAATTAAGTGTTGTTTCGTTGCTCATTGAGTTGGTGTTGCCAACTTGAAAACAAAAAGTTTTGCAGCACTTTTTTTTTTCTTAGTTATGAAGCAAAATACACAACAATTAAAAACTTTAATCAAATGCAACTTTTGAGCGTACTCAAAAAAATATTTATCTCTGAGAGTTTTTTAGGAAATAGAAAACGTATAGATTGATCAAGTCCCACATTTGAGACATTCGAAGATCAAAGTCTTGATACTTGATTATCTTCTGCCAAATTTTGGTAGCTCAAAAATTGTAGTACATTTTTCACATGTTGCAATTCTTTTGCAGCTATTTTACATATATATCACAAAATTATATTAAGTAAGTCTAAAAACCATATCTATATTATATACATTAAATTATCCCTATGGACGTGATAAAACAGCTTCAATATTTGAGACTTGGGCTGACAATTGTTCAGTAAGTTCACTTTTCATATGTTCTCTTTCTGTTATATCAATATATTCTTTTTTAGCTCTAATAAACCAATCACCAACACAAATAATTAAAACAATTCCAACAACAACAGTTGAATAATTCATATTTCCACCTGAAACAGGCATAACAGTTGGGAAATTGTAAAAAACAAATGCAAATATAGCCCAAGCACAAGTTACTAAATTACAGAATAATCCAATACCCCATTTTTTCAAAAAGAATGGACCATGTTTTATAGTATTTCTTTGTGGAATTAAAAATAATGTTGGAACCATGTAAGATAATAATAAAAATGTAACACAACAAACTAAAATTGAATTGAAAGCTGATGAAGAACCTAAGTAAATTAAACCAATTACACCATTCAATGCACAACTCATTAAATGAGCATTTACGACGGTACCTGTCTTTTCATTAACTTTTGACCAGTATTTAGAAAATGGTAATCCTCTATCTCTTGAAAATGAATAAGCAATACGTGATTCCCAAGTATGACAACCAATATTACAAGAAAAAGCTGTTAATAAAATTAAAGCTTGTAGTCCAACTGCAGCTGCTTTTGAACTAGTAGCTTGATAAAAGATATCCATGATTGGAACACCAGTGTTTGAGTTAATAATGTCATCAATATTTTTCATACTGAAAAACATAGCAATACAATAACTAAATGATGTAACAAAACCAACACAAACAGTTCCGATAATAGCGGTTGGAATTTGTGTTTCAGGATGTAAGGTTTCTTCAGCAATATGAGTAGCAGCATCAAGACAGGAAAAAGCCCAATTTGGATTTACAAGACCAATAATAAAGGCAATAGCCAGTGAATTCCAACCAGTGGAATTATTAAATTCAGTAAATACAGTTTTAGCACTTTGAAACTCTCCCGTATGCAATGATAATACAGTAACTATAATAATGAAAAATGATGCTAATGATATATACAATGTAGATGTACTTATAGCAGGCAAAGGTTTTTCCCAAAGATTAAATGGGACTAAAAGTAAAAGGAAAACTTCATAACATAAAAAGATTTGCCAACTTTTAATTTCTGTTTCTGGATTATATAAAACATACATTCCTGTTACTGCTGAAGCCATTGTCATTGTAACAGCAGCACTTGTGAAAACACTCCCCAACCATGCTAATATACCAGTAATATAACCCATTAATTTTGAATATTTTGGTGGTGCAAGTTTCATGGCCCAATCTAAAAATTGTTAGTATCAAAATCATGAAATGAAAAATCTTGAAACATGAAACAAAATTGCGAAAAATATATACATACAAGTTTGACCCGAAGCATTTGGTAACATCAGCGACATTTCTGAAAGTGTAACAGCTATGCACATACCAACAAAAGCCAACATAAGTATACCATAAAGAATTAAAGTAGATCCACCAGAAATACCTGCAATCATTGCACCTATAAAATTGTTAGTATCAATTGAGCCCATAGTTGAGTTCTGTGTTTAATATTTGATTTACAGAACTTGATACTATCACTATACATACCACTAATTCCGTACCATGAATTAGTTATACCAAAACCTATTCCTAATAATGATAAAACATTAAAATCTCTTCTTAATTCAGGCGCATAACCAGTATCAGATGAAAATTGTAAATTAGCTTGAGCTTCTTCTAATATTCTTGTTGCGTTTTTTTCATCTGTAATTGAAGCTAAATTTCTTATGTTTGTAGTAGGAAGATTTATTGTACTTGAAGTTATTTGGTATATAGAACCTTGTCCCGCTGATGATGTTGATGATTCCTTTTTTTCCATCGACATTATGTACTAATATAATGAGTGTATAGATGGTTGATGAAAATTTATTGATATATTGTGCAATTCATAATCTCGAGGGTTTTCACATCTTATATATAGTATTTGTATTTATTTTGCAACCTTTTAGATCGAACAAATTTAATCAGAACTATAACAATTAAAATTAAAAAATAATAATGAAAATGAAATATAATAATTTTAAATCAAACATAAATCCAAATTACAATAAGTAATCAATGTATGTAATTATACTTAAAACTTATCACAAAAATTGGGATGCATGAATTGTTTTCTGCGCTTATCAGTTTATCAAAGTTTACCAAGATCTTTTTCTCAAGAGATTCATAGGTAAAGAAAAAAGTTAGATCAATTGTAAAACCCTTTCCTAATCAAGTCGTAATTTACAGAGGACAAGTAAAAGACTCAAACACCTGAAAAAAAGGACTAGAACATTGAATTGACTTTGGAAAAGTGAAAGATTTTTTGGAACAGTTTTTGAAACAAACCCCAATATTCAACCCTCACTTTTGAAAACTTCTATTATTATTAAAAAATTAAATTAAATTTGGCGTTTTTTATTGACAACAAAAAAATCCCTATTTGAGTCGCCCCACAGTCGGTCCAGGGTCGGTCGTTGCAAAACTTGATTTGAAACAAATGTCCCTAATTTTGTGACATAGATAAGAAAGTATGAAATTAAAAATTTATTATATGTTAAATGTATGAATTGATTAAAATAAAGATTAAAATGTATGATAAGAGTTTATGCACAAAACAAAAAATACCAAAGATAATAAAATATTATCAAAATTAGGTAAAAACTTGCATTAATATGCATGATTCTTGTATTTATAATTGCATACCAATTAAAATCATCAAAAAAATCAATTTTGCATAACTTGCAAACTTATTACTTGTAGCATATAACACAAGATATTTCATAGTTACTATGAAGGTTGATTAATATTCTGTGAAAAGCGAGTTATTTTCAGAATTTGCTGCATATAAAAAAGGTCTATTTGAATCTTTGTTGTCGTAGAAATTGATCAAAGCTCTAGGTCAACACACTGCTTCTCCTAATTCATTTTATGTAATTCCTTAACTCTTATATTTAACAAAAAAATATAGAGATACGAGTACAAATATGCATGAAAGCACTTGGCGTCTTGTTTAAAATTGTTATTTTGTTGTCAATTTTGTATCACCAACTACCAACTCCATAACATCTCTGGAATTGTATTTATCATTAATTTTAAAATTTCATTTCAATATTAATTTATTAAGAAGTTCTTTATACTCCTGATGCAAACCAGTATGAAGGTCTTTACTGAAATAGCCATTCACAACTAATGATTGTATAACAATTACCAAACTTTGGTATGCGTGGCATTTCGACTAATGATGTCCTATACAAACTCAACCCCTCAAAACTTTTGACTCCACTCCTTAAACTGAATTATTAGGAGGGGGTATCACTAAGAATATAAGATATAATCTTAGTAAGATATAATAATTCCAGATTTATAAGAAGGGTACACATTGTTTCAATTTACAGTATTGAACTACTATAGTTCTCAAAATATAATATATAATTTTATTTTTAATCAGTAAGAATAAAATTTTTAACAGCACCATCGTGAAATTTGGTTCATCCATTTGTAATACCCCTATAACTTGATTTACGTTCTTGATAAGAACAGTTCTCGATATTTAATAGTTGATTTTGGAACTTCGAAACAATGTAAAATAATTTATTACCTTAGAAAGTATAATTTACATTAATATATTAAGCTGCAAGTTTACAATGACTCTAGACCTACTCTATATATAAAAGAAGTATTCCCTAGCCATAAATCATAATTTTTTTTTGATATTGTACAAATTCATATTTTGAAGAATATTGATAAATTCAACTCATCATATATTTTAATTTTCTTTTGAAACCATAGCTTCAATGTTAGATAATTGAGCACTTAATATTCTGTATATAGCTCTTTCATCTGTTCTCTTTCAAGGAAACCAATATAATTCTTTTTAGCTCTAAAATTCCAATCTAAAATTAATAATACAATTGCAATACCTAATACAGCTGATGAATAATTCATATTTCCTGCTAAAACTGGCATACCAAATGGGAAACTATAAAATATAACTGAATAAAGAACCCAAAATACTAACACTAAATTACATACTAAACCAATTTTTCCCAAAAAGAATGGTCCAGGTTTTATTTGATTTCTTTTGATAATAAACATTATAACTGATGGTAAATAAGAAATGTAAACAAAAGTAATACATGAAACAATAAGTGCAGTATAAGCAGTAGTTGATGCCATGTATAAACAACCAATAACACCAACCCAGAAACAATTCATAATGTGAGCATTTACAGGTGTTTTAGTTTTTGGATGAACAACTGACCAAAATTGAGACCAAGGTAAACCTTTATCACGACTAAAAGACCAAGCAAGACGTGCTGACCAAGTATGACAACCAATATTACAACCAACTAAAGTTATAAATATTAAAAATTCTAATCCGACAGCAGCTGCCTTTGATTCTGTAGCTTGATAAAAGATATCCATTATAGGTGCTCCAGTAGTTGAACTGTAAATAGCATCTAAATTTCTGATACAATAAAATACAGCAATAGCAAATGGCATGGAAGTAAGAAAACCAACAACAACGGTGGCAACAATAGCTTGTGGAATTTGAACAGCTGGATTAAGTGATTCTTCGGCAAGATGAGTAGCACTATCTAAACATGAAAAACCCCAATTAACATTCATCATAGCAGTTAAGAAAGCTATTGCATCACTTGACCAACCAGTTTGATTATTAAATTCAACAAATACAAATTTAGCAGTTTCAAATTCTCCACGATGCATAGCCAACACAACAATTATGATAATAATGAATGATGAAATTGAACATACTAAAGTGGCTTTAGATAAATATGGTAATGGTTTTTCGTAAACATTGAAAATCATAATTGCAATATTCAATAATTCATAAGTTAAAAATACATGCCAAGTTTGAACCGATTTATCTGGATGATATAACATATACATTCCTACTACTGCTGAAGAAGCACCAACTGTAACTGATGCAGATGTAAACAAAGAACCACTCCAAGCTAACCATCCAGTAGCATAACTCAAAAACTTATTGTATTTTGCAGGTGTCAATTTCATAGTCCAGTAAATTTGTCCACTAGCATTTGGATAAGCACTTGAAAGTTCACCTAATGTAATAGCTATACAGATTGCAAATGCAAACATAATTATTGTACCATATATGATCATCATTGGACCACCTGCGACAATTGTTGCAATTAACGAAGCTAAAGGTAATAGTTAGTATTTTGTCTTCTAAAAATTCTTTTCAACTATAAAATAAACCTCTAATGCCGCAACTCAAAAACATTATTTTGGTTGCAAAATGTAAAAACTTTTGAAACAAATAAAATATTTGTGTAATAAAAAATTCTTGTATGCAGATTTATACAAAATAGTATCGAAAATACTGAAATCATTTACAAAACATACCACTCACTGCCAACCACGCGTTTGAAATGGTCATACCAAGACCCATAATTGATATCAAACTAAAGTTTCTTTTCAATTCTGGTGCATATCCAGTATCTGCAGAAAATTCTAAATTTGCTTGAGCTTCTCTTAATAAATGATTTGCTTCTTTATCATTGGTCACAACTTTTGAGCTATGAACTTTAACTGGTTCTACAAATATTGTAGTTTCATTTTGTTCAACTGAACTTGACATTTTTGTAGTCTTGATTTAGTTGTTGATTGACATTGTAATTACAGATTTGGTGGTTGATAGTTTGTTTATATATATCTAGTTTGGTTTATGAGATAAGAGGGGTGGTGAAGTAAAGTAAATATAATAGAAGGTAAATAATATGTCCTTCTCCACATAAATATTTCTTATTTATTTAAGATTTATTATAAATTTCAGCTGAAAATGTAATACTGCTCAAATCTCTTGAATTGTCTAGTATGCGTGAGCTTATTGTGTATAACATTTTTTTAGCTTTAAATTATATAATATCGGTGATAAATGTACGATTATTAAATAGCCTGCATTATTCTGCTTTTCGAATTATTATATACTATTCAATGGATTTATTAACTCGAAATTAAAATACATATAGTTGATAAACCCTTGATCGTAAGTTCAATATGTATTAGGTCATTTAATGCATGTCAAGAACTTACGATATCTCAAATCTTTCAAATCGTAAAAGGGTTTGATTTATTTTCTGACAATAACGTTGATCAGCTAAAAGTCACTATATCAAGTTCAAATTTTACTATCTTTCTCCGAAAGTGATCAAATTTACTTGTAGAAGATGAGATTCTAACTACTTTGCAAAACAACTGTCATTTTGTTTTGGTGGCAGACTTTAGATATAACAAGATTTACCAATGGCTCAAAATTGACGTCAAAACTGAATAATACAAAAAGTTGACCTATTTTGGATAAAAAAATAATCAGTAATATTATATTTAACAGGAATATAATATTTTTCATGTAACAAGATTAAAAAAAATCAAACTTAGTCTTATCTCAAATTTTTAATATTTTGATTCATCCATGGATTTTTACTGCTAGATAGCCAAATAGACCTAAATTAAGATTAGAGTTGTTCAAAAAATAAATGTTTGAGTTATATCTAAAAATTAATACTAAAACGTTTTCACAATCTAGACAAAGATTAATGAAACTAGACCTTCATGAATTTTTACACAAAAAGTTTCAGCAGAATCTTCTATTAATTTATAAACGTTAATCATTATCATCATCGTCATCATCATCTGAGTCATTTATTAAACCAGCTTGCATTAAAATTTGATCCCAATCACTAAACATTATTACAAAAAATGTACTCAAAGCAATAATAAACATCCCTGAACCAACTCCAATCCATAATCCATATAATTTATAACCTAAATATTTACTTAATATCAATGCTAATGGTAACGCAAATGCATAATATGCAATAAAATTTATTAATCCTCCAATTTTTTGTAATCCTTGAGCTCGTAATATCCCACTATTTACAGAAGCTATACCATCAAAAATTTGTAAGATTGCAACTAACGGGTTTAATAAATTTTCTATAAGGTTGACAACTGTTGGATCATCTGTGAAAATATGAGCCAATTGAGTTCTAAATGTAAATAGTATTAAACAATTTAAACTTGAAACAACAAGTGATCCCATCATTGCAATTCTTGTTGATATTAATGAAGCATTTAGATTTTGACCACCTATAAAATTTGCAATTCTAGTAGATGCTGCTATACTCACAGCAAATGGTACCATATACGCTATTGATGCAATACTTGATACAGCACTTTGAGCAGCTAATGCTGTAGTTCCAAAGTAAGACGCAAATAATGTCATAATTTCATATGCTAAATACTCTGATTCAATCATTACAATACCTGGTAATGCCAATTGACCAATTTGACCCCAATCTGAAAATATTTCTTTAATTGGTGCTATTCCAAACCAACCTTTTTTACCATCAATGAATTTAACGTAAAGCACCAATAATATTGACATCATCCAAAAATTTATTACAGTCGCAATTGGTGATCCAATATATCCTAATCCAAATTTTTCATTCCATACTAAAAACCAAGATAAACAAATATTTATTGGAGCACTTATAAATAAAACACCAGTTCCTGCTTCAAATATTCCTTGACTTTGTAAAAATCTCTTTGAATTTTCAAAAAAAATATATGCTGGTGCCCCCAATATAAGTATCCTTAAAAAAGTTGAAGTCAAATATACAACATCCTCATTATCTATAATATACCTTAATACATATGCACTAAACCACCAAAATAAACCACATGGAATAAATAATACCCACGAAAACATAATACATCTTTGTACAAATAAACTCATCATTTCATAATTACCAGCTCCAACAGCTTGAGGACATAGTGTATCTAAAGCAGTTGCTGTGCCTTCAAATATAGCAAATGTTATAGTTGAAGTCATTGTTGCTAAACTTACAGCTGCTAATTCATTTGTACCTAATTTCCCAACGACTATTAAACAAACGATTGAAAAAAAATGTTCTAGTATAAAAGTTATAATTAATGGTGATGAATGACGAAATAGTACATAAGATTCATGAATATAATTAGTTTTAATTTTCATAAAATCTTCCCATTTTTGTGAATTCTTGGATGAGTTTAAACTTGATCGCCTTCTACCTCTACTTCCGTATATATTGGCATTAAACATATCTTCTTCTTCTTCAATTTCTGCTACTCTTCTATTACGTTCCTCAACTAACCATGAATGAAACAGTTCTTGATCTTCATTTGTATGAGCACTACTTAATGAATCGGGTAATGATCTTGATGTACTAACACTTGCTGTATCACTTATATCTTCTTCTTCAAATTCGGAACCATTTTCTATTAAACTCAAAAAAGATCTATCATCATCATCTTCTCCATATTTAAACATAGGTTGTTTAGTTGATGGCGGAATGAATAGTTTTCTTCGTCTGAAAGCTGCACCATTATTAACGTTTGCTAAGTTATTGATCGATGTAAATAAAACCATCTTGTAATCATTGACTAGTACTTAAGTCTTTCTTGAACAAATTGAAGTCGTTCTTCTTTGTGAAAGTTGTTGGTAAATTGAAATAATTCAATACTTTCGGAGTTATATCTTATTTTCACATAATAGAATATTATCGCGCAATGTTGCGCCTTTTATAAATTATTTAACAATTGTAACAGTTTTCAAAAAAGTATGAGCTTTGTAATAGAAATCAATTCTTTATACAATGTACACAACTAGAATCTAAATACTAAAGAAACATCCAAACTGATCCTCCAAGTATTACAGCAAGTACAATAACAGTAAGAGCAATAGCGCCTCCTCTATCTTTCGAAGTAACTTTAATTTTATTTTTATTTTGAGAATCTTGAGAATCTAATCCAGCAGCATAATTACTTCTATTTTGTCCTCCTGTAGCAATACTCAAAGGTCTTTTTACAATTAATGACATGATTGTTTCTAACGCTGAGGATTGTTCTCCTAATCCATAAACACCATCCCAACCAGAATGAGACCAATTTTCACCACAGGTTACACCATCACTACCACCAGAACATGATTGTGCAGCAGCTTCAGCACTTTTTTCTAAATATGGGTCAATTTGATCAGCAAAATCAGGTATAATTAATTTAGTTAAACCCAAGCATCTTGCAAATAATGAACGGAAAGATCTTTGATCATTATTACATAAATTAGAAGGTTGACAAGTAGTTTCTTGCATGACTTTATCTTGAGTGAAAAAATATGAAGTTGAAGCCTCAACAATTTCATCTGCACGAGTTTTCCAAATTTCATCACCAGTAACATTATATAAATAAGCGCAACCACTCATAAATACACCATAAGTATATGACCATCTTAAATCAGTAACTTTAGTACAATTATCATCAACATTTGCACCATCATAAACTCTAAAATTACCATTATCTTCTTCAGTTAAAAATTTTACATCATCCATCCATTTCCAAACTCTTTCTGCTGCATCAACATAAACAGTTTTATTACCAGTATATGCTGCTAATCTTGCAGCAATATGAAATAAACAACCGTTTGAAATAGAATTTTTATAATTATAACCAGAATTCCAAGTGAAAATTTGCCATCTTAATCCACCACCACAATGTTGATTATCCCATCTTGCATTCATTGTATTAAATATAGCTTGAGCCATTTCTAACCAAGAATGAGAATCTGGATTAGTAAAATTTCTTTCAACTGCTTGCATAATTGCCATACCCCAAACACCTTGATCATCATTACCTTCAGTCATTGACTGATTAGATGGAATATAATTGTAATTTTCTCCAGCTTGATGATACATACCATCATGAATCCATTTTTGTAATGTTTCATTATGAGGATCACAATATGTAAAATAATCAACTAATCCACCAAATGTTTCACCTGCATTCCACCAATAATTTGGTTGAGCAAACATTCCAATTACTCCTCCAGGTCTGAAACCTTCATAATAATTCCAAATCCCATCTGCAACAACTTTTGCAGCAGCACAAACTGAATCATTACTTTGTATTTGAATGTCGATTGATAAAACAGATGATATAAATAATAAATAAAATAAAGATATTAGTTTGATTAAATTGAACATATTGAATTATATTTTTGAACCAGATCTACTGGATTTTGTATTTTATTTATAATATAACTTAAGATTTACGAAATTTTTGTGGAAGTTTCTTGAGATTTAATTAGCGTTTGATAATGATTTTTAAATAAACAAATGAATCTGTCGTAGTTTAAAGATAGATTAATAATGATTAATAATATGAAACGTGAAACGTTAATGTTATTTAATTGAAAGTAAAGTTATATTGTAATATATTGGCTGAGTTTTATTTTATAATTATTAGAATAAATTTTTTATTAAATAAAATTCAAAAAGTTCTTGATCTTTTTTTTTTGTTTTTTCTTTTCTCTCTTTGTACCTAATATTTAATAATAGTCTAACTTTTTATGATTAGACTCTAAAGGGTTATTGTTTCAAATTTTGTAAATTATGGAATTCAAGTTGGATAGCCTAAAATTGGTAGAGTTTAACTAGGTATTGTACTTATGCGGTAAGTCAATTAACCCAACTAAATCAAATTTGTTTGCAAAGAGGAGGAATATTTATCAAACTCTGTTACAACTTTAGTTTAATTTGTTTACAATAATGCATAATGTATTAAAATAAAGATCTAAATTTAGATGAATTACAAAGCTATAAATTTGTATTAAACCTGAAATTGATTTACAATAATTAGTCTTAGTCAACTTCAACGTTTTATATTGACCTATATACTTTTTTTGAACAATTCTTTATACACTCTTAAAAAGTATACTAATTCCAGTCAAATAGTTTTAATAATTGCGTAAGATTAGTAATGACAATTCTATTATTTGCAAGCACCAAAGGTTCATCATCGGAATCATCATTTGTAGATAATTCTTTTTCTTGCAGACTTAAAGCACAAGCATCATATTGAGGATTACTTTCTCTATTTTTTGTTAAATTAAGACTATGAGATCCATCACGATCTAATAAAACACCATTCCAACCAGATTTTATAGATCCAATAAAATCTTCATTATAATTATCACCAATTTGATAACAACCACTTAAGAATTCTATGGGTACATTTTTACCCTTATAGTTTGGATTAATTTCTGATTTGTATTCAACTAAAGCAACTTTATCATAAAACACTTTTTCACCTTTTGAATGATCTAAATTATAACTTAAAAATACATTATCACAATGTAAAATTTCATTACAATGGAAAAATTGTCTTATTTTTAACGATTCCAATATTGTTAATGCTCTTTCATCTGAATTACTACATGCTACTAATCTCACATTTTTGTCTTTTAAAAATTTTAAAGTTGGTATTACATCAGGATATAATTCATATGCTTCATTACTTGTAAAATGATGAATTAATCTATGAGCTAAAGCATTTAATTTTTCATCATCTTGTTTTGATTCACCACTTGAATAAATTCTTTTAACTAATTCAGCCCACCAAGTATCAGTATTTTCAAATTTGGGATTTCCTTTACCATAATTTGGATATTCTTTCATCATTTCATCATATATTTTGGGAAAATCTTTTGTAATTGATTCTAATGATTTGTTAATACCAAATTCATGTTTCAGTATGTCATAATATTGATCAGGTACTGACTTTTTTGGATAGTATAAAGTACCAAATAAATCAAAACTAATTAGATTAGGTTTAGGAAATTGATTTTTTGATTCTCTTATCATTTGCATATTTTCAACAGTAAATGGATTTGATGCTAAGTGAGATTTTGTGGTTACTTTTCTGAATGTCTGGAAATAAATAGATCTTGATAAGATCAGTCTTTTAGTCAATTGCAACATTGAAGATAAATGAATTGATAAATAAGTTAGTCATTTGAATTATTGTAATTTCAATAATTTGATTTATTAATTGAAGTTTTAGATTTTAAGAATTTATAATTGCGACTCTTTTTAGTATATATGCAAAAGTACTTAATTAATTTTGAAACGGTTAAAAGGGTAAAGAATTTCAAGAGTAAATAAAATTTACAAGACTAATATTAACAATTAAATAAATAAATAGGTTTAATAAATAGGTAATGCTAATTATTACTTCTAACCTAAAAGAACTTCCCATCCCCATTCTCTCATTATACTTGACCAATGAGTTTTAGAATTAAGAAATCCACAAGAATCAGGATTAACATTATTAATCAATTGATCATAATTAATAAATGACATTAGATTTTTAGTTGAATCATCTTTTATATTATTTGTTGCTTCAACATTTTGTAATTCATCTTTCCTTTTCCAAACTTCTTTAACAACTTCATAAGTTCTATCAACGTTTCCAATCCACATTTTATCTGATAAAAGTTTCCAACGAGATTTACACCATTCTCTTTCTTCTCCTAAATTAGCTTCACATGATGCTACTAATAATGGAAAAATATGAGTTATACAAGTATTTGAAGATTTTGGTATTGATGCTAACAATATGAATATTTTTTCAGCTAATGCATGAGATGATAATGATGGAATTTCAGGAACTGCTTGATGTAAAAATAATAATGCTGAATATCTATATGCTTCAGCAGTTGCAAGACATGATGATAAATCCCAAGTTTTTGAACCATTTTCATCTTCATTTTCTAACATTTTAGAATTTATAGTTGGTTTCCATTCAGTTAATAAATGTTTTAATTCTGATGCATGAGTTATTGTATGTAATGTATTTCTTTTCTTCCATTTACCATCTGATTTATTTTTTCTAATTTTTATAACCAAGGTTGCAACTTTCCCAATTATTGGGAATAATGATTGTCCACAACCTAATAAAGGATCAACTACTTCTGAATCATAATTAAAATCATCAAATTCATCAAAAAATGTATATAATTTATCTGATGCATCACTTTTTTCCAGTGGAGATTTTGCTTCTAATCCTTTTTTCTCTTGTTGTAACATCGACGTGATTGTCGCTACTAAATCCACCCCTTTATCATCACAACTTGAATCATTTGTCATTTGAGCTAAAACTTCAAAATAAATCCAAATATTGAACAAAAAATGAATACTTTTTGGAATTACCAATATATCACTTTTATTTAAACAATCATGACGCATTTTTTCATATTCAAATTGATCAATTAAAACCAATTTATTTTTCAATTGTAACATATTAACATCATTAAAATCAATTGGTGAATTTTCATTTCTAATCTTATTACTTCTAATTCTTGCTTGTTCTTCTTTTAATAAAGTTAATATTTTATTTATTATACTTTTTGCACCTTTTAAATGAGCGATACCACTTGAAGTTTGAGTATCCCAACTTTCACAAACTGCTAAATTTAAACAAGTGACTAATCCGATATCAGCTGGAAAATCTCCCTCCCCACCATTTTCCATTTTAGATAATCCACTAGCTAGTTCCAATATACATCTTTTCATATAAGTATAACCTCTTGATTTGAGCTCCTCTGTTGATGAAACAACTCCATTTGAACCAGCCAAATGAAATAAAGTCATGGATGCTATTGAATTATATAAACAATTATATCTTGGTACTAAAGGTAGTATCATATTTCTCCATGGGTTTTCATGAATGCCATTTTTTATAGACATTAACCCCGATGTATATTCTGAATAGAGAAATAAAATTTGTTCTTGTTCTGCTGATTTAGCTAATGCTTTATTATTGTCAAAATGGGGTGATGGTGCAGTTGATATTTCGAAATGAGCCGGTTTATTACTTAAATTTAATGGAGATAAAGTTTCCACAGATGGTATATCAACATCTTCTGAATTAAATGCAAAATTTAAAATGGCTGATAATGAAGGAGATAAATTGATTTCAAATTCTCGATCTTTAGTTAGATGCTTCTTAACTAGTGGTTGGTTTGGATTTATAATGTTATCAAAATTAGGTAAAAATACTGTTTCTTTTGGAGTTTCCAGTTTTTCAATTTCCACTATTGCTGCATCTGCTAAGGAATTTAAATCATTATTTTTGAAAGCTTGTATATCACATCCAACCGTCAGGTCCGAATAAGATCTACTTAACACAGAAGTAGTTGGTGATTGTTGTGGAGGTGGTATGATTGCATGACTATATCTACGTTGAGGTTGTGGTTGAATTTGAGGAGTCGTCTGAGTTAAAGCTTCTGGTTGTAGCTGTTGTGATACGTTAATTGATTTTGTTTCTGGTAATACAGTTGTTGTTGAATTTGGATTAAACCCTTTAGAAATTAATTCAGTTTCTTTTGCAATTTCTTCAATTGATCTACCAGTAACCGAAAAACTTGCTAATTCCAAATGTTTTTGTAAAGATTTATCGTTTATGCGAGGTTTATCATCATTAAACAGTTTCCATTTAAAATTTGTTGCATAACCTCCACATTCAATATTTTTTTTATTACAATTTAAACAAGTTGGTTTTGTTTCATCACATTTCAATCTCTTCTTTTTACATGTTAAACAACCATTTCTTGATTTAGTTCTTGATTTCAATCCATTAACTAGAACTTTTTTATTTGTTGAATCTAATTTAGGTTTTGTTGATGGTTTTTTAATACCTGTAATAGTTGTTGTTGAACTAGTTATCCCTGTTGTAGTATTTGATCGTACACTGGATACTGAAGTCATATATGGTATTAATTTTGATTTCTTATGTTGTAATTGATATATACTACTAAACTTGAATATTTTAATGAATTAAATGTAAATTCATAACTGTAAAAGTATAATTAAAGCGGAGTAAAAATGATATAAATTTATAAAATAATTTATTATAAATCATTAAAACTAATCTTTTAAAGTATAATCAAGCATTATCATAATAAAAGTTTTTAGGAATCAATTAATATATTATTTAAATTCAAATAATCTCGTTATATTTGATTTTTCTTTTTTTTCTATGTAAATTAATTTTGTGTATGTTAGATAAGAGAATTTTTAATCTCTTTCGTATTTGGTTACTTAATTTGGTAATAAATTCCATGTTTCAAAATACAGTTTATATATACGTTTCAAATTCAATAATATAAAGATTATCAACTTTATTTTAAAGTTTTAACATCAATTGTACCCTGAGCAAGGAAGACAATATTTACATATTGATAATCGCATGAGAATTAATTATACAAAGTTTTATACTTTTATCTATTAAATTACCTACTTTTTTTTTTGTATTATATAACTCCCAAAAAACAAAAATTAAAATTAATCAAAAGTAAAACAATCAACGCCTAATTTAAATCTATACATGCAATTTGAGCTATTTATAAACTCATCTTCAATTTCACCAATCTTATCGGAACTTTTAGTAAGATATCTTATCCATGGAAAACAAGAATATTCTAATTGTTCTTCTTTAATCGACAAATATGATAATTTTAAACCTGAATATGTAAACATTGGAATTTTAAAAGTTAAAACTATATCATCACTTTTAAATGTTTGTTTAATTTTTTTTAACATTTGTTTATTTGATGTTGAAGTTTTATTTCCATTAACTCCATAAAAATCATTTAATTCATTTAAGGTATCATTATTTTCAATTTCATTCATATCCTCTTCATCATTAATATCTCTTTGAGATAAATTTTTTTTACTTACTTTTCTCAAAATATAATTCGAAATTTTCTCAATACATATTTCATTGATATCTAATAAAGATAACTCACACATCATTCTAACAGTTTTTTTACCATCAATAGTTTCTATTTTCCAAATAATTTCCATACTATCAAATTTAAAAGAAACTTCACCATTTTCTGTCTTATATTTTAAATTTGTATCTGATAAATTTATATTAAAATAAAATGGATTAATTGGAATTCTAATAATTAAACTTCTACAATGTCTTCTTCTTGGGAAATTTGTATTTAATGTGCACAAAATTTGTAATCTTCCGTTAATTTTATCAATTTTAAATACTGGTTTGACTAGTAACAATGGTAATTTCTTTTTATTCTTATGTTGTTCAACATGATATGTCATTAGTATAAATTTATCATCCGGTGGTATAAATGTAACAATATTTTCTCTATAAATTTTGGATAATTCAATACATTGGTGGAATTGAATATTTCTAATTGGTATTTTATGACGAGGTTTATTTGTGAGTAATGAATTTTGCAGTGATGATTGCAGTATTGCATCATCTAGATCATCTTCATCTAATAAGTTATCATTATCGATTATTTGATTTTCTGGCAATTCGTCTTGTTCTTCTTCAACTCTTGTTGCTTCAATAACATCTTCATTTTCAATAGTTGACATATAATTTTCATTAAATCCAACTCTGCAGATGGGTATTCCCGATAAATAAGATTTTACTACACAAGTTCCATAAATTTCATTTCTTTTTATAGTTGATGTTTGTAAATCAAAAATAAATTCACAATCTTCAATTATATCAATAAAAATTTCATTTTTGGCATAAAAAATACCTTTTGGTCTCCAATTTATAGCTGATGAATATGTACGTAAAATGGAACTATTCACAACACCTGTTTGGTTTTTTAAAACATCTGTTTTTACTGCTTGATTATGAGTTGATTTTATATCTTCAGTAGCTTTATTCTTTTTATTTTTATTTTTAGTTTTCTTTTTTTCATCAGGATCTTCTTCTTCGTCACTTTCATTTGAATCATCACTAATATTCCCATTTTCTTGATCATATTTGGGTAAATTTGGTTCTACTTTTATATATTCCTCGAGTAATTTATAATCAGTAATTTGTAAGATTCCGAAATCTAAACATTCATCTATTAATTCTGATATTAATATTGAATTATCTTGTATTACTTCTTTTGTTAGATTTTTTTGCTTTTGATGATGTAGTATTTTTTGTCTTGTTTTACATAAATAATGTAGTAGTATTAAATGGAAATTTTTTAAAAACATAATGACCAGCATTACATTTATATTCTTGTTTGTTACAGCTAATATGACTATATCATTTTCACATCGTATAAAGATATATGATAATTTTTCATTCTCTAGTACTGGAACTAATTGATCTGATGATAAATTTATGATTTGTTTATAAAATGAGTTTAGTATAATTGAATCTTCAGGTATATGATCTTCGTGAAATCTTCTACTTATTAAACATTGAAAATTTGTAGAATCTAAAATATTAAAATCATTGTTATTATTATTATTATTAATTGGAATATGTAATACATATAAAGCTGAAACCATAATCTTTTCTCCAAATAGTTTGAATCATGGAGACTCTTTTAATTATACTGTATTTGTTGTAATGTTTAGAATATATTTGTTGAAAAATGTGTAAAAATTGATCTAATTATGTTTTTGATTCACGTAAATTTAAATTTTGAATCATAGACATAATTTTTTCTTGTCGATGTTTTAAAAGATTCTACTTCTACTAAATAATATTTTGTGTTACGGCTCACTCTAAAATGTTATAATATTCAATTTGAATATGTCAAGGAAATTACCTTCAATTTTACATGAAGAATCAATTCGTCAAGGTCTAAAGTCAATTAACTCATTAGGACAGCCCAATTGGTCTCTTAGGATAGTAGATGAATTAGGTCCACCTTCACATGTTTTAGAAGTTCATTATAAATTAAAGAATTTTAAAAAAACTTGGGAATTTTTAAATTTAATTGCAAAACAATCTGATTTAAAAAAGCATCATCCTACTATTATTACAACTTATAATAAAATAGATATTGAATTAACTACTCATGATGTTGGTAATAATATAACTGATGAAGATTTAAATTTAGCTGAATCAATACATAAAGAATATTATAATCTAATATCACAAAAACCAAACCAATAAGATATGATTTGCAACTTTCTACAACTCAAAATGTACATAATACAAACTAATTATTATTAACTTTTATATTTAAATGATTCATTCTACATAATCTATTGTTTTCACAGCTCGACAATATTTATCTTCAACTTCAATTGCTTCATAAGTACCTTCAAGACTTGCTAATACAACATATTCAAAATCCCATATATTGTTTATAGTTTCCTTTTCTAATAATTTACGTACTTTTTTATGACCTTGTTTTATATCAATAGTTCTAATATATGTTAAACTAAACGGTGGATCACCTAAAAACGTAAATACTAATTCTGTTTGATCACCTTCATGTAAATCTTCAATTAAATAATCACCTTTATTTATTTCAACACTTGGTAAATTATGGACTTGTAATTGTAAAGATTTCGATTTATCGGAATTTTTAGTAAAATTAACTAAACATTGATTTTCTCCGGAATCTTTTAATGCGTTGATGTTTAATATACCTGGTTTTGAAGCTAATCTTTCAAAATGATTATACAGTTCTGCTTTTCTATTAATATTATTGTATTCATAAAATATTGTTATTGGTGGTACACCTGACAAATTATATGCAACGTGATCTCCAACACAATAATGATTTTTTTGAGGCAAAGCCTTAAAAATGTTTGGTGGCTCGGTTATTGATAAGACATAATTGATTTGATTAGTCGTATTCAAAGTTTTAGTACATCCATTCGCATCTGAGACTTTGTCAATTTTAATTGAATAGTCACCTAATGAAAAAAACTTCATACTGTTCAATGGTAAAAATGGTTCATAAATATTTTTGAAACTAAGTGGAATTGATTTACCAGTTTCTTCATTCTTGATGGTAACTTCGATATCAAATGGATAGGAGCCTGATAACTTTATAGGGATTTTAACCAACAAATCATCATTATTTATTTTATTTTCACAAGTTTGTGAAAAATGTTTTCCCGATATGAACTGGGCAGAAGGTAATTGATTTACTTCATAAATAACAGTTGGAGTATTTGCCATAACTGATTTCCCACTATGTTTAGTATATCTTGCATCAAAAATTCTTTTGAATTTATGTTCATATTGACCATTTTCTCTACTAGGTAATTTAATCTTTATCTCATGATTTTCTATAGTCATTGTATGAGCTTCAATTTTACCATTGGGCAATTTAATTTCATAATCTACTAAAAATGGAGCTGCACCTTTTAATACTAAATTTAATTCATTAACTTGACCATTGCAAACAGATTTTAGATGAATTGTAGAATCGTCCTTGTGTTGTAAATATTCATCAGCGGAGGATATAGACAATGATGGTTTTTCAAAATAAGTTATTGTAATTTTATGATCTTTATTCATTATTTTACCTTTACATCCATCATTTTCGAAAGAATCTAAAGCATATATTCCTTCTTCATGTAATCTAATAGATGATCCTCTTAATTCAGCTCTTTGGGATTTCATTTCTTCCCCATTTAAGTTCCAGCGTTTCAAATAGATAACATCATTTGACTTCGGTCCAATTGAAGATTTATAACTTAATGGGATATCAACATATCCTCCATCAATTATTTGCTTTTTGCCTTGTTGTAATTCAATCTCAGGAATATCTGGTCTACTAATCACTTTAACAGCTTTATCCTGATTCATTATTTTAGCATTACAACCAAACTTATCTTTTGCATTGCTTAGTTTTAATTCGTAGTTTTTTCCAATCAATGATTTTGGAGTTTCAATAAAATAACTAGTGACATTCTTTTCATGTATTGTGGATACCAACTTTTTCTTGTTATGAGGATCAATAAAGTCATAATCAAATGAAAATGGACCGTTACCTTTGAAGTGCATTGGTATTTTAGCCGTTTCTCCATAGCAAGTATATATGACTGGACTATGAGATTTTAGTGAAATTTCTGAGGCTTGTCTGAAATATGTTTCATATCTATACTTGGACTCATCTAATGGAAAACCTTTTTCAAAATAATTACTATCTTTTAAGTTACTAAATACTATAGTATAACTACCCTCACTTGGTGGTTGAAATTTGAAGGAATGTGAGGCTTGACGAGAAATAAGTTCACGATTTATTTTACCAGAGTCTGTGTGAACATGTCTTAATTTACCAGACTTATTTGAGTAAATTTGGTATTGAACTTTGAATGGACTTTCACCAGTGAAATTGAAATCAAATTTATAACCCACAACACCTAAACATCTATCACTTTCTGGTTGTGCGACAATATTTAATTGTGGAGTGTCTGCTAAAATTACATTCAATGGCTTTGAATCTGCTATTTTACATGGACAAAATTTATTTTCTGCAGTAATTAATTCATATAAACCTGGTTCTGCAACTCTAATTCCTTCTTTAAGCTGTTTTCTATCTTCAAATACTTTGGTGAGATTGTTTCCATCATGAGATAATGTAACTTCAACTGGAAAATCTTCCTCTTGGAATTGTTCAGAATTTGAAATATGCAATGTCTTGGTTCCATCGATCAACAACTTTTTATCCTTGTGATAGTCTATTAATGTGACAGTTGGAGAATTTTTCAACTTTAACTTGAACCATACATCTTTATCTTTTGAAAGTGGTTGATATCTATGTAAATTACCAAAGGAGTCTTGAATTGATATTAGTTGAAATTCCAATATTGAATCCGAATTAACTTTTAAATCTTGAATATTTGAAATAATGGATTGTTCTAATGAATTTCGAAGTAATTTAACTGGTTTTAAATAACTATAATCAGATGTCCGCAATTTAATACTATTATCAATTTCTTGCTGTATGGTAATGTTTAAGGATTTGAATTGTCTTCCATCCAACTTTATATCAACATTTACAAACTCTGGAGTTGGACCATACGCTTCTAACCATGGGACTGGGAATGAGTCTTGTTCGAGATTGCTTAGGCATTTGTAATTCTTATCAAAATTGAAATGTGGTGGATAGAAAAATTTGGCCAGTGGACAATTCGATATTATAAACTCTGACTTATACGATCTTATGCTGTTACCTTTCTTGTCGAAAATGTTCTTTAATTTGTACATTCCTGGCTCTCTAATTGGGTACTCCAAATAAAACACCTTTCCGTAATCGCTGTTTTTGTTTTTTAATTTGTCTAAATGTGAGTAATCTTTTTTAAATAACTTATTTAATGAATGACCGGTATAATTATGCAATATTACTTCATTATGAGGAGTAATTTGTTGAACTTGTAGGAAACCAATACCTGAAGTTGTATTAAACTCAATTGGCATTTCCAAATTGTAGTTATTTGATAATCCCAAGCAAGTTTGATCAAAGTGAAATGGGTTCATTTTAGCTGAAGAATCTGGTAAATAATGAATTGTTAATTTTCCTTTAAAATGTGATTCCATATCAATTACTTTTGACCTAGAGATTGATTCTCCAATTATATTTAATTCTTTCTTTTGTAGTATGAACTTCCATATAGGTAGTAAGAAATTAGATAATAGTGGTAATGCATATGAACTAACTAAAAAAATCGAAATGAAGTTTAATATCAATGTAAAGAATAATGTTTTTGATGGTGAAAAAGTAAGATATTGAATATGTAAAATTGGTAAAATCCATAAAAATAGTCCATCAATTAATGCAAATTTTAAAACAAATGTAAAATTAGTTAAGTTAGTTAGTGGTATATTTGAATCTGTAAGTTCTGACTTTAGTAGTACAAGATCATATATTTTATAACTCTGTATTAAAATGAATAATGAAACAATAAATATTCTTTGTGATGCTTGATCTAGTATACTACTCGGTATCAAAGGTTGTGTCTTTCTTCCACGCTTTTGCGTCCTTCTTTCCCATCTTCTTTCATCTGGCTGTTCCATAAGGACAGAAATTGGTTGTTGTGAATTGGGGGTTTTAATGATATTTTTACGTTTTTATTTTTTGCAGATGTAAACAAACTAAAAAAATTATACAGATCTGTTAGTTCGCATTTTTTTTGTTGCAAAATATCTTCTACCATATATGATTTAAGAGTTGCAAATTAAAGCGGATCAACTTAGAGAAGTAAGAAGATTTTTTAACAATGCTATTTGTATTTCGTAAATCTATAAATTAACCCATTTTCCGTGTTGTTTTTCTTGAATGACTTTAATTGCAGGTAAATCCCATCCAACACCAGCAGTACCAATAGCAGCACCAAATCTGGGAACAACATAACATTCTCTTTTAGTTGGAGTTAAATTTTTAGGTGCATAAGGATGACCTAAAGGTTTTGAGTATGTTAACAACATAGAATTTTTAGCAATATGAGCTAATTGTTTGCCAGATATATCAACTAATGGTATCATTCTAATTTTAGGTTGTTCTTCTTGATCCTCTGGTTGTTTGGATCTTGTACTTAATGATTGATAAACAATATATGGTCCTGGAATATTACCAGTTTTTGTCATTATTGAATTTGCATGAATATAAACAAATTGTCCGTGATCAATTGGCATTACTGGACAATATGGAATTTTGACAATGCTAGACTTGTTTTGAATTTTGACATCAGATGCTACAAGATCTGCTCTTATTGCTACTTGATCAATAAAACCAGATGCAACCATTTGTTTCAAGGCAGATACTTGTTTCTTTGAAGGAACTGCTAGTTTATCAACTTGATCAAATGAGCCACCGACAGTTGAGATTAAACATCTTTCAACTATATAACTTATCTGTTTCCTTAATTTTTGTATTTCATCAACAACCTTCTGTCTTAAATAGTGAGTGGATATAAAGTTTTTAACCTGCTCTTTTTGTATATGATCCAAAGCGCAAACAGCTGATAGCAACATCATACACTCACTTGAAGAATCTAACTTGGAAAAAATGGCTTTTGATTTATAATATTTGTTCCTGAAATCTTTTCTGTCTTCCTCAGGCATATTACCAATCATCTCATTCTCCGAAATGAAAGGATCACCGACTGATAATGCTGAGACTATAGCTATAATGTAGTGAAGACATTCTTGTTGATTTCCAATAATTAATATTTTTGCAAATCTTGGACTTAATGGGAACAATGACATTTTTTTTCCTAAATCTGTTACTTGACGGTTTTCACTATCAAGAGCACCTAAAACCACAAGCAATTCTTCAGCTTGTTTTAACGCGGTCCTATCTGGAGGAGTTGGAAATGGGAAGTTCACAATTTGATCTATACCCATACTCTTCATACTCAAGACAATGCTTTCAAAAGGTGTACGGAGAATTTCTGGTAGACTGAATTGTGGGAAAAATTCTTCATAAACAGCAGATGAATAAAGTCTATAACAATGACCAGCACTTGTTCTACCTGCTCTACCTGCTCTTTGATCAGCTGATGCTTTTGAGATCCAATCAATTTCAAATGAAGTTATTCCATTCTCTTTATTATATTTTCTTTCTTTAGCTCTTCCACAATCAATTACGTATCTTATTCCTGGGATAGTTAAAGATGTTTCTGCCACATTAGTGGATACAATACATAATCTACTTCCCTTCGGTGGTTCTTCAAATACTTTCATTTGTTGATTTGTAGGTAAAAGTGAATACAAAGGTAAAACATGCAAAGGACCAATTTCTGTATTTTCAATTGCTTCTTCAAATCCTTCCTCTTCTTGATCAGATGTTGCATCATCATAATCATCATAATTTTCAGCTTCATTTAAAGTGATACTAAATTCTATATCTTCCAGTTCTTGCTGAACATTATTAGATAATTTAACTTCATCTATAATTTCATCTTCATGAACTTGTCTCTTACTTGGAAATTCTTCTTTGAGTCTTTTAACTAAATGCGTTATTTCAAATTGACCAGTCATAAATATTAAAATTCCACCAGGAGGTAGTTTTTTGTGAATTTTACATGCTTTATTAAATGCCTCTTCTTGATAATCAAATTCTGTCTTTTTATTAAAATGAACTGAAACAGGATATTGTCTAGCTTGTACATTAATGATGGGAGGTTTAATTTTAAACAATGATGAATTTTCAGAAAAATCACTAACACGTAAAGTAGCTGACATAATTATAACTTTTAATGGTTTATATTTTTCAGGATTTTCATTATGGTATTTTCTTCTCAACTTCATTACTCTGGTTAACATACCTATTAATATATCCGTGATGATATTTCTTTCATGAGCTTCATCAATAATTAGAGCAGAATATTTAGTTAATAAGAAATCAGTCATCATTTCTCTTAATAAAACACCATCAGTCATAAACTTCATAGCTGTACCGTTTTCTGTACCTTCATCTTTTATAGTTGTATCAAATCTAATTTGGTAACCTACTCTATGTTTATGATTTCCTAATTCGTTACCAACTCTTTCTGACATTGAAACTGCTGCAACTCTTCTTGGTTGAGTTATTCCAATCATTCCAGGATATAATTTATTATTTTTATTACCAAACCCAGCTTCATATAAAAATTGAGGTACTTGAGTTGTTTTACCAGAACCAGTTTCACCACACAATATTACACAATCATGATGATAAATTGCTTCCATTATCTTATGTTCTTCTGCAAAAACTGGTAATTCAAGTCTTTGTTTTTGTATTTCGTCTGATCTTTCAATATTAACTACAAATGCTTCTCTCAGTAGGTCCTTGTTGATTGGTATATAGCCCTCTTCATCGGAACTATGATCTATATCTTCTTCGTGAATGGTTGGTTTTGAATATTTTTGTTTGGTTTCTTCTGAAACTTCAGCAACGAGTGGAATATTTTCTCTATCTTCACTCTTTTTTAGCTGTTGCTCTGCCCATTCTTTAAATGAAGTTGCTATTTTTGAATGACGTGGTTTTAGCATCATGAATCTCGAGGCTTCTTCTTCATCTTCCTCCTCCCCGTCTTCTTCACTCTCATCTTCGTTATCTTCGTCTTCCTCGCTATCATTATCTTCGCTCCCTTCATTGTCACCATTTTCATCACTTTCATCACCAATCTCACCATTTTGGCTTAACTCGTCTTCCATCTCGCTTTCTTCTTCTGAATCGTCATCTTCTACTCCATTGAGCTCTTCCATTTGTTGCTTATCTTCTTCCACATCACTATCTGACGCAAAATCATCCTCTTCTTCTAGCTTCAACTTCTTTTTTTCTTCATCTTCAACTCTTTTTCTCCAACTATATTTCTTTTTTGATGCAGACTCGTCTTTTTTTATTACAGGTATATTATTAAAACCAAATCCAAATCCAGAACCACCAAACTTTGAGGGTCTATTATCCACAAACGATGACTTGACTTCATTCACATTTTCTTGAGCCAGATTCTCTTCATCAAAATCTTTGACATCTCTTTCTTCATATAAAACTCCCTTTGTATATTCATCACCTCTTCCCTGTTGTTCTAGATCCAAAGCTTCAATCATTTGTTCTTTCCTTGTTTGTTTACCTTTTCCCAATTCTTTTAATGCACTTAGTTTTGAAGTATCCATTTTTGTCTCCGCTAGTTTCTCTAGTAATGTTTTCCTTTCTTCACGCTTTAGTTGATGCTCTATATATTTATCTAATCTTTTCTTTTTTGATTTCGATAGTTTTTCACTTTTAGCATTTTGAGTATAAAGGTTTTCTTCTAGAGCTCTTTTTCTCGCTAGTCTTTCTTCTTCTGATACTGGAGCTAGTATTTCTGCATTTGAGTCTTGGTCATTGAGATTTGTAATATCATATTGTGGGTTTGTATCTTCTGTATCTGATCCTATTTCTTCTGGTTGTGTATGAAATTGTTTATTTCTTGCTTTCTTTAAAGCTGCTTGTTTAGCAAGCATACCGGTTCTCGCCTTCTCGTTGAACCTTTTCCTATATTTCCCCATCTTCGGGTGTTCTTTTTAAGTTCTTTGTTGTATATAATATAATCTTAAATGTATAGATTAACTGTAAAAATATAATTTCTATGAGAAGAGAGAATTTGAAACATTTAAATTTATTTAATTTTGCAACTTCTTTTTATCACTGATATAAGTAGATTTTACATTGTAACCTTGATTTGATTTTCAAGATAAGAAATAACAATACTAAGCTTATTTCTTATTGAATTACTTGAATAAATTAGAAATCCCCAATATTGATTCAGTGATGATCATCTTGATAGATTTTGGTAGCTCACTACAATAATCCTGATCTATGATATGTTTCAAGACAGGTCAAACGTGAAAACGGACTTTAATATTTTCAAAAATAAGTAACTGATAGTTTGATTGTACTTCTTCTCAAACTAGTAAATAGATATCAATCATTCATAGCTAATATAAATTTGCTAACAAAGTTTACTTTGTAATGGTATGCTTGGTCGTGTTAGTTTTACAAACTTCTCCATAAAATTAATACAAGAAAGTTCATAACCAAATAGTTAAATATATTTTGTAATACTCCGACTTCTTTAACAACTTAATCTGGTATTCAATTAACAATCATGACACAACCAGATATTTATAAACATTGTATGTTTAATTTTTTGTTTAGTTTATGAGTGTAAGGTTTTCAATTACTAACATTTTGCAGTAATATTTTGTACTTTAACAATAAATTCATCTACTTTATACACTTATGAAAATCATCAATTGACGTCAACATTACCTAGAATGAATTGCTCAGAAATTATATCACAAGAATTGGGACTAATTAATTCATCCAAAACGCTTGTTGGATCCATTCCAGTATCAATGAGCTCTTCATTGAAATTATCATTATATTTTATGAAGAAATATCTTAATTTAGATGGAAGTAGAGATTTAATTACAGTAGTTGTTATTGCACATGTTGGAGTAAATAGAACTTTTATATTAATGATTTTGAAAAATATAATGGATAAATATATTGATTTTAAATCAAGACAAGATGATAAAAATGATCAAGCATCAAAAGCTAAACCTGGAGAATTTAAATTATTAATGAATCAAATTATAAAATATGAAGAAATGAATTTTGATCTGAATCAACAAAATTATAATTACGGGTCAACAAATGATCAAAACGATACAAATACTAGTCAAATAAATCCAAACCAATTAATATTAGCAAATGAAGAAGTTGGAGAAGTAAGACAATTAATGTTGGAAAATATTAATAAATTATTAAATAGAGGTGACAAGATAAATTCTTTAGTGGATCAAACTGATAGATTAAATACTTCGTCACTGTTGTTTCAGAAAAAGGCTCAACAAATTAAAAGAAGAATGTGGTTTCATAAAGCAAAATTTATTGTTTCAATTGTTGTTGGTATACTACTAATAATTCTTTATATATTTTTCAGTCTATATAGATAATAAAATATAAAGCTAAAGGTTTTCCTAGTAATCATCTTCATCATCATCAAGTTCTTCTTCATCTTCTTCTATTTGTGTTCCTTCTAATTCCTCCTCATCTTTACCTAATTCTGAGATTGGATTACCAAAAGCTTCTTCGTCGTCGTCATCATCACCTTCGTCCTCTTCATCTTCTTCTTCTTCATTAATATTATTGTCATCATCAGCATCAGCATCTTCCGTTATTTCAGCAGTTTCTTCTTCTTCTTCTTCGTCTGTTTCTTCATTAAGTATATTTACTGCATTTCCATCTTCTGTTTTTGATTTTTTCGGTATTACTCCTTCAATATTGTTATTATTATTTTCAACTCTATCTTCCAATTTCTTTTGCTTTTTTGCACTTATTGAACTTTCATATATTGCTAATTTATCTTTAATTTCAGGTACAAATCCTCCAAATTCTGCTCTTTCTAATGCAAATAACATATCTTGAGCAGTTATAGTTTTTCTACCAGTTGATTTTGAAATTTGTTTGGCATGAAATAACATATAACTTACAAATACTGAAGCTGATCTTTGTAATGCTAATAATGAATCTTTTGCCATTGTCATATTATTTGAATTTTCTTCATCTGATATTATTGATTTTGCTAATTTTTGTAAAGTTGATCTGGGGAATAAAATATCATCTATAGATACTGGATCTACATCTCTTGGCGGTTGTTGACTTGGATCAGCATTCTTCTTCCAACCTTTTGGTGGCATTTTTGATAAATATATAATGTAATTGATAAGAGGCTAATGAAGTTGTTATAATACTTGATCTTATATGAACTAGATTCAAATCGCGTATTAATTTATTATTTTTTGCAAGTTCTGTGTAATCAATTTTTATAAACATCAAAAATTTATATTTCCATTGATCTACTATCAATAAATAAATCAATTTTATCATTTCATATCAGCTTTCATGATTTTGAATGCTGTTAATAACTACTAATACCACCACCAAGGAACCAAATACAAAAGTTGCTTCTTATTATGGTCAATCACTTAAACCAAATATAGGTAAATTAACGTTTGGAAATTATGAATTTAAACCATGGTTTGGAAATCCTGCTTATTTTTATCCAACTGAAGGTAAGTATGATATGTTAGGTTATAATTATTCGAATATGGTTACTATGGATCCAAATAAGAGAACAAGACTGAAAAACTACAATAAAAATGATTGTTATGTGGATCATTTATATATTTGTGAATATTGTTTTAAATATAGTATTGAGGAGAATGAAATAATACAACATTGGTCAAAATGTAAATATAATACTGATAAACCAAATATTGGGAGATTAGTTTATCATGATGAAAAAAAAAGAATTATGATTAGAGAAATTCAAGGTTATAAAGATCTTTTATTTTCTCAAAATCTTTCACTATTTGGTAAATTATTCTTGGATGATAAAAGTGTATATTATAACTTAGATCATTTTAATTTTTATATTTATTATGGAATAGATGGAAGAACTTCAAATTATATACCAATGGGGTTTTTCTCAAAAGAAATGATTGCATATGATTTAACAACAAATTTAGCATGTATTTGTGTATTTCCTCCATTTCAAAATAGACATATCGGTTCATTATTAATTGAGTTCCTGTATGAATTAGCTAATAAATCACAATTTTGCAGTGGACCTGAAATCCCATTATCACCATATGGTAGAATTGTATACCTAAAGTATTGGTCTAAGAAATTAGCATCAATAATATGGGAAGAACAAAGAAATGGGAAATTAAATTTTAGTCTTGATAAATTATCTCAGATATCAAGTTTTAGAAAAGAAGATATTTTATATACTTTAGAACACATGAATGTTTTGGTTACTACTTCAAATGATGAAATAATATTATCAGGTAACATTTTCAATAAATGGCTAAAAGATAATAATGCAAATACAAATAAAAATCTACTAGACACGAAATCGATTCGTTTGTAATATTAAATAAAAGATATAATGACTTAATGTAAATATAATAAAATAAATAAAAGAATTAAATAAAGCCCATATAGTAAGTGTCTCTAACGTAATTGCAGAAATGCTCCTAGCAATACTGAAGATGGCGATTCATTATTTTTATTTTTTTCAAAAACATTCCAAAATCTTAATGTTTCATCACCAGCACCAGTAACTATGGTTTCACCATCTGGTGATAATGATAAATATAAAACTCTATATGTATGGCCAGTTAATTGAGCAATTTGTTGCATTGAAGGATATCTCCATACTATTATTTGATTTCTTGAATAACCATGAGTTGATACTATTTCATTTGAATTTTTTGACCAAATTAAATTACAAACTTGAGATCCAGTGTTGACGTCATGAATCATATTTCCAGTTAATGTATTCCAAGTTTTTATGGTTTTGTCAGCAGTACCACCTCCCGATGCTAATATACCTCTTTGATGAGGTGACCAAGCTATTGCTTTAACTGCTGCTGTATGATCTGTGAATTGATATAATGGTTTAGTATTTAATCCGTCCCAAACAAATAAGTTGTTATCGTTCCCACCACTTGCTAATTTATTCTCTTCAATGTTCCACTTTAAACCACATATTTCTTGTTTATGACTTTCCAACTTATTTATATAATGATCTTCAATTCTAACATCACGGTTTAAAATAGTTCGATCTCTTGATCCACTTGATAAAATATGTTCATTCCATGCTAATGAACTTACTCTTAATGAATGACCAGTCATTGTTCTTATACATTTAATTTTTGTCGCATCCCATATTTCAACTAAACCTTTTGATGTCCCAATAGCTAAATGAGTACCAGTGCCTATCCAATTGAGACTTGTTACTTTATCTTTGTTTGTTAAATTACATAATCTGTCAACAGATTGAGTTGATCCATCCCATAAATATACACTATCTCCTAATCCAACTGCTAAAACATCTTGTTGACCCCAATCTACTAAATTTAAATAAAAATCATCTGATAATTCAGGTGCATCAAGTACACGATATGGAACTTTTGCTATATTTCTAGGTTTCTTTTGTGGTGACAATAGTAGTTTTTGTGATTCTTGCCTTACTGGTGATAATGAATATAATTCTTGTTGTAAATCTCTAGATATAGGTCGTGATTTTTTAGGTGATTGATATGTAAATAAATTGGTTTTACGTCTTGGTGTTGAAGTGACATCATCTGAATCATATGTTGATATAGAATTATTTGACCCAGCTTGTTGAGTTGATGAAGTTGTTGAATATAACGAATTTGGAATTGAGTTAGATGTTCTTGGTGGAGTTCCAGTTAATGCACTTGAACTACTACTCGGTCGCAGATTTGTTGTTTTGATTCTATTACTCAAATTATTATTCGTTGATGTAGATAAATTTGCAGTTGCCATTGGTACATTATCTCCAAATAATTCTGCTTTTAAAACTGTGGAAAAGGTTCGATTTGCTTCTTCTTCTCTTCGTATTTCAATCTCATTATCTGCATTCCTATTACTCCTTAGATCCGGTAGTATTTCTTCATTTGTTAAACTGAAAGCTGCTTGTAAATCAACTCCTGTTCTATTTGGAATATATCGATCACTAAATATTGTATTATTAGCTCGTTTTCTTGGAGGTGAAGATGATGTAATAGGTAGTTGTGTTTCGTTTAATTTTGGTGGATCATGTATTCTAGTTGATCTTGACGGTGATTTAGGTGTTTCAAATGGATGTAGTGAGTTACGTTTTATATGATCGGCGTTATGATTTGAACTCATTATTAATTGCTGGTTAAATTTTGATAAGTATTAGTATTGTGCAAAAATTGCACTATAATTCTTGAAATATAATAATATTTCTTAGTCTTTCTTCTTATTCGGATAATCTCAATTGTGTGAAAATTGTATTAATAGTTGATGGAAATATCTTGATGAATTGCTTTTAAATTAGTTAGTTTAATTAAATATTAAAGGTTATAATATAAATTAATTTTATTTGTTTGTTTTAAATTTATTTTTCTATCTGGATTAATTAATTAATTTTTAATTTTTATAGTGATAATTTTGGTAGCAACTTCGGTCAGTCTGTTTAAATCAAAGAGATTATAATTGATAAATCAAAAGAAAAAGATAATACAATTAACTAAATTGAAACTAAGAATTAAATGATTAATCTTACTTATATACAATTAGCAATTTTCAAATAGTGAAATCAGAAATCATGCATAGAGTTTTTAGGGAGATCAAGCTGAAATGATTAAAATCATGATTCGTTTCGAAGATTATGATAGAGAGTTTTCAAATTTGCCTTATTTTCAACTAGTTACTGATGTTATTGTTAAATCTAAATTGCTCCAATTTCAGAATCTCAATCATTTCAATGGATTAAACAGCTCGATTACATTACTACGTGTGGAATGTGTCAAGTCAATAATATGAAACAAAGGATAATCAAAGTTTATTGTTTTCATTAAGAACTTCAAATGACGTTTGAAACATTTGAAAATATTATTGTGAAGGCAATCTTGTATTTTATTGTTTCTATTGTTTCATTAAGCTTAATTTATAATTTATTGGCAATGGAAATGTAAATTAATTTATTTAGTGCCGCTTACATTAATTGTCACGAACTAATTAGGTAATTTTTTATATAATATTTGCAACAATTGTTTTTTTGCAACAATTAAAATTAAAACTATTAATTTTTAACAATTTGGAAAATATGAAACAATTTCTAATGGAAATTTCTATTTTAAGAAAATGAAAAGTTTTATAAATATCAATATAACTCCTCATCTTTCCAAATTCTTTGTGCCTTTTCTGCAACTCATCTATTTTAAATGTTACAACTTATCAAAATGTTTTTTGGTCTCATTATCATTTTTTTATCTCAACTTATCAATGCTTGGCCACATCCACGTCAATCCTTGCCTGAATTTGAATTAACCATTGATACACTTTATTATATTCATGGTTTAGAGTTTGGAAGTCCTCCTCAAAAAATTAAATCACAAGTTTTACTTGATACTGGATCATCAGATACACTAGTTTCAACTTTTGCATTTAACCCTCAAAAATCTAAAACATTCAAAAATTCTTCATTAGTTTTTAATGGTGTTTATGGCTCAATACTGGAATTTGCTTTATATAAAGCATTTGATGTCATTACTGCTCCAAATGGAGTGAAGACTAATCAAACTTTAGCTATTACAAATGTAAATCCAAATTTACTTAATGATCATAATGTTATTGTTGGTATGGGTTATGACACTACACAATTTATTAGACCAAATTATCCAAATTTTATAAGTTCATTTAAAGATCAAAATAAAATTAAAAGAACTTTATTTTCTATAAATGGTCAAGTTGATGGAGGTTCAGTTTTGTTTGGTGGTGTTTACACTGATATTTATGAAGATGTTTTAACTAAGGTTGAATTAATACCAAGATATAAAAATAGAAAATGGTTTCAACCATATTTGACAGTTAGTGGAATTAAATTAAGTGATGGAAGTGTGATTTCTAATCAAACTTGTGCCTGTATCATTGACACTGGAGCTGATTTACTTCCTTTTTCAAAACCTATGTTGGGAAATTTATTTGCAGCTTTAAATGACGCTTCTGGGGATTACTTTTATGTCAATACCACTAACCCAGATGATCCAAATGAAACTCCGTTCTATTACTTTCCATTAGATTCTATAAAAGATCTTAGTATAAAATTAGACGTTCAAGGCTATGAATTAGATTTACCAGTTATAGACGTCATTCATGGCATTAAAATTATTAATGGTAAAGCTTATGGTGGTATAGCTTATCAAGAAGCTGTAATTGATGTTCAAGTAGATGCAATTTTCCTTCCTGCAAAGTTGCTAACACATTATTATTCTGTATGGGATTACGATAATCATTTCATTTATTTTGCTAAATATAAAAATAGAGGTAAAATAGGTTGTAATGGTAGAATTGCTGTTGATTCTGGAGATCAATTACCTGTTGCTACAACTAATGTACCTCATGCATCCACCACTTATTCTGTTGGTTATCAAACTAGTTTAGAAACAACTGTATCTGGAGCTGATTCAATAATTAATAGTCCAAAAACTTATGCTGGTTCCAACAATCAATCATATACCACAGCTTAGATGTTAATGTATTATTATTAATTGTCATTAAGATTTTTAATGTGTTTCATACTATTTACAATTGTCTAGATTATTATTAGTAAAAGTTATTAAAAATGCTATATATTAACTATAAACAGTACTATAGTACAATTACTCCCTAACTCTTACCACAGAAAAATACCCCAAAATGATTCAAGCTTTAAATCAGCTCCATATTTGTACGCTTGCTCATTCTCAATGAAATTTAATTTTCTTCTGTTACCCCAATAGATTAATAAAATCATCAATATGATCTTCTTCATCATCATCATTTTCTATTGATTTGTTCTTTTGGGATTCTTTGTTTAATGATTTATCTTTATTCATATTTTTGTCATTGTATGAACGAACTCCAAAATTATTAAAAGGATTATTTAATTTACTTGATCCTAATTTCTGCAAATAACTTAAATTTTCTTCACCTTTACTATCAACATGATTAATTTTTTCATTGATACTTTTAAATTCTTCGGGACCTTTATTTTGAGATATATTTGGTTCACTTAAATCATGAGGTATTGATTCTTTTGTCATAAACGGATCTTCCAATCTGAATAAATCAGTATCCGACATTGATTCTTTAGTTTCTTGTAATTTGTTGATTCTTGACATCTTTGAATAATAAATTAATCAATTAAACAAAATTTGCTATAGCATGAATGATTTACACTTCTTTACTTTTTATACTAAATTTGACTAATTATTGATTCGTTCCCCTCTGATCTTATCAAACTTTATACTGCATTTCCAATGATCTAACTGTTGTTTCAGATGATCTTTAATAGTCATTAGACGTGTATTAAAGTAAAACCCCTTATCTTTATACATGATTTTGCTTCAATCATTATTGGCAACACAAATTTTACAGTAATTATTCAATCCAACTTTACCAAGACTACCATGAAAAAACTAACAATCTTATTTATTGACTCAAAAAGGAGCTCGATATTATCAGTAACTTATCTTGAGATAATTGAATAAACACAATTCATCGTTACTTCACAATTTAACTCTCATATATAAAAACTTGGGTGATAATATGGTAGCATTTGATAATAAATATAACCAATCAAAAAAAATCAAAATTTAATTATGTTATAGAAAATTAATTTTTTTTTAACTAGTAAAAGTTTGTATAGTGAAAGATATTAGACGATTATTACATTTTCATTTTCAAATATTTGAAACAATCACTTAATTCAGAAGTCATCTCAGTCTCACTAAGTGTTATATATTCTATTATCACTCGTTCATTATTCATACTTTCATAAAAATCTCCAATCTAATTTTTGTCAATACATTTATTGATTAATTTGCATTATTTTTCATTTCATCTAATAACATATCATATCACATCAACAATGTTATCTCGATTTATTACTAAACAATCATTAATTTCACTCACAACTAAAAGATATTCATCTATAATATCTGTACATAGAGAAACAAAAGAAGATAATCAAAATATACCATTTGAATTCAATTCTGAAAATAAGAAAAGAGCTGAAGAAATTATTGCAAAATATCCACCACAATATAAAAAGGGAGCAACTATGCCACTTTTGGATTTAGGTCAACGTCAATTAGGTTTCACATCAATTTCTGTAATGAATTATGTTGCAAAATTATTGGATATGCCACCAATGAGAGTATATGAAGTTGCAACTTTTTATACAATGTATAATAGAAAACCAATGGGTAAATATAATATTCAAGTATGTACAACTACTCCATGTCAATTATGTGGAAGTGATGGTATAATGAAAGCAATTACGGATTATTTAAAAATCAAACCTGGTCAAACTACACCTGATAAATTATTTACATTTCAAGAAGTTGAATGTTTAGGAGCTTGTGTAAATGCTCCAATGTTGGCAATAAATGATGATTATCATGAAGATTTAACTCCGGAAGCAACTGTTGAATTATTAAAACAATTACAAGATGGTAAAGAATTAGATTCAATTGGTCCAGTATTAAATAAAAGAGAATCTTGTGAACCATTTAGTGGACAAAAAGTTTTATTAAGTAAAGAACCAACTGATATAAGGAAATTTACTAGATCGGATTTATAAGTAATGTGTAATAGAACAATATAAGTTATTTAATGCTTGAAAAAGTTTTATTCCCATACGATTTGTTTCTCTTATATTGCTACTCTTTATACTGCTAATTTGTGATCTTTACAATGTATAAAGGAGGAGGATCTACTTTCTATAATGATAGTAATGAGTACCTCAATCCATGAACTGAATAATCAAATCGGAATTTATTTTCCTAGTCATGTGACTGTTGCAATTTGACTCAAATAATTTTTCACTATGGAAAAAAAAGAAATAATATGACAAAAAGAAATCAATCACTATAGTAAGAATAACCTTTAACGCCCTTATCAAAATTAAAAACTTTCATTAGACTACAAACTATCTATTCTTTTCAAACTTTTATATATATACAATAATATTAATAAATCATGGCTCCAAAGAAATCATATAGTCTTGAGACAGAACTAGTGTTGGCAAATTCAGGAGATCAATATAATGCTTCAGTACCACCATTATATCAATCAGCTACTTTTAAACAACCATCATTATCAAATATGGGAGAATACGATTATACAAGATCAGGGAATCCAACAAGAACTCATTTACAAAATCACATAGCAAGAATTATGAAATCTAAATATGCATTTGCAGTTTCATCAGGAATGGGATGTTTAGATGTTATAACAAGATTATTAAAACCTGGAGATGAAGTAATAGCAGGTGATGATTTATATGGTGGTACTCATAGATTATTAACATATTTAAATAAAAAGGGAGATATAGTAGCTAATCATTATGACACAACAAATACAGAATTAATAAAATCAAAAATAACCAAAAAAACAAGAATGATATTTTTAGAATCACCAACAAATCCATTAATAAAAGTAGTAGATGTCAAAACAATAACAGATCATGCACATGAAGTAAATCCAGACTGTATAGTGGTTTTCGATAATACAATGATGTCACCAATATTAATGACTCCATTAGATTTAGGAGTTGATATACAATATGAATCAGCTACAAAATATTTAAATGGTCATCATGATATTATGGCAGGAGTAATAGCAACAAGATCTCAAAAATTATCAGAACAATTATATTATGTAATAAACTCAACTGGTTGTGGTTTATCACCTTTTGATTGTTGGTTATTAAGTAGAGGATTAAAAACTTTAGCAATAAGAGTTGAAAGACAACAAGAAAATTGTATTAAAATTGCAAAATTTTTAGAAAATATTGGTTTCAAAGTAAGATATCCAGGTTTAAAATCACATCCACAATATGAATTACATAATTCAATGTGTTCAGGTTATGGAGCAGTATTATCATTTGAAACTGGTTCAATAAAATTAAGTGAAAAAATTGTAGAAAATACTGATATTTTTGGTATAGCAGTATCATTTGGTTGTGTAAATTCATTAATTTCAATGCCATGTAAAATGTCACATGCTTCAATAGATTCTAAAACAAGAGAAGAAAGAGAATTTCCTGAAGATTTGATTAGATTGTGTATTGGTATTGAAAATTCTGATGATTTGATTGATGATTTAACAAAAGCATTGTTGAAAAGTGGAGCTGTTAAAATTAATGATAAAGATGAATTATTTAATGCTGTTCATATTCAACCAAAATTATAGACAAATTTCACGCAAATAAATATGAGGTAGCTTTTATAGAATGAATCTTACATATAATCAATATATATATATATTCCAAACCCTACTATATAATTTATAATGAATGTAGAAAAATTATATCATAAAATTTATCTATCTTCTGCCCATTCATTTTCTTTTCTTATAGCAGCTTCTTCTTCAGGACTAAAATCATTAACAATATTAAAAGTTCTTCTTAATTCTTCAGGACTTTTACTTTTAATCATTTCAGCAACCATTTTACAACCAGAATCTAATAAAGGTTTAATATTTAAATAATTAGCAGCCAAAATAATTTCATATAACATTTCTTGATCAACTTTTAAATAATTTCTATCCCATTCTTCAACAGGTACTGATTTTTTAGCATCTTCATCTTCATCATCTTGAAAAACAGTATTTTTATGATGTTCACACCATTCTAAAACTTTTGATAAAACATTTGCTCTAACGTTTGGAGTTGGAATTTCAAAATCTTCAGTTAATCCATCTGGATTTAAATCATTAATCATATTTTTAATTAATATTGATTTTTCTGCTACTTTTTGTTCAACTGGAAATTTTTCATCATCTGATGATACTATAATAACTTTTGGTGTTGACATTATTAGTTGTAATATATGATAGTTTGTTTAATTTTAGTGATAAAGAAGTTTTTTATTAAAGTGGCAAAAAATTAGTAGTGGTGATTAATTATTACTAAAATTCTAATTGAATTTGTTGAGTGAAATAATGGAAAGTGTTTGATGTTTGTTTCAAAAATGATTTTTTATAGTGACTGATCTGATTATTATTATTTTTATAATTTTATTTTTCCTTAAAAATTTAATTCAACTTTAAAACACATTACTTTATAAATTTATTGAGTATTATATTTTTTTTTACCCTTAATTTTGATAGAAATTCAATTTACTAATTAGACTTTTTGATAAGATATTAAATTTCTATAAATTATGATTTCTACAATTTATGAAGTTACAAGAATTATTCTTTGTCCCTATAATTAGAATTTATAGTATATAAGTAATAACTTACATAAATAAGATATATAATTTTTATGTAATACAATTGATATAATCGTCTTTATCTCTAAATTCAATAAAATTATTCAAAATTTGAATATATACCTGCACTAAAATCATCTAAATCATCTAATTGATTCATTGTATTAACATAAATATTACCATTTAATTCATTATTTGATTGGAAATTTTCTGTTTCTATTCCACCTGAAAAATTATTTAAATTATTCATTAAATTTTCAAATTCATCTTGTTCTTCATCTTTTGATTCATTATTATTTATCATTATACCATTTTGTACTGATAATTGAGCTAAGAAACTAGCTAATTTATATGATTTATCTGGTAATTCTACTATTTTTGATGATGTTAATGTAGTACTGTTGTTATTGGTTTGAGATGTAATTTCTTCTCCCTTTTGATCTGGTAAATTTCCACTCATAACCAAACTATTTGAAACATTTGATAAATTTGCTGATAAATTTGAAGATAAAGTATTTAAATTTGTTAATATTAATGAATTTAATAAATCGAAAAAGTATAAGTTACCATCTAACATAATATTATTTGTTTCGTTAATTAATTTGATTAAACTTGAATCGGGTATATCCAAATAATGAATTAAATCAGGGTTTGTATTGACAATAGTATCTAATAAATCTTGATAATTTATTGGGAATAAATTTGATAAAATTAATTCTTTGTTGTTTGTATTTATTTCATTGATGATATCATTTAATAATATTTCAAATTCAATTATTCCTAATTCTGTTTTTGGAGTGATTTTTTCAAATTTTTTGATAACTATATTTTCAATTAATGAACTTAAATTGAACCAACCTTTGTTTAGTAACCACCAACTTAATGATAAATAACTTTGTTCAATCAAATAAGTCTCATGAGGATCCGAATCATTATTGTTGTTTTTAACACCTGCCATTAATATAGCAGACTCTAAGTATGATCTCCTTGCTAATACATTTAATTGTAATCTTGTAACTAATAATAATCCAGATATTGAATAAATTAATGTTAAAGTTCTAGTTATTGTTTTAATTTTTAATAAGTTCCATAATTCTAATTTACTTTTATTCATATATATTGATAATTTTGATTCCGGATTATTATTATTATCTAATAAATTAAGATTATCAGTAGTTAACTCACTATTTGACCCACTTGGTATTTGTTGTTGAGGTGGTTGTTGTTGGGGTTGACCTTTTTTCAATCTTAATGCTTGTGTTATAAATTCAACTGGTAATGAATCTACAATTGGAGTAGCTAAAACTGGAAGTAAAGCTAATATTGTATAATAACAATCTTGTTGAGTTTGAATAAATCTTTGTTTAATTTGTTGTTTGAACATTAGTTCTTGCCTTAATGCATTTTGATAATTTCTAAATTTCTTTATAACAAATTCATTAACTATTAAATAAACTGATAATGTAACTGCACTAGTTATTAAAATTCTCCTTTTATTTCTCTTAAAGAAACCGGCTAAAGATGAGAATATAGCCATTATGCAATCAAAATTATTGAATATATGATATTATATTGACAATATAAATAAATTTTATATGATGATGATTTGGCAAATGATAGGTATTCTTTTTTAATGAGCCTTTGGTTGTCTTTTCTTTTATCTCATTTAGATTAAATCTGTTGATAAATTTTTGATTGTTGTTTTTTTTTCCGTGGCTCTGTCTCAAAAGTATGCTACCATCTGCACTAAGATTTTTATTTACCCCATATTTCAATTTACTCAACTATTATGGTTGATCTTATTGTTAGTAAATGATGATAAAATTAAAATATATACTTCTGACCATAAATCTTGGATAGTTTGTAGTAGATGGTGATTCTTGTAATCTAATATTTAAATTTCTGCATTGTCCAATTTTTACCATAAAAATTTTAACTTTTCCAATGAATTTTTACCATTTTACCATTTTTTTGCAACAATTTTTGTATAAAAATGTATGTAAAAATAAAGTACAAGTATTAATGTACTTCGGTGAAATGATGGTCTTCTAATAACTTGTCAAAACTAGTTGAGTCTTTATTTTCAGAAAATTAAGTATTCAGAAGATTAAAGAATTGAAAAAACTCAAATCCAAATAATGACATTATACAACTGGAAAAGTTAAGGTTCAGTTTAAAGTAGTAAACTACTCAACAAAGAAGAACGTAACCGATACAAAATTTCTACTAACCTCGAATGCTGTTATTGAGAGCTAAATAGAGATGAGAAAAAACGAAAAATTGCTTTAAACATTAACCTCGTGGGTACAATTTCCCAAGGTCAATTGCAAATTCGAAAGTATGCTTCAATTTTATAGAAATCTAAAACGTTGTTTAACTCCTAAAAACTTATTGTATCGTAGACTGAAAATTAGTAAATTGAAACTTAGCTATAAACTAAAAATTTAGTCGATATGTAAGTAATTACTTTACTATTCTCGTTTTAAATGTAAATAATAAAGATTCCAAATTTGATCAATTGAATACCAAAATTGTAAAAAGGGTTAAATTTTTAAAAGCAAATCGGTTAAAAAAGATTTAGATTTGAATCATTAGTTAATTGTGCCTTCTATTTAAATGGTAGAGAGCAATGGTTCATGACTTGTATAATAATTTACGGATTAATTTATTTTGGCCCATGAGGTCAAGTTAGTTCAATGTTACATTAATTATTCTTTTACATGAACGTTGAAATCTTGAAATGAAAACCAATCACACAATTGTAATCTAATGTTTTAACGAAGACAAGAAATAATTGAAAAAATCTTTACAGAAAAAGGGACTGTCAAAATCATTTAATATTATATCAAAATTATATTGACAATTAACGTCAAAAAGAAAAAGTATAATCCAACAATGCTATTGGTTTTCCTTTCTACTAGGCTATGATTTTCGTAAATCTCGATTACTTTAGATCAATTTTTTGGTTATTTCTTCTTCACTTTAATTGAAAAATGAGAAAAACAATACCACGTTCATTATCTTTTAACTATTAAAATTAATTATCTATTAACAAATTAATTAATTGATTATTTTTATTGTGTAAATTGAATCTTTATATGCAGTATCTATTATGTTTTTGCAACAATTTAGAATTATGGAATATGAAATATGGAATATCATTAAATTTTTCAATCAAAATCTTAACAAAAAACAATAACAATTAACTTTTGAAATAGAGTCCTTGCATAACCAAATTTTTCAACTTTATAATATTAAAATCTCTCCCATACATTATTACGATTATAAATTGAGATGCAAATCTCCTTTGAAACTTATTTTTCAATTTATTGAAATCTCATATTACACTATTACCAAACATCAATTCAAGTATTCATAGTGGAAAAAAATGCAATTCTTAACTACTTCAATCTTATTATTCATTGCAACTGTTGTTATTGCTAAAAATATCCTTTTATCAAATGATGATAGTTGGTCAGCTACAAACATTAGAGCCACTTATTATAAATTAAAAGAAGCTGGTCATAATGTATTTTTAGTTGCTCCAGTTAGTCAAAGATCAGGATGGAGTGGTAAATTTGATATTCCAACTTCACCAACTTTACAAACTAATGGTGAATTTAAATATCCACCAGCTGGTGCACCATCATGGGGTCATGAAGAAACTGATGATCATATTTGGTATTTTAATGGTACTCCAGGTTCATCAGTTGCTTTTGGTTTACAATATGTTATACCAGAAAAATTTAAAAATATTTCAATTGATTTAGTTGTTAATGGTCCAAATGAAGGTACTAATATGTCACCAGGTTTATTTACTGTATCAGGTACTGTTGGTGCTACTTATAATGCTATTTATAGAGGTTACCCAGCTATTGCTTTTAGTGGATCAAATAGTAATAATTCTTTTTTCAAAGATTCATTAGATTTAAATGATACTAAAGCTCCATCAACTATTTATGCTAATAAAGTTGTTGAATTTGTTAATCAATTATTTAAAGCTCAAGGTAATAATTCAAGAGCTTTACCAATTGGTGTTGGTTTAAATGTTAATTTCCCAAAAGTTGGTTATGAACAAGAAAATTGTACTAATCCAAAATTTGTTTTTACAAGATTAACTGGTCAATATGCTTCAACTTCTGATTTAAAATATAATGCTACATCAAATTCATTTTATTATGCACTGGATCAATTTGCTGCTTTAACTGTTTGTAATAATGGTGATTGTTCATTACCATCAGAAAATTTCATTATTGAACATACCGGATGTCAATCTTCAGTTTCAGTTTTCTCAACTGATTATGATGCTAATTTAGGTTTAACTCATCAAGTTGAATCATTATTAGATCCATTATTTGTTAAAAAAAATTGAGTTAAATTATTGAAATATATGTGATGTAATTATTATCACAAAGCCAATTTGAAAAAAAAAAAGTTGATTTTTATTTTTTTAATTTTAATTCTTCAAACGTTATCAAATACTTTTTAAATTTTTAATATCAATGATTCAGTTACATTGATATTATTATAGATTATATATAAATTGTTGTTGTTTTTACTTTTTATACCATTTTGTTTATTAATTAATATATGAAAAAAAAAAGTTTTTATTGTATCAATATTCACACTCTTTGATTTAGATAAGCTGCTAATAAAGTTGTAGTAAGTTATCGCTACAGGTGAAATTTTAGATATGCTTCAAAGATTGACACTCACTTCACTTTAATTGAGTACAAACACTTGTACATAATTGACACAATTCATAATAATAGTAACTGAATCACAATTACAAAGTATAATAGTAGTAGCATAATAAAATAATTAAAATAATTTATCGTCAATTAATGAACATTACACAAAATAATCTTTTAGGAGTGTTTTACATTTTCGATAAATTCCAATTCTATTCAACATGTATGTTTGTATGTATGTATATATGTATGAAAGGTTGTAAGTTGATATTCAAGAAATTAGTAGACGATTGTGTAAAGATTGTTGGCTAAAATAATATTAATCAAAAATTCGAACTTATTTCTTCACATATATCCGATCAATATAATAGGGCGTAAAATACATTTTAGCCTCAAACATAACTCCAAGTGTTATGAACCCATGGTATCAATAAGCAATCTTTTTTATTTTACTCTAACAATTAATTTTATATGATAATTGTGTTAAGACTACTTGGAAACTTCGGCTTTAAATAGCTTAAATATATAATAAAATTAAGAGGTAAAACAATACATTAATATGTAGAGTTATGTAGAAATTTATAGATTTTTAAAATCTGATTTCTCTTAAAATTTATTGATATTCATTTACAGACCAATCTAATATATTACATACATGATTTGACTTTTTCAATCGATGAATATTCAACTTATTCACAAAGTATATTTGTATAATAATTTAATAACCAAGAAATTAAACTTTTAGTTAATAGCAAAAAAATAAATTTAAAAGAATAATAAAATATTAAAATATGGGCTTGCTACTGAAGCGGAAATTTTCAAATTCAAAACCTAATAAAAATAGAACTAAAAAACAAAGAAATTCAAGAGATCATCATCGACTACAAGACGAAACTGAATCTTCGTTTCAATCATCAATATCAAATTATACTTCAAGACCCTCTGAAGATAGATCAATTGCATCTGGTCCTTCTATTTTAAATATGACAAAACCAAAATCAAATACTGTTCATAGAATTGTTTCTCCAATAAATAAAACAAGAAATGAAATTCCAAATAGTAGTAATACTAATGATCCTACGGTAGTTCAATCTACCGTTTTAAATGATCAAATGGTTACTCCCAAAATAATAGAATCACAACCAAATGGAATTCCCAATCGAAATAATGATTTTGCAATTAATGAATTTAACGGAACAAGTGATCCAGGAATAACTCAAGATCCTGGAATTGCAATAAATATAATGCGACAGTCTACTAGAGAAACAGAAAATAATCATACAAGAGACAATCAAGGACAATATTTACAAACTCCCAATCAAGGAAATCAATCATCATCTTCAAATTCATCAATGAATAATACTTCACAAAATACTCAACCAACAACAGTTCCACCTGAACAACCAAAAGAATCTGGAGGAATAATATCCTTTTTAACTGCAGCCGCAAATAAAATGTCATCAACAGCAATTCAATATGAGGAAAAAGAGAAAAAGAAGGATCATTCACTAGTAAATAAAATTGATAATTTTATAAAATCAGTTAAACATGAAGATACTGCAAAAACTCCTCCAGAAAGTAATGGATCCGCCACTACTCAACAACAAGTACGAAACTCAAATGAATTAAAATCATTACATTCAGCTCAAAACGTACAATTTGAACCAATAAGAGAAAGTCCCTTAAATACTTTGGGGAATGGGGATCTAACATTGGATGATTTTGTACATTCCAACAACAATCAACAACAAGTAAATCCTATAATGAACAATAATCAAACAATAGCGACCAATGTTCCTCAAATTATAACAAACGAGTCACCAAATATTCATAGAAATGTAAGTCCTGAAATAATCAACAAAACTTTACCACATGGTAACCAACTACAAGCCACATCTAATGGATCAGACGTGAAAAGAGTTCATAGATTGTCAATAAATGGGCAGGCACCAGAAAGACAATTATCCAATGGTAGAAGTTCAATTCTTGATTCACAAGTTTCAAATCTGAATGGGAATACCACCAATATAAGTAATAATGATGATTCAAAACATCTTACTGAAACTAGAACAAAAGAAGAAGTTGAAAACACTTCAAGTTCTGAAAATGAAGATTTAGATAATGTAATAGATTATTCCAAAAAGATTAAACATGCACCAGAAAAGGAAAATGAGGAATTTCATTCAACTTTTAAAAAAATACCTAAAAAAGATAAATTAATTGAAGAAATAAGTTGTGCATTATCAAAAGATATATTAGTTCAAGGTAAAATGTATTTAAGTGATCATTATGTTTGTTTTAATTCAAATATTTTAGGTTGGATAAAACATATAGTAATACCATTATCAGAAGTCATACAAATTGAAAAAAAATCAACTGCTGGTTTATTCCCTAATGGTATGGTTATAAAAACATTACATCAAAAATATACATTTGCTAGTATAATTGGAAGAGATACAGTATTTTCATTAATTACAAATGTATGGCATCGAGTACTTTTAGAAAGTTCAGATGTTGACCCTAAAAAATTACGTAAAGCTGCAAGATCAAGAGCTGCAACTGTCGGTTCAATGTCAACTAATGGTTCAAATATAAGTTCAAGTGGTGATTCTTCAGGTGATGAAGCACTGGGTGGATCAGGAGAAGATGATGATGACTCACTGGGTAATGAATCTGATGATGAAGGAGAAGATGGTAGTAGTGGAGGTGAAAAAGCAGCAGCAGCTGGTGGTGGAGGTGGTAGTGGTGGAGGGGATGGAGAATTTAAAGGACTTCCATTAGTTGGACCATCAACTCATGAACCAACAGAAACAGGATATGAAAAATCATCAGATGAAACATTTATAGCAGAAGATATATTAAAAGCTCCCCCAGGAGTAATATATTTATTATTATTTGGATCAGATACTTCATATTTTATAAGAATTTTAAAAGATCAAAAAAATTTTGATATTGATGAATCAGAAATTCATGGATTAACAAAAGAAAAAAAAGATCGTCATTATACTTATACAAAACCTTTAGGTGGTAGTATTGGTCCAAAACAAACAAAATGTATAATTGATGATCATTTAATAGAATATAATCCTGATAAATATTATGAAATTGAACAAACTACTCAAACTCCAGATGTACCAAGTGGTAATTCTTTTAAAGTTAAAACCAAGATATTTTTAAGTTGGGCTGAAAAAAATCAAACCAAAATATATGTATTAACATCAATTGAATGGAGTGGTAAATCTTGGATAAAAGGAGCAATTGAAAAAGGAACAATAGATGGTCAAAAAGATAGTATGAAAGATATGATTGAGACTTTAAATTCAATCATTTCAGAAGGAGGTAGTGGTAAAAAATCAGGTGGTGGTGGAGGTGGTACAGCATCATCAAAAAGAAGAGGAACAAGAAGTAAAAGAAATACTGAAAAGAAACAAGAAGAAATTAAACCAAAAGAAGAACCTCCAAAAGGAATACTTGATCAAATCTTGGTATTATGTAAATCAATTGGTGAATTAATACCAATACCAATGATAGATAGTACAATTGTGGGTATTATTATTTTAGTATTATCATTTTTCATTGCTGTTTATATAACAAATAAAATAAATCATTTATTATTTTATAAACAAGATGATTATAAATCAAAAATATATTGTGATGCAGAAAGAGATGTTTGGGAATGGATTATTTCAAGAAGTAATGAAAAATTAACAAATCCTTAAATGATTATAGAAAACATTAAAATTAGACAATAAACAAAAAAAATTGTGATATTATATTTAGAGTTGTATAAAGTTGAACTTCTTAAAAATTTAATGATTGAATGTGATTTTTATCAATTGCAAGTAAATTAATTTATCAACCTCTCATAGCGGATAAATAAGTATCCATAACTAACTCCAAACTATGAATTCTTAATTCAGTATTATTAGGTTCAAATTACCAACTTTTATCAAAGGAAAATATTAGTGTCAAAATAAAATTAGAAAGATTTAAAAATAGAAATTCTAGAATCTATCAAAAAATAAGAATTCCAAAACTTGTGCGGCATATGATGAAAAATTTCCTATTTAGTTACTGCACAAGTAAATATATTAAATATTTTCGGATTAATTTGGAGTTACGATACCCTTTCAAAATGTCAAGATCTAAATTTTAATCACTTGTAGTTGAAACGTGTTCGATTAGTTAAAAGCTCTTCAAGTTAAATATTGATTCAATTATTTATCTGAGATTGATGGCACTGGTAGATTGAAACTTTTTTAATTATTCATTAAAATTATACGATAAAGTCAGTCAAAATTACCCCTTTAGAAAGAAAAAAAAAGTATTTTTGTGTTATAACAAAATATAGATTCTGCTCGGAAATGTAAAGAATCTCCCGTATTAAAATTCGAGAATGTAATACAAAAACATAATAATAAAGCGTTTTCAATTCTATTGTAAATTTAAAATTATAGCAATAATAAACAAAGTGAAAATACTAACCATATTAAAGTTCATCTCTCAATTAAGCGAAATATATGTCATATTTTAAAAGTTTATTTATTTACTCGGAGATATTTTACAAAGGATATAAATGAGTTTCATTTATAAATTTGGAATCAATTAGCTGAATTATTGTTATGCTAAGGGATTGATTATTTCGTAGTAAAAAAATAAATATAATACATTTTTCTTTTACATCATTTAAAATTATTATTGTGTAATATTCTATACTTATTATATTTATTTATATATAAATATTTATATAAATAATAATAATAATTTTTACAATTTTTACAACCAACTTTTTTATATTTTAATTCTTTTCCAACAACCAACTATATTGACTTCCTATATTGACTTCATTATTATCATTGAAATTAAGTTCATTATACTTTTAGCTATTTAATTCTTCACAATCATTTGCTTTGGAAGGTTTTAATAGTTTAATAATAAACTACATTAAACTTCAAATAAATTATAATGTTTAATTTATTGAATTTATTATTTGGTTTATTAACTTCATTAATTCCAATTATATATACCATTAAATCATTAGATAAATCATTAGAATTTAATAAATATTCATATCAATTTTTATTAAATTATTGGTTATATTATATTATATTAGATTATATAACTTATACATTTTTTAATAATTTGGGAATAATTAATTTTGGTAATCATTTAATTAAAATTTGGTTATTTTTTGGTTCAACAAAATATGAAAGTATTGAAATTAATAACATTGTATTAATTAATCATATATTATTTAAAAAATTTTATAAAAATTATCATAATTTTGAAAATTATTTTAATTTTACAATTAACAAAATTTCACCAAAATTTAATAAAATTGGAGATTTAAATTATCGATTAAATCAATTTGGTATAAATTATTCACAATCAATTGATTCAAATTATTCTATTAATTTTGAATTAATATTATTACAAATTATAAATTTTATTAAATTAATTAATAATTTTTTTGGTAATGATAAAATACATTCAATCGATTCACCAAATTCGAATTCATATTCCAAAAAATTGAAAAAAATAAGAAAACAATCATCTTTTACTTCATTTACTTCAGTAGGTTCAAGATCTAATTCAAGTTCAAAATCAACAAATTCAAATTCATCTGACATACTATTACCACCAGCACAACAACACCAACAACAACAGAAGAGTCAATATCAATCACCAAAATCCATTTTTAGTACTAATTCACCACAACCAAATAATGATGAGATAAACTTAATGACAATTCCAAAATATAGAATAAGTAGTACACCACCTCCAATTGCTGATATTAATAATAATATACCATATCCAGCTATAAGTACAATACCTAATAGTAAAGGATTTATTAAAAGAAGATCAAAGTCAAATGGTGATTATGACTTGGACTCACTGATTTTAAAATTTAGACAACATCAAGCTCATTCTCAATCACCTGGAAAAGTTCAAATTCAATCACCAACACAATCACCTTTACAAACTCATTCTTATAAAAACGATAATATTGATTATCAATTAAGTCCAACTCAACCAACTTTTATACAACATCAACATCTACAACCTCTACAACAACAGTATTACCAACAACAACAATCACAACACCAACAACAACAACATCAACCAAGAGTCAAATCAAATACATCATCAAGAAATACATCAGGTTCAAATTACAATTATGAACCACAATTAAATCGTCTGGAAAATTATAGACAATTTAATCATCACAATAATAATCATCACAATACAAATAATAATAGGATAAATAATAGAGAATATAGAGACTATAATGGTGGTTACAAAGTTAATTCAAATGCAATGAGAAGTGTTTCAGAGCAATTAAAAAATTCAAATAATAATAATGAATTACCAGCTGTTCCAACACCTTCAATGGTTTTACAGTAGGATTGAAGTGCAAAAGTTGGTATTATAATTAGCTTATTCAACTAACTCATTGTTAATTTAGATTTAAAAATTTTATTTTAGTTCTTGTTTTTATTCATAATTGTACTTTATAAAATAGTTTTTATAGGGTTTTTTATTTCATATACATGTTACTTGTAGAATTGTATCTGTTTGGTTCCTAATATAAATTATCTCACTGTTAAAAATTTTATCACACTCAAATTTAATATGTATTTAAAATCTACAATCGTATTCTTACATCATAATTTTACTGTTTTGTGTACCGAATCTTGGAAAGCCTTAAATTTTTGAACCCTATATATATTTAAGAAGTTCATTCGTCATCAGCAGTAAATCCATTAGAAGTGTTCAAAAGTATTCAACTAATCAATATAAGGAATAATCAGTTTAAAAATCTAACTCAAATTGCCTTACCTTTTTTCTATAAAAGGTATAGTCAAAAAAATTAGTTAAAAAAAAAAGATTCAAAATAAAAAAGTCCTCGGAAAAATTTAAAACCAGAATATAATTAATTTAATTAAAACATAAACTTCTTGTTTTTTTGTAATGCTAAATTACATCAATAATAAAATAATAGTATTAAAGTCTTAAACAATTATAAGACAAAAACAAAGATTAATAAATCAAATTTCATTTAATGAATAAAATTATAATATAAATAATTTATTAGTTCAACGAGCTTCAATGTTCAAGAACATAATTTGAGATGTATATACATTTCTTATCTTATTCCTTATTCTTTATTGGATTCGTTTTAGACGTAAGACAAATTTAACTCGTTGATTCAATAAGATGAGATATCTAATTAAAGTTAAATTACAATTAATAAATGTATAATTACCTAATTTAATTAATTTTGACATATTTTATTCAATTTTGTCTCATTAATTTTGTGATTTATTATAATTAATTAAATTAATTAGAAAAGTGTTTGATGAAATGATAAAAGAAGTAAAGAATTTTTTATTCTTTTTTTCTCACATCTTTGAATACTGTTTCCTTCTTTGATAAATCCAATTTTTTAATCTACTTTACTTCTTCAATTACTTTTATCATTTATCACCAATAATAAGGAATCAAATTAAAATTCAATATCTTATATTTATCAATTTATCGAATTAATTTAATACCAGAAATTTTAAAGTTTTACAAATAAGCCTTTTCACTTTAATTTTTTACAACACTTTTTTTATCTTATAAAAAGTTTTGTTTGATTATATTTTGTTTTTTATTTTTGGCAACACATTAATTTGAAAACTAAATTATCATATAATTCATCAATTATATTCAACCACTAAACATATTTATACAAAGAATTAAAATAAAATTAAATATCGAAATATATTGAACAGCTCTTTGTTGTCTTATAATTAAAATAATGCCAGGAATATTAGAATCAACAAACAATTTACTACTTAATCCAACTTCGAGTTTAATTACAACTTCACAAACAAGTGGAACAAATCATAGTAATGATGAAATCAAGACAAATGATAATACCAACTCACAAATAGAACAAATACCATTACAACTACAACAACAACAACAACAATATGTTCCACCAACTTCATCATCTTCGAGTACATCAACCAAAAACTCAGAATCGACAATCAACGACACAGCTTTAAATACGACTTTAAATACAACTTATAATGATAACGAAATAACTCCAATTAATGATACCACTAAACCCAACTTAATTACAACATCAACTTCAATTTTCACTTCATTAAGTAGAAAACCTTCAGATAAATTAAAATCTACTCAAATTAATATTCAAAATACTCCAAGATCCAAGTTTCAACCTTTAAATTCACCTTCATCCAATATAATCACTAATAACGATACAACAACAATTTCAAAATTAAATACTACATCTCAAGAATCAATCACAACCCCACAAACTTCTACATCATCATCATCATCAATAACACTAAAAGAAATCCAATTAGCTCAAATAAAACAACAATGTTCAAATTTAATAAAAGAATTAGATGGTGATACACAACCAGAACTTATTGTAAAAAAACATATAATGGAATTAAAAAAATATAATGATTTAAAAGATGTTGCTTTTCAATTAGTTGAATTAATAGCTGATCAAAGAATGGTTAAAACTGATGATATTTTACAAGAAATTAATACTTTAAAATAAATATGAGTTTTTTTGGGTTTTTTACGAATTAATGCTTTTGTTGAATTTCTAGATATAGATTAAATAATGAGATTTTTATGATTATAGTGCTGTCTCTAAACTCGAAATGTTTTTCTCTACCGTTAATTGTCTTCTTTCCATGTTTAACCGTTTTAAATTTTACTTCAATTCTTAAATTTTGGTTTTTGCAACCAATTTATAACCACAAAGTTTTTTAAAATCACGTTATGCTGTATTATGTTGTTAAATTATGTCAAATCATTACACAATGTAAGTTAATGTATTGAATTAAATTTATATCCGATAAACTAGATTATTGAAATGATTAAAAAATAGAGAATAGAAAAACAATTTCTGAAACTGTCTAAGAGTATAAAATTTTAGAGCTACAGCCGTTCTAAATATTTTGAATTGCCGAATGGCTAAATCAATGACATATACGCTTCGGCTAGGGAAGGTATCTGTATCTTATCATTTAATGATGAAGGTTAAAGTGAGATGGACTTTCATTTTCAATTCTTGTTCAATCTCAATCCATACGACTTTTTAAATCGTCAACAAATTTTCTTGTCGAACGAATAAGAAGAACTTTAATTGTTTTAACTAAAAAGTCCTTGATCCTCTTGATTTTGTAAATTATTATAAAGTAGTGTACGAAAAGAAAAAATTTCTTCGTAATCCAAGTAATTCCTCATCAATCAAAATGCATAATTAAAGACTGTAGCTTCATAATTATTTTGAAATCTTTGTAGTTGACGGGTAATGATTCATCTTCTATATAAATAATAATAAATTATACCGAAATTTAAAATATAAAAAAGCCGCACAATGATCATTCAGATAGGAAATTTTTTAATTTTTAATTAAGAACAAAAGAAAAAAGAAAGTATCTAATGTTTAAAACTTATTTTCATTCTAATATTATATATTAATTATAAAATAAAGAAGAGATCCCCCAAATATTTTAGATAAAGTATATTAAAAAATATCAATCCTTTACACTAATTATCAAATATATCACCATTGCTCAATCGCATTATATCTTAATCAAATAAACTAATTCAAATTTTTAATACAGATCAGATTTACATGTCAAACTTTATAATATAGAAACGCAAATTCTGAATCAAATTCAATATATACAATATATAATTTAATCTTCAAAAAATTGCATCAGGGATTTAAATACCCCAAGAATAAATCATTAATAATCATTTTAACCAAATATTCAGCATATTTTAAAATTAATCAAAAATGTCTGAAACTTCATCTGAAAGTTTATCATTAGGATTAGTAATTTATGCATCAGTAAAACCAATTTTTAAAATTTATTTTATTATAGCTATTGGATTTTATTTAGCAAAAAGAAATATTTTAACAGTTACAACATGTAGAGATATATCAGATTTAGTTGTAACTGCAATTATGCCATGTTTAATTTTTAATAATATGGTAAGTTATTTAAAATCTTCAGATATTAAAAATGTTGGAATTATTATATTTACTGCAATATTATTATTTATAGTTGGTGGATCTATATCATTTGCTAATCATTTTATTACAAGATCACCGAAAAGATGGCTTGGTGGATTATTATCAGTTGGGATTTTCCCAAATATTAGTGATTTACCAATTGCATATATACAAACATTTGCAAAGGGGAATAAAATTTTTACAGCTGAAGAAGGAAGTAAAGGTGTTGCATATGTTTGTATTTTTTTAATGGGAATGATTTTATTTCAATTTACTTTTGGATTATATAGATTGATTGAATGGGATTTTAGAGATGAATTATTGGGTGATGATTTGGAGAAGAATAAACATATTACAAATTCAAGTAGTAGCAGTGATGATAAAGATGAAGAAGAAGAAGAAGATGATGATGATGATGGAGAAAAAATAGTTACAAATAAATCATCAACAATAGGAAATCGAAGTCCCATACTAGCGTCTGATCTGAACAGATCTGATACAACAACTTCAGATTTAGAATCTATAAATACAAATTCGAGTGAAGCAGAAAGAAGGAGAGAAAAAATTTCAAATGAAGAAGATCAACATAATGAATTTTTAAAAGCAAAATCTAAAAAAAATATAGAAAATACATCAGATTCAATAATAAGTAGGAAAAGAACCAATAAAAGTACCAATTTATTATCACCACATACAACAAAAAGTAGAAGAGATTCAACAAGTTCAATAACAAGTAATCCATATGGATTAGAAATGATTCCATCAAGAAATAATGATATAAGAAGACAACAATCACAAAACGTGGATGATGTTATTAATGAATATTCAGAATTTGATACTTTAAGAAATAATGAAATTGAAAAAGAAAAATCAAGACAAGAAAGTTTGGTAAGTAATCCAAATGATAAAATAATAGAACCAAAAAAATCAAAATTTAAATCATATGCTAAAACAATGCTTAAAAATTTCACATCATCAAATTCAATTGCATTATTAGCTTCAATAGCAATATGTATGTCACCACCATTAAAAGCATTATTTGTTCCAACAACATTTTATATACCTAACGCACCAGATGAACAACCACCATTATCATTCATAATAGACTTAACAAGTTATATAGGAGCTGCATCAGTTCCATTAGGTTTATTATTATTAGGTGCAACACTAGCAAGATTACAAGTTAAAAATATGGCACCAGGATTTTGGAAAACTGCAATTTTAGTAACTGCAACAAGATTAATTATATTACCAATATTTGGAGTTGGATTAACTACTGGAATATATAAAGCAGGTTGGTATGGTTCAGATAGATTAGTACGATTTGTAAGTGTTTTAGAATTTGGATTACCAAATGCAACTTCATTAGTTTATTTTACTGCTTTTTATACTGATCCACAAGCTAAAGAACATTTACAAATGGATTGTTTAGCTGTTGTTTTAATTTTCCAATATTTGATATTATGGTTTACTTTACCTTTTTTAATTACTTTTACTTTAAAAGTTTCAATGGGTTTATAATAGAGTTTTTTTAGTTTGTTAGTAATAGACATTTATACATTGCATTTATAAAATTTAATCTAGATTGATTTATTATAATTACATTTGTTTTGAACATCATTTTGTAATTTACATTGCGAGGCTATTAATGAACTTCGTAATCATTTACCATGACTACGTTCAGCAATTATCTCTAACTGATGAAAGAGTGAATTGTGGTAGTCACACCCAATTTTGAGAAAAATAGGTCTAATCATTTAGTCGAGCGCGACTCATTTATACTCCGAAAAGGAGGGGAAGTGTATCAAAAAAAAATTAAATTTTAACCCATAAAAAACGTCGATAGTAACAACATGTATTAGTCAATTTCAATATATTATCCTTGAACACTAAAAGTTTCAAAGTATTCACCTTTTTACAATTATTACTTACTTGATTTCAAATTAACCCCAAATAGTTGGACCAACATTTAAATATTTCGGACTTTTTCAATTAAATTTAAACTTTATTCGAGACCGAAAAAATATAGTACAAAAAATCAACTTATAATTGATTGGTTACTTTTAAATAATTGAGAAGTTTCAAAATACTAAGAATAAAAAATTCCTTATAACACAAATTTGAATATAACTCCGATTACTTAGTAAAAATAATACATCAAAATTTTTCAAGAATATATTTAAACCGAAATCTTTACTCGATAAATGTTGATTTATGAGTAGATCTGAGGAATTTCATATTATTCAAAATTGATTTAATTGTAAAAGATTGGATAAGTGCTAGTAGGAATAAAATCAACATCAAAAATAAATCTCTTAATCTCTACTCTTTCTAGTATATATCTACAATCAAGCCAATTTTAAAATCAAGAAACGAAAACGGTTGCAATTTGAATAAAATCTTTTTCAATTTCTTCAATGCGTTATATTTATTATTATAATACTAAATCTATCAATTTAATATATTAGAATTAATTACTTTAAGAATTTGTATATTGCAAAAAAAAAAAAAAAAGAAAAAAAAAAAATTTAAATTTTCATCAAATAAAATAATTTTGAATTTTGATTCTCATTTTTTAATACAATAAATATAATAAATTCATCTCATTTATACATTTTGAATCAATTCAACTCAACCATCCTTCAAACTACATATTCCTATATACAATGTTTAAGCAAATTGTAAAATCAACTTATTTCAAATCAGCTAAATCACCATTATTAACAAGATCATATATTGCTGGTCAATTTACTGGTACTAAAAATTCAAATGGTAAATATACTGTTACATTAATTGAAGGTGATGGTATTGGACCAGAAATTTCACAAGCTGTAAAAGATATTTATAAAGCTGCTGAAGTACCAATTGAATGGGAAGAAGTTGATGTTACTCCTATATTAATTGATGGTAAAACTACATTACCTCAACCTGCAGTTGATTCAGTAAATAAAAATTTAGTTGCTTTAAAAGGTCCATTAGCTACTCCAGTTGGTAAAGGTCATACATCAATGAATTTAACTTTAAGAAGAACTTTTAATTTATTTGCAAATGTTAGACCATGTAAATCAATTGTTGGTTATAAAACTCCTTATGAAAATGTTGATACTGTATTAATTAGAGAAAATACTGAAGGTGAATATTCAGGTATTGAACATACTATTGTACCAGGTGTTGTACAATCTATAAAATTAATTACAAAACCTGCTTCTGAAAAAGTTATTAGATATGGTTTTGAATATGCAAAATCAATTGGTAAACCTCATATTTTAGTTGTTCATAAAGCTTCAATTATGAAATTATCAGATGGTTTATTTGTAAATACTGCTAAAGAAATTGCAAAAGAATATCCTGATGTTACATTAGATTTTGAATTATTAGATAATACTTCATTAAAATTAACTTCTGATCCTTCTCAATATAAAGATGTTGTTATGGTTATGCCAAATTTATATGGTGATATTATGTCAGATTTATCTTCAGGTTTAATTGGTGGATTAGGTTTAACTCCTTCTGGTAATATGGGTAATAAAGTTTCAATTTTTGAAGCTGTTCATGGTTCAGCACCAGATATTGCAGGTAAAGGTTTAGCTAATCCAACTGCTTTATTATTATCTTCATGTATGATGTTAAGACATATGTCATTAAATGATCAAGCTGATAGAATTGAAAATGCTGTATTAAAAACTATTGCTTCAGGTCCTGAAAATAGAACTGGTGATTTAAAAGGTACTTCAACAACTAAACATTTTACTGAAGAAGTCATTAAAAATTTATAAACAATTAATGAATAATAAATATACACTATTTATATAATTATTATATTTATATACATTTTTAAACTTATATAAACAATATACACATAAACTTGTTACAAATTATTAGATAATTCATTAATAATTTTATTTGTACCTTCAACAATTGCAATATGTTCAATTTGATGTACTCTTTCTTCATATTGTTCTAATGATTCACCTTTTATTAAATCTAATTCTTTAACTAAAATAGGTTCACCTTTATCAACTTCAGTTATTACTTTATGTATCATTACTCCTCCCTGTTTAATTTCACCATCTTGACCAGCTTTCCAACAACGATCTATAGCATGAGTTCCTTCAAATGCTCCAGGTAATGCAGGATGTAAATTTATTATTGTTATTCCAGCTTTTTCTAATGGTTCTAAAATAGTTGGTGATAAAATTAACATCCAACCTGCACATACTATTAATTTTGGTGGTATATAATTATTTTTTTCTAGTTTTGAATCAATTGATCCATTTATTATTAAATTTGCCAAATCTCTATTAAATTGTTCTCTTTTTTCTTTCCTTATTTCAATTTGATCTTTTGTTGTTCCTTTATAATAATTTTTTAAAAGATGAGTTTTTGTAGGTATTTGATTTTGTGAAGCTCTTTTTAATCCATAAGCTGTATCTGATGAAGATATAACTTGAGTTATATTACCATTTAATTTTCCTTGAGATTGAGCATCTATTAATGCTTGTAAATTAGTACCAGAACCAGATATTAATACTGTTATGTTGCAAGCCATGTCGGAAGCTTATTCAATAATTGAAAGAGCTAGACCAGGTACAATTTGGTTGTAAATTTTTCATATTTTTTTAAGACTTTAATTCAATGTCATAAAACTTAATTCAATGTCATAAATGTGTTTTCTGTGTCTGACGTAAGAATTTTTTATGTCATAAGGCTCTATGTATGTAGCAGAGGTCGTGTGAAATATTACATCTTAATATCAATAATTAACAAATTTATTAATAAATAATTTTTTTAGTGTTTTAATCTTATTTTAATTTTTTTAGATAAAATTTTTTCATATTTTTTTCCCTCTTCCTTTTTGAATTTCTCCCCAATTCATTGGATTAATACAACTAATTTAAATATAACAAGATGGGTATGTTTCAAATTATGATAGAGATCATATCATGATTGTCAATAGTCTATTTGAATAATGAATTGAACCATCACAATTTCAATAATTGGCCATTGGATCAATTAAAACGTGTGCTTTGAAAAATTTTTCAAAAAGGGCTGCAAAAATTTTAAATGACTTGATTACTAACAATTAATTTTATAGTTGCCTTCACTATTGAACAAATCCGTGAGTTGATGGACAAAGTTACCAATGTTCGTAACATGTCTGTCATTGCTCACGTCGATCACGGTAAATCCACTTTAACTGATTCTTTAGTTCAAAAAGCTGGTATTATTTCTGCTGGTAAAGCTGGTGAAGCTAGATTTATGGATACTAGAAAAGATGAACAAGAAAGAGGTATTACTATTAAATCTACTGCCATTTCATTATATGCTTCAATGACTGATGATGATGTTAAAGATATTAAACAAAAAACTGATGGTAACTCATTTTTAATTAATTTAATTGATTCACCAGGTCACGTTGATTTCTCTTCAGAAGTTACTGCTGCTTTAAGAGTTACTGATGGTGCTTTAGTTGTTGTTGATACCGTTGAAGGTGTTTGTGTTCAAACTGAAACCGTTTTAAGACAAGCTTTAGGTGAAAGAATTAAACCAGTTGTTATTATTAATAAAGTTGATAGAGCTTTATTAGAATTACAAGTTACTAAAGAAGATTTATACCAATCATTTGCAAGAACTGTTGAATCTGTTAATGTTATTATTTCAACTTATGTTGATCCAGTCTTAGGTGATTGTCAAGTTTTCCCAGATAAAGGAACTGTTGCTTTTGGTTCAGGTTTACATGGTTGGGCTTTTACTGTTAGACAATTTGCTAACAGATATGCTAAAAAATTCGGTGTTGATAAAACTAAAATGATGGAAAGATTATGGGGAGATTCATTCTTTAATCCAAAAACTAAAAAATGGACTAACAAAGATAAAGATGCTGATGGAAAACCATTAGAAAGAGCTTTCAATATGTTTGTTTTAGATCCAATTTTCAGATTATTTGCAGCTATTATGAATTTCAAAAAAGATGAAATTCCAACTTTATTAGAAAAATTAGATATTACTTTAAAATCTGATGAAAAAGAATTAGAAGGTAAAGCTTTATTAAAAGTTGTTATGAGAAAATTCTTACCAGCTGCTGATGCTTTATTAGAAATGATTGTTTTACATTTACCATCCCCAGTTACTGCTCAAAACTATAGAGCTGAAACTTTATATGAAGGTCCATCAGATGATGCTTTCTGTAATGCTATCAGAAATTGTGATCCAAAGGCTGATTTAATGTTGTATGTATCTAAGATGGTTCCAACATCTGATAAAGGTAGATTCTATGCTTTTGGTAGAGTTTTCGCTGGTACTGTTAAATCTGGTCAAAAAGTTAGAATTCAAGGTCCAAACTATCAAGTTGGTAAAAAAGAAGATTTATTTTTAAAATCAATTCAAAGAACTGTTTTAATGATGGGTAGAAATGTTGAACAAATTGATGATTGTCCAGCTGGTAACATTGTTGGTTTAGTTGGTATTGATCAATTTTTATTAAAATCAGGTACTATTACTACCAATGAAGCTGCTCACAATTTGAAAGTTATGAAATTCTCAGTCTCACCAGTTGTCCAAGTCGCTGTTGAAGTTAAAAATGCTAATGATTTACCAAAATTAGTTGAAGGTTTAAAAAGATTATCAAAATCAGATCCATGTGTCTTAACCTCAATGTCTGAATCAGGTGAACATATTGTTGCTGCTACTGGTGAATTACATTTAGAAATTTGTTTATCAGATTTAGAAAATGATCATGCTGGTGTTCCAATTAGAGTTTCACCACCAGTTGTTGCTTATAGAGAAACTGTTGAAGGTGAATCATCGATGGTTGCCTTATCTAAATCACCAAATAAACATAACAGAATTTATGTTAAAGCTCAACCAATTGATGAAGAAGTTTCATTAGATATTGAAAATGGTGTCATTAACCCAAGAGATGATTTCAAAGCTAGAGCAAGAATCTTAGCAGATAAACACGGTTGGGATGTTACTGATGCAAGAAAAATTTGGTGTTTCGGTCCAGATGGTAACGGTCCAAATTTAGTTGTTGATCAAACTAAAGCTGTCCAATACTTGAATGAAATTAAAGATTCAGTTGTTGCTGCTTTCCAATGGGCTACTAAAGAAGGTCCAATCTTTGGTGAAAACTGTAGATCAGTTAGAGTTAATATTTTAGATGTTACTTTACATGCTGATGCTATCCACAGAGGTGGTGGTCAAATTATCCCAACTATGAGAAGAGTTACTTATGCTTCAATGTTATTAGCTGAACCAGCAATTCAAGAACCAGTTTTCTTAGTTGAAATTCAATGTCCAGAAAATGCTATCGGTGGTATCTATTCAGTCTTGAACAAAAAAAGAGGTCAAGTTATCTCAGAAGAACAAAGACCAGGTACTCCATTATTCACTGTCAAAGCTTACTTACCTGTTAATGAATCATTTGGTTTCACTGGTGAATTAAGACAAGCTACCGGTGGTCAAGCTTTCCCACAATTAATTTTTGATCATTGGTCAATTTTAAGTGGTGATGTTAAAGATCCATCTTCAAAACCAGGTTTAATTGTTAAAGAAAAAAGACAAAGACAAGGTCTTAAAGAAGAAGTTCCAGATTATACTGAATATTATGATAAATTATAGGTGGATACTGGTCCAAGTTGAAAAACTTTTTTACATAAATAAATATATATATTATTGAAATTAATTGAAAGATCTAAAAAATATTTAATGTTTTGTAGTCTGTACACACGAATTCGATCAATTATGATGAAATTGATGAAATTGCTTTAAATTCGTCTGCTCTGCGATGCGTGACTTCATAGTTAATATATTGTTTCAAACTAGATTTTACTGTGCAGCACAAAGACAAAGCTGTTATGTTGTCTTGAAATTTACTAAAGTTGTATTTCTATGACTATGTTCAATTCAGTTTCGAAAAATATTCAATTCGGTAAAATCTACAATTGTTTAAAATTCTTAACAATATTAAAACGATTAATTCATAAAAAGCTACTTACAAATATATAAATTAATTTTTGATTTTTATTTTTTATTTAAATTATTTTTGAACACATTCAGTAGCTAATCTTGAAGATTTATCAACAGTCAAACTACAAGTATCAACACCTACTGCATTAGCTTTAACTTCTTTTGTTGTTCTAGCATATGATGGTCTAACATCCAATACAGGATTTTCAAGATGAATATTTCTTGGTCTTAATTGTAAATCAAAAATCTCTGTTGGCATAACTGGGAAATCTTCTGGAGCTGGGAAATGAGTAATACCAAAAGTATGGAAGAAAACAATATCAGTATTATCAATACTTGCTTTACCATCACCAATCCATTCTCTCATACCTCTTTTACCATCACCACTCCATTGAGCAACATGATCACCTGATGGATATAATAAACCATAACCATATTGATCATCTTTATATGGAATGACTTGAGTATGATTAGCAGCCCATGGAGCTCTTTTTCTAACTAATGAACCTTCTTGAGCTAATAATGGTGAACAGAAAGTTGAAACTAATTTATAAGTAGCTGGTTTACCTGAATATGGATGAATTGAATTTGGATTAAAAATATCCCAAGTTCTTGCAGTTGCACCATCAAGATTAGTAACACCATCTTTAACAGTTTTAAAAGTTTGTTTATCACAATAGAAAGCATTACCATACATATTTTCATTTGAACCAGTTGGGAATGGTGATGGTCTAGCATCACTTGTACCTGCTGAATTATTATCACCATCAATTCTTGGATGTAATCTTAATGAGAATAAATGTTGATGATTATGAGCATTAACATTTGGATAAACTTTTGTACCCCATGGTCCAATATCTTCATTATCACCACAAATATAAGTATTTAATATACCAGTTAATCTAACTTCTAATTTAATAGTACCATCTTGTCTAAAAATCCAATATAAACAATATTCATAATTAGCAGCTGTAAAAATTTGTGAAACAATTAATTTCTTACCTCTTGTAGTAACATTAGTTTGGAAATCATCTCTAAAATCTGAATGTTTAAATAATAAACCATCATCTTCTTCATGAATACAAACAGCATTTTTAACAGTAGTTGCTTCACCATCTTTATCTGGGAAATGAGCATCCATATAATGAATAACACCTTTACAATCACAACCTAAAGCTAATGGATTTGTACAATTACCAGCACCGTATTCACCAATATCTAAAGCATGTTTTCTTTGATGTGGGAAATCTGGTGAACCGTATGGAACCACCATTTCACATAAAGAAATACGATGAAATAATGATCTTGGTTTTCCATGACCATTCCAAGTCATATCACTTAAAACAATACCTTCACGATAATTGAAACCAATATGGAATTTGAAATTTGACCAAGTCATAACATTACCATCTAATTTAAATGAAACACCATTTGGTTGAGTAATATTGATAATAGTATTATCATCTCTATAACCTGATGGATTTTCTTTAGTACCAAATTTTTCTTGAATATGTTTTGGATGGAAACTTGAATGTTTAAATTTAGAAAGTGGTCTTCTAACTTGAGGAATATCAATGGAAATAACTTTACCAGCATTCATATCAACAATTGGACAAAAATCAAATGGATGTGAATAATGAGAATCATCTTCATCTGATCTATAATACATTAAAGCTTGTTGTAATCTTTTACCTGCACCCCATCTTTCATCATAACCAATAGTCCAAGCATCACAATAAATTTTATCCATTTGACCTTTTGGTAAACCACTCAATTCACATTGTCTAATAACTTCAGGATCATTACGAACAATATTTTCAGTTTTTTGTAAATCATAAGGAGTTAAAATTGGTTGAACACCTGTAGTGTTTTTAAATTCAATTAATTCTTGATTAGAAATATCAACTAAACCTTCATGGACACCTTCATCACCTTCAGCAACAATTACAAAATAAGCAATTCTCGGTGGTTTTGGACCATTTTTTTCTTTCCATTCATAATATGCTCTTTTAATTGGTTCTCTTAAAGTAACAGTATTGAAAATAATTGATTTATTCTTGTAATTATTTCTAACAATATTTGAAACTGATTTAATTTCTTGAGGTGATAATGGATCTAAAGGATGAGCTGGAGCTGGTGGAGCACCAACTGCTGCAGTAGTTTGTAATGCTAATTGAGCTAATCTTTCCATTTTTTGATAAAGTAATAAAATTGATTAAATAATTAAAACCCTTTATTAACTTAATTCTTGACTATGAAATAAAATGAAATGAAAAATTCAATGAATAATTGACAAGGACTTTGGTTATTTATTTATATAAATTATTTGGCAAGAAAAGCTGAAAAAAAAATAATCTTATCGAATTAATTATGTTATACATATTAAATTATTATTATTCATTATCGATCTATACTTATAAAAATATATTATTTAATATTCTTTGCATAATTAAAAATTGAAAAATTATCTGAACAAGATCTTATCATTACTCAATTTGTTATAATTTTCCACTAAAATTAATTTTGTTGATAGATTTTGTAACTAATTTTTTTTCAAAGAGAGGTGGTATAAATTACCTAATTGGTAACTTTTTTGCGCTGGACTTCAATTTTCAATTTGTATGATTATACTATTCCAATGAGATTGATTTATTAATTATCAAATATTAGCCAACCAATGGTTTGATCATTGCCAATATTATATCCGGTATTTGTGAAATAATAATCTAGGAGATTCTTTTATAATCAATGAACAACCAAGTAAAATTGCGAGGATATGCTCATCACCAATATACAGATGTCTCAAAGATCTTCTAGGATACGCTTAATCAGCAATACTTGAAGTAAACTGTGTCTGCTGGCATGGACAGGAAAGAGGTATTGGTACCATATTTGCAGACTATTACAGCCACTTGGTGATCCCTCTTTTTATTCGTTGATAAATTTTCAATTAATGTAATATCAAGCAAATTGATGTAGCTTTTAAATGCTTTAGAGACTTTTAAATGAAGATAGAAAAAAAATAATATCATTAAGGACCAATGAAGAAAAAATGTTGATATATGATTTTTTCTTGTTCTGGTCAATTAATTGTTAAATTTGAATTATAATAATTTGTTCAAGCTTTTTATGTCATCTATCAAGTAATAATTACTTACTTGGCTCATGCTGGCTGTTCTAATGTCTAGTAAAACTTTTACTTGCTGACTTCAAAAGACAATACTTGAAGTACCAAATTTTCCATAGTAGAGGACTGATCATTGGAAGAAAAATTTTTCAAATATTTGAACAAACTTACATTCTTCTCAAAGAATCAGCAAATTGTAATATTTTTGCATTAAATTAAATGATAATTTTTGCTTAGTGGGGATTTATTTTTGATCTTTGACTAGTGTATCGCATAATTGTAGAATTCAATTTACTCTTTAAAGTCTAAGACTTCTTTGATGGTTCTATTCATCACAAGATATATTTCAATTTCTTTTTGCTCATTGAAATCATTATATGTTGAGGTACGGATGAATAAGTTTTGAAACGGTTTTGTGTTTCTGTTTTGTAAATTAGATCGAACTAAATTCTTTTTGATTTTGTGTTAAACTGTTTAAGTCTCGTAAATTAGTCTAAAAATAGAAATTTCAATAAAACTTAAAATTACTATATATAACTGTCTAGAACTCAAGATATTAAAATACAACAAATTTAAATTATAGTTTCATTATTCATTTATTAAAACATTATATACAAATTACTGTTTTACTATATAGGGTATTTCATACATTTAATTCATGTTTAACCTTTTTTGACACATAATTAATTCTTTTATTTAAAATATTTAAACAAAAAGGTAATAAAACAAATCCAAATAAATTATAAATACTCCAACAATTAATTAGTATAATTTTAATTAAATTCAAACTTGATTTTATACTTTTTAAATCCAAATTATTTAAACAAAAATTTGAAATTGTTTGTGGGTTTGTTGATAAGCATAATTTATAGTCAAATTGATTTAAATTATTTAAAATTATTGATGTTAAAAATGAAACTTTTTCTGTATTAAAATTTAATATTTGTAAAATATTTATAATTGTATCTTTTCCTAATATCAATGACCAGATTGATATAATGATCAATAAACAATTATATGACCATATAAATTGGGTGAAAAATTTTAAGAAATTTTTATTTTTAGTGGTTGATGATATCATACTGTGATTTTGACAGTCAACTTTGTTGATGGATTGGTAAAAGTTTAAATTGTAATAAATGATATTGAATAAATAAGTTAAAGTTAACGATATATAAAAATAATCAAACTTTATAGTAAATACTTCTGACGTTGACAATAATAATAAGTTATTGGGTATTATGATTATTGAAGTTATTAAAAATGAAATAAATAAAAACAAATTATATACAAAGAATTCTAGTATTTTAGATTTGTTCCTTTTTTTGGTGATACGGTTTTCACTTTTTTCCTTATTCTCATCAACAATGTCATTTTGTGAGAAATTTATATTATTTGAAAATGATAATGTAGTTGAAATTAAATATATGAAAAAAATTAAAAAATCATGCAATTTTGAAAATTTTAAACAGTTTGACGAATTCATGGGTATAATAGTTAAAGTTATTAGATTAAAATTCCATATAATTTGTAGAACAAGTAATTTGGACTTTAATTTTATGTAGCTGTATATTAAAATAATTATTGATATTATTATATTCAAATAAAAATATGAAAATGTTGTTAATTGATATATTATTACATCCATTACTGATTTGTAACTCTCTAAATTCGTAATTGATATCGATGATAAGATACTCATATTAAACGTGATGATTTATTACCTGGTTATTCAATTGTTTTAAATAAGTTAACTCAATTAATGACGAAGTGATGTTAAGTGTAAATTGTAATCTTTTGTGAAAAGAGCTATTGACTTGGCCAATAATTCTTACAATATGAAAATATGAAATTTGAGACTTCCTTCAAGTGAGCTGTTTAACACATCTTTCAAAAATTTATTGGATTATAAATGAAATATATATATATTATATATTAATAATAATATTGTAATGATATATTAATAATTTTTTAATAATTAACACTTTATACTTTACGCATTATGCATTATAAATTAAATTAAAATTAATAAAGAATATCAAAAAAAAAGAATATGTAAGTAATTAAGGTAACAACGTAATAAGATAAAAAATTATAAATAGATCTTTGACTTAAATGCTTAAAATTTCCAATTAATATTAATCCAGTTTCGTCGTTTATGATATCTGGATAGATCTTTGACCTGTTCAATTTTAAGTATTAGTATATACAAAAAAGTAATATAAATTTATTGAATTTTCATATAATAAATGAAATAAACTAAAAAATATGTCAAAAAAAAATTAAAGTTTAAAATTAAAAAATAATAAAATTTAATTAAACCGTTTTAAGTTATAGTAATATGTATATGTACTTTTGTGTAATTAGAATAAGTATGAGTTTATTATATGAGAGATTTCCATCTATTCCGAAATTTGCTTTTACATTCATTTGATACTATGATTTTATACTTTAAATATAAGTAGGATATTAGATTAAAAAGATTATATACATATATACATGGTTATATAATATTAAGATGTCCGGGATAATCGATATTCTTTGAAAAGGTCATTAAGTTGTAAATTTAAAACGTTTTTTTACAAACTATACATTTCGAATTTTTTATAAGGGATGGCTAAAGTATTAGATCTCATAGTAAGCAAAACTTTTAAAACTTCTTTTTTAACACGATACGATAGCAAAGTACTGATATCCGGCTTTCAAGTTTCCAAAAGATTTTTGGTTTTTCAGTTTTTAAAATAGTTGTCGTATGCGTTTTTTCTACTTCTGGATTTACAATTACTTTTTTTAAACGACAATTAAAGAACAACAAATTTGAAATACTTCTAGTAGAAAACCCCTTTGCTTTGATAAATCAAAATCGGGTAATATCATAACTCATCTCTATTTATAAATTCATACTATTTGGTAATATCATAACTCATCTCTATTTATTAATTTTAACTATTTGGGTCTGGACTTACTCCACTAAATAATTTAATTAAAACATGAAATTTCTCAAATGTTACTTAATTTGGGTACCTAATTGTCATTTTAAATGAAAAACAATAGACTTAAAATTTAATATCAGCCGATTCATAAACTAATTTGTTAAATTGTTTGCATAAATTTGAAATATACGATGAGACTAAATGCAAAAAAAAAACATCCGAAATTTGAAAGATAGAAAACTCGGCTATAAATTATTTTATAGAAGAAAATTTATTACCGATAATAATAACGCATATTATGAATCAATCAAAGTCTGTCGCATGCAATACCCTTCTTAAAAATAACCTTAATTTGATCTGATTCATTTGTATTTGCGCTCTAATCGTATAAGTAAGTTTGACCTGAAGACACTTGAATGCATACGAGCCATAGATAACTTGATTTTGTTCCATCTCAACTAAAAAATTTTCTCTTTACTTTTGCTTTGTTAGATTATTGTGGTATCGTTCATATACTGATTTAAAATGGTAATTCCAAATACTAATATAAATTCAATCTAAGGAAAGCATTGTTACCTTTAAGGCTGGACTCACATTCCTTGATACGGTTTACTGCAATTACCATGGTTGTATTTTTGTTTGATAATTCAAATTCGTCAACAACGACTGCTTGAAATTTACCAACTTCAAAATCCGAGGCTTTTAAATTTATAATACTCGTTGCGCTGTATATTAAGAGCTATGTTGTAGGATTGAATGGCTCGAGTCATATTTGAATTTGAAACATTCTGATCAAATTTGGTTGCAAAATTTACTACAACTTTGGTAGCTCCAAGTTATCGAAAACATCTCGCAGAAAAGTTTAATTTGCGAAATCATTAAAATCAAGCTTTCAAAACGATCAGAATCAACCATAATTAAATTTGCATTTCCAAAATATACAATTCAACAATGAAGTACATAGTAGAGCATATGGAAGAAGGATTTTCTGAATGGGTCATATTAGAATATTCACAAATAATACGAGACGTTGGAAAAGAAAATCTTATATTAACATCATTACCATCAACAACTACAGAAAAAGATATCCCTAAAAGACTATTAGATATGGGATTACAATGGACTACAAAAGAATGTATAGATTTGGAATTTGATGGGAAAATTATCAATCGAGATGAAATTGCATTACTTGATCCAGCTGCTACAACAGATTTAATACCTGAAGATAAATCCAAAATTGAATATTTTCTTCTAGCTGGAGTATTAGGAGAACATCCAAGAAAAGATAGAACAGGAATATTACGTGAAAAATATAAATTTTTAGGTAGAAGATTAGGAAATTTACAAATGACTACTGATAGTGCTGTAAGAACTGCACAAAGGATAATTGATGGTACAAAATTTGAAGATATAAAATTTTTGGATTATCCAGAAATAAAATATAATAAATATGAATCTACTGAAATGCCATTTAGATACATTGTTGATGATAATAATGAACCTATTTTACCTGAAGGAATGTTGGAATTGATTAGAAAAGATGCAGATCAAAGTATTGATGATTTATTAATAGATGAATAAATATATTTATTTTTAAAGAATGTCAATATAACGTTACTGTTTCAGTAACAGGTTTTTGATTTTTAGATAATACTTCTTTCATTATAAATCCAGCAGTATTTTCATCTTCATAATATGATATATGTGCACTGACTGCAGAAACTAAGGATATATCTAGTACACCCATTGGTAAACTATAGTCAATTCTACCGGAATCGTTTAATGCTGTTAATGTGACTAATTCTTTTGAAGTTAATTTTCTTTCGTGAGGTTCGACATCATCATTTTGTTCTGATTCTCCATCCGGTTTTATAACACTAGATATTATATCACCTAATGCATTTTCATTTTGAGCTTTCTCTTCTATTGATTTTGATTCTTTGTTTGGTGGTTGTTTTTGAGTTAAACTTAACCATTTTACAGCAGATGATATTTTTTCAGATATATCATCACCTAAATTAGCCAAATCTTTAATTTGACTATTTAATCCTTTAACTGCAAACTCAACGGGTACAGCTTTAAAATCTCCAAATTTAGGTGCTACTAATGGTTCTACTCTATAAGCAATTGGATCACATGGATGGAATAAATTATATAAGTTTTGACATTTTGGTGAAACAATATTAGACTCTTTATTTGGTTGATAATTTTTATCTTGTTGAGATCTTGCTTCAATATTTTTACCTTCTAATAATTTGAACATACCTACTGGAGAACCAAGAAGAAATAAATTTTCAACATCAAATGCAAGATCTTTTTCAACATCAATTTCTCCTGTTATTGTTCCACTTTGACCAGATAAAATATCAAATGAAATGGCTGAACCTAATGAATGACCCAAAATATGAACTTTACCATTAAAATTTGGGTTTTTTTCCTTGAATAATTTATAAACTCTATTGGTCTCAGATATAACAGCAGTGAAAATTTGTTGTAAATAATTTGGCTGATAATATAACAAAACATCCAATACAACATCACCAAATATATTTCTTAAAGCTTTTATACCGTCGACATTTATTTGAGATAACGTAGGTAATCTTGAATCCTTATTTTCCTTTTTTGTCATTTGTGGTCGAAAATCAACTCTATGTCTCCAAGATATTGGTAATACTTGAATTCTATTATTATGCTCATCTTGTTTACCATTTGGGTAGGCTAGCTTTTTATAATCATCATTTTCTTCAAAGACTTTTTTCATTGTATTTCTTAAAACATTTATATTGTGAGTAAAATTAACTGATTCATATTTACTCCCCAAAACTTGTCCAATTCCATGAACACATAAAATCAAATGATCGATTTCTCTATTTGATTTAGTTACTGAGGTTTCTAAATCATAATCTTTTTCAAGATATTGTTGCATATGTTTATCATCAATTTCATTATCAGCAGTGGATGATTCATTTGAAATTTCATCAACATTTTTAGAATCAGATTTATTTAAATCTTTTCCCAAAATATAACCAAATTCATTTTGGAAAGTATCAGCAATTCCAGGTAATGGATTATCTGGTAATTTATCAAATAAACTTTTTTTCAATTTTTCAGAATATCCTCTTTCAATATGTTTAACACCTAATAAAGAAACTTGATTTGGTCCAAAATATCTTATAATATCAATTCGAAAATCAGTTGCGATGTTTATTGGGAAAATAGCTGCTTGATTTTTATTAAAATATAGTACAAGTTGATCATTACTTAATTTATAAACATCCTTTTGTCCGCTAACGTCTATTTCATGTTCTTCTTCATCTTCGTTCCCTTCAATTTGAGATTTATTAAATTCTGATATTTTATTTTTATTTAATTTTGCATTACTTTCGTTAAAGTCGGAATCAAATGAATATGGTTTCACTTTTTTGAATCCAATTTCCAACTCTTTAGTTAGTTCACCATTTAGTGGTTTACCATCAGAATCAAACCAAACTCCTCTTCTGACTTCATAAATTGGTCCATCCCAATAAACAGGAGCTAATTGAAATTCATTAACATCTACTTCAAATAACTTATCTTCATTTACTTCAATTGGTTTACTGTTCAGTTTATCTTTATTTTTAAATTCTCTTTCTAGATTATTTGAATCATATTCTGAAAATGGAATAAAAGATTCTGGTTGTTTTGTTTGTTTGTAGTGAAACCAATCTGGCTTTGAAATTGGTACGTCGGAGGCATAAAACCACCTTACATTAGGATTTGATACATCATTTTTCGATTGAGGTGAGTTTGGCAACACTTTAGTGGTTGTTTTAAACCGTATTGAAATTAATTGTTTCGGTCGCAGACATGAATACGGACTCTTATATGTCAATGGTATAGTTCTTCGTACTATAATCATGATCTCTGAAAATCAATATATATAATTTACTGATTTTGTGGTTGTTGTGAATAAACATTTCTTTTTATTGTATTTTGTATAGCAACCTTACATTAATTATATTTAATGCATGATTTTGTTTCACATTTTTTTTTTTTCATTTGGTTTCACATGTTAAATATGGAGTACGCGAGTGAAGTCACGAGACCAATTTATATAGAGCACAAAGAGTTTGGACACTTAATATTGTTGAGCAATTGTATATTATTTATTATGTCAATCCTGGTAATGGTAAAGTCAATTCACCACTTGGCCATTTTAATATAGCAGCATTTGAAAAATCACTATATAAATTTGTATTTGGTATTTTCCTACCAATTCTTATATATATTGGAATATCACCTTTTGAATCTTTTAAACCATTGCTTAAGCCATCTTGTACCCAATCATATATAGGGTTTGAAGTGTTTGTTAAGACTTGTTTCAAATCAATTGATGAGGAACCATCTAATATGAGATGTTCTATATCATTAATTAGAATAGATATCGATGAATATTTTTCATAATTTGTTGAAACTTTAGTTATGTTGGTTGGTATATTTTGCCAATTCAATGAACCAGTCAGTGAATTATAATCTGTAATGATAGGTGGTATCAATGAACCTTTTGGATCATCTCTTTTTAGTGATGTTATAGTTTCAGCAATGGCTGCTAACCCCCATCTTGAGGCACCTGATAAAAATAAACCTAGTAATATCCCTTGAAACATTAAAGCTGTTCTACCTCTTGTAGCACAACCAGGAATTAATAGCATTGCTAAGATATAATGATGAACTCTTAAAGTTAAACCAGGTATACCCGCTAAAAATATTAAACCAATAACAAATATGGAATATATAAGTAAATATTTTTGAAATCTACCAGATAACCAAATTTTATAAGCTTGAATAAATGCACATGTTGTTATAGTTATTATGATTCCCGAGACTGCCAACATCGCACCAGATTGTTCTTTTAAATCACTAATGGTTAATCTATCAACAGGCAATCTATCAAATGTAACATTATTTAATACTCCCAACCAAAATAAAGGATAAAACAAAAACAATCTTGATAAGTACGAAACTTTTTCATTTGGTGAAGTAGGTTCTGATAAGGTTCTTTTTGTTGAAAAATGCCAAAGAATATATAAAATGGAACAAGTAGGTAAAAATCTTTCTAAACCTATTGAAATTAAATATGCAAAATCTTGTGGATCTGTTGCATCAACATTGACTGGTGGATCGGTAGCTAAGCAAATAGTCCAAAATCCAACTATATTAGTTACCCAAAATGTAATTGCTCCACTAGCTAAATAAACTATTGGTATTCCTAATAGAATGTTTATTATCAAAATTATTATTCTTGGATCTGTACATTGAATAAATTGGTCATTATCATCACTAGAAATCAAGTTTTTGAAAAAAAATGAAGATTTAAAAAATGAATTAAAATTTATTGAATTATCAACTCCATAATGACCTTTAGTTGAATTAAAAAATGGTTGATTACCACTCTTGTATGACATCCTTGCACAACCACCCCAAATAGGTGAAACAATACCAGCATGTACAGCAGCACCACAAGGATAAGAATCAGCTCTATAAGGATTTGTAATTTGATTTTTATCTATACTTTTTTGAACTTTATCACCACCACCAATAAAATAACCACGATATTTAATTCTTTGATCACCTATGGGCATTAAAGAATATGTCCAACTACCTCTATCACATAATGCAGGACATCTTATAATTATATCTTTTTCACCTGTATGTTTTAAAATATCTGGACATAATTCACCATTTAATCCACATGCAGTGTTTTTACCATTCCAGAATTCTGATTGTGATGAACATGATAAAGAATAAATATGAGATTTTGGATCTTTATTTGAATAAGGAGGTATTGTGAAATAAGGTATTAAAATTGTATAAATCAATCCAAACCAAAATATTAGATAAACAACTAATAATAATCTTTTATAAATCAATGGAATCCTTCCGTTAAATTTATCAGGTATTTCTTCAAAATATTCTAGTTTTGTTATTCTTGGAGCATATTCATCTTTAGGTTCAATTGGTCCATTCCATAATCTATAAAAAAATCTTTTGATTTTAGAACTAATTCCTTCATCTTTATATAATCCAATATATTCATCATTGTCAGATTCTATTTCAAAATTTTCTTCATCATTTTCATTCCCATTATCGTAATTTCCAGGTGATAATAAATGAGATTGTGACATTTTTGTTATGGAAGGAGTTGAAGAAGAAGAAGTAGTTAAACTTGAACTTAAATCATTCAATTGTATATCTTCAGATTCAGTAAGATCTGAATTATTATATAATGTAGTTGATCTTTTTAAATTTAAATCTTGTATCTTTTGATTATTATTGGTAGTAGGTTTATGTTTCATAAAGTAAAATGTAAAATTAAAATTATTAATACTTGAAAGTAAGATTATGTATGTATTGTTAATTTATAATTTTATTATTATTTAATTTAAATTTTTCCTTTATCGTAAATTAAATATTTTTTAGTTAAAGAGTTTTATAAATAAAAATTCAAGGGTTTATATTTGTTAACAAAATATAATCAAGTGTAGGTCATATACCAAGCTTTTTATTTTAGAGATTTTAAAGCTCAAACTTTATTCCGATCTAGATCTTGTATCTAAAGTTTTTGAAATAGATTGCAAAATCTCTCAAATCATGATTTTGAAAACCTTGTGTGAATACAAAAAATTATCTGAAACAGAAAAATAAATTATAAGAGTTAATAAAGAATAAGAAATATTGAAATTTGAAAATTATTAATATTTATTAAAATACAAACACAAGAAACTATAAAATCAATCTATAAAATTTCTAATTTATCCTGAACACATCGTACAGGATTCAGGGTTTTCAATTGAGCAAGCAATGACTTTACTATTGTAAATGTCATTCTCTAACTCCTCAATTGTTTTCTCTTCAACTACATCTTTTTTAGTTTCATTTTTAATTGATAATTCTTCCATTGAAGAATTTATTTCAGTTGCTGGTTCGTTAGATGGACTTGTTGTTGAACTTTTACCAGTATCAAATGAATCATCAGCTAATGAAGTATCTCTTGATTTATTTAAAAAAGTTCTTCTATGTAATTTATCAAGACTTGCAATTTGATTACCAGCAGCAGCTGCTATTTCTTTATCTATAGTGAATTGAATTGCTGCACTTGCTGCTTGAGTTCTTAAATAATACATTCCTGTTTTTAAACCTTTTTTCCAACCATAGAAATGCATACTTGTTAATTTACCCATAGTTGGATCTTTAATATGTATATTTAATGATTGTGATTGATCAATAAAAGCAGCTCTATCGGCAGCCATATCAATAATATGTTTTTGAGATATTTCCCATACTGTTTTATATAATGCTTTAATTTCCAGTGGGATATTTGGTAATGCTTGAATTGAACCATTATTTGAAATAATACTACTTTTCATTGAATCATTCCATATACCTAAATCAACTAAATCTCTTAATAAATATGGATTAACAATTTGAAATTCACCAGCTAATACTCTTCTTGAATAAATATTTGAAGTAAAAGGTTCAAAACATTCATTATTACCTAAAATTTGTGAAGTTGAAGCAGTTGGCATTGGTGCAACTAATAATGAATTTCTTAATCCATGTTTTGCAATTTTTGATTTTAATTCATCCCAATCCCATAATTCTGTAGGTTTTCTATTCCATAAATCAAATTGTAATAAACCTTGAGATGCTGGTGATCCTTGATAAGTTTCATAAGCACCTTCTTCTTCAGCTAATTCAACACTTGCTTCAACTGCTGCATGATAAATAGTTTCAAATATTTGAATATTTAATTCTCTTGCCTCTTGAGAATCAAATGGAATTCTTAAAACCATAAATGCATCAGCTAAACCTTGAACACCTAATGCAATTGGTCTATGTCTCATATTTGATTTTTCAGCTTCTGGTACTGGATAATAATTACGATCAATAACTCTATTTAAATTTCTTGTAACAACTTTTGTAACAGCATGTAATTTATCAAAATTATACCAATTATTTGTATCATCTGAATCAATAAATGAAGGTAAAGCAATTGAAGCTAAATTACAAACAGCAACTTCTTCTGGTGAAGAATATTCAACAATTTCACAACATAAATTTGAAGATTTAATCATACCTAAATTTTTTTGATTTGATTTAGCATTACAAGCGTCTTTATATAACATAAAAGGAGTACCAGTTTCAGTTTGAGCTTCTAATATAGAATACCATAATTTTTGTGCTTTCATAGTTTGTCTACCTCTACCTTCTTTTTCATATTTTTCATATAATTCAACAAATTCATCACCATAATGATCAGCTAATCCTGGAGCTTCATTTGGTGAAAATAATGTCCAATCACCATTTTGTTCAACTCTTTTCATAAATAAATCTGGAATCCATAAAGCTGGAAATAAATCTCTTGCTCTAATTTCTTCTTTACCATGATTTTTTCTAATATCAATAAAATCAAGAATATCACTATGCCATGGTTCAAGATATAATGCAAATGCACCTGGTCTTTTATTACCACCTTGATCAACATAACGAGCGGTATTATTGAAAACACGAACCATTGGAATTATACCATTTGAAGTACCATTTGTACCAGCAATATAAGCACCTGTAGATCTAATATTATGTATATGTAACCCAATACCACCAGCACTTTTTGAAATTAAAGCACAAGTTTTTAAAGTATCATAAATACCTTCAATAGAATCTTCTTTCATTGCAACTAAAAAACATGAAGACATTTGAGGTTTTGGAGTACCAGCATTAAATAAACATGGTGAACCATGAGTAAAATATCTTTGAGACATTAAATTATAAGTTTCAATGACTCTTGGAATATCATCACCATGAATACCAATAGAAACTCTCATAATTAAATGTTGAGGTCTTTCAGCAACTTTACCATTAATTCTTAATAAATAAGATCTTTCTAAAGTTTTAAAACCAAAATAATTATAATTAAAATCACGATCATATACTATAGCTGAATTTAATTCATCTGAATGTTTTAATATAATATCATAAGTTTCTCTTGAAATCATTGGTGCATGTTTACCAGTTTCTGGATTAATATATTCATATAACATTTTTGAAACTACTGAATATTGTTTTGTAGTTTGTTTATGTAAATTTGATACAGCAATTCTTGCAGCTAATATAGCATAATCAGGATGAATTGTTGTCATTGTTGCAGCAGTTTCAGCAGCTAAATTATCTAATTCAATAGTTGTAACTCCTTGATAAACACCTGATATAACTTTTTGAGTGATAGCAACAGGTTCAACATGATTTGGATCTAAACCATAACATAATCTTTGTACTCTTGCTGTAATTTTATCAAACCTAACTGGTTCTTTTCTACCATCTCTTTTAAAAACATACATTATTGATGACTTATTTCTTATTATAAATGGATGAAATCAGAATAATGATAAGATGATATAAGTAAAATTACTCTAATAATAAATGATGATATATATAAATGAAAAGAAAAAAGATACTATCAAAATGAAATGTTTATATTTTGGTTGTAAAAAAAAAAAAGAATATTGAAAAGATTATATAATTTATTAATATTAATATCATAAGTATAATATAATAGTATTATTAATATAATTTCTCTTTTTTCTATACATTAATTAACGTGACGCGTAATTTTATTATAAAGAATTATTTTTATATATACGCGATTGAAATTCTATATAATACTACTTGATTAAGATTTGTTATTATGTAAGTTGATTAGTTATCAATATATCATCATTACACAACTAAATCAATTACTTTTTAAATGATCTATTTACTATACCTTTTTTGGAATTTATCAAAATATTGATTATAATTTTTATATATATATATTTGATAATTTCATTTTGTATTTAAATTAAGAGATCAATTGTAATATTTCGGCTTTCTTTTTGATTTGATGATATATGTATTTTTAAATTAGCTTAATTTGTTTAGATCAATGACTAGTTAATTTACTTAATTTGACTCATATATTTATGTTGATAAATATTTTGTTTCCATTTCGATCTCATATAAATTTTATTTTTTGTGAATAGATTTTGTGGATCTGATCTCATCTTTCCTAATTTGTAAGTTAAGATTAAGACTAAAAAATTAAGAATTGATAGTCCATAATTCGGACTATGAAAATTACAAGTACTTTATATAATATTAATCTCTCGATATTTTCTGTCTGAAAATTGGTTGATTTCTTTATTGATTTCTTGATTTTCATGTATAAGAAATAATGTGCTTATATCTTAAAACGGTGAGAGGTTATTGTCACTATTAATGATAACCAAAAAGCAAATACGGTCATTCGCACAATTTTGTATAGTCTCATCAGTTTATTAGAAAGTACTCACTTACTCTACAATGGTTTTTCAAAAGTCAAAAAATAAATATGTATTCTTAAAATAAAACGATTAATTTCGAGGCTTCTACCAGAAAAACCCTAATCATTATAAATTGTTATCTTGATCTCATTCAATTGAATTAGCTTAGAGTTTCAATGACTTCTTTCATCTTTATTAAATTTCCTAGAAATGAAGTTAGTATTTGATTGCATAATTAATTGGGAAAAATAGTCCATGAATGGTTGAAGTAATTGATAACAATTGCCCCTTAAAATTGGTCTTTTTTTCTTTAACAAAGTAATACTAATCAATTTACATACCCTTCAAGTTTATCAATTTCATTTTGTTGTCCTTGACTTTTAATCGGATTATAAGGACTTGCATCAGCAGCTTTAGTTTTAATTTCTTTATCTTTGACTCCTAAAAATGGTGGAATTATAACTGATCCTGCTACTAAACCTAATGTTACTATTGCTAACTATATTTTTGGGTAATGTTAGTATATGTAAATTTTAATTATAAGAACCAATGCAAATTATCTCCTCAATTGCTCAATTGGTTAGTGTATTTTTTTAACATACAACATGTGCTGGTACTTTTTGTCCAAATATAACGTAGTGATTAGCCATTTTGTTTAATATACTTTGTGAAATATGTTCTGATTAAATTTGGTCCTTTTTTATTTTATTTTGCGGAAATCTAATCATTTATATAATTTATTTAAATTTGATTGCTTCTATACAATTCTTTGAAAAAATCATAAGAGCAAAACTAAAAAAATCGATGTAATATGTACTAAATTAAAACATCTGCTTGACGTACTACAAGAGATCTGCATTACGTACGTACCATGAATATGAGGTAAGACTGTGATGTAATTGTGGAGATTTGAATTTTTATCGAGAAGTCGAGGCGATTAAGGGGAAATTTGAAACTTAACTATTTCAATTTTATTAGATTAAAATAAGTTCTATTAAAATATTCAATTATTCAGATTTATAAGTTTTAGCTAATCTCCAATAATTCTCCAATTTAAATTTTTTTAATACATTCATTGCTTCATCATCATTTCTTGAATACATTATACTCCATTTTTGAAAATTAACATCTGGTAATTGACCTTCCCAAATTATTTTACAAGAGTTTTTTGTGTCATTATCATCATCATCATTATCACCATTAGATTTATTACTGTTTGAAGTTTCAATCATTGCTTCATCTTCTCCTTCATTACTAATAACTTCTTCCCATTTAATTCTATTCATTAACAATTTCTTATACTGTTTAATTGATTTCTCACCACCTTCCACAATTATCAAATTAAATTCAGGATTTTTTAAACATATTCCATATAAATTATGTTGTGTTGCATTCTTATCAACTTTAAAAGCATGTGATGGATTATCTAAATTATCAATTTTATAAACAGTTGAAAATATTCCTTTAGCTAGATCTTTTTCTTGTTTTTCATATATTTTAGCATTTTTTTCATCTTTTGTTAATTTTCTTGCTTCATTATCAGCTAAATGTTTTTGCAACCTTTCTTCAATTTCTTGTTTAACTTTATTTTCAACTGCTGTTGGATCTCTTATAGATTCATTAGTCAAGACATTCATTAAATTTGATAATTTCACTTTTGGTGGTGGTGGTGGTTCTAATCCTAATTTAATTCTATCTTGTTTTTCTTTATGTTTTATTTGTCTATCATTTTTTCGTATTCTTTTACGTTCTTTCTTTGTGAGAAACATTGGTTTTAATTGATTTTGTTCGGGATTATTCCATATTGGCGGGATTAATACTGGATGTTGTATATAAATAGTTATTGGTTGTTCTTCATTCTCTAGTATTATTCTTGAATCATCATTTATTTTCAAGTAATTGTTATCTCTTAAATAAGGTCTATCCCACCATTCAATTAAAGGTGGATATTCAGGTTGATATAAATCTTCTCCAACTGATTTATCTGGAATTAATCCCTTTTCAGCTAATTCTTCATGTAATTTTCTTTCTTCATTTTCAATTTTTAAATTTTCCCTAAATTTATTACCTTTTTCAATATATTTACCTTTATTATTGAAATTAAGTTTTTTTGGTTTATGACTTGGGATTGAATTGGTTTGGTTAATGTATGGATTAAATGCAGTTGGATCAAACCATTTTTTGGAATTTTGTTTAATTGGATTTTTATTTGATTTAAAAGTTGATGGTGTATTGAAATTTTTTAGCAATGGATGTAGTTCAACATCTAATCCCTTCCCGGTTTTGTTAACGTTTGCCTTTTTATCTATTGTATTTGACTTATCATCTTCATGTTGTCTTTTGTTGTTAACCATATTAACCACTTTAATAAATATAAGATATAAGACTAATATTTTTACATTACGTAATTACAAAGTGTATTCATAGTTAGCAAATATATCTTTACTACTAGGAAATAGCTCGGGTCAAGTGGTAGCTCTATATCTGATAAGTCAATAGTAATAACTTGGGGAAACCACAATTCAATAACTATATGATTATTCAAGAATAATAAAGTAAGCCAGTATTGACTTCAAGAATCTGATTAAACTTTTGTCTTTCTGCTGTCTTTTTCAGTTTTAAATTGTATTGATTAATAATATTTTTATTATTATTCTCTTTAATATTTAATTTGAAACAAAAAAAAAAATTTAATTTCAAATCATATTTTTTAAATTATTTATAAAAAAAAGTTATAGGCAACCAACCTTAAAAAAATTATTAGTTTCATCAAATAACTCTCGAACTTTAAATCAAAAAATCATTAATACCAACTATTGATTAATAAATCATAATAATGATTATCGAGAAAAGGGAGCATCTCCAGAGGATGGAAATGGCTCAACCTGTAAAAGATTTAATTAGTGATCTAATAGACAGTACAGATGATGAATTTCCTATTAAATTGAAATCTAATATTAAATGGAATAGAGCAAGAGGGGATTTATTACATTGGATTCCAATTCTAAATAGAATTGATGATATTCTAGCAACCTACATAAAAGAATACGATTTAGAAAATGAATATCCTAAACTACTTATAATACCAGAACCAGATAAAACCAAGATCATTTCATGTTTGGAGTTCACAAACACTTTATTAAATAACTGTTCAGATAAACAAATTTATTCAAGTTCAGAAAGAATATATGCATTAATAAATACACCTACTTTAAATATAAGGCTAAAAGCATTAGAAGTAGCAGTTATGTTGGGAGAAAAATTTGTAACTACTGGTGCTTCGAGATTTTCTGCTCCAAAAAATGCTAGAAATAAAATATTGGAATTAGCAAGATCGTATCCTCCATTAGTTCCACTGGATTGTCCATCAAGACAGTATGAAATGGATCAATCAAAAGAATCAAATGATATTTCAAGTATTATAGGAGATCATTATAATTTTGTAAGTACATTAAATCCAAATAAAAGTTTACCAAAAAAATGGAAGAGTATAAATTTTCAATATTATAAATCAACAGTTGCAAATCAAAATGCAAAAGATAAGAATTCCGTACTGGAAGGTCTTCAAATTTTTTCAATTCCAGAAGATTCAGTTGCAAAATTTTCACTAGATCAATTGTTTGCAAAAGGTATGGAAATTTTACCTAAAGATTCTTGGTTTGCCTATTCTATAGCTGCAGAAGTTGCAAAATCTTTTAATTCACTGCTGCAAGAAGCATTTCAACTACGTGAAAAATTAATTCAAGTCAAATGTCTAGCAACTGGATTTTCATGTTGTATGTTATCAAATCAAAATACTTCATCAAAATTATTGGAAACTGAACCTTACATTTTAAGCTTTTTAGTTGATGCAATACTGCCTGATAATAATAAGATTGTTTCAAAAGACGTTTTTTATTCAGCAATGAAAGCACTTGAATGTATCTCAATGAAAAAAGTTTGGGGTGGTGACATATTAAGGTGCATGAATGGAAATGTTAGTCATGGAACTTTATTTCAATGTTTAAGACATATTAAAGACATGGTTGAACGTGATGATCCAAACTATTATGAAGAAGCTTATATATTATTTTTCAATATGCTTGGTAATATGATAACAACTAAAAGTCTTCTTCCAAGACTTGCATCAGGTGGATTATTGAATGATTTAATGCCATTTTTGAACATACGGTCAAAATATAAATGGAGTTGCTCTGCAGCTGTTCATCTGCTTGCTTTATATCTTTCAGCAAATATTGAGTCTTCATTGGATGAGTTTATTGCAAATGGTGGGTTTACATCTTTAATTAATGCTATTAGACACGAAATTCAATTTGCCCTTGCAAATCCCCAACATTCAGATCCATTTCATGGTGAAATAGCTCCATATTCAGGTCTACCATTAAGAAGAGTTAATTATTTAAAAAATTTGATGAAATTGGTTGCAGATTTATTAAATTCAGATCAAGGTGATAGACTTAGGAATTTATTCGATTCACCAATACTTGAAAGTTTCAATCAAATAGTGACAAATCCTACTCTATTTGGACCTCAAGTTCTAGCATATACTATTGATTCAGTGTTTTACATAATTCATAACGAACCAACCGCATTTTCAATATTGAATGAAGCTAAAGTGATTGATACAATTTTGGATAATTATGGAAAATTGTTTCTACCATCTGGTCAATTATTAATGTCATTACCTGAAGTTTTAGGAGCTATCTGTTTAAACAATGAAGGTTTAGAAAAAGTTAAACAAAAAAATAGTATTGCAACTTTCTTCAAATCATTTTATGACTTATCACTAGCTAAAGTTTTGGTTAAGTCAGATATGGCTACCAATTTAGGATGTTCATTTGATGAATTGGGAAGACATTATTCTAGCTTGAAACCGATCATCTTGGAAGAGGTAAAGAAGTTATTAGTTGAAATGGTACCATATGTCGAGGAACGCATGAAAGGAATCAAAATTTATAATGAAGACAAATCTTTCTTTTACAATGGAAAAGATTCTGCAAATTTACAATTGACTAAAGATGGGAAAGAAGTAGAAAGTTGGGATAATCAAGATTGTGCTTTTTTACTTGATAATGTATATTTTTTCCTTGGTGGTTTATTACAAGATAGTGGCCAATGGGGATCTGATGTTGTTCGTAAAATCGATTTTAACATTTGGCTTCATTTTATAACCCTTAAAAATGCTCCTTATGATTACTTTTTATCAAATGGTATATCTTCATTGATGGGCATATTAAAATATTTTGATGATGAAAATAGAGAATATGGTTTTCCTATAGTGGTGGAAAAATTAAGAGATTCTTTTGGTAATGAATTATTAAACAATTATATATTTTATGAAGGAGATGATTCCTTTTTTGATACCCTTGATCCAACTGAAGCAGATGAATTATTGCAAGTTTTAAACCAAGTTAATACTTTATTGTTTACATTAACGGAAATTTACATGAATTTAGGTTTACTTTTTAACGATAGAATTAATCAAATTTTAGATCAATTTGGTACCTATCAAACTTTTAGTAAGTGCTTATACATGCTTTTACAAAGAAGTATAATCGAAGAAACCATTTTACGAAACCGAACACCTGATGAAGTTTTAAAATTAACTTCCAATTTCCCTAATGACAGTCCACCATTACAAATTCATGTATGTGATCCAGCAGATTCAAAAGCTGATACTTCATACACAAACCCTCAATTTAAAAACACTTTGCAATTCCGTACACTTAATTATTATTTCCAAGGATACATCGCATTAATATTTGCCACTGCCGTTCGAGCTTGTATGCCAAAAAGAACTGACTTTATGTGCTACCTGTCTAAAAAAGATGCAATAATATTCATATTATGGATTGCTTATTTAATGACAAATTCATATGCTCACCCCGTTGAACCAAGATACAATAAACAATGTTACCTTATGGCAATATCAAACGTTAATTTATATATAATTAATCAAAAGGAGAGAAACAAAGATAATGTTTTCACTCCTATAATAATGGCATTATTTCAAACTTTATTTTATGACGTACTTACTGAAGTGACATTTGACTTAATAAAAGATTTAGTTAAAATGGATCCAGAAGAAGTACAAGAAACTGCAGAACTTAAATATATAAGCCCACAACCAAGTAGTGTTGTTAAAAATGCTATTAGTCAAAACCTTATGATATTTGCTAAATCGGTTAATGGTGATGAATTGAGTAATTTTCCATTTGCTAAAGGGTTTTTTGCAAAAGGTTATGGTCCAAATATTGATTCTGAAATAATATCATCAACTTTACTTCAAATTAGAGATAAAGCACTTGTATTGGTTGAAAGATTAACTGGTTTAATTACAAAATCAAATGACAACGCTCTTGAAATGAAGAATATACCCACTCCATTGATTGAACAACTTATATATATTGCTGTGAACATTTTTGGTGCTAAGAAGGAAATACCTTCAGAATTTGTTCCATTAGCAGAAGAATTGGTATTTCCACCCGAAGAACAAGTGGCTTTTCTAATATCATTAGGTATGTCAGAAAGTCAAGCAGAGCATTATTTTGAGCATGAAACTGATTTATCAAACTTACGTAAAGGGAAAGCACTACCTTGTCCTGAATTTAGTGAATTTTCAGCAAAAGACTGGAAAAATTTTGCCAGAGAATTGAATGAAAGTGATGTTGATTTTAGTGTGTATGTTCCTGATTTTAAAAAGAGAAAAGATATACTAAAAGATAGAGATCAAAAATGGTCTTCTGATGATTGGTTGAATATTGCAGTTACTTATCCAAAAACTGCTCATTTAATTGCTGATCTATTCTTGACATTACATAAAGGTCAAATTATTGACGTTTTGATTAATAAAGTTTCTCAAGATATTCAAAACTTGGAAGAAGAAACTTATGTGGTTTATATTCATTTGATTTCATTGCTACTTCAAGACAATGATGTCAAAAAGAAAGGTGGTTTGACCGAAGTTGGCAAAATATTCAAAAAAGGAGTCATCGATGAACAAAACGTTGATAAAGGGTACTTTCAGTACTTGATGTCCATAGTAGAACAGAAATTGATAACTGAAGACGTTCCTGAACCGCAAAAATCCAAACATGATAAACTTGACTATAAAAAAGAAAGTAATAAAGGTCAAGTCGATGAAATGAAAGAAAATATTTACTCACAAATAATACCAATAAAAGAGGTGAAGAGTCTTAGATCTGCCAATGGTTTAGCTCGGGTACTTGCATTATTTGCTAAAGACCACTCGTTTGCTGAAAAAATATCACAACTACCCTTACTTGCAAATTTAATACAATTTTCCAAAGCTGAAAGTAAAGATAAGGTAGTTCAAGAATCCTTAAAAACAAGTGTAGTTCTTATGCTAAGATTTTGCTTCGAATCAAGAGATATTGTTGAATCTTACATGAAACCTGAACTTTCCAGCATTTTTGGTCATGGTATCAAACAATCCAAAAATTTGAGGGTATTATTGAAAGATAATTTATCATTGGTTTTCAGAGATCCTAAGGCACTTACTGATGAGATATCTAAAAATATTTTACTTGAACATTATGATGGTGGGAAAGATCTTGTTTTTGGAGATTTACAAGTTGTAAAAGCTAAGAAGGAAGAAGACTCTAAATCGTCAGACACTGAAATGACAGATCATGGTACAAAAGAATTAAAATCAGGAACAATTATGGGTGTTTTATTGACTGAATTAATGGAAGCTGTGAAGACTGACTGGGTATCAAATCCTAAGTCTGACAAAGAAGACAAGGACAAAAGTGATAAAAAAGAAGTTAATTTATTTGAAAATACCAATTTTGCATATATTTGTTTCTTATTACAAAGTATCACGGAATTATTAGGTTCATACAAACAAGCTAAATTTGATTTTTTGACATTTTCAAGAAAAGTTCAAAGTGAAATAAAACCCAGATCAACATCATTAAATTTCTTCATTCATCAATTGATACCAACACACCTGTTAGAAAGTTCTGGACCTGAGTATGATAGACGTTGTGCTGTTTCGTCTGTTGCAAAAATGTCAATTATGAGTTTAATTTCTTCACCATTATTGGATAATTCCGAAGAAACTAGTCCTAAAAAAGAGGATCCAGATCTTGCTTTAATCAGAAGATTTGTTGTTGATCTATTAATTAAAATTATGAAAGATACTTCGAATCTAAATATTACAGCTAGATCAAGGTATGGTAAATTACTAGATTTGTTCGATTTAAGTGGGGTTTTGATTTCACCTAAATTTAGAGATGCTATTGGACCTTTATTAAACAAGGAATCTACAAAATATGATATTTATCACATTACCAAAGTTTATGTTGAAAAACACTTACCACAATTATTAACTACTTTAATTGCCGAATTTGATTTAAATTTTCCAGAAATTGACAGAGTAATCAAAACTGTATTGAAACCAATTGCATACTTGGGTAAAAACAAAGTTGAGTATCAAGACTTATTTAAAGAAGAAAGCAAAGAAGAAAATGATGAAGACGATATTGTACCTGAAGATGAACATGAGGGTAGAGAAGAAACTCCAGATTTGTTCCGTAATTCTACATTGGGTATGTATGATGTTGATATTGATAGTGATGATGAACAATTTTATCAAGATGGTCCATTAGAAGTTATTATGTCTGGTGATGAAATTGATAGTGATGAATCATCTGAACTTTCAGCCATTGATTCTTCTGGTGACGAAGATGACAATGATGATGAGGATGAGGATATAGATATGGATGCAGAATCATTTGAAGGAGGTAATATTTATGAAGATGGCTCTGGTTCAGAAGGTAGTCTAGATGATATAGAAATTATTGATGAATTAGATATCGACTCATCAAGTGATGTTGAAAATTTTGATAATTCAGGTGAAGAAGAAATTGAGATAGATGACGATGATGATGATGATGGTGATGACAGCGAAAGTGAAGACGAAGATTCAGAAAGTGAATATGATGAAGATGAGTTAGACGGCTGGATTGAAGAGTTTGAAGATGGTCAAGATCCAAACGAATCTGCAAATGGTCGTAGTCATAATCGTCTGCGTGGTCGTCTGTTTAGTAATGTACATGATGCATTTCATTCATTTTTGCATGATCCGCATGGTTTCAGATCTGGAAGAGAAATTTTTAATGATGAGAATGAAGGATCTGAAGCTGAAAATAGTGACGATGAATCAAGACTGGAAGTTGATATAAGAATGATTAATACTCATAATCATGGATTAAGAAGAGTATTTGATCAAGCTGGATTTTCACAATTGGAAAGAAGTTCACCGGCTTTATCAGTTTTATTAGATGGACTTTTCAGAGAAGGAAATTTCAGAGGTTCAATTGAAATAAGTAATGAAGACAGTCGTGGTGGTGCTACTTCAATTGGTAGATTGTTTGAAAATATGATGCATCTTGGACAAGCTGCAAAACATGCTGAACATACTCATAATCTTCATATTAAATCTACAAAGGAGAGATGGGTGGACGCTTTGAAAATGTTTGATCCAAAAGATAAAGATGATTTAGTCTTAAGAGTTATACCCGGAATTATAGACAAAATAGATGAAAAAAGTGCTGAAGTTTATCAAGAAAAATTATCAGAGATGCTGAAACTTAGAAAGGAAAGAGAAGAAAAGGAAAAAAAGAGATTGGAAGATGAGCAAAAAAAACGTGAAGAAGAGGCTAAAAGAAGAGAAGAAATTGCAGCAAATGCTCCACCAAGAGATCCAGTTATGGTTAGAATTGGAGATAGAGATGTTGATATTAGTGGAACTGATATAGATCCTGATTACATTGAAGCATTACCAGAAGATATGAGAGAGGAAGTCCTAGCGCTGTATGTGAGAGAAAGAAGAGCAAATGCAACTTCTACTGGTACTGACGCTAGAGAAATTGATCCAGATTTCTTAAATGCATTACCCGGTAATATTAGACAAGAAATTTTACAACAAGAATCATTAGCAAGAAGATATTCCGCATTTGAAGGAAACAGAGACGAATTTAGCGATGCTGTAGAAGATCATGATGAAGATGATGAAGATGATCATGATGAGGATATTGGAAATATGATTTATTCCATGAGACCTCAATCTAGACGTACCAGTGCTGCTGCTACTTCTGCTTCTGTTTCTGCTTCTGCTAGAACTTTAAATTCAGCTGAATCATCGAAAAAGAAATCATCAGGTAAAATATTTTTCTTACCATTAGTTGATAAAAATGGTATAGCTGCATTAGTAAGATTGTTGTTTTCTCCATTGTCAATAATCCAAAGAGAACAAATTTATCATGCACTTCAATATATTTGTCATAACAAACAAAGTAGAATTGAAACTATGAATTTAATGATTGCCATATTACATGATATTTTTACCAGTCAAAAACTGATTCAAAAAATATATTCACAACTTTGTTCTCGTGCATTAGGCGGTAAAGAAGTCAAAGTTAGAGTACCATTAAATACCACTCCAATTTCAATAGGTATTCAATTCATCGAGTCCATAGATTATTTACTTGAAAAGAATATTCATTTGAGGTATTATTTATTAACAGAGCATGAAATTCTGGTATCATCAACTAAAAAAGGTAAAAAATCATTAAAAGAAAGTATTTATCCAATAAATAGTTTGTTAAAATTGTTAGACAACAAATTGGTTGCAGAAGATCAAACATTTTTAGATATTTTAGCAAGAGTATTACAAGTTTCAACTCGTCCATTAAATTCTTTCAAAAAAAGCGGCGAAGAAGGCAAGCCAATCACACCAATTCCAATACCAACAATTCCAGAAGAAAATCTTAGATATATTGTTAAAATTTTAACCGGTAATGATTGTTCAAATTCAACATTCAGAAGAGCAATTAGTGCAATGCAAAATTTGGCAGCTTTATCAAGTGCACTGGAAATTTTTACAAAAGAATTGTCTGAAAAAGCAAGTGAATTTGGTAATAAAATTATCAATGACTTAAATAAATTAAGTAAAGAATTGAATGATAAGGGAGAATTAAGTAGTAAATTGTTCTCAAAATTTAGTGCTCATTCATCGGATCAAGCTAAATTGTTACGTGTTTTAACTGCTTTGGATTATATGTTTGAACATAAAGATGAAAAAATTAAAGAAAAAAATAATGATATTGAAGAATTAACTGAATTGTATAAGAAATTAGCACTTGGAAATCTTTGGGATGCTTTAAGTGAATGTTTAAGAACTTTAGAAAGTAAACCTCAATATCATACTATTGCAAATGCATTATTACCATTAATTGAAGCTTTGATGGTTGTTTGTAAACATGGAAAAGTACGTGAAATTAAAGATAATCTTAAATATGAAGTTAAAAGAATCGATTTTTCAAAAGAACCAATTGAATCCTTATTCTTTTCATTTACTGATGAACATAAAAAGATACTTAATCAAATGGTTAGAACAAATCCAAACTTAATGAGTGGTCCTTTTGGTATGTTAGTTAAAAATCCAAGAGTATTAGAATTTGATAATAAAAAGAATTATTTTGATCGTAAATTACATACAGATAAAAAGGAAAATTCAAAATTATCAGTTAATGTTCGTCGTGATCAAGTGTTTTTAGATTCTTATCGTGCATTATTTTTTAAACCAAAAGATGAATTTAAAAATTCTAAATTAGATATTAATTTCAAAGGCGAACAAGGTATCGACGCTGGTGGTGTTACAAGAGAATGGTATCAAGTATTAAGTAGACAAATGTTTAATCCAGATTATGCATTATTTACTCCGGTTGTATCTGATGAAACAACTTTCCATCCTAATCGTACTTCATATGTTAATCCTGAACATTTATCATTTTTTAAATTCATTGGTCGTATAATAGGTAAAGCCATATATGATAACTGCTTTTTAGATTGTCATTTTTCAAGAGCAGTTTATAAAAGAATATTAGGTCAACCACAATCATTAAAAGATATGGAAACTTTAGATTTAGATTATTATAAATCATTAATTTGGATGTTGGAAAATGATATAACTGATATAATAACTGAAACTTTCAGTGTTGAAACTGATGATTATGGAGAACATAAAGTTATTGATTTAATTGAAAATGGTGCAAATATTCCAGTTATTGAAGAAAATAAACAAGATTATGTAAAAAAAGTTGTTGAATATAAATTACAAACATCAGTTGAAGAACAAATGGAAAATTTTTTAATTGGATTTCATGAAATTATATCAAAAGATTTAATTGCAATATTTGATGAAAAAGAATTAGAATTATTAATATCTGGATTACCTGATATTGATGTTCATGATTGGCAAACTCATACAAGTTATAATAATTATTCACCATCATCTTTACAAATTCAATGGTTCTGGAGAGCTGTTAAATCTTTTGATAATGAAGAAAGAGCAAGATTATTACAATTTGCAACTGGTACATCAAAAGTTCCATTAAATGGGTTTAAAGAATTAAGTGGTGCAAGTGGTACTTGTAAATTTAGTATTCATCGTGATTATGGTACAACTGATAGATTACCATCATCTCATACATGTTTTAATCAAATTGATTTACCTGCATATGAAAATTATGAAACTTTAAGAGGTTCTGTATTGATGGCTATAACTGAAGGTCATGAAGGTTTTGGATTAGCTTAAACCTAAAAGTAAAAAGTTTATATGTATATGTATATATATTTAATGAAATTATTTAAGTAAAATAAATAAATAATCATTTGTAGTCTATAAAATTTGTCTATAAATTTATCTATAATATGTCTATTGGTATTTTATTAAATACATAATGAAGCTAATTTTTCTAAATTTTCAGTATCAACAAGATATTGAACTAAATTATAATTTTTTTCATTAATTAATAAATTTTCTTCATTTATAAAATTACAATGTTTTAATATATCAATTGGTGATATAGTTAACCTACCAATTTTAAAAACATATTTAGTTAAAGCAATTGCATTTATTGTATTAAATTTTTTAGTTTGTTTATTATAAGTTGTAAAAATTGATAAAACAAATAACCATTTTTTATCCCATGCTAAAATTCTTGAAGTAATTTTAAATTTTTCAAATGGTTTTAATTCTTTTTTAAATTGACATTGTACTGTTGCTACTGGTACATAAGGGAAATTTGAAATACTATAACTTTTTTTTACTGCACCACCAAATTGTTTATGTTCATTTGCAAAAGCATACCACCAATAAGGTTGTAATAATCTAATTAAAAATTTTGTTCTTGCTATATCTAAATCTAAAAAATAAGTTGAATTTGATTTATGTAAATACATATCAATTTCTAATGGTGAAACTCTTGAATTTAAAGTTATAGTTTTAAATAAATCTGATGGTTTATTAAAATTATATGAATTATATTTTGTTGAATCTTTTGATAATTGTAATTTTGATGATAATAATCCTATAATTGCATGATAATAAAATCTAATTACATATGCAAATGGAATCGTCTTGTGTGAAATTATTGCAAAAGCAATTAATGCCCACTTTATTGTTGATTGAAGTGACATTATGAGAAATAAAATATCTTCTTGGGTATCAATTGAATTTCAAGATAGGGTAAATTTTATCCTTATAATGCAGTAGTAATAATGAATCTTAGATCTTAGATTTAAAATATTATTAGAAATTCTATTTAACCGGTTAAAATTATATAAGCGAAATATTTTTTAAGTAACTCTTACATAAAAAAATCGTTATTATTTTGTGACATATAACGGATAAATTGATATTTTCAGTTTTAAAAGATTACGCCTAATCTTATCAAATTATTTCGAGCTACCAGATAATTTAGAATTTGCAAGACATAAAGAGACAAAAAATCTTCTTCAGCTAATTTGTATTAAAATTTGTATTTGGTCAATGTATATCAGGCAATCATATTGTAATAAAATTGTTTTGTTGACAATTAGATTTTTGAAAAAACGGTGTCTGAAAAAAAGTAATCGAAATTACGATATTAAAAAAATATTTAAACTTTGAAACATACATGGGTACTATTGTAATTAAGCGGAAATTAAGAAATTAATCTTAAAGGATATACAAGAAGGAAATAAGAATTTTTAATTAAATAAGTGTTGAATTCCATGAAATGAAGAGTGGTTTTAACTGGTAATATAAATTGGGAATAAAATTAATAATAAAAGGATATTAAATATATATATAAAATTTTGTGTTTTAAATTTAAATTATATTATTAACTCCAATAAAATCACAAAATCAAACCAAAATTTATTTATAAATATCTAATAAACTATTATCATCATGATCAAGATATAGGTTTCTTTAATTGTTGATAATTTCTACTCTCAATTTATTATTTGATAAAATCAGAAAATTAGCGGATGAATATTATGAAATTATAATTTCATAGAATAGAAGTTGATAAGTAAATAAATTTTATTATTTAAATCCTTAATTTTATTTATTACTTAAAAATAAATGAGGCTAATGTATAATTAAGAAAATAAAGGGAGATTAAAATCTCGGTTTTTATTTCTTTATTTTAATTTTTCAATTTTTATTTATCATCATATAAAATTATTTGATTATCAATCAGGATTTAGGTCTAGCTGGTTTAATTATTTAAATTTCGTATTATAAATTTTAAAAGTGTTGAGCTGGGTTTTTTAAATTGATAAGTCCGTGTAGTTTTTCTTTAATTATGTACTAATTTTGTTTATATATCAACAAAATTGTATTACTAATATATTACAATACATACACAAAATATATATCAAGATTTTAGACTAATTTAGTTTTTAAATAAATTTATTTTAACATTTTGATTTCTATAAATAATCTCTAACCCAATTTTGTAAAATAATTTATATAATTTATATAATTAAATATATAATAAAAATAAAGAGTTACTCTTTTTCTATTTCCTTTTCCTGTTTTAGTTTTAAATTTTGCCCGATAATGCAAAGTTAACTCCATAAACCTTTATAATTTACACTAAAAAAAATCATCATACATCATCATTATCATTAAATCCTTACTTACTCTACCAAATCATCTTCTCTAAACTTTTTTAATCATATTTATAGCATTTGGACAACTATTAGTTTCAATATGATTATGAATCCAATCATCAACATGTTGAAAATTTTGTAAACACATTCTACATTTACCTGAAACTTTATTTCTTTGATCTTTTTTTGTACCATTTGGATATTGAAAATGTATTGCTTTTAAATGATTTTTAAAAGTATCACATCTTGAAAAAATTCCAGTATTATGACAACAATGATCTGGTAAAATTTGGGTAGTAGTTGTAGATTCATTCGAATTACTGTTATTATTTAAACTTTTAAAAGGACATTTAAATTGACCTTTATCTGAACCAATTTCTTTCCAATGACATTTAACATGACGGAATAAATCATTTGGTCTTGCAAAACCTCTTTGACAATAATCACAAATATGAGGTCTATTAGTTGGTTTTAAATGAGTTGATTTATGAGTTGCTAAATTTGAAAAATATAATTTACATTCTGGACATTGTCTTTTTTTACGTGGTTTCCAATTTTTTTTGGATGAATTTGATGGTGATTCTTCTTTTATTTGGTTTGATGTTTCGTCAAATGATGAAGTAGGAGTACTTGGTTGTTGTTGTTGTTGTTGTTGTTGTTGTTGTGAAGTTACTTGATTATATGATAACATATCATTTTGCTTTTGTTGTTGATTATAATCCAAATTAAATGATGGTGATGATGAGTTTGATTTGTAAGTAGATATAATAAAATTATTTGATTGTTGAGAATTTGGTGATTTTATTATTGGTGAAGTTGGATATTTAATTGTATTGTTAATAATTTGATTATGATTATTATTATTTATTGTATTGGTAGTAGTATGAGTATAATTATAAGGTTGAGGATGATGAGTATGATGATTTAAATCTAAAATTGGTTCATCAGAAAATGATGAAGACTTTGGAATTAATAATGGTGGTGAATGAATAGATGATGATCTATCACTTATACTACCACTATTTGAAGAATTTTGACGTTGTGATAAATTGATATTATTATTACTAGATTCTTCAATATGAGGAAATGATGGAATATTTAATGAATGAATTGAAGGTAATGTAATTGAAGAATGTGGTAAATTACTGTTGTTATTACCAGTTGGTGAAGAATATGGACTATTTTGAATTTCAGAATTTCTTGAAAAATTTTGATTTAATACATATTGTGAAAATGAAGAATTTGATGATGATTGATAATTTTGATTTGATGATGAATGGTGTTTTAAATTTTGATTCATTATAAAAGGTGAAATATTATTATAATTACTTGAATGAATTGAATTATATGAAGTTGTTAACATTGAATTATATAATTGATTTGAAAAGTAATTAATTTGAAAAATTTGAAATGATCTTTTCCTTTATATATAAAAAATTTAAATTTGATTCATATGAATATGAATATATAAATTGATTATTAAAAATTTCGGAGAATAAATGTTATAAAATTGAACAAGCTTGTATATATGTATAATATAAATAGATATAAACAATATTCCAAAATATATTAAATATGTAAAATATATTAAAAAAAATAGTTATTAATGAATAATTTGTATTTATATTTATATAAAATATTGAAAATTGGTATATGTCAAAATTTAAAATCTTGAATATTTAATAGGGGAAAATTAAAATTTTTTGTAACCGATTTAATTAATTTTTTTTATTTTATTTTTTATTTCAAACATAAGAAAATTATATCCGAAATTTCTAATTCATATAATTATTAATTTCAACAATTTAATAACATTAATTTGTAAACAACTATTACTAACCTAATAAAATATATTTATAACAAGAGATGGAGTTAATATTTATTTTACATCAAATATCTTTTAATCTATTGATGATTAAATGTAAATATATACACAATTAATATACATAATTTAAAGGAGATTTTATATTGATAGAATTCTTATTACTATTATCTTACTATAATTGTTACAGCCTTGTATTTACAAGTTGTTTAGCATGGACTATAGGAGTAAAGTTTACGGTAAAAAAGAGTTGTGTTTTACAAAAATTTTTCTTGATTTTTAAACTAAGAATTATTAAGAAAAGAAAAGACCACTTAAACTAAATTTCTGTATTAAATATTTTGATAGCAAATAAACATCAAATTATGAAAAGGCTTGAAATTTGAAAAAGTCCTTTTTTTATACTTGAACAAAAAGTTGCCCTGTAATGATTTTGTTACTTCTATCTTAATCTAACAATTGAGGTATATAAGAAGGCAATGAAACTATAATTAATTAAGGTTATTGTCAACATTGATTTATTAAAGAATGAAATTAATTGAATTTTTTGTAACGGATTAGAAAATATTAATTTATTTGCCGCAATATATTAAAAAAATAAAAATAAAAATAAAAAATAAAAATAATTGTTTAGCCGTGTTTCAAAATTGCGGACAATACGGCTAAAGTATTTATTTTTTTAAATTTTTTTTATTTGATTTGAAATTTTAGTTATTAGTAATTTCTATTGTTTCGTTGTTAATCTTTATAATTGATATTTTTATTACGTATTTAATAACAAAATAAAGAAGTATTAACGGGTAAAAATATCAAATCTCTTATTAATAAAAAATGTTCTATTATTAAAATTATGTACGAAGCGCAGATTAATATTTTAAATAAATTTTTAACCGACAAATTTGCATTTAATAAATAAAGTGAATATTCCCATATTATTCAAGTTTGGAAATGTAGACTTGATCCGCTTATATCATGGAGTATAATCTTTTTAATTTCGATGACTTTCATACATTTTGCCTTCATAAATATTTCTTTTCAACTTCTTATTTAAGTACATTTTAAGTATTTAATACCGTATAATTTAAAGTTTAAATGACACAAATGTGTTAATAGGGGAAGATTAAATTTTTGACAGCAAAAATTGGTAGCTTTGAGGTGTTTCATATTAAATGGATATAAAATTGAAAACTATATCAATAATTTTATCTCTGGTAAAAGTTAATAATGGGAAATAGGGCATGACCAAGTCATTTATCTGAAACTTATGAAAAGGCTTAAACTAAAACTAAAGGAATAGGGGTGGTGACAATGCTTGAAAAAAAAAAACTCGCATTTTTCTTTTTTTGGTAAAAAATAATTAACAGCAAATAAACAAGTCCGAATCAGCCATTGTGTAAATCCAGACCAAATTTGAAATTGATTCCAGCAAGTTTGAAAAACTTACTATTTAATCTTTTAGAATTACGGATGAGCAGTAACAGATTGATTGATTTGGAAGATTTTGTCTATTGTATAATTTGTTCTTCTTGTCCAGTAGGATTTACAATCTTCAGCAACAATTTTCAATTTTGATCAAATTTCATATGGAAGTAATCAATACCATACTTGATATATCGGATAAATCAAAACAGAACTATATGAACGGCTAATTTTTTGCTTGAATAATATTTTTCTAAATCTATCGGTAAATACTATAATCTTCTACTTCCAAATACAACTCCAACTATAGGATATAAATTTCTTACAAAATATTGACAGACCTTGACGTGTTTTATTTACTTTCTATCTATGTATTTTAATTAAAAGATAAAATTATATACAAATGCAATGAATATTCATTAAAAATTTAAATTCTAATTAACTAAAAACTCTAATTTTATTTTTATAACGGACTTTTTCAAAAACGACTTATTTAAGCTTTTCTTGATTTTGGTTTAGTTGAACCAGATGAAACACCAGTTGATTTACTTTCAGTATTAATAACATTTTCATTATTGTTACCAGCAACTCCTGATTTTTTATCTAATGATTTTTTTGAACCTTTTGATTTATAAACTTTAATATAAAAACTAATAAATAATACTAAATATGATGATAAAATTAAATAACCATAAGCAGCTGCTAATTCAGTACCATGACAATCTCCCATAGTTGGTAAATAATTTGGGAAATAATGGAATGCATAATAAGTATAAGTTGCAAAATAAACAAATCCTAAATCTAATATAAATTGAATAATTTGAAATCTTGTTACCCATTCTTTCCACCAAACTTTTATACCTTTTGCACTTAAGAAATAATACCAATACATTACAACATGTACTGCTAAATTTAAAGTAATTGGAACCCATTCAACTGAGGTGGACCCAGTTAATTGAGTATAACATAATAATGCAGTTGCACCATGATGATAAGTATGTAAAAATAATAATTTTTTCTTTTTCAAAACCAAAAAGACTGTATCAATTAATTCAAGATATTTTGTTAAATAATTTAAATAATATAAAGTAACTAATTTTTGAGTAAAAGCACCTTTTGAACAAATTGCATAAAATAATCCATGATTATATAACATTGGAATTAATTGTTCAATACATAATAATAATAAACTTAATGATAATAAAGTTAATACAATATTATGTAATTGAAATAAAAAATTTAATTTTAAAGCTGGTAATTTAAAAGTATTAATTAAAAATCTACCACCAAATATAATTATATAATAAACTATAATAATACTTATAGCATGAAATCCATTTGCTAAAAAAGTTTTATGATAAATAAACTCAAAATCATCAGCTGGATATCCAATTATTAATTCAAAAACTTTATTGAAAATCGGCCATAAATATAAACCAAATGGTCTATCAATTGATGGTAAACTAAGTTGAATTAAATCATTATTTGGTGATGAAAATAATGTCATTGCTATTTTGATTTTAGTATTTGTATTTTCCTCTTTTTTCTTTAAACAAAAAATGTATTGATGAGTCTAGAATATTTCGATTAAACAATTATGTTAAAATGAAAATTATATGGTCCTTCAACTGAATGAGATCGAAATATTTGGATACAATGTAAAAATAAAATATTCAAAAGAAATATTTCAAAATTGATGTTTTGATTATTTTTTTTCTTAAAATAAACCTTTTTTTTTTGTTCGATGAAAAAATTAAAAAAGTAAAAAAATATAGTTTCTCTTTCTCCAAGAAATTATAAATTTTTCAGTTACATTTTATTTTTATACAGTATTCAAGCTCAAATATTAACTTGAAAGAATTGCGTTTATCTATTGTAATTCCTAGTCATAACCTAAGAGCCGACATATATTCATTCAGTTAATTGAATTACATTATTGTTTGATCTTCTATAATTTTCTGTTCATATTCTCCCCGCTTTAATACATTGATCGTTACGCGACTTATTTCAAGTTGACATGATTTTTAGTCACTAATAATTATTAATTCACGGCTATAATTGAGAATAAAATCAATTGAACGAAACGTTTTTCTACTAATGATTACTACTATATTAATAATAACATTGTTCAATCTGGTTATGAATTGAGAAATTTTGCAATACTTCGGAGTTTAATGTTCTCTTCTCGTGATTTTTCAAGAACAATAAATAAAAAATAATATGACAAAATCAAATAATAATAACTCGTAAAACTTATATAACAAAAATAATAATATTGATCTTATAAGTTCACGCGATGTAATTGACAAGTTTCAACTGTTATTAAGAAAAAAATCTACAATTCTAAACGTTCTTAAATTTTGCAAATAACTTTTTGATTTCATTAAATTAATTAAATAATATTATACAAAATTAAATACTAAATTAAATACTAAATTGAAGTTTAATATGAATTTTCCTCATTTTGCTGGAGATTTTGGTTTTAAATTTAAAAAATCAATTGATATAATTATATCATATCCATTTTCTTCACATGCAAACATTGCTTCATGTTCGTTTGAATGTAAATATCTTATATTTTCACCAATTAATGCTCTTAATAAATTAGTTGTATGTAAATCTCTAATTTCAATAAATCCTGGTTCAAATGAAATTAAATAAGGGAAAAATAATGCAACATTTTGTGGATTACCTTCCCAAAAAATCCCCCAATCATGATTTGTTCTCCAACCATTTCTATTAATTAAAAATACAAATTCTGAATAACATAATAAGAAATCTTTACCTAATCTATGTATAGCTAATGGTGTAACTAATTCTCTTTGAGTTGCAAAATCTAATGATGGATCGGCTTCATCTAATATTGGTTCTTTATTACCAGCTTGTAATGATAAGATTTCAAATCCTTTTGTACATCCAATACATAATTTACTTTTTAAAAATGATATTGAAATTGGATCTGATGAAAAGGGAATTTCTTGAATTTCAATTTTGTTTTTATTTCTATTTTTTTGTTTTGGATCAAATGGATTTATTGGTTCAAATATACATATTGAATGTTGTGAGCCTGTTTTAGCACCAATTATTAATAATTTACCATCACAAACTCCAATTTTGAAAAAAGATATATGAGACATCATTAATTTACCCAGTTTTGTGTTTTTAATATGATCTAATGAATCTGTACATGATAAATCAAATTCATATAATGTTTTATCACTTAATACTAGTAATTTTGAATATTCAACTAATACTTCAATTTGAGTAATATAAGGTTTTGATATAACTAAAGTTGGATCAGAACAAATTTTTTCATTTGATGTTGTACTTATTGATCTAACAGTACTTACCCAAACTCCAGAATCTGTACCATATAATAATTTTTTACCACCATAACATGGAACTGCACAATTAATTTTATTATTACCAGTAAATCTTCTTGTTTCAAATTTACTCATTGAAAATAAATCATTTGCATCAATTAATTTTCTTTGTTGTTGACTAATTTGTTGTAATGCTTGATTTTGTATAGTTAAATCTTCTGCAAATAATGTTGTATGAACTTGATTACTTCCCAAACCCAAGAAATTTAATTGAAATTTACCAGTATTTGATGATAAAGTATTACCAATATAATTACTACTTTCAGTTCTTTGATTTTTTAATCCAACATCCGAAACTAATGATGCATTATATCTATTATTAATTAATGATCTTGTTGTTGGAATTTCAAATCCACTATTTACAAATAATAAAGGTAATAATATTGGTTTTTCAAATACTTTATGTTGTTCCCTTTTATTTTGTACTTTATGTTTCACTAATAATAATGCATGTTCAAATAAATATAAATCAATTTTTTCATTATCTCTTTTCCTGTTGAGGGTGACTTGATAAATAATTCTATTGTTGTATGATAATTTAAAATTAAATTTATTTTCCAATGTTTGTTTTCCTAAAAGTCTATGAAGCACCATAATTTTATGTCTATCTGTACTCTCTCCAGTTTGTACATTTATTTTAACTAATAATGCTTCAATTTCTTCTTTTGCCTTTTGTAAATTTTTATAGTCTGGACTTTCTGGTTTTGTATGTTTTAATATACCAGCTAATAATAATTGATATCTTGCGGGTCTTTGAACACCTTTAATTAAAAATGATGATAAATCTTGTCTTCTTGATTCTGGTTTTTTCTCAATGGCATCCAAAAATCTTGCATATTTCATATTAACTTGTTGTTGACGTTCATGTTCAAAAGTTGCAAATACCTTGTTACCAGAATATCTTATAAACGGTTCAAAATGTCCAACATGATCTAAGAAAATATCACCAATTGATTCAATTACAGGTTTTTGTTGCTGTTGTCTTTTAGTTAATGCATCACTAAAGTTTTTACTTAATCTCAATAAATCACCAACTCCTCCAAAAACTGTTTGTATGAAAGTCTCTCTTTGATGTTCTGGTATAATATTATTTACAGGATTTCTTAAAGGCATGATATAAAAATCAGTCATAAATTCCAAGTCTTTAACATAATCACGTTCAGTATAAATGAATTCATATATTAATTCTTGTCTTGTCTTTTCATGTTTATCTAATTTATCTAAAACAGATTGTGGAACAGTTTTATGCCATAAAGTTTCATTTTCTTCTTGATCATGTAGTGATAATCTTGAAACTGCTCTTTTTAATCCACCTTGTGGTTTTAAATTTAATCTAGCTTGTTGTTCTAATCTTCTAGGACATGCAATACTATAACATAATCTATTTCTACTACAGGTTGGTGAATAACAATCAGTTAAAATTGTGAAAACACCATTGACACCAGTTTGTTGAGATGCAGTTAATTTTTTACCAGCAACTGTAATTGTTTGATTGCCTCCCCCACTTAATCTATTTGATCCAGAATTTTGAATTTCTGCTGATGATGGATGACTTACTTGTGAAGGTAATTGTTGTGATAAAAAATTATCTTGAATGGCTTGTTGTAATTGAAAACCATCAACAAATGATCCATGAGTTGATGGAGTTGTACTATTATTTCCATTACTATTTGAACCATCTTCTTGATAGAATTCCACATCATTATAGACATTATTGAATGAATAAACTTCATGAACTGAATCTCTTAATCGATGATTATAAGTAACATCATGAAAGAATTTTTGAGCATCTAAAGATCTACCTAATAATAAAGCCAAATTCCTATCATTTGTTTTAATAATTCGACATAAAATATCAACAGCCATTTTACCAGTAAAAGTGTCATGATATTCTAATCCATCTTTTGTATTGATTGTAAGTATAATTGCTTCTTTAAATAATTTAGCAACTTCAGATAACATTGCAGGATATACTGAGCTTTTGGGGTAATTCGCGATATTATTATTATTTGATGGGACTAAAGTTTTCAAACTTGCAGTGCTCGCCTTATCATTTTTATTAATTGATGAAGATGAACCGAATTTTTTAGTCGACAAGGATGATAATTTACTTATTGATGTAAATGATCGTGATTTTGAACTTAAACTAAAAGTATGATGCAATGAGGTGGATGAGCCCGAATTACCACCTGATAAAGGACGAGTATTGTTATTGGTCTGTGGTTGCTCAAAATTTGTTGGTGGTGGTTGATTTTTATACCTTGCTGAAGTAGAAGATAATGATTTTGTTCTATTTTCATGATTCAATTGTCCAGGCATATTTTGTTGATGTGGTGATGAAAAAGTTCTTCTTCCTTCGTTCATGTGTAATTGATCAGTTTGTATTGGTGTTAAATTGCTTGATGGAGCTCTACGAAATGGTTTTCTGGAAGTGGGTACTGCTTGTTGAAGTGGTGGTGCTGGTTGTTGTTGACTAGGTAGTTGTTGTATTTGCTGTTGTTGTTGTGGTGGTGGTGGTGGCGATGCCGATGGATACTCAGGTATATTATTTGCAATTGGGTACGGTGTAGAATTTTTATGTAATCTAGTATTTCCATTTTCGTAAGTCAAAGACAGTGCAGATTTATTTGAATGGTTTAAAGGTTGTTCATTGAATGGCTCCTTTTGTTGTTGTAATTGTTGCTGTTGATGTTGCTGGTGCAGTTGATGTTGTTGAGCATAATTTTGATTGTCATTGTGATTTCGTCTCTCATTGTAATTAGATTGTTTTTGGTAATTCAACATTTGATTATGTTGTTGGGAATGGGGTTGGTGATGTGGTTGTTGATGATGTTGAAAATAATCCTCAGAATTAGATTGATAATTATATAGTTGAGGATCTAATGATCTAGGTTGTCCTTGTTGATAACCCCATTGTTTATTATCCACTGTTCCATAATTTGAATTTTGATGATTTATATCTTCATATTGTTGATTTTGATTCTGATATTGTTGGAAATTTTTATTTTGATGCGACGGAGAGTAATTGTGACCTATACTTTGATCAGGATGCTGGAGATTTTGCGAATACTGAGAATATTGATTCTGATTCGGTAATGAAGTTTGATTTTGATTATAACTATAATTTGAATTTTGTTGGTAATTTTGTGACTGCTGTTCAGGATGTTGTGGATGTTGAGAATATTGAGAATATTGAGGATGTTGATTTTGATACAGTTGATAATTCTGACTATTATTCATTTATAATGTGTAAAGTAAAGTAAATTATAAGATTAATTTGAGTTGTCAGAATATTGATTTATGTTAAAATTAAACTTCCTTAAAAGAATGATTATGATAGTTGTTTATAAATCAACTTATTGTTTGTTTATTTAATAAAAGATCGTGGATATTGATGATAATTGTGATATAAATTATAATTGTTTTAAACTTGGTTGTCAAATTAAAAATTAATTATTAAAGTAATTAAAATTATATAAATGTTGAATTTAAGTTGTTAAATTTTAATTTTTATTTTTTTTTTATAATTATATTTTAAATTGTATTTTAATATTATTTAATAATTAATAATTAATAAATAATTCAAATTTCTATAAATTCATATAGATCAATACTTTTAAAAGATTTTTGAAATTTGAAATTAGGAACAAAGAGATAAATTACGAAAACTTGAGCATTATTGACCTTTGTGCTCTCACAAATCGAAATAGTGTATCGATAATTAGTACTTGACAATAATTTTTTAAAAATATATAGTTCGAATTTCTGGTTTGGTTTTTAAATAATAAAAATTTACTAAAAATGTAAGACAATTAAATTAATATAAAGTATGTTTAACTTTACTTTACAACCTTTCTTTTAAGATGTGAAACTAATTTACTATTCGTATATTTTAATTTTAACTTAAACGACTGGGTAGAACTTTAACATAAAGATTAATGATATTGAACTTGAAAGACAAATTAATTTTCATGGAGTAAATCTTAAATTTTTATTCATTTAGGGAAACTATTAATTTCAATTATATTATTATTCACTACTAATATGAACTTCTTGATTTCAGATCGAACTATTTCTATTATTATAAGTATTTGTCTTTGAGCTAATGTTTTGAAGTCCTTGGTACTTGTATTCGTGAGTTTGTTATGCAAGAATTGAGTTCAATGTATACAAAGTCATTAAGCTTTTCAAACTATACAAAAAAATTTAATTTTTTAGATCATGGTGAATCAAACTTACTTTAAGTATGGAATAATCCTTTCAATACTACCACCTAGAGTCTCAAATGATTTTGATGTCTTTAATTTGTAAAAGTAACCATTAAATCATGCTTGAATAATTCTGTTGCAAAATTAAATTTCACTAATAATTACACTTACTAAGTCATTTATTTTTTTGCAATTTAAAAATATATAAGCCTCTTAATTTTATTATTTATTTACAAAGTAAAAATACTAAATTTAAGCATTTTCTTAAAACATTAATATTGCCTTGTTCAATTACGATTAAGCAATCACTGGAAAAGTTTAAGTTATATAAATACATTTGATACAATAATTATTCTCAATTATTTTCTTCTTATTCATATGAAACGTTCGAAATTTACTTTAACATTTTTTCTCTCTTTTCAAGGGTTCATTCAAAATAATTCAAGAAGAATACTTATTCAAGTAAAGTCTTCAAAAGTTTTAAGTTAAACTTTAATTCAAGCCTTACAAACAAGAATTGGTCGATATTCGATCCACCTATTCTTCAATTGAATTTCGCTTTTTCAAATTGTCTCCTTTCTAATTTATCTCCAACTAGTACCTATACATTATCGACCAAGAAGAAATTATTATTCCGGTCTATAAATTATAAAACGTGTAATTAATTACTGGAACTTACGGCTAGTCAAGAATAAAAAACAAAGAAATCTAAGAAGTCCAAGAAACTCAAGCCATCTTAACTTTATTAAATCTGCCGACTATTTGTACTGGTTATACATAGAGAAGTTTAAACGTCGTGTGATCCTAAATCTTTTATTGTTGAAATCCATGATAAATATTCTTTGTTTTATTTGAATCAATCACGACTAATTAACAAAGCGAAAACAGAAGTTTGAGATGAAAGTTAACTCTATAAACTTCCAAACTTTTTTATCAAAAAATCTAGGATGTAATTTACAGTAAACTGTTTAATGCAAAAAACTCCCATGTCCTCGAGTATGTGGGGCTTCAGATATTTTTGGGCAATAAGTTGACGTACAATGTTTTTCAAATTTTAGCATTCAAAATGCATTCAAAATCTACCGGAGATTTTATCTTTGAAGATAAAGATAGTCCTGTTAAAATCATTTTTGATTTTGTTATGTCCTGTTATGCCCTTCTTCCATACGAGAATTTGAAACACAATTTCTCAAAATTTAGATTAGAATTACACAGTTCATCTCATTAGAAAATTTGGCAAAAAGTAAATGTAATTTATTTGGGAGTCTATATGTATATTTTTACAAATTTAATGTGCTATTGCAATGAAAGGGTTTGTTTCAACTTCATATTTGTACAGACCAAAATAAGAAAATGCAAAGCTACCAAAATATTTTGCAACCTTACTCAGATATTGTTTCGACTGTAACTTCATCTAATTTTGAATTATACTAGTACTTGATATTGCATCGTTCCTAAAAAAGCTTGGGACTTTTGTTGGTTTTAACTGGCTTGATCTCAATTATGTAAATTTGATCATTCATTGTATTAATAACTTTTCATTGCTAACTTATACCCATTTTGATGCTAATTTACTTCAGTTTTATGACATAATAGGTAAAACATCCGTACCGCAAATATATACTGGTGACTTGTGGGCTAAGTCTGCCTCAATGGAGTAGAAAACTTTATATAAAACAACCAGGTATTGTCAAAGTTGTCCCACTCTAACTTTGATGAGGTTTGAAAGACCTCTTATCTCCTCCCCCAGTTTTTTTATAAAACCCGCCATGAGTGCGTAAAAACCAAATCACGCACTTTGAAAAATTTAAACCGTATAGAGAAATTCCTTCCTGCAGTGTTGATCGACCTTCAAACATTCAAAGTATTGTTTCATTTCATTTCTACCCCAATCCAAGTCTAGTTTAAAATCAAAATGGTCCATAAAGCTGAATATATAAAATCACAAGAATCATCTATTTCCTCAATTTTACAAGGTGGTTATAATCATCAATTATCAAGAGAATGGCAACAAGAAAGACAATTAACTAAGAATATGTTTATATTCCCATTATTCATATCCGATGATCCAAATGAAGAAACTGAAATTCCATCATTACCAAATATTAAAAGATTTGGTATAAATACGGTGGTTCCATATGTTGAAAGTTTAGTGAAAAAAGGTTTAAGAGCAGTTATATTATTTGGTGTACCATTGAAAGAAGGAGTTAAAGATGAAGTAGGTACTGCAGCCGATGATCCAGAAGGTCCAGTCATTCAAGCTATTAAAATTTTAAAAAAGAATTTCCCCAATTTATTTATAATGTGTGATGTTTGTTTGTGTGAATATACTTCTCATGGACATTGTGGTATATTAAATGAAGATGGTAGTTTGAAAAGAGAATTATCAGTACAAAGAATTGCAGCAGTTGCTGTAAATTACGCAAAAGCAGGTGCTGATTCAGTTGCACCAAGTGATATGATGGATGGTAGAATAAAAGATATAAAATTAGGTTTAATGAATTGTGGGTTAGAAAATAAAGTATTGGTTATGGCTTATTCTGCGAAATTTTCAGGTAATTTATATGGACCTTTTAGAGATGCAGCAGGAAGTGCACCAAGTCATGGTGATAGAAAAGCTTATCAATTACCACCAGGTGGATCAGGTTTAGCAAGAAGAGCTTTAATAAGGGATATGGAAGAAGGTTCAGATGCTATAATAATAAAACCATCAACTTTTTATTTGGATATTATTAATGATGCTTCAAAATTATGTAAAGATTATCCTATTTGTGCTTATCATGTTAGTGGGGAATATGCTATGTTACATGCAGCTGCTGAAAAGGGAATTGTAGATTTAAAAGGAATAGCTTATGAATCTCATCAAGGATTTTTAAGAGCTGGTGCAAGATTAATTATAAGTTATTTCACACCAGAATTTTTGGATTGGTTAGAAGTTTAATATTAAGAATAAATATCTATTAAAAAATGTATATATTATATTGCTATTGGTTCGTTCTTTGTAAATTCTTGAACTTCTTCTTCTTTGGTGATGTTGGTAGGTACATTAGGCATAATTTGATTTTTTGGTGCTTCAGGCAATTTGGTTGTTGTACCATGAAGTTCTTGATTTAATTTCTCAAATTCATCATCAATTTCAATCTCATCTGCTCTATTTAATCTTGAATTTAATCCCAAAGCATTACTAATTTCTTCTTCTTTTAATTTCTCATCACTTAAATCATCCATTATTTTATCAATTTTATCAACATTTAATTCATTATTTAATTTTTTCAATACTATATTACCTTGTTCTAATCCATATATCACATCTTTTTCAATTAATTTAAATTCAATAGTACCTATTAAATTTTCCAAATTATCTAGTTGTTGAAAAGTCGTTGAGATCATTGATTCTTGTTTCTTTTTCAAACGTAGGTAGATCTTGGCTTTCTCATATTGCTTGTTGGTGATTGCGATTTTAGCTAATTCTGTTTGCTTGTTGCATATGTGATTAAGTTTTTTCTGATATTGTTTTATCTTATCTCTTTGTTGCTTGAGTTGAAAGATGGCTTTATCTTGAGGTGTAATTTTAGGTGCACTAGGTTGATTCCCCATTCTTTTCGGTTGTTTTAGAGTATGATTTATTTTTATTTTCGCAAGAAAAAGTTTTGATCTTATCTAATCTACAACCACAAAATTATTCAATATTACGATTTATTTATTAACTTTAAAATTATAAATGTTTTTTAACTTCTTCTTCTTTTTTTTCAATTTCATCTCTTAATGATTTTTTACCTAATTTATCATAAAATATAGATTGACCTAATAAAATAGAATTTAAAATGAATGAAGTTGAATAACCAGCTAATAAAATTTGTTCATCAACTGTAGTTTTATTTTTAGAAGCTTTTGTTTTATAATCAGTAAAACTTGTATAAACTCTAATACCTGAACCAAGAACATTTGCTTTTAATACAATATCAGATAAATGTTTAACAGTTTTTAATTTATAATTTTGTTGAATTTGTGGAATTTTAGCAAGAATTGAAATTGGAATGTTTAAAATTTCTAAAACTGAAATTAAACTTGATGGGGCAATTTTAGTAAAGAAAATAACTGAACCAATCATTATAGCAATTGGTTCAATTAATCCATTACTTAAAGCTTTTAATTTATCTTCAAAAGTTAATTTACTTAAATCTTCAATTTCTTCTTTTTCTCTCATTCTATAAAATTTAGTTAACAAAATTATAATAGCATTTTGAATACCTAATAATAATGATTCACCATATTGAATAAAAGGAATATTATGTTGAGAATTGAAACTAACATGAATTAAATTATTTAAAGTTTCAAGTGATAATGATTTTAATGATAATCCATTTGCAACTGTAATTCTATCAGATTCTGATTTAACTAATAATTTACGAATTTGAGGAATTCTTATAAATGATGATACACCAACCGTTAATGCACTTAATAAAGCAGCTAATACTTTACCAATTCCAATTGCTTTAACTTGTGACCAAGCCATTTGTAAAACAACTTTTTTGGATACATCTGGATCCATTAATAAATTAATTAATAAAAAAATTGGAGATCCCATATTGCGTTGAGGTAATTAGTTTGAAGGAGTTATAAAATTGATAAAGTAAAGTTTTGTATTCGGTATTAGTGGATATTCAAAAAAGAAGATTGAAGTAGTTAATTATATTTAAAATGTAATTAATTAAAGATCAACAAATTTTGAAACTTAATCTTTTTTGTAAGTGATTTTTTTATTACTTAAAACTGAAAAAAAAAAGTCAATCTTCAAACAAATAAAACTTGAAATTTATGTCAAAAAAATTGAGACTTGAAAATTCAGTACTAAATAAATCTCATTCAATTCCGGACTTAATTATAACTATAAATTAAATCCAAATCTTATGATGATTGAGAGCAATCTCTTGAATTAAGCGATTGTTTAAATAGTAGTAGTACTAATTTGAAGATTCACTATACGTATTTTTATAAATTAAATTTCCCCACATTTTTGTAACCCAAAAAAAAACAATTGAATAAATTTTGTCATGTGATTTACAATTTTTTTATTAATGCTTAAATATTAAATATTAACCCATTATTTAACTAACAACTATAAAATATACAGAGATACCAATATTCAAATAAACAACTTTTATTGACTACTTACTTACTTCTGAATAGTTTCTAATTTCTTTTTCAATACATTTTCTTTATCTTCAATATATTTCAAATTTTCTAAATGTAAATTTAATAATTGTATAATTTCTTCAATTGAATTATTATTAAATTTTTTATCATTATCTTTATTTTGTAATTTTGATTGTTCATTATTTTTATTATTTAATTGACTTAAATTTTTTATTAAATTTTTATTAAATACATCACTTATTGAATTTACTTCATTTATTAATGTATTTAAATTTTCTCCTAATCCATCTAATCTTTCATCTAATAATTCTGCATTATAATATGCTTTTTCTCTTAATTTATCAGTTAAACTTAAATTTGAATTAATTTGATAATTTGCTGATTGTGGTTGATCATCTTTTATTAATGTAGTTGAAGTATTTGGTTTTGATAATGATGATGTTGTACCAGTGGTTGTATTAGTAGTAGGATTAGTAGTTATATTGGCATTACCACTTCCTGAATTATTATTTAATTCTATATTATTAATTAAAATATCAGTTTGTTGTTCATAATTATCCAAAATTTTCTCCAATTCATCTTGTTGATTTTCAACAAATAATAATTGTTGATCAATTTTAGATTCTAATGCTTCAACTTCGATCGAATCTTGATTTAATTTAGTTATTGCATCTCCACTTTCAATTAATTGTAAATCCCATTCTTTTACTTTTGTAGTATATTGATCAAATAATTTTGTTGTTTGATTTAATTGTTTTGACCATTTTAAAATTAAATCATCCATATTTTTATTATCAATTGATATTGGTATTGGTTCTATTTTTGTTGGTTTTAAATTTGGTTGATTTGATGAAGATGATGATGAAGTTGTGGTTGTTGTGGTATTTGCAGTTGAAGGAGCAGTATTTATTGCAGCTGTTGTTGTTGATTTATCATCTTTTTTATCATCATCTTTTTTAGCACCAAAGGAAAACCCACTTGTTGCAGGTTTTTCTTCATCTTTTTTAGCACCGAATGAGAACCCACTTGTTGCAGGTTTATCTTCATCTTTCCTAGCACCAAAGGAGAATCCACTTGCTGCTGATTTATCTTCATTCTTTTTTGCACCAAATGAAAAACCACCAGTTGTTGGTTTATCTTTTTCTTCGTCCTTTTTGGCACCAAATGAAAAACCACCAGATGTAGCTTTATCATCATCTTTTTTAGCACCAAAAGAAAAACCACTTGTAGGTTTGTCTTTATCTTCATCTTTTTTAGCACCAAATGAGAACCCACTTGTTGCTGGTTTATCATCATCTTTTTTGGCACCAAAGGAGAAGCCGCTAGTTGCAGGTTTATCATCTTTCTTTTCATCATCTTTTTTACCTCCAATTGAAAATGCAGTTGGTGTTGCTGATTTTTCTTTTTCATCATCTTTCTTAGCACCAAATGAAAAGGCACTTGGGGTTGCCGACTTCTCTTTTTCCTCATCTTTTTTACCTCCAAATGAGAAGGCACTTGGAGTTGCTGATTTTTCCTTCTCATCATCGTTTTTCGCACCAAATGAAAATCCACTGGTTGCTGGTTTATCATCATCTTTTTTACCTCCGAATGCAAAACCGCTAGTAGCAGGTTTATCATCATCTTTTTTTGCACCAAATATTCCTCCAGCTGCAGGTTTCTCTTTATCTTCATCTTTTTTAGCACCAAATGCAAAACCTGACGGTTGAGGTTGAGGTGATGCTGTTCCAGCTAATGACATTGGTGATTGTGACTTTGGTGTAGACTCAGATTTATTAGTATCAGCACCAAATGAAAACCCAGTAGCTGCAGGTTTTGATGGATCATTTGAAGTTGTTGTTGATCCAAAAGCGTTTGATTGTGTTGTTGAATCTTTATTACCTAATGAAAATGCATTATTATTATTTGAAGTGGTTGAACCAAAACCAAAAGCTTGTGGTTTTGTAGTTTCATCATCTTTTTTGGCACCAAATGCATTACCAAATGCATTACTAGTAGATCCCGTCGATTGACCAAAACTTCCAAATCCTGAGGTAGTAGATTTATTATTTGACCCAAATAATCCATTCCCAGTATTAGATGCAACAGCTGGTTGAGGAGTAGCCGAGTCATCTTTCTTAGCACCAAATGAAAATCCACTTGAATTTGAATTACCAGTTGTTGAATTATTTTGTTGACCAAATATAGGTTGAGATGTTGATGATTGACCAAATGCCGAAGTAGTATTTGTATTTGAAGTTGTTGCACCAAACGGACTTGAATTAGATTGTTGTTGTGGTTGTTGTGTTGTTGATGAGCCAAATGAAAATGCACTAGGTTTAGTATTCAGTCCGAATGCATTTGTTGATGTATTATTTGATCCAAATGCGTTTGTTGAAGGTCCTGTATTGTTTGATCCAAATACATTAGACGAGGATGCATTATTTGAACCAAAGGCGCTTGAAGAGCCTGTGTTGCTTGATTGACCAAATCCGAATGGTTTGGGTCGTGAGTCAGTAGTGTTGTTTTGATTATTGATGCTATTTTCTTTATTTCCTGTATTTGAAGAGCCAAATGCAATGCCAGAACCAGTACCAAATGACGAGTTTTGATTTCCCGAGGAGTTATTACCAAACATAATCAGCTACAATATTCAGCGCAAGGAGATTGATGAATGATCTATTGTCAATTGTGTGGTGAAAATAAGCTAATACTAAAGTAATTTAATCTTCAATTGTTACTTTTTTTTTTATTTGATTTGATGTTTCGCAAAATTTAGGCCCCACTAGTTGCGACAATCAAAAAATCTTATCGAATATAATGATTGAAAAGTTTAAGTGAAGTTACCAAAGCATGCACCATATTTGTTCCGCCTATTATCCTAAGTCCATTCGTCAAATTGCGAGCAAAAATCAATTCAGGCAAAGCTCTTGAATATGCTGGTTTAGAAGGAATTTGATTATGATTATGAAAGTTTTGTTCAGAATGAATATTGATCAATTTTAAAAAATCTAAAACCAAGTTTAAAAGAAGAATAAGGAACCTCAATTTAAATGGAAGAAACTCGGAATAGTTTTGAAAAATCTATCCCGTACAAAGCTAGTGAAAGATGAATTATTATCAGAATTGTCATGTATCACTTCTTCAATCTCAATTAAAGGTAACGCATTATCATAAGATTACTACCAATGTTTATTAAGTACTTACTTATTTCATACAAATTGAAGGGTGTTCAAAAGATAATGCTGGGATGATACTATTTATAAAGGTAAATCTTTGGGAGATAATTTTGATAACTATGCTTTAACCGAATATAATAAAAATAATTCTGCTGGTTTTCATCTGACTGCTCCAACTACAATAGAAAAGCAGAAGATGTGTTGGTATAGTATCTACAAATTTACGGATAAGTTTCTACAGTCATAAGATTTTAATGTCTTGAAACAGCAGTTGATAGCTGCTTTTTATGATCTAGGTTAGAGCCAATATGTTTTCATCATCAATACGACCTCAATCTCAATTATCCATAAATTAATGCTATGATCAAGCAAAAGCCCTCTAGTTTAATTTTCAAATGAATATGAATTGTGATGAAATTTCTGAACTATAGATTAACGACTTTTAAAAATAGATAGTGCAAAAATTGAATGTCAATCGTCATTCTCAAATCAAATAAACCCTTTCATACTACATAGCAACACAACGACTGTTTGGTGAATTGTCTTTTGAATTTTGTAATCTATCAAATGATTCAGACAAGACGTAATTGGACAGAATTAAAAAATCGAAGAACTTTTCAAAATTAGAAATTTATAATAATCATCAAGATTCATTTATATAAGCCATGTATATAGCTACGAAAGAATAATATAATTTTTCAATTTTCATCACTTTTAATTTTTCTGTTTTGTAGTTGAGATAAATTTTGAATTTATTCACTCAAACTAAATCATCATCTAAAGCAGCTTTAATTTGAGCTCTCATTTCAACATCTTCAATTTCCCTTAATTTAATAACACGTTTTTTGACTAAAAACGCTAAAAAAACTGATTTTTCAGCTAATGCTGGATAAACAGATTCATTTGGAATTCTGTATCTTTCAGCAAGTTCCCTCATTTTGTCTAAATCACATAAATAATGACGAGTACCATCTTCTTTGATTTGACCTTCTTCAACTGAAATTTCTGATCTCTGTCTTGGATCTAAATAATCAACAGTATTAAGTGAAGCAGCTAGTGAAAAATATTCTCCATCTATTGATCTTAATATACCACCAACCGATATATAATTAAAACCACCATATCCAGCAGGTAATCTTGAAATTCTATTGTGAGTTTTTGCTGGTTCATTATAATCAATAGCTCTAGTTAATTCTTGTATCATTGGTTCCTCCCAGATGAGGGGACTAAATATTGGCCATACTAAATGAATTATATTTTTTTCAATTGAGAATTGTAAAACTTCATGCAATAAAGAAAATGGAGTATCAACTTTAAAATGTTCAGGATGGTGATAATTATATACTTTATGCTTAACATCAGTTTTTTTGGATTGGACACTCATGAATCTAATATATGGATCCTTGTATTTTTCTCCATAATGTAAAATAAATACCTCTCTTGCACGAATTAAATCATTCTTATCTCTTGCAATGTATGTACAATTGCCATTTAATTCAACTTTGTAAAACAAAATTCCTTGGGAGTAGACAAAATTATTCATAATCAATATATTTAATGGTCGGCTTTCATAGCCTTGAATTATATTTGTGGCCAATTGTTGGAGCCCATCTTCAAACAAAGGAAACAAGCTGTTTATTGAATTATTAATTTGATCCTGAGTTCTTTTGAAGGGAATTCGTGCAACTTCCAAACACTTTTCCAACGGAACCCACACCGTCATTTTATCTTTCCATAAATTATATCTATTAGCATCGGCATCTGTTTTTTGAAGTTTTATATTTTCATTCTGAGTCAACCCAATTGCTATTATTAAACTTTTAAGCTTGACCAAACCTCTTTCAACATCTACCACTACAGTTGATACATTGTTGTTGATTTTTAATTCGTCCTTTAATAAACTAATTTTTGGTGTAAAACCATCAACTCTATTAGGATTTTCAAATACTGGAACGGTAACTTTTGGTAAAATTGGAAACAAGGTTTGTAAATTCTTTTTCAATAATAATTTATAAGCCATTACATCTGTTACATACGTTCCTGTAAATTGAGTTTCGTATTCATAAACGACTCATTTTGGAGACAATTTTAAACATTCGGCTTTACCACTATTATAACCAGCATTAATTGTTGTTATTGTCAAAGCTTTGAATTCATTACTTTCGACAATTTTTATTATTTCCATAAATTCATCATAATCCACGTTAGGAAGAATATCTAAGGTGGCAATACCGTTCAAAATTCCAACTTTGTATATTGCATAATATTGATTTGAACGTTTACATAAGTCAAAACGATATGGAACACTTTCCATGTTCAAAATATTTTGAGGTATTTCCTCTGCAATTGGTAAACCTGATCCTCTTATTTCATCTGAAATTGAGCCAATTTCTCTCCCAAAAAAGTGCTCACAAGCACAGTTATTTGAATATGGTATGATCAATTTGCTAACTTTATCTTCATTTAATGTTTTAATTTTTTGTAATTCATCTCTTACTTCATATTCTCCAAAATTAATTTGAGCTGTAATAATACCATGTGTTGAATTTTTAATCTTAAAATTTATCTCCAAATCAATTAACCCTGATAATCTTTCTGTTGAAATATCTAAAGCATCGATTAATCTGCAATTTAATTTATGATGATTACTAAATACTAATGCTTCTGAACAGATGGATTTGATTGTGTTACATAAATTGTTCTCTTCATGTATACGTTTGACAGTAGTAATAGATTCTGATTCATTATTAGTGATTGCATAATTAAATAATTGAGAATGATTGGGGTCTTGAACAATGTTCAAGTCCCCTAAAAGAATTTTTTCAAAATTGAAAAACAGTAAGTATTTTTTGAGATCAGAAAAAAATTCTTGACTCTGTCTGTTGTATTTATCTTTATTTGGTGCATAAACAACAATAAACAAAATGTGCGTTTCATAAATTTTTAGCAATTGAACCAGAACTCTGCTAATAAATCTTGTTACATCAATCATGTTATATCCTTTTTCATAAGCTTCATCTGAAGAAAGAAATTCAATGACAGAAGCATCAAATTTTAATGATTTATTAGGAACTGGTAATTCAACATTAGGATGAGTAGCAGGAAATTCAATTTTACCATCTGGAGATAATTTTGATAATGCTGCATTTAATGAATCTTCATCTGTTATTGCATTAGGATATTTTTTGGAAAATTCTTCTAATAATTCTTCTTTTCTCCAAATCCTTTTAGGTCTTAGTTTTAAGATGGGTAAGGTTGATGCTGAATTTACTGTTGGATCATTGCTAATTAATGGAACAGTAGGATATGCAGAAGATAAAACTAAGGAGGAATCAATAACGCCCAATGAAATTTTTGGTTGTTCTAATGGGGCTGCATATAAAGATGGTTGTTGTTGATGTTCAGAATAACTTGATAATTGTTGTTGATGTTCTAAATTTAATTGTTGTTGTTGAGGTTCTAAATTTAAGGGTTGTTGTTGATGTACTAAATTTATTTGTTGTTGTTGATGTTCTAAATTTATTTGTTGTTGTTGATGTTCTAAATTTATTTGTTGTTGTTGATGTTCTAAATTTAATTGTTGTTGTTGATGTTCCAAATTTGATGGTTGTTGTTGAGGAGTCTTAACTGAGATGTTACTATTAAAATTTTTCAATTGATTTTTGCTATTGACATTTTGGAAGTAATAGTCAAGTGGGCCTTTTTGGACCTTTTTTACATTACGCTTGGTAACTCGATTACCTTTTGTGTTTACATTTATTGATCTTAATGGAGTTCTACTTTTTATATTTGATAATTGTTGTTGAGGATTTACTTCTTTTGCTTGTGGTTCTAATAATTGTTGTGATACTTCTGATAATTGTGGTGGTATTTCTAATAATTGTTGTGGTTCAGTGAATGTATTACCAATTGGTTTTTGATTAGTGTTGGCTGCTACTTTATCACTTCCAGTTTTTTGAAGAAATGAATCTATTGGACCATGTCTTGATTTCAAAATTTTAGATTCATAAATATTGAAATCTATTATTGGTTTAACATTTGTGGAGTCATTAATGATTAATAAAGCTCTATTATCACCTGCAATATCAAGATTTGATAATTTTTTTAAAGTGGACAATGATTCATTTTTACCATTTGTAACTCTTGCTTCTGTGAAAGCAACTACATCACCAACCAAAAATTTTCTTAAAGTTGATAAATCAGATGCTGATCCAATGTTTTTGGTGGATATAATTCCGACTTTGGCTCCAGGTTTTGCTGGACCATCAAGCTTGAACATTCTTAAGGATGTTGTTTTTCTTTTTTGATTAATTAATATTTATATGTATATTCTCCTGCTCCAAATATAGTGATTTAAACTTAATTGAGAATTGATGATGGCTGAATGTTGAGTGTTGATGTTTAGAACACACAATTAAACTTGGTTGCAAACTTTGTGTTAGACCCTTTTTAAAAATAAAAATTGTAAATAAATATGATGTGAATACGTTTTTATGAATCTTGGTAAAAAAGTTTGAAATGTGTAAATTAATAATGTGTTGTAGTTTTGATATGACTTGTAGATTGTTTTGACGATACACAATTTTTTTGGTTGCCAATTTTTTTGGTTGCAAAGACCATATTATTTTTTTAAAAATGTGTGAATGCTACCAAGCGACAAGCCCCTGAATATTTGATATTAAAATTGAATTTTTGTATATGAGTAAACATATGAATATTATCATCATGCTTGAATGGTTGAAATTGATAATCTGGATGTGATTATTAGTAAGATCAAAGAAGAAAATGATACCAGAAAAATGTTATTCTAAACATTTTTAGAATTTTATGATGCTTCAAGTTTGTCGAACTAATCAAAACAGATCTGAAACAAGCGCTTCGAATTTCTTAAGTACGAGAATTTAAATAGAATTTCTTAAGTACGAGAATTTAAATAGAGTAAAGAATTACTACTGTATTAGATTTGAATTATTCAGTTATATTTGACCTCTAGAGAGGTTAAGAAAAATTGACCAACCCATTTTCCAATTTTTTAAGATCAATTTTGTAAAATTGGAATTTATCCTAATACAAAGACTTAAAGTTTTTACTTTCGTGAAGTCTCTAATGAAACATTGATGTAGAATTGTTACAATAAGTAAAAAATTCAGCTGCTTGGAACTGGACTATCTTCAACTTCAAGGATTAAATCCCGGTAGGTTTTGAATGTGTTTTGTATGCTGTACTCAAACTTGCAAAACATTGTGCGTCAACTTTTTGTCTAAAACTATCTGAAGTCCAACATACTCGAGGATAGGGAAGTTTTTGCTTTGTACAGTTTCCTTTAAATTACATCCTAATTTTTCTGAGAAAAGAGTTCAAAAGTCTATAGAGCTCATCTCAAACTTCTGCGTTCACTTTATCAGTTAGTCGTAATTGATTCAAATAAAACAAAGAATATTTATCATGGATTTCAACAATAAGAGATTTGTAGAATCAGACACATTTGTCGAGCATTTCTTACAAAGACATAAATTCACAGGGGTTCAACAATTGACTATTTATATTCAGGATATTTACAATGATGAAGATCAATGTCAATTGCATTCAATTGAATTGAGAGGTGAATTCATTGAATTGAATAAAGATCCAATTATCACTATCTACGAATCAGCTGCTTATCCTGCGGATCATAAAAATCTAACTGCAATTGATCAACAAAATAACATACAGTTTGGTAGTTGATAGAGTGTGTAGGTTTTGAATTTTGAAGGAAGGATTTTCTAAATAATTGTAGTACTGACTGATTGGATGAGATAAGGTGTATTTTGAGAGCTACCCTTCTCTACTTGTTTGTAATTGATGATTGAATCATTCAATTGGTGAAACATGTCTCTTAACAATGCAAGGGGTGCACCACAGTTTTTTTGAAAAAGTCAAAAGATTGGCCCCGAACTTAAGTTTGCACTGTAATTGACCATCACTCTGACATTGACTACGTTCACTCATACTTACGAGTCAATTGACTTTACAGAGTGAACACGACTAGTTCAACTTACTATTGAAATTGAAACGGCCGGGTCTAATCCTATGCATCCTATTTGTGATTCTTTTTTTCTCACGTTCTCGCAATATAAAACCGACTAATTTTCTCGATTTGGATTTTCAACAACTTTTTATTTTTGATAATTCTCAAATTGATATACAACTTTTCATCAACAAAATTCAACCACAGCAATGCCCAAGTTAGTTCTTATTCGTCACGGTCGCTCAAAACTTAATGACTTAGATATATTTTCGGGATGGATTGACGCTAAATTGTCCGATTCAGGGAAAGAAGAGGCCAAAAAAGCTGGTGAACTTTTGAAAGATGCAAAAATTGAAGCAGATATTATTTACACTTCACTTTTATCAAGAGCTATTCAAACCGCTAATATTGCTTTGGACGTTGCTGATCAATTGTGGGTACCTGTGACAAGATCTTGGAGACTCAATGAAAGACATTATGGAGATTTACAAGGTAAAAACAAAGCTGAAGCATTAGAACATTTTGGTCCTGAAAAATTCAAAGAATATAGAAGATCATATGATATTCCACCTCCTCCAATCTCACCTGATAATAAATGGTCTCAAGCTGGGGAAAGAAGATATGATACAATTGATCCTGCTATTGTTCCTAAAACAGAAAGCTTGAAAGACGTAATTGAAAGATTATTACCATTTTGGGAAGATGAAATTGCTAGTAAGTTGTTGGATGGGAAGACAGTTGTGATTTTTGCTCATGGGAATTCACTTAGAGCCTTAATTAAACACTTGGATGGGCTTTCGAATGAATCCGTAAGTGAACTAAATCTAGCCACGGCGCAACCACTAGTCTATGAATTAGACGATCAATTAAAACCTATCAAGCATTACTATCTTGATCCTGAGGCCGCCGAAGCTGGTGCAGCAGCTGTTGCAGCTCAAGGACAAAAGAAATGAGCTTTGTAGTGGATCTAACATTTTGCAACGCTAACTATCTATTGAAATCGATGCTTTCGTATTCATGCAAGAAATTTTCAATACTCTCAGTGTTTAGTTAATACACATTTTAGTTTTTATATTTATTTGTTTAAGTTGAGTAGCTTCATCTCTAGCTGGAAGTAACTTTACCTTTACAGTTGAGCTAAGTTATCACCTCTTTTTAAATTGAGGTGAGCCAATTCATTCTTCTAAGTCTTATTATGAATTACAACTACCGTGAACAACCTCAATCTTGAGCTTGGCCTAGTGTGAAATCATAGAGATTTGGAGAAATTATTGGTGATTTTACATTTTACAGAAAAATTTAGCCATTTGAATTCACTTAATCAAGACTACGAATTTTTGTGAGATCCACTCTTCTTCCTCGTATTAAAAATAGCTTCATCAACTACCAAATTGTATATTACCCTTCTGATCAATTGCAGTTAAATTTTTGTGATCAGCAGGATTAGCAGCCAGTTCATAAATAGTAATAATAGGATCTTTATTCAATTCAGTAAATTCACCTCTCAATTCAATTGAATGAAATTGACATTGATCTTCATCTTCATAAATATTTTGTATGTAGATTGTTAATTGTTGAACTCCTGTAAATTTATGTCTTTGTAAAAAATGTTCAATAAATGTAGATTCTGAGTCTATAACATCCAGAATTTCATCATCTGCTATACCTATTTGTGGGTGAGTTATTTCTTGAATTGGCTTTTTGGAGTCGATATTATCGAAATCTATTGTTTTATCATTTTTATATAGCTTTATGGTTTTGGGACAATATGATTCACCGTTTGTACGTAGTATTAATGAGTATAGTTTCACACTACCATTGAGAAAAGGAATATTTATAATTAATTGTTCATCACAATCTGATTTAATCGTTGGGTGAATTTCAAATTTATGTTCTTGGTCTTTAAATAATTTTTGAAGTTGATCTGGTGGATTTTGTAAGTTTAATGCTGATACTTTATATAAATCTATTTTGGAGTTTAATGATTGAGATGTGGTGGTAGGTATAGGAGCTATATGTTGATGGCTTGAACCATTATGGTGGTTGTGATTATGATGTTCATCTTCACAAGACATTCTGCTTAACTGAAGAAGTCAGTAAATGATTTTTTTTAAATTAAGAGGTAATTGTCTATTTTTATAAAACTATACTACTATATAAACAAGTAATCATTACTAAAACACCCCAAATCACCAAAGCTAATGATAAATTTTTAAATATTTTTTCCAAAGTTGATGGATCATCCAGTTCTGATCCAATTAGTTTGTACCCAAATAACCCGGGTAAAATAAATGAAATCGAAGTTGAACCGGTAGCACCAACAATAGCTAAAATAAAAGCAAATGAATTTATAACTGTTGCAAGTATATATCCAACTACCAACAACACAATTGTGATTGCATAAAAGGTCTTTTCTGGGAATGGGACAATTCTTGAATCTACTTGTTCTTCTTGGTTATTTTCAAGTAATGAAGTTTCTTCAGTTAATTTGTTTTCTTCTTGTATAGCCCAATTATAAATATTGTTTACTGAAATTCTTGCTGGATGTAACATCAATGGGAATGAGAAAACAACCATGAAAACAATACTTAATCTACCAATCCAAGTTGTGACACCATTTGGATATGACAAAATAATATTACCATTAACACTTGAACCAAAAGTCAAATATCCAGTTAAACCAACCACAATAAACAATAAAGTTGAAATAATTATTGCAAAATTTACCAAATGAACTAAACTTGGTAAAGATTTATTTTTTGCTTCATTAATAATTGAAAACATATTTTGTTGACCAGTAAATGCAAAAACAATAATTGAAAAAGTACTAAATACTTTTGTAGCACTAGATGGGAAATATTCAATTAACCCAGATCTTGGAATGTCACCAACAAAATAGTGAGCTACTACCAATACTGAAATATAAGCTATTGCAACTAATGCTAAAATTGAAGTATACTTTAAAGAATCAAGGTTTTTTAAAAACGATAAAGGTACAGTCAATATTGTGGAAACAAACAACCAAAACACTTTGTAATGTTTTGGATCAACGAAAGGTACATTAGTAATAATAGTTGGCATTAAATCACGAATTAAAATCAAATAAGAAACAGCACAACCAAAACATTGAATAGCAATTGCAACATCAAATATTACTGATAATTGTGGATAAGTAATTGAACACAAGTTGAAAAAAGTTGCATGACCAATAGTTGTATATTTTGATACATAACATTGTAAAAATAATCCAAACCCTGAAGTTAAAGCTGCAATTAATATTATAAAACTTCCAAAAATCGTACCATCAGTTGAATAAGCCAATGGCATAGATAATAAACCAGCACCAATTATTGTTTTGAGTAAGCTGATAGCTGATGAAACTGTACCAGCACCTTGATCTTGAATTGAGGGCATTTTGTTTGTAGAGTTTGTAAAGAAGTCGATTTGTTTATTGATTTTTTATAGAAATTCTAAGTAGTATTTGTTTTATAAAGAAATTAAGTTTTTGTGAAACAAATGCAAAAGAGCCTCATATTTTTAGATCAAGTAGATAAATACGATTTTTTTTCAAGATCAATAGGAAAAAGATTTTACAAGTAGTGTCACTGTCCATATATTAATTCTCTTAGTTTATAATTTAATATTTTCAAATTTAAGCGTAAAACATTAATTTAGTTTGTATTTCCATAATAGCAATTTAAAGAATTGATTAAAATATGCAAAATTAATCCAAATATAATACAAAAACAATACCTTTAAATACGATGGTTTCACTCTAATAATTCGAGCTTAGTTTCAAAAATTTCTTTACCTGTTAGCAAGATAGATGTCTTGTGTTTGACAGTCCAATATACAATCTATTACAATCTCTATTTCGCTCAATTTTGATTGAAAAATTCTCTTTAAAAAATAAACTTTTGTTTGAACACAAATTATAAAAATAATTACGTCAAAGAAATTTATTTTAGTCCCAAAAAAGTTTAAAAATATTTTTAATTTACTTAACAGAAAAATTTATTAGTGACTTTTTTTTTATTGAAATCTTTGATATCAACAAAACCAAATAAAAATTTAAATTTTGTTTTATCATTTCAATTTCATAAACATTCATTAACCACTAATCAATTAATCAATTACCAACCTAGATAAACAACCACTTATCAAACTCACCAAATCAACCAATTCAGTTACTTTTTTATCACTCACACCCAAATTAATTATCATATTACCACCAAAATGTCATCAGATGGAGAATTCACTAGAACTCAAATATTTGGTACAGTATTTGAAATAACCAATAGATATACCGACTTAAACCCTGTTGGGATGGGTGCATTTGGATTAGTTTGTTCAGCCGTTGATAAATTGACTGGACAAAATGTTGCCGTTAAAAAAATTATGAAACCTTTTTCAACATCAGTATTAGCTAAAAGAACATATAGAGAATTAAAATTATTAAAACATTTAAGACATGAAAATTTAATTACATTAGATGATATTTTTATTTCACCTTTAGAAGATATATATTTTGTAAATGAATTACAAGGTACTGATTTACATAGATTATTAACTTCAAGACCTTTGGAAAAACAATTTATACAATATTTTACTTATCAAATATTAAGAGGTATGAAATATATTCATTCAGCTGGAGTTATACATAGAGATTTAAAACCATCAAATATTTTAATTAATGAAAATTGTGATTTAAAAATTTGTGATTTTGGATTAGCAAGAATTCAAGATCCTCAAATGACTGGGTATGTTTCAACAAGGTATTATAGAGCTCCAGAAATTATGTTAACTTGGCAAAAATATGATACAGAAGTTGATTTATGGTCAGTCGGTTGTATATTAGCAGAAATGATTGAAGGGAAACCTTTATTTCCTGGAAAAGATCATGTACATCAATTTTCTATAATAACTGAATTATTGGGTAGTCCACCTTCAGATGTTATTGATACTATATGTTCAGAAAATACTCTTAGGTTTGTACAAAGCTTACCACATAGAGATCCAATTCCTTTTAGTGAAAGATTTGCATCATGTACTCATGTTGAACCAGAAGCCATTGATTTATTAGCTAAAATGTTAGTATTTGATCCCAAAAAGAGAATAAGTGCAGCAGAAGCTTTAACACATCCTTATATGGCACCTTATCATGACCCAACTGATGAACCTATTTGTGAATCTAAGTTTGATTGGAGTTTTAATGATGCTGATTTACCAGTTGATAATTGGAGAGTTATGATGTATAGAGAAATTTTAGATTTTCATCAAAATATTGGTGTTGGTGGTAGTGGTTTAGATTATCAACAACAACAAGTTGCCGATGCTGATGGTAATACTGAAAAATTAGAACAATATCAACAACAACAACAACAACAACAACAAGAAATAAAGTAGAGAGAGCTTTGTAAAAATAAAAGTGTAAATTAGAAAAAACTATAAGCGCGCATTTTTCTCTTTTTTTTTTGATTTGGTTGTAAATCAACAATAAATGCTGAACAAAGTATGGAAGAAACAATTGAATGATAATTTAACGATATCATTGGAGTTTAAAGAGTGTAGTGAAAATGAAAAACTTCAGAGGTGTAAACTATGTTTTTATAATACCTCAAAATCAGATATAGTGGTGAATCCAAAAGATTCAAATGGTACAACCAAAAGTTGGTTTCCCTTTTTTAGTACACAAGAAGAAGATGAAGCCAAAGAAGAGATGATTAGTCAACCAGAAGATAAAACTGTAAAGTTATTTTTAGGGTATATTCAACTATTTGGGTATATAGTATTGAACTATAAATTTTCAATTGATATATCCGCTTTAGATATTCAAAAACATTATCAATGGTGGAACAATACCGAGTATTTAAGTCAATATAACTTAAAAGATGAAGAAGAAGATTTAATAGAGCAAGAAGCTTTTTCGGCTATTGATAATATCCCATTTATTGAAAGCCACCTACAGAATAAATTAGTAATTGGAGGGAATTTAGGTGGTGTGAAAGATTTGATAACCACTGAAAAAGATATTGATCCTTCGTTAGTTCATGATTTAATTAATGTATTTGATTCATTCCCTAAAACAACAAACACTTTACAAATAAAAGATTTTACTGATACAATATTACCATTTTATACAACTCAACAATCACTATTATTTACTGATTTAAACATACCCAAAAACAGCTCCAAAAGTTTCAACTTCCAAATACCCATTAGTGAAAATTTACCACCAAGTTATAATTCAAGATCTACTGGACCAGCTTGTGATCAAGGTTGGGTTAGCATTAGATACTCATTGGTTGTAAGTTTACACGAGGATAATATCAACAATTCCAAATCAGTTTATTTTCCATTACATGTGAAACCACAAAAACACTCCATAAATCAAAATTTACAACCAAATTATTTTGAAAAACCTTTGGGTTTAGACAAAAATTGGTCAATTAAAGAAACCAATGAAATTTTAGAGCCACCAACATCGAACGGTTCTGCTTGCTCAGGTAAACAAGATTTTTTAAATGATTTATCTCAGTTAATAGATTCTGATGTTTATAGTATGCCTAAAATATCAACCAATGAGAGAAGAAAACTGAGTATCAATACAAACTTTGTGGAGACTGAAAATGGTTCATATATTCAACAATTACCACACCACTTGAAAACACTGTATCAATTAAAAGTTAATAATGAAGATATATGCAAGATTTCATTGTCCAAACCTTATTTTCATATAGGGGAAGATATACACTACACTTTAAAATTATCATCAGGGGAAACTAAAATAATTGGTTTAATTTCATATATAGAAGCAAATGAAATTTATCACACAACTGAGAAAGATATTATTAATAATTACAATATAACAGGAAACAACAAATTAAATACATTATCATTATCAACATCATCATCAAATTTAATAAATGATTTTATAAATATACCTAAATTTATAACATCACAATTTCAAGCTAAATCATTCATGGATTTAAAATATTATTTAAATTTTCAATTTAATTTTGCAAAAGATACGCTAGAAGTAGAAGATGAAGATAGTTTACATAATAAATATTATAAATCTGACGTTACTGGATCCACTTATCATTTTAAAATTCCTATATATATTGTATAGTATGAATTGAATATATAAAAGTTTTGATATGTTTTATGGATAAATAAAGTAAAGAAGAGAATCAAAGAATGCTTCAAAGCTGAATTTACCGAATTAGAATTGCATAAACAAAGTGAGACATCTTTTGCAAAAGTGAAAGGGATTTGGGACAATTGTTCTTACCATAGATTGAGAGTATGAAATTCTCTCAAGTTGATACTATCACAATTTCAATTATTCATCAATGAATTATTCTAAAATATCATTTAATTTTGCTAAAGAAGTTGTTCTTGATGTAAAATTAAAAAAATATTATAATTCAGAAATTAGTAGATGTATTTTTAAGCATTCGTATACTTAATATGAAATTGATACCTTAAAATCCATAATACAATACGCATGAGTGAAAGGGATATGGCTAGTGTTGTTGAAATTTAATAGGAATAGTTGCTCTAACTAAAGAAAGAAAGTCCCCTAAAAGTTCTAGATTTTTTTGTAGTTCTGTTTCAAAATTAAATAAAAAATCCTCGAGACACACTAACAAATTTTTGATTTCCTAATTTGTATATGAACTATTTAAGCCAAATTATTATTTTTTTTGTAAAACTTCGAAATGTCAATAATTTCTTTTTTTTTTACAGCAGTAGAACCCTCATAATTAATGATTTCAACGTTTAATAATTCGTACTTTAAAGGTGATTGAGTTTCTTGAGTTTAACATTTCTATTTAGTTTTCAACACCAGATTCCGTAGTTTTATAATATTTATTTAAGCTTTAAAAATTGATCTCTAGTTAAAGTCTTAGGGATCTCAAAGAAGTCCTCAAATAAAGCTTGTTTTGAACACACACTCCATACTCTCCGTCAAGGCTTATTTCCTCAGACTGTAGGTGTCAATGGCTTATAGTAATTCAACATGGATAGCCTCAATTTGCAACTTATTTAATTTTCACCACTAATAAAATAAATTACTGTTTTAGGTAATGAAATTAAATTTTAATGTATTCTAAAGATCTAACTAAAAAAGATCAACTAACACAAAACCATCCAATATATATGACTTTACTTTTTACAGTAAATTATGGTTAATTAGTTATACAGAGTGAATTATTCTGAGATATTCATCGTCGAAAATGTATATAAACATTTATAAGTCATGAATTTTAGTGGTGCTTCTTTTTTCATTATTTTAAATCTTTAATCATCTTCATCTTCATTCGTTAATCACTAGTATCTCAACATTCACAATCACAATCACAACATAATGAGATTCTCAACTATATTAGCGACCACTTTTTCAATAGCTACATTAGTTTCATCAAATCCAATAACTCCAAATTCTGAGAAATTTGGTTTACAATTGAAAGAAAGAGAAGAACTTAATGATTTATATCACTACCAAGAAGAAAGAGATCTTTTATCAACTGCTGAAAGTTTATTATCATCAATTAATTTAACTTCCATTTTAGGTTCAATTGATTTCGAACAAATTGCAGGTTGGGCAAATAATTTATTAACTGAAGATGATAATGTAAAATATTTAGATTATATTTTGGAATTTGTTGGTACAACTAATTTAGTACCAGTTGCTATAAGCTTTATATTGTCAAACAATGAAACAAGAGGTCTTGCAGGAGATGCAGTTGTTGGTTTAATTGGTTCAGGTCAATTTGATTTAACTCCAGTTTTTGAAGCATTAAAAGATTCTGGTTTAGCTTATACATTAATTGCGGATTTAATTGAAAATCCAAATACTTTACCATTTGTAATTCAAGTTATTAAAGATACTTTAGGAGGGACTTCTATCGGTAATATTGTTGGAGGTATTGTAGGTAGCGGAAGTACAACAGTTCAAGTCTCTGGTGTTAATGGTAATACTGCAGCTTTTACTTTAGCTACTGGTTCATTGGCTTATAATTCTGCTTCAGCTGGTACTGCTCCTGCTTTAGTTAGTTCAATCATAAATAGTGCTAACGCCAATGGTGGTGTTAGTGTTGGTACTGGTACTGGAGCTGCTGTTACTGGTACTGGAGCTGCTAATGGTGGAGCTAATACTGTATTTGGTCAGACACTAGGTACTGATCAAATTAATACTGGATCAATTGCTGCTTTAATTTCTGCTGCTGCTGCTCAAGAAAGTGGAAACACTCAATTAACCTTAGCTGCTGCTACAAACACTCAAATTGCTGCCACAACTACAAGAGCTGCTGTTACAACTGCTGCTCAAGCCCCAGCTACTACCCAAGCTGCTGGTGTTGTTGGTGCTGGTGGTGTTACTTCATATGATCTTGCTACCATTAGAGGACCAGCTTTCCAATCACTTCCACCATCACAATTTGGAATTGGTGCAACTACAATCAATTATTCTGCTTTAGCTCAAGTTACTGCTGCATTAGGTGGTGGTTCCAAAAAAAGAGAAGATGCAGTTGAAGAAGTATTACAAATGATGAAACAAAAAAGACAAGAAGAAGATGAAGTTGAAATGGCATTACAAAAAATGAAAAGAGATAATATTGAAGACTTATTAACAACAATTTTTTCATCGGTTGCAAGATCAGGTTTAATTAATGAAACTATCCAATATTTAGTTACTGATGATCAATTTGAAGGTGCTGTTGTACAAATCTTACAAGGTGTTTTTGCAAACATTGGTTCAACTTTGACTGGTCTTTATAGTACTGATTGGTCAACAATCTATCCATTAGTTAATGCATTATTAAATTCAGGTTTATTAACCGATATCATCACAAAAGCCTTCAATGATGAAGATTTAAAAAATGCTTTATATAGAGATTTACAACAAATTTTTAAAAGAGATTTAGAATTGACTGATTTACAAATGAGAGATTTACAAATTATTGCAAGAGATCAATTTAATTCATCAGTTTCAATTTCAACTATAACTCAAGGCGTTAAAACTAACTCATCAAGTGTTGTTACTGTTAATGGTGCAGTTCCAAACTCAAACAAATATGCTCCAATGGCTCTTGCTGCAATTGGTTTATCAGCATTAATTTTATAATCAACTACCAACACTAACCACAAAAAAAAATCATCATCATCAAGATTGTTTGCATTTAAAATACCTAAACGTTTTTAAAATTTCGTTAATTTAGTTTTTCAATTCTTAGTTTATAAATTTGTTAATACACATTTTTAATTTAATTCATCTTTTTAATAATTAAGTGGTTGTAGATTATTTATAGTTAAGGGGTATTTTTTTGAGCTGTCTCATTTTTGTGTTATAATCTTATTTTTTATTTTATATGTCAAAATTAACGGTTCATTTATTGCTTTTACTTTTGGGAAATATTTCATCAAGCAACAAGTATGTGCGGGAAGTCCAATTTAAGTATGCAATTGAAAGACGACTCAGCTCATAGTCTCCCAGATAAGCCACCAGAGACATCAGAAAATGACAATGAGTATGATCACCATTTTGATTCAGAAAGTGATGATGAATACTCCAAAACCAATTCAGCTCAATTTTCAACATCTCAAGATAGATATATGAAAGACCACGACCTTAAATTGAAAACTTTTCAAGCATTACACAATGGGAATCAACAATTTACTCCATCACCTCCTGGAAAATCAAATATCAAAAGAAGACCATCAATTATTGATTTACCGTATGGTCATAACAGTCATCCATTACCAACTCAAGCACCTCACCTTGAAAGCTCTTTAGCGAACCCATTAGCTGCTCAAAACGCATTGCCCGAAGAATATCCTTCTGATGAGTTGATTGAATTCTATCAACACGTTAAACAATGCTTGGATTTAAGACATAAATACTTGGAGCTATCATTACAAATTCCAGAACTGTTAAACCCTAAAAATCAACCAGATTGGAAAATTTACCCACCACCACCAAAACCGACCTATAAATCCAAAAATAAATTTAATCAAACTAGCAAACATGAAAATGAACAAGAAGAATTTGATTTTAGCAAGTGTGAGATTCCGGATTTAATTGGAAATGAATACTACTTTGTTTTAGATGATCAAGGAGTTTATCAAGTTTATAATACAAAAGCTGATAAAAAATTAGTTGACGTCCCAACTTTAGATGAATACTATTCAGATATGAATACTATCAGTAGAATTTCATCGGATGGACCTACAAAATCATTTGCATTTAAAAGATTACAATATCTCGAAGCTAAATGGAATATGTATTATTTATTAAATGAATTTGAAGAAACTAAACAGTCCAAAAGAAATCCTCATCGTGATTTTTATAATGTTCGTAAAGTTGATACTCACATTCATCATTCTGCATGTATGAATCAAAAACATTTACTTAGATTTATCAAATATAAATTAAAAACTGATCCTGATGAGCCAGTAATTTTCAGAGATGGTAAGATTTTGACACTTGCTGAAGTATTCAAATCATTAAATTTAACAGCTTATGATTTATCAATTGATACTTTAGATATGCATGCACATACCGACACATTCCATAGATTTGATAAATTCAATTTGAAATATAATCCCATTGGTGAATCAAGATTGAGAGAAATTTTTTTAAAAACAGATAATTTCATTGATGGTAAATATTTAGCTGAAATTACAAAACAAGTAATGGAAGATTTAGAAAACTCAAAATATCAAATGTGCGAGCTAAGAATTTCTATATATGGTAGATCAATTCATGAATGGGATAAATTAGCAGCTTGGGTTATTGACAACAAGTTATTCAGTCATAATGTTAGATGGTTGATTCAAGTTCCAAGATTATATGACATCTATAAGAAAAATGGAAATGTCCGTTGCTTTTTAGATATAGTTAAAAACTTATTCGAACCATTATTTGAAGTATCTAAAAATCCTAAAACACATCCAAAACTTTATGTATTTTTACAAAGAGTTGTAGGGTTTGATTCAGTTGATGATGAGTCAAAAGCCGATAAACCTATACAATCAAGAAAATATCCACCTGCTAGCGAATGGAATTATACTTCAAATCCTCCATACTCTTACTATTTATATTATTTATATGCAAATATTGCAACTTTGAATCATCTCAGGTTGAAAAACAATATGAATACCTTTGTTTTAAGACCTCATTGTGGAGAAGCAGGAGATCCAGAACATTTGATTAGTGCATTTTTAACATCATATGGAATATCTCATGGTATTTTATTAAGAAAATTACCTTTTATTCAATACCTTTATTATCTTGATCAAATTGGTATTGCAATGTCACCACTTTCAAACAATGCATTATTTTTAACATACGACAAAAACCCGTTTTATAATTTTTTCAAAAAGGGATTGAATGTTTCTTTATCTACTGATGATCCTTTACAATTTTCATACACTAAGGAACCATTGATTGAAGAATATTCAGTTGCTGCCCAAATTTATAAATTATCAAGCGTTGATATGTGTGAATTAGCTAAAAATTCATGTTTACAAAGTGGGTATGAAGCAGAAAACAAAAAACATTGGTTAGGTAAAAATTATATGCTTGGTGGAGTTGAAGGTAATGACATTGAAAAGACAAATATTCCAAACATTAGATGTGAATTTCGTGATCAAACCCGTAAATCTGAAGAGCATTTAATAGATTATTATAATAAAATTGGTGAAAAAGAAGCTGAAAAAAAATAAATATAATTTACTAACGATATATTTTTTTTTTGTAAGTACTTGTAAGCGCATAATTATTTAAGTATATAGAACAATAAATATTATTTATCTGATTATTGAAAAATCAACGTCTTACAAAAATGTTCATCAAACTGATTCTAAAATGAAGTCTAACTATGTGAAAATAAGAGAAACAGAGTCTAAAAATGTTCAATTACCCGTGGTGATGACAATTGCTGGTAGTGATTCTTCAGGTGGGGCAGGTATTGAAGCTGATTTAAAAACATTTAGTGCATTTGGGGTTTATGGCATGACATGTATTGCAGCATTAACAGCTCAAAATACAATGGGAGTTAAAACTTTTGAAAAAACGTCATCTAACTTGTTAGACCAAATTTTGAAAGCTAATTTGGAGGACTTCTATGATAATAATGGACCTTTAAGAGTTATCAAAACTGGGATGTTAACCAAAGAAGCAATACAAGAAATAACTAAATATGACTTGAAAAATGTCAAGTTTGTTATCGATCCAGTTATGGTTAGTACATCAGGCAGTAAATTGTTTGACTTGGAGGGTATTAAATTTTGTGTTGACAAATTAATGCAAAACTCATTCTTGGTTACTCCAAATTTTATTGAAGCTAAAACTTTATATACTATTTTCGAAAATGAAAAGGAAATCACCAACTTGGAAGAATTTAAATTATTTGTGGTTGAATTACAGAAAGTTTTGAAATGTGAAAATTTATTAGTCAAAGGTGGTCATGTACCATTTGATGATGATGATAAAGTTTCAGATAACGGTAAAAGAATCATTGATATACTTTATCAAAGTGCAAATGATCAATTAACAGTGTTTGAATCCAACTACATCAATTCGGAAAATACTCATGGTACTGGTTGCACTTTATCATCAGCAATTGCTGCAAATATTGCCAAAGGTAAAAATCTTGTTGAATCAGTTGGTATTTCAATAGACTATATACATAATGGAATGTTACAAATGTCGAAGTTGGGACATGGAAATGGTCCTTTGAATCATAATATAAAACCTGCTGATCATTTACATCAAGTTGTGGAATATAAAAATGGAGACATCATAACGTTTGATGAAAATCACACATTCTTGGACTACTTGAAAAACCATCCAACGGTGAAGGAAAATTGGAAAAAATATACTGAACATCCATTTGTGAAGCAAGTTGCAGAAAATTCATTACAATTTGATAAATTTTTATATTACCTAAAACAAGATTATCATTATTTAATTATCTACGCTAGAATGCATGGATTATCGGCATCTAAAGCTGAAACATATCAACAAACTCATGCACAAGCAACAATCATCAGCGAAATTGTTACAGAAATTGAAAATCATAAAAGGAAACTAAAAGCATATGATGTCGATTATGATAGAGATATAGATGATTTAAAACCAGGTAAAGCATGTATTGAATATTGTGATTACCTTATCAATTGTGGAATGAATGAAGATTATTTAGGTATTAAAACAGCATTAGCTCCTTGTTTACATGGCTATGCCGAAGCAGGAGATTATGGAATAGCTCAATTAAATTTACAAGAAAACCTCAAAAAAATTGAACATCAAAAAGTTTATGAATCTTGGCTTAAAGAATATACTTCAGACTGGTATAAAAAAGCTGACAAAGAAGGTGCTTTAGCTTTAAATCTGCTTGTTGGTAATGGAATCACTCGAAAGCGTGCAGATGAATTGGTCAAAATTTTCAATGATGTTACTTTATTAGAGATAAACTTTTGGTCAGAAGTATTAAATTTATGATTATATAAGAGTAGATAAATCTATAGAAGTGATTTCTTGATATGTTTAGTTTCAATACGAAATAATAGACTCTTTATGAAGGATTGTTGTTTTCTCCTAAAATGTCGCTGAATATTATTTAATAGCTTGCTAAATGATTATCAATAAAATCAAAAAAGCACTAAAAATTGATCTGTCGTAAATTTTTAGTTTGTCACAACGAGAATTAATTATCAAAGTTGGAAATATTTGAACCGACAATATATCAAAATCAATAATTCAGCTATCAAGAATCAATACAATTGATTATGTTCAATTCGTATCAAGCTACGGGAATGGGTTACAACCCACCCAATAATCAACAACAGCAATATCAATACCAACAACTTCAACAACAACAACCTTTATATACACAAAGTACTGGGTTTATGCAACCTAATTTATTTCAATCGAATGTTCAACCAGGTTACATTCAAACTCAAGCTACGGGATTTAGTGGAGCACCAACAGTTGTTGAAAATAATGAATTAAAAATTCCAAGTTTTAGATTATCATTTATTACAGCTGAAGATCAACGTAAATTTGAACATTTATTTAGAACAGCAGTGCCAAGAGGTGAACAATCAATAAATGGTGATTCAGCTAGTAATATTTTGTTAAGATCAGGCTTAAATGCTGTTGTATTAGCAGAGATCTGGACTTTATCAGATGTTGATAAAACTGGATCATTATTATTCCCAGAATTTGCATTGAGTTTACATTTATGTAACATGGCTAAAAGAGGAGAACCTTTACCTGGAGTACTTCCGGCTAAATGGTTAAATGAAGTCAAAAGTTTTATGGATGCAATCAATTTCAGTGTACCCGATGACCCAAATAAGATATTGGCCAATACACCATTTGCTAAAAAAAACGATTGGTTTACTCAGCCTGGGTTAAATCCTCAAACAACTGGATTCAATCCACCAAATACAAGTTTTGGTCAACAACAAAGTGGAATCGGGCAACAACAAACTGGATTTGCTCCACAACAAACAGGTTTTGGTCAACAACAAAGTAATTTCATTCAACCTCAAGGCACAGGATTTAATCCGCAACAAACTCAGAATAATTGGTTGGGTTCTCAAAATACAGGCTTCAATCAACAACAGCAACCACCATCAACTTCATTCGGAGCAGGTGAATTTGTACCTTTACAACCACAGCAAACAGCTGGTTTAATACAAAAGACAATACCACTTCAAGCTCAAGGTACAGGATTTAATCAACTTGGACCTCAACGTACTGGTGGGTTTGTTCCTCAAAATAATGGTATACAACCACAATCAACAGGTTTCCAACCACAGTCAACAGGTTTCCAACCTCAACAAACTGGTGGTATGGGAGGTTTTAATACAATTGGATTACAACCCCAAAAAACAGGACCTTTGCAAGCTAACAAAACCGGACCAATGCCAATTCAATCTCAACAAACTGGTCAGCTTCAGCTGCAACCTACTGGCTCCTTTGGGTTTTTACAACTGCAACCTACGGGAATGTTACGAGCACAACCAACTGGAAGACCTGGGGAATGGGGATTTGTTTCTATGCCAACTGGTGGTTATCAAGGTTTAAATACAATGCATTCAGTTTTCCAGCCAGATAATACCAAAAACTATCAAGATTTAAATAAAGTGATGAATAATAATTCTTCAACCAATGTAACTTGGGCAATTTCAAAACAAGAAAAATTAATATATGATAATTTATTTCAAGCTTGGGATACTGGTAAGAAAGGATATGTTGATTCAAATGTAGCCTTAAATGTATTTACAAAATCAGGTTTAAGTAGATCTGATTTGGAATCAATTTGGACATTAGCTGATACTGATGATGTTGGTAAATTAAATAAAAATCAATTTGCAGTTGCAATGCATTTAATTTATAGAAGATTGAATGGGTTAGAAATTCCAGTTAGATTACCACCAGAATTAATTCCACCAGCCGATAAAACTTTCAGAGACACTATGGATAGTTTAAAGAATTCATTGAAAAACAATGGTGCCAAAAATTCCAAAAATAATAAACCACAAACCAAATCAACTGGTGCTAGATACAAGAATGACGATGATGACGTTGGATACGTTTCAAGCTCACGTTATAAAAAAAGAGGACTGTCAGAAGAAAAAGACAACTCCAATCTTAGAAACTCAAAATCTTCAGATTTAAGTATTGATGATTTAAAGAAATCAATAAGAGAAAAGAAAATTTTATTAGATGCAATGGATGTTGAAGATGAAGAAAAAATTAAAAGTGGATCAGGTGAAATTGATAAATTGAAAACTCAAATTTTTGATTTACATACTAAAATTGTTAAACAAGGTGGAGATAATCAAAAACTGACTTTACTCAAAAAATTAGATCATATAACTAGAGATCAAATTCCAAGATTAATCTCAGACATCAATCAAATTAATCAAGAAATTTCAACTAAAAAAATTGAATTAATTAAAAGTCAACTTAAAAAAGAAAATCCAAGTTGGGATGAATCAAAAGTTGATGTAAACAATCCTGGTAAATTTGATTTAAAACAAAAAATGGCTATGTTAACAGGAAAAAATCCAAGTGGTAATCTTGATCATAGATATAAAGAAGCAATTGAAAAATCAAAATCAGAATTAAGTGGTCAATCAGAAATGATTAAGGATATTGAATCTGGTATAAAGTCAATGGAGAATGAATGTGCTTCAAAATTGAAAACTTCTGCAAGATTAGAAGCTGGATATGAAAAATGGGAAAAGGGGTTTGGTATTAATGAAGCCGTTGCATCATTTGTTAGAGAATTATCAAGGTATCAAAATCCAGAAAAAGCAGCTGTCAAACAACAACAAACACAACCACAACAATCAAACAATTATAGCTCCACTGTTAATTCAAATCAAATTCAAAAAGAAGCTCCAATTCAGCAACAACAATCAAATTCCACTACGAACACATCCACTTATAATTCTGCTGAAGAAAGAGCTGCCTATATCAAGGCTGAAGCAGAAAGAAGAATGGCAGCAAGACTTGAGAAACTTGGTATTAGTCGTGCTGGAAGAAATGCAAAGAAACCTAGCGAATCTCAAAATTCAACTCCAATTGTTCAAAAAGAGGAAAAGAAAGTTGAACCACCAAAAGCTCCTGAAATAAAAGGGGAACCTAAAGTTGTTGGTTCAAAGAAAGAAGTTGAGTCTATCGATGTTCCAAAACCACAACAACAAGAGTCTCAAAAATCACAACAACAAGAGACTCAAAAACCACCACAACAACAACCAGAGCAACCACAAGCTCCTCCGGCTCCTCCACAGCAGCAACAACAACAACAACAACAACAACAACAACAACAACAACAACGACAACAACAACAACAACAACAGGTACCACAACCCAATAATCAAAAAGTTGAAGAATCATCCTCGGATGACGAAGATTTTGATTTCCAACCTAATCCAGCTAAAACTTATACTGCTCATGGATCATCAACATCATCATCATCAAAACCACAACAACCATCGTTTGAAGGTTTCAACTCAAATCCAACTCCTTCCACTGAACAAAACCAAATTTCAAAAGAAGAAGAAAAAAAAAATGAACAACCACCAACTAATCAATCAACCACTTCAGAACCTCCAAAAAGACATGATAATAATCCATTCTTCAAAAAACAATTTCAATCATCAAATCCTCCAGTTGATGCACAAAAGGCTTCAATACAAAGAGGTTTTCAAAGAGGTATTGCAAATAATGATAATTGGAGTGATTCAGAAGATGAAGATTCAGAAGATGATGCACCAAATAGAGCAGGTGCTGCTCATTTAGCTAACTTATTATTTGGTGGTATGGCTCCTCAACAAACTGGTGGAAATCAAGTCGAACCAAAAGAACAAGAACAACCAACTCAACAAAATAATCAAAACGAAGCTTCTGTTCCACAGACGTTTAACGAAAGTAAAGAAGAAGAGAAATATGATAATTATGAAGATAAAAAACAAGAACAAGAGGAACAAGAGGTACCACAGGAACAATCAATTCCACAACCACCACCTTTAGATACAAATCAATTTTCATCATCTATTCCACCACCACCTCCTCCAATGGAGTCCGTTCCTTCAATTCCTCAAGCTCCACCTCCACCTCCACCACCTTCTCAACAATTTTCAAATATTCCACCTTCTTTACCAACAAATGAACCACCAGCTTTACCTTCGGATATTCCTCCACCACCACCCCCACCTCCTTCATCATTACCACCCCAATTAAACGGTAATAATGCTCCACCACCACCACCACCATTCCCACCACAAGTACCACCATCAGCACCACCATCAGCACCACCATTAGATAATCAATTAACAAATCAACAAACTGGTAATCCAAATATTGGTGCATTATTAAATCAAATTACTGGTGGTTCAACATTACGTAAAGTAGAAACTAAAGTTTCAAGTGGTGCAACTGTTGGTAGAGTTCTTTAAATAAAAGTATTGTTATTTGTTTTGATTAAGTCAAATATAGTTTATAAATATACATCGTTCTTCATTTTAAACACTAGTAATCAATTGTAAGATTTGAATAAACACGGCATAAATATACCTAAACAATTACAGATACAGAGATATGCACGGATGATTATATCAAAGTGTATGTGTGTTTATGTGTCCTACATTAATTGGTGATTATACGATTATCAAAATTAATTACAATAATTCACACCTTACGATATTGCACTTCTTTCAAATAGCAAAAATTCAATATAGTGTTCGCAAGTAGGTACCTTAATCTTTTATTAAGAATACTACAGCTATAATGATTGTGTATACTAAAAATAATATTATTAGGCTTAGTTTTAAAATTTTATATTTTAGTTTGAATTTGTAATTTGTTTAACCGGGAAAAAAAAATTATCAAATTTTGAAACAACGTGGTACATTGATCCATAGATATAAAAATTCTATTACTGATCAAAATGTTTTACAGATATTTCATCTAGTTTTAGTTCCCGATAATATAAAAGTAATAAGATGTATTAATGTATTAAACAACACTGTAAAATTATTATAATGATATATAATTTAATAAATTTGATGATACATAAACTTAATATTTTATAATCTAAATTTAGAAACTTTGATTCTACTTTAATTAAGCCTGGTTTAAAATTAGGTTTTACCTTGAATTTTTTTTAAAGTAATTTGTTACTAGTTCAACTATTTGATTAATAAGTGATTTCTAGAAAAGGAGGCACACGATAACTTCTTATATCAAGAGATGAATTATTAAATATTAAGTTATTATTATTTGATTTAACTTGATAATATAAGATTTAACTTGATAATATATGTTTTTCCATATTTACCTTTTTTTTTCTTTCTATTTTATTTTGAATATTATATTTAAAATAATATAAATCAAATCATATTTTTATAAAATAATAATTCAAATAATTATAAAATCATCTTTAATTTTCATTAATTAAATAATCATGAAATTATAAATATATTTATTTTTCAAAATTATATCAATTATTTAAATTCTTTCACAAGTTTGAGATTTATATATTTCAATTAATCAATCAATCATATTAAATTATTATTATTATAAGTTTATTTTATTGAGACACAACTATTTATAAAAAAAACAAGAAAATACCAAGAATATAATATTTCAAAGGGTTTAAAGTTTTGTTTCAGATTTTATATTCAATCAATCTAATAATGTATACAATTCATTTAATATACTCATATCAATTAATAAATCATTAATCAATCAAGATCAAATTTTATTTTTACAACCAAATAATTTTGTGTTTGACAAATTTTATGCATAAAAAAATGTTTATATTTTATAAGATATGTTTAATATTATTAAGTTTATCATTTATATCATTATTAATTAATTTGTATATTAATCAACCTATAAATGATATTATTTTACCAACATCTAATAAAATACAGTCAGAATTATCAAAAATTTATAATGGTCAAGAATATAATTTAATTAATAATAATCAAATTAATAATAATCCAACTGGAAATGAACACAAAAATAACAAATATAAAATAATAATATTCCCCAATGAATTGAAACTAAATAAAAACAAGTTAAAGTCAATTTATGAGAAGGAACTATATAATAAAATACACAAGAACGATATTTTAATTACGAATGATGAATTGAATATCAAATATCCTAATAATTTAAAATTTGAAAACTATAAAGTTGAAATTATTGATTCTTCTAATGATAACGAAATCAATAATAAAGTAAAAAAAAAGAGCAGAAAACTACGAAAGAAAGATCAAGATCAAACATCAGATCAACCAGCGCCAAATCCACAAAATCCTAATCCAGAAGAAGAAAACCCACAAGATTCTATCATATCAACAAATCAACTAAAGGAACCACAAAAACCAGTATTTGAGTGCTCAGATAAATCCAGAGAAATTGAATTTAAAGTTAGTGAGTATGAAAATAGAAATGTTGACTTGAAAAAAATACTTTATGAATTTATGGCTTCATCAAATCCGTACTACGAAGAAATTAAAGCACTAATACCAACTTTAAAACAACAATTAGAAGAAAACACATTTGCTGAAAATTGGTTCCAATTGATTGGTAGTTCAGTTTGGTTAGAACAATATGGAGTTCATTTATTAACTTCAAGAATATTCTATACACAAACTGGTAATAAGGTTCAACCTGTTATATCTTTTGTGTATGTACAAGCTTTTGATTCAAATTGGAATGAAATTGAAAATCTTGAATTAATTATGCCCAATGGTAATACAGTTACAAATTATAAGGATTATATAAAAGATGAGAACAAAAATGGTAAATTAAAATACAAGACTGTTAAGTATCCTCAATTTTTACCAATACCAATATATCATAATGTTCAAAAACAAACAGGAGTATTTTATGGACCTGAAGATCCGAGATTAATTTTGATCAAAAATAAATTGGGTTATGAGGAGCCAGTAATTATATTCAATGCGTATCACAGAAAATTTTCAAAAATTAAAACAAACGATAATGACGAAGGGTCAATTTATTTTGATTTTCATAGATCAATATTCATCGGTTGGTTATGGGAAACACAAATTGGTAAGAATAACATAGAAGAATTTGATGAGACATATACAAAACATGAATATACCAAGGTAAAAGAATTAATATTACCAAATTTCAAGAGAACCAACAAAGAAAAAAATTGGAGTCCATTTATTGATTTAAATGAAAGAGATAAAAATGGATACGATAAATCTATAAATCTTATATATCAATTCAAGAATTTGAAAATTTTAAAATGTTATTTCCATAAAGAATATTGTGAATGGGAGTATATGATGAATGAAATAAAAACCATCAATGAATTTAGAGGCGGTACACAATTAATTAACTTGAGAACAATATTGGAAAAGATCAACAATCCTAAATCAAATAAAAAAGGAAAAGAGTTAACTTTAAAGAGTAAGAAATTAAATAAACTAAATTATTTATTAAATTCATCATCATTAAATTTTCAAATTTGGATTGGATTTGCAAGAATTGCTTTAACTAATTGTGGATGTGGTGATAAATTTTATAGACCAAATATGTTTGTTTTAGTTAAGATTGGTGAATTTTATAAAATCTCACATATTTCAAATAGTTTAGATTTTAAAAATATTAAAATCAAACAGTGGGATACTAAGGATGAAAATTTATGTTCTGGTAAAAATTTAATAATTCCAAATGGTATATCATCATGGGAAATTTTAGACAATGGAAACTCAAAAGAAGAACAAGAAGATTTATTAACATTATTTTTTTCAAGAGCTGATGTTACAGTTGATTTCATTTACATAAAGGGGTTATTGAATAGTTTATTTAAAGATAAAGATGATGATTATATTTTCAAATTATATTCAGAAAATTTTAATTATGGAAACAATCAAGTTATAAAGAATAAAGGAGAACGAACTTATAATCATGAAATTAATCAACTCACATCTAAAATTTTTAAATTTAATGATTTCACAAATTTTAACGTTGAATGTTCCATCAAGAATGCTAAACAATATTGTATTGATTATTCAAAACAATATATAAAAACTAGTGAAACTTCACCTATTACAAATACTAATGATGAAAATTTAAAATGATCATTTGCTATATACTTACTATTTATTTTATATTTTATTTATATTTGTTCATTTTATAATTACTAATTGGATGACATATTGCATATTTATTTATTATTGATAACATCTCTAACTGTCATTGTGTCTTTCTTTCTGAAATGAATGAGCATTAGGAATACTCTGCTACGTTTATATGATAATTACTTTTAAATGATTTCGTACAAAATACAAAATATTTCATCATCTTTATATTATAATTACATAATAATACTATGATGTATATCGCGTAAAATGTTACATTTACGATAAGTTTGTAGATCGATTTTAATTATGATCTGTATTTTATATACAGTACATTGTATGTTAAAATTTAAGTTATAAATAAACGTTTTAAGTTTAAATCTGAAACAAACTTGATCATAAATTAAGCTAGTGAGTAAACGTATATACTTTAAGTGGAAGACATACCAAATAAATTATGTCACAGAAAAATTACATATATTGCTATCATTATATGTTAAAAATCATCGAAGAATATTATCAATTATAATATCTAATCGAAATCGCGGTATATTTAAATAATTATATATTAGGAAATTTTGAAGAAAATTATCAATAATTATAATATCAAGTCGAATCTCGGGATACTTAAATTATTTTATATAAAGAATGATTAAATAAAATAATTACACGTCCAAACAAAATTTTCATCAAAGTACATTATCTAGAAATTACTTTTATATATCATCACATACAAAAATATAGGAATATAGAACAACTTAACGGTTATAATTTGGTATTCCAGCTACAGAGTACAAAACATCTAATTTATAGATCAATCATAAATCAGTCGAATCAAGAATAAACTCGATTAATTATATTGAGAAATTTTCAAAAAACTGAAAAAGTCAAGGATAAAATTACTACTTAGTAAACAAGGTATCCTAAGAAAGTAAAAACAGAAAGGTCCAATTCAGTTTACTTTACGGTTTTACTTTCAAATATTACATTTGGCGTCTTAATAATGTATATATATGATAATTCAAGTTCAATATAACCAGACTATTAATACATTAAATAATTAAAATCAAAGTCATTTTTACAACCACTAAGTTTGTGTTGCCAAAGTTTTTACATACATAATGTTGAAATTTTATAAATTTAGTTTAGCATTATTAACTATATCATTTATATCATTAATAATTAATTTATATATTAATCAACCCATAAATGATATAATTATACCAACAACAAATTTAATTCAAACAAAATTATCAAAAATTCATAATGATAATTATAATAATCATTATAAACAACATTTAAAAGAAAATAATAAAAATTACAAGATAATAATTTTTCCAAATGATTTAAATTCAGATCCAAAAAAATTAAATTCTTTATATGAAAATCAATTATTTAAACGAGTTACAAAAAATGATATTTTAATTATAAATGATGAATTTAATATTAAATATCCTAATAATTTAAAATTTGAAGATTATAAAGTTGATATATTTGATTCTTTTCATAATAATAATAAAAATGAAAAATTACTACTGAAAAGAAATGAACAAGTAGAAGAAAGCAAAGATTTAATCAACATAATAGATCAACCACAACCTCTACCTGAAGAGTCAGAAAAATTAGAATATAATTGTTCAGATAAATATAGACAAATAAATTTCCAAGTTAGTGAATATGAAAATAGAAATGTTAATTTAAAAAAAATATTAACTGAATTTATGAAATCATCAAGTCCATATTATGAAGAAATTAAAATTTTAATACCTAATTTAAAACAACAATTACAACAAAATACTTATACCAAATATTGGTATCAATTAATTGGTAGTTCAGTTTGGTTAGAACAATATGGAATTCATTTATTAACTTCAAGAATTTTTTATACTCGAAGTGGTAATAAAGTTGAATCTGTTATATCATTAGTTTATGTACGAGCATTTGATTCAGATTGGAATGAAATTGAAAATCTTGAATTAATTATCCCTAATGGAAACACAATAACTAATTATAAAGATTATATTGAAGAAGAAGAAGTCAAAACTCGTAAATCAAATTATAAAATTGTAAAATATCCTCAATTTTTACCAATACCAATATATAATAATGTTCGAAAAAAATTTGGAAATTTTTATGGACCTGAAGATCCAAGATTAATTTTAATTAAAAATAAATTAGGTTATGATGAACCAGTTATAATATTTAATTCATATCATAAAAGATTTTCAAGTATTCCAACAGAATTTAAAAAGAAAGGATATAAAAATTTTGATTTTCATAGATCAATATTTATGGGTTGGTTATGGGAAACACAACTTGGTAAAGATAATATAGATGAATTAGATGAAAAATATAAAATGAATGAGTATGTTAAAATTAAAGAATTAGTATTACCTAATTTCAAAAGAATGCTAAAAGAAAAAAATTGGACTCCATTTATTGATTTAAATCAAAGAGAAATGATTGGTTATGATAATTCAATTAATCTTATATATCAATTTCAAAATTTAAAAATTATAAAATGTTATTTTCATGAAGAATGTTGTGAATGGGAATATAAAATGAATGAAGATACAGATTTGAATGCATTTAGAGGTGGTACACAATTAATAAATTTAAAAACAATTTTAGGAAAAATAAATAATCCTAATGTCAATAAAGATAAAAATAAAAAAAATAATAAAGAATTAAAAATAAGAAATAAAAAATTAAATAAATTAAATAATTTATTAAATTCATCATTATCAAATTTACAAATTTGGATAGGATTTGCAAGAATTTCATTAGCTAATTGTGGATGTGGTGATAAATTTTATAGACCAAATATGTTTGTGTTAATTAAAACTAGTGAATTTTATAAAATATCACATATTTCAAATAGTTTAGATTTTAATATTAATATTAAACAATGGGATATTAAAAATCCAGATTTATGTTTTGGTAAAAATTTAATAATTCCAAATGGTATATCATCATGGGAAATTTATGATAATGGTAATTCAAAAGAAGAACAAGAAGATTTATTAACTTTATCTTTTTCAAGAGCTGATGTAACTGTTGATTTTATTTATATAAAAGGATTATTAAACAGTTTATTTAAAGATAAAGATGATGATTATATCTTTGGTTTAAATCTTCAAGGTCTCATTGAGAATAATAATGATATTAATCAAATTACATATAAAGATTTTAAATCTAATGATTTTACGAATTTTAATATTGAATGTTCCATTAAAAGTGGTGAACAATATTGTTTTGATTATGCAGTGGAATATAATAAAACAAAAGAAACAATACCTATAATAAATAAACAAATAATACCAAATAATAAAGTAAATTGATCATTTACGATATAATCATTATATAGTCCATAATTTATTTATAGATATATTATTTATTTTGTTTCCAATTTTTGATTTTATAGAGTTTTAATTTAAAAATTATATGACATTATTAATTTATAAAAAATAAAATATAATATCTAGTTATCGTAATTCATTAATTTATTATTGATAAATATTCAAATTAATTCTATCAATAAATAAAATTAATTTTAGTTCATATAAAAAACGTTTATTCTAGATATAGTTTTACACAAAACTTTATTTTTAATTTTAAATTCCATTCTAATTCCTTTAACTTTTAATTCCAGATCTAATTTTTAAATCTTTAGTTTTCTGAGAACCTGGTTTGATATTCTCCACATATAAGATTTAAAAATTCAAGCTTTTTAATTAATGACATTATTTTTTAAGCGAATGTTTAGTACAATTAACAAATTCTGAATAAGTTTGTGAATAGCTAAAATTTAATGCTAAATCTCAATAATACAACCAATACAAGCCTTCTCTTTATTTGAATAAAACATTAGTTGCAACATGTATGATTTAGCAAATTTGTAGAGATAAAATTTATAGCTGAAACTATACAGACTTAAACTTGTTTCTTTGATGTGAATATCTAATACATCTACTTGACGACTTCCTAAATTTACACGTCTATTAATCTAAATTTTCAACAATTTTTAAAACAATTACGAATCAAATAAATAAGATTAATATTCTAAATTTAGTAACTTATTCATATTTTTAATAAAATTAAATTAAACTGTCTAAATTAATAACCCCCTTTTTTTATTACATAATTAATTATATAATGATATTATTATATATTACGTAATCCTAAACAATAAGATTAATTAAATTAATAATTTACGATAAAATTTTTATATATACTTATATACAGTACAGTATAGATTAAATAATTTAAACTTTTAACTTTAATTTTAAACTTTAATTTTTAATTTTAAAAATTTTAATTTAAGTTTTGTTAATTGTGGGCTGTAACACTTTAATGAAAGAATGAAATTGATTATGAAGATCTACTTTTAAAGATAAGTATACAAAGAATACTTTGTAAATCAAATTATAACTAGATAATTATTAAAAGAAAAATAAAATTAAATATCAATTACTTCCAAATATATCCGGATATTTCAAATTATATATATTTAATTTAAGAATTTATACATTATACACTTATTAATTATTGATTTAGACAAATATTTTTATATTACGAGTGATTTATTAATAATATATATAATATATATAATTCTATCAATCATGTGTTTGTTTAATTTCAAATTCAATTTCAATTCATATATTCGTATCCATTAAAATAAAAATTATTATATTTCAAGGTCAACTTAATTAATATTTATTATTATTATTTATTATCAATTTATATTAATTTCATCTCATTTTAAATATCTTTACAAGATCTAATAGATCAAATTATTTTTAACACACGAATTATAGATCTCATTATATTTCATTTTAATTCATTTACTGAACTTTATATTCACATATAGATTATTATTTCATTTCATATAATTTATTCATACACTTATTTATTATATTCAGTTCTTCATTACACATTTTCATAGATCACACATTCATCACTACATATTAATAGATGTCAATATTATAACTTCTTATCAATAATCCTTTTCACATATTAAATAATGATTGCAAATCTCAATCTAAAAATATTTAGAAGAATAAAACTTCCATCATTTTATTGGCTAATTGGAATACTAATTTCAATCATTTTTCTTCAACTATATTTTGGAGATTCATTTAATTCATCAACAACTTCATCTACTACATTATCAATAATAAAATCATTTGCATCAAAAAAATCAAAATCAAATAATAAACCAATTATATTTCCTCATAATTTTTTCCAAAATGATAATCAAATTATTTCATTTATAAAATATAATGAAAATTTTCTACTAGAATTAAATAATAAAATTAAACCAATTTATCAAATTTCCAATATCAAGAACCCAATACATTTTCAGAAGGAAACGTCATATACACCATATGAGTTCAAAATATTCAATGATCAACATCCAATAGATTTAAATCTATCTCGATGCAATGAAATAGAATTAAATACATCATTTGAAATAAGTGAAGCGAAAAATTTACAAAATTCATTAACTCCAATAGTTAAAAAGATATTAGAAGATATAGAAAAACCAAATGGTGAAGGTAATGCTTATCTAAAAGATTTGAAACCAATGATGTTACCAGAATTAAAATTACAATTATCTTTAGGAATAATTGATAAATTTTGGTTTAAATTAGCAGAAAGTTCAGTATGGTTAAAAGATTATGGAGTTCATTATATGATATCAAGAATTATGTATAGTTCACTGGGTATAAGAAATCAACCATTATTTTCCCTAAGTTATGCACAAATATTTGATGAAAATTGGAATGAATTAAAAGGTTATAAATTATTTATACCTATTGAAACTATTGAAGAATCTTTAAAAGCTGCTGAAGATGAAATAAAATATAAAGAAGAATTGGAATTAAAATTAAAAAATAAAATTAAAGAAGTTGTTGGAGGTGATAAGAAAAAGAAGTATAATAAAAGAGAGACTAAGAATGAGGGAAACAATGAAGGTAATGGAGATACTGGTAATAAAGATATTGATTCAACTAATTCAAATCAACTTGTTGACACAAATGTTCAAATTAAAATAGAACCTAAAGTTAAACCACCACAATCTCAAGATCAACAAAAAGTACCTCCAAAAATTGAAGAAGTTATTGAAGAAAAACCACCAAGAAAATTTGAACATAAAATCCTTGAATTCCCACAATTTGTATCAATTCCATTTTTTTATGAATTAGATAATTTAAATGGTAAATATTATGGACCAGAAGATCCAAGATTAATATTAATAAGAAATAAATTAGGTTATGATGAACCATTACTTGTATATAATTCATATCATATTAAACCAGATTTATATGATGATGATGATGATAATAGAATAAATCAAAGATATGATTATTATAGATCAATGTTTTTAGCATGGCCATGGCAAATTAAATTAAATAATCACAAAAGAGAAGTTAAAACATTAGAATTAAGTTTACAAGATTTTAAAAGTTTAAAAACTCAAAAAAATTGGACACCTTTCATAAGTTATCAAGATAGATTTGTACAAGAAGATGGTCTGGGATATGATACTCATATTTATTTTATTTTTAGATGGGCTAATTTAGATATTTTAAAATGTGATTTAAAATTTGGAAATTGTAAATTTGAATATAGATTAAATAAAAATTTATCACCTAAAAATCAAGTTGGACCATTAAGAGGTGGTACTCAATTAATAAATATCAATGAAATATTAAATTTACCTACTAACTACCAAAAGGAAATATGGGTTGGAATAGCAAGAGCTCATTTAGATAATTGTGGATGTGGTAAAACAATGTATCGACCAAATTTAGTTATTATTACTAAAGAGATCAATTCAAAAGGTAAATCAATATATAAATTATCTCATGTTTCATCAGCATTAACATTTGATTTGTATGTATTTGGTTGGGATTTAATGTATCCCGAAAATGTATGTGATAGATCAAATATTTTGATCCCCAATGGATTATCATTATGGTCAATTGATTATGAAGATGATACAAAATATAACGATAACGTGGCTGAAATTTTAAAAAATATTAAAACTGATTATCTTACTTTGACTTTAACAATAAGTGATTTTACAAATTATAGATTAAATATTAAAGGTTTATTAAAAAGAATGATAGAATGGGGGATTTTCGAAACTTCAACTGATCAAAATTCAAAATCAAATAATGATAATGTCGTATGTGCATTAGATTCATCAGTTTCATATTGTCAAAATTATGGTTTACAACATAAAGAACTTTCATTACATAATTTTGATCTTGATTTTGAAGATTTAGTTATTGATCCTTTAAAAGTAAAATATTTTAAATTAACTAATAAATATGGATTAAGAGGAATAAATTATTTAAAAGATGATGATCTGAATTGGTATAAATGAATAGGTGAGAATAGTTGAAAAAAAAATGTGTATAATTTGGCAATTTAATTTAATTGAATATTAATGACAGAAATGTAATGGTAAAGTCAATTTAGTAATGAATTTATCTCTAAGAATAATCCATGCCTTGTAGAATAAAGATACGTTTGAGAGGTGGTGCAAATTTGGTAGCACTTTGGCGAAGTATTTGATAATAAAAAATAATTGTTCAAATACGGAATTATCAGAATTTGTATATATTTATCAGTAGTTCATCAATAATTACAAATAGACTCAATAATTTGAAACCATACTTTTACTCATATACACTTTCAATTGTCAATTAATCAAAAGTTGTTTAAATATACGCCGACTACTTTATCAGAACAATACTTATATTATTATTTATATCAACAAATATCAAATACAAAACTTAATATTTTATCAATCATAGCATTTTTACTACATAATGTTTAGAGATCGAACGAAACTATTCCTATCATATAGAAGAACAATCACAAGAGACACACCAATATCATCACAACCATATCGAGATAATTTATCTGATTCTACAACAGACTTACAAAATCCATTTTTAGATGATTCAGAAAAAGATAAATTAATATTAGGATCACGTAAAAGGAAAAGTACAGATATAGAAATGAAACCATTAGTTCCAACAAAATTTGAAATTTCAAATGATTTAAATAATTATTTGCAACAAATTGATAAAGATACAAAAGAATTAAATTCATTATATAAACAATTAATAATTATAAATAAACAAGATAAAAAAAAATTAGAAACTAAAATTGAAGAACTCAACTATAAGATATTGATAAATTTTGAAAAATGTTATGTATGTATTAAGAAATTTGAAAATATTGCCAAAAATCATCAACGTTATAATTTAAATTATACAAATTACGATTTAGAAATTTTAAATAATTTAAAACTCAAGAATATAACCAAAATTCAAAATTCTTTAATTGAATTTAGAAATTTACAAAATAATTATATAAATTTTTTAAGATCAGAAGATGATGAAATTGATTTAATCATAAACTCCAAGAATCTAAAAAATTCTTCAAATTTAGATGAATTTAGTAAACAAATTATTGAAAATACTACAAATTCAAATCACGAACAACAACAACAACAACTTCAACAACAACAACAACAGGATCCTTATTTAAATCAAAGAGAAAAAGAAATAAATAAATTAGCTATGGGTATACTTGAAATTTCAACAATTTTTAAAGAAATGTCATCAATTATAAATCAACAAGGTACTTTATTAGATCGTATTGATTATAATTTACAATCTACAACACAAGATTTGAATCAAGCTAATAAGGAATTAATAAAAGCTAAAACTTATCAAAAACGTACAACCAAGTGTAAAATCATATTTTTTTTAGCATTATGTGTATTTGCTTTATTAATGATTTTCTTGTTGAAACCAAGTGGGGGTAAGACCAAGATTATTGAAAAACCTTCATCTGGAAATAATAATAATGATAACAGTAGTGGTAGCAATGATAAACCTTCTAGTGGTGAATCGAGTGGTGATGATAAAGTTAATAATGAAGTTAATCATCCTAATGCTAATATTGATGGGACTAAAGCTATTGGTAATGATTTAATATAATTTAAATAGATTAAATAAATGAAGTTTACGTTTAAAGAATTTCGTCATTATAGTAGACCTTATTTTAGTAAATCTACGTATGTATAAAATGTAATTCATTAAACTGAAAAATACGATTTATTATAATTATAAATATATATATAATATATGATTAACATGAGAAACTAAATATCAAAATTAATAATTTTTTAATAATAATACTAAATTAACATAAGAATTGAAAATCAACAATAAGGATGAAATGAAATAAAAGCGAAAAACTATAACCTAAATTTAATTTCTAGTTATTCCATATGGACCACTTCTTGCTTGTGTACCACCAGTTCTACCCATTAATGAACTAGCATTAGCATTTGTACTATTTGTATTATTATTATACCTTGCTGCAACTGGTATAAAACCAGGTGACACTCTTCTTTTTTGTTGTTGTTGTTGTAATTGTAAAGTTCTACTAAAATTAAAATCTGGATTATTATTTAATACATTATCTGATATTGTTGTTCTTTGTTGTTGAGGTTGTTGAGGTGGTTGATTTTGACTGAAATATTGATTTGAATTATATGATGTTGGTGATGTCATGTATTGGTTTTGCTGTGGGTTATAAGTTTGTGAATATTGAGCTTGTTGTGGATGTTGGGGATGTTGTTGTGAATGTTGTTGTTGTTGACTTATTGGTTGATATTGTTGTACATTTGAATAAGTATTATAATAATTTTGTTGTGGTTGTTGTTGTTGTTGAGAATATTGATTATATTGAGGATTTGGAGCTCTTTGAGATACACTTGTAAAATCTGAATCTTCATCTGAATCATTTGTTGTTACAATAACATTAGTTCTACCAGTATTTATATTTTCATCGTCTTCTTCATCTTCATAATCATCATCTAATTCAGTGAAAGGTTTATGACCTTCAACTTGTGGATGATGTTCAAAAACACTTCTTGAAAATGTTGAATTAACATCTGCATTTGCATTTGTGTTTGTATTTGCTGCTGGATATGGTGGATTAATTGAATTAACTGGTTTGTATCCAGTATTATTTGAATTATTAATATTTGTTAAACTTCCATTATTATTTTGTCTTTGAGTGAAATCATTTACAGTTTGTGGTTTAGTATAATATGATGATGAATTACTTGTAAATGACCCATTTGGACCTCCATTATTGGGTTTGTTAACACCATAAGCATTTGTTGATGCCAATCCAGCGGTACCAAGCCCTGCAGCTGCTACTCCAGTAGGACCTGAAAATCCAGTATTATTATTATTTGTGGCTCCACCACGATTGGCTGTATTACCAAAGCCAGTTGATGATGAATTACCATAAGAATTATTATTATGACCATAAGGTTTATAATCATAATCATTATCTAAAGAACTTGTACTATTTGGACTTTTAAAAGTTGAAGTTTGAATATGATTAAATTTATCATCCAATTTATCATATTTATTAGTATTACCAAATCTACCAAATTCATTGAGATCTGTATCTTCATCATCATCATCATTATCTGATGATCCAACTATAGTTAATGTTAAAATCATGAAAATAATAGAAATTAAATTAGCTGCAGCTGCACCTATTAAAATCCAACCAGTCCATGCTAAATTTGGATAAAATACTAAAATAACAATAATACAACTTATAATAGTTAAAATAGCAGAAATAACATTAATTGCAATACCAATTAAAACAATTGGTTTTATACCAAAATGAGAAATGAAAATTAAAATTAATAAAATAAAATTAAAACCAAGTGCAATAGGAGTTAATATAAATATTTTGGCTAAAGTATCTCTTGTTGATGAATTCATAATCCAATTTGAACTTTTATCATCTATTGAACTTAATAATAAAGGATAAGTTGCAGATGAACATTGTGAATTATTATCTGAACAATAACCAAATATACCATAAGTATGACTTGAAGTTTTACCTAAATTAAAAGTAGTAACAATTGGTGAACTAATAGTAGCTAATAATAAAAATACAAATGATACCAAGATCAATATAAATGATATTGAATTAAAACTTAGTCTAAATCCCATATCTGTTGTATTAAATGATATTGATAGTTAGTTCTGATTAGTGAAATATTGAAGAATTAGTCTTAATTGAAGTAAATTAAATAATTTTTTTCAAATTGGTTGCCAAATAATTTAAATATATTTTGGTGTGTTGTAAAAGAATTTTAATCAATATAAAATATTGTTGTAAAAATTGAAATCTTTAGGTTAAATTAATATATAAATTCTAAAAGAATGTAAATCTTTAATATATTTAGTATTGATAAATATATAATGTTAATGAAAATAGCAATTACTGATGAGAATAGAAAGTAATAATATATAAAAATTTAAGGATCAAAATGTTAGTTGATGTTTTAATAAAAATTTTTGTTGTTGAATTTTTTGTATATTATAATTAAAATATTTATTATTTTATTATTTTATTGTTCGTACTTTCGCGTGTGTGTTTTACTTTTATTAATTAATTAAATTAAATATAAGGCTGTATCATATATTATTTTAATAGATTAATTGATTAATTGATTAGATAACAATTTATTTTATTTATTTAATCTAGTTGAATAAAGATACTAATCATCAAGTCAGTTATTAATCTTAACCCATTATTAAAAGAATTCAATCTACTTGTCCTCAGATAGAATAATTATTTACAATTTACAATTTATTATTTTAATTAATTAATTCAATAAAACTAATAAAAATAAAATTCTAAATCTAAAGTAACACAAAATCAATTCATTTAGTAAACTTTTTTGATTTTATCAAGAATAGTTTTTTTAAACTAAGATTCGTCTATAAAAAGAACATATAGAAAAGAAACTAAGATAAATTTAAAATCAATTTGACAGAATTGTTGCTGTAATACAGAAGTAATCTTTAATTGATTACAGTATTAAATAATTAACACATAGAGATATAAAAAATATACATTTTTATATTTCATATATGTAAAATTTGCCCCTTTATTGCTTTTTTTTTTATTTATTTTTGTATTCTGTAGATATTCTTGTTGTATTATTTCAGTTATAATTGATAAAGTCTAAATGAAAAATTTGAAAAAATTGCAAAATCTTATAAAGTTGCCGAATCACTACTACCTTCCGATTATATTTTGATCTATCGAATTGGTTTGAATACTTTTTGTTTCACATAGCCTTGCCATTTTTAACAACAGAGTTTAATAGACTATATAAAGACAAAAAATGAATTAATTGTGTATAATTTGAATAATGTGGTCGCCTTAGATAACAATCTTTATCTACTTATCAAAACTTGTTCAAAATTGTGGTAAATTTTAATTAGTTTGTGTCTACTTTCATTCATACGGCTCTATCTATTAGTAACAATATTTTATTTTTATTTTATCATGTATTATGTATTTATTCGTAAATCTATATTATTGTCGAGGATTACACTACCTATCTATATTTTTATTAGTAGTGCCTCCCCCTATTTTATTTATTATCAATTATTAAATAATGTCGTATTTAGTTCTGACATTTATATCAATTTAGAGAAACAAGATTCTAACAATTTAAGTATAATAATTTAGATAAGATATTCATATAGATTAAAGAACACTTATCATTAAACTATCAACTGAATAGATAATACTTTATTATTTACAATATATTATAAAGTTCATATAAGCTCGATATATCTAAATAATCTCTTATCACTTATTTAACTACACAGCTGAAACTACAATAATGAACCACCCCTACAAGTCGTTCTGCACCTAGAAGTCGTTCTCACAAAAAAAAAAATAAAAAATAAAAAAATAATGTATGTACAAAGTGTAAACAAAAGATCTGAAACATAAACAACCATTTTTAAATTATCTATTAAACTATCCAAAACACAGAAAATTCTGGTAGTTTAAGACCATGGTTGCAAAGAGAAAAGCTCAAGCTACTCCATTATATACTGAAAATGACATAGAAATTTGTTTAAAAGCTTATAATGAAGATCCTTCACTCACGATAAAATCGGCTGCAAAACTTAAATCAATTCCGTACAACGCCTTCAGAGATCGAGTTAATGGTAAAAAATCTCGTGTAAAAAGCCACCAGCACTTACAATTGTTTACAGCAAAACAAGAGAATGAAATTAGTGCCTATTTGAGAGCTTCAAATGATAAACATGAAGGATTATCATCTGCTGAAGTAATTAAGTATGCCCAAAACATTTTGAAACAAATAGGTAAGGATGAAAAAATTGGTAAAAATTGGTTCAATAGGTTTTTGAAACGTCAAAAGTTCTTGAGTTCAATAAGGGCTTCAACATTTGAGGACTCTAGATCATTAAGCTGTGGTAGAGATAAACTAAAAAAATCTACTACGAATCAATTTACCAAAAAAAAAACTCACAGTTTAAATTTCAAATAAGTCTATAATTGCTTCTAGTTTATTATTAATCTAATCTAATCTATTTATATAAATGTTTAATTCAATACTTATCCAACATTTTTATCTTTTTTCTTACTTAAAAAATGTAAATTATGTAAACTTAAACTTGAATTAGTTCTATTTAATAATCCATGTCTATCACTTGCACTACTTGATAATTGACTTATACTATTATGATTATCATTACTACCGGATTGATTTTGAGGAGGAGCTCTTAAATGATTTACTGGTGATGATGATAAAAGATTCGTTGATGAATTACCACTACTATTTGGACCTGAATTTACACCACTACTTCCATTACCATTATTATTATGAGATGGAGTTAATGAATTTAGATTTAATAAATTTGATGATGATTTTTTTGATGATGATGAAGATAATAAATTTGATAAATTTGTACTTGAAACATTTCTTGAATTTGAAGGTGATGAATTTGTTGAAGAATTTCTTGAACCGGTTAATTTTGATAAACTTGAATTTTTTGATAAATTTGATTTGTGTTGATGTGATTGTAAATTTTTATTAACTTCATTCAAATTTATATTTGAACCATTTGAAGGTGGTTCATAAGCTGGTGATAAATCATCCATTGTATCACTTCTAATAGCTTGACTATATGATGGTACTTGTTTCATTTCATTTGTATTATGGATATTTGCATCTGAATTAACTCTTGATAAATGTATTGGAGGAGTCATTGGTGTCATTAATGGATCTTTTAAGAAACTATGATTTCTTGATAATGAAGATGGTCTACCACTGTTAAAATAGTCATTTTGATGATTGCTGTTGCTGTTATTATTATTGTTTGTGTTATCTTCATCATCTAAATTAAAAGTAGCTCTTACATTATTTTCTTGATTATGACTTTCAGCTTCTTGAGCTTGTCTTTGTATACTTAATTGTCTTAAATTTTCACTTAATGCTGATGAATCTAATGGCTGCATTGAAAATTCACCATATCCACCACCTTGTCTACTTCTTGGAGTTGATGAACCAGATGTAATTGGAGTTTCTATAGGTGATACATCTGACCATAATCTATCATATATATGTTTTTCATATAATGGTGGAGCTACTAATCCTGTTAATGATGCATGTGAACTATTATTTGATGAATTTGGATTACCATTATTATTGTTATTACTATTATTATTATCCATACCACTTAAATTATCATAAGAATCACTTGTAAATAATATATCTTCTTGGCCATTACGTTCATCTTCACTAACTTCTTCATTATGTTTTGAACTTACGGTAACAAATGGTGATATAAATAATTGTACTGGTAATGAAGCTCTTAACTCAGATACATGACCATCTGGATTTACTAATCCAATTGAAAATTTTAATTTATGTCTTACTTTAACATTTTGTAATAAATCAACATCTTGACAACATTTTGATAAACTTGCAGGAATTTTCATAAAAGTTTCTAATTCCCATTTATCAAATTCATATTCATTTGGTTTTGGTTTTGAAACTTTTTTTGAAGCTATAATTCTTTCTGCTGAATGCATTGGTGGTATATTACCTACATAAGAATAAAATTCAACTAATTGAATCTTAATATCCCCCAAAGTTAATCCTTTTAATAATGGAACAAGCATCATACTTATTGGTGTACCACTACCAATAGCTAAAGCTCTTGTAGGACAACTTAATGAATATTCAACTTTTTTAGGCCATGTATTATCAACGGCAATAGTTTCACTTAATTCAACTGCATCAGTAGTTAAAGTTCTTACAACTCTAATATGTTTTTTCGTAATCATTGTACTATGAAATTTTCCTCTATCAATTGATGCTTCTAATCTATATACTGCAGAACATCCAGGTAATCCTTCAATTGATTCAGGTATATTACCTGGTAAAATTGCACTGAAAGGAATCTCATAATTTCCTTGAACTAAAACATGATTTGAACCCATTGAATGATTTAATGCAGTTTTATTTAAATTTGTAGAGCTATTATTATTAGATAAACTTGATAAATTTAATGAACTTTTAGATCTTAAACTACTTAACCCTTTTATACTAGAAGTTGAATGATTTTTAATTAATTGAGGTGGAGGAGTATTTGTACCAGATCCATTGGTGTTTTCATACATATGATCAAAATATTGATTAAATTCATTTGAATCCCAATTATATTCATAAATTTGTTTCTTAAAATTTAATAATTTTCGATTTGAACCAACAGCTGCTGAAGAAGCAGAAGTTAAATCTGCTTTTAATTTTAATGTTGAATAAAGTCGAAGTGATAATTTTTTTATTGTTATTGGTTCATTCACTGATAATACTATATTACCTGATAACAATGCTGAACCTGCTTCATGTTCATTACCTTTTAACACCAAGACATCATGTTCTAGATTTTTTAACCTTATATCAAATAATGATGTAGATTTACTAGTATTGTGATGTTGCTTTTTTAACATGTTTTTGGTATTTGGTCTATACTATCGATTAAAGTTTCGGAGTTTTTTTTTTTTTTTTTTTTTTTTNAAATATAGATTAATCAATCTTGTTGATTAGTTTATGATACGACTGAATATATGATTATACTTCTGAGTAATTTAATCTCCTCAATAGTTTATAACACGTATAGAATATTTGTTGAGTAAAGAAAAGTTCTTTTTAAATTTAAAACAATACAAAAGTAAATGTTTGTAATTAAATTATCAAAACCAAAAACAACACAATATCGTTGACAGCAAAAAAAGAGTTTAAGAAAAAAAGCAATTATTTTATATTGAGATGTTACAAACTACGTCAATTTATTCTTACATCAGATCTGTGAATCTATAAACTTCTAATCTTGGTCAGATCTCCTTTCATTAAATCGCGATTTAAACAATAATGCATTGGTAGATCTAAAAGTTTTTCCGATACAAGCCTTCTTCATCTAGTTAATTGACATCTTTAAATCTTTTTTGTTTCTTTTTTTTTATCTTATCAATAATAAATACATAACCGTTTCGGAAAATAATATCCGCTTTATTTTGACGTTATTATATTATGCAAATGAGTCTCAACAGATAAGATTTTGAGTCATCTTTGAAGCTTTATTCTATTAAAAGTCTATAGATTCTAATTATACTATACTTTAACATTTAATTTAATACCAACTATTGATATTCTAGCCGCAGTCCAAAATATCAATCCAGCTATTGATAAACAACCAATAAATACAATTAAATTATTATAATTTGTATCTAATATAGCAGCAGCTATGGGTATACCAAACAAATTAGCTAATGATAAATAGAAATTTAATAAACCATATCTTTTACCTAATTGATCAGTTCTTGTAATTTGTGATAAACATGCAGGTAATAAAGTTAATATACAACCCAGTGATATACCTCCCACAACCGCAAATGCATACAAGATTTTGTGATTATGACCAAATGGTAATAATATGACTAATATACTTATGGAATACATCACCAACATAACAATATTAACATTAAATCTACCAAAATAATCACTTGCTAATCCTGGTAACCATCTACCAGCAATACCAACTGCATTCCAAATAGTTAATAATAATAAACTATCACCCTCATTCATACCTTGTGCAATGGCATAATTTGCAAAATAAGTAACTATAAGCACCAAACTAAATTCTGCAAAAAATCCACCTAATATAACAAAAACAAATTTAATATCTTTAATTTTAACAAATTCCAAAATTTCTAATTTAATTTTTTCAAAACTATTCATTTGATTAGTTTCAACAATTTTTTTCTTATTTCTTCGAAATCTTTCTTTTACTAATAAAATTGAACAAATCATACATCCAAGACAAGTGAAAGCTAATACTCTTATAGCCCAAACATATCCAACACTAACATACAATTTCCTCAACATTAAAGGAAACAATAATCCTCCAACACTACCACCAGATGTTGCAATCCCAGTACATACTCCTCTCTTATTATAAAAAAAATGACTTATTACACTAACTAAAGGAGCCATTCCAATTCCATTACCTAATCCCAAAGCAATAAAACTTAATATGAATTGATAAATTTGATTACTTTGAGCAGCTCCCATTAACCCCGCGAAAATAAATCCACCACTTGCAATTAATAAATATAAAGTTCCATATTTATCAAAAAATGGACCACTAAAAATTCCACCAGCATAAGCTAATGATAAATAAATAGAAAAAATCCAAGATATTGTAGATTGTGAATAATTAGTTAAAATATTATTTGAAACATATGATTGTACAGCACCAATTGAATTAATTAATCCTAAATTTACTATTAATCCTAAAAAACAACCAAATAATGTTAAATATGCTTTAAAACCACCATCTGGATAATTTTTTGGATCATCTAAAGAATCCTCAAATGATTCTTCTTCATTGTTTGTAATTGAGTTTAGATCATTATTTTCAAACAGTTGAACTTCATTTTGTGGTGATTGTTGAATTTGAGTAGTTATTTCTTCATTTTTATTAGTGTTTAATCTTGAATGAAAAGTATTATTTAATTCAATTTCTTCAACCATTATTTCAGTACTTGTAGCAGACATGACTTTAAAATTAATATTTCCATAAAGACAATGATTAACTAACCATATTCACAAGGATTTGTTTCATATTATATAAAAGTAAATTTGGACATTTAAATTAGATCTTAAAAATTCCGCTTGATCTCAGATCTCGCACTTTGAAATCCGATACATAGATAACAAAACAATACAACATTATAATATTGTCTATCTGTAGGAGGTTTGTAATTCTTAATATAATAACTATTCAAAACTTAGATACGGATTTCATTGAAGATGCATTCATATAAAAAAGCTAGAAAATAAAGTTGAACTACGCTGAGATTAATGTAGTATTGGACTCGCTTAATTTACCAAAAATTTAAATCTGTCTGTCCCTTCAAATCTCAGAGTTGTATATGTTACTCAAATCTGGGCCGTTTTTATTAAAAAGTTTTAGCCTACTTGTTGAAAAAACAAGAATGCCAAAGTTTTGTATCAAATTCTAGAAATTTATTAGAAATCCAATTCCAACTTAAAAAATCAAATGCTTGTGAGTAATTGAGGGCTAAGTTATTGTTTACTTCAGTTTTCCTAACTAAGACAAACACAAATAAGTAGATCGTCTAACTCATTTCAAGTTGAAACATGGCTTGATATGTAAATCTAATTATCGTAAATGAAAAATTAGACGAAGTTTCAGGACTAAAAAGTTTATTTGTATGATCATTTATATTAAGTAATAATTTAGACGATAGGTTTATTGAAGAGTAACCTGTATGTCTTTAATCGTTTTGTGAATCCAAATAAAAATAGTTTCATCAAGACTATATAATAAAACTAATACCGTATAATCTAACAATAAACAAGAGAGATTAGCAAGTAAAAATACAATACATTATTATTGTTAATCATATACGAAAGTGAAAAAGCCTAACAAGTATACAATGAATTAACAATCGAATATGCAGATCCTGGTCAATCTTCAGAGAAAACTAAAAACTTAGTAAATTAGATAATAAATGAAATTCGAGTTAAGTAATCAAAACTTGGTATAAATCAAAACCTTTCTAAATTCTTTAAACCCTATAAAGGGACCGAAAGATGCATTAAATCCTATAGATATCAGTCACAGTAAGGGTCCCTAACTAGACGGTATGGATTAACTATAAGTTAAGCCAGTTGCCTAATTTTTACCAACCAGCATAATTTTGTAAAGGTAAACAAAACTAAAATAAAAATCTTTTTTCGTACCTTAAAATTTGATAGTACAAATAAGGGTTCCTAAGTAACTGTAAAATTTGTAAAAATTAAAGCAGTAAAAATTTCAATGAATTAGTTAAGTAGAATCCAGGTTGTTTTTCAGTGATCGATATTAGGACATTAACTTGCAAGCAAATTGCGTTTATATTTGTGAAGAATATATGTCAAAAAGAACAAATATTTTCACTAACTACGCAAATATAATAATGAATAATAGAATTTGATGTTACAATTAATTTATTTTTTTAATGCACTTCGGTAATTTTTCTTCTCTTCGTAAATATTTAGTTTTGTGTCATATTATAAATTTTCAATTTAATTAATTATTACCAGCCATCAGTAATATATTTTTATTTAACTGTACATGTTAATTGTTACTATGCTGGTTTATTATTATTGAAAAGTTTACAAATGTTTCATTAATTCTATTTTATTCAAATTTAATACCAATTCAATCAAAATAAAAGCAAATCTCGCATAAATAGGTATGGACTTATTTTTAATTTGTCGTCACTGTTAAAAATTAAATTATCATTCACGCTGGTTTAAATTTTATATCCTCTTATAACTAATGAAAAAAGTAAGGGGTCTTCTAATTAATTAAATAACTGGTCAAGCAATTTAATTGATTCTACAATCTATCAATTTTGTACAAGTTTTCAAAATTCTTCTTTACTAAATTATAAATATATTTAATTTAGCCATATTTGTTTTACAACAATTTATTTTTTTCTTCTTTTTCATCAACGTCATTTGAAAAGTTCAACCCAATACTGAAAAGGGGAACTTGAACCTAAAACACTCAACAACTTTCATCATCATCCAACTTAACTAACTTCACTGTTCATTCTTTTAATAACTCACCCTAGTCTATCATTAACTACTTTAGCATTATTTTTTTATTTTATGTTTATTTTTATTAAATCTTCAATTAAGATAATTCAATTCATTAAACTACTTTAATTTAAAATTTTAATATATTCATTTATATTAAATTCATTCATATTTATTGCATATTTAAATATTACTTATTAATTATGAATTTTAATTCAACTAAACCGTTGCCATTTAAATCTTGTTCAAATTATACATATAATCCATTTAATCAAAATTTAAATAATCAAAATGATAACAATGATGATGATGAAACTCCATTTAGAAAAGCAAGAAGAACTAATTCATTAAACTCATTATCAGATTTTAAGAAATCAAAATTTAACAAAAATGATTTGAATTCAAATAAATCTTCACCATATTCTTCAGATTTAGAAAGTTTACCTGATTTAACTGATGATGAAAATCCAACTCCTGAATCTTCACCAATAAAATCAATATCTAATCATAACTTGATATTTTTGGATAATCCAACAACTACAAATGTCAATTTGAAATTACAACAATTAACTCAACCACCTTCACATAATAAATTATCAATTTTTGATATACCTGAAATCGTACATAAAATTGTCTCATTTGTTGATATTCAAAACACTCAATTACCTAATGAAACTTCAGTTATTAGAAGAAAACCAACTAGTTATAAACATGCTTTATTAATATATGGAGACAAAGCAAAAGCTCAAGCTGCAATTTCAGATTCAAACAATTTCGTAGCGTACAACAACGATCATCAACCAACATATCAAAATATTCAAACTCATTTCAACAATCCACTACTTAATTGTTTATTAATCAACAAATTATTCAACAGAATTACAAGAGATATCATATCATCAAAATTATATTTTTCAGATGAAATTCAATTAATGAAATATTTAGAATCATCAACCACCACAAACAAAGTCAAATTTCAAAATCCAACCTATTTAAACTTACATAAATTATTTCATATGAAAAATGCTCAATTTTTAAAATTAATATCAAATATAAGATTTAATAATTTAAGTTCACTTGAATTATTCATGTGTCCAAAATTACAACCTCCTTTATCATTATTACAACAAAGTTCCAATTTATTGAAAAAAATTATAATAACAGGATCAAAAGCAATTGATGATGAATTTTGTTATCAAATAAGTTTAAATTGTCATGATTTAAATCATTTGGATTTTAGAGGTTGCGAATTAATAACAGATTCTGGATTATATTTTATATTCAAAACTAATAAAAACTTAGTTCATGTAAATGTTGGTAGAAAGAATAAAAATCATTTAATAACTGATCAATCAATTCATTATTTGATTACGAATAATCCAAATTTAGATACTTTAGGTTTAGCAGGTACTTATATTTCTGATAAATCATTATGGGAAATTTCCCAAAATTTACCAAACCTTAAGAGATTATCATTAAATAATTGTTTAAATTTAACTAATTTTGGGATAAGTTCAATTTTCGCTGATGTTAAAATACTACCAAATTTACAAGTTTTGGAACTTTGTTTAAATTATCAGATTTTAGACTTAACTCAATTAATTAAGTTTAAAAATTATAAGAATTTCAATAATTTTAATCAATCATCTGAGTGCTTCTTAATGGAACTCTGTGAAGAGTTAATGGTCCGCTACCGAGACCAAGAGCTCCAGATGGATAAAGTCATATCAAATAACATCTTGCAGGATATTTCATTCTTTATTAATTCATAGTTCAATATATAATTATTTAATTAAAAGTATTTTTTGTAGTATAGTTTGATATTAACTAAATATAATCTCTAAAAGGAAGGAAAAGTACTTCTTAACTTGACTTCTATTAATTCAAATTTAAGAATAAGGAGACATGTGCCAAAGTAATTGAGGTTCATTCTAAAAATAAAAGCTTATCTTTAAACTCCAAAAAATCTTAATATTAAGATTAGATTAGATTAAAAGTTTAAATTTAATATGAACATTAAAATTACGTAGTTCAGGCGGTTATGTACAAATTATATATTCAAGTTAATTTTTTAATTTCTTTCGTTTAAAGTTTTTTTTTAAGAAGCAAGGGGGGTACCGAGTAGAGTTAAATTAAAATCAAAGAAATTAGAGCCTAGAATTCAGTGGACTATTCTTATAGAGAAGGGATATAATTCTCGAGGTGAATTATCCATATTATATCGTCAAAATCTAAATTCAATTGAGTGATCATTTATTTATTAATTGTAGAAATAATAACACAGAATTATTATTATTAAAGATGATTTATTCATAATTACCAATTCAATGTTGTAAAGTAATAAAATATGAATATAATATCATCTAAAAAGAATAATCATTAGTTAATTGAATAAAATGTTGTCAATTATAATGATAATAATATGATGGTTGTAATAAAATAATTAATTTTTTAGAATTTCTTAAAATGATTCTAGATTTACAAATTTAAAGTTAGGGTAGTGTATATTGGTTACACTTTGTTTTCTCCTCCATAAAAAGATCTGTACTGTACTGTATATAATGAATAATAATAATTTTTAATTTTACTTAATTAAGATTAATTTGTAACATTATAAAGAAATTAATTATATACAGTCTATGAATATTTTTGTACATAATGTATAATAATAAATATAATAATAATCTCATGTATGAAACTCAACAAATTTAAATTTACAATTTCAATATATGTATTTATTATTATCTATCTATTATAATATTACAGCAGTAAATATATAAACAAAGTCTTTAAGAAATTCATTTCAAAAAGTTCTCATTAATAATTGAAAATACTCCTTTCTCACCATTTTAAATAAACTTTCTGTCAAATTCATTATTTAGTTTTCCAATTGTAAACAAATGGAATAAAAAACCACTTAATTGAAAAAAAAAAATTATTACTTGTAACTAAAAAATCTAGGAAATATTTAATCGTCAAAGAGTTTTCATAAACATTAAATAATTTTAGTTACAATTTATTCAAAGCTATTATTTATCTTCCATTTATTCATTTTATAAAATAATACTCAATAGTCACTCGTTTACAACTTTCATTCAATAAAATTAAAACGTTCTAAAAAAAATTCCGGCAACTACAATTTAGCAACAACAAAACCAAAAAATCATGACAATAACTTCATTACCATTTCCACCTCCTCCACCAATTAAAAGATCATCTACATTATCAAATAGTTCATCTTTCAATAGAATACGACCAGTCACATCATCATCAGCATTATCACAGCGACAAACAAACTGTAATGAAACTACAACAATAAGTGATGAAGAAAATTTTGAAGAAATGGAACAAGAAGAAGTTGATGATGATGAATTTTTTGAATATTCATATGAAGAAGAAGATCCAATAGTATTAGTTGAAGATTATTTATCAACAAACTTAAATCAAGAATCATCATACACTATAAATTCATCAAGTCATAAAATTTTAAGACAAAAATCTTTGGCAGATTTTAAAAAGAGAATCATGTCGTCGTGTTCAACGACTTCAAGTGTGAATTCATCAATTGATACAATACAGCAAGATACCCAAACTTATACTACAAACCAATCTTCAATATCATCTGATCAACCACAGAATCCAGCTCTACCACCACAACAACAACAACAACAATTAGTAGATGATTTACAAGCAATATATGGAGACTTACCAAGTTTCAAACTTTTAAAATATTGTGATTTGTGCAGCAAACCATTATATGAAATATCATCAATAATAAATTCAACAATAAATTCAACTATCAACCCTTCTAATTTAAATGAATTTATATGTGGTGATTGTATAGGAAATTATGAAATATTTTTAAATGAATTTTATAATTCACAGGAAAATAATTTACAAAAAGAATTAATAGAAAATGAAGAATTTAAAGAAGATATTAGAGATAAAAAAAATCATAATTCAAATAATGGTAAAAATCAAAATAAAATTAAAAATATGAAATTATGGAATATTTTAAATCAAATATCTTGTAAATATAATATCAAAAGAGAAGTTTTGTGATGGTTGGAGTTTTGTTATGGGTAAATTTTAGGTTTTATAGGGTATTTAGAAATTTTGGTATAATAAAAAGTTAAGGTATAGGTTTTCAATGGTGATAAAAATGTAGTTCATGTCAATTGACAATAGTTGCTACGCCAAGGAAAAGATCGCGATCAATTTTACAAGTAAATCCAATGGTTCCAATAAATAATCAAGTAAATTAAATGTAAAGAAATGAAAAATTTATAAACACACAACAAAAATCTATTTAATAACGTCTTAAGCCTTTTCAGATAATACTTCATCCATTAAAGCAACACTTGAACCATCAACATAATCTGGCATATCCAAATTGGATCTTGGACCAGAATATTTTTTATATCCATGAACATAATAATAAAATAATGATAATATCCAAACACCAACATTTATAACAACAGTATAATTCATTGTATTTTTATCAACTTCTTTATTATCTGGGAAAGTTGATGATATAATAATAAACATTAACCAAAGTACTGCAAGTAACATAATAGTATAACTTATTGGTTTACCAAACCAAAATGGTCCAGGTATGAATTTTTTTCTACCATATGGTAATAAGATTAATAATGTTGGCATCATCCAAGCTAAACTGTTTGAATTAATGGCTAATGAAAATAAAGCATTTGAACCAGCATTACCATTAATTAATGAAAGTAAACCCAATAATAATGCAATAATTCCTGCTAAAATAGTAGCTCTAACTGGTACTTTAACTCTTGGATCAACATATTTAACCCAATTATAAATAATAGGTAATCCATCATCTCTAGCAAAAGACCAAATTTGACGACTAATGGCAATAGTAATAGATATAGCCATAAGATATTGACCAACTGAAATTAATGCCATAAATGCAACTGCCCATTTTTTTCCTAATGAATCATAAATAATTTGTGCCATTGCTGATCCAGTTTCACTATCTAAAATTCTTGTAATATCACCACCAATTATACAAGCACAACATACTGCAACTACTGCAACTCCCAAGATAGCACATGCAACGATTGAACCAACTATACCCCAAGCCATGGCTTTTTGAGGGTTTTTACATTCTTCTGAACAATGAATAACTGAATCAAATGATCCAATAACCCAAACAGCTCCTTGTAAACTTAAACATACACTCCATCCAACTGGCCAACTTCTTGCATTTGTAAAATCCCCAAAAATCATACCTCTAGAGTTGAATGTGTGATGCTTAGAAAATCCAACTGGTACAGCAATGACAAATAATAATACCAAGAAAACATTGACGTAAATTGAGATAGCTTGTAATTTTGCAGCTTGTTTAGTAGCTAAACATGCAATAATCATTGTTGATATAACAGTTGCTGCAAATACACCATAATTTTTACCATTAGTTACTTCAAAGGCTCCATCTTGTGATATACTAACTGCTGATAAGACTTCTACTGCAAATCCATAACTAATTGAACAATATCCACCTAATAAACCTAAAGAATTTGCACAACCAATTAAAAAACTTAAAGGAACACGGTAACTATCAGGACAATAATAGTTGGTGTAGTAATATAAACCACCAGAGGTAGGAATAGCACTAGCAGCCATTGACATTGAAATTCCAACAATCGTTATCATAATTGAAGCTGCCAACCAACTCCAAAATGCTCCACCTAATCCTGATTCTAATAATGTTGGTAAAATTGAAGAAATTGATGGTAATAAAGACATGATTGAAAAACTTATACCAAACGTTTCTAAAGTGGAATAATGTCTTCTTAATTCTTGTTTATAACCAATTTGATTCAAAAGGTCTTCATCACCTGCATTATGTTGTGGATCAATTGATCTAACCTCTGATCTATTTGACCTTATATTATGTAAATGAGTTTCTGTTCTTGATCTAATAGCTTCCATTTTGGACTAATAGGGTAAGTTAGATTGAAATAGGGATTGTAAAGTAATAAAGTTGAAGTAGTTGTGAAGATGAAAGGTTAAGAATTGAATAAAATTGTTTGAAAAATTACAAGCAACTAGATTGAATTTTATTCATGTAAAGAAAAGTCATCACTTATATAATTTCATGGATAGATAAAGATTCAATTTAACAAACCTTCATCTTAATTATTCTAGATACCAAATATTTAATTCATTCTGCATTGTGGTATTGTTTTATTTAAATAAAGATTATGATAAATAAATTGAACAATCAAAATTCATTTGATAACGAAAAAAATTCGTACAATCAAACTGCATATAACCAATTTCTTATCTATTAATTTTGAAAAATTAATTAACAATACTTACGCTTAAAATTTTATCAACAATAAGATGGAATAATTTTATACCTTTTACATGAAAGTATTATCTTTTGGCGGGTTCCCTTCAAACTAAGGTGCAAAAATCGTTATTTGCCTATTGTTGATAAATGGTTGTTCTGGCATTTATATAAAAAAAAACTTAACTCACTATTTTATGCACCTTTAACGGTATGATGTTGGAAAATTATTCGACCTTACTAAACTTCATCGTTAAGTGAATTTAGTAAATCAAGGATCTGAAATAGCTAAATATTTTAGTTTAAATATCTACGTCAATACTCTCTAAAAATAAAATTTCCTTTTTCAGCCTTAAATAAATGGTAAACCAATTCCGTGAAATTAACTAAATTTAGTCTTTCTTATATCAGTTTTTTAGTAAATGGTTTAGTTAATCTAAATGATTTACGAATCGATGTAGAAAATATAACACTCCTCGCAGCTTTTAGTCTGAAATTCAAACTGTGTTATAAGTGGCATTTGATCAAGTGATTATGAGAATATTTGAACAAAATTTCAAGTCATTTTTAACCAAAATATGACTCGACATTAACAAATTGGCAGCACCTGTAGTTCATTTCTATACAGGTCCTATGTCAGAATCGATTGTACAACATAAAAACCTAGTCTTTTTCGTTTATGACTTCACCCAATTTATTAATTTTTGCTCCAGGATAATCTGGTAAGCTCAAATTAGATGTTAGGTCCTGCTCGTCTTTCATAGCCATGAACAAGTTAATGATAAAATAAAAACTGCATCATTAATTGTTGATCCAGTTTTTATCAACTACTTTTCTATTTGAGAAAGTAGATGATGCAGGAATCAATTTCAGAGAATGTGTATTCAGGATACTACTACGTCAGCTAAAACATTTAAAAGTTCAAATTTAAGTCTGATATTATCGATGACGGGTTTGTCTTGTTTCGTCAATTTTTTGGTCTAAAGCTTCTCCAATTTTTAGCAAGGAAAAGGGGTAGAATAATTCCGCTTTAAATACTATAATTAATTTCTTTAAAGCTTTGTCGAACCTCTTTGACTCTTAGCGTGTATCCGCAATTCCCATTCTAGATTACATTCTCCAAATTCTTGTAAAGGAAAACTTATTTGGGGCTACGAATTCTTTCACAAAAGAAATAATGAAAAGAACCTGTTTCACTTTCTAGTCGCACTTTCGTATACTCTGACTTTAAAGCAGACATTCAAATTTGGGAGCGCCTCTTTCTCATATTTAGCATGATTAGATAGTACCAATATACTTAAAACGTCTATGCTATAGTACGGTAATGGTACAGAATCATCAAAAGTCTAGTCATTTACCAATCCTTTATAATCCATTATTAAATTGTATATTCAATAATCCTAATCATTCAAAAACCCCTTTTAAAACTGTTACAGACGAGTTAAAAACGAAGCATAATCAATATACAATTCTAGTTCCACCGGCTTATATACTAAATGAATTTCATGATCCAGCTTCAGATGGTTCAAAAACCAAAATAAAATTAAAAGATCTATGCTATCATAGTGAAGAATTTATAAAACTGCATATCATCAAGACCGTAGCTCCAATATCATCGACAATTACTGCAATATCAAAAGAACAACTGGTTACTTACAGCACTTTAAATAGTAAACAAATTTTGATCAAAAACCGAATGATATACACTGGGAAGGGATTCAAAAGAAGTTTGAAGTTGAAAATCACATCGATACTGTATTTCAAATCATTTTGTGACTACTTCCCCAAGGGATCTCAATTCATGTTAATATATATTGAAAGTTCATTAATTGGTGGTTCACCTCCATATTCTATACCTCCATCAATCATACAATCAAATGGATCATTAACTCAAAAAGAAGAAATTGATACAATGACATTTGAGAAACTATTACGAAATTTTCCATTATTATCAAAAGCAGTTGGTGATAAATTTTATAGACTTTTCCATCATAATAGTAATCAATCACAGCTACTACGAACAAGAACAAGGAAAAAATTAAATGTTATCAAGACTGAATTTAAAAAATTAGTAGATGAAGCATTTAAAATAATACTGGATAGTGTGAAAGTTGAGAATCCAAATAGTGAACAAACATACAATCTAATTAATCACATAATTAGTACTTATCCAGGAATTGATCTTAATAAATTAGTTCATGAGTATGTGGAATTAAATTTATACGACGTGCTATGGTCTCAATTAGTTTTCCAATTTAACTATTCAAATGATGATAAACAAGAATATGATCATGAGGCAATTAAAGTTCTACTGTCATCAAAATATGAAACTTTATCATGCTTATCACTAAATCAATTGGATTTACCAGTTGAAAAACCATGGCAGATCAATGAGTTACATTCACGGATGTACTCTGGAATACAGGAATTGAGAAAACTAGCTGATCCATCTATGACCAATCTGACTTTGAAGATTAATACAATACGAAAAACTATAGAAATACTATCTAAAAGTGATAAAAATCTAGTAATTGATGCCGACACATTAATGGGATTGTTGGTTATGACAGTGGTCCACTCAAAGATCGATAATCTTGAGGCACAAATTTATTATATGTTAAATTTTAATGCATCTGAAAAATCAAATGATGGTCAGTTTAATTATATAATGAGTAATTTGGATGCTGTGATTTGCCACTTATCAAGTCATGACACAAACTTGTTGCATTGTTCTCAACAAAATTTCGAGTTGTGGAGTGCTGTGTTTGAACAAAATGTAGAAAAATTAAAAGAGATTTTGAAAGAAGTTGATGTTGATTCTGAATTACCTGAGAATCATTTCATGAAAAGCAAAAACATTAGTGGAGAAAGTTTAATTAATTTTGCAATAAAAGTCAAAAATTATGAAATTTATAAAATGATAATGCAAAATGTTAATTGGTACTCGATTGATTTTATACTTTTTGATAAAAATGTTATACGAAATCAAAATTTATTGGCGGTAGCTTTAGTAGAAGAAACTGATGAGAAAATACTAGAAGATTTGGTAACAATTTTACTTGATAATGCAACTATTGAAGAACAAATTTCTTACTTGAAAATGAGGGATAATTCAGGTAGAACCGTGGGGCATTATCTTTTCCATAATCATAAATTGATCTATAAATTGGGTCATCTAATAAACTGGGAATTAAAAGACAACAATTCTCATACACCTTTATTTAGCTTGTGTCGATGCTATGATCATCCAGATTATCTTGAAATTTTAAAAAGTGGATTTGATGTTGTTTATAAAAAGTACAAGACAATTGATTTTGATGTTCATGTCGATAAAACTGGTAATTCATTATTGCATGTTATACTAAAGGGCTTGCCACAAACTCAAATTTTATCAAATAAAAATAATTTAATAGATTTGAATGCAATCAATGCAAAGAGTTTAACTCCATTAATGTCATACGTTAAATACAGCAGATTGGAAAATTTAAAAGAAATTTTAGATGATGAAAGGTTAGATTTTATGTTTGAAGATGAAAAAAATCATTATAGTGTATTTGATTATTTAAGCTTTGTTGCAACAAAATCAAAATCTGATAAATTTAAAGAAATTGATCAAATTATAACGGAGTTTGTTTTCAAACATCATTTTCCAGAGTCTTCGTCAAAGGTATTTGTTTTAAATGGAAAATATGATTCTAAATCAAAAGACTGGATACTAAATTTGAAGAATGAGGAAAAACTGAAAAGTAAATCATTGAAGTCTTTGAAACAAGTGTATTATATTGAAAAATTGAAACATCCCATGTCAACCATACCAGACACAGAAGTATTTTGGAGAAATTATGCACTTGGTTTTGGAACAACACCAATGTTTCAAAAATTTAGGATCAACAAGCTTATTGATAGAATAAATATTATGTTTCAGAGTATGGTTTTTCAAGAAATCAATTTACAAAATTTTTATAATTCATTTTTAAATGAAGATGAAGTATCTGTGCTTGAACTGAAACAGGAGATTTCCCTCTTTGTAGAAGAGGAGAAAGAGAAATTAGGAGAAGTTAGATTAAAATCTGCGCAGATACAAGAAATGGAAACTTTTCTTAATTTCTCATTACAAGATCTACACAACCAGGGACAAGTATTATATAAATTTATTAAACTATTTTGTGTTGGTGAACAAAAGCAATTAGATTTGAAAAATATTGAAGATTTGATCATAAGTAGAATAAATGAAAAAGTGTTTTTCACAAAGTCCTTTGGGATACCTGAGTATAATTCGCAGGCTGCAAGTTTTGGTAAATTAGTTGATTATGTTTTATGGATTGAATTAATTGGGGATGAATTGAAAAAGAATATCTATAAATTATTTCAAAGCTTCAAATTATGGAATGATATCTTTCATCAAATACGTTCAATAAATACAGAAATAAGATTACAGGAACCAGCACCTGAACCACAAGCACAACCACCATCATCAACTGAATCGGAATTAACAAAAACTAGAACTAATACTTCTGTATATTCTATGAATTCCCAGTCTAAATTGGATGATGATAATGAAGAAGAGACAGAAGGGTTTTTTGCATTTGGTAAATCTAAAAAATCAAAATACAAGGAATTATTAGTTTTAAAAGTTTCATTAGTTGAAAAATTAATGAAGTTAAATCTTGAATTAAAATATGAATTTGAAATTATTGCAACTGAGATTTCAAATTTTTTAAAATTTAAAACTAATTTCTTACAATTTGGTATAAAACAATATATTAAAGAAGAAATAAGATGTTTAAAACAAAGGAAATTGGAATTGAATAAAACTTTGTATAGAATTAAGAAATGAATGTATTTGGTTCCAAAATGAGAATATTCTCGTTTAAATGTTTTAACGGATCAAACGAAACGGATCAAACGAAAAAATAATATTTTGTTGATTTTTCTCTCTTTCTCTCTCTTGTTTTAAATATTTATTTTACACGTTTTAAAATTTGAATTTAATTGATCTTATTACAACCATCCCACAAATCAAATATGTCATCTGTTTCAAATAAAGACATTGCTTTATCAATTATAAATTTTTTGAAACAAGCAGTTGAATCAAAACAAATTGCAGAAGATTATGCAGAATCAATGGATGTTGCCATTGATTGTATAGCTGATGCCTTTGAAGTTAATAAAGATGATGAAAAATCAACAATTGATTCAAAATTCGGTGGTAAATCATTATCTGAATTATTAAAAAGTCAAGCAACAATCACCAAAGAAGATGAACCAACTCCAATTGAAGTTGATGAAGAAACTAAACAAAAAGCTGATGAATCAAAAATTGAAGGAAATAGAGCAATGGCGGCAAAAGATTATGATACTGCAATTTCAAAATATACTGAAGCTATAGGATTAGATCCAACTAATGTTGTATATTTATCAAATAGAGCTGCTGCTTATTCATCTGCAAAAAAACATGAACAAGCAGTTGAAGATGCTGAAAAAGCTATCAAATTAAATCCAAAATTCTCAAAAGCTTATTCGAGATTAGGTTTAGCCCAATATGCATTAGGTGATGCAAAAGCAGCAATGGAAGCTTACAAGAATGGTTTAGATATTGAAGGTGATAATAAATCAGAAGCTATGAAAAAAGGTTATGAAACTGCTAAAAGAAGAGTTGAAGAATTATTAGAAGATTCAATTTCAACAAATGAAAGAGGAACTGGTAGTAATAATAATAATAACAGTAGTAGCAACCCAGGTGCTGGACCTGGTGGATTACCAGATTTCAGTTCATTATTAGGTGGATTAGGAGGTGCAGGTGGTGCAGGAGGAATGCCAAATTTTGCAGAATTAATGAATAATCCAGCTTTAATGCAAGCAGCTCAACAAATGATGTCAGATCCTCAAGCAATGCAAAATTTATTAAATAACCCAATGCTTAGTCAATTCATGGGTGGTCTTGGTAGAAATAATGGTAATCAAGGTGGTAGTGATTAATTATATTAATTGTTGTATTAAAATATATTATTCACCCATTTACTAATTAAATTTTATAAATATTATATAGTTCTTCATTTCTATAAGAATTTAATCTTTTTTTTTTAATGATTTATTTTTTAATTGATGATGATTTATAATATTCTATTGCATGAAACCATTTGTAAATATTTTTTGTGGGGTTAAATAATAATAACATTTTTTATTATGTAGACTAAGTGAAAAAAATCTATAAAGATCAAATAAAAAAAGAAAATTCTCTTATCAATAAAAAAGTCCGAGATCAAGATACAAAACTTTATACTCACTTATGTTGAAAACTATTATTCGACAGTTTAAATCAAGTTCAATACTACGAGATCCAATAGAATCGAACGTTCTAAAAGCTAGTTTTGATTTAAATAATGTTAAAGATTTACCATTTAATGAAAATATTGAATTAGCATGGAAACAATTAATACCTTATAAGATAAAACTACGAAAAGAAGAAACTCCTGTATTATTTCTACATGGATTATTTGGATCAAAATTAAGTTTTAACAAAGCTGGTAGATTATTTAGTGAATTAACAAAAGTTCCAACATATGCATTGGATTTAAGAAATCATGGAGAATCACCTCATGTATTACCACATACTTATTCACAAATGGCTCATGATGTTTATAATTTTATCAAGGAAAGAAATTGGGATCAATGTGTTTTAGTGGGTCATTCAATGGGAGCTAAAGTTGCAATGATTGTCAGTTTAATTTATCCTGAATTAGTTTCAAAATTGGTGGTGGTTGATAATACTCCACATGCTGAACAATTAGATGAACAATTTAAAAATGATTTATTAGGAATGTGTGAAGTTGAACAAATAGGTTCACAATTTAAAAAAAGTGAAAATGGTAAAAGAGTCACCGAAATAAAAGACGTTGATAAAATGTTGAGTCAATATCAAAAAGATCCTTTAAGTAGACTGTTATTAATGAGTAATTTATTAGTTACTCAAAAAGATGTTAGAAACAGTTATATAAAAGATAAAAGAAAAGAAGTATTCAAAGTACCAGTTATGAATTTTTGGAAACATAATATTATAAATGCAATGGGTTCATGGCCTCATATACCTTCAACTACTCCAAAATTTTCAAATCCGGTTTTGGTGATGTATGGAAATAGATCAAATTTTGTTAAAAAGGAATATTTTGATAAATTTAAAGAATATTTTAGTGATATTAAATTTGAAGAATTTAATTCTGGTCATTGGATATCTCAAGAAAAACCAAAAGAATTTATAAATCTGTTAATAATGTTTATATCACCACCAAGTTCAAGAAAAATTGAACCATCACCAAAAAAGAAAAAGAAAGGTTACGGAAAAATTCATAGATCTTATAAATAGTATTTATTACAAGTATGTAAGATTAATGTAATATATTTATTGGTAATAATGTAAAAAGTTTACTATTATGTGTTTGTAACTCTTTTTTTAGAATATTATAATCATCAAAATATTTACAAAGGTAAACAACCAGACACCAAAATTAATTTTACAACCAGTTTTCTATACCATAACTCATAATGTCAGAATACCCTTCAAATTCAGATGATTTATCACTACCGAAAGCAACAGTACAAAAAATTATAGCAGAAATATTACCGAAAGATATAGCAATTTCAAAAGAAGCAAGAGAAGCAATAACAGAATGTAGTATAGAATTTATAATGATGTTATCTACTCAACTGAACGATATAGCAGAAAAAGAAGCTAAAAAGACAATTGCATCAGATCATGTTGTTAAAGCACTAGAAGAATTAGATTTTTATAATTATCTTGAAATTATAAATAAAATTTTAAGTGAACAAAAAGAATTACTTAAAGGTAAAGAAAAAAGGAATAATAAATTTCAAAATTCTGGTTTAAGTGAAGAAGAATTATTAAGACAACAAGAAGAATTATTTAAAAAATCAAGAGATAGATTACAAAGTCAATCTGGTTCACCAAATCATGAAGTTAAACAAGAAGATTCATCTGTTTAATATTATTATTATTATGTATGTGTTTGTTATAGATTAATAAATACTATATTTAATGATGTGTATTGTGTATCCTAATTCTGCCCCATTCGTACCTCTTTTAACTCTATCAATGATCTCATCTAGCTTATCCCAAGATTATCTCATATAAAATTATTGCAATATTAACAGCTATCAAAGGTATCCTCATTAAAGTCCTAACAGCACTTATTAGATTAATTAGTTTTGTCTTTATAGAACCTTCATTATTATCTAAACCAGTTTGAAATTGATTGAATTGATTTTGTATACCATTACCATTATTTGTTGTAGTCGTTGAACCCCAACCAATTCTATTCAAAAATCTGTCTTCACTTAGTACTGCTATTCCATTTATTACCAATACGACCACATAAAGTAATTTTCCTAATCCAAACATTAATGTATTATGAGTATAAAGTTGATTAGAAGTAGTAAAATTTATATTAATAATGGTTGTAAAAATGATTTTAATTTTAATGTGCGATAAATGCTTTTTTAAATTCCTTAACTACACCCAAAAAATTCCATAGATAATGAATCATATGGTAAACTCACAAAAGATTGTAGATCACAGTATATGTAGAATACAGTTGATATAAAGTGTAAGCTGGCCAACATTAATCTACCTGAGATCAAAAGATGCTAGAGACTTTATATTCAAAATCTATAATCAATCTATTTTCACGACAGAGCTTTCGAATGTAAAAATTGATTCCCTGAGTGTATTTATAGATTAACTAAAACTCTATTGTGCTTTGAGTCAGCACAATGACCTCCCTGCTTTTGCACTCAATGCTTAAACTTACTTCTGAAGCATTCAACTAAGTAGTGGTTGAACGATATTATATCATAAAACTAAGTGTATTGTAGTGCGGCTTAATTATTTACTAAATCAGATAAATGTAAACAAATAATATTTTGAAAAATTATTTGATCTATTGAGAAACGAATCAATCTACAACTATCAATTAGCAAACTTATACCTTACAATCAATGAACTTTGCAAGAAACGATGAAGTTATCAAAGGAAGGAAAAAAGATAATATAGAACAATTCATAGGAAGTTCGCAATTTTTCTTAGAAAATGGATTATCACAATTACGATATATGATATTAATTGAAGGATTAACAATACCAGAAGGGTACGATCAATGTCCATATAGATGTTATGTATGGTCCATATTAAGTCGAACTTCAACTTTTCCCACAAAAAATTATGTACAATTGTTAACAGAACTGGAAAATAATTTATCTACTGAAATACTATCTAAGATCAAAAATGATACATTTAGAACATTAATGAATGATCAAAAATTTCATCAAAAAGTAAATGAGGAATTTTTAATACGAATATTATCATGTATTGGAATAACAAATAAAGTAGGTTATGTACAAGGTCTTAATGTGTTGTTGGCTCCTATAGCTTATTGTTGTCATAAAAGTGAACCTCAAGCTTTTGCAATACTACATACAATAATAACTTATCATATACCATTATATATAACACCCAACCTAGAAGGTGTACATACGGGGTTAAGTTTAGTTGATACAGTTTTAAAAATTATAGATCCAGTTTTGAGTGATTATTTAGATTCAAAATTTTTAAAACCTGAAATTTATGCATTTCCATCAGTATTGACATTAAGTGCTTGTACTCCACCTTTAAAATCAGTTTTAAAATTATGGGATTTCTTATTTGCTTATGGATTTCATATGAATATTTTGTTTGTTGTTGCTCAATTGATCATAAATAGATCTGCCATTTTGGAGTCAGAACAACCAATGAAAATATTAAGGAATTTCCCAAATCTCGAAGAAAATGAAATAATAAAGTTAAGTTTAAGTTTTATACCTGAATTACCTAAATCACTTTATGAATTAATTGCAAGACATGGATTTGATAAAAGTGTGCCAAAAAAGTTAAAAGCTTATATAGCAGAGACTTTATAGATATTTAGTCTACTAATGAATTTACGAAACGATAATATTACATGTATATTAAAACAATCCCATTTTATAGTCTTGATCATCAAAATAAGAAGCAAGCACGGTTCTATCATTATAAGATCTCCCAGATAGTTCCATTATAGCTTTTAAAGCAGATTCACTATCTTCAAATTCTATAAATATCTTACCTAATCCAGGTACATCAAATTGTTGTAAACCAGGAGTGAAATCATTAGCAGGTCTTGGAATTTTCATTGACTTTATGTTACCAAATTTTTTAGCTTCTGATTTTATGTCTTCGTTAATAAATTTAAAATTTGAATCATCTATCAAATCTTTTGAAGAAACAACATTTATTAACTGAATTACTGTTGAGTTTTTACGTGGTTGAACCAAATCATTATTTACAAATTTTGTGAGTGTGTGATGATTTATTGGACCTTTTTGTACAGGTGTCTCATTTTCAGTTTTACATGCGAAAAACGCGTTGTTAACAAATGATATATCTTTTAATTGATTTAGTATATTTGGTAGTTGCTCTCTAAATTCAATTTCTATCAACCCTAATGGTTCTTTTGTACCTTTTTGTCTATAATAATGGAAACCTTGTAATGGTGCAATTTTTTGAAATTCTTCCAATGCTTCATTATTTGAAATACTTGAAGCAATTAAGACTGATATTTTTCTAGGACTATCTTTAACAATTTCGTTTACATCTTCTGAATTGTCGGGTTCATCTTGCACGACGTATTCATGAGGTCTCGAAATCAGTAATTTGTATTTGTCACTTATTTCTTTTCTCGGTATATCATCATTTTTATATGCATTAAAAAGTAAATCTGTTCCATTTAATGAATTAATAATTGTAGCACATTCACTATTGTTGAATTCAATAATTAAAGTTTTGTCATCTTTTAATTTTCTTTTACTATGTATATTATTACTTGAACTTTGTTCGAAGTCAATCATTTTTAGATAGTCATTAAAAAACTCCACAATTTTCAAATAATTTATTTCTTCAATATTATTCACAATTAAAGTTTTAGCAACTCTTGAATCTATTGGATCTATTTTGGAAACTTCATTTAATATGTCATTAGTATTCAGTAACCTATCTTTAATCAACCCTTCTAATTTTGTGAAATCTACTGGTCTTGGATATCCTGGTAATGGAAATAAACCAGATAATTTAGCTCTTGGTGCACTAACTTGTTCAAAACCTTTTGGTTTAACACCCCATCTCGAATCTATTACTTTAATTTCATCTATTGTTTGGACATCTTGTAATTTTGTTAGTTTCTCTTCTAGTTTTTGGATTGAGGATTCAACTGATTGCTTAGTTCTTGGTGGTTGAGATACAACTTTTGTAGTGGTAGATTGAGGTTGTGGTAATGATGATTGTTGATCTGTCATTTGCTGCGGATAATGTTGATCTCTAGGTGGTTGAAACTTGCTAGGTTCCCTATTTCTTGGAGAAAAATTTTGATGTTGATCTCTTGCTCTTGGTTGTGGTGGATATTGACCAGATGTATGTGATGGGTATTGACCCAGTGTAGGATGTGATATTCCATTTCTTGGTTGTTGAGGATATTGTGAGTTATTTCTTGGATGTTGTGAGAATTGATGATCTCGAGGATTCCTCATATGTTGATCTCTATTATTTCTTGGTTGTTGAGGATGATTCTGATCTCTACTAGTTCTTGGTTGTTTAGGGCGGTAGGGTTCTGAATTACCACGGGAAACCTCATCATATTTTCTTTTATTATCATTTGAATTATTCAAACTATCAGGTCCTCCACTTATCCTTTCTCTTCCACGATCTTTGAATTGATTGGACACTGCACTTGGTCTTTGATCATGATTTCTGGAAAATACATTTGAAAACGGATTTGAAGTGTTTGATGATGGGAGTTGATTTATTTGATTTCCATTGGTTTGTGGTGGTTGTGATGATCGTATTGATGAAGATGACCTTTCTGATGATTGATTGTTAGTATCATCTTTATTATAGTTATTATACCTCGATGGTGCTGACATACTGATATGACACTGAGACCTTTCTATACTATTCCCTTTGTTATTGCAAATTTATGAATTGAATGTTAGCAGATTTTTGGTTGCAGGCAAGTTCTTTTTTAAGTTTCTAAATAAAGTTGATGTAATTATAAAATATTTGCAAAGTACTGCATATTAATTCAATTAATTTAAAGAGTATCTTATAACATTAAAGATATACCACCAAAGTATGAGTTCAATACAATCTAGTAGTATTAATCACTAGCTACAGAACTTGCTGATTAAAAAAAAACTCTATTATAAAATATATTCTAGCCTATACACTTTTTTTACTTTTTTCTATATTTTTTTCTATACTTGTTCAACTAAATCTTCTAAACTAATTAATATTGGAGCATTATCGATTTCTTCAGTAGTACTACTTTCTTTATCTTCATCTTCTTCATAAGGATCGACATTTATGATAACTGAATTATTTTCTTCTGCAGAAATATCTTCATTTGGTACAATTAATTCCAATTCATCATCACTTATAAATCTTGCTGTTATTTGATCAAAATTAATTAATTTTTCAAATTGGAAATGTTTTTCAAAATGTACTTCTTGATTTTTAAATTCATCTATTAATTCTTGTGCATCTTCCTGTACTTCTTCATCTTCATCTGATGAATCAATAGCTTCAAAAATTGCTGCTTGTTCAACTTCTTCATCTTCATCTTCGTCATCTTCGTCATCTACATCTTCGTTAAATCCAGACCACTCAAATTCTGCTGTTTCATCAGCATCACTATCAAACTCGTAATCTTCATCTTCATCTTCATCGTAATTTTGAGCTTTTTCTAATTCTTCAATTTGTCTTAAAATTATATCTCTTTTAGCATTTGCAATTTTTGATTTCTCTCTACATTCTAAAACAGCTGGATCTTCATCACCTGAATCTTCTTCCTCCGAGAAATCTTCAATTTCTTCGTCTTCAAAATCTTCATCTTCTTCTTCGTCTTCGTCATCGTCTTCTCTTAATGAGTATTCAATGAATTCAGCTGGTGTCAATTCAATAGCTTGGTCGTCTTCATCTTCTTCATCCTCATCTTCTTCAACATCAATACCATTGAAATTTAATTTACCTTTAATAACTAATTCATTTTCATTTTTCAAAAATTCGATTTTTAATTCATCTTTGACTAATGATGGGAATCTGACATTTAATTTATATGTATTATCATCAAGTTCTTCAATTTTATAATCTTGACTATTTGCTAAATCATCAGTTAAATCAATTACTGAAAATTCATTTTCATTATCTTTAACAATTATTAAATCGTCATCCTCGTCATCTTCATCTTCCTCTTCTTCCTCCTCCTTTTTGCAATCTTCACATAAGTCATCTTCTGACTCTTCTTCTTCTTCATTTTGACATTCACATTCACAGTCATCACATAAACCATCTTTTTCGTAAATAACAACACCATCGTCATCATCTGATGAATTTTCATATTCGCTCTCAACTTCGAAATATTCTGGTTCTGAACCTAAATCTACATCTTCATCTTCATCACTATCTTCGTCAGCTTGAGCATTTTCAATCATTAATTGATCTTCTAAATCTTCATCACTATCGTCTGAATCATCAGCTTCAACTAAACGAACATATCCTTCTAAATTTTCTTCATCCGAGGAACTAGTATCTTCATCATAATAAGCAACAATTTCATCATTTAAATCATGAACAGATGGAACACCTAATTCTTCAGCATCAACTAAATTGTCATCTAAATCAATGTAATATTCGTTATCATCTGAGTCGACATAAACAATTTGTGCATTTTCTTCTTCGTCTTCTTCAACTTCTTCTCCTCTTGGTTCGAGGGCAAACTCATAAACTTCTTCATCTTCTTCGTCACTAGAACTTTCATTTGATGAACTTGAGCTATCACTATCACTAGAGGAAGAGCTTGAACTTGAGCTTGAATCACTGTCACTATCGCTATCGCTAGATGAGCTTGAGCTTGAACTTGAGCTTGAGCTTGAAGAATTGTCATCATCACTATCACTATCACTTGAGCTACTTGATGATGAGGTATTATCAACATCTTGACCTGCTAATGCATATAAAATTTCTTCTGGGATATCATTAAAATCAATTTCAATATCATCATCACTATCACTTGAGCTTTCACTTGAACTTTCACTTGAACTTTCACTCGAACTAGAACTTGAACTAGAACTTGAACTAGAACTTGAACTAGAACTTGAACTAGAACTAGAAGAGTTATCTTCTTCTTCATCTAAAACAATATCTTCACTTGATTCTGCTTCACTATCTGGTTCCTCAACATAAACATATTTTTTAGATGGTTGTTGATGATAATATTTTCTATAATGTTTCTTTTTTATTGGAGTAACATTTGGTGATGAATAAGTATGATTTCTATTTGGTGTGGTATTATGTAAATTTTTCCTATTATATTTACGATTATTTGATCTCATTTTTGAATTTGATTTGTTGTAAAAACTTTGGTATTTAATAATTGAATAAAATTAAAAAAAAAAATTATATCCTTTAAAAAAGTAAAATGAGATTGAAAACCCTCTCTTTATATATTAAATAATTTATTAAATGTTGCAAATTTGAAATTTATTATTCAACTATGTCTCAACTATGTAAAGAAATGAGATGGTGAGGCTTGATTTTCCTTATTTGGTAAATTGCCATCAAAAATTCACAAAAAATTTTATTTAAATTATTTTTTAAATTTTCTAATAGAATGTATGAGAATAGATCACAAAATCCAGTTTGTTTATTCTTTTATATTTTAATTTCTTGTAGTTAAAGATATTTTAAATTCATATATGTAAATATTAAAAGTTTGTCAACAACAATGTTTTCAAATAACAACAACATGATGAAAAGCATTGTCCTCTTCAAGAAGTGGCTCCAATATGTGATTCAATTGATTAGTTTTGAATTGTATTTTGTATTTCACTTAATGAAGCAATTTGTAAGCTATCAATGATTTAGGTGTCTTGATGAACTGACCTCAAAAATGTTAAATATTGATATCTTGAATAATAAGAAATGTGGACGTGTTTGTTATTGTAAGACAGACAGACATCTTGTTAAACGAATTTGCCTTTTGTAGAAGAAGTGAAAACACAACTGAATACTTGGGTTAATTGAGATTGATAAATTTGTTGTTGTTATTAAATTGGTAAATCTGAATTTATCAGACAGACTCTTTTACCCGGTCTTATGTCTGCATGCTTATCAATAAATGCCAATCAAGTAGATGGCTCAATAAATGCATTGTCGATTGGTAATAATCTTGAAGTTGTTGATAATGCTAAAATGTATGAAAATTGTAATTGATTTGTTTTTGATTCAAACAATTATAGTAATTTTTATGCAATGTAGAACAAAAAAATTCTTTCAGACAGACAAAAATATGGTGTCTGCGTCGGACAGACAAATATACTTCAGACAGACAGTCGCCATTTTTTTTTTTTTTTTTNCAGTTATCAGTTCTTCGATGATATATTGATAATTACTCAAACAAGAAGTATTCCAAATAAACAGTTTTTGCATGAATAGAAGTATAAGCATTCAGGTCTTCAACGATTTCCTTCTTTTTTTTCTGTTGTTGCGAAATATTCCGATTTTTTGTACGGAAGTCAGCTCGAAATTTCAATACGAAATCAATCCAGAGATTAATTGAAAGATAATTAGTGAAGAAAAAAAACTTTGTAATATTTATAAAGAGAGTCAAGGCATCGCTTCAGTCAAGCAATAAATTGCAAACCAATGTGATGTATTGCTTAAACTTATACATTTAGTAATAACATTATTATTCGGTTATTTGAATACTTTACGTTTTGGACTATAAAACAATATCTACAAGATTTCCCTGCACTAAATGGTTCACTCATCAGCACCGGTTATTAGCACCAAAAATCTGGTGTATGCCGAAAGTAGTTGGTTTCGTAGTCGTTCTACCTCAAATAACTTGTTCAAGTTTGATTATTTCCCCACTAAAATTTATCAGATTTTAATTGTCTTCTGAAAAAAAAAAATATAGTTAAATCTTTCTCCATATTTTAATAATTTAGAAGTATTATATTAACAACTCATTTATCAATTGATAGCTATATTACTACATCAAACCAATTACATCACATGAATCATTATCAATTTTGATATGCCTGAATACGCTCATCACCTACGAGCTTTATTTGAACCAAGTGACACTAAATTATTAACTTCATCTTCTACTACAAAACTACTAATTGAATCACCAACATTAGTGACAGCTTTATCTCAAATATTTCCTTATTTATTACTAATAGATGGGTTTTTGGAAACTATAACTTGGACTAATGATGATCATTATAAAAACTTTTTAATCATGACAATATATTCTTGTTTGGTAATGTATTGGAGTCTAATCAGTCATTTTATTATACCAATTCTAATGGCAGTGTTTTTCGCAAATATTGTATGGCTGATTAGCTCAGTAATATATGATTCCAAGTATGATGAAAAACCTACAATTGAAGAAGTGATATATACCTTACATAATATAACAATCAGGTGTGAAATGATATTAAGACCAATCAAACATTTACCATTTACTTTCAAAAATTTTACAAGATTATTCGTGGGTACTATTTTGATCACCCCAATCCATTTGTTACTTGTTAAAACTGTTTTACCTCCCCAAAAATATTTATGGTTTGTTGGTTTATTTATATTCACTTTTAATAGTCCGTATTCATATGCAATTAGACAGTTATTATGGAGATCATTATATTTAAGAATAGCAATAGTTTATATAACGGGATTAGATATAAAAGTTTCAAAGTACTCCAATTCAACAGAATTTACAGAAGTATTTGAACAACCACAAAATAGTCCTGCCACCACCAACACAACAATAACAGAATCAGGAAATCAACAAAATAATTTGCCAACATTGTCAAATTTTAAAACACTTAGCAAAAAGATGATATCACCAACTCAATTAAAACAAACGGTAGTATTTGAAATTTTAGAGAATGAAAGAAGATGGTTAGGAATTGGATGGTCAACATTATTATATCCTAGTGAAAGAAGTAATTTCTGTTATAATAATACGTTTCAACCAGCTCCAAATATTTTACAAGATCAAGATAATTTCCCATTTCCTATATTTGAGAATGATGTTTATGCTTATCAATGGGAATGGACTGATGATTATTGGAAAGTTGATAATGAATTTAATAAAGGTAAAGGTACAGATGGTTGGGTTTATTATGATAGTAATTGGGAACATCCGAGATATACTGATGGTTTTAGTAAATATACAAGGTCAAGAAAATGGATAAGGATTGCTTCTTTAGTAATCGATAAACACCAGACTGTATATGATGAATAGGTAAGTTTAAAACTTTTTGAAATAATCTGATTTTTGACGCAATAAATTTTCTCTGACACTGATAAGATCTATGACAAAATAGTTACAAAGAAAAAATAAATAATCCTAAGATATGATAGGCATCTCATTTTTTATACAAATAACTCTCATATTGAAAGTCATATAACACACACCATTGCATATAAATATAATAATGAGTTCAACGTCAAATCTACAGTATGATGAAATACCCAAGAAATACTTAGACCCATTAGCATCAAAAGACAAAGGAGAAGGTTCAAGAGTCAATGGTAAAGATTGGAAAATGAAAAAAGATGCATTCAGAGTTAAAACTTTAGGAGTTAGTAAAAGAAATTCATACAAGGAAAGAGAATTGAAAAAATTACAAGAACAACAATATAAAGAACGACTTAAGGAATTAAAAGATGAAAAAGATCAAGCAAAAAAGCAAAAAATTGATGATTTAAAAAGAAGAAGAGAAATTAAAGCTGAAAAAGAAAGATATGAAAAGATGGCTGCTAAGATGCACGCTAAGAAAGTTGAAAGATTGAGGAAGAGGGAGAAAAGAAATAAGTTATTGAAAGAAAGATAAATTTACTACTTTTGTTGGAATGGGAAATATATAATTTTGGATTTTAAGAAACTCGCTTTTTTCTTGAATGGTTCAAACATATCAATTTGAATTGTTCAATATTCTGAATCTCTGTGGAAACATTCACTAGCTAATGCCTTTATACAAATAGGTTTTTACAGATTATGTATATCATAAGTATTAGTGTCGCAATGACACAAAAACAAAGACTATTTTATGAGTCACCATAACATTAAATTTTAGTATTGTATAAAAAAAGGAGAGAGAGCAAAAAAAATTTTTTGAACAGCAACTTCTTTTTCGTCCAAATCCAATGATGAAATTAGAAAAGTGTTGATTTATACCACATCGGTCGTCTATTTTGGCTTATGGATGGTCTCAATACCCAAAATATTATATCAAGATTTGATTTGATCTTTCAAATTTTTCAAAACTGATCATTAATGACCATTTTGTACATGAAAACAGAATTGTCTGATGGCGAATTTCTCTAATTTTTGTAAAATTACCCGGATAAAGTCGATTAGTATAAAAGCAACTTGAAATTTCCCACTTTTTTTTTTCAAATATTTTTTTGATACAATTTTTCGGCAAGTTTGCACTCACTTTTATTTATTTTTTTTATATTTTACACTACTTTTACATACACAAAATAAATTTGAATTATTAATTTAATTTTAAATTTAAAACGCGCAAATCTTAAAACATCACTTTTTGTACTATTATTATTAGTTGATACATTTTTCATTTCATTTCATTACTTTAAACAAGTTTATATATATTTTAATATACAATTATTATAAATATAAATAAAATTATATATACACTTGAATTATTACTTTTCAAGGGGTTTTTTTTTCATTGCATTTTTACATCATATCATATTCATATTATTTTTTTATAAATCATATATCTTCATTATTATAATATCATTGATCTCAAAAAATAATTGTGATTAATCAAACATAACACAAAAAAAATATCATAACTCAAATTCATTAACATAACCCAAAAATGGATTCATTAAAATTACCAAATACTGCTGCTCAAGCAAAAGTATTCACAGCTCCAAATTCACTTTTATTTCCAAAAGGTTTAGAGGAAGAAAATAAAGAACTTATTAAAAAGGAATCATCAAATTTAGACATAATAGAACCAAAACAAGATGAAGATGATGGAGCAACTTCAGGTATTGTGCCAACTTTACAAAATATAGTTGCAACAGTTAATTTGGATTGTCGACTTGATTTAAAAACTATTGCATTACATGCTAGAAATGCAGAATATAATCCAAAACGTTTTGCTGCAGTTATTATGAGAATTAGAGATCCAAAAACTACAGCATTAATTTTTGCAAGTGGGAAAATGGTTGTTACCGGTGCAAAATCAGAAGATGATTCAAAATTAGCTTCAAGAAAATATGCAAGAATTATTCAAAAATTAGGTTTTAATGCTAAATTTACTGATTTTAAAATTCAAAATATTGTTGGTTCTTGTGATGTTAAATTCCCAATTAGATTAGAAGGTTTAGCTTTCAGTCATGGTACTTTCTCATCTTATGAACCTGAATTGTTTCCTGGTCTAATTTATAGAATGGTTAAACCTAAAATTGTTTTACTTATCTTCGTGAGTGGTAAAATTGTTCTAACTGGTGCTAAACAAAGAGAAGAGATATATGCTGCTTTCGAGGCGATATATCCCGTTCTCTCTGAATTTCGCAAACTGTAGTTTGTATCAATATACTTTGATATTTTTTTTTTTTTATCTTTTTTTTAACATTTCTTTTTTGCAGCTCCTTTTCGAGATAGAGATCTTTCAACCCTTTGTTTACAACTATACTAAGTTGAGATAACAATTGAGGCGTAGAGACATATAGTAGAGCCAGTTTTGTTCGGTAACGCCTGTTAGAAAAGCGTGTGATTATCATTGATTTATAGACTCAAATAATTTATATATTCAATAGTTTTGTAGCTTTATTAAAAGCAATTACATAAAATTTTTAATAATTTTGATCTTCTGCGTTACCTTCTTACACGAACTTAATGATCTCCAATGGTTTAGAAACGCTACTGTTAAATTAACTTAATATAACCAATTATTCTTTGGCGCAATTTGATAGTTAAAGTTCCCTGAAAATTTGCATTCTTGTTTACATTAAATTCAATTCTAGTCACCTTATAATAAAGCCCCTTAAATTTTGTATTGGTACCCTTGTTTCTTGAGACTATATATCCCTTTGGAATATTCTGACATTCAATACATTAAATTCTCAGTAAGCTATAATGAAAACAGGTCAGAAAACAAAACTCTACATAATAACAAGAAAATAATAAGAAAAGGTCGTTTATTTATTATTTGTTTCTATTTCACACTGCTATGAAAAATAGTCATTGATTGACTTTTTTGATGGTCCAGTTGGGTTTTTACTATTTTCAGTTTTTCTACTCTTATAAACTGGTAATTTTGATTTTTTTTTACTTCTTTCATTTTCATTTTCGATTTTTTCTATATTTGAAGTAGATGATTCTGGTTGTGGTGACGAAGTTTTTGATGTGGAATAATCAGATGAATCAGTCTCTACATTTTTTCTTTTCCCGAATAACGTTGAAATATCCCTCGTTTTATTCAATTTAAAATGATTTTTAGCTTCAAACATTATTTTTTTATCTTCATCAACTACTGCAGTAGCATCAGTTTTATCTCTATCTTCTTCTTCATTCCATAATTCAAAATCTGTAAATACTGGACAATGATCACTTCCTAAAATAAATGGTAAAATATCAGCATTTGAAATATTTGAAATCATTTTCCGAGAGCTGCATAGTATTAAATCAATTCTTGAACCATAATTTATTTGTCTTGAACTTGTTAATGTATTCCATACTGTATACATTTTTTTCCTTCTACCTTGAATTACTCTCGTTGTATCATAAAAAAATTGATCATTACTGTAGTTGATTTTCTTGTTATCTCGACAAAGATATATCATTGATTGTATAACATATTTATTTAATAATTCTCTTGCTTGTCTTGTAAATTTAAAACCCATACATTCTTTATAGTTTAGTTCTTCAAATTCAACTCCATCTTTCAAATCTTCTATTGTTTTTATGGCTAGTCTATCGTTTATACCTTCTGCACTATCAATTAAATCCAAACTGACATTGATATCACCCATTAGAATAACTTTTTTACCTTGTTTATGTAAATTTTCACATCTCTTTAGTAGTTGAGATAAAAATAATAATCTGAAATTTTCACCTTCTATTTCACCTTGAGAATTTGCTGGACAATATACTGCAAAAACAACTAAATCATTAATCAATTCAACACCTACACATCTACCTTCACTATCTAAGTTCGTACCAATTGATTCAGAAATATCAGTGTAACCTCCTATATTATCTGATTGCTCCCTATATTTATCTCCATTTTTATCACATAACCAACCAGATATACCTTCTTCAGCTCTTATAACAGTTAAATATTGTTTTTGGACATCATTATCAGGTTTTTTAATAAATAATCCAACACCACTATACCCTTTTTTCTTCATAGGTAGTGATATAAAAGATCTATAATTATTTAAATGGCCAATATTTTTAATTTCTCCCAAAGTAGTCTTTTCAGTTAGTTTTAATTCTTGTAACGTTATAATATCACCTCCTAAAGATAAAAACATTTCATTAAATTCTTTATTGAATTTGTTCCATGGATGATAATTACAAATTGTTTTTATACCATTAACGTTGAAAGTTATGAACCTTATCGTATTGTTACCATTTTGCTTAGTTGGTATTTTGGTAAACGGAGGTTGTGATAATATTTCTTCCATTCATGTGCAGCTTTAAATATCAAACATTAAGTATTTATTGAGAATAACAATATTGTTGTTATTATTTTACAATCTTGCGTTTTTATGCGCGAAAAGGTTTTACGATATAATTTACCACTAAATTAAAGATTTTACGCAAACTGTCAAATAAATCCAGGTGAGATATGAAACGTTATTGTGTCCACGTTTGGTTCAACAACAGTGCTTATCAATTGATTATGTATGAACTCGATTGTTCTTTATACTTATTTATTAAATGCTCTTGTATATAAGAATTGATTCGTAAAACACTTTATTTGCTAGGATTTTAAACATTAAAACAACAATACTTAAAACACATAATGAATAGTTAGTAGTAGATGATCATGTAAACAAATAAACAAATAACTTGTTATAATTGACATATTAAAAAGATCTACCTCTCTAAATTAGATACATTATAAACTATTTCATGTTAGAATGTATACACTATTCAGTAAATTAATTAGACGCGTCTTGATTTAATTTTTTACACGAAAAATTTGATCACAGAAGAAAATAAATAATAAATTATTATTATTATTTTTGATTTTATTTTTAACCAAATTTATCGTTGAATTGTCTACCTTTCAAAATCAAACTATTTTAGATTAACTCAGTCTTAAATTATTATATATAATTAAACCTGAATTTACCAAGAAATTTATTATAATTTGGAGATACAATTTAAGGAGTACTAAGTTTAATTTTATTACATACTTGTTGAAAGATTTTTCAAATTTCATTTAATATTATCAGGAAAGAAAATATTTAAGAATATTCAGATTTCAATAAACTTTATTTAAGATTTAATTTATGAAAATTTAAGAGAATTTGTATACCTGTTAATCAATCTCATACAATGATTGATAATGAATTATTTTTGAAAAATTCCCCTTTTAATCAAAGTCATACTGATTCATCAAATAATTATAATTTAACAAATACAACTTCAGATCTTATAAAATTTCAATTACAAGAACAATATAGGAATTCCATCAATAAAAATAATGAAAGTAATTTAGATATTAATGAACCAAAATATGAACATACTAAAGATTTATTTCAAGATTCTTTCCACAATCATTTACAAAGAAAATTAGATTCAAATCAAATTTTATTGAATGTACCAAGTCTATCATCAACTCCAACTTCAACTGAAGATGAAGACGAAGAAGAAAATGAAGATGAATATAGTTTGGATTCATTTTTATCCCAAACGAACCCCAATAATTACCTTAATTTAAAAATTCTTATAGAAAACTCAATATTTGAATCAACAAATATTAACAAAAATTCCATTTTATCAATCACTGATATCCAATTTTTAAAACATGATATAGAAGAAAAAGAAGAGATTATAAATTATTTAAAATCTAAAATATCATTATCTCAACAATTCATAAATGAAGTTGTAACGAATAATACAGAAGCATCAACGTTAAATAGAATAATTAAAACTATGACTTCATTACAAAATCAACTTATCATTAATACTCAAGATTTGGAAAGCTCACGACAGAAATTAAACAATCATAATTTATCATGTTTATTATTAGGATATATTGAAGATATTAAAAGAAGTCAAGAGGAAGACCAATTTTCAAAGCCTTCAAGCTCTCATACAAATTCTCCCGGTAAAATCTCATCATCAACGTTATCATCACCTAAAAAATTACATAATTCTCAAAAATTAATTGATTCAGTATTTGCACATATAGCTAGTATAGCAGCTCAAAGAGGAATACTGCTTCCTTCTCCTTCATCTGCATTATCTAATGAAGACGATGAAGAAAATGATTCAAGATCAATATGGCTTCAACAATGTATTGACACTATTTTATTAAATTCTCCATCACCTTCTCCGGATTCCAATACTTATAATGATACCTCAATTTCCAAATCAACCACTGAAGATAAACCAAAAGATTATAAAACTGCATTTAATGATTTAAGATTTTCATACGAATATTTAGCAAAAGAATATGAACTTTCCAAATTATCAACTTCAAAATCAATACAAGAATACAAAAAAAAATTAGATAAAGTAGAAAGATTAAAAAATTTGGAAAATTCAAGTACATCAACATTAACATCACCATCAAAATTATCATTAGAGACAAAAGATAAAGAAATTTCAAAATTACGTAAAGAGTTATTATCATTAAAAATTGATAAAATGGGCTCATCATCATCAAATTTAATTACCTCTCCTAGCTTAGAACCAAATTATTCTACTACATCAATCACCAATAGCTCATTGTTTCTATCAAATGGTCAATCAGTTTCTACAAGAGGAAGTTCAACTTCGAATCCTGGTTCGACTATTAGTGATGAAGATGATATAAATTCCATACATTCATTAAATAAACCAATAACAACGAATAATGGCATAAGTAATGGCATGTTAAGAAAAGAATTTAAAAAAATTGTAAGTGAAATGCAAGATCAATATGAAATTGAATTAACTGAAGAAAAAATTAGGCGACAAAAATTAGAAGAAGAATTGGAGGAGTTGAAACAAAAAATGGAAACAGATAATAGCTGATAGAGCTATATCTTAGTTTATTCTATTTGTTTAATTCATTATATAACTGTTATATTTATTATATATATCCTAGATTTTTATATTATTTTGTATTCTATCATATTATTAATTGTAGTACCCTTTAATAAATTTTCATAATAAATCTAGACAATAAAATATTATTTTTTCTTAACTATATTTAATTTAATAATTATTTATTATGTTATGTACTTACTTGTGATAAATTTATTATTTTTTTTACAACCAAAAATTAAAATTCACGTACCTTAATATTCAAATCCATAATATCAAATATATCAAATGCCAAATTAAAAAGTACTAAATGGCCCGAAAAAAAAAATCAGCAATATCAAGACCACAGCATGATATAGATTTAGAAAATAATATAGATTCATTATACAGCAAATTTAATGGTCCATCAAATGATCAAATTTCAAACCAACAAGAAAGTAATTCAACTTTAGAATTATTAAAACAAATTCAACAACAACCACCTCAACAACAACAACAACAACAAACTTACTCTTCTTACTCGTCAAGCTCAAACTATTTGGCGAATTATCAACTGAATCATTCAAGTATCATTTATCCACAAGCAGAATCAAAATCAATTCAAACACAACCGACCACTTCATATAATTATAGTAGTTATTCAAACAGCCCAAATCATGGATCTAATGGTATATCACATCAACAACCAACTTACGTTATTGATGACAAAACTCCAACACCACCACCAACAACAAAATTTTTATCTAATCCATCAAAAATATCAAATTCATCACCACCTCAAGCTCCATCTCTACAACAACAACCTCAATTTGGACAGAAACAACCATTATTTGGAGAACAACCGGCACCAATAACTCAACAACAAATCCATTGCCCATCGCCTCCAAAACCAATACCTGTTTATTCATTATCTTCTGAGTCTTCATTAAAATCTCCACCTATTACTCCTGATCAAATTTCAATTATTTCAAATCCTCAAAAACAAGTAAACGGTCAAGCTCAAAGTCAAGTAAATGGACAAGCTCAAAGTCAAGTGATTGGACAAGCTCAAAGTCAAGTAAATGGTCAAACTCAAAAACAACAATCAGATTCACAAATACCTCCTCCTCCTCCTCCCCCAACAGAAAAACCAGCACGTGTTGTAACAAGCACCAAAGAATTAGCAGAATCAACAATTTCAGCAACTCCGACCTTAAAAGAAACTGATGCAACCTCAAAAGATGTTACAACTACAATTTCAAAACCTAAGATCACAATCGAAAAATTTCCAAAGGCTGCAATACCTACATCTATGGCAACAACAACAACCACAAATCCAACTAATACGACGACTCCAACATTGATTCCAACAACGTCAAACCCAAATACTGAAATGTTTTCAGCAACAAACACAACTACTACTAATGCACCAACAAAACCAATAATGTCAGCTTCGGCAGCAACAACTGCATCAACAAAACCATTGATTTCATTGCCATCAGGTCCAGCTCAAAATCAATCATATAAACGTCCCGCATCAATACAATCTTCAGAACCATCTTATAAACGTAGAAGAGCTTATGAATCAACATCAATACCGTCAAACCGTCAAGGAATTGATACGTATATTCCTAAGCCACAATCTCAAGCATCATCATCAACATCCACATCAACACCAGCTTCATCTTTTGCTTCAGTTCCCAAGCTTGCTTCATCATCTTCTCCAACCTTAAAAGATGAGTCCAGCAAAACTGATTATGATTTTGCAGGGTTTGAGAAAAACAGAGCCCATAGATTATACAATGAAACAGAAATTCTCAAATACTTAAAAGAAAATAAACATCACCCAAAATTAAAAATAGCATTTTTCACAACTCAAGCTGATCATTTTTTGAAATTAGCTCATGAAAGTATCGTTAAAGATAAAACTTGTAATTTTGATACAAATTATAGAAAATTTATTAAAGCTGCCATTAAAAGTTTATTAATCCTTTTGAAAAAATATGATCAACATATGTGGCCAGAATTAAAAATTTCAACTTATTTTAAATTAGCTAAAATTTATTTTGATGAAACTGAATCATATGAATTAGCAGACAAGTATATTAATAAAGCAATAGTTATTAGTAAAAAAGATAATTTACCAAGAGAAGGATTCTTTTGTGATCTTTTGTTGATACAAATATATGAAAAAATTGATTTACAAGCTGCTTCAAGTTTTATTGGAAGAAGAATAGATCAATATCAAGACAGACCATCAAATGTATTTGGTCAATGTTTTAAGTTAATGAGAATTAGAAATCTTTTGGTTACTGAAACTTCTTTAGCTTTTATTCATTTGCAAAGACTCCTAAAAGAGCAAACTTTGAATCATACTATTAAAAAAATTGCAAATTTGTATCTTGCAAACTTACTAACTCATAGAGGTGATCCAGCCAAAGCAATTGAAATAATAAAAAATATTGATGAATCAAAAGAAACAAAACATCCTTTCAAAGCATATATTTTGATGACTCGTTTATTGGCTTTCATGAGTTTAAATCAATATGCTGAAGCAAAATCAGTCGGCAAGCAATTAGTGAATGTTATTCTGGAGTGTGAAAAATCAAAATGGAATCATTGGTTACCACATGGTGAAATCAAATTTACTATTAAAGTCGACCCAGATGATTACAAGTCAGGAGAGATCAAATTCTTAATACCTTGGTTAACTGTTGCAGAATTTAAAATTATATTTTATTTGATTACTTCAGTATCAATTATGCATGGTAAAAAGGAACAAGCACTGGTTGGATTTGAAAAAGCTTTAAAAAGTTTAACAAAAGCTAAAAATGAATTAAGAAATAATGAAGTTGTATCAAGATATGTAACAATAGAAACATCAAGACAAAAAATTATTAAATTAAAATTTTTAAGGTACTTGGTTCAATTTTATCAACAATGGTTTAGCTTTTTGAACAATGACATGAAAATCCAACAGATTAATGAATTCATGATTGCTAATAATGAATTTTTCACAAAAGAAGAATATATAATCTTTAAAAGTCTTTATGCAAATATGTATTACATTATTGGAATTTATTACCATTCAAAAGGTGATATTCAAGCAGCAAAATATTATTATTTAAAAGTTAGAAATATGACAACACTTATTGATCAATCACCATCTGTTTCTTTGGTGCAATTAAACGCAGGTATTGGATGTTATCCATGTAATCCACAGGGTAGATTCAGTGAATTGTATATTTTTAGTACAATTCAATTGGTCATGCTTCTTGATTTTGAAATTGATCAAATGTTGGAAATTCAAAAATCAAACAAGTTAATGCTCATAAATGAAACTATTAGAAACCAGATGGGGAATGATTTAGCTTTAGCATTACAGTCTTCCAAACATTCAGATATTTTCCGCCAAAATTTTATATCAAGAAATGAAATATCAAGAGTTACTATAAATATAATCATGAGTATTTTACATAATGTTGAACCACCAAAAGAAAATTTTAGATCCATATTGAACAGACTTGGTGATAACACTTATTTTTATTTAATTTATTTTTTAGTTTCAATTGCTTATTCATATACTGCCTATAGTGGTGAAAAATTAAGAATATTAAAAACTTGTTCGGAAATTTTACCAAGTTCAAAAGCTTTAGAGGTTGATACAAAACATGGAAAAATGATGATTTCATCTTCAGAATCATCAGATAGCTGTAGAGTGTTTCTTTTAAGAGATTTAATTCAAGGTTATTTAGCTAATGGTGATAGAGATAAAGTTGAAATGATAAATTTACAACTAGAAAGATTTTGCGAACTTTTAGAAAATAAGTATGAAACTTTAACTAATAATGTCATTTACGATTCGGATGTTGAAAAATTTAAAACTTCAAACTAGTAATTTTTTAAGTTATAATATACATATTGCTATTTAGCTTCTAATCCTTTTTAGATTTTTTCTTTTTTTCTGATTTTTCACTATCATCTTCAGCTTTTCTTTTCTTTTCCTTTTTATCCTTTTTGTCCTTTTTATCTTTCTTATCTTTCTTTTCCTTTTTGGGTTTTTCTTCTTCTGTGGTGGTGGTGGTGGTTGTTTCAACTTCTTCTATCAAAGTCTTTTTAGGTAATTGCGGAGTTGGTGCAATTAATTTTGATTCTGGTACTGGTGGAGCTGGTTGTTCATCTAAATCTTTATACTCTTTTTTCCAATTTTCAGGAGTATTTTCATTAGTTCTACCATATTTATCTAATTTTCCATCAGCTTTCATTTGTTTTTTCTTTTGTGCAACTGGTCCTAAACCCCATCTTCTTGGGTAAGTATCTCTTTCCATTATACATCTTTTAACTTTTGCAACAACTCCATGATCGCAACCTTGTAAATCAACTGTTGTCATTTGTGCTATACCTATAGCTATGGCTTCTCCCTTTGTGGTGATTAATACAACTTCATCATATAATTCAATACCATCTTCATATCTTAATAAACCTGGAATCATTAATTTTGCACCATAACAAACAGAGTTAACTGCTGAATCTTTAACGACAATTCTTTTGTAACCTACCAACAAAGTTTCTAATGGTTGAATAATTTTTCTTAAATATGATTCATCTCTTGTGTTATCATAAACATATTGTGCATCTAATACATCGTGCAATGTAACTAAATTATCTGATTCGCTCATTGCTCCTGATCTAACTCTACGTAATTCTTGCATATGACCTCCGACTCCTAATAACATACCTAAATGAACACATAAAGTTCTCATATAAGTACCTGCTTCACATGAGGCCCAAAATACACCTAATCCTCTTTTGTTATCAAATTCAATTAATTTGGAATCATAAACGGTTCTAACTCTTAATTGTCTTTTTACAGCTGAAATTAATGGTGGTCTTTGAAATAATGCACCAGTTAAATTTTCTAAAGCTCTATTTAATTCTTTTGGATCTTTTAATTGATCGTGTAATCTTACAATACAAACATATTCTTTACCTGCACCTTGTTGAGATTTGACTAATCTTGTTGCTCTGTCAATACAAACAATTAAACATCCAGTAACTTTTGGATCTAAAGTACCTGAATGACCAGTTTTTTCAACTCTTAAAATCCTTTTTATCCATGCTACAACTTCATGTGATGATGGATTTGATGGTTTATCTAAATTTATTACACCTGATGATACGTATGATTTTAAATCTCTATTATATGGTGATGAACCTGATGGTATTGGAGTATAATGACCTGATCTTACTAATAATTTGTCATAATTTTTTAACAATAATGGCCACTCTGATGTATTATTGGCCGGAGTGACTGTTTCCGGTTTGATTTGGAAATCCTCTTTCATTACAACATCTTCTGTAGACATTTTTGGTTATTTGTAATTGTAGATTAGCTACTACAAAAAATGATGAGCTTTGGAAAGTTTTTTTTTTTTCACTAAAATAAATTAAGATATAGAAAGCCGCATTAATTTCCTATTTAGTTATATATATATACAGTCTTTACTTAAGATTCATTGTATTAACAATTTCATTTTTTATCAATTCCAACCAAAATAATTCTCTTCCTAAATTTCTCATTATCTTTATACAATTATCGCTATTTTTATCATTTATGAATTCATTATTGTCGAGGAAATTACCACTGATTAAATTGATAGTGTCTTTGATTGCTTTTATGTCAGAGACAATTTCATACAATTGTTTCACTAATGGCAGATCAGGTATAATTAAGTCATCTAGCAAGATCCCACTATTAGAGTTTATATGGATCTTGTTGTTGGATTGATTGTTAAGTTGGTTTAGCTTGTTCAACTCTTGGTTCAAATTTGTTGAACTGTTTAGTTGCGTAGAAAGATGATTTATATGATCTTGTAAAATGTTTGAATTTTGTTCAGCTTGTTGATAATGATGGTTTAATTGGTTGAATAGTGCATCTGATTTTGCTACGTTCTCATTTATGTACTTAATTTGTTGGTGTATAGAATCATTTGTAAAGATTTCATTGAATTGATTAGATAATATTTGTAGTGAGTGCTTTCTTATTGGGTCTTCTATTGATAGTTGATTTATATTGTCTACTAAGTCTATAGTAGCAGGTGGTCGTGTAGGTATCTCTGCTGGTGCTGGTGCTGGCCCTGTTGGATGTGGTTGATGTTGTTGAAATGCTTGGTGTTGCGGATATGCTTGAGTATGCTGTGGTGATTGTAAATTTGGTTGTAGAGATGGTGTTGGAGAATTTCTCATAGGATATGGTGCTTGAACTTGAACTTGTTCCTGGGGTAATGGCAAAGGATTTTGATACTTCAAAGGGGTTGTGTTTTGAGGTGATAGCAATTTTGGAGGTTTAGCAGGTAATGGAGGACCCGTAGTTTGAGGTGTTATATTGTTTGATGTAGGTACAGATGAAACTCTAGAAGGTATGACTGATACGCTGTTCTGTATGGGAACTTCTAATTTAACACTTTGATAAATTATATTTATCAATTCATTTAAATGAAAATGTAACAAATCAACATTACCTTCCATACATTGTCCAAACCAATTCGATAAATATGGATGATAGAATTTACCTTGAGCATCAACATAATTATTTGGTTTTAAAAACCAATTTTTTGAATGATTTGGTATTATATAAACTAGGGGACAACTTTCATTTGGATAATCTAATGGGATCCATATTTCTATAGGTACACTAATTTCATTATTTATGAAAATATTACCAAATAAATTAATTAATAAATTTGATTCTCCAGTATCTTCAGAAGTATGAACTTGAGTCCTAATTTTAAAATTTAAATTTCTCTTTAAATGTAATTGTAAAAATTGATACACTTGTGAATATACTATTTGTTTATATTTATACAGTGGTTGAATGACATTATATAACCAATTGGAAACTTGTTGAGGTAGTTGTGGAAGTTGAGGTTGAGGTTGTGGCGGTAGTAATGGTGGAGGTTGTTGATATGACATTAATTGTTCTTTTTCAAATGATCTTTTAATTTAATATGTAATTTTGCAGTCTTTGATAATTAGTTGGAGTTTTTATCGCAAAAAAAATATACTAAATAATTTAATATCAAATCAACAACCAACCCATTTTCACACAAATTTCAACAATAAAATTATTAGACTAATGAGTGGGTATGTAATTTTCAGTCATCAATCAGTTTAACGAATGAATTGTTAATACTAACATTAATTAAAGTTACACAGTAGTTGCTGTATTAATAGTTGTTATTGCTGTATCATGTTTAGCATGGGTTTTTGCTCCAAAAGAAAATACAACAGTATTTAGATCATCAGTTATATTAGGTTTAGCTATGTGTTATCTAATGTGGGCCATTACATATCTAGCTCAATTACATCCATTAGAAGCCCCAAGGAGGTCAGATTTAAGACCAGAATTTGCTGATTAGAAACTTGGTAACTAGGTAGTAGAGAAAATATAATGTACAACAACAAATAATATAGCTGAAATATAATATTCACGTAAGAAATGTAGTGGTGCCGATCAGGTTCTTAAACAAAGTAACAATGAGTTTAATAAACCACTCATGGATACAAAGCATTCCACACGATCTTAAAAACAATAAATTTCGAAGTATCAAATCAAAATGATCATTCTTAAGCTTTATCTTGTCCATCACCAGAATTCTCGAATCTATTGGAAAAAGAAACGGAAGCAGAAACAGGACATATATTTTTTCAATTATCTGACAGAAATTTATTCTCTTATTTTCATGTTCTCCAGCTCTCTAACAAAATGATATAATTGTCGAAAGGAATTAAATACTACGTTAATGAGTTGTTCAAATAAAGTATATATTGATTTGACTCTATATACTCTGTTAATATGTACTGTTGTAGTAAAGTTGGAATTGAAGTTGATAAATTGCAGAAAAAAAATTTTGCTTATAACTAGCCTCAGGCATAAATTTAATGATGAACGTATATTACCCGGACGAGTATTTTTTTATTTACCAAAATTAGTCGATAATTGTATAATTACTTCACAAACTTTAGAAGAGGTTAAAGCCTCTTATAATCTATCATTTAGCAATACACAAAATCAGTGTCGACAATAGTGCTACGTTGTGTTATATTTTCATATCAGTTCAACATTTCGTAAAGCTTTCTTAAATATCTTAACCAACATATAAAGTATTAAAAAAAAAAAGATGCAAATATAGTTTGTTTAAGATAAAATTTAATGCAAATGTAGTTTGTTTAAGATAAGTTTAGTCAAACTAAACTTCAATTTTCAGTCTTGATACTTGGCTATTTGTCTATTTTAAAAGCTAACCTTGTTGACTGTGGATGTGACATTTGATTTCATTCACTAAAACATTAGATTCTATAAATAATTCTAACGTCAATACTTGTGAATTGAAGCGAAGCGTATTTTTCAATATCAGGCTGATTTTGTGATAATGTATATAATTTCGGATGTATTTTCACATGGTCTTTGAAACTAAAAGTGTTATAAGAATATGACCTATCTCATTAGTTTTAATAATTCTTGGGATCAGTTCAAAATATTTTTAAGTACATTGTTCTACTATAAGGCTCAGTGATACATTTCCATTGATAAATTGAAAGTTTTACGAAAAATTAAGGGTTTGATGGAAATCTTTCAAAAATGGAAATAACCGATTAACAATTTAAAATATAGCATAAATGCCCATTCTAGAACTTAATTGTTTAATAAAGATTTATCTTTAGTGCGTTATAACTTCCCCAAATACAAAAATTTCATAACCTTTTTAAACTACAGCCACAGTTGATATCATCTTAATTAAATTTTTTTCTCAAATAGATAACCATCTAATTGCGAAACAAGATGTTCAAGGCTTGTAGGTCTAATGAGCTTTTACGATATCACACACATTTATGGATATATGAAAAGATAAGATAAATAAACATAATATGTTTTTAGAGTTATAGTAACAAAGGATTTTGATATTATTTATAATAAAAGAAATATTAATCTAATTAATTGAAATTGAAAATTGCTGCAAGGGGGGTTAAATGGGTTTTTTTTTTTTTATTTGATTTTAAATTGTTATTGTTATAAAAAAATTACTGATATAAAAAGATAATAAATTCTTTTTTAACAATAATTAAAGATTTAGTATTATTATAGTTGTTGTTCAAGAAAGGATCCTGTTTTGGCATAGTTATTTAACAAGAAATCTAGTATTGGTTTAATTTTTCAACAACTAAACTTTTTCAATAATGCCTCAAGAGCCTCATGAAACAAATTCTTCTTATAGAAGGACTTACAACAATGAAAAGAATGAAGAAGATATAGTTATTCATAACTATGGCAATACGATAAATAATAACAACTACAATGAAAATAATTATGATAATGATTATAAAAACGGTTACATAAATAGTCAAGACAATAAAGATGGTTTGGGGGTGGCAAATTCACGTCATTTTACAGATGAAACATCAAGTAATTTGGGAGACTCAGTAGATGGTAAAAATAAATTCAAGTTGAAACAGGGACTTAAAGATAGACATCTTTCATTAATTGCTTTAGCGGGTATTATTGGTCCAGGTATTTTGGTTGGTGCAGCTTCTGCTTTAGCTGAAGGACCAGCAGCTATACTTATTGGGTTTGGTGTTATGGGTTTTATTGCTTTCACGATGTTGCAATCGATTTCGGAACTTAGTGTTCAATATCCAGATGGAAATGTGTTTATCTCGATTGGAAAGCGTTTCGTGAGTGAATCGTTTGGTTATGTATGTGGAATTTACTACTTCTTAATTTGGATTTTTGTCTTAGCTAATGAGTATAACTCGGTTAGTTCAATTTTACAATACTGGGGTCCCGAGGTTCCGTTATATGGTTATATCCTAATCTTTTGGATGGGTTTCAATATTATTGCTATATTACCTATTGAGTTCTTTGGGGAAGTTGAGTTTTGGTTAGCTCTCCTCAAATTAGTAGGTCTAATTGCTTTCTATATATTTTCTATCATTTATTGTGCTGGAGGGGTTAAAGGACAAAAAGCATTTGGTTTTCATTACTGGAATGATCCCGGTCCATTTAAACGAGGTTTTGGTTCAGTAGCTTCATGTTTGACATTTGCTTCTACATTTTATAGTGGGACTGAGATAGTTGCTATTTGTGTTGGTGAAACAAAGAATCCCAAAAAAGCTGTTCCAAAAGCTATCAAGCAAACTTTTTGGAGAATTTTAATTGTATATATTGGTATTGCTGTAAGTTATGGTATCACAGTTCCTTATAATGATGATAGATTAGGTGCTTCTTCAAAATCGTTAAAGAGTCCTATGAGTATTGCTTTAGCTAGAGCTGGATGGAATGGTGGAGTGCACCTCATTAATGCTTTCATTCTTGTTACATGTATTTCAGCTGCTAATTCAAGTATATTCAATTCATCTCGTACTATTTATTATTTGCTGATTGAAGGATTATTGCCTAGTGTGTTCAGACGTCTCAATAGATTTCAAGTTCCTTATGTTGCTGTGCTTTTTTCAAATTTGTTTGGTCTCATCTCATTAATCAACACATCCAAATCAGCAGTCGCTGCCTACAATTATATAGTTAATCTAAGCGGTGTTAGTGTTTTTTTAACATATGCCTGCGTCTGCTTTTATCAAATTAGATTTAGAATGGCTTTAAAGGCTCAAGGAAAGTCAAAAGATGAAATTTTTTATAAAGGTCTTTGGTACCCATATTTACCAATTGCAGGTATTACCTTAAACATTATAGTTGCTTTAATCCAAGGATGGTCATATTTCAAACCATTTGATGCTGGAAATTTCGTTGACGCTTACATCTTACTTCCACTTTTTCCAATTTTGTATTTTGCCATAGGAATTTTCAAAAAATGGAAGTGGGTAAACCTTAAAGATGTTGATTTGGAAGTAGATAAGAGAGAGGATGTGGATCGTTATTATAATGAGGAAGAAGAAGCTCTTGGACCTAAGAAATTCGAGAGATGGTACTCTTGGATGGTTTAATTGGATTGCTATATTTTGTGATGAATAAATAATATTTTAAATGAGTGACACAATATTACGAGCCTGTTATATGTAGCTTGATACTCTCTTGAGCTTATTTACTCTTATTTCTTCTAAGAATTTTAGTTATTGTAAAATTCCAAATTCTTTTGAGTTAAGTCCTCAAACTAATTCAAGATATAAGTCTAATTTTTTGCGTCAATCTTAGAACAAAAATTTAGAAAAACAATTATTAGCTATTCGAAAGCAATAGAAAAACATACTCAAGCAATACATAATTAGCCTCTAATGCGATCCAAAAATACTTGAATACTCGATACTGGCTTTCATTACCAGATTTAGACGATAACTTACAGTTTGCAACTTTGCAACAGCTAAGTTGCATTCAAGTATTGTTGTAAGGATGTTTACTTTGTGATTTAAATTAAAACACAAACACAAGAGCTTATATACAGTTTTATTACATTAACTCAAGATCAAAATTTTAATTACCTAATCTACAAAACACTAATTTTATTAATTTCTGTTTCGTAATTTATTTGTAAAAAACATAATAGCCTAATAATTTAAGCCTTAATCAAATAGGAGAATTTTTTTACTTCGGTGGAAAATAATTTTCAACTGATGATTTCAATTTCTTCATCGGATCAATTTCATTTTTACGAGCTACAGTTACGAGATCTGAAAATTTCTCATGTTGAATATTTACAAATGTATATCTCTGATTCATCTGCTGGATAGATGATACTGATTATATCACACTGATTTGTTAAATTCTGATCTTCCTCAAAGTTAACATTCATATCCCTGAAACACTAAATTGAAAAAGAATTAAGGTTTAACTCCTCAGTTTTATTAAGCTTAAAAATTTGTTTCTCTCCGTATATGTGTAATATTTTTAAAGAAAAAATAATTTATTATATTTCACTTAATATACTCATTAAATTGAAACATAATTGAGGAGTTCAAATAATTTTCATCAATGGGGTTAAGATGAATAGAAGTCCAGTCTTCAAAAAATTTATTTAACAAAAATCAGTCATCTGAAGATCAACTACCACTACATAAAATTATTAATCATATCATGCAAATAATACCCAAAAATCAGATATTTACCAAAATGATACATAACATTTTAATCTACAAAACTTTTCTGAAAAATCCTTGAAAAGTTCTCCGTATGTATAAAATCTAATTCTACATTTACTTCTAGTGGTCCAATTGAATTATTAGAGTCACTTTTTCTTAATTCCATTTTTAATTACTATAATTATATATGGATTGTATTAATTACCCCAGAAAATGAAACAATCAATAAATCAATCCCCACTTTTGCTCATTTTTTCGCCAACATTATTAGAATTCTAGGTTTTGTACTCAATAAATTAGGTCACCAGTATGTCATTCAAATTGTTAATTGAGGATATTTCCCCTGAAAAATTTTCAAAATTTAGTGGTTATGATTAATATATATTGAGTAGAAAAGTTCATAAATATGTATTTCACAGATCATGTATCATATTCAATTTCATTTGTCAAAAATATGAGTGATATTGTTGGATCAATAGAATTAGTTGGAGCAAAATTACCAAATACACCAACAGGATCAAACATTTTGAAAAGTCCACCACTTACAGATTCATTTTCATTATGTGATTCACCAGAATTTGTAACTCCAAAAGAAAATTTTGATGAATACTTTTCAAAATCATCACCAAATAAATTAAAAGATAGTTTCAGTTCACCAATATATTATGATTTTTTCACACCAAATGAAACAAATACTGTCTCGAATTTACAAAATCTTTTGGATCAAAGTATCGAAGCTAAAAATCCATCGTATGTTCCGATTCCAATAATTTATAATACTCAAGATGACTATTCAATTCCAAGAAGTTTTGAAGTATCAATTACTTCACAAAGTAAAATTATCAAAGATGTTTCAACTTCATTACCTAAGAAAGATAGTATTGACGAACTTAAAGAAATATTTGATAATGAATCATTTTCAACTCCATCTACTTCAATCTCAACAACTCCAAAACAATGTTTATCTCCTTTAAGAACCAAAGCCTCAGCACTTAATTCATATAAAGGTAGTTTAGTATCCCATGAATATACTTATTCAAAGCCACCAACAAATAGTCAATTAAGATCACCAATTAAAATTTCAAGCTCAACTCAACAATCACCAACAAATGAAAATAAAACTGAAACACCAACAAAAATCACTAGAGTAGAATTACCATCATCAGTAGGATCATCAATTAAATTACAATCACCAGTTCAAAATCCTCAAAGAACTATTTCAATTGATAGAACTTTATTCAATAATTTTAAAATCGAATTATTTTTAAAATTTTCAGAATCAATTCTCAAGGATACAAAAGTAGTTGAATCAGATTTAAATGGAACATTATATTCTCAAAATGCAGGAAATTATTATGATTTAATTTCAAGTTTCAATTTTGCTCAAGGTTCTAAATTTTTAAAAAAACGTGAACATAGATGTCCAGTTATTGAATGTCCAATCAATCTTATTGGTGTTAAGAAGAGAACTGATTTAAGACACCATATTCATCATGAACATCTTGATCATAATAGGGTTTGTCAAGATTTAGAATCTCAATATGGTAATGAACTTAGAAATGAATTATTTGTTTGTGAAAAACCTAATTGTGGTAAAGCATTTTATAGATCTGATTCATTAACAAGACATAGTAAATTAATTCATCGTCCACCACAATTAGTTCGTGCTACTAAAAGAAGTTCAAATGTTGATAATGATCCCGATTATGTTGATGGAGGTAGTGGTGACAAAAAAGCTGCCAAAAGAAGAAAAATTTGAGTTTTGGGGCGTTTTTTTATTTCATTATTATCAGTCTCTTATGAGAATGGTTTTTGCTTGATTTTCAATTCTAAGGTTGAGTGTTTTTAAATTGGTTGTAAAAAGTTTGGGTTATAAATTAAAAGTTAGAATTAGAGTAAATAGAAAATAGAAAATATAAAATATAAAAGTTCATTAACAACCCTTCAAAATCGGATTATCAAGATTAATTTTGCGATTTATCTAAACCATTGTGCTTTTTACAAGTCTTATCTAAATTTGTATGATTGAAAATAATGAGTACAAACTGTAGTCTTTCCTAGTTGACTCGACTAAAGCCAAACGTTATACCAATGATAAATATCTTAATCATATTGAATATTCTATTGATTGAATCAATTGCTTTATCAAGTTCGTCACACTTTCAGAAACCAGGTTTGATTTGAATTTAACCAAAAAATAGATAATGAAAATTAGATATAAAACCATTTATCATTCACAAGGATAGTAAATATGAAGTAGATCCATTTATTTCTAGTTTGGAAAAATTTACAATTGAAGGTGATACAATGTTTCATAATACTTTTGATTTTCGTAAAGATTTTATTTATACTATGATATGGATTTGAAAGGTGCAAGTACTAAACAACCATCAAGAAAGTGTACTTGCATCACAAATTTTTCAACCTGAAGGTAATATTCGAGAGCCGTTGTATCAGAAGTAGACCTCTCCTTGAAAAGATTGGGAACAAGGTCATTTTGTACCAGGTTATGGGGTACAATTGTTGGACTTGTCTAAGTTTCACTACAATATTCCTTATGATGGTTTATCATTTTGTTGTGTTATTGATGTTTAATTTTTATGTACTTACTTTTGTCCTAACTAAAACGATTCTGGTCTCTCGTCTTCACCCAATTATCGAAATATATACTTTTTCTGGTTTAAGAGACTTAACTTACCACTTAGGACTGTTCAAAATAACTTCCTATCAGTGAAAGTTTGACAACCAAACCAATTTTCAAACAAATCATAGATTCCTTTTTAAGCTAAGTGTGCGGCTCTTCAATATATGCTTTAACAGTGTGAAACTAAACACTCAAAGCATATATTTGGAGGCATACTCAAAGAGGTACGCTAACTGAATAAAGTACGCGTAGTTGATTCTTGTTGAAACAATTCTTGAAATATTTTATGTGTTGCAATTCATTGTTTCATTATTGTTTCAACACGTCTAAACATCAACATATAAATTTATTTTTCATACAAAAAAACAAACTTTACACAAATAATTTAGTTACTAATATCAACCACCACTATCAAATGACTTCTAAAGAGGAGGTATGTACTATCGAAACCATCGAATTATAACTGCAACTACTAACTTTGTTTAGACTCCTACTATTGATATTGAAGAAATTTTAAAAGATAGAGATCAAATCAAGTTTACCAATAATCCAGATAAATATTTCACTAAATCAGAAAAGCAACAAGTTGATATAGAAAAAACATCCAACAGATTCAGCTATCTTTTAGGATTAACTAGTTTATTCAGTCATTTTATAGAAGCAAAAGCAAGTAAAGATCCCTTATTCAGAAGAATTGTTGATGATATAAATTCCAAATCCTCAAAATCCAAATCTCAAACAAATGAATCAATAAGAAGAAGAAAAACAGAAAAAGAAGAAGATGCCGAATTGTTAAATGAACAAGAAATAGCAAAACAACCATTTGAATTTTTTGAAAGTCCTGGTTATGTAAATGGTACTTTAAGACCATATCAAATTCAAGGATTAAATTGGTTAGTATCATTATATGAAAATAATTTGTCTGGAATTTTGGCAGATGAAATGGGTTTGGGTAAAACCCTTCAAACAATTGCATTTTTGGGTTATTTAAGATTCATACATAAAATTAATGGACCTCATTTAGTTGTTGCACCAAAATCTACATTGGATAATTGGCAAAGGGAATTTAATAGATGGATCCCAGATATCAACGTTTTGGTATTACAAGGTGATAAAGAAGAAAGAGCAAATTTAATTAAAAATAGAATATTAACTTGTAACTTTGATGTTGTTATTGCTTCATATGAAATTGTTATAAGAGAAAAAGCAACTTTTAAAAAATTTGATTGGGAATATATTGTTATAGATGAAGCTCATAGAATTAAAAATGAAGAAAGTTTACTTTCACAAATAATACGTATGTTTCATTCCAAAAATAGATTATTAATTACTGGTACTCCATTACAAAATAATTTAAGAGAATTATGGGCTTTACTTAATTTTATTTTACCTGATGTTTTTGCAGATAATGAATCATTTGATGAATGGTTTTCACAAAGTGAATCTACTGATGAAGAAGATAAAGTTATATCACAATTGCATAAAGTTTTAAAACCTTTCTTGTTAAGAAGAATTAAAGCAGATGTTGAAAAATCATTATTACCAAAAAAAGAATTAAATATATACACCAAAATGAGTCCAATGCAAAAAAATTTATATCAAAAAATCTTGGAAAAGGATATTGATGCAGTTAATGGAGCAAACAAGAAAGAATCAAAAACAAGATTATTAAATATAGTTATGCAATTGAGAAAATGTTGTAATCATCCTTATTTATTTGACGGTGTTGAACCTGGCCCTCCATATACAACTGATGAACATTTAGTTTTCAATGCTCAAAAAATGATTATATTGGATCAATTATTAAAAAAATTTAGATCTGAAGGTTCAAGAGTATTAATCTTTTCACAAATGAGTAGAATGTTGGATATACTAGAAGATTATTGTTATTTCAGGGAATATCCTTACTGTAGAATAGACGGTCAAACTGAACATAGTGATAGAATCAATGCCATTGATGAATATAATGCTCCAGGAAGTGAAAAATTTGTATTTTTATTAACTACAAGAGCTGGAGGATTGGGTATAAATTTGACTTCTGCGGATGTTGTTATTTTATTTGATTCAGATTGGAATCCACAAGCTGATTTACAAGCAATGGATAGAGCTCATAGAATTGGTCAAACAAAACAAGTTAAAGTATTTAGATTTATAACTGAAAATGCAATTGAAGAAAAAGTTCTTGAAAGAGCAGCACAAAAATTAAGATTAGATCAATTAGTTATACAACAAGGACGTAACTCGAATGGATTAGATGGTCAACAAAGTGGTAAAGCAGCAAATAAAAATGAATTATTAGATATGATTCAACATGGAGCTGTTGATATTTTTAAAAACGAAGGTGGAGAATCAGATGAATCAAATGATATTGATATTGAAGATATACTTAAAAGATCAGAAGAAAAAACTCAAGAATTAAATGATAAATACTCAAAATTAAATCTTAATGCATTACAAAATTTCAGTAATGATGAAAGTGTTTATGATTGGAATGGTGAAAATTTCAAAAGAAAAGAACCAACAGCTATAACTAATATTGGTCATGCATGGATTAACCCTGGTAAAAGAGAACGTAAAGAAAATTATTCAATTGATACATATTATAGAGATGTTTTAAATACTGGTAATAGAGCTCAACCAACAATTAACAAATCAGGTCCAAAACCTCCAAAACAATTAAATTTATATGATCATCAATTTTATCCAGCAAAAGTTTTGGAATTATATGAATTAGAAAAAAATTATTACAAGAAACAAATAAATTATCAAGTCCCATTAAAATCTGGTGATTCATCAACTGAAAAAGAAAGAGAATTAGAACAAAAATTAGAACAAGAAGAAATTAACAATTCAAGACCATTAACTGAAGAAGAAAAAATTTTAAAAACAGAATTAATGAAACAAGGTTATGGTAATTGGAATAGAAAAGATTTTTATAATTTTATAGCAGAATGTGTTAAATATGGTAGAAATTCAATACCATTAATTAAATTAAAATTTCCAGAAAAGACAGAAGATGAAGTAAGAGAATATGCTAAAGCATTTTGGTTAAATTATGAAGAAATTGAAGGATTTGAAAAATATATTGCTCAAATTGAACAAGGTGAAGATAAAATTATAAAATTAAAATTACAAAAAGAAGCTTTAAGAAGAAAAATTTCTCAATATAAATATCCTTTATTAGAATTAAAATTAAAATATCCTCCATCATCAAATAGTAAAAAAGTTTATTCAGAAGAAGAAGATAGATTTTTATTGGTTCAATTATATAGATTTGGAATTGATTCACCAGGAATTTATGAAAGTATAAAAGATGCTATAAGAGATTCACCATTATTTCAATTTGATTTTTTTTTACAAAGTAGAAATTTAATTGAATTATCAAGAAGATGTCAAACTTTATTGTTAAGTGTTACAAAAGAAATAAATCCTGAACAACAAGCTAAATTAAATGGTTCAAGTAATGGAAATAATAAAAGATCATTAAAAGATACAACTCCTACAACAACTTTTAAAAAAGCAAAAAAATAAATAGCACCATAAAGTTAAATTATCTATATACAAGTTCAACATTAATCTAATCATAAAATATTTAAAAAGGATCATTGTTATTCTTTTTCCGTACTCGTTACTTCTACTTTGTTCTTTACTTCGTCTTCCTTTTCTATTAATTTTTCTTTTTCTTTTATTTCTTCCTCTAATAATCGTTTAATATAACTTTCAAATTGTAAAGGAACAATCCAAGAATCAAATCTTTCAACAACTTCACCATTTTTATTAATTATAAATTTTTCAAAATTCCATCTAATTCCCCTAAATCCAAACATCCCTGGTTTTTGAAATTTTAAAAAATTAAATAATTCATGTTCATCTTCTCCATTAACTTTTATTTTTTTCATAATATGAAAAGTTACACCAAATTGTTTTTGACATTGTAATGCAATAATTTTAGAATGTTCAATTGGTTCTTGATTTCCAAATTGATTACATGGAAATGCAAAAATTTCTAAACCCTTGGGGTGATATTTTGAATATAATGCTTGTAATTGTAAAAATTGTGGTGTAAATGAACATAATAATGCGGTATTACATATTATTATGACTTTGTTTTTATAATTTGCAAAATCAATTATTTGATTGTTCGAATCTTGTAATTTGGAATCATAAATTGAATTGATTTGAGGTAGATTCGGAGTTTTATTTATTGATGTAGTAGTTGACATGTGACCTTTTCACGCGTTTTTTTAACGTTTCGCAATAGCTTTATACTTTAATTAATAAAATGTAGTTTAATATAGACGTGTTTTGTAGTTGTGGTGTAACACTATAATACTTGCGGTTAAACCTATTTCGTTTGTAGAATATATTATAATATACAGTATTAATATGTATAATTATAAAACATGTTAAATATTGAAAATCATTTTTTTTCTCTCTCTCTCTCATAATTATAAAAAATTAGCCGTTCTATGTCTCGTATAATGTTTACTATTTTTTTGCTTAGATTGTACCACTACGATTCAAATATGATTTTGTGAATCTCTCTGACTAAAAGAGACGATTTGATTTGTACAAACAGTTAAAAGCGTTGTAAAGTACTTCATAAACCCAATTCTAACAAAAAGTTGTACCTTCGTCTCTTCAAGCTGCTAATTAATTGATCATTCATCACTTTTAGTTGAACTTTTATTAATGAAGCTAAAAATTAACTCTTACACCTCATTCAAAGTCATTTATTCCAATAATTCAATTAACTTTTACATTTTTACTAATTATATTTTACTATTACGAGTTGATTTGAGGAATACAGTAACTTAACGAACCCTGACATAAGATTGTTATTTGAAATTTTCAATTGAGTGAATAATATGGTAGCAACAATTATAGATTATAGATGGCGCAACGGTTAAATACGGAGTTTAAAATTTATAGTTTAGTATGTTAAATGACGAAATATAAACAAAAAGAATTAGTATATAATATCGATTTAAAAACTTACTAAATACATAAATAAATATATTGACGATACAATTTAAGTTGAGACATATTTAATTCAAATATAAGTTATTCAATCTCCAAGAAAACTCTTTGTAGTCAATTAAGATGTCAAGTTTATCTTGATAGATAATAATTATTTAGTTTTGTAATCTCAAAACTTCCCCGGTATTTTACTTCTAAATCTTATTACGCAAAAAATCTCTGATTAAGCAAATTTAAAAAATCATAAAGAAAAAAAAGAAAAAAAAAAAATTTTTTACTTACAAAAAAAATTCTATTTTCTATCATACGATATTAAAGACTTTTTATATATTTTTAATATATATATCATTTATTTCACTATTCTTGATCATAATAATATTATCATTCAATCATCATCATCATCACCAATTTATAATTAAGAAGATCACTTAACTTTACAATCACACACATATATAATCTATTCAATACTATCTTATTATCTATACTACAATATTACGCACCCCTTTTATTTTTATACAATTTTTCTTTTGTTTATCATTTCAACTTTTTTATAACAACCCTTTTTTCATTTTAATTAAATAGAATAACCAGAACATTTCAACAATGTCTTTTAAAGTTAATTGGAATTCTTTAGAAACTGATTCATTATCAATATGGACTAAAGAAATATTAACAAGTGCTTTAAATTCAGGTAAAACTCCAAATATTTTAGCATCAAATATAACAATAAAAGATTTAAATTTTGGTAAAACTGCACCAGATTTTGAAATTTTAGAAATTGGTGAATTAGATAAAGATAGGTTTAGAGGTATATTTAAAATAAATTATAATGGAGATTTTCATTTAACTTTACATACAAAAGTTCAAGCAAATCCTTTAAATATTTATTATTCAAATTCAATGGAACAAGAAATTAATCAAGATTATGAATTTATAACTCCTCAATTTGTTTTATCAAATGAACAATTTGCTATACCATTAGATTTAAAATTATCTGATATTAAAATTAGTGGTATTGGTACAATTGTATTTTCAAAATCAAAAGGTTTAACTTTAGTATTTAAAAATGATCCATTAGATAGTATAAAAGTAAGTTCTACTTTTGATACAGTTCAAGTATTGGCAAATTTTTTACAAAAACAAATTGAATCACAAATAAGAGATTTATTTAGAGAAACTTTACCTACTTTAATTCATCAATTATCTCTAAAATATTTAAGTCTTGATAATAATGTTAATGAATTAAAAAATAAATTTGCTGCCAATGTTTCAGTAGATTCAACTAACAATAACAATTCAAGTACTTCCACATTGAAATTATTAGAAGATGAAGAAGATTTATCATTAATTTATTCTTCTAAAAATTTACAAAAAAATTTAAGATATTATAAATCAAGAGAAACTATGAGTTTAAATATTTTAAAATTTAAAAATATTATACAAAGAACTCATATGGATAAATTCAATAAAAATTATCCAAATTTATTAAATTCTTTATCAATTAATAATATTGAATTACAAAAATACGTTGCTCAATCAAACTCATTAAACAATAATGGAATTCCAATTGATGTATTGACTGATGAACCATATAATAAAACAGATGGTTTATTAAAAGATATTTCATCAATTCAAGCAAATAATTATTATAAATTTACAAAAGATGCTCCAATTAAACCAAAAAGAAGAGTCATTAAATTTAATAAGAAGAAATCTACACCATCAACTTCATCTTCATCATCATCATCTTCTTCATCATCATCATCAACATATAATAATAGTACCATGAGCGAATCAATCGGTGCACCATTAACTCCAACAACTACAATAAGCTCCAATTCAACATTATTAGATAACACAGTAAACAATTCCACAATTCATGAGTATAGTCAAATAAAAACACCGATCAAATCAAAAACCCCAACATCATTACAACATCCAACTCCAAGAAAAGCAGAACAAACTAAAGAATATGATATACAACCATCACAACAACAAGAACATAATCATAATGCTCAAGCATCACGTATATATCAAGAATTTATGAAAGCTACACAATCTCCAACACCTTCTACAATTTATGATAAAGTAATTACAAATGGTGGAGGTTTAGGATTAGGAAATACTGGTTATTTCAATTTCGTACCTCAAAGAACTTTAAGTACTTCACCAATAAGAACAAACAGTGCTTTATTAATAAATAACAATGAAAAAGATTCCAATCTTGATGATATAAAGGAAGATAAATTAGATAATAAGAAATCAATTAATCATATTGATATAAACAAGATTAATAATAAATTACAAGAACAATTGAATATAAATAATACTGATAATAAGAAATTAAATAAAATTGGTAGTATTGGTCAACAACCAAATTTAATTCATAATGATTCATTTAATTATTCAGGGTTATTTACTGCTCCACCACCACCTTATTATCATTAAATAAACTTAATACTTTTCACTTTATATGTGTTAAACCGGATTTTTCAATAATATAATTTCAATTCTTGATGTATACTTTGTTTTTTATTTTCAAATTTATTATTTTAGTATTTGTATATAGTTTTAATAATGAAATTTGTTTTAAGTTACAATTGATTAATAATATTGATCTCTTTTAATTACCTTTAATTCTTCAATATTTAATTCACCAGATCAAAAAAATTCTAAAAATATATTCATTTGATTTTGTGTTTTATTAAAAATATTGAACTAAAAAAAAGAAACAAAATTAGAATTTTTGTTTTTTAATTACGAAATCAAAAAAATTGATCTAATAATATAACAATATATATTTAAAAGTAATAACGAGTTTATATTTCTATCAAACTTACTAAAACCATTTAAGGATATCGACACTCGCTTAATTTATACATATATACCTTACCAACCACTAATCATTTGGCTAGATTATCTAGAATAATATAACTTTACACAGCCATTACAATACAACATATAAGAAAAAAAAAATTTTATATATCGTGTTTTCATAAATCAAACAGCATTTAAAACCAACTTAACCTTAACTATTTAAATTAATTTGATCTCAAAAACATAATTACAATGGCATTTGGATCCTTTGATACTATATGTAATAAAACATCACTACCTTTATGTTCAGTAATTGGGGCAATAAATCAATCAGCATCATTTCAAAGAGGTATAGTACCACAATGTTATGCTAGAAGTGTTGAATTAGCAAATACAATGATTTTTCAAATTGGTAATGCATTTGTACATTTTGGTGGATTAATTATATTTTTAATTATTATATTTAATATGAGAGCAAAATATACAGCTATTGGTAGAATTGAAATGTTAAATTTTATGTATTTAATGATTGGATTAATTGTTTCTAGTTTAATTGTTGATTGTGGAGTTGCACCACCAAGTAGTTCTACTTATGCTTATTTTGTTTCATTACAAATAGGTTTAGCTAGTAGTTGTTGTATTGTTTTATTATTTAATGGATTATTATGTTTTCAATTTTGGGAAGATGGTACAAGAAAATCTATTTGGAGTTTAAGAATTATAACTTTTATTTGGTTTGCTGTTAATTTTATTATAAGTTTAATTACTTTTAAACATTGGAATACTGCTTTAGATTTTAGAAAAACTACTACATTATTTATTTTTACTTATGTTATTAATGCTATTATATTAGCTACTTATATTGTATCACAAATTATATTAGTTGTATTTGCATTAGATTCATGGTGGCCATTAGGTGCTATATTATTAGGTATATTTTTCTTTGTTGCTGGTCAAATATTAACTTATGTATTTAGTATGCAAATATGTTCAGGTGCTTCTCATTATGTTGATGGATTATTTTTTGGTAGTGTTTGTAATGTTTTCACAGTAATGATGATTTATAAATATTGGGATATGATTACAACTGATGATTTAGAATTTAGTGTTGCTAATGTTGAACAAGTTGTTAATGAATTTGGTTCCAATAATAATGGAGGTGTAGGAGTTTTAAATTATGATGATGAAAAAAGATCAAGTAATATGTATTTTTGAAATAAAAACAATATTAGTAGGAATTTATGTACATTAGATTTTGATTAAGAAATATTTATTTAGGAATAAAAGGGAAAATTTTCAATAAGAATTATACGTAGATTAGTGGATTGTTCACCACAAGCAAGTAATATAAAACGCTATGACTTTTGAGCGAACTTTTATACTAAATAAATTAACTTGTAAACTAATAAAAACAATCTAAATAAATTAACTTTTAACCATAAAAAACAAACAAACACCATTATTCGTAAAACTATTAATCACAATAAATTAGATGTTTCAACTTTTTTTTATTCTAATTTTTGTCTTTTAGTTTCTGATTCAACTTCAATAACTTCTTCATTATTACCTTTATATACAGGTTTTAAAGCAGGAGTAGTTTGTTCAGCATGAAAATCTTTAATAATTGAATCAACATCATCAATATTTAATTGTCTTACATCACCTAATAATTTAATTTTCGCAGTAACTTCTTTAACTTGATCATCAGTTAAATTTAAATTTAATTGATCAACTCTTGATTTAATAGCATTCCATCCTGTTAATCTATTAGCAAAATGTATATATCTTGTTAAACCAAAATCTCCTGGTTTTAAAATTTCATAAGTTGATGGATTTGCTAATATAGCTTTTGCATGAATACCTGCTTTATGAGTAAAAGCACAAAATCCTGTAATTGGATTATTAAAAGGTATATTAACTTGTACAGCATCAGCAACTAAATTCTCCAAATCTCTTAATTTATGCAATTTATATTTTGATAATACATAATCTCTATCAGCAGTAATCATTCTTGCCATTAATGCTCCCAATGGAGTAATACCATTTCTTTCACCAATTCCCAATACACTAACATCAATAAATTTTGCACCAGCTTCTAAAGCAGTATAAGCATTTGCAACTGCACAACCAGTATCATCATGGAAATGACATTCAATATCACAACTAACAACTGATTTTAAAGTTTTAACTAATTCATAAACTTGTCTTGGATTTGCACAACCAACAGTATCAGCAATACCAACTCTATTTACACCAATTTTATCAACTGTTCTATAAATATTTAATAAATCAACTATATCACTTCTAAAACTATCTTCACTTGAAAATCTAATTTCAATACCTTTTGATTTAACAAATTCAATAACTTCTATAGCACTTTGAGCAATATAATTCATATCTTTACCATGAGAATATTTTCTTAAAAATTGTGAAGTACCAATAACAACATCAACTCCATCAACTCCAGTTTCAACTGCAACTCTTGCATCATCCATATGACATCTTATATGAGTTAATATTTTAGCTTTTAATCCTAATTTACATATAGCTTCACAATCTCTTCTACTTTGTTCACTAGCAACTGGGGAAGTTAATTCTATATAATCAACTCCAAAATCATCTAAAGCTTTTGCAATTTCAATTTTTTTTTCAGTTGTGAAAAATGCATTTGCAAATTGTTCACCTTCTCTTAATGTACTTTCTATTAATTCAAATTTATTTACATTTGATAAAAAATCAGAAGGGTTTGGTCCATATGGATTTGATTGTACTGACATTTTTTAAAAATTATTTGTTATTTTGAATTTATTTATTTATTTATTTATTTAATCTAGTGATATTTATGATATTGTATGGGGTAATTGTTGCAAAAAATTAATATTTGATTATTTGGACAATTGAAAATTTGATTAATAATTCTGTAGATTTTTGATTATTTAGTTTGATTATTTTCAAATATATATAAACGATACAAATGTAATTGATGATGTTTTTTAAAAAAGAAGTGAAAATTAAAAAAAATAGCTATGGAAAAAAGTGAAAAATTTATATTTCCTATGATTCTTTTTTTTATTATGTAATAAAATTTAAATTATATTAAGTCATACTAATTATGTAATATTTTACAACTAAATTATATAATAGCTAGTATTAATATTACATAATTTATTATAAATATCTTTACACCTTGATTTCTTATCGCGGCTCACAAAAAAATTTTTTTTTTTTCACTAAGAAAAAAATGTGTCATAATAAAATTTTTTAATCTCAATTGGTAGTGACTGGTAATTTGCCTTAAAATGAATTAAAAAAATAATTTATGAGTCATAAATTATTAGTTACCTTTCTGATATATATGATTTGAAATAGTTCTCGTTTTTGTTTGTTAAGAATTTATGGTTGCAAAATTTTTAAATCAAGTTAAAAGTATAATGTTTCAAATGACATTAAATAAAAAAAGTCTTGAGTCATTAATACTTTTAGTCAGTTTAGAATTGTACAACTAATTCCATTTCTGTAAATTGCATTTAGTCTTTGATCTCTTATGCTCTCTTTGATTCTTTTGTTGAATTAAATTTGAAACACAACGGAAAGAAGTCTTGAATTATTAAACTTATCAGTCCATTAAAGCGAAAGCATTTCTGAAAATTGAATTTGGTTGATCACTTATGTTCTCTTCCATTTCTCTTTTGAACTGAAGTACTTGAAACACAGCTCAAAAATCCAGTTCAAACAAATTAATTGTTTTAGCAGAATTTCAATGACCTTAAGTTTCAGCTTCAATTCCTGAAGTTAATAAAGTCTTTTGAATTTGAAAGACTCAATTTTTACTAATTTTTCTAATATCAAATAATCTTAAAAAAAACCTATACACTTTAAAAACATATTAATAAAATATAAAAAAGATATAAAAACAAAAAATTACGGGGATTTCACAATTCAGTGGAAAAAAATTTCTACCTCCAAATTATTCAAATCCATCATTTACCATTCTCGTAAAATAAAAATAAAAAGTCATTTCACAGCTAAACCAAACCAAACAATATAACACCACGCATAAATTGTAAATGGAACAATGAATAATTATAACTAAGCCCTAGTGCTCAATCTTATATTCTCATTTATTCAAAATTTCTTCTAAGCTTCAGTTGAAACCATTTTAACAAATCTAAACATTTCATTCTTCATTCTAACAACTTCAATATCTTTAATATTTAATTTACCATTCATTCTATTAACTAATTGATTAACAATTTTATTAATTTCTTGATTTTTTAAACCAGTGATCCTTTCCCAATTTAAATTATTTATTGAACCAAATTTATTATTATTAATTAAATTATTATTATTAAATTTTTGTTGTTTTTGTTTAATTATTTTATTTTCTTTTAAAATAGTTAATTTAAAACATCCAATTATTAATTTCTTTAATTCAAATCCCATATCATTATAATTAACAAAATTATTTGTTTGATTTAAATATCTTAATAAATATATAATATCCATATATCTAAATAAATAAATTATTGATTTTAAAAATACATCTAATGAAATTTTTAATCTACTTGTTAATAATAAAAGAAATTTATCTAATGGTAAATCATTTTTTTTAAATGTTGGATTTGGTGGGAAAGTATTATAAATTTTGGTGGCAACATATTTAACAATTATTGTCATTAATTGAGTACGTTGATATTTAAATTGTTGTGGAGTTATTTGATTTTGAAAGTTACTTCTTAAATTACTTAAGCTTTCAATGATCTCTTTTTTGATTTGTATTTCATTAGCTGTTGGTACACTTCTTGGAATCTGTTGTTGTTGTTGTTGCTGTTGCTGTTGCTGTTGTTGTTGTTGTTGTTGTTGTTGTTGTTGTGGTGATGGTGGTTGAGAAGGTGATGGGGAGGGGGAAGCAATTGATGTTTGAATTGTTGCTGGGGTTGGTTGCAAAGATCTTTGTTGATTCCAATATGAAATATCATAATTAGTAGAAACTGTTCTTGTTTCATCTGATTCATTATCAGATACTAAATTCGGAATATCAATAAATTCATTAAAATCATCATTTGAATCTTCATTATTTTGAGTTGACATAATATCTAATGATGAAGATGATGATTCTTTTTCTATTTGTTCTTCTTTAATTGAACTAATTTGAAATTTATTATTCTCTTCAACTTCTTTATCTTCATGTCTTCCTGATCCTTCTGCTGCTGCTTCTAAATAAACAAATTGTGATATATTTTTGAATTGTTCATCTAAATTAGAATCAACAGCATTTGCTTCATATTTGACATTAATGTTGTTCTTGATGGCAGTTGTAGATTCCCCTTCTACAACGCCTGAAGCAGCAGAAGGAGTAAATTGAATATTATTATTAATATTATCATTAATCATTTTGAAATTTGAAAACAAAATCTAAATAAAAATAAAAATTGAAAAACAATTATAATTCAGGAAGACTTCAACCAATTATACTCTTAAAATTCTTTAAATTGAAATCAACTTGAAATTTTGAATCTTGTAGTTTTTAAAAAATATTAAAATGATGTCCTAATCTTGAATGAACCTCTTAATTAATTATACAAATTGTTGGAAATAAAATAAACCTTAACCAAATATCACTATTATAATATAAAAATATTACGCCTTTCTTTTTACACTAGAAATTCGTAACTGATAATAAAAAAAAATTAAACACTAATCGACCTTCTCTTAACTTTATTTATAAGGAAAAATAAATGATTTGATACATTATACGTTATTGATTATATTGATGAAATGGTTGTTATATAAAAATTGAAAACAGTTTGAAAATTTGTAGCTAATGAGCTAGTTTATAGTAAATTTTATTTGGTAGTTAAAGTTTAAGTATCTTTTGTTGAAAAATTTTGTATAATCAAGGTCTAAAATATTTATATATATAAAAAGAACTTGAGTTGAGTAATTTGTTTGTTTGTTTTGTTTGTAATCTGAATGATGGTGATGATGATAAGATTATAATCTCCGTATTTAAATATTTATATTAATTTAATTTTTGTTGATTGACTCATTATAAAATTGAGAAAATTATAGTGCATCATATGGTAGCCAAAAGAAAGCCTCATATTACTATTTTTGTCGTTTAATGAATTTCTTTTTTTTTCTTTTTTTGCAGCTAAATTTGATTTAGCAAATACCAAGAAGAAAAAATAGTGAAACAACAACAAACAGAAGTATTTGTACTGAATGACTCAATTATCTCAGTTGTATTATGGTTTGAAATAAACGCATCTAATTTTGGTACAAACTGAAACTTCCCATCTTGATTCATTTGATCTACTACCCAGGGAAATTTGAAAATTGTATATTGAAATCCTCAACTTTAGACTCCAAGTTTAGTTCTTCTTTCATAAAAAACAGGAATCAATGTGTGAACTTCCTTTCATAACTTTTTCCCTGTTAATCTTCGAATTTTTTTTAAATAATTTGAGACAATTTGCAGTCGCAATTTTCCAAGTACTAGTCCATTAATAAATGACCCATTAATATCGAAGAGCCATTGCTGAATCTATCTACTAACTTCCATTAATTAGCTTTTTATCTCAAAAGTCAGAATTTAACGCGATAACACGTAGTTACTTTCCTCATGTACTGAAACACCTAAAAACTCTACAATTGCTCCTTATTTGTCTCTTAAACAAACCTTTATAGTCCAATTGAACCAATTCAATTGTAGAATCAACAAATTGAAACTGAGACACAATATTTATATTGAATTACACGTCATGGAAGGCAATACTCTAGCGCGTTGCATAATTAACATTCTGTTAAGACATAACTGAAAATTCTTCGAACTGCAATTGAATTTACTTTGTGAATCAAATCTACCAAGCCAATTGACCTCAGGAATGCAATTTAATGGCTTCTCAATGAACTAAATTCGAATTGTGAATGAAATGATATTTTGGTTGCAAAGAAAATAAGTTAAAAAATATATTTTCAATTTTTTTTTTGTAACTCTGTTAGTTAATTAAATGTTAAGGAGTAATTTTTTTTGCCACTTTTATAGTAAGGATTTACTATAATTGAAAATATTAGTATAGAAGTGAATTAACAAGATGTTTGATATGAACTGGGTATTATATTTTGAGAATAGAAAACACCTCAATTTAACTTGAAAATAGTACTAGATTCAATTAAATCTTTACTAATAGATCAAGTCCAATTTCATTATCAGATTCAGATATCGGTCGTTTGGGCCATTTTTTAAAAAGTGTCCAAACCCTTATATCAAGTGTTCATACAGAGTTTTGGTTTAACAACGCTTATACTCTCAAATCCTACCAATCTTGATTCATCTCTGATACTTTGTAATTGCACTTAATGTTTTCTTATCGTTTGTACTGTATATAATCATATGCATGTTATATTGATTCACATAAAATTATTTTTCAATTAATTGCAACATCCGAATCAATTAATCTATACCTAGTCCACAAATATCAAATGTTATGAATATTGCAAGAATGACTACAAGAACATATAAAGATGCAATTAATGCTTTAAACTCGTTACAATCAAACTTTGCATCAATTGAAGCGATGAAAAAATTAGGTCCCAATGTAAATAGAAATGAATTATCAATAAATGAAGTTAGAGAATTTACAAAAAGGTTAGGCTACAACCCAAAAGATTTCAATAAATTGAATATTATACACGTTACTGGTACTAAGGGAAAAGGATCAACATGTGCATTTACTGAAAGTATATTAAAACAATATCAACCTCATGATATAAATAAAATTGGACTATATACATCACCACATTTAAAATCAGTACGTGAAAGAATTAGAATAAATGGAGAACCAATTAATAAAGATCTTTTTACAAAATATTTTTTTGAAGTTTGGGATAAATTGTCATCAACAAAATCTGACCCCATAGAATGGCCAACTTTACAACCAAGTGATCAAATTAAACCAATGTATTTTAAATATTTGACTGTTTTATCATTTCATGTGTTTTTACAAGAAGGTATTGATACTGCAATTTACGAAGTTGGAGTTGGTGGAACTTTTGATTCAACTAATATCATAGAAAAACCTACAGTAACTGGTATAAGTGCTCTAGGTATTGATCATACATTCATGTTGGGTAATACAATTGATAGTATTACTGATAATAAAACCGGTATTTTCAAAAAGGGAAGTCCTGTTTTTGTAAGTGAACAACAAGAATATCCTAAAACTCATAAACAAATCGAGAAAAGAGCTAAGGAGCTTGGTGCATCTTCATTGGAATTTGTGAAAGCTGATCAATTGCCAGATGTTCAATTGGGATTATCAGGAGAATTTCAAAAAGAAAATGCAGCATTGGCTGTTAGATTAGCAGATACGCATTTGAAAGCTCTAGGTGTAGACAGTGGATTGAAAATTGGAAAAGATGATAAAATTACTAGTCTACCAGAGAAGTTTGTGGTTGGATTAAAAAACGTGGATTGGCCAGGAAGATGTCAAATAATAGAAAACAAACCAGAGGGTATAACGTGGTATATAGATGGAGCTCATACAATAGAATCAATAAATGCTTCTTCAACTTGGTTTAAACAAGAACAATTACATTCATCATTACAAAAAAAAAGAGTACTTTTGTTTAATCAACAAGGTAGAGATAATTATGAGGAACTATTAACTAAGTTACATCAAGTTATTTGTATTGATGACCCACAAATAAAATTTGATGAAGTTATATTCACACCAAATATTACTTGGTCATCAGGTCAATATAATTCAGAACTAATAGCGAAAAACACATCTGAAGATTCAGTTAAAAAATTAGAAATTCAAAATAAGTTTAGTGAGTTATGGGAAAAATTAGATGGAAACCAATCAAAAAGACTTATATTCCCAGATATTGAAACTGCTGTTGAATATATTAAGAAGCAAGATCAAGTGAATGTATTTGTATGTGGATCATTACATTTAGTTGGAGGATTTTTAGTTGTGTTAGATAATGAAAGAGATTAATCGGATGGATTTTCTATCATTAATAAAATGTATATTATTGTTACACCAAATTTATAATATTGTTTTAAATTATTTAATTTGATGCATTATTAACAAGATTTTCTCTAGTAGATTGAACAATTTCATCAATATTTGAGATAGAATTGGACCATTGTTGTAATACATTTTTAATTAATTCCCAATTTTCTTCATTTGCTTCATCATCACCAGCAATAATAAATCTGTTAACTCTACTTAAATTAAAAGTTTCATCAATTTGATTGATTTTACCTTCAACTACTCCAGCTTTTATTGATTCAACTAATAATTCTTCTAATTCTGATGCATTTACGTTTGAAATTTCATTATATTTGAAAACAATATCGTCATGTTCTGGTGATAAGGATTTTTCTGCAAAAAATTTAGCTAAATTTAATATTTTTGATTTTTGATGAATAAAATTTGAATCTAATGAAGACTCTGAAATTTCATTGGCTTGTATAATATCTCCTTTAACATATCTGTAGAAAATTTTAGATAATTCATTATTTGAATTTTTCAAAGCTGAAGCAACATTATTATTTACTAAAAATGAAACATCAACAACTTTTGAAGATAACGCAAATTTAATTAAATTGAACAATTCAATTTCTGATAATTTAAAATTGTTTGTGAAATTTTTGATTAATTCTAATGATTTTAAAGTATATCCAGAATCCAAAAGTATAAAATTCCAAAATGTTTCTTTAATTTCTTCTTCAGAAGCTCCACTTTCTTTCAACCAACTTACTAAATTTAAAGCAATATTATCTTCAATTGAATTAAAATTAATTTCTGAAGTTTTTAAAATATTTAAAATATTTTGAATTAAAAAAATTCTAGTTTTGGATGATTTGGGTATTAAATTGAAAATTGTACTTAATATGGATAATATAGATGATGACTTGATGGATTTTCTATCTCTTAAACTTAATGGTTGTTGTGGGTTTATTGATAAAATTAATTTATAAATTGATGATGATGTTGAATTTAATACTTGATCTATGCTTGATAATTGTGAAAGTATATGGATTAATAAATAGATAGTTGGTTCAAATTCTCTATCAGTGAGCTTTTTTAAAGTATCAACTGTTGAGTTTTCATTGATTTTATTATATAATTCTGATTTATTGGTGATTTCTTGATCTTCTTGTTTTGGTAATAATGATTCAATTTGTTGTGTGAATTCTGCGTTTCCGTTAACCCCATCAATAATTTGTGTATATTCCTTGATTGAGTCTTTCAAATCATTGTCAACAACTATTACAGAAGCCATAATCCCCACTTTTTTGACTATTGATTATTACAGTGTCTTTGACTTGACTGAATTTTTCACATCAAACTACAAAAAAAAATTTTTTAAAGTGAGATTTGTAACATACAGGTTTTACTTAGTCGTGTGAGAACATAAAACTTAAGAGGTAATTCAAGTTGTCTCAATATAAATTATTAATGCATTTTATTACAATTTATTACAAGTTACATCTAATTTCATGATTCATCACCTTCTTCTTCTTCATTAATTACTGATCCATACATGACTTTATTGTTATAGCCACTTACACCTCCATTAATTCTTTGTGAATTATTAATCCAATCATTGACTTGTTTTGTATCTTGATAACTTTTAGGTAGATTGTTATTACCACTAGTAAAAGATGGAGATATTAATTTTTTAGTCACTTTTTGATCTTTTGACGGTGGTTTGTTGTTGAATTTAAATGACACTGGAGGAGATGGTGAACGGTGGAATGGTAAATTCTCGTGGTCGTGGCCATTGCTTATGTTGTTTAACTTAAGGTTCGTTGCGTCAGAAGATAAGAGTTTCAACTTATTCTTCTCTCGATCAACACCAATAGGCATGTTCTCATCATTCTTCATATCATCTGGTCCATCTTCGGCAGAAGAATTACTATGCAACTTAGACATTGACAGTTTCTTTCTAATATTTGCAGGTATACCACTAGTAGATGCAGATTGTATAGATAAATCCGATGATAAAGTTCTTTTATAACTTGGTCTTTTCTTCATAGGTACCCTGTTAGATAAGCTTGGTCTATTTTCTGCTTGTGATATATTTAAACTTGATTCATATGCTTCATCTTCTTCGTAATCATCATCTAATGTATCTGTCTCGTCTAATATATCTAATTCTGACTCTGATAACATGGTTGACATTTGACTTAGTCTACTGAGTTGACTGAATTGTGAAATCATGGAAGATGGTCTGGTTCTTGCAAAACTTCTTCCTTCTGCAGATGGAGGTGTTCTTGGAGACTCTAAAGAATTTGATATTGCTACTGGGTTTCCTAAAAATATATTTTCTGGCTTTGGTTCCAAACTAGGTTCTTGAACTATAATTGAAGGGCCGTTGGTATCATTATTTGAATGATGAATTTGATTCTGAGCAATTTTTTCAGGACTTGGTTGAACATTAATTTCTAAACCTTCGTCTCTTGATTCTATCTCCATATCTGATTTTTCATTAGAATACAGTACAATATCATCATCTTTCTCAAACTCATCTTCGCACTTATTTTTTTTCCAAAATTGTAATTTATTAAAAAGTTTATTACTTTTATTTAACTTTTTTATGGAGTCTCTTTGAGACGAAACATTAGATAGTCTTCTCTCATCTGGTACAAATGAAACTGTGCGATGCAATGGAGTATCAATTTTGGTTGCAGTAGGAGAAACTGCCAGATCTCGTTGTAAGTCTGTAGTTGTATTCACGTTATTTGTTTGATCGGTATTAAACCCTTTAACTGATGGTGATTTGGGCAGATTTGGTAGTTCTCCTGATTTTCTTGAGTATGTTGACAATCTTGCTAAATTGGTTTTACTTGAATTTTTATTTGATGCTAAACTTAATGATGATATAATTCTTTCTAATGGTTGAGATCCTGTAGATTGGTCGGATAATGAAAGTGCACTTTTAACTCGTTTCCTTGATTTTCTCAACGAGCTTTTGGCTTCATAATATTTTCTCTTTTTGTCTCTTATATATTTCTTCTTCTTTTTGGAGAACTCTTGTGTCAAAAGTAACTCATAAAATGCAGTCAATGAATTCATTTCATTATTGTAAACGCTAGCTTGAAGTTCATCAATATCTATATCAAGTTTTTGTAATTTCCGAAGTAATTCTCTCTCGATTCTTGTGGTGAATGGTTTATTTACACAGTTGTAATGTTGATTGATTGAAATGATTGATTCTGCGTCACCATGTGCCCTTCTTTGAGTTCTTTCTAGGTGCTTATTGTATAAATCAATCAAAAATGGTGCGTTTAAAATCTCTCCAATACTTGGTCGTTTAATTGGATCTTTGTTTAACATTTTCGATATTAACAGATTAACATCAGCGGGTACCATTTCACTTAATTCAGGTTTATCGTGTACAATTTTTATTTTTATTTTCATTTCATCTTCATCATCGAACGGTAATTGACCATACAACATTGTATATAGTATAATACCTAATGACCAAATGTCTATTGCAAAACCTGAGTATTTTTGACCACTTATTAATTCTGGTGCCATATAAACTGGAGTTCCACAAATTGTTGATAGGAATTTCCTAGATTGTGGATTGTATTCTCTAATCATTCCAAAATCTGTTAATTTAACTATAGTTTTCCTACTATCTGCTAACAATATATTCTCCAATTTTAGATCTCTATGACTTAAATTCATTAAATGTACTTGCTGAACTCCAATTACTATTTGAAAAAATAAAGTTTGACATTCTTTTAGAGTTAATCTTTTTTTTTCATATATTAAGTAGTACAATTCTCCACCTTCACAATATTCCATTGCAATCCAAAGATGATTTTCAGTTTTAATTACTTCATAAACACTAACAATATTTTTATGTTTTAATTGCTTGTGGTAATATATTTCTCTCACAATATTTGGATCATCTAGTAGTCCACATTTCAAAACAACATCTATATTTAATAGTACATGTTTTGCTAAATAAACTTTCCCAAATGTACCTCCCCCAATTTCTTCAATAATTCTATAATTCCCAACTTGACTTATCTTTGGTGATGTAATTGATAAATAAAAATCATTAAATTGTTCTGCCAATTGTGCTGTATTATTTTGATCAGTCAAATACTTAATGGAAGATCCTCCTCCGTCCATGTGAGTAGGTTATTGGTGATTTTGGATAGCTTATGGTGGATTGGGTTTTAATGGTTAAATTGAATGAAAGAAACAAATATTGGTTGTAAAACAGTGTGGTTCGATTTGTAATTGATAATAGTAAATTTATTTTGTCTAAATATTGATATAGGATATCTTAAAAGTAAAATCTGAAACTGAAATGTATTTCTATGAATAGAAGTTTTATAGAATGGATGTTTCTTATTAGCTGTTGAAGTAATAATATATTGTTGTTTAAGAATATAATGTAATAAAAAAATGGTTGTCTGATAACTTAAATGATAAATAAAATAAAAAATAAAAAAATAAAATTATTATAAAAAACCACTTTAAATATTCATATCCTGTATATAATTTATTCTCTATCTATTTAATATTTAGATAAAAATTAATTTCTTTATGTTTCAAGTTAAATATTACATTCAAAATATCAATTAATTTTATAAAGAACTCGGATTATATGAGTAAACTAAATTTAAATACTTATTTCAAATGCATACGACGAAGGACATTACCATTTGACTCGTCCAACATACGGGCTTCGTCGATAGTTTCAACAAAAAACCTTAAGATCAGGACATTTGCAACATCTCATCACCATTTAATTAATGCTTTAAATACTACAACCAACTTGAATCCAATAAATCGAATCATAAAAGAACAAGATCATACTAATGATGACAAACCCATTTTATTAAATTTGATCCAAGAATCACTACGAGTGATAGCTGAGAAAATTGATACAAAATCATTCAAATATCCATATACTTTTCTAAATGAAGAAACGGAGCAACAAAAAGATATTCTTGAAAAGTTTGAAATGACTATAAAGGATGAAATTTCAAATCAAACTAATCCAAAAGTTGAGAAATTAAGTTTTATGGAATTCTTAAACCCCAATATAAAAGTACTACCTTCATTATTACTATCAATAAATCAAGACATTTACCCCAAAGAAATGTTGGAATATTACAATTTAGGTAACAAACAAGATTTAATAACTCAAATATTAACTCACTTATTGCACAAAGAATACCTTGAATTTAAAACAGAAACTACCCCCTATGAAAAATCATTAATCGATTTCTCAAATCCAGCTCAATGGTTTCCAGAAGCAAGAAAAATGAAACGTAAAATAATAATGCATGTGGGACCAACAAATAGTGGTAAAACTTATAATTCTTTACAAGAATTATCAAATTCTAAGACTGGATATTATGCTGGTCCATTAAGATTATTAGCAAGAGAAATATATGAAAGATTTAATCAACAAGGTATTGGATGTAATTTAATTACTGGTGAAGAAGTTATTCCTTCGATTGATGAATATGGTCAAGTTAGTGGGATAGCTTCCGGAACTATTGAAATGATACCCTTACACAAGAAAATGGACCTTTGTGTGATTGATGAGATTCAAATGATTGGTGACAGTCAAAGAGGTTCGGTTTGGACTAATGCTGTTTTGGGAGTATTAGCTCATGAAATTCATTTATGTGGTGAAGAAAGTGCAGTGCCACTTATTGAAAAATTAGTTGAAGTTACTGGTGATGAATTGGTGGTCAAAAAGTTTGATAGATTGGGGAAATTAACAGTTGAGAAAAAACCAGTTGGATTGAATGATTTGAAAAAGGGTGATTGTTTGGTGGTTTTCTCTAAGAGGAAAATTTTAGATTATAAATGCAGTATCGAAAGACAAACTAAATTAAAAGTTGGTATTATATATGGTGCTTTACCTCCAGAAATTAGAGCACAAGAAGCTAATAAATTTAATAATGGAGAATATGATGTTTTGGTTGCATCTGATGCTATTGGAATGGGATTAAACTTGAAAATTAATAGAATTGTATTCAGTGGTATCAATAAATTTAATGGATCAGAAGTTGAAAATTTATCAGTATCACAAGTTAAACAAATTGCTGGTAGAGCAGGTAGATTTAGTGCCGAACATGGCTCTAAGGAGGGATTTGTTACTGCTTTACAAAGAGCAAGTTTGATTTATATAAAAGAATGTCTTAATGAACCAATAACTGAATTAGAAAAAGCATGTTTATGGCCAACTGATTTAGTTTGGAAATATTATATGACTAATTATTCAACTGAAGCTCCGTTGTCTGAAACATTACAACATTTTATTTCAAATACAATGAAATTTAAATCTGAATTATATTTCATTGCAGATTTAGAAGTTAAAACTGGATTATTAGAAATGATATCAAAAGATAATAAATTAAAAAACATGACAATTGATGATCAATTAACTTTGAGCGAAACACCAATAAATTTACATGGACCAATGAACAAACAACTAGTAGTTCCAACAGTCAAGAAATTTTTTAAAAACATAGTGGAAAGAGAATGCAAATCAGTTTTTGATTTTGAATTTTTAGACTTACCATTATTATCAGCAAAACCAATGATATCAAAAAACATTCATATTCCATTAGATAATGTTGAAAAATTAGAAAGTATGCATAAGTTGTTATTATTGTTTCTTTGGTTAAGTCAAAGATTTCCAACTTTATTTATTGATAAACAATCAGCAATGGAATTGAAAGCGTTAGTTGAAAAAAGAATAAGTGAAGAATTAAATAATGCTAGAAGAATGAACAAGATGAAGATGAGATGATGTGTATATAGATAGGTTTACAAACTTAGATTCAAATCAAGATTAGAGTAATTAATTGCATATAGACTTAATATTATAATACCTTTGGGTTCAATTTCAAGATCAAGATTAAACAATACTATGTAAAAATAAAATTACTTTTGTCCCCCAAAATTTCTCCCCCACCTTCATCAGGTACATCTATTTTTAAATTTATACATATATTGTTCCACCCTCCGATCGGACTATTCAGCAAATTACGTAGTGAAAAATTTAAAGATTGTACTACCTAATAAGAACTTAATAGTAATTTCAAATTGTTTTAATCACCATTCACCATATCCAACTACGATATTTTAAACATATATCACCAAATTCATAAATGCCAATAGTAATAGTAGTAGGAGGACCAGCAGGTACCGGAAAGACAACTCAAGGTGAATTATTAGCTAAGAAATTTAATTGTCCATTCATAGAAGGTGATGCATTACATCCAAAAGCAAATATTGACAAGATGTCTCGAGGAGAACCATTAACCGATGAAGATAGATGGGGTTGGTTAAAACAATTATCTCAAATAGCAAGTGAAAAAGCAGAAGAAGATAAATCTAAAATAGCAGTTGTATCTTGTTCAATGTTGAAAAAAGTGTATCGAGATTATATTAAACAAAATTCATCAATCAAAGACATGAGTTTTAGATTTGTATTTCTATATACGACATTTGAAGAATTGCTTAAAAGAGTTGGGAATAGAAAAGGTCATTTTATGAAATCAGATATGGTTAAATCACAATATGATATTATGGAAATTCCTGAACAAGGTGAACTTATAAAGAATGGTGGTGAAGCTGTTAGTGTCGATACAACCAATAAAAGTCCTGATGTGATAGAGAAGGAAATTTTCAGTGATTTGAAACTTTGAGTTATTTAATACTTTTTAACCAAAAATACATTGTTCATAGACTAAACTGTAATATATACAAAAGCATTTTCATACATATTGTTAATCATTCTATTATGATAATTCTAACTGAGTATAGTTAAGAAAAAAAACGATATTATTCTTTAAAATCAAGTCTTGAATCAAGTGTTGAATAATAATTTAATTTTCGTATAAATTATAATAAAATATTTTTGAAACCCTTTTTCTTAATCAAGTTAATTAATTAAGCTTTATTAATTTCAAACTTAAAGTGAAAAGGCAATACACAATTTTCAACTTATTCAATTCATATTTTTGTTTTAAATCTAATTATCAATTAAAAGTAATCTACAATATCTTGGGTATCCTAAATGCAATACTACTAAATCGAGCTGATTAACTATTCATTGTATTTTTCCCTATTAATTCTTAGCAACCATTATATATAGTTCATCATATGCCTTCAATAGATAATTATCCATATCTAGATCCAGCAAAAGATCGAAGGGTTGCAATTATAACAGGAGGAAATAGTGGGATTGGATTTTATACAGTATTACAATTATATTTACATGGTTATATAATATATATTGCCGGTAGATCTAGATCTCGATGTAATAAACTGATAAAAGAATTACAAATAAAAGCATATGAGATACTAGATTCCACATATAGTACAAATAATGAAGAAAGTGATAATGACAATTTAATAGAACTTACTAAAATTAAGAATCGAAAACTTGGAGAATTACATTATTTAGAATTAGATTTAAGTAGTTTACAATCAGTTTTAAAAGCAGTTGAAACATTTAAACAAAAAGAAGATTTTTTACATTTATTAATAAATAATGCAGGAGCAATGGCTGTACCATATACATTAACTCAAGATAATTTTGAAATTCAATTACAAACTAATTTTATATCACCTTTTTTATTAACTTTAAAATTACTACCCATACTTGAAAAGACAAAAGATAAATTTCCCAATATTATTGAAACTCCAAGAGTCATATACCTAAGTTCAATAGGTCATCAAATTGCTATAAAATATTTTAATTTGAAAAAGCCAATGAATTATAGACCTGATTTTGTATTTACTTGGGTAAGATATGGAATAGCTAAAACAGCAGGTATACATTTTATGAAAATGTTAGCATTAAGAAACCCCAAGGTTTTATGTCTAATAGTTCATCCTGGTTTTGTAATGAACCCCAATATCTTTACATATTGGACAAATCTACCAATCGTAGGTATTTTATTTTGGTGTTTTTTCCAAATATTTGCATATTTCTTTGGTGTAACTCCAGAACAAGGATCAGAAGAAGTTTTAAAAGAATCTTTAAATTCAAATTTTGTTATTGAAAAAAATAATGGAGAATATTTTGGACCTGGTGGTAAAGAAATTCAACCTTCTAAAATTGCTAATAATATGGATTATGCTGCTAGGACTTGGATTTGGACTATTCATGAATTAAATGAGAGGGGAATTGCGATTGATGGATCTTGAAATTTTTAAAAGTCATAGAGAAAGTCAGTGGGGGGTTTCGTGGATTTGCATTAAGAATTAATTAGTTTACTTTTACTATATTAATATTTACTTCATTAGTCTTATTAGTTTGTTAGGCATTATATTTTAATTATACATATTTCATTTCTTTTTCATTTGCAGTTCTAAACTTTTATCTTCACTTGTTTTCAAAGTCTTTAAATTTTTAGCTAATCTATCAACGTCATCTTTTGTTAACCTAGTATCCAAGACATTTACCTCTTCTCCAAGTTCTTCGATTTTAGGTTTATTTTCATAAGGTTCTCCATAACTATCTTCGCCATCACTCATTATATCATTATCATAAGCATCATCATCATCATCGTCATCAGTGTTATCGACATCGTCAACATCTTCCCATTCTGCATCTTCATCTTCTTCATCACTAAAATTTGCTTTTTCTTGTCCTAGTTTCTTTTTGAATTTTAAATAATCATCAAATGCCATATCTCCTTGAAATTGCTCGGGTGTATCACTTTTATAATCTGAATCATCATTATATATTTGTCCACCATCTCGTTGATTCATTTCTAAAATTATTTCCAGTTCCATAAATTCAGGAAAATCTTCAAATTCTGTGTTTTTAAATTCATCTTTAAATTTATTCGTTAGTGAAATTATAGAATGTTTAAACTCCTGATATTTTGAAACTACTTTTTCTTTAGAAATCCATTCAGAAGTTAAATCATGATATTTCCATCTAAATCCATTCAATTCATCATCTGAAAAATCACTCTCTTCATCATCTAAATCATCTTCCATTGGATCAACAATCTCTTCAAAATTGTTGGTTTCAAATAAGTTCTGTAAATTTTTGGCATATTTTTCTTCGTCTTCCATCTTAGGAGCTGAGATGTTAGATATTAATTCAACAAATTCTGTGTCTTCAGGTACTCTTTTTTCAAGTATCCCCCTGTTTATTAGTTCATCCTGTAAGATATATCTTGAACTATGACTTATATTGTCTGGAATTTTAGGTTCAGGTTTACTTTCGTAATATTTCTGTAAACCAGATAAAAATATCCCACTTAAATAATCTTTTGATCCACTTGCTAAAGCAATCCCCATCATAACTCCTAAATTTAAGCTATTCATTGGTGTAGTAACTTCAATTCCTTCATTGAATTCCATCGGTTTAACCTCTTCTTCATTTTCCAAACCTTTTAGACTTCTTGCAGTTATATTGGGATTAGCTGAAACCAATTTTGCAATTGGCAAAGGTAAATTCAAAATAATATCATGTACATGACTTAATCCAACATCAATTGAACATTTTTCTTTTAGTGTTTCTGTTAAACTATTACTTTTGGTATAATCACCCTTGAATATTTGTAACGCAGCATTTTGCAACGGTAAAAAATTATTAAAATCAGCTGCATTCCTATTCAAAATTACACAACTATCTTCATGTAACCAAACTCTATTTCTTGTAGTAGTTACATCATCTAAATCATCACTCAATTCTTCATGACATATCACCAAGATAGGTTCAATTTCTAAGGAATCAAATAAATGTATAAAGCAATCTTCATATTTTGTGAAACTCATTAATATGGCAATAAATAACTCCATATCTAGTGAATGATCATGATAATTTAATTCTCCATATATATATTCTATATTCTTTGTTGTATGTGCTTGAAATTCAGGTTGTGAATAATTCCAAGGGTATTGCTCTATCCATGGTTGCATATATTTAATAAAGTTAGATAATGTTTGATCTATATTTGGTGATAATATTATGAATGATATTGTTGATTCGGGGAATAATTGTTCTACTTCATGAGGTAGTAACTCATCTTCCGTCCATAGATAGTCTACCTCTAACATCTTGATTCTAAGGGCAATTGCTTGGATATTCAAATTTAAACGTGTTGCTATTATTTCATTAAGGGTACTGTAAAATAAAAATTATATGCGGCTGCTCGTTATCCTAAAACGGTTTTTTTGTTCTATCACCTACTACGATAAAATGATTGCAAAAAATTTAACTTTTTTATTTTGTTATCTAAATAGCTAATCAATTACTTATACAAGTTTACCTATAATTTAGTTTCATGATCAATTTTTTCAATAACAATTGATGATGCACCTCCACCACCATTACAAATACCAGCACAACCAACTTTACCACCTTCTTGATTTAATACAGACAACAAGGTTATAATAATTCTTGCACCTGAACAACCTAATGGATGACCTAAAGCAACAGCACCACCATAAGCATTTACTTTGTCTTGAGGAATATCTAAAATCTTTGTGTTGGCAATTCCAACAACGGAAAAAGCTTCATTAAATTCAAAATAATCAACTTTATCTTGTGGAATATTTGCATGTTTTAAAGCTTTTGGTACTGCTAAAGCTGGTGCAATGGTGAAATCTATTGGATCTCTTGCTGCTTCTCCCCAACCAATAATTTTAGCTAATGGTTTTAAACCTAATTCTTTTAATTTTGATTCTGAAACTAAAATAATTGCAGCACCACCATCATTTAATTTTGAAGCATTTGGAGCAGTTACAGTACCATTTTCTTTTTGAAATACAGTTCTTGCTGATTTGACTTTTGCTTCGTTAAAATTTTTAATTTCTTCATCTTGACTTATAGTAACATCTGGCTTACCTCTAATTCCTTTTATTGTAATTGGAGTTATTTCATTATCAAATTTACCTTTTGATGCTGCTTCACCAGCTTTTTTATAAGAATTAATAGCAAATTCATCTTGTTCTTCTCTTGAAATAGTTTGATCTTTTGCACATTTTTCTGCAGCTGTACCCATTAATTTTGAACTATAAACATCTAATAAACCATCTTTTTGAATACCATCAACCAAAGAAGCATCACCATATCTTGCACCTGATCTAGCAGATGGTAAATAATATGGAGTATTTGACATTGATTCTGCACCTCCAACAACTACAATATCACTAGTACCACAAATAATATTTTGAGCACCTATTATAGTAGCTTTCATACCTGAAGCACAAACTTTATTTATAGTAGTGGCGACAATTTTTTCACTTAAACCAGCTTTTAATGCAACTTGTCTTGCTGGAGCTTGACCAACATTAGCTTGTAAAACCCCACCAAAAACTATTTCTTCAACATCTTCTGGTTTAATTTGTGGAACTTTTGATAATGCAGATTTTACAGCATGAGCACCTAAATCAGAATATGATAATGATGATAAACCACCTTGAAATGAACCAATTGGTGTACGAGCAACTGAAACAATATATACTGGGGTTAATGCCATTATTAATTGATTATGAAAAACTGATAATTGATATACTTCTGGTTGAATAGTAAATATAAAAATTAACTTTAAGAATAAAAAGTTAAATTTGATCGTTTATATATTTTATAAGTTGTAAAAAAAAAATCAATTTTTCAAAAATTTCCTCGTTTAAATTTTAAACAGAAAGTAAATAAATTGAAAATAAAAGATTATTATTGCAAATAATACAATAAATAATATCAAATTTATTGTACGATTGATGATATAGAATAGAAAAATAATATTTCTAGTCTATAATATTCAAAAATTTTAATATTCAGGGTTTTTATAATATTTGTTTAAATTTGACTGTTAAGTCTTATACCCTGCCAGAAATGGTTAAAATTATTTATTAACACCAAATCTGTCTATTTATAAATAACTAATAGGTGTTTTACCCCAGTTAAAATATTTATAGGGCTACCAAATTTTTGTCATATATTTTTTTCAACTATCTTATCATTAATCACAATATATAATAATACTATAATTAATATATTAACTTAATACATTATAAAATTAATTTAATGTATAAATTCTTACAATCAAGGTTTTTAACAAATTCTGTTTTGAAACAGAGGCCCATACTACTACCATCAATACGGATTGCTCGACAATTCAATTCTTCTCCACCAATTTCAAAATTATTTGGAAAGAGCAAACATAGTAATGATCCCATTAAAAAAAATCAAATAAAATTAAATAACCAACCAATTAGCGCTTCAACAGAGGACAATACCAATTCTGCGGTAATTGATAATACTGCCCCGACGAAAGGAGTAACAGAACATGATTTTAAAACTCATCCAATATTGAAAAGAGTTCCCAAATTTCTTCGAAATTATGCGTCAAAATTTGTAAATGCCCCATTTTCAAGTTTAGTAGCATTTATTATATTACATGAAATAACTGCAATTGTTCCATTAATTGGTATATGGTATTATATACATCAACATCCTGGATTTATACCATTAGATTTACCACAATGGGCAATAAGTAAAGGTGCAAAAGTAATGGATTCAATGATGGGTAAATTTGATTGGAATTTAAATACTGCTGATAAATTCTCAGTTATAGTTGAAGGAGCTTATGCTTTTACTATTGTTAAATTCTTATTACCTATAAGAGTTGTTATAAGTTTATATTTTATGCCTTGGTTTGCAAGATGGTTTATATTACCGATAACTAATATTTTTAGTAATATGAAGGAAATTAGGAAAGCCAAAAAAGAGCAAGGGAAAATTACAAGTGGTAAAGATCAAAATGTTGAGTTGAAAAAAGTAGAAAAACCAAGGTTATAAGGAGTAAATATTCAATGTGTACATAAAATTTGATTAAATGTATTAATATAAATTTAATTTTGTCTGTAATATTTGTAAACACTAAATCGAGAAATTCCATTTACAACCACTTATGACACTAAATGTCAAAAGACACATCAAAACTAATTAATAATGCTTTGAATGTCTTATCTAAATTAGTCGAGACAGATACAAATATATCAACAATTGATTTAAATTTATTAGAAAATTTAAACACCAATCAATCATTAAATTATATAAAATTAGAAAATGATTTAAACAACTTGGAGTCAAACAGTAAACAGTTGGAGAATTTTAGTATGTGTTTGGACAACGATAAAAGCTATTTTTGAGACGAATACTAACCTGTAAAGAAACTGAGATTGATAACCATACCAAGGTGTTGGGTGAAATTGAAGAAAAAGTTCAGAAATTAGAAAATATTATTAATGAATTAGATGCTTGGTCTATTGAGTTAGAGGCCGCTTCAAAAAAATGAATAATGGGTTAGGAATGGTCTTATAAATAAGGTATCGTCCGATACATTTTTTGTTGGTCAAGTCATATACTTCAGTCAGACAAGGTAAGGAAAAAGAGTTTTGGAATTTGATTTAAACAACACAATGTCACTACAGACTCATCTTAGAATTATATGTTCTTATATGTACAAGTCGTTTTATATTAGATCAAAGATGTCATGTACAGATCTGATCATCTTCCACTATATAATCTATAAATAGGATCAGTTTTAAAAGTTTGAATATTTGACCATTTTTTACTTGGATTAGCATTCAATTTTGCAACATAATCAACTGGTTTAGGTTTTTCAATTAAATCAGTCATACTTACTCTTACCTTTGATTCTGGCGTTATAATTTCATATAATCCTGGTAATTTATCAGCAGCTTTTCTTAAAGCTTCTCTCGCTACTTTATCATGAATTGCTCCATCAATTTCAAATAATACTTTTCCTGTGGGCATTCTTGTAGCCCAATGATCAAACGGACCTTTACCTTTACCCATTCTTGTTTGATTACCTTTTATACAAACAGCTAAATCACATACAAATCTTGTAAATAATTTTGATTTTGTTGGTCTTAATTCTCGACGTAATACTTTATCTGCTGCTAATAATTGATTAGCACTCATTCTTAATCCACATGATTTTAGACGTAATCCTATTTTACCAAATTCTAATGTATTTCCTTTTATTGATCCTCCTGTTCTTACTGAAACTCTTCCCTTTTGTGCTTTCTCCACTTCTCTAAATCTTGGTGCATATTCGTGCTTAAAACGGTTGAATATTAGTTGAAGGTTCGATTTGGTTTTCGCTATGTTAGTGAACATTTTGTTTGTATGGATTGTGGTTTGAGTTGTAGTTGATTCTAAATTTGAATAGTTCAATAACAATAATTTTCTTAATTTTTTTTTTCAGAATTTGGTAGTTTAAAAAAACTTGACGTAGTCGGAAATTTGAATTTTCAGACATCTAGCATAAACGTTGTATAAATCAACTAATTTGATGCATGCATTATTTAGGAAAGCAATGTTTGACTATTACTGATAGAGGTCATAAGTTAGATACAGGTCTAAATAATAAGTTTTATTAAAGTTTTATAAACTGGAAAAATTAATTTTATCTATTAAATCAACAATTTTTCATGCAAATAATAATTTTGTCATCACAATGTTTCATAAATCTATTTTTTTCTATACTTCTAAAATACTAAGTTTCATATACCTAAACATGTTCTTCTTGAGCATTTTGGGCTTTATGGTAACCAGCGTAACCAGTTGAAGTAGCCATATCTTCTTCTGAAGGTGGTTGCCAATTAGCTGATTTCCAAGCTGGAATACCACTTTGATATAATTCATCAACTTCTTCTAAATTAAGACCTTTAGTTTCATAAAGCATGAAATAAACAAAGAAAATTGAAAATAATAAACAACCAAAGAACACGAACCCATAATAAAAGTGAATAGCGTCAGTAATAAATGAAGTAAAGAATGAAATAAGGAAACCAAAAATCCAATTAGCAGCACTAGCAACACCCATTGCTTTTGATCTAACTTTTAATGGATAAATTTCTGAAATGATTGAGTAAACACCACCAGCCCAAGTTGAAGCAAAGAAGAAAATGAATAAACATGTAACGAAAATCAAAGCCTTACCATCAGCATGTCTAGTTGGACCATCTGGACCATCAATATATAAGTGTTGAGAACCAACTAAAGAATAAATTAAGAAACAAACTGACATAGCACACGAACCAATTAATAAACAAGATCTTCTACCTAATTTGTCAATTAAGTAAATACCTAAAAATGTAGATGCAAAATTAATAACACCAATAATAATTGAAGTTTGGAATGAATCATTTAAACCAATAGCTTTGAAAATTGTGGTACTATAGTAAAAGAAATAATTGTTACCAGTTAATTGTTGTAAAGCTTGACACATAGCTCCAACAACAACTCTTTCAAAAATTCTTGGTTTACCAGTTATTAAAGTTGCCCAACCAGCTTTACCTGCCATTCTTTCTCTTTCAACACCAGCTTGAAGTAATCTTAATTCTTTTAATAATGCTGGATCATCTTCTGAAACTTTATTAGTTTTGGCCAATGAAGCTTTAGCATCTTCGATTCTATCTTTACCAATTAAATATCTTGGTGATTCTGGCATTCTGACCATTCCTCCGACTAATAATAGAGCCCAAGCAAAACATAAACCTAATGGAATTCTCCATTGTCTTGAATCTGAATATGTTTTAGTACCATAAGTAGTACAATAACCTAAAAATATACCCATGGTAATCATCAATTGGAAACAGCAGACTAATGTACCTCTCAACTGTCTTGGTGAAACTTCTGAAATAAACATAGGGCAAACGACAGACAAAGTACCAACACCTAAACCAGTAATTATTCTACCAATCATAATTTGATACCAAGCATGTTGAGAAGAAATTTGAATAATTACACCAACAACGTAAATAACCATAGCTAACATAATTGCTAATCTTCTACCCTTCAAATCAGCAGCTTTTGAAATAAACAAAGCACCCAACGCACAACCAGCATTAAATAAACCAATGATGCAACCAGTTCTAACATTTGAAAAATAATAACCAGAACTGTTTCTTTGACCAAATCTTCTTTGGAAATCAGTCATATTAACAAAACCTGAAATAGTACCAGTATCAAAACCAAAAACAAATCCACCAAATGCAATTAAAACACACATAATTATTATACCTGTGTAAGCACTTAATGGTTTTCTATTTAATTCATCTGCTGAATGATCAACTTCATCATCCATTTTATCTTCTTGTTCATAATCTTCTGATTGTGGATTTGAATCATTACGATTATATTTTTCTGTCAAAGATTGAGTAGGTTCCTCTATTGTATTTGAAGAAGCTTGTGACATATTGAATAAAAATTAGTTCGAGTGTATTTAAGTTGAAAACAGAAACAAACTCTCCGAGATTTTTTAATATATCTAAAATTAGGATTTCAAATCTTATTTATAATTAATCTTATAGCTATATATATTATTAAAAACTTTTTATATTTAATATTAAGACTTCATCATGTAATATATAAATTGGAGCAATAATAAAGTATGTTTGTGCAATTTTAATTGTTGCAAAATTTTTAATTATGTAAAAAAAAAAAAAATAAAAAAAAAAAAAAAAAAACACAAACAAAATCAACTACAATATTGATTAATTAGACAGGACAAGTAAGAAGAATTATTGCACTAAACTATTAATATAATACAGATCCAGAATTTCTCAGCAAATAGTCTGATAATTCTATATAATTGTGACTTAAATTTAAGTCAGCTTACATAAACTACTACTATTCTTGATCTTAAATTAAATGTATTATAACTAAAAATGATAAATTTAATTTTCTCAATAATAAGATAAAAAAAAATGAATTATGTCATAATCTTTTATTTTCTTTTTTCTTTTCCTTTCGTTTTTTATCTCTATAATTCATTACATTTTCTTATCATGGGTTGTACTTCTTTTTCTTGACGTTTGAAGAGAGTGATTTGATATGTGTCTGGATTGGTTTTAATCCACTGGTAGACCGTTGTAAGTCATCATCTTATATATAAAGCTAGACTTTGTTAGGTTCATCGTTTGAGTGGCTAGAGCAATTAAAATTTACTAACACTTCAGGATTTAAGATTTAAAAATAATATTAAATCAAATTTACGGCTGCAAAATATTTTACGGATATTATATTTGTACATTTAATTAGTGAAAAAATCGAAACAATTTCGTAATACTAAACTTAATCAGTCTATTTATTATCAATTACTTAATTTTGTATTACTTTATGAATTATCTATTAATTCAAACATCTATTACAAAAATATTAAAATTAGGTATTTTATCGTTTTCTATAAATTCCATTTATCGTAAAGTCATTAAAAATCTTAGTAAACTTTTAAACGTTTACATGTTCTTCTTCAGGTTTAGCGTAACCAGCATAACCAGTTGAAGTAGCCATTTCTTCTTCTGAAGGTGGTTGCCAACTTCCGGATTTCAATGCAAGAACACCACTTGCATACATTTCATCAACTTCTTCTAATGATAAACCTTTTGTTTCATAAACCATAAAATAAACAAAGAAAATTGAAAAAACTAAACATCCCATAAATACGAAACCATAGTAAAAATGAATAGCATCAGTTATAAATGAAGTGAAAAATGAAATAAGGAAACCCCAAATCCAATTGGATGCGTTAGCAACTCCCATTGCTTTTGATCTAACTTTTAATGGATAAATTTCTGAAATGATTGAGTAAACACCACCAGCCCAGGTTGAAGCAAAGAAGAAAATATAAAGTGAAGTGACAAAAATCATAGCTTTACCATCTGGGTGTCTAGTTGGACCAGATTGACCATGTATATATAAATGCTGTGAACCAATCAACGAATACATTAAGAAACAAATTGACATTGCTACTGAACCAACCAATAAACAAGATCTTCTACCCAATTTTTCAATCGCATAGATACCAACAAAAGTTGACGCAAAATTAATAACACCAATAATGATTGAAGTTTCAAAAGAATCATCTAAACCAATAGCTTTGAAAATTGTGGTGCTATAGTAAAAGAAATAGTTATCACCAGTCAATTGTTGTAAAGCTTGTAACATAGCACCAACTAAAACTCTTTCGAAAATTCTTGGTTTACCTGTAATTAAAGTACCCCAACCAGCTTTGCCGGCTAATCTTTCCCTTTCTACACCTGCTTGAATTAATTGTAATTCGTTGTATAATGCTGGATCTTCTGGTGAAACTTTGTTAACTCTTGATAAGGCAACTTTTGCATCTTCAATTTTATCTTTACCAATTAAATATCTTGGTGATTCTGGCATTCTGACCATTCCTCCAACTAATAATAAAGCCCAAGCAAAACATAAACCTAATGGAATTCTCCATTGTCTTGAATCTGTATAAGTTTTAGTACCATAAGTAGTACAATAACCTAAAAATATACCTAATGTAATCATTAATTGGAAACAACAGACTAAAGTACCTCTCAAATGTCTTGGTGAGACTTCTGAAATAAACATTGGACATAATACTGATAAACAACCAACTGAAACACCTGTAATAATTCTACCTACCATAACTTGGTACCATTTGTGATTTGATGAAATTTGAACTATAATTCCTACAATATAGAGAACCATTGAAGACATGATACCAACTCTTCTGCCATACATATCACCTAGTTTGGATAAAAATAAAGCACCTAAAGCACAACCAGCATTGAATAAACCAATCATACAACCAGTTCTAACATTTGAAAAATAATATTCACCCTGATCATTTCTTTGACCAAATCTTCTTTGAAAATCAGTCATATTAACAAAACCTGAGATAGTACCAGTGTCAAACCCGAAAACAAACCCACCAAATGCAATTAAAATACACATAATAATTATACCTGTGTATTCTCTTAAAGGCTTATTTTTCAAATGATCGTGGAGGTTATCGTGATTTCTTTTTTCATCTTCAACTGTATTTTCCTCTTCGTATTTCGCTTGAATTTCATTATTGTCATGTCCAGCAGTTGATGCATTTGAAGCATTCTCTTCTTGTGACATAGCTACTTAATATAAATTTCTTTTTATTTTCTAGATCTGAAATCTATTTGAAACTTGAATATAATATCTTTTCTTAGTATATTGAAGGACAAGAAAAAATACTTGGAAATTTAAAAATGTAAGAATATGTAAACTTATATTTATACAAAGAAAAAATTTTATATCAAGAACAATAACCCCCAATGTGTTTCTCCAAACGTCTCCAAAGTTTCCCCAAATTGTTCAAAACCTGTATCATTCTTTTAATCTTAATTAAACTCGTCATGACTTTAAGTTTTTTAAAGCGTTTTGTGCGCTAATTATCGGTTTTAAAATTTTACAGTAAAAAATTGTTTTAAAAGATTTTTCCGAATAGGCTTTCTTGCATAATAAATCTTGTCTAAGATATGTTTGTCCTCGATTGAAAAAACTCTCAAATAGCTTTGATTAGCTTCCAAACGAAGATGAAAGCTTGTCACAGGTGTCAGCTCTCTTTATTCACCGCCATGATTGAGAAATTAATTTTACCAGACATCAAGTTCATCTAGGCTCATGTGGGTTCTTTATTTGTACGGTTTTGAGACATTGACCTCAGAATAAATTATTTATTGTTTTATTGATGAATATTTTTTTCTAGTACGATTTAACTGAATTTAGTTAATTTAAAATTATAGATTGTGCATTTCGGAAAAATTATCTTAGCTTACTAAATAATTATTCCGAGTGACATTTTTAACACAAACTTAAATTTAATAGGCAAAAAATTTCTTTTTGTGTTAAGCTTACTATAAAAAGTATTTGAGACTTTCCGAGAATTCCAAAAACACCAGATATGTGATGAAATTGTAAGGGTATGCACGAAATTTATAATCTCACACCACTGCTTTATTTATATAAAATAAGATATTTATGCACATATTTGTATATTTTCCGATAATAGAAGAGACTAAAAAACAAGTCAGATCATTGTTTTGTTAAGCAAATAATAATGATTTGCCATTCCATCCAGATTAATTAAGAATTCAAAGAGCAGTGATGAGCCATTGCTTTTCAAGAATTGGTGGTAGTCCTTTTAAGCATAAAGACCTTAACAATGATGGCAAATTTGACCAATTACTAGGGTGTATTTCGCAGTTAATTAGTTTTTTACATCCGATTATTTAGAAAAATCTCGTATTCTTACAAATAAATGTAGTCTAGAAAAAAATATTAAGTTGGCAGTCCCTTATAATAGTCGGGTATTTAATTAAAGTAAAATTTTACGAAATCGGACTTGCCTGAATAAAGATTCTTAAGAATCAAATTTTACCGATTTGCTTCTCTACGTTGTCTAATAAGATACACTGAGAATTGCAGTAACTTATTAAATATTTATGTCAATTTTAAGCAGCAAATCAATAAATTGTTTATTATATTTCTGAGAGCTTTGAAAATTATCTACACTGCTAGAATTTTATAAAAAACTTAATTATTCTTGAATTCTTGGAGACTTGGTGATGCTTAGTTAGTCAATTTAGTATCCATTTTGTGTAGACTTACATGAAAAAATTTTCACCAATTTACTTGTATCTCGCAAAACGATCTGTTTTTAGTAAAAGTTCATGGATAGGTAACAAAGATGATTTTGAGCTACTGACTCGGACAATTCAAATTTTGTGGAAAGTTTGGTAATTTTTCCGAATGCAGAAAATCTCAAAATACACGTAAGTACATTTTATAAAAAGTTTATAATCTACTGCCCTTCCTTTACTTAATATACTAATTTTGATCAATGGTTTTTAAAAACTGACTGCTTATTTTAAAAAACTGTTCAAAAACCTTGAGAGATAAGTTTGGGTGAAACAATTATACTCAGGTCGGAGTATATTGTAAGGCTTTCTTCAAATTTAATTAGTGTCACAAACACTGTCACAGATATTATAAATATATTACCACATCCAAAAATTGGAATGATACGCCATCTATCTCTTTCTACAAGTAAGATCTACTATTCATTTGATTAAATTTTTTAGGACTCGTTGAATGGATTTTTTGAGGGACCAATATCAAGTCGGCTAGAGGTGAAACAATTATTGAACTTCTATGAAGTCGTGTAAATAAGTAAAAATTGATGAATGTTAACAGTACTATTTTGAGTATTTGAAATACAATAATGTCATGAAACTTTACTGTCAGACTTGTTTAAGTTGAAAAATAACAAGAATTTTATGAAACCTATCGATCCAACTAACCAAACCGATTAATCACGCATTGCTTTAACTCAAACTAAAATTCAAGTAGATTAAAAAATTAAAAAAAATAGTCAATTGAGTAGGAGTTTTAAAACCGAAAAGTATTTTGAGAATTTTGTTTTAATTTATGGAACATCAATTTGAAATTCAAAACCTGGAGTAAAAAATAAATACAATTAATTAATAAATACATCATCATTTTACAACACCAGTATTGTTAGGAAGGAAATATCTAACATTTTTAACCGTCCCTGTGATTTCACCTCAATTATAAACTGATCATTGAATTTGTTCACTACTCACTTGTATATAAATGTCAATCTCAAGGGAATCATTTCCTTTTGGAGATGGTTCAACAAAGATATTCGGGATGGAAAATTTTGGGAATACATGTTACTGCAATTCAATATTACAATGCTTATATTACACCGAATCATTTAGAAAGAGATTAATTCAACATAAACAAACTAAACATGAACCAAAGTTAGTAGTGAATGGTATACGATATCACGGATTTACCGCCAAGTATGATCAATTATTACAAAAAAAATTAAAAGATCAAGGTGGAGTACCTATAACCAATAGTGATGAAAGACCAAAAAGTAGTAGGAAAAGTTCATTATTTGGTTTGAAATTTAATAATCAAGCAAATGTTTCAACTACATTAATTGAACAGAAAAATGAATATATCACAGAGGCAGGTAACTGTGTATCTTTGCCATTGGAACAAAGGATTCTAATAAGTAAAAGTCCAGAATTTTCGAAATTAGAGATGATGATCACTAAACCAAGTATAAATCCAGTGCCGAAAGCCACAAATAATGGGAACATCTCAACTATCAATAATAACAACAACGCAAATAATACTGATCACTCCCAAAGTTCATCAATGCTTTTGAATGATCAGCCATTACAAACAATTCAAGAAGGATCGATAAATACAAAATCAAGTGCCATAATTGTTGGTATACCGAAACCTGAAACTAATTTAGTAACACCAATCAATCCATTTAACAATAATCCAAGTTCAGATCAAAGAAAGAGGTCCGCATTAATTAACGGTCCAATAATAAATTTGGACACTGCATTACAATTGCCAAGTGAACAAACTGAAGATACTTGTTTGTTATATGCTTTGAAAGACTTATTTGAAAGTATGGTAGAGAATAAATCTACAATAGGTGTAGTGTCACCAAATCATTTTATAACCATTTTAAAAGAGAAGAATTATCTATTCAGGCAAAATAATATGCATCATGATGCTCATGAATTTTTTAATTATTTAACCAATGAAATAATAGAAAGTTTAAACAAAGAATTAGGTGAAGGACAAAATTGGTGTAATGATATTTTTCAAGGACTAATAACAAATGAAACAAAATGTTTATCATGTGAGACTATCACTTCAAAACATGAAAATTTCATAGATTTATCCATAGATGTTCCACCTGGTGAAAGTTCATACTCATTAAATTTTGCAATCAACAATTTTTCAAAGTCAGAGACTTTAACTAATCAAAACAAATTTCATTGCAATACTTGTTCATCTTTGCAGGAAGCTATTAAGAATATAAAAGTAAAAAAACTACCTGAAGTTTTAGTCATAAATTTAAAACGATTCAAGTATGACGAACAAATTGATAAAATGGTTAAACTATTTGATTCTATAAGTTATCCATTCAAATTGAGATTGTTCAATACTACTGATGACTTTAATCAAAATGTGTTATATGACTTATATGCTTTAGTTATTCATATAGGAGGTGGTCCAATGCATGGACATTATGTATCTATCTGTAAAATCAAAGCTGGACTTTGGTTATTATTTGATGATGAAACTGTTGAATTGGTTGATGATAATTATGTAATGAGATTTTTTGGTAATGGCCCAGGGTTAGCTAGTGCTTATATTTTGTTCTATCAAAAAATTGAATTTGATGAGAAATGTGAATACTTTGGATTTGATCCTTCAACTATATATAAAGGGGATGATTATTCAGTACAGATTAATGAGACATCTAGACCACCAACTACAGATTCTGAAACTAAATCAGAAATGTCATCCATCAATTCATTCAATCCATTAGAAGCGTCCACTGTAGGTACACAATTAAATACACTTCAACCTCCAAAAAAGCCACCATTAACTACTGGAGGTATGTTTAAGTCATTCAAATTTGAAAAACCTACGTCTGAGGATAAACCTCATCAATCATTATCAAGAAGTAGTAGTAACGGAGCTATACCAAGAAAAGAATCAGAACAACCAATAAAGGAAAAAAAATCATGGGTTGGTTCATTAAAGAGAACAGGTTTGGAGAGAAAATTGTCTTCAAAGAATACATCATCTTCATTGAATAGTGAGTCTGTTACTTCTACCGCATCTTCTAATACAACGAATGGTAATAGTACAGCACCTTTAATGCCTCCCCAACAACCTCCTCCACCATTAGAGAAACGAAAGAGCTTATTTGGTTTTAAAAAGAAAAATTAAATAGACTTATTAGTAATTTATAGAATTCGATGAGGTTGATATCAAACGATTGTAGACATCTGCAAATAATTGAATTTTAATTATTTTGTAAGATTAGACCATATAGCTAACTCAGAATGCTGACCTAAATTATTGAAAAACAGAAAAAAAAAGTATTGATGGTAGAAATTAAAAATTGCTCTCAGCAGGATTCGAACCTACGATCTCCTCATTACAACGAGAAAGTTGAGAAATTTACTAGTGAGGTGCCTTACCAACTTGGCCATAAGAGCATATTTTCTACAAATTTATGTGTTTTGCCCACGCGACTTTGACCAACCAAAAGCGTGACTTTGATATTCTAACTCAATTCTCTCAAGTGGTATTACTTAAACTAAGCTATTTGCTCTCTAACTCTACTGTATCATTAAGCTTTAACTAGAACTTTGAAACTGCATTGTTTTTGAGTATCCTAGAAGCCAATATTTTGGGGTATTAAATTACATTTTTTTGGTATTAGATATTGCCTAAAATGATGCCAAATAGCACAATTATGTAAGTCCATTTGAATTATGTGACTTTATACGGTATTCAAAAATTTACATTACATGCTGAGATATTCCACGTTAAATAAAACTTACAATATATTCAACTCTTCAAGAACTCTATTGACATGATTTTTAAAAGTGTCAAAATAAAATATGAAAAATTTTAGTATAACTTAACAAATTTTATTTCCCCTTAAGGAGAAATTGATTAATATATTAAATTATAAAATATTTCTTATCATACGATTGTAACAATTAAATATTATAACACGTTATTACCAACTACTTTTACCATGTCAACTAAATGATTCAGTATCTGCGTTTGAAACCATCCAAGGACTTAGCAAGTTTAAAGCATGAAATCAAACTTTTAAAACAATTACTTGAAAAGCAAATAAAAACAGTTTATTTTCTATATAAAATAGGCTTGAGAAATTTAAACAAAGTTTTAAGACTAATATTTTATCAAAGATCAATAGCATTTGCTTTTTTATTCCCATATTTATGTGAAGTTTTACCAAAAACTTTTAAAGCTGTTGTTAAAAGTATACTTGACCTAAAATTCAATGATTTACCTGGAAAGATCTTGGAGATCTTGAAAGATCCATTAGAATCAGACAGATTGCCTATATTTATGATCAAATTGATTGCAACCTTAAATGCTTTAAATCCATTACTACTAAAAGCATTACTACCTTATGTCAAAGGTAAGCATATCCAATTTGTATCAACATTTTTAGCTGGGGTTATTGCTTCATTATTAAATTTCCCATTTTTCCAAGATGTAAAAATTTCACAAGATAGGTTTTATACCTTTGATTGGACTTTAATTTTAATTGTGAAAGCCTTTGATACAGTTGTAACTTCACTAGCTTCTAGAGATTCTACATATTTTCCTATACCAAGTGAATATATGGATGTTTTACTAGCGATAGTAAGTTCTTATCTTATTACCAATTCTTGGTATTTCCATCCAGAGAAATTAAACCCTAGTTATGTAAGTTGGGTCAACAAAATGTCCGTTGTCGATAGAGAAGTAGTTGAAGGTATGAGATATTTAAATGATGGAAGTTTGCAATATAACCCACAAGATTCAGAGAAGGGTTCACCGTGTCATCAAGATCATTTTATAAATTATGCAATAAAGAACAATAAAAATCCAGAACTAGGTGACTTAAGTAAACACGAAAAATTGCCTTGCGAGGTACTACATCAATTTAGAACCAAAAGTTGTAGAAAAAATGCAATGATAGCATTTGTCAAACAATTTAAAAGAACATTCAAATTTTACGCATACATTAACTTGTTCATGTATATAGTTGTCAAAAGATTTAGAGGAAATATCATAAACATACTCAAAAAGACCATAAGGTCATCATTATTCATCAGTTCATTAACCACTATACAATGGTGTTTCATATGTTTCATTAGGAATAATCATCCAATCTGGAAAAATCAGAAATTTTGGGACATTTTCTCAGCTAAAATTGGTGCAGCATTTGCAGGATTTGGTATATTATTTGAGTATCCTCAAAGAAGAAATGATTTATTAATCTTTGTTACTCCAAAAGCTTTAGGAACATTCTTTAATATGGAACCAACAACATTAAATAAAACTTTGGAAGTAATTGGATTTAGCTTGAGTTTTGCTACTTTAGTTGCATTTGCGAGACTGAATCCTAAAAGATTAAGGGGTTTAGTGGGTAAAGGTTTGAGTTATATGGTTAAATAAGACACTTACAACTTTATTGTTGTTCTTGATATTCTTTGTACAGATTCTCAGCCATTTCTTCGATATCTTCCAAACTCAAAACCACCATTTCATCATCTTCCTGTTCTTGTTCTCCAATACCGTCTTGATCAATTTCTATTTTCTCTTCATCAGCTTTTTCAAATGTTATATCGGATTTTTTGATCTCATCTAAATTTTTCTTTAAATCATGAGCTAATGATCTTATAGTCGACTCAGAAATATTATCACTTATTAAATAAGAACATAAATCTTCTATCCAAATCTTATCATATACATAATAGATATCATGATACCTGAACAACTCCTTTAAGTCTAATAATGATTGTAGTACCAATCTTTTACCACCTCTTAAGTTATAATAAACATCTTCCCATACTTTTTCACATAATTTAAAACTTCTATGAAGGGGAAATGTTAAAGCTCTTCTAACACCTATTATTATAGCTGATCTCAATAAATTGTCATTGGAGTTCAAATTCAATTTTGAGTCTAAATAAGAAAATTGAGGTGTTATTTTACCTATTGTCCATGCACTTTCGACATTGTGTTCACCTTCAGTCTCTCTCATGTCAAATTGATATGCAAATAATAAACTTAGTATAGTAATTAATATTTGTGGTTTATATGATTCATCTACTAAATAACTTTTTCTTGGTAAATCCATCATTTGTTCTTGTTCTTTTTTATTAAATTCTATTGGCATGATGAATTGACGATCTTTTTCTTGTAGTTGTTGTTGGGACTTATACCACTTGAGAAATTTCATAATTTGAGGATTCTTCCAATCTATTAACTCTTTGAAATTCTTGTCATCATCTGGCGTTGGGTACTTTTCCATAATATAATCAGCAGCATAAATCTCTGGATCAAATTGTATATTTTCCTTTATCAATCTTTCTATTATTCTATCATTTTCTGGAGTTTGTTCAGGGTTACCTAAACCATTGATATCATTACCATTTGAGACACTAACCCCAACTATACCATCATATTGATTATTGAACCCATATTTTACATCTGGTGTTAAAGTATTATCTTCTTGTATATTTGGTCCTAATGTAGGGTTCTTTGGAACTTCCTGTTCAACTTCCCAGTTGAAATTTTCACCTTCATTTAAATCTTTTTCGGCTTGACTGTTTATTATATTATCATTATTCACATCCAATTCTTCAATTAGTGGTTTCCTCTGTTCAGTAGATTGTACTTCGTTATTATTACTTCTTGCCAATAATTTTGCAGTCAAATCTAAATCAGGAAAAAATTGACCTTTATTTTCCTTTGGTATTTTTATTTTAACACTTTCTGACTTGGAGTCAAATTCTGTATGAGACCTTTCATCATCTATACAAGGATACGGAAATCTTAGTCTCAAATAATAAGGTGGTAATGAGAATATAAATAATTCGTTTTTAACAATCATCTCAATATTTGGTGCACTGAACCGTATATGTGAAATCTTTACATCAATATATATGAATTCTTCATTTTGAGTTATTGTGAAAAATGGAGTAATCATCGAAATTGGAGTTGGAATGAGTAGTTTAATGATGAACTACATAAAAATTATAGCATAAATAGAATTACTATATGATTCCATATAAAGATGAGATATTGTAACATTATATACAGGAATTATGATGTAGATATGAAAATTATTTTTAATCTAATCTTATCAGTTAGTATTTATATCTAGTCTTTAGTCCAAACAATATGAGTCCAGTAGAGATTCAACAAGAGCTGGGAAAACCCAAAATTGCCAAAAGAAGATTTGTGGGCAAAAAAACAACCAACACACCTACAGATTCAGAGGTACATAATCAATCATTAGTTAAAAAAGAAGTAAAACGTCATATAGGAAGAGTTATAAATCAAATACCTGATGATATACTAGACGATAAAGACTTAGATGAAGCAATAAAATTACTACCTTCTAACTATAATTTTGAAATTCATAAAACAGTATGGAACATAAGGAAAAATAATGCCAAAAGAATTGCATTACAAATGCCTGAAGGTTTATTAATATATTCATTAATTATATCTGATATACTAGAAGAATTCTGTCAAGTTGAAACTTTAGTGATGGGAGATGTATCTTATGGAGCCTGTTGTATTGATGATTTTACAGCAAGATCACTAGACTGTGATTTTATTGTACATTATGCTCATTCGTGTCTTGTACCAATAGATGTAACAGAAATTAAAGTATTATACGTATTTGTTACCATAAATATTGATGAAAAACATTTGATAAATACTATAAAAAGAAATTTTGATCAAGGTTCACAAATTGCCATATTTGGAACTATACAATTTAATCCTACAATTCACAGTGTAAAATCAATTTTGGAGAATGATGACGAAAAACCAATTTATTTGATACCACCACAAACAAGACCATTATCGAAAGGTGAAGTATTAGGATGTACCTCAGCAAGACTAAACAAAGAACATATAAAAGCAACCATCTACGTAGGGGACGGTAGATTTCATCTAGAAAGTTCAATGATACATAACCCTGAAATCCCAGCTTATAGATATGATCCATATGATAGAAAATTTACCAGAGAATATTATGATCAAAAACAAATGATAAGCGTTAGGAAAGATGCTGTCCTAACCACTAGAAAAGCTAGAAAAATTGGATTGATTCTAGGTGCATTAGGAAGACAAGGTAATCCTGTAACATTACAAAAATTAGAAGTACAACTAAGGGAAAAAGGAATTCAAGTAGTAAAGATTATTTTAAGTGAAATCTTTCCGCAAAAATTATCAATGTTTGATGATATTGACGCTTTTATACAAGTTGCATGTCCAAGATTATCAATAGACTGGGGTTATGCTTTCAATAAACCATTGTTAACACCTTATGAAGCAATGGTCATGCTAGAGGAAGATAGAATGTGGGATGAAAAATATTATCCAATGGATTATTACTCAAAAGACGGTTATGGTAGAGGTCAAATTCCTGATCATGAAAACGTCGATCTTTAGTTTGTGAAATTTACAACAAGATGACTTTTGTTTAACGTGATGCATTATTTAATTATTTATAAATTAATTTTTTTTTATTTGACAAATTTTATAAATTTTGTAATTGTTTTTCATAAATTTCGTCTATACCCAACATTGTAGCCAATTCAAAATCAGACCAAGCAAAAGAAAATTGTAAGACTTCTTGATTTATAAGATCTATCTTGTTGTAAAATTTAACAAATTTCACAAATGTTTCATCTATGATATTATTAACAATTAATGGAGAATTTAGTTTTAATAATTGTTGTTGAATTTCAATCATTGCATTGGGAATATAATTTTGGATAATTATATCACTTTTTTGTAAATTTTCAAAATTGTATAATTTATTTTCCTTAATTGGTTCATATATTGAAACATCAAAAAAATCATCAGACAACGGACATATCATATTTAATATATTATAATAATCAAACAATTCAGTATTATTCAACATGTTATCGAGAATTATTGATATCAAATTTTGAGTTAAATCTGAGTTCAAATCATTGATCTCCAAAACTTTATCCGATAATAATGATATTGGCATAATTTTTGATTGAATTAGATCTAAAAAATTGAACTCTATTATATACGAATCGATTTTGTTAAACTGCTTATTATCACTGACATGTTGTTTGAAAATTGATATTGGTTGGTTTATTATTAAATTTAAGAATCTTTCATGTTCTTCTTGTGATAAATTTAATATTGTTTCAGTATTCATCTGATCAATCATTGGTAAAATATCCAGATAAAATCCAATGATCCATTCTGGAGGTTGTAAGTCCAAATTTAATTCTAATCTTGCCAGATTACTCGATCTTATGGTTGATATCTTATTTGAAATTATCATGAATATACGATCGTGACATGTTTTAACTAAATTTTTAATTGTGACAATTAAATCATCAGATTCGTGTAGTTGTTTGTTGAACATTATTGAATATAATTCAACAAGATTGAATATTTGATAAATTGTTGTCAATTTTGTTTCTATCGATATATTTTGCTCTATTTTTGATTTTATAGGTTTTGATAATGATTTTAGTACCTTATTTGTTACAATTTTGATTATATGATCAAATTCATGATCGTTATCATCTCCCATAGTGAAAATGTTCGTTATAGTCTCCGATTCATTTACCGCAATTGAATGAATATATGCGAGAAAATCCCCCACAAATCTTACTGGATCGTGAGCTGACATGAATACTGGTCTAGCATCAACACTTGACAATGAGATAGAACTTCTAGTACTTGATCTTCGATCCATGGTTGGTCTTTCTAAATCCAGCTGACCTTGAATTTGATGATAAAACTCTTCTAGTAATAATTTGGACCTGGAGTCACTGAATTTATTAATTATTTGATCAAATTGTTCCTTCGTTTTAAGATATTGAAAACACTCATGCAAAATGTTTAATCTTGTTTTTGAGTTTAAGGAGTATAGATTGTCTAATGTTTTATAACAGTAATTGATTGTTCTGTCAATAGACTTGTTTATTATCGAGTTCATCTTGGACATAATCTTTAATCCTAATTGTGGATTATCTTCAGATAATAAAATCGAACAATCTTCCACTATTTTTTCAGCTTTTTCTAATATTGAAAAGTACTCTTCATTTAATTCTCCTTGAATTAATGTAAATTCTTCATATTCATTTAATGTGAATTTTTCTTTGAAAGCTATTAGTAATGTCTTCTTCAATTCTATCAATTGTTTGTCATTATTTAATTTCTCAACATTTTCATTAAATTCACTCAGACTTTTAGAATTTTTGGAGATCCTTTCGTTTGTAGAATTGTTGAGTTCGTTTAATTTTTTTAATTTCAGCTCAATAGTTTTCAATTGTTTTATAACAGGTTGATATTCTTTTAAAACTGATGATTGGTTTTTAATCAATTCTTGTTCTATTACACCTTTTAATTTCTTCCTTGACATAGTTCCGACAAATCCTGCATCCACCAACTCTTTCAAGTAGTCTTGATCATAGTTTTCAAAGTTTGTAAAAATTTCTCTTAATTGTGAGTCACTTAATGAATCATTCAAAACTCTTGATAATCTTATAGCTAATGAGTCTGATTTTGTTGGAGATGAAATATCATCTTTGTTCTTATCATCCTTTAGTAGATTTAGTGATAGCTGAGCATATTTATTCATAAGTTCGTTCTCCGTATTATTACTTTCAGTAGTCGTTGAGTCATTGAGGATTGATGATTTGAAATTTTTTGATAGACTAAAATTAGATATTTTTTTACCAAATGATTCTAAATTTGTAGATATGGGTAGTGATAATGCGGGTTGTGGTTGTGGTAAATTGACATTATCATCTGACGTGAAACTATCAAACTCTATAAAATCCATATAGTGCTAAGTTTTGATGCAATTAATATAATTGAACAATTTGGTCGTCAAGTACTTGGTACAAAAATGTAATCTGTATCAGAATTATCAGATAAATATGCTACCAATTACACCAAAATTTATAAAGAGGTTATGTTGAGAAATATGTTGAGAGGTTGTTCTGTCTACATAGATAATTTAAACTCATTATATTCTCATTAAATTACTCATTATACACATTGATAAAATATAAAGTATTTATTATTAAAATAACATCACTTTATGACACAGCCGAAAATATAAACACCCATAGAATATGAAAAAAAAAAATTTCACTAGAATTAAATACGACGGAATTGAAAACATATGCAAATAATTTAATTTGTGAACTAGGACGATTAAGCTGCTAAATCACCAACTCTCATACTTGGTCTTTCTCTAATTGAAGAAGTATTTTGTTTTTGATTAAATGTTTTTTGTTGTGGGAATTGTACTTGTTGCTGATCTTTTTGGCTGTTCAATTCAGCTGCTATTAAAATTGATGATATACCGTTATCATCGGGAATTTGATTTTTAATTGATGGTAATATAGTAGTATAATTACTATTACTTTCATCTTCTAAGTCGGTTTGGTCTTCATCATTTTGATGATTTGGTTTTGGAAGGCTTCCAATACTCATAAATTTTCTTTTACGATTGATAGGCTGAATTGGTGGTTCTTGACTCAAAGATTGAAGACATTTGGATGCATTAACAATATCTAACAAGTCTGCGTATGATGAAGAATTTGATTTTTCAAAATCTTTCGTGTCCTGAACTGCAGTCATCGGAGTCATTGGCATTTGAATTGAATGATTACCATCGCCATAGTTTGAACGCGAAAAAACCGATGAGTTCAATGATGTATCACTACTATTTGAACTAGAGTATTTATGATAACTCATTGGTGACTGTAATTGCAAACCTTCATTAAATCCGAATGGTCTACTGATTTTTATTGCTTCCGGTTGAGGTAATGGAATAAAAGTGCCCATCAGTGGAACTGATTGATTTCGTTCTTGATTTAAGTTAGCTGGTGGTACTAAAACTGCGGGTTCCTCCACATTATTTTGATGGTATTTTGGATGATTTTGTTGACCTGATTTTGCTTGATTGACAAACGATTTTTCAGTTTGTTGTTGTTGTTCTTGAGATGGTTGATTTACTTCAATTGGTAAAGGAGCAGGTTCTGGTAATTCTTCTTGTTTGAAATTCTCCAAATCATTCAATTTCAATTCTCCAAACCCCTTTTCATTTGGTTTCAAACAACTTTCAGGAAAATCATTACCAAAAATTGGTATCAATTCAAATCTAATATAATAACAAAATCTTCTTGCTAAAATTTTACATAATTTGTATGGTAGCCAAGTTCCTTGAATTTTTAAAAATCCACCTCTAATACGTTTTATATAAAATTGATAATCTTTTGGAGTTGATTCCAACAATTTGACAATATCAGCTTTCAAATGGTTAGCAGAATGATTCTCATTTTGTGAAGAGTTAGTTTCAGAGTTTTTGACATTCAAAGAAGCTTTCCAAATACCTGTCAAATGTACAAACCCAGTTTCATAATCCCAAATCACCCAATGATCATTAATATTGTATTCATAAACTGTTAAATAATTTCTATTTTGATCAATTGCAGAAGTTGAATACTTTTTCGTGTCAATTTTCGGATAAATTGATGTATTAAACTGATTCAAAATTGACTCTGGAACGTGATTGACATTTGGTGATTCCAAATGATGTATGGGATAATGAATATTTTTGGTATCGATAATCAAATTTTGTTTTGGTTTTCTTCTATTTTTAGTTGAGTCAGGTTTTGATCGGAACTTTATGTTTGCATTCATGTTGTTGTTTGACGATTTTGTAGTTTTCCTTTTCTTTTTGGTCTTGGGTTCACTTTTGATTATTGGTGATTGTTGAAAATTTGGTTTTATTTGATTTTCATACAATGGTGGAGTTGAAGATGATAAAGAATAACTTCCATAAGTTTGTTGAGGATGTGGCACGTTGTTATGTTGTGGAGGAGAATATGATGAAAATTTTTGTTGATTATTCAAGTATGGTGAAAGTATTGGAGATACTGGTGAAGTTGGTGAGTTATGAGCATATTGATTTTGATTTACGTCATTCTTGTGATACATGACTGGGTGTTGAATCGCTTGATTGTTTACATTAGATCTGAATTGTAATGGTGACGCTAAAGTTGGTTGAAATGAATGTATGGATGAGTTAGTTTGATGTTGTGGGAGTGGTGGTGGATAATGGATGGTATTATTGATATCATTTTTAGTCAAGAAATGTATCGAAGGAAGTTTAGGTAAACGATTATCCAGTTTATGTTCATTGTTTATTTGATTTAAAGTTGATTCAATAGAAGGTAAAGACCCATTGTGGTGATTTTGATAATCTAAAGGTGAGTGTAGGTAATTATTTGAATCTTGATGATCTCTATTATTGACACTCCAATGAAGTGATTGAATATTAGGCACCATTTCTGTCTCTTATTATAATACTTTAGAATGAATGACTATGAGAAAAATGAGGGACTGAAGTAATATGATTTCCTTACTTACTTTTTCAGTTTTAAAATTTTTCTCAAATGTATGTCTTATTCAAAATTTTGAGGAATTAAATCTAGATATAAGTCTCAATTGTCTTTCTAATGTAATAAAAATTGAAAAAGTTGCAAAATTTCTAAATTTGTTTTGTGTAATTTATATATGTAACAATCAAAAACAAAATATGTCAAATTTCTTAAAATTTTTAACAATTATAACCAATTTAATATAGTTTAATTTATAAATTAGTCAACAGTTAATAAACCAAAATTATGAGCTAGAATTATAAGATTGATTTATGTGTTGAATTTCTTAAATTGATATGTCAAATTTACTAAAATTTATACAAAATTAAAATTTCAGTTCGAAATTAGGGGGGTGTTTTGAATTAATAAACTTTTTGATGGATATAGTTAAAATGTTTATCTTTTTAATTCAAATATTTATTTGTTATCGAAGCCAACTAATTCTGAACTAAAAAATCAAGATTAGGTTTAGTGGAAATATTGAAATAGGTATTATTGGTAAAGTTAAATTGTGGTCTTCTTTTACCTTCTTTCTCGATTTGCAATTTTAGACTTTTTTATCCTTGAAAACTAAGACTTTCGTAAATTTACTTGTATTTTTGAGGTTTATTGTTCTTTGTTCTAAATCTTCTTTTATATACTGGTTTTTTGTTCAAGAAATCTTATCTATGAACAAATTGACTTCAGTTCTGTAAGTTAAGCCTTATGAATATGTAATACTTGTATTACTGTCTATTGATTGTAAGGGATTTTTAGTTAACGTGAAAGGCTGAATATGTGATTAAGTGAGTGAATGTTGATAAGTGATTGAATCAAAAATTAGATCTTGTAAAATAAATTATAAAGATTCTCGGACTATATATATCTATATAAAAACGGCTTATAAACTATCATCATCTTTAACATATGGCAAAATGATTCAGCGATAGAAAGTAAGTAGAACCAAAAAAAGGTGTAAAAATTTGTTCGAGAATCACCAAGTTCTAATTTTTAATCGTAGTAAAATAAATAAAAAAAAACGTCAATAAAGACAATCAAAGTCAAAAAAAGTAAAAGTTAATTTTTTTATTGTTTAGTGAAGAAAAGTATTAAGATTTTTTAATTCTTATGTCGACCTTGATTTTAGTTTAACAAAGATTTGGGGTGAAAGAAATTTTAAGTTTCAGTTTACAGATTAACTTGCTCTTTCAGTTTTTTTTTTTTGTTCCTTTAATTTTTGGTCCCCTTAAGTAAGCAATTTGCAATACTGACTTTTGCTAAAAAAGATATCAAATTATTATAGCAAAAATAAGAGATTTTTTGGGTGTGTACAGCTTCTCGATCGAGATTGGAAAAATATGGAAGTGTGATTTAAAGACAAAAGAATTTTTACACCAGCAAATTTACCGATAAAATCACACACCTATGTCAATCAGATTATCGTCTCTAAGTTTAGTTGATAGTCAATTTTATTGTACTTACAATAAAGCATTTAAGTCAAAATCTTAAATTTTAATTATATAAATTTTGAAGTTTAATCATTTTTAGAAATTAAAAATTCATATTGTACTATTTTTGTAAACTAAAAAAGCTTAAGATTATATGTAAATCAATTTTGACAATTTTGAACATTATTGAATAAAATATGACTTTCAATCACATGAAGTTATTAAAATTTAAAGTTCGGTTGTCAGTAAGTTACCGAGCACTTTGTAACACCCTAATACTAACTTCGTTGATCCATAAGGAATACATTTTTTTGCTTATCATGATTTAGTCATGGTGATTAATTCTGTATATGTTTTCAAACTTTTTCTCGAACAACTCCCTTTTTTAATTAGTATTATTAAGTCAACGTACTTGCATGAATAATATAAAAATTAATCTAACATAAATTATCACTAGATTATATTTGTAAGAATAGTATTATACAAATAGGCTTTATATATCATAACTAAAAAATATAGTTTGAAAAATATTGTTCAAATTTTAAGGATCTCTTGAGAATTAAATTTTGATTAAAACCATTTTGATATCAGTTCATAAACTTTGACAATCAAAATAAAGCTGTTTCAATAAAAACTATCTTAAAATTATTGAGTTAAAACCTAAGTAACCAATAAAAAGGAATTTAAAAAAGTTTAAATTTCTTGTAATTTACTTCCCAATTGTGATTTATGAAATATAAATGTATCATTACAGATTCTGTTGAAAGTTTAACCAAAATGTTTTAAACTTGTACAAAATACGGTATATAAACAGGTTCCAAGAATGCGAATAAAATTGAGATGGTCAACAAATGATAAAAACATCCTTAATTATCAATACAGAAGAAGTTGGTAATTATGGGAATGATTTGATCTTTTATGTATATATTTTTTTGTTCTTGATAAAAATTAATTAAATTACTTCACCCCATCAATCTGCAGGTGTCTCAGACCTAATAAGAAATAATAACAAATTTTCTATTTTTGTACAACTCCTCGAGAATACTTTGATATTGTGTAGCAATCAATCTGAAATTCCTTTAATTTTAAATTATAGTAAATTGTTTGTACTTTTTTTTTTTTTCTATTTTTTTTTCTTTCTTTGTATTTCAAATTGATCCGCCTTCTCCATATTTCAAACTTGTATTGATCTACACATATTGATGGTAATAATAGGCTAAATTTGAATTTAAAATGTGAACCTATTTCAGATCAATAATAATTTTCTCGGAAGCATTAAAAAATTTCTCAAATATTTGGAATCACCCCTTAATCCAATTGATTTACAAATTTTTTAAACAATTTGACGAATGATTTTGATTGACCAAGTATTTCCACAACAACTAAGTAACAGTTTTTGTGTCTATATAAAAATGATGTTTATCTTTTTACTTCAAAGAAAGATAATTTCAGTTGTTTTAAAATTTTAAAAAATATTTAATCGCTTACAATTTTGATATCATTACGACACAAAATTAATCCTTTACAGAAAATTACGAATAAATATTTTTTATTTTATTTTATTTTAATTTATTTTATTAAATTATATTAATTGATTTAATTAATAATAAGTAGAAATCTAAATCTAAAAATGAGCCGTTTGATCAAAAACAAAAATAGAGATATTAGTGCTGAAGACTAAAAGCCATAATTAAATAATTCTTATCAAGAGACCAAAATTTAGGGAGTTCAGATTGATATGCTTTAAAGTGTTTGCATAAAAGCAAACTTGACAATAAAAACTAAAAGGCAAACCTTATTGATGAATGGATTCTATTTGAAGTCTAGATCCATTAAAATATTAATTTGCAAAACTTAGACGAGAAAGAAAGCAATAGTGTAAATCAGTGAACCCAATTTTTTCGAATAATTTACATAATGTATTTGGTCATAGCAATTTTTTATGACCCTTTCGAATGCATATATGGTACTACCAGAATTAGACTATTTCTTTTTCTTTCACCGGCAATTTTAATAATACTAATTTATTTTGTCGATTATGTTTTTTTGATATATTGTAGTAAGAGTTTTCTTTTTGCACCTAAATTAATTTTTTTAATTTGCTACTGATATTTAACTCATAATACATGATACAGTTAATATCTACCTTTGAGAATTACTTACTTTTCTGGCCACGTACCGATAACATGTATGCAAATAATAACCTTAAATAAGTTTTGATGCAGATTGAAATAATTACAAGAAATAAATTATTTATCTTCCATTACTTTTCAACTTTTGTGTGAAATGTTTTACATATGTTTCACTTTTGCTGCATTTAAATAATATAAATTGTGACTCAAAATGAATTGAGAATATTCTAGTTGCCTAATTAAGTTTACTTGACATATGAGTCCTAAATGTTTAAGATAAAACGATACTTGTTCTATCTTGTACAAAAACCGTTAAACACAGTGGAACACAAAAGATGAAATAATACCTAGTTCGAGCAGATGGTTATTTTCTTCTATTTTTCCATTTTAGATTGAAAAATTCTGGAGGTACATGCTCAATGGAAAAAGTGATTAAACCTGATCAATGTAATCTTAGCTAAATAGGGGTTGGAGGATCCGAGTTTTTACTAAGACTGGCTCCATCGTTGTCACTCTCTATTCATTGCTAAAACTGTTGCTGGTAAGTAGAGTTTTGTCTGAATTAAAAGACTTGTTAATTGAGTCAAAATCAGATTTTATAACAAATTATTGGGATTTGTAAAGTGAATACTACTTTTGTGCTTCTTGATCTCGATAGAATCTTTAAATTTCATATGTTTCCTTGTGAAGACGAAAACTTTACCCGCAGTTCACCAGCAAATCGAAGCTGTCTGCTAGATAACCCTTTTAAAAACGTCAAAAGAAATTCTGTTGTTTATAACTCGGAAATTTCTTCTTGTTGAATGCAAACAAACAAACAAATAAAGAAAAAGACACAAAGAACCGAAAAAAATAACTAGGTAAGCAGAGAAATTCGAAATCTTGATAATAGAAGTGCACCCTAATATCGACGTCATTACAAAGATCCAGCCTACTATCTAACAATTTATCCCTTTCGAATAACAATTTAAATAAAGATTACGCCTGATTGTACTATATTCACTTGATCAAACTCAACTAATTCCAGATTCAAAAAATATATCACAACTCACAGGCCAAAGGTGCAAATTTAGGAATATGACATCAATTATACGGAAAGCATTATACTCAACTTCTACCAAAGAGCCAAGACTAAATCCTCACGTATGCATAATTTTACTGTGACTTGAAATAATTTACTCAATCTTAATCATTGTGGCCAATTTCAATTTTACTAACAAATCTTTATCTCATACAGTCCGTATTTTACAGACAGTTTTCTAAACCATTTGCAAAAATCTGTTTATTATCTATTGGAACTTATTATGGCATGATTTATACTTGGGAATATTTGGAAAAGAAAGAGAGTGAAATATAACGAAGGTTAAATTTTCAAGGGATTCTCATACCTCCTTTATAAAAGTGTACACCAACAATTATTATCTCAATTCAGGATAAATAATGGCGAGAGGTCTGTTGTTGGTTTATCCTCTAGTTATTTTGAGCTACAAACTAACTACACTTGAAAGAGAGCAAGATCGTTACCCTTCATTCAATACAAATATTAAATGCATATCATTCATGAATACAAAATCTATTGAACAATTACGAAACCAAAAACGTTATTAGTCAAATGTATATAATCCTGAATATATCGTTACTCATCTCCCCAATTATTGTTTTAATCTATTGGCAACAGCATCCAAAAATTCAGTAGTTGTAACATAACTTGATCTATCAGTTTTACCCATAGCTAAAGCTAAATCTTTTGTCATTATTCTATCTTCTTGAACGGTATCAATAGTTGCTTTTTCTAATCTATTAGCAAATTCAACAACTTCTGGAGTATTATCTAATTTACCTCTTTGAGCAATACCTCTTGACCAAGCAAATATTGAAGCAATTGAATTTGTTGAAGTTTCTTTACCTTGTTGATGTTGTCTATAATGTCTTGTTACTGTACCATGAGCAGCTTCAGATTCATAAGCTGATCCATCTGGAGTCATTAATGCAGAAGTCATTAAACCTAATGAACCAAAACCTTGAGCAACAATATCTGATTGAACATCACCATCATAATTTTTCAAAGCCATAACAAATCCACCTTTTGATTTAATCATTTGAGCAACCATATCATCAATTAATCTATGTTCATACCATAAACCCTGTTTTTCAAATTGTTGTTTATAATCTGAATCATAAATTTCTTGAAAAATATCTTTAAATCTACCATCATATTTTTTCAAAATAGTATTTTTTGTGGACATATATAATGGTAAATTTTTACTTAAGGCCATTTTAAATGAAGCATGAGCAAACCCAGTTATTGATTCATCGGTATTATACATAGCCAATCCAACACCTGGTCCTTTATATTGATAAACTGAATGAGTTTCTGCTTCTCCCCCATTATCTGGAATAAATCTTAATTCCAATTTACCTGGTTCTTTAATTACTAAATCTTTTGCTTTATATTGATCACCAAATGCATGTCTACCAATAACAATTGGTTCTTTCCATCCTTGAACTAATCTTGGTATACAAGGAATGATGATACTTTCTCTAAAAACTGTACCACCCAAGATATTTCTAATTGTACCATTTGGTGATAACCACATTTTTTTTAAATTAAATTCTTTAACTCTTGCTTCATCTGGTGTGATTGTTGCACATTTAACACCAACACCATATTTTTGTATAGCATGAGCAGCATCTATCGTAATTTGATCATCTGTTGCATCTCTTGATTCAATACCTAAATCATAATACTTTAAATCAACATCTAAATAAGGATGAATTAATTCATCTTTAATTTTTGCCCAAATAATTCTTGTCATTTCATCACCATCTAATTCAACAATTGGATTTTTAACTTTTATTTTATTTGATAATTTTGATGAAGTTGCAAAAGTACGAAGATGATTCAGTAACATCTTTGTACGATTTATAGCTGATGAACTTATCATTTTATTTAAATCTGTTTCTGATAATTGGTGTTGTTGAGATACAGATTTAATAGATGAATCTGATGACAGTATTTTGAACTATTTTGGAATTAAGTCAAATACTTCAAATTCTAAATTGAAATATATAAAAAATAAAAATTGTTTAATATGAATTTATTATAATATTAATAAATTGAATATGTTAATTGTTTGTCTATAATATTATTTTTTTATTCAAGTTTATGTTTAAATTTTTCATTTTTGTATTAGGCCTAATAAAAGAATTTTTATTAAGTGTGGAAAAAAAAACCCGATATTAAATTTTATCGGGCCTGAAATTAAGTTTGACTCGTTATCAGTAGTCTATGTGTCTAATATAAAATGACTAATTATGAAAACATATTTATGAAAAGATGAGTTGCAATCATTAGAATATGATCTTCTACTTTTAAACTAGTGGAGATGAACAATTGACTGATACTGATATGAACTTATATATTTTGTAGACTTAAAGTTAAACATTTTCATTTTCGATTTTAAATTTTCATTATTGGTTTATTTGACCAATCCATGTCAGTAACCTTCTTGCATTTTATGGAAAGATTGCCATACACATTGTGAAAAGCATCAATAAAACAAAATTTTCTTTCAATTAAATTGATTACAGTAGTTTCCATGATTTCTTACTTACTTATTTATGTTTGACTATCATATAATATTTTAATATATAAGATTTTTGTGCGATTAAAAAAATTTGGTTGCAAAACTTTATCAAAAAATTTACAACCAAATATAATGAATATAAATTCACCATTTATATGTTGCGGAGTTTGTTATAAAGACTATTTGGATTTGAAGCAAACTAAAGAACTGTTGTGCTTGACTTCATGTGCTCATATAACTTGTCTGTCACATCTTAGTTGTATGTTCAGTTATCATAGATTTTATTGAAATAGTTTACTAACCATGATTTTAAATAGCATATTCAAATGGTCCAGAAGTTTGCCCGATTTGTCAATCAGAGAATATTACTACAATTGTTATTAATCAATCTATTCCATCAGATTTAAAATTATTTTTTACTCCTGTTACTCAACAATTAAATAGTTTATCAAATTCTTGTCAACATCAATTTAATACATTAATCAATAAAATTGAACATTTAACTCAATTAAACAATAGATTGAATGATAAAATTAGGAAACAAAAAGAATTTTTGTATGCAGCAAAGGAAGAAATCACTCATTTAAGTAAATATAAATCTCAAGTTGAAGATTTGAAACAAGAAATTGATGAATTAAATCATAAATTGGAAGATTTGAAAAGACCTGAAACTTTTGATTTAACTAATTTGGATGAGATTGAATATGGTAGAAATAACAATAATATCAATGATAACATTAATGATAATAGCTTTTTACAATCTCCTATTAAGGAACCAATAAAATCCAAACCTTTTGATTTTGCACTGAATACATTCATAAATAAAATCAACCAACAATCCATTAATCAAAATTTAAACAAAAGTAATTTTCATCAACAACAACAACAGAAACCAATAAGCAAAACATTAGGCAATACAAACTCCACAAAAAATCAATCAATTAATAACCCACTCACCAACATAAATAGTAATCATCGTAGTACTAACCAAAACGAAATTCATAAAAGATCATTTTTTGCTGAATCAACCAAAATCGGAGAATTTAATAATAATAATAATAATAATAATAATCATCCACTTGTTTTTTCATCTGGTACAACATCAATAACAAGTTCAAGATCAGGTTTTCAAAAATTTAATAATAAATATGGTAAATCAAATAGAAGATCAGCAACTAGTCAATTAGCTTCAAGATTAACAGCAAATATGAGAATTGGAACTTTAAATGATGATAAAGGCACAAATAAAATAAGAAATAATATTGGTATTGGATTTCAAATGGCTAATACAGGTTCAAATATGATTGGTAAAGGTCCAGTATTAAATAAAATTTTAAAAAGAGCATCTAGCGGAGCATCTCATCATTTTCAACATTAATTATTGCTTTTTCACCTGATTGTATTAAATATATAGAAGTTTAAGATTAATCACCACGTTGTATTCATATTTGATTGAAGTAACATATAGCTATTTTAATGCATTTGATCTTGATTAAAAGTAACCTCTACTTGAGTTATCTAATATTTGAATTAAAAGCTCATTATCATTTTATTATTCAATTGCGTGATTTGTTTAGTGAAAGTTGAAGTATCCCTTAATTAGATTTAAATTTCTTGTTTCATTTTATTATTTTGGTCTTTTTTCCTTTTATTATTATGTGAGACTATAAATACAGCTGAAATTATTCAAATTTTTTTAGAACTTTTATTTTACAACTCCTTTTTTTACATTTTATTCTTCTATAATTTGAGAATTCACTTTTATAAAAAGCCAACACCACTACATTACATTCAATTTATATATATATATCTATATCATATCAAAAAGATCAAGTTCCGAAGAATATCTTTTCAATATTCTGTTGTTAAATATATTAACGTTTAAAAGAAAAATAATTATATATTCGACAACAGAGAAGAAGAGTCTTGTTCAAAAGTTTGAAAATAAATATAAGATAACTGTAACTGGCCTACCCTAAATATAATCCAGTTTTGTTATCTTTATTATCTAATTTTTGATCACAGACTATATTAAAGGTTGGGAGATACTTTTCTTACTTTATCTTTATTATCTATCATTTGAACAAACGATCTTCAACTGAACTTTAATAAAGAATAAAGAACCTACACGACTTATTTAATAATTTAAAGCTATAATTGTGATACTGCAAAAACGCTTCCTTGATCATTTATAAATATATTAACATTTGATAGCAGCGTTATTCACTTATTTGCATACTAAAAAAGTTGGATCATATATTTTTGAATAATTTACACTACCTACAAAATATAAATTTGATTATAAAAATTTATATAACACAAAATCAATAAATTAGTTCTTTTACATAAATCTGCATATAGTCAAGTTTATTTTGGTTGCAAAATACATGGATCTAATTAAATACATTATAACAATTCAAATACAATAATTTGTACTACAATGAATCTCCAAAATTTAAGTTCAGAAGGTTTAAGATTTAAAAATGAATTGGAACAATTAACAACAGCCAAAAAGAATATAATAACCGATTTAACAACACTTGCAGATACATTTAAAGGTACAGCTGCTAGGGAAATTTGTGATATTTTGGAGCACCGTATATATACGGTCACTCCAGTACGCAAATTGTATACCCTTTACTTAATAGATAGTATCTGTAAATTTGTTAAAAATCCATATAATATTTTATTCAGTCAAAGGATTTTTGATATATTTAGATATTTATACACTCAATCATCAGAAGGGAATCTTAGAGCAAGTTTGAAAGAAACATTCTACACTTGGCAAGATGCTGAAGCTGGTGAAGAGATATTTCCAAGAGAAACTCTAAACAAAATTGATGATTTAATTCTTAAAATTATAAAAAATGATAGATCATCTTCAACACCTGATGCTTTACTTTATAGAGGAAGACAATTATTGGGTATAATATTAAGATTAAATGCAGATCTTGATCAATTGAGAAAAGAGTCAAGTTTTTTAGTTAAATCAGAAATTTCAAGAATTGAAGGTTTTGAAATTAGACGAAATAATTTAATATCAAAAATTAATGATATATCAGATTTATTAGAAGCTGATTTAAATCGAGGATTAACTTATGATAATAATGGGTTTAGTTATTTTGATGACAGTTATAACGAAATTCAAAAAAGTTTAGATGCTCAATTCAAAGAACAAGATAAATTTTTAGAACAAAGTTGGAGTAGAATTAATAAAATTAAAAAAAGTCAATATAGGAAAAGAGTAAAAGAAGAAAAAGAATATAACAGAAGATTGTATTTAGAAGCAAATAAAGTCATTCTAGATAGAGCCCCTAAGATGGAATTTTTTCCAAATTCAATAAATCAAATCAATTTTACAGATTTTTTAAAAGGTTTTGGTAAACCAGTTACAAAATACATTACTCAATTCAAATTTGAAGAAGATGATAATAGAAGAGAACAAAGTTTTGCTTCTGGTTTTGGTAATGCTAATCAATCAATTGGTTCAAATGATACTAGTTCATTAGATAATAACGTGGTTAAAGTTAAAAAAGAAAAAGAATCAAATGAACAACCAACTACGATTGACATGCTCGGATTATTTGGTGGCGCTGGTAGCTTAATTCTTGGATCTGGAGCAAATGCAATTGAAGAAAATTCAAGATCAAATGAAGAATCAAATGAAAATTCAATTTTGAATAACACAAACTCAACTATTAATCATCAAACTGTTCAAAATAATTCATCAAATGATATGAGTTTAGTTTCGAATAATTCAAATGGTTTTGGATCATCATTATTATTTCCAACAGATCAATTAAATTTAAATTCGAATCCTAATGATACTAATGAAGATTATGATTATTCAGCAAATTATCCACCACCACCAAAAGAAAAATCACCACATAATCAATTTGTTGCAATAAAAGGAGAACCTGGTACCTTTGAATTTTCTGAACCTTTATCAAGTAATAATATAGTTGATCAAGCCAACGAAGTTTATGACATCAGTTCTGATGAGGATGTACAAAGTGATGTTGAACAAAATTATTCAGATAGTGAATCAACTGTTTCAAATACAAGTAAAGGAATTGAATCTCAAAGTTTTTCAACTACAGCAAACCATCAAACTCAAAATTTTGGTCAAAGAAGTATTTCAAACAATCAAGTTCATTTAGATGAATCACAAACTCAATTTAATCAATCTCATCCTGCTGATCAAACTCAAGAACTAAAAGAAAAAGAGAAAGAATTAATAGAAGAAGAAAAATCAGATTCACTGGAGTTAATGGAAGATGATCAAACAAATTTGAATAGATTGGGATTACATTTAAACCTTGATGGTAGAGAATCAAGTCCTCATATTTATAGACCACCAACTCCACCAAATCAAGGTCATAGTTCAAAACAAAGTAGTCCAATTACTATTTCATCAATGAATGGAATTAATAAAGAATCTGATTCTGATAGTGAAAATGATTTACCACCAATTGCTCCTCGTCCTCCAACTCCTCCACAAGTTGCTGGTGAAACAAATGCAAAATCAATTTCACCATCATCAAATAATGAGAGTCCAATAGAAGAAAGTGGAACTTTAGGTGAACCATCAACAAATGGTTTAGATCAACCAAATAAAACTATTGAATCATTTAGTGAAACAAATGGTACAACTGAGTCAACTGAAACAAATGAATCACCAAAATCTCCAATTACTCAACCATCACCTTCTTTAGGTCCTAAAAAATTAAGTTTTTCAGCGTATAGATCAGCAAGAAGAAATTCAGATATTCCCCCACCAATTGATAACTCAACAGGTTTGGGATTAACTTTTGGTAATACAAATAATAATAATAATATTAATAACATTGGAATTACTGGTAATTCTAATGGTCTTAAATCAATATTAAAAAAAAATAATTATAATAATAATAATCATACCACTAATGAAAGAAGATTTAGTGAAGAAATTGCATTAATGAAAAAAAGAAGATTAAGTTTAGATGATGAAGAAGAAGCTGAAAATCCTATTCCAACTAAAAGAGTCAGATTTTTAGATGCCTTATAATATTGCTAGCATTAATTAATAAAAGTTTTAAATGTATAAATACAATTATTGTAGTTAAGTAACCTCTCAACTTCTTATTGGGGCAGAAAATCGGTTTAGAGAATTTTCCTATTTCAACAATAGAATATGTATTATTATAAAGTTATTATGTCAAATAAAAATATTCAATTATATGCCTTAAAAAAATAATTAATAAAATAATTTATCATTCAAACCGTAATCATTTATGAGAATTTAAATATCCTCTCCATGTTCAACTTATTCTTCTTCCATAATTGTCTTTCATTAAATCCTCTTGCACATTAATAATTTTGTTTTTAAAACATATGACCCAAGCAAAAGGAAAAAAATTCTCAACATTAAATATCAGACTCTCATCCCGCTTACATAGCTGGTTCATTAAAAGAACCAGATTTATACATTTGCCAACCAGTACTTAAAAATGGGAAAGCAAAGAAAAAACCTAAAACCCCCCAATACCATACAGCAAAAGGAATAAATTTTCTATTTTTAACTTGAAATGGTAAATTTGAATAAACACCTTCTTTTGGAGTACCATAAACTTGAGTCATTACATCACCACTTAATAATTTTGAAGATTGTTGAAATTGTCTAATTTGATTTAAATTTTGTTTAAAAATTGATGAAGTTAATTGTTGAATTGGAGTTTTTGAAAATCTTTGTAACATTGATCTGGCTAACATTTTGTATTAATTATTTTCTTTATTTTTTATTTGATCTTTAAATGAATTGAATTATATGAATAGATTGTAAAATCAAATTGTAAATTGAATTATGAGATTGTAAGCTGTATTGATTGATATTATTGTCAGATGTTTTTTTCATATACTTTAAATGGTAGTGCAAAATCATACAAAATTGTTATTATACTAACTAATTATAAAATTATTAAATATTTAATTGGTTTAATTAAATCATAGTAAATAAATAATGTACTAGTATAAAAACCAATGCTACCAAAATAAGGTGATATTTTTTTTTCTATTATCAAATAAAGTAAAACAAAAAAATTAACTAACAATAACATCAACTTTATACTTTATCAAAAAACATATAATCACACAACCAAAAATGGCCATTACACCAATTACAGGAACTTTAAAAAGAAAAATTATAACTGATATTACAATTGGTTTTGCTGCTGGTTTTTCATTAGCTACTTTATATTGGTATATTGAACATAAACCAATTGTTGCTAAAAGAGAAGCTTATTATGCTCAATTAAAAAAACAAAAAGAAGCTGAAAATATAGCTTAAGATTTGAAGAAGAAGAGTTTTTGACTAAATAATATGAATAAGAAGTGAAGGAGAGAAGAGGAGGAGGAAGATGAGGCATGGACTTTGAAAAATCTTATTAATTTGAAGAAGGAAGATTGAAAATTACTCTTCCATTAATAAGTGGGCCTTTTTAATGGAGTTCTATAATGAAGTTTTATATTTTTTTTTAATAGCTATTCAATTAATAAGTTATATTTTTGCATTTAATTCAAAAATAGAAGAAGAATTGTAGTATTTTATTCAAATTAATTATTTATTGACTTATGTATTCCCATAATTTATGATGGTTTATAATTCCATTCGAGATTATGATTATCTCTTTCTTATTTCCCTTTTCAATTAATTTTTCTTCTAAATATTTTAAACAAGTTAATTCACTTCTTGTTATACCTCCTAAAAATACTAATATTAAATATTTCAGTTTATCATTATTTATATTATTTAAATTTAAATCAATTAGTTTACCAGAAAACATTGTATTTAAACCTAAATTATCCCAATTTGGTCTTTTTTTTAAATTATTTACTGGTTTATATTTTAAAAAATCTCTAAAATATAATGATTCAATTATTCTATAAGTTAATGGTATTGTATTACCTGGTAATGTAAAACTTGGATTTGAATAAATTTGAATTAAATCAGTCAGTTCTTTATTTGTTGTTCTATTTTCATCTTCATCTTCAATTGGATGTAAATTCCAAAATTTATTAATTAATGTATAATTACTTTTAAAAACATCTTTTGCACCACTTATTCCTTTCAAGGTTTGAGTATCTTCAATGTTTGGAGTTTGATGTTTCTTTTGACTACTTAATCCCAAGGTAGTTAAAAAATCATTTGATGAATCATTTATAACTCTTATTAATTTTAATTTGATTAATTTTTCTAATGATAATGAAGCTTCTAAACCAAAATTATCTTGTAAATCTATTGATATTTTTTCTAAATCTTTATTTAAAATTCCGTCATTTATGAAGTTGATCAATAAGATTGTTGGCCATATAAATTCGATATTGTAATTACTATTGATAAAGAATTTTAAATTTGATATTTGTAATTTATAATCCATTTCGAAGATGTCATTCTGTAGTGTTAGGAATTTTTCGTATTCATTATTAACTTTACTTAATATAGCTTCTCCAATAATTGTATGTTTTTTGATAAGTTCTTGTTGTAAAGTTAAATTACCCAAACTGGACACTAGATTCTTCATATCATTCAAATTTGAATCTCCAACTGATCCTGAATCTTTGAATTTTTGTTGAATTAATTTAGCTAATTTATTTAATCTTAACCCGATTGTTGAAAAATTTAAATCTTTCAAGTCCTTTGTGTACCATTCATCCGATAAATTTTGTTTGTCTAAGTTTACTATATTTTCAAATTTGATCTCAAACAAGTCATCAATAATACCCTGGTAATTTAGTTGATTAAAAATCAATGGAAAATAATCCAAGTTTCTTTCAATAACCACTAAATCTGTATTACTTGTTAATTTTTCATTATAAAATTCAATTTCAATATTTGTTTTATTTTCTGTTAAATAATTTGGAATCTTTGATTTCATTAATGTATTTATTAATAATTCTGAATGATCCCCTTTACCATAAACATTTCGTAGTTTGAATAGATGTTGTAGATTATCTTCACCATTGTTTAGAAATAATAACTTTATTAATGTATCTGATAGTTCATTTATTTGTTTTATTGGTTTCTCAAAATAATCATCTAACCCTCCATATTGGCTTATGTCAGTGATTAATATTCCATCTGAATATATTGGATCAGTTTCCCAATTAAATACTTTAATCTTTGATGTTATACTTATAGGTTTCAATGGTTTGTTCAAAGCTAGTATTTTTTCGAAATCATTTATTCCGTTGAATGACTTATTTAATTGATACAAAAAAGTCTTGCTTAAATCCTTAACGATAATATTAAATTTTAAGTTGTGAACATTATTCTGTATATGTTGAATATATCTTTCGAGTTTTTTCAAGTTCTCTGATGATTCAAGTAATAATATAATCAAGCTTGAATATTTAGATAGTACATTTAAAGGTAGTTCAATCAATTCGTCATTCAACCAAGTAACATTTTGACATTTTCCATTTTCCTTTATATTCAGAAATGTTGTTAAATTATTTATAAATGGTGATAGTACTGGATCTAGAACCAATAAATTATCGGAGGAGTATATTTTATTTAAACAATTGTTTAGTAGATTATGTAGCGTATTTTCATTGAATTGATTTAGATTTATTGAGTTTGTTTGTTCAATTGTCATTTATATTCGGTTCTGTGAAATTGGTTGTAAAAATTGTAGTTTTGATATTTTGTATATTATTATTTTTTTGTTGCAAAAAATAAAGATTTACGATAAAGAATTTAATACTAGCATTTTTTTTTGAATAGTTTAAGTCTATATTATTGTATATATTATTTTATATATATATTTTTATCATTGAATAAATATTAAGTCTATCAAAAACTATAATTTAGCACCTTTTTCTTTACCACTAAATTTCAATAAACCTTCTTGAACAACAGTTGCAACATGAACTCCCTCATCATTATAAATTTCACCTTCAACTAAAATTCTATCATGAGCAAATCTAATAGTTTTAAACCCATATCCCATCCATTTAGTAACATCAAAATCATCATCATGAATATATAATACATGATCTAGACTTACTCCAAAAAATGTTTTATGATAATCAGTTAATTGAACATCTTCTATTCTTAAAACTCTCAAAATGACATTTAATAATAAAGAGTCTGATATATTACCTAACCCCACGTATTGAAATTGTGAATCAACACCCACCAAAGGTTGATGAAAACCTTGTTCGTTATCTATTCCCCATCTTACTAAAAATGCAAATTTTCTTTCTGCTACAGGTATATCATTTTCATATTCTGATTTATTTAATTGTAAAAAATCCGGGAAAAATTTAAAATAACATAACATATTTGATTCAATATTTGAAACTGGTAAATCTTTTAAATCATATTTCTTAAACCAGTTGTGTAATGGTGTTTGGAACCCAAATGGTTTTATTGGTTTTTTCTCAACTTCTTCTTCGTCATCATCATCTATATCTTCTTCAACATCTCGTTCTTTAGCTCTTTGTTGGAATTTTGTATTATACTCCTCATATTTCGCTAAACTTGCCTTGTACGAATTCTTCTTAGTTAGTGATATATTGGCATAATATACAATTTCTCCATTTTGTAAAGCTTTGACTGATCTATTACAAAAGTTATTACCGTTTGAGATTTCTTCAACTTCATAAGTGATTGGATCGTCAGGATTTGCTGCTCTTACAAATGAAGAATGTAAAGAATGTGGTCTAAACTCTGGATCACAAGTCTTCATGGCGACGAGAAGCAGTTGCCCAACAAGGTTACCTCCAAATACTCCACGGCTATCCCACATCGGAGTTACCAATGGTTTTTTGCCAATATACTTGTCTTTATTTATCTCTATAACTCCAAATTCTTCTTGAACATCAACTGCTTGTCCTCTTTTATAATTTATCTCTTTCATCTTGTAATTAATTGATTAAAAATTATTTTGAATATTGAAGTAAAATATTAGTAAAAGCGTTGGCTATAATCGTCGGTTATTGTTATGGTTCTCGAAGTATAAACGTTGGTGAAAGTTCTCTTAGTTCATTCAAGGTTTAATTGTAAATCAAATATTTAACATTTTTTTTTTCTATCTATTAAAAAGGAAAGCCGCATTTAAGTTTCTATATTTACCCCACGTTAAAAAAAAAAAGATTTTTAAAGCCGAGCTTGAATCACAAAAGAAGATATTGGTTAACGATTAAAATATTTCAAGAATACCAAAAGGAAAGAAACGAAAGTAGAAGTCAATTTGACCATTGTCAACAGTTTTTCTTTATATAAATAATTTATCAATAACTCTCTTAAATAAATAATCCCAATTGTTTGTCTATAAATTTGCTTTTGGTTCAATCGCTTCAGTAACAAATAATCTTTCTTGAACTACACTAGCGACATGTTTACCCAGTTCATTAAATAATTCACAAATAATTAAACATCTATTATGCAGTAATATAGGAGCTCTTAAACATATACCTGTCCATTGAGTAGCATCAAAATCATCATCATGAAAATAAACTATATGATCTAATGAAACATTAAAATTAATTTTAACTCTATGACCTTTTGTTCTAAATGCATAATCTAAACTCATCCAATCCGTTATCCATGCGAGAGCCGCATATTTGAATTTTTCTGGTATTGGTAATACTTCTTCTTTTTTATAAAGTCCATATTTTATTATGTATGAATAAACATCTTTAGATTCATATTCATCAAAATCTCGTACACTTAAATGAACATTTGCTACATCATAACCTTTCAAATTATCTACATTATAATGTTCTAATTCTGATTGTCTTGAACTTTGAAATGAAAATGGCTTATTGGTTAGTTTTAAATCATCTGCGTCGGTATTTTTGGAAGTTAACGAAACATTTGCAGTGAATACAATTTCTTCATTCTGTATAGCTTGCAAAGATATATTTGCAAATGATTTACCTATTGATATATCTTGAACTTTCCAAGTTACTAAAACATCAGGAAGACCCTTTTTAGCAAAAAAAGTATGAATTGAATTTGGTTTAAAACTTGAGTTTGGGAATCTTGCCGCAGCAACGACAAGCAGTTGAGCACACAAGGCGCCTCCGTAAACGCCTCTTACTCTAGGGCCAGGTTTTCTTAATGGTGCCACGCTTCTATATTCATTATCTGAAATTTTTATAACATCTAGCTCTGAAACTATATCAACTGGTGGAAAAGTTTCATTTTTATATACTTGATTTGGATTTATTATATTTTGATCAGCATCCATAGTGAGAATTGCTTCAATTTGCCCGTAATTTTTGAGATTTGAAAATAATATGGTCTATCAATAGGTCAATGATTAGTCGAGTTAAGTTGATTTTTATTTAAATCGGGATTTGAAAATTTTAATATTTTTAATAATAGCGGCTTTTTAGTTTCTATTTATATTATTCCGTTATTTATTAAATCAAAATTGTTTAATATAATTTGGTCTATACTAATTAAGTGTTTCACTTTTTATAATTTGATATATTAATTTATGATTAAATTTGTTTCTTAAATTAAGTATCTTTTTTAAAATTATGTTGATAATTTATAGAATATATTATGGAATACAACTCGGTTAATAAATAAACTTCTTTTTAATGAAGCCATAATAAAACTTTAATTTCAATTTAAAAGATACATAAAATTACCGTTGGAGAAAAAAGAAATTTAAGGTTAAATTTTTATTATTTATTATTTATTTATTTCACAAGACATAATATATTATTAATTACGAACGGTATTATCATTATAGTAACACTCATATACATTATGATTGATTCAAGATTTACTTAAATACACAAGTCTTCATAGAAGGATATCTAATAGCTTACTACAAAAGAATACAAAATAACATTATATGTTTATGTCTATTTAATTGAAACGTCTCACTAATTTTACAATTTAATACTAGTTATAAATAATCTTTCTTGTAATATACTTATAATTTGTCTTTTATCTTCAGTATATATATCACCTTTGATAACAGCTCTATCATTTCCAATCCATTTTAATTGTAATACATAAGTGATAAATTGATTTAATTTAAAATCATCATCATGATAATATACATTATGATCTATTGATGCTTGAAATCTTGGTCTTATATCTATATCTAATCTTGGTAATAATATTTCTAAAACTATCCAATCTGTTAATGTTGTTATTCCTGCGTATTTAAATTCTCTTATTTCATGGTTGGTTAAAGGTTGATTAAATTTTGAATCATTAGATATTCCAAAACTTAATACATATGATGCACTTGTATCTTCTCGTGCGTATGGTGATAATTTTTGAAATGTAAATAATGATGGCATTTTAAATACTGTTGGAGCTTCATTTATAGGAACTTCTGGTTCACCTTTTAATGGTGTGTGATAATTGATTTTACTATTATTTCTATGTGATGTTTTTGATGTTGAATTCTTAGTAGTTAATGATATATTAGCAGTATATACAATTTGATTATTTTGATAACCTTTTATAAATTTATTTACAAATGTTCTTCCACTTGATATAGTTTCAACTTTCCAAATAACTGGGATTTCATCACTTACTGCTTTTATAAAAAATGAATGTAATGAATGAGGAACAAAATTGGCTGGTGAACTCCGTATAGCTACTGCAACTACTGCACCTGCTATATTACCACCATATGCTCCTCTATCAGATTCATTTGGTTTTGCTAATACTTGGACTCCTTTATATGTATTTGAATCAATTTGAATTATATCAAATAAAGATTTAAGATCTATTGGTGGTAATTGTTTGACTATTTGTTGTGAAGCATCCATCTTTGTAGCTACTTTTTGTTTTATTCTCTATTCTATTTTGTTAATCTATAACTTGTAACGTCGACTAGCTTTTCAGTATGATGAGTGATTTGATGACTTCTTCATTGACCAATTTCTTGTTTGTACGTATTTCTTTATTTCTTACCGAGGAAAATTGCGGAGTACAAATTAGATGAATATGATAAGCGATATGCATATTAGAAAAAAAAGTATTATTTTAAAAATGTATAGAATTCAAATTAAGAAGATCTAGAAAGGTTTGTAGAATATAGAGATGATTTTGATTACGAAAACTGTCTTATTTCATGGATGAATAATGCAATATTGAAATTAAACTCTATATGATGAGAAGAATAAAAAATTTAAAATAAATAACCAAATACGAAGACCCCAAAAATAAAATTAAAACATCGTTCATCCATTTTCTTTCTATCAATAATTCTAATTAGTAACTGACTCTATAATTTAGCAACAGCTGTTGATTGTGAATTCCCATTATATTTCTCATGTAATTTTTGACTTTCTTCAACCATACGTTTTGGAATAAATCCATAAGCTTCTTGAATGGCAGTGGCAATACATTTACCATCTAATGTATAAAAATTGACCACTGCTAAAATTCTATTATTACCCATTGAAATAAATCTATAATCTAAATATAACCATTTACTTGAATCAAAATTCAAATCATGAAAATATAATATGTGATCCAAACTTACTCTGAAAAATTCAGATTCATTTTTATCTAATGGTAATCCAATTGCTTTTATTATAGTTGCTAACCATAAAGCATCTGATGCAAAAGTTAAACCTAAAAATGATAGTTTTACTTTATCTTCTCCCAAAGAATAATCATCAAGAAATTTAACAAACATTCCCAATTCAACATCACCTATTAAATTTATATTAAAATTTTTAGTTTTATTAAAAAAATCAAGTGGTACAGCATGTGCAAGATTACCATTTGTATGTTCAAAATATGGTAAATCATCAACTTCATCTTTAAATTTAAAATATTTAGGATTAGGACTTCTTTTAAAATTGAAAGGTAAACTTTTAATATCTGATCCACTTTTTAATAATTTTTGATATTCTTGTTCTTTAACATTTAAATCGTTATCCTTTGTGAAAGATGCTTGTAATGTGAAAACCAATACATTTGTATGTTCTTGATAAGCTAATGCTATTCTATTTGCAAAATTTCTTGTATCACTAATTTTTAAAACTTCCCATCTTAATAAACTTTCATTTGATCCTGCTTTTACAAAATATGAATGTAATGAATGTGGTTGGAAATTTTCTCTACCTACTGATTCCCATGCTGCATTTAAACCTTGTGATAAAAAATCTCCTCCATATGTACCTCTTGCTCCTTCTCTAAATGGTTCAACTGGGTATACACCTTGATATATTACTTTATTGCCTTCTTCTTTTATAAATTTTACTTTTGATTTTGCTTCTATTTTACCAACTGGATTATCATCGTTATAAACATCTTGTTTTAATCTTTCCATTGGTGTTAATGCCATTTTTGTAAGTGAATATGTATGATATGAATATTTAATATTAGTGAGAAAGGATTAGTAATTATTTAAAAAATAATTGTGTACCTGATTAGATCTTGTTACATCTATTTGCTATTTATATATTTAAGTTGTATCATAATATTGAGGCTTTTACCGAGGAACAAAATTATTTACATTTTCAGATTTATGTCAAAATTTTTGTGATGCTTGTCGTAAATTTAGTCGTTTAAATTGACGGTTTTTTAATAAGATATTTATAGTGGGTAACAAAAATGAATGAACCAATTTCTTAACTCCAGATATTTTCATATTAGGAAATAAAGTCAAGTTGTCTGGATAGTCATTATAAACTACACTTGCAATCAAATGAACCACTGGAGAATTGACTTATATACTACAATTTAGTGTTTCAATATTATCACATATTATTTTTATTAATTTTACTCTATAGATTTATAAATGTGCCTGATCTGCTGTACTACCAACACCATCAAATAATATAGTTAAACCTTCTTGTACAATTGTTGCAATACATTTGTCATTTTTATTAAATAAAAACCCACGACATACCAATCTATTATTACTTAATCTTTTCATTTGATAAGTTAAAGTTAACCAATCTTTACAAATATCAAATGCAGAACCATCTTTTGGATCATATTCATTATTATGAAAATATATATGATGATCTAAAGACATTGCATTATAATGAAATAAATGCATTGCATTTAATGTAGAATTTATTATATGAGTTGCATCTCTTTCTTCATCATATTCTTCACCTCTTTCTAAAGCTGGTGCAAAAGGTATATGTAAAACTCTTGCTAATGTTGTTATAAATGCAGAATCTGAAATATCTGCTAATCCAACATAATTATACATATGATTTTTCATTGATTGAGTATTTTCTGGTAATATAATTCGTTTATCGATATAATGTGGTTGATCTATCGCATCATAAAATTTCTCTCTCTTTATACTTGGTTTAGCTCCTGGTTCTAATTTATTGATTAATCCTGTAAATAATGTAATCCATCTATCTGAAAATTTTAATTTCTTTTCTTCTGGTGTTTTTCTAAAATCTAGAAATTCATCATCATATGCATTTCTTACAAAATCTGTATGTTGAGTTTGATAAAGATCATTTGGATTAGGATATTTTTTAGATAAAGTAGGTGGCGTTATTGATTCATTATAATTATGTTGAGTTTTAGTACCTTGTTTTCTTAATGTTATTATACAATTAATTCTATTTTTACCTCTTTGATGAGCTAATATTGCTCTTTTACTTATTAATCCATCATCATATAATTTAGTTACTCTATATTCCATAGGAGTTCTATAATTTCCTGCATTAATAAAATGTGAATGATAAGCATCAGGTATAAAATATTCTCCTGTTTCTGGGTTTTTTGTTGATTCAATACCAACTAATAACAGTTGGGCAATCATATGTCCTCCATAAACCCCTCTTCCTCCAATTACTGGTAATCTTAAAGGATGAGCTCCAACATATTTATTATCATCAATTTTAATAATTCTTAATGCTTCTTCAAAGTCTGGTAATGGATTCTCTCCTGCACTTAATTTTAACATTGGATACTATACTAATATTGAAATGTGATTTGAATAAATATATCTAATTCTTTAATTAAAGTATTGTTGATTACAACTCTTACTGAATCATTATTTTCATTAAAAAAGATGTAGAAACCTAATAAGTTTATATATATTTATAAATTCTATACTTTACTTTTTATCAAACGTATTTTCTGATTTTACTTTTAAACATTTAATAGTTTTCTAAAATAAAAACTTTAAAAAAATTTAATAAACCCCACATTTAGAAGAGAAAATAAATTTTTCAATTTTGAATTATTATGTAGAATGATTTTTTCTCACTTTAAAAGACATTTTCTATTCGGACTTTAAAAAGTTTTGAACATATTGACAAAAGTGTCAATCAAAAGTATAAGATTATGAACATCAACCAGTAGATAATTATAAGTATCTTAGCCCGAATTCATTAATATAGATAGATTTATCGAAAAATATCGAAATAAACGATTTTTAAATTTTTGCATGTGAATTTTTTCTCGACCTGAGCTTGACCTATATAGGTTCACGATCTGCTCAAGTCTCGCTCCAAGTTGATACGATTGTTTCCCATTTTACTCATTTGGCAACCCTACAATTTTTCTAGCGCACTTTCTTGCTTAAAAAATTTCAATACCAACTTAATTTAAGGCACATCTTAAATATGATATGAAAATAACTCCAACTATAGTAGCATATAAATCAGATAAAGATTTATTTGAATTAAAAGAATGGTTTTATAATTTCAATTCCAAAAATGATTATCGTCAAAGGGCAATAAATAAAGTTGAAGCAATGTTAACAAGAGGTAGATTACCTCATGGTATAGAAGCAACATCATTATTATCATCAGTTATATTAACTGACCTAAAAAATCCAAATATGGAATCAAATGTATTACAACTATCATATACAATGGCTATAATAAGATTTGTAAATGGATTAATTGATCCTTTCCAAAAATCAAATTATGTTGTTCCAATGCAATTATTAGCAAAACAATTAAATTTACCAACATCATTTGTTGAATTAAGACATATGGGAACTCATGAAAATTTACCAAGTCTAGAAATGTTACGCATAGCTTGTGAAAATGCATTGAATTGGTTATTTGATCATTATTGGTGTCATGTAAATGAAGATATAGTGGAAGAATTACAAAATGAAAATGATATATATTTTGAAGTTGTAGATTTTAGAACAAAAGAGTTTGAGAGAAAGATAGATAATTATTCAGTTTATGACAACCTCAAGTTGTTCAAAAAGGAGAGAAAAGATAATTTAGATGAACCATTAGATAAGTACAATGATATCAAATTCAAGAAATGTATAAAAGAATTAATTGAGTTTGGGAATTCAGATCCTAGTTTACTAATTGATATATTGATAAGAAAATATTATATAATATATCCAAACACTAAACTTAAAGCCAAAAAGATAAAGTACAATCCATTATTTGAAAAATTATATAAACCTTTGTTTGATGAATTGAATGTTGAATTTCATTTGAGAATGCTTTATCAAATTTCAAACTTGGTTGAGTATAATGACATAAGTGAAGTAAGTCAAAAACTTTATAAAAAATTAGGATTTTCCACAATACTATCTCATGAGGAAGCGGAACAATTAATTGAATGGACACCGTATTTAATCAAATTCATCTTCAGTGTACCATTTTCACAAGTTCCAAGCACATTGTGTTGCACACCTACCGAACTACTCACTTCTGTTTTTGACAAATTGAAAACTATATATAAACTGGATCAGACGTTAAATAAATTGCTAAATATCATCTCAGTTCAAGCAAATGAGAAAAATTATGATAAAGAAATGATTGAGAAATTGAACACTCTAACAAAGAAAAACCAGGCCACCAAAGACAAGCCAGTATTCGAATTACCACCTTCAATAGACGACTTATTGGCTGAAGATACATCTAGCAAAAGATCAGCCAATGACGACATTTCAAGCAATGATGATAATACTAATAAGAAACGAAAGAAAAATTCTAATGAGAAAAAAGTTTATTTATTAGAAGAACAAGAAGACTGGAGACCAACTCCTTTTGGTATGTGTATATAATTTAATTAATAATATAATGACTTTTTGATGAATTTGTTAGCAGTTATTTCAATATCAATCTCTTATCTATTTAATAATATTGATTAGATTGTTTGAATAATTTTGTGTCACGATTAAATAATTAAAATCAATCTGCAATAAATATTATAATTTAATGGTTGTAAAGTAACAATCAATTATTAATACATTTAGCCCTTCGAATCAAAACTTCATCATACCTTGTATTATATCATAAGCCAAGTTAGAAAGTGCCATAAAATATTTAATCAAATATTTACAACACAAATAACTTTGGAACTTGGGGCTATTCATTTGCATATCCAAAATATATATATTCAATTTTAACATTTTGAACCACATTTTCATTTTTAAGAAGCATTTTTAAAAACATTCTATTCCTTTATCTACCTAATATAAAATATAATACACATGTTTCATAAATGAGTCCTCAATGGATACCACAAAATATTCAAAAAAGATTACTACTATATGTACTAAATCAATTATCATTATTTTCAGAAGTTGATCTACCTAATCTTGAAGAAGTTTCATTGAATAATATAACATTAAAAGATGTAACAATAGATCCTGAGAAATGTGGTAAAATACCTGGTTTTAATCTAAGATTTGGGAAATTGGGAGTTATGGAATTAGCAACAGTATCAGGTATTAGTGGAGTTAAAATTGATGTTAAAAATGCTGAAATTGTTATTTCACCTGATTTTGATGAAGAGAATACAACTCAGTCTCAATTTTCTTTGGCTCAAAGTACTGCTGATTTAGCAAATACTATTATGTTAGATACTGAAGAAATGAAAAATGAATCAGCTATTGACAGTGACGATGATTTGGAGAATGAAGAAGAAGCAGTTAAAGAAATAATAAGACCAGATTCAAGAAGGCGAAGTTCTACAATGTCTAATAAATCGACTTTGGGGAGCGTTATGCAAAGAGCAGTTGAGATGGCTCTACTGAGACTACAAGTTAGCATTGTTAATATGAATATAAAAGTTATTACAGAACTGACTGATTTATTATTTGAAATTGAAGAAATTTATATAACCACCGTAAATGGAACTAGAAACGTCACAATTAAAGGTGTAAAACTAAAGACGTTGCGACCAACAGTGAATCCTGGAGATTCAAAATCAACCAAAACAGAAACAAACCAACCGGAAGAAGAACCACAAGATGATTATGAAGAAAATGATTATGGAGAAGAAGAGTTAATGAATAGTATGGTTTTCACACATGAAGAAGCAAGTTCCATCTATATGAGTGCAACATCACAGTCTTTTGAAAAACCTACTGCACAAAATGGACTCATAGATAATAAACATCAAATGAATAGTCAAGAACCACCAATTTTATTTTATATGAATCAATGTAATATTGAATTTGATGGATTACAAGCAATTTCAAATTTAGATATTGAAGTTGATAATATAAATTTTGCATATACACCAATAGCACCAACATTAATTACAATTTTTAATGGTATAACTAAAACTTTGAAAATTAAACATTATCAACAGAGACGATCATCAAAATCCTCAAAAAACAAGAATGAGAAATTCCCACAATATTCAAATGAAGATGATGCTGTTGCAGAAAATGAATTATTTGAAGGTAATATAGATAATGACAAGCCATTATTTAACAAATTAAGTTTAGGAAGTTTAAAAATATCCACTGCTTCAGCATTAGATATAGATGGATCTTTTCTATCGAAGAAAGGGTTAATGTTAAATTTTGAAAATATAATTTTAAAACAAAAAAATGAATTGAAGTTATTTGGAGGAATTGAAACAGTAAATTTCGAAAATAATGAATCAAAAATGTTTTATTTTGAGAATATAAATGATTTAGGTAATAGATCTGTTTCACCACTGAGTATACTGTCCAATTATTCAGTGACTTCAAAAGCAGATTTCAGGTTTGAAGTTTTCCAGAAAGATGATTCAAGTGTAGAGACTACTTTCTTACTAGCTAAAACTGCATATGTTAATTTGAATCCTGAAACATTAGTTGAAATAACGAAAGTAATTACTGGATTATCATCTATATCTGATGAGTTTACGAAATTCAAAACTGTTTTAAATAGTATACGGACTCACAAGGAAGTAGATAAAAAGGAAGAACCTCGATTGGAAAACCATTTAATTATTCAAACTGCAAGTATAGCCATCAATTTGATTTTATCCCAGGAGACTTCATTACAAACCAGAATACTACCCGTGAAATATGATTCGACTCAAGAAGAATTATGTGTACCTGCTATAACTTGTAATGGGATGATTGAAAATAAACCAGTATTAAATATATTTAATATTAGTGATATTACAATCAATCTAAAAGCTCAAGATTTCAAAGCATTTTTACAACCACCTCCTTCAAATTCAAATAGAGCTAATGATTTACCGAAATTAACCAACATGAAGACTGAATTGAGTCTAGAAGTTGATAATATAAGTTTTGCATTAGGTAGCAGTCAATTAAAAATTATCATAAAAGGTATACAATCAATAATTCAAAAACTATCTGAGTCCATCGTACCGACATCCAAAATAGAGCAACAAAATTTGGCACAGTCTAATTTAAATTTACGAAGAGGAGTCAGAGTTGGTTTAGGTATAAATAATAGCGCAGGACGGCCCTCGAGATTTAATATTGCAGATTATTTCATAAATATCAAAAAGGTTGATATTAAAATTGATCAAATCCTACCTAAATTTGGTAATATTGAAACTGAATTTACAAACATTAATCTCTTTAAATTGAAAAATGATCTTTTTGGTTCAATTTTTTCAATAAATATTTCAAGGTCAAAACTCGATGTATTTCTTCATCAATATCAAGATTTACCTATTAGTAAATACGAGCTACCGTTAATCTTGCTAAAATATAGAACGCAGGAAAAGGTGATGGAAGTAAGCGCAAGAGATATAGCGTTGGAATATTACACTCATTGGCTTTCATTATTTGGAAAAGATGAATCAATTATAGAACAAGTTGAAGAAGAATTGGTAGATAAATGTCCTCCAAAAGCAAATTCTCCATCAAGTAGATTTGATATAAGGATGAGTGTAATTAATTGTTCAATAGGTTTATTACCAGGAAGACTAAAATGTAAAAGTTATTTGACTGTGTCAAAAGGAAATATGGATTTAGTATTTACTGCTAATCAATTTTATATTAAGAGTTCATTGAGAGAAATTAACATTTTATTAATTGATGACTTGAAAAATGTCATAAACTCGAACGAGAGTGCCAATTTTACCACAGAATTTCTAATAAACAAAAGTTACATTCAGGTTGGATCTATCAATGTTGGTCATGTTGGCTTAACTTTCAATACAAATATAGAAGAAATTAAGAGAAGAAATTACGAATTAGGTATTAGGGACAGTTTATCGATTATAGATTTCAAAATAAACTTGGATGAATTACAATTAGATTTATGTTCTGACTCAACTAACACGTTAACACAGTTGATTAATGATTTAAAATTACCTTATGATTTTGATGATAAAGATAAAGTCAAAATAAACATTTGTGAAGAATTAAACGTGCTTCAAGACATTGATGATAAAATGTTCAATGATATTTCAGATGCATTTACTGAATTAAATTTAGATGGTGGTAGTAATTCTTTAACAGAGTCTGGAGGAACTGAAAATAATTCTCAATCAAGTTCAGGGTTGGATTTTAAAGAAGAACATTTTGATTATACTTCTCATATTGATGTTGAAAAAATTGATCCATTAAAGATCAATATAAATTTGACTACCGTTAAGTTTTACTTATATGATGGATTTGATTGGAAAGATACTAGAAAAGCTATTAGAGGTGCAGTTAAAAAAATTGAATCAAGACAAAAGATGAGAGAAGAAGAAACACCAAAAAATCTATCAGGTGATAAAGTCAAAGATCACCTAGAAGGTGAGGAAGAATTTGATGAAGAAGAAGATACTGCAAGATCTTTTATAGGAGAAACTTTATTTCAATCAATTCATGTTAGTGCACCAAGAACATCAAATATTGATTTGGCCAAGAGTATAAATTTAGGATTACAAAATGACGAATTTGAAGAAGTGAATGAAAATAAGATAAGCTCAAATATTGAAAAGGGTAAGAATTACAAAAACCTCAAATTAAGAAGATCAACTTTTCACAAATTATTATTTGATTTAAAAAACATTGATATTGGAGTTATCATATATTCAACAAGAGATCCAAGACGTGATAAAACTGATCCAAATTTAAAATTTGAATTCCTAAATCAAATTGAGATAAGTTTAGATACTATCGATATTTATGATAATGTCGTGAGTTCAACTTGGAATAAATTTTTATCATACATGAACATATTAGGAGAAAGAGAAATAGGTACTAGTATGTTAAAATTAAATATTTTGAATGTTAGACCCAAACCCACATTAGTAGCTAGTGAAGCCATAATCAAGATTTCAGTTTTACCATTAAGATTACATATTGATCAAGATACTTTGGATTTTTTAGTTAGATTTTTTGAATTTAAAGATTCAAGATTTGATTTACCACCTGATGAAATAATGTATATCCAAAAATTTGAAATAAATCCAATAAAATTAAAAATTGATTATAAGCCAAAAAAATTAGATTATGTTGGGTTAAGATCCGGTAAATCTGCTGAATTAGCTAATTTATTCATATTAGATGGTTCAAAATTAACTTTACCAAGTGTTAAATTGTTTGGCATGTCAGGATTTGGAGAATTGGGTTCAAATTTAGGGTATAAATGGAATAATGTATTTCAATCTACTCAAGTATTAGGGTTATTGTCTGGTGTTTCTTCATTGAGATCAATTGTTAATATTGGTAATGGATTCAAAGATTTAATTTTAATTTCAAGAAAAGAATACAAGAAAGATGGTAGATTTTGGAGAAGTTTACAAAAGGGTACAACTTCATTAGCTAAAACAACTGGATATGAATTAATAAACATGGGAGTAAAATTAGCTTCGGGAACCCAAGTATTATTAGAACAAGGTGAAGAAATGTTTGGAGGAGAAGGATCATCAGCAAGAACCAATAAATTAATAAGAAGAAGAAGTTCAGATGCTTCGGATAATTCAATACCTGAGAGTTCACATATAAGTAGTGGTAATAGTAATAGTTTAAGTCCAAATGTATTATTAAGTTCAGAAATATTGAATAAACAAGCAATGAAAATGAAATATGGAAATAAAGATACATTTGAAGGATTAAAATATTCAAATATAATTGAAATTGATGATTATGATGATTATGGTAATACAATGGGTTTTGATCAAGAATTATTAAAAAAATCAATCTTTTTATTACCACCAAATGAAGAAGAAGAAGATGATGATGAACCAGAAAGTAAGGCTCAGAATTCATCGAAATCAACATCCAAAAGTAGTAATAATCCAGAAGAATATGACATATATGCAATTAATGAAGAAGATGAAGAAGAATTTAAAGAAAAAATGATAAGTCTTTATTCAAATCAACCACAATCTATACAACAAGGTCTTGTAAGTGCTTATAAATCATTAGGTAAAAATTTTAAATTAACAAATAAACAATTGGTAAAATTAAAATCAGAATTAAATAAACAAGATAATGTTCAAGATTCATTAGTTACAATTTTAAAAAATTCTCCTATAATTTTAATTAGACCAATGATTGGTACTACTGAAGCTATTTCTAAAACTTTAATGGGATTGGGGAATATGGTTGATTCTAAGAATATAATTGAAAATAAAGATAAATACAGATCAGATAAAGATAGTTCGGAGGATAAGTGAATAATTAGAGTTCAAAATTTGGGTTAGCTTGTTTTTTCTTGGAGATTGTAATTAATGTTTATAGATTAATTTGATAAGAGCATTGAAATCTGTCTTTATCTCTTAGAACTTTTGATTTCATTGTTCTACATGATTAATCACAAATTCTCTTTAATGCGGAGTAAACTTTAAAACAATTCTTAAGTTGCCCTATGTTTTTATACTATCCATTGTAAGGCATTTGCAAATTCTCTATTTTGGTTTTGTGATAATATTATTATTTTTTTATGTCAAAATGTGCCAAAAAATTAAAAAGAAATTTTTTAAACTAATTAAGTCAAAAAATATTAATCTCACACGAGTTAAATGTAGAACAACTTAATTTTAATTTTTAAACGGGGCGGACTTTCTTTATTCACCTAGGTGGAGTGTTTTATAGATGGATAAATGAATGAAGAATATCACCATCACTCACATCAAATATTAACTTTGACAATTAAATTAAAAAATTTGCTATTTGAGATTGTTCCTGTAAATTTTTTCTTAACACTTTACATCTTCGCACTTATCTTTACAATAAAGTGAAAAAAACTTTATCTTCAATTTATTCATGTTACCCTTTTGTTGAAATTTATCTTGGCTAATTAATGTTAATCAGTTGTTAATAGCTCTTATCTCTTCAATTTAAATCTTTCCTCTATTTCCGCTGTATTGTCGCTATAGATTACATTTTTTTCCTCAAATATATGCTCAAATTTTTCTTATTTTCTTGATTACTTCAAAGGTGAAACAAAATTTTTAGTTCGTGGCTAAAATTAATTTTAAATTATACATTTGTTTTTGTGTCAAACTTACGAAGAATGATGTAAAAAAATGCTAATTAAGTGAGATGATACGGCCTCAAAATTATAAACGTATGAATACTTACATGGAAAAGCTTTTGGTAAGAGGAATCTAGTACTTGGATAGTATTATGGTCACAATTAATACTTGATTCCTATAACAAATTCCTCTATTACGCTTTACCGTAGTAAAAATTAGATTATAATTAGATAGAGCAATAAAAAAATTCAAGTTTCAAATGATTGCAAAAAAAAAAAGAAAAAAAAAAAAACTTTTTTTCACATTGTTTTTAGTTTAGATACAATTACATTGGTTTACTTACATGATTAAAAATTCAAATTAAAAAGTAACGTAATTTAGATAAGACTTTGATTAAAAGAAGGTACAAAATTTATACATCTTCGGATAAAATTTTCAGTAATTCAGTTCAGTGTATTTTAACTTTAGGGTTTTATTTTTGTATAAATAAGAATTTAATTCTTCAAAGTATTCATCAACAAGTAATTTAAATTTTTGGTCTACTCTCTTATCCCTTTCTCTTGTTTTCCTCTTTGTAGATCATTCAAATTTTACTAGTATCTTTAGGACAGATTAACTACCTTTGGCTCATGTCATTTTATTTATTAACTCATAAAGTTAAAAATTATTTACAATCAGTTCATTAACTTTAATAACAAAGTTAATACTATATTAAAATTTCATATAAAAAGCACATATAAGAATGTCAAGTTCTAAACAGATGAGCGATAATAATTATCCAAGTCAACATTCAATAATCGAAGTGAACAACTCAAATATTTCATCAGACGAATCAAATTCCATATCAAAAAATCAAGTTCATGAGAAAGATTTAGAATTGGGATCAAAAGATGAAGAAAAAACAAGTGAATTCGATCAAACTCACGTCAATGAATTATCAAAAGAATCAACTTCAAATACCCACTTGACTTTTTCTCAAAAATTAAAAATTAAATTTCCATGGTATAGATTAGCAATTGATATCTTTTTAGGTTGTTTTTTCACATCATGGTGGTTATCAATTATTATTCAAGATAAACACAGACATCAATGGTTAATTCCAACTATTTTATGGATGATGATTATGGTTAGATTAATTACATGGCATTGCCGTATCTTACCTTATTTATTGTCAAAAGTTAAAAAGGTTTGGGATTTCTTATGTGAAATCGTCTATAATAAAGTATTACCAAAACATTATCAAAGATTATTAGCTGGTGCCACCATTACAACAGCGGTAATTTTGTTGGGAACTTTCGTACCAAGTGAAACTGAATTTTCAAAAAGAAAGGATAGAGCTGTTTCCTTTTTTGGTATCATAGTGGCAATATTTGGTTTATTTATAACTTCAAAATATCCAAAAAAGATTCAATGGCAAACTTGTATTGGAGGATTTTTAATGCAATTTATTGTTGCATTATTTGTTTTAAGAACCAAATGTGGTTATGATGTTTTCAATTTCATCAGTTCCTTATGTAGAAGTCTTTTAGGATTTGCAAAAGACGGGGTAGCTTTTTTAACTAATACTGAAGTAGCACACTTTCCAATGTTCTTCTTTACTGTATTACCAGCTGTTGCATTTTTTGTTGCTTTTGTTCATATTTTATATTATTTTGGTGTTGTTCAATGGGGTATCAGAAAATTTGCTTATTTCTTCTTTTGGTCTTTGAGAGTTTCAGGTGCTGAAGCAATGACAGCTGCTGCTTCACCTTTTATTGGAATAGGGGAAAGTGCAATTTTGATTAAAGATTTAATGCCTTATTTAACAAAAGCTGAATTACATCAAGTTATGACATCTGGGTTTTCAACTATTTCTGGTGCTGTTTTAGTGGGGTATATTGGATTAGGTTTGAATCCTCAAGCATTAGTTAGTTCTTGTGTTATGTCAATTCCTGCTTCATTAGCTATTTCAAAATTAAGATATCCAGAAACTGATGTACCTTTATCATCTGGTAAAGTAATGATACCTAGTGAAGAGAAAGATGAATCAAAAAATGATGCAGATAAACCACAAAATGCATTACAAGCTTTTTCAAATGGTGCTACTTTAGGTTTAAGAATTGCAGGTACTATGATGATTCAATGTATGTGTATTATTGCACTTGTTGCTTTATGTAATGGTATCTTAACATGGTTTGGTCAATATTGGAATATCAAAGAATTAACCTTAGAATTAATTTTTTCATATATCTTGTATCCAGTAACTTTCTTATTAGGTACACCAAGAAATGAAATTTTACATGTTTCAAAATTATTAGCTTATAAATTTATTCAAAATGAATATGTTGCTTATAATTTATTAATGACACAAGCTCCATATACTGAATTATCCGCAAGAGGTCATTTAATTGCAACTTATGCTTGTTGTGGGTTTGCAAATTTAGGAAGTTTAGGTATTACTTTAGGTGTTTTAAATACTTTGACAAATAATCTGCGTGCTAAAGATATATCTCAAAGTATTATGTCAGCTTTGGTGTGTGCTGGTATAGCTACATTAACATCTGCTGCTATTTGTGGGATGGTACTTAATGATCTTACCAATTTTGTAAAGTAGATAGAAAAAGTTTTTTAAAAGGAATTTTTCAGTTTTGACATGACATTAATCTACTGATTTTTTTTTTTTTGGCTGCAAAATAACTGTGGTTTTGTGTAATAAGTTTAGTAGTGCAATTGTAACAATTTTTAAAACATCTAAAGATGAAATAGATTAAAAAAAAATAAGATAATGTTTTATTCCTATCGAAGATAAATAAATTATGCAAAATGATATGACAACAATCACAAATGAAGAATTTTCAAAACCAAACAAGGTTGTACTACCAGTAATAAACCCAATACAAAACCCGGAAGTCCTAATTTTTGACTTAAACGATATTAAATATTTACGTGATTTGAAAATTCTAGGAACTTTAATAGGTACATTACAAAATTTCCCACAACAAAATCTATTCTTATCAATTCCATTAAAGATCAACGTATATGATGTTATATGGTTAGTTAAATACGATCATGGGGTATTAGTTGATCAATTGGCTTATCGAAATGAAAGGAGATTGAAAACTACCACTAAATCAAAAAATTTAAATCATAATGGTTCAGTTATATTAATTCCAAGTACTGAATCAGATAGAGATTGGGATTTGATCAATAAAAACAAACTATCCATAAAACAATATTTGCATTCTTACCTACATACCCAAACTAACAAATCAAATATATCAAGATATTTCCACTATTATAACTTTCTAATAAATCAAGGTTTTTACATAAATCCAGGTTTAAAATTCGGTGGAGATTTTGTGATATATCCAGGTGATCCATTAAGGTATCATTCATATTCAACTATAAAATTTGAATTTATTGATTGTTATGAAATTATTAGTGGTGGTAGATTAGCTACTAGTGTTAAAAAAAATTTAATTTTAATGGGAGAAAGAAATAAAAGCAGTAAAGTAGAGGAGAAAGATGATAAGGAAGTTGTGGTTGATGATGATTTTATTGAGGAGTTGTTCGATGATGAAGTGCCTCTCTGTTTCTCAATTGAATGGGCTGGGTTTGGTTAATGACATAGAGTTAATTAGATTTGTAAACTCTACAACTTAATGAAATGTGATGACTTTGTACAAACAACTTGATGAAGTGTGAAATTTTACAATTCTCTTTATACTCTCATATTATATATTATATAAAGAACAAGCAACTAAATAACAAGCTATAGAATTTTTTTTAATTTTTATAAACTAGGTATAAATTTATTCTTTTAATTAGTAATATCTCTAAAATATTCAGTAAATCCCATTAAATAAGGAACATTAAATTTCAACCATTTATGAAGATTTATTTTTTCATTTTGGAAATCTGATATATTATTCATAATTTCAATAGCTACTATTCTTGGATATTGTCTATATGGACTTTTATGTAACACTTCAAAAACTTTTTCATATTTCGATTGAACTTTTCTGTGACCAGCACCACAATGTTTGAAGATTCTTTTAAAAAATGATGGTTTATGATGTCTTTCAGGTCCATCATGTTCACCACGTTGAGCGTCTCTAGCATCTTTTCTATCTTTACCATGTTTACCATGCTTACCATGTTTACCATGATGTTTACCAAAATGATGTTTACCTTTTGAATGTTTTTCTGGTTCATCTGGATCTAAAGTTAAAGATTCATTAACAATTGTACCATTAACTGCATCGACTCTTCTACGTAATCCTTTGTTAAATTTACCAAAATGAATTTTTTCCTTGAATTTCGAAGTTAAACTACCAAATCCATGATTACCTTTGTTGGAGATGACGAATGTTGAACTACCATTTTGAGCTTTATCAATGAAGATACCACCTCTGTGACCATCAAAATGCATTGCGAGTGTTTTAACATCAACAATATTTACATCAAATTCAATATCATAATCATTATCAGTAATTTCTTTTTGGACAATATTAGTTTTCAAAATTAATGGGTAACTTAATGAGGTATCAACTTGATGGATAGTATTAAAAGGAAGTTTTCCATGTTTCTTATGGTGTTTTTCTTCTCCTGATCCTTTTGGTTCTGGATGTTCTGGTAAATCATTGTCTTGAATAATAAACGAGCTTGCTGAATGACCAACATGAACTAAAGCTTGTACATTACCATCTTGTCTATAATTTTGAATATTTGAAATTTCACCTTTTGAATATGAACTGAATGTAGTATTCAAAGTATCGTTGTTTTTCAAATTAAACACTAAATTACTAACAATTTCAGCACTAAATATACCATTAACTATTTGTTGGAATGAATGAGTAAAAGGAATTGCAATTGGAATTACACTAGCTCTATTATTATGATCAACACTGATTAATTCACCTGAAGAATCAACAACATCAGCATTTTCATAACCTAATAAATTAGCAGAAGTAATCCAATTTTGATTTACTGATGTAGTATTTGAAAGACCAACTTCACCTAACCCATTACTAATTTCAATTTCCAAAATTTGATCACCTTTATATTGATGTTCCCAAATTAATGGTAAAATTGGAGTGACATCAACATTAATAGCTGGAACATCAAAAGCTGAATTGGATACAACTGGATTCCATAATGCTGGAGATATACCACCAGTAAAAATAACAGGTTCTGGAGTTTGAGAAACAATTTTTTCACCATTAAGATAAACATTCAAAATTCTCAAAGGACCTTTACCAATGAATGAATTTCCATCATCTTCAAAAATATCCTTAAAGCTGTCAATAACATTGGTATACCAAAATTCTTCAGCTGCGTTACCTGAAGTGAAAACTGATAATTGTAATCTTGTTGTATTTTTTGGAACTGATGGTAATTTAACTTGAAGTCTTTCAGTTGAAAGATATTCAATTGCTGCTTCATCTTTTTTACTTGATACTAATGAATGAATTGAATCTGCTGGTCTCATGATTTTAAATAAGTAACCATCTTTATGTGGTGGAGCATAATGGTGTGGAGGTTTACCATCATGAGGTGGCTTGTGATGAGGTGGCGGTGGTAAATGATGTGGTGGTTTATGATGTGGAGGCTCGTGAGGAGGTTTGTGGTGAGGAGGTTTGTGGTGAGGAGGTTTATGATGAGGTGGTTTGTGGTGAGGTGGTTTATGATGAGGAGGTTTTTCATGAGGAGGATGAGTTGGATGATGTTTTTTTGAATGTGAAGTATGATCAGGTTTTTTACTATGATGAGATTTTTCAGGTTTTTTATCATCTTCGTTGACATGAACAACACCACCTTTTCTAAATCCAAATTTTCTTTCATTAGTTTTTAAAGATTTATCATCCTCATTGACATGAACAACACCACCTTTTCTAAATCCAAATTTTCTTTCATTAGTTTTTAAAGATTTATCATCCTCTGAATCTGAATCTGAATCATAGTCTGAATCTGAATCTGAATCCACTTCTGATCTCTTGTAATTATTTTTTGGTTTATGTTCATTCCAACCAAGAGCTTTTGCGAACTTAGCAAATGAATGTGAACTATGTTTTTTGGCACCATTACAACCTAATTTTGATTTTTCCATTTCCAATGATGGGAGATCAAGATGTTCTTTGTGACCTTTATGTTCTTTGTTACCTTCATGTTCTTTGTGACCTTCGTGTTCTTCATGATCTTTATGATGTTTTTTTTCAACATTGAAAAATTCAGCAGCTAAAGTAACATTAATTGAACCAGTATATTTATTATTAACAATATTATTTAATTCAAATAAAATTTCATTATCTTCACCACTAAATAATTTAGCATATTTAGTAACATCTTTATTAAAAATTGAAAATACTTTTCTACCACTTGGTTCAATTGTTGAAGTTCTCCAAATTTGTATACCATTAATAAAAATATTAGCCAATCTATCATATTGTACACCATCAACTTCTGTTAATAAATTTAATACAACTGAATTAAAAGTAATATTTTCAGGAATTGAAAATTTTTCAATTTTTGGATGACCATAAGAATTACCAAATGAATGATTTAATAATACAGTTTTATAAACTGATTTACCTAATCTTGGACTTGGAATAAAAGGATTTGAAACTTCAATAATTTCTTTTGGTTTTGAATCTAATACTTCGTTTGATTCTTGTGGTTCAGTTTGGGCAATACTCATTAAATTAAGTAAATATTGATGAGGATGTTTAATCTTACTACCTTGCATTGATTCAATAATTGATTCTGGTGATGTAATAAATGCTTCTTCTATTTTATTTTGTTTAAATAATTGAATATTGAAAATTGAACATAATAAATAAGTTAAAAAACCCAAAATAAATATACCATTAATCAATCTAATTGTGGTCAAACATTTTTTTGATTTTGATTGTTTTAATTTATTTGCTTCTAAATCAATTTTATCTTTTTTTTCATCAATATATTCTTCTGATACTTCTTTTTCATTATAAATTAATGGTTCTTTTTCATCATCTGAATAATTAGATAAATTTGAATCTATTGAATCTCTTTGTTGTTGTTGTGGCTGTTGTTGTTGTGGTTGCTGATTAATACCATCAATAGATGATAATAAAGGTTTATCAACTTCTTCACTGTGATTAGACATTATTGAATCTGATTCACAAATTAAAGTATATATAATACCAATTTATTAAATAATGAAATAAAAAAGAATATATATAATAATAATAAGTTGTTGTAGTTGTGGTTGTTATGGTTGTCAAAAAAAAAGAAGGATTAGAATTCTATATATATAAATAAATAAATATTATTAAATAATTAGCCCCCTTTTAAAATTATTTGAAGCCGTAAATTAAACTTTTTTTTTTTCAAAGCAAATTAGAGAGAGAGAGAGAAAGAAAGAAAGAAAACATTCAATTTGAATTACATCATTTATTGTTGTATTTATATAATGTAACCTCTAATATTTTAAAATAGATTTAACTTATTGATTACAGTCCCATGGCTCACATAAATAATATATCGGCTTAGGAGTTAATAGAAGCTAGCGTAATGGTTTAGCAACATAAAGAAAGTAAAAGATTTTAATTCGTTTTGTTCATATCCTTAAATATTTTATAAACAAGGCTTACACGGATTTAATGAATTTATATAAAGTTTTAACCAATAATCAATCTCAATTTAATAGATAATTAAATGTTAAAAAGCATGGCTGATATTCTTTGAATTTTTCTTATGTTACAGCAAATGAAGCCAAGATTGTTATTCATTACTTGTTATTATTATTTTATTATTATATTGGTGATTGAAAATTTAAGTTTTTGTATTTATTTTGTTCTCGGCATTTATGAAAATCCATTTCGGGATTTGAAATTAGAATTTTAAATAAAGAATAGACAGTTGAAAGATTGTGGCCTGCACCACGTAAATTAATTTTGATTAATTTGGGTCGACTCTTGTGTTGACTTGTTGGCGGTTGGGAACACATTGTAAAAGTTTACTTTTGATGGATCATTCAGTGAAGGTTCAACTTTAGAATAGGAAATGTTTACAGGCTTTATCAAAAAAGTTTGATAATGCTTTAGCGTTTTTTTTAAGAGTATAAAGTTTTATCTTTACATCATAAATAGACTAAAATTTATAGAAATCCATTTCGGGATTTGAAATTAGAATTGTAGTATTTAGTTTATTTATTTAAGTTGATTAAAATGATTGTTAATTTGTTTTAAAGTATCGTCAAAAAGTATAATCTTCAAAATGAGAAATGAAAAAAGAGAAGAAAGGACAACGAGAGGATCAAGGAAATAGACTAAGTAACTATATAGTTAATCAAATTTTGTAACTTGTATTTGTATCTTAAAAACTAGATAATCATTTGACATCATATCTTCTTCACGTGCAAAAGTTCATCAATTTGTTTTAGGGTATCATTGAAAAATTTGATACTAGATTTAAAAATTTTTAATTCTTTATTTTCTTCTTCTTCTTCATTATTATTTAATTCATCATTATTTAAATTATTTGAATCATTTAAATTTTCAATATTTGTTTTAATTAAATTAATTAATCCATTTAAATAATTTAAATTTATTAAATTATTACCATAAATTTGAAAAATTAAACATTTATTTAATATTTCAATAAATAAATGTAATGATAAATATGGATCAATTGATGAATCAGCAATTCTTAATGATTTTTGTAAACATTCTAATACTCTTTTTGGATCTCTATATAATTGAGGAATAATTTCTAATTGATTAGATTCTGTTTCAGGATCTTTTATATTTGATTCTTCAGTTGATTCTTCTTTCTTTACGTCTTTCTCTTTCTCTTTTTCTTCTCTTTCTTCTTCTTTTTCTTCTTCTTCTTGTTCTTCAACTATTGGTGATTTTTCATTTGGTGGTAATAAAGTTTCAGACCACCACCATAAATGAGCACATGAATAAACTGCTCTACATTGATCTTGTTTTTTTAAAATCTTTGAACCATATAATGTTAATTTTGTAATTAATTCATTATATTGATCTTTATTTAAAAATCTAATTTTAATTAATGTATTTGCTATTGCTATAATAGATTGATAAGCAATTGAACCATTTGATAAAGAATCATAAGGATTTATTTCTAAATATGGTTTATATTGATGACCTAACATTAATAAATTTTCTTCATATATTATAAAAATTTGATTGAAAATTTCAAAAGTTATTGAGCTTAATTTCAATTGATCTGAAACTGATGCAATATTTAAATAAATTGACAAAATTAATTCTGATGAATATTCATAATGAATTTGATATAATTCATCTATTATAATTGATAAATTTTTAAAATTTGAAATTAAAATTCTTTGTTTTTCTTCTGTTGGATTTTTTAAATTTATATAACCTAATATCTTGAGTTTGAAAAGTATTTGTGAAATTAATGATGGATATGTGAATATGATATTTTCATGATTTCTGTTGAGATATTTTTTTCTAATATAAAATAAATTATTTATTGATTTATTTAAATCTTTTGGATCATTGATTAATTGTATGACTGAACTTATTTTTTCTTGCACTTCCAAGTATTCTGGAGTTATTAATTTTTCACCATTATTGATTTTAATTGTTTTGGTAATTCCTAAATCTTTTGCAGTATCTAAGTTTGAAGGAGAATCTTTTATTAATATTAATAAGTATTTAAATATTCCATCGATTTCATTTGCTGTTGTGAAAAATTCATCTCCATTATATAACTCCAATATTTTATCTATAAGAGCTAGAGATATTTCTTTCTGTAATGATTTATTTAATTTTTCAAAAAAGGAATAAAAATTTTGAAATGTGAAAATGGTTTTAATTGAGGTAAATTTTTTGATTGACTCCATTAATAACAGTATTAATAAATCTTGTTGTTCTTCTTCATTACCTTCAAGTTTATTAATCAAATAATCTCCTGCAAATTTATAAATTATATCTAAATTTTTAAAATTATTTGAATCAAAAGTCAAAGATAAATTAATAAATGATTGTAACAACTTGGAATTTTCTTCAACTGATAATTCTAAATTTTCATTTTCAACCATATTCAAATAAAATTTCCAAAATATTTGAAATAATTCATCAACATCAACTTTTTTTGTGGTGTTTCCATTAATTGAAAGATTTTCCATATCATTATTGAATTTATCATAAGTTATAAATTTATCAATTAAAGTACTTACTAATTCACTTTTACTCAATAATGGATGTAAATTTATAAATACATCATTTAATAATTTTTCTAAAGTTGCAAAATGAAATTCATCTGGGAAAATTTGTATTATAACATCAATTAAATAAGTTTGAGCCAAATGATCTTTACATTGTATGATTTGTTCAGTTATGATGGGAAATACTTTATCTTGATAAAATTCAATCAGTGAGAATTTCTCTGTTTTTTCATTTTCTTCAGTTTCTTTTTGGTTTAATGCTTCATAATCATCCATAATTTGACTTAATCTAACTAAGTTAGATCCAACTAAAATTTTCAATTCTTTCCTTTCTTTATATCTAAGTTCTCTTTCTGATGAATGACCTTGATGTTGTAATCTTACCCATAATTTATTCATTTCAATAAAATTATTAATTAAAAACTCAATTGTTTCATTAAAATCTTGTTTATTTCCAAATGGTAATAAGTTTTTAATTCTTTGTGATAAGTAATATCTCAAGAATAATCCCCTTATAGGATGTTGAACTCCGTGACACATTTCAATCATATCTTTCATTAAATCTTTTGTTGGAGAATTTTGAAAATTCATATATGTTGTACCTATAACAATCATCATATACAATCTTGGTATAATATTTCCAGAATATTGTACAATTTCATAAAGATCAGCTAAAAATGCATTTTGTGAAGAAGTTTCTGTTGTTGTGGTGGTTGAATTATTATTACTTAAATATAAACTTAAATTTTCTAAAGAATCAAATACTAACATATAAATTTCATAATATTGCTTGGGTGTTAATTGGTTTGTTCTTAATTCGCTAAGAAAATTCGAACAATGTTTCAAAGCTGGTAGTAATTTATTTTCATCTAAATCATTCTTCATAAGATTTGATTGATGTTTTATATTTGATATACAACTATTTAGTATAGCTGCTTGTTCTGATGCTGTTAATACCATTGTGATATTGATAAATTGATGGGATTGATGAGATCTTGAATACTTGTTGGTATTTTTGAATTGACAAAATTTAGTATGTTATTCCAATAGTGAACCTATTTTGGTTGTAAAATAATTTGATATCAAACCGGTAATTGTTTTTTGTCGAGAATAGTGTCGAAAATTAAATGACACAGAGTACATATACTGATACAAAGAAACTGTACTACAAATTCAATTTAAAATTAAATAAATTAACAATTAAAAAATTACAAAATAATACAAAATATTCTTTTTCTTTTAATTCTTTTGATTCTTTGCTTTCGAGTGAAATGTTACATGACATGTATATCAAATACATAATATATATTTTGAAAGAATAATCAATATTCTTTTTTAAGAGTACTTATACAAATTGTTTCATTTCTTAATCAACTAATGAAGAAACTGACATTTTAAGTTTTGGAGGTTTACCATCTGGACTTCCATTTTCATGATCTTCTGAATCATCGCCATCACTACTATTATTTCTTTCCTTTTTATCTTTCACTGAATCATCTTCATTTTGTTCTTCTACTTTGTTGATTGATGTATTACTCATTGCGAATTCATTCTTGTAGTATGAATGTGATGGTGATGTCAATATTGATGATGATGTATTGATTGTTGAGTTTGGGTTTAGTATTGAATTAGTTGATGAAATTGAAAACCTTGTTGATGGAGTTAAAGAGGGTGAATTGAAAGATGAATTTTGGGAGAAATTTCTTTTATGTGATTGAGATTGAGATTGTGCTTGATTTTGATAATGTTGATTTTGCTGTTGCGAGATATATTGTAAATGATGATCTGATTTCAAAGGGTTTGGGAAAAATTCTGGAGCTATTGAACTTGATCTTCTTGAAGAACTACTAGTCAAATTTAAATTATTATTAATTAATTCAAAATGTGAAATTGAATTATTTCTTGATTGAGCAGTACTCAACATTAATGGGGACCCATGATATGAAGGCGATACATTCCCACTTTGCGATTGATTGTTATTATGCGGTGCTAAATTTGAATGCGAACCATTTGAATGAGCTTGTAATAACATTGAATGAACACTTGAATGTCTTCTACTAAATTGATCATCAATCAATCTTCTTTTATTTGGTTGTGAAATCGGTGGTAAAGTATTTGAATTTATATCAAAACTTGCTGATCTAAAATTTGATGGTTTTAATGGTGAATGATTATTTACCAAAGGGTTTGAAATACTTGGTAAAACTTTTTCATTACCTTGATTACCAAACATTGAAGTATTGAATGCAATTTGTGGTAAATGATGTGTATTTGGTGGTTGTGGTTGATTTTGATAATTTAAACTTGATGAAGAACTCATACTAGCCGCAGAAGGAGGTGCTTGTGGTGGTTGTGGTAAAGATGATGCAACTTTTACCTTAGATTCATCATCACTTAATTTTCTTTCATTTTCACTGATTATACTATTTTGACTTGTACTTGTTGCTAAACTGGCTCTTCTTCTTCTATTAGCTCCTCCATTCCACCAATTTTTAATAGCATTATCAGATCTACCGTTTAGGTGTCTTGAAATTTCTGCCCATTTTTTACCATATTGTGCAACTAATTTTTCAATCAACTCACCTTCCTCTGGCGATATTGGAGCTCTATTTAAACTTGGTTTTAAATTTTGATGATACCTTTCTCTACATTGTTTTGGGGTACGTGTCTCTAATTTATTCGATATTCTAACCCAATTGGTTGGTCCATATAATGAAATTAATTCCAATAATTTTTTATCTTCTAATGGAGACCACGGACCTCGTCTACTTGAGTTTGAATTTGAATTTGAATTTTGGGCTGGATCTGATTGATGCAAATGTTGTGGTAGTTGTTGTTGTTGCATTACATTTTGAAGATGAGTCGGTATATGCATTTGATTATATTGTGTAGTTGGTTGTGATAATTGCGGTTGTGTTTGCTGTTGTATAATTTGATGCGGTGGCTGATTATAATTTAACATTTGTGGTTGATGTGTTGAATTTTGAAAATGAGGATCTGAATTTATTTGTGATGGTTGTTGATATTGTTGAGGAATTGATGATATATGTAATGATGAAGATGTATTTGGAGTATATGCATTAATTGGTGGTTGTTGATTCGTTATTGGCTGATGATGGCCACTGGGCGTTGGTAAATACTGAAAATGACTTGCTGATTTATCATACATCATTATTACTTTTTTATTGATACTTTTTTTGTTATTTGTTTCTCTTAACAATTGAATTTAATTTGATATTATTATTTATTAAGTTTGAAAGGCCCTTTGTAAATCTTATTAGAAGTTTTTATAAATTATGAAATAGATTTTAGAAATGAAAATGAAATTAAATTTGTAATTTGAAAAGAATGAAAGTGAAAAATTAGGGTTAGTTGTAATAATTAATGTTAAATTTAGAGACCAGCTCTTTTAAAATGATAAATTGAAATTGAATATAAAAAATTAGTTTTTAACTTTTTTTAATAACTCGTTTGACAAATTAATGAAAATCTTTATTATATATTTATTTTTTGTTGATGAATAAATATTATTATTATTATTATTTTTTATAAATAAATTAATAAACTTTTTTTTTTTTATTTATTATTTTTTATTTTTATTTTAATTTTAATTTTTGGGGGGTTTTTTAAAAAATAAAGTAAAAATAATAATAATAACAAAGGGACGGATTTTTTTCTTTATTAGTAAATTAATTGTCTTGACAAAATTTTTTTAAGATATATGTAAATCAAATGATGAAATGATGAACTTGACAATTTGATTGATTGGATTGATATACAATTGATGAATTAATCAAGTGATTTTACGAGCTGACAATTGGTCATAAATTGTTAATCAAAAAGTTTCCCAACAAAATGTTAAATTTCTTGTATATTTCGCCTCGTTTATAATGTTTAATTTAATAAAAAATTGAAATTTTAAATTTATTATCGATTATGAATTTTTTGTAATCTTCGATTCTAATTGTTGAAATGTATATATTCCTTTAATGTAGTAAAACTGTAATAGTTAACGAAGAAGTTGACTGATATTGAAGGGTATGATTAGTATGATTATATTTTTTTGATAAAAATTTTTCAAAATCTTCCAAAAATAATTTTAATTATTTGAAGAAACGCCTACATTATAATATAATTTATATGAATTATTTCTATTATATTATTAATTTAATTTTAATTCAGTTTATGTACGTACATTTTATTAATTTAACATATTTCAATTCTTACATAAATTCTAAAATTTATGTATTACTTTATTTTTATTAATTGATTGAAAACGATCTTTTTTTTTTTTTATTTTTTTTTTTTTTTTTTTTTTTTTTTTTTTTTTTTTTTTTTTTTTTTTTTTTTTTTTTTTTTTTTTTTTTTTTTTTTTTTTTTTTTTTTTTTTTTTTTTTTTTTTTTTTTTTTTTTTTTTTTTTTTTTTTTTTTTTTTTTTTTTTTTTTTTTTTTTTTTTTTTTTTTTTTTTTTTTTTTTTTTTTTTTTTTTTTTTTTTTTTTTTTTTTTTTTTTTTTTTTTTTTTTTTTTTTTTTTTTTTTTTTTTTTTTTTTTTTTTTTTTTTTTTTTTTTTTTTTTTTTTTTTTTTTTTTTTTTTTTTTTTTTTTTTTTTTTTTTTTTTTTTTTTTTTTTTTTTTTTTTTTTTTTTTTTTTTTTTTTTTTTTTTTTTTTTTTTTTTTTTTTTTTTTTTTTTTTTTTTTTTTTTTTTTTTTTTTTTTTTTTTTTTTTTTTTTTTTTTTTTTTTTTTTTTTTTTTTTTTTTTTTTTTTTTTTTTTTTTTTTTTTTTTTTTTTTTTTTTTTTTTTTTTTTTTTTTTTTTTTTTTTTTTTTTTTTTTTTTTTTTTTTTTTTTTTTTTTTTTTTTTTTTTTTTTTTTTTTTTTTTTTTTTTTTTTTTTTTTTTTTTTTTTTTTTTTTTTTTTTTTTTTTTTTTTTTTTTTTTTTTTTTTTTTTTTTTTTTTTTTTTTTTTTTTTTTTTTTTTTTTTTTTTTTTTTTTTTTTTTTTTTTTTTTTTTTTTTTTTTTTTTTTTTTTTTTTTTTTTTTTTTTTTTTTTTTTTTTTTTTTTTTTTTTTTTTTTTTTTTTTTTTTTTTTTTTTTTTTTTTTTTTTTTTTTTTTTTTTTTTTTTTTTTTTTTTTTTTTTATTTTTTTGTCAAATTGTTAATATCAGACAGACAAAAATTTGTGATTATTTACATTGTAATATAGATATAGTTAATGATTAATATATTTTAAGTAAGTTAACTTTGGTTTTCAATGATAGATACTAATGATAAGAGTATTTGATCAATTACATCAATAAAAAAAGATGGTGGAAGTCCAGGAAATGATATGTTGCTAAGCTTATATCACTTGATGAAATCACAATCTAAAATTTCGTTCCCCCCACTTTGCTATTACTATATAAAATTCATTCACTATCGTATTAATTTATTATTCGAAAACACAGATTTAATCTAACTTCAATTATTTAATCTAACGCCCGGAATAACTTAAAACAATCAAGTTATTTATCACAATATCATAACTTAAACAAAATAAAAATTATAAGTCAAATCGAATGATTTTTTGTAAAGTTTTGTGTTTTAATTGATTAGATCGTTCATTTACAAAAATCTTAAAAATAAAATTACAATAATATTTTAAGTTAGTAACCAATTAGTACTGCGTTCAGTCAGCAAGAGATTCTATTTAATAATCGCCACGATATCAGCGCAAAAAACAATATTAATCTTCATTTTAGTCAGCCAATAGATAGTCCTACATTTCAACAAAACCTTATTTTGTATGAACAAAAAGATCTACTACCACAAGTTTCCGTTCTACACGGTTAAAAAATGCGTTTAATTCGTTTAAAAATCTTGAGTTTATGTATTGAATCTAATTTTATTAATTAATTAAATTTTGCATCAAACGTTTGATAATTTAGTATTATTGATTATTTTTACCAATTTGAACCATCTTACCCTGCGCTCAATCAAATTTGTTATTATTTTTGTATTTAAGAATCAATGCTAAGGATTAATATATATGAGCAAATGTAGAACAGATTTACTAAGTCATTTTTTTGTTGAGATTTTTGAAACGTCGTTACTTTAAGTGAACACAGCAGTTAGATAAAACGAATTAGTAGATTTTTGACAACACTAATATTTTAGAAGTTTTAGAAAACTGGACTTTGTTTCTTAAAATAGTTAAAAATCTTTGATAAATGTGCATTTTTGAAGATCGCTGTTTATACTTTATACTTGAATATTAAGTAAATAAAAACTAAAATATTAAAATAAAATAAGTTGAAATAAATTGTTACACAAGCGGATTAATTTTTTGTGTCTGATTCTTTCGTTCAAAACTAAAATAAAAAAAAACAAAAAAAAAAAACCAAATCTAAACTTTAATTTTAAACTAAATTTTGCCGGACTTAGTAATGAACTACAAAAAGAAAAACAAATCCGATTAATCATTAATGTTAAACTATCACTTGTGTATTCTATCCGTATTGATCACTAAGATTAAATTAGGAGTGCCAGCATGGCACCATTGATGATCAATTGTCATTTAAGGAGGTTACATGTAATTAGAATGACGTTTAATTAATGGCGAGCCAAATTTACTGATTACAAGTTTTTTAATCTTCTTTTAATTAATAAAACTATTATTGGGTTTCAAACAAACGTTTTATGTATTTCTTGCATTATTATTATTTTGCTTGTTCCTTTTTTTGTAAAGAAAAAGATCACTCTTTGTAACAATATTCCCCTCAATGATCATCTCAAATGACTTTTTGCAAGCCGTTGCGATGTTGGTAGTAATTTGATGTGGGCTTGAAGAAGGTATTAAGGTTCAATTATAAATGTTAGATTTGAGATCACAATATTTTAGACAAGGAATGTCATCACTTTAAATGCAAATTTGTACTAAAATTAACATGTTCGTTCATTCTTAATATAGATTCATGACAAGTAATATGATTGAAGTCAAGTTTCCATTCCTTCTTGAAACAAACAATTGCACCCTGGCATTGTGAACAATAGATTAGATGTAATGGATGTTATACTAGACTAGAGAATTAAAAAAGTTTAACAATAGTACAATATAAAAAATTATATTGGAAAAAAAGCACATGTAAATCTTTGTACAAGTAGTTACTCGCGAATTATACATACATAACATCTTTTACATTTCATGTAAGAACATGACATATTTATAAAAGTGCCACTAACTACTATCTAAATTTTGCAATCTTATTAATCTCGTTTTTTAGATATTACAGCTGAGGGGGTTTTTCATTTTAAATTAAATTTTATATTCTTTTAATTTTTACGTCATTTTGTAATTTGACTCAATCAACAATCAAACTATAACATGTACATATCATTGCATCAACGATGTTTAAAATTAATAAAAGTAACCTCTGTTTAATCATTCGTTCTAATCAAATTTTAGATCCAAAAATGGGGAAAATCTTTTTATTTGTGTTGTACTAAAATTAATTCTGAGACACTAATTTGAATTTAAGTTTATTGTTTAGCAAAATTATTAGTTTATTAGTAATTTGGAGCCGTTTATTCACAAATTTTAAATGGACATGGCTTGGCGAATTAAATTTATAGATTTTTTGACTATAACGTTCATATCTGCACAAAATATTGAACTAATTCGTGGGAAGTATCGGTTAAAAATTAACAATACCAATTTGTTTATTTTATATTATCCGATATAGTGATATGACTACATAATTTTATGTGCCAAAAAGAGGGCTGAAAAAACAATCATTATTATACATATCAAAATTAGACATTAATTGTTTGACTTATACTCCTTGATACAATAAGATATTTGAATGTAACAGATAAACATCTTGATATAAACAATAAAATAAAAGATGTGATAAGTTGTTAAGCCTATTTGGTAGTTTAATTTTTATTGTTCAAACCTTAAATTCAAAAATACAATTTAAAATTTTTGACAGGCTGTTTCTCCGTTTAAATTTATTATATTTCTAGAATTGTTCTTTTATAAACAAAGCTTGCCTGTCACTTTATAAATTTTGGTATTACAATTTACCTCCCCACAAAAGTTTAAAGTTAAATTTATTCGTTCCACAATAAACAATAAAGTAAGAATTATAAGCGAAAAAGACAAAGTCTGATAAGTAGAAATGGAAGAAACAACCTATTTTAAATACGTACAAAACAGCTTATGGCAGAACGTTTTTTAAAAGTGAAGACTGACTGTTTACCTTATACAATTGAACTAATACATTAAACTTAAAAATATTAGGTCTCTCATAGATAAACCACAAAAAAATTTTATAATTCAAAATAATCGGAGAAGCGCAATTCAATTAAATCAAAAAGGGAAAAATCGATATTGATACTAATTTAGAAAAGCTTAATTATTTATTGATTATTTTTCAATCTGAAATTTTCAATTCTCTGGATTGGGAATTATAACTCGTATTTAAATTTCATTTTGATTAAATAGATATGTTGAATTTCAATTAACACATGAAAATTTAGATGACTAAAACTTACCCCATTTGTTGATCTTACTCAACAAGGCATTGTTTAATTAGATTAATTTTAGGTTTCTGTTTAAAAATTTATCCTTAGTTGAAAAATCTAACAAAATTGTTTTAAACAATTTTACCTAATAATATCAATATCGAAAATTTGAGCTCTGTTTTGTAAACAGACTCGTTGTATCACGATAATTCCAATGGTTTATTGTATTTATAAAAAAATTCAATGCCATATCTCCAAACGGTTTGAAATAATAGAAATCGGTTTCATTTTCACACAAACTTAGAACAATAAGTAATAAATGTGAAACACAAAAATGTCTGAAAAATTTTTATTTTACTTAAATAAGTAAATTAATTTAACTATAAAACAGACAAAATAAAAATAATTGTATTTTGTTTAAGGGGTAATAAAAAAAAAAAAAAAAATTTATAAGACCGATCGATTTTTTTTTTTTTCAAAACATTAAGGTTTATTAACTATCGAATTTTGATAATGATTCGATCTATGAACTACACTTGTAAAGTATATATATCCAATATCTGTACAACCTATATTGTGGAGAAAATAAGGTGACTGTTTATGATGATGAGAACCACACGATAATTCAGATTCAAAATCATGGAGTATAATGTTTGAAAATTGGCATTGATAAACATGTAAATCTGATGATGACCCTCTACTAAAACACATCGAACTTACTGACCACTGAGCCGAAATGTAATTGCAGCTGATGGATATAACTATTGAATTATCACTAGTTGCATAACTCTTTTGAGATTTGGTGTAGATTTGATCTAGCAAAACTTCTCCATTTTGGCAGCAAGTGACTCCGCGTAACAGGATATTTGTATGACTGGTTTGACCGACTAACTTGTTGACAGTTCAACATTTCACAAAATTGATGCGATTATAACTCCAAAATAAAATCAGCTAATCTCCTTAATATATTCTTCCAAGTCATCAGCTTCAAATATAACTTTGACCATGAGTGAACAGCTGGGACATATTGCTATATCTTCACCATCTTTTAAATCATCTAAACTAATAGCAAATCTATCACCACAGGGACAAGGATGTTGAAATAATTGTGTTATTGGATCAAAAGTAAAATCTTCAATCTCAATTTCATCATATATTGATTCCATTACGGATGAAGCAAGGTTAGTGTGGTGGTTGTTCTGACCTTATTTTAAGTTCTGATTATGCTCTACTATAGTAATTTTTCGAGAAGATCATTCCTAATTATAGTCTTATCGTTAGCGACTTGTGTGATCAGATTTCAAAGAAAAAGAAATTTAAAGACATGTCAGACGAATAGGTTTATAACCCTAACTGACTTGCAATAGCCTGTAGGCGAGCGAGAAATTGACATACAGGTCGAAATTTGGAACAGTTTTTTGTGCGAAAAAAAAAATTATAGGTCCACGATAGCTGTACTGCTAATGCGTTGTATGCTACCAAATCGACACTTTAATCATCGTAATTCTGTTTTTAAAAAACTTTTCAGAGAGAGAGAGAGAGCTAGTACTTAGTAAAAGAGAAAAAAAAATCAGAACAATATTCTGGATTCTTTCTACCTATTTCATTAATTAACACACCATGGGTATTTCAAGAGACAGTCGTCATAAAAGATCAGCAACTGGTGCCAAAAGAGCCCAATTCAGAAAGAAAAGAAAGTTCGAATTAGGTAGACAATCAGCTAATACCAAAATTGGACCAAAAAGAATTCACTCAGTTAGAACCAGAGGAGGAAATGAAAAATTCAGAGCTTTAAGAATTGAAACCGGGAATTTCTCATGGGCTTCTGAAGGTGTTTCAAGAAAAACAAGAATTGCAGGTGTCGTTTACCATCCATCAAATAATGAATTAGTCAGAACTAATACTTTAACCAAATCAGCAGTTGTTCAAATTGATGCTACTCCATTCAGACAATGGTATGAAAATCATTATGGATCAACTTTAGGTAAAAAGAAACATGCCCCAGTTGAAGTTTCAGATGTCAAAAAATCAAGAAAATTAGAAAGAAAATTAGCTGGTAGATCAGGTGCTGCTGCTATTGAACAAGCTGTTGATTCACAATTCGGTGCTGGTAGATTATATGCTGTTATTTCATCAAGACCAGGTCAATCAGGAAGATGTGATGGTTATATTTTAGAAGGTGAAGAATTAGCTTTTTACTTAAGAAGATTAACTGCTAAAAAATAGATGATTACATTCATTTATTATACTTGGGGTTTTGTATATTTAAATAAGTATAGCATTTTATCTTTCTTGGGATCTGTTAATAAATAAAAATAAGAATAATTAGACTATAATATCTTTACTCAAAGGGAAGTATATTTACTTTATTTCGAATATTGTAAAAGTTTGCGACCATTTCCCCCAAGATTTTTTGAAACAAGTACTTGAAACTGGTTTCCAAATATTCAAAAATGTGATAGGAACCAAACTTTTTAGCTTAATAGTATCCTCATGAAATTTCTAAATGTAATTTGCGTGAGTTTAATTTATTAAGCTATACCGTGTAATTTAATAACTGTTAGTATACCTTCAAAGTTTCTTAAGACTTATACATCTACAACAACAAATTTTGAATGAAATTTAGACAAGCGAATAACAGTCTGTTTCTTATTCAGAGTCCGGTAATGTTAAACATGAACTGACTTCATCAAAGTTGAAAAAATTGGATTTTACATAGTGAATCTTTAGCTGTCAATAGTGCGTAAATTGGAATGTGCGCTTTTTAGATCAACCTGCATAAATGAAATAACTTTACAACTTCTAAATAGACTGTCTCAAATCTCTGTCCATCAATTGTTATTTGATCATGTCAGATACCTAGGTAAGGCTAATAACACCTAAACTGTAACTCTTGAAGATTATAACAAGTGAGCTTTGAGTAAATTGTCATTGTGATAGTGAATTATCATATTAATTATAACTAATAAGAGAGGGTATAAATGTAAGTGAATTTACATGATTAATGCCGTGTATCAAAATTTGTTTATATATTCATAAATCCCTATTTAAGTTGGGTTCAAGTTATTAAAGCTCAATTAAATCTTATTTTGAATAATCTCATCTGAAATAGTTAGTAAAATACTCTTAATTTTCAAATGGTTGTCAGAAGAGGCATGTCGTTATCCTTCAAGGAGTGGAAATCGTAATCTCCACCTCAGTACAGGTCTGTGTAAACATTTTATTCATCATTAAAAATTCAGTTATTAAAATTTGAAACATACTTTAATAATATATTAAACAATTGATATTAGTTTAAAAGAAAGGTGATTCAAAAATTTGAAATCAAAAATATGAAAAAAAAAAATATTGTAATGAGATTTCTACGCTGGGTAATCACGTGACTTGTTTTGCAATAAATAGGAAAGGTAAATAATTGAGCTTAAATATTTAATAACAAACTTAATCAGTACAACTATATCCAACTAATGTCTGCATCATTATTGTCAGACCAAGTATATAAAGATGCTTTGATAGATTTTGATTCATACTCACGTCCTGACCCAGAAATAGATGCAAGTGTAACAAAAAACAATGTAAATAATGCTTTAACGAAATTACCAAATTATACAGCATCAAGAATGGAGTTTAAAGTACCACAACCATCACAACCAATAACGGTCGCAGGATCAAACAATTCAAAAATTCCATCATTAAGTGATATCAATTTTAGACTTCTACAGACAAAATTGGCAATCAATGAAGAAAAATATAAATTAAAAACAGTTAAAAATAAAATACAAAAGAATGATCGTCCCTTATATTATCAACCACCAAGTTCAAGTGTTAAAAACATATATAATGAAATAAAAGATTGTTTACCACCAAATATAGACTTTGATGAGTATAAGAAACCATCATCCACTACAAAATTTAAAATTCCAAAGTTATACAATTATGAAACCACCCAAAAAACACATGATTATAATGATGTTATACAAAGTATTAAAAATGAATTGGAAAATGATGATTTGACTGCTTATAGCCCTCAATATGATAACCCAACTGATGATTGGGTAAGCCCAGTTGTTAAAGAAGCCATTGCAAGACAAATTGATCTTGAATATTACATGAAAGTTTTTATAAGAAATATACTATATTTGTTAATAATACTATTGTTTAAATCATTGATCAAAAAAGTGTTAGTTCTTTATGAGTTAAAATTAAAGAGTCAACCATTGTATATGCAAATGATGAAAAGCAATGTTGGTGCAAAAACAAGTTTGAGTGATTCTTCCTTGGTGGATAACTTTTATTTTATACTAATTGGTAGATTGATATGTTTACCTTCAATAATCAACATCTTATATTCCTGTATTACACTAGTGAAAGGGCAAGATCAGTGTTGGGATTTACCATTGAGCACAAAGCAAAGAAAATTGATTGGTTTAAACTACAAAGATAAGCATGATGGATCAATTGATATCGATGAAGAAGCAGAATTAACATTAAAACAAAGAAGATATGATTCTGATCACATTATTCCTTATAAACCCATACCAAAGTACAACAAAGTTGGCGACTATACAAATTTTAAAATAGGAACACCCATAATAGGTAATGGAAATCAACAATCTATGTATTCAGCAAGAAAACTGATTACTGATTTAGATTATAGTAAGTCAGTTTTAAATAGACAATTTTTACAAAATAATCAACAAACTCATCTTCGACAAAGACAAAATATAGCTAATGAAAATAAAGCAAGTGATTCTTTGAGTTCATCTACATCAACATTATCATCCTCATCAAGATATTCTTTAAATAATATTGCAAAAGCTCATACTGAATTTTTCAAGAAATTATGACTTAAAATTCTAACGTACATAACTATAATCTATAAATTAATTAATTCATTCAAACTTTCAACTAACGAATCAATTTCAGGGAACTCCTCCTTAAAGAATGAAATTTTTTCTTCTAGAGATTTTGGATCAGGATTATCTATTTCATCAATAGTATAAAACATTAAAAATTCAATAATTTTAAAATTTAAATTTTGTTGAATAATTGATAATGAATTATTTTTTGATGTATCATTCAAAGTTAGATCATTTATTGAATTTAGTTTCAAATTTTCAATAATTAATTTACAACCACTCAAACTCTCAAATATTCTATAATTTTTGTAGTTTTTGATTAATATATGAATTAATGTAGATATTGTTGATATTATAATATTCAAATTTTGATTTTGATTTGAAGAATTATACTTTAATAAATTTAGAATAAGTTTCATGTTTTGTTTCTTGTTGAATATTGTCTTTGATTGAGGATGTAGTAGAAGCAAACCTTGAATTAACTTATTACATGATAGTATTTCTTCTGTTGATAAACGTTGATTATATATACTAATTAAAACTGAGGTCAAGTTATAGCTAAAATTGTCTTGAAGACTTAAGAATTGATTAAGTTGTGATTGTTGTGTATTACTTGATCTTGAAGCGTGAATGGTTGTGAATGAATTTTCAATTGTTGGTAACAAGTTCCTTAGTAGGTTCTCTAGTAAACTTAAACCTTTATTGATTTGTTTTGCATTTTGAGACTCCAATAGTTCTATTATGACTGATATATCATTTTCCATTATACATATAAAGCACACTGTTGTTCCATTTATATGATTAAGAAATATATTAATAAGTTATAAATTGAATGTCATTTAAATGTCTTAAAATATGATTGTAAGTCACTCGCCTTAATATTTTAGTTCGCGAATCTAAAATTCAATTAGTTTTAATTATTTACAATTTAAGTAATATTAAAATTTATAAGTTATGCTGTTAATATAAATTAATACATATCATCTTCCATTTTTAATACAATCATACTACTACTATATCTTACATCACTTATATAAGGGAAATCACCTTAACTAAATCTAACTAATAATTACTATTTACGAGCTATTTAATTGCTAACAACAATACTTTATTTTACAACTAAGTGTTTGGATATTTACCCCCCACATTCATTACCAGTTGGTTCTTATTTTTGAATACCAAATATGTCGGACTCAGAATCAAGCTCAGCTATATTATTGGGATGTTCAGTAGCAGTTATATCTTCCGCGATTCAATCACTAGGAGTCACATTACAAAGAAGATCACATTTATTACATTTACAACTACCGTCAACTTCACATTCAACTTCAACAGAATGTACATTTTTGAATCATAACGCGAGTAATCAAAACTCTCATCATCAACATCAAAAATATAGAAGAAATATGTGGTATATAGGATTTTCAATGTTTATAATTGCAAATGTTTTAGGATCAGTGATACAAATTTCAACTTTACCATTAATTATATTATCACCATTACAAAGTATTGGATTAATATTTAATTCAATTTTCAGTTGTTTACTACTACCTGGTGATCATTTCACCAAGAAGTTATGGATTGGTACAGGAGTTATAGCTGTTGGAGCTTTTACAATTGCATATAATGGATCCATACCACCTTCGTTAAATGATGAACCTATTCATAATATTGATAAAAAATTCAAGATAATAAGTAATAAATTATTAGATCCTTCTTTTTTGATTTGGTTTATTGGAACTTTTGTATTAATGGCAATGCTTTTAATCATTAATAAGACTTATTTGGATAAAAAAATCAAAGAAAATCAACAACATAGGCAAAGGTTTTCAATAAGAAATGGTGCAAATGATGTATTGATCATAAAGTTCAACAAATATCAATTCTGGAAAGGTATAAATTATGGTATAGTAAGTGGTACTTTAACAGCTCATACATTTTTATTTGCAAAATCTATAATTGATGTAATTATTGAAACAATAATAAAAGATGGTATCAAAAATATTTTTAAAATAACTAATTTTGCACCGTATTTATTGGTCATTATAATGTTGGGAATTGTTGGACTACAGTTAACTGCTTTTAATTTAGGTTTAGCACAAATTACAACTGCAATATTATATCCATTATGTTTTTTGGTTTACAATTTGATGAATTTGATCAATGATTTAAGTTTTAATAAATTGTTGGTTGAACATAAAATGACTTATTTCCAATTCACATGGATTATTATAGGTTTGACTGGTGTTTTAGTTGGTGTATTAATTTTAAGTTGGGATAGTGCATTCCAACCAGGAAATGAATCAAATTCAAATGATGAAGATGGAACATTAGGCTACACTGATTTATTAAGCTTAAAAAATAGTTACGATAACAAATCATATCATTCAGTAGAACTGACAGCATTAATTGAGAATTCTTCCTCGAATAACTCATATGACACAATCCCCAATATTAATGAAGATGAACATTTAATAGATTTAAATGATAATCAAAATAATGATAATGAAATAAATGAAGATGAAGATACTAATGACCTTATAAATTTATCAATTGTATCTGAGCAAAGTCAAAAAAGTAAAAATTCAAAGCGTCCTAGACTGCTTACATATGAACAATTACAATTATTAAGTCAATTACAACAATAATAGATTTATAGATTTAATATAATAATGTTGACTTTAAGTAATTCATGTAGGAAAATCAATAAGTCAAGTCCACAAGATAAAAAATTGCAGCCAAAATTTGGTAGCCTTGGAAACTAAAATTTTTAGAACAAACTTTTTTTCATATCGAATTTGGTATGAAATAATTCTATTTATTGAATCAAAATACAATTATCAATGTCGGCTGCTAGTAGAGAGCTATTTGATTTGGTGAAGAATTCAAGACTTGCCCAAGTAGCAAAGCCACATCTGAAAAATATAAGAGGTTCATCCAACATACCAACACATCAAATCATATTTACACCATCATCAAGTGCATATAGATCAAATTATGGTTTAAAAACTGCCTTACCCTCAAAGATTGGGAAATCTCACATTTCATTCAATGATATAGATAATTCAAAGGGAATGCCTGATGTTGAAAAAAATTCAGGTCATCATTATACTCAATTAATTTTCAAAGAAATTGGAATACCATTAAAGAATCATTTCACTCAAACTAATCCTTTATTTCCTACAAGTTTAAATAAAAGTAATAAAACAATAAGAGAAGGTTCTTTAACTAACTTATTAAACTTGGACACAAGAATTAAAACCGAAGAAGTTTTGAAAATCTTATCTCAAAACACCAAGTTATATTCAAATTTTAAAAAATTTTTAGCAAAAAATTATCCTCAATATTTATTATCATCAAGTTCCTCAAATCAAATATCAATATCTTCAAACAATGAAATAATACCAATAATAAAAGAATTTTTAAGAAATTCACAACATATAATAAAAAAGGAAAATACAATTTTCAACAACACCAGAGAAAATATTGAAACTATTCAAGGTACTGGTGGGTTTTCATATAATCAAAAAGGAAGATTACAAAATACTCCAAATGGTGTAAAATACAATCATATAGTACCTGGTAGAATAGTAGGTACAAAAGAAGCAGCAATTGGAGGATTTATATCAAATGTTATAGATCGTTCAATAGCATTACAAACAAATTACGCAAGAAATTATCCAGGTAAACATCATAGACAATTTGTTGTCCCTTTTAAAATTAGTGAAGCAGAATTAAGTGAAGATGGATCAATAAGATTATTTTCAGAAGGTATTAAAAATGGTAACTGGTCAGAAACTGATGATAGATATTCTGGTTCAAATAGATCAAATTTTGCAAGTACTTCAGAAAGAAATAAAGCTGATGATGAAAGTTTGGAAAGTTTACTTAATTTAATTTTACCATCAAGATAATTTAGTGGTGTCATTAAAAAAGGTCATTAAATTATAGTTTTGTATATACATGTAAAATTAATAATACATAATTCATCTTTGTGAAATCACAATCAAATTTCAGATTGTAGAAACAAATTCATAAATTTTACCAAAAGCAAGTCTCCAATTACGTACCAACTTGCTCCGTAATAACCTTCTCTGGAGAAATTTCACTGACTGGTGCAACCTTCTCCTCTGATTTTACCTTTTCTGATACTGCTTGATCTGGTACTACCATTTCTGGAACAACCGTTTCTGTAACTAATTTTTCTACTTTTTCCACTTTTTTCTTAGGATACTTTTTAGGTTTCTCTTTAACAGTAGGTATACCAGTAGATTTTTTTTCTTCTTGATTTAATTCTTGTCTTATATTTTCTGCTAATTCTTCATCTAATCTACCATCAACTTGATACCATAATTGATAGGGTGTTAATCTAGTGCCTGTTTTCAAAATATGTTCCATTTTAGCTTGAACTTTTTCAATTGATTCAAATGAGTTGACAATAATTGGTACAAATTTGTTTGGTATTCCATGAATTGTAAATGACATGCTTGAATAAATATATGTTGGTTCTTCAGGTGGTTGTAGAATCTTTGGAGCTGTTGGTTTTCTAGGTACTGGTCCTCTTCTTTTCTTTTTGCCTCTTCTTGGTGGTGGAGCTCTTCTTTTTGCTGGTATAGTGGAAGCTGGTTCTTCTTTGACCTCAGTTTCTTCCTTCATTTCAGAATCTTCTTCCTTGACTTCAATTTCTTCTTCTTTAACATCTATATCCATACCTGATTCTGTTGGTGTTTGTTCTTTCGATTCCTGGGTTTCTAACTCTTGCGAGGTACTTCCATTAATTCCGCTTTCTTTCTGACTAATTTCATCTTCAGGTTTGGTTTCTACTTTAACTTCAGCATTTTCGGATTGATTCTTTTTTTGCTCTTCAGCTTCTTCTTCCTTTATCTTCCTGTTTTTTTCCTCTTCTTGCTCCTTCAATTTATCATTATACTCTTTTAATGCAACTTCATAAGCATCGATTTCACTTTGATTGTGTACCCAAAGAAAACTTACCAATATATCTTTATTATCAGAAATATCACCATTTTCAGCATTAAGTAAAGTAGTTGGATCTAAAATTTCACATATTGCATATTTAGGAAATTGAAATCTTACGTTGGTATTTTCCAAGAACTCAAATAATATTGTTGCATTTGTTAAATATTTTTCTTGAAATGCAGTTAATTTTTGATCTTTTGGAATTTCTTGAAGTCTTTGTTTTTTGGTTTTGTAAGGTTTTGGTTCGGTTGACAGACTTTTTAAAGGGTTTTGATAATTTATGGGGTCTAGGTTTATATTAAGGTCTTTCTGCATTTGAAGTTTGGCTTGTTCTTGAAGTTGGTCTTGTGTTTGATATTGACTGGTGATACCATTGGGTTCATTATCTTTGATTTGATCTTGATAGCTCTTGGTTCGGTCCTGTAGATTTTGTTCTTGTTGGTTTGGAGATTGTGAATTTTGTTGTTGTTGTATTTGTTTTTCTTGATCTTGAATTTTCTCAGGTTTTTCTTGTTTTGATAATGTCAATTCTTCTTTGACTTGTTCTTTATTTTGAATTGGTGGTTTTTCTACTTGTTGTTTCTGCTCTAGATGTTTTGAGTCTGATTGGTTTGATATTGATTGATCTACTTTATTTCCGTCCTGTTTAACTTCATCATCTTTAACTTGCGCACTAGTGGTGGTTTGAGCTAACTTTGTACTCTCTGCTTTAATGTTGGTACTAGCTCCATTTTTAATTGTTGTTTCTTGTTCCTCCTCGTTTATTTTGCCATTTACTTGTGATGGACCTTCTCCAAATTCTCCACGTTCCAATTGTCTTTTAACTGCATTAACCTCATTTCTAGTTTCTAATTCAACTTCCTTATTAATTGAGTCAACGATTTTTTTTACAACTTTGTCACTATGAGGTGGAGGTTTCATTTCTTTTGCCTTTTTAATATATTTTTGGAAAATCATGATTTGATGAGAATTGCCTTGTCCATGTGCAACTAATGTCATTAAAGTATTAAATTCTATATTTTTTATACCAATGAAATTTAAATTTGCAATCATTTTTTGATTTTCTGGACTTTGCATATCTGTGGGACTTGGCGATGGTGTTGTATTTTGAGTTTTAGGAGTTGGTTGAGAAACTTTTTTAGGTTTTTGTTCAGGTTTTGGAATACTCGATTTAGTTTCTGTCTCTTTCTTTTTTGGTGGTGCTTCTTTTTTGATTGTGTTTTTTGTTCCATTGATATTCGTTATTGGTGGTGGTTGACTTTCTAGTTTAATTTTTTCATCAAGTTTGGCCCTTTCAACTTTTAACAATTCTTGTTTTTCTAATTCTTTTTGCTTTTTCCGTTCTTCCCTTTCCTTCATTTCTAATTCTCTTTGAGCTTTTCTTTCAAGTTTCTCTTTTTCTTTTTGAAGTTTTTTCTCTATCTTTTCTTGTTTTATTCGAATCTTGTCATCCTTTGTATCACTTCTTTCATCTTTTGCAATAAATATTCTAATTTCGAAAAAATGTACTCCAATAGATAGTCCACAATCTATTAATTTAATCATTACATCTCTTGCACTTACGTCATTACTCAATATACTTGGTCTATTGGCATATATATCATCTCTCATTAAATGTTCAGGTATTGGCTTATCTTGATCAATTAATTTTTTGATATAACTTGATTGTTTTACCCAATATAATTGAAACATGGGACATATTTTTAAATAATTTGACCTTGATTTCATTAATGACAAGTAAAGTACTCCAGTATCTTTAATCGTTAATGGTTGATTTAGTGATGATTTTTGTGATATTGATGAAAATGAAACAGGAAATGAATGAATTGTTTCAAAAGGACGAACTATTTGTTGACTTTGTTCTTGAATTTCTTGTTCTTTTTCAATCTCATTTCTTTTTGAGGTCGTTAGCCTTCTTCGTATCCTTGGTGGCATATTATAATTGATCAAACATGTAAACTCTATTAATTTGTGTATAGATCAAGAAGAAAAAAGTTGGTTGTTTTTGATAAATTAATTATAAATACTTTTTTCTATAATATACGCGAGAAATATATAAGGAACTAAAAGATATTATATCATTAAAATCATTCATTAAAACTATAATTTATATATAATTTATATATACTGTGTTTGTAAAAAAAGGCATAAAGTGATTGTGTCTATCTATTTATAAATTTTCTTCTAATGCATCTAACCCATGATTAAATAATTTTATAATTGTATCTAATTCATTAACTAATTTTGATTTGTTTGTTGTGGAATCTATGAAGAAATCATTTTTAATAGTTGGAATAATGGGAAAATTTATTGATGGTTGAATCGTTGTATTTAATCCATTTTGTTGTTGTGAAGCTTGAGATGAATGATTTATTGTTGTATTACTTTTATTCAAATTAGGATGTTGGTTTGATAAATTAGATGATGATAAATTGTGTGGTATTGAATTTGAATGAACATGATTGATATTAGTATTTATACTTAAATTTGATGGAGCTTGTTGAGTTTTCTTTTGAGCCAGTATACTATTTTGATGAGGTCGACTTTGAGGATTTGGTGAGCTTTCTTTGATTGGTTTTTCATATTGTTGTTCTTCAACTTTTGTAGATGTAGATGATGCTGTTGAATTTGTTGGAAATTGAGGTGGTTCTTTCTCTGTTACTGGAGTCATTGATACATGCATATAAGCAGCTTGAGCTGGATTGATTCCAAATTGATTTACATTTTCATCCTCTTCATGATGATCGTTAGTTAGTGCTGATAATGAGTTGACTGTTGCTGATGGTGTTGGCATTTGAATGAATGCAGGTTTATTTCTTCTATTTTTGATATTTGATGGAGGATTGACAGGTAAAATAGGCATTGATTGTTGTTGTACTAATTGAGGTGGTGCTTGTATTGGGGGTTGAGGATTTGCAGCTGACGTTATTTTGGAATGTAAATCATTTCCTGCTTTAAAATTGATTGGTTGTAAAAGTGGATTATTATTTCCTTGACCTTGCAATGCTTTCATTTTGGATGGTGAACTAGTTTTGGAAGATATTCCTGGAACACCTAAACTTGTTGGAGGTTTTGGAGATGGACTTCTTGCTGAAGCATTTGATACATATGGTGGTGTATGAGGAGTAGGAATTGTAGTTGTTGTATTCACGGGTGTATTTTGTCCTAATGTATTTGATATAGTTTTTTTTCTAGGTCTGTTCTCTATTGGTGATGTATTTACAGAAGTATACCTTGTTTCTAAATTTCCTGATGCAGATTGGGTATGATAAAGTGTTGGTGGTTTATTAAGAACTGGATGACCATGATTTATTAGTGTTGAAGTAGATGGAAAATTTGACAATGCATCCATGTCTGGTATTTCAATTGTGGGTGATTCTGTACCATTTATGTCATTCATCATTGAAGGTGGAGCTAGAATTGGATGTTCATTTTTACTTTCTTCTGCTGGATCTTCAAATAACATTTGTAAAGATTTAGGTATATCAGCAATTGATTTTGTTTGTGTATTTAAAGTTGCACCACTACCACCACTGAAAGTTGTAGCTTTTAAAGTTGGTATAGTTGAGTAAGTGTTTTCACCATTTTGAGTTTCATAATTTTTACTATACTCAATATTGTTTATATCAATATCATTCTCCATCATGTACTCCCTAGACTCTAACGAGTCAAAATCCCATTTAACTTGTAATTGATCATCATTATTATTATTAATTTCAACCCCATAATCATTATAGCTAGGTAATTTATTTTGTACAATTTCATCAACAGTATCTTCTCTTTCATTTTCTAAATTTATAAATACTGAATCTCTTGAAGAATTTCTATCTCTCCATAATAAATATCTTGATATAACTTCTTTCAATATATGAGTTGGATATGTTTTATAAATTTTCATTAATTTACACCTAAACAAATCATCAGCTGACGGTCTTTCTTCTGGATTTTCATCTAAACATAATGCAATACATTCTTTTAATGCTGGTGAATATTGACTACCTTCTAATCTAGGAGGGGTTGCTTTTGAAATTAATTGCATTGCCCAAGACGCATCTTTATCACAATATGGTGGATTTCCCGTGGCAATTTCATATATTGTTATCCCTAATGACCAAATATCTGCTTTACTATTATATGTTTCTCCAGTTTTTATAACTTCTGGTGCCATCCAATATGGAGTTCCTGCCATTGTAGTTCTTTTAGTTGCATTTGCTGATATTTTCGCTGCAACACCAAAATCACATAATTGAACATTACCTTCTTTTGAAATCAAAACATTTGCTGCTTTTAAATCTCTATGAATTACTCCTAATTTATGAACAGCACTTAATGTTAATAATAATTCTCTTACAATTATGGCAATATATTTTTCTTCCATTACACCAGGTTTCAATAAAGTTCTTAATGATCCACCTGCACAATAATCCATAACAATCCATAATTTTGTATCGTTTAATATCGAACCATAATAATGAGTTATATTTGGAACATTTTTCAATTCAGTTAAAAATTGTATTTCTTGTTGAACATCTAATATTTCTTCTTCTTCTGTATCTAAATTTAAAACTTTTATTGCATATACTTGTTTTGTCTGTTTATGATACGCTTTATAAACCACTCCAAATTTACCTCTTCCAATAACTTCTGTTCTTTTATATTGTGAAATGGAACTCATTAAAATGATCCTGTAAGTTTATGTATTCACCTAGTTGATCATAAATGGTTCTTTTAATTATTAGCTTGTTGAGTAAAATTTAATTGATTGATTTACAATAAATGATTGGCAATGACTAAGCCTATTGTTTAAATGAAACAAATCTCAAACAATATATTTTGTTTTTTTTTTTTGTTTTGCAATTTTTTTGGTCTACATAGGAGAACAAAATAATTCCACAAGTTAAGAGCTCATTTGTGTTTTTGAAGGTTCTACATGACAATTGGCAATTGTTAGTCTATTCGTTATTCATTAAATATTGTGAATCTATAATAGTATCAAAAAGCATATGCAAAATTAATACCCAATTTATTAAATTCTGGAACATTAGTTATAGGATTTATAGATATTCTAGTACCAGTACTTACTAAAAATTCTTTAATTCTACCTTCCCATAATAATTTCAAATTTTTGTCTTTAAGTGATGTTGAAACTTTTATAACACTTGAAAAATCACTTTCATTAACTAGATTTTGAAATGCTGCTGATACTGGTTTTCCATTGTTTCCATTGGCTGTTGTAGGTTTTAGTGACGTTGGATTTGAGTATTCTGTTTGATATTTCTCTTCCACAATGGTATTGCCAGTTCCTCTATTTTTGAAAGTTTTGGTTTTGATTTTAGTGGGTTGTTTATCATACTTACTAGATAGTATTACACTATCATCATTTACAAAAGGTTGTTGTTGTTGATGTAATTGATGTGGTTGTAATGGTAGTGGTGATTTTCTTTTGGAATAGCTGTATATTTCAAATCCTAGTGATAAATTACTTGCATATGAAAAAAAGTTGAAATCATATTTGGAACAGAACGTTGAGGCAACTGATGTTTTGACAGTATATGTGGAAGACACATGACCTAATATGGGATTTATAGCTAATGTCATAGTTAGAGGTTTCCCAGTTGAAGTTGATCTAGTTGAATATCTTAATGCTGTTGATAATCCAGGACTCATGGTTCTTGCTGCATACCATATTTCTGTCCCTACTGATATTACTGAATTATCAAATTTTGGTATAAGGTTTGGGTTTATATTTTTGGCAATTGTATTTCCTAAATTATAAAGAAATCTAACTCCTATTAAGGATTCATTTGTTGAATATATAATTTCTCTTGAATATTTGACGTGATTATTTTGTAAATATATAATCATTGTCCCGTTTTTTTCGAGGTAAGGATGATTTACACATTTTATCAATAATTGAGTATTTTCACTTAATCTTTTTATAATCATAGCTTCTAATGCTGAACCTGGAAAATACATTCTTCCATATAATAACAGATGTTTATTATTTATTAGTGGTTGTTTTAATTTCTGTTGTTGTCTTCTCAATACCATCATTGGTTCAATTATTCTAAATCCGGCTATAGCATCTTGTAAGGAAATCTCTTTCGAACCCATAGTATTAGTTAACGGGTTCAGTGAATATAAATAAGCTAATGAACCATTTATTTGATGAAAATTCGACAACGTAAAACTTGAAGCAGAATAATCCGAAGTTTTTGATGAAGTATCAATTTTTAATCCATTTGGAATAGGGAAATCTAATATAGCTTGAGAAGTTGCATTTATATTTGAAAAAATGTTATCTTCATTCCAATTTGTAGATTTATAAAAACATTTTTGAAGATATTCCATATAAGTATACATTCCTTTATGACCTTGCGTCTTAATTGAAAATTCAGGAAAGTGAATGAGGAATATTTAATGCAATTGGTATATTATTATTTTTGGTTAATAAGTTAATAAATTGTAAATCTAATCTTTGTTTTGATTTTAAATTTCTTATTTTGTACTAATTGAAAAATCAAAATTTAATTTATTTTGCATTCGTTTCATATTTGAGTCACTTCTTGTCTTTTCAATTCATACATCACAATCAACCAAAATGACATCAAATGGAGATATAGCAAGAGCAGCATTTATAAAAAGAGATACAAATGAAACTAAAATTCAAATAGCTATAAGTCTAGATGGTGGACCAGTAAATATTCCAAATTCAATACTACCTAAATCAGATCATATAGAAGATCATGCAATTCAAGCAACAGGAGGTCAACAAATAAATATTCAAACAGGTATTGGATTTTTAGATCATATGTTACATGCATTAGCTAAACATTCAGGTTGGTCATTAAAAATTGAATGTATAGGAGATTTACATATTGATGATCATCATACAAGTGAAGATGTTGGTATTGCATTAGGTTTAGCTTTTAAAAATGCACTTGGGCAAATCAAGGGAGTCAAAAGATTTGGTCATGGTTTTGCACCGTTAGATGAAGCATTAAGTAGAGCAGTTGTTGATTTATCAAATAGACCATTTGCAGTTGTTGAATTAGGTTTGAAAAGAGAAAAAATTGGTGATTTATCTTGTGAAATGATCCCTCATGTATTGGAAAGTTTTGCTACATCTGCTGGTATAACAATGCATGTGGACTGTTTAAGAGGATTTAATGATCATCATCGTGCCGAAAGTGCTTTTAAAGCTTTAGCTATTGCTATTAAGGAAGCTATTTCCAAAACTGGTAAAAATGATGTTCCAAGTACCAAAGGTGTTTTATCTTAAAGAGTTATCAACTTGTCGCTAATTAAATTTAGATAGTATATTTATCCACGTATTTATGTAATTAATTATTTATTTATTGACTTAGAACTTGTTTGTAAAAGTTATGTATCATCATCTCTCACAAAATTTGTTGCAAAAAAACTAATACAATTTTACAACCACTCATAAAAATTAAGGTCATAATTCTACACAACATTAAAACATTACAAGATGTCATTACTAAACTGTCGATATCTAATACAGAGGCGACAGTTCTCAATACAAACATCAAGACTATTTAAAACCAGGGATATAAGACCAATTTTCAAACCACATTATTCAAATCCAAAAAACAATAATCAATCATTTCAAAAAAATTTACCATTAACAGAAAAACCACAAAAGCCATGGGAAGTTGAAAATATAAGTAAAGATAGATTTTTTAAAAGAAAATATGGTAAAATGTCAGATGAAAGAAGATCAGGTTTACAAGAAAAAGTTGCAAGACAAAGACGTTATAGAGAAATGAAAAAGGAACATGAAAAACAAAAATTTGAAAAAGAAAATCCAGAATATAGAAGATCTAGAGTAGAAATAGATTATGATGGACAAAGTGCTAAAGAAATAATGGAAGAAGATGGAGGTAGTAAAAGGGCTTTTGGTGGTGGTAATGGAATTGGTGGAGCTTTTTTTGAATTTGTTTATGGAACTCATCCTATTAAATCTGTATTACAAGCAAGAAAAAGACCAATCTTGGGATTATATACTTTCAATTCAGATGATAATGATTTAATTAAAAAAGCAGAAAAAGAATATGGAATAAAGACTCAAAATGTTAGAGACAAAAATGCATTAAATATTTTAACCAAAAATGGAGTTCATAATGGGTTAGTATTGAAAACAAAACCTTTAGACATACCGTATATTACTGAGGTAGGTCATTCTGAAGATAGTAAATATAAACTTACAATTGAAGATGATGATGGAATAGATACAAACATTGAAAAATCAGTAATTAGAACTAACTTAAAAGAAAAAGAAGAATTATATCCATTAGCGTTATATTTAGATGAAATAACAGATCCTCAAAATATGGGATCAATAATAAGAACAGCATTTTTTTATGGAGTTGATTTTATAGTAATACCAGATCATACAAGTGCAAAATTAGGACCAGTTGCAAATAAAGCATCATCAGGTGCATTAGATTTAATTGATATTTATCAAACTGATCAAAGTTTAAAATTTATAGATTCTGTAAAAAATAATGGTTGGAATATTATATCAACAAGTTCAAAACCTGATAATTTGAATTTAGAAGAATTAAAAGATAAAAATTATAAAATTGAAATGAATTTAAAAGATAAATTTATTGAATTAAATGATTTAAAAACTATAATAAATAAAACTCCAATAATGTTAGTTATAGGAAGTGAAGGTAAAGGAGTTAGAACTAATATGAAAATAAGAAGTGATTATTTAGTTGGTATTCCAAAATATAGAAATGATAATGATGAAATTGTTGATTCATTAAATGTTGGTGTTGCAACTGGTGTAATTATTCAAAATTGTTTATAGACTTAAAATTGATGAGAAGAAGACTTGTATATAGAAGTTAATGAATGAAATGACGACAACAAAATTCAAGTTTTCCTAATACAAATATGTCTAAAACCAAACTGATATTCAAATAATCATCTCATATAAATTATTATCCAACGTAATAAATAACTTCATTTTTATACATGTAGAGGAAATCAAAAGTAAAAATTTTTGTATATTGGTTGCAAAATTCAAGTAAAAAATACAAGAAATTTGAACTATCTGCAGTACATCTTAACACACATACTTTTAATAATACATCTCAACATACATATCTAAAAAGCAGATATAATTTTTCCAAGTAAAATTTCATATGCTTTACTTTTATCATAATTTATGTATTAATAATAATGATTAATAATAATTATTATTATTAAGGGATCACAAATCCTTAAGATTATTCTATTATATTTTCAAATTATAAATTGTAGAAAACTAAAAGAGTTTTAAGAAAAAGTCAATTCGATTTGCTTATATTCGATTGATTGAATGAACTAATAAGTAAATCTATTCAGTTAAAGTACTTCTAATATCAATACCGTGGTTTTATCGTTTTATCATTTTAAAATTAAAGACCAAAAAGTTTAAAAATAATTAAACGTATTCTATTTTTGTATTCATTTGTTTATTAATAATAATTATTTTTTTTTTTTGGGTAAAAATGGAAATTTGAATTTTTCATTTTACTTTATTTCTGTTGGTGAATTAAAAACAATTTTTAATATTCATTTACTTTTCTAAGAATATCAATCAAATTACAAATCATTTCCTATTGAATCACAATAATTATTCATCATCTAATATTGATTTATTCTTCCTACTTTATTTTATTTCATTGATAATATTAATAAATAATAAATATTCCCTTTTTTCTTTTTGTCTCTCGTATAAAATATTTAATACGTCTAGTATTTTTTTTTTCCTTCCCCCCCTCCCCTCAAAATTATTTTATTTTGCATTTGATATTTTTTATTTTGTTACTATTATTATTAATTTATTTATTAATTATTATTATTATTAATTATTAATATTATCATAAATTAATTTTCAGTTTACAACCAAATTTCAATAACCAATTAACCAACCAATTAACTTTTACACAACGTTTTCAATTCTTTCATTCAATCTTTAAAGTATCCAAATAATTACCAATTTGAATTATCAATAAATTATATATATATATATATTAATTACAAATCTCAATCGTTTTCAAATTCTACATTTTTATCACTTTCATATTTTCAAATCAATTTTCCCAATTAAATTTTCACAAATTTTACAATGGTTGGTACTCATTTAGTTATATTAGTTCATGGAGTATGGGGTAATTCATCACATTTATCATATCTTGAAAAAACCATAAATGAAGAAATTAAACCACTTAATGGTGAAAAATTACATGTTCATAAAACTGGTTCACATTCAGGTTATTTAACTTATGATGGTATAGATGTTAATGGTAAAAGAATAACAGATGAAATATTACAACAAACAAATGATTTAAATTTACAAGGGGATAAAGTTATAAAAATCTCAATAATTGGTTATTCATTAGGTGGATTAATTTCAAGATATGCAATTGGTATATTACAAAGTAAAAATTATTTTGAAAATATTGAACCTATAAATTTTGTTACATTTTGTACTCCTCATATTGGTGTATCAAATCCTCAAACTCATAATTTTTCAGTTAGATTATATAATAATATTGCACCTTATTTTTTAGCAATAACAGGTTCACAATTTTTTTTAAAAGATAAAGTTGGAGAATTTCATAAACCATTATTAGTATGGATGGCTGATCAAAATTCAAAATTTTATCAAGCACTTTCTAAATTTAAATATAAATCATTATATGCAAATGTTGTAAATGATAAAAGATGTTCATGGTTTACTTCTTCAATATCTTTTGATGATCCAGTTAATTCAATGTATAATAAATCACCTAAAAATATACAATGTGAATACATTAAAGGATATGAACCAAATTTAATAGATATACTGAAACCATTACATTTTATACAAAGGGATAATAAACAAATTGAAGACTATCCTATAACCACCAAATCATCAATTGTGAGATTTTTTTGGAAAACTATAAATTGGATAAAATTATTAAGTTCAATAGCAATATATACACCATTTTGGGCATTATCATTTTTAATATCATCAATAATACAAAGAATAAAATTAAGTTCAAGATTACGTAAATTTAATAATGATTCAAATAATAAATTAAATCATTTATATGAATATAATGAAGATACTTCATTATTAACTGATTTAAATAATAAATTAGAAGATGAACAAGAAACATTAGTCGAAGATATGTATAATGCAATGAATTTTAAAATTCGTTATTCCAAGATTTTCCCCAAAATAAAATTAGATTCAAATCAATTATTTATTGTTGAAAAATTAAATACTATAAAATGGAATAAATATCCTATAATTTTGAGACATACTGGTGCTACTCATGCTGCTGCTATTGTAAGACATGCTGATCCTAACTTTGATGAAGGTAAAGTTGTCGTTCGTCATTTTATTGAAAAAGTTTTTAAATTAGATTAGTGAAAAATAGTTGAGATTTTAGTTGAAAAATGGGTTATTATGGAATTGGGTTAATTGTATTAGGTGGGAAAAACTTTTAATACTACATTTAATTAGACTATGTTATTTGATATTCAAATGATTTAATTAACATATTATTGGTATAAAGTTTTTGCTCTGAAATGTAGGTTATTAATTGATAAGTATATTTTTTTGGTTGCAAAAGAGAGAATATTTTTATATTAAGAGGTAATATATTTTGGTTGTAAAATTATAATTTAATTACAACAATTTTTTTTTGATATACCAACTAACTCAATACAATTCATTATAAAATTCTTCAAAATTTAAGTTAAATTTATTATGTCAAATTTTAAAGATAATATGAGATCAATATTTGGTATTAAAAAGAAAGCAGAAACAAAACAAAACAATGCCGCTGATGCTAATAACAAAGTTATAATAGAATCAATCGATCAAATTGAAATAACTAAAACAAACACATTGAAAGAATTACAATTAACAAAACCCATCCCTACTACACCAATAAAAGTAACTGATTCTGCTCCAAATGGTTTCAAAAATCCAATGAAAACATTAACTCCAAGTGAATCATTTTCAAAAAGTATATTATTAATGAAAGATAATCAAAATAAAAATGTTTTAAATAATAGTTCTAATAAAACTGAAGAATCAAATTCAATTTTGAACTCAGAAAATTTACCATTCCAATTATCTGACAATTTAAAAACAAATAAATATGAATATTATTCAGCTCATCCAATTTATGATTACTTATCATTCACCGATTCAACCTTAGTTAAACCATGTAAATGGATATTAGAAATTCCAAAAATTTTTAAAACTTTCGTAATGATTTATTTTAAAGTTTCAGAAACTGAAAAATATATTTTAGATTTTGCAAATGAAATGTTAGAATTAATTGATTATTTCCAAATTTTGGGGGTTGAAGAATCAGAATCAAACTCAGATAAAAAATCAATTGATTTTAGAAGTGGTGGGAGGCGAAGCTATATTAATGCATTTCAAAGATGAAGCTTTAAATTTACTGTTTATGAAATTAAATTCTTTTATTTTTGGTATTAGATTAATTGTATGTTTACCAAAAAATAAAATACATCATAAAACTTGTAAAATCAAATATAGAACAAATAAAATTAAAAATGATTTAATTAATGGGTTTGATAATGATAGATTAATAGTTTCAACTTTTGAAAATTTTGAAATTCAAAAAATGTTGAAAGAATTTAATTCTCAAATTATTCCATACAATAAGCAATTTAAATTACCCCCTAAACCAGTCACAAAATATCCAAGATCTTATATAACAATATATGGATTATCAAGTTTAATTCCAAAACATGTATTAATTGAAATTTTCGGAAAATTAAGTCATTTAATTTCTTATGATTTTGCACCTATTGGTATTAATACAAAATATCATGTTATAAAATTACAATATTCAAGATTTATTATGGATGAACCAAGTTTAATTAATGTTATATATATTATTTTCAAAAAATGGAAAATTAAAATTAAAGTTACTATACCTTTATCAAATAATCAATCAAGATCAGAAACTGACAAAAGTATAAAACAAAAACATGATAAAAAATTCAATAAGAAGAAAAAAAGCTAAATCACTACTTAAATAATCTAATAAAAAATTAACTAATACAAATTTTATTATATATAAACAAAAAAAAAAAAACTAAATTTAATTTACACTAATCTTTTAACTACATATCTTCAATTGAATAAATATAACAACTTACCAAACTTTTTTCTTAAACTAATTCAACATAATTTGCTGGAAATATACCAGTTTGACCATTATTTGAACCAGTCCACCAATCATCAACAGTTTCAGTTCTTTTCATAATATTTATAACATCTCCTTTTTTAAAAGGTAAATCACCACTTTGTTCACCTTTAAAAGTATATAAAGCAATAGCTTGATTAGAATTTGATTTTTGTGAATTTCCAAAATTTGGTTTTGTTGAATTTAAAGGTCTTGATGGTCCATTATTATATGAACCATTTTTTTGGGGTGATAATCTTGTATTACCTAATCTTGCATTTAATCTATCAACATCACTATTACCTCTTGATCTTGTCTTTGTACCACCATTTCCATTATATCCTGAATCATATATATCATCTTCCCATGATGATTGAGTTTGTGATCTTGCTGCTGAAAATCCAGCACTTGTTGACGATGTTGTGTTCCCACTTCTTGATGATCCTCCAATTCTTCTATCTCTATCTCTTTCTTTTTCTCTTTCTTTTTCCCTTTCTCTTTCATTTCTTCTTCTTCTATTATAACCATCATCATAATCATCTTCATCTGAATAATAATCATCATCTGAATAATCATCAGAATGTCTTCTTCTTCTATTTCCATGTGTTCCTCTTCTTCCACCACTTCCAAAAGCACCACCTCCACCAGCAGCTGAACCACGTCTACCACTATATTGAGAAGTTGAATCTGAAAAATCATCAGGAATATCATCATAATAATCATCATCATAATAATCATAATCTTCTTCATATCTATTATTAAATACTCTTGAATTTAAAACTCTCATTAATGAATCACATGCTGGAGGTGCATCAACTTGTCCTGCTAAAATATTTCTTGCTTTACATTGTTGTCCATAAAATTTTCGATTTGCTTCTCTTCTTTCTATTATGGCTGAACCTTCTAAAGATATACCAGCATATAAACCTTTTGTTTTTGAATATGCAAATACTGCAGAAACAGAACCAATTGTAGCAGTACCAGCTGCTTCAGCACTTCTACCTAATGGACCAGCAGCAACAGATACATTAGTACCTAAAGTAACTGATCCCATTTGTGCAAATGTATCAACAGCAGCTTTTGTATTTAAAACAAATACAAAATCAGTCAATTCAGCACCAATCATCCCTCCCATTCCTGCACCAGCTGTAATAATTGCAGAAGGTGCTGACCAACCACCATCTGGTAATCTTGCAACTATTACTCCAGAACCTGCTCTACCTGAAAATAAAAATCCAGCTTTTAAAACAGTAATAACAGCTAAACCTTTTGCATTTTTTAAAATTCTTGGAGGTATTACTTGATCTGGTCCTGCTACTTGATTTGGTTTAATAAATGCTGATAATACTTTTGCTGCTTTTCTAAAAAAGATTGATGTTAGTATGCCAGTTCCGTTTCATAATGATTTGATGCAACTTTCGAAATAATGGTATACATTAAAAAGATAAATTTATTAAACCATTGAATTAAGTTATACATACTTTGATTCACTCCTTAAACTTCTAGGAATTGGATTATTAATACCCATTATATATAATTATTATTCTTTTCTTTAATTAAGAAAGTATTTAATATATTTATTTATAACTTGATCTATTGATTTAAGTTATTGATTGAATAATATCAATTCAATTGAATTCCAATACTATATATTGTATTGTATTAAATTTAATTCCTCTTTTAGTACAATTAATATACCACACACTGGATTCTTAAATTGAATTATTTAAATTGAACGAGATTTTCTTAAAGTTTAAATTATTTTAAATTTTGTGTTACCAATCACCAGTAATAAATAATAATAAATTTACTATCGGAAATTAAGTACTTTTGTAAGAATAAAAACTAATTGCAATAAAGATGAAATAATTAATTAAAATTATAACAATTCGAAAAAGAAGAAAAAAATTTTCATCAAATATTTGTAATATTTAAATTCATTGATGAAATGTTGTTCAAAATTATTAAATTAAAATGATGATACTTTAAAATTGTTATAAGCTTTTTTTTTTTTTTCATGTTATTTTAGAGTGAAGAGAAAAAAAAAGTCCGCAAAATTCTAAATATTTAAATTCAAAAAAGAATTCTTATAATTAACTTAAATCTTTTGTCATAATTAACTTAAGAATATTTACTTTTTAGATATTTTAATTGATCAAATCTATTTTTATTTTCAGTATGACATATCCTTCTAAATTTCAAATATAAACCCGGCTTTATTTATTCACAAATTCAAAAAAGTATCATTTTGTTTAAATTTAGTAACCGAGAAATGATAAGGAAACTTCACTCATATGTTTCAAGTTTTTAATTAAAGAAGGAGGATTAAATCTACTAAAAATACATTTAGTCTTGGCAAGAGTGTAGTCATTAAATTAAAAAACCACTAGGAATAGGCTATACATCATGAAATGGCTCTTTAATATTTTTAAATGACAAAGGTTTTGAAACTAAAAAGAAATTAAATTTTTAGTTGCAAATATTTAAAAAATTTCAAATTTAACTCCGATTTGAAACATCTCATTCGAGCGGATCCATACGGTTGAAACAGCTTCTTTATACTAGATGATTAATTTTCTATTAGATAATGAAATATATTAACTAGAAACATCTTAGATTAAGTAAAAACTGTAGTATAATCAACTTTTTCATCTTCATCAAAAACTTGTAACGTATTAAAATTTACTAGATATTGCCATCAATAAGAATTTAGTCTCCTTCGCCACTTTTTAATTTACCCCTTAAGTCTAACACATTGAATTTTGAAATTTTCTTAGAGTTCAATCAAATATGTTTGTAGTACAGTGTATAAATATAGTGTCTCACCTCAAAATGATGATAAACTTCTTTTCAAAGGTTAAGACTCAAATATTCAGAAAGGTTGGCAATTGCTTTTGAGTTTGAGGTACATTGTCTCAAAAACTTGAGCCTTATAACTTAATAGAATAATAGCATAATACATTTTATATATTGAGTGTTTCGATAGTCAAAAAACTTTAATAGCCTTTTACTCCAAATATTAAAGTTTCGTTCATCAAAGAAATTCCACTGATTTCTTTGTACTTTGTGAAGATCCTTTTGATAAATTTATTTGTGAAAAATTTGGTAGCAAAAGTACAATTTACACAAACGAGAAAAAAAAAAAAAAAAAAAAAATTTAATCGTTAGCTGAATAATTAATGTGAAACATACATAAATTATTTTTATATAGTCTATATAATATATATCATTTGAATAAATACATAGTCAACTACTACTATAAAATTTTTGGAAATAATACATGAAGGAAGGAGAAGAGGAAGATACACGATCTATAAGCTCACAAATATCGAATTTATCGACAAATTCTACTACGACATTAAATTCAACTACATCAAAAGCATCATCATCATCATCATCTCGTCCTAAAAGATATTTATGTACATATGAAAATTGTGACAAAGCATATAATAGACCATCTTTATTAGATCAACATTTAAGATCACATACAGGAGAAAGACCATATCCATGTTCATATCCAGAATGTACCAAGTCATTTTTAAGAAAATCTCATTTAGATGCACATTTAATTTCTCATTCAAGAGATAAACCATTCCATTGTTCAATATGTGGTAAGGGAGTAAATACATCACAACATCTAAAAAGACATGAAATAACTCATACAAAATCTTTCAAATGTACTCATGAAGGATGTGAAGAATCTTTTTATAAACATCAATCTTTAAGACATCATATCCAATCAGTTCATGAACAAAGTTTAACTTGTTCAATATGTAATAAAGTATTTGCAAGACCTTCAAAATTATCAGCCCACAAATTAAAATTCCACGGAGAAAGTCCAGCATATCAATGCGATTCAACTGGATGTTTTAAAAATTTTAAAACTTGGTCAGCCTTACAATTCCATTTAAAACAAGAACATCCTAAATTAAAATGTTTAGTATGTGGAAAGGGATGCGTTGGTAAAAAGGGGTTGAAATCACATATGTTAACTCATGATGATGCGATTAAGATTTGGAAATGTAATTATTGTGATTTAGGGAAATTTAATGAAAAAGAAAAATTAATTGATCATTATAATGAATTTCATGATGGGAATATACCTTTGGATTTGTTGAATAATAAAATCACTGATGAAACTATTAGTGACGAATTGATGGTTGAAGCTAGTAATATTACTGAATCTACTTCAACTGAAAAACCATCAACGAAAACTACTACAACTACAATTAAAAGCTTAAGTACAATTTTATCAACAGAAGAAGAATCATCAGATAATTTCTTCAACAATGACGTAAGATCAGATACAGCCCAAGCTTTAAAATCAACAAACTCAATGAATTCAACATTATCTACATCAATAAATGAATCATCAAATATTTCAACAACAAGTTCAAGACCTAAAACCATACCAATAGATTCAAATAATATAATCAATATAATTTCAAAAAAATTAACAAAACAAATTAAATGTCCAAAATTGAAATGTGATAGAATTTTCGAACGACAACATGATTTGAGACGTCATTTAAAATGGCATGATGAGAATTTGAAAAGGATTGAAAATTTCTTAAGTGGGTTGGAACAAGAAGAACAAAATAATGATGAAAAGCAAGATTTGAAGAAAAGGAAATTAAATGAAGTGCTTGATACTGATGATGATTTTAATGAAGATAAAAGGATTAAAATAAATGATGCTAATGATGCTAATGAGATTAATGATTACGAACCTACTAATTATGATAATGATTTTAATGATTATGATGACGATGATGCAGATTTTGATGCAATTTTAGATAGAGAAATGAGTACAGAAGTAAACTATTGACTGGGTAAAATTGTATAACTTTATTTACAAATAAATACTTTTGTTTATTCATTAACTATTAACTATTAACTAATAATGTAATATAAAGTTATAAAATACATTCGTTAAATCTTTAATATTTTTGTTTTTTATCATAAGATCTACCACCTTGACCACCATCTGCTCTTCTTTTATTAATTTGATTTTGTGATTCAGGTGTCATATTTCTTGGTTGTGGTTTTCTATTATCATATGTTGGAGCTCTATAATTTGATCTTGTGTCATTTTGTCCACCATTTGAGTTATGATTATTATTACCATAACCTTGTCTGTGATTTTGTTGATGTTGAGGTCTGTTATCATATCCTTGTTGTGAATATTGTTGTTGGTATTGTGGTCTATTATTATTATTGTTATTATCATATCTGTTATTTCTGTTGTCATATGGACGATTTTGATCATTTCTATAACCTCTTCTTCCGAAATTTGCTGGTTGTGATGAAGTCACTGGAGGTGGTGGAGGTGGTGGAATTGAATCATTATTATTTGATCTAGTATTACTGATATTATTATGAAAACCTCTTGAATCATATCTTACAGCAGTTTCATCTTCATCAAATACTCTTCCTTGTGGAGGTAGTGGAACTCTTTTTGTTACTGATGGGGATTGTTGAGATTCTTTATCTGCAGCTGCCATTTTCCTCAAGACTTCTTCTTGTGTTAACAATGATTTTCTTCTTTTATTTGGGTTTATATCTGATTGACTAGTGGTTCTATTAAGTACATTTTGTTGAGAAGGCGAAGGATCTTTTCTAAAACTTGGTCTTCTACTTGTTGGTGTTTTATCTTTTTCATTTTCAAAGACATTTCCCTCAATACTTCCAGTTCTACTTTTAGTAGGTTCTTTTTTCTCTTCTAGTTGATCTTTTTCGTGGGATCTATCTGGTTGCTGGTCGTCATATGGTGAGTTTTTGGCATTATTTTGGTCATCATCATCTAAAATTTCCATCTCAACATCTTTTGGTTCCGTTGATGAAGATTTATGATAGTCTGATTTTAATTGAGACAATCTTTCTTTAATTTGCAGTGATTTTGTTGAACTAGATTCATTATCACCTACATCTTCAGCACTTTGTAATCTTTCATTTTCAATATCTCCATCTTTTGATTTCTCAGTAGAATCTTCTACTTGTTTTCCTTTCTCAGTCGATTGGTAAGCATCATATTTACCAGTACCTGATGATAATTGACCTCTATGATTGGGTCTACCTCTTGAAGTTTTTGATTCATCATAATTTATAGCTGATGCTGCTTTTCTTTTCCTTAATTCTTCTTCTTCTTTAGCTACTTTCTCTTTATTTAATTCTTCTTTCCTTTTCTCTTCTTCTTCCTTAGCTTTTTTCTCCAATTCTTCTTTTTCTTTTTTCAATTTTTCTCTTTCATCTAATATCTTTTGTTTTTCTTCATCACTCATTGGTATGAAATCCCAAATTGGTATCCATTGTTTTGATTTGGATTTGATATGACCAAGTAATGCACCTGAAGCTAATTTAATATCTTCTCTTTCATCATTTTCATAAACCTTTTCCATTAAAGTTATTAATTTGACACAATGATCTTCAACAACCGGATAAATACCTAATAGGTTTTTCAAAAACACAATTGCATTACTTCTTGAAATATATTCATCAACTCCTAAACTTTTATCAATTTGTTCCAATATGCTTGTATGGAATTTGAATATCCAATTTTTGAAATCATCAACATCACCTAAATCTAACTCCCTTATACTTTCTTCATTATTTATATCTTGTAAATGTTTCAAAATGTCTGCGAAAAAGTAACCAATATTTTCAGCTTCTGATGGTGTAGAGGAGAATAACGAATCGTATAATAATCCTGATGCCACTAGTGCATCCAACACATCAACTAACAGGTAATTCTCAACTTTCAACTCTTTCAACTTGAAAATAAATCGGGCAGCAAAGACTGCATCAAATGAAGAATGTATTGCTTTTGGCATTAAACAATATTGGACGAATTTCTCAATTTGACTTGTATTTTCAGTTGATGTGAACCAATCTGTAGATAATTCTAGTAATTTTTTATTTACTGATTCATTTAATTCCTTGTGATTTAATTTGTCAATTGGAATTTGTTGAATATATTTAGAATTTTCATTGATTTCATCGTCGTATTTATCAAGAGTTGCAATTGGAAAATCCACATCTCTTGCATTTAGTCTTATTGCATCTTTCAACCCTTTTGAACTGGATTCTAATTTGGCCATTTCTTCATCATATAAAGATTCCGAATAGTTGATATCGCTTAAACTTAAATACCAAAAAGCAGTAAACAAACTAGGTGAAAATTCTTCAGGACAAACTTTTTGAGCCTGACTTTTGATTACCTCAAAATTATCTTTTTTTGATCTCCATAAGTCAAATGCATATGAAATAGGAACTTTGTATATATTATGTAACTCATCAATTGGCATTAAATGAGAATCTTCACCTTTTCCGAAAAATGAAACTAACGTTGTGAATAATTTAATGACTGAGCTTATGTCGTCTGCACGGCTTGCTAAAACTTTTAAATGATATTCCTCATCTCCAAATACTAATTCATTATAAATTGAACAAAGAAGAACTATCAATTCATTTACAGCATCTAACTCAATGAAACACTTTAATAAATGATGACCAGAATCAAATCTTTTGTATCTTAAATCATCAATGGTTCTATAAACGATCTTTTGTAATGATGATCCACAATTGATAGCATCAATTTGTCTCAAAGTTAAATCTGAAGTTGCTTGAATCCCACCCATTGAAATAAACATTTCTTTTAAAACCAATAGACCAATTCTATCACCAGAATAAAACGATTTTAATAAATATGAAATAATTGTTTTAACATCAATCTTTTTAGGGTATGATTGACATATTTTACCAATGAAAGAAGCAAGTGATTGCAACCATTGACGTTCAACCATACCATTATCGTGTGTTGAACTTCTATCTGAACTTAATCTAATTAAAATTGCAATAGTTAAATTATCCCAATCATATTCATTAAAGTATTTAGCAGTTTCAACAACTAATGAAATCAAATTATCGTAACTCTCGATTTGTTGTAAAATAGTTAATAAACAAGGCAAAGGATTAGATGAACAAATTTTAGCTAACCTTCTCATCATTGGTTTGACATTTTCTTTTGACAATCTTTTTAATACATCTTTGGTGTTTTTTTCTGCAACACTATATGCAATTTTGATGTACGTGTTGTTCTTTCTAAGATTATTATATAATTCTCCATAAACACTAAATCTATCTTCAAGTGGGTATTGTGCTAATATTGAGTAAGCTTCATCAATTGCAAATGAATTATGATCTAATAAAGGCATGACAGGGAAAATAAAATTTCTGAAATAATGAAAGATCTCTTCCAGATATTCTTCGTTCTTTTGAAATGAACGAACTACAACACATAATTTTATAAATGTAGTAACGTCCCTTGATAAATTGGTGCCAATAAACTTGAGAAATTCTTTCGATACTTTGAATAAAGACTTAAAGTCATCTACCTTTGGTAAACGATCTGCCCAATTATCCACAATATAGACAAACAGTTTTCCTGGATAGTCTTTTGACAAAAACCTAAAAGTACTAATTTGTTGTGGTGGTGTGTTATCAATAACAACATTATTTGCTGGACGAGAAAATGCAGTTCCTCTTGAAGCTTTAAATTTTGCAACATCTTCTCCTTTTAAATTTCTAACATTAACTTGCTCATATAAATCATTAATAATTGCATTAAAGACTTTACATAATAACTGTTTAATCTCATCATCAACTGTTGCAAGAAATGGATATTCCGAAAGTATATATATTGCTGGCCAATATAAACCATTTGTTAAACATAGCTTTAAAAATTGAAATTTTAAATTGAGGATTAATTTCTCTTCAAAAGTAAGTTTCGGCTCTCTTGAAAAAGTTTTAGCTTTTGGTTCTGTTTTAACTTCAGCTTCATCATCCGCTAGTGGGGCGGCCAACGCTAATGCGTTTGCACCTGCTTTTAGAACCTCCTCTTCCAATCTCTTATTATGTTCATTTTCAAGTTCTTTCATAGCATTATCATCTGGACGTAAATATTTGTATAAAGATCCAAAACTTATGAATCCTTCTCTAACTAAAATAGTCATAAATAATTTAGAATTCTCTGAAAGATCTTTCAATGGTGAAAAATCCAAAAGTTGTAAACCAATTACTTTAGATGCATTAATGTTTCCTCCATTTGATAATGTACTTAATGATGAATAATCACCTTCCATACTTGGCCACCATCGACTTTTTTTCAAGAATTGTATACCTGCTCTCCAATTCCGTACTACATTATTAGTGCAAATATCCAATACAATATTTAAACATCTATTAGGATCTAAACTATAATGTCCAATTAATGACTCTGTAACTTGTAATGCATAATCAATTTGAAATTCTGCATTATCGTTCGAAAGTATTTCATGTAATCCAATAACAAATTTAGAATAACCTTCAATTTCTTCAATTAATAAATTATATTTCTTTTGAGTATATATTTTATCTCTTAACTTTGAATTTAATGATTTGGACAAAGTTTGTCCTGGTACAATTCCTGCTTCTTTTAAAAAATCCGTACCTATGTATGAAGCTATTGTATCAAGTTTGATAACTTTTTCTGATTTATATAATGATATTAATAAGTTTTTCAAGTTTTCACTAACTGGGAATGAATTTAACACTTGACAAAAAATTCTTGCAAAATCATCATTTTTAACGGTTTCATTCAAGAAATCAATTAAATGTTCAATTTTTATTTTATCTTCTTCCAATGATAAAATTAATTCAGTATATAAAAATACAATTTCATCTTCTGTTTCAGAATTAGTTGAATCATATGAATCTAATGCTTCTAGTATATTTACATCTCCTGCTCCTCCTGAAAATTCTTCTAAAAACTCATCTGTGAAATATTTAAAGCTCATGAATAGACAAAATGAGCTTTATTGGTTGTATTCTTGTTTTGAATATTATGAGTTGTTTGCAATTGTGAAAATTAATCTAAAGTTTTAAGTTTGTTTTTTTCTTAAACCTCACATTTTTTACATTTCTCGATCAACATTTATATTTCCAGATTTAAAACAAATTAAAATTATGTTATTTCAAGTAGATCAACAAGACAACTGAAGACTGAAGTTTCGAGTCCATTTTACATAAGCACAGCATTAATAAGCACATTTCATCAGAAGTAGTTTAGAAACTAGATGGAAGGAACTGGTTCAAAAGGGAGCTCCTTCAAGTTTGCCTTAAATTTAATAACACGGAAGACTAGCGAGGTTACTCGTAAATAGGTCGTTTTTTTTCCAGCATAGCTTTAGGCTTTATACTAAACCAAGCAAAATTTTACGTAAAAATTCATCCCAGATAGTTTAGTGGCTAGAATTACCGTTTGTCGCATGGTAGACCAGGGTTCAATTCCCTGTCTGGGAGTTATGTAATTTTTCCAACTTTTTTGAAATTTTTTTTTTTGGTAGTTTGTTTAAAAAAAAAAAAAAAAATACTAAAATAGCTTTGATTTTTGATATCTTATATCCTTATAGTTTCAGCTAAGCTGATTTTGAGCGTTGTTAGGTCTAATTTTGGCTTGCACTTCGTTTCCATATTTTTATAAATTTTGATTTTTTTGCAGCAAAACGTAGGTTAAAAAAAATCTATAGGACTTCTATAATTTTTATACAGCAATGAATTTGGCTTTTTAACTAGAACAATTTCTTTTTTAACCAAACTACTATGAGAAGTACTACTAATCTTGAGCAAGCTACAAGACTTAGACTCGTCAGACGGAAAAAAACCAAATTCACTCCAATTTATTTAAAATTTGAAAATTGAAAGTTGGCTATGTGATTTGATTTTGTGCTACGACATAAATTGAACGTGAACTTATTTAAATCTTAGGAAAAGTCAACATTAATTAAAGCAATTAATGGTATTAATAAATATATGAAACTATATAAGGATGTATAAAAGAATTGAAGTATAATGAAAATAAACCTGAAAAAATTTATAGTAACTTTTGATGTTTATATCCCAATTAAAATTTAGTGGGAAATAAAACAAATGCTGAATAAATTCAAAAATTTAAAATAAATCTATTTATTTGATGATAATATGTTATGAGGGTATCTTCCAACATCTGAACGTTGACGTGAATGAGATTGAGATGGTGGATGAGCCAGTTGATCTGTCTCTTTTGATGCATCAATATTAGTTGAAGAATTATCCATATCCATTGATGAATCATGATCCTCTTCAACTTCCTGTTGTTGAGGTTGTTTTTCAATTTTTATGGTTGGCTGTTGTTGAATTCCATGTTTCGCAGAGCTTGTTGGTTTTGGAGTAGCATTGACTGAGGATATACTTTCTTCTCTTGACATTGACTTATGACGTTTGTGAGATGGAGATGCATTACTAGTATTACTCTGAATTCCAGTTTCTGGTTGCCAATGATGAAATTGTATAACATGTTGGAAAGATTGCATTGACTCTTGCAGTGGTTGAACTTGCAGTTTATTTTGTTTATGTAATGGTTGAGCTGGAATTGGATTGACTTGAATTGTTGATGTTGCACCTAATGGAGACTGAAGTATTTGATTTGAAGTTCTAGCACTTTCAGATTGATCTGTTGATTCTCTTCTCAATTTACTTCTCCCCAATAAGCTTGACTCTGTTGGCATGGAATAATGCCGTTGATGACCTCTAGTTGATCTTTTATTGGTTGTTGTAGATGATGAGGTTGAAGCTGGTGCTCTGAATGGTGTTGTTGGAGATGCTAGATTCGCTACTGCCGCAGCTCCTATTTTTGCAGGCGACAAAGGTCTTTTTTGTGATGTAGTAAATGAAGATCCAAATTTGTATCCTATAGCCGGATTGGGATTGGCATTTAATAAATCTTGATTAATTAATCCAAATGGTTTGGAACTTTTTTGATTTTGAGAAGGTGTTTGTTGTTGTTGCTGTTGTCTTGATATCTGTTCTTGATACTCTTGTTGCATACGTTTTTGATTATTATCAATAAATTGTGCATGCTGTGGATTCTGCAAAATACCCCCTTGTTGCTGCTTTTGTGGCTGTAGTTGTTGTTGTTGCAAGAATGGCTGTGACGCTTGATACGGTTGTTGTAGTGATTGTTGTTGAGGCTGCTGCTGCTGTTGTTGTTGTTGTTGTGGATGCTGTTGCTGTTGTTGTTGTTGTTGTTGTTGTTGTTGTTGTTGTTGCTGTTGTTGCTGTTGTAATCTAATTGATTGTAAAATCATTTCATTCTCATTGAAACCTGCCTGAAAACTACCACTTCCAACAGCATTTATAAATTGAGGTATCATATTGGGAGGAATTTGAGCTTGTAATGCTGTATGTAAAATATTCAAATTTTTATTAGCTGTTTCAGCTCTATAAAACTCTTGTTTTGTACGTTCTTGTTCTGACTTAAATTTCATAGTTTCTATATATGCTACCTCTGAAAATGGAAATGATGTTATATTAGGCCCTAGTAATACTAATAAACCCGGATCAGTTATATGTTGAGGCTGTTTTTGTGGCGAAGTTGGAGCACTAGGCATAGCAGATGATCTTTGAATTGATTCATTTAACATTGATAATGATGGAATAGATGTAGATTGATGCAGCGGATACTGACTTGGTTTTTGGTATTCTTTATACGGTGACTTTAATGCATTAGTTGATGGTTCATTTTGTATTTTCCTGCCTTGAGTTAGTTCAGGTGAGCTTTTTCGATTCAATTCTTTTTCAGTTAATTTTTCATAATTTGTATCTATATCAGTAAGTTTATCTTCATCTTTTTTAAGTATTTTTGATGATTCCATACTATTTATTCTTCAAAATAAATTGAGAATAATTGTTTATTTTTCTTTTGAATCTTCAATCTATTCCCAAGTTCTATTTTCAAGTAAATTTTGATATATGAAAAATCAATTATTGATTTGTTAAGATTAAAGATCTAACAAGTTAGATCTAAAATAAATTTTGCACCCTTTTTTGATCTTGATATATATTGATAAAAAGTGAAGTGAATTAATTGAATCTAAAATATAAAAATTCAATGAAGAATTTGTAATAACGTTTCTCTATAAGTAAATTATAAATATGAATTGATAAAAATCTAAACTTCTAGTACGTGAGATACATTTGATAATTCTTCTTTCTATAATGTAAAATTTGTATTTATAATTTTATTTTGTAATATTATTTTAATTCAAATTATTATTATTATTATTATGTATAAGTTATTTATATTTATTCTTTTTACAACTAGTTTAATAATATCTATTAAATTTGTTAACCTTAATAAAATATTAGAATTATAATAATAATAAATCTTCGTTTTTTAAAGAATTAATTTATTTGATTTTGTCCCCTTAATTGATTTTTTTATTTTTTTTTCTATATTATAGATTTTGTGTCATCAATGATTTTATAATTAAAAAATTCTAGATTCATAATTTTTTTTTTTTTTATAATTTGAATGAAAAAGAACTTTGCTTTTAAATTAAATATTTATAAATATAATTTCAAAGATTTATTATTCGTAAAAGTTGACTTTAATAAATGAAATTCATGAAATTTTGAAGTTGTCAAAATCATCTTAATCTAAACACTTGCTACTAACCTAGTATAATTTCTTCTTTCCGCATTTGAATTTAATTTAATCAAAAAGGGAATTTTTTTGTTTTGACTTGTTTTGTCTCATGTAAATAGAACTAAATTTATTCCACATTTAAATAGGTTGAATTGTTTCTTAATTGATCTGAAACTAAAATTGTTAAACGTAAGTTTTAGGAGTATGGTACTATTTCCACTAATAAGATTTCGAAGTCTTAACTAATACTAGAGTCTCTGACCAGTTATAGTGTACAATTATTAATTTAAAAAACCCAATGAACAAAGTAAAATTAATTTTGTCAATTTTTCAAATATAAGCCATCAAACGGTGATGAGATTTAAATTGTGTGATTGACCCATTATTTTTCAAAACTTCAATGATAGTTCACGCAAAAGCTATTTCATCCAACGTTTCAACCAACCAACGTGTCAACCAACGTGTCATCCAACATTTCAACCACCATATGTTATATTGCTCTGGTTGCTGAATTGGGGAAATACTGTTTACCTTCAAATACAAGTATGAAAATAATTATGTCAAGTTTTGTGAAATTTGGTTGCAAAAAAATCAAATAATGTTAGTATTGAATATTTCAGATTTAAAGTCACGAATATAAATTCTACGACAAACAAAATTAGTAACAACAAACAAAATTTTGAAAAAAATCCAAATGTTTCAAGTATTTCTTAGTTACCAAATTGATTCTTCAAATTTTAGTATTCATTCATTTGATCTCCACAAATAAATTTTTTTTTTTTGATTTAGAGGATATGGGTAAAAACAAGAAAAAACAAAATAGTAATGGGAATGGGCATAATGCTAAGGCCAATCTAGAAAAGAATGGGGATATCAAAGAAGAAGAAGTTGACAAAAAATCTGGAACATCAGAGATTCAAGCATCAGTTGACTCACTTACAATAGAAGAAGAAGAAGAACTTACAAAGGATTTATCATCTTCAGATCAACCTATCGAAAGTAATGGGAAAAGCAATAATATACAAAATAATTCTAAAGAGTCTGAAGACGTAGTGCTATCTCAAAAACTAAAAGAATTAGAGGAGGAGAAAGATAAGATACAACAAGCATATGATTCATTGTATAGCAAACTATCTGGAACTAAGGCTTATTTTCAAAAAATGAAGGAAAATGAAGAACAACTAGAACAATCTTTGGAGGAGTTAACCAAAGAAAATGAAGAATTGAAAATTAAAAATACCAACTTAAGTAAGTCATTAGTAGCACAAACCAAGAATAAAGTTGATTCCTCAGAACTAAAAATTCTTCAAGAACAAAATAATGATTTGAATAATGAATGTGAAAAACTAAGTGATGCATTAACCAAAAGTAGACGAGAGTATACAACAACTATACAAGAATTACAAGATGAAAAATATAATCTAGAAAATCAAAACTCAAAACTATCCAAAAACATACATGAATTAAAACAAGAAATCAATGAACTTACAATAGCTCAAGGAGAATTTAATATAGAACAAAAAAATTATACTAATGAAATTAATGACTCTAAAGAAAAATTAGAATTAAAAGAAAAAGATTTACAAAAATATGTTGAAAAATTAAATGAAATTAATAATTTAATAACTACGAATGAAGCTGAATACAAGCTCGAGAAATCAAATTTAGAATCAAAAGTGTATACTTTGGAGAAATCAATTGAAGATCACAACTCCACAAACAATGCATTAAAAGAGGAGCTTGAAACCAAAAACGCAAAACAAATGGAATTGGAAAAAGAAGTTGCAAAAATACAGGACCTAAAGACAGAAATTAATAATAAACAATTACTCATAGGAAAACTACGTCATGAAGCTATCATACTAAATGAACATTTAACAAAAGCATTAACAATGTTAAAACAAGGTGGAGATAGTTCAAACAAATCAGTTGACAGAGAATTAATTTCAAATGTAATAATTAGTTTTTTGCAATTCCCAAGAGGTGATTCCAAAAAATTTGAAGCATTACAATTAATAAGTGCATTATTAGAATGGGATCAACTGCAAAAAGTTGCTGCTGGCTTACAACATATTCCGAATCAAAAAGGCGCTACAGGACAAAATAAATTCGATGTTGATGGTAATGAAATTCCTCAAAGACAAAGTTTTGTATCATTATGGACTGAATATTTAGAAAAAGAATCTAGTAAAAAATGATGATTACAATAAACGACCAATGAATCAAATTAGATTGTAACTACATCAAATTAATTAGCGATGTTTAAGATACCTCTAATACTTTCTTAAATCAAATATTATCTTCTGAACTTCATCTCGAATTCTAAGCATATCATTGATTCAGGGAACTTGGTAGCAGAGGCTGAAACAATATGTGTTTCAAACGCGTAAAATCAAATAATGATCTACTACAGATCAGATCACACTTTTATCTACTTCTTACCTGGCCTCAACATCAACAATGGTAGATATCCGGGAGTTCTTTGGTGAAAAAAACTCCAAGGGAACTGTATGTATACGATTTAATGAAAAAAGAAAATCATGCCTTGGGGATTAATCATACTAACAAAACTATTTAGAAACGTAAAAGTGAAGCAGTGGTAGAAGTTTCAAATTCCAAAAAAGCCAAACCTTCAGCTAAACCAAAAAAACAACCAGAAGTCATTGATTTGGATGATGAAGATGGTAATTTTGAATTTGAAGATGAAGAAGCCGATGATTTGATGGAAATTGATGAAATGCCAAAAAAAGCAGCACCAAAGAAATCAACTAAAACCACATCAACTTCATCATCATCTGGATCAACAACTAAATCAAAAGCAAGAGCCAAAGCGTCACCAAAGAAAAAATCAACACCAAAAGAATTTAAACAAGACTCATTAGTTGAACAAGTTCTTGCCACCATTCCAGATGCTGTATTACCAGATTCCGATCCAGATGCACCAAAACCAACTTTTGCAGAACTCTCAGCTAATAGAGTAGAAACTTCAACTACATCGATTGAACTACCGGAAGCTGCACCAAATTGTTTAAGTGGTTTAACAATAGTTTTCACTGGTCAAATGCCTGGTTTAGAAAGAAATAATGCTGAAGTAACTGCACAAGGTTATGGTGCAAAAGTAACAAAATCAATTTCTGGAAAAACAAGTTTAGTTGTTATTGGAGCTGGAGCAGGTCCATCAAAAGTTGAAAAAATTAAAGAATTAAAACTTAAAGCAATTGATCAAGATGGCTTCATTGAATTATTATCTAAAATGCCAGCCGATGGTGGTTCTGGAGAAAATGCTCAAAAAGCTAAAGAAAAACGTGAAGAAGAAGAAAGACTAGTTCGTGAAGAAGTTGCAAAAGCAGAAAGGGAAGAAAGATTAGAAGAAGAAAGAAGAAAAAAAGAAGCACAATTTAGAGCTCAAGAACAAGCTAACGGAATCAGAGCCTCAACATTTCAACAACCTTCGTTCAACGACATTCCGGCAAAAGATAAATTATGGACTGTGAAATATGCACCAACTGAATTTTCCCATTTATGTGGTAATAAAGGTCAAGTTGAAAAATTGAAAAAATGGTTAGGAGATTGGCATAAAAATCAAGCAAATAATTTTAAAGGATCTTTTATGAAACCAGAAACATTTCGTGCTGCATTAATTAGTGGACCCCCAGGTATTGGTAAAACTTCAGCTGCTCACATGGTTGCAAAATCTTTAGGATTTGATATTTTAGAAAAAAATGCATCAGATGTTCGTTCAAAATCATTATTAAATTCTCAAGTTAAAAGTGTTTTAAGTAATACATCAGTTGTTGGGTTTTTTAAACATAAAGATGATGAAATCACCAATAAAAATAATAAGAAAATTTGTTTAATCATGGATGAAGTTGATGGTATGTCAACTGGTGATCATGGAGGAACAGCAGCATTATCACAATTTTGTAGAATAACTAAAATGCCAATAATTTTAATTTGTAATGATAAAAATTTACCTAAAATGAAAGTATTTGATAAAACAACTTATGATTTACAATTCAGAAGACCAGCGGAACATGAAGTTAGAAGTAGATTAATGACTATTGCAATGAGAGAAGGTATCAAATTAGACCCAACTGTAATTTCACAAATGGTTCAAGCTACATCAAATGATATTAGACAAATGATTAATTTGCTATCAACAGTTTCAACAACTCAAAAACAATTAGGTAATAATAATATGAAAGATATAAGTGCAAGTTGGAAAAAACAAGTTATACTAAAACCATTTGATATTGCAACTAGATTATTATCATCAGGTATTTGGACAGCTCCAAAACAAAATTTAAATGAAAAATTGGATCTATATTTTAATGATATTGATTTTGCTCCTTTAATGATTCAAGAAAATTACTTAGGTACAAATCCAAGATTAGGTGGTAAACATTTAGAACATGTTGCAAAAGCTGCTGATGATATTAGTGCTTCTGATGAAATTAATTCATTAATTAGATCAAGTGAACAACAATGGAGTTTATTACCATTTCATGGATTATTATCAACTGTTAAACCAAGTTTTGAAATCGCTGGATCTGTCACTGGGAGATTGAATTTTAGCTCATGGTTGGGCAAAAATTCATCTCAGTTGAAATTCCAACGTATTCTCCAAGAACTTCATTATCATACTAGAATTCAAACTTCAACCACCAAAACAGAACTAAGAACCGATTACTTATATCCATTGTTCACCAAAATTAATGATCATTTGAAACAAGACAAAGTAGATGAAGCAATATCAACTATGGATGATTATTACCTCACCAAAGATGATTTCGAAAATTTACTTGAAATTCTTGATCAAAAAAGTCAATTAACTACTAAACAAAAAACTGCATTCACTAAAAAATATAATTCAACTACTCATCCAACTGTCATTTATAAAACTGGTAATTCATTAGGTAGTAATAAAAAACAACCAGCTCAAAAAGTTGATTATGAAGATGTTGTCGAAGATGATGTTGATGTACCTGATAATGATGATAATGATGAAGATTCAAATAGTGATAAAATAGATTCTAAAAAAGATAAATTAATTAAAGCTAAAATTAAAGGTGATAGTAAAAATGGTAAAAGTTCAATAAAAGCTAGTGGTAATAAGAGAGTCAAAAAATAAATAGCATAAAAAGGTATTTACTTAAATTTAATGAAATATTAATAATATCTTATTGAATTCTTCGTTTTCTTCCATTGATCATATATGATTATTTGCATAGATTGGGTTAAAAGAGTAAATATATATAGAATTTATAATCATTTTAGTTCATTAATTTGTGATGTTTAAGGAATATAATAGTATGAACCTTTCGATTAACACTTTTAAATGAATCTCTGTCCTTTAATTTTATTGAATTGCATCATTGATAGTATAATTAGACGCGTCTTATACAAGGTCTAATCGTTATTCATAGTAGATTTAACGAGAGATAAATTTTAAACCACATGAAATTTTATTAATAATAATAGTGAGTAATAATTAATAGTGTGTAATATTTTAACAACCATATTTCTTTCAAGATTATCATCAATTCAACACTTTAAATTCACCATTTTTACTATACTCCCATTTACAACTAATCTCAGCACGGTCTTCATATATCAATTTAAAGATTACATTCGGTCTTTCCGTTAATAATAATTAGAATAAAATCACTAGACTAATAGAAATTTCATTACAAAGTAAAGCCTCTTCTTCCCCAGATAGAATCATATTAATATACTTTAATTATATAAAAAGCAAATGAGTTCACAAAATTAATATGTCAGATATCCCATTATTCAATATACCCAACTCAAGGAAACCAATTAATAATCCTATACTACCTTCATTATCGATACCACCAAATTTAAATAATGCAAAACCAAATTTACAATTAAATTTTAACACTGTACCCAATCAACAACCACAATATCAAAATCAAAATACATATAACTCGAGCTCCAATACCAGTAATGATTTCCAATATCAACAATTTCAACGACCTCCATTACAATTAAATTCGAATTCATCATCATCTTTATCATCATCAACTCCAAATACTTCACATTCATCTTCAGGCTCAATCACAAATTTGAAATTAAAAAGAAAACCACCACCTATATCAACTTCTGAATTACCTCAAATAATAGATGATGAATCTTTAAACATACGACATGACCAATTTTCACACCAACAACCACAACAAAATCAATTCGCATCAAGTTCATCCACAGTAACTTCATCAACAACAACTGATAATCCAATTCAATCCAGAAGTACGCTAGAAGAATTAACTCCATATGATTGGCAATTTTTAGCAAATAATAACCAAATAAAAGAAATAAATAAATTAGGAGAAGGTAATGGAGGTTCAGTTACAAAATGTTATATACCCAACCTACAGAACGGTAGTCAACAAATATTTGCATTAAAATTGATTATTACTGATCCAAACCCTGATGTTAAAAAACAAATATTTAGAGAACTAGAAATTGCAAGAAAATGTCAACATCCAAATATCGTAAAATATTATGGTACTTTTTTATTAGAAAAACAATCAATGATTGGTATTGCAATGGAATATATGGATGGACAATCATTAGATTCCATATACAAAGAAGTGTTGAAAAGAGATCAAACTAATAGAATTAATGAGAAAGTTTTGGGGAAAATTGCATTATCAATATTATCAGGATTAAATTATTTACATCTGAAAAACATTATACATAGAGATATTAAACCTTCAAATATTTTGTTAGATTCACGAGGAAATGTTAAGTTATGTGATTTTGGAGTAAGTGGAGAAGCAGTTGATTCATTAGCTTCAACATTTGTTGGTACTCAATATTACATGGCACCAGAAAGAATCATGGGTAAAGATTATTCAATATCAAGTGATATATGGTCATTGGGTATGACCCTATTAGAAGTAGCAAATGGTAAATTTCCAATCGATATCGCACTAGGTCCAATTGAAGTTGTTGAAATGGTATCCAGAAGTGAATTGATTTTAAAAGATTCAGAAATTGACAAAATATTTTGGAGTTCCAATTTTAAAAATTTTATTTCGAAATGTTTAATAAAAGAAGGCTTTAAAAGGCCAACTCCAAAACAACTATTAATAAATGATCAATGGTGCTTGTTGTCTGCCAATCTTAATGTTAAAATGGATAAATTTGTAACTGTTGTTTTAAAATTAAATCAATAAATTTTTCAGTTCATTTAATACACTATACTTGTATACAGTTTTTTTAAAATTTCCAATTCATGTTAATGAGTTTCTTTTACTTATAGATAGATTTAATTTAATAAATAATTTGATAATTCATACTTTCTTTCCAAGTAAAGCTATTAAATAGGATCTATACATTATGAAACTGGTAGTGTAATTTATTCAAAAAAGTAAACCAATCAAAAATTTATTGAATATAATTTTCATATACAATTACACTAATACAAGAGACTTACATCATCAAACTACAACATTTATAGACCAATTTTTACAATTTACTAGCTCAGGTTATCATTACATAGACAGTCGTTTAGCTCAAAATATTTACCACAAAAAAGGAGCAAAAAATCAACAACATTTATATCATTAATTTTCACTCACATATCTATTCTACATACAAAATAATATAATAAATACACAATGCCAGTACCATTTGAAGGTTTAATCCCTTACGCAATAATGACCGCGTTTTTTGGATTAGCAGGTCACGGTGTAGGAGCCATAAGATATTGGGACAATGGATGGAAAAATGATCGTTATTTTTTAGATTCATGGGATAAAAAAATGTTAGCAAGAGATTTTTATTTAACTGGTACACATAGAGGACAAACTAGTGAAGCCATAGCCCCTGAAAGTTTTAAAACTATTGAACAAATTGATCAAGTTTATTATGATCCTTATAGAAATCAATTTTTCAGTTTGAGGGATAAATTGTTTAGAGGTTACATCTTTGGTGATTGGAAGAATGATGGAAATTAGAGGGGGATAAGTTGTGTGTAAAATGAATTCACGAAATGATATTTATTAAAACTTTATTTGAAATCTTTATAAGTCCATTTTTCAGTAATTTTTTTAGCATATTTTCTCTTTCTATTAACTGGCACTCTACTTTCAATTTTACCATTTGATTGTAAATTCAACATTTGATCATAAAATAAATTACCTTCTGGTTTTAAATTCTTTAAGTTGTTTGTTAATTCATCTGATAATTTTAATTCTATTGGAGTTTCAATTGGCTTGTATTTAAATAATTTATCTCTTTTAGTGCTTCTTTCCTTTGGTGCTATGGTTTTTTCTTCTTGTTCTTGTTGAGATTGTAATATTTGATCTAAATTATTCAAATCTTTTAATTGTTTTTTCAAATCTTTTATTTCTTGTTCTAATTTCATTCTTTGTTTATGTTTGACTTCTCTGTTTCTCTTAGTCTTAGTTTTAATCTTGATTTTAGTTGGTTTATTTATAGATAATGAGTAGTCTTTTTCTCCTGTACTTCTTTCTTCTTCTGGATTTTCTTCTTCGTCTTCTGAATCACTAAATTGATTATCATTTAATGTGGATATCAATTCTTGTATCCTTTCCTTATGATCATCCATAGCTTGTCTATTTAATTCTCTTTTATATTCAATTCCGTATTCCTTATTTATTAAGTCTTTCCAACTTTCTAAAGATGGATTATATGATTTACCAGCATGTATGGAATTTTCAGTCAAATCATTCTTGGATATTTGAATAGGTTTAGTTTTCATTGTTTTTGGTATAGTTGTAGCTTTTGTAACTTCTGCGGTTGATGTATTATATTTTGGAATTTTAGCCTTTTTAGGAGTTGGTTCTTCATCATCCCATAAATCTTCACTATCTCCATTTATTAACCCATCTTTTGCAATTCTGTTGAGTGTTATGTTTTCATCTTTATATTTACCACCACGCAAACTTAACAATCTTAACATTTCGGTCTTCTTCACTCCTTGTACTGTATCATTTTTGTTCTTTTTAACTCTTGGATTTATTAATGCTGGGACTTTTGATTTATTAGTTAAAATTTCCTTGGTTTTTAATTTCTTTGGTGCATTTGTAGATTTGGATATACTACTTGGTAAATTATCTATTATAAAATCATCATCTTCATTATTTATACCTTTTATAATTTGTTCATCTCTTTTATCTTGTAAAATTTGTTCTATATCTTCTATATCAACGTTTTTTCTCCATGCTTTTTTACCTTTTCTTGAAGTTTGTCTTTTCTTTGCCGCCGGTTCCACACTACTCATTATAAAATTGGAATTTGTTGGTGTATTTGCAATTTGGTTGTTTCAAATCTTAATTAAATTTAGGAGATGAGATAATTTATCTAATCTTTTTCTGTCTGGATATTAATTTTTCAATACACAAAATCAAGTTTATATTTATCAAAGGGGGTAATTAGGAGTTGAATGATACTTCAAAATAAACAAGTACAATAGAAGTTTTAATTAATCATTTGAATCATTAAATCGATAGCTATTCATCTATAAACCATTATTTAAAATCAATAGATTTTCTTTTCTTTTTCTTGATGACTTTCTCTCCACTAATGAATGTCAACATATTGGTTCTTCTTCTCATTCCTTCATTTATCCAAAATTCACTACGATAAGTTTCCCAACCTTCTCTTATATCAATATTAAACACTCTTGCATTTAGCAACAATTTAACATCAGTAACTCCAATTCTTGGTTGACATTGAGATTGACAAGTAACTAAAAATACTTCAATCTTGGAATTTTTATTTTGGATTGAGTTTGGTGAAATTTTATGAAATGCCAATAATGTATATGAAACTAACCCCAAAGAAATTTCACGAATTAAATCCGTGATTTGATCAATTAATGGAGTTTTGATTTTAACTAATCTTACATTTAATTGTCTTAATCCTTTATTTGTTGATGATAAAAACTTTCTTGGTAATACAATAGTTTTTTGATATTCACCTGAAAGATGATATAGTAATAAAGTTATAATGGTGGAGATTAAGAAAAATTGTAAAATTATTCTTGTTGTACCAGTTGATGAAAATGATGCATCTAATATAAATAAATGATGGGTCAAAGCTCCAATAATCGAACATAATATTGTTAAAAAAATTAGATATTTTCTTCTCATTGCTCTTTGTTGAATCACTTGTTCTCTCATGCTTTCTTCCAAAATTAATAAATTTCTAAAAACTTTACCCGAAACTGGCATTGATGTATATCCAGTTCCAACTTTTTCATATGATCTATGAGATTTTTCACTTGGTTCTTTTGATTTTCTACGAGTTCTAGTCTTCTTGGTGGATGTTGTTCCATTAGCTGTTTCATTATTATCTACAGAATCTGGTGAGCTACTTCTTCTCCTTCTTCTTCTTGGTGATGATGATCTGGATGATGTTGAACTTGATTTAGATCTTTTTGGAGTTTCTTCAATTAAAAAACTTGGTTTCAAATTTGTGAATTTATTTTTGGTGCTTGAATCGATTGGAGTACCTCTATTTGACATTAAACTTGATACATTTATTTCATCTTCATCTATTTCATCTTCTTCATCTGAGCTTTGGGTTGCTTTAGCTAACTTTCTTAATCTATAACCTAAATTATGTCTTATTGGAGTTTCTTGACGATGTAATTCTAAGGAACTTTGTGATGCAACATCATCCGAGTCTGAATATACAACAAAATCATTTTCATTCCCATTTAAAGGATCAAATATTCCACCTCCACTTCCCAATCTTGGTGATTTTGGTGGTTGAAACATAGGTATTGAGGTTTCACTACTATTTGAGGATCCAAATACTATACTACTATCTTCTTTTTCATTTGGTGAATCTAGTAAACTTGGATTTGATTTATCATCTGATGAATGTTGCGTGATATCATTAGGAGATGGCTGATCTGGTATGATGGGAATTGGTGCTTTTATAGCTTCTTTTGATGTTGGTGATTCTTCCATTTATTAAATTTGTTGATGGTTGTAAAAAATATTAAGGATTGATAAAAATGGAATGGAAATGAAATTACTTAAATTTAAATTGTGATAAATATTAATTTGTGAGCTTAAATCATTTATACACCTCTTGTTAAAAGTATGTATGTATGTCAGTTAGTGTTAAACTTTTTAATCAAGTAAAGTTGTATCAATACTATAATGATATGAAATTTGGTTGTAAATCTGATACAATTTTTTTTTCTTTTACTCCAAATAAAAATAATAATAATTTATACTGTGATTTTTTTAATAAACATATTATTAAAAATTGCAGCACAATATTTCAGTTGAATTATCAAGTAAATTAAAACGTTCATTAGCTCATCAATTAGTAACGAAAGGAAGTTTAAATGAAGGAGTCATCTAATATATGATACATTAATAGTTGACAAAGCAAAAGACAAACGTACAAACCTTAATTTAAAAATGTCATCATTAAAACAACTTAAAGAACAATTTGTATCAGATTTAACTGGTGGATCAATTGAAGAAATTTATTTAGTAACATCAATTGCACTAACTTCATATTTATCATATAAACTTATTAAAGATAATATTAATCTGTTGCCAATTGTATATGATTATGTAATAAATGTTTTAACTATATTAATTTCAATTACAATTTACAGTAATAATCCAACAACATTACATTATTCAATATTTATACCATGTTTTTCAATATTTTTATTAAATCATTATACTTCAACAACAATTGGAAGAGCCCATACCACCAATCAACAAATTGAATTATTACCGAGAAAACAATTTCTTACAGCATATAGATCTCATATGTTAATTATAACAAATTTAGCTATATTAGCAGTTGACTTTAAGATTTTTCCAAGAAGATTTGCAAAAGTTGAGACTTGGGGTACTTCAATGATGGATTTAGGTGTTGGATCTTTTGTATTTTCAATGGGGTTAGTTAATTCAAGACAAATTATTAAAAATCAAGTTAAATTGAAAAGTTACAAATTTAGTTTGGGGACTTGGATCAATACAATTACTCAGAATACTATAAAGGCATTACCTATTTTGATATTAGGAATTATTAGATTTGTTAGTGTTAAAAAATTGGAGTATCAAGAACATGTTACAGAGTATGGTATTCATTGGAATTTTTTTATAACTTTAGGTTTATTACCGATATTATTAGGTATATTAGATCCTATATTGAATTTAGTACCAAGAGTATTTGTGGCATTCGGTTTACTAGTACTAAACGAATTAATTTTACAAAAAACAAATGTTTTAGAGATTATATTGTCAGAAGACAATAGATTGACAAATTTTATTACCATGAATAAAGAAGGTATTTACTCATTTTTAGGATATTTCACAATCTTTGTTTTTGGTCAATCATTTGGATCATTTGTATTAACTAGTTATCCAACTAATGACAATTTGATTGCGTTTAACAATAAGAAAGTAAATAAAAAATCATCATTATCTTCATTATTGTCAGTCACAACTACCAAGGGTTTAGTATTATCTACAATTTTTTATCAAATTGTATTCAACATTGTAAATAACTCATCAATTACTACCTCAATTTCAAGAAGAATTGCAAATCCATCATATGTTTTATGGGTAGTATCATATAATGCAACTTTATTACTAGGTTATAATTTAATCGACAAACTCTTACCAGAATCCAGGAGAGGATTCACGTCAATTTTATTAGAAAGTATAAACAATAATGGTTTAGCTATTTTTTTGTTATCAAATTTATTAACAGGATTAACAAATATGAGTATTAATACATTGGAGAGATCAAATACCGAATCATTATTTATATTAATCGGATACAGTATTACTTGGTGCTCAATTGCATATTTATTAAATAGATACAAGATTTATATAAAGTTGTAAATAGTTTTATAAAATAAAAGTTTTCAGATAGATTTATATTGAAGTTTGTGTACATTTGAAACAATAGTGAAAACGGATCTTCTTACACTATCACGGATAAGTCGGTCAATAACTTCAGGATGTATAGAACTTCTACATTCAGCTTTCTTCAAACCTTTAACTTTGCTTGTTCTTTACTGAGCTGAAAGAAATATCTCCATATTTAGTTTAATTTGTAACAATAACGTCCTATTTCATTAATCTAATTTAGTATCAACACCCCAATGGCTACTTATTAGTAAATTGTCAATTTTCGGAAATGTGTCACGTTCAATATAATTTATCTTTCTTCACTTTCTCAAGGTTGTAATCTCATATAATTATGTAAAAATAGCTAAAATTATTAGCAATTTTCGTACTTTCTCTTGCAATATCTGGTTATCTTTTATTTTATTTTCTGTAATCGTCTTTCCATAATAAACAATATTATAATAAATCAATCATAGTAATAAATTTTAAATTAATAATATCGTTTATAAACGAAAAAAAAAGAAAAAAGGATTAAATTAATAGATAATTATTAGTAGCACTATTATAAATTAAAGATATCATTGAATCTTTTTTAAAGTAAAATCATAAATTACACAGTGATCAAGCTCAAAATTTAGAACATTGATTATCAGCAAAATTTGAATAAATTCGGAATTATTGAATAAAACTTATAGAAATAAATTGAATAAGATATAGAAATTAACAACTCACCAAATGTCATCCAGCAATAATTCCGATCAAGTTTCAATGAATTCCACAAATTCTACTTCATCAGCTCCAATAACTCCAACTCAATCATCCTCATCATCATCAACTGCAAGTTCAACTTCCTGGACTTCATTTTTGAAATCTATCGCTTCATTTAATGGTGATTTATCATCATTAACAGCACCTCCTTTTATATTGTCACCTACATCATTAGTAGAATATTCTCAATACTGGGCAGAACATCCAGATTTATTAATTGCTGCAAATAAATTAACAAGTAATCCAGATAATTCATCATCAGAAGTTATTGAAGCAATGTCTTTAAAAAGAATGATTGCAGTTACAAAATGGTTTATATCAACATTAAAATCTCAATATTGTTCAAGAAATGAAAGTATGGGTAGTGAAAAAAAACCATTAAATCCATTTTTGGGGGAAGTATTTGTTGGTAAATGGGAACATGATGATGACATTGGAGAAACTTTATTATTAAGTGAACAAGTCTCACATCATCCACCTGTTACAGCTTATGCTATTAAAAATACCAAAAATAATATTACATTACAAGGTTATAATGGTATTACATCAAGTATTTCTACTACATCAATAAATATAAAACAATATGGTCATGCACTTTTAGATTATAATGATTTAAATGAAAGTTATTTAGTCACTTTACCACCATTACATATCGAAGGATTAATAACAGCAGCTCCATTTGTTGAATTAGAAGGTACATCATATATACAAGCATCTAATGGTTATTATACAGTAATAGAATATAGTGGTAGAGGCTGGGTTTCAGGTAAAAAAAATTCATTTAAAGCAAGAATTTATCGTGATTTTTTTTCAAGTTCACATAAGGAAAACGCGTTAGTTACAATAAATGGTCAATGGTCAGGAAAATCATATATTGGAAAAGGAAGTTCAACTCCACATTCAAAAACTTCAGATTTATTTTATGATGCAAATTCAATTAAATCAGAAAAATTAACAGTTAAACCAATTGAAGAACAATTGCCATTTGAATCAAGAAAAGCATGGTCAAAAGTAGCAGAAGCAATTAAAAAATCAGATTATAATTTAATTCATCAAGAAAAATCAAAAATTGAAAATGAACAAAGAGAATTAAGAAAAGAAGAAGCTGAAAAGGGAATAAAATGGTCAACAAGATGGTTTGATCAATTAGATTATAATGATTTACCTTCAAATAAAGATAGAGATGCAAATTTACAACCAACTGATGAATTTATTAATTTAACTAATCAAGCTAATTTATCTATACATAATGCTCCATCTGGTACTTTAAAAAAATCAAAATATGATCATGGTGATTCAAAACATTGGAGATTTAATTTGGAAAAATTTAAAGAAAATGAAATCAAAATATAATGAAATTGTATTCAAAGTTATAAATTATTATAAATCATTTTAGAACTATTTTATATATTACTATTTATATAAATTTATTTGCTTTCTGTTTTAACATTTATCATTCTAAGAAATATATGCAACGACTGTAGGGTCTATGTTACGAGGTAGAAACCTTGAATCATCTAAAAAATCAAATATAATATTTGATGAATTTAAAGTGTGTATTTTAAACGCTATCTAATATTTGTTTTTATCTGAAACATACGAGAAACAGAGAAATATAAAAAGAAAAAATTAATAATTAAATAAATGTTGAAATATTATAAAATAAAATAATCAGTCCACTCGATATTAAATTTCTCAACTATGAAGTTTCACATTTTCGTTCTATAAAATGTGAATAAGTTTACATTATTTTACTTATTCAGCATTACCAAAACTTCACATTTCAATTAAGCAAAAGTCATACTACTATTTTGTCCTGGAAAATCAACTCATTTTTAATTCAAATTGTTTATCTTAAATAGTAAATATATCCAGATTTCATTATTATTCATATTGATATTAAGTATTAGAAATTATTGTTTTGATATTTCCAAGAACAAATCAATTGCCTCGGTTTTAAAATTTACTACATCATCAACATTAATGACAGAAACGAATCAATCAATTGTTGTTGGATCAGGTTTAGCTGGTTTGACAACTACTTTTCAACTAATTAATAATGGATCGAGAGTCATTCTATTAGAGAAAACTGATAAATTAGGTGGTAATTCAGTTAAAGCAAGTTCCGGAATAAATGGTGTACCAACAATATATCAACATAATAATGGTGATACAATTGAATTTTTTCAACAAGACACAATAAAATCAGGTAAAGGATTATCAAACACTGATTTAGTGTCAACATTAACTTCAAAATCTTTAAGTGCCATAGAATGGTTAACTAAAGATATTGGAGTGGATTTATCAAAAGTTACTTTATTAGGTGGTCATTCATTTCCAAGAACTCATAGAGGTTCTGGTCCATTACCTCCTGGATTTGCAATTGTTTCGAGTTTAATTAAAAAAATTGAAGATATTCAAACAAAGAAACCAGATACTATAACCATATTGAAGCAAAGCAAGTTGAATAAGATTATAAGTGATGAAAAGAACAATAAAGTAAATGGTGTAGAATATATTGATGAAGTCACAAATGAAACTAAACAAATATCTTGTAAAAACTTAGTATTGGCAACTGGTGGTTATTCAGCAGATACTCAATCATTAGACACATCATTAATTTCAAAACATAGACCTGATTTATTACAATTTGCATCATCAAATGGTCAACAAACAACGGGAGACGGAGTTAAAATCGCTGAAAGAGATCTTGACGTAAAATTAATTCATATGAATAAGATTCAAGTTCATCCCACAGGATTTTTAAACATTAATGATTTAAATTCAAAATGGAAGTTTTTATGTGGTGAATTATTAAGAGGTATTGGTGGGGTCTTATTATCACCACATAACGGAGAAAGATTTATAAATGAATTAGAAACAAGAGATGTTGTTACTGATTCAGTTTTGAAACATTGTAATGTTAGTTGTGATTCTAATGGACTAGCAATGGAAAAGGACACTTATATCTCTGTATTAGTTATAAGTGAAGAAGATTATGCAAAAGCTAATAGTCATATTGATTTTTATGTATATCAAAAATTATTACAAAAGGGTACTTTTGAACAATTGTATGACTTGTTAAAAAAAATTAATCCTAATTTGGATTTATCATATAAAGAATTAATTGAAAAATTCACCTACATTGATGAATTGGTTAGTGGTTCCAAAACAGATTCTTTGGGTAGAAAATCATTTGGTAATAAATTCTCCAACAAGCCAATATATTTTGGTTTAACAACTCCTGTATTACATTATTCAATGGGTGGTATTGAAATTGATAAAAATTCAAGAGCTATTAAGAAGAACGGAGAAATTTTTGAAAATTTATATGCTGTTGGAGAAGTTAGTGGTGGATTACATGGTGAAAATAGATTAGGTGGTAATTCCTTATTGGAGTGTGTTGTATTTGGTAGGGAAGTTAGTAATCATATTTTAAACTAGAAAATAGAATCTTATGATGAATGTATATAGCATTATTTAGCTTATGAATTTATGAAATGAATTGCAATAAGAAATGACTCTACAGTATTTATAATTTATTTTTGGAATATTTTATTTATATTAAAACACCAAACTGTCATTACTATAAATTTACACACTTCTTTATTACTCTCCCCTAAAAATTTGATTTCGATTACAACCAAAATAGTTTTATGTACAAATTAAACTAATTTAGTAATACCGTATGAATTTGAAAAATTGTGATGATGATGATATTGATTTCATTTGTAATATTTGATCTATGATTTGGAATTTTTATGATTATGTTTCGTTAAAATTGTAAATGAGTTTATTAAACTTTTTTTCTTCGTTATTAATTATGATTAGTATAAACTTCCTTAGATGTTTGATGGATATAACATAATTCTAACTGAAGCACCAAAAGTTTTTGGTGGTAAATTTTTTTTGAAATTAGCTCTAACTAAACCATTGTTACCATGAGTTCTTGCAACTTTACCCCAAATAACTCTAATTTTTGAACCTCTAATTTCTTTTTGAGCTCTATAAACATAAGCAATTCTTTTACCTAAATAAAATTTAGCATCTTGTGGACTGTTAACTCCTTCAATTTCAATTAATGAAACTTTTGGGTTGGTAACGTTTTTTGATCTTTGGTATGAGATGTGTTTACCTTTAACGTATACTAAAGAAATAAATGTTAGTAATTTGTTTTCATCTAATTTTGTTAAAACAGGTGAGAGATAGAATTATATTGAAAGTCTTTATCCTTGCAATTGTACTCTAACTTTGGTTATGATCGAACTAATTTCTTGATAATTATATATTCAAAACATAAAACCTCTAATAACTCTGGATTGATATTATATGGATTCGTCGTTGTATGATTGTTGATAATTTTATTATCGTTGACTCATTTTTTGATTTTCATTATTGCAGTTACAGATCTTGGTAACTTGTCAAAATCTCTTCCAATATAATCTATATTCTCTTCCCCATCCTATTGGGATCTTTCCTTGGTTTAAAAACATACATCTGTGTGATTCAGCCATTGTTAATGTAATTATTTATAGGTTTGTTGGTTGTGATTATTTAAAATGGTTTAAATGAAAATTTGAAAAACTATTACTTCTATTAAGAATTTTTTTTTTCTCTTTGTCTCTATGTTATTATTACTATTAACAAAATATTACTATGTAAAATTAATTAACTATAGTATTATGTAATCTATACACCGTGAGATTATGTAATCATAAAACTCACATTTTATTACTAGTATAGTTGGTAGCATATTCTAGAAAAAACCGAGTAGTGCGAGTCTTACAATATACTTAATACTAACTCTGAACCCTACCAGAGTACACGTGATAAGCCCTACTTGTTTTGGCTGCAAAAAAATGAGAATATGAAACACTGAAACACTGAATAACTCAAAATCAACAAATATTTTAGGGATTTTTAAAGAGAGAAAAGTACAAAGAGGCTAAAACTCACTTAACAATTTTCATTAAAACGATTGCATCAAATTAATACCTAATCACGAATTTTTAAACCATTTATTTCTGGATCAATGCAAAAGACTGAAAGACATGGCTTATAGTCTTTAAATTCCATATCACCAAAAGCTTTTACATGATTTGATAAATTTGTTATAGATTCATTTTGATAATATTTTATTGAAATCTCTTTCAAAGGGTTTGGTTGATTTTCTAAAAATTTTGCACTTATATTTTGAAGTTCTTTAAATTTTTTCTTTTCCCATTTTCTTAATTTTTCAGCCATTTTTTCATCGTATGGAAATTGAGCTTTTTTGACTGGATATAAATTTGCATGCTTAAATAATTTTATTGGAATTAACGTGAAACTAGGTGGTTGATCAGGTAATACATCAGGTAATCCATCTTCTCCAACATCACAATCCTCCAAATCAGATTCAAAAATAATCCCACTAATTTGATCCCACGATTTTAAAGAAGTAACATATTTGTATAACAAATTTCTTGCATATAAGGACATTATTAATGGTACTTTATGTTCAAGGTCGATATATAAATAACTCAAGACATTATTTAAAGGTCTTACCGTCCAAGAATACTTCAATTCTAGTCTTGGGGTGAATATGAATAAATCAATTTCAATCTTGTCTGTCGTGTCAGCTATAAATCCAGTTTCTTCATTAAATATTTCAAACATTTTCAAAATTTTACAATCTAAATGTAAAACAATTGAATTATCTTTATTATCAAAATCAACTTTTATATCATAAGCTCTTGAATTCCAGAATAAAGCTAAGTATTCTGCAATATACTTTAATATACCAGGTTGTTCGCTTCCTAGTACTAGATCACCATTTGCATACACATTATAAATGACTTTGAAATCATCTGCAGGTAATGTAGGTAATGATGTTGTGTTAAAATTTATGGAAGCCACATAAGTTTCAGATACACCATTTGAATAAAACTTTTTTGTATGATATAACTCATTTGCGTCATCATTATTTAAATATTCAACTTCTACTTGACTAATAATTGGACGTGATGAAGATGCCGTCGAACTCATTTTCCTTATATTTGGATAGGAATTGATGATGAAAAATGGAAACGATTATATTAATAGTGTGTTGATATATTTATAGATGAATTAAAAAGTGTTGGTATATTTATAGATGATTTAAAATACACGTCAAACAGAATTCAAGTATTATATAAATAATAACAATATTAATTAATTACCAATAATACATGTAACATAAATGTTTTTATTTTTATGCGAGCTCGTCGTGTAACACCATTGCAAACTTTTTCGACGCAGAAGCATCCTTAATCCGTACCAGTTTTAAGCCACTCGTACCAGACTTTGCACAATTGTTTAAGGGGTAAAAAATACCCCACATTTTTTTGTATATATATTAATGCAAATACAAAAATTTCATTTTTCCAATTATTATACATTTCATAATGTCTACAACAAATACACCTAAACATTAAGACTGTCAAATGCTGAATAAAAGAAAATACGACATGGATGATTATCATCCCGAAGACGACTATGGTCCGATTATTAAAATCATTAATTCAAACCCAAAAAAAAGTCCGTTGGAGGTATTCATAGAATTAGTTGTCAGAATAAGAACACGAAGATTCAGAAGAGATCCCATACAATTTAAAATCTTTTATGATGATAAGGTACAAACTATCGAATTTACTTCCCCAAAAGCAATTGCAATGGCTTTAATAGTTTTTAGAGTCTATAAATTATTACAAAGAAATGATAAACTTTCATTGAAGTCATTACATGATGAATATGCTGATGTTTGGGGTGAATCAACTGAAATTTGTTACTCCACAGTACAAATATTTTTAGATGTATTTGATTGGAAACATAATGATCTTAATATCATTGTCGATGATAAAGTAGCTAGATTTGAAAACTAAAGATGAAATTCTGCTTGGTCACTAGATATTCATTAGATTTATTAATAATTTTTGAAGAATTGAAAATTTGGAAATGCTTTAAATAATATATATTTATATAGTGATTCATTTAAATATTTTAAAAATAAATATATAATCTTCTCAATATTTCAACAATTTACTTGAAACCAACAAATTCTCTGCAGTATTATCAATCTAATGAGTAAATTCATTAATAAATTAAAAATGAACTATATTTACATAATAACACTCGAAAAAAAATTATCAAAAGACTCCAATTCATCATTTCCATAATTTTATTTCTTATTTTGAAATTTAATATTAAAATTAAAACCTAATTGTTGAGGTAAATTAATTATACAATCTACAAAATCGGAAATCAGAGTAAAACAATATAAAAATATTTTCATTTCAAACGAATTTTTTGTTCCTTTGAAGTGTTTTAGGATGTGACACAAACCCTTCTTAGTCGATTTTGCATCTAAATATGTTAAAACTTGATTAAATGACATTGTATCAACTTTAATTTAAAAATTTGAGCTTCTCAAAAATGTTATTAATTTTTATATAAATATTGTTTTGACTATTTTGAAAATTTGATATATTGTTGAGTGGAAATTGAGAAAGTTTATTAATTTTGCATGATAGGTTTGTTCTTCATAAACTTGATAATTTTTCGATTTTGTAAAATTGTGAACATTTAATAATTTACCACCATGTTCCGAAATTTTTTCATTGCTAGCACTTTCAATCTTCCAGCCCTTGTTTTCATTAAATTTAAATAAAATTCTCTTCTATATATGCCGATTTCAATCTTATAGGTTTGATCTAAGTTCTTATGCAACCAAATGTTTAATAGTATTGATATTTATTGCGTAAAATTTCAAATTTTCGCGAAATTAGATCCCCATTAGTGTTGACACGAGATTATAGATTTTGTAAGACCAAAAAAATCATAATACTTGAAAAATATGATTTTACAACCAAATCTTAAAGACCTCAAAACTAGAAAATAGTATGAATAATAGACATAATAAAAATGAGTCTTTATATTTGCTAAATAATGAAAACCTAGATACAAATATACAGAAAATATATACAAAATTCAAATCATCAACAACACCCAATGATTTATATAATTTAATTGATAAAATTGATAATACAATATCTACAATTGATTTAAATTTAGATAATTACATAACAATTCATAAACAAAAATTACAACAAGATATAACAAATATCGAGTCTTTAAGAACTTCAAAATTATCATCTACCATTACAAATTCATCTCAATTATCTGAATTTTTCACAAATACTGATGAATTGGGTCATAATTTAACATACAAGATAAAATCATTAGATCAAGAAATTGGCAATGTAAATGAAACTTTAACTTATGTTGAAAATATACAACTACTCAAGAACAATATAAATCAAATAAATTATGCAATTGATCATCAACAATGGGATTCAGCAGCTCATTGTATACATACTATAAATACTAAAATTCCACAAAGTTTAATTCAAGGAGAATACGCTTCGGTGGTTATTCCATCAACTGATATTCCAGAATTACCACGAGTTTGTATAGACAACTGGACAAAAAAACTAGTGGAAGTTTTCAAAAATCAATTTAATGAAGCAGCAAAGGAAAGAAATGTTGAAAAATTAACTAAATTTTTCCAATTATTTCCGTTAATAAAACAAGAGGAAGTTGGATTAAATTGTTATTCAAAGTTTATTTGTGAAGTTATAAATGAATCATCAAAGAATCTAACTCAAACTGTGAACAATATTAGTGCAAGTGATTTAAAACCTGGAATTTTTGCAACTGTATCAATGCAATTATTTGAAAATGTATCTATGATGTTATCACAACATGGTCCTTTAATTAAACGATACTATAGTTCAACCTATCCTGAAGCTTTAACATTTGTTGTGAATAAAATTCAAAGAGAAATTGACTTACAAATTGGTATAATAGCAGATACTTTTTATGATGCAAGACGATTAGATAAAATTTTCCAAGATATTAGATTATACAATTTCCCCATCTTAACTCAAAGAACAAGTGAAATGCAAGAACATTATTCACAAGATCATAATAACCAAGATGAAATTGTTGATTCAAAAGCAACTGATGATTTACTACCTATACAAACAATCGGAGATTTAATACTGGAATTATCATCAATTTTACAAAATTGGTCATTATATTGTAAATTTATAACTGCTAAATATTTTAATGATTCAAATCAAACAGACGAATTACATGTGCCCGATATTATTAATAAGTCAAATTTCACTAAAAAAATAAACGAAAAACTATTACCATCTTTTGAGAAATTATATAATTTTTATTATAGAAGATCATTAGAAAAATCAATAACAATAGAAGAATTACAACCACTAGATACCTACTTAAAATTTTCAACTAAATCAAAATCACCAGATCAAACACCAGTATCATCAGTTATTGAAGATCTAACATTAATTTTAAATACTACTTTACGTAATGTAATAAAATCAGGTTTCCCCATATCAGTTAAAAATTTCATTATTGAAAGTTTTAAAATTTTACAACAAGATCTAATAAATGGGTTTTTTATAAAGAACCTAAATGATAATAGACCAAAATATAATCAATCATTAAATTTCGCGCTGGATGAAGCTACAAGTTCTCATTTAACCAATCCAAAAAATTCAAGAGGTGGAACTCCAGAACCTCATGGATCATCTATACACAATTCAAATTCTAATGGTCATGGAGGATTTTTCAAAGGTGCATCAAGTGCTTTTGGAAGTGTTGTTAGTGGATCTGGAGCCATAGTTGGTAGTCTACAATCATCTACTACTGCAAATAGTCCCAAATTAATTAATTTTATAATATATTTAAATTCTATTGGAGTATCACAAGATTATTTTGTGAAAGTTATACAAAATATAATTGGACAGGATGGTACAACCAATAATTATGTGAATAGTAATTTTCCATTCGGTAAAGATTCAGAAAAGATTAAATTAATTTTAAATCAAGATTTTTTGGATCCTTTTACTTCAATAAGTAATAAAATTTTAAATGAAAGTTTGATTAATTTATATAATCAATCAATAAAACAAAAATTAATGATCTTAGTTAATGAATTTATTCTAGAATCAAATGAATCAAATTATATAATATATTCATCAAATCAAATCAATGATCCATCAGTACTAATTAAATTTAAGTCAAATTGGTCACTACTCACAAAACCTTATTTACAAGTATTACATAAGTCCATTTGGTTAAAATTATTGAGATTAATTATTGTAAATCTAGTAAATTTGGTGGAAAGAAAATTACATTCAACTTTAAAAAATTTTAAAATTAATGAAATGGGATCAATTAAATTGGAAAAAGATTTAAGTTTTATTATAAATGAAGTATGCGAAGATAATTATCACTTGAGAGAGAAATTTTTAAAATTAACTCAAATTGTATTGTTGATTGGAATGGATGATGATGAATATGAAGAAAGTAATCAACCTGTAATAAGTAAATTTGAAAAAGATGAAAATGGAGAAGTTGATGATGTTGATGAAGATGATGAAGAAGAAATTGGAGGTATTAATTGGATTCTAACCCCACAAGAAAGAGATCAAATACGTAATTACAGAGTATAAAGAAGTTACATTTAATAAAAAGTTATTTTGCATTAATCATTAAAATATTCTATACAGCCTCTATAATATCTATACACTTATCTCTTTTTGTTGTATTGGTTCATCATCTTTAGTAATTACTGAAACAGGATCAGGTTTAATTCTCAAATATAAATTATGATAATCAAATTTAGGATGAGTAAATTCACAATCACCACCTTTAGGACAAAATCCAGCTAAATAATGAGGACATATAGTTTTTCTAACATGTCTATTTTTACAATTAGGACCTTCTGAACAAAAACCAGCATTATAATTCATACATTCAGGAATTTTTGATTGTGGATCAATATGTAAATAAAGACATTCAGGAGTTTGAGTACAGAATCCATTCTTGGTATAAAACAAGCATTCAGGCATTTTTCTTAAATTATATTCATGTAAAAATTCACAATGATCACCTTTTTTACAAAGTCCTCTTAACCAATGTTTACATACTATCTTATTGTTATACATTTGTGATACATGTTTATTTGGACAATTAGAACCTAATGGACAAGATGTTTGTGGAAATTGTGGATTATATAATGGACATTTAGGTCTATCTGGATCTAAACCAAAATTATATTCGTTTCTTAAGAATGATTCAAATTTAAATCTATGTTTTTGATTATTTGGATGTATTATTGGATTCAGCTGTAGCATGATTTATAACTGTGAAAATATGATGTAAAATAATGACCTTTTGGGTATGAATGCTATTATATCGAAACGCTAAGCTAAATAATGCTCTTTTATATGATGATGATAAGATACTGTAGTTTAAAAAGTAATTGATTAGTTGATATATTTATCGATATTATAGATTATATTTAAATTCATTTGATCTTATTAGTAATCTTTGTACTTAATAAATTTGGTATACATGACTTAATGATTACGTAATTAAACAACATATTATTATGTAATTTATTAGCATATTATTACGTAATCAAATAGCATTTTATTTCGAGATTGGACTTGAACATATGATCGTTAGGTCACTTAAAAGTCAATGGAACAGATCAATTTGTTGTGAGTTCTTATACCCCACACTACTACAAAATACATTAATGTACTTTTTTTCTAGAATAATTTGACCGTTCAGATGTTATTGTATTTTGAATAATGAATAAACCAGTTTATTTTACATATCAAAAAGTTACGATGAAATTGGTAGTAACAGTAATTTAGTATACAAATTAAATATTACATGAACTATATAGATTAGTTCATAGGTTCTTCTTTACCTCTTCCCCTCTATACATATGTTTTATACTTTAGGTTAATATTTAACCTTATCAATTAAATATGTGATATTCCTACATTTACTAGGTCAAAGAGTCCTATTAAAAATTTAATGTGCTCAAAATTAATATTACAAAATTGATGTAAACTAACACAGCGGAGTAAATTTAATTAATCAGCCGATGAATTTGTTGAGATAAGGACCAAATATGGGTTCTTTGATTTGTTTACTAAAGATATTTTGTTTCCCCATAAATAAATAGGCATTTTATTAGATTGTGTTATCTGATGCATATTTTTTTGCAACTTTAAATTTGAAACAAAAAAGAATATTTTTCTTCGATTACCCTACAAATTTTCAATGTGTTATGTGAGCAAATAATCTCATTGGTGATTATTTTTAGATGTGTATGCTTTTTTAAATTAATTAATCAAATGATCAGGTCATTTATCAATTCAAAAGTGGAGATCATGGCATTTGATTATGGGGTTATTATGATAATTAATTTTAAAATGAGACGTTTATCAAATTCGTCCTTTTCAAGTTATACCAATTCATCAAATTTAAAAATTATAAATATCAGTTAAAATTCCCCAAGTCTCAGAGATTTTTTTAAATCTTTATCAACTACAATCATCAATCCACAATGCAATTATCAAATATCGTTGCTGCTTCTATTGCTTTAGTTACTGTTCAAGCTGGTTATGCTCATTATTCAAAATGTTGTGAAGAAGATAGTGAAATTACTACTTTTGCTGATGAATTTGCTTTAGGCGTTAAAGTTTGTGGTGAAGATGAAATTTATGTTGTTTTTGAAATTGGTGATGGTCAATTAGAAAGATCTTGTTCAACTTATGATTGTCAATCATGTTATACTCCTGAACCAATTACTCAATGTCAAGAAGAATATGACTGTTATACTGATGAATGTGAACCAGAATGTGAAACAAAATATTATGGAAAAGGTAAACATTATGGAAAAGGTAAACATTATAAAAGAGGTGATTATTATAAATATAAATCTTATGATACATATTCAGAAAAAGATTTATGTTATGATCATTGTACTGTTTCAGAAGATTGTTATGATTATTTTACTTTATGTGAAACTATTTTATATGATTATCAACATAGAATTGGAGAAATTGTTTCAAATCATCAATTCCAATTTGATGATGCTATTCAAGCAGGTGCATTATATTCAAAAGGTTGGAGTATCGTTTACAAAGATGGTTACTACTTATTAGCATTATGTGGTAAAACAGAATTCTACGAATGTCCAGTCAATGACTGTGACCTTTATAAATTATATGATGAATCAATTGATAGTAAATGTCATAAAGTTGAAATTGTTATTATTTTTAAAAAATGTGATTAGTTGTTTTTTATAGTTGTTTTTTATCTTTCTTTTTTTGTTTAGGTTTATAGTTTTTCATTTCGGTTCTTATATTATAAATATATAATTTGTTTTCTTTTCGTTTTAAATTTATAATTCTTCATTACTATTCATTTTCATTCTAATCTAAATCTACTTACTAATTTAACTCTAATTTAAGCTAATGAACCCATTGGATCATAATAAGGTAAAGTATTAAATTGTTTACCTTTCCAAACATCAAAAGTCTTTTTTGAAACATATTTACGATTTGTAACAATTTGGAAAACAAATTCACTAAACCATTCATCAGTCATCATAAACCAACCTTTTTTACCAGATTGTTCACCCCAAGAGTTTTCAATTTTCCATCTAATTGGCTTGTTAGTGATAGGATCTAAATGAACAGCAGTAATAACCATTGCATGAGTCATTAATAATGAACCATACCAAAAACCCAAGTAATAACACCAAGATTATTAAATTTTAAAAATTAAAACTAATGAGAATTATAATTTAGAATTTAAAGAAATTTAAAACAAAAATCTATTCAATTTGATGAATTTCGGCATAAATTTGAAATGAATGAACTATCTAAAAATAAGAATTATAATGAAGAAGTTTTAAATCAATTAAGATTGGAGCAAGTTAGAAATTATTATTGTGAAGATCAGGTTTGAGAGGTTTGTGTTAGTCCTTTTTTTTCTGTATAGTTTTTTGTTTCATATACGATTTTTACATTTCTTACTTTTTCAATATTTTTTGTTGTGTACATCATTGAATTACCACTTAAAAAAAACCGTGTTGCATATATTTACTACAAATTGTTTCATATTACATTATCTCTCGTAAACTACACAATTATCTTATCTTTTAGCCTAGCGTATTGAATTTTAATGAAGGGATAATCTGGAACAGTACCAAAACTATCGTATTTGCCAATAACTCTTAATTGAATTTCATGATCTTCTTGTAAGTTACAATACTATTTGTTTCTTTTTAATGTACCAAATTATATAAAACTTAATTTTAAATTCTCATCAAAACATATACACCATACATTTGAATCTCTATAAAGCAACTCATCTATTGTAAAATTTGTCGATGAATTACCACGAGGACATGCTTTTAGCCTGTTTGTTTTAGAATCAACTCTAATAAAGTTCATGCCATCATCCATTATTTAATTTAAAAAATCCATTAATTAATATTGAACTTTTTATGAGCTTGTTGTTTTATTGTTAACTTCGAATTCGTCAGTAATAAAAGTTAGAGTATCTCTTTGATATAATTTATGAATACCTGAATTTAATAATGATGTTTCATTATTTTCTTCATAATTGGGACAGTAAGCTACTAATAAGAACGGTGCTGATTGTGGCTGAAGAAAACTGATAATGTATGGTTGATAAGTAGTACAATAGTAATGAATTTCGAAAACATGATGATTGACTTGTGACTAATTTGAACGAAAAAAATGTGTTGACTAAATGTTTCTCAATTGATATGCTACAGATTAAGTATATTTTTACAAATTCTTTTGCAGCAAAATGTAACAAAACTCGCTAAAATTCATTTGTTAGAGAAATTTTAAAAGTAAACTTTGAGTTGAATCGTATTAAATGGTTTTTACAGCTAGCATTAAAAGGGTTATATTAATTGAATCTATCTCTTATATTGACTATTGGGCTTGATATATATCGATTTGGAAGATTATTTATTTTAAGTGGTTTAAAGCTAAAGTCTTCATTAATAGTTTCAAAGACAGTATTAAATAAATAACGAGACTCTAAATGAGCTGCATTATTTGATTTTGCAATAACTTTTTCAATTGCATTATTTTCAAAAATATTTTGACTTTTTAGTTTGTTTTTGAAAATCATTTTCCCAAATTTCCAAAATATCGTTTACAAAGATGGTTACTACTTATTAGCATTATGTGGTAAAACAGAATTCTACGAATGTCCAGTCAATGACTGTGACCTTTATAAATTATATGATAAATCAATTGATAGTAAATGTCATAAAGTTGAAATTGTTATTATTTTTAAAAAATGTGATTAGTTGTTTTTTATAGTTGTTTTTTATCTTTCTTTTTTTGTTTAGGTTTATAGTTTTTCATTTCGGTTCTTATATTATAAATATATAATTTGTTTTCTTTTCGTTTTAAATTTATAATTCTTCATTACTATTCATTTTCATTCTAATCTAAATCTACTTACTAATTTAACTCTAATTTAAGCTAATGAACCCATTGGATCATAATAAGGTAAAGTATTAAATTGTTTACCTTTCCAAACATCAAAAGTCTTTTTTGAAACATAGTTACGATTTGTAACAATTTGGAAAACAAATTCACTAAACCATTCATCAGTCATCATAAACCAACCTTTTTTACCAGATTGTTCACCCCAAGAATTTTCAATTTTCCATCTAATTGGCTTGTTAGTGATAGGATCTAAATGAACAGCAGTGATAACCATTGCATGAGTCATTAATGATGAACCAGTTCTTAATCTATTTGCTTTATTTAAATTTAAATCATAATCAAAAGCAGATTTATAATCATATGCAGTAGTATCTAATACACCACTAGTTCTATCACAATATTTACCAACATCTGAACCAAAAAAAATTGGTTCATTATCTTTCAACATTTTAATAGCAACATTTTTAATTTCATCAATTTCTGTGTTGACGTATTCAATTGGTTTACCACCATTAATATTATTTAATCTTTCAACAGTATATAATTTATCATAATCATTTCTTGGATCATGAATTAATGAAAAATGAGAATTAGCATCATATTTAACATGAGTCTTATAAAAATCCAGAGCATTTGTTTTAAAATGTTTAAATTTAGAATCTTTATCTGAAAATTCCCATAAAAATTCATCAGTTGGTTTTGGTGGTGTACCAATAGTTAAAGCCAAAGTCTTGTAAATAGTCTTCATTGCACTAATTTTAAATTGACGAATTACAGAGTCAGCTGCCTTTTGTTGTTTTAATTCTCTAATTTTCAAACCAAATTCTCTTAATTTTTCAGTAACTATATAATTTAATTTTGATGAACTTGTTGATTGACTATTATCTGGAAATACTTCATGAGGAACCAAACCATATTTATTAACTAAATTAACAATCATATCCCATTGACCACCATCTCCTACAGGATCTTTAAATAAATACTGAATTAATCTTGAATCTAATTCTTCTTCCCATGTATCTTCAATATTTTCTAAAAAAAAATTAGCTTTTTCTAATTTATCATAAAAATATAAATAACTTTGAGATAATTGAAATTCATCATCTTTTAAATTATAATTTTTAATAACTTGAGTTCTGAAAACATTTGATGAAGCAAATATCCAACATCTACCTGAAGATTTTTGATTATTTGCAAAACTTGGTGAACCAATAGTTTCAACAGCAGTATTAAATAAATAACGATCTTTTAAATGAGTTGCATTATTTGATTTTGCAATAACTTTTTCAATTGCATTATTTGCAAAAATATTTTGACTTAAAATATTTTTAGTTTGTTTTTGAAAATCATCTTCCCAAATTCCTAAAATATCTTTTGAAATTGGATTAATATCTCCATTATCATCTTCCTTTGTTGTAACTTCTAAACCTTTAAAAAATTCTTGAAAATCTTCTAAATTTGAATTTTCTGGTAATGATTCTTCTTGAGGTTTTTCTTCAATTTCTTTATCATTACTAATTGGTTGTTGTGGTTCAGCACCATATCCAAATTTAAAAATAAGTCCCATTATTAAATATAATTTATTCAACTTGAAATGCTATATATATATGTTGTTAAGTCAAATAATTTAAAAACTAAATTGGAATTTTGATTCAATATTTATACCAAAGTTCAATAAATTCCGTTTGAGTTAATAATCTTTATTGTTCTTTTTAGTATTGATTATAAATTACGAATTTATTTGTATTATTGTAATAATTATTTTTATCCCCCCCCCCCTCAAAAAATTGTTGTGTTATCTTTTTACTTTCCTTATCTATCTAATTAAAAATAAAATAATAAATACAAAGATAAAAATATTATAAAGGTTATGGAAAAACTTCAAATTAGATTTAGAATATATCAATATAATATTTGTAAGTTTAAGTTCATTCTTGATATTTACTCCAATTAGATCTAGGTTCTGAACTATTAAGACAACTACCTCATTTACAACGAATTTTCTTTAATTTATTTTTAGTAAACTTCAATTAAACTCGTCCTACCCTTAAAAAAAAAGGATTGAAACGGAAATAAGTCCTAGATCGGAATTTATTGGTTTGAAAATGCCATAATTTAAAAAGGCTCAAATTTATATTTATTAACAATTTACTTTAAAAAGTATAATAACTAAAGAGCATAACTGTTATAGTTGTTAGAAAACTCGCTTTTACTTATATACATGATGGTTTCCACAATATTAGAGTCAATTGTTGGGCTAATTTATTTAACTTCTTTTTCATATTTTTGAATATACTATATACAATCAACATAATAAGAAAGAGTTCACAAACCCTTTATTGAGTTAAATTTGCTTTTACTTACAGGTCAAAGCTTTATGACTCAAATGCATGACTAGTTTGTTATTGAAAATGACAAGATATTGTATTTAACTTTGGATAAAAATTTAAAATTTTGAAACACACATACGAAAAGAACACAAAATACCAACACTAATACAAAATACTTCGATACAAAAAATTATTATTTATACTAGCCACGTTTATTACAGAACCTATTTAAACTTATTTCTTTAACTCATTCTCCATTGATGCTCTTTCATTTCTAAATTTTGTTGATCTATCTCTAATTCTTGGTTTTTTAACTTTACCACTATTTTTTAAACCTTTTATACCAACAATTTTTGATCCTTTTGTTGCCCTTTGACCTTCAACTATAAATTTATTTCGTTGTTGATTATTACTATTAGTAGTTCTACTTTTTTTACCAATACTTGATCTATCAGCTTTTCCTAAAATATTTTGAGCTCTTCCTATTTTAGTCTTTTGTGAATCAGTTAATTTATTTGCTTGATCTTTTGATTTATTTGATGCATATGTCTTTTTCAAATTTTCATAATGATTTGGTGACAACAATGAAGGTTTTGCATTTGATTTTGCTCTTGATATTCTTAATTTTCTTCCCTTTTTATTACCACTTACTATATCCATTGGTTTTTCATTTAACATTAATGCTTTATTTACTGATAATGAATCTTTAAATTGTACTAATGCAAATCCTTTCCCCATGTTTGTTTTAGAATCTCTTATAATTCTAACTGATTCAACATCATTTTCTAATTTTGAATTAAAATATTTCCATAAATTTTCTTCTTGTTCTTCAAAATCTAAATTTCCAACAAATATTGTTCTTTTATTATCTTTTGGTGATGGATGTGCAATATGATCTACTCTTAAATGATGATTTTCAAATATTTTACCATTTAATTTTTTACAAACTAATAATGATGATGATTTTTCTGAAAATACAATATATGCATTAACTGAATCTCTTGATTTATGTAAATTCTTTTTAGCAAATGATATTTTTCTTGGTAAATTTTCTTCAAATGATATTGATCTAAACCTTATTGATTCAATTTTACCATATTTTTTGAAAAGCTTTTTAAATTCTTTGGTTTTAGTTTTTGATGTTACAACATCACTTGGTACATTACCTACAAATACAGTTCTTTCTGCTTTTTCCATTTCTGATTCTTTAAAATCTATAGTTGATGCTGATTGTGCTTTTGAGGGCTTGGTTTCTTTAGCTAGATTATCTTCTGAGTCTTCTACATCTTTTTCTTCTTGTTCTTTTGGGATTGTAGGTTCTTCATCGTTTTTGAAATTTTTCTCGAAATATCTGGCTTCTAAATCGTAGTTTTCATCTCTTTTTTTTGATTTTTTAGTAGTAATTTTTGGCTCTATTATTTCTTCATCTTCTACAATTTCTTCATCTTCATCCTCTGAATCATCAGCTTCATCTGAGTCATCCTCACTTGAATCTTCCTCTTCTTCTTCTTCATCATCTTTTACAATTTCATTGACTTCCTCCTCCTTGTCTGCTGATTGCTTTCTTTTCTTACTTTTGACTGAGCTCTCAGGTACATTTATAATGGTTCTCTTTTTAGAAATTAATTGATCAGTTGATATTGGACCATCAGTTTTAGTACTAAAAATTTTATTTAATGATTCATCATAATTTTTATTTGAGTTTCCAAATAATGATGAAAAGCCTGACATTACTAATTAATTGAGTAATAATGTATTCTTTATGATTATTAACTTAATAAGTAAGAATATAATGATAGTGATATAATTTGTGTAAGGAATGTTATCCATTTGTATGTGAGATGAGAGCCCTTAATATTTTCAAGAATATCGAATTTTCCTATTTTGTAGATTTTGTGCGGCTTGAGTAGACTCAATTTTTTAGAAGTAGCAAAATTTTAAATACCCCTTATGAATGAAACAAATGATATATCACTACGAGACTCGAATGGTTCTAAAAATACTAGAAATGATTTTGGTAAATTTGATTGTACTTACTAAATTTGCTGTGCTATACAACTTTACAACAGTTGCAAAAGTCTTTGAAGTTGAAGTGTGAACTAGTTCAACATTCAGTTTTTAAATTTTGCTAAATCTTGAAACTTCCTTAATATTTTCCATGAACAAGTTATTGGCATACCATTAATGCTGAGTAACGAACAATTTAAAAACCTTGAACCCAAAACCCAATCACAGAACGGGAAATATATCCAAACAAAATAACGAACCAAATTATAAAAACTAAAAAGAACGTAAAATTTTCAAAAGTTTAGAAAAAATGGAAATGGTTGCAAAAATTAGAAAAGACGAATCAGAAATTTTGCCTAGTTACGAAGAACATGAACATACTCCACCTCAAGTCGATCAATTCTTAAATGCACAACAAGGTCAAGTTAACGAAAGACCAAATATCTTGGAGGATGAACACTCTCATCATAGTGATAATAATACTTTTGAAACAGCATTGTCAACATTTCCAGGTTTAAAACAACAACAGTCCAAAAAAGTATTAACAAGTAAAGCTAAGTCTAATCAAGTTAATAAAAAAAAATTACTGCAATATTTTAATTGTTGTCCCCACACCAAAACAACACTAGTTTTTTCAATTATTGCAGTATTATTGTTTATATTAGGCATATTTATTGCAGTTTTAGAGTCAAATCGAAATAACGAATAGCTTTTTAGACGCGGTATTAGGGAAAATGGATTTTTGATCTTCAAAAAGCTTCCATCAAGAGGAATATGTAATTTGTTACTATAACGTTTACCTTAACATGTTCTTGGTTAGGTTACTATGACTTTTTCAACCTTGTGACGTTAATTAATAAACCTAGTGCAGATCAAGATCAATTGTTAGACTAAGGGAGGTAGTTGTTAGCTCAAACTTCGGTTGATAAAAAGATCAATATGTTCAACAGTTGTTGATTATTGAAATTTTTATTTGGAATTATAATGCGGAGTTCAGGTTAAATATTTTAAATAGAAAGTCGTACAAATATATTTATGTCTCTCTCTTCTTCCAAAATTTTACTTGCAAAATCTAACGACAAAAAGTTACTGATAAGTACGACATTGTAATATTATTTTTATTATTTTTTTAATTTCGGTTTAATAAAATTTGTATGGAACAATTAAAAATATTAGAATTTAATATTTGTATACATAATTTAAAAATATTAGACAACCAATCAATAATTTAATTGTATTACATCTTTCTAACATACTTATCAACTTAATATTACTCCAAATCATCACCATTATTCAATAAATTCAAAATTAACAGTTGAATTCTAAAGTATTCAGTACAATTTTCAATATAAGATTAATTATTAAAGCATCACTTTCCATTCAATTTAAACTCGAAAACGTGAATTCTTTATAATTTTAACTAAATTTTTGAGATTCTAACATATATAAGAGTTTATTTTGATAAAAGGTTCAAATTAAATTGTTTATATATCACCCACAATCGAGTCATTACATTTTTTATTACAATACATCATAAATGGAAATAATGGAGCAAATAAAAACTGAACCACATAATCTAAAGATTCTAGATAAGACTTCAGATCCAATATCCCCACCAATACTGGATGAAAACATTCAACCATTATCTAAAGACGAAAACTCAAATATCACGGAGGAAATCAAAGTTGAAGTCGAAAAAGATGAACCCACTCAAGAAGAAAAAGATGGAGAAGAAGAAGAGGTAATAGATACTGAAATTAATGATAACAATAATGTCAACAATACAATATCAAAGGACTCACCACTTACTGATATTGCTACATCACCACCACCTTTTGATTTATCTTTAGCTGATTCAACTTTCAATCTTGATGGAGAATTGAAAAATACTTTAGAAAATTTAGATAAAGATGAAACTTTTAAAACTTTTGAAAAATTTATGCATAATGAACCAAATGTTAAATCAAATGAACTCAATAATAATACTGAAAAAAATGGAGAACTAAAAAACGATTTAAAGGATATAACTGAAAATTCATCAGAAGAAAATATAATAAGAATGAATCCACAAAGAAAAGATAGTTATGAAAGTTCAGAATTAAGTGAAGTTGGAGATGATTCAGAAGCAGAAACTGATAAAATGGATTTTTTAGAGGATAGAGACTCATCTGATAAACCAACTGATTTACAAACATTATCTGAATTAACTGAATTAGCAAGATTAGAAGGTATGGATTTTAATTTAAATGATGACATTGATGAAGATGATCATGAGATTTCAAAAGATACAAAACCATCATCAATTGAAGGTTTAAATAACTCTGATTCTTTCACAAAAGATGAATTGAGTGACGTTAATGATGAATTTAAGTCAATAATAACTAGAAAAAGGACATCAACCGAAGGAGATGAGTATGAGGAAAATAATGAGAGTGATAAAAAGAAACAGAAACTTGAATCAGCTGAACAAGACGATGTGAAAGAACACGAAGAAGAAAAAGAGGAAGAAGACGGAAATGTGGAAAAAGAAGAAGAAGAAGACAAAATACGGAAGAACAAAGTGATACAACCGAAAGTAAAAGAAATAGCTGTTGAAGAAAATGATAAAATAGAAGAAGATCAAGAAGAAGATGAATATGAAATAGACAATTTACAAAAAGCCAATGGTAACAAACAAATAACTCCAGATGATGAGGAAAATGAAGCTGAAGCAGAGGATGAAGAAGAGGACGAAGATATTGAAGAAGAGGAAGAAGAGGATGACGAAGATGAATTAATAGCGAAAACAGAAGGCCACATTAGTGAAGAGTTGAATACAAATGAAGATATAGACATAAAACAAAAACAAGATGCGATTACCACTGAACAAAAAGTAGCAGAGGAGAACGATGTTGATTTAAACGAACAAAGACGATTAGCTGTTGAAGGATTAGTTGCTATTGAAAAATGTTTTGCAGAAGTAAGGGATAAATTATATGAAGATAAATTAGCATTATTAGAAAAGGAATTGCAGCTATGTCTAGAAGGTTCACATCCTGAATTATCAAAAATATATTACAAAGTCAATGGGTTCTATCAAGATAGTCTAAATCTAGCCAACTCAAATCTATCATACAAACTTAAATGTATTGATAAAGAAACCTTGGCGACAAGAACTTCAATACATCAAAACTACTTAAAAAATATAATGGATACCAAGAATGACATGATAACAGAGACAACATCAATGTGGTATAAAATCAACAAGGAGAGAAATCAATTAGATCAAATTGTACCAGATTTCAATTATTCAGCTATACCGAATAATATAATAAATCAAGAAGAAATTACAATGGGTACATCATCAACATATTTGGAAGCAATGGAGAATTCAACACCAAAATTAAGGAAAGCAATAAAACAAAACACTATAATTGAGTTAGTACAACAAAGAAATAATTTAAATGAACAGTTGGGTATACTAAATGGTTTAATTCAATTTCATGGGTTTCCATCTGCTATTAGCTCTTCTATTAATGACGAGAATGATGATGAATCAAGTAATGTCAAAGAATTATTGTTGAGAAAAGCTAGTGATGAAGAAATTAATGATGATTTAAAAGCAATGGGTATTATACGGACATAATTATTCTAGAATTTGTTTGCTAATTTGTTTCTAATGTTGTATTATTTTCTAACTAGAAGAAGTGTTTATAGTCTATATATTGCAATTATAAAAACTATTCTTGTATTCTTCATTAATGTGATTCTGTTGTAGCTAGTTTTTTATATGGTGATAGATTGAACCCAATTTGGTAGCACAAGTTTTTCAAATAAATTACGTAGATCAATAACAAACATAATACAGCCGCTGCAATTATAAACCTTAGTAATAATTATCAAACAATTGCACTTCCACCAAATTAGTAATGGTCGAGGTTTCATTAACAGTTGGTAAATTAGATGCATCATTAGCATTATTGCTAACCAAAGATCATCATTTAATTGAATTCCCAACAATACTATTACCAAATGGCGTAAAAGCAGGTTCAATAATCAAATTAAAATGTGATCAAGATTATGAAAGTGAAAAAGAAGAAGAAATAAAATTTGATAAACTTCAACAAGAAATTTTAGAAACATTTACAACAAATTCACCAAAATCCCCAACCCTCAGAATAAAAAACATAACTCAAACTTCATGTGTTTTGGAATGGGATTCATTAAATTTAGGTACTTCAAATTTAAAAAATTTAATATTATTCAAAGATGGTAAAAAATTAGGATCAATCCCACAACCTCTTAGTAATCATACATCGAAATTATCAGGATTACCAATTGATAAACAATTCAAATTTCAATTAAGATTAGATACAACCGCAGGTACTTTATGGAGTAATGAAATTGAATTAAAAACTCATAAAATGACTGATTTATCTGGTATAACTGTATGTTTAGGTGATTTTTCACCTAATGATCCATTTAACAAAGAAGACATTGAAAATACTTTAGTGAAAATGGGTGCTAAAACTCCTTCTCAATCAGAGGTTAAAGTTGATACTACTCATTTCTTATGTACTAGAGAAAATAAAAATAATTCAGAATTCAACAAGGCAAATGATATGAATATTCCAATTATAAGACCTGAATGGTTAAAAGCTTGTGAAAGAGAAAGAAGAATTGTTGGAGTTAGAGATTTTTATTTAAAAGATTGTGTATTACCTGATTTGTTTGCTAAGAATTATTGGGCTGATAGTAGTAAGAATATTAAATCTGCTTCTGCTTCAACAAATCAAGTCAATTCTGAAATTGCTACAGCTCAATCAAATAAAGAACCACCTGCTTCAACTGAGGAAATAAATACAGCACCAAGTATCAATGTGGAAGACTTAGCCCAACCTGTCGAAAAAACGGAAGTTGAAGATCCAATTAGTGGGAAAGAAGTCGAAAACTCAAACGATGTAACTGAAGATGGCATAAACCCCAATGAAGATATTGATATATCTGAAAAAATAGACCTTGAACAACCCAAAGAAATCAGTGAAGATCAAAATAAAGAAACATTAGCTGCTGAACCACTTGCAGAACAAAATGATGATCTCTCCAATATAAGAGAAGAAGTCAGAAATAGTGTAGTACAAACAACTGAACCAAATTCAGCTGCTGCTGTCCAAGAGATAGTAGAAGGACCAACAGATGATAAAAAGGAAGAAGTTGAAGAAGAAAATAAAGAGGAATTAAAACAAGATATAGATGATGCTTTTGATACTGTGCCTTTAGAAGATAAAAGACCAAAAGATGAAGTAAGAGAAAAAATTGAAGCAGAAGTTGACAAACAAGAAGCTGAATTAGAGGCCGAAGAGAAAAATCAGGTCGTTGCGGAGGAGGAACCTTCTGCTGAAGTCACTAAAGCTAATGAAGATGAAAATAAGGAAGAAGAGAAAGGTCAACAGGAAGAAGAGGACGAAGAGAACGAAGACGGAGATGAAACTGAGGAGCAAACTTCCAAAGAGAACTCACCATCACTACAAGGAACTTCAAATAAAAAGAAAAAGAATATTAAAAAGAAAAAAGCAGGCAAAAAGAAGTAAGCATTGAAAAAATATGAATAAGTAATAGTATATTAATATACAATATAAAAAAATGCAATATTAGTTAATGCAAAGAACTGAATAAAATTTATCATCAAAGCAACATTCTTTCTCTTTGAACCATCTATTCTCCAAATAATCTTCTAACTTTTTTCAAAATTGAATCCTTTTCAGGATCATAAGGATGATCTTTTGAAGGAATTTCCAAAATTGCAGGAAATGCATTTGTATAACTATCAACTTTAAATCTAATTAAATCAGCTAAATGTTGATTTATTAATAAAATAGCAATATCATCTCTTTCTTTTGTAAAATTATCAAATGATTCATCAATTTGTTCTATTGAAGTTTTACCTGGTATAACTGTCAAAAAATTAGTTTCTTTACCTGGTTCATTTGAAATTTGTCCAATTCCTGCTAGAAGTAATCCTGTTACTGTATCTTCATCTGCTATTGTTGCTATTAATTTACGTTTTGCCATTGCTTCTGTTCCTGAACTCATTTTTGAATCGTCAATTAATGTATTGTATGGAATCTAGAAGGCAATTGAATTGATTGATTTAAAATGTGTTGCTAAAAGATAATACAATTTAGAATTAATTTTGGTGAAACTTCAAACCTTATATTTTTTCTCGATTAAATTAATTTTTCACAACCAAATAGATCAGATTGTTTAGTTTCTCCAACAATGAACTCAATTATACGACAAAACTTACGTCTCAACCTCAGGAAAACTACACTTCATCACAGAATACTACCCATACAGTCTATTAGATTTGCAGGACATTCTAAATGGGCAAATATTAAACATGATAAAGCTAAAAATGATGCCAAAAAATCAAAAGAAGCAACATTAATTGCAACCAAAATAGAAAGTTGTGTACGAGCCGGTGGGAAAGATTCAAATGCAAGTCTTGAACAATTATTAGACAAGGCTAAAAAATTAAATGTATCAAAACAAGTTATAACAAATGCTATAAAAAGAGGTTCAGGAGAATTAAATGATGGTGCAAATAATCAAACTGAAGTAAGTTATGAATTTATGGGACCTGGTGGTGTTGCATTTATAATATCTGCATTAACTGATAACAAGGCAAGAACAGTAATGAGAGTTAAAACTGCAATGGCTTATTTTCAAGCTTCATTAAGTCCATGTAATTTTATGTTTGAGAAAAAAGGTGAAATTTTATTTGAACCAAAACCAAACACGGTTGAAAATTTTGATGATATATTTGAAATGGTTTTGGAGGTGGGAGCAGAAGATATTGAAGAAGTTGAATTTGATAATGAGTATAAACCTGGAGAAACTTATAAATTTTATAGAGTCATATGTGATCCATTAGAAATTCATAAAATAAGTAATGAAATTAGTTCAAAAGGTTATAAATTACATGAAAGTTCAGTAAGATACTTAGCTGATAAAGATGGTCAAGTTCAATTCCCTGAAGAATTTTCAAAAGGTTATTTTAGAGCCATTGATAATTTAGATCAGACTCCAGAAGTTGTAGATTATTTTACTAATATTGAAGATGAACATCAAGGTAGAATAATGTCATCTGTTAATTAGAAATCCATGTAAATAGAATTGAACAAAAAAGTTGATAGATAGAAATGAATCTTTTAAATATCGTTGAAACACATATATATATTGATTAATTAATTGTTCACAAATTTGATAACATATAAATATCTTTCTCTCAATTCAAAAAAGTTTAAAAAAAAAAGTAACACTTGAACCGTAAGTAATTAGTTGAATTGCAATCAAATTATTTTAATTTTTGGATGTTTTTGTTTTGATGATATTGATTAGTTGATAAGTTGAAAAAAAATGCAAAGTAGTAGTAGTAGATATTTAATCAACTTATTTATTTTTTTCATCTTTCTCAGCTTTATTTAAAACATTATCCAATTCAGATAAATTAGCATTTTTCCATAATCTTAATTCTTTATCATGAGAAAAATGTCTATATGTGAAAAAAGTAGCTGATACAATAGCAACACCAACCGCAGCAAATAACGGTGTCATTTCTACTGGATAATTAATCTTTGGTTTAGCAGATTTAATTGATGATAACAATACTCTTGATGGTCTCATATTTGCAGATTGTTAATGTATTGATTTGAAGTTAATTGAATAAATAATGAAAGTATAACTTTGCAGTGATAACTTGTATTCCTATGAACTAACTAACACTAATATTTTTTTCTCCTTATGTTTTATTTTAAAATAAATTTGGTTGGTTGTTGATTATATGCAGAATTTATCATTCGATTTCTTTTTTTCACAATGCTACCAAATTATACTAAATTTATAGGGACATGTTTCAGCTTAATACTACCAGCCAGTATTGTTAAATCATTAATTATGTACTATCATTTCATTGTCTATATTCATCTTTTCTGCGTCTATAAATCTATATTCTAAAGTAATAATACAAAATCACCTCTTTTCACCACTTTTCTATCCAACTTTTTAAAGTATCATAGCATAACCACAGTACAGCCATTGATGGAACAATTTTATATAAATTAGCAGTTAATCCCTTGTATGCACCAAAAAATCCTTCATGTTTAAACATAGAATACAAAGCATGACTAACAGATCTATATTGAAATCCTAACTCTCCACCTGCCATACTTGCAACTTGATACCTTTTTCTTAATACATCCAAAGGATAAATTAATACACCACCAACAAAACTACTGAATGCCCCAGCTGATAATTTCCAAATTGGGTTTGAAAAATCTTTTGGCGACTCATTCATCATTTCTCTTAATTTTTCATATAATGCAAAATTTATTGCAACATAAGGTGCAACTCCTAAAGTTGTAGGTATTATACCTCTATATAATGCTAATATCCCACCTTCATGTTTATAAACATCTTTTAAAGTTCCCCATACTGTTGGTGGTTTTGATAATTTCCCCTTTTGTAATTTATTTAATGATGCCGTTTGTATAGTAATTCTTGCTCTTACTAAATCTAATGGATATGTTACTGCTACTGAGGCTATACCTGCAATTGATCCTGCAAATAATCTTTCTAAACCAGTTAGTTGATTATTTCTTAGTTGTGGACTATTTAGGTTATGTAGTTTTCTATAACTTAATATTAGATTTTTACATTTTTCAAAAACTGCAAATTGAACAGCACTATAAGGAAATATTCTAATACAATTCAAAGTATTACCTCTAAATAATCCTCTCCAACCTTCTTCTTTATACATTTTGGCTATTGTGGGGAACATTCCATGATAAGCTTGATTAGTCCCGGGACCTTGTAATTGTAACAAAATTTTAGCCCTTTCAAATGGTGAAACTACAGTTCTTGAAACTGCTCCGGCTATACCTCCAGCTATGAAAGATGCATTTGAATCATTTTTTATAAAATGTTTTAAATCTTGATAAAAATTATTTTGTTTATGTGACATTGGCAATTTGAATTCCTCCATTCTGTATGGTTTTATAGGTGATTGTATTCTTTTTCTCTCTGATTATAGCGAAATTATTGTTTGAATCATTTAATTGGTGTTAGATTTTGATTTAAAGAGCGTTGTATAGCTGTTATGATTTGGCAATTCAGTTCTTGATATTGAATAGATATTTTAGCTATTTAAATTTGGTCTGTGATATTTTAGAAAAATTCTTTTTTCTAAATCTTGTGAACTTAAAACTTTGATACAAATTTAGAAACACAAAATCAAAGTAATGAAACATGGAGTAAAGTTTTAAAGACTATTTAAGCGCATTAGTTCAGTTTATACTGACTAGATCCTACAATCAGTATTTAATCACTATTCCAACGTAGATTATCTCATTAATTCAATCTATAACAAACTAAACCATGATACTAGTTAAAAAAAAAATTAGGTTAAAATATACAGATACATCACTTTTTAATTTCATTATTCATTAATAACTTGATAAAACTTTTTCTATAGCATCAACTAAAACATCAGCATGTTTTTCTTCAAATACTAGAGTTGGTCTTAATCTAACTGAATCTTCTGCACAACCACCAATATTAACACCAACAGATTTCATATCATTTAAAAATTTATTTCTTGCTTCACCATTTTCCAAGGACCAAGCAATAAAAGTAGCTCTATTTTTACCTCTTAAATCACCTAAATATTTTGGATATTTTGTTTGTAATTTTTCTAATTTGCTGAATAAATAATCACCAACTTCAGATGCTCGTTCGACTAAATTATGTTTAACAATTTCAGCTCCAATTGAACCGGCTAAAATCATTCTTGCTGGATCACCACACCAAGTACAAAATTGTCTATAAGCAAAATTTGGTACAATTTCTGGATCATGGAAGAAATAACCAGCAGATTGGAATTTTTTAGAGAAAGTAACTAAATCTGGTGGTGGTTGTAAATTAAATCTTTCATGAGCCCACATAACCCCAGTTGCACCAACCCCGGTTTGAACCTCATCCATTATTAATAAAGCACCATGTTTTAAAGTAATATCTCTTAAACCTTGGAAAAATTCAGCTGATGCATGATTATCACCACCTTCTGATTGAATTGGTTCAACTAAAACACCAGCAATTGGAACTGACCAAGATTTAAATAAATCTTCAACTATTTTCAAACATCTTTCATCTTCCTTTCTGTTAGCTTCTTCATTTTCTTCTAATGGATATTTATATGATGGGAACTCAGCTTTTGGCCATTTAAAAGCTGGTAAATCTAATTTATGAATTGGTTTTGAACAAGTGGTTGAACCTGATGCAAATAATCTTCCATGGAATGCTCTTTCAAATGATAAAATTGCTAATTCTGGTGATCCTGGTGCTTGATTATGCATAACTGTTTCAATTTCTTCCGGACTAAATTGACTCTTGTAACCTCTTTTTTTAGCTTGATACCAGAAAAAAGTAGCTTTAAAAGCTAATTCATTAGCATCTGCTCCAGATAAACCTGACCATAATTTATCTTGATGTTTTGGTGCAACTTTTAAAATTTCTTTACAAATATCATCTAAATCTTCACCTGGGAAATTTCCTAATGCTGGTCTATCAACTATTGCTCTAATCATTTTATCAGATTTTGCAGTTTCAATTAATGCAGGATTATTATAACCTAATGGTATTGAGGCAATTTGTGCATAAACATCTAATAATAAATTTCCATCAACATCTGCAATATAATTACCAATTGATTTAGCATAATCAGCAATAAAATAAGCACTTCTTGCATCAAATGATTTTTCTAATTGTTCAATTCCTTCTTTTGATTTTGTTTGAGTAGTTGATTTAACTACTGGTTCTTTTGGTTCATTTGGAAAATATTCTTGTGAAATTGATTGAACAGTCATTTCGAATTGTTACAAATAAAAGCTGAACTGAATAGAATAGTTGAATGATGATTAAAAGAAAAAAGAAAAAAGTGTGTTTAATGAAAATAGCAAAAGTAACTGAATAAATACATGATGATAATAAAAAATTATTAGCGGTAATCATAAAATTATTTTAAAACAGCCGCTAACAAATTTTTTAGAAGTAATGGTAGAATGACTTTTGTAACTCATCTTTCCATTTAAAATCATGTCAATATTGATATTAAGAAAGGGATTTTTAATTATAGTAGTTAAATTAATAACCGGTATTTGCTCAGTAATTTAACAAATCGATTAAAAAAATGTATATTCATTATGTTTTTGGCGGATTTCTTTTTTAAACTTGAAAAAGGATTTAGAATTTAAATCTGGCAAGCGGATATCTGGACTCTTTACAAAAGGTAATGCAAGTAAGCATTATAATAACAATCATTTCCTTCATTTAGATTTTCGAACTAGATCGATTCAAACAGTTTGATGACCCCAGGAAAATTTTATGATAGTCAGCAGACGAATGCTCAAATTATACTTTACGAAAATTTATCTAGGTCTAGTTTTTTATACCTTTCATAACACATCTGAAAGTAATGCCTAAGCTATGGATCAAAAGTATATCCTAGCAAAAAACAATGTCTGTCTCAAAGATGTTGTGTTAATTGTACTAAAAATTTCATTAAAATGTAAACAAAACAAATAAGAAGAAAAAATTAAATATTAATATTTTATGCAGTATTTTATAACGAGTTAAAGATATCTCTCACTACAACTAATATACACCATTAAAATATCTTGATTGAATCATGGATGATTCAAATATAGATGATATATTTCAACAACAACGACAACCATCAGAACAAGCTCAAGCTACAAGGCTATCATCAGCAACACCAGTTACTATCAATGATCAAACTAATACAGAGGATTCAAATCCAACTACATTAACAGCAGAAGAAGAAGCTATTGCAAATGCCTTATCAAAAGATTCAGTGAATGAAGAAAATGCAAATGATAGTGAAAATATAATAAGAGAAAATGCTGAATTATTTTTACGTCAAAATCAAGATGATGATGATGAAGGAAACAATGAACCACCTTCGAAAAAACAAAAATTAGATACGTCATCATCGAGTAATAATGATAAGAGCAACAATATAGATGATCTGTTACAACCACAAGAAGTACAAGAATTACAAAAATCACTGGATGATATAAATAATTCAACTAAATCTACTACTATCAATAATCACCAAGATACACCAGAGTCATCACATAACGCGATTCAACAAGCACATGATCAATTACAACAACTACAGCAGCAACAAAAGCAACAATCTGGATCTCCTCAACCTCAATCTCAACCACCAACACAAACAGAAAAACAGACTCAACTTCAGCTATCACCACCATCACAACAACTTCAACAACCACAACCAGTTCAGCGATATTCTTCATCAGCAATACCCTCAGATTCAGAGTTATTTAATACAAATACAGTGCATGCAGCTTATGCTTCATTATCATCACAATATCATTCACTGAATCTTGAATCAAATGATGCGATTTTTTCACTGGCAAATTTATCAGTTTTACCATTACCAATTGTTGCAGCTGATTATTTACCACCAAGAATTCAATTATTAATTAATACATTACCAACTTTAGATAATTTATCTACTCAATTATTAAGAATAGTGGCGAGCTCTTCATATAAAAGAATTATAGATTTAGCATCAAATACTGAGACAGCTGAAGGTGCAACCTATAGAGATTTAACATCATTATTTGAATTTACTAAAAGATTATACTCAGAAGAAGATCCATTTCTAACTGTTGAACATTTAGCACCTGGTATGTGGCATGTTGGGGAAATAACACCACAAGTTTTTAAAAATAAAGAACAAAGTATAGAATCTACATTAAGAAAAGTTAATTTAGCTACATTTCTAGCAGCAACTTTAGGTACAATGGAAGTTGGGTTTTTTTACCTTAATGAATCATTCTTAGATATTTTCTGTCCATCAAACGATTTAGATGTTAAGAATCACTTAAGTGATACAAGTTATTTGGAAAATTCATCGTCAGCATTAACGACATCTATACAAACTGGTGCGGGTTCTTTCATAGGTGGTAAAATTGGGAAATTATTAAAACCTCAAGCATTATTATATTTAGATTTAAAAACTCAAGCATATATCTCAGCTATTGAAGCAGGTGAAAGATCAAGAGAAGAAATATTGGAGGATATTTTACCTGACGATATGGATCAATTATTAATGATTAAAAGACAAGTTAATTTATTATTACCAACCGAAAATGATTTTATAGAAAGATGTAAAATTAGAAAAAACTTATTATTAAATTATAATGAAGAAAATACAAATTTACCATTAAATGAAAATTTCAAATGGTTTAATTTTTTAAAGGATTTATTTGATTATGTATCTAAAAATATGGGTTATTTGATATGGGGCAAATCAGGTAAACCAACAAGAGATAGAAATAGTTCACCTTCTACTTCAGTTATACCAAAAGAAATGTATGAAGAAATTAATGCAAGAATGAAATATAACCAAAATCAAAATAACACTACATCAGAAGATAGTGAAGATCATTCAAAATTATTACCATCAGAAATAAGAGAACAAGCAATACCGGTAAATGGTCATAAACCAAGTCAAAGAAGACCATGGACAAGAGATGAAGAAAAAGCATTTAGACATGCATTAGAATTAAAAGGTCCACATTGGGCAGCAATTTTAGAATTATTTGGTAAAGATGGTAAAATAAATCAATCCCTTAAAAATAGAAGTCAAATCCAACTTAAAGATAAAGCAAGAAATTGGAAAGTTTTTTATCTTAAAAATGGTATGGAAGTTCCTCATTATTTAAAAACTGTTACTGGTGGATTAGATGATAGAGTTAAAAGATCAATATCAAGAAATGATAAAACCGCCGCTGCTCCTGTTCCAAAAGCTCCAAAACAACTGTAACAATAACAACAAGGTCAATAATAATTAAGATAAGGTAGTTAGTTATATATTAATGATTAAATGAAATAGAATTCTATATTTATCTTTTAAATTTAGATTTAAATCATCTGTTATGAAATTAGTCTGACCTAAACTTGAATAATTAAAAAGCCAATTTAGAAATGATTTGTTATAAAAGTAGTATCAATACTATTAGTAAACTTTTTTATCGGGTATATTGAAAAATAGATTAAATCTAGACGATAAATCACAAGAAGATTTCAATGAAATTATAATGAAATTATCACAAAAAAAAAAGAGTATTGTGATAGATTTAAACAAGGTTAAGAAAAAACTAACCAATACGATAAATTAGTATCAAAATGTGATATTTCTTAAATCGTAATCCAACTAAATTGTTTATTTTCGTTTTCAATTAAAGCCTTATGTGTAGTCTATCCATTAGTAAATTAAAAAACTAAGATTTAGTCAAAGATCTTATTTTCGGAAATATGGCACTAAAATTTTTGCGTAAATTTTTTTGGATCTGTTAATTAAATTTTAGACTCAGTCATTTACTCATTTACCACAAATTAAAATATTTTTAATTAGATCTATAAAATTTGAGGCTGGATATTTTATTCGTTTATAATATCCAATTAAAGTTTTTAATTTTTATTCTCTAAAGATTCATTTCTTATTTTAAAAAACCTTAATATTACCCTTAACATGTATCACTTGTTGTTTGTGAATTTGCTTTATTTACAGAAATTCAAACTACATTTAATATTTCTCTTTGTTCTTTTTGTTATTATAATTTTAGATTAAAAATAAGTACCCTTGATTTTTAAATTTTTTCAATTAATCTATTGTACTTTTTATTGCGGTATTCCCCCATTTTTTTTTTTTTTTTCTTATCTGTATTACTGAGAATCATCAATTATTTATTTGATAATGCAATATTTCAAATGTATATCTAATTTTATGAGTATTAACATTATATTATTCATATTCACTATAATGCAAAAAATAATTTATAAATTCAAAATTTCAGTTACAATTTAAAGTTTGTCTTATTTATGCAAGTTTCATCCAAATTTTTTAAGAAATTTACTATTAATGAAATTAAATGCATGATTTAAAACTAACATAGCTCGAGAATTATTATGAGGCTATAAACAATAGACCATTTGTTTATAATTCTTCCTATTGTAAATCTTCTAACATGTGATAATAATTGAAAATTTGGAATTCATATAATCACATACAGTTGTGTTCGTAACAAGCTCTAACTCTAACAATTCTGAAACAAATTATTTTAAATTATTTTTTCTAATTCAATTGTCCACACCCCCCCTTAAATTTAGACACTTAATTTACCACAAAATTAATATTAAAATTTAATCTAAATCAAAGTCAAAAATTAATTTCAATTAACACTTCTCACATTAATTCATTATTCATTTTTAATTATTATGAATTATAATATTCATTGATTAATTAGTTTTGTTGTAGTTGTTAAGTACTAACTCAATTTAATAAGTGATTAAGAATTATTTTTAAATTAATGAATTTTTGATAAATTGACTTGATTAATGATTTTGCTTTTTTTATTTACTTGAAACAGATATTCCAAGTTTTTAATTACTTGACTTTATTATCAATTTGATTATATTCATCATTTAAGCTTTTACTATCAAATAATTACTATTGTCGATACATTTCATCTCAAATCAGTTTAATTTCACTTCACCATTTTAGTTTCATTTCATTTTAATATTTGATTTATCATATTTCATTTCAAATTTATTTACTTTTCACTTTTCACAATTTGCATTCGCCAATAGTATTACCAAATCAAGCTTCAATTTTTCATCTACAACTTAAAGCTCAAACACTTTTACATAATCAAATTAATACAAGATGTATAATGAATATTCTAACGAGAGTGGACCAATTTTATCAACATCAAATAACATGCTAAATGGTAATTCAACTCAACATTCTCAACAAACTTTGCCGAAGTCTCTACAACATCAACAATTACAACAAAAGGCAGATTTTGCTTCAATATCAAAACAAATAGAATTAGCAAAAGTTAAAGCAAAACAACTATATGATGAAATAATAGTGGTCAAAAAGAAAACTCAAGATACAAATTTAAAAACAGTTTCAATAAATGTGAATAATATACCTCGAGATTCATGTAAACTAAAATTATACAATAATCTAAAGGGTCATCAAAACAAAATAGGTAAAATATGTTGGAATACAAACTCAACCAAAATATTAAGTGCTTCACAAGACGGTTATATGATTCTATGGGACGCTATAACTGGATACAAGAAACAAGCAATACAATTGGATAACAATTGGGTATTAACTTGTAGTTTATCACCAGATGAAAAATTAGTTGCATCGGCAGGTTTAGATAATCATTGTACAATATATAAAATTCAACCAGACAATTTAAATAATCCAGTTCAAGAAACACAGCAACAAAAACTGATTAAAAACACTAACAATAGTTATCAATTGCAAACTGGATTTTATCAATCTATTCAATCAATTTTTAAAGGTCATACTGCGTATATTTCAGAATGTGAATTTATTGATAATAATTCAATAGTCACTGGTAGTGGAGATATGACATGTTCATTATGGGATATTACAAAGGGCTCCAAAATAAGAGATTTTATTGATCATGTTGGTGATGTACTATGTTTGTCCGTATTTCCTAAAAGTATATTGGAGAATAATTTATTTTTAAGTGGTTCAAGTGATGGTTATGTTAAATGTTGGGATTTAAGACTGCCAACATCAATACAAAGTTTTAGTATTTCAAATTCAGATGTCAATTGCGTAAAGATTTTTCCAGATGGGAACGCATTTGCAACTGGTTCTGACGATGGTATGATTAGATTATTTGATTTAAGAAGTGATTGTGAAATTTCTTACTATTCTTTACAACAAGAGATTAAAAATTCCTTTGTTAATGGTGGGTCTCAAATTCCTCAATTGACTTCACCACCGACTCCAATTGATAAAAAGACGTATCAATATGGAAACAATTATACTTCATTACAACAACAGCAACAACAATCACAATCATTAATTTATCAATCAGATATAATAAGTACAAATGGAAGAAATAGTATATATTCAAGAAATTCCATACTAGAAAATTCTGGAATTTTTTCAATTGATTTTAGTAAAAGTGGTAGATTATTATATTCTTGTTATTCTGATCATGGTTGTGTTGTTTGGGATACTTTGAAAAATGAAATAATTGGAAGTTTAGGTAGTGAACATTTAAATAAGATCAATAAAGTTGCTGTAAGTCCTGATGGAATTGGATTAGCTACTGGTTCATGGGATTCAACAATTAAAATATGGAGTGTATAAAATAGAAGATAGAGCAAGTAGAGAATTGGTGCATCTTATTGACATTTTTATACTACTCCTTCAGTACTTTATTACTTTTATACATTATATAACAATTTTATAGCGCATTAAGCAGACAAGCTTCAGATCAATACCAGATGTCCACTATGTTTATATGAATTAAATTTTTTAATATTTTTCTAAGATACACAAGCTACTTCCTGAATTAAGCTTCACCAGTATGTTTTTTAACATATTCCCATAAACTTTTTAATAAAGAATCAGGTAAAGTATATAAATCCATTGTAAATTCTCCATTATCAACATCATTTTTAATATTCATTTCATTTGTTCTATTATCAGTAACCATTTGTACTATAACAATTAAATCATCTTCACTTAATTTAGTTAATCCATTGGATAATTTTTCTAAATCAATATTACCTTTCATTGCTCCCTTTGATTTCTTTTTATCAATTATTGAAGCTTGTGATTGATTTACATTTGAAGTTGATGATGATGATGGACCATTTGCTGAATCTAATTTTCTTTTTATACCTGAAGAAGAACTTGAATTTTCTTCAAATGGTAATGACCCACTTTCTGTTAATAATTTATTTAATTGAGGATTTTTATTTGGTCCAACAGGAATTGAAATTACATGATCATTAATATATTTTTCTTGTAAAAAATTTAAATCATGTTGAAATTTTCGTTCACCATTTTTACCACTTATTCCTAAAATATGAATAGAAATAGGTATATCAAATTCTCCCCAACCTTGTTCTTCAATTTTAAAAGGTTGTTGTTTTAATGATCTTATAGGATTAGCAAATGTTGGATGTAAAGTATATGTTACTTTATCCAAGATTTTGGCAGGTATTTCTTTACCTTGAGAATCTAACATTGATATTGAAATTGACCATTTTCTCATTGGATAATTTTCAACTGGTGGTACATCTTTCATAATATGTTGTTCTGTTGTTATCCTAATTGTTCTTTTAACTTGCTAAGTAGGCGTTAGTATAATTGAGGTTTACTTCATGGTGTGAAGGCATTATTTTAGCTCAATTATATCAGATCTGACTTTGAGCTAATGATATTTCTCAAAAGTGTGGACTATGAGCAAATTTAAGCCGTCGCATGGGCAATTGCAATCAGATAAATACATACATCAGACATTATGATATTTTTTGATTGACTTATGAACTGATAAATTGAATTTAATTGATGGTGAGATTAATGAACGATAATAATCAAATAAATATAATAAACAAACAATTTAGTTTTGAAATTGTTTTGAGTTAGAATTTTTCCTCTTTTTGATCTGAAATTGAATCGTTGGTTCGTTTGTTGTTGTGCGATTTTTTAATTTTTTTCTTCCCTTATTAAAGAAATTTGGATAATCAAGAATTTACATAAATCAGTTGATAAATTAGAGTTAACTGACATTTTGAATTGACCTTAAGGGTTTGACCAAATTACATGTTTGATAGTTAAATATTAAAACTGGGAGACTTTGAGTATAGTCCTTTAGTAGGCTACTTCATATACAATTCCGAAAATAGAAATTTTGACCTCTACATTTATCTCAAGATTTAGGTGATAAATAGCCAATATTTGACGATCAAACTTTTACTTGAATGGCCAAACTGAAAGAGACTCAAGAACAGACTCCAATTAAAACAAGTCATAATGGTAATCAATTTCCCGATAAATGTGAGTAATACTTAATCTTTTACTCATAAGTTAGCGGTGGTAGCGTTGATTATTGAAAAATTATATAAAGTATGATACAAATTACTGCAAATACTTTTGATTATTTTATGTTGCAAATAATTTAATTCATAAACTCAATTTAATTACATATTAGAAAAATGTCTTATTTCAAGAGTTTGGCTTCTTTGAATAGAAGAGCGCTTACGTCATCAATACGATATAACTCATCATCATCAACAGTTTGCCCATTAGATGCATCAAAATTAGTAATTGAGAAAACTAATAATCCAAAACCTAAAAAATCCAAAGATCAATTGTTATTTGGTAAATCATTCACTGATCATATGTTAGAAATAGACTGGGATTCCAAAAATGGTTGGGGTACTCCAAAAATATCACCATATCACAACTTATCATTAGATCCATCAAGTGTTGTATTTCATTATGGATTTGAATTATTTGAAGGTATGAAAGCATATAAAGATTCCAATGGTAAAATAAGAACTTTTAGAGGAAATAAAAATATGGAAAGAATGAATAAATCAGCTGCAAGAATTACATTACCTGAATTTAATGGAGAAGAATTACAAAAATTGATTGATAAATTATTAATTGTTGATCAAGATTTTATACCCGAAGGTAAAGGTTATTCATTATACATAAGACCAACAATGATTGGTACAGATGCATTTTTAGGTGTTGGTACACCTAATCAAGCCAAAATATATACAATCTGTAGTCCAGTTGGTCCTTACTATAAGAATGGTTTTAAACCTGTATCATTAGAAGCAACAGATTATGCAGTAAGAGCATGGCCAGGTGGTGTAGGTGATAAAAAATTAGGTGCTAATTATGCTCCATGTATATTACCACAACAAGAAGCAGCCACGAGGGGATTTGATCAAAACTTGTGGTTATTTGGTGATGAAGGTTACATAACAGAAGTTGGTACTATGAATGCATTTTTTGTATTTAGAGATCCAAAAACTGGTAAAAAGGAATTAACTACTCACCCATTAGATGGAACTATATTGGAAGGTGTTACAAGAGATTCAATTTTAGAATTAGCTAAAGAAAGATTACCATCAGATGAATGGGATGTAACTGAACGTAAATTTACTATTCATGAAGTTCAAAAAGCTGCTGAAGAAGGTAATTTGGTTGAAGCTTTTGGAGCTGGTACTGCAGCTGTTGTATCTCCTATAAAACATATTGGATATAGAGGTCAAGATATAGATATTCCTGTTGAACTAGGTAATACTGGTGAATTAACTGCACAAATTGCTGATTGGATAAGTAAGATTCAATATGGTGAAGAAGAATATAAAGATTGGTCGAGAGTTGCCAAATAAACTAGAAAAGAGACTTTATTGCATTTATTAGAAAATTTATAGACTTGAATGTTATATTGTACTTTTATCAGGTAAAGCTTCAATTTCTTTTATAATGTAATTTCTTTCTTCAATTAGACTTGAATCATGGAAACTTGAAATATCAAAATTCTTGAAAAATTCTAAAAAATTTTGTTTATTCTTAATTAATGTTTCTTTAACTTTTGGTGTTTTCTTGGGATTTGCAACAAAAAATTTTAATAAATGGAAACCTTCCAATTGTAAATTTTTCAGTTTTTCACTCAATAAAAGCATTGTATATTTTAAGTTCTTGGTATCTGTGAAATATTTTTGTAAAAATTCGGAGTTTAATCTTTCTGAAACTAAATCATTTAGTAGTTTAACACTTTGTCTTTTTGTAACATAATTATTTGATTTAATTAATACATTTATATGATTCATAAAAGTATCGTAATTCTTTGCTAGAAATTCAGGTACCATTTTCTTATGAGTTGTTAATAAATCATTTAATGTCATCATTGAATCACAAGCTATTTCAAACATTGGATTTTCAACATAATTAAAAAATTTCCAAAACTCGGGACGATACAAAATATATCTATTAATCTCTTCAAATTTATTACAATCTCTTAAGATTTGACCTGATATTAATCCAATCTCTGGTGATTCAGGACCTCTTATTAGTATATTCAAAATTTCTGGCTTTTTATGTACTAAATAATCAACCACTGGAGGTGCTGATTGAGGATTTGATGAAGATAACATTGACTTTATACCTCCCATACCTCCATTCATACCCGATATATAGTTACGTCTCAATAAAGTTGAATATATTATCACTACATCTTTTCTTGAATCAAAATCTAATTTATTTAAACTTGTAGTTAATACATAAAGATTATTTGTTGTTAAGATTTCCGATAGTAGTTGAGTTATTTGATCAATTTGTGGTTCATTTTCATCATCTCCATATATAATATTTTTAATTTGTTTTAAATATCTTGCTGATTCATCTTGATATTTCTTGTAACTTGATGGATCATTTGTATAATCTAGTTTTGATAATTGATCATTCAATGCTCTTATTAATTCTGGTGGATTTTTGGGATTTCGTTTAAATAAAAATGCCATGGTATTTGTTTTAAGTTAATTGGAGGGGTTTTATGCACATGAATTTTTAAGGTTGTTGTTGTTGTCAAGTCTACTAATTTATATTATGATAATTAATTAATTTGTTATGAGATTAATGACCAGAAATTTTAATATAAGGTTAAAAGGAGTTAATGATATAAAAAGAGTTTTAAATAACCTTTGATAATTTTTCAAACTTCACTATTGATGATCAATTGATTAATAATAAGTTGTGATTTCTAAGTAAATGGTTTGTTTTAATATTTGTTATTAAGTAGATCAATAGAAAGAAAAAAAAAGTTATGTTTGAATCAATTATCAAAAATTATAATTATTATTTAAATTATTTTAAATCTATAAAATTATCAAATTTATCAAAACAATTTAATTTATTTAAATCTACTACTACTACTCCTTCAGTTAAAGATCTCAAAGATAAACCAAAGGAAAAGAAAAGAACTTGCTTTTTATGTAAAGAACCTTGTTTTATTTGTAGAGAAATTAGACCCATAAAATCAGAAATCAAGAAAAGTTTCAAAAATTCATATTTTGTTAAACATAATCCATCAAAGTATATTAAAGGTGAAATTCATAATATAAAACCAGATTTATACAAGAGTTTCAAAAAATCAAGTTTACTTAAACATTCAAAATTTGTTAAATCTGAAATTAAGAATATTAGACCAGATATAGTCAAAAGTTTTAAAGAAATTCATTCACCAGACTTTATCGTATTTGATCCACCACCTAAGAAACCACCATTACCCCCAAAAGAAACTGATATCAAACCAGTAGTGTTATTTTTAGAATTAATCATATTAATGGCACTTCCATTTTATTTTATTGTTAAATGTCTTGGTTAAAAATATGGTCACCGATCAAGATAAATCGAAGTAATAGACCAATACTATTTGAAAATGAATATAATATATATATAAAAGATAATATAGGATTATATCAAGGAAAACTGAAAATTACGGATCATCAAAATGGAAGATTATATTTAACTAATAAAAGAGTAATATATTTTGATAATTCCAATACTGAAAATTGTATTGCTATAGATATTGAACAATTGACTTCAGCCGAATTAGTTGAAAAATTTTTAAGGTCATCACCGAAAGTTAAATTATATATCAAGACGGAAATACCTAAAAAGAATGAAGAAATAAAAGGAATTGATTGGGTTTGTAAGATTTGTTCATTCAATAATCATATACCGAGTGGATTCAACTGGGATGAAGAAGAACTACCCAAATGTATATCATGTGGTATACGGCCAACCAAAAAGTACATAGAAGAAATAGCGAATTCGTCAAAAGAATCAACACCAGCATCAACAGAACCAATAATATCAGAATCAAATAATTTTCAGACATCTCCATCACCTGCAGTTCTGACATCAGAATCTACCCTAGCAAATGGTCAATGCCCAACTTGTACATTCATAAATCATAGATACGTTAAATTCTGCGAAATGTGTGGAACTGAACTTTCATCATCATCAACTTCAGAATTGAGTCAATCAATGAACGACATATCACTAGAAACTAATCCAATGAAATTGAAATTAGAATCACCAGAACTATATACAAACAATAAACCATATGTCAAAATAAGTTTTCGAAAAGGTGGTGAACAGAAATTTTTTCAAGAAGTTGCCAATTTAATAGATGAAATTAAATGGGATAATTTACGTAAAAAAGGTGGCATAAATCAAAATTCTAAAAAATTACAACAACCAAAACTTGAAATCAAAAGAACTGGAGCAGGGATCCATGCATTAGAATTGATAGGTGAACAACAAAGAAAGAACAATGAAGTAATACTAAGCTCTTCATTAGAAGATTTGGAGCAATTAATGTTCAAGTTCAAAGATATACTACATTTATCATCGTCATTTAATGGGTTAATAAACAATAAAGTCAATATCACCAAAAGTCTACCACCTATCAATATAAGCAAATCATCTAATTTATATCATAATGAACTAAGTCGACATATCAGTGAATATCTAGTAAACTTCAAATTGATCAAGAATTCATCCATGATTACATTACAAGACTTATTCGCAGATTATAATAGATTTCTAGTTAAGTCTCAAGGATTTGGATGTGAGTTAGTAGATGTAAATGATTTTCAAAAACTGGTGGATTTATTTGATTCATTAAATTTACCAGTTGTGCAAAACAAATATGAAAAAAGTGATTTAGTAGTAATCAAACCAAGAATTCATACAAATGCATATGATGAATTCATAGTATCATACCTAAACAATCAAGAACATCAATATAAAATCAATAAATTAAGAGTAGAAATGATTGATGATAACGAATATGATAGAGATTATAGTGGACACGAAAATGGTAATTATGGATGTACAATATCAGAAATTTCTCATTTTTTCAATTGGTCGTATAATATTACAAAAGAAGAATTAGAAAAATCAATTGAAAATGGTCAAATTGTTATTGATCAAAATATTTCGGGGACTTTTTATTATGTTAATAAATTTTCATCAACTTTCAATTGGGATAATCTGAAAGAAATTGAACAAATAAAAGAAGATATTGTCAAAGAACAAGATGAAATTACCAAAAACATGAAACTGGAATATGAGAGATTGAAATTGAACAATTTGGTGAATTTAAATCCTGAATATGAATTTGGTACAATAAATGATGAACAATCAATAGTTAGTGAATCAACACCAGTAACTAGTCATATACCTTCAACGATTTCTTTAAATGGTTTAGAAGGTCTACAATTTTAGTAATATATAAAATTATTTTGCATCTCCATATTTGAATTACCTCTTAACCAAGTATTACCTCTTAAATTTATTTTTAGTAAAGTTTACACAAAAAATTTATATGAATCTAGCGTTGGCCCAATTTTCAAGCGGTTTGAATCAAATCATTGTATATCATTCATAAAGGACATTCAAGATACTACAATATAGCATCCATAATTATCAAAAACTAATATCATTTTTGCAATGAATTATGGACCGACATCATCACAATATAGAAAAATAAATGGAGTGCCGATACCCCAGCCACAAACCAATAAACAGAATAATCTTCAACAACAACAACAACGAAATAATCCAAATATAACTTCAAATAATTCCAGCATACAGCAGCAACAACAACAACAAAAGCAACAAATGTATATTCCATCTTCATCTTCTTTAACCCAAACAATTCCTACAAATAATCCACTTTTACCAACAAATAGTCATTCACATCATCATCATCATCAACCAGGATCAATACCCAATCAATTACCAACAGTTCCACAACCTGCATTAATGGCATCGAATTCAATTTTAACTTTAGGTCCGTTTAAACATCGTAAAGATTTAACAAGAGAATCAGTACTATCTACTTATCAAATTATGGGTTATATTGCAGCAGGAACTTATGGAAAAGTATATAAAGCTAAACTACGAGGTAATATCAAAAAAGAAGAAGAGAATAATAATATAGGTAATAATGTTAATGGAAGTAGCTCGAGTAATACTGAAGATCTTGAGAGCAAGACAGATTTAGTAATAAATTCAACAACGTCGTCGAATACATCAACATTAACTGCAGCAACTACTACACCCACTACTGATTCAAGCCATTCAAAAACAAAAAAAGATGACGAGGCATTACCACAATTTTATGCAATTAAAAAATTTAAAAGTGATAATCATGCATCAAATAATAATATGAATTCAAATTTAAATATGAATAAAAATATAGATAATGACATTACTCATTATACTGGTATATCACAAAGTGCAATTAGAGAAATGTCAATATGCAGAGAATTAAATAATAAAAACATCACTAAACTAATAAATATCATATTGGAAAACAAAAGCATATATATGATTTTTGAATTTTGTGAACATGATCTTTTACAAATTATACATTATCATTCACATCCAGAATTAAAACCAATTCCTATTCAAACAATAAAATCATTAACTTGGCAAATATTAAATGGTGTTACTTTTTTACATAAAAATTGGATTTTTCATAGAGATTTAAAACCAGCAAATATAATGGTTACATCAAATGGATGTGTTAAAATTGGAGATTTAGGATTAGCTAGAAAATTTAACAATCCATTACAAAGTTTTTATACTGGTGATAAAGTTGTTGTTACTATATGGTATAGAGCACCTGAATTATTATTAGGTACAAGACATTATACACCAGCTATTGATCTTTGGGCTGTTGGATGTATATTAGCTGAATTATTATCACTAAGACCTATTTTTAAAGGAGAAGAAGCTAAAATTGATATAAATAATAAAAAATCAGTACCTTTTCAAAAAAATCAATTTCAAAAAATTATAGAAATATTAGGTACTCCAAATCTTAAAAATTGGCAAAATTTAAATAAATATCCTGAATTTAATTCATTTATACAACAATTGAATCAAAATTATTCATCAAATTTATCTCAATGGTATAAAATGATTGGTGGTGAAAATAAACAATGTTTAGAATTATTATATGGATTATTAAAATATGATCCAGATATAAGATTAACTGCAGATCAAGCTTTATTACATCAATTCTTTTTGGAATTACCTAAAGTGAAAGAAAATGCTTTTGATGGTTTAAATTTTAAATATCCTAATCGAAAAATTTATTTTGATGATAATGATATTAATCAAGGAAATAATCAAAATAATCAACAGAATAATAATAGTGGGACTGGACAAAATGTTACTAATAATCAAAATAATCAAGCGGTTGCTAATTCTGGAGTAAAACGTAATAATAATGGATTTGATGAAGGTAATGGTACTAAAAGAAAAAGAGGTTAAACAAAATTAGTGAATCGACATTAAGCATTATATAGTCATTTTATTGAAGACAGTATTATATAGCATTTATGTAATTCAACATTAAGTCAAAGACTTCTTTTCAATTAGGAATTAGCTGTAAAAAATCGTTTATTTATATTCGGATAAATGAAAGTATCGCGTATTTAGCGCAATACATTCAATATTTTGATCTCTTGATAAATATCAAAAAAAATACAACCACTTTAAAACACTAACACATATTACATTTAACAAAAGCAGCAAACTCCAATTGATTCATCTACTTACAGAGTGATGAAACTAGATGATCTATATACAAACAAAACACTAATATACAATAGTCCATTTTCAGATATATGTAAAGTAAAACCAATTCCTGAATCACCATATATAACAGAAAATCAAAAAACAAAACAATATGTTGTATTAAAAATAGTTGATTTAGATTTTAAAATCCCACCACATTCAATAACTAGAGAACTAGAAGTATTGAAAAAATTACAACATCACCAAAAGAAAGATGGATATGTTGGTATAATTGAATATCTTAATGATTTTCAAATTATTGATGATAAGTTTTTAGTATTGGATTTTTATCCATTTACTTTAAATCAATTAATACAAACACCTAAATATATGAGTAAAACGTTAAAATTTGGATCAATTGATGAAAAAGGAGATATGAAACATATTATTAAAAATAAAATTAATAATTCTGATATTAAAATATTTTTACAAAATTTAATTAATTCAATTAAATTTATACATTCAAATGAAATTATCCATAGAGATTTAAAACCAAGTAATATTTTTTTTAAAGATGATGATATAACTCAACCAATTATAGGAGATTTTGGATGTTGTTATAATTTACAAAATCCTCCAGAAGATGAACCGTTTGATTTAAAATATGTTGATATTTCTTCAAGTATATATAAATCACCAGAATTATTATTAGGAATAACTAATTATTCATATGAAGTAGATTATTGGAGTATTGGTATAATTTTAACAATTTTATATTCTAAAAATTTTAAATCAATATTAATAAAAAATGAAAATGAATTAAATAATGATTCACAAATAAATGATTTACATTTACTTGTATGTATTTTTAAAACTTTTGGTACTCCAACTTATTTAAAAGAAGATGAAAATGATGAAAATTTATATTGGCCAGAATTAAATAATGATGATTTACATTTTAAAAAATTTAATTTACAAAAATTACCAAGATTATCAATACTGGAAATTTTACCAAATTCTAATGATGAATATGTTGAAAAATTATTTTCGAACTTAATAAGATATGATAGAAGTAAAAGAAAAATGTATATAGAAGATTAAAATTAATTCTATAATAATTAGAAATGTAAATAGTTTTGGGTAAATTGAATGCATTAGGTTTTAGGAAAGTTATGGTAAAAATATCGAGAATTTAAAAGTTTACGAAGTATGAAATTAAAGTTTGACATGTAGTTTCATTCGATTATACTAAACGATTGACGATAATCAATTTTAAACAATAAAGTAAAAGCAATAAGATTTATTTAATTTTTGGTTGCAAAATTTAAGAAAATTTCGTAAATTGAATTTTTGTTTTTCTGTGCAAGTTCATTGTAAAATAACTAACGAAAACAATCATTGCATAATTAAATTTGTGATAATTCTCTATTCAACTTATTCTATACCAAATAGCAATGACCAAAGTTTGTGGGTGAATTAAGAGATCTTTAAATAAGATGTTCTGTAATAGTTCTTTCGACATAGTTGTAAAGTAAAGCTCCAATAATAAGAAATTAGAAATGTATAAAAAAATCTCTAATTAAGAAATTAGAAATGTATAAAAAAATCTCTAATTTTTATATCTATAACAATGCTTAAATGAATTAATAATAGATCAATCGAACGTTTCAAATTAATTAACTTACTAAAAACAATTTATTTAAATTGGGTTCACACCAAATTTATTATTGGTTGTAACTTGCAACCATAATAAAAGTACATAAAATTAAGAGTGGTGACGACTCATTTGAATTATTACAATCTAACTCATGGGAAATTTGTGATCAGTTGAAGATTAAAAATAATCTTGATAATAATTAGATCAGATTAGATTATATTAGATCAATGATATATTGAAAATTTTTAAATTAAAAAGAAAAATTGTTCAATATTTATATAATATTTAATTAAATTCTTTAGATTTCATAGATTTCAACATTACAAATTGGGTAATAAAAGCGGCTCATGCACTTACCCCGCAAAATATTATTTTAAAATTTTTTCAAAATTATTAAAGTTTTTTAGTTGTCCCCGTTTAGAGTTTTTTTTATTGTGTTAAATTATGTAATTTTTGTTCGTACATCCCCCAAATAAAAAAATAAAAAATAAAATAAAAATTAATGTTTAAAAATAAAATATTTTATTTTTTATCAACCCTTTCTTCAAATTCCTTCTATTTCAAATCAAACAGAATTTGTCTTAAATCCTTTAAAGATGATTAATAATAAAAGTTTATACTTAATGATTTAATTTAATTGTGAATAGTTAGTTAGTTAGTTAATTAATTGATTTTTATCTATTAATTAATATTTTCTATATTGTTGTATTTATAGAAATTATTATGTTAATCAATATAATTTATATTTATATATTAATATCAATATTATATTTAAACAATTTATTATTGAATTTACTTATTTCTAATATATTTTGTTGAACAACCTTACTTCAACAATTTTATTAAAAGAAAGTGTTGATTAATATATAATAATATTATTAATTAGAATCCTTATATTTGACATATTATAATATTATAATTATTAATTATTATAATTATTAATTATTATAATATTATAAAATATAACTTATAAAAGTAATTTGGTACTGTATATTATAAATATTATTAAATAATATTATTAAAAATATTAAAATAAAAAAAATTAAAAAATTTAATATATCATTAATTTTATTACATATAGTCTATCTTTTAATATTAAATTAGTAAAGAAAATCATTGTAAATTGTACATCATTTATTTCTACACTTTATACAACTTTTTTTCTTACCTTCATCATCTATTCATCTATTCAACTATTCAACTTTCAAAACTCAAGTTCTAGATAATTTATATTATATTATACATTTGTTATATTTTTTCTTTTTAAAAATATTAATTACTTTTTTTCTCACACTAGAATTATTATAAATTGTCAATAATAATAACAATAATAAATAATAAATATTAAAATAAATTATTAGATAGGTGGAGCAAAATTAAATATTCAAAAAAAAACAACAAACTAATTATAAAAATTATTTACAACAACATCTATTTATATATATACTATCATTTGTTTCATTAGATACTAGCTAGATCACAGATCATTTTCATCAAAATTAATTTAGAATTAGAAGTTATTTATCAAATTCAGATTGTTTTTTTTTTCTTTCTTTCTTTTTGCTGGGTTATTTCAATACATAAATACATAAAAATATATTATACATCATAAAATTTTATTATTTTCGATTTAGTTTATTAAATATTCATTCATTTCATTCATTACTCCATTTTACTACTCATTTAGAATTATTATCTATAAATATTCCTATTCAAAAATAATATCATTACACATGCATTTATCAAAAAGTATAAATAAATTAACATTAGATTCATTAACTTCAGATAATCATAATCTACAAAAATCAATAACAAATAATTCAACATTAATAAATTCAAATGATTATTATAATCCAAATGATACAAATGAAATTTTAAATTTCCCCTCCATAAATATTAAAAATATAGATTATGAATTTTTAGAAAAAAATTATCAAATTTTTAAACATTATCCATCATATATTCATAATTCAAATATTACTACTCCTGATTTAAGAGATTTAATAGTTGATAAACCAATATATAATGAAGCAAATAAACATGTTAAAAAGAAGAAGAAAAAAAGAGTTAAAGGTGGTTGTGGGGACTTAAGAGAATCAAGAAGATTGAGAAAAGAACGAAAAGAACAACGTAAAGAATTATATAATGAACAAAAGGAACAACTCAAAGAAATGAAACAAGAAATAAAAAATTTACATAATGATCAAAAACAAGAACGTAAAGATTTTAGACAACAACAACTAGTAGGAAGTAATATTAAAAAATCTTATTGTGGTCATTATTCTAAAAAAATTAATAATATAAATAATGCAAATGGTGGTAGTAATGATATAATTCAAAATTCAGGTCAAATAAACCCTTATCAAATGAAAACTCAATTTTCGGAAAATACTGATAATACAATGTCAAGATCAAATTCTCAATTTACTCAAACAAATGATTTTAATTATGATTCAGAAACTGATGAAATTGATGATTTTAATAATACTGGTAGTAATAATAAATCATTATATAAACAACAAACTAATAATAATCAAAATAATAATTATAATGTGGGTTATGATTCTGAAAAAACTGAAGTTGAAAATGAAGATGATCAATTTAATCCAATTTTTTTTAATAATCCATTTGAAATGGGTAAAAAAATTCCATCAACTATATCAATGTCAAAATCTTCTTCCTTTAATAATTATACAACCACCACCACCAATAATAATAATAATAATAATAATGGTTATAATTATCCCTCATTTAATTCAAGAAATAACTCAATAAATATTCCAAATAATTTAAATCCTTTACAACCATTACATCTGAATACTACCATTAATGGATCAAAAAGAAGATCATCATCAATTACTTCAATCAACAGTAGTCAAAATGGGTCACAAAATAGATATAATAATAGTAATGGTAATTGTGCATCAACTACAATGACTAGTATACAACCAAGAAGATCAACTTCAATAGCATCAAAATTTATGAATATGTTTACAAGTACTAGTCATAATTCTAATAACTCAAATCAAAATCAAAATCATAATAATACATCAGATGAAGATCAACAATTTAATAGTGAAGGATCAACAGAAAATGAAGAAAAATTAATAATTGATGATATTGGATCATTTAATAGTAGTGGAGGTGGTAATGGAATGAATAGAAAAGGCTCAATAATAAATCATAAATTAAATCATCAAAATAATTTACAACCTTTTAATAGTAATGGTATACAAAATCAATATCAACAACAATTACCAACTTATAATCAATTTAAACAACATCAACCTCAACAATTTGAACTGTATCCAATTCAAAAATCAAATACTTTTGATCAAACAAAATCTTCAAAAACTACTTTAAAAAATAAATTAAAAATGAAATTAACTAATGAATCTAGAAGATATAGTGAACAATTTGGTATGTATTTTTTTTTTGCTACAATTTACTAACAACATATACAATTATTTTTTTGGCAACTCAATTTTCGGAAAAATATGAAAGAAAGAAAGAAAGAAAGAAAGAAAGAAAGAAAGAAAGAAAGAAAGAAAGAAAGTTATAGATATAATGGAATGACTATTGGGACCTACAAGTTTGAATTGAAATGAACAAGAATTATGAACTGGAACTAGAGAGTGTGAATAATCAAGGAATACAATATGGTTGTAATTGTAATATAATAATCGGGGTTTTTAGAAAGGGGATTGAATAAAACAAATTAAATTAATTAATTAATACGTTTGTTTTGTTAAATTTTAATTTTTAATTTTAAGATTCCCAAAATAAAATAAAAAAATAATTTGGATTTTGTACCGTTTTTGTTCATTTTAGTAAAAGGGAGATGTGGTGGTACTGTATATAAGTATTACAATTTATTGGAATACAAGTAAAAGTGGGGTAGGAATTTTAATCTATTTTACACAAAAAAAGAAATTTTTTTAATCATTTTTAATATTATCACCAAAATTAATATTGAATTATTATCATAAATCATGAGATATTGACTTAATTGAAGATTATCAGAAATTTTTTGTTGAAATTGATTGATTTAAATTTGTTCGTTTGTTGGTTGTTATAAGTTCATAAAGTTGATCAAACAGTACACAAATCATTTTGTCAAAATATTATTATTATTATATGCAAGACAACTTAAACTAAATTTTGATTGTTCTTTATTAAAATGATTATTCGAAATATTCTCCATATTTTGCAAATTTACAAATTGCGTATGATGTAATGATCATCACCATACAACTTAATTACATTAATAATTTATAAACAAGAGATAAGTAATGAATCTTTAAAAAAGCATAATCAACATCATTAGTTATAACATCTACAATTACCTGTTGAACCAACTATTACAAATCAAATTTTCAATCAATCATAAATATAAAAAGAATGTAATATTTATTAAATTTGATTTATTGATTCTAAAACATTCAATATTTAATTTGTTGTTCAAAATCTTAACTTCAATATTTAAAATTTGGGTGGTGATTGATGTTTTGTGTTATGTTTTTATTAATCATTCATTTTTTTTATTTTTATTTTTTTTTATTGCTTGAAGAATTTTAATATTGAGTTGAAAGAAAACAAAGAAAAAAAAAAAAAATCAACAATCTAAAAATCAATTTATTATTATTTTATTAATAGAATAACTTATTTTACATTTGCTTTTTCTTTTTTCAAACATTGAAGAAGAATTATAGTATCAATTCAAATAGTTATTAGTTTATCACATTCATCAACTGAAGTTATTATTATTATTACTATCAATTAAACACACTTCATTATTTTATCAAATTGATTTTATTGTGAACCTCCTTTTTTTTTTTAAGATTCATTAAATTTTTACACTACCCCATTTCATTTTCATCAAATCAATTTTTGTTTCTTTAATTTTTTATATCATTTGATTAAATTGATTGGAAATAAATTGATTCATTTATTTTTTAGCTTTATTAGTTACTATCATCCACTATAACAATTTTACCAAATATTTGTTGTTGATTAATTTTGAATCATATCAAATAAAATTTGTACTTCATCAAACTACTTATTAATTGCCCCCACAAAAATCAATAACAATTAACAAATTGATTTTATAAATCCATATAAGTCATTCCTTCAGATTATCTCCAATAATAATTCATAATTCATTCCTTTTCAAATTTTAAGAACAATTTCATATCTCAGATTTTTTAATTCGATTCAAATTCGATTCAATTCAACTTGTTTTACAATAATTGATTAATTTTTATTATTATTTTATCTACAAAACAATAATTATAATTACTAATAATTAATCAAATTTCATTATTTTTAAATTGTCATATTAGCATTTTTCCTATTACTTTTATATTTATATATTTCATATTTGCATTTTGTTTCATTATTTTCAAAAATTTATTAAATTTGTTAAACATTATAGCCAAATCAATTACTATCAATCAAAATTTTTATTTATTGTCACCATTATTATTAATCTAAACTTTCTTTCATTACTTTGTTCATCCAGATTGTGCCTAAGAAAAAATAATTTTTGCTCAATAAATTGTATATAAACACTAATCAATAATACTAACTAATTATGTCTAAAATAGAAGTTGTTACAGAAAATGTCACAAATGGTCATACTGGGGAAGTACAAACCATTCAATATACTCAATCTCAAATGGTTGGTCATGGATCATTTGGAGTTGTTTTCCAAACTCAAATAATGCCAACTAATGAAATTTGTGCAATGAAAAGAGTATTACAAGATAAAAGATTTAAAAATAGAGAATTAGAAATTATGAAAACTGTTCATCATAGAAATATTGCTGATTTAAAATATTTTTTTTATACAAATAATGATAAAAATGAATTATATCTTAATTTAATTTTAGAATTTGTACCTGAAACTTTATATAAAGCATCCCATTATTATGTATCAAAAAGATTAAATATGCCATCATTAGAAATTAAATTATATACTTATCAAATGTTTAGAGCTTTAAATTATATTCATAGTATGAAAATTTGTCATAGAGATATAAAACCTCAAAATTTATTAATAAATCCTTCAACTGGTGAATTAAAATTATGTGATTTTGGTTCAGCAAAAAAATTACTGCCTGATGAACCAAATGTTTCATATATATGTTCAAGATATTATAGAGCTCCTGAATTAATATTTGGTGCAACAAATTATACAACAAAAATAGATGTTTGGAGTGCAGGATGTGTAATGGCTGAATTAATCTTGGGGCAACCATTATTTCCAGGAGAATCAGGTATTGATCAATTAGTTGAAATTATTAAAATATTAGGTACACCATCAAAAGATCAAATTAAAAATATGAATCCTAATTATATGGAACATAGATTCCCACAAATAAAACCAATACCATTACATAAAATTTTCAAAAAAATGAATAATGATTGTATACAATTTTTAATTAAAGTTTTACAATATTCACCAATTGAAAGAATTAATTGTATACAAGCAATGATTGATCCATATTTTGATGAATTAAGAAATGAACAAACAAAATTACCAAATTATAGAAAATTATTTAGTCAACAATTTCATCATCATCATAATTCTAGTAATAATAATGGTTCAATAAATGGTGGTCATTCAAATGCTGCTCAATATCAATTATATAATAATCAACCAGATTTAAAAAATTTACCTGAATTATTTGATTTTGATGAATTAGAATTATCAGTTGAACCGAATTTAAATCATAAATTAATTCCACAATGGAAACAAGAACAAAATCAACAACAAAATCATAATCAAGAAAATTATCAACAACCACCACAACAACAACAACAAGCACAACAATAAATTCATAATAATAAATACAATAGTAATGATATAGAATGAATTAAATGTATATGTATAAGTACATGTATGTATACACTATGTTTAAATAAAAATATAAATGTAATGATCTTTAATAATTTTATGAAATCTTTGTATACATAATGTTTTATGTTGCATCGCTACCAATATTTTGTATAGTAGAATCTTTAAAAAAATTTTCTTAACATTCTGTTAATTAAAATTCATCAATAAATTAAGCCAATTAATCACCAAATACTTTAATCAAAGTTTCAAATACTAAACATATCTACTAATTAATATTTTTCAAAAATGGCTAAATATACAGAAGATCAATTATTACAATTAAAATCAGAATCTTATATTCCACAACCAACAATTTTACAAGCATTCAATGAAATGATTGAACAAGTAAAACAACATTCATTATTACAACAACAACAATATCAACAATCTCAACAACAACAACCACAACAAAATTCTGGCTCAACCACTACAAACAAATGGAATAATGGAGATACTTATATTGATGAAAAGGGAAATGAAAGAAGTTATCATCATTTGAATAGAAGAAGAAATTCAAAAAATAATGGACAATCTGGTGGTTTTATTGGTTCAAATATTGGTAACACCACGTCTACGGCTCATAAATATAATAAAAAGAAACCAGAATTTAAAAAAGATGAAGATGGTTGGGAATCATTTACTACTCCACAAGTTGAAGATTCAACATCAACTACAACAAATGAAGATCAACAACAACAAAAATCTAAAGGATCAAGTATTGGAATTAGAGCAAGACCAAATAATAAAAATTTAGGGTCCTCAAAGGCAGTTGATCCAAGAGAAATTGTAAGTGATAAACAAACCAGAAGTTTTAATGCTTTTGAAGCTTTAGATGATGATGACGAAGATGACGATGATGAAGATGATGAAGATGATGAATAATGATGAATAATTTGAATGAATGATATTAGAATAATTTAAAAAGAAGGCAGCTCTTTTAGTGGACGGTTGTATGTGTATATACTTTTATTAGTTAATACTATTTTTTTTTTTAATTTTTTTACATTTTAAGTTCTGTTTGATCTAAATTAATTTTATTTTCTAAATAAATATATAATGTGTAAGTAACTAGCTTTTGATTTAAACAACAAAAGCAACATCATCATCACTATCTAATCCAGCTAATATAGAATCAACATCAGTAGATAATAAATTTTTATTTAATATAGAATCATTTGATATAGTATGATCCATTTGTCTTGAAGTCATTTGTGAATGACCATTATTACCTGAAGTGGTTCTAAATTTTGAATTTAAACTTATTGAATCTTTTAATTCTGAAATTCTTGGATAATTTAATGTTTTGGAATTATAAGTATATATTGATCCATTTGTATCATCATAATGAGAATCTCCATTTATTGTTGTATAATTTGATGTTAAATATCCATTAGCATGAGGTAATCCTCTTTCTTGAAAATGTTGACTAAATTGTAAAATTTCTGCATATATCGAATTAATATCTCCTGCTGTACCTAATCCTAAACCAGTATATAACCCCTTTTCAGAATCTGATGAAACAACATCTGATGATAATCCTGTACGATTTATAAAATTTGTTGGAATAAAATGATCAGGTTGTTGTAAACCATTACTAGTATGATTATCAAATTCATTATTATTATTATTATTCATTGCCATTTCAAATTGGGTATTATTTGTATTTCTTGAATCATTATTAAAAGTACTCATATGAGTTGAAATTTGAGATTTTTCAATTTCTGTAAGTAATGGCTTTTGAGGATGTAACCAAACAATCAAGAAATTATTACCACATGCAAATTCTTCAATATTTTCTTTTTGAATTTTAATTTTTAAATCAATTCCTTGATTATCTTTTGGTATAATTCTACCATTTTTAAAATAACTTTCTAAATCTGATGAATAAGAATCTAATCCATGAATCCATAATTTATATTGTTTTCTATAAGCAATACCATCTAATATTTGTTTAAATAATTTTGAATTTTTACAATAATTATCTAAATCTTCTGAATATTGTTGATCAAGATTTTTTAAAATATAATATAATATTATATGAGCAATTGTATCTTTATACATTTGTCTTTGAGTAAATTCATTGGATTTATTTAATTTTAAAACCCAATGATGGAAAAATGGTATAAAATTACTTGTAAAATTTAATCCTAATATACTAATCATATCTTTTAATACTGTAACCAACAAAAGAACTAATTCAGTATTTGGTGCTTCATAAGTATCAAAAAATTTATCAGTATACATTAATAAATGTGATATGAAATTTTGTTGTTGAGTAATATATTGATTAACATCTGGTTCAATTAAATTTTTGGTATTCAGTTTATTATCATCATCATCAATATCAGTTTGACTACTATTGAATTTTGATCCTGGATCTAATCTTGATTGTTGTTTTGTAACTTCATATGCTGTTTTAGATGCAACTGCTAATTCATTATTTAAAAATTCATCAAATACTTTTAAATATTTTGCTTGAATATTATGAATTTGTTGAACTGTTAAAACTGTTTTCCTATCATCATCAAATTCAGTTTCTGGTGCTAATAACCCCAAGCTTATATCCCAATGTTCTAAATTAACATGATTTCTATTTATTGAACTTGTTTTATTTTTTAAAATTAAAAATATTTTAGAAACATTATCTAAAAATTGAATAATTAAATCATGAATTCTTTCACCTGATATCGTTTGATTTGAATTATCAACAAAAGAACTATCTAATACAAAATCAGTTTTAACTAAAATTTCTTGAATTGAATCTGGTACTTGATCATAATAATAAATATGTGTAGTAACATTACAAATACAATCTGAATAAATATTTGTTAAAACATCTATCTCTGATTTACTTAAATCACTTGGTTTTAAAATTAAATCAGTTTGTAAATTTAATAATTGTTGAATAATATCTGAAACTGATAATCCAATCATATTAACACCAGAAGATAATAAACCTAATAAATATTTTGCATAAATTAATTGTAATGAATAATTTGATTTACTTGGTCCTTCAACATTCATACGATTTAAAGTTGATAATAAAGTTGATGAACTTACAAATCTTAATTGAATTGGAATCCAAGTAACACAAAGTTCTAATAAAACAATCCCCCAATCTAAATTAAGATTTGTTGAATAAATATGTTGTACTACAGCTCTTGTAACTTCTGAAATTTGTGCTGTAGTATTATTATTGAAAAATGACCTTAAAGCAGTTAAACTTTCTTCATTGATATCAGTTAAAGTTAAATTATCATTATCAAAATCATCATCAATTTGTTGATTAACAATTGTTTGAGATTTTTGCAGTTGAACTCTTGATAATCTTTTATTTCCATCAGATTCAATATTAATATTTGATTTTAATCTTTGCATAAGACTACTAATATTATTATTATGCATTATAACTTGAATTAAAAAAGGAATTGATATAGCAATAAATTTTTTACTAGTATTATTTGTATAACCTAAACAATTTGAAATTGAATTAATAGCTTTTATTGAAATCATTTGCCAATCTAATTGATTTTGACCACTAATATTTTTATCTTTACCTGAAGAAATTAATTGCTGTGATAAATCAGTAAATTCTTGAACAAATTCTTTATCACCACTAAATAATCCACCATCTAAATTAAGACATAATACTTGATAAGTTTTAACAACATTTTTACAAACTGAAATATCTTTTGTATCTAAACAAATTTTCATAATAGTACAAATTTGAGGAGCAAAAACATTTAAATTTTCTTTACATTTTAAAATTAATTCTTTTATAATAGCTAAAGTAACTTGTAAATTACCAGTTCTATTTCTTGCAGCATCATGTTGAGTTTTTTCTTTAATAAAATGAATAACTTTTTCTAATTTAATTCTTCTTGTTGATGCATAATATAATAAATAACTTAATTCAGAAGAATTTGGTTTTTTATCAACTGCTTTACCAGCTGGATAACATTGTAAAATTAATTTTTGATGTTTATGTTGAAATATTTTATTCATTTTGAAGTGAGATTTGAAATTGATAAAAATATAACTAGTATGAATAAAAATTTAAGGTATTAAAATGAAATGAAATGAAATGAACTTTGATATGTAGATATATATATATAATATATGAATATAAGATTTTAAAAATTAACAAAATGTTGAATTGAATATTATATAAAAGTTAAAAAAACCCCTGATCCTATAGTTTAATTGATTCAATATGAAAATAATAAATGGATAGGTAAATTAAAATTAATGATTGTTGTTAAATAATCAATAGATAATACACCTTGATTATCACTCTATCTAATCAAAATAATGAATAACAAATACAATGAATTTGAAAAAAAGTTGTTGTAAAAATTGTAAAAAATTAAATATTTCAAAAAAATTTGGTTGTCAAATAAATATTATTATAATTTTGAATGATTAAAATTTGAATTAAATTAATAAATTAAATTTAATAAAACGTATTTAATTTTTTTATCTCCAACTTTTAAATTTAATTTATTTTTACGCAGGTGATTTTTTAATTCTTATATAAATTCGTATTAAAATCCGATGTTTAATAATTTTTTTTGCTTTCTCTCTGAAGGTGTTTCATAATTATAAATTACTTAATTAAGTTAATTAAAATTTTTAAATTCTATTATGAAATTAATTAAATATATTATACAAAAATATTTATTATAATTAGCCATATCATATCAATGTAACTATGATAACAAAGTTAAGTCTAAGATTATCATTCTAAAATATAGAAATAAGCTAACGATAGAAGTTATTGGTTTTATAAGACTAACCTCTATTCAAAAAATTAAATGAATGAAAGTGTATTTGCAAAGCTATTTCAATTTTAGTAATGAAAAATTCAACAAACTATTTGAATAAAACTGGTCCAAATTATTGTTATGATAAAAAAACTATTGAACAATACAATTAAAATAATTAATTCTTATCTGTACTAAAATTTTTACTCAGGTTTTAAAAAGGGTTTTCCATATTTATTTCATTAATTATATTAGCCGTACATTATTATTTGATGTACAATCATTTATCCGCTCAGGAATTTGGTGCATTTGAAATGGGCTTACCAAAAGCTCATAATTAATTTAATTGTAGTCAAACAGAAACCAATTTACTCCACAATGATAATAAGTTATATTGACAAGTATTGTTCGACATGATTTAATTCTCGAAATATAGGTGCACCAAAAAAATTTTGAATAACTAGAAACTAGAAACAAATCTGAGCGGGTATCTCTCAAAGCTAATCAGTCAACCGAAATATAGTATTTATAACACAATCATGTTTGAGCGTTATACCTTCAAAGTTGTCCCTGTGATTATTTGCAACAATAGTGCATTTGGTAGCTACTTTCATATCTCAAAAACTATTATCTATTGTCTCACAAAAATAAAACATCACAAAATTATAATCATATAATTTTGCAAAATCATATATGTGAATAATCATTAAATTACAATAAGAAAACATATGTCTATATAGCAATAAACTAAACAACCCACAATGTCAACTTATGTCAAAGGTGGAGCATGGACTAATATAGAAGATGAAATTTTAAAAGCAGCAGTACAAAAATATGGTACTAATCAATGGGCAAGAGTATCATCATTATTACCTAAAAAGACAGCTCAACAAGCTAAATCGAGATGGGTAGAATGGTTAAATCCATTAATTAATAAATCAGATTGGACTCAAGAACAAGACAAAAGATTAATTGAATTACATAAAATTTTACCAAATCAATGGAGATCAATAGCATCAATAATTGGTAGAACTGCAACTCAATGTGTTGAAAGATATCAACATTTATTGGATAAAGCATCCGGTACTGAGAACAATGAATTTAAATTATCAGGTCCAGGTATTGAAACATTACCAGCAACAGGTCAACCAAGTATACAAATATTTGATGAAGAAAATGATCCAAATTTTGCATCAGAAACAAAACCTCCTGAATCTGATGATGAAGATATGGAAGATGAAGATAGAGAAATGATAGCAGAAGCAAAAGCAAGATTGGCTAACACCCAGGGTAAAAAAGCTAAGAGAAAAGCAAGAGAAAGAATGTTAGAAGAAAGTAAAAGGTTAGCATTATTACAAAAGAGAAGAGATTTAAAAGCTGCTGGAATAAATATAAGTTTAAAATCTAAAAATAAACGTAAAAGAAAAGAATTTGATTATAATGCAGATATACCTCATGAAATTATACCAGGATTAGGTCCATATGATGTTAGTGAAGAAAATAAAGATAATGAAAAAGAGTTGAATTCATTTAAGTATAAAGTTTCAAAACAAGGTATAAGTAATAAAGAAGTTGATGATAAAATTAGATCAAATAGAGAAAAACAAAAAAGAGCTGATCAAAGAAAGAGAAGAAAAGAGGAAGACATTGAAGATGATAAAAATAGAAAAATTGAATTTAAAAAAAGAAAATTGGATAATGAAAATGATATGTTGATTGACGAAGATAATTTAGAGGTACTTCCAAATATAAGAAAACCAAATAAATCAGTAATACCTATTTTGAAAGCATTTTTTGATAAGTTACCGGAACCAATTCATCATCAAGGTAAACCAACACCAATCATTACAGAAAATCAAGATGAGATATTGCTACAGGAACCGACATCAGTAAATAATGGAGACGTTGATTTTGAACTATTGAAATCAATAGGTGAAGAGAAATCACGACTACAAAAATCACAAGTAATACAAAGAAATTTACCTGTAATCAATCCATCATCAATAAAAAAAACCTCAGGAGACAAGTCAGAGATTGAAACATTAGTTGAAACGGAGTTTATGAATATAGTGACAGCTGACTATAAACTGCAAATGAATCCATTTATTAATATTCCAATTCTTACTAATTATGATCAAATATTAAGTGATGAAGTCAATGATCAAATATCCAAAGAATTAAAAAGTCAATCAAAGTTACATGAAAATTTACCAAATTTTGAATTACCTAGAACTTTTGATGTTGCTGAAATGGTAATATCAAAATTACATGATTTACATAATTCTTCACAGATTATTGAAAATCTGTTAAATTCCTCAAGTAGGGAATATGACGATAAGCTAACTCAACAATTGAATCAAATCAATGAAGCTCAATTAAGGTTAGCAGAAGTTGATGAAGAATTTCACTCTTTACATTATAAAATTGGGGAAGATGAGAAAACACGGAAAAAGGAAAATAAGATGTTACACGAAGATGTTAAAAGAATAAATGATACAGTGGAGCTTAAAAGGAATGATATAGCTCAACTGAGAAAGTCGAAAGAAGTTAGGCAAAGAAGTTAATGAATAATGAATCTGTAACTCAATTTTGGTTGTAACTTTGATCTCTTAAATGTACCCCATAATTCAAAACAGCGCGTGAATTTTTTTAGTATTATTAGATCTTTTATCATTAGGTCAATGATAACAACTAAATTGCTAACAATTATTAAATGTCGAATAATCTACTAAATGTACCTTTGAAGCAATCAAAACCTATCAATTTGGGTCAAGAATTAACAGAGGTTATAAAATCTCAGTTTTTTCAACCCGCTTCAAATTTTGAGAACGATTTACAACAGTTAACAAACCTTAGAGATTCAATAACGGAGATCAGTAATGGCTCAATTGCTACTACAACATCAATTGATCAATTATTTGAATATTATTCACTTTTGAAGATCATAGACTCAAAATTCCCCAAGGATTCAATTGAATTTAGTTGGTATATCACACTATACAATTCACCAATTGGACCAATTGGTATGAGATCTTTCAAATATGAAGAATTAAATATTATATTTCAAATAGGAGCAATATATTCACAACTAGCCCTTAGTGAATCAAGACATTTGGATGAAGGATTAAAAAAGTCTTGTCAATATTTTCAAATATCAGCTGGATGTTTCCAATTAATCAAAACTTTAGTTACTCAAATAAATTCAAATCCAAATTCCCATATTGAATTTCCTGGAGATTTACAGAATCTGACTACATTATGTTTAATAGAATTAATGTTGGCACAAGCACAAGAAACGATATGGCAAAAAGCCATAAATTCAGAAACTACAAAAGATTCAATAATCGCAAGATTGTCATTACAAACTTCACAATATTATGAAGAAGCATTAAAATACGCTAAATTATCAGATTATATCAAATTAGAATGGATAAACCATATAACTGTAAAATATTATCATTTTTTAGCTGCTGCTCATTATAGAAGTAGTATAGTTGCATTAGATTCTTTCCAATATGGTGAACAAGTAGCTCATTTACGTATTGCCTCAAATGCTATAAATCAAGCTTTGAAATATAAAAAATATGTTAATAATTTTGTTATTGAAGATTTATTGGGGTTATTTGAGATTGTTAAAACTAAACTAAGAACATCTGAAAAGGATAATGATTTAATTTATTTGAAGCTTGTGCCTAAAGAGAATGATTTGAAACCTATTATTGGAGTATCAATGGTAAAACCTATAGAATTGGAGAAATTCCAAGAAGTACCGTCAAATGATAAATTATTTAAAGATTTGTTACCTTATGTTATAATACATTTTGCTCAAGCAATGAGAGAAAGACAAGATGATTACATAAAAGATAAAATTTTTGAACCCATACAAGCTCTCGATCATATAATAACCAAATTCTTAAATGAAAGAAATTTACCAGCAAGTATAGATGCATTACAACAACCTGAAAATATTCCCGATGCAATAATAAATCATTCAAGAGAAATAATGAATTCTGGTGGAATAAAAATTATAGAAAATTTATTAAAAGATATTGCAAGATTATCATCTCAATGTAATCATTTAGTTAGTGAATGTCAAAATAGAATAGATATGGATAGACATGAAGATCAAATGTTGAGAGAAAAACAAGGCACTTCAAGATGGAATAGAGCCAATACCGAAAAATCAGCGTCAGTACTAATAGCTAAAATTAAACGTATGAATGAGTACCTCGAACAAGCTAAAAATGGAGATGATGTAATAATCAATAGATTTTATGAAATTAGAGGAGTTTTGGAAGTTTATATGGGTGGATTTGCTTCATTGAATAAATACATTCCAAACTCAAACTATATCAAATTAGACAAAAACATTGCGATTATAGTTACTGACTTGAGAGATTTATTAAGTCAAATTACATCACTAAGAACAAATAGACAAAAGTTTTTACAATCTATTGAAATAAAAAGTAGAGATAACAACATTTTACCAAAATTAATTGATGAATACAAAAGAAATAAAAAACAATTATATGACGATCAAGGAAACTTCAAACCAACAAAATTTGAATTGATCTATGAAGACCATATTAAACTATTCAATCCCGAACTATCTTATATCAACACAACAAAACAAGATCAACAATCATTAGAGAGTCAAATTGATTCAACCAACAAAAATTTCGTTCAAGAATATACAACAAATATAAACTCCACTCTTAGGAAAAGACAAGATTCATTACAAAATTTAGATACAGCATATATCAAATATAACGAAATCATAACTAACTTAGATGAAGGTTTAAAATTTTATAATGATTTTATATCAAAAGGTCATAACGTATTAAATGAGTGTCAAGAATTTTTAAACAAAAGAAGAATTGAAAGTAGAGATTTAGAGATTGAGATTCAAAGAAATTATCAGCTACAACAAGAGGAACAACAAATAGCTAGTAATAATAATTTAACTCAATCTGTTCCATTGGTATCTCCAAGATCTCAAAAATCAAATGTTTGGGATCCAAATTCTAATATTAAATTTGGTTGATTGATGAAACAAGTTACAAAACTGAATTAAAAAAAATATTATTTAAAAATCATTTCTCTACTTTGTATAGACAACTCTTTCAATAAACAATAATTTAGATCAATACTATTTAAAATGATTATATGATACTCAAACTACTATCTCAAATTTTCAAATCTAAAATGTCAACAATTAAACCAAAAAAACCAATCATATCAATAGTTGGTACAACAGGAGTTGGAAAATCTCAATTTAGTATAGATTTAGCAAAACATGTAAATGGAGAAATTATTAATGCAGATTCAATGCAAGTATACAAAGGAATGGACCTAATAACGAACAAACATCCATTAAATGAAAGAGAAGGTATACCTCATCATGTTATTGATTATGTAAATTGGAATGAAGAATATTTCATACATAGATTTACAAAAGATGCAAATTTAGCTATTGATGATATTCATAGTAGAGGTAAAATACCTATTGTTGTTGGAGGTACTCATTATTATTTACAATCTTTATTATTCAATAATAAAACAATGGATAAGTCAAAAGAAATTGAAGGTACCGAATTAACTTCTAATCAATTACAAATACTAGATGGACCAACAGATATACTATTCAATACATTATTAAAAATTGATCCAATTATAGCTGAAAAATTCCATCCAAAAGATCATAGAAAACTACGACGTGCATTAGAAATTTGGTATACCACAAATACAAAACCTTCAGAAATTTATCATGTACAAAAAATTGATGAATTAGAACAAAGTTCTTTAAAATATAATGCTATTGTATTCTGGTTATATTCAGATATGAAATTATTAAATGAGAGATTAGATATACGTGTTGATAAAATGATAGATAGTGGAGCAATTGAAGAAATTGATGAATTATATAAGAGTTATGTTGAAAATAAAGCTGACTGTACAACTGGAATATATCAGGTTATTGGTTTCAAAGAGTTCTTACCATGGTTAGACAATTCGAAACAAGATTCAAAGCAACTAGCTGAAGGTATAGAAAGAATGAAAATTAGAACTCGTCAATACGCAAAATATCAAGTTAAATGGATTCAAAAAACTTTACATCTTGAGTTGGAAAAGGAATCTAAATTTGATTATATAAATGGTGGGAAATTATTTGTTTTAGATGCATCTGACTTGACTAATTGGAATGAAACTGTAAGAGATAGAGGTATAAGAATAACAGATGAATTTTTAACCAACTCACCACCTACGAATTTCCCGATACCACAAACTCCACCAGGCTTGGAATCACTACTTACAGAAAAATCTAACTCCAGATCAAATAAAATAATAGGTTCAAATTCGCAATGGAAACATTATAAATGCTCAATATGTAAAGACTCTCAAGATCAAGAATTTATTGCAATTGATGAAGAAAAATGGAAACAACATTTAACTGGTAAAAGACATAAAAAAAATTTAAATTCTGATGCAAAGAAAAGACATATTGAAGAAATGATTGCATTACATAAAAGTAAATAGATCAAATAACACTTAATTGGATTCTCCTATATTCATGTAAATTTGTGCATTTGTTCTATTACACAAATGTCAAATTTTGTGCTTCTGTTTCAACTAGTTACTGGTAGCGTTTGTTTACAATTTATCTATTTAAATAATAAATTTGATTTTGCGTTTTTTTCTATATAAACACCTATTTTTAATTTACATTTTTTATATATCATTGAATGCAATTCTATTCACAATCTCAATTTAACTCAAACCGTTCATAATTCAGTTCAATTTAGGTATTTAGTTTGTTTGAATAAATCCAAGCCCGCGATCTGATATAATTACTCATGTCAATTATTGAAGAGCAATTTGCTTTAATTAATATAAATAAATCACCTAGAAAAAGAAAAGTATATCCATCAAATATAATACCAAAACCAATTTCAAATCAAAACTTGAGTAATATAAAGCAACCAGAATTTAAAACCCCAATAAGAAATTTCAGTAATCAAAATCATATATCGAAAAGTACCATAAAATCAAAATTCTCAACTAATAATGAAAATCATATAGTTGATAATCATGTCTCCTTTTCGGAACAATCTACATCAAAAAAGGAGTTCCAATTTTCATTCATGAAAGAGACATCATCATCAATTCAAAAAAGAACTTTATCCAATCCATTAAACAATCTAAATACACCCTCAAAATCAAACATAAACACGTCTAATTCAAACACACCAATACCCACATCATCAACTAAAAAAAGATTAGAATATTCGAAACAATTAAGATTTAAAAGAGCAATATCAAATCAACATTCATCATCATTCCCATCCGACATATCCAATATTTATAATAATCCTAAAATTGATCATAAATTTAATTCACCAAGAAATATAAGTTTTGGAAATTATGTTATTGATGAATCTCCTTCAAAGCCAAGAAGAGTGTTTACTCAACCACCTGCATCTTCAAATGACGTATTTCAAAGATTATATCAGACCAAGAGCTCCAACGTTGTTGAAAGAAAATTTAGAAGCGTTACTCCAACACCAACTCAAACTACCACTTCAAAATCAGCAAAAAGATCTTCCGCTTCAGCCAAAATTGAATCAGTAACGGATTTGTATGATTTATTACATAAAAGAGTTCCAGATTTATTCTTGAAGTCTTCATCGTGTGTAAAGGAACATCATAACCAATACCAAAAACCACTAGATTTAAACAATGTTCCATTAGATTCATTAAATGTATATGAAAGAGGAGAAATTATTAGAAAAAATTCATTATATTATGTTCCAACTAATTGTCCAAGACATATAAGTATGAAGCTTGAAAATGGTCATAATTTTGGGTTCGACGACAAAGATGGGAACTATATCGTCATACCAAATGATCATATCAACTATAGATATCAAGTTTTAGAAAAAGTCGGAAACGGATCATTTGGGAATGTCATATTAGCAAAAGATCATAAATTGAAAGAGCCAACTGGGAATTTAGTAGCTATAAAAATTATCAACAATAATTTTAATTCATCTATACAATCAATTAATGAAATCAAAATGTTGAAATATATGTATCAACAAAACAAGCAAAACCCCAACATAATTCATTTTTACAATCATTTCAATTTCAGAAGTCACATATGTATCGCAGCTGAATATTTGTCATTGAATTTATACTCATTAATGGAGATTACAAATTTTCAAGGATTGTCAATACCAGTAATTAAAAAATTTACAAAACAAATCTTGAATGGACTATCATTTTTACATAAATTGAAAATAATGCATTGTGATATAAAACCAGAAAATATAATGATCAAATTACCATCTAACCCTCAAACTGATAAATTACTAGTCAAAATTATAGATTTTGGATCTTCTTGTTTTGATGATGAAAAAATATACACCTATATTCAATCAAGATTTTATAGAGCCCCAGAAATTATTATTGGTTCAAATTATGATAATAAAATTGATATTTGGTCATTAGGTTGTGCATTATGTGAATTATTTATTGGAACACCTATTTTACCAGGTAAGAATGAAATTGATCAAATTGGCTTGATATTAGAAATTTTTGGAGCTCCTAAATCGTCTACCATTCTAAGAATGAGATCACAATTATCAAGATCTTTAATTAATCAGAATCATAATAAGATTAAATCTATAAATTTTGATCAAATGTCGAATTCATCAATTCCAAATGAAAAACAAGTTAAAAAGACTTTACTTTATAAGATCTTTGATCTTAATGGTAAGATAAATTTAAATATTTTGAATCATTATAAATCTTCAACTAATTCAATAAAGAAGCAAATTAAATTAAATTCAAAAAGTTTGGAAATTGTATTGGGATTTAATAATAGTTTAGAAAGTTCAAGTGATAAGAATTTGTTTTTGAAAGTTTTACAAAAGATCTTTGTTTGGGATCCTCAAGAAAGATCAAGTGTTGATCAATTAATTAATGATGCATTTATTCAATAATATCTATGGATATATAGTTACATTAATTAGTCTCTTTTCATTAGGTATTATGGATGTCCATGATGAGAACCTGGCCAAGCACTTATTTTCTCAGGTAATGGAGTAGAGGCTCTACTACTATCGCCACCACTATCATTATAATCCATTAGTTCTTGAATATTATCACTAGTTTCTATAAATGTATCTATCTTTTTATCAAATTCATTTTTCAGATCTTGATTCTTTAAGTTGTATGAAAAATTCTTGATTTCATTTAGTTTTTCACCTTCTAAATCTTCTAAACTTTTGATTAATCTTGTACCGAATTTCATATCTATTGGTAGATTACTATAAATTTTTCTCTTTAGGATATTTATAGTTCTCAAATTATCTAATAAATTGTTGTAATATAATTCCGGTGTTAGTTCAATTGAAATATTATTCGATTTTGATGGTGGGTTGATTAATAATAATGCTGCGTAATATAACATTATATGTACATGAACTGGTACGTATTTCAAGTTATCTAATATATCTTTGTCGTTTATGACCAAATTTATAACTGTATGTGCTGCGTTTAATGCTATATTTGCATTTACTGCTGCTTCATCTGGTGATAATAATTCTCGGTTGGAAATAAATTCTTCTTCATCTTGAGAAGATTCTGAATCATCTGAATCATAGTCTTCTTCTTTTTGTGGCTGTTCTTTTGGTTGTGGTCGGGGTGGTGGTGGAGTAGGTGTTGTTGCTGTTGAATTATTCAGATCTATTGCACCGTTCCATTTAGGTAATGAATTCTCATCATCTGGATTCATTGTTAGTTGCCTAACAGCAGAAGAATTAATATGCATCTTAGCAAAATTATAATAGATTAATGTACTTTTAGTTGACCATATTGCTCCATAACTTGCTGGTGATAACAACACAGTCCATGAAACCATCCATTTATCTAATTCTAAATTTGATTTTGATGGGATACCAAATGATGAAGGTACTAATAAATCCCATGCATCACCTCTGAAAGCTTCACTTAATGCTTGATTATATTCAACTTGTGAAACTAATCTTAAATCTGTTAATTTTTGTTTCAATAAAAGTTTCCTTAAATCTTCATCTGATGGCTTTTTAGTTGTTGAGTTGTTTTTATATGTTATTTGTTTATCTAAATTTGAAATTTTCTTTTCGTCTTCATTAACTAACAATGCTCTACTATGTTTTAATGAATACTCTTGTGAATTGACTAATGGTTGTCTATTAAATGCTAAACTTTGTTGACCATCTAGTACGTAAAGTAAATACCATAATTTTAAATCTTCTTTATTTTGACCATAATTTGGATTGTTCAATCCATATTCCTTGGCAATTTGTAAAGCTAACCCAGTAAACATTTGAGAATCAGATAACCAAAAACTACATAATATTAATGCAACTATTGTATTAAATGCATCTGATTTATTTTTTGGTTTATTTGCAAAAAATAAACTTCCACAAAGGTCCCTTAAATATATCTGTAATTGTGATGATTTTGAATTTAATTTCGGATGATGGATTGATGCAATTGTACTTACTGCACAAACTAATACTGGACAACTTTCCCAAATGTCGTCTATTCTAAACTTTGATATTTCAAATCCAAATAATTGTTGTGAAATATTTGTATCAAAGTAACGAAATAAGTCTGTTGCTTCTTGCTTCGTTAGAAAACCATTTCTGAAATCTTTTAGGTTATTATCAATATGCAAGGGAGAAATCCTTTTTCTAGGAGAGGTTTCTGGATCTGTTGAACTTCGTTTTTTATAGTTTTCTATTTCTGGTTGTGGTGTTTGATTAGTTGACGGTGACTGATTTATAAGATTATTCATATTCATTCCGTTTTGATACGTGGTTCGTGGTTGTTGTAATTGGGGTACTGGTTCTTTATATTGAGTTTGTTGTAGGTTAAACGAATCCATGAACTTATCAAATTTTCTTTCAAATGAGTCTAGTTTTTTTTCCATGTGTGACATTCTATCTCCATCATTTGCATTTGTATTTGTATTTGTATTTTGCTGTAATTGAACTGTTGATCCAGGATGAGGTAGAGGCATTCTATTTGGATTTAATTGTAAATATTGATTATTTGTCGGTATCATTGAAGGTATATTGGACATGGTAGATAACGAATCATATTGCGTTTGAGGATAATGATGTGAATTTAACGGTAGTGGTACAACATGACCAGTAGATGATTCAAGACTTGGTAATCTTAAAGAAGGTAATTTTGGTACAAATTGACAAGTTGCAGCTTGACCTGTTTTTAAACATCTTTGACATGGTAAATTTTCTTCATATACACATCTTACTTTTGATCTTTTACAATTACAACATGGTTTTGTTCTTTTCTCCTTAGCCATGCTATGAGTCTATTTTCAAATATCTCTATAAATTGATATGATCTATTAAATAATGCTATGTTGCAAAGATAAAAAGTGGTTGTAAAAAAATTTACGATAAAAATTATTTTACTAACATTCCAAATTAAGTATTATCTGCGGCTTACTAGTTCAAAACTTCCCCCGGAAAATTTATAGATCCATTATTATATAAATTATTAACAATTTTCAATCATTTTTACTCAACTTCTTATTTCAAACATCACAACTTATCAATTCAATTAAAAATGACAATGAAATCTAAAATTAAAACATTCTTTGGTGCTAATAGACAATATGCTGTAGCAGGAGCATCAAATAATCCGTCAAAATTTGGTTATAAAATCTTAAATTGGTATATAAAACATAATTTATCAGCAATACCAATAAATCCAAAAGAGAAAGAAATTTTAAATCAACCAGTTGTTTCTAATGTTCAAACTATATTAAAAGCTATAGAAAATCATAAAGATTTAGATACTTACAAGACTTCAAAAGTTGATGGATTAAGTATTTCATTTTTAACTCCTCCTGCTATAACTGTGGCTACTTTAAAAGAAATTGGAGAAATTGAAGGTTATAAATCTATTATAAAAGGTCTTTGGTTTCAACCTGGTAGTTATGATCAAGAAGTATTAGATTTAGCTGAAAAATTAGGTGAATTTGATAAAGTTATTGAAGAAGATGAATGTATTTTAGTTAGAGGTGAAGAAGGTTTAATATCTGCTAATTTATAAAACTACTAAGTAAGTATTTGGCTATAAGATTACTTTTATTTTACATTATACTACTACTATATACACTATAACAATTAGAGGATATTATTTTAATCTAGTATTTTTTTAATATAAGTTCCCCAACCTTCATCAGAATCACTATTTGATTTCTCTGGTGTTAATTTTTTACCAAACTCCATAATATTTATAGTATAAGGAAATGGTGAAGTTTCCAAAGAAGTAATTGGAGGTATATGATCTTTTTCTCTATCAACAAATTCATAAATTTTGAATAAATTATTTTCAAAACTTTTTAATGAAATTTCAACAGCTTGTGAATATTCTGGCTTGGTTGATGTTGATGTTGAAGTTGAAGTAGTTGAAGTTCTTTCCTTTATAGGTAAACATTCAATATTTATAATCCAAGTTTCCCAAATTTTAGAATCATCAGATTCATAATCTCTACCAAACCATCCACTACTTTTCCTTTTTGAATTTGATTTGGTTAAAAATTGAATATTTATAATACCCTTTATCGGTAATGGTTTTTTATCAATTATTGTTCGTATAAAAACTGATATTTTTTCATCAATTAATGCTTCTAAATCAGGTAAATTAGTTGCTAATGGATAAGTTATTGATAAAAATTCATTAGTTGATGGGATTGTTGGTCCAAATAATCTATTAAAGAATATAGTCCATATAATACCTTATATCACGTTAGTATATAAACTTGATATTCAATATATTTGATTCAGCCTCTTTCAAAAGAATGCAAAATGTAAAAATACATACCTTTAATTGACTCTCTAAGTACAGATCTTTCTGCAATCAAGTCAATCGTAAATTCCATTGAAAGTCATTCAAACTTAATAAATATTGTAATAAAGTGAAATGCTTTCAAAGTGTAAAATTAAACTCGTGGTATATAAATGAACGTAAAAAGAAAAATAAAGTAAGTTTCAAATTATATCATTTTATTTTATTCCGTTATCTATTATGAAGTACTAATATACAACTAATATAATCTCGAATGTTTTACAACTTTATTTAGAGAGTCATTCTTAAATGACTAAATACTTAATGATAAACAACAAATGATATTTGTAATTACACAAATCTATTACCAAACTATTTACATATTTGAATTCGTGGATTCTTCAACTTTCTCGGTTTGCTTGGACAATTTCAAGTCTTGTTCAATCATTTTCTCTAAATCTTTAACAACATTAGGTAAGACATCAAAATCAAGGGTTTCTTCTTCCTTTGGATCAAATTTCAGTAACACATAATTAGTTATATTTTTAGAGCTTGGTTTACCAATCCCAATACCAATTTTAGTATATTTATTTTTATAAACTCCATCAATTGATTTTAATCCATTATGACCTCTTGACGAAGTTCCGGGTTTTCTAATTTGATATTTCCCTAAAGGCTGTTCTAGTTCATCATGTAATATTACTAGTTTTGAGTTTTTATGAAATTGTTGAAAATGTTTTTGAATTGGTCTACCTTGTAAATTCATAAATGTATCATTTGATTTAAATAAAATTAAATTTGGATATTTTTTGGAATAATAATAAGAACCTTGTTTGTATAAATGATCTTTCCAGTATATTTCAATTAATTGATCCATTAATTTATGTCCAACATTATGTCTTGTACCTTTAAATTGAGGTTCAGGATTTCCAATTGATGCAATAAATAAACAACGAGTAAAATTTAAATAAGGATTTGGATTTATAGGTAGAAAAGTATTAATTAAACTATATAGCATTTTTTTGGTAGTTGTTATCTTTTGTGATTACTCAGTGGTATTATTTTGTTCATTATTGTTATTGTGGTTCTTGTTAGTGATGGTATTATTATTTATTGAATTTGTGGGATTATCAATTTTTTCAAAACCTTTTCTTACGTATTTTATTGTTTCATTTATTGTACCATTCAATGAGTTATTTTCTTTTTCTTTTACAACAATTAACTCACTTATTTCACCTAAACTAAAGACTGAATTAGTAATTGATATTACAGCCGCAGTATTTTTTCTATACATACATTGGTTTGACTGCTTCTACTTCTAAATTTAGACTTTCATCGATTAATGCTCTTCTGCGCTTTAAAACAAGTTAGTTCGTAATTCACCACCAGAAAATCGAGTTATTATACGTACTTCAGCACAATCTTCAATTTTACGTTTTAATTCATTAGTCTTTTCCAAATATTCATTCAACATAATAGCAAAACAATTTTCAACTTTATCCCAATCAATTTTTAAAATTTTATCATCTTGATTAACCCATTTTCTAATTTCTTTTAAAGTTGGAAATTCAATATTTAATGATGAATCATTTAAATTGTATCCATTGGTTTTTAATACTGTTTCTATTTTATCCAAGCTTTCTTTTGCTATATCTAAACTACTTATTGTTTGATTTATTTGAGAATTATCTTGTTGAATCATAATTGGTTATTTTTCAGAGATCTGTGATTTGGTTGCCAATTATTTTTTTTAGATTTAAATTTTTTGCAACAATAATGTTTTTTGTTATTTATATTACCACCTAACTGTTACCAAAACATAATGAATCAAGAACTAAACAAACTAAGTAATCAAGTAGCTAAGACTTTAAAATTAGTAGATGAGAAAGTAATCAAGAGCAATATTATAGATTGGAATCAAATTAAAAGAACTCCTCAAATTATAAGAAGAAAAATTAATCTAAATGATAAATCATATACTGTAGATGAAGAATTTGATACTTTACAAGATCAATTTAAAACCCAAGAAGAGTCGCTAAAAAGATTAATTAACTACTTAAAACATATGAATGAATCAATGTCTGATTTATTAAAGGATTCTATATCAATTGGTGATTCATTTAGTTTATTAATTAATCCATTTTGTGATTTTAATCATACTCATGAAACATTTGAAGAAAAACATAATAAATGGAATAATATGATGAAATATAAAAACTTGATATCTAAAATTGATATTGGTTCTGAAATTGATGAATTTATTCATTATAATGTAAACAAATTGGAAGGTGTTTTAGAAATGTTTAAGATTATTCATCAAAAATTAAGAGAAAGAAACAATAGTCTTATTGATTATGACAACTTATGTAATAATTATGATTCATTATTGTTTAAACAACAAGCTAATGAGTTATCTTTAAAACAAAACAATACTTTATATTCTACAAAAAGAAAAATGGAAGATTATAAACACAAATATGATATTGTAAATAATACATTAAAAAATGAATTACCACAAGTTTGTGAATATGTGAAACAAATTTTGGGGTATGTTCAAGTAGACGTTTATTTTTTAAATTTAAGATATAATTATGTTACTTTAAAACAATTAATATCATTTAATAAACACAATGAAAGTACAGAAACAATAATTAAAAACTTTACTGATAAAAACAATCATTTATATTCTAAAATAGAAGAATTAGGTATTATAAATTATGAAAAAAAAGAGATTTCAAAATTACAAACTAAAGAACAAGAATTAAATTTTTGTTTTGCTTTATATGATTATCAAACTAATAATTTAGAACATCTTTCATTTAGTAAAGGTAATAGAATTAAAATCTTATCAAAAGATGGTGATTGGTGGGAAGGTGAACTAGGTAATAGAAGGGGGAAATTACCATCTAATTATGTTACACTTGAATGAAAAAAAAAAAGTATCTAAAATATTTCTAATTTAATTAATGCTATGCTAAGAATCTAAATATTTGTTTATACATAATTGACAACAAAATTGTTTTCTAATTGGAACATTTTTATTTTGTAAAAGATCCCACCATTCATAAACTTCTGCTATTGGTTCAACTACAACAATTTTACATTGTGAACAATTATCATTGAATTTACCTTTTCTTATTGCTTGGATTATTAGGTTATGATATAGTTTTGGTGTATGTTTTTTCCATTCTTTCGTCTCTTGATATGATACATCATGTTTTGCTATTGTGTTTAGACATAATGATTTTAATGATGGTAATGTAGTAGTTTTTGTGATTAGGTAGTTAATTTCTGATCTAGCTTTTGGATGGAATGCTGAATTTTTGGACGATTTTGATAACAAAGGAATAGCATCTGATGGTAAACTCACAAATGGATTTGGTCCACATGTGAGAATTGACAATTTATGCAAATCTAGAATTTGGAATGGTAAAAATTGTAATTTATTTGAACTCAATGATAAATCAATTAAACTCTCTAGTTTATTTATAGTTGGTGGTAATGATACTAATTTATTTTGTCTTAGTGATAAAACTTGTAATTTTGTAAATTTGAATAATGAGGTTGATAGTTGAGTTAATTTATTACCACTTAGATATAACTGATATGGGAACTCTATTGAAGTTTCCTCACTGAAGCTATCAAATATAACTAAATTGTTTAAGTCTTTAATTTCATCAGGTATTTCATATAAATTCATGGATCGTAAATCAATAATAGTTCTTGTATTTTCAAATGCTTCGAATATAATATTTCTTGCCTTGTTAAATGATAATTGTTTATTTTCTTCTCTTATACTTGCAAAATCTTCATCAATACTTGAAGAAGTCGGTAGATTTTTATAATTGTCATTAAAACTTCCTCTATACCTATTAAATCTATCAATTCCAAAATCTGTATCAGAACTTATTGGCTTATGTGGTGAAGTTCTTAAGTGATCACTATATAGATTATTAATTTTTTTAGGTGGTGATTTAGGTACATGAAAACTTGTTGTTGGGTTGGTATTAAAATCAAATTCTGACATTAAATTAATTTCATTATGAATTGATCCAATTGGTGAACTAGGTGGTAATGGTCTATTATCATTTTCATTCTCTTCTTCATCAACAAAAGTGGGTTCTTCTTCATAATCTTCTTCTTCTTCTTCTTTTTCGTTACTACTCTTATCGTTGTCATCACTATCAATTAATTCTTCTTTATCACCAAAATCCAATTTTTTAACATCATCTTTATCATTAAAACTTTCTCCCATTCTACGTTTTAAAGATTTCATAGATAATGGATTTAAATTCAATTTTGGTCTATTTTTCAATTTATCAGTTTTATCAACTTCAACCTCAACCTCAATTGTTTTTCTTGTATGATAAAAACTACTTGCATTTTCATCAATTTCTGATTTATTTCTTGGAGTTGTATTCAAAATATCTGATTCATTAAATGATGAAGTTTTAGTAAATGCAAATGGCAATAAAAAGTTTTGGTTCTCCATGATTAAATTGTGAGCAAAATCTTGAATATTAGATTATTTTTAGTATAATATTATGTATAGTTTTCAACCTTAAACTGTTTTAATAATGATTAATTTTTTCAATCACTTGTTCAATTTTTAATGATTAATAAGTATAATGAATAGTTATGTGTACCCCAACTGGGGGGTTAATTGCAAGGGTCTTGTGATGAGAATATATATTTGGTTGTTAAAAATAATACATTATTTGATAATTGGTTTAGTGTTAATACTTTAATCTTTTTGTTAACTAATAAAAATAATAAATATTGTAAAGTAGTGAGATCGCGATTTTGTGTGTAAGAGTGTTAAGAGTAATAGTAAATTAGTAGATACATAAAAAATTAATTATTTTTATCAAATATAGATGTAACTTAATGTTAGATTTCAAAAGTTTTAGCAGTCATTGAAAAGTGAAAAGAAACTAACTTATATTCAACTTCAAATAATATGGGAATGAATTTATTATATATTTGAGAGTTATTACTGAAAACGCAAAATAATTAGACTAATTAAGTATATAGAATTAATTTATCCGTATTCGGTACAGCTTGATATCAAATATGATAGTTTTTGATACTAATTTAGAATTATAAATATCTCTTAGAATATCAAAACTTATTGAAAAATAGGAAACTGATGACTTTATTAAAACATTGTTTATAGAAGCCCTTATGAAGTTTTGTCAAGCTCTTAATTTTTATTAGATTTATTTTACTGATTGAATAGATAACAAATTTTCTGTATAATTTTGAGACATTTAAAATTACATATATTGTAACAAGGTATTTGTTTATACTAAATTCAAGTTTTAGACAACGACTATAACTAGAGTATAGTATTCATGTTGACTCAAATTCATTCAGGTAGTATTTGTAATCAAAAGATTAAAACGCTTAAAACATACATTTTCACCTACTTTATTTTAAATAAATTAAATTGAAATGTAACTTGAAATGAAACCCTTTAATCCTTTAAGTGATAACTTACATTATTGATAACTTTTGCGCTCTCTTTATAAATTCTATCAATATATGGCCCTTCCCTTGTAATTAATTCATTTTGTGGCTTTATTAATTTTTTAGACTATAAGTATAATTTTGAACATGTTTTCAAATTGTTCAATAAACTTTTAAATTGAAACATGTCAAAAATCTAATTTTTTTGTCTTACTTGCATCATATTGTATTAATATTGTATTATACTATTACAATAAATTATACTAATATTATATTGTTAGTTTTTAGTTATCTAAAAATACAACAATAATAATTTTATTATAACAATTATAACCATTTAATAGAGTGGCCAAAATTTTTAAATTCTAATTTATCAATCTAATAAATAATTGATAACCACTTGATCTAATAGGTTTTAGTAAACATTCCTATATATATTCACTTAATTGTCATGAAATAAATTGATAGAACATTAATTTGCAATTATAATTTACTAGAATATTTCAAAAGTTCAAAAATGAGTAATATTTCATGGTCTAATATTCATGATTATTCAAACATAGAATATGCTTTTTTAAAGCCATTGAGTTTATTCCATAATTTCAATTTTTTCAATTCATACTTGAGTGATGAACTCAAGGATTACACAACTTCGTCCGCTCAATCGAAATTTCCATCTCCATTATATTCACCACATAGTAATTCCTTAAATCCTAAATTTGTTGAATTAATCAGTTCAATTATTAATGGGGTTAGTTTATTATTTATTATTTATCAATCAATTGAATTGACTTTTAAAAATAAAAATATTTATAAGAAATATATTCCAACTTCATGGATTCAAATACTAAAATATTTTTTATTGGTATCTTTAATTGTCATTCAAACAATATTATATTTCTTTACTTCAAATCAATACGTGTTTTACAACATAATTACTATTATTGGAGCTAGCTTTTTATCGATTTATGAATATAGAGTATCAACAATTTCTTGTGCTTCTTTACTTACATATTGGCTTGCTAGTTTTTTTTATTCGTTTGTTGTTTTAATTCAAGATACCTTTTCCAAACATAAAATATTAGCAATTGATCCAACTTCATATGGTTTAGAAACTGTTGGAGTTGTTCTCAACTTAGTTTTATTTATTTTAGAAGCTGAATTTTATAAACCTGGTTTTAAAACTGATGATGAACAAGAGAATAAAAGAATTGATATACTTTCTTATTTTACTTTTGGGTTTATACAACCAGTAATTAACAAGATTTTTCAAACAGATGATATCAAAGTATCAGAATTACCAAATGTTATAGAGGATATTAAATGTGATCAACATACACCAATTTTGAAAATATATTGGGATAATGAATTAAAAGTTAAGAATCATTTTTTTAGTAAGATATGGAGTTTCATTACTAGGAAGAAATATGAAAGTAAACCAGTATTGTTTAGCGCTATGTTCAAAGTTTATTATAAATACTTAATTGGTGATTTGATTTACAGTTTTGTTGATGTGTTTTTAATGTTTTCACAACCATTTGTTTTCAAACAATTCATATTATTTTTCAGTAACTACACTTACCATAAAAAAGAAGATAGACCACCAATTATTGTTGGATATTCATTAGCTATATTGATGTTCTTGATTAGTGTTGTTGATTTCATTGTTAATAATCAAGCAGCAATTTTACAAAATAAACTGGCAATGTCTATAAGAAGTGCATTAACAGTATTAATATATGAAAAAGCTTTGAAGTTATCACCTGCATCTAAAAGAAAAAAACCAACTGGTGATATTATAAACAATATTTCAGTAGATATTGGTCAAATTAATGGGTTTTTCTTATCGTTGGGTACTTATGTATCAAGTCCATTTCAACTTATTGTTTGTTTAATATTTTTATTCAATTTTTTTAAATCGGCTTCATTCCTTGGTTTAGGTGCTGCATTAATTTCAGCTCCAATGATTGCAATAATTCAAGCAACAGTAGTCACAAGTTATAAACAATTAATGAAAGATAAAGATGAAAGAACTTCATTAATTACTGAAATTTTAAGTTCTGCTAAAAATATTAAATTATATAGTTGGGAAACTCCAATGTTGGAAAGATTAAGTCACATAAGAAATGATAGAGAATTACAAAATTTAAAAAAAATTGGTGTTGTTATTGCGTTAGCTCAATTTTTATGGTCTTGTGTACCTTTTTTAATTAGTGTTGCATGTTTTGGAGGTTTCATTTGGTTCTATGATACACCTTTAACTCCAGAAATTGTATTTCCCGCGTTAAGTTTAGTAGGTTTATTAATGATGCCAATGGCTATTATACCAAATTTTATTGTTAGTTTACTTCAAGTTAGAGTTTCTTTGGGAAGATTGGAAGAATTTTTAACATTAGAAGAAATTAGTCCAAGTCAAAATGGTAAAATCAAAAGAGATGAATATCCTAAAGGTGACGTCTCGGTTGAGATTAAAAATGCTACTTTTGTTTGGGATTCGAATGAGCCTGAGACTTCTTATAAAGATGAAGAAGAAGGAGTTGAAGGAGAAAGTGAAAGTAAAACCAATGTTGCTTTGAATGACATTAATTTCATTGCCAAAAAGGGTCAATTGACTTGTATTGTTGGAAAAGTCGGTAGTGGTAAATCAACATTATTAAATGCTATTCTTGGAGACATACCAATTAAACAAGAAGGTTATAAAGATAATGATACCTCTAAAACACCAAGTGTTGAAACTTTTGGATCTATAGCTTATTGTCCTCAGACCCCATGGATTTTAAATGGTACCGTTAAGGAAAATGTTTTATTTGGATACAAATATGATTCTGAGTTTTATAGAAAAACTATTATAGCTTGTGAGTTAGTGGCAGATTTTAAGACTTTGGCAGATGGTGATAAAACTATAGTTGGTGAAAAAGGTATATCATTAAGTGGTGGTCAAAAAGCTAGAATCTCATTAGCAAGAGCAGTGTACTCAAGAGCTGACATCTATTTATTAGATGATGTATTATCTGCTGTTGATGCTCATGTTGGTAAAGCTTTAGTTAAACAAGTATTATCCAAGGATGGAATTATTGGAAGTCGTACAAAAATCTTAGCAACAAATTCTATTCCAGTTTTACATCAAGCAAATGATATTTATTTATTATCCAAAGGATCGATAATTGAACATGGAGATTTTAAAACAGCCATGGACAAGAACGGAGAAATTGCCAATTTAGTAAAAGAGCATGGACGTCAAAAAGAAGAATCAACAATTGAAGATGAAACAAATAAACATTTAGTTGAACTTGAAAATGCTATAACTGAAGGTAATATTGCAACTATCGAAGGGGAAATTAGTAATCAACGTTTACGTCGTGCTAGTGTTGCATCATTTGATCACATATATGAAGATGCTGATACCTTTGAAGGAGGTAATAAACCAGTAACTTCTCTTGAAGAAGAGAAAAAAGAAAAGGGAATGGTTCCAATGCAAACTATCTTTAGATACATTAAAGAATGTAATCTTGGATATTTCAGTTTATTTTTAGCAACTATATTAGGAAGTAAATTATTTAATGTTGCAGAAACCTATATTTTAAAAGATTGGACTGAATTAAATAAAGAATATAATTCAACTGTTGATCCTGGATATTATTTAAGTTTATATTCTGCTGCAGGAGCATTTGCTGGATTCTTAACATATGTTGGTTATTTTATTCTTTGGTCATACTGTATTATCAAAGCTGCTGCTTATTTCCATAGTGAAATGGCAAAAGCCGTATTACATTCACCAATGTCATTTTTTGATACAACTCCAGTTGGTAGAGTTTTAAATAGATTTACTCAAGATATTTCAACAATTGATTTTGGATTACCTTTCACATTAATTTCATTTTTTAGATTAGTTATGACTGCAATAATTACTTTTTCAGTACTTATTATAACAGTTCCACCAGTTATAATTATTATCTTGTTATTATCGATTGTTTATAATTATTATAGAGTAAGATATATTCCAGCATCAAGAGAATTGAAGAGATTACAATCTATAGCTGCATCTCCAGTATTATCAATTATTCAAGAAAGTTTAAATGGTGTCGATACAATAAAAGCATATCATAAAAAGGATAGATTTATTCATAAATGTAAAAAATATATTGATGAAAGAACTTTAGTAAATATGGTAAGTGTTGATATAAGTAGATGGTTATCAATGAGATTAGAATCTATATCAGCTATAATATTATTTTCAACTGCATCTTTTTCAGTATGGACATTAACTGGTAAAAATCCAATTTCACCAGCTACATTAGGTTTTATAATGACTTATGCATTAAATATTTCACTGATTTTATCAAATTTGATTAAACAAATTAGTGCAGTTCAATCAGAAGGTGTTGCATTAGAAAGAATTATTGAATATTGTGATTTACCAAGTGAAGCTCCAATGATTATAAAGGATAAAAGACCACCATCTAATTGGCCAGAAAAGGGAGTTATTAAATTTCAAAATTATGGTACTAAATATAGAGAAAATTTACCACCAGTTTTAGAAGGTGTTGGATTTGAAATAAATTCAAAGGAAAAAGTTGGTATAGTTGGTAGAACAGGAGCTGGTAAATCTTCATTAACTTTAGCATTATTTAGAATTATTGAAGCAACTGGTGGTGATATTGAAATTGATGGTATAAATATTGGAGAAATTGGGTTATTAGATTTAAGAGTTCATTTAAATGTTATACCACAAGAAGCACATACTTTCAGAGCATCAGTAAGAGAAAATTTAGATCCTTTTGGTAAATATGATGATGCCAAATTATGGAAAGTTCTAGAGCTAGCTCACCTTAAAGAACATATTGAATCAATGGAAACTGAACCAACAGAAGATGAAAAATCAAAACTGAAAAATCCAGATGAAATTATCAAGAAAAAGGGATTAGATGCTAAAATTGAAGATGGTGGTTCAAATTTATCAGCAGGTCAAAAACAATTATTATGTTTAGCAAGAGCATTATTAAATGAAACTAGTAAAATATTAGTATTAGATGAAGCTACTGCAGCTGTTGATTCACAAACTGATAAAATAATTCAAGAAACTATAAGATCAGAATTTAAAGATAAAACTATTTTAACAATTGCTCATAGAATTGATACAATTATGGATAGTGATAAGATTTTAGTACTTGATCATGGTAAAGTTGCAGAATTTGATTCACCTCAAAATTTACTTAAGAATAAAGATAGTATATTTTATTCATTATCAAAAGAAGGTGGTTATATTTAGTTAAGTACAATATATTTCAATAGTATAGAATATTAATTTATAGATATAAGAGATATCGCATTTTAAGACTAGCTTGGTTACAAAATTTGTAAATTGCTCTATCATTCGCCAGATTCTTAAAAACTTGTTTATGTACTTAATTAGATGATTATTTGAGTCATAAGAAATACATACAATTAAAAAGTAAACAAAAACATTAAAAAAGTAAAAGCCGTGTGAAAAAAGATTCGGACTTTAGTTTAAATCCATTTAAAAAACTTCAAAACTAAATCCTTTTTATATACAGTCCTTTTACTAAATTTTACGAGAGAGAAAAAAATATAATAAATTTTAAATCCATACAAATAAATGGCATCAATTTTTCAATACAATCAAGAAAAATATGAATATGTCAAATTACTACTACAATAATATTATAATTTGGTCTGTATTTCTGTTTCAGAATTTTCATACCATCATCACAAGAAATTGAGAATGTAACTTACATCAAATTATTATTTTTTTTTCACTTGATTGAATCTAGCGAATATTAAGTATAACCACAACTCTTAAATCTAATTTACCGAAATTCAAACTCTGTAGCTTCAAACCTACTAATATTCATGTCGTGGAAGACAATGTTAGATTGAAGTAAGGCTAAACGTTGTTTGTTATTGTTTTTATTACTCATTTTTTGTTTTATTTATATTTTATTTGATATTTCATAATCAGCTAAATAGTACTACAGTCGTTTTTATCGCAAGCTGAAAAATTACACAAAATATTATATTTATATTAATTATCTACATACATTAACTTAATATTGAAAATCCTTTTTTTAGTATTAAATAGAAACAACCAATTTGAATTTCAATTTTTATATTTATTTAAATGTAACTAATTTCTTCTCTTTTTTTTCTTATTAATTTTAAAATCAAATTATTAATAGATCAATTCTTTATGAATAATCAATCGCTAAATTTAAATTTAAAAGATGATTTGATTTTAGGGTATACACCTTTTCATCTATCTACATTAAATCCAATATCATTTTTACATAATTTTAATTTTTTAAATTTGAATTTGAATCTGAATCAACTGAATCAAGATGATTTAATAAAATTACAATCAATTGGTAAATATCATTTGAAAATACCAAATATATTATATTCAAATCATAGTAATTCATTAAATCCTCAATTTATTTATTATTTATCAGTATTTATTAATTTATTTTTTGGACTTTGGTTTGCTTATAAGATTATCAAACTATCAATTAAAAATAGGAAGCAATCATTCATATATACATCAACTCCAATACTACAAAGTTTCAAAGTATTTTTAGTATTGGCTCAAGTAGTATTTATTATACTATTTTGGATTTTAACTAATGTAGCTGTATTTATACCAATTTTAGCAGTTACTTTATTAGCATTTTTAACAATTTTAATAGAATTTAGAAATTCACCAATTCCAACAAATGTTTCACTATTATATTGGTTATCGAATACTTTTTTCACATTTGGAATTTTTATACAAGATTCTTTCTCAAAACATAAAATTTATGCACTTAATGGACCTTCATATATAATAGAAATTTTAATGTTAGTTAATAGTTTATCAATTTTTATACTAGAAGTAGGATATTATAAACCAGGATTTGAAGATAATAATGTTCCATTTTTAGATAAAATAAATTTATTTTCATATTTAACATTTTATTTTTTACAACCAATTATAGATAAAATTTATAAAACTAATGATATTAAATTTGATGAATTACCAAATGTTTTAGGTGGTCTTAGTTGTGATGCAAGTAAAGCAAAAGTTATCAAGAATTGGGATTATAGAGTAACTCATTTAAGTAAAAAACCTTCTTGGATTTGGTATGTTTGGGCATTTATAAGAAGAACAAAAGTTGGTGAAAATAAACCAAATTTATTTGCTGCTATTTTCGCTGCTTTTTCACCAGAATTTCATTTAAGTTTTGCTTTAAAAGTTATTGAAACTGCTTTAGTTTTCACTCAACCTTTTGTATTGATGAAGTTTATTCAATTTTTCACAGCTTATTTTTATAGTGATGTAAAACCACCAATTATTATTGGTTATGGTTGGGCAGCTACTATGTTTGCTATATCGTGTGCTAATTTCATAACTTTTAATCAATCTTTTAGTTTACAATTCAATATGGGTTATGGTATTCAATCTGCTTTAACTACAATTATATATGAAAAATCTTTGAGGTTATCTCCACAATCAAGAAAAAATAAACCAACTGGTGATATTATAAATCATATTACTATGGATATTGATATTATCTTTTGGTTTTGTTGGAGTCTTGGAGATTTTATTTCTGCTCCTTTAAGATTGGGAGTTTGTTTAGTTGCATTATATAAATTATTTAATAGAGCAACTTGGGCTGGTGTTATAACAGCACTTATTGTTACTCCAATTGCAACTTGGGTAAATACATCAATGTCAAAATATTATTTACAATTAATGAAAGATAAAGATGATAGAACAAGTTTAATTACAGAAATTTTAAATTCTGCTAAAAGTATTAAATTTTATTCATGGGAAAAACCAATGTTGCAACGTTTAAGTGATATAAGAAATGGTAGAGAATTATATAATATCAAGAAATTAGGTGTTGTTAGTGCTTTAGCTCAATTTTTATGGTCTTGTATTCCATTTTTTATTAGTTGTTCAACTTATGCTGCTTATTCTTATTTTTATTCAGTTCCATTAACTCCGGATATTGTTTTCCCAGCTTTAGCTTTATTTGATTTATTATCTGATCCAATGTTATTAATTCCAAATTTCATTGTAGAAGGAATTGAAGTTACAACTTCATTAGGTCGTATAAGAGATTTGCTTTGTCTTGATGAATTAGCAGATGATCAAAATGGTCATGTTAAAAGAGATCCTGAAGCAAGTGATAATTCTGAATATTCAGTTATTATTAAAAATGCTACATTTGAATGGAATACAAATTCAACTGATGTTAAAGAATTTAAAGATGAAGAAAGTGAAGTTCAAGATACCCCAAAAACTAATATTGCTTTAAAAGATATCAATTTTGTTGCTAAAAAGAGTAAATTAACATGTATTGTTGGTAAAGTTGGAAGTGGTAAATCGACATTAATTCGTGCAATTTTGGGTGATATTCCAATTAAGATTCCTCAGTATTCTGACAATTCTAATGCTAATTCACCTAGTGTTGAGACTTTTGGTTCAATTGCTTATTGTCCACAATCACCATGGATCTTGAATGGTACTGTTAAAGAAAACATTTTATTTGGTCACAGATATGATTCTGAGTTTTATAGAAAAACAATTACTGCTTGTGAATTAATTGCTGATTTCAAAAATTTACCCGATGGTGATAAGACTGTTGTTGGTGAAAAAGGTATTTCATTAAGTGGTGGTCAAAAAGCAAGAATTTCATTAGCTAGAGCTGTTTATTCAAGAGCTGATATTTATTTATTGGATGACGTCTTATCTGCTGTTGATGCTCATGTTGGAAAAGCTTTGATCAAACAAGTCTTATCTGATGATGGTATAATTGGAAGTCGTACTAAAATTTTGGCCACTAATTCTATACCTGTCTTACATGAAGCAACTGACATTTATTTGTTATCCAAAGGTGCAATTGTTGAACATGGTAATTACGAAAAAGTTATGCAATCAAACGGTGATTTAGCTCAATTAATCAAAGAATATGGTAAAAAGAGTGGCACTGAAAACTCACTGTCTGATGAAGATGAAACTAAAGAAGAAGATAGGCCAGAACATAAACCAATCAATACAGAACCAATAAACAATGGACCAATTGATCCAAAAGAAGCTCTACAAACTGAAGATTTAGTCGATGAAATTTGTGATTATGTTGGTGAAGCTAATAGAGGTATTGTTGAACAAGCTGTTTTACGTCGTGCATCATTAGTATCCTATAATCATTCATATGATAAAGATGATGAAGATGAAGAAGGTGTTGTTAGAAAAACAGGTCATGTTGAAGAAGAATCTAAAAAGGGAACAGTACCCTGGGATATTTTCAAACAATATATTATGGCTTGTGATTATAAATATTTTTCAGTTTATGTCGTTGGTACTTTAATTACATTATTGATTACAGTCAGTCAAAAATATTTGTTGAGTTATTGGTCAGGATTAAATAAAGAAGAAAATAGAACTGTCAATCCAACATTCTTTTTAGGTATTTATGCATTATTTGGAGTACTTTCTGGTTTATTGACTTATTTAACTGCTTTAGTTATATGGGGTTATTGTATCATTAAAGGAGCAGCTTACTTCCATGATAAAATGGCTGATAAAGTTTTACATTCTCCAATGTCATTCTTTGATACTACACCAGTTGGAAGAATTTTAAATAGATTTACTGAAGATATTGGTAAGATTGATATGCATTTACCATGGACTTTAATTGGATTTATTACAACTGTTTTAAGTGGTTGTGTTACATTTGCTGTTATATTTTATTCATTACCTGCAATGATTATCATTATTGGTATTTTATTATTTATTTATAATTATTTTAGAGCAAGATTTATTCCTGCTGCAAGAGAATTGAAACGATTAGAATCTGTTGCCAAATCTCCAGTTTTAGCAACTATACAAGAAACTATAAATGGTGTTGATACAATCAAAGCATTTTTCCAAAGAGAAAGATTTGTTCACAAGAGTAAGAAATTCATTGATGAAAAGACTTTAATTGGTGTTGTTATTCAAAATTGTAATAGATGGTTATCTATGAGATTACAATTTATATCTTCAACTATAATGTTTTCAACTGCTTTATTAGCTGTTGTTAGTTTAGGTGGTAAGTACCCAATTTTACCTGGTGTATTAGGTTTTGTTATGACTTATTCATTAACTATTACATATGTCTTGAATTCTGTCGTTAGATATTGGGCTGATTTACAATCTGAAGGTGTTGCAATTGAAAGAATCATCGAATATTGTGATTTACCAAGTGAAGCCCCAATGGTTATTGAGGACAAGAGACCAGATCCAACTTGGCCAGGTGAAGGGATTGTTAAATTTAAAAAATATAGTACTGCTTATAGAAAAAATTTAGATCCAGTGTTAAGAGAGATTGAATTAACTGTTAACTCCAAAGAAAAAGTTGGTATTGTTGGTAGAACTGGTGCTGGTAAATCTTCATTAACATTAGCATTATTTAGAATTATAGAAGCTACTGGTGGTGATATTGAAATTGATGGTATAAATGTAGGAGAAATTGGATTATATGATTTGAGGCATCATTTAACAATCATCCCACAAGAAGCACATACTTTCAGAGCATCAGTCAGGGAGAATTTAGATCCATTTGGAGAATATAATGATGAAAAATTATGGAAAGCCTTGGAATTAGCTCATCTTAAGGAACATGTTGAAACTATGGAAACTGAACCAACAGAAGATGAGAAAACGGCAAGTTCTAATGCAGATGAATTAACAAATAAAAAGGGATTAGATGCACAAATTGAAGAAAATGGTTCAAATTTATCAGCCGGTCAAAAACAATTATTATGTTTAGCAAGAGCATTATTAAATGAAACTAGTAAAATATTAGTATTAGATGAAGCTACTGCTGCTGTTGATTCACAAACTGATAAAATTATTCAAGAAACTATAAGATCAGAATTTAAAGATAAAACTATTTTAACAATTGCTCATAGAATTGATACAATTATGGATAGTGATAAAATTTTAGTACTTGATCATGGAAAAGTTGCCGAATTTGATTCACCCCAAAATTTACTCAAGAATAAAGATAGTATATTTTACTCCTTATCAAAAGAAGGTGGTTATATAAATTAGAGATATAGACATTAGTTAAATTTTTTTTTTTGCTTTTTGATACAATTTATAAATAAATATTCATTAGCTTTTTAATTTATATAATTTCATTTAGTAAATTAGTTAAATCAGCTCTTTGTTTCATTAATTTTACTCGTCTCTCTTCAGTAATCAGTTGTTGTTTAACCAATTTCTTATCAGCAGCTTTACATAATCCTGACCTACCTAAATCACAAATATCACAATTAGGAGCTCTTGGAACACATATAACTTGTCCAAATCCAACAATTAATGGATTAATATCCATCCAATATCTAGAAGGTAACCATTTTTCTAATTCTGATCTACATTTTTCTGGAGATTTAGCTTTTGATGATATCCAATGCCACATTAATGATAATCTATGTAAATGTACATCAACTCCAATCCCTGCATTTGTAATTCCCCAACCACATTGTAATAATAAATAACCCATTTTAGGTCCAACTCCAGGCAATTCTATAATTTCTTCTATAGTTTTAGGTATATCTCCATTATGTTTTTGTAGTAGTATTTCACATGATTTTTTAATGTACACGGCTTTACGGTTGTGGAAACCAACTTTACATATATAGAAATCGATTTCAGATTCAGTGAGTTGAGAAACAGCCTCAATGCAAAATCCTTGTTGGTGTTTTTTATTTAATGCATCGTTTAATTTCACCATAGCTTCGAAATTAACTTCATCTTTAGTTTGAGAACTCAACATTAGTGAAATTAATAGCTGAAATCTGTATTTTTTAGGGTTAGTTAGTTTTAAATTTTTAGTGATTGTATTGGGCATTGATTCACAACCTTGATGATCTACTGGTGCTAAAAATTTTGATCTCATTTTAACTATTGAGTTGTATATTTTTGACCAGTTTTCAGGACCAACTGATTCATCTTGTGGATCTACTTTTGCAAATATGTTTGGTGGTGTTAGTTCATCTTGATTGATTTCTATTTCAATATGTTGTAGTTTCTTTTCCACTTTGATTTCTTCTTCTTTAATCGTAATGGTTGAGTTTGACTCTTCTTTGGAAACTTTTTTGGTTAAACTGTCACATTTGGACTCCAACTGAGTTGTTTTTTCAGATTTAATCAGCGATATAATTTGTTTATCGCTAGACTTTTCAACTTTGATTTTTTTAATCACTTGATCACCATAAAAATATTTTGATGTTTTCGATCTTAGTTGTCTCTTTTGTACCATTTTTCGAGCAATATTTCATTTCTTAAACCATCTCATGTAGCTTGTTTAGGTATCAAGTAAGTTTTGAAAGGATGCAGTCGTTTTAGTTTGGTAATTAGATTTGAAGATCATACTTGAGACTGCGCTAAAATAAAATCTTTTCAAATCTGAGACAAGAAGTAAGTATGTATGTTGAGATGTTAAGGTTTGGGTTTTTGCAACTCATTATATTAGTCATGTTTACCACTTATAAAGCCAATTGTTGTGTTCCAGCACGTATTAATTGGTTTGTGAGTATATTGCTGAGTTTTGACCTTCTTTTAAGTAATTTATGGGTTTTAATTGGGTCTTAAACTTGATTCTGGTATTTATGATTTTCTGTTTAATTTGCTGCAAAAAAAAAATTTATTTAATGTATAACAATGAATTTTGCAAATTCGACTTACGAGTACAAGTACAGCATCTTTGCAAAGCCAGCAGTGTTCAAGCAAATACATAACCTAACCCTGCTAGTACCCCTCTACCCCATTCCTTTATTAAACCTTGGATAATCAATTGTTTAAAATTTATGGGGTCCTGGATTCAAAACTTGACTCATAACACAAAAACGGAACGGTTAAGCGGCTGATTTATTTTTTTCAAATATTCTTTTATTATTCACATGTATGTATGTAATCTATATATTGTATGAAAATTTATAAATAATCTGGAGTAAGGAAATTTTTACAACCAATATTTCAATAAATAATAATTTTTAACGAAGTCATATGGCTAACACTTTATAAATAAGAAACGAGATGCAGATTTATATGGAAAATCATATTAATATACCCAATAATAATAATCAATACACAAATCAACATAACTATATCCCTCAATCAAGTATAGATAAAGAATCACCACCAAATAAAATACCCAAAAGGAAAGATCTAAATATCAATAATCAAACTAATGGGGCACATGATCCAAGGATATATAGTACTGGTTTTTCAGGGATGGATACTGATCGCACAGATATATCAAGAGTAGAAAATATTAGAAAGGAAAAACCAACCACCACCACCAACAATCAACAGCCAAATGTAAGAATGATCAAAACCAACGGTAAGACTAGGGTTGCAACCGCATGTAACAGATGTAGATCCAAAAAAACTAAATGTGATGGAGGTAATCCATGTTCAACTTGTTCAGCTGTTGGGTTAGAATGTATTGTATCTGATAAATTAAGTAGAAAAGCTTTTCCCAAAGGTTATACTGAAAGTCTAGAAGAAAGAGTTCGACATTTGGAAGCAGAAAATAGAAAATTAGTAGGATTACTAGATATGAGAGATGAGCAACTTGAAATTCTAAATACCAATAATAGTAATAGTAATAGTTTTAATGTTGATGATACAAAAAATAGTATAATTGTTAAAGATGAACATGGACTGAGGATAACGGCATCAAATCTTAATCTACTAGATCAAGAGAATAGCAAAGAGTTACATATGCATGACCATGATCATGAGAATGGATGTTCATGTGGTTGTGATCATATAAATGCAATTCATGAACAACCAGTTTCAATTGCAGGTTCAATATATGAATTAGGTGGTCCAGCTTCTATAGCCGGTTCAATAAAATTAAGTGAAGATGAGGATGATGATAATGATAGTTTATTAAGTATAGATGACTTAAGCCAGATTTCGTCACAGTATCAACCAACAGCTTCAAGACATCATTTTGCATCAAATTCAACAAACAGAGAATCAACTCCAGCTCCAGGAGCATTTGCAGCAGCAACAGCTATAGCTCAAATGCAGAAGAATAAATCATTTCAAAAACAACAACAACAACTTGAAAAAGAAACAGATAAACAAAGAATGTTGACTCTGTTAGTAGCAACATCTATGCCAAGAAGTACAGAAGAAACTCTTTGTGTACCTACATTATTAGCAAGAATCTGTCAAGCATATGGGTACGATTCAAAACCATCAATACTAGCCGCAAATACTTTGGCATCTATGAAAGAACATGTTATACCTAAATCCCCTTTCAATCAATCCATTCAGGATGAACTTTTTAAATTAATTATGAATAGAGATGATATTATGAAGTTAAATGAAAATGAATCACTAAGATTTTTACAAGATTTAGTTCAATTTCCTATATCAAGATTAGACATGGATCAATTAATTACAATTTATTTCCAGAAATGGGGTAATACATTACCAATTTTGAACAAAAATAAGTTTTTGAATAGTTACATGGCACTAATACAGATATTGGAGGGAGAAGCAAATATTCAATCACCAGAGTCTACAAGAAAATCATACGAACTGATTGAAAAAGTAGGTGCATTAATAGTTTTGATTCTAAGCTTGGGATTTTTGGGAAATAAAAATACCTACCTAAAACTGGAAAATGCTCAAACTTATATCGCATTAATGAAACATTATGATTTCCTCATACACGAAATTATAAAACCAAGCTGTATAATTACAAAATATTGTTCCATTCAATCACTACAAATATTATCTTTGGCACTTCAATATTGTCTTGCAATTGGTGATATGGTGACATGCTACGACTTAAGAGGCAGAGTTATTAGTATGGCTCAACAATTAAGACTTCATAGGTGTCCTGCTGCAGTCTTGGGATTAGGTTCAAATAATGAAGGTGATTTAAATTTTCAAAATCTGATGCAAGCTGAAAGACGTATCTTGTTTTGGTGTATTTATTGCTTAGATACTTATTCATCATTGAATCTAGGCGTTCCAAGATTAATGAAAGATTATGAGATTGAATGTGCAATGCCTTTCTCAGGTAAAAAAGATGATGACGCTAATAATGGAAATGCTAATGAAGTTTATGATGATGATAACGTCAATATTTTAATTGTTAATAATACACAATTATCAATTGTTGGTAAGGTTTCCAAAATGGCTTTAAGCGTTATGCTATTTTGTAAAGTTTTAGCTAATATACTAGATTCAATTTATTCAAGGTTTGATAATGGTAGTGATGCAAATAGAAAAGCATTACATAGGGATAGGATGTTGGATTGTTGGAGAAGGGAATTACCAAACGGATTAAAATTCGAGCTAGATATTAATGGTTTATCATTGAAAGATTCAGAAGGCAACCATATAGAAGGAAATGTTTGGGAAAATTGTAATAATCTGCAATTAATTCTAATATATTTATACTATCATGCTAAAATTTTAATTTATCTACCCATCATATCCAAATATGGCAATCACCATAATGTTGGATTATCACAAAAGGAACAATTGTCAAAAGGTGAAAGTGATACTACGACTATTGTATCAACAATGAGTTTAATTCAACAATCAGCTAGTCAAATCTTGGAAGTCATAAAATCATATTCAAAATTATCAAATTCTTCAATGATTCCAATACCTTTAAATATTGCAAGAGAACAAGCATTAATTACCTTGTTAGTTGCTAAAGGAACTTTAGATTATATTAAAGGTGGACCATTATTCAACAACTCCAAGCAATTATTATTAGACTCAATCAATGATTTATCGACTGAATCAAAATCAGAATTACCTGGAACTTTAAGTCGAAACTCAACTAAATTACTAGAATTATCAATATTGAGTATATTAGGAGTGAATTTGAACAAGTTAACAACCACTACAGTCAAAAAGAAACCATCATTAGCACAACCGATAGTCAAAACAGCAGTTGAAAGAGAACCAAAACATCAAAACAGAACAAATGGTTCAACTCAACCTACTCCAAGGCAATTACAAAACAGTGGGTTTATTAAAGAAGAATTTTTATCAACTATCATTCCGAATAACAACAACACCAATATCAATACCAATGCATCATCATTTGAAAATCAAAACTATCAACAAGATCAAGATTCAAATAAAAATATAAATTATGAAGATTTAGAAAATTTAGAAAGTTTACTAAAGTTTGATCCATTCAGTGTTACTAGTTCAAATAATCAAATGTACATGAATGATTTCGTAACTGATGGTTCATTAGGTTTAGTTCCATTTTTGGACTCGGATTTGAATAATGATCAATTTTTCCAAGATATGAATAATTACTAAGAGCTGAGATCTTTAATATAAATATGTATATGCATTGTGTCGTAAATTCATTAAATTAAATAGTCTTATTTATTGTATAAATGCTTTAATTCTTCCATTGATAAATGTAAGTCTGATTTTGATTCATTCCATAATCGGCACATGTCGATTTCGTCATCACTATTGATTTCATCTTCTGAGTCTTCAATTTCATCTATTTCCAATTTGTCTTGAAATAGTGTTTTGGGGAATTTAACTTTGATGCTTTTGGAAAAAGAATACCATTCTGAAGCATTCATTAATATTCTGTCAGTCCGCAATTGCTCCATTTTCTTATATTTTAGAGTTCCATTGACTTTGTTCCCCACAAATTCATCAATTCTAGTTTGTTGTTGTTCAACCATGACTTCTCTAAAGCCGTTTTCACTACCATTGTATAGATCACGTACATTCTTACTCATTGATTGGTTTTTTTTCTTATTGATGGTAGGTTTTTGAGCTTTTAATCGAGATGGTTTTTGGACTGATGATGATTTATTCTTCTTAGTTCCATTCAATTTTGGTACTTCTGGCTCTTCCACAAATTTGAAAGACATAATAGACATTATACTTTTAGCTTGTTTGTTTAATATTCTTTCTTCCTCCATCACAGTTTCATGAGCACTTTGCATTTGAGTACAATTGAAAAAAACACCATCATCTTCTTCATTCTCAAGTCCTACATCTAATGGTTCAAGTGATTGTTGAAAATCAAGTGTTTGTTGTACGTTTGGCGGCTGTCTGTCATATTTGAACGTTGGCGGCGGAGAATCAATTTGTTGTGATAATCGATCTTTTATCTGTGAATTTAAATTTTCAGTTGATAAAGTTTGTCGTAGTTGTTGTGATTGTGAATATAACGGAAAAAGTTCATCTTCTGAATCTGATATTATGTCCTCATCATCATGTTGCATATTATTTTTCAGCTATATCATATGTTGGTTGTCATTTCCTTTTAGTTTGGTTGATTTGAATGATAAAGTTCGAATTGATCTTGAATCAAATTATGTTTGTTTTCGATTTGACGCGATTTGATTTCTTTTTTTATATTTTTTGAAACCAAAATTTGACTTATTATTAATTTTTATACTTCACTGGTTTGAGTTCTTCATATGTACTTTGTACTTTATGTTTATCGATCAATCGCTGAGCAGTACAGGGAATAATGGCACTAAGTTTATGTGAAATTTTTTGACCATCAAAATCAGCTATGACAGTTACCTCGGTATAATTTAGATTTTCTTCCTTTTCCATGGAAAAACTTTAAAATTAGTGAAAATTGAACTTAAAGTCTACTAATATCTAAAGTAAAAATTACTTTGGATGATTAAGTAATCAATTAAATTCCGTGACATAAATTATTAGTATTTTGTTCAAATGCATACTTGGTCTCTAAATTTGATTTATTTTAACAATAGAAAAGTGTAAGTTCATTTTACGGAACCGGAAAATAGAAGTAAACATAAACTACTCTTTGAAGTACAAATTTGAATCAAACAAATTAAGTCGAGATCGAACTAGTTACTTCTGATTGAAGTGTTTTGGCATCAATGTAGAGGTAGACCAAAGAATTGAACCAATAATTATACCCTCGATGCAAATTATTATGATGCAAAGAAATTGTTTCAAAAGTGAAAAAATCTGAAGCCGCACGGTATAATCAAATATTTACGGACTTTTGGTTAATAATTGTTCCCCCGACAAATTTCATATTTAAGAACTAATAATATATGGTCATGAACTCTTATTTTTTAAATGAAATTATGAAAATCTAATTCAATTGATTTATAAAGTCAAATTATATAAATATTTAGTCGAAACCCTTTGGAAATACTTATTTCAACCTGGAGTTCATATTAAGTGAACCATCAAATACTTCAACAGTTCATTAACATAGCTACAAAGTATTAATATTTACAATGTCAACATTTTCAAAGTCAAATTTCAAAACTTTGAATTACAATTCGTTTAGACCGCATTATCCATCATCATTTTACAAAATTTTAGGTAAGTACATTCAAAAGGGAGAAAATCAACAAATTTTACCAATAAAAAAAGCTATAGATTTAGGATGTGGAACAGGAGTTGCAACATATCCACTTTTAAATTTTGTTAAAAATGTTATAGGATTAGATTTATCACCACTGATGATAGAAACTGCAAATTCTTTAAAAATTGAAAGATTAAAAGATTTAAATATATCTGATACAAATAGAATAAATTTTAAAGTTGGATCAGTTGAAGAATTTGTTAATAATCAACAAAGTGGGATTGAACCAAATTCAGTAGATTTAATTACTGCTGCTCAATGTATTCATTGGTTTGAAGATTATGATTCTTTTTTTGAAAATAGTTCTAAATTATTGAAAAAAGGAGGTACTTTAGCTTATTTTTATTATATTGATCCAATGATTATTGATTTTCAAGGTCCTTCAAACTCCAACAACAAGGATGAAATGTTGGATAAAGTTTATAAATTATATTTGAAGTATGCATATGATGATCCTAATTTAATTGGGCCACATTGGGAACAACCTGGTAGAAATATTTTGAAACATTATTGTGAAGAAGTTAATTCACATATTCCAAAAGATATTTACGATGATATAGAAATCAAGACTTTTACAACCACCGTGTCTAGTAAATTACCAAGTGATGATACTGATTTAGATATGAAAAAATTAAATATTTCCATTAAAGAATATCTTGGATATTTTGAAACTTATAGTGGGTTCCATAATTATAAGGAAAAAACCGGTAATGTTGATTTGTTACAAAAGGAATTTTTGAATGATTTATTGGAATTAACTGGTTGGGATTTAGAAAAGACTAAAATCGATTTGGTTTATAACACTGGCTATACATTCATGAGAAAAAAATGAACTGTGTGGAATAATTGATTGACCTTTATACTTCTTGACTACTTTTTATATTAATTTTAGTAATTTAAAAGAATATTTATTTATTGTAAATACCCAAAATTGAAGAATCTTTTAATTGTATAATAAAAAATTTTGCAACTTGAAACATTTTCTGTGGGGTGAAGTTGGTAGCCTTTTCACTTGTTTTAACGATCTTCAACTTTTTCTTTTTTTAAATTTTCAAAATAAAATAATTACACAAATTCTAAATTTTTTAAGTTTCAAAATTATAAACAAGTCACACATAAATTTCAATACTCAATTCACTTTAACTTCATATATATATTCGCTATGATTTTTAGACTACCTTCACTAATCATTAAGTCCTTTATACTATCATTTATAACATGGATAATACTAACGACATCGATCCCACAATTAATAATTCAACGAACAAATTCAGAAATCAAATCAAATAATTTCACAACTTCTGAATATCCAGTGAATTCAATTACCTTTCCTAAACAAATACCAATTCAAAATTCAAATGTATATTTTGTGATAGCTCACCCAGATGATGAAGTAATGTTCTTTGCACCAACTATATTAGAATTATCTAAATTACCATACAATAATAATTTGAATTTAATTTGTTTTTCAAAAGGTGATTTTTTTGAACCATTGAAAGATATAAGAACAGAAGAATTATATAAATCTACTAGAATTTTGGGAATAGACAAAGAGAAAGTTAAGATTCTAAATTATAAAGATGGAATGAATGAAACTTGGTCAACAAAAGATATAATAAATTCATTAACTTCTTTGATAGATTTTAAGAAAAATCAAGAAAATAATGTAATTATTACATTTGATGAATACGGAGTATCTAATCATCCGAATCATATTTCTTTATATCATGGAAGTAAATCATTTGTTGAAAAATTACCAAAATCAACAACAACAACAAAATTATATACATTAAAGACTTTAGGATTTTTTGAAAAATATAGTTTTACAATACTTACAAATATTGAAATTTTTGTCAATTATTGTAATTTTTTAATCCAAAAATTCATACCTATCATAAATATTAATATAAGTTTATTTGGTTCAACTTTGAAAAATTCTAAAAATTTAAATAATCAATCTAATAACGGCGGGTCTATCAAGATATATTCAGATTTAAATATGTTAAGTTGTAGTTATGCAGCTATGGCTTATGGTCATTTCAGTCAAATGGTTTGGTTTAGATATGGCTGGCTTTTATTTAGTAGATATTTAACTTATAATCATTTAATTGAAATATAACCTCCAACAACTAAATATTCTTGAAACCAAATTGTTTTTGACACCAATTACTTCCATGTTCGAAATATTCCTTTTTGGAAATTGATATTTTATTTAGTATATCATCATTTGACAAGTTTAATCCTCCATACCAACTCATTTCATCTTGTGGAATATCATTTTGATTGTCATGAACTTTAACAACCCATTTCAGTGGTAATTCTTTTGTTAATTCATTAGTCAATCTTGATTTGAAATTTTTGAGATTTGTTGTACCACCAACTAGAACTATATTTGACAGTAATAAAGGTCTTGTAATTTCGGGACATGTCATTATACTTGTTACGATTAAATCCGTCAAATTTTTAATTGGTGCAGATTGTATTACTGAACTTGATGCTGTGGTTGAATTCATTTCAAATATTATTTCTGGATGATATAAAGTTTCTGGTACTACAAATCTTTCATCATATAATTTTAAAATTTGAGAATCTTGTGATATTGATGGTGAATCTTTAGTCTTAACAAATCCAGTAGTTGTAGTTTTAAAATCAGGTAATATAAATTCACACATTTGTTCCTTTTTATTTTGTAAAGTTTTATTAAAATCTTCTGCTATAAAACATGTAGATTCTTTTATTGTATTTATTAATATTGGATCTTCTGAAATATCATAATGTCTAAAATTTATAATTTCTTTTAATAATCCATTCAATAAATTCCCTCCAACTGGTAATTTTTTTACACCTTCCCAATATACTTTTTGATAAATCATAGGTATAATCCAAGTTGAATTAAAACCTGAATCAATCACTAAAGTAAAATCTTGATTTACTGATAATGGATCAACACTAAAAGGAACTAATGAAGCAGGTATACATCTATAATAATCATTAAATCCATATTCTTCAAATATTATTTGATCAGTATTTGAAGATAATTGAGGTAATTGAAATGGAGTTTCAGTTAAAATTAAATGAATTTCAGATGGTTCAATTTCTTTATGTGATTGAATTTGATCAAAAGTATAATCCCATATTGGTTTTTCGGTTTCCCAAGATGTTAAATGCCCTTGATCATATGGTCTTTTAATTTGTAAACCAGAATATGCATTGGAATGAGATTTAAATTGATTTCCTATATGTATTAAACCATCTTTTGTTTTAGTTATTGCATTGAATATTTTTACAGGTTTCGATAGCACAGTATCATCATCATTATTGTTATGATTTGTATTTTCTGTATCTAGATTAAAGCCAGCTTTAATATTATATGAACCATTATCTATTATCAAATGTTGTTTTGACATGAAATTAATTTTGGTTGCCAATTCTTCAATATATTTTTAAAACTATAATTTTTTGTGTGTTTTGTTTATATACACCAGAGTGACAAATACTGATTAGTTTTGACATGCCACTGAAAGCGTCACTAAATTATTTTTTGCGTTCATATTTTTACCACAATAAGGTTCAAGTCGGAAATATGAATTATGTAAAACTAAAAAATTAATACAATAATAACCTCATCAATGTTTCAAACAAAGGGCCCGTCTCTTCAAAGGGCATTTTGACATAAAAATGCAAGAGCCACATATGAACAAATTCATTCAACTACTATTATACAGTTATACAATCATTACATTAGAAAATATGTGGGGAAGACAATAATACAATAATAATATTCAACTTCAAACTCGTACATAATAAAAAAGTGTCTTACTTAATTTCGAAGTACATTTATTATTTCAGAACAATCAAAAAAAATTGTTTTAAATAATTGGCGTATTATTTTTAAAATTTGAGTGAATTAATATATTTTTGTTTTTGATTTGATCATTTGTTTTTAATTTAAAGCCTATTAATTGGGGAAGTATTCATTCTTTTCAATATTCAAGTTTTATTTTACTTCATAAATTTAAATATTCTTAATTTTAATATCATTATTAGACAAATTGATTTAAGATTAAATCTTCAGATTAGATTGATTTAACACAAAAAATTTAAATTTTTATTCTATAAATAATTTTTTTTTTTTCCCCAGTTTAAGAAAAAATTAATTCTTAAATATTAAAAATTATTAAAAAAATTTATAAAGAAGATCTTTATTAGAATATATAAATATATTACAATACACTCAAATATTTTTACAACCAAGATTATATAATTGATATAAATTTACATTTAAGAACTCACATTAATCAGTAGTTCTTTGAAATTATAAAGTGTAAACGTACTCAACTATAAGTATAACTAAAATTTACATGCAACCACAGTTAGGTAATTAACTAAAGGTTATTTCGGACTTTTGCGAATCAAAAAAATATTGAAATAATAAGAAAATATATATTAATGAATTTTATCTTAGAACAGATATTTGAATTATAATAAATTTATTGATTAATAGATAAAAAGTTAAGAATTTTTCAAGCATAAGACTAATAATAATTTACTAAATCATGGCTTTCTTGTCAAAAGTTTTTGGTGATAAACTGCAATCTAATTCATCATCTCATCCAAGATCTCCTGCATCATCTCCAAGATCATCATCAAACTTAACTCCAATGAATTCATCTACTTCTACATCATCATCAATAGCTCCATCAAAATCACCTTCTTCAACAAATAATTATAAATCATTAACCTCATCTAGCCCCACAAATTATTCTGTTTCAATAACTTTAGAATCTCCTCCTATTATACTATATGGAAGTCCTACTGAGTCAACTGGATCAATAATATCTGGTTTATTGAGATTAATTACTATCACAAACATTGAATTAGAGAGTGTAACATTATCCTTAATACAAACTATGAAATATACAAAACCATTTATTTTATCAAATTCATCATCGAATTGTAAAGATTGTACAATAAGGAAAGAAGTATTAGCAAGATGGGATGTTTTAACTTCTAAATCAAATTTCACACCAGGTAATCATGCATATCCATTTTCACATCTTTTACCGGGATCATTACCACCAACATCAAAATTAGGTTCATCAAATTCAAATTCTTATATAAAATATGATCTTATAGCAGAAATTATTGCACTTGATTCATCACAAAGTAAAAAATTGACTTTACCAATAAATGTGAGTCGACTGATATTAAGAGGACCAGATCGTAATTCCTTGAGAATTTTCCCACCCACTGATGTAACAGCTAGTGCTGTATTACCTAATGTCATATACCCAAAATCTACTTTCCCAATAGAGTTAAAATTAGATAATATGGTAAGTAATAATCAACAAAGGAGATGGAGAATGAGGAAATTGGGTTGGAGAATAGAAGAAGATATAAAAGTAAGAGCTCATGTATGTGAGAAACATCAACTGAAATTGGAATCATTAAAAAAACAACATCAAAAACAACCACAAAAAAGAGAGAAAACGTCCGGTATGCATCATAGTACTATTCATACTCACACTTCATTAATTTCTAATCCAAGTATACAAAATTCAAATGATATACCAAATATAGACAATGAACAACCAGCAGATCAAATAGTAGATGATGGGAGTCACGATATAGAAGAAACAATAAGGTCTGGACCTTCAAATGCACATCAAAATTTCTTAGAAGATTTTGGAGATTCAAATATTAGAACTACCGAAGAAGCAGCTGTTAGTCCAAGTACGAATAATACAGTCAATACATTAACCCCTCAAAATTCAACATCAACTCAAAATCAATTAGAAAATGAGAAACATATTTATTTTGAAGAAACAAGAACAATAAGTTATGGAGAAATAAAATCAGGTTGGAAATCAGATTTTACAGGTAAAGGTAGAATTGAATTAGTTGGAAATATAAGTGCAAATAAATTTTCAACAGGTTCAAATAATCATATAACAAAAGTAAGTACTGATGATAATTATAAAATTGATAATGATTTTTCAAATGGTGCTAATGTATCTTGTGATATTGATGATCCAAATTTAGGTATATTTGTAAATCATACCTTAATTGTTGAGGTTGTTGTTGCAGAAGAATTAGTTCATAATGTTGAAAATAAAAATTTAAATGGGTTGAGACCAGTCATATCAAATAGTAGAGGTGCAACTATATCATCAAGAAGAAGATCTTCATCATCATCTGGTTCTCATCATGGTAATTCATCACCAACTTTAACTCCTCATACATCAAACCCCATACAATCTTCAAGTTCTAATCAACAACCTCAAAATATACCAATGGGAGTTCCAACTGGTGCAGCAAGAGTTTTAAGAATGCAATTTAAATTACCAGTAACTGAAAGATCAGGATTGGGTATAGCATGGGATGATGAAGTACCACCAACTTATGAAGATGTACGAACATTAAGTCCACCAAATTATAATGATCCTGCAACAATATTAAATAATTTAGTAACTCCACCAACAACACAAGCTACAATTCATGAAACAACACCAAATATTTTATATGGTAGAGGTGATACCCCATTAGTTGGTAGTTTTGCATTACAAGCACAAATTAGTCATTCAAGTATAGATGGAGTTGTTGATAATATTCAAGAACTATCTATATAAATATTACACAGTCATATACATTCATTCATAAATTTTGTTTGGTATTCTCTTCATACTCAAATTATCTCTTTTTAACTCTTTTTTGATTTTGATTGATCACTTATACCTCTCATAACATTTTCACTAGTACCTTCTATTAAAGATTCTTCATTATCATCATTATCATCACCATCACCACCAGTTCCATCACCAAATCTTTTAACTTTTAATATAGATCCATATAAATTAGTTAGAGCATTAATATCATTTATCACAGAAGGTCTTAAATCAAATACTAATTGTTTAAAAGAATTCGAATTTATGATACTAATTGGTAATTTATTTTCCATTAAAAATTGTAAAACATGTTTATGAAATCTTGTTGCTGAATACGGTTTTTTTTCATATTTAGCAAGTTCTTCATCATCTAATTCTTCATAATCTATATCTGATGCTGATTTTCCTTCTTCATCTTGTGCTTCTGAGATTTGATTTAGTTTAGATTTCAGATGTTTAGACTTCCAATTATCTTTTGATTGACTAGATCCTTCTGTGGTTGATTGTTGTTGTACTATTAATTCTTTTGTAATTTTATGAGTTTTTAAATGTTCACTTAATTTCTTTGGTGATCCTTTATCTGATGGTAATCTTTGTATAGTTTTTTTACAAACTTGACATTCAGCTGAATCAGTTTCATCTGAATCTGGATTTATAAAGAACTGCCATACCCATGATCTTCTTTTGGCACCAAATTTTTTACCTGGTTTATTTACTCTATGTTTTTTGGTTGGATTGGTTGATGATGATATTGTTGGAGATGTTGGACTTGGTTGCAATTGTTGACCATAAGGGTTTGATGATGTTTTGGTTAATGATGAACTACGTTGACTTTGTAATTGAGGTTGGAATTGTGTTGTATTTGATTCATTTGAATGAAGTTGAGAATTTTGTTGATTATGTAATTGTTGTTGATGTTGTTGAGCAATTTGTAAAGCTACAGCCTGCTGAGCTACGTCATTCTCAAGTCTTTCTGTACTTAAATTTGGATCATTGATACTATGTTGTAAATGTTGATGCAATTGAGGTAGTTGTTGATGTTGATTATGATGTTGATTATGATGTGGTTGTAAACTTCTTCTACTTTGTGAATTTAGCTGAATACCTTCACGTGCAGTACTTGTAGGAATAGATGATATTAACTGAGATGATTGGTAGCTTGGTTCATTTTGATTAATTGTTGAAGCTGGAATTGTTGAAGTTGGGGTCGGAGTTGGAGTAGCTCTTGAAGTTGAATTTGAAGTTGATGTTAATTCATTGGGTCTATTATTATTCATATAATAATCAGACGCGTTAAAAAAATTCATATATTATTAATTAGTTTAAAGCAACTTTTAATTTTATATCTCTTATCTATTATATTAAATTAATATGTAATGTATGTTTGTAATGTATGTTAAATAAAATATAATATCATTTACTGACAGACAGATTTTTTCAATTCCGGTTGTTCGTAACTTTATTATTTGTGTTGATTATTAATTTCTTTTTTTTTCTGTCCCCAGTTAATTAATTAATGTAAAAGAATAAATTTTGAATATTTTATTCTTTTTTTTTATGAAGTAAAAATTGAAACATTTATAAAATTGTTGTAAAGTAGAGTCATGGGAAAACCTGCAATATTCTAAAGTTTATATATATATTAGAGATGTTTATAAGGTTTATTGTTCATTTGAAGTAAATACTAAAAGTTTTAGTCAAGCAATTCCACATTATAAATCAATTGAACAACCGTACTTTCCTTACAAGTTTATTTATATTTTATTTTGGCTTATTTACATATTTAACGAGGGGATATACAAAATGGTATTTTTGTGTTGATTAATTTAAAACAAAAGAAATAACTAGAATGAAATGGAAGTAAATAGAAAATTGATGTTTGGTATTCACATTCCTAAAGTAGATAAGTAATCACCTGCTTTAAGCTTACGACCTTATCTAATCACTCTATCTTATGATTTAATTTATTGTTGTATTAACCGATATTTATTTTTGGAACAAGGGTTCCTTAATATAACGAAAGTGGACTACAAATTTACGAATAGGCAAATTCTTAAGGGGAAAGTGTCTACCTCCAGACATTAAATATATATTGAGTTCATAAGTTGCTCAAGTATATACATCTTTATAGACAAAATTATTATTGTTAATTATCGGATTATCTTTCACTTTAAAAAATGGAATTTAAAATGACGTAGAACGTACGTACATCTAACTAACTTAATTTAAGATTACATTACATCACTCTTCTACGTTCAATTACTATATTTAATTTAACAACTATGAAATTTATAATTAATTGGTTGGTTCTATATTCTTTACTTCGTAAATTTTTTTTTTTTTGGATATGAATATTTCCTAACTTGTTTTTTGCATCCAGCATTATTTGCATTTTGTGTAACATTCTGTTGCAAAGAAAAAAAATAATTTTTTTCAGGTTGCAAAAGAAAGTTTGACATTTGTATCAAACAGGTCAGTTGAACCAGCATTTCATGCGTGGACGAAATTTTAGTTGCTCGTAATGCTGCATAGATGATTTGAACAATAGAAAACAGTCGTTTTATACATTCCATATATAAAGTCAAAGTTTCCAAACTTCTAAATATTTTATAACTTTTTCTTTTTTTCCAAACTCAATTACATTTATTCATTCACTTAATACCCATCAAAAAGTTCATTTGTTAGTACTTTATACCCAAATCAAGATTTGATTTTAAAACATTATACACTCGTTAATTCCAACTTTAGTCAATCATTAGTTTTATTATTCTAACTACAGTCATTCATTACTTTATCTTATTTTCTACAATTTATCACATTCTCATAACATAATACCTATCAATGAAATTCATAAATTTATTATCAACCTTGACTTCACTTTCATTAATTTCACAAACATTATCTGCTCCAATTGACCAAAAAAGAGATGATTCAGGTGATGAAGTCGTTGTTGTAAAACTTAAAACAACTATACAAAAAACTCAAACAAATACTCATATTGTAAATGCTCCAACTTCAACTTATACAAATTATATTGTTAGCGCAAGTACAAAAACTGTAACTCATTATACTGCAACAGTAACTTCAACTATTTGGGGAATTGCTCATACTTATACAAGTGTTGCTACTACCCCAATATCTGCTGCTGATGTTCAACCTATTACTGAAAATGAAGTTCACCCATCATCATCAACTGAGGTTGCTCAACCAATTACCACAACTGAGACTACAGAACAACAAATAGAGACTACAAATGCTGCAGCTGCTACTACTACAAGTTCATCTACAAGTTCATCAACTTCAATTGCTGCTCAAGTAACTTCAAAATCACCTGCTGCAAGTCCATCAACAACTAATGAAGTACCAGCTCCAACAACTACATCAACATCATCAACTGGCTCAACAACCTCAACAACTAGCTCAACAACCTCATCTTCTGCTACCACATTGGTTGAACCAAGTACATCAAATATTGCAGTTGCAGAAACTACATCAACTTCATTAGAACCAGCAATTACAGTTTCAAATGATCAATCAGATGGTCCAACAATTACAGCAGCTAATTCAGTACCAACATCAACTGATTCTTGGATAATTGAAAATGTCACAACTTTAACATCATCAGGAGTTTGTTATATAAATTATGATTATTATTATGCAAGTGATGATGCTGAAACTACTGTAACGCTGACTTCAACAATTTATGCTACTGTTACTCTTAATTGAGTTTTTTCGGTTTTCTAGAATTTATTAATGTGGATTTTTTACGAAAGTTTCGGTTTTAGTTAATTTTTTTCGGTTATGTATGTTAGTTTCTGCTTCATTAAAGAAGTTATTCGGTAATTTTAGTCTTTTTTTTTAATCTTCGTTTATTTGTGTAGTTTATATTAATTGAAATTTGTTTAGAGAAAAACTTTGATGTAGTGATAATTTTTGTACTATTTAGTACTTTTGCAACCAAATATTTTTTTTTGCTGGATTCTCGACTAAATTGAGTATTATGCAAGTAAAAAATCTAGTTTCATTTGATCTATAAATTAATTCATAGGGTGAATCCAATTAACAATCTACATTAATAGAGATAATTCATGCTAAAGATGATCAGATACGGTCATAAATTATTAATGATTGAAATACTACTTCTTTTATATATAATGAGCCAAATAGAACACGACAATGACGTTTGGTGCAGCTGGGAAAATTTCACTCAAAATCTTTAATCATTCTCGACAGTTTAAGAAAGCGACGAGATCGATGTATCATTTATCCTTCTCAAAATCAAGTTAGAAATTTGAGTTTTACGGACTTTTTGTATTTAGAAATTTTGTAGTGATCTAGAAATTGTGCACAAAAACAAAAATTCCATACATGGTAAAAATCTCATACTAAAAAGGTTTTGCAACGTTGACAACATTTTATATTGGTCCTCTCAACTATGAAATTAACACCTAGCTGAAGCAAATTACATACATAGTTGAGCAAGTGAAACGAAAGTGATATTGCATTAAATTTTAATTCTAAATTTCTTTATTAATTTTGGATATTGCATTGTAGATAGCTCTTCCCTTGTTTTGTGCTATCGAAATATATTGTAATTTTTTTTCTCTTCAAAATAAATTTCTTGGGAAGGGAAAATCAGTAATCTTAGGTTGATCAACAATTCAATCTTATACAATTTAAAATTGATCAGTAATGAGTGACTTTGTATATCAAGGAGAAGACTTTGATGATAAAGTTAGAAAACAAGTTGAATTTTATTTTTCAGATTCTAATTTACAACAAGATAAATTTTTATGGAAAATTTATGAGTCAAATGATGGATGGGTTGAATTAAAAACTATTTTAACATTCGGAAGAATGAAACAATACAGACCAGAAGAAAAAGTTATTGACGCATTAAAATCAAGTGATAAATTAATTTTAAGTGATAATAATGACATGATTAAGAGAAAAGATCCATTGAAAGACTTAGATGAAGTCAAAAATACCAAAAAGAAAAACACAGTCCATATCGAAGGATTTTCTCATGATTTATCACAAGAAGATGTAGAAAATTGGTTCAATGAAAAAATTATACCATTTTTACCAAATGATAAAGAAATTTGCTCAATTCGTAGAATTAAAGGAAGAGTCAATAAAAATTTCTTTGGAGTTGTTGATGTTGAATTTAAAAATGAACAAGATGCTGAATTTTTAGTTAAAGATGATGTTGAATTAAGTTACGAAAAAGGTATTTTAACAAAAGACGAAGCAAAAGATTTAGATAAAAAACAACTTTTAAAAAAAATGTCATTATTAACTTTCCAAGAAATGAGAGAAAGCAGTAAAAGATTTGGTCAAAATGAAGTCACCAAAAGAAGAAACAGTTTTAACGAAAACAATAAAAACAAAAAATTCAAGGGAAACAATCAAAAAGGTAAAAAATTCAACAAAAACAATCACAATCAGAAGAAAGGAAATAATAATAGAAATAAAACAAGTGAGGATCAACCAAAAGAAGAAAACAAACTTGATAAAGTTAATGAAGAAGGTAAAGTAGTTAATGGGGAAGAAAAATCAGCAAACAAAGAAGACCAACCACAACAACAACAAGAAACAGGTAAGAAGGAGGAACTTACTACTCAAATTTCAGACACAACTGACAAAAAACAAGAGGAACCAGCAGCAGCTGAACTCAAAGAATAACTTTACTTGTCAAATGTCTATTTATGTTAAATGTAAATGTATACTAGTGTTAAATATATAATGTAACTAGCAAAGTATATTGGTATTTTATTTGTTTGTCTCTTCAATATTCTGGTCAAGTTTACTACTTCGACCTCAACCACAAAGTCTAGAGCTGGAAAAATTGTTACAGTACTAACATTAGACCTAATAGGATTCATGGTACAATTGATTCTCTTGCTTGTTTCTCAAATGCTGCTTAAGTTTTACACTATTTTTTTTATTATACTATAATACATAAAAAACGCGTCTTATTTTGTGTTATTTGTTTAATTTTTGTTTTGTATTTTGTTTTAACAAATCTTACTATTAAAAACATTACCTCAAGATCATTCAAGGCTAATTAACGCCAATTAACCCAGACAAAATTATATTAGGCATGGCTGTGGAAGAATCTTTCATGACCTCAGTTAGCAAGAACTTTGGACCCAATACTAAATTATCAGAAGATGAATATGATAAACTTTTTTCATTAACTCAAATATTTCATAATGATTTAGAAGATTTATACATAGAATGGGAATCATTTAATTTTGCAGAAGGTGAAGATTTAGAATTACAAATGACAAATTTGATAAAATTTCATGATTATTTACAAAATAAACTTACAAACAATAAATTTACTCCAAGCTCAAACAAAGTCAACAAAGATACAAATTCAGGAAGAAAACCATTGTCAAAACGAAGTATGAATAATGAAAATACTCCTTCAACACCTCAAATTAAAAAAAGAAAAACTATTGAAACTTCATCACCTGCACCAGGTGACTATGATACTGCAAATAATACATTCACAACCTCACCAATAAAAGCGACAAAACAATCACATACATTATTAGAGACTTTAAATCCTCAAATTGAAAGTTTCGAGCTAACCACTAAGGATATAAATCCAGTGAAATTAGCTGCAAATTTTGATCCTTCAAAGTATAAATTTCGTACGATGCAAATGAAATTGTTAGAAAGTGCAGATGTTTTAGATGATCAGATAGATACCATGGCTGAATTATATCAAGAACAAAATAAAACTGAAGATTTACAATTTGGTAATCCATGTTTAAGTTCACAATTCGATATTATATGTTGTGGTAGAATTGTTCCGGATTCTCCAAATTATAATCAAGAAATTTTAAACAATAAATCATTATACTTGGAAACGTCTAGACTCTCAGGGGTTGGTCAAAGAATTCCATTAGATTTATCCAAACTCAAAGGTTATTCATTTTTCACAGGTCAAATAGTAATTTTAAAAGGAAGAAATCCTACGGGAAAAGAGTTTTATGTTGAACAAGTTATGCCAATGCCACAATTAGGTACTCCCGTTTCAAGTAAGGAAGAATTAGAAGAATTTGAAACCCTACAAAATGGTGAAGGATTAAAAGTTGTTGTTGCTTCAGGTCCATATTCCAACCTGAATAAATTAGCGTATACTAAATTGGAGAATTTAATAGAGAAAATCAATAATGACATACATCCAAATGTTGTGATATTAAATGGCCCTTTCATTGATCTTACTAATAAAGAAGTAGAACAAGGTGAGTTTACAAGTTTGCCAAAAGATCAACAACCTAGAAATCTCGATGATGTATTCAAAATTATAATAACACCATTGTTGAAAAAAATAGATTCTAAAATACAAGTCATACTATTACCATCATTAAAAGATAGTTGTTCTGATCATTGCTCATATCCTCAAGATTCATTTGACAGAAAAAAATTTCAATTACCTAAAAATATTAAAGTTTTTCCAAACCCTTCAAGTTTTGCCATAAATGAGATGTTAATAGGTTCATCAAATCTTGACATTTTCAAAGATTTAAAAGAAGTCTTAAAACAAGATGATACATTATCTAGCAATAGATTTGACAGAATCATCAACCATATTTTTGATCAGAGAAGATATTATCCAGTAATTCCTGGTTCTATTGCAACAATCACAACACAATCAGAGAATGTCGCTGATCTTTCAAATGGTGCATCAGGAGAATTTTTGAATGGTTTAAATATAGGTGGATCATGCTTAGAAATTCCATATATGGGGTTATCTGAATTAGGTTCTTCAATTCCAGATGTTTTAATTTTACCATCAGAATTGAAAGTATTTGCTAAAATTGTAAAAGGAGTTGTTGTCATAAATCCTGGACAATTTATAAGACCAAGTAAATCGAGTGAAGTTGAAGATGGTAGTTACGTTGTTTTAAGTTTATTACCACCAAAAGTTAATGAAATTGATGAAAACAATGTTGAAAAAGTTGCAAATGAAAATGATTTATATCATCATAATATTTATAAACGTTCAAGAGTAGATGTGTATACTAGTTAAAAAGATCAATATTTATTAGAGGTAAATTCCTTTGTAAGAAATTGTAAGATATAAGTTGCAAATATTTGCAAATTCAAAACACGCACATTTTATCCTTTCCTTTTAAACTCTCAAGACAAATGATAAATATATGAACCATCAACTACTCAGAAGAGCACTTAATACTATATATGGTAGATCATGCACTAGAATTATACGGCATTTCCATTCATTAAAACCACTTAGCCAAGTAATCTCATTACCATCATCTGCAAACGATCAGATTTCCACTACAAATAAACTCATACCTGAATTTCAAGCCGCGTTTAATAATGTCAATAATCACCAGTACAAATTACGAGATTACCAAGAAGAAGCAGTTAATGCCGTCCTTGAAAGTTTAGATAGTGGCATAAAAAGACCTGCTGTGGTAATAGCAACAGGTGGAGGTAAAACAGTTGTATTTTCACATTTAATTAATCATCTAAAGCCCTTAGATTCAAAACGAGGAAATAAGGTCTTAGTACTAGCACATACGGAAGAATTAATAGATCAAGCAGCTAATAAGATTAGAACTATGAATCCTCAATTGAAAGTTGATATTGAAATGAGGAGATTAAAAGCTGGACCAGATTGTGATGTAGTGGTTGCATCAGTACCAAGTTTGAAAAGTAGGAAAAGATTGGAAAGATATAATCCAATGGAGTTTAAAAGTATTATTATTGATGAATGTCATCACGCACCAGCAATTTCTTACAGGAAAATTTTGAAGTACTTCAAAGCTTTAGATGATAATCCTACAATTAGTGTGATTGGATTTACAGCAACTTTTATTAGATTAGATGGACAAGCTTTAGGACATGTTTTTGAAAAAATAGTATTTGAAAGATCTTTAAGTAATATGATATCAAGTAAAGAATTAGCTGATGCTAGAATTAGTGAAGTTCAAGTTGATATGAACTTGAATAAAGTTTCACGACTGAAAGTTGATTATGATTCTACGAGTTTATACAATACAATGAAAGAAATCGATTTCAACGAAAAACTTATCTTGTCGTATTTGAGACTACAAAAGGATACTAATTGTAATAGTACATTAATCTTCTGTGTTAGTATTGATCATTGTTATGATGTTTGTTCTCAACTTCAAAGACATGGAATTAATGCACAATATGTTACTGGTCAAACATCGAAGACAGAAAGAGCTGCAATAATTGAGGATTTTAAACTAGGTAAAATACCAGTGCTATGTAATGTTCAAGTTTTTACTGAAGGTACAGATATGCCAAATATAGATTCATTAATTTTAGCAAGACCTACATTGTCAAGATCATTAATGGTACAAATGATCGGTAGAGGTTTGAGATTACATAAAGGCAAAACTCATTGTCATATTGTTGATATGGTTGACATCACAAAACAAGGTATTGATGTGGTGCCGACTTTGGAAGGAGAAGATTTGGCAAGTGCTAAAACTTATAAAGAAGAAGAACCAGAGGAGGAGAAAGAAGAAGAAGAACTAATAGAGAACCCGACTTGGACTGACAATAATAGAGAAAAGGCTATAGCTCGAATATTGGATTATCATAGAAAAGAAATCGTTACATTAAAAGAGCAAGACCGTGTATTTTCTCCACCTGCTATATGGTTTCAAGATAATGAGATTACTAATAGAGTTTTACTAAAAGGTAAATATCCGTGGACTGTCATTAAAAGTAATTCCACTTGGGGGATGCAAGGTAAAAATGATGATTACTTTATATTAAACAAAGTCGTCAGAGATGGTAAATATTTATTTGAGGTACTGCATCATACTCATCTGACTAAAATTAAAAACATCATACATACTAGTGAGAATTTACTTAATATTTTCCAGTCTTTAAATGAAAACTATAAAGCTCATATGGAATACGCTGAAAGGTCAAATACATTTGCAAGAAAAGCCAGTAAAAAGCAAGTTGCTTGGATAATGATGTTAATTGATAAAAAGATTGACTCGTTTATGAGAAGGAAAAACGTGAGAATTTCCAAATTAGAGTTTTCAGAATATGTTTCAAATGTTTTGCAAAATGAAAGGCAAGCTTTAACTGGTAAATTAATTTTTGCTTTAAAGTATCAAGGGGAAAATGAATATGAATTGATTAAGTGTGCTCAAGTATTAAATAACGCGTATAAAGTATACAATCTGTCCTAAATTAGTTTTTTTGTAGAGATTTTAATAGTCTTGTAAATTATATTGGCACGATTTTTCGCAGTCAAATTTGTAATCACAAAATTTAGTTTGTTTTTCAAGTAAAGATACAAATTCGAATATAACCTACTAAAGAACAATCAAAATACACTAAAATTAGCATATATGAGACTAACACTACTACCGATATTTACATCTGTATTTTTTGCTACTTTAATAGCGTCAGAGGTAGTTTTATCAGACCAGCAAAATGCTTTTGATACAATTCAAAAATCAAATCATACAAATAATTGGGCAGTATTAGTATCAACTTCAAGATTTTGGTTCAATTATCGTCATATGGCTAATGTTTTAAGTTTTTATAGAACAGTAAAAAGATTGGGTATACCAGATTCACAAATTATATTGATGTTATCGGATGACATAGCATGTAATTCAAGAAATGCATTTACAGGTACAGTTTTTAATAATATGGATCAAGCATTAGATTTATATGGAGATAGTATAGAAGTTGATTATAGAGGTTATGAAGTAACAGTTGAAAATTTTATAAGATTATTAACAGATAGATGGGGACCAGAACAACCAAGATCAAAAAGATTATTAACTGATGAAAATTCAAATATTTTAATTTATTTGACAGGACATGGAGGGAATGAATTTTTAAAATTTCAGGATGCGGAAGAAATTGGAGCATATGATATAGCAGATGCATTTGAACAAATGTATGAAAAGAAAAGATATAATGAAATATTTTTTATGATTGATACATGTCAAGCTAACACGATGTATGAAAGAATATATTCACCAAATATTTTATGTGTTGGATCATCAAGATTAGATGAAAGTTCTTATAGCCATCACTCAGATATGGATATTGGAGTTGCAGTTATTGATAGATTTACTTATTATTGTTTAGATTTTTTGGAAAAAATTAATAGAAATTCAAAAGAAACAATGAATAAATTATTTGATGTTTTAACTTTTGAAAATGTTCATTCTCATGCAGGTATAAGAACTAATTTGTTTAAAAGAGATATTAATAAAGTATTATTAACTGATTTTTTTGGCAATGTTCAAAATGTTTTGGTTGATGATGAGGGTTCAGACAAAGATGTCTTAAATTCTACAGTAAAAGCATTTAAAGATTCAAATAAAATTCAACTAAGCGCACTTAAAAAAGAAATCATAAGGGGATTGCCTCAATTTGGGTTTGAAACAGATAGTAACGACGACGTATCATCTAATTTATCAAAATTAATAACACAATCTCAAGCCAAAGCAGTTACAATAATTACAATAATAATTATATCAACAATATGGTTTTTCTCTCCAAAGGCTTAAACTTTTATAGATATAATTGGTAATAAAAACATATTCAAGAGTAACTATTATAAAAATCTATGAACTCTTCAAAAGCAATAGATAACTTTTGATATCAATTGTCAGTAGATATTATATATAGAATCGCGTATTAATTTTAATATCACAAAAATAAGAATTATAATTTTATGTTTACATTTTTCTTACAACCAAATTATTTTAAAACATATCATAAATCTATTAGATCAATTGAAATATTTTTTACAACTCATCGTTTAAATAACCTTCAAACTTCAGATCTGAACATTAATTGATTGCCTTCATAATTGAGTTATAGATTTCATACATGTATATTAATATTAATTTATAATAATCTATAAAATCAATCCATTTTTAATTTCATAGTTCATTCTTTTTGCATTTACAACCAATCATGATAAACTCAGACTCAGCAAAAGATCTACTAGATACTTTCAATTCAGATACTATATCCAATAATGCAAAATTTGAACATATCCAATCACTTAAAACTCATATAAAAAAAGACTCAATAGACTTATTGAAAGTACCAATTTATTTACAAATAATAATGAAAGGATTAGAATTAAATGATTCAAGAATCACTAGTGTTAGCTTTAACTCATTATCATATTTAATCAAAAGAATTAGTGTCCAAGATAAATCAGGTAAAATATTAAAAGATCAGAGTTTTTTGATTCTCCCAATTTTAATAAATAAACTTGGAAGTAGTAATACATCAGTTGCCAAAAAGGCGCTTGAAGACTATTGGTTAAGCTCTCCTAATGAAGTTGAAAAGGCTTTGAATGAAATATCATTCAATACAAATAACAAACAACTTATCATTGAATCAATACGGTGGATAATTCAAATTGTTAAAGACATAAGTAAAAAATTTAATATTGCTTACTTTATTCCTGATATTATCCGATCATTATCAAATATTTCAAATGACAAAGAATTAATTGATACCGTAAACAGTTTAATGGATATTTTCGTTCAAAATTCAAATGATACCGATGCTGCAAATCATATTCAAGATCAGTTTGATTTATTTAATATACCACATAATGGAGTATCAATCACACTACCAAGAAGCAAATCAAATTCAGCAGCATCAACATCAACGATCAACCAACTGATTTCCAGCAATTTTGGCAAAAGCAATGGATCTTTTACCAAACCTTCTGCTGTTGAGGAATTTCCCAAAATACGTGAAAACAAAAGTCAAGAAGTCCAACCATTTGAAGCAAAATTATCTGAATTATTACTAAAAAATAAGTATGAGCTTGAATCCCTGATTGGTCTGAAGGAAATTCTAAATGCAACAGAATTATACAATATTTTTGATTCATACATCAATCATTTCGAAGGAAAAGAAACAGAATCTAATTGGAAATTGAGAGAAAAAGATATTGTCGAGGTAAGAGGTATTATTAGAGGATCAGCTTCAATTAAGTTTATATCGGATTTGATATCTTGTCTAAAAAACTTTGCAGTTCCACTTTGTAAAGGTGCAAGTTCATTGAGAACTACATTATGTACCCATAGTTGTCAATTAATTAAAGAGTGTGCAATAATTTTCGAAGTAGAATTTGATGCATGTGCTGAATTGATTTTTCCAACATTAATGAAACAATGTTTATCAACTAAAAACATAACATCATCTAATGCAAATATGGCAGTTGCTGCATTCTATGCAAATCTACCTTATAATCAAAGACTATTAAATAAAATTTCGAGTTCAATGGCTGAAAGAAATCATCAACCAAGACTATTTTCCACATTGTGGTTACAAATTTTACTTTTAAGGTACTCATTAGATAATTCATTTTTTGGTCATCATTTACCACATGTAATAGATATATCAAATAAACTATTAATTAAATTATTAAAAGATGCAAACCCCAATGTCAGACAAATGGCAAAAGATTATTATTGGTGTTATTCGCAAATACTCCCAGAGGAATCCGAGAAACTTGTTAAAAGACTAGACTCAAGTACTGTTAAAGCACTAGAAAGATCTCAACGTGAATTTAGTTTTACAACCACTACACCAACCACAAGAGTGTTAACTTCAAGATCCTCAAGACCTTCATTGAGAGAGCCAATGTCAATGTTAATGTCTGAGAGAGCTAGAGAAACAAAACAAGAACGCTCTTCGTCTCGAATGGAATCAAGAGAATCCTCACATAATCCATCTGTATTATCATTACCTAAGAGAAATCCAAAACTCGACAATAAACCACCACATATAACTAATAGACCATCACCAAGAGCATCAAGTTGGAATCCACAACCAAAACCAACTAATTCAGCTGAGAGAGAAAGAAGTAGAACAGAAGTTCTAAAGACGTCACCATTGGAAAATGAAGAAATAGTAAAAAATTCACCAAAATTAGAATCAAAAGAACCGTTAAAGAACAGACATGAAATAATGATTGAGTACTTTGCATCAAAGGATGCAGATAAAATTTACGAAGGTGTAATAATGCTAATTTCAGCAATCTACAATAAAGATGATTTCACAAATTCATACACATTAAAGAGTAAATTAAGATACATTAGTGAAAAAGATCCATTTTTATTGAAACAATTATTTCCTTCTACAAATAATGAGTTATTCAGAAAAAGCTCTAAATTATTCTCCATTGAAGATTTTAATAGAACCTGTTGTATTTTATTTAATGATCTTGATCAAAATGTTGTTGACTTAATATGTTCATGCTATGAGTTACTGGATTTTATTGATACACACTTGAAATTACTAAATTATACAATCGAATATCCAAATATTCCTGGAAATAACAACTTTAAATTGCAAATATCGAATTACCAATTCAAAATTGCTCAGCTGTGTTTACAAGCTCTTCTGATTGTTTTCATAAATTCCCCAATCACAGATGTTCAATTTGGCGAAATTTTCCACACCTTGGTTTCATTAATTATGGTTTCAAAACAACATCTGAAGACTTTTTATCTTTTGAAGCAATTGTTTTGTCAATTATATTCAAACGATTGTAATAAATTTTTGCTGTTGCTAGATGATATTGAATTTAATTTAAAAGATGAAGTGGAATTAATTGTTGGAATCGATAACAATATCATGACGGTGATTGAAAAACCTTTAGATAATTCTGTATTTGAAATGACTGAAATTAATCCTGGTAAAATTGAAATTTTTGAACCTAAAGAGTCTTCGAATGGTGGTTTTACTATGGTGGTACCTCACAGAAATTCAAATGACTTGTTAGATCATGAGGAAGCTGAAGATGAGGATATGAAAGATGAACCACAAGCAATACACGAACTGAACGATATTGATGACCCATTTATTGAAACTTCATTTCACGGTAAACCTTTCAAATTGGTCAAACATAGATATTCCACGGAAAAAGAAGATCAAGGTGGAATAAGTCATCAATCAAGTGAAACTTTGAATTCAATTAATTCCAAAAAATCAGAATCATTAGTTGATGAATTTTCTCAAATAAATATTGCACCGCCACCTTTCCTGGTTCATCATAATCGTAAATCTAGTCCAACCAGATCACCTACCATTGAGTCATTACAAACAATGATTGAGAAAGTAGATCCATTAAATCCAATTTCAAATAAAATTCGTAAAATTAGTATTTATGAAGACAATGATTGTAAAAAGACTAGTGAGAATGGTTATAATAACTCCAATGGTAAATTATATATGAACAATAACCATCAAGATTGGAATTGGGAAAATATCACGTACAATGTAAACTCATTTAAATTCAATAATTTTAACATTGGTAATATTTCATCAGTTGAACAATTTGAGTTTAGTTGTGTCAAATTGGCCAATTTTATTGTAAACAACTCTGAAGAAGAGGAAGAAATCAATGGAGTAATATCAAATTTATCATCAACATTAGAAAGCTTGACTACTACAAATTATGAATTTAGAGAATTTTTCTTAAAAAATGGTAAGCACAAATTATCCAATTCTTTGATTTCATTTTCCAAAAATTATAAATTTGCAAATAACACTAATAATGGCAACAATGGAAATTCTGAGGAAATTTATCAACAACAACTGCAGAGAATACTTGACTTTTTATATCTTTTGAAATTAATATTAAAATATGATGAATTAATTGATCTTCATCAAGTATGGGAAGTATTAAATAAATTAAATTCATTAATCAAAATCGAAAATCAATTATATTATGCATGGATTGAAATTTTACAACAAATTAATTCAAACAACAATTTAAATCAAAAAATGTATGAAATAATAATTGAAAGTTTTGAAAAATTATCAACAGAATCAACAAATAACGAATTTCCAAAAAATTCCCAGATTATAATAAATTTATCATTAATTTACTTATCAAATTTCATAAACAACTTGGAATTTTTAAATCAAGAAGAAATAAACTTGAAAAAATTAGATTTATTATTAGGAAATTTTTTCAACCTGAATGATATAAATTTGCGAAAAAACTCAATCATATGTTATAGTAAATTGTTTAAAATTTCTTCAAATTTTGATTTTAAAACTGTTGAAGTCTTGAATCAGTTAAAGAAAAAATATTCAATTTCTCAACAAAGGCTTATTGAATTTTATAGTCAAAAATAATATGGTGGTGCTAAATTAGAACTAAATAGAGTATACTTATAGTATATAATTTTTAATGATGATAATGATGTAAGGTACAAATTTGAACTACAACAAACTCTAATTATAAATTCACATATAAAGGAGAAATGAACATTGAAATGAATTGTAATCTAAAACAATATATTTGTATAAAAATTAAAACCTATAAACTATAAAATTAAATTAATGCTAAAAGAAAATTCTGTTTTTTTAAAAATGAAATAGAACTAAATAAAAATCAATTGAATGTTTGAATATAAATGAACAACATGACAAAATAAAATGTAAAATGAAAAAAAGCCAACAACAATCAAAACCCTTTTTGTATAACTTGAATACCAGATCCAATAAATTTCAATTCCAATAATAATGCAATTATTTCTTATCAACAACTTTAGTTGCTTTTGAACCAATAACATCTTGAATTGAAACTCTATGTTTTTTATCTTTATCTTTATGATCTTGATCTTTATCGTTATTTGATTTTTTAACAACATTTGGTGGTCTACCTCTACCTCTTGATTTTTGTTGAGCAGCAGCAGCAGCAGCAGCCATTTGTTTCTTCTTAAGTTGCATCTTTGTACTAACTGCTTGTTGTTTTGTCATTGCTGGATGTTGAGCAGCTAATGGCATTTTTGGTCTATTTGGTTTTGGTAGTGCTGATTTATTTGGTAATGGTTGATTTGATGGTGGTGGTGGCGATTGTTGAAATGATGCTAACATTGGAGGGTTTGTTGTTGAATTCTGTCTTGTTGGTTTATCGCCATTTTGATTAATTGGTTGTTGTTGTTGTTTTGGTTGTGCTTGTTGTTGGGGATATTGCTGATTTGGATAATATGGTGGCTGACTATTTGCATCATAATAAGGTGGTTGAGGTTGTGGTGGTGCATGTTGCTGTTGCTGTGGTTGTTGCTTGTAGTATTGAACATTATCATTTGGTGAATAATTTGGATGTGGAGGTGGAGGTTGTTGATAATAATTTTGTTGTTGAGAATTTTCAGGATACATTTGATTTTGTGAAGGTAAATGAATTGGTGGAGGTGGTAAAGAATTTTGATTATTACTTTTATTAAAAGAAGTTTGTAATTTTGCAGATAATGGAGGTAAAGGTTGATTTGTATGTTGTTGTTGTAATTGATTATAATATTCTGCATTACTTTGAAAAAATTTAGTTGTTGCTGAAGATTTTGGTGGAGGTATTGATGAAATTGGAGGTAAAGGAGTTTTTAAAGGTTGAGTTTGTTCAATTAAATATTCTGTATTTGAAGCAACTTGACTTGTAATAGGTTGAGAAAATATTTGATTTTCAAATAATTGATCATAATTTGGACCAATAACATGTGGATATTCACCATCTTGATAATTATTTGAATCTAATGTAATATAATCGTCTGAATTATGTTGTGGTTCAAAATAATCTAATGGGAAATCATCTTCATAATCTGAACTATTGGTATTATTATTATTATTAGTTTCATTAATATTATTGGTGGTACTATCATTTGTTGTATCTTCTTCATCATCTGATAATTCTTCATCATCAAGTAAACTTTTACTAATTTTTTTACCATCTAATTTTGTTGATTGAGTATTCAAATTATTTTCACCATCATTAGTATTTTTAGTGGCCTTAAGTTGACTAAGTTGATTCCCAAAACCAGTAATTGGAGGTGGAACTTCTTCTTTAACTCTAACAAAATTTTGAATATTATTTTCTTCATCACTTTCATCCATTTCCAATAAATTCTTAGTAGTATCCATATGTTTAACTAATTGATTATATAAATTCGAACTTTCATCAAAATTAAAACTTAAAGCAGGTTCTCTATGAGCAATAGTTGTTGGTTTTTGACCAGCTTTTTCCTTTTTCAAATCTCTTTCTAAAGCATCAGCCATTAATTTATCATGAGGAACATTAAACCAAAAAAATACTTTTTGTTTCTTTTGAGTTCTTAAACAAGAATTTTTAAATAAAAATTCTAAAAATTCTGATCTTGGAGGTTCTAAAATTGCATCAATATTACATTTTAAATTTCTTAAATCTGAAAATATACCTTCTTCAAATTTTTTTCTATCTAAAATTTTTCTACCAAAATGTTCAAATTTATAAACAATACATCTAACAATATCAGTACCAGTAACAAAATATAAATTATTCCAAAATACACAACTAACAAATCCTTCATCATGATTTAAATAATATCTTCTTATAACTTGATTTTCTTGCCAATTTGCTGGAGCTGTTGCTAAAAAAAATTTTAAATCCTCAATTAATCTTAATGAATCATCAACTTCTTTTTTAGTTCTTTCTGCTAATGGTTGAGATGGTTGTTGTTGTAATAATTGTTGTTGTTTATTATGTGATAGAATAATATTACTTGGATTTGGTGAATGTAATGATGATACTGGTGTTGCAATAGATCCAGGAGGTTGTTGTGGTATTATATTGTTATTTAATGGTGATGTTGTTAGTGTAGACATAATTTATAGTAAAATGATTAAAATGTTTCAAAATTGTTTTAAAAATTAGTCAATTTGTTTTTTGTTATGCTAATAATATATATCTTCTCAAAATGAATCTTATAATTTAACGTGTTGTAAATCTCCTATTTAATTGTTTCAAAAACTTATATTGACTTGACAACTTCGTTTGTGATATTATTATTAAATGATTTATAATTGAAAAATATATGTATATAAAAATGATAAATTCTATTGGTTATATTAGTTGTTGATTAAAATATTTGATGTTGTTGACTATTCCGTTGATAAAAAAAATTATTAATTATAGATAATATAAATTGAGAAATTATTTATTTGATAAATTAATTAATTAATAATTAGTATATATTATGAATAATAATGATTGATTTAGATTATAATGATTGATTGTAAAATATATTGTTGAATATAAATTATTGGTTGTATAACTTGGTTGTAAGAATTTATATAATTAATTTTGATCTTAAATTTAAAAATTTAAAAAAAAGAATTTGAAAGTCTAAAAAAAATTAAAAAATTAAAAAAAATTGAATTTAAGGAAATTTTGTTTCAGTCTTAAAAATATGAAACTTTTTTTTTTTTAATTTTTATTTTTAAATTTTTATACTTAATTAATTATTTTTTTAGTCTAATTTACACTAACAAGTAAATAAATTATAATGTATAGTAATAAATAAGTAAATTCTTAGATTTGAAGGTATTGATTGATTATAATGAATGAATTTGGGATTGTTGGAAATATAATTGATGATTTTGAATATATATGAATCAATTTAATTGAATTGTGTAAATGGATAATATTAAGTATTAAGTGGAATATACTAAATCAATAAAACAAAATTTTTCGAGATTGATTTGAATAAAAATAGTAAAAAAATAAATACACAAATAAAGTTTCAAAATTGTAAATTCAACGAGGATTCAAGATCAATTTATATTAAAATGATTCAATTGTCAATTTGTTTCAACTTTAATTAAAAGTGAAACATATTTGATACAAATTTTATATTTTAATATAATAATATTTGTTAACTTATATAAGTTTAATTAAACTATATAAAAAATGTCTCTATCTTTACGACATATGAATTTTATATACAGTACTATATATTTGTTGCTAATTAGTCTAATACTTATTTTACAAATATATACAAACCATTAGTATTTGTTTAAACTCTATACCACATCTATTGATATATCATCAAAATTGATAAATAATATAATCAAATTTGATCATACAGTTATATAATAATTTTTAATTTTTGACGTATCTGTAAATTATATTAAAATTCAAAATTATTCTTTCAAAAAGTTCTTGATTTTGATCGACATGAAATTTTAAACTTTTATTATTTATTTGAAATTGAAAACGTATAATTTATAAAAATATTATTATTACTATATAAATGTATAAATGATTAAATTTTATAAAAATTTCATGATCATAAATTCGATGAAGTTCAACTTATTAAGTGCTGTCTAACAGTATAGTCAAAATTAAATAAATATATGGTCAGGATATATTCACTTGCAAATTGAGAATGCGAAAACCAATTGAAATATTCAATATCTTTAGATCAAAATATTTTCAATTTAAATAAAATGTTTTAAGTTTCAAGCGGCAAATTATGAAATTGCAGCACAAAATCAAAATTAAATTGAATTTTAATCGAGTCTAGACACATTCTTTAATAAATAAAAAATAGTATCAAATATATTTGACACACTTTTGTTTCATATATAGAAAAGGCTTTAATTAATGGATCTTTACAACTATTTCATCTTAGTTGACTAAATAATGAATGAGAGTCTAAAAGAACTAAACTTTAAATAGCCGTACCTTATTAATATACCTAATTTGTATCAAAAAGGATCTAAAAATAAATTAATATAAGATGCTCAAAATTATAATATTTCTCAAATGCGTTTAATCTTTTTTACTTATTATTTGTTTATATAACTTTAAATAATAATTGAAGCTTTTGCTATAATTCTTGGAAAAAATATTATAATTCAATTTAAGGCAAATTATAAAATATCGTCAAAATTATTCCCTCGTATCAACTTTTGATCAATCTCTATTCAAAAGACATCTATGTGGTATGAACCTACTTTAACGTTATTGGTTGAAGAGTTAAGAATTTATTCAGAAATATTCAGTAATTACTCAATATTAAATGCTTCTTCTATATTAAGCCGTGTTTTAAATGTTAACTTAAAATTTTGTGTCAAACTAAATAACAAAATTTAAGGGCCATCAAAAAATATCACTTCTTAAAATAATAATCTCCAAAACTAAAGGATTATCTCTATAAATCTATCGTATATGTCAGATCAATGTAACTTTAAAAATATTTTTTGAGAAAACCCTTAGATTGGGGTTAAAGTAATAATATTATTTCTAATTTGGTCTGTATACGGATATTATGCACATTTTATTAAAAATTCTAAATAATTTATTGATTTTAATTTATCGTCTTTAAATACATTTAAATGAATAGTTAAGTAAAGTTACGAAGTAAGATCTAGATCTTTAAGTACATAAATATAATAATTTATTATATTAGTTTTTGATACAGGGGGGGGGGGGGGGGNTATTTTGAAACAATTTTAGTCTTTTGAAACATAGTTGAATCATCACACTAAATTCAATATTTATCTCATATTAGTTACTTTATTAAACTCTGAAACTTACGACATGTTACAAAATTCTTTAAAGTTCCGTGTGACATCATTCTATGTCAAAGTTACATGATTTAGAATGTCTCTCACAATTAAAAATTCTACGTATCAAAAGACTCATGATTCCAAATTTCAATTATGACAATTATTCTAAACAAGTATATACATATACAAAATATTAATCAAAACATAAAGAAAAATAAAACAAAAAAAAAAAAAAGGATTTGCATTGTGATAAAGATAGAACTAATAATCACTCCAGTCTATCTTTTCACCAGTATATAAGTCATCAAAACTATTAGTAATTATTTTTTCATTATTATTATTAATAGTTGTAGCATTACCATTATTATTATCATTATTCATAAATGTATTTTTGAATTGTATTTGTTGTTGGTGTTGTTGTTGAGGTTGTTGTGGTTGTAAATGATTATTATTTAAACTTCCAGTTATATTATTGGTTCTTGAAATTGAAGCTCTTCTAAAAGGGGGAATATATTTAGAATTGGAAATTCCTTGAGTTGGAGAAGCTTTTAATGCTTTAATTGAACCCTTTGGACCATTTCCATTATCTAATCTATTACCGCCATTATTATTGTACATTGAGAAAATATCATTAGTAGTACTATCTCCAATAGAATTACTATTTTTGTTTGATTCACTAGTCTCAAAATCATCTTCTAAATGGAAAACTTCTTCATCTCCGTTACCTAATGATAAATTATCCATCTCTTCGAGTAATGGTGATCTTTGGTGAGGTTGTTGTACTGGAGAACGTAAATTTGGTGGAATATATTTTCCTGAACTTGCTGAACCATTAAAAGATGAAGGATGAGGTAAAGGATGATAAGTAGATGATAAATTTCCATTCTTTTTGACATTACCATTTAAAATTGTAGTACCACCATTTTGATTATAACTATTGTTGAATTTTTCATGATGAGATGATCTACCATTAACACTTTTGTGATGATGATGTTGACCAGCTCCATTTTGTTTGTATCTATTTTGATTAGCTTTCCATGTTCGTTTTCTTCTCAATGGTGGTTTTTTGTAGTTGTTATTATTATTTGAAGTATCATAAGTTCCATTACCATTTATATTACCATTAAGTTGAGGGTTACGTTTCTTTTCTCCATATTTATCCATATAATGATTGAAAACAGACTTTGGAGTAAAATAATCTTCTCTATTGAAATTTTGTAATTTATTGTTATAACAACTATTGTTGTTATTATTATTATTATGACTATTTGTATATCCATTTCTATTCATAATTGCAACTTGATTAAAAGATGCAACATTTAATGGTTTTCTAGTATTTCTAATAAATTTAAAATCATGAGTATTAATTGGAATAGGTTTTGCTTTTGTATTTGTTGATAAAAGTGCATCAGCTCTATGATTATGAGGAATTTCATATTGAGAATCTGGTGGTGAATTTGATTTATCAGAATTTGAGCTTGAACCAATATCATCAATTTTCCCATTAGTGGATTTAACACTACTTGATTGAGAACTTGGAACTGTAACATTTGATAATCGATTTTTTTCTTCAACTTCATCATATGATATATAATTATCTTCTTCTTCATCTTCTTCTTCATAATCACTTGCATCATATTCTTCATCAATTGTAAAAAATCTTAATGCATCCAATTCTTCAGATACATTTTTTAAGTCTCTATTATCTGGATCAATTGTTAAACAAAATCTTAAAACTGAAAACAAGTCTCCACTCATTGTCGAAAAAATATCAAATAATGCTTCTCTATTACTTGCAAATTGTAAAAATCTTTTATCTGAATAATTTGCAACTTGAAATGGATTCTTGTGAAATACTAATGTTAATAATATAATCCCAATTGACCAAATATCAATTTTAGAAGCATCATAAGATTCAATTTCATTATCAAATAATTCAGGAGCCATATATCTTTCACTTCCAATATCAAATTCATCTTTATTTGATATAAATTTATTAGTTGTAGCTAAACCCCAATCACATAATTTTATACTCCAATCTTCAGCAATTAAAATATTTTCAGGTTTTAAATCTCTATGATAAACTCCCTTTGAATGACAAAATTCAACAGCATTTAAAATTTGTTGAAATACATCTTTTAAATCTTGAGTTGTTACTGGTCCATTCCCATTATGTATTGCTTCATATAAATCACCTCTTGAACAAAACTCCAATATTAAACATGAATCAAAATGATCATATAATTGTGATATATGAGGATGTGAACCTAAAATCTCATGAATTTTAATTTCTTTTTGAGCTTCATTTAATAAACTTGTAAAAATTGAATTTTGTTGATGTTTATTTGGTGAACCAATTTGAGGAGATTTTAATCTTGCAGGACTTGATGAAGGTCTTCTTTTATTTGTTATTGATGTTGATGTTGAATCTTTTCTTTTCTTATAATCAACAGGGTAAATAAATTTAACTGCAACTAATAAATCTTTTCTTTTAGTATCTTTTGCAACAGATACTAAACCATAAGAACCTTCACTTATATCACTAACTTTTATATAACGATCTCTCAAAAATTTCCCTTTATCATATTGTTCAAATTGTTCCATTACTGAAAGCAATTATCAATCTATTTGATAAATTATTCTTACCTTGTGTGTTTTGAATTGATGATTTAATCTTGACGCTTAGATTTATATAAAATCTTTCAATTGAAATGCAAATGATTGTTTTTTTTTTGTAAGTTGTTGAGTTGTTGAGTTGTTGATATAGTTGATCTTTGGACTGTTATTTTTAGATTGATTATTCTGTTGTATTTATTTATTTATTTATTATATTTAATTAATTCAGTAAGACATAAGTTGTATAATATATATATTGTATTAAGTTTATAATTGTATAATTGTGAATTGAATTTAATTGTGTGTATTTTAAAAAAGATCAAAATATTATAAAAAAAACTGTTGATAAAATAAATTTGGTCTATCTTAAATTATTATATACGTAGTACTAGTAATACGTGATAATAAAATGAGTCTTTCTTTCTCTCTCTGTTTTATTTCAACAAGAAATTTTAAAAGAAACCAAAAAAATAAAAGCTGGGGTTTTAGAATGAATGATTCTTCTATATAAAGAAACGTACTACCAATTTATTTACTAGATCAATTATTTAACAAGATTTATTATAATTACAATAATTATTATCATAATATTAGGGTCACCATAATATTGTTAATTTAGAATTGTATAAAGTTTTGATAACACTTAATCGATGAAAGTTTATAATCATTATATAATTATGTAGTATTAAAAAATGAGATGAGCCACTAATTAATATGATTCAAATGAATGTTCATTTTATCTTATCAATTTCCACATAGTTTAGGATCCTTCTTTCTTTCTCTCCTTTTTTTATTATTTATTTATTATTTACATTTTATCATTCCACAATAAAGAGAAATTGTTTCTATACACTTCATATATTATAGAATTATTAAAAGTGTATCTTTATTAACCAAATATGAATAGTTTGTAGTTTGGTGATCATCTCGAAGGTTGATTATCTGATTTAAAGTAATATTGCTGTATTAATAAAGAACTATAATCGAGCATAGTTTGAACCTTTCGTTGTAAGACAAAATATGGCGTCCCAGAGTAAGATATTCCCGACCCAAACTTCTCACTAAAGTCTGTACGTACATTTACATTTTTCTCTTGCTCTAATTACTACTATTAGAGTATTTAATCATTTATTCATATTAAATATTATTAAGTAGCTTAATAATAATTATAATTTGCCATTTTCAAATTTGCAACAATAAAATTATTACTTGAAATTTACATAACAAAATTATTTAATAGATCAATACCTTATATTTATTCAAATTCATTCAGATCATTAATCTTGTAAATAATGGATGAACAAATCCCAACATTTTTAGCAGTAACTGGTATAGAGGATGAATCAATTGCAAAACAATTCCTAGAAGTAACAGGTGGTGATTTGGAGTTAGCTGTAACTTTATATATGGAATCTGGTCAACATGGTGGTGGAAACTCAAATAATAATAATAATACTGCCACATCTGATGAATCTTATGCAAAACAATTACAAGAACAAGCATATGGAGGAGAAGAAGTACGAGAAGCAGATACAAATATACATAGACATGAAACTTTAATTGATTCATTTGGAGGATTTTCAGGTGCAATGAATCCAATGAATAGACCTGTTGATATATTTGGACAAAGACAACAAGGAATCTTTCATCAAGGTTTCAATTTTAATGATAGACTGATAAATTCTTATAATGCATATGATGACGATGATGACAATGATAATGACGAAGAAGAGGATGATGAATATTACGATACATCAAATAACACTAATAATCATGATATAGAAATTTTGGACTCAGATGAAGAAGATAATGATGATATAGAAGTAATAAGTAGTACAAGAAATAATGGAGGTCGTAGAAGGCGACTTAGACAAGATAGAGATACAGAATTAACATCAACTCAAAGGAGATTAGCCAATTTATTTAGACCACCTTTTGATATAATTTCAATATTAAATTTAGATCAAGCAAGAAATCAAGCAAAAGAAGAATCAAAATGGATTTTAATTAATATACAAGATTCATCAGAATTTCAATCACAAGTATTTAATAGAGATTTTTGGTCAAATTCAAGAATAAAACAAATTGTAAGAGAAAATTTTATTTTTTTACAATATCAAAAGGATACATTTGATGGAGAAAGTTATATAAATTTTTATCATGTTGATAAATTACCTCATTTAGCTATCTTAGATCCATTAACTGGTGAAAGAGTAATGAAATGGAAAGATGGTGAAGTACCACAAGTACAAAAATGGATTGATGAAATTTATAAATTTTTAGATGAATTTAGTTTAAATCCTCAAGTTAATAATCCATTAATTAAACATGAAAGAAAAATTGATCCTGATAGCTTAACTGAAGAACAACAAATTGAATTAGCTATGAAACAAAGTGTAATGGATAATGGAAGTAATAGTAATAGTAATAGTAATGGGAATTCAATTGAAAATGCTATTGATCTAGATAGTGATGAAGATGAAGAAGATAGTGGACCACCAGAATTAGAAGATGAAGAAATTATAGAAGAACCAAAAGATCCATTTGAATCTATAAAAGTTATAGATCATCCAGAACCAACAGAACAACCAATTACAAGAGTACAAATAAGATTTCCAAATGGTAAAAGACTAGTGAGAAAATTAAATGTACAAGATAAATTAACGGTGTTATTTGAATGGTTAAAATTTGTGCTAGAAAATAATTCACAAGATTATGGATTGGAGAAACTGGATAAATTTACATTATCTGATAGTTCAAATAAATCATTTAAATTTATTGAAAACTTGGATAAAACGATTGAAGATTCAAATTTGAAAAATGCAAATATATTATTAGAAAAAGATTAATGAATATTATATAATTCTATGTACTTGTAGCCTTTTTTCACAATGTCGGAAAGCTTTCAAGTGGTGGTAAATTTTGCATAATAAATTTATTATTTTCATCAATTAGCGAATTAGTTTGTTGTAAGACATTCTTATATAGGCTCCTTTCTTTTAATTCTTCTTCATTCATATCTTCTTCGACATCATATTCTTCATAAACTGATTCACACAATGATCTAATAATTCTTGGGATATAAATTTCTTTTTTTGTTGCATCTTCATCCTCTTCTAACTCTTCATTATCTGAATGATCATCTAGTTCTTCCCCTGATGGTGGAGGTGACGAAGATGAAGATTCTGAAGTAAAATCATTTAAATGCATTAATTCTCCTTCCATATCATTATCATCTTCATCTTCTTCTTCTGTTACAATTTCTTCTATATGACGTGATTTCTTAAGTGCTATATTTGATCTAATCAAATTTAAATCTTTATCTAGGTCATCTACTGGTTGGTTTATTTCTTCATCTTCAAATGCGTCATGATAAGTTCTTTTAATTGATTTTTGAATATTTTCTAATTTTGAATTTTTAAGAATGTTTTGTCGTATCATTGATAATTGAATTTTGTTCTTCGGGTTTAATCTTGTATCTAGATCGAAATAATTTGTATCATGATTAAAGTTTGTAATTTCTTCCGTTGTTGATGAAGTTAATGAATTTTTTTCATTATCTATTGTGGAATATAAATATTCTGGTGATATTAAACTTCGATAGTAATAATTATCTAGTGAAATTTCATTTTTGTTTTGACTGAATAATTGATAATCTTTATATAGTTCTGTTAATCTATGATCCGTTTCTTTAACTAGTTTTGTTTTGTAATTTAATAAATTTGAATAATATTGTTTCCATATAATTTCAGAATTATGTTTAAAATTATTTTTTATCAATTTCAGTTCGTAATCTTTTGAAGAATTTATACTTTTTAATTCATCTCTATATGGTTTAAAACAATCATTGAACAAAAAGGGAAATGGCAATTTATTTAAATTTTCGTGGTGATTGTTTAAATTTGTTGAAATTTCTTTATTATCATATTTAAAAGTATCATCAAAATCAAAAGGACTTTGTAAATTTGAAAAAATTTCTTTTAATTCTTCTTCATATTCATCTAATTTTAATAAATCTGGTTTCTGAGGAATAGTTCCATTTTTTACCATTATTAAATCTTCAGTATTTGTTAAAATATTATTAATTGTTTCAATTTCAAAATTATAAATTTTTAACCAAGATTTATCATTTTCTTGAGCTATTTTAATTGATGATACTAATGATTCTATTATATTGTCAATTCTTGATATTCTATTTTTTAAGTAAGTTTTGGATAATTTTTTAAATTCTTCTTTAATTTTATCTTCATATTCATTCAATTGTTTTAATTTCATTTTATTTAAATCTTGTTTTAAATTAGAATTTAATTCTAATTTTGATGTTGTAAATTCATTTTCTTCATTATCCGATAAGCCCGCCATAGTCGTAGTACTTGATATGGAATACCAGTTGCAAGGTATGGGTGATAAATTTAATGTTTTAGGACTTGTGAATGTTTATAAATAAATTAATTTATTATTTCACAACCATTTGATTTTTAAATTTAGGTGCAACTTAATTTTCTTTTTTTTTATTATTTGAAACCAGAGCTACCAAAATTAATTTGCGCAACCATATGCTGATTGAATTTTACACGACATATTTATTTTGAAAATTGATCAATTATAGATCCTTAGAATTTGATGATGAGTGGAGTTTGCTGAGTAATAATTGCAGAAAAGCCTAAAATACTGAATATTCGTATCTGTTCTCTATTGAAATTTGAAAATCGAAGGCATTCAACTTTTAATTTAGGACTTTAAATTAAGACCGAGCAGTCATTCCACTCCTAATAATGCTAATATTGGAAGCAAGAGGTCATATCCTAATATTGTGAACGTATTCGTCACTCTTAATCTCAAATGCAAAATTTTAATTACCACCTGAACCTGTACTGATTGTCTTGGGGATGGATTTATTTGGAGCTATCTGTTCACGTGACCAGATTTTTGTATAATTTTTTATTTAAGGATCAACGCGTGTTAAAAGTTTACTTTTTTTACAAACAAATAAATCAGACACGTTATATTTCCAGATCAATCTTAGTACAATCAATCAAATATGTCACCAATTCAATTAACAAATGGCGTTTTAAAGAAATTATTTTCAAAAGATTCTCAAGATCAAGTAACAGGTCCAATAAATTTACAAGTCACTAATTTAAAAGCAGTTGCTACACATAATGATCAAAAAAAATACAGAGTATTAGTTACTGATGGCGTTTTTTCATGTCAAGGTATAGTTGAAGAAAAATGTACTCCATATTTGGAGAATAATAACTGTAACAGATATTGTTATATTCAAGTAAATGATTATAGTGCAATGGCAACGGTCAAACATTTTGTTATAATTAATGATTTCGAAGTAATTTCAACTATCGGAGAAAAACCAACTAATACATTAACAGCAATTGATACATATTTTTCAGAACATCCAGAAGAAGATAATTTTATATTACAACCTAAATCTGAAAAAGAGCAAACACCAGGTGCTAATATCGGTCAAACTCCTCCAATAGCTCAATCAACTGCACAGTCAAATATTCATAATCCTTTTACTTCCAATCAAAAACCAACTAATACATATCCTTCCGGAGAACCAGCACCAAGAGTTTCACCTATTGAAACTTTATCTCCATATCAAAATAATTGGACTATAAAAGCAAGAGTATCATATAAAGGAGATTTAAGATCTTGGTCAAATTCTAAAGGTGAAGGAAAAGTTTTAAGTGTTAACTTTTTAGATGAATCAGATGAAATCAAAGCTTCAGCTTTTAATGAAGTTGCAGAAAAAGTTCATAACTTGGTGGAAGAAGGTAAAGTTTATTATATTTCAAAAGCAAAAGTTTCTGCAGCAAGAAAAAAATTTAATAATTTAACTCATCCATATGAATTACAATTAGATAGAGATACTATTATAAATGAATGTTTTGATGAATCAGATGTACCAAAATTAAATTTCAACTTCGTTAAATTAGATCAAATTCAAAATTTAGAACCAAATGCAATTATTGATGTACTTGGTGCATTAAAATTAGTAAAAGAACCATTCCAAATTACAGCAAAATCTACTGGTAGAGCATTTGAAAGAAGAGATATTACAATTGTTGATGAAACAGGATTTGCAATTGATGTTGGACTTTGGAATAATACAGCAGTTGATTTCAATGTTGAAGAAGGTACCGTTATTGCTTTTAAAGCTTGTAAAGTTCAAGATTTTAACGGTAGAAGTTTAGGTTTAACTCAATCTGGATCATTGATTCCTAACCCAGGTACTCCAGAAAGTTATCAATTAAAGGGTTGGTATGATAGTAAAGGTGTTAATGAAAATTATAAATCTTTGAAATCTGAATCAACTGGGTCTCATGGATTGAATTTATCAGAACGTAAAACAATTGCAGAGATTAATAGTGCATGTGAAGACTTGGATGATAAACCAGCTTATTTTACAGTAAAAGCTGCATTTTCATATGCCAAACCAGAAAATTTTGCTTATCCAGCTTGTACAAATATAACACAAAGTGCTGATTCAAGTAAACCTGCTTTAACTTGTAATAAAAAATTAGTTGAAACTGGAGATGGATACAGATGTGAAAAATGTGATACTACTTATGAAACACCAACATGGCGTTATATCTTATATATATCAATAATTGATGAAACAGATCAAATGTGGGTTACATTATTTGATGAACAAGCCAAAAAATTATTAGGTATGGATGCAAATGAATTAATGAAAATTTCAAAAGAAAATGAATCATCAAAAGTTGCAGAAATTATATCAAAAGCTTATTTTAAAGAATTCAATTTTAGAATTAAAGCAAGACAAGAAAGTTTTAATGATAACTTAAAAACTCGTTTCCAATGTAATGGTTTAAGCGAATTAGATTTCAATGCTGAGTGTGAATTATTATGTGATAAATTAGCTAATGTTTAATATTTTTTTTTTTAGTTCTTTGTATAATACTACTTTGATATAAATCGTTTGTGTTTTGAGATATTTGAGACAATTAATAATTTGATTTGAGTTCTGAATAAATTTTGCAAACAAATTTGTGAATCCAAGAAAATAAAATAAAATCTACAAATCCATATTCTTGTGAATCTGATTATATACATTAATAAAAAATCTATTTAATATTCCACTAATTTGTTAATTTTCAACCAAAATTCTTTTAAAACATTATTGGCTACTCTTTGACCTCTAGTAAGCATTAATTTCCCAATAAATTGATTTATTTCATCTTTTGTTAGACTATCTTTACCTACTTGATTTGTTTCTAAAACTACAGATACCCATTTTTTAAACTCAATTGAATACTTACTTATAAATGTTCTAAGCAATGGATAATAATAATCTAAATTCGATCTTGGTGATAATATAAATGCTAATGTTAGATTTTCTATTAATTTAAAACCTAATGATGTGCCAGTTGAATCATTTGTAATAAAGTTCCTAATGTATTCTTGATCTTTTTGATTACCCTTTTTCAAAACTGCTAATGTGTTCCAGAATTTTATTGTTGATTTAATTATTGATGTTTCAGATTTGACAAAAGCATTTAGTGCAAATTGTAAAATATAATTGAAAATATCCGATGAGTAAATTAATAAACTTGGCTTTAGTTCAATTATTGAAGTGAATACATCTAAAGATGATTTTATTAAGTCTTCATCTAATTTGATCATTGATTCAATGTCCAAAATGACCTTTGTTAAAACTTGTTCTAGTTGAACCGGTTCAATTAGTTTAAAGTTCGTTAATATTACACTTATTAACAATTGATGAATATAATCTATTGAAGCAGTATTTGACCTTGATGCTTTTGCAATTATATACTGAAATATTAAATTTAAATTAAACGTAAAAGGTCCTGGTATTGTTTCATTTAATCCCGATTTTAAAATGTAGCAACATTTTTCAGTGACTATTGTATTTTGACTCAAAAAGTCAGAATCTAATGAAAAAATTTTGAGACTTTCTAATATTAAACTTCTGATATTTAATGGATCCACCGACCAATACGATTTAAACTCTTCTAATTGTGTTGGATTGAAATAATCTTCAATTTCTTCTGGGTATTGACATGCTTTTCCAATCTCATTAATGCAAGCAATCAAACTAGTAACATAGTCTTCATTGTGTTCTTCATTAACATGTTGTTTTTGTTGTATTATAATTTGTAAAATTGCAAATATTTTATCTCCCAACTCCTTTTGATTTTTTTGTGATCTTACTATGGACATATATGAAAAAGTAATACGTTCACGAATTAACCCATCTATTGTTTGATTTCTTAACATTTCAGCCAAAATTAATTCTAGTTGAGGTAAAAATGGAATCAATTTATTTTCAGCATTTTGACATATTTTGAAAACTGTTTTAGAAGCAATTAATGATAATCTTTCATCTGGATTGTTATTAATAATATCAAATAAAAATTCAAAACTTGATGCTAAATATTTATTACCTGCTTCTGATTTGTAAAAAAATGGTAAAATTGACATTAAATTTAATAAACTTATAGTTATATGTTGATCTCTTAAATTATTTTTAATTAGTTCTAGAAGATTCTTACTAAATAAATTATCAAATTGGTTGATCAATGGCATGTTTCTGGTATCATCATCGTCTTCATCGTCATAAAATCGTATATCTACTGTGATTTTATGTAGTAGATAAATTGCAGCTTCTGATATAATTAAATCTGAACCAATCGAGTCACAAATTGTGGCAAATAATGGAATTCCTAACAAAGTATAGAATAGTATAAATAAATCAGAAACTACTGTACGATATCTTGTAAACTCTTGAGTCGTTTCATTTGAAAATCTTTGTATCTTTTTGAAATATATTACAGCAACTTCCATAAGTATGGACGTTCTTCTTTGATTATATTCATCAATTGATTTTTGATCATTATGCAATATCTCTTTTATCACATCTTCATCATCAATTAATGTATTGCAAAAGTCTTCCCAAAATGAGATCAATTGAAAACTTATATTCTCATCAATAATTGGCCTTCCATTAGCATCAGTTAAAGCAATGAGAGTCTTAAGTATATTATATGTACTTTCATCGAGCAAATGTCTAGTCATATGAATGATGTTGGAATCCAAAAAGTTCACCAAAAGGTTTATGTAATTATCAATTTCCATTCTATATTCTTCCAATAAATCTTGATCTGAAAAAATTGAGTTTAAAAAAGTAATACCAAAGTTCCCCGTACCGAAGAAAATTTCCAGTAATTTGCTTTTAAAAGGATTAATTACCCTGGGTATATTATCAATAAATTCAGTTACAACTGTAAAAGTTTTGTTGTAAGATTCCATTTTTTCAACATCAAAATCTTCTCCCAATTTTTTCATTGTAAATGTAATCAATAAATTTAAATCATTGGTATATCTTTGTTCAGATCTTGCTTCAGCTTTCGAAATATAAATGACCCAAGCACTTAGACAGTCTAACAGTAGTAATAAAGTATCAGTTGATAAGTTAGAGTATTGATTTAGTAGAAAATCATATAATTTTAATAAATGTAAAAATAAAGATTGATGAATGAGTAAATGCAATTCAGGTGAAAATGTTATAAGCTTTTGAATTTCTTCTGCTAGTATCTCAAAAAATAGTATTAAAACTTGTATTTGCTTTAAGTCTGACAAGTTTAATAAAAAGTTTTGAACACTTTCGTTTTCGTTCTTAGTTAAAATGGAGATAAATGCCAATATTGGATCTATGTTCTCAAAATTTTGTATATAAATGTTTGATAAATTACTTAATAATTTTCTTATTATGAACAAATTACCATTAAAATTTTCTTGCATTAACTGCTGAACATTATACAGTAATTCTTTAAACTTAATCAAAAATTCATTTGATCCATATGTATTTAAATAGACAGTAATAGTCAATGCACCAAAATATCTAACTTGATTGTTTTGATTTTTCAATAATTCTATTCCTAATTCATAGCTATGTTCATGTTTTTGGAACTGTTGTAATTGTTCTTGTACCAAATTAATTTGACTTGCATCTTTTGATGTATAAAGTAATTCTATATGCTATTAGCGATAGTTGTTAGTTAAAGTTTCTTTTCAAAACTAAAACAAATAATGTTACGTACTTTAATGACATTATTCACATCCAATTGAGTTGACATGAAACAGCTCGATACTTATTCAAAGAATTTGAGTTTTAAATTGATTTAGTTGTTTGGTTTCAAGTAGCAAAATTTGGTTGTAAAAACTAAAGTATGTACATAAATCTAGACTTCCCATTTGGGTAAGGTCCTGTAAGTTGAGTGCATGTTATATAAGAAGGTCGTGTACATATATACGTTATATATGCTGGTAAAAAAATAAACGCTAACGATTACTTGCAACGCTGAATTCAGTCAGGTGGATATCGATAAATCCAACAATTTGAAACAATCTATTAGTGCTATAGACAGAAGCTCGGTTAATTTCAAAAGTATTCATCTTAAACTTTTTTCGAAATGAGATGATTATTATACTTTCACTTTTTTCCAGAGCAAAATTTATACATTATTATACATTAAGTTATTATTAATTATACGTAATATATATTTAAATAGTCCTTTTTTTTTTATCTAATTCATCAGTTGATTTCTATACACAAAAAATATTTATAATAATATTTATTTATTATAAATTATATATTTTATACATCATTTATTTTTTGAGCCTTGCGTAACTTATTTTTATCATTTTAAAATTCAAATATAGACTTAGATTATTATCATTATATTACATAGTATATTAAATCATGTCTAGAGTATCAAGAGCTCAATGTGCAAATTGTACTTGTTCTCCAGGTTTATTATCAAGAACTAATAGAAAATCATCATCATTAATTAAAAGAATTAATCTTAATAGAATCAATAGTGGTTCAAAAGATGGTTTACATCAATCAAGAGCAAATTCAATTTTTACTTTAGATACTTCATCATTATGTTTACCTGAAGCAAAAGAAGTTAATACTTCAAAAAGATTAGAAAGTTTAAGAAAAGAAATGTCAAAGAATGATTTAGGAATATATATTATCCCAAGTGAAGATCAACATCAAAGTGAATATGTTAGTGCTTATGATCAAAAAAGAAGTTTTATTAGTGGTTTCAGTGGTAGTGCTGGAGTTGCAATAGTAACAAGAGATTTGAATAATTTTACCGGTGATGATTTTACTCAAGGTACTGCAGCGTTATCAACAGATGGTAGATATTTTACTCAAGCTTTAGATGAATTCGATTTTAATTGGATTTTATTGAAACAAGGGGCAAAAGATGAACCAAGTTGGGAAGAATGGACAGTAATTCAAGCTTCACAATTAAGTTTAGACAGTGGTAAAAAAGTTAGAATTGGTATTGATCCAAAATTAATTACTTATAAACAATTTCAAAAATTTAATTCCATAATTGAAAAACAATTGGCAAAGACACCTAAAGCATCAATTGAATTTGTACCAGTACTTGATAATCTAGTAAATAAAATATGGGAACAATTTGAGTCATTACCGACTTCAACTTTGGGAGAAATTAAACAATTAGATATAAGTTTTACTGGTAAAGATTCCAAAACCAAAATACAAGAAGTCAAGGATAAATTATTCAAAGATGATATTGAAGGAGTTGTAATAACTTCATTAGATGAGATTGCATGGTTTTTAAATTTAAGAGGTTCAGATATACCCTATAATCCAGTGTTTTATAGTTTCATAATATTGACTAAAACTGAAATTAAATTTTACATTGGCAAAGATAGACTATCCAGTACAATCAAAAATTCATTAGAAGATATTGGAGTAACAATTGAAGAATATGATCAATTTTATAATTCATTAAATTCTATATCCAAAGAATTTAGTTTAAAAAACAAAAAATTTTTCATTCCAAATAATTCAAATTGGGAAGTTGTACGAAATTTAAAATGTTCATTCAACGAAGGATTATCAACAGTAGAGTTATTGAAGGCTATAAAAAATTCAACGGAATTAGAAGGTGCCAAGATTGCGCATTTGAAAGATGGCAGAGCATTGATCAAGTTTTTTTCTTGGTTAGAACTTGAATTAAATACTAATCAGGAAATGATTGATGAAGTTGCAGCTGATGAAAAATTGAGTGAATTCAGAAAACAAGAAGACAATTTTGTTGGATTATCGTTTGATACTATAAGTGCTTCAGGTGCAAATGGTGCCATTATTCATTACAAACCAATAAAAGGCTCATCATCAATAATAAATCCAGATAAAATCTATTTGAATGATTCAGGTTCACAATTTTTAGAAGGCACAACTGACACAACCAGAACTATTCATTATGGAACACCAACAAAAGAAGAAATTAGAAATTATACATTGGTGTTGAAAGGTAATATAGCATTATCAACATTAAAATTTCCGGAAGGGTCAACTGGAAATTTAATAGATTCAATAGCAAGACAATTTTTATGGAAATACGGCTTAGATTATGGTCATGGTACAAGTCATGGAATTGGAGCATATTTAAACGTTCATGAAGGTCCTATTGGAATTGGTCCAAGACCTAATGCTGCAGTAAATCCATTACAAGCAGGTAATTTAATTTCAAATGAGCCTGGTTTTTACAAAGAAGGTGATTATGGTATTAGAATTGAAAATGTTATGTTTATTAAAGAAAGTTCACTAACTTATAATGGTAAAAAATTTCTAGAATTTGAAACTATTACAAAAGTTCCATTTTGTAGAAAATTAATTGATGTTAAGCTATTAACTGGTGATGAAATTAAATGGATTAACAATTACCATTCAAATATTTGGAATGAATTAAGTGGTAGTTTTGATAAAAATAGTTTTGCTTACAAATGGTTGAGAAGAGAAACTGAACCATATAGTACATGATATTGTTTGTTAATAGTTATAAATGCAAATATCATATATATTTTAAGGATAACTTCATTAACTCTATTTACATTCTCATTACGTCATTATTTATATGCTAATTTTTCATCACCACCACCACCACCACCTTATTCTTCAAATAAGATTTGAATTTCTTCAATTCTTCTTTTCCTTCTTTCTTCTTCTTCAACTCCCACGGCTTCACCAATTTGTTTTTTCCGTTCTTGAATTTTCAACATTTTAGTTTCAATACTATTTTCCATTATAAATCTAACAACTTTAACAGTTTCATTTTGTCCAATTCTATGAATTCTATCTATTGCTTGATCTTCTATACTTGGACTCCACCAGGGGTCCATCATAAATGCTCTTGATGCAGTTGTTAAATTTAATCCCACACCACCAGCTTTTAAACTTAATAATAATATTGCGATTTTACCATTACTTAAAGATTCATTAAATGAATTTAATAATTTTGATCTATCATTCATATTTAATCTACCATCAAATTTGTAAACTATAAAATCATCTGATGTTAATTTCAATTCAACTTCTAAGATATCCAAATATGATGCAAATTGCGAGAAAACAATAACTTTTGAATTAGGAGCTTGGATTTGTAAAACATTAAGATGTTTGATTAGTGCTTGGATTTTAGAACTTGTTCTATTTGGATCATACAAGTAAATTTGAAAATCATAATTTTTATTAGTTGAACTTTGAGTGTGGAATTTGATTTCTTTACTTGTAACTTTTTGATTTCTTACTCTAAATAATTTGTATTTTGAAATTGGTTCACGACAATTTGGACATAATTTTGGTCTATTTGAATCAGATTGGAAATCTAAATGTTCCAATATACAAGAAAAACAAAAAGTATGACCACATGGTGTAATTGTCAATTCATTTTGTGGAATTGGACTTGTTGTACATATTGAACATTCATTTTCTTCTTTTATAACATCATATAATTTATACATTGTTTGTTTAACTTCTGTATCATTTAAAAACTGCTTACTTTGTTCTTTAACTGATTTCAAGAACGTCTTCATTTCTTCATCTGATTCTAAATCAATAACATCATCATCCATTTCATGAGCCCCACCAATTAAATCAGGATGACAACAAACTTGTCTTAACCTTAAGATATGAGTTAGAATTTGAGTATATTGACGTAATAGTTGACCAGATTTTACACCTTCTGAGAACGATTCATAAGCTTTTGATTTGAACCACTGGTATAATTTTGCTTCTTGATCATTAAATTTAATTTCTTCAATAACAACTTCCTTTGCAGGTAATTCAACTAATGGTTTACCGTTTTTCTTTTGATTCTTAGTTCTTCTTAAAAAGATTGGTTCTAAAATAGACTTGATAACATCTAAAGTTTGTGATATTTTTTTCTGTTCAAATGGTAATGTAACAAATGTTTTCCAATATGAAAAATTATTCCATGGATCAAGTTCTAAATATTTTGCTAGCGAGTATAAATCATCTAATCTATTAACTATTGGTGTACCTGTTAATACCCATTTTCTAGTAGCTTCTAACTCATAAACTGATTTTGCAGTTTTTGTATTTCTATTTCTAATATTGTGACCTTCATCTAAGATGATTCTGAAATATTTAACTGAATACAATCCTTGCTTTGGTAATTCTCCCTTGTGATTTCGATGTTTTGACATTCTTGTGAATTCATTTAAAATTGTTCCATACGTAGTAATTACAACAACTGGTATTTTCGAAGATTCATCTAAATTACATAAAGATCTTGAAAGGTCCAATTCTGTTTCATCACCATAATATAATCGACATGTATGTTTCAAATTATTGTTGGCTTTTTCAAACTCATCTTTCCATTGAGATAATAATGACATAGGAACCACAATCAATGTTGTTTTGGATGCATATCTTTTTTTGGTGTTTTCTTCACTGATATCATACGGAACTGAATTGACTAGTGCTAATGTCGCAATTGTTTTACCCAACCCCATTTCATCTGCTAATATACCTCCTTTCACGCTAGTTTTAATTATTGGTTTTTCAATTGATAGTTCACCATTATATAAATTAGCATAGAAATAATTATCTGATTGACTTTGAGTTGCAACTTGAGTTTGTTGAACTTCCTCAGGATTCAGTCCAAACACTGGCCACTTATATTTTCTCCAAAGTGGATTCATAACACCCGTCTCTTCAATTGATTTTCTTGTTTCAGTTGATAATTGAAACTCTCCAGAACATTGCTCTAACACATCAACTTCTTTCTCTCTTGCTAACATCCATGCTAATCCATGTCTTTGATATTCTCTCAAATCTAATTTGAAGTTTTTTTCTGGTGGTTTTGTTGTTTCTGGTAATGATTCTAGTAATTTTGACTGATTGTTAGCTTGATAAAATTGCCTTAATTGATCTAAATTTACTTCATCTACTGGTTCTTCAGTTTCTGAATCTACATTTTCATCCAAGTTTTGCACTTCATTTATTGCAGCAGCTTCATTTGCTCCATTATCATCATCCACTTTTTGATCATTATTTAATTTTAATGGTTTTAATTTTAATTTTTCAAAAAGATTTGATATGGCAAATTGCCTTAATCTTAGAGCCGCCTCACCTTCACTTTCTGTAGCAAAATTAAAATTCGCACCAGCTCTTTTCAAATCTGGATTTTCAATTGAATCGATGTTTTTAATAAATCCAGTATCTTTTAGGTAAATTTCAATTTGAATAACAAATGAATCACCAGTTGATAATCTTCTTTTTGTTGTTTCTAAAACAATCACTTTAAATTCGACAATATTTAAATCAATTAATGGACTAAAAATCCTAGTTAAATCTTCTGGTAATCTCGCAATTTCCCTGTCATTTAAATACAACCTTATAATGGAACTTTTTTGCATTGTTGAATTTCTAGGTATCAATCTCTTAACCGTCATGGTTTCTTGGTATTGTAATGGTTTCATTGTTGGTCTAGTTGCCCACGCTTGTACATCTAAAGTTCCAACATATCTACTCCAAGAATTTGCTTCGATTTCTTTTCTAATTGCTTCTGATGCCAAATGCATTCTTTTATTTAATTCATTTATCTCATCGGTGTTATTCCTTTTCAAAGAAGTTGGTCTATTTGAAGGTGATTGGGATTTACCTGGTGATTGAGTTTGAATTCTTGAAGTTTGAAGTTGAGTTCCATTATTATGACGCGTCAAGTTATCAAGGTCTGGTGGATTTGTAAATAACTCATCAACTGCATGTCTAATACTATCTTGACCAGTTGAAAATTTATCATATAAATAATTTAAAATTAAAGGTGAAATATCTCCAACTATTGATCTAATTTCTTTTTCAAATTTTTCCAATGAAATAGTCGTATCCTTAAGACGTGTATCAGATTTCTTCTTCTTTTTTCTTGGACTACTATCTATATCTTCATCATCTTGATCATCTTCTTCATCTGGTACAAATAAACTACCTTCCTCATTTGTATTTGTAGATTGTTGTGACTCTTTTTCAGTAACTATGGGCTCTTCTTGAGGAACAAAAAACCTTGTTTTAGTAACTTGCATCAAAATTCTGACAACCTAATAATTAATTAAATGATACCTTATTACGTAAATAAAAAAGTATTTTTGGTGACTAAGTCTTAAGCTATGAACAAGAAGTGAAATGATGGAAAGACTTATATTATTAATTACTTATTTTGCCATTTAAACAAGATGTGGTAGGAATTATGTGAGAAAATAAAATGTGTTTCAAATTTGAAACAGATCTTTAATATATTTTTGGTTGCCTTTATTGTAATAATAATGCATAAAGTGTCGCAATTTTTAGAAAAAAGACATTATTTGAAACATCTCAAAATCTGACAAATAAATTAGAATCTATACACAAAATACACAAAATAACAAATAACTGTTGAAGTTTAACATTGAATTTTATTCATTACATTTATATATATTTAATTTATGATACAGAACAAATACTATTAATGTCAATGTAATACTACCATTTCACAAATAGAATTTCACTCATTGACTTCTTGAAAAAAACGTTTTGTAATATTTTAGCCGTGTTTTACCGTATAGTAAATTAGATTATTTTCGTATAAGTTTATTCAAACAGATTTGAATGAAATTCTCGAATGAGTAATAATAAATAAAATTTGGAAATTTAACGCTAACTTTTTTTAACATCAAATATTTCTTTATCTTTTCCTTTATTAATTAACACAAAATAAATTTTATTAGTAAGATTCCAAAATTTTTCAAATACAATACTTGTATTAATTCCGTTTCAAAATTAAAATCCATTATAGTTCAAGATTACTCGCTATAATTCAAATTTAGTCATAAAATCTACAAACTAAATCAGTCTTATTAGTATATATACTTCAATAAATCGACAATCGTTTATTTAATCTGACTTTTATAAAATTCAATTGCGCTAACTATTCATATATATTCAAAAATGACTCAAGGAAAATCTCATAAATCTAAAGATTTAACACATTTATTATCTGGTGAAGCAAAATCAAGACAAAATTCACCATTAAAAGATGCATTTAAATATTATAAGTTACCAGGAATGACTTTCTTGGGAGGTGGTTTACCATTATCAGATTATTTTCCATTTAACAAGATATCAGCAGATGTTCCAACTCCATCATTTACAAAAGGAATTGGTGCACCATTAACTGATGAAACTAAAACTACTATTGAGGTCTTTAAAAAACCCGAGCAAAACGAACCAAACCAAATTGAATTAGCAAGATCTTTACAATATGGTTATACTGAAGGTCAACCAGAAATTATTAGTTTTTTAAAGGAACATACTGATATGGTTCATAAAGTTCCTTATGAAGATTGGGATTTAATTGCATCTGTTGGTAATACTGAATCTTGGGATTCAACCTTAAGAACTTTTTGTTCAAGAGGTGATTCAATTTTAGTAGAAGAATATTCATTTTCATCTGCATTGGAAACTTCCAATGGTCAAGGAATTAATAATGTACCTGTAACAATGGATGATTATGGTATCTTACCAGAAGCATTAGAAAAATTATTAGCCAATTGGGTTGGTAATAAACCAAAATTATTATATACGATTTCAACAGGTCAAAATCCAACAGGTTCATCATTAAGTGCAGAAAGAAGAAAAAGAATTTATGAAATAGCATGTAAATATGATATTATAATTGTTGAAGATGAACCTTATTATTTCTTACAAATGGAAACTTATACAAAGGATAAAGAAGCAAGAAAAGCTAAAACAGTTCATGGACATGAAGAATTTTTGAAAGCAATGGTACCATCATTTATTTCAATGGATGTCGAAGGAAGAGTAATAAGATTAGATTCATTTTCAAAAGTTTTAGCTCCAGGTTTAAGATTTGGTTGGATTGTTGGTCAACAAAGATTATTGGAAAGATATGTAAGATTGCACGAAGTATCAATACAATGTCCATCCGGTTTAACTCAATCCATGACAAATTCATTACTTCAAAGTTGGGGACAATCAGGTTATTTAGATTGGCTAATTGGTTTAAGAGCTGAATACACTCACAAAAGAGATGTTGCCATTGATTCAGTGGAAGAGTTTTTCCCCAAAGATGTTTGTTCATATGTACCTCCAGTTGCAGGTATGTTTTTCACAGTTCATATTGATGTATCAAAACATCCAAAATTTAAAGAATTGGGTGAAGATCCAATTCAAATTGAATCATTGATTTATGAACAAGGTATAAAGCAAGGTGCATTAATGATTCCTGGTTCATGGTTTAAATCTGAGGGTCAATCAACCCCACCTCAAAAGAATTTACCATCAAACCCTGCTCAAAAAACTTCGGTATTTTTTAGAGGTACTTACGCTGCTGTACCTTTGGACCAATTGGTACTTGGTTTAAAAAAATTTGGTAAAGCGGTTAGTATTGAATTTGGACTTGATTAAAATAAATTAAAAACTGTAAGTAAATTTGATTAAATATAATAATTTCTATTTAATTTTAGTTTGTAATGGCGGTATAATTCTGAAACATGGGAATAAGCTACCAAACAATTCAAAAATTCTGTTTATGTATTTACGCACAATGAAATTCTTGTTGTGTAAATCTAAGTATAGTTTTACAGCCATTTGCAGTAATTCAGTCATATCAACCAATGTTAATATAATATGCAAATATTAAAAATACCCTGGTTGGGTCATAGCAGTATGTCAACAATTGTACAAATTTCAGATTTACAAGTGCGATACTAACTTCACCAAAAGCTGAAAACAAAAAAATCGAATGTTATTCAGTTACTATCAATTCACAAGGTACAAGATTAGCATCTGGAGGGCTAGATGGATACATTAGAATATGGGATACAAATACAATAAACTCGTTTTTCAAAATGCTGGAGAAGCCATATAACAAACTGAAAAAGTCAACAACCAACAACAACCCCACAACTACTTCAGACTTAGATAATGCATCAGACTTACCAGATAAATCATTACGAAGACCAATGTGTTCAATGTCAAGACACAATGGTGTTGTCACATCATTAAAGTTTTCACCAGATGGTCGATGGTTAGCAAGTGGTTCAGATGATAAAATTGTATTAATATGGGAAAAAGATGATACTCAAAGACCTAATTCTTTTGGTGTTGAACAAGAAGATTTAGAACATTGGACAGTTAGAAAAAGATTAGTAGCTCATGATAATGATATTCAAGACATTTGTTGGTCACCAGATGGGAATTTGTTAGTCACTGTGGGTCTAGATAGATCAATTATAATATGGAATGCATTAACTTTTGAAAGAATTAAAAGATATGATATTCATCAATCAATGGTAAAAGGGATTGTTTTTGATCCTGCAAATAAATTTTTTGCAACAGCTTCGGATGATAGAACAGTTAGAATTTTCAGATACTACAAGAAATTAAATGAATACAATAATTACGAATTTCAAATGGAGCATATTGTAATGGATCCTTTTAAAAAATCACCACTTACATCGTATTTTAGAAGAATGAGTTGGTCACCAGATGGTCAACATATAGCAGTACCCAATGCTACTAATGGTCCTGTTCCATCAGTTGCAATTGTAAATAGAGGTAATTGGGGTTCGGATGTTTCATTAATTGGTCATGAAGCACCAGTTGAAGTTTGTTCATTTTCACCAAGACTATTTCAAATTGAAAGTAAAAAAGATGATGATAAATTTCAAACTATTTTAGCAACAGGTGGTCAAGATAACACGTTAGCTATATGGTCAACTTCGAAATCAAAACCAATTGTTGTTTTACTGGAGATTGTTCAAGGAGCAATTACTGATATATGTTGGATGCCAAATGGTGAAACATTGTATTTCAGTAGTTTAGATGGTTCAATAACTTGTATCAAATTTGAAAATAAAGAATTGGGTGAAGTTGTAAGTGAAGAATTAATTGATCAACAATTAAATAGATATGGTGCTGATAGAGAATCTACAATACTACCTGAGAGTGTAGAACAATTACGATTAGAAGAAAATTCAAAAGATGCAAGAGCTTTGGCTATAAGGAAAATGATGTCAATGGAGCCTAAAAAACCTACAACTGCAACAGCATCAACAACAACAACAAAAATACAAGCACCTGTAAATACAGCTACACCAACATTAATCCCATCAAAGACCATAGATGCCTCCAGATTAAGAAAACAAACTATCACAATCACTAAATCAGGGAAAAAGAAAGTGGCACCTTTATTAGTTTCCTCATCTAAACCAACAACGAATATTGCACCAATACAAGCAACTAAGAAAAGAAAACTACAGTCGATCTCAAAAATATCTCAGCCTACATATATACTACCTAGAAATGGATTATCAACATCAGTATGTGGAATAAAAAAACGAGAATCAACTACTCAGAGTTCAACGACATTAGAAGAAGATAATGATAATGATGACATAGGCACAACAACTAATGGAATTCAAGACGATGTACAATTATCGGAACAAGCATTAAAGAGACAGAAAAATAGACAAAAAAGAAAATATTTTGAATCAAAATATCCTAGTTCTTTTAAATTTGTCAGTAATTTACCAGAAAATTTATTCGTAAACAATGCATTGCAGAACTTGGAAATAAACAAGATTTATAAAGCCTATGCTGATAACAAAGATATAACAACTGAATTATCCACAGGGTCATCCATTGATTTTGATGAAGATTTAATCTTCTCAGTAGTTTTCGCAAAATCAAATTATAAACAGCCTAAAAATTCAGTATTAGGTGAAGAGTCAAAAGATTTAGTATCAACAATTGAAGTTAGAAATGGTAAACCATGGCATGAAGATCCAAAAGAAAATGACAGAGATTTTGATGATCCAACAAAAGTCATTGTGTATACGAATGAAGGTGAAAAACGTAAATTTACACTATTTTTTCCATTCAGAATTCAACAAGTTTTGCCAATAATAGATGAATCAACTCAAGACCTAAAATATTATGTTTTATGTTCATTTAATGGAAGTTTGCAGATCATATCTGCTAAAACTGGTAAATTTTTCTGTCCAACTATTGAGATTTTTGAAAATGTTATATTCATGAAGTATTATAATTCAAACTTATTAATTATGACAAGCTTGGGGTTATTCTATGGTTGGAAATTTTTGAATAATCAACTTAAGATTTACATGAATAAAGTTTCAATTGCAGCAGTATTAAATCTAATTGAACTTGAATCTAAAGTTACCAAGGTACTAACCCCTAATGTTAAATCAATTGAGATTTCATCTGATGGTACACCTTATGTGTTAACAGACGTTAGTAATGATATATATGGATATTCATTGGATTTAAAATGTTGGATCAAAGTAACTGATTCTTGGTATTATAACGTGACAGCTGATGAAACAACCAAGACTAACAGTCAAAATTTTAATAAGATACTACACAGATCAAAATTAGGATTTGAAAATGAAAAATTGACTAAAAAGATAAATACTTATGATTTTGGAAATTCAAATAATTTATTAAGAAAAGTAATGATTGAAAGAAATAAAGAAATGATTGAAATGATATAGAATAATTAAAGAAGACTGCATTAATATATACATACTACTCAATTATTTGATTTCTTCTACTTTCTTTTTTACATCAACTTTGACAGGTTCAACAGGTTTGGCAACTGTTGGTTCAAATGGAAATTTAATTAAGAAGATTAAATTATCTAATACATAATTAACACAAAACATCCAACAAGTTAATCCAATAATACCAGTTTTGAAAAAGGGTAAAGCTAACACCCATTCTAAATAATTTGGTAAAATTCCAATTCTTAAATAGAATAATTGATTATTTCTACAAAATATTCTCAAGAACCATATTGGTAATGTAGTTATTACAGTTATTGATAATTTAACAATATTAACTATTGATGCTTTTGATTCTGAATTAATTTCATTTAATTTTACTAATTCTTGTTTTAATTTATCAATTGATCTATTAATCTTAGTCCATTTGGCATATTCATCTTGTGCACTTATTGATTTTTGTTGTTTAATTAATTTTGTTAATTCTTGTTGTTTTAAATTATATTCTTTAAATGAATTATTTGATGATATTTTGGTAAAATAAAAATTTGATATATGGGATTCAATTGTCTTTTGACCTATGTTTGTTATCAATTTTTGGATAAATAATATTATGAATGTTATAATAATGACCTTGTATGGATCAATGTCAATTGTGAACATATTAGCAGATTAATGCAAAAATGACTTTAAACCGACTTGATGAATGATTTTGATTTTCTATAAATTTACTCTTTTTAAAAAGATGTGAATATATGTCAGAAAAAAATATCGTGACATTGAACAGTTTTTAAGACATTATTCTCATACATTAAAAAAGAAGTAAAACCTGTTAATTATTATTTAGTAAATTCTACTATTTAAATTTATTTATATATTAACATGATATTTTTATATTCTAATTAGTACTTAGTCGCATACTTCTGTGTTGAAACCTATGATATAACATCTGGGCTTACGATCATATGTAGTTCATCTTTATCTTAAATCATTATTTCTTTATGATTAAAATAGTTATTGTCCCCTGTGGTTAAGTTATAAAAAATCTCTTTAATTTCTCCTACAAAATTGAAATAAAGAAAGAAGAGAATTAAAAAAAAAAAAAATAATCATTGAGAAAAAAATAAAATAATTTATCATTTACTTAATTTATAACATTTTATAACAACTAAACTAATTTCTTGATCAATCAATAATCAAAGTGAAGGGGGGTTTAAGAATACTATCAATTTAATTATTATTCAATTGTGTCATTCAAAAAAAATTTAAGTATCATCAAATAGTCTATATCTTAATAATAAATATCAACGAAAAAAGAGATTAATACTAGAAATATAATTATATTAATTTTAGATAAGTAAAATACTTCAATTATTGATTATACAACTACCATTTTTAATAAGATAATTTAATCAAATTCACCAATTATTGTTATATATATCAAAATTTTCACATTGACTACAAATAAATCTAAAATTTACCATCGAAATATAGTATAAGTTATCAAAACTTTTTACTACAGACTCAAATTACGGAATTCACATAAATATCTATTCCATCGAAAAAAACTTTCCAATATTAGTTATCAATAAACATCAATATATATATAATAAACAATAATGCCTAGTGATCCAGAAGACGATTATATACCTTGGATACAACAATTTTGTGAATTATTTGGTCATGATTATTTTGTACAAGTATCTCAAGATTTTATCGAAGATGATTTCAATTTAACAGGACTATCACTGCAAGTCCCGTTTTATAGAGAAGCATTATATACAATATTAGATTATCAAGTTGAAACAGCGGAAGATCACACAAATAATAATACAACAACAGCTACCACATCAACCAATATAAATACAAATAACAATAACAACAATAATAGCATAAATATAGATTCTCGAGGGGCCAATAACAATAATAATAATAACAATAATAGCAGTAAATCCAAATCATCTAATACATCAGAATTACCAAATAAATCATTATTAGCTCATCTGGCAGAATTACTATATGGATTAATTCATGCGAGATACATAGTATCAAAACAAGGTCTAACGGCAATGGCATCTAAATTTGAAAAAAATGATTTTGGTTCATGTCCAAGATATTTTTGTGATGGGATGCATTTAATACCGGTTGGATCAACAGATATACCTGGTCAAGAAACAGTAAGATTATATTGTCCCTGCTGTAATGATATATATATACCTTCAAGTTCAAGATATTTGAATATAGATGGAGCATTTTTTGGTACAACTTTTCCTGGATTATTGGTGAAAATGTTTCCAGAAATTGAAAATCAATGTAGAATAAGAATACAGAAGTTTAGTCAAAATGATTTTGGTTTGAAATTATTTGGATTCAAAATAAATGAGGTAAGTTCAACTGGTCCACGAATGAAATGGTTAAGAACTCATCCCAAAACAATAGAAGAGAAAAAGGAGTATGATTACTGTGAGTATAGTGTGCCAAAGATAACTTACTCAGATGATGAAGACGAAGATGAGGAAGAAGATGAAGATATGGATGATGAGGAGGAAGAAGAATTAGAAGAAGATGATGATAAAACTATGGCGAGCGAGTAGTTATAGTAAAGTATCTAAAGATTGAAAAGATAATTAAACATTAATATTAAAATCATATATTAATAAAAACAAAAAATAACAAAACTAATAAGGCAATATTTTAAAAAGCTATATTATGATCTTAGGTTAGGTTTATAGAGTTATAAGTTGTTTTAAAAAGTAATAGTAATGTTAATTAATACCTTTTTAAAAAAAAAACCGAAATGCTGAGTATGTAAATTCATAAAATCTAACATTGTATAACCATTAATGAGTAAGATGAACCGGTTTACCAGGTTCCCAATCCTTAATACCATTTTGAATATTAACCCAATATTTTAATTTTATAGCATCAATAATGACTTCATCCCAATCAATTGGTTTCTGGTGTAACTCTTTTTCAATTTTGTCACAACTTTCATCAATTCTCTCATTATTTTCTAATTCTAAATTTTCTAATTCTTTTTCCAGTTCACTCAATTCTAATTGTTCATGGGCTTCCATTACTTGTAATAACATGTTTTTGTATATCAAAGAATTTTCATTATTTGAATTTTGGAAATCGGCTATATATTTTTTGGACACGGAGTCGTCTTGAATATCAATTCCTGTGTCTAATTTTATTAAATGTGCTAACCTAAGGTAGGGGTTTTTTAGGTTTGTGAATGCTTTGTTTATATTGGTGGAATTGTCTGTGGTCGATGATATGTCTGGATGGTTTATACTTTGTAAAGCTCGATATTCTCTACGTAACTGTTTTTCATTGATCAAAAATGAATCATTTGGTGGTCCTCCATTTGGAAATGATTTAGGGAATAATTTGAAATATGAATTTGGGGTGGCTGAAGTGGAATTGAATTTCGTAAGACTTATTCTTTTACTACGTCTCAGTAGCGACTTTATATATAGTCTATTCGTGAACATCTTGAATCCTTGTGACAAGTTATAAGTGTTGCTGAAATGAGAAGAAAAAGTATGGGGAAATTATATAAGAAGATCTTGATTTAAAAAGAGAGAAAATGAATTTTTAGTTTTGCATCATCTAATTTAGCTTCTTTTGCAGTCTTACTAATACAACTGATTTATAACCATATATGTTCAAGAAAAGAATCATCAAGGATTCTAATACATCAAAACGTAGAATATCAGACATAACCAATAATGATAACGATACTAAGGTAAATCAGGAATCAAATCAATCAAAAGATCAAAATTCAGAACAAGTACTAAAAAAATCAAAATTGACTTCAACCAATTTACCAACTACTTCAAAAACAACAACAGCATACAAAAAACCATCATCACTACTATCACAAGTAGATCAACAACCTCCATCAACAGAGCTAGCCACAAAGAGAGATGATGATAGAATAACAACAGAAATAACTAAAAATTCACAAAGCAAGACACCTCAAAATATAAAGTTAACAACAATAACTGATTTTCAACCTGATGTATGTAAAGATTTTCAACAAACTGGTTATTGTGGTTATGGAGATACTTGTAAGTTTTTACACATCAGAAGTGAATCAAAGCAAAAAATACCGATACAAAAAGAATGGGAAAATGTTGGAGACAAACCCAAATTTAAAACAAGTTCAAAAAAGTCAACCACTGAATTACAACCTTTTAAATGTGTTATATGTAAAAATGATTATAAAAATCCAATCAAAACTAAATGTAATCATATTTTCTGTCAATCATGTTTTTTGAAAAGATACAAAATTGATAAAAAGCCCAATTGTTTTATATGTAATGAAAATGTTGATGGTATAATGATACCTGTTGGTAAAAAAGAATTAGATCAATTAATTAATGGTTGATAACAGTTGTATATGAATTAATAAAATATTGTATTAACAGTTGTATATAAATTAATAAATTATTGTATTACTGTTAATCTTCAATATCGGTTGTAAAATATATTTTGTAAGCCGCACAAAATTTGACACAAAACTTTATGGTTGTACCTTTTTTTGTTCTAAATTTTCTATTAATAGCAAAATTAATAAAAATGATTTTATCATGTTGATTAACCATTCATTCACCTAAATAATTAAGCCATTCCTCTGAGCTTTATTTTATTAATTTCAAACTTAATTGCCAACCCAGCCGTATACAAGCTCATTCTCAATTTTATACCACTAACTTTTAGATAGTCTCAAGTCAGTTTGATTCAATAACATAACAATTACGATGTCACAAATTCAAGACCAACTAGAGAATATACCAGGCTACAGCATAGCAATGGATAAATTCAATGAATATGCCGAAGAGAATTGGAATAAAGGTGTAGATCCATATTACGACAAAAAAACAGGTAAAAAATTGAAATTACCAAAAGACATAACGACAAAAGAGGAACAAAAATGTTGGAATAAAATTCAGTCATTAGCATGGCAACATGACAAATGTATGTTAGGAAGCTGTGGAGTAGGGATGGATTGTGGAGTAGGTTTAGTACCATTTGTGGTTTTGTTTTTCCCCGTATTAGGTCCATTGATAATGTATGCAATGCATGCAAGATTAATTTCAATAGCTCAAAAACAATTCAATTTACCAAATAAACTACAAGCTCAATTACAATCAAATATTGGATTTGATTTATTAATTACTTTTCCTCCCGTGATAGGTAGCTTTTTTGGTTGGTTACATAGCTGTTCAACAAGAAATGCTGGGTTGATTTATTCTTATATTGATAAGTTAGCTAAAGAAAGAGCAGCATCAGGTATGACATATGGAGGAAGAGGTCAAACAGCTGGATCTGCTGATATGAATCAACAACATTTTGGTATTAGTGGTGGTCAACCTCAAGGTCAACGTCAAGGTCAACAACAAAATGCAAGAAACGTTCAATATTCTCAACAATTACAACCTCAACCAATTTATATAGAGCCGAAGCCAAAAAGAGCTCGAGGATTTATGAAGCTGACTGTTGGCAATACAAATACTCAGAACACTATCGAGGTTGGTCAACAACAACAATCCGGATTTATATAGTCATTTTTATTAGTCCAACGCATCACGCCAACAAGGTTTTAATGTATTTACGCTCATTTTATATTCCTTATTACGAGTTGTTGTAAGTTTCTCTCTATAATTATTATAGCATTTTGCAATGTTATCAAAAAACTACTGAGAATTTGGTAGCCTCGAAAACCTCGTGTGTTTCAAATTTTATTATTATGAAATTTTATTCTGGAGAGAAAGTCTAAATTTTGAATCAATAAATTAATTTGTGTTGCCAAATTTTAAAAATCCGAGTTCATTACAAGAACAACAATTGAAAGATGTATGAAAGACCAGAAGGCATAGAAAATTGTCGAATCTGGATTGATGGGTGTTTTGACTTTGCACATCATGGTACGTTATAAAATTTTCACTGTTTCTTATCTACAACAACATGTGAAATATATTTTTTAAGTTTATGAACTACGAACTAACTTTTTAATTTTAAAGGTCATGCTGGTGCAATGCTACAAGCCCGTCAATTAGGTAAAGAATTATATGTTGGAGTACATTCTGATGAAGAAATTTTAAAAAACAAAGGACCTACAGTAATGACATTAGAAGAAAGATTAGCAGCAGTAACAGCATGTAAATGGTCAACTAAAACAATAAGTGATGCACCATATGTAACTGATCCAAAAGTAATGGATAAATATGATTGTAAATATGTTGTTCATGGTGATGATATTACAACAGATGCAAATGGAGAAGACTGTTATCAATTAGTTAAAGATTTAGGGAAATTTGTTGTTGTTAAAAGAACTCCAAATATAAGTACTACTGATTTAGTTGGTAGAATGTTATTAATGACAAAGACTCATCATTATAAAGATTTAAATAAAAACTACAAGGATTTGTTGACGGAAGATAATTTAACAAGATTTAAAAACTATTCAACTGATGAAACTGGTTTACATGAGGGATCAGGAGTCTATTTGAATTTACCAGATGAACCCAAATTAAAAACAATTATATCACCAAATTTTGATATCACAAAAGAAAAATTAGTATATATAGATGGAGGATTTGATTTATTTCATCCAGGTCATATTGAAATTTTAAAAATTGTTAATGAAAAAGCTCAAAATCTTGGTGCAAAAGTAGTTGTTGGTATACATGACGATTTAACGATCAATAAATATAAAGGTTTAAATTATCCAATAATGAATATTTTCGAAAGATCATTATGCGTTTTACAATGTCGTTACGTAAACGGTGGTATTATATTAAATGCTCCATATAAACCAACACCTGATTTCTTGTCAAAATTAGGTAATGTAATAAAAGTATATCATGGACCAACAGAAATAGATGAAAATGTTTACGACTCTATAACAGATTCAAACATTTTTGAAGAAATATCAAAACATAAATTTGATAATATGAATACTGAATTTATTGTAAATAGAGTATTGAATAATAAAGCTGCTTATGAAGAAAGACAGAAAAAGAAAGGTTGGAAATCTGAAATTGAAAAAGTTCTCAAGAGTAAAGAATCAAGAGATATTCCTTCAAGTTGAGGTTTTATAAATTTATAGATTTTTATAAATTCATTAATTTACTAATTATTAATTATAGAACTGAATATGATAAAAAATTGTACTTCCGCTAAGTTTTTTTCATTGAGTAAAAGGTAATCACTGAAAAATCATTCTACAACTTGATTATAATATATCGACACTTGTAAATTTAAATTTTACTATAAGTTTGTATACAAAAATATAAAAAAACACCTTGTAAAAAATTCTAATCACATCATACTATATATATAATAAATCTCATCAGCATCATCATAATCGTAATCATCGTATTCATCTATCTCATTTTTTTCATCATTTTCATCATTTTCATTACTTCATTATCTTCATTATCTTCGTTATCTTTGTCACTTTTATAAACCTCTAAAACCAACATCAATTTAAAATTTTGCATCAATTGCATCATTCAATTTATTAAATTTCATTTCATTTAAATCATGATTTGAATTTCTTCTTGCTCTTTCATTATTATTATTATTTTTAATCATTTTCATATCAATTTCATCACCAGGTTGACCCCAATTATTTTTACCAGCACCATTTTTTTTAATTTTTGTTGGATTAGTATTTGAAAATCCATTATGAGTAAACCATTTTGATTCTTTTGGTGATTTTTCATGTACTCCCCATTTTTTAGTTTTTGACATATTTGATGCTTATATTTATATTATATGTTTTATATACTATTGTACTATAGTTGTATTTATTATGAAAATTGATTTATTTGTAATTGATTAAAAAATAAAAATTCTGAAATTAACAAGATTGTCGATTAGAAAATAGGGATAATAATTGATATTTATATTAAATTTGAAAATTAGGGGTTAATGATTTTTATTCAAAAAGAAATTTATTTTTATTATCAAATTGAAATTTGTTGATGATTTATTCAACAACAATTTTAATTTACACAATTATTTAATAATATTGTGATGTAATTTTAAAACGGTTATTTTTACAAAATTGAAATGTTCTATTAATTGGAAAGACCAACTAATGAGTAATATTAGAATGACCTGACCTAAACTAAATTTATTATTTTCTTATTCACAGAATCATCACAAAATCATCACAAAATCAATATTGTTGATAAGAATCATTTGATATAAAAAAATAGGGACTAACTTAAAGTATATAATAATCTAATGTATGTTTCATTCTTTATAAATATTAATTAAATCAAAACATATAAAAGCGTTAACGGGGCTAGATACTAATACTATTTAATTTTTAATTTATCCGTTTAATGAAACATCAACTTAGAAATGAATTTAATTAATTTTGTATGAATGATTCTTCAATGGAATGAAATGTGGGGAATATGTCACGCGGCTAAACTTTTTATTTTTTGTGTAATACTCTCATACAGTGGGTACTATAAATCAAATTAATTAATTAACTAATAAGTAAAAATAATAAACAATAATTTAATTAATAAGCCAGCACATCATTATTTTTTAAGTTACATTATAAGATTGATTTATTCTAGAATTTGTCATGTTATTAAAGTCATTCATTTTACGAGATTGGTATTTCTAATACTTAATGGAAAATTCTAGATAATTGAGTACTATACTTACCAATTTGAATTACTCAATGAAATTATTTTAGCAGTTACGTATGTTCAATATTAAGCTAGAAAGGTCAATTGATTTAATCTCGGATAAATATTTTTCGACAGTTTCAAAATTATTTGTCAAACGAGTCTCATTTCGTATAAGTTTTGTTATTTGAGTTATTTGCTACGTTCTTTGTGTTGAACGTGTGAGTGAAGAATTTTGTGACCCTTCTTAACTTGTATCTGAGAGATCTACTGAGTACGACCTACTACAAGATTTAATTACTTCTTAGTAGATTTTTTATTATGTTATGTTTTTCATTTGAATCTCGTTTTGCAGCCATAACCAAAAAAACAAATAAAGTTGCAAAATGAAAGAGATATCATTTAAGATTTCAAATTCATCACCAATTGCCAACTAGAAACTTTTCTATTATAAAAAAATTAATCAGATTATATTAAGTATCGTACAAACAAAAGAAGATGAAATTTTTAGCACCAATCAATTTAATTTACATACTTTTATTTAGTAAATTAACAATATCAAATAAAGCACCAAAGATTAAGAAAAATCCACAAAATATAGTTGCCATCGCAGATTTCCCATTTGGTGGTAATAGAGAAATTCAAGGTAATGTTGTATTTACAACAAGAGGTAAATATGTTAATGTTCATGTTGATATGACTGGATTCCCCAAAGATTCTGGTCCATTTTATTATCATATTCATGAAAGGTCAGTACCAGAAAATGGTAATTGTGAAGCTTGTGGTTTACATTTTAATCCTTATCATGCAGAAGTTAATTGTTTAGATCAAAAACATGATGGTTATTGTCAAGTAGGGGATTTAAGTGGAAAACATGGATTAATTAATTCAACATGTTTTGAATTTAAATTTACTGATCCTTATTTAAGTTTAAATAAGAGATCAAAATCTTATATTGTTGGTAAAAGTATTGTTTTCCATTATCCAAATATGACTAAAATAGCATGTGCTGATATTGAATTAGCAAATGATTTAAGATTTCAAAGTTTAGTTGATGAATATACTCAAACTGATGATACTCAACAATTAATTGAATTACAACAATCCTTAGAACCAGGTGTTGTATTTGATAATTTAGAAGCTTTAAAAAATGAAATTTATGAATCTGATGAAGATGATAATAAAGAAAGTGATGGTAAACAAATTGAACATGGTTTAGTTATTCCACCAATTCAAGAACCAACAACTAGTGAAGGTAAAGAAATTCAATTTGATCAAGAAATAAAAGAAGATGAATTAAAAACTTCCAAGAAGGAAAATTTAAAACAAATTTTAAAAGATGCTAAAGTTTTACCTCAAAAATTAGTAAACAAAACTAGAAATCATTGGTCAAAAGATGATGAAATTCAATATAATTTAGATCATAAACATCAACATCAAAGTAAAAAGAAAAAAATTGAAAAATTTTTAAATTTTCAACCAGATAGTAATAATAAAGCTTATTATCCTAAAAATAATGATAATGAGACATTTATTGATTCAATATTAAGTAATTTATCAAACGTTACTTTACATGGAGTTGAAAGTGACTGTGCAAATTCTGGTTATAATTTTAAAGGATTTTTTATAAATTTATTACTTGGAATTTTAACATCTTTGATAATTTGATAAATGGTGGGCCGGTGTATCTCTCAATCTATGGACAACTTTTTATAATTCTTCCACAGAAATCAATTAATAATATCCTAATTTTTTGAAACTTATTGTAATGCAATTGTAGAATTCTTAACTCTTTCTAATCCAAAAACTCTAATACAATCTATTATTATTGATTTTCCTTGAGCATTTAAATCTCCAAATTCATATATAACATCATCCCCACCGAGTAGCAATTGTTGTTCATATGATGCACTAATTTCTTTTTCATCTAGCCATTTTTTGATTTTCCATAACGGTACTAAGCCTGGCATTACATTTGGTATTTTATATAATCCTAAGCCTTTACTGTATATTTCATATCTCTTTTTAAGTATATACTCATCTTTTTTTGATTCCAATTCTGTTTCTGCCCTACCATATATTGTTTCGCTGATATTAGTATCATCATCAGTTAAGGCTTTACTATGTACATTCCCACTGACTTCACAATCTAATTCTCCCTTTGTGTTTTCATCTCCAATGACAAATAATCTACCATTTTTCAAAAACGGTCTTATATCTTTCAATGGATAGTATGTTTCAGTACAAACATCTAATATTTCACCACCAAAATTTGCTTTATAATTCATCTTGTCACAATCTTCAACGTAGTAACCCAAATAATACCAACGATAACCTAATTTTTCACACAATAAAATTTCATAAATACTTGATATTACACCTAATGATAGATGAGCATAGTCTGTATCCCATATAAAATAAATTGATGAAATCCCACTCGGTAGAAAATCTAAAATTGAGATTGCTATAAGTTTGTCGTTTAGATAGTAACAAACATGAGTTGGACCAATTCTTTTAACTTTGTTGGTTTTGTCTTTAAACCAATTTTGAATATTTAAGTTGTCCCATTCTTCTTTAGTTCCATTTATCTCCTCAAATGGAAATGGAGTATCACATAAAAATCTTCTAAATCCAACTTCACTAACTTCATCTGGATCATCATTGTGTACGTTGATTTGGTATTTTTTATATAGCTGATATTTTTCTCTACTAAATTTTGAAGGTTCAAATTTCATTTTGAAGTTTGTTGATTTTGATTGAGCTTCAAACAATCTGTTTAAATTAAATGTGTTTTTCGGTATTGGGTCTAGTATTGATTCATCAGGACAAATTTCCTTGATAAATTTATTAATTGACTTCCTTTGCTTTTTATTTAGTTGTAAATATGAGTTATTAGTTCTAATAGTGTATAGTCTGCAACACGTCCTCAATAAATCTGGTTTATATAAAAAATCTCCTGATCTTCTGAACCCACAATTAATTAATTCGTCATATTCTTGACATGTCATTTCTAAAATTGAAGAACCTAAAGTTACTGACTGTTTGGAAGGTGTTGTTTTAGTATTTGAGGTTTCCTTGAAGGTGGTTGCTTGACTCTCTAATGCAAAAAAATCGGTCTTAGTATCCTTGCAATAACCACAATGCCTTTCTGATGCATATAGTGGAGCCGTGAATATCATGTTATATAGCCATTAAAACTATTATTGAGGTTGTAATTGTATAATCTTTGGTGATAATTAATTAGGTTGCCAAATTTAAATGCTTACGAAAACTTAAAACAAAATCAAAGTGAGAAAATAAATATGTTTAATAATTACATCATCATCTTTTGATCAAACCACTTCGATTCCATAAATTCTACTATAAAGGAGTCATCAGTCTCATTTTATAACATAAAACCTGTCTTCAATTTTAATATATGAGTTCAGCTAAAACTAGTCCTGTAAAAAAAGAACAACCAGAAGTTAAAAAGGAAATAGATTTGAAGAATGGCAAAGATTCACCTACGACTCAAGATTATGATGAAGACCCATCAATCTTATCTGATCCAGAAGAGTATTTAGAAAAAAATGAAAGTTTGGATATGAATTTATCTAGAACTGATCAAAAAGTATGGTTAGTTAAATTGCCAAAATATTTAATGGAAAATTGGAATAAACCAGAAGTTATGTCAAGTGGTAAACAACTTGGAAATGTTAAAATACGAAAAGATCCTAAAGGTCAATTACAAGTCAAATTGATATTAAATGAACAATTACCTGATCTACCTAAAGAATATGATATAAAAATGTTAAATACTCAAGTAAGGAACTCATATGCATTTACTGAAGAAAATTTGAAAAAGTTCAAGAAGGAAAATACGGAAGTAACAGAAATGGACGAAATACCAAATCAACCCAAAATCGAAGAACCAGAAGATAAAAGGAAAAAATTTCAACCAAGGAGGAAATTCAAATTTTTTAAAGTGACAAAAAACAATGAAAATGGTGAAAGTGGTGAACAAATCAAAAAATATATCCCCTTCGTTAAGACAATTCCCAAAAAGACAAGTTTAGTCGGTAAGATTGTACATGATTGTCAAGTAATTCCATCAAGAAATGACGCCAATTATTCATCGTTAATTAAAAAGAGAGATGCATCAATTCAAGGACCACCAAGACCAAAAGTCACATTATTAAATGAAATTCCTGGTGTTATACAATCAAATGCTGGTCCATCTATAAGAGGTAATAACACATCAATATTTTTAAAATCAACACAGCCAAAGAACAAATCAGAAGGAAGAGCTATAAGAATGCCAAAAAAGGATTTATTAGATTTATTATTCAGATTATTTGAAGAATATGAATATTGGTCAATAAAAGGTTTAAAAGAGAGAACAAAACAGCCAGAATCTTATTTAAAAGAATCTTTAGACTCAATTGCAACATTAATTAAGAAAGGTCCATATACTTCAAAATGGTGTTTGAAACCTGAATATAAGAAATTAAGAGACGCAGAAAGAGCTGCAAGACTAGGACTTGATGAAGAAGAAGATAAAGAAAATGAAGAAGATAACAATGATGATGATGAAGATATGGAAGATGTTATATAGGCTGACCTAGAAATATAAGTTTTATTTTTTCAAATAGAAAGTTGTATTGTCTCTGTATTCTTACGAATTGAGGTCAAAGTCAAAGAGAATCAGTATTCAAGAAGCAGGAATTAATTTGAATCAGAATGATAATAATAGACAGTGTATTCGTATGGTTATCTCGTCTATCTTATGCCACATAGAACATCATTATGTACTGCAACATAGTTGAATTTTCTGCTTGGTCCTCTAAGTTCATTACACTCCACAATTTCTAACTCCTAATCTATTATTAATCACAATCATCATAATTCATTATACTCTCTTAAATCCAGTTACATGTAATTAATCTTTTTACCCAATTTTAAATTTTTTTTATTAATAGCTATTTATACAAAAAATAAAAACGTCATCTCCTTCCTCTTACTTATAAGTTTTTGACATCTAAGGTTGGTGGTAATGATTGTTGTAATTTTTTAGCTTTAGTAGCATCGTTTACTACTAAAGTATATTGATATCTAGCACCTCTTACTTTAAATTTAGTTTGTTTGAATTTTTTACCATTAGCATTGATTTTGGTGTTGACTTTAACAACAGCTGATTTGATATCTGATCTTCTAGCTAATTCAACGAATTCTTTTATATCTTTGATTTCTCTGGCCATTTTTATGTATGTGTTTGGTTCTATTAATTGGTTTGGTTTGAACTAAGATTTCAAATATTAACCCAATGCTATTAAAATTGAAATTTTCATTTTGTTAATCGCATACAAAAAAAAATTAATATTAGTAAGTGTGCATAAATTTTAAATTAGGGTTTGGCCCTAATACTTTTAATTCAATTTTAAAACTCTTACATGTATTCAACAAGAGCTTAAGGTGAAGAGGTTAAGTTGGTTGATCAAATTGCTAATTGCCTCTGTTATTGCAAATAATGGTCTAAAGGTTGATGTTGCCTCGTATGAAATTTAATTGCGTAAGAATTAAGGTAAAAGTATTGTTTTGCATTACATTAATCGTATATTCATTACAGTCATAAATCATTAGCCTTTATACCCCTTTAACTCCTTGAACTTCTTCTCCTTGTAATTAATCAATCTTTTTACTGAAATAATCCAACGTCTAGTGGAATCATTAATCATTATATTACTTACACTTTTACTACCTGTAATTCTTGAACTTGAACTTCTTGCATGAATACCAACATTAACAACCCCAATTGGCCAGCATACATTACCAATACTTAGTTTCATATAACTTTCATTGGCCTTGTTAAATTCATTCGTTTGTATGTGGTAAAAAATAGTTGATAGTGAGATTAACATTTCTGTTGATAATTTATCGGTTCTTAGTTTATACAATAGTTTTAGTATACCCTTTTTTGTTTCTTTTAGCAACGATTTGTCTTCATCTGTAATTGCTTGCTGCTCCCAATCATGAAAAATTTGTTTGATTGAAATTCTGATTTGAATTCTCAAAATTGACTTATTTAATTCTGCATTTACAATTGCTTTAAGAGTGATTTCTTGTTTCTCTGGATCTTGATAGTACTCCTCTTCTTTGTCAAGCCAAACCTTGTATTTTTTGTTTCGAATGTCTAGTTGTATCAAATATTGTAGCCTTTTCAATTTCTCCTCCTTCGATAAGGATTCATCTAATGCATTTAAAGCATTTAATCTCTCATTAATCTGATCTTCTGTGAGTTCTGGTGTTTGAGATTCGTTCTTTTCGACTTTGTTCAATTCATTATCATCTTTTTTGACAAATTGTTCTTCCTGAGTTTTCACATCAATTTCATTTTTAGTATTTCCTACTTCAGGGTCTTCAGCCAAGTCTGGTGTTTTGATTACTTTTGACTTCTTTAATTTGACTTTATGAGATTGTTTCTTTTTCTTGATCTCCTTATTTATAAGGCTTGCAAAATCCATTGCTATGAACTCATTTGAAATAATTTACTTGGTCAGCGTTTAATGATGTTATAAAAGTTGTTAATTCTGGAAATTTGACAGCCAAACAAGTTTGATAGATAAATCAAGAAAAAAATACACAATCAAAATTACCCCCAAAAATTCAAAATTTAAAATCACAAGATTAAAATTGATTTAATTCAGACTAATTTTCTTTCTTCAATTGACTACTTAATTGGGTTAATTTATTATATCATAGGGACAAATTTAAACATTTAAATAATGTCCGAGAATCCTAAGTCAAAACCAAGGACAACAAGTGAGTCAGAATCAGATATACATGATAAAACGGAATCAAATGTCAACTCAGATTTTAGAGCAAACTTTGCCACAAATGAACCAACAACGTCATCAAATAAAATAAATAGAAAACCACAATCATCACCATTATTATCATCTACGCCACCACTGGTTTCAAAAGCTTTAGTAAAAGCATATCCTTATCTATTAATAATCAATAAACTTTTATCAATTGCAACATGGACAAATGAAGATAGTTGGGTAAATGTAGTATTAATATGTTTATATTCATTTGCTGTTTTATATTTCGAGAATTTAGTTACATGGTTGGGTCATATTATAATTGTTTGCATAATTACATTATATGCTTTATTAAATGATAAAATAATTGAAGAAACGAATTTACATCCAACTTTAGATGATGTTGTACAAGCATTAACTTCAACATGTATAAAAGCAGATATTTTATTAATGCCTATCACTTCATTATCATTAACAGCTTATGATGTGAAGAGATTATTATTTACAACTTTATTTCTTACACCAATTTATTTAATTATAACATTTTTATTAATAAAACCAAGAATTATATTATTATTTACAGGAATTTTCCTTATGACTTATCATTCATCATATTCAATTATTATACGTAGAATAATTTGGAAAATTAAATTAGCAAGATTAATTTGTTTTTATTTAACTGGTCTTGATTTATCACAAACTAAAAATCATTCATTATTTGCAGCTGCATTTGCAAAAGTTCAAAATAATAATGATGGAAAACCTTCATCAAAACCTGTTAGATTTACTTATGTCATTTATGAAAATCAAAGAAGATGGTTAGGTATTGGATGGACTTCGAATCTTTTATCGTATGAAAGAACTCCATGGACAGATGAATTTTTAAATGAAAGTAGTTCAATTGATACTTTTAAATTACCAAATGCAATTGATGATGCTAATTTACCAATTGACTCTAAAATGCACGGTGCCAATTGGAGATGGGTTGATAAAACTTGGAGATTAGATTTAACAAATGATGGTGCAATTACATTACCAAATTCCAAAAGATCTAAAACAACTGCAAATCCATCAACTGATGAAGGTTATATTTATTATGATAATGTATGGAAGAAACCATCAACTGATGATACTTTTTCAAAGTATACAAGAAGAAGAAGATGGATAAGAACTGCAGAATTAATATATGAAAGTAATGATAATAGTACTACTGTATCAGAATCAATAGTGGAAATTTCCGATGATACAAACAATGAAAAACTTGATCCTAACAGCAGTAATACAGAAATTAAAAAGAAAAACCTAAGATTTGCAGATACTGTAGAAGTATCAGATGATGTTGTTGATGATGATAAGAAAAATATATAACTTACATTCTTTTAGTAAATAAATAGAAATCAGATGTGCTTGAGAAGAGATAGAGAAATTAAAATCTCTGATATCTCCTTGTTGTTCTCGTAATCTTTTGTAATTTTACTTAATCTAATGCATAATGAATTAATTTACTTATAGTTTATGATCTGATTTTGTAATTTTATAATTTTGCTAATTTTGTGAAGGTCTGCCTTTAACATTTTTAAATTCTTTATACAAATTATGCATATCGGTATAATCCGAAATCATTTTAATACTATTAAATAATTCATTTCTTATCAATAAACAATATAATATAAATTAAATCTAAATTTTCCAACTTTCCTCTCTAAAATCTCTTCATTATTCAATCACTAATTCAATCAATTAATCATAAATTTTATAAAAATGTCAGAATTATTTGAAAGTTCATACGGAAAAGGTAACGTCAAATTCTTAAAAGTTAAAAAAGATTCCTCAAACCCTAAAATCCAAGATGTTTTAGAAGCTAATGTTCAAGTATTATTAAGAGGTAAATTTGATACTTCATATACTGATGCTGATAATTCATCAATTGTTCCAACAGATACTGTTAAAAACACTATTTTAGTTGAAGCTAAAACTCAAAATGTTTGGCCAATTGAATCATTTGCTGCTCATTTAGCAAAACATTTTGCAAATAAATATGATCAAGTTGAAGGTGTTGAAGTAAATATTGTACAAAGTAAATGGACAAAAATTCAATTAAATGGTAAAGATCATGAACATTCTTTTAAACATGATGGACCAGAAACTCGTCAAACTTATTTAAATTTTGATAAAAAAACCAAAGAATATATATTAAAATCATCAATTAAAGATTTAACTGTATTAAAATCAACAGGATCAATGTTTTATGGATATAATGTATGTGATTATACTACATTAAAACCAACAAAAGATAGAATTTTATCTACTGATGTTTCATCAACTTGGAAATTTGATTCTAAGAAAATCGGTTCATTAGATGATATTATTAATAATGGTTCAATTTTCGATAAAGCTTATAATGAAGCAAGAAATGTAACTTTAGAATTATTTTGTAAAGAAAATTCACCATCTGTTCAAGCAACAATGTATAATATGGCAACAAAAATTTTAGAAAATGTTCCACAAATTGAAGATGTTACTTATGTATTACCAAATAAACATTATATTTTATTTAATTTAGAATGGAAAGGTATAAAAGGTAATGATGAATTGTTTTATCCATCACCAGATCCAAATGGGTTAATTAAATGTACTGTTGGTAGAAAAGGTAGTAAACCAAAATTATAGAGAGAATATCATAGATAGATTATTGTAGTAGTTTAATTCATTAGATTCAATAGAGTGTTTATAAATATTAATAAATTTCATTTCTTTTACTTGGAAAGTTTCTTATCTATTTACTGAAAGTGTTGCAAAAAATAAATTTTACTAAAATAATTTGATGCGGCTTTTGAATCATCGTGAAAAATTACAACCACCATCAAACAAAAAGAATACAAAATGTCTAGAAATATAGTGCTATCGGTGCTAGCTACAGCTGCTATAACTACTATAGCTGTTGAATTATATCACAAATATGTAACACCAACCACTACTAGTCATAAACTTATCAAGACGTCACAAAATTCACAACCTAAACAACATTCAGAAGAACTTATTCGAGAACAATTAGCAAGAAATTATGCATTTTTAACAGAAGATGGTATGACCAAAGTTCGTAATCAGCGAATTATAGTGGTTGGAGCTGGTGGTGTTGGATCTTGGGTAGCTACAATGTTAGCAAGGTCTGGAGTTGAAAATTTAAGAATTATTGATTTTGATCAAGTTTCATTAAGTTCATTAAATAGACATTCTGTTGCTACTTTAGCTGATGTTGGGATATCCAAAGTTGATTGTTTAAAAAATCATTTATTGAAAATTGTTCCTTGGATAAATATAGATGTACATAATAAATTATGGAATTTAGAATCAGCTGAAGAATTATTAGATTTTAATCCAACTTATGTTATTGATTGTATTGATAATTTTGATACAAAATGTGATTTATTAACTTATTGTTATAATAAAAAAATACCAGTAGTATCATCTGGTGGAGCAGCCACAAAATCAGATCCAACAAGAATTAATATATCAGATATTTCTAAAACTGAAGAAGATCCATTATGTAAAAAATTAAGAATTGTGTTACGAAAAAGAGGTATAATTGAAGGAATACCAATGATTTTTTCAGCAGAAAAACCTGATCCAAGAAAAGCTAAACTTTTACCATTAGCAAATGATGAAATAAAAAAGGGAGATGTCGATCAATTATCAGCTCTTAGAGATTTTAGAGTAAGAATTCTACCAGTATTGGGGACAATGCCAGGTATGTTTGGATTAGCTATTGCTTCTTATGTATTAGCAAAAGTATCAGATTATCCAATAGAACCAATTGAAGGTAAAAATAGATATAAATTATATGATGATTTATTACAAAGTATTGCAGGACAACAAACAAGAATTGGGAAAACTGATCAAAGAGTTCAAATATCAATGCTTGATGTTATTTATTTATTGGAAGACGTTTTTAGAGGTAAATCACCTATTTCAAATTATTCAACAAGATTAACTTTAAGTAGATGGGATTCAACAAAGGAAATTAGTTTACAAAATGTTGTTATAATGACTAAAGAAGAACAAAAATTACATGAAAAAAGAGTACTCATAGGTGGTGAACCTTTAGAAGTTGTATACCCAAGAGAAGTAATTGAATTGGTAAATAAAAGATTTAAAGATGAAGCATATTTTTCACAATTTAGATAAAGATAAATAAAAATGTATATTAAAATTAATAGAAAGAATATAATTTTAAATCCGCACCGATAAATTTCTGGAACAAAAAATCAAAATCTCTCTTCATCTTGATTAATTGCTTTAAAACGCCCGCTCAATCTTAGAAACAAGCTAAAGGTTCAAGATGTTTCATTTCAATCCATTGCTTCGAACAATGTTTCGATTCAGACCAACTACGACACCATTTCTAAAAACTAATCCAACTCAATTGTATATAAATTCTATAAAACAATCTTTTAAAAGATATCAATCAACTACTACTACAAACACAAAACCAAAGGCGAAGGGAATAAAAGCATTAATGAAAGAATATGGGTATCCAGCTCTAGGAGTATATTTAGCATTATCAATGATAGATTTACCTATATGTTATGTATTAGTTCATTCAATGGGACAAGAAAAAATTGAATATTATGAAAATAAAATAAAACAACAATTTGGTTATGGTATAAGTGATGAAGAATTATCTAAAAAACAAGCAATAACAAAAATTGAAAATAATATAGAAAATAAAGAATATGAAAAATATCAAAATACTAAAAAAGATAATAATAATTGGTTTACATATATTAAAAATCAATTTTCATGGACTGAATTTGCAATAGCTTATGGATTACATAAATCTTTAATATTTATAAGATTACCAATAACAGCAGCTATAACTCCTGGATTAGTTAAATTATTAAGATGTTGGGGTTTTAGAATTGGTACCGATAAATTAAGTACTACTGCTTCAATAGCAAAAGATTTAGCTAAATCTGGTTATAAAGATATTACTGCTTCAAATCCTAAATTTGGTATTAAACCTGGTAAAAGAAAATGGTGGTGGTTTTTCTAGTTTTGTAAATAGATAGATATTAATACAATAAATAATGACAATTATAAATAAATAAATAAAATATTTCGTTTCATTACAATTTTTATATATAATGTATTCTTTATATATAAGTCTATTTATATTCATTATAACAATTTTTAGGGTAATTAATTTATTTATATTCCTAAAAATTTCTTCATTCTTTCATAAACAAAGAATGAACATGCAACCATTGGAACAACTTTCATATATCCAATACTTAACCCCACGAAAAATCCACGAATTCCATTTTCTTTATATATTAATTTAGCAGTTTGTTTAAAAGTTAAAAATTGTCCTTGATTTATAGCTCCACCAACTTGCATTCTTCTACGTATAACTTCAAATGGATATGCCGCAGTTTGTGAAAATAATCCAGCTAATCCACCTGCAAATAATTGAGCATATGCCTTGAGAGGTTGTCTTGATTCTCTACTTGATTTTTTTGATGAATTTGATAATATTGTTTTTGTTGGTTGTTTATAATTTTGAACAGTATATTTTGCTAAATATTTTGATCTTAAAATATCATGTAATAAATCATGAGTATAAAATGATACTCCTGCATAAGGTATCATTCCTAATATTGTTGGATAAAATCCTCTATAAAAATTACTTATTTTAAGTAGTGGTTTAGGTAAATTAGATCTCATAAATTTTAACCAATTTGGATCATTCAATTTTGATGGTTTGGGATTTTCTTGATAAATCATTAATATTGTTGATAAAATTTTCCCTCTATGATGTGTCATATAATCTAAATGTTTTGGATGTTGAATTAAATGATTTAAATTTTTAGTTTCAAATGCTAATCTTACTCTAATTAAATCTAATGGATATGTGAAAAATACAGATGCTAAACCAGATAATGAACCTGCTAAAAATCTACGACCGGCAGTTTCATATAAATCATTGGGGATTAAAATAGTTCTAATTTGTTCATAAGCTACAAATTTTATAGCAGCATATGGGAAAATTCTTAATAATGTTATTGAATGACCTTGATATAAACCCCAAATCCCATCATTTGACCAAATTCTTTTTGCTGCTTGAATTAATCCATAAAATGTACCTCTATATTTTAAAAATTCAGGATTTGAAGTTTGAAATAATATTTTAATTCTATCTAATGGTGCAACTAAAGTTTTTGCAGCACATCCTGCTACTCCACCTGCAATACCTGATAATATTACATATTTAAAACTTTGTTTATCTAAAACTCTATGACTTTCTATTGGTGTAGATTGATCATTTGAATAAAGTCCTGATTGTGGTATATTTTGGTTATTATTTTGAATATTAGTATTATAATTAAATTGTGTCGGTATTAATGAAGTTATTGATTGATTTTTAGTAGTAGTAGTAGTAGTGGTTGTTGTCATTGAATTATTTTGTATATTATTTCCTTGTATTTGATTATTTGATTCATTTTTATGTAGTATATTATTATTTGACATTCTATAAATATTATATAATTAACATTTGAGGTAATGATATTATTTAAATAGTATATATATAATCAGTTTAAATTAAAAATTTCTAATCAGTTTTGTCTATCAAAGTAAAGTCGAAGTAATAATCTAAAGATAAAAAGTTTTTTAAGTATATTGTGTATTGTAAATAATATTATTTGATTTTTGGTCTAAAATTTTGATAAAAATTTCTTCCCCAGAAAAAATTAAAATTTAAATTTGAAAAGTAAAATAATAATATGAGAATGGAAAATGTGAATTAAAAAAAAAATGTATTATGACTATAGATATTAGTTATCAATAACTACTTGATATAACTATTGATTTCTTTTATCAAATGTTTAGTTTAAAAACTAAAGATGATTTTAATAATACAATTGGAATTTCATATAAATCCGTAATAAAAATGAGACGATGTCAATTTGACATATCTTTTCTTTCAAATAATAATTATTATAATTGTAATAAATCTTTTATATTATCAATATATACTTACAAATAGTTAAACTTTAGATTAGTTATACTCTCAGGTCACAAAATCAAATCAATTAATTCTGGAACTTAAATTTTTCAAAGTTGTATCTTGTAGATGAACCTTTGTTATCTTCAATATTATAATTCTGATATTTGAATCTCGAAGTTTATGTTTAGATTTCAAATACAAATGTCTATGTAGAACAAGATATAAACTTACCATATCCGACGGAGTTTAATTTATCAGGACGGTAGCTACCAAATATTTAGATCTAATTTATTTTGTACTACCTCAAATTAAGTCGCAAGATAGTTCTTTACAAAATTGCATTTTATCAATTTGTTTAGAATTTTGCAATCGCGTAGAAATCTACTTCGAAGTAAAGTAAATTTATATAATTAAGAATTTATTTTTTTTGCTATATAATAGTAATAATAGTTAATAGTAATAATAAAAGTAGTAATACATATTTTTTTTTTTCCTTTTTTTGCTTTTCTGATTTTTCTTTTTTCTTAGTATTATATTCAATTAAATGAATATAATTCTTTTTATGGATTTGTTTCAACAACGACAACAATATCAATTAATGATTGATTATACCAAATTCTTATATGCTCAAGCAGCTGGTGATGCACTACTTGGTGGTCTATAACCGGATGTTCTATCTTTATGATAACTTGATGGTGATCTACCTCTAATAATTAATGGTGGTGATTCAACTGATCCTAATAAAATTGGTTGAATTGAATTACTTTCATCAACTATACCTAATAATTCACAACTTAAAGTAAAATATCTTGCAGCTGTTGAACTTGATTTAACTCTTATTGAACTTGTAAATTGAATTCTTTCAAATCTTGCAACTTTTGATATTGATGAACTTGGATAATTTTTTAATATTGAATTATCTTTATCCATTATATTATAATCTTGATAATATTGATTTCTATCAAAATAAAATACTTTATTCATATTTTCAATTTTATTACCATTTCTTTTATTACAACTTGCTTTTATTGTTTCATGATCTGGTAAATCACCTGGTAATGCTGGATAAATTGGTGGTGGGAATTGTGGACCTTTATCTCTTTTTGCAGTATGTTGAATTAATGATATAGCAATATCATCATCTGAACATTTTGCAACTAATCTAATAGCAAAATAACTAATATTTAATCTTGTTTCTCCTGCATGTTGTTGATGATGAGGATGATGAGGATGATTTTGTGGTTGATTATGAGTTGGAATTTTATTAATTGATGAACCATTATTTAATTGAGATTTATCATAAGTATAATATTGATTATTAATAAATCTATTAAAATCAAAATCTTGTAAATTAAATGATGCACATAAAGTAAAATAATTTCTTTTATAACCAATCCATGTACCAGTTTCTCCCATTTCAAACCCTCTATCAATTCTTGCTGATAAATTTGGGAAAACTTGTAAATCATTAGATTTACAATATAAATTTTGATGTTGTTTAAACATTCCAAATGGTGGTCCAACTTTAAATAAATCACTTGATCTTGGTGCAACTTTTCTATTTGCTGATTCCATCATATCATTATGACTTGCTCTTGCTAACATTTCCATATGATGTTGTTGAGCTAATGAATGAGCATCAATAGCATTTTGATCATGAGTAGTTGAAGGATCAATTGATGAATTATTAGCATGTAATGCTGCTGCTGCAGCTGCTGCTTGTTGTTGTTGTTGTTGCTTTTGTTGTTTTTTAGATTGTCTTGGTTGTCTTGTTGTTGTTGCTGAAGTAGTAGCTGTTGGTTGAGGAGTTGGTTGAGGAGTTTGATGATGAGATAATGATTGACCAATTGAACCACCTAAATGATGATTTAAATGTGGTGGTAAAGGAGCTGGTTGTTGAGGTTGTTGTTGTTGTTGTTGAGGTTGTTGTTGAACACCTTGATGACCTAAATGATGCAATTGTTGTTGTTGAGATTGTTGTTGATAAGCCATTGGATTAAATTGCATATTAAGATGATCATGAGAATTATCATGATTACCAGAAGTTGAAGTATGTAAATGTGGTAACATTTGAGCAGCTGCAGCTTGTTGTTGCGCCTGTTGTTGAGCTTGTTGTTGAGCTTGTTGATAATGTTGTTGATAAGGATTTGGAGTTAATAATTGATGATGCATTTGTTGATGTAATTGTTGTTGAGCTTGTTGAGCTTGTTGAGCTTGAAATTGTTGTTGTTGATAAGGTTGTGGAGTATGAGATTGAGAATAATGTTGTTGTTGTTGTTGATTTGGAATTTGATGAATTCCTTGTAAATGAGACTGTTGTAAAGGTTGTAAATGAGAACCATTTAAATTATTTGTAGTATTATTTGTTAACCCATTACTTGAACCATCATAATTATAAGGATGATGAGTTGAAGTTGAAGGATGAGATAATGGATGTTGTTGTAAAATATGAGGATGTTGTTGCAGTTGTTGTTGAGGAAATTGAGAATGTAATGAAGAATCATTAACTCTTGGAGTTGAATTTGAAGTATTATTACCAGTTATATTATTATTAATACTACTTGAATTTGATTCATGTTTAATATGATGATGTAAATTATTTAATGGAACTGGAGTATTTGATTGAGTATTAGTTGCATTAGTATTTTCATGAGATATATGAGTATCTTCATTTGATAAATTCATCATGTTTTGGTTACCAATAAAAAAAATTTAATCAATGAACACAAACAAAAAAAAATTTTTTAAAGGTATAAAATCTGGTTGATACTTTAAGATTTAATAAAATGAATGGATAGTAACCAAGTTAAACCCAACCTATATGATAAGTTCAATCAAAATGTTATAACAATATTTGATATCAATAATAAATGAACAAAATTTAGTAGTAATTATACGTGTAAAACTCCTTTACTACTACTAATTTATCTAGTTGTTTTTTTGATAATAATAATCTGTATTGTTATTAACCTTCACTTAAATCTTTTGACTTTGATTTGATTACTTAAATTCAATCCTATCAATATATGTTTTGTAATACTTTATTGAAAAAAACAAAAGTACTTTATTAAAATGATTTTGTAATTTTCAATGAACACAATAACGAAAATTTTTTTATTTTATTTTTTTTTTTTTGATGATTTTTTTAAATTTCAACAAACTCAAAACACTTAAGTACTACTGAACTAAAGATAGATCAAAAAAATTTTAATTTATGTTTGTTGTTCAATACAAAAATATATTGGATCTTGGAATATCTTTAACTTCTATTATATACAATAATGTCACTCAATGTATATAATCAATGTAATGAATATTATTGATGTATTATTAATTTATATTGATTGATTGATTAAATGTTGTTGTAAACTTCTTCTTCTTTCAATATTTAATATATAAAAAAATTGGTAACAAAAGAAGAAAAAATGAATTTAAAAAAAAAAAAAAAAAATTTTTGAAATCATACATAAAGGAGTTTAGATTACGTTTTATTATCTAGATAATCAGTTCAANTTATAAGCTATTTATATACAGTATTTAATATATGAGGTAGTGTACTTTTGTAACTCTTCTCTCTTTCTCGCTTTAGTATATTATTATAATTAATACTAAAAACCTATTAACAAATTAGGATGTTAATATAAAGTAGTATTATAAGTAAAAGATGTAATCATTTATTATAGAGTCTCTCAATATAAAGTAAGAGGACTATGTAAAGAAGGTCCCAAAAAAGAATTAGTATAATTTGTTAATTGAAAGATCTATAAATTTGATAATAAATGTAAGATTTTAGTATGAAAAAAAAAATAAAAAAACATTAAATATTATTGGTAGATATATATGATGTCCAATATATATAGTATATATATATATATATATTAACAAAATTTCAGCCTTGTGAATAATAACAAAATAAATTAGATAATGGGATAGGGATTGTAGATCTTAAGGGATTTCAAATTTCATTAATATGTGAGGTATAATTCATGAGTGTATAATACATACGTTAAAGACAGATTGAATAACTTATTATTAGTTCTAATAATATTATTATCATCATCGTCGTCTAAATTTAAAAACTTTACATTTCTAAATTAAACTTTTTATTTGGTTTGGTTGTAAATTAATTTTTGTGATAAATCGACCGTTTTTTTTTTTTTTTATTTTTTTGGTTTTGGGTTTATTAGTTCAATTATTAAGTTAAGTTACTAAGTATATTTTAAAATATAAAGCCTATTATTATTATTATAATATTATGATTATAATATTTTATAAGTAGTTGTACTTAGAAGTTTATGTACCAATTTATCGTATAACATTGATTATATACCTATCATATATATTTGATCAATATTAAATTGAGTAGTCTGTCAAATAATAACAATATTTAGTATGAAACGTATTAAATGGAATACTCGAAATCTTGAAATTTAGTTCCGATGAATTTAATTGGTTAATATAAATTTTTAATTTCCTAACTTCCAAATAAATCATTTGATTTGATTGACATCATTTTATTTTATTTTTTTTAATTTTTTTAAGTTATTTTTTTTTTTTTATTATTTTTTTATTTTAATGAAAATGAAAAATGGATTTACAAAATATTTTTAATTAGGATTCATTTTTCTGTACAAATCTCATCCCTTTAATTTATTATATTTCCTTATTAAATTATAATACTTTTATTATTTAATTTCAAAACAAACTATCACTTGACCTTTACGTCTTAAAAAAAATTAGTAATAGTTTTGGATATATTGATATTAATGTTTTGACAAAAAGATGAAAAAATTAAGACATTCAAATGAATAATAAAATTTCAAAAAATATCAAATTATCTCGGAATTATTTCCAGATTTGAGTGAAAATTTCAGGTTTTTTAAGTTTCATATAATAGCTTATTTTTATTAAGCGTGTTTTATTTTAATAACACAAAATATGTATTTTATTAAATTTATTTAATCGTTCTTAATAAAAAGTAAGTTCACACATAAATTGATCTCAAAGTAAAAAATTTATAATACAAAAAGTATAGAGTGGCTAATTAATTAAATAGATTTATTTCAATTAATTATACTACAGTTTATTTAACAAAAGTAAGAGCTAAAAGTCCAAATATAATTGACCTTTATAAATTCTGTCTAATCTGTGGTAAGTGGAGAAAAAATCGTAACTTAATTTGGATATTGCCCACACGCAGTTTTGATTATTATTATTATTATCGTTAGTATTGTTCTTTTTATTGTTATTTCACTTTGATTCAATGCAATGAAAAGACACGTCTTTTTAATTACGATTTTACAATGAAATATTGTTAATTGTCAATTCGTATGATGAAATTACTCTAGATCTCAAATCTATGGACGCTAGCTTTAACTCAAATATTCTTATTATTTCCTTAAAATCTACAAAATGATTTAAAAAGGTTACTTTAGAATTAATCTAACAAAGCTTGAAATAGAAAGAATTAACGTAAAAATGATCGGATTAATTCCACCACAAACTTAATAATTTTATTACCCATATTTCCCCAAACTAAATCTTAAACTTTACAATTTTTTGTGTTGAATTCAAATGTTATGGAAAAAAACCGTTGGATCACAAGAGAGAGAATTAAAGAATAAAATATTTATTAAAAAAATTCAAATTTACGACTAAAAAATCTTACTTAAAATTGAAGGACAAAATTAGTCAACCAATTTAATTTTACAAAATCAATATAAAGTAGATCTAAATGCAGATACGAGAATAATAGTCTAAGAAAAAGTGAATCTCCACTTAATTGTGCCTCTCTCTTGAAGTATTCATGATATTTAAAACACATATTAAAGATTGAATGTAGTTTCTTATAGTTACAATCAAGATTGGTTTCTTCCAGTATAGTACCTTTTCAAACTGCATTTAAAGACATTGTTAAAATTTACCGGGAGTAATATCTATTTTGGCACGTCCCTCCAAACTTATCATCATTGAAATTCTTTTTTGCAACCAAATTTATTGATTTGTAGTAGCTCGATTCTTAAAACATTCATTGACTATGTTCGACTTAAGCTGAAACAGCTACTAGACCTTGACTCTCAGTCTTACTAGACGAAACTGCGATGATGATTTGTGTGAATCAAGTTTATATATATCGCTTTTCTATACTATTTTAATCTAGAATGTCAGTTTTGTAAATTTGATGACAATGCAGAAGTCGCGTGACAAACTGTCAAAATTTTTACGAAAGTCTAATATCACAATTTATTGCTGTTCGGTTGTTAAATAATTCTCCTATTAAGATTTTATAAAATATACAGTTTTTATGTGGAGATATATGAGTAAGATCTTTTACAGATTATTTAACAATCAAGGTTTAGACCCAAAGCTTTCATTAAACATCTTATGATATTTGTTAACTCAAAATTCTGAATTTTGTAATAGGTTGTGCAGAAAGTCTTTAATTAACCATTTAAAATACTCCATAGTAAGTTTTAAATTTTTATAGAAAAAATAAAAAAAAAAATTTTAAACCAATTTTTGCTTTTTTTACGTGAAACAATAATTAACTTAATCATAACTTTATAAATATATAAAATTATCGAGGAATATAAAGTTACTTTACATTAGTAACACATTTCTTTAAAAATTTGGAGTTGATTATTACAAATACATTTCATTTTTCAAAAGTTTTTTGGTTTTCATTTCATTCATTAACTTAAAATTACTATATGATTCTATTTAAATGCAACAATCACTGACACCTTCTTATAATAAAAAGTCAGTTTCATCAACTTTGAATTCCTCATCTACATCATATAACTCATCATCAACTACAATGACTTCAACGGTTCCATCTAAACCGAAAGTTCAACCACATCAACAACAACAACCAACTTCATATCATCATCATTATCATTTAAATGGAAAAAATGTTAATGGACAACCTTCACAACCATCAACAGCTCAAAATGAGAATGATGAAAAACTAAGTAGTGGCGCTGTTGAACATCATCATCATTATCATCACCATCATCATCATCATTCTTCGCCATCATCAATTTTTCCAACTTCATCAAGTTTGAGAGACATTTTATCTTTAGTTTTTATTACATTATCATTACCACAATCATTATCATTAGTGATATGTGTACTTTATTTAATCTTGGGATCAAATTTTATGGGTGGGAAATTTTTAATTAATTTTTTACTTCCAAATGAACATAAATCTGTTTATAAAGGGTTTCGAAATTTATCATTTTCAGCGATTAAAATTACAATTCTTGATTCAATAATTTACTTAAGTTTGATTAAATTAATAAACAAGAAAAGTTATTTCAATTATTTTATAATATTATCAAAGTCTATAGTATCGAGTGAATTAATTGGATCATCATCAATAAACTATATAAATTCAATATCAACTAAAAAAATTACCACCAAAATACAATATGATGATAAAAATAAAATATTTTTCAACAACAATTTAATTAATGCCATTTTTTGTTTTATCATAATAAATTATATAAATTATTTATTAAATTGGTTTCATTTTACAAACACAACATCATCATTTATAAATTTAATACCTGTAAATAACTTATCATATATTAATAATTATAATTTTAAGGACTATAAAATACAAATTTATTTATTTTTATCAATACATATTATAAATCAAGCATTTTTTTTAAAAAAATCAACAATTATATCAAATTCAATACCAAATATAAGTGATGAAATATCAGTAAATGTTGATGAAAATAAATTATTAGATATTGAAATAAATTTAAAGAATAAAAGCCATTCAAAGAATTCTTCAATTGCATTTAAAAATTTTGAAAATTTTATTGTATCACCATTTAATAGTAAATTAACAAATTTAAAAAATAGAATGAGAGCAAGTTCAATAACCGCAAAACCTATTGTATTACCTAAAACTGCATCAAGTACATCAACAACTTCATCAACTTCTTCAGCAACTTCAAAGTCATTAACTACTACAACAATTTCACCAAATGTTACAATTATTGAAAATACTATAATTATTCAACCATTTTGGTCAATTATTGCTGCTTGTAGAGCCATTTTAAAAAACCCAAATTTGTTTAATGGAGAATCGTCCAGGAAAATCAACGTGGAGGAAACTCCAATGGCCGTGTTGGTTATTGATTCAAGTAAAGTTATTTTGAAGTTTTTATCAGCAACCACTGGGAAAATTAATGTTATTTTAAATAATATCGAATGGTCATATTTCAAGTTGGTGAAGGAAAACAATGAACAATATTTGATTATATATGGATTAACTCCCTTGTTTCAATACGACGTTGAGATCTTTGGTGGTGGTAAATTAATCAATCAGTTGTTAATAAACACTACGGGAGATAATGAAATTATTAACAAGTCATTACCAGAAACATCATCATTAGTTACATTACAAACTTCATTAAATTCCACAATGACAAAATTAAACAATGTTAAATTAAAATTGAAAAAATTTAAAAAGGACGAGAACAAAAAGATTCAAGACATTAAAAATTCAATTGACTTGTTGAAAAATAAGATTTCAAAATATAATTCAAATAAACCGGTTAATGAAAATAGAGTATTTGGTAAAATCAAAGGTTTAAAACATTCAGTAATTCAATTAGAGAATGAAATATCTTCAATACAAGAAGAAATTGAAGCATCACAAAAGGAAGAATCTAAATTGGAATCAAATTTTAAATTAAAAGAGCAAAATAATCAAAATGATATTAAAGAATTGGAAAAAACTTACAATGATTATGAAAACAGAATTAAAGAAGATAAATCAAACCTCACCAAATTAAAACAAGAGCAATCACAATTTGATTTAAAATTATCAAAATTAATTTCAAAACAATCAACAAAACAAGAAGAAATTAAAACATTAAATTTAGAATTGAAAAATTTAAAAAAAACTGAAATATTAAATAAATTTTCCAAAAGAATTAAAAAAATAAATGAAAAATTTGATACCATAATACCTAAAATTATTCATGAGACTGAAATTTTAACTCGTGAATGTTCTGAATTATTAGATGATGATGATTATGTACATGTATAGAACTAAAAAAAAAAAAATCACTTTTATATACTAATATTTTTTTACTCAACTGATTCTCCAATTTTATGAAATCCTCTATTGTAATATAATAACCCACCGGTTTTTTTATCATTAAAATTCAAAATTTTAATTACTTCAATTATCCAAATTTCGTGATCATGTATTGGAATAAATTGATCAACTTTACATATAAATATCAGTTCAACTCCAGTTTTAAGTATTGGTATTTCAACTTTATCATTAATTTTATAATATTCATAATCTTTATCGGTTAATTCATTAAATGGAGTAGTCATTTCATGAAAAACTTCACCATCTTCATCTTGTTGTTTTAATTTATTACCTTTAGCAAAAATTCTTGCAATTTTACTACTTTCTTGTGTAGGTGACATTAAATGAATAGCACAATATTTATTTTCTTTTAATGATATTGAAGTATATGAAGGTAAATGTAAATTAAATTGTAAAAAAGGTTTTGGATAAACAGATAAAGAAACTACTGAACTTAATGTCATTCCATGTAATGTTTTAATTTCTTCCTTTGTAGTTGATGAAGTTAATATCATTGCTTGTGATGCTAATTTTGACATTGTTAGTCGAAATGAATTTGATATTTGTGTATGATGTGAGACATGGTTGAAACGAATTGTTGATGAATTGAATTGACGAAGAAATATTTTCATTTCATTAGTGGCAGTATGTTCTTGTTTTTACAATTGAGTTTTATTTGGTTGTAATGTGATAGATTTAATTTTTCATATTTGTGATAATCAATTATCATATTCGGTGGTTGGAATCCGCACTCACGTGAATTGTTTGGTAGCGTAATTGATCGGACTTGTAAAAGAATAATAAATCTTAATGATTATATAATCTAGCCAAGATTATAAATGAATACAATATGTTACAGATCTTAGATCTTGTGTAACCTGGCAGATTTCTTAGGGTCTACCTGTTATTATTCTCAGATCATAGTTTCAGCTAGCTATTTATATATGATATAATATAATAACTCAATTAAGTTGATCCTTTGATTTTCTCAATTGATAAATTGATTTTTTACAAGGCTTAAAAAATATAAATTAACCGAAATACTTTCTAGTTTGTTTTATATTGTCTCGAAGCGAGTCAAGTATTTAATATTTTCACTGACATTTATTCGATGATGATGTTATTAAGTTCTCGAAGCCATGTGGTAGAAGCCTTGGCTATCAACCGAAGCCAGAAAATTTTCATTAAAAAGATGATCCCTTAATATTTGGAATTATTCCAAAAACAGAAAATTAATTGATCATTTTAAATCAATGGTTCATAACTGTTTTAAAATTTTTAATTTTAAGTAATTTAGCATTTACATTTAAAATTAATTGAAACTTAATAAATACTTTTGATAATAAAACTTAAAATAAAACTAATGATTATAAAAAGGATTTTCAATAGACTTGGACCTTTACTTTTCTTTCTTTTCCATTCAATTATTAAGTAACTACACTATGTTTCAATCGTTTAATATAATAATTTTGTTCTTTATATCAATTATATCTGCAAAAGATGCAGTTGAAGTATTACAATTCGAAAATTTCGGTTATTCTGGATCATATTCAAAAGTTGGTCAAATAAACAATATCTACGAAGATTCATGTTCATGTTCATTAGATTCAACTCCAGTAGCATTTTCAGGTATAAATACTCCATTAAATGAAGAAGTTAGTGTTCATTTTAGAGGTCCTTTGGTATTAAATAAATTTGCATCTTATGTATCTGATGGGTTTAAATATGGTGATGATAATTCAGGTAATTGGAATAGATTGAGTTATTATGATGCTGATGAACAAACAGCTGATAATGTTACATTTTTAACACGTGCTGGTAAAAATTCTTCATGTTTAGGTTTAGGTTTAACTTATGCTGATAAAGATGGTATTTCAAAAGCTAATTCTTCAACTATATTAGCAAAAGATACTTTAATTAATTCAAATGATGAATATGTTATTTTTTCAAATTTAACTTGTCAATCATCTGGTTCAAATAATGATTGTGGAGTTTATAGAACTGACATACCAGCTTATAAAGGGTTCGCTGGTGCTGTTAAAATGTTTTTATTTGAATTCCAAATGCCAAATGAAACTCATACCTCCAGTAAAATTTCAAATTATAACATGCCAGCAATTTGGTTATTAAACGCTCAAATTCCAAGAACTGCTCAATATTCAAATAATGTAAATTGTTCATGTTGGAGATCAGGTTGTGGAGAATTTGATATTTTTGAAATTATGAATACAACTGAATATTTACATTTATATAGTACTGTTCATGATTATCAAGGTACTGATCAAATAGAAACTGGATTAGCTATAAGTGATTATATTGAAAGAGATTTGAGTGGTACAATGGTTGGTGGTGTTGCTTTTGATTCAAATGGTGATGTTACTGTTTGGATTTCAAATTCAACTTCTTTTGATCAATCAGTTAATGCAAGTTCTGTGAATTCTTGGATTAAAAATGATAAAGATTCTGCTACAACTACTTTATCTTCAGCTTCTTTAGCAAGTGCAACCGGTGGTAGTAGTTCAAGTAAAAAGGGAGATGGTATGAGTTATAAACCATCAATTTTGATGAATTTGGTTGCGTTATTGACAATGTGGATTTTATAGATATTTATTGGTAGTTAGTCAATATAATTTATTTGGGTTTTGTAATAAATTGAGAGTAGTCTTGTACTCTATGTGTGTATTAATGCTATAAGTTACTTTACATGTATTTGTCGGTTGAAATTTTTCGAGATTCGTTGATGCAATTGTCAATGCAATTGTCTTTAATAAATTATTTTGATGACCAGCAACCAAAATCATAGTCAGTGCAAATGCAGCTAATTCTTGAGCTAAGTTCCTAAGTTTCATAGACCTTTGTAATCAATATACCTTATGATGAGTTGTGATAGTATAGGATTTTCTTTAAAAGTTATGAACAAATCCTCCTTCATATTAAAAGCCGATTTATTGACATTAAGAGTTTCGCCATCCCATTTTGTTTCTCCTTCAGTGAGTTTTATTCCATCACCTTCACCTTTTTTTATATCTCCCATGTACTTCTCTATCTCATCTCTATATAATTGATCGATTTTTTCAACAATATTCTCTACAAATTCTATTTGAACTTTCAGAAATTGTTTATCCGGATGAAATGGTCTATACTTACTCACTATCTTCTTAGATTGTAGTATTGATTGAATATACTTTTTGTTATTGGATATTAATCTAGTTGGTTCGTTAATTTCAGTAATATTTGGTTTTAATTTAATCACATTTTTAATTTTTTCATCCTTGATTTCAGATAATCTAATTGCATTCCCCATAGGTAGTACAGTATTTATTGAATTAGCATCAGTTTTGATTAATGATTGAACGTATGAATTTGTTTCAAGTTCCTCCCTGTTATAATATTGATTTTGTAGTAAATCACTACAATGCTTTTTGGGTACGTCTTTTAACCATTTGTTTGGGTTTGTAAGTAATGGATTTTTAAAAATTAATTGTTGTCGTGACATCAGTGTACATTAAATCAATTAATTTTCGAAATTTGTTTGTTTCGGAATTTTCTCTCTGAAAATCGTTGTTATCAGTTAATCTATAATTCTCGTAAATTTGTTTCAAGATTTTTTTATATTTTCTTTTTTTTATTGTTTTAAGTTTTGTTTCATAATTTATTTTTTAATGCAATTATGAAACTTGAATAAAATACAAATTGACATGCAATGCATTGCTTATTTTAATTCGCTGTTCTATATAAAGTGAAAGGGTGTTTTCTTATTTTTCAAATTCTTTACTTTTTGAAATGTTTTTCAGCTCATCATTCATTCATTAAAATAGCCAACTTTTTACATTCATTATGATCCAACTTTTACTTTCATTAATTTTTTATATCTCAATATGTTCATCAGCACCATTAATAATCAAAACTGTTGTTGTCACTGCCCCCATGGAATATGTTACTGTTACCGTTGGTTATACTCCATCTCCTACTTCTACACAAATTCCTACAACTCCAGAGACAATTTTAGTTCAACCTACCAGCTTAAATTTATTTGATGCTATACAATCTGTACAATCCGAGTTCTTTAATTCCAAATCTCGATATTCAGTAGTACTTGAAACAGTTACAGCACCAATATCATCTCAATATCAATCATCAACAACTACAAATCCATCAACTTCAACCCCGTCACTGTCATTTTCAACATCAACTTTACAACCAATTCCATCCTCATCATCAATAAATTTACAAATAGTGTCACCTTCACTATCATCAATATATACTTTTTCTACCTCAACAACCTCATCTTTAATCACCTCATCCTCAGCAAGCTCATCTTCAGCAAGCTCATCTTCACCAAGCTCATCTTCACCAAGCTCATCTTCACCAAGCTCATCTTCACCACCACCAACAGAAACATCTCAATCTAATCCAATTCTTTCTAAAGTAGTTTCTTCAACTCCTCAATCTGGTTATTCGTACATGTCCACCATTAACAGATTATGGCAAAGATTTTGGCAAAACGGTAAATGGAATCAAAATGATGTTATTTGTGAAAATGCTTCATATGTCACTCCACCTCTTTGGAGTTTGGCTGTTTTAGGTAAAGCTATAACAAATACGGGTGACTCGAGTGGTATCAACACAGTTATAAATAGTATTTTAGATTATCATGATCAAGCAACTGGTGCATTTAGTGATCAGCCAAAAACTGGAACATTTTACACTGACGATAATGCTCAACTAATGTGGGTTTTCACTGATGCTTATAAAATTACCAATAATCAACAATATTTAACTTGTGCTGAAGGGATAATGAACTACCTCAAAACTCAAAATTTTGAAAATACTGGTGGTATAGTTTGGCAAAATGATCAAAATTATATAGCTTCTATCTCAACTGTTGAAACTGCATTAGCTGCTGTTAGATTATATGAAGTCAATGGTGATGAGTCTTTAATTGATTTAGCAAATAAATGTATGAAATTTATGTTTGATCATTTTCAAGATCCTAATGATAAATTATTTTATGATGGCTTGGATAAGACAGCTTTTGCGTCAGTTAATAAAGGTAAGTTATCATATACTGTTGGTTGTGCTATCAGTACATTATCAAAATTGTATAAATTAAAAAATGATATCAGCGCTTTAACTAAAGCATTGGAGTTAGCAACTGCTGCAACTAATATCAATGGTGCATTTTATACTGGTGAAAAAATCTGGAATAATAGTTTACAATATTCACATTTATTATTTGCTGGTTTTGGTGATGCTTTCCAATCAAGTTCTCAATTTGATCAATTTAAACCAGAAGTTACAAGACAAGCTAATTACATTTATCAATTTTTACAAGATCCACTGGATTCAAATCTTTATTTTGATTCAATCAATGTTGGTACCACAAATACTTTTAATAAATTTGCTCAAACTTTTCAAGTTGATTCAAATTATACTCCAAGTACTAGTATATATTGTAACAACAACCCCAATGGACCAACAAGTAAAAGCTTTTTAACAAATGCTAGTGCTGCTCAGATATTATATCAATTAGCAAAATATTAAACAATTTATTTTAAACTTTATTTTTAGTTTTGTGTATGTTTCAAAATGTGTTACTTTGTGTGTGTATGATTTTTTTATCTTATCAATAAAGTATTAGATACCCTTACGATCTTTCTTTACCATGCTTCCTCTAATCTTACTTCAATTCTGGTTAGTTTGTGTTGTTTCCCCTTTGTCACTTCTCAATCAAGTTGTGAAAGGTCAAACTCAAGTTTATAATTACCAACAAACTATTAAGAAATTATGGGGTAGATTTTTTGAATATGACAAAATTACTTGGAATTATAATGATAATATTTGTCAAGATAATGCTTATGAGATACCATCCTTATGGGATACTGCAGTAGTTGGCAAGGCTATAACTAATTTAAATTCGATTAAAACTCTTAAAAATCTTATAACTGCAATTTTACAATATTATGATCCAACAACTGGTGCTTTTGCTGGCTATCCCAATTCAACAGATATATATTCAGATGATAATGCTCGAATTTGTTGGGTTTTCATTGATGCTTATACTATTAGTCAAGATGATAAATACTTAGGTTATGCTGAAGGTATAATGAAATACTTGAAAACTCAAAACTTTAATGATACTGGTGGAATCATTTGGCAAAATGATCAAAATTACATTGCTTCCATTTCTACGGTTGAGACTGCATTAGCTGCTGTTAGATTATATGAAGTCAATGGTGATGAATCTTTAATTGACTTGGCACATAGATGTTTGAAATTTATGTTTGATTATTTTCAAGATCCTAATGATAAATTATTTTATGATGGTTTGGATAAAACAGCTTTTGCATCAGTTAATAAAGGTAAGCTATCGTATACAGTTGGTTGTTGTTTAAGTTTGTTATCAAAATTATATTTAATTGAAAAAAATAAAATTTATTTGAACAAAATTTTTGAATTAGCGACCGCTGCTACCAACCGATCTTGTGGTTTGTATACAAATACAATTTGGAATAATAGTTTACAAAATTCCCATTTATTATTTAACGGATTTAGAGATATATTTCAGATTGGTTCGCAATTTGATCAATTTAAACCAGAAGTTTTTAGACAAGCTAATTACATATATCAATTCTTACAAGATCCAAAAGATAAATATTTCTATTTTGATCTGGTTGATTGTGGTTATAAATTAATTTATTCGAATTTTGCATCTAAATTTAATATTACAAATTATGAGTTTATTGAAAATCCAAACTACTTTTGTAATGGTAATTTATCAAGTCCTACGAAAAAAAGTTTGATAACCAATGCTAGTGTTGCTCAAATTTTATATAGTTTAAGTAATATGTAGAGTCTAAAAGAATTGTGGATTTTCATCGGTTGAAGCACCCGTTAAAAAGCCCGATTGACTAATTTGCTAATTGGATCTATTAATTAGTTGATTTGTGAGCTAAAATAAATATGTTATCTTAGATTTCTAAATTTGTTAACTTTACACAAAGTCTTATATACAGTCTTAATATTTGAAACAATAGATTTTATGAATTGGTAGCCACATTATTTGTAGTAATTTTGATTCTTATTGTTGTAGCAAAACGAAATTAATTAGACATGCTTCAAACCGATGGAGGACTATGAATACTATGGCATTTTGAGTAGTAACTATATAATGAAGATGACAGAATCCATTATCTCAAAGTATGACAGCTGTCAAATTAACAACAACAACTAAATGGAGCCAACATTAAATCAAGTTACTGGGTATTGCGTTATCATTTTTGGAAGTTTATTTTTCATAATTTTGATAAATTCAATTACATACATTCAAAATAAATATACAGGAAATGATTCAAGAAAAGCTGAAGAGTTTGTGAATGCTAATAGAAATGTGGGTTTTGGATTAATGGTAGCCTCAATTACAAGTAATTGGACCTGGTCTTTAACATTATTGGAAAGTTCAGTTAAAGGATATACTATAGGTGCAAGTGGAGGTTATTTTTATGCAATTGGAGGATTATTACAAGTGTTTTTATTTGTAATATTATCATCAAAGATTAAAATGAATTGTAATCTTTTAACAACTTTTGTTGAAATGGGTTATTTTAGATTTGGAGTCGCAGGTCATTTGAGTTTTTTATGGTGTGGATTTGTATGTAATGCTATAGTTAGTGCATGCATTCTTCTTGGTGGATCATCTGTATTTACTGCTATTACTGGTATTAATCAATATGCTGCATTATTTTTAATTCCGTTTGGTTGTGCATGTTATATAAGTTTTGGTGGTTTAAGAGCAACTTTTATTTCAGATGCTACACATACATGTATCATTTTAATCTTTATCATAGTATTTGTTATTAAAGTTTACTTTGGAAATGACAAAATTGGTTCTACTGAGAAAATTTGGGAAGCTTTAAATACATTACCTTCGGTTGAAGGAAATTTTCATGGACTGTACCTAACTTTCAACTCAAAATCAGCAGCAGTATTCTCAATTATCAGCGTCATACTGGGTTTAGGTTTGGTGATTAATGATGAATCATATTTCAGTCGTGCAATCGCTAGTAACGAGAGGCATGCATCTAAAAGTTACTTTTTTGCATCACTTTGTTGGTTTTGCATTCCATTTGCTATGGGTATGATTGGAGTTGCCGCCAAAGCCCTTTCAATTTATTCAGATTTCCCCACATTAAGTGAACAAGAGGTTGGAGAAGGTTTACCAGCTGTTGCTACAATAGTTTACTTAATGGGCAAGTCAGGATCAGCTATGTGTTTGATAATGATTTTTTTCTCCGTTACCTCTTCCTTTTCAGGTGAGTTGATAGCAACCTCAACATTAATTTCAGTTGACATATTTAAACGTTATTATAAATCGGATGCAACTCCTCAACAAGTTGTAAAAGTGGCCAAAATAAGTGTTTTTTTGTGGGCTATATTTTCATCATGTTTGTCATCAATTTTTTACGGAGCTGCAAAAATTAATATGGGCTGGTTATTTAATTTTCTTGGAACGAGCACTGCCAGTGGTGTTGTGCCTATCATTCTTCTGGTAACTTGGAAAGATATCAATAGAGCTGGTGCGGTTGGTGGATGTATTGGTGGAATGGTTTTGGGAATAACTGCATGGCTAGTCATGTGCAAAGCTTATTTGGGAGAGATCACAGTCACTAACTTATCAAACCAATGGGTCTCATTCACTGGTAATGTAACATCATTAGTGTTGGGAGGAGTTATATCGGTTTCATTATCTTTGATATGGCCAGCTAATTTTGATTTTGATAAAACAAGAAATAGGACTACTTTGGAAGAGAATACAGAGGAGATCAAAAAGGAAAAAGAAGTTGAAGAAGTAGAAAGTCTGGCAACTCCTAATAAGACTGAAAAAATTGAGAAAGCACCAGAAGTCTTAATGCATGTTGATACCGAATCAAATAGCTCAGACTTAAGTATAAAAGCAAGACCTGAAATTGATCAAAAGTACTTGAGACACCAATATAAAAAATACCGTGGATTGGCTGCTCTATTATCATTCATTATGGTCATAGTTATTCCAGTGCCATTGTGTTCTTCTCCATATGTCTTCAGTCCAAAGTTTTTATTAGGTTTTATGATTGTTATACTTTTATGGTTATTCTTCTCCTTCTTTTTTGTTGTAATTTTACCGGTGATTGAATCAAGAAAAAGTATTTGGAGGATTATCAAAACTTTGATCATAAAGAAGAAGTAAAGGTTTTTTTGGAGGTTAAATTATTAATAGAGTAGTAATAGAAGTAAATAGATGAAATTTTTAATAACAACATTTAATGATATTAAAGCACTTTAACTTCTGCCTAATTTTAATGTCTCGTTCACTAAACAAGAAATTTGGTTGCAAAATGAAGTTTCAGCTTTTGATTTCTCGTTCTGCATATAGATCAAAAATAAATATAAATTTATTTTAATATCATCTCACATATAAAATGAACTACAACGTACTTTTATCATCAAATCATCACACAATCATTAAACATGAGTACTATATCATTAGAAAAACTACTAGACAATCCTCAAGATATATTCAAACTACAAAATGATAAATCAGTCAAAGAAAATCTTTTCAATGAACTAACAAAAAGTATAATAAATCCAATAGTGAAAGATTATTCTGTTTTAGATGAAATATATATAAATGGACTAGATTCATCTCAAGTCTTTGGGCAAACTAAAATGGTACTAGATGGAATTGGGAGACAATTATTGGGAGAAGACATACCTAGTATAAAGGAAAGCATAGTGGAAGAAGAAGAAGAAGAAGAAGAAGTAGAAGAAGAGGATGAGGAAGAATTAAATGATCAAGATGATGAAGTAGATATAGATGGGGAAGAGTTAGTCCAAGAAGATGAACTGGAGGAAGTCTCCGAGGATGAAGAGGATTTTGATTTAAAGGGAAATGAAGTAGACTCAGAGGAAAACGAAAAATTTGATGATGACAGAGAAACATTAGTTGAAAGTGAGGAAGAAACAAATGAATCGGGAGCCAAAAAAGATGGATTTGGATTAAATGATGGATTTTTTGACTTAGATCAATTTAACAAACAAATACTAGCAATGGAGAAAGAGCCAGAAGATGATGAAGAAATAGATTATTTTGGGAACATGAGTGAAGATGAAGAAGATGAAGAAGAAATGGATTATTACAATGATTTTTATGATAAACCTGGCCAATTCACTAAAAAGAACCAACCAATACCACAACCACCAGAAGACGAAGAAATAAGTGAAAGTGAATTTTTAGATGATGACTACGATAAAGCAGTTGAATCGGCTAGACTCGATTTATTTGCAGAGGAAGAAGCACCACAAAAAGAAAATTTATCATCATTTGAAAAACAACAAAGATCGTTACAACAAGAAATAGCAAAATTAGAAGCTGAATTAGTTGCAGATAAAAAATGGACATTAAAGGGAGAAATAACGTCAAATGATAGACCGAAAGAATCATTACTTGAAGAAAATGAATTATCTTTTGATCGTACTGCAAAACCAGTTCCAACAATAACTGAAGAAATTACAGAATCAATAGAGGACCTTATAAGGAAAAGAATCAAAAACGATGAATTTAATGATTTACCAAAAAGAATAATTACCGATTTATCAAGATTTCATAAGGGTCCACAAGCAGAAGTTTCAGAACAAAAATCATCAAAATCATTAGCTGAATTATATGAAGATGAATACAATGACATTGATGCACAACAAGAAGAATTAAACGAAGAGGAAAAACGTCAACATGAAGAAATTTCAGGTTTGTTTACCAATGTTATACATAAATTAGATGCATTATGTTCAGCTCATTTTATACCAAAACCTCATCAAAGTAAAAATATTGAAATTAAAGTTACAGATTCAAGCCCTGCGGCTATAAGTATGGAAGATGCTCAACCATTACATGTATCAAGTGAATCAAGATTAGCACCACAAGAAATTTATAAAATTGGTGATGATTCTAAAGGTGGTAATGGACCAAAAGGTAAATCAGAAGTATTATTAAAATCAGGATTATCATATTCAAAAGATGAATTAGATCGGGATGAAAAACAGAGGCTTAGAAGAGCGAATAAAAGAAAGAAATCTAAAATTTACAAAGAAAGAGAAGAAAATAAAAGACAAAGAACAATACAACAACCATTATCAACATCAAAAAGAAGTTCAAATAATGATGTTATTAATACATTATCAAGAGCTAAAAATATTACAGTTGTTGGTAAAAAAGGTGAAAAAACTGATATTAAAGGTAATTTGAAAAAAGCAATTGGCCCACAAACTTCAAATAATTTTAAATTGTAGTTTAGTTTAGTTTAGTTTAGTTTAAAGCCATGTTTATATAATATTTAGTGTAATTCATCGGTTATAAATTTTTTATTTTTTTATTTTTATTATCCGCAAATATATTAATTATCTTTGATACGCGTGGATTATTAAATCACATTATATATATATACATGTATGAATATAGAAACACATCTTAAATTTATTGAATTTTACAACCAAATAATCAAAGATGATTACTTTAGAATTCTTTTTGAAAATATTAACTTTACCTTATCCTATAATTAAATCTATTATACAATATTATACTACTGGTACAATTTATTCCAAAACAAATTCAGAATTCAAAAATTCATTATGGAAAAATGTTTTATTATCAATTGAATATCATGTTTCAGGTAATTATCAAAAAAGTGATATGAGAGCTGTAGTTTATCAACCTATAAATAAAGTAATATCTAAATTTAAAAAACATCCATTAGCTTTACCACTCAATGAATTTGGTGAGAAATTTGATGAATATAGTTATTGGATTCATAAATGTGATAAACCAAAAGATAAACAAAATGTTATAATATATATTCATGGTGGTGGTTATATGTTAAATTTATTTGAATCACAATTTGTTTTCATTTCTGCATTACATTATTCTTTAAATGATAAAGCTTCAGAAAATTCTTCAATTTTAGTTATTGATTATTCTTTAACTATGTTTGATCATGAATTTCCAACTCAATTAATAGAATGTTTGAGCACTTATTCAAATTTAATTAAAGACGGTTATAAAAATATAATGTTACTTGGTGATTCAGCTGGTGCTCATATGTCATTATCAATAGCGAGAGCTATTGCATATCCTGAAGAAGCTTTAACTCAATTTGAACATGCAGGTAGATCCATCAAGTTTGATTTATCTGCGTTACCTCAACCAAAAGCATTAATATTGGATGCACCATGGCCTGAACCATGTACAAAAAGAGCAGTTGCGTCAAAAAGAGGTATTAATTGTTATGGAGATTTAGGATCAATGGAAACAAATATGGGAGACTATTATTGTGGCAAGAATGATAAAAATTTTATAAACAATTTCTTAACTTTTACAAATACAAATTGGGAAGATCATTGGAAAAAAGTTATACCAATAAATAATGGAAACACAATAATAATAGTGGGGGAAAGAGAAGTTTTAAGAGATGGAGTTGAAGAATTTTATAATATCATAAATAAAAAGGGAAGTATTGATTATTATGTTGAACCAGGTGGAATTCATGCAGGTGTTGTATATGTTGAAAGTTTAGATTATATTAGTAAAAAAGGTGCTAAAAAGGCTTTAAAGGGGGATTTTAAAGGTAAATATGGTTTTAATTTGATTTCAAAATTTATAAATGACCGAGTATAGAATTATAGATGCGAATAGAATTATAGATGAGATTAGAATGTATAGAAATATAGAACAACTAGAGTATAAATTAGTGGAATGAGAAAATTAATATAGAATAAAGAATTAGAAAGTGCTGCTGTTTCAGATATAATTTTTCGATGAATCAGATAGACCCACCAACATCGACCAAAACATTTTTGAAATTTGATCCAGTGGTATAGTGGTCAGTATGTTCCGTTCACACTTTTTTGGAAGTCCGGGAAGGTCCCGAGTTCAAACCTCGGCTGGATCAGGTTGAGGAATTTTTTTTGCAACTTCAACTACTACAGTAGGTGTGAAATGTTCATTTTTATTGAGTTAATCATTATTGTCAATTGTATTGTAAATTATTGCAATCAAAAGTGTAAAAAGTATTTCTTTGCATTAGTGCATCAAAAATTAAATTTTACCCCCTAACTTTTTTTTTCCAATACTTTGTATGTCTATTACTTTTTTTTTCAAAACATTTAGCGATCATTGAGTGTCTATCTAGCTTGCCATATTCAAAGTAATAAAAATCAGTTTACATTATATGATCTAATAAATCTTTCAAAGGTTAAAGTCAAAATAAAACTGTCTCTTTTTGCTAATTAATGAGCTATTACAGAAACCTCTGACTGATTTGAAGTATGTGAAGTACGAAATAGACTATTTGAGAATGATGCTCATTTTTGTTGCAAATTTGTCAAACCGGCAAAAGAGCTCATGGGTATAGCTTTTACTTTTAGATTTTGCCAGATCTGAATGCTATATCGTTAAAATTTGAGATTTTTTGGTTTGGTTCTTTACATTTGATTTGTTTTAGTTGTTGGTTATAAAGTTTTAAAACGTATTTAAACGCAAAATCTTGGAAAATTTAGTACTGTTGAAAAAATCCTCAAATCCTATTTGTAAAACCTGGACGTTGCCACACCAGTAATGATGGTAATTGTTATTTTTTTCAGACTGATTTACACAATGATATCATTATTTATCGATGTTAAAGCTCAAATATAATACTATTTTGGTTGCAAAAAAATTACCATTAAGATCCCTACATCAATAGTTAAGAGTGAAATAAATGCGTGAAATTGAAGTGAGCTTTTTAATGAGCCTGCCTATGCTAGACAAGAGCACCCACCCTACAACAAAATCTGGCAAGAGTAACAATATTTTCTTCATCAACAATCAATTTATTCATCATCACTATCTAAAGAGTCATCACTATCTTCACTACTGTCCTCGTCACTATCATCATCTTCATCATCGTCGCTACTACTACTATCTTCATCCATATGACTTCCACTACCAATACTTTCATCATCATCTTCTTCTGGATTTACTTCTGACCATTCAACATAATTCTTTGAGACTGCTTTTTTAGTATTTGGTAATACTAACGGATCAAATGGGAAATAAGCTTCAAGATCTAAAAATTCTTGTTTTTGTTTAAAATTCCCAATAGATGAAGGTAATCCATTAGTTTGCATCATTCTTTCTCTTTTGTTATGTTCAATTATAGAATAACAATAACAAACATTTAATTTTGTTGCTAATTTTGCAAAAATATAAACCACAGTTTCATCACAGAATTTCAAAGGATTAAATTTGACGATAATAACTCTTTGAAAAAATTTATCAATATCACATTCCCATGTATCATTTTCCTTTTTTAGTATATCATGACGGAAACAAAAAATATAAAGTAATGCTTGAAATGCTGAATAAAATAATTTAAATCTTTCCATACCTGCTCCAATTTCTAAAGTTTCTTGTTCTCTTTCTACAATATACTTGTTCAACCATCCCATAAGGTAACTTACAATAAATACAATTTGATGACGTGATAAATTCTTAGCTCTAGCAATGTACGATGAAAGGTATTGCATTGCTTTTAATCTTTTTTCTATGATTTCATTAGGGTTGAAAGCAACATCAATCAATAAAACCAAAAAGGAATCGGCTAAATCTTGTTGATATTGTGTGATGTGAAATATTATGAATTGAATCAGTTTTGTAAAATGTGTTGGTAAAATATGACTTTTAAATAATGAATTTATAGTGTTGAATAAATTGACACCTACCCCATCGGAAAGTTGTTCATTGGTGAAGGAGTTAGATGTCTTTTGTAGTAATAAATTAATGATATTATCCAATTTTGATGATAAATTTTTTATACTTCTTGTTGTGACACTTGGATCCCAATCTTCTGCTTCCAATAATTCTTCGTCATCTTCTTTCCCATTTATTAATTCTTCAATTTCTTCATCATCTAGATCATCTAATTCATTTTGTAACTCCACATCTAGTTTTATACAACTTTCTATTATTAACTGCCATATACTGAATTGTAATTCAGGACAATATGAAAGGATATTTATTATATTAGTAACGTAATTATTGATTTCTTCAGTTGTAGAAGATATATGATGGGGGAAATTATTTTGTAAAATTTGTGGTATTTGATTTATACTTGTAGGGATATATCTCAATATTTTTCGTATTACTTCATGACTATATTGATTTACGTGATTTTCAAAATCATTTATTAATTTATTTAATACCTCATTTAAAAATTTGGGTATTGTACTGACTAAAACCACTAAAAATTGAGAATATAATTCAATAAAATTTAAATCATTTTCTTTTGATAACCATTTAAATCTTAAAATGGCAAATATTAAATTATTACATGATTTATTATCTAATTTTGAAGTATTATTTATTAATCCTTTTAATATTATACTAAAATGTGATATATTAATTTCCTCTTGATTTATTCTATCAGTTAATGTATCAATTTGTAATGAATCACCCTAATGAGAAAGTTAGTATCCTTAAAAATCATAAAATAAATTCTTAAATTACATACTTTCTCTAATGATCCAAAAGCTGATTTAACATAAGTTATATACATTTTTTCAGTAAATTCTGTAGATTCTTCATTTTTTATTCGTTTTGATATTTGATCAGATTCCATACCACTCCTTTTTCTTGTTATTGGATCTTCTAATGACATTTTGTATTTAAAAAAGTCTGCTCCTGAAAGAAGAATAAGAAGAATAAGAAGAGAAAGGATTTGAAAAAAAAAAAAAATTATTTTTTACAAAATTTATTTTTTTTAATTTTTTATTAAACTCCACAATATTTTAAGGGGATTGATTTGATACATCAACAGTATACTTTACTTTGAATAACAGTAATACCGAGTTGCAAAGATTAGTCGATTAACAACGTCTATAATAGATTAAGTCTTTATTTTTTTTAAATTCACAATTTTATACTTAATTATAGATTTCTCTAGTAAATCCTATCAATTAGATGTGCCATTTGGTAGTTCTTTTATCTACTCTTAAATATTTTTGGTAAATCTTTATCACTCTTAAAACAATCTAATCTTCTAATTCAAACAATGTCAGTTGTAACTTTATCATCAAATTTATTGTTAAATATATCAGATATATTAGCAAGAGGTATTAAAATTGAATATGGAGTTTTATTAGGTTATAAAGATGGTGAAAATTTTAATATTGTCACTTCATTTGAATTAAATATAGATCATTTATATACAAGATTTAATCAATTACAATTAGTTTATCCTCAATGTTTAATTTTAGGAATTTATCATATAATAGATAATGAATTAACATCGTCAACTATTGCAAAATTGCAACAACTTAATGAATTATGTCAAACTTATGAATTACCAATATCACAATCACAAATATATATAATTTACACCAAAAACAACAACAACGAAACTCCATTTCAAGTATATTCAGCAAATTCCAATGACCACCCGAAAATCAAAATAGCATCAAGTGAAACTGAAAATATCGTAGCATCAACTATTGATAAACATAAAAATTACAATTCAGCGAAAATTGAACAAAAAATTAATACTGGAAATCATTTACAAGAAATAAATCAACTTATTAAAACTTCAAATTCAAATTCAAATTCACAATTAACATCTGCTCAATTACAAGCTATTGATAAAGCCAAATTTTTAAACCTTCAAACTATTCAATTATCTTTATTGACTGAACAAAGAGCTTTATTAGATAAAATTAATCATCAATTTGTTAAACAATGGAGATTAAGTTGATAATTGGAAATCAAAGAAAGAAGTCGTATAGCTTGAAAAGTGCAAAAAAAAAACTTATTAAATACATTCGTGAATTTTGTAAATACTCTATGTTAAGCTATAAACCAAGTTGACTAAGGATAAACTGAGCTGCAAAATAACAACTCTATGTACCAACTTGATTAACTTGATTAGTTGTGTAAACTAATGCTAAATAAAGCTCACAATTCTCAATGTGACGTTCGAAGTCACCTCTTGAAAGAGAAATTATACATCCATGAAATTGACATTGACGGTATTTGTGTTTTGAATCAAGGTAGTCGAACATGGTGATTGGATTGATACAATGATAAAAGCAACCTGGTCTTTTGCATTAAAACATATTTACAGTATATACCTCCAAATAATAAGATTATGCAATTTTTAATTCATTTATAGTGCTATCAACATCCTAATCTTCACGTAAAAGATCGGCAGCATGGTAAAGTAATATATTTAACCTCATGTTTCACACAAAAAAGAACGATGTCCTGTTCCTGTGTAATTTTGAAATGACTTGGCGGCAATCGTGATTCTATTGTAAATTAATGATATAAAGTAGTGGCCTTAGCAAAAGTTGTAAAAACAGAAAAACGAAAATTTGTTTTAACAAAATTCAAGGGGAGAAAATTTTTGTATTTATATTATTTGTTTCAGATTAGACGAAATAAAAAAAATTGTGATAAGTAACATAAAAAATAAATAATTTGATGAAATTAAGTTCAACACAAGTCTGAATATATTCTTCGTTACGAAAGATTGATAAAAAGAAAGAGATAAATTGTAATAAAGAGTGAAACACCAAAATATTATTAATTATGATTTTATACAATCCTAATCTAATTTAATTTAACGATGAATGGAACATGATCTTTTTCTTTTCTATGATATTTTCTTATATGGAACTTTTTTCTGTTTTCTACGAATTCTATATTGCATTTATTGCATTTGTAATATATTATTTCCGTATTGCTATTCAATTTATGGTCCACTGTTTGAAGATGATTATAATAGCTAGATTTGGCCAAAAAACAATTGCAAAATTTGCAGTACTTATCCTTCTTTTTCAAATCCAATGAATGTGTGGTTTTGAGATGATCGATGAAATCGGAATCTTTTATAAATTGGGTGCAGTTTGGCTCGGTGCACTTGGTGTATAGTGATCTATCAAGCTCTTTTATGTAGCTATTTGAATTATCAGCATGATGACCAACTTGATGATTTTTGATTTCTTCTTCTGTTTCAAAGTAGTTGTTGCATTTGAGGCATTCAAATAATTGATCTGTCATAGTGTTGTACTTGATTGTGTTTTTGTTGGAGAAAAAAGGTGAACAAACAATAGTGATATTATAAGTAATTATCAAGAAAGAAAAAATAGATTTATCTTTTTTTTTCTGAAATTAACTTAAGATTAAATACTTTTTTTTTTTTTTAATTTTATACTAAGTGTTTCATATTATCAGGTTATTACACGACGTATGTTTTCATTGTCAATGCCAAATTAGGAATTAAAAGGGTATTTTATGAAACATTTATTACGATTATTTCATATCATTAAGATTACTAAATAGGTTTTTGATTTGGTGTTTGATTTGGAAAATCAAGTTTGTTGGTTTAGAGTTATTTAAATAAATCGAGCTAATTGAGACGAACATTGATCAATTAAAAAATAATTGGTAATTACACATATGAATTAACAATTAGTTGATAGTATATAATTCGTGATGATTTGTATAAAAACTTGCAAATGAACAAAGATTGGTCATTCTTTTTTCTCTAGGACTAGTCGCACTTTATCATAAATTAGAATGACAATAGAAAATCAATAAAATTCAATTGGTGATTTTATTTGTTTGAGTTTATCCCGGTTTTGCAATACTTAATAATATAGCATAGACAAGAAGTGTTACAAAGAAAAAAAAAATCTGTTCAATCATATTTATTACAACTAAAAACATTTCAAACCATGTTAACTTTCACTAGGTAAGAATATTCGCATAGATAAAATTGATTATTTAATATCTGTGCTAATAACAGCAATTGGACTCCCTTATAAATATAATTAGACAAAAATGAAAAAATAATTAATAGTAATACAATATTGTATAATCCAAAAATCAATTTTGAATAATTTTAATATTGTATCAAGTATCATATTAACTATTTTACGCTTTAACTAAAAGGTTTTTGCCTAATTAACCATTACCTAATTTTATAGCAAGACATAAGTAAAGAAGTTGTTACCTATTTTAATGAATATACTTCTTTTGTGAAAATAAATCCCCACTTAGTTCGTGTGGCATTTTTTTTTATTACTATTAAAAAGTAAATAGTACAGATAAAAAAGGTAAATCAAAATTAAAAATCTGAAACACACTAAGGCGTCTCTAACTTTTAATATTTGATGAGGCTAGAAATACCATATTTTATTATAGAGCATTATATTTAGTAACAAAATCTAAGTATTGTTTAAATGGAGTCGTGTTTTAAATCTAGATCGAGATAAAGTATACTTGATGAATATTTATACATTAAATTTATTTTAAACGAAGACTAACGTTATTTTTTCTTTCTTGTAATCACTCTATATTACGTATAACTACATCCAATCAGAAACCTAACAAGTATAAGAGAAATCTGATGCAAATGCTCACTTAAGCTATGGTGAAACAAAAATTAGAAAAAATACAATTTTAATGAGAACAACAAAATAACAGTCAGGCTATATAGTTTCAAGTTTAATGGAGCATCTGTATAACTCTATTGTATTAAAATTGATATCAGCGAGATACTGAAACCAATTGACACTTACAATATTCACTCAAATTTTGTAAAATTCACAAAAAATGAGTGAATGTTTGACTACACCTACAACTTCAGCTCTCAAACAAAACCAGAATTGGAGTGTTGACCGAGGTGGTTAAGGTGATAGACTCAAGGCAGCGGGCGTTCGAATCGTTCAATGGGTCTTCAAAGGTTTAAGAGACCATTTGGAGAATTCATTTGAAAAATTTGTCCAAAAAGCCTTTCTCTGTATCTTAGAGATTTCTATTGGCGAANTTGGCAATTAGGAACCAGATGCTCACTTAAGCTATGGTGAAACAAATTTTAAAAAAAATACAATTTTAATAAGAACAACAAAATAACAGTCAGGCTATATAGTTTCAAGTTTAATGGAGCATCTGTATAACTCTATTGTATTAAAATTGATATCAGCGAGATACTGAAACCAATTGACACTTACAATATTCACTCAAATTTTGTAAAATTCACAAAAAATGAGTGAATGTTTGACTACACCTACAACTTCAGCTCTCAAACAAAACCAGAATTGGAGTGTTGACCGAGGTGGTTAAGGTGATAGACTCAAGGCAGCGGGCGTTCGAATCGTTCAATGGGTCTTCAAAGGTTTAAGAGACCATTTGGAGAATTCATTTGAAAAATTTGTCCAAAAAGCCTTTCTCTGTATCTTAGAGATTTCTATTGGCGAAAGCCGCGCGCGTTCGAATCGCGTACACTTCATCTTCCTTTTTTTTGGACCTTTATTGACCAAATTTGAGTTTCATGGTTATGTTGCTGATGATTTGCTGCTGATTTGACTGAATCTTGTCAAATTTTTAATTTAAATTTATTTTACTCACTATGCAGAACGTTGCATTTTTGTGCAGTGCGGAATTTAATTTTTTTAAACGAGAAAAAGTTTTTCCTTTTTATATGCAGTACGTACTTATTCTTAACTATGTGACTGATGGATATTACTTAATCTCATAAAAATGAAATTAACAGAAACCTTCCCAAAATTTGGCTATATTTCAATTATTATTATACCAATAATAAATTATGTAATATGGAAAATGTTTGAAAAGTTGATCTACATATTTATATTATTAATATATTACTTTTAAATAATTAACATTTATTTAACTTTTTGTAGTAATTTAAATTGATTTTGTATTATTTTCTTTGCATATTTTATGCATTGGAACTTATATTAATTTATACTTTTTTTTTGTTAAATTTTTTTTTTTAAAGGTATTTTATTCTTTCTACTAAATTATATTTGCATTGATAAAGTTAGAATTAGTTCACGGAGAAAAAGGTATAATTCAAAGTCTTAACTAAAGAGGAGGATCAGTTTAATATTTAGTTTATGAGTATATATTTTATTATTTCTCGTATAGTAAAATATGCTTTATTTATTTAATCATGAATATAAAAATAGAAAAAAAAGAAATAAACATTAAAAAATAAATTAAAATTAAACAATTATTAACACAAAAACATAATATTAATTATTTTATTAATATATTTTAATAAATTGTAAAACTTGAATTTAAAATTAGACAAATTTTAAAACAAACTTGAAACATATATAATATGTGATAATTGCAAATGTAATATATACGTATATTATCATGATAATCTATGTAATGCACGTGTTTCAAAATGATGAAAAAGATCAAATATCATCACTTCTCTTGTAATTAATAATTTAGAAATGAATGCGATCATGTTAGATCATGAAACAACAGAAATTGTTAAGTGCAAATTAACTTATTGTTAAACCCATTCTTCAAACTTATCGAGGCATTGAACCACTTAATTGTTCATTGATTGAATTGTTTTCATAATAATGACTCTTCAGATTGTAAATTAGTCGGGTGCCAAAACATTTGTGTTGGTACCATTCTATTTGTCATTATATTCATTATACATGATGAGATAATTTTAACAATGAATATTAACTAGGATTGATTGATGATTGAAAATGACTAGATGGAAGAGAATGCAGCATATTTAAAAGTTATCGCTGCTGAAAATGATTTCAAAGAGCGTACAACTTCAGACACATTTAAGAATAGCAAAGTACACAAACTAGATATTTTGAAGTTAACAATAAAATCAATAAAAACATAATGGGGTTCATGAAAACAAGATTCAAAGCCGGTTTTACGTATAGACTTTCAAAATATGGATACATGTGTGATCGAATTTATATTATACATGAAATGATATTTTGAACGCTAATATTAAAATCTATACAATCCTCCTACATTCTCCCAAACTCTAATTGTATATCCTTAAAACACATAAAAATCTTTATAATACCACATCCAGCCTAAACTTAAACTACTGACAATTAAAGGACCAGCCAATCCCTTTCCCAATTTAGTTGTTCCAAATATTAACCATTCACTTAAAAAATGAAACGCAGCGATAATAAAAGTAAATTGAGTTAATTGATATACTTGTGGTGAGGTAATATTATAAGCTCCATATAATCTTACAATTGATGTGATTAAAGTCCAAGTACCAAAAGTTCTTGCTGATAAATTTGTAACTTCTTGAGGTTTTGAATTGTAGACTCTTTTTGTTAATGATAAATCCTTTTGATATGACTGGAATGAATTGAAGATCGATACTATTGATATGAATAATAACCAATAAGGGAGTTTACCACCTCTTATGTATGGTAAACTCAATGGAAACATGTTTGGTACTACTTTGAAAAAGCAAAAAAAAAATAATTTTGCGAATTTACGAAATATTTATTCTCTACAAATTAATTAATAATAGTTGGATCTTGAACCTTTGTTGGATCTTTATCTTTTAATACATCAACAACTGGGCCTAACAATCTTTGAAAACCAGATTTCCCCAATGTTGCTACTATTACATTATCCAAAGCTTGTACTGTTGCTTGTCTTGGTAATTCTTTAATTAATGCTAATTCTCCAAAATAATCACCTTTACCTAATTTTTTAATTTCTCCTAATTTTTCATTATAAACTTGACAACTACCACTTTCAATAAGGTAAAAATTTTCCCCCTTTTCACCTTCAACAACTATTTTATCACCATTATGATACATTTCAGTACTTAAAGCATCAGCTAATTTTGAACGTTCTTGATCTGTAAGTGATTTTAAAATCTCAATATCCTTTAGGAAATCTTCATACATTAATCTTCTATTAAATGTACCTTCTAGTAAAATACGACGGAAAGTTAAACGATCTAATGCCCATACAGTAACATCAGAAGCGGCAATTGCAGTAGCAGCTCTTGGAGAATTATACATTAGAGCCAATTCACCAAATGATGAACCATCACCACTTGAATTTACTTTTGAATCATTAACATAAAAATCAACAATACCTGATTCTATTATATAAAAAAAATCACCTTCATCTCCTTGTTTTATAATTATAGAATCTTTTTTGAAATTTTTTGATTGTAATGCTGATATAACTGTCTTTTTAGAAGAATCATCCAATTGTTTGAATAAGAAATTATTTTGTAAACTATTTGCTAATGATTCTTCTTCTGTTGTTGATAAATTATTTTGTGGTGGTTTCCAACTTTCGGATTTTAGTTTTGCTGGATTTAATGCTTCGGCTGAAACTGATGTTCTTCTATTTATATTAAAAGTTTTTGGTACTTTTGAATCTGGGTCAATTTCTTTTGTAGGTGGTGCTTGTTCTGTTTCATTTACATTGTAGTTTGATTTAAATACCCCACTTTTTGAAGTGGTGGATTCTGATTTGTTACCATGAGGATCATTAGCACCAAATGGTGATTTAAAACTTGGTTCTCGATTATCCACTATTGAAGTTGAAGGAAATAAATCTATACCTGCTTCTTTAGCTTTTGATTGTTGTGACCATAAATTAGATCTTTGACTTTGTAATTTATTATTAAAATAATTTGCACAGAATTGTACAACATCTTGTGGATTTTTAGCAAGTATTTCTCTTTGTAATTGAGATAACTCTTCCGTAACTAATTGATTAGACATGATGAGATTTTTAGTGGTGGTGGTTATTATAGCAAATGTAAAAAAATGGGGATTTGTTGAAATTTGATAAAGGAATATTTTTGGTTTATACACTACCTGAGATATTGTATGTTACTGTGAAGTAATAGCCAAAATAATTATGAATTAAATCAAATTTGGAGAATCTTTAAAGTTATTGGATCACCAACGAATCCTGATTCTTATCAACTAGGTTTAAATTACGTTGTACAAGTTGGTTGAATTTGGGATGCATCAACAAATTTAGCTTCAAAATTAGGTATATTATAACCAATGGAACCTGATTTTAAAATTCATGAAATAGTATATGATTCCAATCAACAAATAAGATCTCAAAATTCAACAAAAAATTAAATCACTAAGCATCCTAGTGATCACTTATCTCATAACATTAGTATATCGAAGTATTGTTTCTTCAATGTAATTGTTGAGACATTAAAAGTCAGACACTCAACCAATAAAAAGCTACCAAATTCAATTTCTAAAGAATTCTCTATTTAATTACGTAAATAATAAAATTTAAATAGTAATGCCACGTCAATCTTCCACCACCAGAAAAAATGTATAACGGAATATTTAATATTTAATATATAAATTTTATTTTTCATTATTTTTTTTTTTTTTTCAACTTTACTTTTTCAATTGATCTATAACAACAAAATGAGATCTTGGGTATCACGTTTAGGTTTACTATATGTGGTATTAGTAATATTAATACCTTTCCTTAATACTAAATTTGTTAATGCAGAAGAAAATGATATAACTGATAATTATGGTACTGTTATTGGTATAGATTTAGGTACAACTTATTCATGTGTTGGTGTTATGAAAAATGGTAAAGTTGAAATATTAGCAAATGATCAAGGTAATAGAATTACTCCATCTTATGTATCATTTAATGCTGAAGAAAGATTAGTTGGTGATGCTGCAAAAAATCAAGCATCATCAAATGTAAATAATACAGTTTTTGATATTAAAAGATTAATTGGATTAAAATATAATGATGATGTTGTTCAAAAAGAATTGAAACATTTACCATATAAAATTGAAAATAAAGGTAATAAACCAGTTGTTAAAGTTGAATTTAATGGAGAAGAAAAAGTATTTTCACCAGAAGAAATTTCAGGTATGATTTTAGGTAAAATGAAATCAATTGCTGAAGAATATTTAGGTAAAAAAGTTACTCATGCAGTTGTTACAGTTCCAGCTTATTTTAATGATGCTCAAAGACAAGCAACAAAAGATGCAGGTACAATTGCAGGATTAAATGTCTTGAGAATTGTTAATGAACCAACTGCTGCTGCAATTGCTTATGGATTAGATAAAACTAATGAAGAAAAACAAATTATTGTATATGATTTAGGTGGTGGTACTTTTGATGTTTCATTATTATCAATTGAAGGTGGTGTTTTTGAAGTTTTAGCTACTGCTGGTGATACTCATTTAGGTGGTGAAGATTTTGATTTTAAAATTGTTAGATATTTAGCAAAACAATTTAAAAAGAAACATAATATTGATATTACTTCAAATGCTAAAGCTATTTCCAAATTGAAAAGAGAAGCTGAAAAAGCTAAAAGAACTTTATCATCACAAATGTCAACTAGAGTTGAAATTGATTCTTTTGTTGATGGTATTGATTTTTCAGAAACTCTTTCAAGAGCTAAATTTGAAGAATTAAATATGGCTTCATTCAGAAAAACTTTGAAACCAGTTGAACAAGTATTAAAAGATGGTAATGTTAAAAAAACCGAAATTGATGATATTGTTTTAGTTGGTGGTTCAACAAGAATTCCAAAAGTTCAAGAGTTATTAGAACAATTTTTCGATGGTAAGAAGGCTTCTAAAGGAATAAATCCAGATGAAGCTGTTGCTTATGGTGCAGCTGTTCAAGCAGGTGTTTTAAGTGGTGAAGAAGGTGTTGATGACATTGTTTTATTAGATGTTAATCCATTAACTTTGGGTATTGAAACTTCAGGTGGTGTTATGACTACTTTAATTAAAAGAAATACTGCTATTCCAACCAAAAAATCACAAATTTTTTCAACTGCAGCTGATAATCAACCAACTGTTTTAATTCAAGTTTATGAAGGTGAAAGAACTATGGCCAAAGATAATAATAGATTGGGTAAATTCGAATTAACAGGTATTCCACCAGCACCAAGAGGTGTTCCACAAATTGAAGTTACTTTTTCATTAGATGCTAATGGTATCTTAAAAGTTGAAGCTGCTGATAAAGGAACTGGTAAATCAGAAAGTATTACCATTACCAATGAAAAAGGTAGATTATCAAAAGAAGATATTGACAGAATGGTTGAAGAAGCTGAAAAATATGCTCAACAAGATCAAGAATTGAAAGAAAAAATTGAAGCAAGAAATTCATTAGAAAATTATGCTCATGTATTAAGAGGTCAATTAAGTGATAAATCAGAAACTGGTTTAGGATCTAAATTAGAGGATGATGATAAAGAAGCATTAGATGATGCTATAAAGGAAACTCTTGAATTTATTGAAGATAACTTTGATACTGCTACTGCAGAAGAATTTGAAGAACAAAAACAAAAATTAATTGATGTTGCTAACCCAATAACATCTAAATTATATGGAGGCGAAGCAGGAGCAGGTGGTGCACCAGGTGGAGATGCTAAATTTGGAGATGATGATTCAGATGACGAATTAGATCATGATGAATTGTAAATAAAAAAAGTAAAATTTTTATAGGTATTTAAAATTTAATAGAAATTTATTACATTTGTATTTTTTTTTTTGAGGAACAAAAATTGAACTGTAGAAGAACTAAGAAAATGGCTAAAGTGACCAAAACATACAAGTTTCCTGAAACATTCAATAATCTACCGAATTCATTGACAGATTATAATACTCCGAAACCAGAGTCTATCATAGATGATCAAATTATAACAATACCCAATTTTTTTTCCAAGGCATTATGTAATGAATTAATGAAATCATTTGAATCACAATTAAATTTACAAACAACTCCATTAATTAAAAGTAAAGAATATGCAGCTAGATATAATGATAGAGCTCATACACAAGATTTAATTTCTGCTGATATACTATGGAAATACCTACAAAAGATATTATTATCAAATCCATATAATAATCCAGATCTCGCAGAAATTTCAAATCATTTCAAAAATGCCGTGGGGTTAAATCCAAATTTAAGAATTTATAGATATTTACAAGGTCATCATTTTGGACCTCATTATGATGAATCAGTAATTTGTGATATCCCACCATCAGGTAAAGAGAAAGGTGAAACTCAATGGACTTTATTAATTTATTTAACTGGTGGTGATGATTTCAAAGGTGGTGGTACTATTTTTTATGAGGGTAAACAAAAACTAAATATTCATCCAACTAAAGGTATGGCATTGTTACATAAACATGGTGATAATTGTTTGAAACATGAAGGAGAACTTGTTAAAAAGGGAATTAAGTGGATTCTTAGAAGTGATATAATTTATAAGTAGATTAGTTAGAGAAATAAAAAATTTTAAATCGTGTTTTAATGTAAAAAAATTTGAAACAATCAAATTTCATTTACAATCACCAACAACCAAAATGGCTAATAGAAAGCTACAGAAGTATGTTCAAGTTAAACTAATAGTTTTTTAGAGTGGAATACTAACATAGTTCCCAGGGATATAGATATCATTTTCAAACGAATCCAGGAAGGGTTACAAGACTTCAACTACCATTACGAAAGATATGAAAGTCTAACGAATACAGAAGATGATTCAGATAATCAAAGAGAAAAAGAAAAGCTATCGAATGACCTTAAGAAAGAAATCAAAAAGCTTCAAAAATATCGTGAACAAATCAAACATTGGTTACTGAATGATGCAGTAAATACTTTGGGCCCTGTGGGGACATCCTACGGTTCAAAGTTAACAGAAAATAAAAACACAATTGAAGTTGCAATGGAAACTTATAAATCAGTTGAAAAACAAACCAAACTAAAAACTTTTTCAAATCAATCAATCATGATGACTTTTATCGATAGTATAAATGGAGATGACGATGATGAAGGAAGTGATGATGATGATGATTCAGATGAAGAAAATGAAAATGATTATGAAGATTTATCAGAAGAAACTGTTGATTCCATAATATTTTTCAAAAATGCAATAAGTCAATTAAGAGATCAAACTGATAAATATGCACATGAATTTGAAAAATTGGCAACAAAGAAACTAAGAAAAAACAACTTATCAACCATTGAAGCTAAAAAGGAAAAAATTTCATCAACTATAGCTAACAATAAGTTTCATCAAAAAAAATTACGTAAACTAATAAGATCTTTAAAAAATGGTATAGTCACTGAATTTAATCTTATATTTGCATTAAAGGGAGATTTAGAAGAATATTTGAATTCAAATGGTGATTATGATTTTACAAAAGATACTGATCTATATGATGATATTTTTAATCAAATTGCAGCAGATGAAGATTTTTCAGAAGTATATGAAGAAAACACTGCACCAACAGATGTTAGTAGTAATGGAGATATAAATGGTAAACAAAATCTGCCGTCACCTTCACCAGTGAAACAAGAAATTTCAAAAGAAGTAGAATCACCACCACCACCACTACCACAACAACAAACAGTATCACAACCAGTACCTCAACCACAATCACAATCACAATCACAACCACCACCGCCACCGCAGCAACAACCACAACAGAGTCCTGAAATGGCTTCTCCCGCAATTGTTAGAACCTTAAAACCAGCTACAACTCCATCTAAACCAGTTGGAGGATTAAAATGGTCTGCGGCAGCAGCAGCAGGAATTCAAGAAGCATTAGAAAAAGAAGAACCAATTGAAGAATTAAAAGAAGATATAATACCTTTTAAACCATTAGAATTAGAGAACATTGACTTATATAAATATAAAAAAATTATTTCAAATTCACCATTATCCAAAACAGAACTTAATTTATTTTCAGATATGAATTTAGTAAGAGTACCACCTGGGATTCAAGATTTGGTAATATCATTTGCATCAAAAAGAAATAATGATGAATTCAAAATACTTGTTGAATCTGATAATTTTAATCAATACACTTCACCAATTTATAAACCATATTTACCAAAAATTGTTCAACCAAATTATTATTCACAATTTACAAATTTCAGTTTTAAACATCCAATGCAATTAACAAAATTTCAATTACATTGGAATAAAATACGAGCACATTATGGTTTTGAAATATTAACAAATGAAATTAAAAATTTAATTGCTCAAGATGATAATTCAACATTAATAACGGAATTAACATTTGTTTTATTTTATGGTTTTTATTATGGTTTAACACCAGCTGAAAATTTAATTGCTGAAAATTGTTTATTTGAATTAGGTTGGAAACCATATAAAACTCAATTAGATAATGTAAATGATTCTGATAATCAATATTCTTACTGGTTTAGAAGATTGAAATTAATTAATGAACGTACAGAACAAAATAATTTTGAATTTGGTGATTATCAAGTATTTGATTTAAATTTTTGGGAAATTTTTATTAAATATGGATTTAAATTTGATTTTAATTTATGTCAAATAGAACCATCTAAATCTTTATTTTAAATATATAATTTATCTTGTGATGATGTTAATATCAGAGTATTTGTAGATTCTAAAATTTGAGAACTTGATGTAAGTATTTCTGGTTCTTGTTTTATGAGGTTGTATGATTTATTTTTTGCAACCAAATTTGGAATATTAGTGTAAGTTGAAGGATTTGGCACAATAGCAACGTCAACAAATTTTGATAACTTATAATTATCCAAACCAAACTCTTTTAATTTCTTCTCTGGAATATTATTCTTTGTTATTAACTCTTTCAATGAAATCATTTTTTGTATTTGGTTGCAACAAAATCAACTTTTTCTCCACAAAAAAAATATAATTAGGTTATTAATTATCACCAAATCATTATCAAAATCATGGAGTATTATTCATCATTAGATGCTTCACAATTAGATTCAGAAAGACCAACCTTATTTGAATTAATATCTGCAAATCAATTAGAAGCTTTATTATCACCATCATTAAGATATATTCTAGTTCATTATGCAAGTAAATATCCGAGGTACCTTTTAAAACTAAACAACAATTTTGATGAATTGAACTTAGTGCTAAGAAGTTTTATTGAATGGTACTTTTTAAAGTACTGGCAAGGATCATTCACTGAAAATTTTTATGGTTTGAAAAGGGTAAATCAAACACCTTTATCCCAAGGTGATTTCAATAGTGGGAAATTAACACAATTAGTACCATCAATGATTGAAGATAGAAGAGAATTAACAAGTTTACAAAAATTTATATCATTGTTTGAGATTACGGGTGTAGCATTTTTATCTGAAAAGATGAATTATTGTTATGAAGTTTGGTATACAAAATACATCACTAACCAGCTAAACACCCATGAATCATTATCAAGGAAAGAAAACATTAAAATTCAAATTAAAAGAAAATTTATTGAAATATATCCTTATGTTCAAAGTGGGTATAGACTAGCAAATTTTATAACTACCTTACTATACCTTAGTGGATCTACAAAATCACCAACAATTTTGACATACCTTTTCAAAATGAATTACTCAAGACTAAATCAATATGATTATGATAAAAATGAACCAAAAGATAAACTCAAAGATTTCAAAAAGCCAAATAAAATCGCACCACCAACAACCATTGAATTTCTTTTAAATTTCCTTAGCAATAAAATTACTCATCCATCATGGAAACTAATAAAATTAATATTAGGTACTTTTTTCCCAGTTGCAATATTCACATTAAAATTTCTTGAATGGTGGAATAATTCAAATTTTTCATCTAAGCTTTTAAAAAGTTCAGGTAATTCACTTGATTTTACTTTACCACCACCATCAGCATTAACATTATCATTGAAAAATTTAGGAAAATCTAAAAAATCCATAAAGAAACCATATAAATCTGGTAAATTATGTCCATTATGTAAAAAAGAAATGACAAATCCAGCAATTATTGAAACAGGTTATGTTTTTGATTATTCTTGTATATATAATTACTTGGAAAAATCTCACATCATAGTATCTAAAAACATAGAAGAAGTTGAAGAGAAGAATGAATATTCAGATGATGAAGAAGAAGAAACTGAAAAAATCACAGCTACAACAACAATAGATATAAATAAAGGTGGTAGATGTCCAATAACAGGTAGGAAATTATTAGGTTGTAAATGGAATCCATTAACTGAACAATGGCAAATTGAAGGTATTAGAAGATTAATATTCTAATTTAATATATGATAGTTTTAATTTCTTACTTTATTTCTGAATGTAGTAAAACTTGAAATTCTGCCACATATTTATTTTTTTGTTGCAAAATTTAATTTTTAATCTTTTTGATCACTAGAATATACCCACGAGGTTGAATTGAAATGAGTGAAGGTAGAACATTACAAGCTATCAAGTTTGATAGAAAAGAAATTAAACTAGAAATATTAGATCAATTAGTTTTACCATATACAACTCATTACATACAAATCAAATCAATTGATGATGCATATAAAGCTATAAAATCTATGCAAGTTAGAGGAGCTCCTGCAATTGCCATAGTTGGTGCTTTTTCAGTTGTAGTAGATACTTATAGTCATCTCAAGGATTCACAAACTATTGGAGATTTACAAGAATCATTAAATCATTTAGTCAAATCTCGACCAACCGCAGTGAACCTCAAAAATGCAATTGATGATATAAGAAAAATATTAGCAGATTATGATACAACCCAAGTAATAGATGAAAGTATATTTAAAAAATTACTCGATTACTCAACAAAATTATATGATGATGATTTAGCTAATAATTTAAAGATTGGAGAAAATGGATTGAATTACATAAAAAAATCATTAGAAGAAGAAAAATTTGAAGGACCTTTTTCAATTGTTACAATTTGTAATACTGGATCATTAGCAACTTCAGGTCATGGTACAGCTTTAGGAATTATTCGTTCAACTTATCAAGCTTTACAAAAGGAAAAATCAAATGAAAAATTTTTTTTAGATAATATATATCCTTTAGAGACAAGACCTTATAATCAAGGAGCAAAATTAACAACATATGAATTAGAATATGAAAAAATTCCTTCAATTTTAATCTGTGATAATATGGTTTCTTCATTAATTGAACATTTAAATGTTGGTAAAGATGTTCATGAAAAAACATCACCTGTAAAATTCATTATAGTTGGAGCTGATAGAATTGTTAAAAATGGTGATACTGCAAATAAAATTGGAACTTTCCAATTAGCAACAATTGCAAATTATTTTAATACCAATAAAAATACGAGTATTAAATTTATTGTTGCAGCGCCAAGGACCACTATAGATTTAGAAACTCAACATGGTGAAGATATTAGAATTGAAGAAAGACCAAGAAAAGAGTTGACTACTTTAGTTGGTCCAATATTAAATGGATCAGAAGTTGGTGAGAAAATTACAGTAGGAATTGCAACTCCTGGTATACAAGTTTGGAATCCTGCATTTGATGTAACTCCTCATAATTTAATTGATGCTATTATAACAGAAGATTCAAAAGCTTTCGTTAAGAATAAAGATGGTAATTTTGATTTATCAAATTAATTAAAAAAATATCATTAAATAATTATAAATAGAAGTGAAAAATTATAGATGACTTATTTTTTCTTGTTCTTTTTCTTATTCTTCTTCTTTTGATTTTTGGACTTGTTAGATGTCAGTGTTTCGTTGTTGTTGTTGTTTTTATTGTTTGTTGTTTCGGTGATATCTGACGGTGAAGTAATCTCATTTTCATCATTGAGTGAAGTTTCTGACTCTTTTGATATCGATTCAGCTTCTCCCTTTTCATTTACTTCTTGAGTTTGATCACCATCTGATTTTTCTGTTTCGTTTTTTGAATCTTTTTTAGTTATTTGTGATTCTTCTTCTTGAGCTTCTTCCATTAATGCATCCTTTGCAAGATCTGTATCTTCCTCGACAACTGCTGGCTCATCCTTGTTATCATACGATTCTTGATTTTCAGTAGTGGCTTGTTTTTCTACGATGTCATTTAAAGACTCTTTATCTTGTTCTGAATCATTCTTGGTTTCTTCTTGAACTTCCTGTTTTTCATTTACATTTTCTTGTAGATCTTTCTCATTTTCTTTTGTCAGTACTTCATCTTCTAAACTTTCTGTTGACTCAAGTTCATCTTCTTTCAATTTCTCTTCTGTATCTTTTGTTTCACCTTCACGTTCTTTTGTATTATTTTCAAGTTTTTTTGGTTCTTCGTTAGTTGTTTCATCTTTATCATTCACCACTTCTTCATTAGCTATTGAGGATTCTTCTTTATTTACCATTTGAGCTATTCCATCTCTTTCATCAACAATTTGAGCACCATTTGATTCACTTTCATGAGCAACAGTTTCTTCTGGTAATTCTTTAATATCTTGTTCATTCTCCGGATTACCATTTTTGTTTTCGTCTGCAGAAATGGAATGGTGACCATTGTTAATATTTATAGCTTCTGATGTTTCTGACTCATTTGAACCGTTTTGGATATTCCCTACTTTAGGTTTATTACCGTTCTCAATAACCTCACTTTGGTCATTTTTGATTTCAGGAAGATCTTTTTCAACTTTTTGGTCCGCAATTGTTTCTTGTATATTTTCAGAATCAAATAAAACATTGTTTTCAGTTGCTGGTTCACCTACTACTTCATTCAATACTTTTTCTACTTCTTCTGCTTTAGGAGTATTACTTTTCTCAAATGAACTTCTTGCAGATGATACCAATTTTTGAAAAGTATTTTGAGATTTAGCTGAAACTTCTGCAGCTACTGGTGTTGTAACTTCTTTTTGTTCTAAATTTACATTTTTTCTCATTTTTTCTTCCATTTCAATATCTTCAACAGTCGGCATTGAATTAACATTTTCCCAAATAACTAATCCTGAATTACCATAACCTGGAAATTCACTTAATTTTACTCTAAAATAATCAACATCTTTCAATACATTATGTTTTTCATTAAAATCTTTAAATGTGGGCAATTTTGTACAATAACTTTCAACAAATAATCTCTTGTAACTATCAAAAATTTGCAGTAAAATTAAAGAATATTTTAATTCTGGTAAATATTTCATTAAAGTTTTAGCAACAGTTGAAGTATCTTTAACAAGATTTTCCATATATTGATGACAATGAAGTGGATGTTTAACTGGTTCCGACCAATTGATATTTGGTAATTTATTACAACTAGCAATTGTTCTTTCTTGCATAATAGTAATAATTTTGGCAAATAATTCAGTTTCATGATCCTTGTAGTTGCTTATCATTTTAGTAAATGAAATTTGATCTTCAGTACGTTCATCTTTGAAAATATGTTGCAAATTTTGTAAAAATGAAATATTAAATTCAATAAATCTAATACATATTGCTAAATGTTTAGTTGTTATATGTTTTAATCCCGCAGTTCTTGTAGCTCCTGCACCCAAAACTGCTTGAGATGTTTTTGAATTTAATTCTTTAAAATAATTTAATAAATTGTTCTCAATAGTTGTTGAATAATTAGGAAATGCTTTTGATGCAATAATGTAATTTTTAATATGGTTAACAGTTATTACTGCTAAATTGGGGATGATGAATTCATTATCATCAATTATAAGTTTATTCGTAGTAATTTGTGGTTGCTCGTCAACTATGTCTTTATCATCTTGATAAAAATCATTTGAGTTTAGCCAGTCACTACCAGAAAATCCTCTTGAACCATTTGTTTTTTGGTACTCTGAGTATTCTATAATTTCATTTAATGAAACTTGAACAGGCCCCAAAATTTCAGGATCGTCCATAATTTTCCAAGTTTCTCTTGAACAACTTAATGCCATCAGCTTAGATGAATTAACATGAATTCTATGTATAAAATAAACCGTATGATCTTGAAACCATGCTTTTAAATCACCAACTGCTCCACTTGATTCAAAAGCTGGATTTATTAATTCACATTCTTGTAAATATGCTGATGTTATAGAAAATAATCTTAAGTATAATTGAATTGGTAAATCAGCAGTTTGCTCCAGTCGTACACTTATAACTTTTCTCAACCTAATTTGAGTCAATTCAATCGCTTTGTGAATTGCTTTTGTGATATCTAATGACATTATGTTGATATTTGAAGTAGGTGGTATCGTTTTCAATGCAATATCTAATAATAATTTTTGATGAACCGTTAGCCTTCTTAAACATTCAGATAATTGTGCATAAGTTTTCGAAAGCATTGCTTCAAATTCTTTTGGTGTTAGTACTTTTATATTAGTACCTAATGCATTTGATGTTATGGTGGTTGTTGTGGTAGCAGAATCTGGAGGTGTTGGTGAAGTTTCAGAGTCTAAATCATCAATTTTTTGAGTTGTTGGTATATTCAGTTTAATAATTTCTTTAATTTCACCGATGAATCTATTTTGATAAAGTGTATATGCATTAATTAAATTTCCAGCCTTTATAAGGTTAGATACGTATTCTTGTAATTTTGATTGAAATGTTGGATCTAAGTTCCTGAAAGATGTATTAATTGGTTTTGATGCATATTTTCTTGACTTGTCTTTATTCACATACATTCTATTCAATGTATCTTTTGTAGGAACAGATTTATAATGAGAACTCAAATCTTGAAGTAATAAATCAATAAAATCATGTATATATTTTCTTGAGCAGTTAGTTTTCAATGTTTGTAAATCATTTATTAAGTGTATTAAAGCAGGTAAATTACTCAAATTAATGACTGTTAATTTGGGATAAAGGTTTTTCACATCTTCATCAATTATTTCATCATAATGCACTCCATGAATTAAGCTTTCGACGGCCACAATTTGATTCAAACATTTGAAATAATCATTATGATGAAATGATAAATTTGCCAATTGGAAAATCGAAGTTATATATTGTAATTGTATAGTAGTTATTTCCAAAGCCTCAACATTCCTTTTTTCAATCATTTTATCCAATATTCTTAAACCTTGTTTTGCTTGATTTTGTTCAAGATGATTTAATTTTTTAATAATATTTTGATAATCATTTACACAATTATCTGATTTTTTTTGAATATTTTCTATATCTCCAATAGTATCAAAAAATGAATCAGAAGATTTTTCAATTTCTGCAATTAAATTCATTTCAACAAGATCTAAATAATGTGAAAATTTTTCTTGTAAATCTGTATCATTTATAATATGATCTTGTTCATATTTAAGATTTGAATTTTCCAATACTTTTTTAAATGTTCTTGGATCATCTAGTTTGAAATCAGGATCAAGAAATATATCAGGAACTTCATTTAACAACGGTTCTATATTTTGAAAATTTTCAATTGATGATGAAGTCGATAATTCTCCTTGTGCTGATGGTTGTGATAATTTTCTTAATGAATCCTCAGTTAATTTTTTATGACTATCTTCAAATTTCTTATATTCTTTTGCTATATCATTTACAAATTTTGCTTCTAATTCTTGATTTGATACTTTTAAGTTTAATTTTTCTAATTGAATTTGTGGTATATCTTTTGATGTTGGAGTGTTAATGTTATATATAGTTGTAGTACCTCCATTTAATGTAACAGATGTTTTAGGAATTCTATTTCTTCTTGCTCTTGCTGTATCTGATCCAATTGTTAATTCATATATTGAATTTGGTCCTAATGGTGAATATGCTGTATCATTTCTATTTTCATCAAATGTAAATAATGTACCTGACAGTACATAACTTTCATTATCTATACTTCTTCTATTTTTAATAAATGAATTTGTTGATTCAGTTCTTCTATGAACTCGTAGATGATTATTATTATTATTGTTGTTATAATTATTATTATGATTGAATGAAGGAGATTGTTCTATTATATTTGAAGAATGTTCAGAACCAATTGGTAAATCATCATTTAAATTAATTGTACTTTCATTAACAGATGACAGATTTAGTATATATGATGAATCATCTGACATATGTAATGAATATTTGGTTTGATAATAATAATAATAATTGTCTTGTGATATAAAATTAATAAATTATAGAAAGTTCTTTAAATTTTGGTTGTCAATATTTCAAAAAGGCTGCAATTATTTTTTTCTGTCTAATCTAGGAGTTTTCTTGATCTCCAAATCAATGTAAATAATAAAGATGAATGAACCTTGATCTTGAGAAATGGATAAAGTTGAAAAGAGTTATCAATTATGATGAAACGATAAAAGATTGTAAGCTTTTACAAATTCAGACTGGTATCTTTAATATAAAGGGATATAATTATAAGCTTTTCTTACAAATTAACGGACTCAATCTATATTTTTCTAATAATTTAACTCTATATACAAAAATCTTGTTGAACTTTGAAAAAAACTAAAGTTAATCAGTCGAAGATTAGTATATGATTGAAAAACTGTCTTAAATTATGAGAATCAACTTATGAATATGTAAGGGTCCCAAATCATTCGATTATAATAGTTAAAAAACCACAGTTAATAACTTAAAGTAAATATTGAATATATAAATTTCCTATTTTCCAGTTTCTCTCTTTTAATTTTACATAAATTTTCATATTACTAATTATTATTTACAACCAAATTAAATAAAATCATTAACAATAATGTCAACAAGTCAAGAACAAAAACCAAAACCATGTTGTGTTTGTTTAGATGAAAGAAAAGAAAGAGATAAATGTACATTATTTCATGGTATTGAAAGTGAAGATTGTAAATCAATATTAGATAAATATAATTCATGTATGAAAGGTTATGGATTTACACCAAATCAACCAATTAAATCATAATGGAAGAGGGGAGCATAAAACTAAGCGGACAAAGTGTGGAGTTATAATCAAATTATAAAGCAAGTTCTTGTAAATATTAAACAATTATTATATTGTTACAAAAGATTCTATAATGTATATATAAATATTCAAATATATAAAAGTGTTTCAATTTTATCAATTTTATTCATTAGTTGAACCATATTTTTTATTTAAATCATTATTCTCAGAATCACTTGAATTATTCCCTTGATTTTCAATTCTTTCTTCATCATCTAAAATATTATTAATTTCTCTTCTTCTTGTACTTTCACTATCATTATCAAAATTTGGATATTTTAATTTTAATAATTTATTACTATTAAACCAAATTTTATTTTTCAAAAAATTATCAATTAATATTAATTGTAAACAATTTAATAATATGGGAATTATAAACATAACAATGAAAATTTCAAATTCATTTGAAAATTCATCTAACCAACTTAATAAAATATGTGAAGTAATCCAAATTAATTGAATTTCAAATATTTCAACAAATAAATATAATATAATTTTAGTAATCATTAAACTTGTAAAATAAATAATTAATTGTTTAAACCATGCTTTAAAACTTGGTTTATTTATATTACCATATTCTCCACTTTTAATTTGAGTTATATTAAAATAATTTTGACATATATAATTTAAACTTGTGAAAACCAAATATAATATATAAACTCCAATTGTACAATCTAATACCATATTTAAAAAATACCAATCACAAGCATTATCTTCATCAGTATCATTATTATTATTATCATCTCCATTTTGTTCTTTTATTTTTACTAGTATTTCCGGTGCAGTTTTTAAAACAGATAATATAATATTAAAAATATGAACTCCTAAAGCACCAATTAATTGTTTACTAACATCAAATATCCAAACAGGCCAAGTACGTCGTATTGGATATTCATAAAATCTTTTTAAAATTAAACTTGATAAACATAATAATCCTAATAATGCTTGAGTTAATAATGAAAATGTACCAATTAATTCACATTTATTTGAATTATTATCTCCATTTGATGGATTATTATTATTATAATTAGTTGAATGTAATAAAGTATTGGGTATAAATATATTTAGCATTTGAATATATATATATGTATATGTAGTTGATCCGACTTAGATTATTAAATGAATGAGTTTGGTATTAAAATATAAAAATTGTAATGTCATGTACAAATTCAGATAAATTAAATAAAATAAATAAATACGAAAATAAAAATAAAAATGATATAATATTATTATTATTAAAATTGCTTAAACTGATAATAGTTAATAGAAATAAGATCTCTCTACTATAATACGAACTATATGCTTTTATACTTGCCATACAGTATAAGTATTAACAATACTTTAATTCCAACGTTTATATTCGATTAAATTTACAATTTGAGATCTAATGATGACTTCAAATTAAAAATAAATTAATTTAGAAAAACAATTCTACAATTTATTGTTATACACTTTTTAAAATTCTAAACTCTCTACCATTTTTTTTATTTAATTTATTATTACTATTTTTTATTTTTATACAATTTTTATACAATTTTATTTAAAGAAATTAATTTAGAAATGAATCACCATCTTATTATTATTTTTTATTCTTTTGATGTTGTTGTTTTTTATAAATTTTATAAGAATATTTAATTTAAAATATTTATTTGAAGTTTTCGTTTCTATTTTTTGAGATATGAGAGACATCACTAATAATTAATCTTCATCAGAATCCGAATCTTCATCAAATAGAAAAGTATTTCCTTTTGGTTTTGGTGGTATTGATTGAGTTGATTCTGATTGAGGTGATGAACTAAAAACATTTTCTGAAGTTGTTTGTGGTGGAGATACTGATGATTTATTATTTGTATTTGTATTTAAAAATGTTTTACTTAATGATTTATCTTGAGCACTTAATTCTTTTGAAATACCACCACTAAATTGTTGTGATAATGTATTTGAACTTGTAGTTTGTTTTGGGATTGAACCTGGTTTGTGATTGGAATTAGTTGATGATATGCTTAATCCTTCCTCTTGTTCATCATCAGATTCAGATTCAGAATCATTGAATTGAAAAGGTGATTGTTTTGAAGTTGATGAATTTTGATCTATATTTGGTGATATAATAGGACTATTTTTATAATTATTATCTTCAAAATTTTCATTATGTTCAATTGTATTTTCAAGTGTATCATAATCAAAATTTGATCCTAAATTTAAATTTTCTGGTAAATCAACAACATCAGGAGTTTGATATAATGAATGATTTGGATCACATGTATATACAGTATTATAATCATAATAATAATCATAACCTCTACTTATATCATTATTAACATTATGTGATAATGATGAAGTATATGGATTATCTTCATCACTTGAATCTTCATCTGATCCATAATTTAATGATGTTGGTGGTAATAATTTTATAGAACTAAAACTTTTATTACTTGATATTGATTCATTATCTGAAGAATTTAAATCTTTTAATGATTGTGATTGTTGTGATTGATGATTTCCCATTTTTAATGGAATATTTGACATTGATTTTACTTTTAAAAAAAATCCTCCTTCTTCATCTTCTTCTTCTTCCTCTTCATCATCGTCGTCATCTTCTTCTTCTTCATTATTATCATTTCCTTCATTATCTCCTTCATAAAGATGACTTCTTAATAAATTATTATTTATTTGATCATGATAATCATCATAAACATCTTCTGTATCATCATTATCACTAAAACCTCCTTCATATTCATCAGAATCAGAATCATATGCTATACATTGTTGAACTTCTTCATTAAATCTAATATGTCTATTAGCAGCTGGGACAGGTTTGGAAAATAATTGATTTGTTTTTTGAGGGTTTTCATTTTTATTAGTGAGTTGATTACTATTAGTATTTTCATCTTGTTTTATTGTTGATAAACTTGAAGAATTTGAATTTAATAAAGTTTGTAATTTTGCAACATTTGTATTATCAGTTGATTGTTTATTTGTATATTGAGCATTTAATTTATCCAGAAGTGCATCAAAATTAAAATATTCATCAGGTGGTTGTTGTTGTAATTGTTGTTCATGTAATTGTTTTTGTTGTTCTTTTTTCTTTTGATATATACTTGTTGCTAATTCTAATTTAAATAAATTTGAATGACTTATAATTGATTCTTCAACTGTTCTTTTCTTTAATATAGGTTTTGGTTTATTTTTAACATTACGTCTTGGTTTTCTTGCTATTGATATATCACCAGCAACTGCACTTGAAGCAATCGATTCATCATCCATTGGATGTGTATCATCATTTTCATCATTTCCATCATTATTACCATCTTGACTATTACTTCTATTATTATTTTTTAATATTGGACCATATAACCAAGTTACATCACTTTCTTTTGACCAATTTACAACTTCAGGACTAATAGTTTTTAAATTTGATCTTCTTTGAGCCCAAGTTCTCCAAGATGCATTTTCTAATCTTGCAGCATTTGCAACATCTCTTTTTTTAGAAATAACATATCTCCAAGATTTTGATATATCAGATACATCCCATTGATGAGATAAATAATCAACATGACGTGAAGGTTCAGCAGTTAAATCTGAATCATCATAAGGTATTAATTCTGGAGATTGTAAATTTAAAGTTGGAGTTGTTGTAGGTGAAGCAATGGGAGATGGGGATGATGATACTGAAGTTGATTGATTACTATTATGTTGAGGATAATTATTATTATCAGAATAACTTGAATAATCACTATTATAACTTATTATATCTTGATTATCCTTATTAATAGAATTGTCATTAGTATTATTTTGAATTGATCCCTTTTTTAATTGTTGATTTAAGTTAGGGGTTGATTTATTAGTTTCTGGTTGTGGGTGTTGTTGTTGTTGTTCATTAGATTGATCTTGTTCTTTTAATTTTTCCGGTATAAATTCATCTAATAAACCTAAAGATCTAGTTCTTTTCAATTTAAAAGTTGTATTATTAAAATGATCATCATCTTCCGCATCAACATGTTGTGAAGTTGTTGCTCCACCAGTAAATACTTCTCCAGACATTTTTCTTAATATCTTTTTTCGAAAATTAAATTGAAAAATGGGTTGTCTATATCCTTTTTAGTTTATATGATAATTCTTTTTATTTATGATAATTTAAAATTTAATGATGATGTTTTATTGATTAATGATGGTTAAATTGATTAAATATTATAATAAGGTTGTATTTATTGTCGATGTATTAAATATATATGATAAATATAATAACGTTCTAACTCTATTATAAAATAAATAATAAAATTGTAGACTTTTTTTTTTTTTGGTTTTATTTTCCCTTTTTAAAAATTATGTATTTAATATTATGTATTTACTTTTATTTTGACTTATTTATTATTAATGTTATTAATTAGAAAATTGATTGTGAATATTCTACTAAACGATAGATATATATCAAATCTAGGTATTATTGACTAATATTTAGATTCAAAATCCTTATATTAATTTTAACATATAAATGATTGATGAATAAATCAATTAGGTAAATTATTGATTTTATTAATTATATAATACAATACAAATAATATTAATAGTAAGTAGTCTAGTAAAAAAAAAAAGTAATTTTGGTTTGCTGTATTTTTTTTGTCTCTCTCTCTCTCTCTCTCTCTTGTTAATAATTGATTTATTTATAAAACACATCGAAATAGTTAATTGTTAACACTTATTACATACATTTAAAATGTAAATAGACTTAAAATTTAAATTACGTTCAATAGAAAGTTAATTAATGTTAAAGACTAAAGTGTTAAAAGAGTTACATTCGAGTAAGCGTAAGCGTGAGAGAGAGGGAGATAAGAATGAGAAAATTAATCATTTTTTTTGTTCCGGGTATCCATTAATGTTGACAAAAACAATACAATTGACCTCTTATTAAATATCAAAGTTTTATGAATGTGTTGATTTAACAACAAGATTGTCATAAGAAGTTTTATTTAATAGGCTTAAATATTTTTCATTGTTTCATTGACTTGATTTCGATTTTCTTTTTCAGTTTTAATTTTGAATTCTTAAAAATTTCTTACATTAAAATTAAAATATTGGCAAAAAAACAAAATTTTACAAACTTTTTTTGCTTTGAATCAAATCCTTCGTATTACTTTGATTATTAAAATTTTTCATTAAACAAGTTAAATGATGAATTCAAAGATACGATAATTATGTTTCAAACTCTCCCTCGTTCCTTATGTTAAGTTAAGTTAATAATTGGTAGCAAATGCATCATGGAAAAAATCGGAATACCTAGGCGGTGATATTTCTCCGATGTTATTAAGCATAATTTTCATCAACTTCAGACTTAGTATTGATATAATGAGATCTAATTAATTAATATACTAATTCTAACAAATCGTTGTGTTTTATCAAGTAATCCTTGAATATTTTGTTGATGATTGAATTATATAAAAAGCGTAAATCAGCTCAAATGAGGTGATTTTATATGAAAATTGTAGCTTTCAACCTGGTTTTTAATTTTCTCTGACACTCAATCAGAAAAAGCCATCGAGTGGTCTTATTTTTATTATACTCATAACCATAGTAACGGAAAAAACATCAAAAAATAATAAACGTTTTGTATATATTATACCCCCAGATTTTTATCACACATTTAGACGTTATACCTCGTTATGAAGACGCCTGTCGCGAACAATCTCATAAGAAAATTTAAGTTCTGGTTAAAATTTAAGTGTTGTATATTGCAACGTTCTAAATTTTATTTGGTTGTAAATAATTCGGATAAATTATTTATTTTTTCTCGAGGTAATATAAATTTTGACGTGAAATTTCAAACCTTAATTTTATGAAAATAGAAATTATAAACAAATAAGTTTGAGTGGGTGTTCTGCCATTAAAAACACAAGGGTTATGTTATAAACTGGTATTACGAACAGTTTAAACAGAAACAAAATTACTATGTTTTATAACTCTTGTGGAGTAAGTGTCTGATTTGTAATTTAAATGATATGATTTTTTTTTCTTTTTTTTATTTAATTTTTTTCTTTTTAGTAAGATTATTAATTTATCCGATATGTGGGGGGAAAATACTTTTGTGTAATGTATTATAAGTAAGAGTGATATGATATATTAGTGAGAATAACACTTGATATTTTAAAGTTTAAAAAAATTGTTTAGTTTTAATATTCTGCTGAATGCTGGGGTCTAGGATGTCAAAATTACAAAATCTATTGTCTCAGTTTCATATTAAAAATTACAATCTATTTACTTTTCTAACTAACATCATATATTCTATTCCCACTTATATAACAAAATCCAAGACTTTCAAATACTTCTTTAATAATCATTTTATCTTTTTCTTCTTCAGTTTTATCGTTAAACTCAGTATTAAAAGATAGATATTTAAATTGATTTGATTCATCTATTTTATTATTCAATTTTGTTAATGGATAATTTGTTAAATTACAAGTTATCCATTTATGATTCGAAGTAGAAGATATCATTCTTGTATTTTCATCTAGTTGTGATTGATTTTCCAATTTTGTTAAAGAGTTAATTTCAAATTTTTCTTCTGAATCGTGAACATTTATTGTAAGTGATGTTTGTGTAGGTATATTTGAATAAACTGATGTTGATGATAATTGTTGATAAGATGTAATTAAAAAAAATTTATCCGCTTCATCTTTTATAATTTTATTATTATAAGCTTCTAGTAATAAATTTTTTAAATATTGAGTTACAATCGATTTCATATCGAATTTATATTGTTTGATTTTGTCATATAAAGATTTTGCATCATCAGAAGTTGAAATATAACCTTCTAAAGTATTTGATAATAAAGTTGCAAAAGTTTGTAAATATTGTAGTTCAATAACTTGATTTTGATTCAAAAAGTTCTCGATTAAAATTTGATTCAAATTTAAACTTGTATCTATAGTGATTCGATTCAATTGTGGTAATTCCTTTAAATTTAAATTCACAAATTCTTGAAAATTCTTTAAGAAAAACTCAAATATTTCATGTTTTGATGACGACAAATCCTCTATCAAAACTGGTATCTTTTCGAAATTATGTAGATAATATGTAACTAATTTTGAAATTGAGGTATTTGTAACAGAATCAACTTTGATCTTACCTATTGGTGAAGATAATTTGATAAATGCAACATTAACAGAGAGATCAGCATCTGATCTATAGTGGATTGAATTTTTTGGTAATACTTTATATGTAATTGCAAAAATCTCATCACTAATTGCATTCATTCCATGTATGATGATATTTTCCTCTAGTGATAACTCTTCTCTCTCGGTTGCATTTTGAAAGGACATTATAACTCCTTCTGTGAATAGACTCATTGAAATATCATTTGGTATTGGTGTAAACTTTTTGGTGATCAAGTCAAATTGTAAAGTTTTAAACATTCCATTTTCATACGATAGTAGTATGGTGAGTAAATTCTCTTGAATTCCCAAAATTATTGACGTATTACTGTACCAATTTTTGATGCTATATTCAAATGTTTCATCGCCATCAAATATGACAAGTTTAGACGTGAATGTACTAACCAAATACGTTTTGTCACCAACTTTAATAATCTCATTTCTTTGATTTACAAATCTACCGGATTCAATAAGTTCTTTAGTCTGTTCTAATGCTTCATTAAAAACAGATAATGAATTGTCTTGACCAATAATTAAAAACACTCCTTTTTCCCATTTTATTTTAGCAATATCCTTCGAATAATCAATTTGTTTAAAAACATTCATTTTATCATCAAATATTATTATTCTATTAGTCATATCAACAATTGCTAAATGTAACTTATTATCAAGCATATTGAAAGCAAAGTATTTTAATTTCAAATGTTTAAAAACTTCAGCAGATACGTAATACTGACCTTCACATTCAATTATTTCATCGTACAATTTAATAAGTCTTTCAAACACATTAATTCTAACTTTGTAATCACCAAAATCAAGACTTTCTCTTCCCATAACTAGTAATTCTCCCGAGTTAAATAGAACTCCCAACAAACAATCTCTTGTATTTATATTTATAGGACTCCATTGACTTTGAACAATACTTGGAATTTGAGCAGTAAAATTTAAAAATTCATCACCATCTTTAAATATAACATTATTGAACTTATTAACCGGTAAATTTTTTATACTTTCAGAGTGTAATAATCTATTTACCGAATAAAGTTCCTTCGTATTTAAAAACTTGAAAGTAGTTGTTTCACCTATTGCTTTATGATATGATGGTAAACGAGGTTCAATTATATGTAATGAATCATATGAATTTATAATGAATTGTGAATTATCTGATAGTTTTATGGGATCATTTCTTGCCAATGCCGCATCTGCTTTAATTACTTTAAGGTCCAATATTGTTGACATCTCATATCATTGTTTGTGCTTGAATTGATTGTAAGTTTATTGATGTTGTTGTTATTTCAAATTTAGAATCTGAAACAAACGCGCATTTTTTTATAATTATACTGGTGTTTTAAGTAAACTCAAACTATCATTCTATTTCATAAATTATCAAAACAGAAAGTTCTAATTATCATTGATGATTGATATATAGTATTAAAAAGTTATGGTTTCATTATGTAGGGACTACCATCACCCGTTCAAACCATATGAAATTCAAACCCAATTAATGGATGCAATTTATGACACTATTGAAAATGATTACAAAATAGGATTATTTGAAAGTGCAACTGGAACAGGTAAAACATTATCAATAATTTGTTCTACAATGACTTGGTTAAGGAATTTCAAAAAGAAAAACACGTTTGAAGAATCAAAAAACGCGTCTGAAGAAGATGAAGAAGAAGAGGATGATGATGAGCCAGATTGGGTTCAAGATGAATATCAAAAATCAATTGTCAACAAGACCAAAGATAAATTGAGAGAGTTTGAAGTACATCTAGATGAAGTAGAAAAGGAGTATAAATCCAGAAAGAGACAGGAGTTAAAAATCAAAGACAAAATAAAAAGAAGAAAGCAAACATCACTAGAGAAAGATAATGATGATGATTCGCAATTTTTACCCAACGATTTTAATGAAAACTCCACCGCAGAATTGAAAAATTTCCAAATCAATCAAGAAATCAATAAGTTGATGAAAATAGCTGAACAAAACATACCTATAGATGAAATTACCAATTGCCCTACGAAAATATATTTTTCATCAAGAACTCATACACAACTAAATCAATTTTCAAGTCAACTAAGATTAACTACTTTTGATGCATCATTTGACGAAATGAAAGTAAGGACCAAATATTTACCATTAGGATCAAGAAAACAACTATGTATAAATGAAAAAATCAATAAACAAATTAATAAAAGTGGAGATCAAATGATAAATGATGCATGTATTGATTTACAAAAATCCAAAGATGGTTGTTCATATTTATCAAAAAATGATTCTTCTCTAGCGAAGGAGTTTTCTGATTTAAGTTTGGCTAAAATTAGGGATATTGAAGAATTAGCGGATTTAGGTTCAGATTTAAAGATATGTCCATATTATTCAGCACGAGAAAGTGTTGATGCAACGGAAATTATATCATTACCTTATCAATTGTTATTTCAAAAAAGTACCCGAAATATTTGGAATTTGAACATCAAAGATTCAATTGTTATAATCGATGAGGCACATAATATTATCGACACCATCACTTCATTATATTCTGTGAAAATAACGTCCAAACAATTAGATCATGTTATTAAATCATTAAATTTTTATCTCAAAAAGTTTGTGAAGAGATTAAATAGTAATAATAGAATTCAAATCATGAAACTAGTCAAAATTTGTAAAATACTTATTAATTTCATTAATCAAAATTCAAATCTAAATTTGGGAGAAGAAGTGAAAGTAGATGAAATTTTTACAGATTCCACTGGTGATCTAGTTAATATTCATAAATTAGATGATTTTTTAACTAAAACTAAATTAGCATATAAAATAGAATCATACATGTCAAAAATTGATGAATCATATAAAAATTCATCAAGTCCTTTATTATTTGAAATTATAAAATTCTTAAAGTGCTTCACAAATCCAAGTAAAGAGGGAAAGTTCTTTTGGGATAAATCAAATAATGAAGTTTCATTAAATTACATGTTATTAGATCCAAGTTTTATTTTCAAAGAAATCGTTGATCAAGCTAAATGTGTTTTACTTTGCGGTGGTACTATGGAACCAATGAGTGAATTTATAGACTATTTATTTCCTTTTGTTCCTGAAAGTAAAATTAATAAATTTTCATGTGGTCATATAATTCCTGATGAAAATTTAAAAGTATTTGCAATTGATAGATTCAACGGTGAAGAATTTGAATTTCTGTTTAATAGAAGAAGTGATCTAATGCAATTGGAAAACCTTGGAAATTTTATTTTGGAAGTTTGTAAAAATGTACCATACGGAGTTGTTGTATTTTTTAGTAGTTACAAATTCTTGGAGCAAGTTTTAGAATGTTGGCAAAAAACAGCGATATATTCACAAATTGCAAATGAAAAGCAAATTTTCCAAGAACCATCAAATTCTTCCAAAATTGATCATGTCCTAAATGATTATTCCAATGTAATAAACATTCAACGAAAAGGTGCAATATTATTTTCAGTAGTTGGTGGGAAATTATCAGAAGGTATTAATTTTTCAAATGATTTGGCAAGAGCTGTTCTTATGATTGGTTTACCATATCCAAATGCATTTAGTGGAGAAATAATATCTAAGCGTAAATATATAGAATCTCAAGTTTTAGTCAACGGTGGCACTTTAGAATCAGCAAAACAAAAATCTTCAGATTATTATGAAAATTTATGTATGAAAGCTGTTAATCAAAGTATTGGTAGAAGTATTAGACATGCAAATGATTACTCATTAATATACCTCGTTGATAAAAGATTTAAATTTTCCAAAATTCAAAATAAATTAAGTAAATGGGTTAAAGATAGATTAATTAATGCTTCTGCTAATATAATGGAAGAATCAAGGGAATTCTTTGAATTCAAAAATTTTGGCCAACATAGTCAATAGAAGCTTGTGTTTGTCTGAATTGCATCAATGATAATTGCTTGTTATATCTTTGATGGATTTCACATAATTGTTTGATTGATGAACTCATATCATCAAAACTATTTACAACTAAAAAAGTAAAGTTGTTGCAAGAGATGACATTGAAGCTCATTAGAGAACTTGTTTATATGCTGGTATAAATATTTCAGTTATAAAGGTGATTGGAATGGTCATACTAATGTTTATACTAAACATAAGAGAAAATCTGGTGGTATGATGGTTATGAAAGTTGCTTTTAGTAAATTTGCGAAAAGAAATAAATAATATATGTTAGTGCATGCATCTGACAATGAACAAAAACTAACTGGTAGACACGAATCTGCTTTTGGTGATACTTTTTCATCAGGTGTTGCTAATGGAGGTGCTTCAGTTAAAATTCCAAGACAAGTTGCAAAAGAAAGGTATGGTAATTTCGAAGATGGAAGACTAGCTTCAAATACTGATCTGTATTTAGTTACTGGTATTTTGGTTGAAACAATTTGTGGTTCGAACTTAGTTCTGATATGGCTAAAGACTTTGCAAGAGAAACTTCAAATGAAAAAAGTTTGAAGGGGGAATTTTAAAAATTATAATTATTTAATAGTGTATAAAATGGAATTAAATAACAAGCAATATAACATTTATATAGTTAATCAGTAGGGAAATAAATTTTAAAATATAAATTATGTAGGTAATTCGATAATTGTATTATAAATTAAAAATTGAAACAGTAGTTTTAAGGCCACGAGAGAATTTTCAACAACCAATCGTTTCAAGCAAACTGTATAATTTTGACTCAAACAAACTCTCTCAATCACAGCTACAATCAACATTTTTAAAAAAACTCATTAAAACTAAATCATTCAAAACAGTTCAAATTATATTTGAGCTATCCTTTCTCTTCGTTAATTGAAAGAATCATTAATTTTCTCTTTCATACCTTTACCTTTATGTACTAATTAAATTCAGAAATTCAATTCGCTTTGAAAATTTGGTTGCAAAAATTTTGATAAATTTGAACATTTCTGAATTTTGTCTTAAAATTACAAATTTGTAAATTTTTAATACTCACTTATCAGTTAAATCTTCTATATTTTTTCTACATTTCAAGAGATAATTTACTGTTTACATTAAAGCTTATTTGGATTTGAAGCTGATCAACTTCATAGTTTAAATTCTTAGAACATCTATGCTTAAGAAAACACAAAAGGAAAAATAGGAAATAGACTAAAAAAAATGAATTAAAAAATTTAATCACACTTTTATAACACTACTTTGCGTACCTATATTGTTCTGAATAATTAGTACTAGTGCCATCTACTATTATCAGCATCATCATGAACCTGATACAATTGCTAGCTGATGGTTGATTTATATTTAAATTTGGAGAATTCATTTATAAAAAAATTGTTGAGTTTTGGCAATTGTTTTAGTTTATAAATCAAAGGTGAGACACATCACTTTAAGTATATATCAAGATTTACTTGATTTATATTGAAGAAGTCTCAATTGGATTTTTGATTTGGGTTTAATGTCCGTCCTTTAATATTACCCATGGTTTTGAGGTAAACCTGTTTGGTCTGGGTTTCAATCCCGTGGATTAGAGAGGTTTTCTCAATTAAGAATGTATTAGCTTTTGAAATCTAGCGTTTATTTGTTTTCTGTTAACGGAGAAATCTATCAAGTTGAGGGAAATAATTTGAGATTTTGAAATTCTGGTTTTTTCAAAATTCTCGAAAGTTTTTCAAGAGGTTTTTGAGTTAAATCAACTTTATCTAGCTCAAGGTTTGATTTGATTTTGAGGATCTACAAATGATGATTGTTCTTTATTGTTTTATTTTAAGGGACTAGAAAAGATGAATGTTTTTTAATTCCCCTTCAAACTTATAATGTGTATTAATGGAATCCAATGATCGTTTTTGTCGATAAATAAACTCAAGTTATTGTTAAAACTGTTCAATCATTTTAGTTATAGGAATTATTGCTGTGTGATCTTGTGATGTTCAAGACTACATTTGGTTGTCCATTAGTACGTGATCGTTAATTAGATTGAATTCTACGTCTGGAGAGTAAGGTACAGGTAGTTCCTTGATTATGTTGTTGGGGTATTTTGATTTTATGAAACCTTTCTGAATATGCTCGCAACAATATTGCAGTTCATGTATAAAGTTATTTAATGTAAAATTTTGTATGATGTATAACTAACTCAAATGAATCACGTAGATACTTTCTACTTTGCTTTCTCTTACAGCTCTAAAAATCGCTGGCTCTTCAACAAGAGATGGAATATTTGATTTAAAGAAAGAAGATACAATAGAGTTGAAAAAACTTTCTCATACAAAAGGCAACCAAATGATTCAACGCCCTTTAACCCTTTTATGAAGACGAGATTAAAAAATTTTTCAAAGTTTCGAGGTCTTTCGATCCAATGTGTGCAGTGTTTCTGAAAAAACAGTTACAACTCTTGCAAAGATCAAGTTTTTACGAAAGTTCTTAGTTTTACGAAACCAATAACATTAAAATACAGAGAAAAATTCAGTACTGGACCTAAAATCACATTTTCAACTTTTTATTGTCTATAAAGAAGATTCTAAATTAATTAATAAACTATAAATTTCTCTAGGCATCTTGTATTGAACCATACCAGCATATATAATACAATTTTTAGCAATCTTTTTCCACTGAAGTAATTCATCTTTTTCATTGTTTAAAGATTGGTATCTTTTTGTCAATATATTATAATTTAAATTTGTAACACAAGTCAATACCAAAATCAATAAAGATGGGATAATTTTAATAACATTTTCATCTAAATCATTATTCTCTATTAATTCGGAATAAATTCTAATTTTGCTTAAATCATCGGTTGAATTAGCTGGTAAGATATTCAATTTATCTATCTTGTTTATAACTTCACTCCAATTTCTTTGAATGAAATCATTTCGTATTTCAATGACCGAGATTAATAATTCACAAGTTTGTTTAACTTGTGATGTGATGTTACTTAATATATGACTATTCTTGGAAAAACTATTCCAAATATGCTCAGATAATAAAATGATATTATTATCAATATTATTTTCTTTATTCACATCAATTGATCCACTGTTTAAAGCATCACAATTACCAAATAATATTATTGGTTTATTCAAATCACTCGTTGCAATTAATTCAGCTAATAATTTATTAACTAAAACGATGGTAGTTTCATAATCACAAGATAATTGATATAATAATAATGCATCAAAGATTCTCCCTTCTTCTTCACATTTATTTGCAGTCACTAAAACAATTTGACGATGGAAAAGATTTAGGTTTTCCAAACCAATTAATTTTCTTTGAATTTCTAATACACCAGGTTCAATTACTCCTGTTATCTGATTTAATTCACCAATCAATATACCAAATTCTCTTGATATCAAAAGTAATTCTCTCAATGCATCGTGGCACACTCGAAGTTCTTCAGTTGAATCACCACCTTGTCCTAATGCAATCAAAATTAAATATTCACATGCTACTTTTGGATCACTTAATTTGAAAGTTGTTGTATAAGAACCTAAAATTCTACTGTAATTGATTTCATATTCATTATTTTGTACTGTTAGAATACCATCTTTGTTGAAATCTGAACATTTCAATAATCCAAAATACGCTAAACCAATGGCCAAGTGTACAGCATCGGCTTCATTCATGGATTCATAACAATATTGCACTGCTAATTCATATAAACCAGATAAAATCAAAGTTTTCAAATATAATGGATTGTTAGATGATGATGAAAAGTATTTTGGACCCAACAGTATTATTTTATTTTGTAAATTATCTAAACTATAGTTTTCAAAAATTAATGAAGATTCATCATTGCTATCGTTTTCATTGATTATTGAAAATTGGAACCATAACCAATTTTCATTACTCAAGTTTATTGAAGGCGGTGGTGATTTATTATTTAAATCACATTTCCCAATGATTTTATAAACTGAATATTTATATGGATCATAATTGACATTTGTTTCAATATCATTTAATACATATTGAAATTGCTGATTGAATTCTTGATGAATTCTTTCACGTAAATCTGAATTCAATTGAAATTTGGAATTATCAGTATAATTTTTAATATAAATTGGGAAGTTTTTATCAAATTTGTTGAACAATTCACGGTTCTTGAAAACTAATTCATTTGCATCTTCATATAATCCTGCTCTCATTAAATAGTAAATTAATGACCAGATTGGTACCCCATTGACTAACAAAGTTTTATTGACTAAATCTGGTTCATTCTTAATAATTATCTGGTGAATGAAAAATGAAATCTTGTTTATATTTGTAGCTGGTGTAAAATTTTTTGGTTTATCAATGACTTTTCTATAAATATGATCAACATAATTTAAAAATTCTTTTTCCAAATATTTTTTACTTTTCTCAACAATCAAATTATTTAGTTTCAATTTATCAGACTTGAAAAATTTTTGTTCCTGTAAAACTTTTGAGTTTTTCTCTTCAACCAAATTTTGTAGAATTTTCCAAATTTCTGCAATTTGTTTTGATTTTGAATCATCTTGAATCTTATTCAATTCATAAAAATTTAAACATAACGGAAAGTTTTTATTTTCTATTCTTGATTCGTTTAATGAATAGATAATTTTCGCATAATTTTCAAACTTATCTCTAGATATGCTTCTTGTTCCACTAATTGGTGATGTTGTTGATAATGGCGTTAAAATATTTGCCGAAGCTGAATTTGATTTCCAAACTACTGAACATTTTAATGCTTCTTCTTGAAATTTTGATGAATCTTTTAACCCCACTGCTTTCTTCAATTTCTCTCTTCTGAGTTTCCAATCTACTGATATACTAGAATTGATGTATGTATCAAAATCTTGTGATGCTAAATTGAATGACTGCTCAATGGTATTTAGTATATTCTCTTCTTTTCTATTTTTCAAATAATTTTCTATGTTGTTATCTATTTTATAATTGAATTGTTCTTGTTGCTGTTGATAGTTTGATGATGATGATTTTGGTAGTTGAATTCCATTTAATTCATCTTCAATATCCCCAGTTTTAACTCCAGCATCTGCTAATAAATAATGAGCTTTGGTGTAATGGTTTTGTTTAATTTCAATATTCCTTAATTCTTGAGTTTTACGTTCTAACTCATCTAAAGTTAAATGTATAGATCCAAGTTGATTATTGTTTCCCAAATTACTTTTTGGTAAATTATTTGCTGCTTCCAAGAGATCTTGTAGTAATTTATCAGAACTCGAATTATCTAATGATGCTGTAATGTCAATATTTGAAGTTGAACTTATGTTTGATGTTGGTGGATTGATTATGGTTTGAGTTGTTGATCCAATTGATGCTGTTGGTTGTTGTTGTTGTTGCTGCTGTTGCTGTTGTGGTTGTTGAGTATTTGATTGACCAAAATTGAATGCACCACCAAATGATGGATTGGCATTAGTCAGTTTATTCGCAAACATTCAATCAATCTTTGTTATTATTAAAATTCTTGATTAACTGATTTAGCTGATAATTTTAATATAAATATTTTTGTTTACTTTAGTTGTAAAAAAAATAAATTGAAGTGATTTTACAATGAAAGCATAAAGTACTGTTGTTAGGATGTTTCTTCTACTCATCCAAAAAAATTAAATGTTTTGTTTTTTTTTTTTTACAACCAAAAATTTTTCACTTTCATATCTTTCTTTCTTCTTCTTCTTTTCTCTTTAACTTTGTCCAAAAGTTATTCCATCACTTTAGACAGTGCATTATACTTGTGAATTACTAGAACTATATACGTTATTATAATATAATTGAAATTGGGAGGTACATAATATTAGGTATCAGTTTTTGATTTCCGACCTTGTATCATATCAATTACTTTGAAATATGATAATATCTTTTAATTCTTAAAATTAATCAATATTAATTGCGATACGTTGATGGATAGATTAAACTCTTGTATCTTTAAGAACCTGTCTGGAATTATGTAATGAAAGAGAGGTGTCAGATGGTACAAATATTTTAATTTAAAAAGAAGTAATTATTAATGTCAATCTTCAGGCGATTGAACTAGTCTGTTGGTGTCTTAGCATCTTAATTGAGGGTAGAATCTCCGAATAGTGAAACTCCAGATACCTTGCAGGGCGTTGAAATTGACAAGTTAATTTTCAAAAGTATCACTAAAGTGTTCTTCTTCTTTGATTTTGAAAACTTCACTTACTTTTTTCAGTGAAGAATTCTTCAAGGTCTATTTAGCTTTATGGGAATGAAAGTCATGAATACAAAGCACATAAACCAACTTTGAGACATCCGCTCAGCAGATATGTGGCCAGTTTGAATAGATTAGCTACTGAAACTATCATGAAATCTGGTATCTAATAATTTAAATGGTGAGAATTACAAAATAATGCTTATTCTATCAAATTCAAATTTACACTGTCAATATTCAAAGTACTATATTGTAATAGGATTAGGTATACTTTTGATTTACTACTTTGTAATACTCATGAAATTCTAAAATGTTTTAGTTACGAGATATGTATTGAACCAAATTAATTTAAAATCTGATAATTATGATGATTGAAGTTTGAGATATCTTGTTTACAATTCAATCTCACAGACTCTAAAATAGGCTCATTTTAATAACATACAGATTTTTAAATATATTCTATCATTTTAAAATTTCAATTATTTTTGTAGAAATTTTGTTTCAAATGGAGGCCGTTTATTAGAAAATTTTACGAATAATTTGGTAGCCCTTTCGTATAATCTTAAATCAGCTGCACAATACAAAGTTTATATTTGATTTCCGACGTGATTTCATGACAACCGAATAGTTTATAGTTAATCAAATGTAAAATTTTTTAAAAATTACAAGTTGTCGGCATCTTTTACCCAGAGGGACGTAACCATTAGGTAATAGAAACACTTTTAAGACATTAGGTCAATATAAAGCATAGCAAATAATACTTGTCTCGAGCTCTTCCAAAATGTGATCAAAAGTTATGTACAGAACAACTAAGAAAATTAATTGGTAGCTCATTTGGCCGTATAAAAAACTTTAAATGTTTTGTACAATTATATTTAATATCAGACCAATAATAATTTACTATTCAAGGAATAATTTACTATTCAAGAAATAATATCGTGTGCATTTAAGATGATATATGTATATCAAGTTAATTAACACAAATATATGATCATTTCAAATTATTCCAAGTAGTACAAAGTGAAAATTCAGAGGACGAATTTAAAATTGACGACTTGTACGGGATCTTCTATCTAAGTACTTACGGTATGATGAAAACTACCTTTCATCATGAAAAATAAATAAAATAAGTCATCTTTCTCATCTCCATAATTAGATATAGAATCACAAGAATTAAATCTAAGGCAATCAATAAAAAACAAAAACCATGCAAAAGAAATTATTAGTAAAAAAGAAATATATTTAGACTTAAAAAAGATCTTCGTGTAATTTTAGTATAAAACAGGTAGTGTAAAGATGACCATAATAATATATTGGTTACATTACTTTGAATACTTCTAAAGTAATAATAGAAAGTAAATTGATATATTATAAAATATTTCAAAATCAAGGTATTTCTTAAATCCTGGATCATTTAAATGACATAATTATATTAAATTTCTAGTTAAGAATTTATGAAACATATTTATAATAGAAAATTATGAAACTTTTTATTATTGATAAGAAAAAATAAAAAGAAAAAAGAAAAAAAAAAAGAAAAAAAAAAAAAATAATCAATTTTGCAGTAATATAAATTTACACAAACTCAAGCAACAAAACTTCACTAAAAAAAAAAATGAAAAAAATTATATAAATTAGGAAGATAAATCCAAATTTTTTTTTTTTAAGTTAATTGATAATGCACAATAATTTTTGTAATTAATTAGTTTTCCATTCTTATCTAATCTTTCATTTTTGAATTAGATCTTGACAAGGTACTTTTCATACTTCAATCATTCGTATAAATTTATCCTTGTTTCATATTATTTTGCAGATTTTTTATATGAAATATATCTAGCAAACTTATTTAAAAATTTTAATATTCAGTTCAATTAGTTCAATCTTTGTTTATTTTCATATTTATTTCTTGGTTTAAATCATAGGTTTCATTATATATTATAGACAATAACATTATTATTTATTTTAAAAGCAAAAAGATTTAACCTTTCGATATCAATTCTATTTATCTATATATTCAATCAACTACTACAACGCAAATACATCCAATATGAGTAAAATAGAAGATACTCAATATGTATCAGCAAAATCGATACCGTCAAATGAGAAAAGTTCAGATTTTGAGGACTCAATGTCATTTAAAAATGGTTCAAAAGAACTTGATTCTTCAAATGATGTTGTAAGTTCTGATGGAAATATGAAAAAGAACTTTTCAAATATAGCCTTAGCAATGATTGGGTTTTCATTAACAAATAGTTGGTTAGGTATTTCATCAAGTTTGGTAACTGGTATACAATCTGGTGGGCCAATTTTAATTGTTTATGGTATTTTGATTGTAGCATCAATTTCAGTAGCTATTGCTTGTTGTTTAGGTGAGATGGCATCTGCGATTCCAAATGCAGGAGGACAATATGTTTGGAGTAGAGTACTTGCTCCAAAACGTTATGCAAACTTCTGGGCATATATTACAGGAAGTATTTCATGGGGAGGTTCTATTTTCACAACAGCTTCAATGTGTTTAGCTGTTTCTTTAGAATTGTTAGGGTTTTGGAATTTATCACATCCGAATCATGTTACCAAGAAGTGGGAGATTTTCATCATTTATAACATTATGAATTGGTTCTTATTTTTGTTTAATATTTGGCATAAATTTTTACCATTAATTGGTAATAGTATTTTTGGTATCAGTATTAGTTCATATTGTATTATTTTAATTACGGTTCTTGTTTGCTCGAGAAACAATTATCAAGATGCTCATTTCGTTTTTGTTGAATTTACTAATGGTACAGGTTGGTCATCTAAAGGAATTGCTTTTATTGTTGGTTTAATTAATCCTGCATGGTCATTTTCTTGTCTTGATAGTGTTACTCATTTAAGTGAAGAAACTTCCCAACCTGAAAGAGATATTCCAAAAGCTGTTTTATCAACAGTAGCTATTGGATTTATTACTGCTTTTACTTATTCTATTGCAATGTTTTATTGTATTACTGATTTAGACGCTGTTATTAATTCAACTACTGGTTTACCAATTTTAGATATTTATTATCAAGCTTTAGGTAATAAAGCAGGTGCTATTTGTTTAGGTTCATTGGTATTTTTAACTGCCTCTGGATGTACAGTTGCAAGTCAAACTTGGCAAGCAAGATTATGTTGGTCTTTTGCAAGAGATAATGGTTTACCATTTTCAAAATATTTATCAATCATTGATCCAAAAACTGGTAGTCCATTATATGCTCATCTTTTTTCAACAGGTATCGTTTCAGTTGTTTCAGTTTTAGTTTTCTCAGATGCTGCTTTACAAGCAACCGCTTTGGCTTGTGTTTCATTTTTATTAATTGCTTATTCAATTCCAACAATTTTCTTATTGATGAGAAGACGTCAAATTAGACCAGGTCCATTTTGGTTAGGTAAATTTGGTTATTTCACAAACATTGTATTATTATGTTGGACAGTTTTTGCTTTAGTGTTTTTTTCATTCCCGGCTTATTATCCAGTCACTGCTGAAGGTATGAATTATTTCTGTGTTGTCTTGGTTGTCTATGTCATTTGTATGTTAGTCTTTTGGTGGTTCCCAATTAAAAAATATGCATGTAAATATAATTTTAGAGGTGGTGAACAAAATGAAGAAGAAACAGAATATCCAAACGTTTGCATTAACGAATGGTAAATTTTATAAACAATTTTGTAAATACATTTTATAATTTTTCAATTCCATTATTTATTTATTTATTTATTTATTTATTTAAGAAGTTAAAGACTCTCCCAAAAATTTATCATGACCGTCCCATACACTTTCTGTTATTGACCAAGTACCTAGACTTTTAGAATTATCGGGTATTTCATTGGTGATTTTGGTAATTAGAAACCCCATGTTGAAAAATGCATTTGAGTATATGATAAACGATATTAATGGGAATTTTTGCATCATAATATAATAAACTAATCCAATTCCAAATAAAACACCTTTTCTTGTATTTAACCATTGATTTTGTTCTGACATTGTGAAATGTATTTTATTGAAATATGGTATTAATAAATCTTCAGATAAATTCCAAGATCCATAAAATGTTGTTAAAATTAAAACAGTATAATGATAATTTGACATTTGTAAAATTGTGACCAATATGATTGAAAAAACTGTTCCAAATTTATCAACAAATGTCTGAAATGATATAAAACCTAATACGACTGAAGCTATCTTTTCTGGTAAAAATTCTATTGATACGAATATTAAACAGTTTAATAAATAATAATTTGTATATCTCTTGATGAAATTCTTGAACTCTCTTGAGAATTTGAATAAATGAGTCACATTTGTAATCCAATGCTTTGACTTGTCTAATTTGTAATTTGATGATAATTTTGAATAATTCTCATAATTTTTAAAATTTTTCAGAAAATCTTGATATTTCAAATTACATAAAAATAATTTCTCCAAATCTTGATCAAAAAATGAATAAGAAGTTATTATAAAGATATTTAAATTCATAAAATGTCTTAAAAAATATTCCACCTTTATTAGATTTTCTATTTGTTTAGAATTAATTATTCCATTTTCACTTAATAAATTTATTGAAAATTTTATTAGTAGTAGTGGACCATTTAATAAAATGTATAGTATGATTGATAATTTTGAATACTTTAAAAATAAGTAAATGTTATTCGTGGTATAAAACTCTTTATTGATTAATGATTTGTATATCGATGTTAAGGTTAATTCTATACTTCGTAGGACTATTCGTATTGAAAAATATTCGGATCTTGTGGATATAAAAATTGGTGATGCCATCGCAAAATGTAGTCAGTATGAATGAGACGTTAAGTAAATAGGTTGGGGCAATAGGTTGTGATAAAAATGATACGGAATGCTATTCAGAAGCTGAATTTGAATTTGAATTTGAATTTGAATTTGAATTTGAATTTATAAACTGCACTATGACTCGATTTTTTTCGATATTATGCTCTGAAACGTGTGTGGTATAATAGTAGTAAAAAATGTTTTGAAAAATGCAAGTCATAAAAATTTAAATTTCGTTGACTTAAACTAATTTGATTCGATTTCCTTCAAATCATATATGAATTCGTGTAATTGACATGATTTTATGTTTTAAAAAATTTTGATGGATCATTTTACGATCAAACAACAGTTTTAATGTCATTCTGTTTTGTGTTTTTTTTTTCTCTTCTTATTTTTCTTATTTGCTGTTGTAGTTACAAAATTAAGCAAATATTCAAAATTATTATTTAGTAATTTTTATTGAAAATTGAGGCCAAATAATCTAAGTGTTTTTAAAGTAACACTGTCATTTTAAGTTTCATTTAATTATAATAAAATGTTTAATGAATTATACTTCCTAGAATTTAAAGTTTTTGTAAACAATTTAACCCAATTTGGTGATGTTTCGAAATTATTTGGTAGCGAGTATAAATCCTATTCTTGTTATGATATCAAGATTTGAGTTCAGAAAGATTCGAATCTTGGATGATGATGAGGAATCTTGTTATTAAGATACAATTTAAAGAACAATTATTTAATACTTCTTAAAACATTGGGAGGGATGTAGTTGTGTTTTATCGAATTTGTTAGAATTTTATATTAATTTTGAGATATTTTTTTTAAGGACCGTATTCATCATCTTATAAAACCACACAGTTTTTGCTCATAAAATGGCATCGCTAATAACATACCGGTATGTTCAACACAAATCGGCTATAAATGGTTATAGCATCTCAAAAACTAAATTAATATAGGGTAAAAATCTATAAATTTATATGCCATTCCGGACTTTAAAGTCCAAGTTTTTTTTTACAGAGTCAAATTTTAAATACACAAAAAGAGAAGTTTTAACTACACCATGAAGAAAAAGAAGTTACAAGTAAAACTGACTTCGATATAAATAAATCGTAGATGCGGCATTGTTTTGAAGGAATTTTATAACTTTTTTATCTTTTAAATATTATATTTTAAGCCAGGAGCTATGTTATTTAGGGTTTATGGAATGTGGAACATGAATTGTTTTTTATACATGTAAATATATATATATATATGAATGTAATTATTCGTTAATGATTTTACTGTTGTTTTTTTTTTTTAATTTAATCAATTCTAACATTATAATATAGACTTCAACATGTCATCAATTAATTTGCAACCAAATTTAGATACCTATTCAAATTCTGAATCATTCACAAGAAAAAAATTAAAGTCGCCACACACAAAAACAAGCTTAATAGAAGTAACAAATAAATTACCAATTAAACCACCTTGTAGAATTTTTTTCAAAAATGAAATGGAGCATTCTTCAGGTTCTTTTAAATTAAGAGGTATTGGAAATTTAGTCAAAGTATCAATTGAAAATGCAAGATCAAAGGGAATACCTTTGGAAAGAATTCATGTATTTGCATCAAGTGGTGGTAATGCTGGATTAGCTGCTGCATATTCTGCTAAGTTTTATAAGGTTCCATGTACTGTTGTTATACCCACAATTGCTAAACCAATTATACAATCAAAATTAAAAGATTATGGTGCAAAAGTAATATTATTTGGTAACTCAATTAATGAAGCTGATCAATATTTAAGAAATATTATAAGTTCAGCTGATCAAGATATATACCCAATTTATTGTCATCCTTTCGATAATCCTGAAATTTGGGAGGGTCATTCATCATTAGTTGATGAAATTACTCAACAAATTGGTGAAAATGATATAAACAAGATAAAAGGATTTGTTTGTTCATTTGGTGGTGGTGGATTATATAATGGCTTATATCAAGGTATGATAAAAAATAATATAAAAGGTGATATTTTATTAGTTGAAACAGCTCAAGCACCAACATTAACAGAAACTATCAAAGCAAATAATATTATAACATTAAATAAAGTCAATTCATTAGCTACTTCATTAGCTTGTTCATATACTACAAAACAATCATTACAGTATTATAAAATTAAAACAAATGGAATAAAATCATCTTTGGATTTAATAGATGATATGGATGCATTAAGAGCATGTATAGCATACAAAAAATGTTGTAACAAAACAGTTGAACCAGCATGTGGTACTGCGTTATCTGTTTGTTATAATAGAATTGACTTGTTATACAAGAATTTATCACATTTAAAAGAAGATGATATTTTAGTAATTGTTGTATGTGGTGGTTCTTGTACAACCGATGAAGATTTGAAACAATTTGAACAAATGGTAAGAAAATCGGAAATTAAACTTTAGGATATAGTTCAGCATTCTTAATATAAATAGATTTAAGTATTTATAGATTTTTAACGAGAGATTTTAATGGGACTCATTTATGTTACCCCCGGCTTCAGAATTATAACTTGGGCTTGAGAAAAGTTCAGCTGATATGTAGACTTATTAAACAGGCTACATTTTAAACCCAGAGTTGGAGAGTTGACCGAGTTGGTTAAGGTGACAGACTTAAGTGAAGAAGGTTCAAACCCTTCGATAAGACTTAGTAATCTGTTGGTATGTCTACCGCGCGAGTTCGAATCTCGTACTCTTCATTTTTTCGGTAAAACCTTTTTTTTTGCAAAAATGATTTATCATTTTGTACAAATGAGTTTTTTAAAATTGAAAGATATGAGAAGATTAATAGCAATCAGGGATAAATATGTCTTGAAGAAACTTTTACTATGTATCATTGAACGTCTTTGTTGTTATCCTCAAAGCTTATAACTCTGAATTATTCATATGCTACTTGATCATACTTTGTTTCAACTGACGCTCAAATAGGAACAACAATATGATTATAAATTTTCATATGAATTCATCTCATACCATTTTTTTTTTCTCAATGTTAATTCAATGTTCTTAATTGTAATAATTGTTCAATGCTCGCTAGTGATTTTGGCTGCAAAAAAAAAATTAATTTGATAATACTTCAACATTCTCACTCGATCTAATTTAAAAAAAAAAAAATTCGAGATGTTGAATTGGTTGCAAAATAAGATTTAGGTACTGCTCTGTCTAAAACAATTCTTGGAATCGCATTCTAGTAGTTATATTTAAATCAGAGTAATCATAGCTGTAATACTCTAAAGCTCAGCTCAAATTCTACACACGTGACTATATATATTTCTTTCTGTGTTAAATAATTTTATTCAGAAAAAAAAAAAATTAAAGAAAAAAAGTATTGATCAACCATTATCATACCATTTATTAATTTGTTCATTCATACAACCACAATTTGCATCATCAATCATATCTTAATTCTCGTGTATTTTTATTCAGAATAGACCATTCCAAAGCTATCACTTAATTTAATCGAGTTTCATCACTAATAGTTGCAAAATTTGAACTTTAAATATTCGCAGTGAGAAAAAAAAACTTGTTACTGGTATTAATATTTAACAACTTGAAACGAACATTATTAATAAATAAAGAATATTAAATAATACTTTATTCAAACTTCAATTTGAATTTGAAGATTTTAAATAAATAGAGAAATGGAGAACATGAGAGCGGAAGTAAGAAGATGTCGTCGATGTAAGAGAAAAAGAATAGATGATGAACCACTGGAAGTTAAACAATATAAAACTTGTGCAAAATGTAGGATAATAGAAAGAAATAAAAAGAATCTGAGAAAACCACTAGCTGAAGAAACTATGTTATATGGGTTAAAACAATTTAGAGAACAACAATCAACTGAAAATTATATTGAAGAAGAAGGATTATTAAAAGATGAATTTTTCAAAAGATATCATAATAAACCATTTAGTTATGATATTGAAATAAGAAAAGTTTTAAGTAATCCAAATTATGTTCCTCCAGTAATAGTTAATACTACTGATGAAATTGTTGTACCTGCAGAAACTTTATCACCAGGTGGAACAAGATATCAAATGACATTAAAACCAATAGATTCGCAAGCACCGTTGAAATTAAAAATTGAAAGAGTTAAAAAGCCTAAACCAGCAAGTATTCTGAAACCATCACAAAGTAAAATTAATAAATATCATCAAAGTCATCAGCAACATGTACATCACCAACAACAACATCAACAACAACAGCAGCAGCAGCAGCAACGATCTTCACATTCTCAGCAAATATCAACTCAAACAAAGCTTCTACCTAGTATATCTGATACACAAGCTCGTGGTCAAAAATTTACATTACTTAATGATGAAGATGAATTGAATGCCTTCAAAGAGGAATTGAGAGCGTTAGGTAATGATTCAACAAAAAACTCAGAAAATTTTAATCCATATTTATATTCAAATGTTTATTCCGATCTTGAACCATTTTTATTAAAAATTATTGATTCAAATCATAAAAAAGAAAATTTTAATAATTTAGTTTTACTAAAAGAATTTGATTTAAAATTTTGTAATGAAATCTCGGACAATTCTTTTGATGAAGGTATCAAACTTAATACTCAAATTTTCAAATCTAACGAAAAACAATCAAGAATAAATTTAATAAAAAATTTACAATTATTATATATCGATCCAATTATAGCTTCATTACAACTAGATTTTGAACAAAAATCTACAAATCTTCATGATTATAAATATTCAAATAACATTAGAAGTTATTATCAATATAGAGATATACCAAAATCAAGCGAAATTAATCAAGAATTGAAAAATTCATCAATTAGTCTTTCATTTAATAAAAAATTTCAAATCCTTACCATTAAAGTTAATTACGAAATTAATATTCAGGAAATAATGGATTATTCACCACAATTTAAAAATGTAATCTATAATATTTTAAAAAATTTTGCACAATCAGGTAATGAAATAATATTTGATCAAATTCATGGTTCAAAAGTATATGAGCAATTGAAGTCAAATTTTGAAACGTATAATTCTGATTTACAATCATCAATTAAAACTTTAATTAAAGATAAGTTTGTAAAGGACTTTATAAATTTTGAAAAAGATATGAAAGTGATCAAAGAAGAAGAACAAGAAGAAATGGAAATAGATAATTACGACGAAGATGAGGAGGGCAATGACGAAGATGAAGAAGAAGAAGAAGGGGAAGAAGGTTATGAGGACGATGAAGAAAGTTTAGTACAAGATAAAGTTGTTGAAGAAATAAACAAAGAAATAGAAAAAGGAGATGATAATAGTAATAAAAATAATACTGAAAGTGATACTAATATAGACGGAAATTATGGAAATCTATTGATTAATAATCCAGAAATTAATATTTCAAGAAACAATAACTTAAATGAAAATGAATTCACAAAGAAAGAAACAACTGCTGAAATAGTGGATCCAATTTTTAAACCATAAACTGTCAGTACTGACGAATAATTAACGTATATATCAAGAAACTATATCAAGAAACTAAACACCTTGCATTATAGTATTAATAAAAAGCATTTAACTATATTACTTCTCCAATTCATTTTTTAAAATATCTTCCTCTTTATTCATGGAAAAAGAAATCCCCTTTAAAGTTGTTTCTCGTAAATTTTAAAAGTAAAAGAGAAAAAAAAATTATTAGAATCTAATTGAATTAAATTTAAAGTACATAGTACAACTTTACGTGAAGAAATCTATATCTATAAAACAAATTATTTCAGATCATTATTCTTAACTAATTGGTTTATCATTACATATTCTAAAATTTTCACACGAATCAAATTTTTTATAATACTAATCAATCGTGATACTCAAAATTCATATTCATAACGATTTTTGAGAAATAATCATTGATATAATAACTCAGTTTTGACATAATATAATATGAGATTTTTCTTGTCAATTTATTATATATTATTATTATTATTCACACAAATAACATCTATAAAAGGTATACCACTAGATACAAATAATGTTACTTCGATACGAGAAGCATGTAATATAATTGCAAAAGGTTTATTAGACTACTATGATGGTACTAAATACGGAGGTACAATTGGAGAATTTACTTGGCCATATTATTGGTGGGAAGCTGGTGGAGCTTGGGGTGGATTAATTGATTATACTTATTTTTTTGAGAATGATACTTTAGTTCCATTAATTAAGGAAGCTTTATTATATCAAGTTGGTGATGATAATAATTATATACCTTTAAATCAAAGTACAACAGAAGGTAATGATGATCAAGGATTTTGGGGAATTGCAGTTATGGGAGCAGCCGAAAGAAATTTTAGTAATCCTGATGATGATAAAATCAGTTGGTTAGGTTTAGCTCAAGCTGTATTTAATACAATGACTGCAAGATGGGATGTTGAAGATTGTAACGGTGGTTTAAGATGGCAAATTTTCCAGTGGAATACTGGTTATGATTATAAAAATTCAGTTTCAAATGGTTGTTTATTTCATATTGCAGCAAGATTAGCAAGATTTACTGGGAATGATTCATATGTTGATTGGGCTGAAAGAGTTTGGGATTGGATGTATGGGGTTGGTTTAATGACTGAAGGAGATTGGTGGTTTGTTTATGATGGTGTTAAAATTCATGATAATTGTTCTGCTATAACAAAATATCAATGGACTTATAATCAAGGTTTAATGTTAGCTGGTTGTGCTTATTTATATAATTATACTGGAGAAGAAAAATGGTATAATTATACTCATCATTTATTAAATAGTGCTCAAGTATTTTTTAAAAATATGTCAGATTATGGTTATCCTGATAGTGCTGTTATGTATGAAGCTGCTTGTCAACCATCAAATACTTGTAATAATGATCAAAGATCTTTCAAAGCTTATTTTTCAAGATTCTTAGGTTTAACTTCAGTATTAGTACCTGATACTTATCCAAAAATTCATAAATGGTTGGTTGATTCTGCAAATGCTGCTGCAGGTTCTTGCTCAGGTGGTTCAGATGGGGTGACTTGCGGGTTGAGCTGGACTAATTGGACTGCTGGTTGGGACTCATATTATGGACTCGGAGAGCAGATGTCAGCATTAGAATGTGCGCAATCACTTCTTAGTCCTCTTAGACCCCCGCCTTATACGGAGAAAACTGGTGGTTCATCTGTTGGTCATCCAGCTTCAGGTTATTCAACTACTCCTCAGAATTCGAAACCTTTATCTTTAGACCGTGGGGATGTAGCAGGAGCTTCAATCATAACATGTTTGATTGGAATATCAATACTAGGAGTTATGTTTTGGTTATTTTTAAGTTAAATTGATGTTTTGAAGGGTCAATTGTTTCAGAGATTATTTAGAGACAAACATTTAACATAGTTTGAAATTTTAAAACATAATCGAAAGTGGGTTTCAAAGAACCTTTGTGGAATTAAAGAATTTAGAGTTTATATTACGAGTAGTTCCCATTTTAAATGTATTCATTTCCTGAACTAATTCTATAGAATGTCAATCTGATTTTTATATAGTAAAAAAATTGACAGTATGTATGTCATAATGAGTCCTCTTAGACCCCCGCCTTATACGGAGAAAACTGGTGGTTCATCTGTTGGTCATCCAGCTTCAGGTTATTCAACTACTCCTCAGAATTCGAAACCTTTATCTTTAGACCGTGGGGATGTAGCAGGAGCTTCAATCATAACATGTTTGATTGGAATATCAATACTAGGAGTTATGTTTTGGTTATTTTTAAGTTAAATTGATGTTTTGAAGGGTCAATTGTTTCAGAGATTATTTAGAGACAAACATTTAACATAGTTTGAAATTTTAAAACATAATCGAAAGTGGGTTTCAAAGAACCTTTGTGGAATTAAAGAATTTAGAGTTTATATTACGAGTAGTTCCCATTTTAAATGTATTCATTTCCTGAACTAATTCTATAGAATGTCAATCTGATTTTTATATAGTAAAAAAATTGACAGTATGTATGTCATAATGAGTCCTCTTAGACCCCCGCCTTATACGGAGAAAACTGGTGGTTCATCTGTTGGTCATCCAGCTTCAGGTTATTCAACTACTCCTCAGAATTCGAAACCTTTATCTTTAGACCGTGGGGATGTAGCAGGAGCTTCAATCATAACATGTTTGATTGGAATATCAATACTAGGAGTTATGTTTTGGTTATTTTTAAGTTAAATTGATGTTTTGAAGGGTCAATTGTTTCAGAGATTATTTAGAGACAAACATTTAACATAGTTTGAAATTTTAAAACATAATCGAAAGTGGGTTTCAAAGAACCTTTGTGGAATTAAAGAATTTAGAGTTTATATTACGAGTAGTTCCCATTTTAAATGTATTCATTTCCTGAACTAATTCTATAGAATGTCAATCTGATTTTTATATAGTAAAAAAATTGACAGTATGTATGTCATAATGAGTCCTCTTAGACCCCCGCCTTATACGGAGAAAACTGGTGGTTCATCTGTTGGTCATCCAGCTTCAGGTTATTCAACTACTCCTCAGAATTCGAAACCTTTATCTTTAGACCGTGGGGATGTAGCAGGAGCTTCAATCATAACATGTTTGATTGGAATATCAATACTAGGAGTTATGTTTTGGTTATTTTTAAGTTAAATTGATGTTTTGAAGGGTCAATTGTTTCAGAGATTATTTAGAGACAAACATTTAACATAGTTTGAAATTTTAAAACATAATCGAAAGTGGGTTTCAAAGAACCTTTGTGGAATTAAAGAATTTAGAGTTTATAATGCGAGTAGTTCCAGGCTAAACTCTATAGAATGTCAGTCAAGTTCTTATTGTTAAGAAATTGACAGAATGTATGTCCTAAATTTTAATGTCTAAAAATATAGAAAGTGTCGTAAAAGTTTGTTATCTTAATTCTTTTATTTTAGATAAAGGATTATTTTGTTTATCTATTCTTACAAATATTTACACACATTTTTTTTAGAACTTCCCCACTAAATTTAATTAATATTAGTTGTTTAATTAACAATTCACTTTTGCCATCAATTGTCTCATAACATCATCAAGTATTTAGTCTATTTTAATCTTATAAGAGAAGCTAAGGTTTTTATTCAGCTAGTTTTTAACCCTTTCAAATGAATCCAGAAGATCAATTTACATCAATTCGTTGGGATAGAGAAGAACTTAATAAGAATGAAGATAATAAGAAAATTGATTCCATTACAAACACCATGAAAGAGAACCCTATCAATCCCAAGATTGATTCACAATCAGTTGATGAAGAAGATCCAAATGAACAAGATTTTTTATCTGCATCTAAAATTGGGTTAGAAAATGAACAAGATTTTCATAATACAATCCAGGAGAATACGGAGGAAACAGAAAATTCAGATCCAAGTAATTCATTATTAATATCTCAGCAAGGAAATCAAGAAGAGCACCAACAAAAAGTACAAACTCAGCAGCTACATCAAAATACAGAGGAAAGAAGAAGCCTGAGCTCACAGGCTGAGTCATTAATTCCTCATCAATCAATTGATCAGTCATCTAATGATCCGGATTTATCTTCCCAATCGAATGCTGAACAAATTGACACTTCATTTTTTGACAAATATTCAATAAAAATATCAGCTACTTCTCCAAATAGGGATTTAGATGCATCATCAAAACCATTTATTTCATATTTAGTAACAACAACAACCGACAATCCGAACATTATAAAATTGGGAAAAGACAAAACTGAACATGATGATGGACAATTAAGAACTTTTAATGTACGTAGAAGATATGGTGATTTTAGATATCTACATGAAAGTTTGACTAATGATTTCCCAACCACAATGATTCCACCTTTACCTTCAAAACTGAACATCAAATATTTGACTGGTGATACTTTTAGTCATGAGTTTGTACACAAAAGATTACATTCATTAGAAAGATTCTTGAGATTTATAATTCAACATAAACTATTATCACAACTGTCAATTTTCCATTTATTTATAAGTGATTCAAATGATTGGAATACTTTTACAACATCATTAAAATTAAAAGAATTAAATGTTAATGGGGAACAACAAGGTGGCTTAGTTAACAAGGTTGTAAACGAAGATTTAATAACAGAGAAAGTAATGAATTTTCTCACTTCATCAAAGCATAAAAAGGAAACAAATCGAGAAATTTTAGAAATTAATGATAAATTGAAGAAACTTTATGAAAATTTACTAAAGTTGGATAGAATATTTTTAAAATTGAATCGAAAAAATAAGGAACTAAGTAGTGACTACTCGCAATTTTCAAATCAAATATTAAAGTTATCATCAATTCAAAGTGAAGAAGATAGTTCTATAACTTCAAATTTTAAAATCTTTGCAGAATCACTTGATTACTTTCTGGATTCGTGGTCTCAACTTTACAAATATATGGATGAATCTTTTTTGGTATCATTAAAAGATTGTTCAAAATATATAATAAGTCTCACCAATTTAATTGAATTGCAACACAACAAAAAAATTGATTTACAAGTATTACAGGACTATCTTAATAAAACAAGAAATGAATTAAGCAACGCAAGTAATGGTCATCATTCTTCTTCATCAACGTATAGTAGTGGTGGTAGTGGTAGTGGGATAGTCAATAATACTACTCAGTTAATTAAAGATACAATTTCAACTTCTGCTACACCATATATTGGATCTACTTCGAAAGAGAATAAAATACATAAATTAGAAAATAGAGCAGCTCAATTAGAAGATGAAATTCAAGTTCAAACAAAATTAATTAATGACTTCACGAATAAAATAATTACAGAAGAATATCCAAATTGGGATAAATTTAATAAAAACGAATTAAAAGGTTCAATGGTTGGTTTGTGTGATAAACAAATCGATTTTTACAAGGGTTTAGTTAATAAATGGACTGATGTTGAATTGAAATTAACTCAAAGATTAAATAGTATTCAATAATATTTGAGTAAATAGAAATACAAATGAATAAAGTTACATATTATTATTACTAAGAAGAACTGAATTAGTCATACCTTTTAGTTAAGTGGTTTTTTTTGAAATTTTGATAATTTTTTCTCCTAGATTATTAATTTTATATTTTGTATGAATTGAATAATCTTTATGTTTAATAAACCAATCTTGACCCAATTTCTGTAATAAATATGCTGTAATTTCATCACAATACCCAATTAAACTCAAATCAAACTTTTTATCAGTAATTGAATCTTTATTAATTAAAATTTTTTTAACAGTTTTAGGAATTTTATCAATAATACTTGAAACCGGTTCAACTTTTAATGATGTACCTATAACTAACACTAAATCACATTTTTGAACGTCGATTTTTAAACAATCGTTGAATTTTTCAGGCAAATTTTCTCCAAAAAATGTAATATTAGGTTTATATATACCATGATTGAATGGTGCTTCTTCAATCTTATTCCAACACGCAAAGCAACGAGGTATTTGACCTTCTCGAATATTTCCATATATTCTTTTACCATCGATTGTGTTTTTACATGAGATGCAAGATGCTTTTGCAAATGATCCATGACATTGAACTAATTTTCTATTATTGATACCGGCTGATTGTTCTAAATTATCAACATTTTGAGTATATAACCTATTGAGTTTTTCTTTATCTTGTAATAATTTTATAAAACAATGCAATAAACTTAATTTTTCATCTGGTGGTAATATTAAATGAGCTATTGAATAAAATATAGATGGATCAATTTTAAAAGTCATTAAGTCAAATACCATTTGAGGATCTGATAAATTAAGATTTTTTAATTTGCAATATAATCCTTCATTTGATCTAAAATCAGGAATACCTAATGATGTCAGGATACCAGCTCCTGTTATAACTAAAATATTTGATTTTGATCTTAAATCATGAATAAAATTACTTAATGAATATTGTTGTTGGAAAAATCTGTTGACTGTATTTAAATCACCTTGTTCATCCCACATAATTAATTTGATTAATACCTGAGCAAGTTCATTAACGGTTTGAATAGTATGGTTTTTTATAGCATTTTTAGGATATCCCAAATCTAATATTAATTTGCAAATATCATATTTTGTAACTGAATCATTTAAGTTTTTCTCTAAAAATGCTGCAACACCTCTTCTTCTAATGAAATTTTTATACCTATGTCTAACTTTCTTATCAACTTTGAAATTATTAATATATTTGGCTGACAAAATCTTTTCTTCTTTGCGTTGGTTTAATGGTTTTAATTCTTCAACTTCAGAATCTGATGAGCTCAACTCTGGTGTAAGATACGTTGATTTTTGATCTAATTTCTTACCTTCATGAAAATGGTCTTCTTTAAATTCATGGTTTGTGGTAATTTCTGTAACTAAAGCAAGTCTACCACCAGTTAATGTACAAGGAGATGGTATCAAGTTTTCTCTATGAAAATTACTTGAGGTTGGTGTCATTCTTGGATTGAGTAAATCATGATTATTATTTGATCCAGAATCTTGTACATCTTCGTGGGTACCTGCATTATCAACAGTCGAATCTTCATTAACACAATTCTCTTTATTTGTATCAGGTTCTTGCTCAACAATATTTTGATCTCCTAAATTGGAAAAGTCACCTTCATGGATTGAAGCATCCTTATCTGAATTAGAATCTTGTAAGTTTGTGGTAATGTCTGGAGTGGCTAAGACCAGCTTTGCTATTTCAACATCGTCTCCTTCTTTACTATGCTCACGAACGTTGATACATTTTGGATTAATATCCCGCCAGCGAAAGCGACAGATAAATGTGTAGTTGTTCATCTCACTAACTTCGCCTTTCTTGTTGTCCAAATTTTCAATCTCACTAACTTCGCCTTTGTTGTTGTCTAAATTTTCAACTCTATTTAAATATGCGGGATTATTGTTGGAGGTGTCGTTTTTTGAATCTTGAATATTTGCACTGGTTGAATCCTCAACTAAATTTGATTTAATTATATTATGCTCCGAAATATTGGTGGAATTAGAAGGCAGTTGATGAGCTTCATCTGTTATATCAGCATCTAAGTTAAGGTCAATAACATCATTTGTGTTTTTTCCATTTGTTGAACTCGTTTTATTATTGAATTCGACAAAAATTTCAGGTTGACTATTGGTGGTTGTATCGTTGAATTTAACTCTCTTATTTACCTCGTATACATTATCAATACTTCTTTTTACTTGAGTAGTTGCCAAGTCAGTTGATCTATTTGTTAGTGATTTTGCCAATGTTGGGGCGAGCAGGTTGGCATTTGGATTCTTGAAAATTTCATTGACTTCATCACTCGGCAATTTATATGAATGTAAGATGTCTGGTGATGAAAGTGGTCCAAACGTAACTTGTGATTTAAACAATTTTTTGATATTCTCGTTGGATATTTGATATTGTTTTATATTTTTAGTATTTGGAGTGAATAATTTTGACGATGATGCTTGTAGTGGTGGCAATAATTTATCCGCCTGGATTGGTAATACTGGTCTCCTACTTTGAATAGACAATGATGGTTGTACAACATTTAATTCTCTAAATTTTTTATGACCGGAAAGTATTGAAACGGCACTGGATGCAGAAGCAGCTAATACATGATCCTGAATTTCATTCGTTGTTTTATCATAAGTATCTTGATGATTAATATTTAATACTTCTTCATTAAATTGGCGCCGCTTTGGAAACAGTGTTTTGGGTTGCAATTTTCATTGAAGGATTATTATTTAATTCCATTATATAATTTTTAAAAATTTGTCTTAATTCTGTATCTGGAGGCAATTTTGATGCTATAAAAGTTAACTCAGAAGAATTGCCAAAGTGATTTTGTCGATTTTGATCCAATTGTTGTTGTTGGTTCATTATTAAGGTTATAAGTGCATAATGTTTGTTGGACTGTGATTATTTGTTTTGGCGTTTCTGTGGTGGTTGCTATTAATCGGGAATCGCTATAATAACTCTGAATGTGAATGTAAATTAAATTTTTAAATGTATGTATATATTGATAATAATCATAAAATGGTTGTAATAAATAAAATGTAAACAATAATGAATTAAAGAGACATATTATTTTAAATTTATTTTGTTTCAGATTAAGTTAAAACAATAAGAATTTATTACTACTTTGTATTATATACTAATACATGATTTATTTGAATTTAATAGATTGAAAAATATTACTTTGCTCTTTTTAAATTGGTTTATTGGATATATTAGTATTTTTTATTTAGAACAAGGTTACCAGTAGATCTAATACATAATGTATATATACTATACAGAATTAAAATCCTTGTGGTGTAACATCCTCTTTCTCAAATCTTTCCAACGAATTCTCTCTAATAATTTTTTGTTTTACACGCGAGAGTTCAGTTAGGTTCGACTAAATCAAAATTTAAAAAGTGTGATTAATAAATGCTTTATTATGTTTGGATTTAGATTCCACTGCTAATATGAATGACTTCAAACACAAATATTTGGTGTCAACAATGCGGGCGCTGTGTTTAAACTTGACAAAACTTCTCATTTACGTTCATTTAAGAGGTATGAATACATTAACAGCTAGTGTATAAATTTTGGCATTGTCTGAGAAGGGGCGCTCTTGTAAGATGTTGGAGATTTCTTTTAGAGTTCAAAATAGCTGTTGAAAAATAATTATCTATTTATTATTTAATCTCTATGCCTATCATTTTTCAATCGATCATCCTCTCCCGCATCGCTATCATCTTCACCTAAATCAAATAAAGTAACTCCGTTCTCTCTATTCTCTCCATTTTCTTGTGTTGAATTTCTATGATCCACTTCTTCATAAGTTGGTGGTGCTTGTTGTTGTTGATTGGTTTTTTTCTTCAGTTGTTTATCATCTTCCCCAAGTTCAAAACTATCATTTCTATTTGTGTGTCCAAATGTCTCGTCGTCACCGTGATTGTTGTTTTCTTCATCATCATGACTCATTAATGATAAATCATCTAATTCAAATTCATGACCGCCTGGTTGTTGATAATCTGGATCATCATCATCGGCATTAGTTGATAATTGTTGTGATACTGCCAACATATAACTTGTTTCAGTTGGTCTCCATAACCAAGCAACAATTAAAAATACAACAAAAAATACCACACTTGGCCAAAAATCAAAAATGAAAAATGCACTCTTCCAATGTTGTTCAAACATTTCAGTTGTTGACATACTAAGATATATAAATGAACTTAAAGTTAATCCAAGGAATGTTATAACAATAGCAAGGAAAATAATTCTAAAAAGATTTTGATATAATTGTAATTTAATAATTTGTCTTTGTTGATGTAATGATTGCGTAGTTTTTCTAATTGAAGTTAAAATTGTGACATAATAAATCGATAACACTATTGATATTGGGATTAAGGGAAGTAATAATAATAAACTTCCTGCTCCTCCTTCATCAATACTATCTGAACTAACTAAAGCACTTGATGATCCTCCTAAATAATTGAAAATAAGATATACCAAAGATGAAACAAAATTAAATCCTGCTAAAATTTTACAATATAACATTGTTCTTTTGTTTAGTTTTAATTTGACAACACCATAACCTAAAGCAATACAAAGTAATAAGAAAAACGAAAATGTAATTTTTATAGCATTACAAATAGCCATAAAGACCATATATGCTATGGCAAATCCTCCATGACCTTGTCTATTTAAATAATCGTAATATGACCATACAACTAAAGTATCAAATGTTAAAAATCCCAACATTGCTAATAAATATCTTTGTAAAGGTAATATTTGATTTTCTTTTCTTTTTTTAAAAAATTGAAATCCAAATAATGCTAAAGCAATTGCATAACATAAAGTTAAAATCCCATAAGCTGGTAATTTAGGTATTTCACTAGCATTTAATTGTCCAAAAGCATTTTGAAAATTAATAATTCCTTTATATTTTGGATCATTATCAAATTTTGAAAAAGTTGAAACACAATAATAACCAGTTCTATTTATTGGATAATGAATATCTGCAGGACCTAATTGAGTTAATTGAGATGCTAATATAGTTGAATTTGTCAGATTTGAATTAACAATAAAATTTCCTTTTTGTTCATCAGTACATATTTTTAATGTTTCAACTGCATAATCATCACATATAAATTTATATTTCCCATCACCAACATCAACTCCAATATTTATAAGATCTTTATATTCAAATATTATATAAGATACTGATATATCATCATATTTTTTATCTTTATTTTTAGGATCATATTTATGATTTTTAAATTGTTTTAAATTTAATCCAATATGAGGTTTTAATGATCCACCCCAATCCTTTTTTGAATAAACTCCCGCACAAATTTGTGAATGTTTATTATCATCAAAATTAGCTAAATTTGCCAATACTAAAGATAGACAACATAAAAATGATATAATTATCATTGTATATATGAATTGAATGATTTAGGAATTGATTTTTAATACGGTAATAAAGGCTATAATTGATTTCTTATTAAAATCAACAAAATTATTTTAAAGGTCTAAATTTTTCAAGCCGAGAAAAAAAAATGTTTCATAGTTAATTTTTATTAATAGAAGTAAAACTTACTACAAAGAGTTGTTTGGTTTGGAATCAATAATTGTTGTAGTATTATTAGTTTCTAATCAAAGTAACTACTTAGCAATTTACTTTATATTGAATTTCTCTTTTTACAATCCTGCCCAAACAGTTCCTCCACTTTGATGTACAATATTACCTAATTGTTCAACTTTATTATCCCAATCAACTAAATGAGTATATAATGAATGAACTTGATCTAAATTTAATATTCTTGGTTGTAACCAAGTTATAATTAATATTTCATCAATTTGATTTATATAACCTTGGATTAATTTTAATGAAAAACATTTTATAATTAAATGTTCAACATCATTTAATGGAGTACCAGTAAATTCATTAATTTCTTTGAATGTTAATTTTTTATTTGTTGTAGATTTTAATGAAATTAATTCTAATAATGACATTATTATAATTTTTTGATTTAAAAATATTTCATGATTTTTTAAAAATGGTGATTTTTCAAATGCTATATTTTTCCATTTATTAAATTCCTTTAGGTTTCCTGAATTTAAATTTTGAATTAATTGATATAACCAATAATATTGTGATTGTTCATTATTAAATTCTTGTAAAATATCATGTGATATTAATTCTCCAAAGTTATATACTTTGTCACCCAATAATGCTGCTATACATAAATCATAACATAATTTTATTTTTTCATCTTGATTTAATGTTGATACTGATGAAAGATATAATAAACCATTTTTATAAAATTCATTATAATTTTTAGTTAATTTATATAATTGACATTTTGTTAAGTAATATGCTGCATTGATTTTACTACTATATTCATTATTTAAACTTTCAAATTTGGGTTCAATTCTTGATAATGTCTTTTCTGCTTCATCTAATTTTTCAAGATATAAATTATAACGTGCAATTTGTAAATCAATATATATTAATGAATCATCATTTTCTAAAATTTTTTTAAATTCTGGATCTTCATTATCTTTGAAATTATTTTCTTTTTTTAAGTTATCAACAAATTCTTTTCTTAATGATATTAATTTATCTAATGTATCTTTTACTGGATAACTTTCTAATAAAAAATCAACAACTTTTATTGAATTTAATTTTGATTGGAATTGTTGAATAAATAGACTATAAAGTTTATTTTTCAAATCATGACTAATTTGAGTTTGATCATATGTATAATAAAATTCATCCAATATTTGAGTTAATTGATGCCATAATTTACGTTCATAAAAATCTTCTAATTGATAAAAAATATTAATCAATTCTGGTGATTCTAGTTCCAGCCTTATACTTGCTAACAATGTGGAAACATCAGAATCTATATCCATTGCTGACATTTTTTATGTGAATATATTTACTTGACTATCGTAGTAGTTGCAATTGATAAAATTATTTGAACTTATTTTGTTTTTCATATTTGATCGAAATTTTTGAATTTTGGTGGCAAGAGAGAATAGTGTTAGAAATACGCTTGATCAGGAAACTTGTGCGGCTGATAAATTTGAAACATTCAGAACTTTGGCTAATTGTTTGTAATAGCTCACACTATATAAGTCGGAAGCTGTGAATGATTCGGTATCTGCTTAAAGAGTGAAAATACTGTGTAGTTTAGCAGAAAAGAAGTGAGAATTTAAGAGATTCAAACCAATTTAAAAACCTTTCTCTACAAAAAAATATATAAATCGAAAGCATTTTGTTGCAAAAATTTATAAAATCTACAAATCATGTACAAATCTTCAAACTTCATAATAATTCAGAAGTGTCAGCTTTTACTCATTATTATTCAAGCTACATGTGATGATGAGTTGATTAGAGCACAATTTGATGGACAAAGGTCCTGAAATATAACTCCCAAAATTTCTTCGACCTAAACTTATAAACTTAGGTCCAAAATTCAAGAAAAATTTGCACCAAAAAACCAAATCTTACTGCGTCATTTAATCATTAAATGCTAATACTGGATAATCCTACACCAAAAAAATTTCAGAATTGGAGAGTTGACCGAGTTGGTTAAGGTGACAGACTTAAGTGAAGAAGGTTCAAACCCTTCGTAAAGACTTAGTAATCTGTTGGTATGTCTACCGCGCGAGTTCGAATCTCGTACTCTTCATATCAGTTGATGTTGATTTTTGCAGTCATTAAAATTTTTTTTTTAGCAACATCTTCAATGATCAGCAGTACTTTTATAGTATCTTAGATAGTCAAAATTAATTATGAGATTGATTAAAGCTGACATAAGAGCAACATGAAGGATTATACAATACAGAAAGTAGGCATTACAGTATATTATATATCTAGGTAGTTTTTATATTGATAGTTTTTATGACTAAGTAGTTTTTAAAAATCCTTGTTGTAATTCAATTTTTTTACAAACTTCATCTCTTTTTGCAGAACCTGATTCAGGAACATGTTTTAAATCAATCCAAGGAGGTTTACACCAAATATCATATAAATGATTAATAATTTCTAATTCAAAATCTATTTTATTATTAACTTCTAATTTTAAATCATTACCATATAATCTTCTTCTATGACCTTTTTTATCTATTGGACCTCTTTCATCCCATGTAAATAATTGTTCAATATAATATTTTGGCCAATTTGCATGTAAAAAAAATAATGAAGATGATTGAAATAAATGATAATTATAATTTGATATTGATTTATCTTCAAAATTTTTAGCAAATGTCGTTGGTGGAGTTGATTTATAATTTATTAAATCTTTATTGGTTTTTTTCTTCTTTATTGTTTTCTTTTTATTTTTGGTTTTATCATTGTTATTGCTGTTCAATTTTTCTAATTCTTTTTCTTCATCTTCTACTGCTTTTGATGATGTATATTGTATATAATCAATAATTGGATCATATTGTCCCATACCAAAAAATTCATGTTTATTTGTTTTATCCAAGATTGGACCAAATTCTCTATTAAATTCTTGAACTTGATAATAAGGTAAATTTAATTTATGTGCTGCAACTATAATAGTTTCTTTATCACCTTCTCCTGCTGCTCCTTGACTTAATAAAGGATAATAAAAATCAGGTCCATAATAATTATAATATAATGATAATACCAAAGTTTTAAAATGAATTTTTTTATTAATCATTAATTGACCAGTTTCTGAACTTGTTTCAGGTAATGTACCTTTACAATCATGAAATGAATTAAATTCTTTATTTTGATTTTCACCTTTTTTATCTCCCTTTATATAAGAATTTCTAATTTTTTGATGTGGATCAACTTTAATATTTGCAATTTCATAAAATTTTGGTGATGTTGATCTTCTCCATAAATCTGGCCATAAAACTAAATGATTATTTATAAAAGGTTGATTTGCAAATAATATATCAGGATTTTTTAAAGGTAAATTATCAGCATCAATATATAAAATATTTTCAAATGATGAAATAAAAATTGCAATATTTTTTAATTGATAACCACCAGATCTATCATCTTTATTTGTTATGGATTCAAAATATTTTTTTGGTAAATAATCACTCATAACTTTACATTTACCATTTAATGATGGTAATAATTGATCACAAAATTGAACATTATAATCTTCTCTTTTTGGTATTATAACTTCAACAGGTAATTTTGAACCATTTGATCTTAAAAGTTTTATAGATAATAAAACTAATTGATCATATTTATCACCACCTAAATAAACAATTCCATCACCTTTTAAAAAATTATTAAATTTATTTAATTTTATTAAATCTTTTGGCCATTCTTTTAACATTAAATTTATAAATTTTTCATGAGATTTTTTGAGAGAATCCATTTCAAAAGAATTTAATTGTAAAAAAGATGATAAATAATCTTTATTTCTTATTGGTTCATTAATATAATTTTCTCTTAAATGACCTAAATAAAAAGGTAATTTACCATCTCTATGAATAAAATCTTCTTTATTAATTTTATTCATTTCTTCATCATTTATTTTCATTAAAATTTGAAAATTTTTTTCAATAATTTTTTCATTTGAATAATGTTCTTTATTATTAATTGAACTCATCATTGGTTTACAATTTTCAATAATTTCAATTAAATTTAAAAAAAAATCTTTAAAAGCTTGATTAAAATTTAATTCATTTTCATATTGTAAAATTAATGAATTATTTAAATGTAAATTTATATTTAATTTTAAATTATTTAAATAATTTTGATAATTATAACCTTCAATTAAATGTAAATCATAATTTTTTTTAAAATTTAAATCAGAATTTAAAAAATTATAATAATGATTATTAAAATTTAATTCTGAATTTATATTAAATTCATTTATATGATTTTTTTCAATTATAACAAAATTTGAATCATCATCATGATGATAACCAATTAATGAATATTCATCATTTGTATTAGTTGAAAATTTAAAAATATTAAAAGATGATGATAATTTATTTAAAATTTGTTTTGTTGAAATTGATGATAATGATGATGATGATGATGATGATGATGATGATAAAGAAGAACTTGAATTTGAATTTGAATTTGAAGATGAATTAATTACAAATAATATATTTATAAATGTAAATGATAATAATCCAATTATTATTATATTATTTAATTTTAATTTTGTTGGAAATGTTAATTTTGAAGGTAAATATTTTAAAGGAATTGATAATTTTGAAGGAATAGAATATTTTGAATTCATATTTGCGAGAATGAGTGTTTTTATTTGTATATGAAATGTATAGTTGGTGGTGTACCTCAATGAATTTGTTTATGGTATTGATTAAGTTAATTGATTGGTTACGTTGATGATAATGATGATAATTGATCTTAATCTTTTATAATTGAAAAGGTTTTTGTCTAATTTGAAATAAATGAAATATTTTAATATTTAATTAAAAATGATCTAATGAATAATATAATAATTTAGCTATTAAAAGTTTTTAATTCAATTGATTGATTTGTTGTTAAAATTAGAAAATGAATATATCAATTAATTATTCATCTTTTAAATATAAATTATTAAAATGATGATGTTGTTGTTGTTGATAATTTTTAAATTTTAAAAGTTAAAAGTTAAAAATTTTTTTATTTTTATTTTTTATTTTTTATTTACATAAACTTTAATTTCTATTAATAAATTATATGTACAAAATCTTATTTTAATTTTGTGTAATTATTTTGTGATTAATTTTTTTTTTTTTTTTCTTCTTGTAAATTAATTAAAACATCCGTACAACAACTTTAGAAAATTGTATATGAATGTACAGTTACAATTTGAAATATTAAAAAAAAATATAGCCAATTTTTATTTGATACAATTAGAAACTTTTGATATGTTCTTGTCTTGTGAAGTAAAAACCGTTACAAGTTTTAGTTTATTAATAATTAAAATAATAATTGAAAATTTTGACATATTATTTACACTAGACTAATTAATAATAAATTATTATTATTATTATAAATTTGAAAGGGAGGAATTGAAAAATAATTTCTTATTTATTTATTTATTTATTTATTATTACTATTACTATGATTCACTAATTCAAAATATTATAAATGTAACAAAAATGGGAATATATACTCATTAAATTATGTCATTATTTTAATAACTTTCACTCGTATAATACCTATAAATCTAAATAGAATGGTTCAAAAGATTTCATAATATATATATATATTATATAACATGTTAATGATGTTAAAAATAATCTTATTAATAAGAAACAAGTAATTATAATAATAATAATTCTATTTAAATGTACCTTAAAACGTTGATTTTGTAGATCTTTTTTTATTTATTTTATTATTTTTATTATTTTTATTTTTTAGTTTTTTAGTTTAAAAAAATAATGTTAAATTTCTTATATTTAGATTTAAATTTAAATTAAGATTCTTTTTATTAAACATTAAGACATAGCCTTATATAAAAAATAATTAAAAGTCGCATAGAGAATAGTTAAAAGTTTGACGACTTTAATTTATTGAGTTAAATATTTTGAAAAATCTTGCATTATAAATATCATTAAAAGGAATTACAATTAATATGAATAAATTGGAATTGGAACTGGCATTATATACTAATTTATTTAAGATATTCATCTATTACAAATTTAATAAATTATTTGTATACTCAATAATGAATACTTATCTGTCTATAATAATTATTCCTTATAAATTAATATAAATTAGAATGAAAACATAATTTAAATTAAATATAATAATTAAGATAATTTACGAATCTCAATATTTGTTAATTAATTTATAAGTCTAATCAATTAATTATATAATATTTTATATTATGTTGTTTCATTTTAATTTAATATTATTCAAATTATCGCGAAATTAAATATTTAAATGAAAACTTGAGTCAAAAATTTTTCATAAATCTTCATTTAACCAATTAACCAATTGGTGATCTCTTAACTAATTGCTATAGCTTTTAGTTTATAATGACTTTTAGTTTATAATGACTTTGGAATACTAAAGAAGTATTGAATTAATAAAGTTGTGTCTTAAGCAAGAATGAATGGTTTTCTTGAATTTACAAGGCTGCATTACTGAATAATTAAGTCCAATTCACTTATTAAGCATTCTTCAATGAGTAACTCCTTTAAATTGTTTTCTTCATAATTCATGAATCATTGAAAATATATATATAGGAAAAAAATCGTTAAAATTTACAAAGATCTCGAAACTCAATTAGTGATATTAAATCTATAAATAAATAAGATTGTATAGATTATATCCTTAAAGAAAGTCTTTTACCCCTTAAAATTTCTGTATTCTCTACCTCTTAAAGATTAAAGTATTAATAATAACAATAAATTTGCTATTTTTAATAATACCCTATTCTTATTTTGTTGATAATTGAAGTCTAAACAAATAATTTATTATAATATTAATTAAATAATCTTCAACTATTTAAATAATTTTTTTCAGATAAATAATTAAAGTCATCAACATTTAATAAACACATAAATTGTTGAAAATTGATTAATTTATTGAAATGATAATTAATATTTTTTTATTTCTCTTGTAATTTACGAAATTAATTTAGAATATTTTAATTAAAGTAAATCTAAAATAGAAAGTATTAGAATATAATAAAATTTATTAGTAATATTAATATATATGAGTTTTAACTAATGATTCATTTGAAAAATTAAATTATTATAAATTTCAATTAAATTCTACAAATCTATTAATTTATCTATTAATAATTGAATAGAATATATTAATCACGAATTAAAAAAGGTTGGGTTGTGTGAATACAGTAGATTAAGTCTATTGAGATAATTATACAAAAGTAATGTAGAATCATTGATAAATATTGGTGGCAACAAAAGCGCGCGTTTTAAACACATGGTAGTGTATCTAAACATTTGGTAGCTTATTTGACAGTCATTTTTTTGTAGGCTAGACTGATAAAACACTCACAGACAAAAATATTATGTAAATTATTAAAAGTGAGATAAAAAAATAAAATATATTTTTTTGTTGTTTTAATTAATATATTGATTTATAGAAATATATTATTAACTAATTAATTAATAGCAACAACTTCATTTTTAATATTTAATAATTTGTTTTATATTAACATTATTAGAATATATAGTTGTTATCATCAACATCTTTCAGGTAACACTTAATTGCTTCAATACGAATTTATTTTAATTTTAAAATCAGATTATTCTTAAATATTTAAGATATTATGTCAAATGATAATTTATTTGATGATTTAGAACAAGATAATAATCCTTCATTTTATGGTAATACTTCAATATTAAATAATCCTTATAATATACAACAATCACAATCATTACCGCAATCATCATCATCATTTAATCAATCAACAATTTCACAATCACAACCAAAATCACAATCACAATCAAATGATAATCTAAATGACAACAATCACATTAATAATAAACAATCATCTCTAAAACAATCATCAAACAATAATCCTAAATCTCCCACTAATCAACAACAAAATAATAAATCAAGACAATCTTCTCCAAATCTAAATTCAAATTTAGATTTAAATACAAATCCTTTAAATGATAATGAATATCCAAATGAATTAGTTAATAGTACTATTGGATTATCAAATAAAATTACTCAATTATTAAATGATGAAGATTTACAAATTGATATTATAAATTCTGAAAAATTAATAAATTCTTCAATAATTGTTTATACAATTCAATTATTATCTGAAAAATCTGAAAATAAAATTGTTGTTAAAAGAAGATATAGTGAATTTAAATCTTTAAGAGATAATTTATTAAAATTATTTCCAACTTTAATTATACCTCCAATTCCTGAAAAACATTCTATTTTAAGTTATTTATTAAATTCAATAAATATTGATAATGAAATTAATATTATTGAAATGAGAAAAAGATATTTTAAATTATTTTTAAATGATATTATATTTGATTCAAATCCAAAATTAAAAAATTGTTTATTATTACATAAATTTTTTGATCCAAATTATGAATTATGTTGGTATAATGCATTAAATGAACCCCCAATAAGTTTTTTACCAAATAATTTATTATTAGCAAATCCTGTAAATCCTGCTGATCAAAATGGTTTATATTCTATTTTACCTATAGTTAATGGATTTGATATTAATTCAAAAAGTGATAATTTATCAAATTTAAAAAAGATTAATGATGAATTATTTAAATTAAATGATCAAATTAAATTATTTGAATTAAAAGGTTTTGAACAAGATTTAAAATTTAATATACCACAAGATTTAATAAATTTTGAAATTAAATTTCATAAAATTATTAAAAATTTATCATTTTTAAATAAAATTGATTTAAAAACAACAAAAGATTTTAAAGGTTTAATAAATATTTTAATTGATCTTGGTGGAAATTTAAATAATTTTTCTTTACAAATTTATAATCAAAAAATTAAAAATGATTCAAATATAAATGAATTATCAGAATCAATTGAAAAATTTGGTTCAACATTAGATCAATCATTTTTAAATTTTGAAAATTTTGTTTTTAATCAATTAATTCCTCAATGGCAAGAACCAATTAATCAATTAATTCAATATCATCAAACTTCATTAAATTTAATAAAATTTTATAAATATAAAATTATTCAATTTAAAATTTTATATAAATTAAAATTTAATAAATTTCAACAATTAATAAATATAAATAATTTAAATGGTGGTTCTGTTGGTGGTAGTAATAGCAATGATATTGGTTCAAATTCTATTAATTCTGCACCACCAAGTTTTGCAGAAGCCAAAACTCAAGAAGAAGAAGATGCAGTAGTTATAAATTCTTTAGATCATTTAAAAGAATTAAATAGTCCAACTTTAAACAATGCATTAAAAAATATATCAATGAAAAAAATTACTAAAAAATCATCATGGTATGGATTATTTGGAGGTAATAATCAACCAAAAAAATTTAATTTCCAATTACCTGTAGAGACAGAAGAAACAACATCAAATTCAAGTTCATCAGCACCACCACCACCACATAATAATAATAATAATCAAACAAATTCATTAACTTCATCATCCTCAACAAATACTTTAACACCAATTGTATCACAAACAACAACATTAAAATTTAAATTACAACATATAGAAAAAGAATTAAATAAAATAAATCAATTAATTGAATTATGTAATAATGATATGATTCAATTAACAAAAGCATTAATGAATACATTTAATGAATTTATGAAAAAATTAGAAAAAAAATGGCTTATTATAATGGTAAATTATATTAAAAATGGTAAATTATTATTTGAAGATAATTTAAATAATTGGCAAAATTTTAAAGAATCATTTTTAGAAAATTCACTGGATGAAATTGAAATTAAATAGATTTTCTTATAATTTTGATAAAAAATAATATATTAATAATATACATATAACGATTTTAATCTTAAAAAAACAAATTTTACATGTTTCATTATAATTCGTTCGAGATTACCACGCACAACTCAATTTTTGGAATGACAATGTTTAAAAAATAAAAAAGTCAGCCTCATGGAGCTGCCTGAAAATAATACCAGAAGGTTTGCAATCAGTAAAACCAGGGCTAGAACAAAAACCAGAATTGGAGAGTTGACCGAGTTGGTTAAGGTGACAGACTTAAGTAAAGAAGGTTCAAACCCTTCGTTAAAGACTTAGTAATCTGTTGGTATGTCTACCGCGCGAGTTCGAATCTCGTACTCTTCACTTTTTGGAGGTTCAATCCACTTTTTTGCAGTCATTATTTGAATATTTTTTTTTGCAAGATTAATTTTGAAAATTTACATGCACAAAATAGTCTTACAGAGCCGGCAGATCAAAGATGAGCTCAATAGAAGCTGTTTTAATACGTATCAGCAAAAATTGAATTTGTTCATATGCGAATGGTTTCAGATTTTGAGGACTCCATTCAATTCGTTTTAAAAGAAACCAATTTTTCAAGTGATGTTGTAAGTGCTGATAAAAATATCTAGAAAAACTATTTTGATATAGTCTCAGCAATAATTGGGTTTTCATTTACAAATAGTTTGTTGGGTATTTCATCAAGTTTAGTGACTGGTATACAATACTTGGGGGTGGAGGGTTCAATTTTAATTTTTTATGGTATTTTGATCGTAGCATCAATTTTAATAGCTATTGGCTGCACACTTGGTGATACGGCTCTGCAGAATTTTGAGGCCTCGGCATCTTTTAGTCCAGTTGTTTTTTTGAAATTTATTTAATGGTTGCAAAATAAAAGAAAAATTGTTACAAGATTTCATTAAATAGGAGTCGTGTAACACAAAATTGTTTTAATAAGAAAAATAAAAAATTATGATCAATAATTTAAAAAAAAGTTGAACACAAATTAATATTAGCTTATCTTTTTAAAGTGATTGATGGAATTGTAGGAGAAAAAGTGCTTAACAGATTACAAAATTTTACGCTATTCAAGTTGGACCGTTTAATCAATCAGTTTATAACGAAAGATATTGATTCAATAATTAAAGATTTATATTGAAACTAACAATATTAAAACAACAATTTTTTATAGCAAATTTATTTTTATTTTAATAATTCGCATTTTTTTTATCCGGAACAAAAACTTAAATTTCAAGTTATCAAAGAATTAGAGAAATAATCAATTGATTAATTATACTTACAATTAGTCCGGAACAATACATACATTGTTATCAACAAGAACAATTCAATAAAATAACCACTTATCATAATGTCTAAGATAGTACGTTCATTAAAGAATGTTGCTGGTGGTTATTCATCTTCACAAGTATTAGTTAGAAATGCAACTTCAAATGATGCAACTGGTCCTACAAAATATGATATGGAAGAAATTGCATCATTTACTTATCAAACACAAACTGAATTTATGGAAGTTATGGATATGTTGGATCGTCGTCTTAATGATAAAGGTAAAAATTGGAGACATATAGCAAAATCATTAACAGTATTAGATTATTTAGTAAGATTTGGTTCTGAAAAATGTGTTTTATGGGCAAAAGATAATATATATATTATAAAAACTTTAAGAGAATTTATTCATTTGGATGAATCAAATAATGATCAAGGGGCAATTATAAGAGTTAAAGCAAAAGAATTGGTTTCTTTATTAAGAGATGATGAAAGATTAAAACAAGAAAGATTATTAGCAAAACGTGGTAAAAGAAATGGATCATATGATGATGATGATGAAGAAGATGATTTTGGTAATGATCGTAGAGATAGAAGAAGAGATAGAAGAAGAGAAAGAAATCGTGATGAACCTTATGATGAAGATTTACAAAGAGCATTAGAATTATCAAGAGTTACAGCAGAAGAAGATCAAAATAGAGCAAGACAATCAGAAAATGATCCAGATTTAGAAGCAGCTATAAAATTATCATTAGAAGAAGAAGAAATGAGAAAACAAAAAAATAATACTAATTTATTAGATTTAAATGAAGAACCTCAATATCAACAACAACCACAACAATATTTTGCAACAGGATATTATCAACAACAACCACAACAACAATATTATCAACAAGATCCAAATCAATATCAACAACAATACGACATGTTTGGAAATCCAATACAGAATCCAATGGAAACTGGATTTTATGATCAACAAAATTATTATCAACAACAACAACAACAACAGCAACAACCTCAATATCAACCTAATCAATTCACTGGATTCAATTATGGACAAAATCAACCACAAGATCAATTACAACCTTTGAAAACAGGTTCAAACAATCCATTTGCAATAGGCAATGACTCAAGTAATAATAATAATAATAAACCTCATCAACAAACATTGAATAATTTAGCAGAGGAACAATCTCAACAACCACCACCACAACAACAACAACCTCAATTTTTCACACAACCTACAGCTCCATTAAAACAACAAAATACATCAGGATCAAGATTTAATGAAACTCATGAATTAAATGATTTATTATCTCAAGGTACAGGATTAGATACATTTGGTAATACTGGGGCTTCACGTATTTCTCATCATCACACCAAGACTCAAAATTTTATAAATTCAAGTGGTACAGGTTATAAACAAACTGGTAATGAACAACAAAGATTAAGTTCAAATGCTACTGGTAATCCATTTTTAAATACTGGTATTGGATATCAACAGCAACAACAGCAACAACAACCACCACCTGCACAACAACAATATCAATTGAATACAGCATATACTGGATATGGATTTGGGAACGCTCAAAGCCAACCTACTCAACAATATCAACAACAAAGAGGTAACGATGGACCAAGTTTAATAGATATTTAAGAGTCAAATAATAAAAGGTTATGTAAATGTTCACTTTTTTTAACCATCCATAAAATTTTTCAGTTCATATAGATGTTATTTCTTACTTCTTCTACAACTGTTCTTTATAAGTTTTTACAAAATTCTACAAAATTTTAAATATATATGATATTTCATTAAATATAGTATAAAATTAATTAATTCTGCTCATTAAATTTCAAAATCTTTATATTGTTGTATTTTCATTGCAAATATTGATCTAACACACCAATCCCAATTTAATACTATACCATTAGGTATTGAAGTTTTAAAATTTTTTATCAATTTTGTATCTTTCTTTTTATTTGCTATTAGAATAATATCTTCATTTGGTGTTGATTCAAGAAAATGTGATTTTTTAAAATTTGGTATATTTGATTTAATTTCTTTAAAATTTTCTAATCCATGATCATTTAAAATTCTTGATATGACTTCAACTCCACCATTTAAATTTTCACTTAAATTTAAATTCATATTTGCAAAAAGTTTACCATGTAATGAATTTTTTAAAATTGTTGACATATTTTTAACACCTAATTCTGAATTCGTTGTTGGAATTATTTTATCTAATGAATAATCATTAATATTAAAATTATGTATAATATTATCATTTTCTATATTATTTAAAACATCAATTAAATAATTTGGATGAACAATTTTATCAACTTTACTTAAACTTCTTAAAAATTTTTCTGTCCTTAATATTTTTGGAGCAATTAATGTATTTGGTTTAGCTTTTGATAAATCTGTTATTATTTTAATTCCAATTGATTGTAATTTGTTAATTTGATTTTTATTCAATTCAATTTCTGATTCACATCCTGTCATTATTGCAATAACATCACAATCTTCTGTCCGTGGACGTTTAACATCTTTTGGTATTATTTCTTCTATTTCTTGTTTAACATTAGTTTCTGATTCTTTTTTTCTTTTTTTATTATTACTTGAATTTTCTAATTCTTCCATATAAGATTTCATTTTTTGTTTACTTTTTGATATCTGTAAATAATCATTTAAATCACTCATATTATTATGTAATTTCTCTGCTGCCTTTTTAGCTGCTGATCTACCACCATAACGTGAGATAGTTGTCGGTATTTTAAAATCTTTAGGGGTGGTGTCTTTTGGAGTTTTTGGTGATATAATATCTTCAGTTACGTCAGTAGATTTATTTGGGGTTCCATTTGGTGGTGACATCACACTAATGACTTCTTGTGGTGGTGATGGTGATGATAAATTTGTTTGTTGATCTTGTTCATTTTTTAATTTTTGTTCAATACTTGATATTACTGTTGGATTTGTTTTCGTTCTAGATTGAGTAGCTTCATCTTCACTCATACTATCATCAATATTACTAGAAACTTCTTGATTAGTTATTGGATTTAATAAATCTGGATCCAATTGAGCTTTACCCACTAAAGGTTCCATACCTAATTCTTCATTATTTCCAAAACTTCTATATTTTATATCAGAATCATCTAATTTAGTCCATTGAATAAAACAATCTTCTAACCATAAATGATTTACAATTTGAACTTCAGGATTACCATTAGAATCTACCCATTTATTTAATGCAGCTTCGTATTTTTTACCTTCAGGTTTTGCACAAATTAAATAATGATTATCTTTTGTTAATGTTTTAGTAAAAGTTGCACCCATTAAAGTGATTAGCTTTGATAAATAATTTCTAGCATCACCACTATAATTAGTTATAGATATTTTGATATTTTTAAAATATTCAATAGGATGCATAGGTATTGGATAATAAAGTATATTTGAATTTAATGGTAATGTCCAATTTTTAGTAACTAATATTGAATAAAACCATTGTAAATTACCAATAATTATTCTTTTATTTAATTTACTTTTAATATAAGCATCTCCATTACGATATTTACCTAAATAAATATCAATTTTATTTTCATCAAATTTAGAATTGAATATACCTCCATGTATTTCAATTAAACATTTTAAAGAATTACTTAACCTTTGTGAAAGATTAAAATCACTACTAATGAAAATCTTTTTATCTTGAAAATAATCTAAATTTTTTGAAGTAGTTTTAGGTATTGAATCACTTGTTATTGGTAAAAGAGCTTCTTTACTAAATTCCATTGCTAAATCTCCAAAATACATATCATGATTACTTAAATCAAAAGAATCAGAATCTGGTAAACAATATTTTTCTTCATCTAATTTTTTACCCATTGTAATACAATGATCAATCCAATGAGGTAATACGATTTTTATATTTGAAATTGGATCTTTATTATCTTTATCAGGTATCATACTTGATACAACTATAGCTTTTTCATTAGTCATATCCATTGAAATTAAATGAGTTGTATGTTTTGTTAAAATATCAAGATAATTACCACCAAAAGCTTTTATACCAGAATAAATTAATTCTTTGTCACCTTGAGGTAAATTATCAGCACAACATATAAAACAATTTTTAAAAAAATATGAAGGATCAGGATTAAAAGATTTTATTGGTAATAAATAATTTGCATCTAATGAATTATATAACCAATCTGGAGTTATAATTGGAATCATTGATTTTAAAGCTTGAGAATATTCAATAAATTCTATTGAATTCGTTATAATATGAGTAATAATTGGTGGATCCATATAATTTATTGAATTATCAAATTCATCTTTTATATAAATTTTTGTTGCATAATAAGTATTTAATTGTAATTTTAATTTATCAGCTATTTGATCAGATAAACCTATTGACTTTATTATTAGAAACGTTGAACCTTGAAACATTAGATTAGTTGGTTGGTCAGTTCATAAATGATTAAATTAATGAATGATTGATTTGATAAAATTGGTTGTCAATTGTTGTGTATTAATTTATTAAATACAAACGCGTATTAATATAAATTATTTACGTGATGTGTACTGTATATAGTAATTTTTATTAAAGAATACAAATATTTTATAACAGCATACAAAATTAGTAGAATTGAATGTAATGCAAATGTATTATAGATTTATATATATACTTTATATTGTAAATGGATTAAGTTGAAGTATCCATAATAAGTTTTTGGTTAGAAAAAAAGCAAAAGCAACAAGTCATAGCATCATTATAAATTTAGATCAGCAAACATTCCACTTTGTAAATTTGTAATCTTATTCTTTAATTATATATTTCTTATTCTTCCTCAATCGTTAATCGATGAGTAGATAATCTTTCATCAAATAAATCTTTACCTTCTAATTGAAATTTTTTACCCCAATTTCTACATAATGTACTTGCTTTCATAAATTTTCTCATTGCATATTTTTTAAAAAATTCATCATGTTCAATTGGTGATATAAGATATTGAAACATTAATTCAATACATAATTTCATATCATTTATTCTATATCCTCCACTATAATGTATTAAATTACCATTCCATACTGGTAATTTCCCCAAAATTAATCTTGATAAATACATTGCTGATGCACAACATAATGAAGGTTTCATTCCAATAAATTTATAATCAATTATTGTAATTTCTAATAAATATTTACCTAAAGTTCTTGATTGAACATCATAATCATCAGCTTTTGAAATTCTTCTTAAAAAATTCATTGGATTTGGATAATTTAAATCAAAATTTAATATTGTTAAAATATATTTTTCAGCTTGTAAAATTTCTTCTTCTGTATATGAACCATCTGTAAAAAATGCATAATTTTTAATCAGTGGTGAAAATACTTCTTCATATTTTGCTGCAATAAATAATGAACCAGTTGCTAATAATTGTAATTTATCAATTTCAACAATTTCAATTGACATAAATCTATCCATTATATTTATAGCTAAGAATAATGATTCTGGTAATAATCTAAATTTTAAATGCATTTCAACTAACCAATCAACTAAAATTGATCTCATTTTAGGTTTTAAATTTTTTTGTTTGAATAAATATTGAGAATCTGGTAACATTCTTGTTTCTAATTCATAAAAATATGTGAAAATATCATTAACATATTCACTTGCCATTAATGGATCATCATTATCTTCTTCATCTAAATCTTGCCATTCATAATCTATTAATTTTGATTTTTTATGAGTTAAATTATTATTGTTAATATTGTTTGTGTTTGTGATTGATGATGCTGTTCCTGTAGCTGTTGCAGATATATGTATTGATGAATTTGGAAATTCTGGTTGAATTTTTAATTTTTCAACTAAATTTGTTGATGATTCTGTTGCTTGTCTCTTCTGTGGTAATCTTGATGGTATTGATAAACTTTCTTTCTGTTTTATATTAGAATTTGAGTCTGATGCTATTGGTATTGATTTTGATGGTTTATTTAATGACGCTAAATCACCACCAAATGCTTTTCTCTTTTTTTGTAAATTTTGTGACAATTGCTTTTGTTGATGTTGCTGATGCTGCTGCTGCTGCTGAAGTTGTTGTTGTTGTTGTAGTTGTTGTTGACTTGTAGTTGTTTGATATTGATTTGAAACATCTCCTAAATATTGACGCGTTATTTTTGATTTAGTCGATTGCTTTGAAGATATTTTTGAATTATTATTATTGTTGTTATTATTATTTATTATTGTTTGTTCTGATATAGTTGATGTTATAGATGCAATGGGATGATTTGGTGGTGGTATATTTTCTTCTTGAGTTGAAGTTTCCATAGGACCCTGTGATGATGAATGATTTGCTAATTGTGATGTATTAATATTATATAAAATTACTTTTGGATCACTGGAATTATTATTTAATTGAGTTTGTTGTTGTTGTTGTAAATTATTTTGTTGAATTTTGGCTCTTGTTAGTCTATAATCATTTTCATTATTAGTTGATAGTTGAGGCATGTTATTTGAATGTGTTAGTTATGGATGATTTGATGAATAAACCAATGTTGTGCTACAAAATGTGAAGATTTCAGTAAAAAAATTTGAATTTAAGATGATTAAATGATTAAATGATTAATGGATTGAGTGAAAGTAATTAATGAATGATTATAATAGTAGTAGATTAAACTAATGAATGTAAAGAATGATATTAAAAATTTGATTAAAATTTGAAAAAAAGTAAAATGGATTAAATTGATCTAATTAAAAAGATTGATCTTAAGATGTCTATATGATTTACAATGATTAGACAATAATTTTATATGATAATGAATTGAATGATAAGATTGATTATTAATTAATTCTCTATAATTTTTTGACTAATTCTTTATTCTAATATTGGAAAGTATTGATATAAAAAAAAAAAAGTTATCTATTGATTAATTTTTTTGAATAAGGAAGATCAAAAAAAAAGTAAAAGTAAAATAATTTGTAATAATGAATATTCAAATTTAATAAAATGATATTTGTGTATCTCTTGCTATTTATTTTAAATTTATTCAATTATCTACCTTTTTGAGTATTTTATTATTTATTTGGTTATTCCTTTTATATTATATTATATATTATTATGTATTATGTTTAGTGAGTTTAGTGTTATGCTCCAAAATTTATTATTTTTATTTATTATTATTTATTTGATTTCATACACAATAATAATAATATATACTCTATCTCACAAATATGTATACTTATCTTTCTTCAAATGAATAAATGATATATATTGTAAATTTGAATAAATGAATTTATATATTCCAATCAGAGAGATTTTTTTTGGAAATTAAGTAGGAGAATATACTTTATAATATATATAACAAACAAATATCTATTATTTTAAACAGTTATAAAATTATAATAAATGTTAATTGAATTAAGTTGCACAAATTTGTAAGTGAAGATTACATTATTAAATATGAAAAAGACAATACTTGTTAGATAGATTAAAAATAAAAAAAATGAATGATGTAAAATTTAAGAATATTTATTTGTTTCGAAGTAAATTTTGTTTATTATTTATAAAATTACCAAATTAAGATTTATTATTAAATTAAATTAAATTAAATTAAATTAAATATTTTAATTATATAATATAACCATTTATCTATATATATATTAATAAACTAAGCAATTATAATAACTTGACTTGATCTGATTTAATATAATATTGATTGAATTTTAAAACAATATTTTAATAAGTTGATTCTTTCTATCTATAAAAATTGAATTTTTTGAGATATCATAAATTTTGAAGTTTCATAAATTTTTTTATTTGTTTCTTCGAGTTTAATATTTATTTTTGTGTTATGTTTACTTTTTGATCAAAAGAAGAACTAATGTTAGGGGGCTTTTATGGGTAAAGCAAGTTTATATAAATAAATTGAAACTATAACTTGAAACTATAATATTATATAAATTTATTTTAGTAATAATGATATACAATTGAATTAAACTAAATTGAATCACATTTGGATAATTAAATATAATAACCATAATGAAATTTTAAAATCGTTATAATCAAATTTTAGTTAGTATTTTATTATTTATTACGCGATATACATTGATTTTAATAATAAATAAATAAATAAATTTATAACACACCACACAAAAATACGAACTTATACACAAAAATACGAATTATTAATGTTATTAGAAATAAATATTAAAAACTTATAAAGGTTTAATTCAATAATTTATAATTTATATAAGTGAGTGGATCATTTAAAATGGAGATTAGTGTCAATACATTTTTTAATTTATAATGCCGTAGAAAAACATATATTATCTAACATTAGATCAAAGTCGTAGATCGATTGGGGAATATAAATAATTTTGAAAACAATTTTATCACGATTAAACAACAACAAAGAATTTTCATCATATGTACTTTGATTGATGAAATTTCAAATTAAGAAGCAATATTATTATTTCAAGTTTCAAAATTTCATATTTCAAATTTTTTTAGCCCTTTGATTTCTTTTTAAAACAAATTAATAATAATAATAACTCAAACTTTAAACTATCATTTGGTTAGTAAACCATTTAATATAATTTTACTTTCTTTTATTTCATTTTCTTCTATGCATAAATCTTAAATTGTTTTTTTTATTGTTTTCTTTTTAAGTTAACATGAAATATGGTTAAGAATATGAATTTCATTTAAATGTAAATAATCTACTAAAAAAATTCATCTAAAAACTAGCAAACGTGTAAAATTTAGGTAAAAGGATATTGATAAATCCGGTATGGAATTTAAAATATATAGTGTGGGGGGGGGGGACAAAATTTACTAAATTTTATTAATCTCATTCTTTTATATTTAATACATAGAATGTATAATCTTAAGTTTTAGGATAATTTTTGGACTGGCTCTATTTTTGTTCAATTTAATCATTATGCATTCTAAGAAGTATACTAGATTGATGAAAAACAAACTTAATTTTGATCAGAGTTTATTTTTTATGTGGTTTTGGTGCAAAATGTTCATCTTTTAAAACATTAGCAACTTGAAGTTTTCATTGAATAACAATAAGTTATTATTTCAAATATTGATTTTAAGAAGTTGCTATTTTAAATGAAAATGGTTTGTAATAAATTTGTTGTTTGTTTCTTTAATTAATATTTTAAGAATAAAAAATAATAGAATGAATTTACGAGATAATGTTTTGAAATTTTAAATTTACGTAATAATAAATTTTTTGATTACTTATCGAATATGTCAATTTTATAAATGCTTAAAAATAAATTCTTGAGCTTTAAGTTATAGTAAAGTGATGAAAAGAAAATTTTATTAGATGCTTTACAACTCATGTTGTTTCATTAATAATCATTAGATTGAAAAGTGTAAGAAGTCATTATATATAAATGCAATTGCTAATTAAGATTTGTTAATAATTTCTACACCTTTGATCATACAAGAAGCAGTATATTCTTTATCTTGATCACAACAATTTGAACTTAATTTAAACATTTCATTAAGATTTAATTCTTGAGTTTTATCTTCTTGTTCTTCATATATTTTCATGGAATTTAAATTATTTTTATTTTCATGCTTTGAACTTTTAGAAGTGAACGATTTAGATAATGGCTCGTAGCCTTTAGAAGTTGTATTTAATTTTGAAGTTGATGAACTAAGCGACGATGATTTATTGCTTCGAATCGATATGTTTGATGCATTAAAGGAATCGACAAAATTCTCGTTTAATTTGTCAGTAGAATTTGGACTTGAATGGTCTTTGATTTGATTTGTCGAGTTCACGGATTGTGAACGTTTACCTTGGTTAGTTGAATTTTCTGAAATTTTTTCATTTATTTCTGATTCTTCTAATTTTCTATCTTTTACTTCTTCTCTAATTGATTGACCAGGTAATAAATGTATTGAGGTTTGAGTCGACTTATTAATTTGGTTAGTAGATATTGGTCTATTCAATTTTTGAGGGAACTTTTTTTCTGCAAGTGGTGAATTGAAAATTTCTTGGTGAGTTTCATCCAAATTTGGAAATGGTTTGGATTTGTTATGGATTCGTGTATGAGAGTTTATACTTGATTTATCAGATAATACATTAGGTGATTTGATAATTTGATGTTGTAAATTTAATTTATTACTAACACCTTCAATAATTTTTTCAATAAATTTATCTTGATCTTCATTAAATTGATTTAAAATTGATTTTTCATTTGATTTCAGATTTTTTGATTGAGTAGAATCTGGGGTAACAATACTTAGAATTGATTTATCAACTTTTGTTGCAATTGAATTTGATTTGTCTTTTTTTAAAATAGGTGATGTTATATTATTAATACTTGGTGTAGATGAAGTTGTTATAGGTGTGTTTAATTCTTTCGTTTTTTCTAAAGTTTTAATTAGTTCTGCTACTTTATTTACTAATTCTTCATTTTTGATTATTTCATTATGGTCTCTTGATATTTGATTTTTTGAATCATTATCCAATTGTAATTTTAACATATCAACAAATGTAGATTGTAATTTAAAAACATCTAATAATCCATTATATTGTTTTTGAAGTGTATCAAATCTTGATTCCCATAATTGATTTGAATATTTATATTTTTTATTTATATCAATTTGTTTCTTCAATTTTGAATTTAAATCATTATTTTCAGATTGTAGCAAATAACATTGAATCAGATTTTGTTTATTATTGTTATTATCATTATCATTATTATCATAATCGTTATTATCTATATCTTTTGAATTATTTAATTTTTCTTTTAAATTTAAATTTTCAAGTTCTAATTCTTTATCCCTTTTCAATCGTTCTTCATCTCTTTTAAGAATTTCCTTTTTTAAAGATCTAACTTCTGATTTTAATGATAAAATATCATCTCTAACATAAACTTCTTCTCTATTTGATATTGGTTTTTTAGTTGGACTGTTTTGTAATGAATATTTTGATAAAGGTGAATTTGAAATTCTATCAACAAATACATTTGATTTAATTGGTGATAATCTATTTCTATTTTTCCTTTGTGTTGGGGTAGTTACTGGTGAATTTTTATTTAATAATGAAGAATCATCAGGTAAAGTTGTAATTTTTCTTTTTTGTCTTAACATAGATTTATCATCAATTTCTTCAACATCTGAATCATAAAGTCTAATATCCATACGAGAGCGAGGAGTATCCTCTGGATATTCCATGGTTAATTACTCTTGATTGCTGGTGTTATGACAGTTGAATTTTTTATTAATGTATTAACTTTGATATTACAATATTTATTATTATTATTATTTTGAGAAAGTTTTTGTTTACATTTTTTAAACGCGTTTGTCATTAAGATTTTAGTGTCACAAAGTACAGAAATGTGACAATTTAACAAAAAACTGTGTATCAAAATTATTTTAAAACATGTGAAGTAGAAGAAGAAGAAGACACAAATTCATTATTATAAATTAATAAAGAACTTATTCAATAGAGTATCTTATTTAGAAATTGAACAACTGACTATATATTCTAATTTAATATAAATAAATAACATGTCAGACACCACAAAAGAAATCAATTCATTAGCAAAAGAATTGAAATCACATTTAAAACAATTTCCAAATTTCCCAAAAGAAGGTATTTTATTTGAAGATTTTTTACCAATTTTTACAAAACCTGAATTATTTAATAAATTAATTACTGCTTTTAAATTACATGTTGGTGATAAAAAAATTGATTATGTTATTGGATTAGAAAGTAGAGGGTTTTTATTTGGACCAACTTTAGCTTTAGCTTTAAATGCTGGATTTGTACCTATTAGAAAACCTGGAAAATTACCAGGTCCAACTTATAATGTTGAATTTAAAAAAGAATATGGATCAGATATATTTGAATTACAAAAAGATGTTATACCAAAAGGTTCAAAAGTTATAATTGTTGATGATATTTTGGCAACTGGTGGTTCAGCTTTTGGAGCAGGAGATTTAGCACAACAAACAGGTGCTGATATTTTAGAATTTTTGTTTGTAATGGAATTAGATTTTTTAAAAGGTAGAAATAGATTACAAGCACCTTCATTTACATTATTTGGTGGACAAGAAGAAAAATATAAAGATTAAATTAATTAAAAAAAATGATTTTATCATGAAACATTAAATAGAATATATATATATATATATTTATCTTTTGTAATATTGTAACTAATATGATAATAGAATGAAATTGATCAACAATTAATTCAATAATTTATTATTTTATCCACTTTTAAATATTAAAAATGCTAATTCTCCAATATAAAAATAAATAAAATAACCTTGTTCATGAGTAACATAACTACCAAAACTTTTACCAACTATTACATGCCATGTTGGACCATATATTTGATCTAATTCTTTTTTCAAAAATGTTGCTATATCTTTTTCAATTTTATAAGTTTGACATGCTTGATCTGCTAATTCAAATATTTTAATTTGAATTTCTTCTGATAAATCAGATGCTTTTAGTATTGCTTAATTGAAATATGGTTAGTAACTTGATTCACCAATTAAATGCAAATAAATATTTTCACATACGAGTATTATCTTGATCAGACATTTGAGTCTTTAAAATGTTGTAATTATTGTTGTGTTGATAAATAGAAGTTTGTATAGATTTGTTTATATAATTTTGTGTGTTTAAATTTCTATTATTTATTATTATTATTATTATTATGATTCTATTTAAATATAATTTTCCACGAGAATGAACCAAACTAAGTTAAATGACTTTTTATTTAACATAATAAACATATAGAGGATGAGTCAACAGAAGTAGAAGAACTAAAACTAATAATATCAATTCAATAACAACTATATTTATAAAATTATAATTTTTCATATTTAACTTTATTATTTAAAACATCATTTTTAAAATCAGGTACTCCTAAAGAACTTGTATGACCCCATGGTTTTAATTTATTTTCATTATCAATTGCTCCTGCAAAACAATTTAACCAACCCTCTCTATTATATTTTTTATTTATTACATCTAAAGTATCTTTATGAATTAATTCAATATTTAATCCAACATTATCTAAAATTGTACTAATTTGTAATATTAAACCTAAAGTTGTTATATAACCAGATTCACCTAAATCTTGATGTCTTATAATTGCTTCACTAACAGCATCTGCATAATCTTGATTTTTAGTTTGTTCTAAAATTAAATCTCTTGAAATTATACCTCCAAAAAATTCAAATGACATTTTTGTTGCAATCATATTATCATCAGTTGTTCCAATATCATGTAATAAACTTGTAATAAATATAATTTCTGAATCTAATTCCCATTCAGGAAATTGATCTTTTATTACAGCAATTGAATATAAATAAACTCTAATAGAATGATTTAAAACTTTTATTGGTAATTTTTCTTTAACATAATTTAAAGTAAATTGTGATAAAGGGGTTGAAGGTAAATCAGTTATTAATTGTGGAGTTGGTGAATTTGGATTTGGTATTGCTTTTTTAATATCTCTTTCTATTTTAGTAAATCCATATTTTGACATCTTTATTTAATTTTAATTGAATAGTTTTGAATAATTGAGAATAGATTGAATAATTGAGAATAGAATATTATTGAAAACTTGTTATAAAAAGAGGGAGTCAGAATTAAATAAAGTGTGAAATCTTAAAATTCATATAGTTGATTATTAATTGCTTTTATATCTTTTTTTCTAATACTAAAGAAAATTAATTGCTGCAAAATTATTATTATTGTTGACATTAAAACAAATTAAGTAATTGTTTCAAATAATAATTTAAAGACACTTTTATGTTTGAAGGATTATAAGTTTAGTTTCATGTAATTATTAATTCATGAATTGGATAATTATAATCAAGGTCTATAAAATGAGGTACTTTTGATTTTGAGTTTACTATTCTCATTTATAATTCTTTCTCTACACTTAGTTCCATCCAAAATAATTAATAAACAGTTCATAACAAACTACTTAATTAACTTGATAATCACAATACAACTTTAATTAACACCAGATTTAAACCATTTTAATATTATATAGTTCCCTATCTAGTAAACCAATTCTTGCTATATTCAATTTACTTCTTATCATGCTACCAATTTTGATCTCGTAAATTTAGATAAATTCGGATTTTAATTTTTTCGCTTAATAAAATTATAATTTATTATTACATTACAACACACCACCACCACTCGTACTACTACCATTTACTTATTTTAAAACCACAGATTCAATCCGAATCAACTTAATCTAATGATTTCAATATAGCAAGGAACAAATGTTTGAAACTCAATTATCAAATGTAAAAACAAATTATTTTAAAATTGGACATTTGAAACAAATTCATTATTCCATTTATACAATTCAAGATAATAATAACAATAATAATAATAATAATAATGACCAAGCTCTACTTGAATTGGAATTATCAATTCGTCATCAAAATCCTAATATATTAATAACTTACTATAACAAAAGTTTATTTTATTTTAGTCTTGATAATATTAATGAATTAGAAGAAGAAACTTTGAATCTGAAATTATCATTAAAACATAAAGATGTTGTTTCTGTCGAAAAACTTACAAATCCTCCTAAAATTTCAAATGATGATTATCTCGTATTTGCAAATGTTAGTTTTTTAAAGGCAATTAAAAAAATGATACTTTATAATTTATCAATTAAAGGAATAATAAAATTATTTGGTAATTATTGTGTTTTTAGGAATGATGATTTAAGTTATTCAATTATTTGTATTGATCCTATTTTACTTAATAATGGAGATTTAATAATATCATGTTGTGAAAGAAATTTATTGAAATTATATAATTCTTCATTAGCAAATAATTTAAATAATTCAAATTATGTTATATATATTATTCCAAGTGGTATAAGATGTCATTTATTTGATTCAACAAATTTACAAAATAATTTTATTGATAAACCACATTTTGAAAGTGAAAAACTACTACATTTATTAGAATTAAGTACACAATGTGAATTAAAAGATACATTATGGATTAAATTAATACCAAATTTAAAACATTTAAATAATCAAACTTCAATTATTTCAAAATTTATACATTCAGTAGAAAATAAAAAATATATATTATGGCCATGGTGTCTTTGTTTATTACAATTTGGATTAGAAGAAAAAAAAATTAATAATAATAAAAATCATAAACAAAATGAAACAAATCCAAGTCATATACTTTCAAAATATTTAGATTTTAATATGAAAAGAAATTTGGAATCACCACCTACTCCTCAATCCCCTTCACCGCCTTCAATTATAACAGAACAGACACCTTCATTACATCCTTCGGCACCAGCAACCAATGGCTTATCACTGAACTCAACAGCAGATCAAACTAATGAATTTCCAGTTAATATGACAACACCTTTTGGAGCTGATGAATATAATTTACAAGTTTCGGATAATTTTTTCACAAAACCAGAAAAATCTGATGATATGGATATTGATGAATTATTTGGAGGTGAAGAAGAAGAAAATTCAAGTGAAAAAGAATCAACTACTAATGTAGTAGAAAATAATGAACAACAAGAAAAAAATATAGATGATTTATTTGGAGAGGACCAAGAAGAAGAAGAAGAAGAAGAAGAAGAAGAAGAAGAAATTATAGATAATAATACAGAACAGGTAACATCAATCATTCAAGAAAATCCTGAAGTAATTGTGAAACTGGATAAAAGAAAACTTCCTTATATTGAAGCACTAAAGAATAAAATGACAATGAAACAATTCACTCCAGATTATAAAGATCCAGGTGCACCAGCTCCTGTAAATCAAACTCCAATGATTAATGTTAATACCACTTTATCGGGAAACAACACAGCAACAATTAGCTCAACTGCATCTGATGATGCCTCATCATCAACACCTAAACAAAAATCAGCTTTTTCTCCCATAGAATTTAATCCAATTATACAAAAGGATATAGATAATAAATATGGGAAAGGTGGGAAATTTTATTATGACAAGGATTGTGAACCTATTGAAAAGTCAATGAAAGCAACAAGAGTAGAGCAAGTTAGTTATAAAAATTCTAGTGAATCATCAGATTCTTCTAGTGACGATAGTGATGAAGATGAAGATAATATACAAGAAACTAATGAAGAGTCATATATTCAAGTTGCTCAACCAGTACATGAATACAATAATACACAAATTCCAACAACAAACCCATTTTTTGGGTCACCGTTTACTAATAATAAGTTTGGTACCAAAACTGAATCACCTTTTCCTTCAAGTGTATTAATGACTCCAAACTTTTTCGAGACCCCTCACAATCATCAATCATCAACATCATCATCAATTACTTCAGCTAAGGAATTTGAATTCCCAAAAGTTAGTGAATCTTCTAACTATCTACCGTTGATTTTAAGAAATGTTAACGTCTCATCCATACCAGATTCTTATTTGTTGAACAATCTTTCAGCCCTTCCTTCTTTTTCAATGATGGAAGAATATTCTGAAAATGATTTAGAAATATCGCATAGTAATGAAATGATAACAAAGTCAAAAAACGTTAAAGAATTACTTCAATTTATATCATCTAATGTGGTATTCGATTTAGGATTGATGAAAAATATCACAAAAACCTCCGAAATAGAGTATCAGATCCCTCCTTTTAGCTTTTTGGACAAGTTAAAAGAAACATTCCCGCTTACTTATCAAGTTTCTTTAATTGAATTTATTCATGAAATGAAAATTAAGGAAAATGAGGATCCTTTACAAATGTTTGGAGAAGAGGAATCTATAAATAAGAAAATGAAGGACACAACTTGGAACTTCATGGAAAATCAACCATTTAACTTTGATCAATATAACCAGTACATGTCAAAATTGAATATCGCAACTCCAGTTGGAGAAACTGAAGTGTTCAAAACACCAGAAGTTAAAGTTAAAGTTGAAAAAAATGGTAATTTAGTAAATCTTAATAGCTTGAGTTTAGAATTCTGGAAATATTTAAACTTCAAACCAATAAATGCCCCAAAAAATTTCCAAATTTTAATTATTGGAGAATCTGGCCCTTATGCAAATGAATTTTTAAATAGACTATTGGATAATTATAATGAAGGTCATTTTGGTCACATATCCAAATTAAATTTATCAACTGTGGAAACTAGACCAGATTTAGAGCCAGTTTCTAATGGATTATTGCTTTTAAAGTCTAGAACCAATAATATTGATTATTATACACAACTTAATAAGAAATTAAATTCCTTAGTCGAATTAATCAAATTGGATTTAATAAACAAAACCAATAATTATGAATTTGACAGACCTTTACTATTAATGTTTGTCAATTTTGACTCAAATTTCAATTCAATTCTTCAAATATCAAAAATTTTGAGAAATTTTAAAGTGGCATTAACAAATTATCAAGTTCCATTAGTTCAAATATTCACTAAGATTGTACCATCTTCGCTAATTGCTAGATCAGAGCAATATTTAAAAGTTTTCAGTAATAATACGTTATCAAAAATTTCAATGATGTTATACAATGAATGCCCCAACAACAATAATATTTTTGCACCAATAGTAAGAGAACCCCCTTCAAAAATTCAATTCAAATTCATGAATGGAAGTTATCGTGATAATAATAATACAGAGGATAGCTTTTTACATATAGCTTATGAAAGATCAATTGATAAAAATTGGATAGCAGCTGCATGGTCTGATCCTTTAGGACTCGTTACACAAACAAAATCATGGTATTGTTCACAATCAAATCATGATATTGGATCGATAGCTGATGACATTTGGAATATATCTGCTGATTTATTTAAATCTATTGATTCTCCAGGTGGTAAAAAATTCTTAGTTTTAACAAGAATTAATAGTGTTATACCAGATGATGAACTAGTTCATTGGAAAAGATTAAGTTTAAAATATAAGGATATTTCATTAATTGTTTTATCGGTAAATCGGTCATCGAAAATAATATTTACCAAAAATGATCCCGTTTCAGAGGAGTTCTTTTTAAGTGATGGAGATACATCAAATGCTGGATCACTTCTAGTAACTTCACCAAATGGGTTAGCATTTCATTCTCCTCAACAATTTTTAAATGCTCCATCAAATTTTTTATCACCACAAGATGCTCCAACGTATACTGAGCCTGATATGGTTTTAAAAGATGGAGGAGAGGAAATTTATGGAATGATACCAAAGATACAATTGCCATCTTTTAATTCCCCAAGTAGAGCGAGTATGAAAGTAGGTTATTTGATTAAAGAATATTCAAATGATCAACTTATGACTTTTGAAGTAAATGTTTTAAGTTGTTCAAATTATTGGAATTTAGATTCATTAATGAGGATTATTTTAATGCAATATAAAAAATTAATAATATTAAATAACATTTTGGGGGTTACAGATAATACTCAATCAGTTCCATGGCATATAAATGCGGTTGGTAAACTCTTGGATTATTTGATTCATATATATGTTGATGAATGATATAAATATGCCTTGATCATAATTTTAATATACACACTACTATTGTAGTTCAGTTGTTTTATAATTTTTTCTCTCTCTTTCATTTTGTCAGACATTTTTTTTACAGTAATAAATTTATTAGACAAACAAAATAATTTTTAAATTTTTATTTATTAAAGATTAATTGTACACTTTACAACGTTATCAAATTAATCAATCATGTCTGACTCAGAACAGGTCAAAGCTGAAACTGAAGATTATTACACAGGTTTACCAGAGGAATATGAAGAAGAGGAAGAACAAAATCATAATACATCAAATTCAAATAAACGACCACGAGAATCTGATCATAACCAAGAAGATAGAAATGATGTTCAAGAAGATGAAGAGGAAGACGAAGACGAAGATGATGAGGAAGAAGATGAAGTATCAAGTAGAAGAAGGAAAAGAAAGAGAGGGGCAAATCAATATTTTGATATTGAAGCAGAAGTTGATGATGAAGATGAAGATGAAGTAGATGAAGATGAGGAAGAAGCAGAAATGTTTAGAGAACAATTTATCAGTGATGATCATGGAGCAGAAGACGGATCTGAAAATAGAGATGATAGATTACATAGACAATATGATCGTCGAAGACAAGAAGCCGAAGATCAAGATGCTGAACAATTGGCAGAGACTTTAAAACAAAGATATAGAAAAACCCATTCAGTTTATCGAGGGGAAACTGCAGCCAATGGTACAGTATCACAAAAACTTTTAATGCCATCTATTAATGATCCATCAATTTATGCTATAAGGTGTACACCAGGTAAAGAAAAAGTCTTAGTTCGAAAATTATATCAAAAGAAAAGAACTTTAGAAAGACAAAAATTGCCTTTAGATATTTTAACGGTATTTCAAAGAGATTCATTTAAAGGTTATATATATATTGAAGCTAAAAGACCCGACGCAATTGATAAAGCTTTACAAGGTATGGTAAATGTATTTGTAAGAGATAAATTGCTTGTTTCAGTTAAAGAATATCCAGACTTATTGAAACAAGTTAAATCATCAGATGTCGAGGTTATTCCAGGAATCTATGTCAGAATTTTAAGAGGTAAATACAAAGGAGACCTTGCAATAGTTGATAATTTATCTGAAAATGGTTTAGATGTAAGATGTAAATTAGTCCCAAGATTAGATTATGGAAGAAATGATGATGTTGATTCAGAAGGGAAAAAAATAAGATCTAAAATTAGACCTTTACCAAATTTATTTAATGGACAAGATGCAAAAATGTATGATGGATTAAACTTACAACAAAAAGGTCCAAATAGTTATACATATAAAGGTGAAGAATATATGGATGGATTTTTATTTAAGGATTTCAAATTACAATACATTCAAACCAAAGATGTACATCCAACACTAGAAGAACTTGATAGATTCCAAACGGGTGGTGATGGGGATAATTTGGATTTGGGAGCTATTGCTGCATCTTTGAAAAATAAAAATTTAACCGATGGTAAACAATCTACAGCTTTCCAACCAGGTGATAAAGTTGAAGTAAGAAGAGGAGAACAAGCTAAGACTGTAGGTGTTGTGGTAGAAGCCGCATTAAATGAAATTAGAATAACAGTTACTAATAGTGGTGATCCAAAATTTGTTAATCAAAAATTAACTGTACCTGCAAACGATTTAAGAAAATTGTTTAATGAAGGTGATCATGTAAGAATCGTTGAAGGAAAACATTTTGATGAAACAGGTTTAGTTATTAAAATTGATGGTGATTCTGTCATTTTAGTAAGTGATCAAACTAAAGAAGATGTTAGAGTATTTGCAAACTACTTAGTTAAAGCAACAGATGCTTCTTCTAATGTTGATGATAGGAATTTCAAATATGATATTAAAGATTTGGTTGAATTGAGTGCATCAACCGTTGGTGTCATTGTAAAAGCAGAGAAAAACATTTTTCATATTCTTACAGCTGATGGAAGACTAATAGATGTAAAACCAACCCAAATTGCTTCCAAATTAAAATTAAGTCGTAGAGAACAAATTGCAACTGATAGAAATGGATATACCATTAAAGTTGGTGATACTGTGAAAGAAGCGTTAGGTGACAAAGCAAAAGAAGGAGCAATTATTCATATTTACAAAAATTCATTATTTATAAAGTCAAATGAACTTGTTGAAAATTTAGGTATATTTGTCACGAATAGAATGAATGTTGAAACTGTTGCAACTAAAGATTCAATGGTTTCTAAAAAGTTTGGTCCAGATTTATCTACAATGAATCCTTCCTTAAAACTTCCTGATCCATTAGCTATACAAGGTTTGAAAACTCGTGTTGGAGGAAGAGATAAATTATTATATAAAGATGTTGCTGTAACAAGTGGAAGTTATAAAGGTCTTAAGGGAAAAGTTACTGAGGCTGATGATTTATACGCAAGAATTGAATTACATACAAAGAGTAAAAAAATTAAAGTACTTAAAAATAATCTTAATGTTTTATTTAAAGATAGAGCTGTTCCTTATTTAAGATTCATTGGTGCAAATGTTGATCAAGCACCTTCAGATTCATTTAATCAACCACCAAACACTTTTTCAAGTGGAGATAGATCAGTATGGAATGGAGGAGCTACACCAGCTGTTGGAGGAGGAGGTGCATCAACTTGGAATAGAGGTGGTACATCTGCTTGGGGTGGTAATAAAGGCGGAGCTTCAACTTGGGGAGGTGCTTCTGCATGGAATGGTGGATCAGCTGGTGGTAATGCATCAGCTTGGGGTGGAAATAGAGGAGGAGCATCTGCTTGGGGTGGAAACAACAACAACAATAATAATAATCATAATGGAGGTGCTTCATCCTGGGGTAATGGTGCTGGTTCAAGTTGGGGTGGTAAAGGCAACAACTCTACTTGGGGTGGTAATAATAATGGTGGAAATTCAACTTGGGGTGGTGGATCAACCTGGGGTAAAAAAGGCAATAATAGTAGCTGGGGAAATCGATAGTTATGATGGTGATGATGATGTTGATGATGAGTTGTACCGAAAAAATTTAATGATTTTTAATGATTTACTTCTTCTACAAATAGTATTAACTAAATTTTTGGAAAACAAAAAATATATATTTTCTAAATAAATAAATTAAATAAATTAAAATTTTTACATGTTGTGATTAATTATTTTCACATCCAGGACAATTATGAAGTGTTTCATGTACAAAAACATCACAATTTATACAAAAATCTTGTTTACATTTTATACATTGATATCTTGAACTTGTCATTGATTCAATAGTCCCCTTATGAGTACCTACTTTAACTCCCTTGGGAAATTTTAATTGACAACCAAAACAATATTCACTATCATAAATAGGACTTACAGGAACTTCTTTATATGGGGCCAAGGGCACTAAATGATGATAAGATCTAGCTAAATGAGTTGATAGTATAAGCATAAGACCACATACTGGACAAATTGTAGGTAAATTACAAACTTTACTTTTACATTGTGGACATTGATAACCAATTATTGAAGATGATGATTGTGGTATATTAGAATTTATTTCAACAACGTCTCTTGATTCATCAGACCCTTGAGTTGGATGAGAAGCATTGAGTTGAGGAAACTCCACAGTAAATTCTGTGTTTCCAATACTTGAAGTTAATGTTGGTTGTAGTTTTGAAGGAAATCCCATTTTTATAATTGGTACACCTTTTGATTCTTCAATTTTTTCCTCATTTTCTGTTAACGGTAGTGGTGTTACACAATCCATTAATAATTCCTTGAAATGTGATTCATTCATTATAATTCCATAGTGTTTTGATGTAGTATTTCTTGGTTCATGATTAGTTTTATTGACCATTTCCTGACAAATGGCTACTTGAGCAGAAAGTCCAATGACACTTACTTTTATATCATCTTTTACTAAACTATCAATTGTTTTATGAATATCTCCAGGATCACTTGTAAATAATGATCCAAATATTATTAATATTTCTTTGGAATTTTTTGTATTATTAGAAGTGGTACCAAAATTGAATTTTAATAAAGATCTTGCCATTTCCAAAGTATTTTGTAAAGAAGGATCTCCCTTTGGTTCAAATTTATTGTGTTGTCTTGCTTTGAGTTGTCGTAATTTATCGATATGATATTGAGGCAGTCCGCTTACTTCACTAACTAAATTTGCTACACCATTTCTCATTAATACTATACCTAATTGTGATATTGGATTTTGATCGAAAAATTCAACAACAAATTCTTGTAAATAATTTAAAGTTAATGAAAGTCTTGTAGGTCGTAAATCTTTTTCAGCCATCGCTAGTGATCCATCAATTGCTATTACTAAAGTTCTTATTATACCTCTTTGAAATGGTGTACTTGGATTTTTCATAATTTTCTTTTTCCTATTTTCTATAATTGTTTGAACCATTGCTTCAAATGACCCACTACCAGATTCATCATCTTTAACAATATCCCAAGATCTTTGATATTCATCTTCCCATGCATAACCATTTGCACCTTTTAAATCACTTATTTCACCATTTTTACCTCCTCTTGATCTTGTTCTTGCTGATACACCATCTTTTGGAAGTGATTCTGGAACAACAGATGATAGCCTTGACGATGGTGAATTTGAACCAGACAAGAACTCTTCATCAGAATCATCCATATCATATAACTAAATGGAGAAGTAATATAATTTTGGTAGAAATTGGATCTTTAAAGAATAAAAAGGTAAAGTATTTAAATAAATTTATATTTTATGTATATTTAATTTTGTGTTATATATCTCATTTTATTATCTGATACTAGTTTCAAAGTATAAAGCTATTCAGAATTGAAAACTAAGAGTTTTACATGAAGTGTAGAATTTGATCTAACTAAATCAAATCACTTTCTTGATACGCTGGCTACAAATCTAAAACATGTGTAAACCAGGTGGGTCCATTCTCAGACAGTGTTGGGTACAGCATTTTATAATCTTTATCAATGATACAATTGATGATAAAAATCGTAGCCACAAACTAGTATGTACTGAGATCGATTTATGCTATTATTCTCATTATTCAACTGATTCTTCTCTTTTTATGTGAGAATTTATCAATTTTTCTTGTAATATTCACTTCACCTTTATCTCCAATTTCATAAAATAAAGAATTAAACTCATTTATCTCATCATCATCAATAATCCCCAACTCCTCTTCAAGATATGGTATCTGCTTCAATTCTTCTTTGTGGATCAAATCTTTAATATAATAACCTTCCCCCATAACCGGAGTTATTTCCAAAAATTCATCGAAAATTTTTAATCTTTCAATTCCATAAAATTCTATAAATTCTTCCTTTGTTAAATTAAATGAATTTTGTGGGTAATCTTTTTCTTCTAAATTTGTATTTTTCTTAATTTTAGGATTTGGAGCTGCTTCATTTTCTTGAATATAAAAATTTCTTAATAATTGTATTGCTTCAGTCCTACATATTCCTCCAATACTATGATAAGTTTTATTAGGTAAATTAATATCTTTATGAATTGAAAGTATAGTTCCATTTCCTCCAAATCTATCATTTCCACATCCATAAATAACTTTACCAATTCCTAATTGTCTTAAATATGATGCACACATTATACAAGGTTCAACTGTAACATATAATGATAATTCGTTGTAGTTTATTCCTTTCAATTTTTCTAATGCTAAAAATTCTGCATGTCTTGTACCATTTAATGATATATTTGTATAATTATATCCAATACTTAAAACTTGATCTCCTTTCACTACTATACATGATACAGGTGTTTCATTATTTTGCAAAGCTTTATAACCAACAAATAAGGCAATTGCCATAAATTTAAAATGATTTGTTAAGTCATTCATAAATAATTATAGTGAAATAAATTTTTGTTTCATATTTCTAGTGTAATGAATATAAATTATATTTTTGTACTTGGTATATTCTCAAGTTAATTTCGATATGTTTTATATTATATAATATTAATATGTCTGATTTACATAAATCATTTTTGAAAAGAGTTAAACAGAAAGAAGCAAGTTTAGGACTTTCACTGTTATCGGAAGAACCAAGCAATACAAATTTACTGGAAATAAGTAATAGTAATAAGGAAGATGATATTCTAGATCAAGAAATACTAAATAAATATCAAAAAGCTAGATCAAGTTTTGAGACTTCAACTTATGGAGATACAAATAAATTTTTTAAATGCTATTATAAACCTGCAAAAGATCAGGGTCCAGTATTGGTATGTCTACATGGAGCTGGATCTTCATCGATGACATTTGCTGAATTAAGTAAAAATATAGATTTTGGTATTTTCTTATTTGATATGAGAGGGCATGGTGAATCATTTTACGATGGTGATTATTCATTAAATACTTTAGTTGAAGATGTACATTTCATATTACAAGAGTTTACTAAAAAACATAATCCTTCTTCATTATTTTTGCTAGGTCATTCTTTAGGAGGAGCCGTTTTTGCAGATTATGTCAAAAAGTATCCGAATAGAATAATTCAAGGATTGATTTTACTAGATATAGTCGAAGAAACAGCAGTATCATCACTTGTTGTTATGCCTCAGTTCATAGAGAAAATACCGAAAACATTTCCATCATTATCAGCTGCTATACAATGGCATATGAATTTTTTATTATTTAATGAAACTTCTGCGGAAATAAGTGTACCAGATTTGTTAAACCTAAAGGACCTTTCTTGGAAAACTGACTTGAAAAATACTCAAAATTATTGGAATACTTGGTTTCATGGTTTATCCAAGAATTTTCTAGATTTTAAAGGAGCAAAATTATTAATATTATCCGCTCATGAAACCTTAGATAAAGAATTGATAATTGGTCAAATGCAAGGTAAATATCAGTTGGTCGTTTTTAACAACAATCAAAAAAGTGGTCATTTTGTTCATGAAGATTTACCAAAACAAGTTGCTATATGTATAAATGATTTCATTAAAAAGACAATTGCTCCTGAAAAATATATGAAAGAGGATCTAGGATTTAAACCCAAATGGGGTGGTAAAATTAATTCATAAATATACATTATTAACTAAAAGTCTGTAAAATTTCTATTCAACACTTTTATTACTTTCATCGATTTCTTTTTGTCTCTCATTAATTTTTTCAACCATTTCATCGATTTTTTTACTTGCAAATGGGAATCTTGGATTAATTAAAAATGGTCTTAAATCAAATCTATTATCATCAGGTGAATATTGTTCAGCATGATAAGCTGGTGTCATAGTAGTCATTTTATGTCTATTTATAGCATAAAAGAACCAAAATCTTTTAACTTTCTCTGCAACTTGTTCTGCAGTTAAATTGTAAGGTGGTTGAGACCATTCATGATATAATTTTATAAACATAGCTAAAGGACCACATTTATCTACTTTTCTTAACGTACCAAATCTTGATAATTCATCATATGTCATACCCATATCAATTTCATCACTTTGAACATAATCTTTTGTAATTGGTTCTAATTCTGCAGTTGGTGTAGCAGTAATAAATTCATGTAATATAGGTAATTCAAAATGGATTTCAGCCCAAGAAATAAATCTTTTTAAGTCGGTTTTAGAAATTCCACCAATTGGGTTTATATCTGCTGAAGAACAATCATATTTTGTTAAATAACCTCGAAGACATTCATCAACATTAGCACTTCCTAAAACCAAAAGACCTGGGACAGTTTTACCTCTTGTCCATGGTAATAATTGAGCAAATAAATAACTTAAAACCATTCTTAATCTTGCTTGAATGTTTTGTAATGCTAAATTTTCAGTTTGTGAACCTCCAAATATTTTAAAAACAGGTTTTTTACCAGTAGCTACTTGAAATAATGATATAACTGCACTTACTAAATTATCCATATTTAAATCAACATGATAAGAACCAATTTTATCTGCTAAAATTTTAGCTCTTGATCTAGTTTCAGATGATGAATTTTCTGTACCCATAAATGAAGTATAGAAAATTTTTTGAGCAATTTCTTGTGGTGTATTTGGTTTGAAATCCGGATCATGAGTCAAAGCTCTTATATCTTTTAACACTTGTTCTTCTTTTGATTCAGCAACTAATCTACACATTGAATGAACTATAACAGCAGTTGCACAAGAATCAATACCACCACTTAATGGTAAGAAATAACCACCACATTTAGATCTTCTTAAATAATCCCATAACCAACAGGCAGGACCATAAGCAATTTCTTCTTCTGGTGAATGATATTTTAATTTTCTTGGTTTTGTTGGTGCAATAGTTGGATCATAAATATTTTCAGTTGGTGATAATTCAACATCAGTAAAAATTGCTTTATAAGTTTCCTTTTGATCAACAGCTTGTAAACCTGAAGATTTTTGATTTCTATATGAACGTACATCATCTAAATCTATAGTTGCACTAATAACTTCAACATCATTTAAAGAAAATTGAGAAGCTTGAGCTAATACTTCACCATTTACAACAATTAATGCACAACCATCATAATATAATCTATCACCATCACAACCTTTTTGATTTGCATATAAATAAACACCACCACATTTTTTAGTTGCTTCAGTAATTAATTTAATTCTTGTATTTAATTTTCTTAATTCATGATGTGAACCACTTGAATTTGTAAAAATTTCAACCCCATCTAAACTCATTGCAATATGAGGAGATTGAGGAGTAAACAATTCTTCACAAGTTTCACAACCTAATCTTGTCTCAGGAGTTTCTATAATACAATCACCAAATATAACTTTTTGTTGACCAGTAATTTTTGTAATATGTCTTGGTAAATTATGATCTTCATAATATTTTGGTCTATTCCAAGGAGTAAAATATCTCATTTCTCTATAATTACCATCATTTGCTAAAAATAATTTTGGTCTAATTAATAAAATTTTACCATTATATGATATAATTCTACAATTATATTTAATTGATTTATGAATTATTGGTATACCAATATCTAATAAAATATCATGAGTTATAGGATTTGATATAATTTCTCCATAAATTTCCCAACTATGTTGATATAAATCATTTTCTGCAAAATGATCTAAACATCCATAACCACAAATTTCTAATTCAGGACCAACTCTTAATTTTGCACCTTGTTTTTTAGACTCAATAATACTCTTGAGGATTCTATCTCTATTACCTTCAAAATCTAATGCCCATTGATTTAAATTACAAGTTGCAACAGTAACATAATGACCCATTTTTTAAGATGTTGTTTAATAAAAGTACATTTCAATAACCGCTTTATTTTTTCTAGATCATTTTTCTCTTTTTAATTGACTCAAATAACAAAGAATGAAGAATTGATATATAATATTATAATTACATAAAATTAGTTAATAATCTCATTATTATAAAATGATATTTAATATTTTTGTAATTAGATTTTCAATTGATTCATCAATTAATTGAACCAAGATTGATAAAGCTGTTGACAATAATGATAATGGAATAAAACGAAAACTCAATTATAGATTTATTTGTTCCGTTGGAAGAAATTCAAATTTAAAAAGTTCAACTCCGCAAAAATTATCTTTTCTCTTATCAATTAAATTTAATTAAAACAAAAGATACATTATATCTTAGAGATATAGACTATATAATGGGAAGAAAAGATCTGAATAATTTGTTTAAATAAATTTCAATTCTTTCAATATCATCTAAGAACTTAATCAATAATTAATAATATCACTTAAAAAATGCATAAAGATTCTATTGTTGTTGATAAATTACAAGATACTCCATTTGGTGCTTCAATTACTTTACCATCTTATTGTAATAATGATCCTGCTTATTTAAATGATGAAGATTTTAAAATTTTAAAAGAAGCTGTTGAAACTAATTTAGTTGTTATTATACCAAATCAAACTAATTTATTACCAAAATCTCAATATATATTAACAAAAAGATTTGATCCATCAATTCCTGAACCAAAAGAAAATAATCAAGAAGGTGCAAATTATGGTCATGGTAAAGAATTTAGACATGATAAATCAGTTTTAAGAAAAGATGGTTGTTCTGTTAAATCTCAACCTCAAGTTCAAATATTAGGTCAAGGTAAATTTGAGGCTGATGAAGATGGTAATGAAAATGGTGAAGCAATAAATTTAACTCATCCTTCTCATACTACTTTCCATCATACTCCATTAACTGAAAAACAAATTAAAGAAGATAAACAAACTAGATTTTATAGATGGCATATTGATAGTGCTTTATATGATTTATCACCACCAATGGTTACAACATTATTAGGTATAAAAGTTCCACCTTCAACTCAATATCAAACTATAAAATATGAAGATGATGGTAGTGAATTAAAATTAACTCAAGGTGCTACATGTTTTATTAGTGGTGCTCAAGCTTTTAAAAAATTAAGTGAAGAAGATAAACAATTTGTATTAAATACTACAGTTGAATATGCTCCTCATCCATATATTTTTATATCACCAGCAAGAGCAACATCAGATGGTTTAACAATGGTTTCTGAAGGTAAAGAAATGGATTTTAATGAATTACCAGAGTGGGAAGAACTGAAAGTTAAAAAATTACCAATGGTTTGGACAAATCCAACAACAAAAGAACATCATTTACAAGTACATGGTTGTTGTTTATATAAATTACATAATACTAATAATGGTAAAACTTATGATTTAAAAGAATCAAGAGAAAAAGTTCATAAATTAATGAGACCTGCAATTTCACCAGAAAATGTTTTAGCTCATTCTTGGAAACAAGGTGATTTAGTATTATTTTTCAATCGTGGTGTTTGGCATTCAGTTACTGGAGAATTTAAAGGTTTAGGTAATGATGGTAAAGATGAAAGAAGATTAATGCATCAATGTAATATTGCAAGTTCAATTGATCCAATAACTGTAAAATAAAAATTGGAAGTTGTTGTTGTTTTAGTTCTTGTAATAATAATATTAAATAATATAAATAAATTTCATTTTCTCAATATCTTTACAAAATATAAAGCTATATTATAGTTCTAAAAGTATGTAATTCTATAACTTTGATAAAGATTAAATCTGTCAATATCTCTTGTATTAAGAATTATGAAGATACATTTGGTAGTTCAATTTTTGTAGGGGTATTTGATCTCTCTCTTTTATTTCTTTATATCCGAAGTATTAATTTTGTTTCATATTAATATTCATTTCAATTGTATATTTATACTCCACTAGACTTTAGCAACAAATTACCAAATAATTTACCAACAATGCAGTACGTGGGTAAAGTGGGGGATTATGTATACAATCAATGGAATTCATTAAATCCAGCAACATTATCTGGAGCAATTGATGTTATAGTTATTGAACATCCTGATGGATCACTACATACTTCACCATGGCATATTAGATTTGGTTTATTTCAAATAATAAAACCTTCACAAAAAAAAATAGATTTATATGTTAATGATGTTAAAACTAATTTACCAATGAAATTAGGTGAAGGGGGTGAAGCTCATTTTGTTTTTGAAGTTAATGATATAAATCATGAATTATCAAATAGTGTATTAACTTCACCAGTAATATCACCTGTATCTTCACCAAGTAGTTATGCAGCTTCTGGTAGTGATCAAGAACCAGATGAATTTGATTTAAATGAAAAAAGTAAATTAAGTAATATACCAAGTCCAAAAAGTCCTTCTCCTTCACAAAAAGCAAAATTAGCAATGGAAAATGTTAGGAAAATTACTAAAAAATTAAATATACCAACAAAAATTGATATGAATGGAGATATGTTAGTTGATATGGATGGTTATAAACCAAATTCTCAAAAAAATATTGATAATTCAGAAGATTTATTTAAAAAAATATTTTTACAAGAAATTGAAGGTGATTATCCTCATGGTGAAAATTCAGTAAAAGCTTGGGATCAAATTATAACAAAAGATGAAAATGGAAATATAAGAATTTCAAATATATCTGATGTAGAAGGTATTGATACTGAAGATGATTTAGTAAGTGCATCAACTATAGCAACATCAACTACAACTGCATCAGGAACAATATCAAGAACATCTTCGATTCAAGATGATAAAATTTATTTTAAAACATTAAGATTAAGTTCAGAACAATTACAAAATATGAATTTAAATTATGGATTAAATACTTTAAAATTTAAATCAAGTGAAGGTACATCACAAGTTACTGCTAGTTTATACCTTTGGAAATCAACTGCTCCAATAGTAATATCGGATATAGATGGTACAATTACTAAATCAGATGCATTGGGTCATGTACTAAATTTAATAGGTAGAGATTGGACTCATCCTGGTGTTGCAAATTTATTTCAAGAAATAAATCAAAATGGTTATCATATAGTATATTTAACTGCAAGATCTGTTGGACAAGCAGATTCAACCAGACAATATTTAGAAGGAGTAAATCAAGATGGATTAACATTACCAAAAGGTCCAGTAATATTAAGTCCTGATAGAACATTTGCTGCACTAAGACGAGAAGTTGTATTGAAAAAACCAGAAGTTTTCAAAATGGCATGTCTTTCAGATTTAAGAAATTTATTTTTTGATAAAATTGATTTAGAAAATGAAAAAGAAGAAGAAGAAAATGAACAAACTCCATTTTATGCAGGTTTTGGAAATAGAATTACTGATGCCATAAGTTATAGATCAGTTCATATACCAAGTCATCGTATTTTCACAATAAATCCAAATGGTGAAGTTCATATGGAGTTGTTAGAATTGGCAGGTTATAAATCATCTTATTTACATATTGGAGAATTAGTTGATCATTTTTTCCCACCAATAAAAGAAGTAAATTCTATATCATCATATTGGAATAATGCTCAATGGTCGGAATATATGCAAAATCATGAAATAAATGAATTTGACGCAAGATCAATAAATTCACATTATCTGCCACCTGGATCTCCTGGACCCACTCCAGGTTCACCAAGAAATTTTGTTGAAGATTATAAAGCAGATGAAAAATATAATGATGTGAATTATTGGAAAACAAGTTTAAATTTTGATGATTTAAGTGATTTAGAAGAAGAAGATATGACTACAAAAAAAGTGAAAGGAAATGATAAATTACTGCATTATGAACAAAAAAAGAAAGATCATACTGATAATCCAGAATTAATACAAAGACAAAAAAGATCGAGAGCTTCTACTTTTGAAAGACCTATATCTGCGTCATTTGCATCACCACTTAAAAGCTTTATGCTGTTTAATAAGAAAAAGAATAATGAAGAAGAAGAAGAAGAGGAAGAAGAGGAAGAAGAATATGACGAAGATGAAGATGATGATTATACAGACGACGAAGAAGAAGAAGTTGAAGAAGATGATGATGATTACGATGATGAAGAAGAAGACGAAGACGATGATGATTATGACGAAGAAGATTATGATGAAGAAGATGATATAGATCAAGATTTAGAAAATGAAGGTGCAGTTACAGAAAATTTAGGAGTAGATAATGATAAAATAACAACAGATTCTAACCTCATAAAGGCTAGTGATTTTGAAAATTTAAAAATATAAAAAATGAAATTTAATGACTAATTTTGCATAGATTATTAAAAATATTTAACTTGTTAAAAAACTAACATTTCTATAAAAATCTAACATTGGATTCTCTCCATATTTTGTAGTTGTTGCATCAACATCTGCCCATTGTTCTAAAAATTCTTTATGAGTATTAATTTTTGATATTTTACCTGTTATTTTTGTATATAATTCATTAGCCATTTCAAAATCTGTTGCAAACATTATATCAAAATATCCTTGATGTACCATATATGTAGAAACATCTATAGTTTCTTTATTTAGTACTGTTTGCACAACAGGTGCATTAAATCCTTTAATTGTGTTTGGTAATGTATGAAAATCTGAACTGATTAATGAATGATTTGGAAATTTATGTTTTAATATATTGAAAAATTTAATTAATCTTGTTGGAATAAATTCTGGTGGAGTCAAATCATCATTAAATGGTAAAATCAGATTCTTTATCTTAAGTTTGGTTGTTGATTCTAATAAAGGGTGAGTTGATCCAAAAAGACTTCTGAAGGTTTCCAATTTCCCGTTAAATGTCTTTTGTTGATCAAGTATTGAAAATTTAGAATTCTCTCGTAGTTGTAAATATGCATTTGAATAATCACTTAATTCTGGAGTGAAAAATTGATAAAAATCTCCCTTTTTATCTATCAAGACTTTACCTTCTAATGGTTCACCACTATTTATATCATAAGCTATCATATCATGTGCAAAATTATCAAATACTTCAAGTGCTATGAAAAAACATGGTTCTTCTACAATTTGATCCCAATCAAAAATTGATTTATTGTATATTGTTAATATATTTGAATCTAATCCTTCTTCTTTTAATTTTTTTGTATATGATTCCTTTTGTTTTGCTGCTAATTGATTTGAAATTTCTATAATTTTATATTGAGTTTTGGTGTATATTTCAGGTTCATGTTTCTTGATATAACTTAGGATATTACACATTAATGTACCATTACCACCTCCCATTTCATAAATGATTAAATCTTCATAAGGATAATTCCCATTAAGTTTATAATTTAATAAAATATATCTTGCTAAACTTTCACCATAATATGGATTAAATAATTCTGTTGGTGTATGCCATAATTGTGATGATTTAGAATATTTTGAATATGATTTACTCCATTCACCAATAAATTCATCTATATCTTCAACTTGATTATAATTAAAAGGTTTTGAATGATAAATTTCAACTTCTTTCATAAAATATCCATAATTTTTATTATATAACAGATCTTCAATGAAATCAGATGTTGTCATAATAACTCCTTTTGGTCTTGTTTTTTTATTTAGTAGTTGTTTTGATGTTATGTGAGGATATGATTTATATGTTTCATCAATGGAAGTTTCAAATGGGAAGTTTACTGCTTTTTGATATATTAATTGTATTGGATTTAATGGTCTTTTAAAAGATGGAACTTTGAATGTATAAGTATTTGGAGTTATAGAATACTCATAATGTGCTGGTGATGGTGATGGTGATGGTGGCGTTTTTAGTTTTCCTTTGAATAAATTTCTCCGTAGTGTTATCATTAAGTTTGATTTGATTTATAAATATCATAATTTCAAAATTTTTTTAAATTTTTTTGGTGCTCGTTTTAAAATTAGATTGGTTGCAAAATTAAATAAAATTTGATTTTTTGATTACTTCATAACTAACTATATTGATTAAAGTATATTTCAATTACAAATTTTTGGGTAGTTAGTTTTAACTTTTCATTTTGTTTACATAATGTAAATTAATTGACTCTATGTTTGAATACAGAAATTAAAAATAAGTAGCTCAATTTTCAAAATTCAATAACGTAATATAATAGGCTACAAATTTTCTTAATTACTGTACTTTTTAACTGAAATCTACTACCTAACTTTCTTTTCATATTTCGTTGGTTTAGAGAGATTTTCAACCCTATAATAATTTTGTTGCTAAGAACATCTTTAATTTTTTAGGTTCTTCTCTTGAGATTATTTTAATAAGTTTATATTTTGATTTAGGGTTAAGTTTATAAATTTTGATATTTGTTTATAGATCATAAGTTGACGATTTGATAATTAAATAAAATGAACTTTTTAATAGCCTTAGCTGGTTTAGATACACAAGTTAATAAAATTAAAAGCTGTTCTGTAATTTATAAATAATATTTGAATTTTTTGTTTAATGGTTTTTAAATAAAATTTCAATAATAATTTTTTTGAATTTTATCTCTTTAATAATTAATTGATGGTTTTAAAAACTTGAAAGTTATTCATTAAAATATCCTAAAGAAGCTAAATAATGACTATTTTATTACAAATTGATACTCATTGATTTAAAATGTAAATCAGAGGATTCATTGATTTCATCATAACAAGTTTTGTTAAATTATCAAAAACCATATAATATATGAAATTAAAATTTGGTAATTTCAAATCATCAAATTTAACTATATTGATTCAACTAATTTCAACTAGATTATTACTATAAATAATAGTTAGTAATATTTCAAGGAATTAATTAAGACATTAAGATTAAATTATGGAGAATTTTAAAGATGAGAATTATTGATCATATACTTAATATATCTTGTACAAATTACTTCATTACTACAAATTATTTGTTTAAATACTCAATAATTAAATTTGATCTCATGAAAGCATATTAATAGTATTAAATAGCTATATATATTATGTAATCTATACTTGATTAGTATATTTTGTTTGCCCATGTTCTTTGATCAAAAATTATAGGTATTACGGTAAATTTGTTTTTACTATTGAAGTTGAAGGAATAATTATTTGTTGTGTAAAATCACTAGTATTACTACTACAAAAAATTTTAAATTTTTCTACATTTTCACACAAATTTCGAAAACTATATTTACTTTTCAATATCAAAATAATTCAAATGGATTGTTCATAATTTTCATTATACTTTGATACAAATTTTAAGAAAAAAAAAAAAAAATTTAATAAATTGATATAAGATAATTCACAATAAATTATAATTTTAAATAATTTTGCCAAATTTCTTTAATACGAAGATTTATTACTTGATGATAAGGCTCATAATGTAATGGAAATCATAGAAAGTTTTAAAATTTATTTAAAAAGAATTTACAATAAACATTGTAGATTTAAAAGTTTCAATATTGAAGTATATATTTAGTAATAATTTTTTTTTTCCAAAATTTCAATCAAATTTGTTGACAATATGTAAAAATATTTTATAAATAGTGTTGAATATTACAAATAATTCGGATTCAAATAACAACAGTCTTATATTATTGTAATCTCTACTTTTTCATTTATAAAATATAAATATTCATTATTTTTTTATAATCTAATTTATTTCACGCACTTACAATTTTAGTGAGTGTTTTATATGTCTTAAGAATTTAAAATTAAGTAAATATAAAAAGTAAATCTAACAGCTCCAATTTGATAAACTTCATTAATAAGAATATCGAGTGATCAGCCGATGTAAAAAGTGTTAAGATAATTTAATAATCTGTCTTTTTTATGAATAAATTGAAGTGTTTTTATAAGTACTTTTTGATCAATATTTGATTTTAATAAATATAATTAAAATTGACAAGTTAACAACATAATTTATTAAGTTGAATGATCACAAGTATATTGTACTTATGATAAATCAGTTTGACTTATTTTGTCGTTGAAAAATTAGTACATTTTCATACTAAATTATTTTCGCAATTCTCAAGAGAAAAACTAGAGACCTGGTGCTGTTTTGCGCGGTGTTTTTAGCGCACCTCAAAAATTTAAAAAAAAGACGTGTTTTCATAAACATCACCACTAATTAACCAACCATGACACCAGAAGAATTGTCCAAATTGTCAAAAACTGAGAGGGTTAACCTTGCCTATAGAGAATACAAGAAGGATCAACTCCTTAAAAGTGACAGAAGACGTTCCTTGAACCAAATAGCCAAGTTAAATGGATGCAGTCCCTCCGGATTGAGAGCAAGAATTAAAAAGGGTCAAAAAAAGGCCAATGGTAATGTTGCATGTTGTAAGGTTAGAGTTAGGGACATGATAAACTGTGTATTCGGGTGCACAGTTTGTCCATTGCCTACGATACGATTTGGTTGATCAATATCCATTTGATCAATAGTATTATTCATTTAAAAATACGAAACTTAAACTTTATTAAAAAACTCTTTTATATAAAAACTATGTATTTAATGTACTCTATTAAATACTCTCAATGTTGTAGCAAGACTTTAGTTTGTGTAGCACTATCTATTATTCTTGCATAAATATCCATTCGCTGAATTGTTGTGAGTAAAAAAGTTGTATCACTGTTTTATGTTTTTTAGGACATAAAAAAGTGTTGTTTTTTTCATATTTTTTTCCACGTCGAGGCTTTAGGTCGAGTTAGGTCGATTTTTCGACCCAAAAAAGTGAAATGGTAGCAGAAAAATTACCTAATCCGGTAATTTTTTCTTTCGCCCTAAATGCTCGACTTATTGTTTGGTCGACATTTCGACATATATTTTCTATTAGGTCGATCCTTCTCACTGCTCTTAAAAATCAATCACGTGACCAAATTATTATAAATGCTCGACTCAATTATTAAGGCGAGGTCGACCAGAAAATTCGAGAGTAATATTTGTTAGGGAACAAAATTACAACAATGGATAATCATGGAAGTCACACCAATCCCGACTTTATTGATTTATGTGAAGATCATAATATTATTCCAGTTTTTATCCCAGCTCACTCATCTCATCTAACCCAACCATTGGATAGAGGAATTTTTCGTTCACTTAAAGCAAAATATAGGAAATTAGCTCGTTCAATCACAGAAACATTCGAAATGAGCTACTATAAAAATAAGAACAATCGATAAGTTACTTTTCATAGTTAAGCGCGAAAATTTGTTAGGGAAAAAATCGATAAGTTACTCTTAAATCGATAAGTTACTTTTTTTTGAATCGATAAGTTACCATAGTTAATTTTTCAGCTTTTAGTATGGCAGTTGGGATTTATTGGGAGCAGCAGAAAAAAGATTTTGAAAATGTGCTACATACAGGAATGAGAGTTTTCACGCACAAAAATTTTTAGTGAGTGTTTTATAAGTCTCAAGAATTTTACGCATACAAATTTGGTGAGTGTTTTACATGTCCAAATATTTCACGCACTTAAATTTTTAGTGAGTGTTTTAACTGTAAACTAAACAGGTAAAATTTGTAAATCTTATTGATAAAAAAATCAAGTAATCAGTTGATATAAAAGGTAACAAGACAATTTTACAATCTGTGTTTCTGTTAATGAATTGAAGTACTTATACGAGTTAATTTCTATCAATTTTTTTTAAATAAAATATAATTAAGTTCAGCTACTATAAAAATAAAACAATCGATAAGTTACTTTTCATAGTTAAGCGCGAAAATTTGTTAGGGAAAAAATCGATAAGTTACTCTTAAATCGATAAGTTACTTTTTTTTGAATCGATAAGTTACCATAGTTAATTTTTCAGATTTTGTATGGCAGTTGGAATATATTGGTAGCAGCAGAAAAAAGATTTTGAAGGTGGATTACATACAGGACTGAGAGTTTTCACGCACAAAAATTTTTAGTGAGTGTTTTATAAGTCTCAAGAATTTTACGCATACAAATTTAGTGAGTGTTTTACATTTCACGCACTTACATTTTGATGAGCGTTTTACATGTCTAAGAATTTTACCCACTTACAATTTGGTGAGTGTTTTACATGTCCAAATATTTCACGCACTTAAATTTTTAATGAGTGTTTTACATGTCTCCATCAGGACAAATAAAATTCAGATGAATTTACTATACATCTTAAAATTGATCATCTAGAAATTTAATTACCTATGAAATTTGATGATTTACTTCTTATAAAACATTAATTCAGCTCACTATAAATTTAAATTATCTATCAATCAAATCTATTATGATTCTACGATTATGTAAAATACTAACTTAGGAGATTGAATTGATAAATTGAGCATGGATATTTCTCTATGGTTCTGAATAATTTATTTTTTGAGTGATCCTAAATAACCACTTTTTTACATGCAGTCCTGTAATAATATACAGGACTTGTTTTATATACAGTCTCTTTTTTTTCTTTTATACAGGATCTTTATCGGATATTTTTTGATTAATTGATCCAAATAATTTTAGTTTTTCGCGTCTTATTTTTTTTCAATTCTCGAAACCAAAACAATTGTTTTATAAACAAATTTCTTCTCAAACTTTTCTTTTTCACTCTTCCTTACAACAATTCAGCTCAAAACTTCAATTCATTACCAATATTCAATACAAATATGCAACCTCATCGTTTCATTAGGGAATTGGTGGATCCTGAATATGCAAAACTAAATCCTGAATGCAATAGCGTAACGTATGAGTTTAACTCGTACGAGGAATGCATGAAATTCGTAGAAAAACGATCAATGTATTCCACTTATGTTCTACAGAAATCAAAAATTCAAAAATATAAAGATGGTGTCGAACTTTCAAGGGAAGAATTAAAAACACCCACCAAGTATTTTCATCTTGCAGAATGTGGATATCAGATTTACAAATGCCATCGTAAAGCAAGTGGTGGTTCCAAGTCAGTCAAAAGCACTAATTCGATGTCCACTAATTCAGAGTTCAATAATGGAGTCTTAGCAACAGATATAGGTGATACAAGTGGTGATGTGAATACAAATTCAAACTCAAGTTCAGTTTCAGCTTCAATTGGTGAAGGTGGTAGTGGTTCAACTTCAAGTTCAGTTTCAGCTTTAATTGGTCAAAAGGGTAGTGGTTCAACTTCAAGTTCAATTTCAGATTCAATTGGTGAAGGTGGTAGTGGTTCAATTTCAGATTCAATTGGTGAAGGTGGTAGTGGTTCAACTTCAGCTTCAATTGGTGAAGGTGGTAGTGGTTCAACTTCAAGTTCAATTTCAGATTCAATTGGTCAAAAGGGTAGTGGTTCAACTTCAAGTTCAGTTTCAGCTTCAATTGGTGAAAGTGGTAGTGGTTCAACTTCAAGTTCAGTTTCAGCTTCAATTGGTGAAGGTGGTAGTGGTTCAACTTCAAGTTCAATTTCAGATTCAATTGGTGAAGGTGGTAGTGGTTCAACTTCAAGTTCAGTTTCAGCTTCAATTGGTGAAGGTGATAGTGGTTCAACTTCAAGTTCAATTTCAGATTCAATTGGTGAAGGTGGTAGTGGTTCAATTTCAGATTCAATTGGTGAAGGTGGTAGTGGTTCTTCTATTTTTGGTGATATTGAAGAGTCATGTATTTTAAATAATTTAACAGAATCAATCTTTGACGAAACAACAACAATCCAATTGAAACCTATAAAAATCCAATTGAAACCTATAAAGAGAACACGAACACAATACAAATCATCAATAAAAGATAACTGCAATGCCACAATAAAAATAATTGTTAACCATGATAAACATACTGTTCAATTTAACCATCATCATACTCACGACCACATGAGTCTAGAATATGCAAATTCTTTAAAATTAAATAGAAATTTAAGAGAATTTATTAGAACTAAATACCAAGACAACTATACTACAAGTCAAATACTATTGTGTTATAAAAATTTCCAAGTAACAGCCATACATTTTGTTAGTGCGAAAATTTCCAAGTAACAGAGAAAATTTCCAAGTAACAAAATTCTGATTTCCAAGTAACAAGGTGGTAGCGGGACAATTTTTGTATGGTAAATTCACTTAGTAAATTTTGAATTCTTTTTTCTGTTGTTAGTAGTGCAAGAAAAATCAAATTTCCAAGTAACAAAGTGGTAGCGAGTCAAATTTCCAAGTAACAAATTTGTATGCGAAAAATTTCCAAGTAACAAGATTTATTAGAGAGAAAATTTCCAAGTAACAAAGTGGTAGCGAGTTAAATTTTCAAGTAACAAAATTTGTTAGTAGTGCTAAAAAATCAAATTTCCAAGTAACAAGATTTGTTAGTGAAAAAATTTCCAAGTAACAGAAGTCGAAAAATATTTAAACAAAATTTTCAAGACAAATAATTTAAGTCAATAACGTAAGTCCTTTGTTGTTTAACCTCGTAGCTGAAACCCTTCTAGTTCAACTCCTGGATAAGTTGGAGGGATTACAACCAGATAAAAATTCTCATAGGATTCAATATATAGGGTATGCAGATGATATTTTGGTTCTATTAAAGAACAAAGAAGACCAAATAAAATTTAAAGAAATAATAGAAATTTTTAGTCAAGAAAGTGGGCTTCAACTAAATATGACAAAGTCAAAAATCTACTATAAAAATGCAATTCCAACTCAAAAAGTGCTACATTACACAGAACATATATATAATGATACACCGCACTATCATTTAGGAATTCCAATGACAACAAGCAGATTTCAAATAAATCCTTGGCACAATTTCACATTTAGCTTAATAAAAAAGATACAAGAAATACCAGTTTCAGATTTAAATATACTTGTCATTATTCGATTAATCAATGTATTTATATTTAGCAAACTTTATTATCAGGATTTACATCAACCTATCCCACCACATATAATAAAAAGAATCATTGAATCTGTTCAATCAAAATTACAAGTTAAAATCAGTCATCAAAGACTTGTTGTACCAAAGCAATTAGGAGGATTTTCGATGCTTTCACTTGTTGTAAGGTATAATTCAAGACTTATCTGGATGGTTCTAGAACTGTATTAATTAAGTTTGTTTTAAATGGATTTGTGTAATAAGTTAAGGGGTGTTAATATAATAAAGGGGTTTTAATATAAGGTAATATTTAATGGTCATACAAAAGATTAAATTAGAATAAGATAGAATGATTTATTGAATTAGATGACTCCTTAAGATAGATCAGGAGATTAAAATAGAATAATAGAATTTCCTAGAGCTTCTAAAGATAGTTGAGAAGAGAAAGGAATAATAGATTTTCTTAGAGCTTCTAAAGATAGTTGAGAAGAGAAAAGAAAGATAGTTAACTCCAAATGATAGTGTGGAGTAAATTGAATATTAGTTAAAAGTCTAAGATAGATTAGTAGACTTGAAAGATTATAAATAGAGATAGATTTTCCTTGAAGATAGATATTTTATATAGATTAATTAAAAAGTTTAATAATAATAATAAACATATATTTAGACTTATATTTATAATGTCTGATACTACAAATAACTCAAACAATCAAACTAGAAATCCAATTGCTCAATCAACTACAACTACAACTTCATCAGGAGAATCAACTCAACAGGTTATGAGCCAATTGACTCAAGGCTTAGGTGGTAATTATAACATATTTTCTGGTTTAGTTATTCCAAATGAATTAAAGCTTCAATCAAAGGTCAATTTTATGTTATGGAAAAATAATTTGAAAAGATTAGCTGAAGGTGTTAGTCCAGAATTTAAGGCTTTTGTTGATGATGAGGTTGCTAGTGATTCATACCCTGCTATTCATAATAATAAACTTGACATTTTGTTATCATTAACTGTTAAAGAATCAATTATTTCTCCAATTCGTTCACTTGGTTTTATTGGTAAAGATATTTATTTAGAAATCCTTAAAGATTTTGGTGTATTTCATACTCATGATAAAATTAAAATTGTTGTTAAATATTGGGAAAAACTTGCTGATCCAACTGTTAATCTTAAAACAAAATTTATTACTGAAAAAGAATATTTGCAATTTGTTAATACTTTACCAAAAGAAGAACAAGAAGCTCTTTTTCATTTTATTTGGCTTCATCTTTCAAAATCAAGATGTATTGATAAATATTTAGATGGCTATGATCCAAAATTAAATACTTCAGATATCAAAAGATTTATTACAGTTCATCCAGAATTAGATGAAGGTACAACTGCTATTAATGTTAACGCTGTTTCATCAAATGTTTCAGATGTGATTGTTAATCCTGCTAATGTTGGTAACCTTTTCAAAGTACAATGCACAAATTGTTTTGGTTTAGGTCATCTTGCTCGTAATTGTGTGTCACCAAATAGGAGATTTGTAAGTATTCCAGATGTAGAAAGAAGATTATTAGCTTTTAAATATAGATTTGGTGCAAAAACTGGTAGGTTTAATGCTGATTACAACAATTCAAATGGTGCTGCTTGTTGTAATTTTGTTCTCTAACAAATATTACTCTCGAATTTTCTGGTCGACCTCGCCTTAATGATTGGGTCGAGCATTCATAATAATTTGGTCACGTGATTGATTTTCGAGAACAGTGAGAAGGATCGACCTAATAGAAAATGTATGTCGAAATGACGACCAAACAATGAGTCGAGCATTTAGGGCGAAAGAAAAAATTACCGGATTAGGTAATTTTTCTGCTACCATTTCACTTTTTTGGGTCGAAAAATCGACCTAACTCGACCTAAAGCCTCGACGTGGAAAAAAATATGAAAAAAACAACACTTTTTTATGTCCTAAAAAACATAAAACAGTGATNTTCGACGTGGAAAAAAATATGAAAAAAACAACACTTTTTTATGTCCTAAAAAACATAAAACAGTGATACAACTTTTTTACTCACAACATTTCAGCGAATGGATATTTGGTGAGAAAAAATAAATAGTCCACACAAAATAAAGTCTTGCCATAACATTAAGAGTATTTAATAGAGTTAATTAAATACATAGTTTTTATATTTAAAAGAGTTTTAATAAAGTTTAAGTTTTTGTATTTTTAAATGAATAATACTAGTGATCAAATGGATCTTGATCCAAATCCAAATCGTATCGTAGGCAATGGTCAAACTGTGCACCCAAACACACAGTTTATCATGTCCCTAACTCTAACCTTACAACAGGTTATGAGCCGTCACGCTTCCAGCACGTACGCTTCTGTATCAAAATTAAAAGGAAACCTTAATTTTCATACATGGGAAAAACAGTTCGGATTTTTATTTTCAAAATCAGTAACGCAAGATTACTTGGTTAGAGGCCGCGATGCGATTATTACAGAACATGTTCCTGTCCATTATTCGAATCAATATTTTACATTGATCGAACATTTTATTGAAGAAATGGTGGTTCACACTGTCGAACCAGAAATTAGAGAGAAATTCTCATTAGTCTACGGATTAGACCACTACCGCGCTATTGTTGCCTTATACAAGACCAATACCTTGGTCAAGAGCGCGAAATTAATTAAAAAGCATTCTACAAATGCTACTGTTTCAAATTTTAAGACATTACTTAATAATATTATTATTAATATTCCTACCCAAGATTTAGGAGGAATTTTTGCATTACTTAACTTACCGGAGCAACATTGGGTTCCCATTGAGACTCAACATCAAAAGAAAAAGAGAGACAATGATACATTAGCTTTTTCATTTGAAGCGGTTATGGATTATGCGGAAGAGCTTTCTGCTACTATTCCGACCAAAATTTCAATTGCTGGTTCTACATCAAGTGCAACTACCGCGACTGCTTTCTCGGCCCAAGATTATAAGTGCCTGAGATGTAGCAAAATTGGTCATTTTGCTAAAGATTGTCCCACTCCTCCAAACAATAATACCAACAACAGGAATCAAAGTAAGAAAAAGTCTAATAATAACAACACCAATAACAACAACAACAACAACAACAACAAAAAGAACCCGACACCAACTGCTAATTCTGCTGAAGACGAGGAAATTCAAACTATGTCTGCCATTGTTTATGAAGATGCTACAGCATTCTTGACAGATTTTAAAGTTTTAACGGATTATCATCTTGACACTGGAGCTTCACGTCATATAGTTTCAGATAAAGCTGCATTCACAAATTTAAAACCTCACCAAGCTCAAATCAGAGTAGCTAATGGTTCATTTTTAACGGTTGAAGGTATTGGTTCAGTCAAATTACGTTTCCCAAATGGTAAATTATATGAATTAACTGATGTTTTATATACTCCAACTGGTCTGGTCAATTTAATTTCAATCCCATGCGCTGCTAGGCATGGTTTATCATTCGGTTTTGATGCAAATGGTGCTTATATTTCCAAAGATTTTGTTTTCAAAGATAATGAATTCAATGAAATCTGTCCATTAGTTGGTAATCTTTTTACATTTAAGAGTAATACACACAATAAATCTGTTTATCCGGCGGTTGAATCCGCTTTTGTAGTTGATGAATCACTTCTTGAGAGAAAACTTATGCACGCCCGACTCGGTCACCCTGGTACGACCATTGCCCAAAAGTTACGTCGATCCGGCGTACACGCGTTCGATCCAGATTGCGAGGAATGTAAAACATGCAAATCTATCATGCATTATCCAAAAGAACGTACTTCAGAGCCGTCTAAAGTTGGCGAGAAGTTTCATATTGATGTATGCGGTCCAATTCCAGAATCTACTAGAGGTTATAATTATTTTTTAACAATAATTGATGATGGTTCAAGATACCTTAACGCTTGGCCAATCAAGGCTAAATCGGATTGTGCTGATATAATCAAGCAATTCATCATTAACTGTAACAATCAAAATGCTCATGGTAATCACGTCAAAGCTATTCAAGTCGATAATGGTGGTGAGGTTATCAACGACAGCTTAAAGCTGTTCTTGGATTCAAAAGGAATCGCTTATAATCTTACGGTTCCCCACAACTCGCACCAAAACGGTTCTGCCGAACGGTCTCATAGGACCATTACCGAGCCAGCCCGATGCCTTTTGAAAAAGGCAGGAATGCCGATAGACTACTGGTGTTTTGCAGTCGAAGCAACTGTATATAGCTTAAATTTACTTCCACGGACAATGCCTCAAAATGTCCCTAAGGATTTCACCAATCCGCATGATTATTGGCACAAGGACCAACTGTCAGTGACCAAAATCAAAAGTCTTGGTACGGATGTTGCGGTACGGATGTTGCGGTACGGATGTTGCGGTACGGATGTTGCGGTACGGATGTTGCGGTACGGATGTTGCGGTACG